ATCTATTAAATTAAAATAGGTTTTTACTAATTAAATAATTATAGACAGCTTTACTAAATATCTAATTAAACAGAAATATATAAAATTTATTAAATAATTAAATATAATTAATATTTAATATCTTATTAAATAATAATTAATTATTCAACATTTGCAGTTTTAATTAATATTTATTAATTTAAATTAAAGAGGTGTATTAAATAGGGTTATCTAATATTATCTAATTTATTAAAATTATCTAATAATTCTATAAAATTAAAATTCACTTTTACTTTACTATCACTTTATTAAACTCTTATTTCCACCACTAAATTATATAAGAAAAGTAAGATAAAAATAAAAAAAACCAGATTTTTAATAAGTTTCCTAATTTAGACTAGCTTATCTTCTTATTTAGGAAATCTTTGATTACTAGAATTATATAAAACTCAGAAATCTAATATTATTAAATTTCTTATTTAAGAAATTAAAAGTTTATTTTAATTACTATAATTAATAACTTTATTCAAATGATTAATATAAAGAGTCCAGAATATCTTATTTATTTATTTTTATAAGTTATAAAATAAATATTATTATTCTAGTTATTCTAATATTATTTAAATAATTTTATTATGATTCATATATTGAATCTTGATTATTCTAATTATTCTAATTATAAAATCTTGATTATTTAATTATTTAAATAATTAAATACTAATCTAATAATAATCTATAAGGTTAATTTTAAAGACCTAAATTAATAATATAACTTACAAATAAAGGCCTAGAAAGATCTAATAATTTTATATTTATAATATTTACTTAAGGCTAGATTAAATTAGTCCTGATTTAATTATCTATAAATATGCAGTTAATAACCTGCATTAATTTATTTTTTTTATTAAGTTGATTTATCTACTTAATTTATTTAATTAAATTTTATTTATTTATTTAATCAATTTTATCTATTTACATACATAGCGAATGGTAGGACCTCTGGTCTATCTATTTCAGATCTAGGTGGTCCAGGTGAACTGTTTACTTCATCTGACTGATCGATTTTCTTTATTCTATCTAGCCATTTGAAATTTCTATTCAACCCACGTGACCTACCTACCCCATCTGACAATTATTTTATTAATTTATTTTATTTTATTAATTTAATTTATTTTATTTTATTAAGTAATAATCTGTATAATAACTTTTATATAATAATTTTTTTCTTATATAGTAAACTCTTTTATATAATAAATTTTCTGCCCTTAATTATTTAAGGATTTTAATAATTTTACTAGTACAATTTTTTACTTACTCTAATAATTATTAAATTCTTCTTTTTTTTACCTTATCTATACTTATAATTCTTTACTTATTTTCTCTTTTTTATAATAACCCTGTCATTTCCTTAATTTATTATTAAATATATAACTTTATTATATCTTTATTATTATTCTTACTATCTTTATTATTATTCTTACTATCTTTATTATTATTATCTCTGCTGGTTATTATTAAAATAGCTAAATAACTAACTTTAGATTTTATACTAGTAAACCCTAAGCTAAGCAACTCTGACCCGAAACTAAGCAACACAATAAAGACCTATAGAGACACCTATAAAAAATATAATGAACTTTTATAAATAATAAAGAATAATAATATTAATAATTAAGATTAGCACACTAATAAAGACATTTTATAAAATAATTATAAAAAATAATATAAAGATTAAAATAATATAAATAAAGATAATCAGGATAAGTAAAACCTAATTATATAAATTATTTAGCTTTTAACTTTTATAAAGGCTATTATTTTAAAACAGAAATTTATATATTTTAGAATAAATAAGATAATTTAATTATATAAAAAAAAGTAATACTAAAAGGAATAAAAATATATTAAATAATAAATATTATATATAAATTGTACTTCTGGTATAACCCTTATATCTTTAAAAAATATTTTTATAAATAAATATAAGTATATAGTTTAGTAGTCAATAAAGCCTTTAATATAGCTATATATAAATAAATATATAAAAAAAATCTTATTAGGAAAAATAATAATTAATATTTTATTTAAATAGATTTGCTTTAGTAATCTAAAATATATAAAAATTATTTTAAAAATTATTTTAAATATTATTAAAATTACTTAATAAAATTATAATTCATAATATATTATTAACTTTACTAGTAATAAAGATTTAAAAAAAAAGAATTTTATATAATAATCCTATTATTTTAAAATATAGTAATAGCAGTTTATATATTACTATAGTTAGATTTTTCTACACCCTAATTAATTAGAAACTTACTAAGAAAAACTAATAAGTTCTAAATAATACTATAATTAGAAATATAAGTTTTAATTTTTATATATAGAATAACTTACTATATTATACTAGATAAATATAGCCGAACTTTCTTAAAAAAAACACTTATTTTTATAAATAGGATATATAATTTTAATTCACAGGTCATATTTTATACTATATTACTCCTAATAATAATATCTTACTTATTACTGCTACTGTTAGTAGTATTAATATAAATAAAAATATAAAATCTAAAGAAGAATTAATCTTTAAATTAAAAAAAATATATAGTTATAAAAGATAATAGTTTTATTTAAATTTAAACCCCTATTAAAAAAATAAAGTTTAAAAAATTAGTAACTATTATTATTAATAAAAATAATTAAATTAAAAATAAGTTAATTTAATTATTAAATTAAAATAAAATAAGGATAATAAGACTCTTAAGTAATTATCTATTATTATTCTTAATTTATTACTTAATAAGTATACTTTTATAAGTCTTATTGTCATGGTGTTGCCTTTGGGCGCATTCAAAAGCTAAACCACTGCACTAAACAAAAGACTAGTATGCAAAGCCGAAGGCTTTGCACTGCGCTCGCATATATAAACCCCAGGTGCGGGAAGAACAGGTACGGGAGAAACTGGTAGAAACGGAACGGAACAGAGCTGCACCACGGTGCCAGGTTGCACCGTGACACTTATTACTTCTGTAAATATTATTATAATTAGTATAAATAATATTACTATAATTATTAGCACCTAAAATACTTAAATAAAAACATTACTTTTAGAGGCTAAAAAGGTATTAAATAATATTTAAAATTTATATTAGGAATTTAAAGATATATTAATACTTAAGATACTTAATAAATTAAAAATAATTATACTTAATTTTTTATCTTATATATAAATAACAGCTATTATTAATATATTTTTATATTTATATTTTTAAACCTTTGTTATACAGAACAAAAATCTATAAAAAAAGCTTAATATAACTTCTTATATACCTATATCTGTTTTTATATCTTTTAGTAATTATTTAAGCCTGTAAAAGAATTAGAATATAATTATTTAACTTATTATAACTTATAATAATATAAATAAAGTTATACAAGATTTTATCTATTATCTTATTAATATATATAACTATACTATCACGAATATTAAAGTATTATAAAATACTATTTATTATTATATAATTATAAATACTAAGACACTTATAAATACTAAAGGCACTAAAGATTATAAAAAAGATTATAATAAAGTAATAAAAAAGATTATAGCTTTTTAGGATAATTTATCTATAATAATAGTAAAGAATAAGGTGCTTAAGAAGGATGTTAGTTCTCTGACTAAAAGACATAATGAGCTCACTAAAAGAAATAACAATCTTTTGAAAGAAAAAAATGAGCTAAACAACACCCTTTTTGTAACAAATGACTTTAGCCAAGGCAAAGGATAAAGCTGTTAAGAAGATTGAACTCTTATACAAAGATTAGAGCATCTTAACAGAATATATTGCCACCCTATCTGCAGAAAACCTGGCTGTTATTATGTAAATTAATACTCTAAAGGAAAAGGATAAAGCTACTACTATTACTACTGATATATATTATTATAAAAATAATAATATATAAATAAATAAACTGATTTTTTCTACTATTATAAATATTATTAAATCTATTATAACTTTACCTAAATTTACTATGATTTTACTAGAATTATTATCTATAAAATTAAATATTAAAACTCTGATAAAGTGCTATAAAAGACCATATAAAATATAAGCGAAAAAGTAATAATATTAATTAATTATTAATAAATGATATTTCTTTTATTTTTCTTTATAATTTATCTTTTTTTTTTCTTATCCCGAACCAGAGTCATACCTACATTAATTTTTTTCAAATTGTTCGAATCGTTTATAAAAAAAACTTTTTTATATTATTTTTTTTATGTCATTCAGGGGAACTCGTCTTAAAAAGTAGGAATATTATATTATAGTATTATATACTACTAGTATCTATAGCAGCCGTAGCAATGCACATGACATGTATAGTAGACTGTAGTGTTCCACCATCTCCGCAGCAGCGGAGGACTTAGTGAAAGGGAACAATCTTACTACCATCATCGATCCAGTAGGAGGCTGTGACAGCTCCCTAGCAATAATATACCTACCTTCGGGGATTATAAAATAATATATAATTTATTAATATAAAAATTAATAAAAGTATAATATAATTATAATATAATTATATAATATATTTTAAATAACTATTATTAATTATTATATATAATATATAATTATTTATATAATATAAATAATATTAGCCTCAGTATAGCATCTAATATAAATAAAATATTATAATAAAATATATATTATTATATAACCCTCCTATAATATAAAGTCTAATATTATATAGTGTAATAAAACTTAAATAAAGCCCTTTAGGTTATATAATATAGTCTAAGGGTAAAACCTTACTATATTACTAGTAGAAAGAAACCAGTAATTAGTTTTATTTATAGGCACCCCCTACAATACAACTCTGCACTGTGTATTTATCACATTGTTTATATCCCTATAGACCCCGGTCTCACAATCATCATAGGAGAATACACACTTCTTTAACTATACGCTCACAAGAATAAAAGCAGGAAGTCCAGATGGTAAATATAATGACTATATCAAGCGATTTATAGCTTTGTACATGTTAGATATATACACTACAAAAGTTCCATGACAGCCGTAGAACTTTTCCTGACACAGTTTAATCTCTAGAGTTGCGTATCCACACGCCTTGGTCCTCACATAAAAGCAACCTATAGACCAAGGCGGTAAATACGGTTCTGATATATTGTCTCAACTAGCCGTTTCACTCTGAAGTTATAATCCAGAATCGATAAATAACCATCAAAAGGCTACGGACACACAACGGTCAAAGGAACACAAGGAAGATGGATGGAGTGGCCCATCACGGTATTTATTTCTTCTTTTTCGCAGATCTCGACTCTAGTTGGTAGTTAGCAAGAGCTCCATAGCAAGATGTTAAACAGAGATCTTACCGGCTGCTGTCCTTTTCTTCTTAGGTCGTCCTTTACCACGCAGTTTTGCACTGTATATCATGTTAGAATTGTTCCACATGCTTGGCGAATAATGTCCCTACATTTGGATGGCTTCTTCTCTATCGTCCTCGGCCTCGTCAAACGCCGTCAACCCAACCTGCTTATATGTATCCTGCAAGTCTCGGAAAGCAACTGTCTTCCTGGGATACCATGATGCAAGCGCTGGACCTCGTAGGCGCTGTCGAAGGACCTTGTTCCCCAAACGCAGTCGTTGCGGGTTAAAGTTATGTGAGAAGACGCGGCACTGTGCCTGCAATCACAAGTGTTGGAAACTGTCAGTAGATGCTATTAGTGAAGGTTTTTCTGAGCGCATACCTTTGCCAACTCCAGTATTCGACCACACGTCGTCATTTCGCCGGATCATGCAGTGATAGAAGTTGGCAAACTCGGGGAACCAGATGAGCCCGGTAAAGGAGCCCAAACCACGTGATCCGCGCCATACCTCCCGCTCAAACCGGACATTTGTATTAATACCGCAGGTATTGCATGCATTCCAATGGACCGAAAAAGAAAATCCACATTTGCGACGAGTGAGGATGACAAGAAGAGACAAGTAGGTTCATATAAACATCCACTTACAGGTCCTTGGACTGACAGCATAAGATTTCCCGCCCCAGAGCTTCAAGGGGAGCAGTACACCCGGGCAGTGCTCCGATCAAACAAGGTGGAATCCCAGATCGCCTGAATAATGCGTACGGGCTGGTGAGGAATATTGCCGATGACCTAGAGTGTGGGCAGGATGTCAATGGGATTGCTCCAGCCGTCAAACAAGCGCTATTTGGTCTGGATAAGGCTCTGCGTCATGCAAAATCACAGCAACCCAAGACCGATGTTGCGGAGCCGAGCACAATCCGCCCTGAGCCTAGCCTACCTACCTTACCACCCATTTGTGATCGGACACTCGAAAAAGCTGTTTTTACACACCCCGGCATTAACGGAAATATTGAGGCGACTTATGACCGACTTGAAATTCTCGGTGACGCCTACATTGAGCTTTTTGCTACACGACTAATATGGGATCGGTTCCATCAAATCCCTTCAGGCCGGATATCGCAGCTCCGGGAACTTCTTGTGAAAAACGAGAGTCTCGCGGAGTATGCAATACAGTACGGTTTTGATAGAAAAGCTAATATCCCACAAGACTATCTGGGCCAACCCAAGCGGTGGACGAAAACTATGGGCGACATATTTGAATCCTACGTTGCCGCAATTATTTTGTCTGACCCTGCCAATGGCTACAGCATAGCTGAGAAGTGGTTAAGGCGGTTGTGGACGCCGAAACTTACGAATGCTGGAACGCAAAGGTCGTCTTTGAATGCCAAAGATGCTCTTGCTCGCAGAATAATGGGCAAGGGAGTGAAGCTTCAATATCTGGACGAGGAAATTCCCATCCAAGAAAGCGGGGGCAAACAAACGTTCTTTATAGGGGTGTATCTTACCGGCTGGGGATGGACTAATACACACCTGGGCTCAGGGCGGGGGCCAAATAAAGCAATTGCAGGAAATGAAGCGGCAGAGCAGGCTTTGAGTAATGAACCATTGATTGGCGAAGTCATTAACGCGAAGAAATCGCACGAGGCAAGCCGTCACTGACCACTACTTGAATTTGTTGTGAGCCTGATTCTGTAGGACCTGCGGAATTAGAACTTCCTGCTATCCTATCGTCTTGTCAGCATAAGAGTGTGGTTCATCCAACTAGGACCCCCCAAAAAGCATGGGTCATAACGGCAAAACTTTTTATGTATGTACACACATACGCCATGGCAATTTATAATTAATACATAATATTGATAACCTCAGATCCCCTAACCAGGCAAGCTGCCGGACATGACGCTTCATTCATGCGACCAGGCGGGTAGGATTCAAATCGCTATCAAGATTCTTGCTATGACAACCTGGCATTAGAGCTCTGATAACTCTCTAATATTTAAGGGTTATTGGATGGCTGTCGGCATGATTGTCCCCTTAGGGAAATGGTATATCAAGAAAGTCAATGTAGCATTTTGTATAAGACAAATCGAGCACCTACAAAAGCCCGCTGTGTACTATTAATAATGCAGCGAGTGGCATTGAAAGAAAAACAACTTATTGCAAAGAAACATGTCCCCTAATGCCTTGCTCGCCTCTCTTCATCTCTTTTCATTTTCTTCCGGCTTTCATGTGCAATCATGTCGCTCAAATCCTCCTGAAACCCCCAACTGGGATGGGATTGTTGCTGCCTTTGATCATCATAAAGCTTCCGTATGCCTTCCTTGCTAATACCATCCCCTGTCTGCAAGGCATCCGGGTCCATAGAAACATCAACATCACCAGGCTTTTTGCGCTTCCGATTCTGATCTTCGGTTCCAAGAACAGGCAGACTGTCTGACGATTCGTTCAGATCATACACCCTGTCGCCTCCGAAAAATCCCTGCACGTGCGTCTGTCGTTCTGGGATAACCCTAAAAGCATTTTTCTGGCTCTTGTGGTCTTCGGTTTGTGTGCCTCGATAATGCTTACGCACATCAAACTCACCCGCCATGTTCTCTGTCCCAGCATATTCGGACGGGACAGCGGAGGCCAACCCACTCGGTGTCTCCAATCCACTAGGAGACTGCACTCCTTCGTCCATATCCTCCTCGTCGTCATCCTCTTCGTCCTCCTCTTCACTGCCATCGTCGGAGAGTTCAGGAGCCTGAAGTTCACCCCAGAGATCCCTTTCAACAGGTTCGCCTTGCTGCACAGTCTGCTGAGGCTGCAACACTCCGAATATATCTCCTCCATATAGGGGTCGGTTGTGCTCATCAACTGGGGGCTTTCCATAACCGCCTGGATGATAGCCCCACATGGCTCCAGGGGGCGGAGGAGCGTTCAGGCCCGCGATTTTCAACGCCGGGTACGATGGAGGGGGTCCGTATCGCTGTTGATTTATTAACCAAGGAGGCGGCGCACCTGGCGGCATGTTGAGCGCTTCTTTAAGCTCCGCGCTGAGTTCACCCGGTCGTAGATGCTTGAGATTAGTCTCGTATTCTTTGCCCTCGTAGTAGACTTCGCCATAGCGTGTTAACTCAGGTTTCGTTTGAAACCTGAAGAAAGCCTCGTACAATTTTTGATAGTCAATATCTAGCCTTCCCATCTTGGGTTGCACCCTTTCTCTTTGTTTCTGTTTCAAGGTTGCCTGTTCCTGCTTCTCCAAAGCAGCGTCTCGCATCTCCGAGATTCCAGTCTCTTGAATAAATTTGGGCAATGCAAATGGCGGCTTTTCTATGCCTCTCTTGGAAGACAAATATTCTCTTTTGAGTGACCAGTGTGAGGGAACGGGAACGACGTTGCGGTGGGCTTTGATATGGACGAGCAATTTAGGGTCAGGTGCTGAAGTGTCTGTCCACTCCACTATCTCAGGCTTCCGGACCATCGCCTTGAGCTCAGCAACGGAGAGCTTGTTGAGTTCCTTGCGCTTCTTTTTGGACAATTTCGGTTCCTCGTCTTCTCCTTCGTCCGGTATTTCATCGTCGTCATCGAAATAAATTTCTGGTTTCTCCGAGCTCCCATGTCCAATCGGGCCTCCAGACTCATCAAATCTATCGATGACATTCTTGTATATTTCCCACAGTGGATCTGTTGAGTCATCTGGCAACATATCTCCACTGGAATCATCCATCGACACCACAGCCGGGGGGTCCTTTGCCTCGTGATTCGTTTGGGGTGTAACTGCCGATGACACTGCGGGCTTGTCAAGTAAAATGTCAGATTTGCATAAGTGTATGCAGAAGACGCACAGAATTACCTCATTTTTTAAAGCCTTCTTCCTTGCCCTTCTGATCTGGTTCTTGCTGGCCTTCATTGCAGGAATAAACGAGTTTTTCTCGAACTGAACAGGAATTTGTGATGATTCCGATAGGCTACTTAGCCAGTTGTACTACCCTGGGCTTTCTAGGAGTCTGGTAAGTTCCTATTGTTGATTCGAGAATATATGTGTGATGTGATGATGATCTTCCCTTTGCACTAGCAGCAGCTAAAGCGTGAGAGTCGGTATCACGTGATCGAATTTCCGTCTCATTTGTATCACTATAGTTGTTTGGCTGCCAGCGATTTGAGTCCTGTCTTTTGAATTGTTGAGAAGAATATGATACCTGAAAATATCTCAAATATCCCATACAACAAGCCAATTCCCTGCTAACCTGCCGGATGTCTTCCGCATGTATTCCGTATGCCCCTGTTATCTCACGTGATAACACATGGTTTTGTCCTCACGTATGGCCACCGCCCCCAAACTTTGCGCGCACATCTTTTCCATTGTCCATTAATAATTTCATATACTTCTTGCTTTCGCCCTGGTTAGCAAGCAAAAACAAGAGCCCAGGCCTGCTATTTCTTTTTTCCATCCTGAATTTAAGGTCTATCTCCACGTCTTGATGGATTGGGACCGCAATAGAAGGTACGTTTGACAGCCAGATGTTAATCGCCTTGAACTAAACAAGGTGTCCAAGGTTTGATGATCACCGAGGCGGGGAAAGCTATCGCCCAGCAAATAGAGGTTATATACGACGCAGTAGATCTCCGCGCAATCGATCTCCTCGCCGACTTGCTGATACCTGGGTGCCATCTTCAAACCGAACCTACAATCGATTGCGAAGTCGCTCGCCACCAAGTTTTAGGCGCCGTTCATCTCGAAGCCCTCCCTACTATGGCAGGGATGTTGGTCTTCCGTCTTACAATAAAACGTGCTCCTCTCCGCGAAGATTTTCTCCTAGACGGGAGCGAGCACCGGTGCACACCTCATGGCGCCCGCGGTCGCCATACACCGACGGCCGCTCGCGAGACTTTTCTCGGGGTCGTACAGCGTTTAGTCGGTCCCGAGAGATGACGCCCACTAGCCAAGATGCGAGAACTGACAAAAGAGATCGTTCCTTAATACCTTCCTCTGAGCAATTTCCAAGGTCTAATTCACGCCCGAGGCGCGGCTCACTACGTGAAAATTTACCTCGTGCACCAGTGTCTTTTCGCTCCCGGAGCCCTCTCCACGAGCGCCGTGATCGCTACTTAGAAGACAATCGTTTTCAAAAACGGCGCTCCTTATCGCCACGTAGTACATTTTCAAAGCACACTTCAGCTCCAGGATCCGGTTCAAACTCCAGACGCTCATCGCCATTTACAGACAGACCCCCCGCGTCGGATCCCAGAGGACGGTCGCCGGCTGCTCATTCTACAAGTCGTCAGCAGCTAACTAGGAATTTGCGCAATTCACCCACTCGTCAAGATACCACCCCTTCCTTGGGAAAAGATGAGTCACGAGACGGAACTCCTATTCCTCGTCAGGATCCTGCCATGTCAACCAATCGCGGATCAGACCTTGATAAGACCGATCGAAGCGATTCTTCCGATCTATACGGCAAAAACCCTAGTCAAACCAATGCCACGCGGTTCCACAGCCACGCGAAGACACCACATAGTGCGTTGCAGAGCCAATCGCCTCCATCTGGGCCATCCCATGGTGCCAAAACATCGTCTTCGCAAAACCGAGGATCGAGCATTTCCTTGTTATCAGCGCCGACACGCCCCCGAGGGGGGGCAAGTTTCAAGGAACTGAATACATTTGCGGGACCTACGGTGCGGCGCGGGCCTTTGACTCCCCATGCTAACATGCCCCCCTCCGGTCCACGTACAAATCACGTACCAACAGGACCAAGTGCTGAAATTCATCGCCCTCATGCCTACCGGCAAAACAGCCTTACAGCGCCGTCGTACCCGCGTACCCCCAAGTATACCAGTCATCTTGCGGGTCTTTGCTCCATCATCCCCGGGGGGAGGCTTCTTCCATCTGCTTTAGAGCCTACAATGGAGAAGCGCCTATCACAATTAGATGTAGACAAAATGCGACTCTTTGAGCAGATCACAGAAAGCCAAAGGCTCAAGCGGACGGGTGTCAGAGATTGGGATAAATTGGATAGGGAAAGCTCTATCTGTGCTCTGAAGAGCGAACTGGCGGAAGGGCACTTGCAGTGCATAACAGACAGCGAAAGTATGCATGGTGCCGCGATATTTTAGGGAATTATTCAGGCGTGGGGTTGATGGGTTGGCGAATGACGCGATGGTTTCAATTAGTTGAGCAGAATGAAATTGGTGACTTGGCTAGTGCGCCGTTCAGGAAGAACAAAACCAAATCCACTGGAAAAGAAATCAAATAAAATCCACTCTAATGGACTGGTAGAAAACAACGCCTGAAAGAACTGCGTGGTGGCCGGTATTGCGAGTTGGGGTTTCACCACGCGTGGCGTGGGTGGGGCGTTGCACACCTTGTCGCGCGCATCCTTGAGGCTTCGTGTCAACATTGATCTAGACGAATAACCAACGTATCCCTTCCGGGTACCCGACACACGGATTGACCACAACATTCATGGCAATTGATTTCTGGGAGGACTATCATTATCGTTGCGCGACCTCTATTTTCGAACTCCATCAATTTCCAAACCCCCAGCTGAGCAGGTGCCATTCATTACGCAAACATCATCTACCAGAACAGGCGAGACAGGCATCATGAACATCTTCAGACTTCTAGGTAGGGTTCTCTCTATTGAACCTCAACAATATTCACCGATCTAACACTGGCACCAGCGGACTTTTCCCATCTCTCGTCCATCTTCATCCTTTTACATAAGATGAAGTCCTCGAGCGTAACATGATTCTTCCCCTCTGCTTAGCGGATCGCCCCGGGCTGACTGTCATTACAGAGCTGCTCTGGATTGTCGTTCAAGTCGCAAGCCTTGTATTTGATGGTGTTTGTGACGCGATACCTCGGTGAGATTGTTCCTGTGGTCTCCGATAGCGGCTTGCCCCTAACTGGCATAGATCTCTTCTGGGCGTTTACCGATTCTCTCTACAACACTACGTTCAAGATCCTGTTCATTGGCTCGTCGGCCTATATTATTTACCTCATGCTGAACGACTACAAGCCTACTCACGACCCCAATCTCGACACTTTCAAGGTCCAGTATCTTCTGGCCTTCAGCGCCTTTCTAGCTGTCGCATTCCCGCATGACTACAGAGTTTCCGAGGTACTGTGTTGTCCTCCCTTCCAGCATTTTAGCCGTCGCTGACGTGTCAAAAGATTCTTTGGACGTTCTCAATCTGGCTCGAATCAATTGCCATTCTACCCCAGCTGTTCATGCTTCAGCGCACCGGAGAGGCTGACACCATAACAACTCATTATCTCTTTGCACTGGGCCTATACAGAGCGCTATACATTCCGAACTGGGTCTACCGATATTTCGCAGAGAAGTATTTTCAGCCTATTCCCGTCCTCGCGGGCATTATCCAAACGCTCTTGTATTCGGACTTCTTTTATATCTATTATAACAAGTAAGAACTCCAGTGCGAAAACAGGACTTTACGTGTCGACTAACCAACAAAAGGGTCATGAAGGGCAAAAAGTTCTCGTTGCCCGTTTGAACAACCCCTGCACGTTTGGATTGACACGACAGATCTTTGGGCATGAGAAAGGAGTGAGCGGACTTAGAGGTGAAACATGGGCTTCTTGTATTTTTATTTGGCACAAAAAGATTGGTCGACCTCCAGAGACACGTCCCTTCCGGGGATAAACTCCGTGTAGTGGGAGTTGCCGCAGTAGGTTTCATTCTGTTTTGTTCACCAGCTGGCCAGGGCAGACCAATTGGGGTTACCGGTGCAGACTCCCAGGTTGACATTCCAATTGCCCTTCAGCAGTCAGGCACCTAATCTCTGAGTATTGTATTCCCCGCATACTCTTGTGCGCATGTGTGGGCATTCTTGCGACACTGCTTAGATTGTTGGGTTGCCATTCAATCGTTGCGGTTCTCAGACAGAGGGTCGGGGAACATGTGTACGTGTGGTAAAAGGAAACAGCAGCTTCTGCAACAAAGCAATAAGATTGACAGTGACGAAACTACAAAAGAGCAACATAACATATCGAGTATTAGAATAGCACCCCCTTTCCACTTTCCTGCTTCAGCATGAAGTGTCGCATTCCGATTGATTTCTTTTCTTCCATCCTTTTAAACACCAGGTAAATTGGCGTCCTCAATGGTTGGGTGCGCCCTGGCTGGACGCATACATTGGGTTATAGCTGACTTGCGACGAGGGGGCTGATAGGTCTGCATGAAATGGGTCCATCGTGGGTGCAATCGAGCTGGGCATATGGTTTATTGTACCGGAACTGAAAGAGCGCATGGGATTCAGGTTCAAGCTCGGACCATGTCGTGCGTGTGGGTTCCGATGGCCATCCATCCAGCCATTAGCGCCACCGAGCTGATGAAAATAGTCCGGTTGGGGTCTTTCCGTAGTAACCTGGCCATTCAAAGTGGACTCCCGCCTTGACATGGGTGGTGATGGAAGCTTCGGAGAACGCGGCATATTGGTGAGACGCGGCGAACCTCTTCTCGAACTGGGCGGCGTCAATCGTGACCCTCCTCGACGGACTTGGCAGGTTGGGCATATCTTGACAAAGCGTGAAATTAGTTCCTTTGGGACCCTGTGTGCGGTTAGATTAAGGACGCGCAATGTGATATCGCCTGAACTTCCACAGATTGGGGTGGGGGAAGTGTGGGATCGTTCACATCACCTACCATGAATAGATTTGTCGAACTTGAGCTGATGTTTTGTCTCTTCCACCATGCTGACACTGCTGATGTGCTCTAGTAAGAATCTTAAACAATTTCTCGCGAATGGCTACCGGCTTCCCTTCATGGCAGATCATTTTAGCACACTGTGGACTCGGAAATTAGCATTGGAGTGTAAAGTAATGCACGAGGAGGATAGACAACGGACATCTGAGCCCATTCCACCAATTGGCTGAAGCTTGAACATTTTTTTGACCCAGAACCTGGTTCGTCACATTTTTGTTAGTACCATTGGTATATCATGAATTATTTGTTAAAACATGAGAGGGAATGATGGTTCGCGTAGTTCCAGGCAATCTTGCATACCGGAATTGGGCCGATTCTATGGCCGTATCTTTTGGATCTAAAAGAACTGTTTTTATGTTCCGGGCCCGTTTCGCGTGAATCAACGCCTTGTCCTGTTTCTTCACCGACAGATCATCGACGTAACTAAATGCAGAGGCATAGTTAGCTTTCTTCCCACGGTCTCGGCCAGGACAGCAGATGCCGTACCTTTTCATCAATTGATCAAATTCCCTGACATTTGGGAATCCCTCTAGCTGTGGTATGACTGGCTCTGACAGCATAGTGTTCTCGTTTCGAGAATCCTGGCTTTCAATGTCGCTCTCCCCAAGGGCCTCGCGCAGGGGCAGATATCTTGAGTGGATATAACGGTCCTGGGGCAGATACTGCATTGGTTGATGCTGCAACGCTGTATGTTCGGGCGTGGACGGAATTGAATGGCCAGGCGAATGGTGCGGAGATAGGTGATGTATATGAGATGAGATGACCGGGTGATTAAAGGGAGACGTGAAATGAGGGGAATACGAATTGAATGACTGTTGGAAATGATAGGTTCCAGGTTCATTTACACTGAACTCTTGACCATCACCTTGGTTGTATGGCACAGGCAATGCGATTTGTTGGTTCATAATGTAGCTTTCGTGACTTTCATTTCCACGCTTCCCAAAGCCACTCATTGTAGATGCGGGTGTTGTGATATATTTGAGGGGGAAAGGGGGAAGGTAGGGAGGAAAGAAAGAAAGATCGATGGAAAGAAAGGATTTCCTAGGGTTTGTAAAACAAATGATGCAGAGTGCTACTTCTGCGAGGAATTGATAGTCACGCCCAGGAGTCCTGATGCAACATTAAATAGCCGGAATCAGAACCAAAAGACTTGCATGACAGGATGAGGTCGTGCAGCTTCTTCGAAGAGAGATCAAGCTTGAATGCAGGGCTGTCAGGGACGTATATTTGGGGATGGAAGTGAAGGTAGATCACAACGAGAAATTGGGGGGGATATAAGAAGGGAAGGAGAAAGGGGGAGAGCAAAAAGAAAAAAGAACGGCCGCAGGGCAATATTTGAGACCTCGACAGATAGGAGCACCGGGCCTGAGGACCATGAGCTTTTGGTCAACTCTCATGGAAGGCCTAGTATGACCGGCATACAGAGTGCTGGCTAATATGCATGAGAGCATGACACCCCAACCATCATAGATGCAAGGTAACCACAGATATGTCTGTAGGAAGCAGAGATAACTGATAGAATCCCTGAACAATCAGCTAGGTTACTTCTGTTCACACACAGGAAACCGGGCTCGAAAAAAAAAAGGAATATGGATAGCAACTAACAGCAAATAGCATGAAGGTGGCAAAAAAAAAAAGGGTTCGAGAAAATATTACGCAGGAACTTGTTGTGGGCAATTTACAGAAGCTCCAGGATGGTTTGCAGCCGATAGATTGGCGGCAATAATGAAGTCCTCGAGAAGGTAATGGCGTGTAAGAGGAGACAGAGTGAGAGAAAACAAATGCGAGAGAATGAGACTGAGAGAAAGAGAATGGAGGGAAAAAAAAAAAAAAAACACGAAGCAATCAAGAGTCTCGTGAAACTGACAGGGATCAAGCATCAAACATTCCTTGAAGAAGGGCAGGGTGGATAATCCTGGCATAGTATGCGGTGGTAGCAATATTGATGGCAAACAAATCCATTGTCAGCAGGGTCACGAAGGCACGAAAGATAGGGAGGGTTGCGGGAGGCAATCCTGGGGGGGGGGGGATAACAAGAACAAGACTTTTCAGAGGGAAATGCCGTGAATGTGAAAAATAGAAACCAGGCCAATTGCAAGCCCACGTCGATGGACCGAGTAAATCCCAGCCGGAGCTGGTGGTCAAGAGTGGCTATACACTGGCAGGCCCGTCAAGCCATCGATGACCGTTGTTCTTGTGGCAACGGTGCCAGGATGGGATCCAAATTCAGATCTTCCGGACCAGCAGCAGGACCCGCGACGAAATAAGACTGCTCTCGGCGATTGTCAACATGGTGCTATGTGCAGGACGGAATCTCAGAAGAGCGAGGGTGGAGGCGCATTCGAAGCGCCGCTTACCACTGGGCATCGTCCAGCTGCGAGAAGGTTTGACAGATGCCGGCCAATAGAAGGGAGATGACTTTTGCATGCATGCAGGACATCTCCAGGAAGAACCTCATCTGGATCTGCAGGAATTTCACCCCCACCCTTTCGGAGTATCTATCACCTGATGGTGATGGAGCCACGGCAGCCCTAGGTGTATGTATGTACCTACCTGACTATACTTAGTATGTTATATGTACATACATACAATTCCAGAAGGACGCAGGGCTATTGGGTGCCTGTGCATGATTGACGGAGGGGACCCCGGGATTTCAGGTACCAAGGTAGGTAGTAGAGTAGGATAGATGGAGGATGTAGAGTCGAACCACCTTGACCTCCAGGCAGGCAGGTCGGTAAGGTATCCATGGATGTACTGACCGTAGTTACAGTTACCGATTACGAGGGGGACCGCACTGACTAAGCTGTACTACCTGGCGAGGGAGTTAGGTACCCGGTACCTACCAACCGTACCTGGGTGCGCCCCGAGCGAGGTACCGAATACCTAGGCACCTGTACATGACATACCAACCGGTACTGCGTATGTCTGGTAAGGTACCCCCTGAACCCGGCCGTGTAACGCGCAGGTTACATAAGGGTGGAACCAAAGAGGATGCGCTGGCATGTATGTACGCTGGATCTCCCGGTAGTACCGAGGGCCTTTCCTACCTTCCTACGCATAGGTAGCCGGAGGTACATGGGGATTGCGAGGCTGGCTGAGAGATAGCACGGCATGATCCATCGCCATCCATCAATTCAACACGCATGTTTGTCTGCGATGTCCCTATTACCTAGGAGCGTGCTGTTTAAAACATGCTCGACTTCGGTGCAGCTTCCCCTTACTTGCCATCCGCAAATGACCATTGAGAATCTTGAGAAACCAGTCAAGTACTCTTATTTCTCTGTTTGTCTCTTTTCTTCTGCACTCTTACCTCCCCCTTCTCATTATGTCATTTCTCTAATTCGTAAACCCCCGCACAAGACCTAGGATAGTCCCGGCTGTATTACCATCATCATCATCATATATCATTAAGTCAGGCACTCAAATTGGTGCTGTCGGATCAATAAGGCCCACCCTCCTTTGTACCCATGCATGTCTACCCCACGGTCTTCTCTCCTCTCCTCTCCTCTCCTTTTCCCAGAAGAAAAGCGGCGGAGACCGACTAGATCAACTACCGCCGAACCCCTGAACGCTTAGAGTGCTGTTAAATCCCACCAAGTCTCGTATGGCCCATCTCCAGCTGTCCCCAAATTTCCCGCGATCAAAATCGGTCCATCTATTGACCTTGCGTCGCCATTTTTCTTCCTCTGCACGCTGACGCCGGATGAACTCCGGCCCAACGTCAAATTCCTCCGTCATGGGCCACTCGTCAGAGGAGTCTCCACAACTGCGATCGTCACCGCTCACGACCGGACCGAGCTCATCACTAGTAACACCGGAGGTCGGTGGCATGCTGCCCCCGGATTTCTCCTCCAGATTACCAAGGCCGGCAAAGATATCATCCTCGTCCTGGACAGCCACCAAGCCCTTTGTGCCGGGCTGCAACGGCGCCAGCTTGAGCCAGCACATGCGCTGTGGATCGAAAACCATTCCCCCCACCACCTGCACATTTTGCATGGCACCCACGTTGGTGATCAGTGCCGGTGCGGGTTTTGGTGATTGAGGAGAATCGGCGTCGAAGTCCTGCGCTAGACTTTCATTCCCTTCCCAGCGAAACGCGGTAGGATTGTAACGCATGCCATTCACAGCTGGTAGAAGTGTTAGTTTGAAGTAACACACGAGATGTTCGGCTTACATTTGCGCTCCTGAACCCCCGCACCCAGAGGCTTGATCAGATGAGGCTTGCTTCCAGGTATTGTAGCAGTTCGGCTCTTTTTGCTTCGTATGGACAATGGAGATGCGGGAACCCGTGATATAGTTTGAGGCTTCCAATTCGAGCTCAGAGAGACAAGCGCGTTATTCTCCCGAGGTTTTGAACCGGACGTCATGGAAGCAATGCGCTGCTCCCTAGCGTTTCTCGAGGCATTGGTGTCGCGAGCAAAACGGGGGGTCGGGTCGTATGGTTTGGATGGGATACCTAGTACCGGCTGCTGCACTTCTGTTCTAGAAGGAATGGTCTGACTCCGGCCCAGCTTATTCTTGAGAGATCTCGGTGCACCACGTCCAGACGGATGCTTGACAAATTTGCTTTCTGCTGTCGAGGACGTAGGTAGATCGTCGAATGATGCCAGCTCGGTACCGTCCCCAAAATTCCGCCGCCGAGTTGGCCGAGTGAGCGTTCGCTTGGCGGCCGTGACAAGGGTCCCCGAGTCACTAGCATTAGGCCCGACTGCTTCATAGCGACCTGGTCGCGGCAGGCGAGATACTTGACCTTGCGAAGCGACCGTTTCCTGCGAGCTATCCGAATTTGTGCGCCGCGTATGCCGGTAGTTTTTCACGCTGGCGTGATGTGATTGATGTTCTGACGCCCCTGCTGGAATGAAGGGCGCCTGTAATCTGCGGCCTAGCAACCTTGCCTCATTCCCAAAGCGCTCAACAGGTGTTTTGGGCCGAGGGTTAGACCCGATGGGGCACCCCATCCAATCCTGACGCAGGTTTTGAGGGAATGATGCAGAAACTGATGGGCTTGGGTTTCGTATTGTGGGCAACGATCGTTTTGTTTTTAGTAGCTGGCGCCCGGTGACTGTACGCTCGCTGCTAGAAGAGTCTCTGGACAGTCTAGCACCAGCACCTAGTCGACGACTGGGACTCAGGGAAGTTGGAGAAGCCAGTGGTGTTGCGTGAGACGATATCCCAGACATAGAAGAATGTGATGAGTGGCCACTGGTCTTGGGAAACGACGTCCGAAACTTTGATAGAGGTGCACCACTCTCGGAGACAGTTTCGAGGTGTGTCGAATGTTGACGGTCGTGATTAGAGAGACGCGGAATTCGCGTTTTAGGTGAGACTGTGGTGTTTGTAAAAGTGAGTGTCGTCGCCGAGCGTCGAGCTGGGCTCCCGGGGTCTGTCTTGCACTTGATGTTTGGGTTCATGGAGAGTCTTTTGGTATCAAAAATGTCACCACCCTCGAGTTCAAGGCCAGAGAAGAAATCGTCCTGGTCCGTTGTTTCTTGGCTGGCTTGCTTTGTCTCCGGGATCTTCACGGAAGCGGTTTTGGACCCGAGTCGCTTTTGCATCGACGTCGTCAGGTCCAATGGCCCTTCGGGAATAATGAGACCATCTAAACCTTCATCCTCGCTCTCACCAGTTAGGCAACTTGACGCACTGGGGCTAACAACCGAGACCGACGAGCTAGGATTTGATCGATGATCTCTGGTAGTGCCCCCGAATCGAACCCCAATACTGCCCTCGGACCACTCCATATCGAAATCCTCGGGCGAGGGACTTTGCGTTCCTGCCTTGGCTTTGAGAGGAGAAAGCCGAATCAGGTTATCCGGTGGCAGTTCGAAGTCTGACTCGAAATTATCCTCAGGAGCACCGACCCTATTCCTTTCCTTATCTGAAATCGGCTTATTGACAACACTTGCTTTTTGTGGAGAACGTAGTTTCGCGGGCTTGATGGTTGGGATATCTTCAACATCACCGACCTCGTCCTCTCGATATCTTTCCATGTGTGCCGACGAGGACTGTAATCGTATCGTAATATCATCACCCCAGAATGGCGAAGCCGAATTTTTAACCGGGCTTGCTGCCGCGGAGCTAATCTGCTGGAGTGATTCAGGGAAGGTTGCAGCCTGGGGACTTTTTAGTTCCAAGATAGCATCGGGGTCCGGGAACTCCACGTCTTCAGACCAATCATCAACAAAATTGTGCTTTGTTTTTCTGCGCCCCAGGCGTTTGATGGTGCCTCCAACCAAGGCAGATTTTGGTACGTTTGCAGGCAGTGGGATCCCGGCACTTTTGGCGGAAGCGATGGCTTCCTCGTTCACGGCTTCCTCATTGTCCAATAGTTGGACCTGCCAGTCCTCATCATCACCCGCCGTGGAGTCAAGATCAGAGCGAGCGGAGCGACGTGAGGATATAGAATCCCGGTGGCCAGAGCGCCGGATAGAGGAAGTTGTCACTGATGTAGCGCTGGACGCGGCGCGCAGTTGAATATCTTCGTAACATTGTAAATCCCCGTCGTCGTCCCAAGACTCGATCGTCTCCTCGTCACCATGTCGCAAATGGAAAGTCAATGATTCCATTTTGCCGGAGCCTTGAGATGGAAAATGGATTGGTACGTGGTCTTAAAGAGTCACTCGGGCGTCGGACCCGATATTTCGGGTGGCGGACTCCGAACTTTCTAGTGTTGAGGTCGGATTGACAGAGACGGGGGAAACGTCATCCCATGTTTGTCGAAACAGACAGACCGGGGGACGTTTCACGATTTGGCTGATACAAAGATCCCTATTCAGGCCGAGACATCAACGTATAGGGTATTGGGGGGGGCGGCTCGTTTTGTTTCTTTCTTTGTGGAAAGCTAGACTGTTTCAGGGGCAACGAGAAGTCGATTTCGGAGACGGCGAGAATGGTCAGAGGAGTACCGAAATCAGATGGTTGTTCTATCCCCAATGGGAGATGAAACAGCTTGCGGGGAGGAAAGGGAACGGGGACCGGCCCGTGGAGAAGGAGAAACAAACACGAGCTCCAATTACTCAGAGCGACGTGCAGGAGCTCGCGTGTGGTTTGTGGTGGCTGGCAAGATTCCCCCGAGAGGCGAGAGTGTTAATATAGAACGAGGGTTTGGGCTGGGCGGCGAGGCGTGGGCGGCATTATCTCTGAGCACCACCACGTTAACTAACTACCTACCTAACTACTACCACCCAAGCCATGTGAATTTCACCTCCTCATTAATACCTGAGCTGGGCTTCAAGGTTCTCTATAAAACAAACAGGTCTACTTCCTCAGTATCTAGGTAGGTATCTACCAGGAGTAATTTACCTTGATACCTGGTAGGATACCTGGTACAGTAAGGTACGGAGGAGAACCCGTACTGTACTGTACCACCCAGGGAAAACGCGGGACCCGGGACACCCGGGCAGTAACTTACAGCTAATACAGGTCGACACGGTACAGAACCTTACCTACGTGAAAGGCAACAGAAGTACTATGGAACTGTTCCTCCGCAGGTACTCCGTACCTGGCTGCCTATCCTCGTAGTGCCTTTAAATATACCCCAGTGCCAGATCGCTTTCTCTCTCTCCCTTCTCTGTCCTTCCACCACTTGCAGACTATGGATACCATACAGCCAGAGTCTCACTCGGTAACCCGTCTCCTGCGCATTCCCAGATCTGACCACCCCGAATCATTCGTGCTCCTTCATGTTACCGGTTCAAAAACATTCTCTTCAAGTCTAGACCTTATTGCGACGGAAGGGGAGAATCCTTTTACTGGGACAGGTAAGTCGCTATATCGTGTTCGTCTAGTTCCCAAGCGCTGAGATAGGCCCTGAAGTCCGGCGAACCCACTTGGAAAACTTGCGCGCGAAAAACTACCACGGGAGCGATGAGGAATGGGCCCAAATCGTATGGCATGTTTTTGGTCAACCGGCAGAGTCTGTCGGCAACCTGGGATCATTGCATAGCATCGAATCGTCGGCTACGGTCTGTGGGTCTGACGGCGCACCCAAGGAGTTAGTCATCAGCATTCGCAAGAGAATAGAAGGCATAACGGTACGTGTTGCTGGAGATCGCCGTATCTGATACCTCGGATTGACGAATATATCATATAGCAAAGGCTTGGGTCCGTGATCTTGGCTCAAAACGATGAGCAAGAAATCCAACTTCTTGATTGGTGTGGTACGGCGATTGCTAGTACGAATGCCCTTGAACAACGCTGTCGCTCACTCCAGGATCGTACCTGCGCGGCTGAAAATATGATCAATCAACTTAACGATCAACTCCTACAATTGATTGGCGCCAAGGAGCAACATGAAGAACAGCTGTTGGCAAACCTTGTCCGCCTGCTGAACCAAAAAAAGTTGAAGATTCGCAACCAACATAGGTTGTTGGATACCATCAAACCAGACCCCGAAACGGGTAAGATTTAACTGTACTCCGTATGATGCTGGCGGTGAGCAACTCTCTGGCTGATGTCGATTTTATGGCCTATTTTAGGTCCCATTACTGAGGCACCTCGGCTCCCTGATCATCAAGTCACCTTCCAGAAGGACCTACTCGGAGAAGGCCGTACTCGGGGCCCTAGCACCAGTGAATTCCAACCAAACGTTGAATCTCAAGAAGTGGAGATTGAATCGACTGCGTACGAGGAAAGCTCCGGTGAAATGGATGAAGGTACAGAAGGCAGTGTCACTGATAAGGAGTCATCGGTGCAAAATTTAGTGGAGAAATACCAGAGTGCGGATTCGAAGAGGTTGTCTGCTCATCCTGAATTTAAGGCTTCAGCAACTCCGTCGCGGACTGACTTTCCATCTACCAAGCTAATGCAACCCAGAGAAAGTGCAGAAGGCAATGATAAAGCTCTACAATCTGCAGGAGAGACGGATGATGATGAATTATGAGCCGCAAGGTTCCCCCACTGTTGCTGAATTGGCAAAAAGATTGGTTGATCGTCATGTTCTTAGGGGAAAGAACTGCAAGTTCGGAGACTGACCTACCTTATCTACCCAGATTGCTCCCTCCCTTCGTGGCAAATATGTACATACTGACCGGGGTTAACTGCTCAAATGACCCTTAGAGGAGGCTGGAAAAAATAAGATAACTTTCTCATACCCCTGGAACTGGTTTTAACTGAATGTTATGTACAGGTTTGGCCACTGATCATGTCTAATATTTTACCAGAGGGCGGTTAGAACACAGGGCAACGAGATAGCAAAGACAATAACTGGCGGTAATAAAAAAAGGGAAAAAGAAAAAGAAAATAATAGTACTAAAGACAAAAGAAAAGGGTGGCAAAAGAAAACATGAGGGAAAAGGGCCGGATAGGTGTTAAAACAACAACGCCTAGACCAATGGACAACTAGCATACACCAAGGGACCAAAGCCACTGGGGGTTCTCAAAGTTTAACCATACAAAGCTTGCGGAGACATTTCACCAGCAGCCATAAAGTTCGTTTCTGGGTTGCCGGTAGCCTTAGCTGCGGAACAGCGAGCCATCGTGGGCGAGCTATGATGTTGGTTAGCTTTGCAATTCAACAGATCAAGGGGTCCAAAATGTAGGGCAGTTAATACCTTCGAGAGATGGAATCAGTAAAGTAGAAGTCTTCAATGACTTTCTTGAAAGGTGTTTCAGTTGGCTGGATGCCCTTGTTCTGATCGACCAACTGGACCTTGCTCAACGAGCTCAATGAGGTCGGCTCGACAACATCATACCTGCGCATGATGGGACTGATCTCCTCCATGCGATCGCGAAGAGCTTCGATGTCATCGTAAGGAAGCGGCGCCCCAAGGAACTCACTGACGGCGCGAATAATTTTCCAATCATCACGGGCGGCACCGGGCAGAGAAGTGGCCGCACGAGTGACTTGCACACGACCCTCGGTGTTGATGTAAGTGCCTGATTTCTCAGTATAGGCCGCACCGGGAAGGACAACGTCGGCAAGTTGAGCACCCCGATCGCCATGGTGTCCTTGATAGACGACAAACGCATCGCTAGGAAGTTCGTTCGGGCTGACTTCGTCGGCTCCAAGAAGCCAGACAATCTTAGGTTTTGTCTGGGCGACCTCGGGAGACGGCGTAGTGAATCCAACTTCGTAGGCAGCAGCACGTGAAGCAGCACGCTGGAGAACGTTGTAGCCTTGCCATTCCGGGGTGTTGAAGTTGCTCGAGTGTTTCTCCGCAAAGCTACCAACGGCCTCGTATATCGCTTTCGCATCCTCGTGCTCGGTCGCAGCACTGCCGACGATGATCATGGGTCGCTTAGCGGAAGCAAGTTTTTCGCCGAATTTTCCTGAAAGGGCGGACTTCAGAGCAGACACATCGGTGCCAAGATGTTCATATTCAAAGGTGCCTTCAAACTCTTCTCCTACTAGTCCGATCTCAAGGTCAGAGCGAAGGTATTGCTTGCGAATGCGTGCGTTCAGAACAGAGGCTTCATGGCGGGGATTTGTTGCCACTAGAAGGATAGCGTCGGCTTCCTCAATTCCATAAATCTTGGAATTGAAAAGATAGTTTGCACGGACATCAATTCCATGGGCAATGGGGGATCCACCACCGGCTTGGTCCAGAGCCAAGTTATCCGAGCCAAGTTTGTTGAGAAGATCCTTCATGGCCACAAGTGATTCTGCATCGACCAAGTGTCCGGCGATGGCTTTCAGTTCATTTTCTCCTGGTTGTGTTTTCTGATAGTTGGATGAAATTTCAGTCAAGGCTTGCTCCCATGTTGCTGGGACAAATTTGCCATCCCTTCGGATCAGGGGTGTTGTGAGTCTTTGTGTCTTCAAGCCATCGCAAGCGAATCTAGACTTATCATTGATCCACTCCTCATTTATATCATCGTTTAGCCTCGGAAGTATGCGCATGACTTCCATGCCTCTGGTATCGATCCTGATGTTAGATCCCAAGGCGTCATGGACGTCAACCGATTCGGTGTGTTTCAGTTCCCAAGGCCGGGCGCGAAAAGCGTAAGGCTTTGAGGTCAGGGCACCGACAGGACAGAGATCAACAATGTTACCAGAGAGTTCAGAGTTGAGGTTTTGTTCTAAATATGTCCCAATTTGCATGTCATTTCCTCTGCCGGTTGTTCCGAGTTCCGGGGCGCCTGCAACGTCATTCATGAATCGAACGCAACGAGTGCAATGAATACACCGATTCATAGAAGTCTTCACCAGAGGGCCGATGTTCTTGTCTTCAACGGCACGCTTGCCACCAACCTCGTGGAAACGCCCCCGATCGGCACCATAACGCATTGACTGGTCCTGCAGGTCACACTCTCCACCCTGGTCGCAGATAGGACAGTCAAGGGGGTGATTTCCAAGAAGGAATTCCATAACACCCTCTCTCGCTTTATGCACAAGGGGCGAGTCGGTCTTGACGTTCATTCCAGGCTGTACAGGCCAAGCGCATGATGCCACAGGCTTAGGAGCACGTTCGACTTCCACAAGACACATACGGCCTATAGATAAGTTAGAAAATAATTACCAAGAAGACATTTTGGTTTTGGGAAGCCATACAATTGCCTGCGATTAACAGTTTTCTATGCTTGTGTTAGCAGCTTCCGGCATGATGCAACTTTTTAATTGCGAGGGGGGGATTGGAGGGCGTAACATACTCATGATAGCAATATCTGTTCAGAACTGTCAGCCGAGAAATGTCTCTGGAAATGAAGAGCCGCATACCTTGGAATTGTGACGCCTGCTTTCTCGCAGGCCTGGATAAGGGCCGAACCGGCTATGAAGGGTGTCAGTGTCTAACGAGCGATGAAAATCGCGCATTGAAAGCTCGAATTACCTTCTACAGAGACCTTCTTTCCATCTGGGGTCGAGAGAATTAGTAAGACCATCAAAAGCCTACTGGAGGGTTGCCTTGACATACCAATTGTTAATTCCACCTCAGCAGAGCGAGGGGTTGTCGAAACAAAGGTCCTAGGATAGTTGTTGACCTTTGGGACCCGGAGAGACCGGGCGGCCGCACGATACAACTGCGGCCGCATGCTGGAGGGCAGGCGAGTTGAAGGAAAGGAAATGTATCTTTCGAGGAGTAGGTAGGGTGATGGGGAATCAGGCGGAGTGCTTTGAGAACCGGGGTAGGTGCTTGAAGAGCACTTTTGGCTCGCTCGGATTCTTGCTCGACACCAGTCCGTCACTCGCAAATTGCCGGCTGCGGATTGGCTCGGCTACCGGGGAAACAGCTAATCCAGCACGCCTTCTTCCCCCGATTACTCAGCAGGCCATGCCGCAGTATTTTTTCTTTTCCCCTTGAATTTTTCTTTCTCTTTCTTTCTTTTCCTTTTTTTTTTGGTACCAAACTCATTCACGGGCTTGATTATTGTAGGTGGTAGGGTTTTCTCTATTCCTGCCTCCTCTGCTACATGACCCAAGAGTATCTATCTGCCCTGAGCTGGAGCTCCTTAGGGCTATCTCCATTGTCATTTGATGATGGTTTTGTCTGATGAAGGTCTAGTTCTTTACTGACAGCGGCAACATTCTAACATTTACCCCCAATCTATGTATCTCGCCAGAGCCGAGCCAATTTCCCCTGGTATTCGAGACATGGGTCCATTCCTCAACATACTTTTCTATGGTAGACTCCCAAATTTATTGTATCCTTGACTTCTAATTCTGAAAGGCCTCGTCAAATCACGGTTTACGACGTAGATACTTCGCTTTCATGAAAAGTCCTTGGATGGTACGAGAGGCTGCGTTCGACTGAAGATAAAAGAAAACAAGAAAAAGGTAAATTGGATCTTTACATCTACCTATCTGTTGAGTCTTTGCACTGTAATAAGGATGTCTTTCACGATTTGCAGACCGCATCCCGTACGATAATCCACCAGTAATACGCTTCGAGGTTCCAAAATTAACGGACAAGAATGGGTAGGAGGGGGACGACTGCTTAGGAGTCATTCGGGTGCCAGGTTGTCTCTTGCCTGGTGCCAGGGGGCAGCCAATTCCGAGCAGTACTGTTTCCCCGTGGGCGGATGTGACCAGGTCGATCGTCCTCTTTTTTAGGATGATTTGTGACGGAAGATGATTCATCCGGGATGGGTTGGCCCGATTTCTTCACAGATGAGAAGTCATACTCACTAGTATTCCGTGCATTGTTCGCCGAGACATTCAAGGGCAGAATGGCCTCTTTTGCGCGAAAGTGATCGGCTTTTGCCCTTTGGTCTGCCAAATCGTCATGGCTATTGCGGTCGTAGAGGTACAGTCCCAGGAAAGTAAGGGCAATCCCCAAAGCTTGTACATACGTAGTGGAACTGCCAAACCATACAATCGCAACGACAATGACAAACACTCTTTTGACCAAAGACGCAACAGAGTATGACACCGGCGATATCATCGATAGCAAGATGAAGGCCAGGATATTCTGAGCAAAATGTGACACCCCATTGAAGACAAACTCGAGAAAGAGCTCTCCGTGGTCTAAGGAATTCTTCTTGCCCGATAGAGAGATCACACCGTCTTGCAAAAGATCCGAGATGAGAGGATACCCCTCTGAGATGACCCAGATCGGTAAAGTTAAGATGAAGGCTAAACCAGAGCAATAGCAAAGCAGGTTTAACTTGTCTAATTTGGGTCGGTCCGAGGAGTGAGGTTCGGATTCTGCACGAGAAGCTTCGTTGAAGAGCTTCTTGGAAAATATGTTCTGAGAAACGAAAACTAGAGCTGCGACAAGTGCACACATTATGCCAAAAAAATTGGTTGAGAACCCCGTGGAACAGGCAAGCATGACTCCCAATGTCAAAGGGATAAGCGATAGATAAGTGGCTTTAGCATACCGAATTCGAAAGAACATGCGGTATGCGAGGACAGTGAAAAGGGGCGATAGTCCTTTAATAGTGTGCACCAGTGATACAGGTATTTTCGAGGTCGCCATGGAGCTGAGTATGTGGCCTGCAAGCTGGAAAACTGCCAACGGCAGTGTGGTCCCGATGATATCTCGTGATGGGTAGCGGAGGCCATTCTTGAGGGCCGGTACATTCTGTTTGAGCCAAGGAAGTACGGTTGCAAGGTATGAGAGTAGCAAGCACCATATTGACACGAAGGCGAATTGAATGATCGTAAGAGTGATGGGTTTTGGAAGGGCATTTAGTATAGACTTTGAGGACGTGTTGGTGACGGCGGAGGTGAGATACCAGACGAGGCAGAGAACCTAGACGGAAATGAGCCACAATCCAGGAAAGAAGGCGGGTTGGATTTATCTTACAATCAGTTTATAAGAGACCGGTGCTCCGAGGGCCTGGGCCAATTCCTGAGCGTTGGCGCTCACGCTGTCATTGCGTGTTCTAATAGTACTGATTGCCTCGCTGATACTTTTTCTTGGTTTGTGCCTAGAGTTCCTTGGTAGATCATTTCCGACCTCCTGGGGAGCATAATTTGCTTTCCGCGGTTCCCAGCGATCGCTCTGCGTATATCTGATAGAAGAGGCAGGGTATTGTGGCTCGCGCGTCTCCGTTGTATCGTATAATTCATCATGAAAGGGTGGGAATTTGTCCACCGGACTAGTCATTGATTGAGAACTGGAGGTTTTCGCTGGCGCGTGCAGCTCTGGTTGTCGTATAGATGCGCGTCTTCCGGAGCCAGTTACGGTGGTTGTTGTCATCTCCCCGGTGCCAAAAAAAAATCTATGCTAAAAGTGGCGCCGTCGTGGGATTAAGAATCGAACCCGGCGGTTGGGTCAGATAACGAAACGGAGTGAATGTCTCAATCAGTTTGCGAGATCATGTATGTCTCTTTTTCTCTTTTTTCGGGAAAGGTGGTTTAAGGAATCGATCTGAGCGGGGGTTAAGGGTTGAAACCCAAGTATCCATCCCGTAGGTAGTAACGTTTGCGGGTTTCCCTGAGGGCCAAAGGTGTACGGAGTAGCAAGCTCGGAGTACCGCAGGTAAGGTAAGCAAGCAGCGTGGGTTGATGACGAATCCCCTGGGTAGTGGCGCCCAGTCGCCAACTAGGAGTAACTAGTCCGTGGTGTCCCGTAGATTGGAGCCGAGGGCGAATGATATGCTGTATACCTCTACGGTATACGTTATAATTTCCCCTACGTCGTATCTACCACCTACTACTACCTGTACCTACCTTTCCTCGGGACTGTAAGTCCCTCAGTAGTCCCTTAGTAGTACATACTACATTACCTAGTCCGTACTCCCTACATTCTTGCAGCACCGACTCACGTGATCAGCTCCCGGCCGAACAATCGAAAGGAGGGGTTCCTTCAGTCAACATTAACATCATCTACGAAGAACTGTTCCGAGAAATTCAGATGGTAGACCAGGATAAATTCGGCCGTGCTGACTATTGAAAGAGTCCTCCCCTCAACATGGAATCCTCATTAGTATACCTCTTCTTACTTCCTATGATAGCTTCGATTTTTGAATTGACCGCAAGTATTCCCGAAGCCAGGTTGGGCTTCATAGACCGTTGGATGCTTAGCAAAGCCTTGCCTGGCCAAAACGCCCCCGAAATTTTGTATTCCGAGGATTGGCAAGTCCTCGGACCTTTTCGTTGTGGCACACGAGGTTAGTGGTGCACCTGCAGTTCTCCCACCGTACTCCTCTGTATACTCATGACGTATATCCTCAGAGTCCGTTTGGGGCGCAGACCCGCTCGAAATCCAGGGTGGATTCTCCACGTTGCCTTTCAATACTAGTGCGGCCTTCGACAGTGCTCTTGCTCCCAATGGCACTGCTAAATGGGGGCTGCTTACAGCTAACACATCGGGCTCTTCCTCGGAACGAGCAAAAACTAAGCTAGTAGTGACATTCCCCGACATAGACTGGGACCATCTTGCCTCCGTCTACGGATGGCCTGGGTTGCAATATCAGGCCTGGGCGCGCGGTCACTTGAGATTGAACAGTGGAAGCAATCAGAACATTGCGATCTTTACGGATGGGCTACTAGAGATCTCCATCAATGGTCAACGATATTTTGGTGGCGATTTGTATAGTTATCACAAAATTCCGCTTATACTGAGTCTGCCGCCAGGCGATAATGTGATAGAACTGCGCTTAGTTCGTGATGTTCGGGCTTTAGGTGGTATAGGAGAACCCATGATCGAGGTCGCAATGGAAGCACAAATACGCCATGATTTTCTTACAGTGGACGAGCAAAGTCTGATCATACCAGAAATGACCGATGGGACACTTGCGAGCTCATGGGCATCAGTGAATGTGCAAAACAATGTCCCTGATCCAATCGAGGTACTGTCCATCGAGTCTTCCGACGTTAGTTCAAGGAACCTCCAATCGTGTGAAACATGGTAACCCCTGGATAGGCCGATCAACTGCAAATTACCATGGGAAAGCCATTGTATCTATCTTCATACCAAACCAGACCTCTTATATTCCAGATTCGTGCCGGAACTATTCCGACTAATGAGGTCTCTGTCGAAATATGCTTTAATGTGCGCAAAGGAGGCGGTCAGATCAGATGTACTCGACCATTCAGGGTTAAATTTACCCAAAGGCGCTCGTCAGAAGCTCAACGAATCACTTACCTTCATCCCGCGAACATTGTTTCATATGCTATATTGCGCCCCCCGCCAGAACACCTTTGCCACGGGCACGAATCCCTTCCGGTCATACTGGGACTCCATGGCGCAGGGCTCGAAGCTGACAGTATGCAAGTACGTCAAATGCTGGACGACGCGTACGGGGTTTGTGCATGGATGCTGTTCCCGAGTGGTGTTACCTCGTGGAGTGGTGACGACTGGCGTGAGTTCACTGCTCTCACCCCCCCCCCCCCCATCCTTTTGAGCTGAAGTCTTGGGGACTTCGATAATAAACCCACGGGCTCGTTGAACATGAAATAAAGTGATCACTGATTCTTTCAGATGAATGGGGCTCGTCTGATATCAAGGCTGCCATAGACGCAGTCCCACAGTGGATAAGAAACCTCCACTGGGAAGGGCCAAACTTATCACATGCCAATTGGGTAGTCACCGGTCATTCAAACGGAGGTCTGGGCCCTTCTGAAAGTCTTCAATGAAGTTGAATATTTCGTTCGCTAACTAATGTATACAGGCCAAGGGGCGTGGCACCTTGCCACTCATTACCCGGATAATGTCATTGCCCTGGCACCCGTGTCGGGGTATTCATCGATAGAGAGTATGTTTTCTGATGACTGGAGTCAAAATCGACTGTGATGCTGATAAAGTAGATTACGTGCCCTATACTATGTGGCAGGAATCTGAACCGTTACTCTTCTCTGTTCTCCAAAGGTCACGCTCCAGTTATAGGCATGAATTGTTGTTGAGTAACATCGCTGGTATTCCTGTCTTACAACAGCATGGTGCAATAGATGACAATGTACCTGTATATCATTCGCGCCTCATGCATCAACTACTAGGGCAAGAGCATTGGCCATCCGAATACGAGGAATTAGCCGGAAAAAACCATTGGTATGAAGGGGTGATGACAACCCCGGCCCTCTTGAGATTCTATGATGAACACACTCATGCCGAATCCAACCCAATGATTCCGTCGTCATTCAAAGTGACCATACCGTCCTCTGGGTATATATCGTCCAAGGGTGGCATTACTGTCGATCAACTCCGATCTCCTGACGTGAACGGCCACATAGAAGTCACACGGGACACTGATAAGGGAGTATGGTATCTCGAGACCCGGAACATTCATCGTTTTCACATTTCAGGCAACGTTGATCGCATAGAGTTGCCTACGTCTTTGGTACTCGATGGTGCGAACCATGACCTCGAGGTCAACGCGGGCCGATACAAGAATGCTTCGTTTTTCAGGGACGCACGAGGGAAGTGGAAATTGTCCCAGGACCAAACTTGGAAGAGCCTGGCGCAAAGATACGGTCGCCAACGTGGTGCAATGGATGCTATCTTATACTCGGAAGGGCCATTCACAATCGGCTCGTGCTCGCCTGGGATTGGGCATATAGCACTTCAAGTCAGCCGCAACCTCTTGCAATATTTTGGTGCAGATTCATTCTTAAGAAATCCATGCAACGGGAATGTGTCCCGTGCAATCCCCAAAGACCGAAAGTGGCTAGATGGCAATGTCTTGACTCTTGCATTAGGAAATGACCTACCGCACGCAGAGCTCAAGGGATTCCCAATCACTGTGGGGGAGGGCAAATTAGTTTTATCGAAGAGGGCGCTTGTTAATCTTGGTCCTGAACAGCACGATGTGTTTGGAGGAGACCAGAATTGCGTTGACTTTCGCTATGAATTCGAAGCTGGCATGGGTGCGCTCTTCCTTCGTCCGCTAGAGAACGAACGCCTCGAACTTGTGGTATGGGGAGCGGACATAACAGGCCTGGAACAAGCTGCACGCCTTGTCCCCTCACTGACTGGAGTAGGCCAACCTGATTTTATTATCCTAAGTGATACTTGCCGCTGGAAAGGACATGCTGGAGTATATGCTGCCGGGCATTTCGATAAATTCTGGCAAGTATCCTCGGGTTCCTTTATAAGTGCTGACCCTCAGCCGCACTGAAAATAACCCGAAACAAATAAATCGAATGTCTTGAGTTTGGCTTTCTATAGTGTACTAATACCGTAGATTTGCTTGGAAAACTCGAATGATGCCCCCCACCAAGTAGAAAGAAAGGGTTCGGAGGTACTGAAGATGCCCACGGACTTGAGGGCCTTCGGGTTCATTCCCAACGCCGGTTTTCTATCCCCAACTGTTATAGAGGTTTTCATTTTTCTTTCTTTACTTCCTTCTTTTTTTGGTACAGAAATGCAATTTCAGTGTGTAAGCTCCCCCTCACCCCAGAAACGATTGACAAGAATTTTCTCCTTGCCGGCTGCCAACCAAGTGTTCCTTCCCTTTTTTATCTCTCTCTCTCTCTCTTTCTCTCCCTCTTTTACCTCAACTTCACCCTGCATCTACCTCTTCCCCTCCTCTTTCTTCCCTTCCTCTGCAATCATTTGAATTTCTCCATTGCTACTTCCCAGTCGTCTTGTTTCCAACTTCCGGAACCTATCTTTCTAAGACTCAATTTCTTTGAATGTTCAAACTTCCGATATCTTCTCTAGATACGGCTTATCCATCTGGAGACTCTCTCTGCCCTGAAATAAAGCCTATCTCTTCACCTGTTATCGCATTTTAATTGCCTTTTCGTCAGTTCATGATCAAACGTGACTAAACTTTCATTCTGGGAAGTGTGACGGTCTCAACAGCAACGAGGGTTCGACTTTCTCCCGCCAACCGTTTTTCTTGCATTACCCCCTTGGCTTCAATCAAGGCAAAATCTGGTATCAGACAGGACGAAATGTCCTTTTCATCTAAAGGATCTCCTAATGCAAGCCGCAAGAACACCGGAGTAGTACCTCTGAACGATGGAAGCATTGAGGACAGCATCGACGAAAGAAGCTTATCATGTGGCGGCGAAGGATCGGTGAGTTGATACAGCAGGAGTTTACGATATCTGTGAATATTGGAGCCGGGGCTGACTCGGTTCTTGTAATATTCGATTTTAAGCAGGGTAAAAAGAATATAGCCAGCTCCGGCGGTCACCTTGAACCCTTATTGTCCTCTAAATTAGGGAACTTCCTGCCCGTGGCTGGTGAAACTGGTGATAACCCATCAAATAAGGTCAGATCTTTCCATATCCCATTGTTTCCGAATATCTCACAATCCTAGAAGCAGAAGCTCGACCATTTGAATACCAACACATTATCCGAGGCTTCTGAAATGGAGAAGCTACTTGCCAAACTCTCTCCCAGGCCTCAATCAACAGGTGTCCAATCATTAGTTGATCTGGGAGCCCTCGCCAAGCTATCCGAGCAGCAAAGTTCCTCTGACGGGGCAAAGCGCGTTTTGACAGGCAATAGCGAAATCCCGGACAACTATATGGATGCCGCCAAGTTGGTTAGCATCCCCAGCACGTCCGCATCCAAGCCATTCGATATTTCTGCTTTGATAGACACGGCTAAACCAGATATTGCACAGACAGGTGCCTCAGAAGTGTATCGCTTGAAGCAAGAGTTGCTTGCTGCTAACTCAAAAATCGCCTTGCAGGAACAGGAGCTGGCTCAAACACGAGTAATCAAACATACTTTGGATCAAGCTCTTGGCCCTCCTTCTGAAGGGGACTTCAATGGCCGTGAAGTGACTGAGCAGACAATAAGCCACTTACAGAATGCTTTCAATGCTACCAACCCTTCTTTTAATCAACTTCATGATGGATGGAATGGACAAGAAGACTCTCAGTCAGATATCTCGGATGCACTTTCCGCTGGAGCATACAACAGAGCCCGAGGTTTCTGGATCTCGCCCACGCAACACTCGTTCAGCATGAGTACCAATGCCTCAAATCCTGATAAGCCCTACGCCGAGGCCTTACCAATTCCTTGTAGCCCATTTGGTCAGGATTCAAGCAGACTATGGAGCACATCAATCCAGGCCCCTAGCATTCCTGGGCGCGCTTCCCTTGGATCCCAGCGAGTGTTCTCCGGCTCATCCGAACCCAATATTTTCGACACAAGATTTCCCGGGGAGCAAGCTCGATATTTGCAGGGACCCGGTTTCGGATCACGCAGACCTGTCACCCAATCCAGTCGTGGTGGTTCTTGCTTCCCAGCACAGAACTCTCCCTGGGGTACATTCACTTCTGGCTCTCCGAGCATTCCTACCTCTAGGTCACCACCTGGCCGACAGGGAAACAATTACCAACAAGTCGGTCTTTATCCAGTTCCTTCGTATAACCAACAATCGGTTGGGACTCCGCTTTCTCCAACAGCGGCTGAATTCACTTCGGCAACCAACTCCACCATTGTACCGTGGGCATCCTCGCCGGTGAGTCTTAGTAAAACCTATTCCTATTACTCTTTCACCTTTTTTTTTTTTTTTTTTTTTTTTTTTCAATGAGGACTTAGGCTTTTTAGGACGGAGGGAATCCCACCCAAACATATGTTTCGCCTCTGGAACCCCTTAACTATCGACGACTTCTGGACAAAAATGTTTCCTGTGACTGGAGATATATCGTGGATAAGATCGTTTGCAACAATGATCAGCAAGCCTCTATCTTTCTTCAGCAGAAACTCAAAGTTGGAACAGTTGACCAAAAGTACGAAATTATAGAAGCCATCGTACACCAGGCTTACCCCCTCATGATCAATCGCTTTGGCAACTTTCTCGTTCAACGATGCTTCGAACATGGGACCCCGGAGCAAATAATAGCCATTGCCAATGCGATCAAAGGCAATACTTTAAGTCTTAGCATGGATCCATTTGGATGCCATGTTATCCAAAAGGCGTTTGATTGCGTACCTGAGGAGCCCAAGGCCATGATGGTCCATGAGCTTTTGCGCAGAATCCCTGAAACAGTAATACACCGATATGCCTGTCATGTCTGGCAGAAGCTCTTTGAGTTACGTTGGAGTGGCGAGCCTCCCCAGATCATGGTCAAAGTCAATGACGCGCTACGTGGGATGTGGCATGAAGTCGCTCTCGGAGAGACCGGTAGTCTTGTGGTTCAGAACATTTTTGAAAATTGTGTAGAGGATGAGAAGGTATAGTGACCGGCAACATGTTTAACTTTCCTGAATAATTAGACTAACATGTGAAAAGCGCCCGGCAATTGAAGAGGTACTAGCAAAAATCGACATGCTTGCTCATGGGCAGTTCGGCAACTGGTGCATTCAGCACATATGTGAACATGGTGCCCCTCATGACAAGAATCGTGCCGTCGAGCATATTGTCCTCTGGGCAGTTGATTACAGCATGGACCAATTCGCATCAAAAATAGTAGAGAAATGCCTAAAGATCGGGGGTTCTGAGTTTTTGGATCGTTATCTTGCCAGAGTATGCACAGGACGCACCGATCGGCCGAGAATGCCTTTGATTGATAGTAGGTTTGAAAACCCCGATCCCTTTTTGCCCGGGATATTAAGATGCTGCAGTTGCCGGTGATCAGTATGGTAATTACCTCATCCAATGGATCTTAATGAATGCTGCACCTCATCAGCGTGAGCTGGTAGCAAGTCATATAAGGTATCTCAAAGTGTTTTTTCTTGATTCTTCCTTTCCTCATATCAAAGGGGAGATGCTTCTGGACAACCCCCTTTCTCAATTCCATGCATAGTTTCTAAACAAGGACACAGGAAGCACATGGTTTCGCTCCGTGGATCAAAGTTTGGCTCACGCGTGGCCATGTTATGCTGCAACCCATCTCATACAACACGCCCCGGACCAGGTGCTGGCATACAGATAGGCCGCTTCAACAACTTTGGCGATGAACGCTTCCAGGTGTCAGGACAACACGGAGCACGCTTTGGTCGCGGAAATCAATGGAACCCTGGCTATCCACCCTTTCGCTAGGGAAACCGGTCGAGAGAGATTTCTGCTTGATATGGAAGGATACGCTAAAAAGAATTAGACTCTGGATCCTGGGTAAGCGGTTGTTCGATCCCGGTACGGCGTTGATAGTATGGTTTTCGCTCTATTTCTCCCGAAATCTTCGAACAAGAGCATCGTCTTTCGCTATATCTATGTCATGGATACTTTTGAGCCTTATCTTTGGCAATCAAGACTGGAGGAGTATGAAGGTGTTAAAATGTGCGTTGGTGAGTGAAGGGAAAGAGCTGTCAGTGGGTTTCTTTTGTCGACTCATTGATTAACGGGCAATTCGTTTTTCATTAAAATGGTCAAAATCTTACGGAAGTACAACCAGAAGTACAAGTGTGGGTTGTTTGCGCAGAAGCTTTGGTTTACAGAGAGAGCACTACGTGTTGCGAGTCTACCTATCGATGGCCATCTTTTACGTCCCATTTCTGATCAATTCCTAACCCTGTTGACTATTATTCCCATAAAAGTACGGAATTCACAGTATTTACGAAACTTCCCTGAACCTGTAAGAGAAGAACGGACTCGCTCCATAACCTTTCCGCTCACGTTCCCAAGGACACGGCCGCCACGAGTGATTTAAACCTCGCATCGATGCCCAAACTTCTTCAACCTTGTACTGGGCGCATATCGTGTGTTTCACCACTCTCATTTTCCCACGGCTTGCGTCTCTTTGGCTTGGTACTCGGGGTATCATGACCCATTAAGACCGTGTCCGGAATTTGTTGGATGCCAGGGACCGGTTTACCGGAGGTGATGAGATCCACTATATGTGCAAACGAGGACGGATATGACGGCTCCTGCTGTGCGGGTGCGGGTATTTGCTTTGAGGGAGAATGGGTTTGCTCAGACACGGTCTTGAACCCATCCGAACCCGGGGATGTTGTTAAAGGCGATGACACTCGTAGCCAAGCCTTATAATCTAGGAAGTTCAGTGGCTCTGCAAGCCTCTCTTTTCTGGGCAAAGAGGGCGCGGGAGGAATCAGCACTGTAAGCCTGAACACCAGTTGGCTCGCGTGGAAAAGAAAAGCCTACCTTGAGTAGTAAAAGCATTTTGCCCGTAGGACTAGGTCATCGTCACGCATGAGTTCCGTTTCAGTCACGGGGACATTGGGGTGACCGAGTATCACCGATAGACCTTGAGAAAATTCGGGATCATCACTGAACGGATACGACCCCAGTCTCTCAAATTGCTCCACCATCGAGGGTTGGAATTTCGACACCGTGTCCTCGTGCGCCGGAGCGCCGCCTGGCGGCTGACCCAACGGAGATTCAGATTGTGAAAGCGGCTGAGATTCCATAGAGGAAATCCAAGGACACCAATCCAGATTGCGGACACGATAACCTAAAGGGCGGGCAGGCGAGGTGATAATGCTGGGAAGTGTCGGAGTTCGAGATGGCAGAGAAATAAACTCCTAGCCGAGGCCCCGAGTCGACTGACGTATGTGGGGAACGAGATCAACGTGCGGGGGGGGGGGGGGGGGGGGGGGGGTTTGTGGCGCGTCGAGATCGAGTTGTTTATGAAGAACGTTCTTTCTACCTACCATAACTAGGCGGAATGCAAGCCGGTGCCTTTGCTGCATAATAATATTTGACATCTCGTCATTCTTCGCATGTACCATTCATTCTATGAAGGCCGGAACACCCTGCGCGCATCCCTCGTGTGTATGAGAGGACTTTCAATGTAGGCTTAGAGATTACGCCTTGCTATGCTGAGGTATCCATTGTATCTAGACTAGACTCTCCTCGGGCTGAATGAACCGTCCGGCTTTGACATCCTGGACAATTATGCACAACCTCATGGGCAAAGAGGTCGCAGTCGATGCAGAAATGATTCCTACACACAGTGCATTCGTAGCGACTGCTTATGCTCATACCCTTGTTCTGACTCTCCGCTACTTGTAGTTGTTCCTCGGAAGGCACAGGAGGGAACGGTATGCCGCAAGCAAAGCATACAGAACTGAGCGAAGCTCGGTGCCATGGAACTTCGACCCAGTTTATTAGAGGGAAGAGATGATGATATGATCGAGCCAGATGGGTTGAAAGAATTAAAGTAAGGCCGCACGAAGGGCACTCGGCGGGGAGGCCGCATACCTTGCTGTTGCATCGTGAGCACAAATATCCTCCACAAGAAGGCCTCGAGTGGCAGGCACAGAGAGAAGGATATGTTTCGACAGTACGAGACGGAAACCCCATCATGAGGAGCGAGCTTGTGGACTGCTTTTGGGAATATGTTGCCGGCGGCGTGGTAACATCCATCATCAGCTCCCGGAAGTGCTGCTCATCGAGCGCAACACCATACGTGGAGTCATCGCCACCATTGGTTCTCACACAGAGTTCGCGGCAGATGGCAACTTGCGCGGCTAGACCGACAATACCGACACGTATATTATCGTTGGCGAGGGTTGATGCTGTTTCATGAATATCGCCGGGGTCGGAGGAAAGGAGGGAGCCGAATATAAGGAGAATCTCGCGAGTGCCATGACTGGGAGTGTGACTTTGAGAACACAATCAAAGCATTAGCTTCCAGTGGACGTTAATTTCTGACGCGCATTAAGAGGAGGGACGTACAATAGAGCACCGCGAGCCATTTCCAGTCCATTTTGAATGCTGGGAAGACCTTTCGGGTCCTGATCTCTCAGAGCTTGTATCGAGCTGATGTGCTCCGTAGGATTTCCACTCATGTCACTTATGCGAGTTGCAAGACCGTCGCGCAGACCGAGGACGGCAAGTTGTGAGATAGGGTTTTGTTCAAAGAACTCCTTTACAAATTCTTGCGCGTACCGAAGGGTAAGAAGATATCGAGTCGGCCGAAGATCCTTTTCCGTCATTGACTGCGATAGGTCGAGGATCAGCACCAGGTGACGGATGATGCCCCGTTGTAGCGGCGTTGTGTCCCTCAAGAGCCTGCGAGCAAGAGCGAAAGGAGAAAGAAAAAGAATTCAGCCTCGTTGATTCCGTGGACAGACAGTCAAGTCGTCTGGCACCGCTAGAGAGGTATCGGGGCCACCGAGTCTCCGCCGCAGAGCTTACCTCTTCCTTTTTCCAGCTTCCAGAAGCCCCTCGACAGTCGAGCTGATGGTGCCGTCTGCGCTCTCCACCAAGGATTCCCACGTCCTGGACACCTCCCATTCCGCGCCTCCACGCTGTTTCTTTCTCTTTGGGCGAGGTGCAAGCGCCGCATCCCCTCGCGATCCTTGCAGGTTGCCATCGTCTTCGTCCTCGGAAATCTCCCCGATATACTCTTCGTCGGAATCTGCCATGACGGGGTCGTAGCTCTGAGAGGGGGAGGGTGTGGTGAACTGGGGTCTGGAGACCAAGAAAAAGGAACAAGGGCAGGGAAAAGGGCCGAGGTGGTCCAAGCTCCCTTCCGCTCTGGCCGGCTCGTCGTCCTGTCCGGCTGTCCGGCTGTTGGTCTCTCTGTCGCGCGTTCAAGAATCACGTCTCCATCGGCCTGTGCTATCCGAGAGTAACCGTCGAGCACCCTTGAGTACCAAACCAATGTGGGGGAGACGGTGCGTCACGTCAACCAAGCGTCCGGGTGTGACTGCTCAGCCATTACTATTATTGCCCCGTTCCCTCCGCCGCCCCTCCTCCCCCTCCGCTGCAGCTTTCTTTTCGCGTGCCTCCCACTTTCCCCGCCGCTCGCCTCTTCCCTCCTCGTCGCGTGCTCGCCCATCCCGCTTGATCAACCCTTTCGCTATCCCATCCCCCTTCGCGAGACATTGTTCTTCGGAAATACGTGCAATGGCGGGCAAAGACAGAGAGATTCTCCCCGACGTGTGAGTGGTCCCGGCCGCCTCGTTCCTCATATTGTCGCCTGCTGACTGGCCTGCAGGGTGGCTCCCGTCAATTATCACGTTTCCTTATTTGACCTCGAGCTGGGTGGCTCATGGGCCTACAAGGGAATCGTCAAGATCGATGCTCGAGTCACGAGTCCCACCCGGGATATTGTACTGAACTCCAAAGAGCTCGAGGTTCAGCATGTAGAAGTCTTCGGAAAGGATGGTCTGTGACGCTTGCCATCCATCACCCCTGCCCTGCACTGCATGGAATTACTGACAGCTCGCCGGCCGCTGGCACTGTAGGAGCTAAACTGGCAACGGCATCCGACATCACGTATGACAAAAAGTCGGAACGAGTGACTTTCAAATTCCCGAATGAAGTCGCACCTTCCGACATTGTGCTGTCCATCGCCTTCACAGGCACCATGAACAGCGCCATGGCCGGGTTCTACCGATCTAAGTACAGGCCAGTGGCAGAGCCGGGTGCCGACACCCCAAAGGAAGGCGATTTCCATGTCATGTTAAGCACCCAGTTCGAATCCTGCGATGCCCGCAGGGCCTTTCCTTGTTTCGACGAGCCAAACTTGAAGGCCACCTTTGACTTCGAGATCGAGATTCCCACGGGTCAAACGGCTCTTAGCAACATGCCCGTTGTGTCTGAGAGAGAGGGTAGCAGCCCTAACCTCAAATTTGTTTCGTTTGAAAGGACTCCTGTGATGAGCACTTATGTGAGTTAATGCCGAGAGGCCTCGCCGCCGCCGACGCTAGTACTAACCGCTTGGAAAATTGAAAAAAGCTTCTTGCTTGGGCCGTCGGTGATTTCGAATATGTTGAAGCCATGACGCAACGCCAGTACAAGGGGAAAAGCATCCCCGTTCGTGTCTACACGACGAGAGGTCTCAAAGACCAAGCCCGTTTTGCTTTAGAGTGTGCTCACCGCACTGTGGACTACTTTTCAGAGGTCTTCGAGATAGAGTACCCTTTGCCTAAGGCGGATCTACTTGCCGTGCATGAATTCGTATGTGGCTCTACTGCATCTGTTATTCGATGAATACTTACCTACCTTGCCTAGGCCATGGGTGCCATGGAGAACTGGGGACTGGTAACGTATCGCACTACTGCCGTCCTTTTCGACGAGGGAAAATCTGATACGCGGTATAAAAATCGCATTGCTTACGTTGTAGCACACGGTTAGTCCTGTCCACCAAGGCAGATCATTTCTGGCGTCTTCTAACCGTTAGTGCATCAGAGCTGGCTCACCAGTGGTTCGGTAATCTGGTAACAATGGATTGGTGGAATGAGTTATGGCTGAACGAGGGCTTTGCCACATGGGTCGGTTGGCTGGCTGTTGATCACTTTTACCCTGGTAACGCCCAGCATCCCTTGAGGCTTGCAGTCGCTCCATATAACTAACCACATGGACAGAATGGAATATATGGTCACAGTTTGTCGTACGAAATTCCCGAGGTAACATTGACATATCCTTATGAGACACTGATTGTTACGCAGGCTGAAGGTGTACAACAAGCATTCCAACTCGACTCGCTGCGAGCCTCTCACCCAATTGAGGTTCCCGTGAAGAATGCCCTCGAGGTTGATCAGATTTTTGATCATATTAGCTACCTCAAAGGAAGTTCCGTGATTAGAATGCTGAGTGACCATCTTGGTCGGGAGACATTCCTGCGAGGAGTGGCCATGTATCTCAAGGCCCATGCATACGGCAAGTCAATGACATGAGAATGAATAACAAAGGTATATTTACTAACAGGGTCTAATCTGTAGGCAACGCGACCACCAATGATCTTTGGTCGGCCCTCAGCAAAGCTTCCAATCAGGATGTCAATAGCTTCATGGTACGTTCAACATCGCTGTTACGGTAGTGTTGTTGTCTTTTTAACAACATTGTGAAGGACCCATGGATTAGGAAAATCGGGTTCCCGGTCGTTACCGTCGCGGAAGAACCTGGACAGATAAGCATTCGCCAGGGTCGCTTCCTTTCTACGGGAGACGCGAAACCGGAGGAGGACGAGACAACGTGGTGGATTCCACTAGGAATCAAGTCGGGCTCAAAACTGGAGGATGTAAACTCTCAGGCTCTGACCTCCAAAGCGGCCACCGTTCAGGATGTTGGACAGGATTCGTTCTACAAAATTAACAAGGATCTCTCGGGCTTTTTCAGAACCAACTACCCGGCAGATCGACTATCAAAGCTGGGTCAATCTCTGGACCTGTTGAGTACCGAAGACAAGATCGGTCTGATTGGCGATGCTGCTGCCCTTGCTACATCTGGAGAGGGCACAACTGCAGCTTTATTGGCCCTTTTGGAAGGCTTCAAGGCGGAAACAAATTACCTGTTCGCCCCCTTCACCCCAGGTCCTACTTGCAATGCATCAAGATTGAGACTGACAAATTCTGTAGGGTTTGGTCTCAAATCTCCTCATCACTCGCCAATTTGCGCTCCGTCTTTTCTCAGAACGAATCGGTGGCCAGGGGACTGAAGAGGTTTACCCTCCAATTGGCATCTCCCGCTGCTGAACGGGTTGGGTGGGAGTTTGAACCAAATGAGGACTATCTCACTGTTCAGCTCCGAAAGCTTCTAATTGGGATGGCTGGGGTTGCGGGCGATGAAAGGTACGTCAAGCCGCTCACCCATAGACTTTCTGGCGACTGACGCTGTAATTTAGAATCATCGCGGAGGCTAAACGACGATTCCAACTCTGGGCTAAAGGTGAAGACAAGAGCGCCATCCACACCAACTTGCGCTCAGCAATCTTCGGCATTGCGATATCGGAAGGAGGTCGAGATGAGTACATGTCTGTCAAAGAAGAATATCTCCGGACCGATTCCGTGGATGGCAAAGAAATCTGTCTGGCAGCACTTGGGCGGACCACCAGTGCGGACCTGGTCGAAGACTATCTGAACTTTGTATTTTCCGACAAGGTGGCCATCCAGGATGTACACAACGGCGCTGTTTCCCTGGCAGCAAACTCCAAGGCCCGGCATCTCCTATGGCAATACATGAGAAACAACTGGGAAATGGTCGAGTCTCAATTGTCAGCCAACAATGTTGTGTTCGAGCGCTTTGTGCGGATGGGGCTGTCGAAGTTTGCGGACCACCAAGTTGGAACCGATATCGCTTCGTTCTTCCAGAAACAGGATACGAGTGCCTATGATCGTGCGTTGGTGATCGTTTCGGATAGCATCCGCACGAATGCGCGCTACAAAGAGAGGGATGAAGCACTGATTCTGGAATGGCTTCAGACCCATAAATACGAGTAGGGCTGCCCCTTGATGCGTCGGAGCAGGTAGGCCACATGAACGGAAGAACTTGAACCTCGATGTTGCCTGGGCAGTGACACCGATACTATACTATCTTACTCCCTAGACCCTACCTAGAGATATGTAGGATTGTTGAACCGGTGAGAATTCCGCGGGTCAGCCTTAAATCGGCTGGCCCCCAAATTCCATCATCATCTGCCTTCCCTTGTAGAGGAGCGTATTATTATTGAAAGATTCTCGTCAGCAGCCCATGTGATCCACTCCCAACGTCACGACACCGCCAGTTGATATCCTATCTCGTGGAGGGGCAGCGGTCAAGGAAAGTATCATCTGGTCCCTTCAGGAGACTTATGACGGCCTGGTCAATTGCCGAGAAATCGTGGTTCTCGAGGGAGAGGAAGGAACGACGTAATTACCTCGTACTGGCAAACGGCACTAGGCTCGATCAGGGGTGCCAACGTGAAACGGTCCCAGGCGTGACCAACCCCCGGGGGCCTGACTAAGAAGTGCTGGAACCTGCACGCTGGGCTCGCCTGCTCTCCTGCACTCAGCAACGCATCCGCCATTTCAAGACACCAGCCAAATTCCATCGAACTAGACACGTCCAGCCTCCACTTACATCAGACCCTCTCTCAACTCCATCTCATCCCGGCGAGCGCCCTCCACCCGTACTGATCCTCGCTTCCGGCTACCTCTGCCGCTGGACCTCCTGAAGTGCCTTGCAGTCGCCAACAGATTCGCATCCCTACTCCGACCATCATGAATCCCGAGTGGTAAGTCGTCTTTCTGCTAGCCGGCCTCTACGTCCGCCCCTCCCCCTCCGAAAGCCTGCCTGGGATCTCTTCCTGCGGAGAATGCGCCCTTTTCAGTATCCTCGGGAGTTTTGTTTGCTGATTTTATCGGTTGATCAGAGTACACCCCGGCCGTCCATCTCTTCGGCGGAAGACAACCCTATCCCGCTGCCGTGATTTGGCTCCCTGACCAGATATGCAGATACGACTATCTCTTCAAGCTCCTGCTTATCGGAGACTCCGGTGTTGGAAAGTCTTGCTTGCTGCTCCGATTTGCCGACGACACCTACACAGAAAGCTATATCTCTACCATCGGTGTCGATTTCGTACGTCTTCCCTCTTCTCCTTTCCTCCTGCTTCTCTATGCTAGACCGGGCCATGTTGGTATTGACCATCCCATGACAGAAAATTCGAACGATCGAACTTGATGGCAAGACCGTGAAACTTCAGATTGTAGGGAACCCACTGCCGGAAGGGGTGTCTACTCGATGACTGACGGATAGTCTAGTGGGATACTGCCGGTCAAGAGCGGTTCCGAACCATTACGTCGTCCTACTACCGTGGTGCCCACGGAATTTGCGTCGTATACGACGTGACCGACATGGACTCCTTCAACAACGTAAAACAGTGGCTTCAGGAAATTGACCGCTACGCCACCGAAGGTGTCAATAAACTTCTTGTGGGCAACAAGAGCGATATGGAAGACAAGAAGGTGGTTGAATACACTGTGGCAAAGGTACGTTGTTGGCTTCTTCCTGCCTTCGCGCCTTGGATATCAGGTGCTTTTTCCAATGGAAATGGCAAAGGGCTGACCTGGGATGTCATTGCAGGAGTTTGCCGATAGTCTAGGAATTCCATTCCTGGAGACCTCCGCCAAGAACGCCTCAAATGTCGAACAGGCTTTTTTGACAATGGCAAGGCAGATTAAGGAACGCATGGGTACTGCCACTGTCAACAACAAACCTACCGTGCAGGTTGGTCAAGGCCAGGGTGTTCAATCTGGATCTGGAGGTGGTTGCTGCTAAATTCCCGGTACCCTCAGCTACGTAATAGTGCAATGCATCGAAAGAGTGTGAACGCACTGCCTGGGGAAATTGGCTTGTCTGCTCGCTCCCTTTGGTCGGACTGCATTGTATGAAACCTGATATGGCAGGGCTGGTATCTATGACTTGCTTCACATCTGAGACGACGATCGGGGAACAAGCACGAGCGTTTCACCATGCTTAGACGGCTTGTCAATTTTGTTTTAATATCGCTTACAACCGTGGTGCCTGTCTCGTTTTCCCATTTCCTTTCTCTCTTTTTCTTGTCCGCCTCTTCTACCACTGGTTTCTTAATTTCCTTTTCTGTGTTGCGCTTCAATATCTTGCCTCCTTTCCTCCCATTTTTTTATTATCAAGTTTTCGCCGATAATATTGTTTTTTGCTAGTATATCTTAGCTGGTGGGACTCCTTGCGTATACTTCACTCGGGTTGAGTAATGGAGGAAAACCATGGCTATCGGCGAACGCGTTTATCTGGTGATATAGTACCGGCTCATGAATTTCACTTCGGTTTCATCTGTGCCTTTTCAATGAGTTCCACAAACAAAAATGCCCCGGACAGACATTGAATTTATATATGTGACATGGTTACGTGGGTATCGAAGAAATGGAAAGGATGAGATGCCCTTTGTTGTTAGATCACTCACATGATTGACTATCACATGGAAATACCGTTACATCAAGGGATCCATATCTACCGGTAAGGTAAGGTACATACCTACCTTCTTGGCTCATGGATACCTGCAATACATGTCAATTACTGTATTGTACCGCGTATGTATGTACATACGTGCGCCCGGGTAACTTGGACTCTGTCCCATTCCCATGCCGGTAGTATGGAGTAGGTATCTTGAACTCACTTCTGATTCAGTGGAAGTTGGCTTGAAGTCAGCATATTTGCCTGCTACGGAACCGCTGCATTGGCCCCCCTCGCCAAGTGCCGGTTGGGAAACAATGGACCTAATCTAACTTAAAACGCGCCGAAGTTTTGGGTCCTTACCTACCTACCTACCTACCTACCTACCTTAGTATACATCAGCCGAGGCAAAGGTTTCGGTAAACGTCATGAAAATCATCGCCCGCCTGCCAAAGCCGAATCATTCTCGCACCCCGAATGCCCACTCCCCTTTCATCTCTTCTTCACCTACTACAGTATTTTCCTGATTTAATGGAAAGTGCTTGAACCCAGAACACGCTCTTTTCAAACCTCTGGCGTTTGCGCATTCTGACGCCCTTCGACAACTTCAGAACAATCATCCCCGGCATACATAGACGACAGTTCGTCAGGACTTCTTGAATATTCATTCTCCATTTCATAATGTCTCAGTCTAAGATTGAAAGCCCCAAAAAGGTGGTTGTAGCATCGGCTGCAGCGCAACAAAGTGATAATATAGCACATGCACTTGCTGGTGCTGGTGGGGGTATTCTGTCTATGATACTGACGTGCGTCCTCTACCCCCCAATCCCTCTGGTCAACGGAACACTACTGACAGCTATCATCTTGCAGATACCCTTTGATCACGCTTTCAACCCGAGCGCAAGTGGAATCTAAGCGGGCTCACTCTACGACTGCCGATGCCATTCGCCGCATTGTCCAACGGGAGGGTGTTAGTGGGCTTTACTCTGGTCTTGAATCTGCCCTATTTGGTATAAGTGTTACCAACTTCGTATACTACTACTGGTATGAATGGACGCGTTCGGCCTTTGAGAAGGCCGCCGTAAAGAGTGGTCGTGCCGCCAAAAAGCTCACCACGGTCGAATCCATGATCGCAGGAGCGATTGCAGGAAGTGCAACGGTCCTACTCACGAACCCAATCTGGGTAGTGAACACACGAATGACGGCTCGCAAGTCTGATTCAGATGAGGCCGCGTTGCCTGGTGGCCACCCCAAAAAATCACAGACATCTACCATTGCCACCTTGATAAGCTTGCTGCGGCAAGAGGGCCCGAAGGCTCTTTTTGCCGGTGTCCTTCCGGCACTTGTACTGGTCATAAATCCAATCCTACAGTACACCATTTTTGAGCAGTTGAAAAACATGGTGGAGCGGCGAAGGCGCATGACACCAAAGGACGCATTCTACCTCGGCGCCCTTGGCAAAATTCTGGCCACTTCTTTGACCTATCCCTACATTACAGTGAAAAGTCGAATGCATGTCGCCAGCAAGGATGGTCCGAAGGAAAGTCTGAATGGAAGCGTCAAGAGAATCATCAAGGAGGAAGGATACATGGGATTGTACAAGGGTGGGTAGAACTCGACTCTCCGACTTGAGACCCGGACTGACACACGAGAGTTTCGCAGGTATTGGACCAAAAGTGACCCAGAGTGCCATCACTGCGGCATTCTTATTTGCGTTCAAAGATGTTCTCTACGACGCTATGGTATCTGTCCGGAAGAGAGGCAAGGTTTCTAGGTAGACACACGTCACCTTCAAGTTCCCCGGTCTATTATGACAAGGAATGATTGTTTTTCAGGCTTGATTCTTGTCGTTTGTATATTTCAGAGGGGATTGTCCATACTTGATTGAGATGTAGAATCTAGTTGCGAAAAGAGAAGTGTTCCTATTCAGGAGTAGTTCTTCCTAGGGTAGGTAGTTAAGTACCTGGTACCAACTATGTACGGAGTATTGTAATATACTACCTACCTTGTACATTCCTGGTATGTAAGGTAGGTACCTATGTATCACATTAGATATGCTGTGCATGGAGTGGCACCCATCATATTATTACCTTACCTTACCTTACCTTACTTTATCTTACGGTCAACTAATTACAGAATGAAAAAAGCTCACATAAGCGCACGGGCAGCATCCAACCGCCTACTACTTTAGGCTATAAGTACCTGACGCAATGGTGCCCCCATCACGTCTAGAAGATCGCGCTTCACGCGTTGTGGTTGCCAAGCAACTTGCATACTGAGTCCTCACATTCACCTTCACCTTCACCTTCACCTTCATCTTCTACTCGCCCAAAGTCTGAAAGGCCCCTTTCAAGGATACACAAGCTAATCATCACCGCATCTGACTACACCTGTCAAGTCACATCTGAATTCTTTGTGAGTTAAACCGGACAGCCGTTCAAGATGTCAACCTAACAGAAATGTGTGATAAGGATTGTGACTTGTGGCGCCTTTCTCTTACTTATACCCTATCACCGCCCTCTTATGGAGGCGAAGTACTAATATAACCCGCACAAAATAACCCTGATAAACTGTGCTCTCAGAGGAATGCTATGATCGCATTGAATGTGTCATCTTAGCAACAATTTCAAGATCAACCGCAATTCAGATTCCTACCCTCTCGAAATGGCGCCGATCCTCGTTACTTTATTCTCAAGGTCTTTTCTATGATTCTGACCCAGTTCATTCTGGTGTAAGCATCTCCCCGCTTTGACCCCATCTGGGACTTGCCAGTAAATCGATTAGACCCAGGTGTAACGTCAGGTTGTGGGAACAATTCAGCAACAGGCATTTTCTCTTTGAGTCTGTTATGTATGTTGCTTTCATTACTTCTTCTTATTCCTTTTTTTTTTTTTTTTTTTTTTTTTTTTGCAGTGCTAACGTGCAGGCCTTTCTCAGATTTTCATGACATTCGATCCCTGTGGTCAAAATAAGCCTACTCTCATGTTCAGTACTCAGTCCCCATATGCCAACAAGCATGTCCCAACAACATTCAAATATGAGGAGCCGAAGCTTTGGCTTCGGGCCTTCCCCTAACTTTGGGCAAGTGGAATCGGAAAATACCTCAATAATTGAGGAGGCCAGGAATCTACTGTCTCAATTCATGAAACACTCGTCCCATAAGACCCAAGAACCTCAGAAAGACGACAGTGGTGGCTCAGAAGGTCGTGCGATTTCGCATAATATTTCAGGTTCTTTGGAAAAGGAAGATCCTGATTCTACCAATCCATGGCCGATGGCATGCGCGAATTCCGAGAGCTTCACGCTCGAGAGAAAACCAAGAAAACAAAACAACTTGGCTCAACAATCGCCCTCTGATGAGTTCTCCAAATACACGACTTATCGTCCTGAACGCCAACAGATCCTTACGTACCAAGAATCCTCGAAGGAAAGCTTGAAGCCTAGCCATGAGCGCGCAACTGCTTTACCTAGAAGTGGCCGAAAACGTTCGTTCTCACCAAAGCAGCCTGCCACATTGGATTTGGAAATGGACCAAAATAAATACCAAATAACAGGAACGCGCCGCTCCGGTCGATCTAAATCTGGACCTACCAACTACTATGAGCCAGTATGTCTATTTAATCTTGATTCCGATGAAGATTCAGAACCTAGTCAAACCCCGCCGTCGATGGAAACCCTACCATCCCGGGCCCATGACAAAGATATCAAGCCCCCACCTCACACACAGCAGTCCGCAATCTTTTCGTCACAAGGGCTGCGAATCATGAAATTGCGCTTCAAAACGGTGGCTGAACTAAAGGACTTGGAACATGCATGCTACTCCCCAGAATTGAACCCTGCGAATTATGCTCGAAGAATTATTAAGGGCCCCGAGGCTGTTCTTCACGTTGACTTTGGTGACGATGAAATGATGGCTGTGTTAGAGCTGCTATCACTCCACGGCTTGCAATGGACTGCAAACCCAGAGATTTCGCTTGCCGATCAAGTTATACAAGCGTTATCAAGTTGCACCGTGTCTGATGAAATTACACTGAAATTATCGTGGATATACAAGCTTTCCCACGTACTTGCTAGCCAGGGAGTACACGGCGACAGCACATCAATTTTGAAACTATTACAGTCCCCGGGCGAGCGGGACATTGTACACGTCCAACGCCTAATGGCAAAGGTTCTAGGGCAAAGAGAACGAAACAACGGTGGTCAACATCAGATCGAGGAAATCCATCAATTGGCCGCCTATCTGCAATGTGCTTCGAAATTATACCGGCGCCATCATAGGGACATTGATACATTTATCAAGGATGCTAAGAAGGGAAATCTACCGTCGATTCCTTGCGTCGTCAAGGCGATCGTCTCTCAGACTCAACTTCCGCCGGGCGGCAGACCTCGGTGCTTTCAAAAGTTTGGCCAGTTATTGCAAAACAGAGAATTGGGATGCAACGTGAACAGAAAAATCAACTCTGATGTCGCAAGCAACTTCAAACTCTGCAAAAAATGGAAAGGAGCTTCAAATGACGTAGTAGTGATGGCTTGGTCACCCGACGGAACGAGGTTTGCAGCCGGTGCCACGGCGCAATGCGATGAACACAACATGGAGTATAATAGAGGAAACAATCTTCTCCTTGGGGACCTGACTCGAAATTGCCTGGAAGAACTACCTGACCATTGCATTCCACGACCAGAAAGAAGTGGTGTCAACAGGGCAGTGAATGACACTCGGCTCTTCATGAGCGTCACGGCAGTACAATGGTTCGATGACTTTCTGTTCACAGGAAGTTATGATAACACGGTTAAGCTCTGGGATTTTGCGGGTGGGAAAGCATCATGTTGCAAAACCCTCCGGCATGACGCCAAGGTGCAAGTCATGGCCCGTTCGGCCCTTGAACACAATGTGCTAGCAACGGGAACACATGCCATTGGATTGTGGAACATCGGGGAGTCTACATACACTCCTCTTGAACCATTCAAACACCGGCATAGGAAGGATATTGAACTGGTGCCAACATCCTTGGCGTGGGGAACTGTTCCCTCCACAAAGAATATACTGCTTGCCGGCTTTGCTGAAAAGCATGATGAAATACCGCAAAATGGTCTTCTTGCAGCCTGGCATATTGGGGAAGCGGAGGCGATCCCTTTGCCATTTTTACCCAACTCACAAAACATCTTCGACATCAAGTGGCATCCCACTTCGGGGGCTTTCGTCACCGGGAGCTCCACAGGGCTAAAAAACATCGGGTCCGTCGTCCGTCACTACGAGCCTCTCAAATCGAGAAGGGGTATTTACGAGTTTGACTGTCCCGCACTGGATATTAACGACGTTACGTTTTGCCCTGTCAACTCCAATTATGTGACAGCCAGCTGTACCGATGGGAATACATATGTTTGGGATTATCGCAAAAACAATGACGTTGTCCTCAAGCTCCCACATGGTGGGCCTCTCAATCAAACCGACGAGACCCTTACTAGAGAACAGGCAGATGTTGGCGTGAGGGTGGCATTGTGGGGAAATGGAATCGACCAATTTTATACCGGAGCATCCGACGGTGTCCTCAAGAGGTGGAACGTCCTGAAGTCATCGGAGGATGCACTTGTTGAGGATACGGCTTGCCTAGAGGAAGAAATAATGAGCGCAACCATTTCAGACGACAAATCAAACCTTTTGGTCGGAGATGCTGCTGGCGGCATCCACGTGTTATCGTCGGGGCCCTTTTTCAATACCGACGAACGGTCATTCACATTCGAGCGCGCTACTCAATTACCCTGTGAAGATTACGAGCCGGAGCCCGAGTCGGGCCTTAGAGCTGGGCGCGGTTTGTTGTCGTCTGGTCAGCTTTCCTTGCACCCCGTGTATGGAGTTGGACAAGGCCCTCACTACACGGGCCCTTTTGCCGCCTGGGCTCGACCGGAAGGGACACCCGACGAAAGGGTTGCGCAGACCCCGCTCAGAACGGAACTCCAGATTCGTCAACTTGACGGGATCCCGCTAGAACGCCGGAGCGGACTGGACGAGCAATCTCGAAGGGACGTTGGGGCCCAAATTCAACTCGCCCGAATCCGAAATCTAAGACAAGGCGAGAACAAGAGAAAGAGGGTCGAGCCAGCAAGCCCCATGACCTCCCTAGGCGATAATGTTATTGATCTATGTAGCGATGGCGAAGGCCAACCTCGCTCTCTGACGCTGATGCCTGGTAAACCCAAGCGACGAGCAAAGGCACGGAGTCGCGAGCCTCTAATTGTGAACATGGAAGGCGGAGTTATTGACCTGACCGGGGACACCGATAGCGAGGAGCTTGCAGACGCCTCGCCGGGACTTGGGCTCGACCGTGTTAAGGAGCTAGAGGAGGCGCTCGATGAAGATTTTTGGTGGCCACCAAGTCACTCTATCGACCCAAATATCCAGGATGGCAGTGCATAGGGCTAGGGTGGGTTTGGACGCTGTGTACATATGCCGTAGTGAACTACACATAGTTTATTAGTAGCTATTTACTCGTGATTCCCCAGCACTAGAGATGACTGACTCATCAACTCCGAACCGTGGCTTGGCTTGGACGACCGTCACGTGGACAAGCACTGCCACGGTGGCTGCCTAGTCTAACCGGTTCCATCCTGTTTGTTACTTTACCAGCTTTACATACGGAGGTAGGTAAGGTACCTGGGTATATATACCTGGGGACGGCGATATACACCCGTCTACTAACTATATGATCCGCAAACGATTACGACAACCCTCATCTCCTTCCATCCTTTCCTCCACCCCCCAACTCCCCACACGCGCATCCATTCGAATCGCGCATCAAACCCGAACCCAGCCAGACTCCGCTGGGACTACAGAACCCCGCTAGAAAGGACTGATGTCATACGCACCGCCTCCTGGGCCTCCGCCTCCGCCTGTGCCGGAAGGATGGAAGGCTCAATTTGAACCCCGGTATGAGCAATGGTAAGAGCACGATACCCATGCGGATACGTCGGGGTAGGCTGCTAACCGATTTTCCCAGGTTCTTTGTAAACCTGCGCACTGGCAAGTCTCAATGGGATGCCCCCGAGGCCGCTGCCTCGGAAGAAAAGCTACACGAGGCCCCGAGCGAGCCGCCACCGTCTTACGACTCATCACAGGGCGGCTCATCTGCGACGACCACCCTTGGCGAGAAGTCTCTGGGATCCAATAACCCGTACAACCAAACGGATTCTGGAAACAGCACTCTCGAGAGCGACGCTCGTCTAGCCGCTCGCCTGCAAGCCGAAGAAGAAGCGCAGGCCCGGGTCAAGAGCCCTGGCAACCAAGATCCGGGCGCCGCGGCGGACTACTACGCGGAAGCCTCGCGACCTCTGCCATCGAATCACCGGGCCTCCCCGGCGGCGACGCCTTCGCAGAATACCGGGCCGGAAGAACCCAAGTCGCGCAGCAAAGGGTTTCTGAGTAAGTTGATGGGAAAGTCCTCCGCGGGTGGTGGTGGCGGCGGCGTCGGGTATGGGCGACCCCCTCCATCCATACCTTACCAGCAGCAGCAGCAGCAGCAGCCGGCACCGTTTTACGGTTATCCTCAAGGAGGGTACCAGGGTGGCTACCCTCCCCAGCCCGTCGGATACGGATACCCCGCGTATCCGCCGCAGGGTGGCTATTATCCCCCTGCGATGCAACAACAGCGGCGGTCCGGAATGGGAACTGCGGGTGCTGCGGCATTAGGTGTGGGTGGAGGGTTAATTGGCGGTGCTCTGCTAGCAGAGGCAATTGATGATCATCATGATTATGACGATTATGGCGGTGGTGATGACTATGGCGGTGGCGATGACTTCGGAGGCGGCGATTTTTAAGTCTGCCGTACCGTATGCGTCAGCTCGGCCATGGAAAAGGGACACACGATGTGCTATGAATGAAAGAGTGTATCAGTATTAATCGGTTTGGGGGGATTATTTATTCCATTTCCTTTTCAATTTTGACTCCTTGCTTTCCTAATGATTTCGTAAAGGCAGGAGGACATTGTCTGCACGGCTGGCATATGTGTTTTTCTTGATATTCCAAACCCTATTCGGTGCCATGGAGAAGATATGTTGGTGTAGATTGATTGGAACTAGATAAATCTATATGTTCAGCCTTCTGCCCCCGGCCCAAATCATTTGCGCCTCCGGGTTGAGTCGCCGCCGTCTCGGCCAGTCGATAATTCTGGGGATGCAGGGGCATCCGAGCCCGCCGCCGTTCGGGGAGCCGCGCCGGCCATCCACCCAGCAAGGTCGAAATTGCCGGGCGCAGCACCGCCGCCACTTGCCATGGCATTCCGTGTCGCGCCGGAAATGGGAGAGCTGCGAGATTGCTTCTCGAATTCGGCACGCATTTCGGGATCCACTGCGGGGGAGGGTTCAATGTTTAGCAAGCCCCTTGAGGTCACAATTAGGGTCGAGACAGCCGTAACTCACTGTTTTCCATCAATTTCGGCATTCCAAATGTAAATCCCAGGGCCACCAGGGCCATTAGAATCATAGGGTTCTTGAACAAGGCGAGAGGGGAGACTGGGGCGGGTTCATGTTGGTCAGCATCTGCATGTGTGTACATCCACGGGTCCGCATAATCCACAGGGGTGCCTTGTCCTCACATTTAGATCGTTCCTCGTAGAAAGCTCTCCTTGTCAGCAACTTGGCTTCCACCGTCACATCGCCCACCGGGGCTGCCGCCGCCTCGGAAGCGGCAGGATCGACGACAAACTTCTCGGTCCCACGATTGTCCCAGGGGTTTCCGCGAAACGTTTCCCAGATGCCCAGCACCGCACCATTGGCGGAGATGTCGACGCGATAAGGGGCGAAGACATATTCAGCACACCGAATGTCGAGCAAGTAGGACTGGGCTTGGGACTGGGACGAGGGCAGGTTCCGAAAGACGAAGGTCGCGGAGCGAGTCAGCGAGGCGCTCAAGGTGTGGGAGACAGACTCGGAGTTCTCCTTGGAGCGTTCAGACGACGGCAGGGAGGTCAAGGTGGCATGCGTCCCGGCCGGCAAGGCGTTGGGGTTGGGGAGCAGATTGGAAGGGGGGATGGTGACCGTTAAGGTTGAAGTCACCAGCGTTGCGGTAGCAGCAACGAGAAGCAGCAGAACCTGCAGAGAGCTATTTATCAGGCGCATCGTTGCTGAATGGGATGGTATAGAACAGGAAGCAAGAGAACAAGGGAAGAGAAAGGCGGAAAGGGAAGAGTTGGTTATGGCGATGGGGCTGCGGAAGGGAAAGACCAGAAGGCGGTACATCCTTGGATTAGTCTCGGCCGCAACCCCGACCGATTATTATTATTATTATTATTGATTCTTCCCTCGCAAGCATTCGGCGCTCAGCACCCCAGCATCCACAGGCCAGGAAGTGAGCTCTGACGAGATTCTACGGTACGGAGTAGGCAATCAAGCTTATGATCCAGCGTTCTCGCGATGTCTCCCGCTCAACGGTAGTAGATATGTACATGGCCTGTCAAAGTGAACCTCATCTTCCCCATCAATATCTAGTAACTCAAACCAATAAAATAACAGGAAGAAATATGTAAATATATAAATATATAGGGGAAACATCTCCGATCTACAGTTTGGCCCGAGGAGTAGACTGCTCCGCCGTCGCCTGGGCGTAGAGGTCATTCAGGAGTGTGCGGTACTGCTTTGCAGTGGGAGGGCGCTTCAGCTTGAGGCTGGAAAGGTGAGAAAAGCACGAGTCAGTTCAAGGTCCGATGGAAGGGATGCAAAATTAGCGCAGATGAACCACTTACGTTGGCGTCAACAGGTTGTTTTCCACGGTGAACGGGTCGAGCATCAAGGCACAGTTCTTGACCCGTTCATATCCGGCCAGCTTATGCTTCTTCGCCACCCGCTCAAGATCCTTCAGCACGGCTGCCCGAATCTTCTCGTTGTCCAGAACAGATTTGATGTCGGCCTCGTTGATGGTCCGACCGAGCACTTTACTGGCAAAGGGGGCGAACATATCGGGCTGGACCCCGAAGATGCCCACCAAAAACGTCTGGACGCTTTCGCCATGGATATACCCCTGGGCAAAGTACCCCAGCTCGGATAGGTAGACACCTTCCAGACGCTCCGGTGAAATGTACTCTCCCTGGGCCAGCTTCAGAACGTTCTTCCGGCGATCGATGATGACGATGCGGCCCTTGTCATCGATGGTGCAAACGTCACCGGTTTGGAACCACCCGTCTTCCGTGATCGCCTTGGCGGTCTCCTCCGGGTTCTTGAAATACTCGCGGAAAACATTAGGGCCCCGGAGGAGCAGTTCGCCCCGAGGGTACGGCTTGTCATCGACGGAGTAATCCATGTCGGGCAGAGAGGCCAAGCAAGCCTCCGTGCAGGGAGCGAGACGGCCACAGTTTCCGGCTGTAAGATCATGGGGGGACTGAGCGCAAGCCATGGCATAGGTTTCGGTGAGACCGTAGCCCTGGACGAAATTCACCCCGAGAGCGACTCGCAAGAAGTCGTGCAGCGAGGGATCCAGCGGCGCCGAGCCGGACACCATGGTTCTCGTGCGTTCCAAGCCCAAAGCGCTAGCAACCTTCTTTGCCCAGATGCGATCGTACAGAGCGTGGTGCACAGAGGATTTGGAAGGGTCGGGGGTTTTCAGGTTGGCCGTCTTCGTCGCGACGATGTGTCGCGAGAGCGCACCCTTGAAGCCGGGCTGTTCGGTGGTCGAAGCACGGATTGCGTTTCCGAAACGACTGTACAGACGCGGGACGGACATGAACCCCGTGGGTTTCAGTATCTTCAGATCGTCGACCAGCTCCACAATATTGCCATGAAAGTATCCAATCCGAGCGCCCGCCCAGAAAGCCGCATGCTCCGACAAACGTGCGTAGATGTGAGCGAGCGGAAGATAAGATGCCATCGTGTCACCTTTGGCTTGTTCGATTGTGACCAGAGCACCCGTAGTGGCGGCCACGGCGTTCTCGTGTGTCAAAACCACACCCTTGGGAGGGCCGGTCGTTCCAGAGGTGTAGTTGATGGTGACAATGTCCGAAGGCGAGGGCGAGTTGCAGGGACGATTGGCGGAAGCGCCCAACTCTTCAACCTGGTCCATCGTATAGATCGAAACATCTTGTCCGGCAGCCACCGACTCGAGAAGAGCCCGCTTCGAATGACCCGCCTGTTCGCCAGCGTCCAGCGGATCCAGACTGACAATCATCTTCAGATTGGGCAGCAGAGGCTTCAGCTTGAGCAAGGTGGGGATATGTGGCAGCGAGGTCACGACGCAGTAAAGCTCCGCGTGGTTGATGATGTACTCGGTAGCATCCGGTGCTAGCACATCGTAGATAGAAACAGAATAGAGACTTTGGGACATACACGCGAGATCTGCGATACCGGGTTCAGCGCCACGCCATCGGCGAGGGGAAGTTGGAGGAATTAATCATACCGGTGATCTGCCATTCGGGGCGGTTTTGACACCACAGACCAACACCATACTGGCCGGGACGGTGGCAGTCATGCTTCATATGTAATTCCACCAGACCGGCACCAAAGGTCGTCCGCCGCTGCTGGACTGTCTGATAGTCAATCCACTGGTACGAGCCGAACGTCTTAGTTTCGTGATTGTATGGGCGCCATCCAAGACAATGGTTTTTCGGAACACGGCGGGCGGTTGATTCGAATGCATCATGTGCGGTAAGGACCTAGAGGAGCGGAGATGAGCGCCGGCTACATACCAGGCGATGCCTTATTATGCACATACCTGCGGGTCCAACGTCTTCACGAGTTCCTTCTGGGCGGTATGGGCGCGATAGATTTTGCTCCGGCCGGGCTTTTCGGTTCCCGGCAAGGCGACGGAGTACGGAGCCCCTTGAGGGGGCTCTTGCCTCAGTTCGTTCGCACGAGCGAGGTGCGATGGTTGTTGAGCGAAAAGCATAATCGCGGCGTCTATGTTCTACCGCAGATACGGTCCAGTCAGCCCATGTCCATCCAAATCTCGTGGGCGCAACAATCCAGGCTAGCTCACCCAACAACACAAGTCTCCAGATGAATGAGGATGGCAAGTCGTCCTGAGTCCGACAGGATTCAAGATAAAAAGAAAAGGGGGTCGGGGACGTGGACAGAGTGGAGATAGGGGGGTCAAAGGAAGTCGGCGACAACGAAGGAATGAAAAGGAAGAAGAAGACGAAGAAAAAAAGGATGAATGAAGAGGTCCGGATAGTCCGTGATAATCAACACTTATGCAACGCCTGCGGGTCTCGGACGGACGCTGAGTGGATGACGGTTGACTTGCTCCATGCGACGCCAAACGAACCTCGGCATTTCCCCGTACGGGGGTAATTCCCCCGGTGGCGTGGAGGCAGAGATGCCGAGGATGGACGAAGGCTCAAGAAATCTCCAGATGAGAACTTGAAACTGGCGATGGCCTTCGCACGTGTGGGATTCATGTGAACGCCGGCCTTTCTCCCCCCCGGCTTTTCCACTTCCTCGATTTTTTTCTCTTCTTTAAGGTTTTTTAATTTGAACTTTGACTCTGACTTTTACGTTCATTTGGACGTTTGCGTTCAGGTTTACTTTCATTTTCACTTTCATTCGCAAAAATTAAAAAAAAAAAAAAAAAAAAAAAAAAGACGCTAAAGAAATCCAAAGAGAGACCAAAAATCAAACCTACCCTCTACTGCCTCAGAGCCCTCGCCGCCTCAAAAGACTGGGTGAAATCGGCAATGATATCGTCGATATGCTCGGTGCCAACAGAAATCCGGATGGCGTCCTCCGTCACCCCGGAATCCAGACGTTCCTGCTCGGACAGTTGCTCGTGCGTGGTCGACCATGGATGGATGGCCAGCGTTTTGGAATCGCCGACGCTGCGTCGGTCCGGTCAGCTCGCCATGTTCTGCTGCACTCGTCGGGGAAAGGCGAACACCTACTTGGCAAGATTGGAGATCAATTTAAAGCCGTCGACGACCTGGCTACCGGCCACTGCGCCGCCCTTGACACCGAATGATAAAACCCCGCCAAACCCACGCGTCAGATAGCGCCGGGCGGTTTCGTGGCTGGGGTGGTCTTCCAGGCCGGGGTACGAGACCCAACTCACGTTCTCGTTGCTCCGAAGCCAATCCGCCAGAACCCGTGCGTTCGCTGCATGTCGCTCGGCACGCAGGCTTAGCGTCTCCAATCCCAGCAACAGCTGCTGCGCAGCGAACGGGTTGAGTGCCGATCCTACGTCGCGGAGGATTTCCACGCGGACGCGGATCGCAAAAGCAAGCGGTCCGAAGGTCTCCCAGAATTTCAGGCCGTGGTAGCCCGGGGATGGCTCGACAAACTGCGGGAAGCGTGCGGCGTGTTTGCCCCAGTCGAATTTCCCGCTGTCGATAACAACGCCGCCGATGGTGGTTCCGTGACCCCCGATCCACTTGGTTGCGCTGTGGACGACTATGTCGGCGCCGTGCTCGACGGGACGACAGAAGTAGCCACCGGCTCCGAACGTGTTGTCAACCTAGACGGTGCCGGCCCAGGGATGGGGAGTTGTTAGTAGTCGCCTCTATAGTTCCGTCACCGGATGGGGGTGCTTTAGTCCGTGCTTACCACCAAAGGGACGCCCTTTTCGTGAGCAACCTTGGCAATGGCCTCGAAGTCCGGTACATTGTACCGAGGGTTTCCAATTGTCTCAAGGTAGACCGCCTTCGTGTGATCATCGATGGCAGCGGCGATGTCGCTGGGGTCTTCTCCCCGGACAAACTTGGTGTTGATTCCCAGACGAGGGAACAGGACCTTGAACTGGTTGTACGTGCCGCCATACAAGTTACTTGTCGACACGATGTTGTCGCCGGCATGCGCCAGCGCCGAGATTGCCATGAACTGAGCTGCCTGTCCCGAGGAGGCTGCCACGGCTGCGACTCCCCCTTCGAGGGCCGCGATTCGTTTTTCGAACACGTCCACCGTCGGCTAGGGAATAAGTGATGGTGAGCGACTCCCCGACTCCCGGGAACCAGACGCACGTCCCGTAGGTACTCACGTTCATGATACGGCTATAGATGTTGCCGAATTCCTGGAGACCGAAGAGTCTGGCGCCGTGTGCCGAATCATTGAATTGGTATGACTGCGGAAAAAGGTTAGTAGTTGCTACTAGGGAGTACCGGTTGACCAGACCTACCGTCGTGGCGTAGATGGGCACTGCACGGGAATTGGTGGCGGCGTCGGGTTCATGACTGGAGATGTTAGTAGTCGTCGTTGATTGAATCTGGGGAGGGAATCACCCGGCGTGTAGTTGGAGGGTTTCAAAATGAGGCTGCGGTGGATTGGCCATGGGGGACAGAGGATAGAGGATAGAGGACAGAGGATAGAGGATAGAGGACAGAGGACAGGGGATAGAGGATAGAGGATAGACAAACGCGGGGTCGAGTTGGATGGTCCTCATCGTCATTCATTGTCTACGCGGGCGATGGCGTGATCCAGCCGTCTCCGTCCATCATTTCCTCCGGTCTCTCTGGAGTATATCCCTGCGAGTCTCTCTGCCAGTATCGCCATCCTCCATCCTATAGATCTGCATCCTCTCCCCCGCTATTTTTAGTGCAATCAGGCAATGGCATTAATTTCTTATTCCTTGCCAATGGCCATGAGCTATGAAGTCATCCAGCGTGTGCAGCCCTTGCGCCGAGGCGCTTGTCGTCATAAGGCTGCCGCGTTAAATCACAAGCTTCTGCCCATCTTTTTGGCCAACAAACACCAATCAATTCCTGTCGACACGAGCGCCTCCTCGGGTCTCATAAATCAGGGACTGGCGGTCGGGCACGATGGCCGCCTTCTTTTCCAATCCTGCTTCCCTTCCGACAACTAACCACGGGTCCCACTGGTACTCTTCTTACCTACGCCTACGACCTATCCATCTCCCCAGGTCAGTCCGATGTCACATATGTCAAGACATTCCAGGGTCGGAGGACGTCTTTGATGGCTCTCGCGGGACTTGCGTCAACATGGGTCACTAACGAGCGACCCTAGACACCACCACCAAACCTCGCCATGGCTTGGAGCTTCCCCTGGATCTATCCCGTTCGGGTCATCCAGGTCATCTTCGCCATCATTGTTCTCGGGTTGACCGCATATAGTCCGTTGGAACCCCATCTGTCCACCCCGGGGTAGGGTCTCGGAATGGATCTCGTGCTAACCCCATCACAGTCATTAGCCTTTTCCGTGGCAGCGACACCGTCAACTTCATGCTCTTCAATGGGATCTGGACGGCATTTTTTGCAACGCCCTATCTCGCCCTTGCCCCGGTGTTCGCTCCGAACCTGGCGCATCGGTTTGTCATTCCGGCGGTGGAAGCGATCACCATGATCTTTTGGTTCGCCGGGTTCATTGCCCTGGGTGCTGCGCTGCCTCCTGCAGAATATTGCCACTGGAGCGCTTGTAACTCGGCGCAAGCGGCAACAGTGTTTGGAGCGTTCGAGTGGTGCGCACCTTCCCCCCCCCCCACCCAAATCTACCTGGCGACTGCAACTAACGTCGTCGGTATAGGGCATTGTTCGTGGCCACGACCGTGACGTCTGTTCTTGGCGCTCTGCGATCCCGATCGAACTCTCCTAGTACGAAACCTGCCCCTCAAACTTCTGCTCACGTTGGCGTCTAAACGACTGTATAGCCGCGGTTCCGTGACGGGGATTCTCTGCCGGCACTTGAGAACCAACAGGATAGGTAGGGCCTTGGGAGCCTCCATACCTAACCTTCTCTTTCGCTCCTCATTTCTTATTGTTGTTGCTTTTGCCGCCTTTCTTGATGACCGTAAATGTATACCCCCTGTGTTCCATGTGTATTCAGAAATCAATAGCAAGTACTAGGGTGTTGGGCGTGGTGTTGGATGTTGACTCTTGACTCTTGAACACATATATATAACTCTATAGTAATATAATAGATGACGTGGCAGGCATCTGCAAAATGTAAAGCCTCGCAGGGAAAGATTCCCTTCGATTCGGGAGTCTCCGGCGGCAAAACCGTTCGTTTTTCCCGCCACCGCACGTTCCAGATCTGAATTCCACGGTCGACTCGACGCGAAAAAAAAATTCTTTCCTCCCCACTCCACTCATCGCCGGCCCACTTTGCCCGCCGGTCCTCTCCCATCCTGCGAGATGGCAAAAATGATCCGAAAACCTACCTAGGGCAACCACATGGAGATGGGAGAAGCAAGGGGGAAAAGGATAAGGCAAACGAAATAAGGATAAGAAAGAAAAAAAAAAAAAGAGGAGCCCTATCTAATGCTATTTCTATTAGTCCGGTCTCTGATTCAACTTGTCAAGCCGATCCTCCATCAACGTTGCATTCGTCCCAGGTACTAGTGCTTGACGAGAGACGACTGCCGCTCATCTCAGTCATTCCTTTTACATAACATCTTCCGGTCCTGAGTACATAATTTCATTATCTCCATCTCTGTCATTCGTCATTCGTTTCTATCTCTGATATATCGGCTGTCGAAAGAGGGGACGATTGGCTGTTCTTGCTATAAATCATCGCCTTGGCTCCCTTGGATTAACCAGTCCTACTCCACCACAGGAACTTGAGTCGGCGGAGCAGCACCTCTTTTTTTTTTTTTCTTTTTTTCTTTTTTTCTTTTTTTCCCCTTCCCGAAGAGACAGCGAGCCAAATTACATTTCAGAAAGCCCTGGGTGGTGACTCAAGCGTGTTTCGGTGGAGCCGGGAATTAGACCTTCCTGTTCACCTTTCCTCACAACCTTGACACATTTTTTTTGGGGGTTCCCCGACACTTTCCATTCATTCAGCACGTTTCTTCATCGACACCAATTGGACTGTCGACGGCCAAGCATGGCCTCTGAGAACGAGGTCAACACTGCGCCGAAGTTCGCTGGCGACAAGGGCATAATGCCCAACGAGGAAGCCGTCCAGTTCGAGTCTCATAACGCGTCCCCAGATGTACACGATGTGGACTGCGAGAAACATGGCGCAAGCCGCGAGTCCAATCCGCTCCCCGATCTGAAGCGGAAGCTAAAGAGCAGGCATTTGCAGATGATTGCTATTGGTAGGTCTTGAACACATGTTCCCTCCAGTATCAAGTCCTGACCTGTGCCTAGGTGGTACAATTGGAACAGGTCTCTTTATCAGCAGCGGTACTGCGATTGCCAGCGCCGGTCCCGTCGGTGCACTCATCGCGTACCTCTTCGTCGGCACGATCGTTTACTCCGTCATGACCTCAATGGGAGAAATTGCAACCTACATCCCAATCCCCGGTGCCTTTACGTCCTATGCCGCTCGCTTGATTGACCCCAGTCTGGGTTTTGCTATGGGCTGGATCTATTGGTTCTCTTGGGCCAGCACCTTCGCACTTGAACTGACGGCCACGGGGCTGATCATACAGTTCTGGGATGAGGACATCAATATCGCTATCTTTATCGCCATCTTCTGGGTTGTGATCACCCTCCTGAACTTCCTGCCCGTCAGCTTTTATGGGGAATTGGAGTTCTGGTTTGCCAGCATCAAAGTCCTCACTGTGATTGGATTTATGGTTTTCGCAATTTGCATCAATGCCGGCGCCGGCGGGAGGGACTATATTGGGTTTCGCTATTGGGTTAACCCCGGTCCTTTTTCGCCGTACGAGCATGTCTCGCCCGATTCGACTGCCAAGTTCGTGGGCTTCTGGGCGGTGCTTATCAAGGCCAGCTTTTCGTACCAGGGCACCGAGTTAGTCGGTATCGCTGCCGGTGAAACCGAGAACCCTCGCAAGACCGTCCCCTCTGCCATTCGCAAGACCTGTTTCCGCATCCTATTCTTCTTCGTCTTGACAATCTTTTTCATCGGTATCCTGGTGCCCTACACTAACGAAAGCCTCCTCACGGACGGCAATGATGCTAACTCCTCGCCCTTTGTCATCGCCGCCAGGTTGGCCGGTGTCAAAGTCTTGCCGGACATCATCAACGCGGTCTTGCTGACGGTGGTGCTTTCTGCTGCCAACTCCAACGTATACAGCGGAAGCCGTATCCTGATCGGCTTGGCCCAGGAAGGGTTTGCGCCGCGTTGGTTCAAGATGACCACGAAGCAAGGTGTGCCGTACTTCAGCGTGGCGTTTACTGCCGCCTTTGGTTTGCTTGGGTTCATGAACGTGTCCAATGCTGGCAGCACGGTATTCAACTGGCTTCTGAACATTGCCGGCGTTGCCGGCATCATCACTTGGGCGTCGCTAAATGCTTGCCACCTGGCTTTCATGCGTGCTTTGAAGGCTCGCAACATCTCCCGTGATCTTGTGCCCTACAAAGCTCCTTGGCAGCCATGGTATGCCTGGTACGGACTCTTTTTCAACGTCCTGATCACTCTGACCCAAGGGTTCACTGCCTGGATCCCGACCTTCAACGTGACCGACTTCTTCATTGCCTACATCAGCTTGATCCTTTTCGTGGTGTTGTACGTGGGCCATAAGATCGTCTACCGCACGTCTTTCGTTCGCCCTCTCGAGGCCGACATCGATACCGGTCGCACCCCGGTGGAGAATGAGTCGTGGGAAACGACGGCGCCGACTACGAAGTGGTATCACAGGCTGAAGCTCGGCTAGGCCTTTTTATTGCATGTCGCGGGGATGTGATCAGGGGATGAGAAGGGGAAACTTTCACCCAGACTTGTTCTACAACGATCTATTGCACATACAACAGGCTGCATTGAGGAATGATTTTACGGTGTAGGATCGGATCAAGAGGCTAGGAAGAGCGTCGCGCCGGAAGGCGGACACCTCAGGCGAATGTCTCGGCCTACTTCCTAATCAATTTTTGTATAGTATTCAGTGATTGTTTTCTTGTTTTGGCATTGGCATTGGCATTGGCACGGAGTTGGGTGAAGTCGTTGCTTTGGGATATTCACATATATATATCCTTTGTGTTTTAGTACTGTATAATTCAATATATCTACTACCTACATTCTATCGGACTACCACGTATATATATCCCGTGTCCAGCCACAACAGTGACTCGACCAGAGTTTCTACTCGTGGCAATGGAGAATCGTACAATAGCGAGGGTATGTAAGAAGAGGTATCAAAATAATTGAGTAACACTAGTTCGACTGACGTGGAAATCGCAGATACATGAAACAGGTTTGCTAGTTTTATAGCATGCAGCGAATAAATTCACAAGACCACCCAAATCCAAGGACGTAGAAAGAGAACAGTCGTGTACAGGAACGGGGGGACACAAGAGAAAAACCCCATGGGGAAACGAAATAAAGCGGAAGATGAAAACGACGAAGGAAAAAGGACGGAGGAGCAAAAGAAAAAAAAAAAAAAAACAGCACCTCAATCCGCCTAAGGACTAGCCAAGTACATTCCTCGTATGCCGAAGACCGAGGAACCGTGTCAATAGTTTAAAAGCATCGCGTTAACGAAGCAGCAATTCGCGAGCAAATACCGAGAGTCTTGACAACCCATACATGATTAGTTGCCCGACCTCAAGAGAAACAAAAGAGACAGAAAAGAAAAGCAACCCATTTTTTTTGAGACAGAACATAAAAGATAAACCCCCCTTCAAGAGACCGTCCTGAAGCTCGAACGCCAAGTTCCCAGATCAAAAGAGGATTTACAGCGGAAGAGAAAAGAAGAGAAAGAAAACGGGGATGGATCAAGAAGCCACCACATCAGTTACCTCCCTGGCCAGGAGGCGGGGGCTGCGCGGAGCCACCGGAGCCCGCCTGCGCTCCGCCCATCATGAAACCCGGGGGAAACATGCCGGGGATGGGGACGGAAAAGCCGAAACTGGGCACCGTGGGAGGCACGCCGACATTGTTGGCACTGGCGACATCGCGGTCCGCGTGGCCACCGCCCATGGCGCCCATGCCCGTCGGGGGCTCGCGCTCGGGACGGCGGAAGCGATCTTGCTGCGAACGGGAGGAAACCGGGCCACGCTTGCCGCCAGTGTCGGTGGCAATCCGACGACTGATGGCTTTCGACGAAACTCCAGCCCCGATCTCAATATCCGGCTCTTCGACAACCATGCCGGGGTCGATGGGCGCTCCGCCCGTTCCGCCATACTCGGCCGTCAACATCCACTTGCGATCGGCTTCGGTGAGTCTGTCGATTGGAATGATACTGATGCCGGTCTGGTAGTCACTGCAGTCGCGCGGTCCAAACCCCACGCCCCATCGAGTCTGCAACCGGTCAGCGCACGCCACAAGGGGGTTGGGGGGAAGATAAGAGATAAACAGCCTTGAGAACTTACCCGAAGTTGCATATCGCCGGACCGGTACGATTCCATGCCGTCGCGAGCCCGGATGGCATCGGTGCGGCTGATCATTTTGATGAAAGCGTGGCGTTTGTCGATGTTCACAATACAAGTCTGAACGATGCCGAATTTGCTAAACAGCGCGCGAAGCTGAGACTCGGAGGAACTGGTGACCGGCAACGTTAGTGGAATTGAAAGACCGATGGTTGACTGATTGAGGAGACTTACGTGACACCGCCCACGAACAGGGTCCGGCTGAGGACCTTGATGTGATTCTGACCGATGGAGTAGTCCCACTCGATCTTCTTTTCGCCGGGAGGAGGCAAGGCCGGGTCCTTGCGGGGGGAAGGAGAGCGACGTCTGCGTCCGGGCGGGCTGCGTTGGCGATAGTCGTTGCCGCGACGGCCGCGCGGATCGCCACCGCGGCGACCGGGCGAGTCGCCGTGATACTCGCCATAGACGGGGCTGTCGCGACGACGCGGAGGCGAGGGCCGGCGGTCCCAGCCGGGCGAGCGAGAGCGACCGCGGTGATACTGGCCGGGCGGCGACCGCATGAAGTCGCGCGGATCGCGCTCGTAGTCTCGAGCCTGCGAGTCGGGGCGGCCCCAGGCACCGACGGACTGGCCGGGCAGGTTGAAGCCGGGCGCCTGGCCGGCCGTCATGTTGGTCAGGAGCTGCAGGGCGGGGACCCACTGCTCTTGCGGGATTCCCTGCGCGGCCAGGGCCTGCAGGAGCTGGAGCTGCTGCTGCAGTGGATCCGGCGCCATGGAGGGCGTTTGCTGAGTCGGGGCTGCAGTCGCCTGCGGCAGTAGCGCCGCCAGCGGGTTGGGAGCCGCGGCCAGCGGATTGGGGGTCTGGCTTTGGCTCTGCGGCTGAACCAGCGCTGGGTTGGGACCGGGGACGCTGCCCAAAGCCGCGAACGGGGTTCCCATCGCCCCGGAGGCATAGGGATTTACGCCGGCCTGCCCGTTGGAAGAGTGCGAAACGGGATCTACGGATGACGGCATGGGAGGCGGGACGGTACTCGGCTGGCCCAGCGCATGAAGAGGGTTAGTCGGCGGCGCCACTGGCGGCGCCGGCGCCGGCGCTGCGGTGTTCTGCTTGGCCATATCTGCCAGAGCCTTCAGGATGCTGGACGTGTCGGGCGCCGACGCACTCGCGCCGTTTGCCGGTTGCTGCGACTGCGACTGCGACTGCTGCTGCTGCTGCTGGCCGCCCAGCGGAATGTAGTTCGGGGCCGGAGACCCTTCCGGAGTGGTGGATTCCACATCTATCGATACCACATCAGACGGACATGCTCGACCTCGCAGTCAACGACGCGAGAAAGGAACGTGGGGGAAGGGAGACGGCTTACTGTGCGATGAGGGCGCATTTAGTTTGTCCTTGAAGGACGCAAGCATCGGGGCGGGAAAGGTGTATCCGCGCTCCCAGATATCAACCAGTTTCCTGATTTTTTCCTATATGAAGCCACGAGCCAATACGTAAGTTGCACTATTCGCCACGAGGAAACGGGACAAGGGTCTAGGGCGCAGGCAAGTTCTATGTGGCGGGAGATACGTAAATCAAGACTTATAAAGGCGGGATGCGAGCAGAGATCACCGCCGCGTCCCGGCCCTATGCATGCCCGCCAATCTCGAGGAACTTGGCCGCTTCTTCGCATCGTGCATCTAGTGCGTACCTTTTGATCTTCGGGAGCATTGTTTATGATATCAGTCATCAAGACAGGTAATAGTTCGGTCACTCTGTTAACGCCCGCGGCAAAGGTTCCATCCGGCGCCGCGCTGCCAGGCGGCTGGCCGGCCTTGCGCGCTGCTTCTACCCACTGTCGAGTTACAGAGTCTACGACATAGAGTACGCCCAATTTGTGTGTTCCCGGTGCCTTTTTGAAGTGTGTATAGATCTTCTGGATGAGGACGGATTCATTCTGCGGCGCACGACGCTCGTTAGCCTGGGCGCTCCTCTCGTCAAGCACGACGCGGGCGGAAGGGGGAAGGAGATGCATTACCTGGACGTTCGCCGTACACAGCGACGTGATACTGTTGATCTTGGACCCCGAAACTCCCGGGGGCTTCAGGGCCAGCATCGACTGGAGATAGCTATCCAGCTCTGCTACAGCAGAAGACATGGTGAAAGGTGGATTATTTGGGGTTGGAAGCCCGGGTCCAGTACGGAAAGGAACGGAAGAAAGGTGGCCCAAGACTGCTTGATTATCGCTGCAGGCTGAAGGAGGTCAAGGGATGACTGAGGATACCAGGGACCAGGTCGTTTCTACCGGGAGATCCAGTACTGTATGGAGATAGGATATTGTGATGTTTTCTTAAACGAGTGAGAGCGACGTCTTAAGCGGACTCCTGATCGTGTCACTACGGACTTGCGAGCGTACACAGGCACCCACAGGAGAATCCCGCCTACAGCTGGAACACAGCCAAGCGATCGTGTCCAGAGCTTTGCGACTCGCGAACGAGCACGTGTACACGGATGTACGAGCTAAAGGTGAGAGAAGTAAAAGAACCGAGAATGAGCGAAGCAGGCCAACAAGTGAGGTGGAAATGGATGAAGTTACGACGCAGATGCGAGTGACGTGGTGGATGTCAGGAAGGAGATGGACGTCGATGAAAGAGAAGAAAGGAGGAGAGCATAAAGAGGGAAGGAGTTTGACGAGGAGGAGGTCAGGTGAGCGAAAATTTCCCTGCCGGCGCTAGTCCACGACGGGCAGCCCGGCGGCCTCAGGCGGCGACACTGGCACGTGACCACCGCCCGGGTCTTACTCAGCGCGGCCGGTGAATCAAACCGGCGACGGACGGCGGATGATTCGTGTCAAGAAAGGGGGAGTTCCACCGCCAGATTCTTACGGCCGTGACTGCCTCCCCATCATGGAACATGCCTCTTCCCTGGAATTGTGACCATTCATCGGAGTAGGTAGTACGGTACCTAGATACTCCGTATATTACGGCGGAGGATGGAAGTAGCGATTGGCGGCCTGAGAGATCAGGATGGCGATACGCCGACGTCATCCATCAGCACTACTCCGTTTACGGAGTGCCGAGATCGTCAATTAATGTAGGTCTAACTCTAACGTTGAGAGGGAAAACAAAAGCCAACAATTCGGTCGGCTTAAAGAAACGAGAAGCAAAGAAAGTTAAACAAATCCGAAGGATCGTATCTCGCAGATATCCGAGTGGTTGAAGGTGTTCCTTCCTCCGTAGCCCCGTAGATAAGATCCCAACGTGATCGGAGTGCTGCTACTCCGGGGAAGGATGGATGTGTACAGAGTAGAGTGGAAATTCATGCCCCGGAGAACAGGAAACAATGAAATCGGCGACTCTGTGGACAGGAGGATGGCACCCATATACCTCCAGCCCAGGGACTCCGTATACTCGCTCAGGAATCGATGACAGAATAAAACTCGGGAGACCGGGACGCCTTGGGAGTAGCTCGCGTTACCGTACAATACCCACTCCCGCCCGCTGCCTTGCCTCGGTGCCGGTTGTTACCGTATAATCCGCGTACCGGCTGTACCGTTACGGCCAGATGGAAAAAAAGGGCCGCCGAAAGAGCTTCTCCCGAATCTCCTTAGCATCTTTTTCTTTCTTACCTCTCTTTTCTCCCTTCCTCACCCTCCTCTCATTCTCCATCACTTCTTCAACCACATCCCCAAGGTTGCTTGATCATCATGGCCTCTACGTTGAGACTTGGAACCTCCGCCCTTCGTTCCTCCACCCTCGCCGGTAAGCCGGTCGTTCAGTCGGCCGCCTTGAATGGCTTGCGCTGCTATTCTACCGGCAAGGCCAAGGTACGTTCGGATCGTTCGGCCGCTGTCCTGGGCCATCTTTGCTAACCTCGTCTGCTCTCAATCTAGTCCCTGAAGGAGACTTTTGCCGACAAGCTTCCCTCCGAGCTCGAGAAGGTCAAGAAGCTCAGAAAGTACGCACCTCTCCTACACCGGAACAACCCTACTGCCATTGCTAACCACACAATCGAAAACTTGCAGGGAGCATGGCCACAAGGTGATCGGTGAGGTCACCCTTGACCAGGCCTACGGTGGTGCCCGTGGTATCAAGGCCCTGGTTTGGGAGGTGCGGATCAACTCCCATCGGACTCGTCTCCCCTGCAAACACCGGCTAACTTCACATAGGGCTCTGTTTTGGATTCCGAGGAGGGTATCCGCTTCCGTGGCCGCACTGTAAGTCTTAGAACGCCTATATCGTCGAATTTCCAAAATCTAACAATCGCCTAGATCCCCGAATGCCAGGAGCTTCTTCCCAAGGGCCCCGGTGGCCAGGAGCCTCTCCCCGAAGGTAAGAGAAAATCGGCCGACAGGGAACGGTACAATCCATCTTGTGCCGTTGCTAATAGACTGCAGGTCTTTTCTGGCTCCTGTTGACCGGCGAGATCCCCTCTGAGCAGCAGGTTCGCGACCTGTCTGCTGAGTGGGCTGCTCGCTCTGATCTCCCCAAGTTCATTGAGGAGCTCATCGACCGCTGCCCCAGCACTCTCCACCCCATGTCCCAGTTCTCGCTGGCCGTCACTGCCCTCGAGCACGAGTCTGCCTTCGCTAAGGCCTACGCCAAGGGCATGAACAAGAAGGACTACTGGAACTACACCTTCGAGGACTCCATGGACCTCATTGCCAAGCTTCCTACTATTGCCGCCAAGATCTACCGCAACGTCTTCAAGGACGGCAAGGTCGCTCCTATCCAGAAGGACAAGGATTACTCCTTCAACTTGGCCAACCAGCTCGGCTTCGGCGACAACAAGGACTTCGTTGAGCTCATGCGTCTGTACCTCACCATCCACTCTGACCACGAGGGTGGCAACGTCAGCGCCCACACCACCCACCTGGTCGGTAGCGCTCTGAGCTCCCCTATGCTCTCTCTGGCTGCCGGTCTCAACGGATTGGCTGGTCCTCTGCACGGATTGTAAGTTAAGACAACATGAAAAAAAAAAAAAAAAAAAAAAAAAGAGGGGGGATGGAAACAAGAATGGTATGGCTAATAGTTACTTTTCACAACAGGGCCAACCAGGAGGTGCTTAACTGGCTCACCAAGATGAAGGCCGCCATTGGAAACGACCTCAGCGACCAGGCCATCAAGGACTACCTGTGGTCCACCCTGAACTCCGGCCAGGTTGTTCCTGGCTATGGCCACGCCGTCCTCCGTAAGACGGATCCTCGTTACGTTTCCCAGCGCGAGTTTGCCCTTCGCAAGCTTCCTGATGACCCCATGTTCAAGCTGGTCAGCCAGGTTTACAAGATCGCCCCCGGCGTCTTGACCGAGCACGGCAAGACCAAGAACCCCTTCCCCAACGTCGATGCCGTAAGTTCTACTCCCTGGCCCGCCTGCAATACGGATACTAACTTCGGTCCAGCACTCCGGTGTCCTCCTGCAATACTACGGCCTGACTGAGGCCAACTACTACACCGTCCTGTTCGGTGTCTCCCGTGCCCTTGGTGTTCTTCCCCAGCTGATCATTGACCGTGCTCTGGGTGCCCCCATCGAGCGCCCCAAGAGTTTCAGCACCGAGGCCTACGCCAAGCTGGTCGGTGCCAAGCTCTAAACTCGCTCTATGAATTGTAAAAGACGGAGGAGATGTATTTTGTTATGATCAAATATCACATTGTATTATTTTTCCTGTGTTAGAATTCTTTTTTTTTTTTCACACCTCTTGCCTTTTTCGTTTTAATAAAACTGGGACGCGATGAGTGTTGGGGGTTTGAGCTCTATACTCCGTACTAGTACTATGAATGATAGAAACTAGGTTCGCGTGGGCCTGGTAGCGTGCGGCACTGGAAATCGTTGTCCACCTTTAATCCACATATCCGGACTCCGGGTGTAGTGCACGAGCCGGGTGGTTTTTCCCTGTTTCTGGTATGTCAGGGCATGAGGAAGAAAATCCAAGTAGTAAAAGAAACCAGCGAGAACCACGACGAGGATACGCTTCCTCCGTACTCCGGAGAGGGCGGACTCCTCCGGAGGGCAATCCTGCTCATCTGCTCATCCTGCCGGAGTCGTCCTGGGCGGACCGAGCCCGAGAAAGGGGGCCGCTGGACTGGGATGTACTTCGTAGATAACAGTCCGCGGGTCTCAACCGATCGCGCCAACTGTTGGGAGGGCCCGGTTTGCTCCGCGAGCGCAACTGCGGGCCTCGGGTCAACCACACCGCCAGCCCGCAAGCGGCTTAGCGGCTCCCCAATTGTTTTGTTTTCTTGGGGAAATCCGTTAATTTTAGATTTGGCGACTTCCGCCCGGCGCTGCGCCTGAGGCTGCCACCCCGGCCCGTCGTTGTCCCGGTATTATTGGCGACGGCGGCTATAGTCGACCTGCTAGTTGCTCGCAGGCACTCAGCTGCCTCCGACGCCGGTTATATTTCCCTCCCATTCCTTCTCTCTCTTCTCCTTCCTCCGTCACCCATCTCTTTCTCACCTTCGAATCTCCCTGGCTTACTTGCTCCTGCTCGTCCCTGTCGCTCCCATCGCGCACTCCCTTCGATTTCCTGTGATCCCTTAGGCGACGAAGCCCCCTACATCCCTTGGTCAGGGCCCCTTTCAGTGCTCCCCAAGGCTAGACATGTCTACTGCTACTGCCGGAACGGCCTCTACTGGCCCCACGCTCGAGAAGAAGCCCGTGAAGTTCAGCAACCTGTTGCGTATGTGATCCCTTCCCGGCCGCAACCCGATGGAGACCATCGTTCGGTGCTGATGCCAGATTTACCACAGTGGGCGCTGGGCTCAACATGTTCGAGTAAGTTTCTTCTCCATAGATGCTCTTCCACTTGCCATACCGGCCGGATGCTGACACGCGACCGTAGGGTCACCTCTTTGGGACAGGTAATTCCAATCTCTCGGACCCGCATGCCTGGGGCTCTCGAGCATTGCTAACTTTTGGAAATAAAAAGCCACTGGAAGTGATCAAGACAACCATGGCTGCGAACCGGGGCGACAGCTTCGCCGGCGCTATGGGTCGGATATGGGGTCGTGGCGGGATCCTCGGTTGTAAGTGACATTCTCCTCCCCCCGCCTGGGGTCCGTCCTCCGACTAGTGTGGGGTGTCACGGCTAACGTGGGATAATCTTGTAGATTATCAAGGTCTCATTCCGTGGGCCTGGATTGAGGCCTCCACCAAGGGCGCCGTCCTCCTCTTCGTTGCGTCCGAGGCGGAGTTCCGTGCCAAGGTTCTCGGTGCCCCTGACTTCCTCGCCGGTATCACCGGAGGTATGACCGGTGGTATCGCCCAGGCGTACGCAACCATGGGCTTCTGTACCTGCATGAAGACCGTCGAAATCACCAAGCACAAGATGGCGGCCCAGGGTGTAAAACCCCCGAGCACTTTCGCGACCTTCGCGGACATCTACCGCAAGGAGGGCATCCGAGGCATTAACCGTGGTGTCAATGCCGTCGCCATTCGTCAGACCACCAACTGGGGATCCCGATTCGGTCTTTCCCGTTTGGCAGAGTCGGCGATCCGCAAGGTCACGAACAAGACCGAGGGAGAAAAGCTGGGTGCCTTCGAGAAGATCCTGGCTTCCGGTCTGGGCGGTGGTCTCTCCGCCTGGAACCAGCCCATCGAAGTCATCCGTGTCGAGATGCAGAGTAAAACCGAGGACCCTAACCGGCCCAAGAACCTGACCGTGGGCAAAACCTTCAAGTACATCTACGACACCAACGGCATCAAGGGTCTTTACCGTGGTGTCGCTCCCCGAGTGGGACTGGGCATCTGGCAGACTGTTTGCATGGTGGCGCTCGGTGACATGTGAGTTCTCCTCTTCCTTTCCCCGTCGTTTCGTTGGCGAATCCCATGTGATTACCGAGGGTCCGAGTGATGCTAACCTGTGGGTCTCCGTTCTGCCGAATAGGGCCAAGGAAGCCGTCGAAAAACTGACGGGCGACCAAGTCACTGCGAAGCACTAGAGAAGGTTTGAAATACCCTTCTGCCATGCGTGGCCTGCCATGCGGCTCTGCATCGAACGGACTTTGGTCGGGGAGGGTATCAATCGGTCAAGCATTGAGACCAGCTGGGCAGCGGGCACCAGTGGCCGTATAATGCCGCCCAAAAACAGAATAGACTCTTGAGATTCGAGCAGCAGTGGTCCGCCGGGCCTATCCATCTATGAATATAACTAATTGCGTGATCCTGTGTCACCGGTCATTCAGTAGCATTGTCGTAGTGAACCCATCACCGTAGCCCTTATCATGATCTAAACGTGTCTATTGGACAGTTAGACTGCCAACCTCCCATGTAGACAACTGCTGATATGAACATATATTTTTCTACATATAACATATATATATATACTCTTCAAGACTTGCTAATGGTTTTAAAAACATGTTCTACATCTGATCTGGCAAGTACACTACTGCTCTGACGACATAGCCTAGCAGGAGAAACCAGCAAACGAGCACATGGGAGCAGATCGAATAAGGTACAGTTGTATTACAGTCACACAACGAGCTACAGCCACATAACAAAAAAGATATCTGCGAAGATGGATCTAGACACATAAGAAGAATGAAGCAGCGGGGAGGGAAAGGCGGGGACGCTTTTTTCCAAGCCAGTCTAAGGATGTAATGTATACATTTTAAACGGTCAGACCCAAGTCCTCGGCGTACGGGAGCTGGAAGAGGTCTCCAACGGCGGCGACGGAGGCCTTGCCAGAAAGGAAGGACTTGGCGGCCTGTGCGAAGAAATGATGCGTTAGTCTCCGACTCTCCGACGGGATCTGAAAAAGCGAGACCAAAGAAACTTACCTCCTTAACCTGAGCCTCGGTGACACTGTCGATGCCCTGGGCGATCTCGCTGATCTGGTACGGCTTGCCACCGTGGACAAGAGCAGATCCGCTGGCCTCAAGACCAGTCTCAAGGGTCTGGGCAGATTCGAGAGCACGGAACTTGGCCAGGGCGGTGGCCTTCTTGATATCCTCGCTGGCGATCTCGCCGGCGGCGGCCTTCTTGAGGAAATCGACGGTGTTCTTGCTGGCGGAAGCAACCTTGTCGGCCTTGCCGGAAAGCGTAACGGTGAAAAGACCGGCGTCGGAGTAGGTGTGGTTCTGGGTGGAGGCGCGGACCTGAGAGAAGCCCTGGGTGGCCTGCGAAAGGAGAGAGAAGCCAGGAGTCCACTTGATGGTGGACTCACCGCCGAGAAGGGCAGCGAGCACGGAAGCCTCGGGCTTGTAGCCAGAGGTTCCGAAAGCGCTGGAGCCGGGGAAAGCGATCACAACGGCGTTGCCAGCCTTGGAGGAGATACGCTGCTCACCTCCGTAGTACTTGGAGGCGCTGGAGGGCTTCACCTGGTACTGGCTGGCGCTACCAGTGCTCGGGAGCTCCTTGAAAAATTCGCCAACCCACTTGGACAGGTCGGCGGAGTTGGGGCCACTACCAACAAGGGCAATGTTGGACTTGGCGTAGGCCTGCTGGGCATATTCGAGCAGGGCCTCGGCAGAGAGGTATTTCTCGAAGGGGACGGCGAGAGAGGGAGTGATGGTCTCACCCAGACCACGGTGGAAAGCCAGAGCGTGGGCAGCGTCAACAGCGAGCGCCTCGGGGTTGGCCGAAAGGGCTTGTTGTCTGTACTTCAGCAGCTTGAGGACGACCTCATCCAACTCGTGGGCTATCAAGGAGAGGCGGAAAAAAACCAGGTTAGACCCATCTTGCTCGATCATTGGGGATGATTGAGGCCGTCGTCCACTTACCAGCAAACTTGGTCTGAGAAGCAACCTCGGCCAACAGCTCCGCGAAGTAAGGGAGGTCATTGGAGAGGAACTTGGCCTTCAAGACGATGTTTTCACGCGTATGTGACGAGGAAACTTCACCGCCCAGCAGTTCAACCTCCCGAGTAATCCGCAATGCCGACCGTTTGAGCGTAGTCTGTCAATTGAAAGGGATATCCCGTTAGAGTCCAGACGATCAGGGCGCGCTGCCATTGCGTGTTGGGAACGAACCTTGAAGGCGAAGTATTCGAGGGCGTCGGCGAAGCCAGGGAAAGGCTGGTAACGGGGGCCGGCCTTTGCAACCAGTGCGAGGGTGCCCGTCGGGCCCGCAACCTCTCTGTTGGCGACCTTCACACCGGCAGACTCAGAGACGTCGTACTGGAGGCCGGGGGTGACGGCAGAGGCCATGCCCCGACGGCTGCTGGCGGCAGCACCAGAGCACTGCTGGAGCGCACGGGGCGCATTTCGGCTGAAAGTAGACCGCGATAGCATCATCGCATGTGTAGGAAAAGAACTGGAGGAGAGGAAATGGAGGCAGCCGGAAGGCTTGACAGCAATTGGGAGGGCGGTGGGGGAAGAAGGGGGAGGAGGAGAGGAGCAGAGCCAGGCGGGTTGGAAACGGATGTCTGAAAAGCTTCAAGATGGCCGCCGGCCTTGATTACTCGCGCGCTGATTGGCCCAGATGGCGAGCGCGGGCGGAACCGGCGCTTCGCCGTCAGGTGACGCCACGTGACCGCACGTGAGCCGGCGATAAGAAATTCGCAGTGATTGAGCGCCTCGAGGGCCCTCCATCCCCCTCCATGCCCTCGAGCTCCTGAGTTTCGCATCGCCTGCCTGCTCCCCTCGCACCGGCTCCCTCATGACCCATCCCCGGTGACCCGCACTGCCCCTTCTGGAGATCCGAACGCCGCGGCGTTCTCGAGCAGATCCTCCGACATGACCTCGCAAGTATGCGGCCCTGCCCCGGTGATTGTTCTCAGCTGCTGACCCAGGCCTATCTAGTATGCCGCCGAGCTCTGCACGCTCCTAGTCGAGGACAGCTTTGGCGAACTTTTTTCGGTATGCTTGAGCCCAGTTTGCCCGCGGGAGCTTTCCACGCTGATCGTTCTATGTGTGACCGGTAGCGCATCTTCTCGACCCTCCTCCGTTACGATCGACTTACCCTCCCCCGTCTGAAGTTCTACTCTCGTCTCTCGGACCGTCAACTTCATCATGGACTGGCCGCCATGGTTCAGCAACACCTTGTATTCCACTATACCTCTTACGATGAAGGCGTCACGTACTACGAACCAAACATGCAGTCGGCCTACTACCTTGTCAGGTCCGGGAAGATCGTGGAGTTCGTAGAAGACCGACTGGGAAAGTATGCAGCGAAGGTCATGTCAACCATTCTTTACCTCGGACATGCGCAAGTCAGCTATCTCGAAATGCTCCCCGATCTACAGCCGGAACCCGTCGATGCGAATGGAGCGGACGCCCCCGAAGAAGGAAATGGAGACGAGGATCAAACAGCCGATCCCAATGGTCAGCATGCGCCCTCCGAAAACCCCGCTCTTCTCCATCCAACACTCAAAGCTTTGGCGGGCCACGGTTACATATCGCGAGTTAGGGAGGCGCAATTTCAAAGTTACGCTGATAACGTGCTGGACATCGAGCGCGCAATCAAATCAAGGCCCGACGTAAAGGCCATGAAGGGCAAAAAGCTCGAGGAAACGGTTATTGAGGGAACGCTCAATTTACTTCGGGAGAGGTTAGATGGGGACCTGACTCGCGGTCTGATGTTTAATGGAATTCCGCGCGGGGCCAAACGAAAACATGACTCCAAGTCTACCAATGGGCGGGCTCAGCCGGATTACGCTGCGGTTGACGAGGATGACGAGGGAGAAGAAGAGAATGAATGGTCGGATGATGACATGGGCGAAGACACGATACCAATGGAGGTGAGACCACCGGTTTCCGCAGAATTCCTGCTTTCCTAGGACGGCCCTATTGACATCATTTCAGTCCGGAATAACCGTTCGCGTGAATTATGAAAAGCTTGACGTTGCTCTCCGCAATCGTCGGTTCCTCGATCTTGCCGAGCATAATTCGTCTTCGGCAACTGTCCGAGTCTATGATTGCCTTCTTCGCCGCATCGAATATCAAACGCATCAGTGCCGGGAGACCACTGAGATACCTCGTGAAGGCGAGGAGGGCGAACAATACTCCGCTCCGATCTCTCTTAGCGCAGTATGTGAGGATGTCGATCCCCGGCTGGATCTTGCCGGGTCCATTGGTCCCATGGAAGTGTCTCAGCCCGTCAACAAACGTGGGAAACGGCCGTTGGATGATGGTGTAAACGGCGAAGGGGCCAACGGGCTACAGTCGGGGGGCAACCGCACCTATGAAATTGATCAGCACCTCTCTCTTCTTGCGCAGCCTCCTTTCAACCTCACCTCGAAGCGCATGGTTTCAGGATTGATTACGTGGACCGTCGAATTCCGCCATCTGGCTCGCAAGCTTCGCCATCTTGAATTAGAACGTATGATCGAAGCACGGTACGGGGATGTTGCTCTCCGAGTGATCCGTGTACTTCACGCGAAGGGCAAGCTCGACGAGAAGCGACTCCAGGAAATCAGCCTCTTGCCCTTTAAGGACTTGCGACAGGTCCTTGCGAGCATGCAAGCGGGAGGGTTCGTGGATCTGCAGGAGGTGCCTCGCGATGCGCAACGACAGCCCTCGCGCACGATCTATCTCTGGTATTACGATCCGGACCGCATCCGTAACAGTGTTTTGGAAGATACCTACAAGGCGATGTCTCGGTGCCTGCAGCGCCTGCAGTTCGAGCGAAATCGCTTGAAGGAGTTTCTGGAAAAGACAGAACGCAGTGACGTGAAAGGAAACGAGGAGCGGTATCTTTCCGAAGCGGAATTGACTCTATTAGAGCAGTGGAGGGCCAAGGAGGCGTTGTTGATAGGAGAAGTGTCTAGGTTGGATGAGATGGTGGCCGTGATGAGAGATTACTAAAGATAATCGTATGACGAGCAACGAAATACACGTGCATACATATATATGTATGTGTGTATAGATGTATAAAGGAGAAAAAAAAAGAATTGCATATGCGTTCTGCAGTTCTATCCACCTCATGTATACTACGGTGAAAGATCTGTCGGTCAATTCTGGCGCTACAGAGTATTGAATCCTCTAGCAGAGCTGCAATGCAGATCGGTTGGTAGAAAAGGACATTCGAAAGTCACATCCACTAGTCAAAGTTAAAATCATCAATCATATAAAAAGGAAGAAAACAAATCAAGATTGAATCAAATGAACGAATTGGGAATATCAAAAACTAGACCACCCCATTTATACATGCAGAATCAAATCGACAACTCTCTTCAATCGTGAATATTAACAATTTGTTCTCAAACGTGGTGTCGTGAAACATCTCGCGTAACATACATTTCTCCCCGGAGAAAATGCATCCCACAAGAGCGCAATCGTCTCCGCACGTAGCCCGAAAGACTATGCAGAGCCATTCTTTTCCGGGGCCTCGCCGTTCGTTCCCTCCTGTGTGGACTTGTCCAAGGAGTCGCTCTCAGGACCGACCATTCCATCCGAGGTGATCTTGGAGGTATCGAGCCGGGTCTCGGCTGACTTCAGCTTTCCTTTCGTCTCTTCAAGCTCTTGCTTGAGCGCTTTGATATAATCGATGGCCATTTCCACCGTACTGGCTTTGCTGACCTGTTGGTTTCCAGCCTTCTCCTTTTCCTTATCCACACCTTTCGCGCTGCACAGAGCTTCTTCCTTGGCGTTTTTCAAGTGGAAAAACTCCAGGGGAATGAGAGTTTCAATTTCCTTGAGTGCGTTATTGATGCGGTTTCGGCGACCCTGCTCTGCGAGTTTGTGATTCGTTCGCTTGGAACTCAAGTTCTCGGCCAAGGTCTCGGGGTAGGAAACTCCAGGAAGAAGAGTGCCATCCAAGATGTGCTGGTAGTTGGACTTGGATGCTAGATATAGAGCGGACGTTTCGCCCGAGACTCCTGCAATCGACGCCCGTTAGCTAAGATAAAACTGGTGCAAAAATGCCCGGGGAAATTTAGGGGTACCTACCGTCTCCACGGACTAGAGGCTGGATACTTGGGCTGATCTTGGGGCGCAGGTTGGGGCTGGCCTGCGTGGAGCTGATACTCGGTCGTTTTCGGCTCGAGGGACCAAGCTTGGGCGTGTCCGATTTTTTGGCCACTGGTCCGCTGGGCGAAGGCATGGCAATAGAGCGCGGGCTGGGTGCGATAGACCCGGCGCTCCGCTCCGTGTTTGAGGCCGGTTTGATTTCAAGGGCCGGAGTGTTGCTGGCTGACGTCGCCGGCGAAGCTGTACCTGCACGGATGGAGGTGTCAATGCGGTTGACCTGGGGCCGGGAAAGATGCGCCGCAGGCGTGGTAGCTTCCGGGAGAACGATATCCTCCATGATATCGTCGTGCGACTCGGACGGACCGACTTGAATCTGGCCCGGTGTTTGATTGGCGGCAGTCGGGGTTAGTTGCTGAGACCGCTGAATGCGCATCAACATGGCTGGAGTTGCCGGCTCGCTGGTATCAGACTGCGGACCAACCGCAGGAGACCTCCGAGTCGGAGGGAGGGCTGGCGGAGGCATCAAGGGTTCAGAGAGGGGCTCCGGGGAGACAGAATCCTGCCCCGAGCTCTCATTGCTGCCAAATCTAAGGCTGCTACCACCCAAGGGCCGAGCCTTCGGGTCTCCCTGGTCCTGGGCGAGACCGTTGAGAACCTCGTCGGAGTTGATGTTCAGAAGGGACTTCTTCCGCGTTTGGGGTCGCACCGAGGGGGATTGCTGCTTCTTCGCACGGGCAGAGAACGTCTTGGTCGTTGACGTTCCGCGACGATGTTTCCGCGTTAATCCCGGAGACGACGGGGCAGACGAGGCGGGAACGGCGTTGTCGGCTGGCGACGGCATGAATCCCATGTCCGACATCTGGGCGGCCGGGAAGGGGTAGCCATTCGAGGTCGCATTTTGGGCTTCGAGAGCGGGCGAGGTGAGAGGAGTGAAATACTCGCCCGGAATCGTGTACTCTGGCAGCCGAAACTGAGTTTCCAGCGGAGTCATGGCGGGCGAAACAAGGGGGGTGTAGAGAGCCTATGGGGGAAAGAAGGTGCGTGCATTAGCCATACGCGCGCCGACGAGCAAGTCAAGGGGCGCCCTACCTGTTCCTCGTTCAAACGAGCATAGCGATCGTACATCTCATGGTTCTCTTCTATGCGCTGCGGGTACGTGGCCGCATTTCCCTGGAGCTCAATGCTATTGGGAGTCGGCGGGATCACCTGCTGGCCATGAGGGATGTATGGCTGAGTCGCGGGGGGGCAATGGGAGTGGCGATGCGACTGGTCCTGCGTAGGCTGTTGCGATTGCGAATGCTGGAAGAACGAAGGCTTCTGAGCGATGAAGGCCGGGGTCAAGGGGGAGGAGTAGGACGAGGAAATGGCAAGCTGCGGCTGCCCTTGATTGCCGACGGAATAATCCCCCATGACGCGATTGTACGACGATGGTTGAGCGGCGATGGGGTCGGTGTCCATGCGAACGAGCTGTTCCTGGGCGGATGGAGCCGTGGAGGCAGGGATGGAGATAGAATGGGCGATCGAGCGCTGAGAATGATGATCGGCCGAGGCCTGCCCTTCCAGGTCGGGGAAGTGCATTCCGAACTCGAGGAAACTGGAGAATTCATCGTCACCGGTGGCTGCGACGTCCGGCCAGGACAACGGAGGATGATCTTGTTCCATTGGGATCGAAAGAATCCGTGCTTTTTGTTCTTTTTTTTTTTTTTTTTTTTTTTTTTTTAATTCAGAAAGTTTTATTATATTACCGTTCTGATTGCTTTCTTCCCTCTCTCTCTCTCTTTTTTTAAGTCGTTAGTTTCTCACACAGTAGAAGAGAAGAAACTCCAATACGTCAGGGACCGAGACACTCAATGTCATAAAATAAAACGATTGAAGAAGACTAGATTAATGGAGGGGACCATCCGACAGAAGAAGAAAGAGAAAGAGAAAGATTAAGGGTAGGATTATTGGTAACCGGATGGATTGCCGGACATGATGACGGTGTGTTGGGGGGGATCTGGTGGTTAGAAATTGATCGTAGCAGTCGAGACTTCCACACCCAAAATCGGATGGGAAAGAAAGAAAGACCAAAAAGGAGGACAGACGAGCAGCGAACGAAAGTAGTGGGAGGATAGAGAAGGAGAGGCAGAGAAGCGAGAAGACGATTAGTCCCGAATCGGGTAAACGGCGGTTTAGACTCAGCCGGGGGACTGATTGGGCGGACTAGACATCGATCTAGTGTGCCGGTTAGTCTACTTTTAGTAGACTGCGTTGTGGATGGAGCAAGAGTTTTGGGGGGCAGAAGTTCGGACGGGGAGAGGAGGAAGAGAGAAAGAGAGAGAGAGAAGAAGATCGGCGGTCCCTCGTCCGGTGCGGGACTGGACCCGACAAGAAAACGAGACTCCGGAGTACGGAGTACTAGGAGTATTACGGAGTAGCCAGTGGTTTGTTCTGGCATCCTCGTACCTTTTTTTTTTTCTTTTTTTTCTTCTTCTTCTTGTCGCTTCCCCTTTTCTTCTCATGGAACCAAAGTGAAAATAACTAGATTGAATTTCTTGAATCCTTTGCCAATGCGCAACCATGGATCAAGCATGTACCGCCAAGGGCCGTGGCAAATGGACGGGGTGCGTGGATGTATGGTATGTATGGTATGTATGGTATGTATGGTATGTACGGTACGATAAGACGGCGGGGTCGTGACCCGATAACGTGACATGACATAAGGCCATCACGTACTTCGACTTCCTACGTCCTTCGACTTCGACTTCAACTTCAACTTCATCCGTATATCCCTTTTTCCTCGATCCCTCCGCTGTGACGGTGCCTGCAACTCCGCTTCATGACCCTCCTGCGTCCGCCATGAGGCCGCCCGTACCCGATCTCGCGCCCCCCAGGTCCCGCAAATCTCCCTCGCCCGACCAGCGGTGGATCGATCCCCGCAGCGCTGTCCCCGCGACGTTCTTTCTGGCCCGCAGTCACCAGCATCCTGGCGAATCTCCACCCGATGAGTTGGGCCCCGCGGGAGATAGCATGTATGGCGTCCAGAGCCTCGACGAAACCGTCCAACACGCCAATCTGGCTGCATCCCGCTGGGAGTCCGACCACGCGCAAACCATTTCCGATCCCTTGTCTCCTGGTCCAGACGAACCGTCCGCTCGTCGCAAATCGACCATCACCCCCTTCGATTCGCTCCATCTCGACCACCTTGGGCCGTCATTGCCTTCCTCCAACCCGACCTCCCCACGCCCTTTGACCCCCTTGAACCTCGATGTCCCCGATGATCCCGCCTCTCTGCCCAGCAGCCCCAAGTCCATTTCCAATCAATCGATGCGACATCTCGATGAAATCTCCATCACCGATGACCTGAGTAGTCAGGCGATGGCGTCGGGGGAGGAGGATGAGGACCTCCGCCCGCCGTCTAGCTCGGGCCCCGATAGTACCTCCCAGCTGATAATGCCCAGCATCAGGATGCCCAGTCGGAGACCGTTCACCGACCATGGAAAGACCATGGGACGCCTGAAAGTGCTCGTAGCGGGGCCCCCCGGTGAGTATGATCTACCTCCGTGGGTCGGGGTTCAAATATTAACTGAAGACAACCAGGTTCCGGGAAGACCTCCCTCGTCAAGGCCATCGTGCAGACCTGCGAAGATATTGTCCATGTTGATCCCTTCCCCTCCCCACCTCCCTCGAAGCCCTCCAGACCCAACATGCCCCAAAACCTGCCACCCGCTGTTTCGGAAATCTATGCTAGTACAAAACCGTACCCCGTCTGGTGGTCGGACCTGGAAGACTCGCGTGTCTTGCGACGGCGAAAGAGTATCGGTGACCTAGTACTGGAGCGTAACATCTGCTTTGTCGATACGTCGGCCAATTCCTCGACCCGTACTGGACAGACCGATGCCATCATTCACTACATGCATCAGCAGCTTGTCCGGGCCATGACATCGCTTCACCGTCCCAACCACGATTTTCAGAGCATGCTCGCAGGCAATGGCGGCGCCCAAGTGGATGCCATCCTGTTTCTCATCTCCGAGGGTAGGCGCCCTTCATGCGTATCGGGGGGGGTTCGGGGGCTCACACGTTCGCAGAAACACTTTCCGTAGACATCGATTGCATGCGCAAGCTCAGCGAATGGACAAATGTCATTCCCGTAATACCCAAGTCAGATCTCCTAGTACCGGACCAGCTTCACGCCCTCAAATCCGCTTTCCACAGTAAAGTGCAGGATGGCGCTGTCAAGCCCTTCCTGTTTGGAGATGCGTTCCCTGGGGACACCGATGAAGTGAACGGTCGGTTGCCCTTTGCTACCTCGTCCGCTAAGTCTAGCGATGACGACATGATGGATGCCAGCACCTTGATGAGTCCGGACTATGTCCAGCCGTTGGTCGCGTCGGAATTGGCTCTCTTAACCCAACGATTGTTTGATCGCGAGAACATGGCCTGGATCCGCCATCTAGCCGCCAAGAAGCTTGCTCAACGGCAGAGTACGGTCCCAAGTGGCCCGCTATCGTTTGTTCCCGGCACCGGCGGCCGTGCCCTTCCCAACTATACCATGTCCCGGATTTCCGACTACACCTGCCACGAGGAGAATCTGGCTCAGGTCCAGCTGGCGCGCTGGGCCTCGGACCTGCAGCAAAGCATCCAAAACGAACGGGAGCGATACGCTGCCATGGCCCGAGGGGAGCGTGCTGTCTGGCTGACGGAACGGCTGGGCGAGTGCGTGGTGGACGGATCGCTGGTGCCCATCACGCAAACCCCGGGTTTTTGTGGCCTTCGTGCCCCTACGGAGAAGACGGGCGCCCTACTCGTTCGAGCCCAGTCCGGACAGAACCTGGAGTATCATCTCACACGAATTAGTCCCCAGGATCCACTTGGCCTTGTCAGGTGGTCGGAGGGTTTCAAACAACGAGGGTGGGCCCTCGTCCAGATCGTCGGCAGTTTTGGCGTCGTAGGAGGGCTGGCCCTCTGGCTTGCAAAGTCCTGGGGATTGCCGTCGCGAAGTCTGTCGGACTGGCAAATTGATTGATCTACTTAGTCCCAATGATGAAGCCCTCGGGCTATCTATCCTACATACAAGCCGGTTCGCGAGTCGGCCTTTGCCACTTAATGTTCCTCCCACCTCTTCTGTTATCACGACCCTAACTCATGCCGGGGATTTATTGGCATAATGGTGGAATCGATGCATTTTCTACACATTTCATTGCAGGCGTTGTTCATTTCCCCGAGAATTCATTTTGTGCCCGGATCTATCCCTCTTCCTGGTGGTATGCTCAAATGTTACTACGAATGTGTGCTCTTTTGATTACGCAGTCAGTCTCATGCATGGAGTATTTTTTGAAGAGATTGTCGTCCTGCGTCTTCCTCATCTAATCTTAGACATCTACGAGACTACCCAAGTAGATCGGTTACGAGGTAGGGATCGGATAATGAGGGCAAGCTTTTTATTCGAAAAAGATCTACCCGTCCGGAACAGCTGTTCATATCCCTGATATCACGGGAATGAAAGATCTCGGACTTTTAGGATCGTCATGTATGAAACGCTCAAAACGCCGAAAATAAAAATCAAAGTGAAATTCACGTCGTCAATCAAAACCATCTTTCTGGCGGTTCAATTAGAGAAACGAGAAGCAATATCACCCTGGGATCATAGGAATCCTGCTGCTGATATCACCGGAACAATTTCTTCGAGGTCGTAAAAAACAAAAAGAGGAAAAGGAAAAGAAATAAAATAAATAAAGAAGATCGAGGCAGATACATTCGTTTCCATTCGAATCAAAAAGTCATCGATGCATCTAGTCAACCTCCTCCATGGAGCTCTCGCCGGCGGCAGCGGCGGGAGCGGCCTCCTCGGCAGCCTTCTCCTCGGTGGTCTCGGTGTCCTCGTCGATGTTCAGACCCAGAGACACGAGCTTGTGGATACGCTCGGCGAAGCTGGCAGGCTCCTCGATGGTGAATCCGGAAACGAGGAGGGAGGTCTCGAAGAGGAGCTGGGTGATCGACTTGACAGTGCGGTCGCTCTCACCGTCAGCCTCAACCTTCTTGCGGAGCTCCTGGATGATGGAGGACTTGGGGGAGATCTCGAAGGTCTTCTTGGAGGACATGTAAGAGCTCATGGAGGTGTCACGGAGGGCCTGAGCCTTCATGATACGCTCCATGTTAGCAGACCAACCGAACTGGCCGGTACGGATGGCACAAGGAGCGCCAAGGAGCTTGTGAGAAACGACGACCTTCTCAACCTTGTCGCCGAGGATGTTCTTGAGGCTCTTGGCGAGACCCTCGTATTCCTTCTCCTCCTTCTCACGCTCAGCCTTCTCCTCCTCGGACTCCTCGAGCTCGAAGTCCTTGGTGATGTCGACGAGCTTCTTGCCATCGAACTCCTTCAGCTGGGTGAAAGCGTACTCATCAATGGGGTCGACCAGGAACAGAACCTCGAAGTTCTTCTGCTTGAGGCTGTCCAGGAAGGGAGACTTGGCGACGGCCTTGATGGACTCGCCGGTGATGTAGTAGATCTGCTTCTGGTGCTCCTGCATGCGGGTGACGTAGTCGGCGAGAGAGGTGATGTCGTCACCAGACTTGGTGGACTGGTAGCGGAGGAGCTTGGCCAGGGTGTGACGGTTCTGGGCATCCTCGTGGACACCAAGCTTGATGTTCTTGCTGAAGGCAGAGTAGAACTTGTCGAACTGCTCACGGTCCTCGGCAATCTCGGTGAAGAGCTCGAGGGTCTTCTTGACAATGTTCTTCTTGATGACCTTCATGATCTTGTTCTGCTGCAGGGTCTCACGGGACAGGTTCAGGGGCAGGTCCTCGGAGTCGACAACACCCTTGACGAAGCTGAGCCACTCGGGAATGAGATCGGTGGCGTCGTCGGTGATGAAGACACGGCGAACGTAGAGCTTGATGTTGTTCTTGGTCTTCTTGGTCTCGAAGAGGTCAAAGGGAGCGCGCTTGGGAACGTAGAGGATGGCGCGGAACTCAAGCTGACCCTCGACAGAGAAGTGCTTGACGGCCAAGTGGTCCTCCCAGTCGTTGGACAGGGACTTGTAGAAAGCGGCATACTCCTCCTGGGTGATGTCGGTGGGGTTGCGAGTCCAGATGGGCTTGGTCTTGTTCAGCTCCTCTTCCTCGATCTTGCTCTCCTTGACAGTCTTGGTCTTCTTTTCCTTCTTCTCCTCCTCCTCGTCAACCTCCTCGATCTTAGGCTTCTTCTCGTCATCCTCCTCCTTGGACTCCTCCTGCTCCTCCTCGGGGACCTCCTTCTCGGTCTCCTTCAGGACGTGGAGGTAGATGGGGTAGGAGATGAACTCGGAGTGCTTGCGAACAACCTCCTTGATACGGCTCTCGTTGAGGTAGTCGGTCTGCTCATCCTTGAGGTGGAGAACGATCTTGGTACCACGGCCGATCTGCTCACCCTCGGTGTCCTGGGTGAGGGTGAAAGTACCGCCGGCAGCGGACTCCCAGACGTACTGCTCGTCATCGTTGTGCTTGGACACGACGGTGACACGGTCAGCGACGAGGTAGGCAGAGTAGAAACCGACACCGAACTGGCCGATCATGGAGATATCAGCACCGGCAGACAGGGCCTCCATGAACTGCTTGGTGCCAGAGCGGGCAATGGTACCCAGGTTGTTGATCAAGTCCTAGAGGCACGAGGTTAGCGAGGGCTCGGCGAGCACGGTAGCAGGATAGGGATAGTACGTACAGCCTTGGTCATACCAATACCGGAATCCTGGATGGTCAGGGTCTTGGCCTCCTTGTTGGGGATCAGGTCGATGCGGAGGTCCTTGCCCGAGTCGAGCTTGGTGGGGTCGGACAGAGCCTCATAGCGAATCTTGTCCAGGGCATCGGAGGCGTTGGAGATGATCTCTCGCAGGAAGATCTCCTTGTTGGAGTAAACGGTGTTGATGATCAGCGAGAGCAGCTGAGAGATCTCAGCCTGGAACTCGAAAGTCTCAGACATGGCGAAAGAAAGAAAGTGAAAATTCTGTACACACGCAGAATGAGTTAGCCGGGGGTCATTCAGCCGTCACCAGCCATGGCACCGAGGAGCTCCTAATGTGAGGAATAGAGAGGATGGACAATGCGAGGACAAGAAAATCGCCAGAGAAGCGAGGCCCAGCACCTGTTCCGGAGACGCCACGAGCAATGCAGTATGCGAAACTCGACACACAGACTTTGGGTGGGGAGGGAGGGGTGAAACGCGGTATACTTACAAGAAAAGGTCGTTAAAAAGGTAAAAGATGGAGAGAGAGGGAGAGGGAGAGAAGAAAGATGACAATGGATGAGAGATAGGTGATGCGAGTGGTGAGGTAGAGAAATCACCGGCAGGCAGACAGGCAGGAGGGAGAGATGATGAGGAAGAAGAGAAGAGCGAGGGGGGGGAGAAAAAAACTGCCGGGGCGGAGAACTTAATGTTCTTTTCCACTCGGTGCGTTCGTTTCTACGGCGATCCAGCAACTTCCACACTCTCCGCCCGCTTCTTTGCGATTCTGCCGGTCCTTTGGGTCTCGTCCTTCCCTCCGGGGTCTTGCCTTCCGAGCGAATGCTTTGTTCCTTCTCTCGATCGACAGCCCATCCCAGCCATCGTCGGCTTCCTTCCATGTCTGCACTCGCGCCTGGTGCGATGCGAGGGTGCGAGGGTGCGTGACAGCGACCAGCGCCTCCTCCTTGACCGCCCCGGGGCCTCGTTGCCTGGCTGCCTGAGGCGGACCATCTAGAACGTTCCGCTCCACCAGGCACCGCGCGGGGCCAATCAGCGGCCGGCGTGGCTCACCGTACCGTGCTGGACCCCGTGACTCTCCGCCTGGCTCTCCGCCAGAAGATTCTACGCGCAATCGAGCTGAACAATGCCATATCCATTTACATTCCTGACTAACGTACCGGAGAAACACAAGAGCAATTAGGAACAATACGGGCATAAAGCTCGCTATGCGATGGTGCAGAAATAGATCATGTCAACACTGTCGGGGACAATGCACCAACGACAGAACCCCAGTGAGGAAATGTGAAAAGAGAAATAACTTTTCCAACCGCTAATATGCACTGTGACAAAAAAAAAAAAAAGAGAGAAAAAAAAAGAAAATGTAAAATAAGATAAAGAATAGGTTCAACAAAAAAAAGGGGGAGGTCACATAACACATGTCATTATCAGTAAGAGGGAGTAATACATGCCCTGGATCACGGTCAGCATCCAAATCAGTATGCCGTGGTAAGTAAGCCAGGATGGAAGGGTTAGAATTTGGGGAGGGCAATCAAAATGAAAAACATCGAGTGAAATTGTTTGACGGGGTGTTTTTTTTTCGTTTGCTTTTTTTCTTCTTCTTTCATTCTTTTCATTTTTCACATTCCCTTGTCATGTTTTTTTGATTCATCCCGTAATTAGAAAGAAAAGATCGTCTAGGCAGCCTGGGGCTGGTTGCGGTTCTTGACGTTTCCGCGGCCGCGAGGAGCGAACCCTCCGCGTCCCTCGCGCTGGAAGCCGCCACGGCCCTGGCTACCGGCACGGTCGCCGCGACCACGACCGGCGCCGCCTCGACCCGCGGGGTAGTTGGCATTTCCACCATACGCATTGGAACGGGCACGGCGCTCTTCGACGTAGATCTGCTCGGACCCAATCTGATGCGGGTTGGCAGCCACGGCGGCAGCGTAGCCGGCAGGCTCGGCAAATTCAGCGAAGGCACAGTTCTGAAAGCAGCGGTTAGTCCCGGCGTCCTCGAGGGAGTCGTTCATCACGCAGTGGATGCTTACCTTTTGGCGGCTCACGTCGAAGTGCTTCAACTTGCCAAACCGAGTGAGCGTTTGCTTCAGCAGGTTTGCGTCAACCTTTTCGGTCACGTTCTTGATGTAGGCAAGAACGGGCTGTTCCTCGCCCGCGCGGGACTGCGTCTTCTTGTGGTCATGACCGGCGGTTTGCCAGCCGGATCCGTCATTTGAGGGAGGCTGGCTAGGAGCATTCTCGGGGGCCGGAGTAGTGGCGGGAGCGGCAGGAGCGGCGGCAGCGGGAGTGGTGGGCTGGGACGAGCCAGCAGCGGCGGTTGACTTAGAGGGAGCAGCCGGGACGGGGATAGCAGGCACAACAGGAGCCGGCGCACCGGACTTGGATGCGATGTTAGCCCAGGTCTTAGGCAGAGCCTTGGCCGGGGGCACATTCTCCTTGGCAGGAGCGGGGGCATCCTTCTGTGCAGTCGAGGCAGGAGTGGGCTCGGGGGTTGGCGGCTTCTCAGCCTCAAGCTCCTCTGGGACGGCAGCCGCCGGTTCAGTCTCGACGACCTCGGCATCGGCGCCATTCACTTGGGACACAGCTTCCTGAGGTTGCGCATCATCGCCGTTCTCCTGGGCCGGCTCGACTTTCTCCTCCACCTCGGGCGCAGCAGCCTCGTTCTCCTGCTGGTCAACGGCCGGAACAGGCTCGGGCTCGGGCTGTGCAGGCTCCTCAACAGCAGGCTCTTCGGCCGGGGCAGCCGGGGCAGCGGGAGCCGCAGCCGGGGCGGTTTCTTCATTCACAATCTCCTCCTCGTCAACCAAGTATCGGAAGACATCATTGAGCACGTAGTACCCATTGGGCTGTTCGGCAAGCACGAACGTTTGCACAAATTTGCGAGATGGCTCGGACTTGTTTGAGATTTCGCCGATAACAGCAATCAGGATGTTGTCAAATGAGGCCTGAGAATCAACGTTCAAAACCCGGACCTTACAGTCCTGGAAGTCAAGCTGCTTTATTTTTTCGTTGATAGCCTAGTCACAAAAACAAAACCAGTCAGCTGAAAAGCCTAATCAAACCGAACTTCCAGGAGAAACCAATTTAAGACAGCGGACAGGGAATCAAATATGACCGAGATAGAAAGAACAAGATTTGATGAGCTCACCTTCTGACCGACCGCGACTGGGACCGACTCTGCCTCCGTGCCAAAGACGAGCTGGGAGCGCCGAGCATAGAAAAGAGGCAGCTTATCTGGGTTACGGCTCATGGTTGTGTAATACTGCTCGACAAAGTACCAACCAACCTCGTCCTTCGAAATTCCATTCTTCTGCTCAGGAAGAGCGTTCGTAGGAGTGGAGGACTGGGCCGGCTGGAAGCTGGCAGCATTGGTGGCGGCGACATGGGCGTGGTTGTAGGAGTCGTGGTAGGCGTGTTGCGCGGGGAAGCCGCCGTTGATAGGAGCTTGAGTTGTGTCGGCCATTGTGCGATGGAAGAGTGGAAAGGAAATAAAGCAAAAGTCTAGGAAGCTGAGAAGAGACTTGGAGATGGTATACCAATAAGTCTCTCTATGTGGCGAACGGAAGATGGCGAGGAATCTAGCAAAGAAAACACTTTTTCCCGATTCGCTGGACTGCCAGGATTCAATTTGTCAGTATTGGAAGCCAAGATGGGGGCATCTCGGTCTGAGACCGGTGGGCGTGGTGAGAATAACAAAAGGGTACCCACAATGCTAAATGGAAATTTAGGAAAGATGGAAAAAAAGACAGCAAGGTCCGTGTAAATAAATGCGGACGCGAAAAAAAGAAAATCAAGGCGAAATTAATAGGGAACACCAAGGTCGCGTTGAGGTGACTGAAGGAGGAACGGAGAAAGAAAGATTCTTGTGCGATTTCCAATCAGGTTTAAATTCGCAAAAGCAAGCCCGAAGGAAAGGCGAAGGTGGTAGGGGGAAAGAGAAGTTGAAAGATCGATTGAGAGGAAGCGATGAAGAGGGAAGTCCGATGGAATGAAGGACAGCTGAAGGAAGAAGGATGGAGCGAAGATTAGCTGTAGATAGCCGTAGCAAGCAAGCAGGTGATGCTGAGGAGAAGAGAGTGCGAAATCCATCGGACGGACGTTCCCCCAACTACGCACCTTCCTTTAGCGGGTGCCGCCATCCTATTTGGGAAGTCCGGCAGAACGCGCGGGCCGAGATACACCGCCTGCCTAGCCGGTGCGGTGGCCCCTATACGGTCCGTGTCGCAGAGAGAAGCCGTTGGGTCATAACGTCTATATGGACATGTTGATTAGGTAGGTAGGTAGGTAGGTAAATAGATACATTTGCGAGAAAAAGACAGAAACCTCCAGCGAATTGGAATAGCAAAGCCACCAACGGCCAAAGGAAAAGAAGAGACACAAGAGAAACACATGTTCCGGTGCGGCAAAAGATTACAAGCACGACGACTGACTCGAAGATTGGGGGGTATGATGACATGGGGATAAGCTTCTCATCAAAAGGATAATAGGTATCAAACTCATTCATAGGATTCGCCAATATGGAGAAGTCGACATGAAACGACAATGAACATCATGGCAAGAAGCAGCTCTGAAAAAAAGAAAAAGAAATCCGAGGCAACATCACCAAAAGGGGAAAGAAAACCAGAAGGAAAAAGAAAAAGGTATCACATGGAAAAGCCGATTTGTAGGCCGGGGGGCGCGCAATATTAAACAGGTCGCTGATAAGTTTACGGGGAAGCCGAAGATTCGAGAGCCGCCTTCTCATCCAGGATGGGCTTTCGCATGATAGCATCCTGACCAGTCATTCGCCGGTCCAGGGCTCGTTCCACCTTCGCACCGAGCGCCAATTTACTCAGGTTGTCGCTTTTTTCGGGAGTGGGCACGAAGCGCTGCTTCTGAAGTGGCTTGTTCTCCAGACGCTCCAGTCCGTCGCGCAGATTGTGGAATTCGGCCAGACGCGGGTCGCCGCTGGGCAGATTTCCTAAGGTGCGCTCCGAGGAAGCGACGGAAGGGCTTCCGCTAACGGTCGAGAACCGTTTTGATGTCCGGTTCTATATCCAAGTCAGAGGAAAGGTTGCGACGGGCGTGAGAAGCGAGGGCCGCAGTAGAGTTTGGTTCAACTTACGGACTGAGTCATGATGGGTCGTTCGGAGTCCAGGGAAGTATGTCTAGCCATGGTCATCAATCAAAGGTGCCGCCGGTGTTGGTCCTGTCGGATGACGCTCAATCGAATCGGCCGGCGTGAGGGTGAGAGTAATTACAAGGTCATGAACTGTTCTGAAGTTCGAATGATCAGCGGGATGAGAGCCAGAATTTGGGGGGACGCAGACGGAGACAGGAAGAGGGATGGCAAAAGGGGAAGATGCCGGCATCAACGGCACGAACAATGGCCCAAGCAGCCGACGTACCTGGAAGGCGGAGGCGAAACTGACCGACCGGAAGAAAGGAGGCAGGGTGCAGACGGAAGCCCAAGAAAGACTCAAAAAAAAAGGCAGGCAGCCGGGAGCGATAGAGGAGTTTTTCTTCGAAGGTTTCTTTTTTGGGCAGAATATCTGCGGTGACATGCAAGACCGAATTCAGGAGAGCCGGGGGAGACAAGGGAACGGATGACAGCGTGGGTCACGGCGAAAAGTTGATAAAGTCGGCCACGCGAAACCAGGGGGACGGTATTCGGTAATACGGAGTACGACGGAGTACTTCAACGCCCGCGGACGCCTGCCCGGGTGGGAGGTACCCCGTAGGTACCGCGTAATACGTACGTACCGCGTACGCTTTCATGCATACACAGACTAATGACGATCATCAGAGGAGACTCCGTTCACGAATGCATCATACCATCCTCTCTTGATCTCGTCGGGATCCTACCCTGCTTCTTACTCGGCAGTTCGACAGTTTCTTCTCATAACGGGACACTAAACCACTAACCACTAAATACTAACCACTAAATAGTAAAAATCACCAAGAGACAGGCCCCTTGGCAAACGGCGGACGAGGGAGATATATTACTGCCACGTGCGGTACGGTCATCGTAGTCAGAATTGCTTGGCATCCACGCGAGCCGATCAAATTCCATTTCCATGGAGACTCGCCCGCGGTGGCAAAACTGCTCTGGGAGACTCGGGATGACAGCAATTGAGAATCCATGGCGTCATGATTGCGCCGATCGACTAACCTTCCCACCTGGGAGATCAAGACTGTTGACCAGAGTCACCGATCATGGTTCAGAAGTCTTTCACACAGCAGTCCAGTTGGGAGGCAGTAGTAGTGAGATGCGAATGTAACACCCGAAACTGCTGACTCTCTTCGGCACCTGAAACAGCCTAACGCCAGCGGATCTCTAGTCTGCTTTAGCTCCTGTTTAGCTGCAGAGTACGGATCCTGTACTCCGTTGGCAACCTTCGGGCAGAGGATGAGTCCAGTAAGTTACGGACGGGGCTGATACTGTACACCCGGGCGGTGGACAGGGCGGTCTCTGCCGCCCGGCATTATTATCTCATCACCCCTCATGTCTTTTTTTCTTTCTGGTGTTTTTTTCTTTGTTCATACTTGGTCCTGGTGACTTCAAACTCACAAAAAGAAATCTCTACCGTACCGCACTGCACTCGTCTGGATTGCTTTGTTGGGGTCCAGCTGAATTCGACCGCGCTCGATTGGCTAGCAGATAGGACAGAATCCATCATGCCAAAACCCAAGGCTTTTTTGAAAGAATCCAAGGCCAAGAAGAAGGCCTCGCAGCAGGTGGGATATGCCCTTCTTTACATCTACTTTTGAATATCCTATCGGCTTTGCTTGTCATTGTTTCGAGCTTAACTGATGAATAACAGCTCCCCGAGACTGCCGATGAGTTCCTAGCAGGTAATATACAATGCTCTTCTTAACTGGTCCACGGCTAACAACCATGTCCTGCTTAGTTGGCGTTGAACAGGAAGAAGCGGGAGAGAAATGGAGGGCCGGAGATGCAGCCAAATCCATGCGCTTTTTCATGCGCGCGATTGCGACCTATGACGACGGCTTGAAAAAGCATCCTCATGCTTTCGATCTAGCGTACAATAAGTAAGTCGCCGGCGTTCCGTCACACCGTCACCACCCATACCAGCAACTCGTGATACCGGGAATCCTTCAGGCTGATAAAGAACCAGGGCGAGAGTCCAATACGAGATCACCCAACACCCCAAATTGGCTGCTCAGCTGCCCGCCCCGGTGGCCGACATCTTGCAAACAACCTTACAGTCGCACAGAGAAGCCCTGGTCCTTGACCAGGACAATGCAGATGTCTTGTTCAACACAGCCCAGGTCCTCACGAGCCTTGCGGAGGCAATCACCGACACCAAACGCCCCGCCGATGAACAATTGAATCAAGCCGTAAAGTTTCTCCAGGAAGCTCTGGAGCTCTTCCAGCGATGTCTCCTTCTGCAAGAGATGAAGTACACCGAGATGCAAGAACACATTAAACAGATGGAATCCGGAATCTTGGATCAACGCCCCGAGGATATTCAGCTCGCACAAGAGCAGATGGAGGATGCGGGTGAGTCAAAGACCTCGGAGCAACAAGAGCAATGGGCTGCCGTCGTTGAGCCGGTGACGAAGGACACGCTCGTGGATACGGCCGTGGCCCAGTTGGAAACACTCACGGCTCTTTGCAATCTACTCACCTTCGATCCCGGAGTCGGACTGGCTTGGGTCGAGGAATACTCCTCCGACCTTCTCCAGGAAAAGATCACGGTGTATGTCGATGGTTCGAACCGAGCCTACGACGCATCGCTGGCCCGTGCAAAGTTCAGCTGCGCTCTGAGTGAGGTCCTGTACCGAGGCGGGCGTATAGATGTTGAAACGTATTATGGAGAACTTGCGCGTGTTTTCGGACCTGAATTGGACCTGTCTGCGGACCCCGATGGTCTCTGCAGCAAAGCAGACGCGTTCATGTCGTTTAACACCGCAGTCACCGAACTGCCTCCTTCGCATGACCCTGAAATGCTTGAAAAATCGTTGAAGCTAAGATGGCAGTCACTATCCGCAGCTCTGGACGGCCTGACCAAAGCCTCCAAGATCCCGGATGCGGAAAATCTGCCCAAGATCCATCTGGCTCGGGGGGATGTAGAAGTCAACCGATGGCGGCTAGGCATGCCGCCCTGGGAGTTTGGCATGGCGCAGCAGAATGCCGCCCTTCTTCTCCGCAATGCCCAAACATATTATCGAGGCGCAGCCGCCTTAGCCCGAAGAGACGGGGGCGCAAACGAAGAACGGGACGGAACTTGCAAGGAAGCCATAACCGCTGCAATGGACGGTCAGAAAGAGAAGCTGGAGCAGCTCAAACGCAACGCGCCCAAAGAACTGATGGTTGCCGCAGAAGACATGGTGGAGGACGGCTGGGTAAGCCCTGCAGACATGGAGGCGTTACTGTCGTAAATTGATAGATACCCATTTCACCGATCATTATTGGCGCTGGCCTCCCACGGTAGAAACCGCATCTTCGTTTTAAATCAGATGTCCGATCTGGCCTTCACTTCCCCGTCCATCTGAACAGCCTCTTTGCGAAGATCATTCTCGTCGCAGAATTGAGTCGCCGCCGCGGCCGCCCCTTCCAGGTCCGCAACGACCGACTCAAGACCCGACAGCAGGCTTTCAATTTCCACTCGCTGGGCCTGGACCCGGTGCGCGAGCTCTGCATTTTCGGTCTGCGTAGTTTCGATTTGGGAATCCAGAGTTGTCTGCGTCTCCTGTAGATACGGAGTTAGGTGAGCGCGGTACAACTCATCTGGCGACAAGGTGTGGGCGCTGGATGCATGAAATCCCATACGGTCAGCTCATGTGCTAGAACTAAGACGTAGGGGAAGAAAGGGGAGCATTACGCGACCTCGCCATCTCCTTGACCATTGTCTCTTCTATTCAAGGCCTCCCCGACCAACCTATCCAGCTCGTTCAATTGACGAACCGCGTCTCTCTCCCGCACAATGTCATCGAATTCAGCGCGAGCGCTTTCTTCTAATTTCGCATTCAGCTGTCTCCAGACGGACTCCAAACTGCCCGGGACGTATTTCGCCGGCGTGGGGAAGCATCCGGAGAAGTTGGCGTAGGAGTTTGCTCGAAGCGTGCGGGCCAAGGCCTGGTCGAACACCTTGTGCAGAACGGCGGCGCGCGGGCCTGGCGTAAGGGGAACGGGGACGGGAGGCGGGGGGGAAGGCGAAGCTGCCGATCGAGACGGATCAGGGTGAGAAGGACCACGTTCTTCTGCCATGACTGAGGAGTCAATTATTGGCGTCTTGAGCTTCTTCCTAGCTTTGGTGGGGGTGGATTGAAGATGGCAGGGCGCAGTGGAGGGAGTTGGAGCGAAAGCAAGAAACAATCGGGGCGCGCGCGGGAGGAGAACGCGCCGGGTCACGTGCATGTATAGAGCCATCGCGGAATGCGAGTAGCCATGCTCTTCTTCCCTCTTCTACCTGCGCAGGTTGTAGAATCGTATTACGAGCCAATCCTGTTATCGGTGGAATACTTTTCAACCATCGTTCACTCTTATCATTCATGAGTCCGTACCAACATCTATACGTAGAGCAAGAACTAAAACAGGGCGGATAGAAGATCCGGATCTACATTGACCAACCCATCAATCAATGAATGCTGCCGTTTTCGTGAGAATGGTAAGGTCGTGCGGCACCATTGTCCATTATTATGGAATGGCGTAGACCGAAGCCGGCACGAAGTGAGCGGCTGCTTCGTCAAAGGTTGTTGTAGGCCGACTTGAAGGCCGGCCAGGAGATGGATACGTAGATGATGCTGTTCCAGAAACCCTGCAGGGGAAGGACGAAGCTAGAGAGATAATTCAACGGGAAATTGAATGTTTGAGGAAACACGAGAGCATATACCCGGTTGATTGTAGACGGAACCTAGTATGACCTCTACAAGTCAAAATTCTGGACCCCTCGATCGAAGCGAAGTAGCAAAGGGTGGTCGTCATACTTACCCAGGTGAAGATAAGAGCAATGAAAAAAAGCATCGCATACTTGGTGTAGGCCCAAGCGGCGGAATTGGCCTCCGCCATCATTGCGCGGCGATGGAGGTGCGAATCTGACTGTTCAGGTCCTAGCAGCTTCAGCGGGATACCGCTGCCGTGTCCTCCTTCGATAGTAACCGAGTACGGGCTGCAGTATGAGGGAGGGAGGTGCGATGAGATTGGGTTTGAGCTTTCCGCCACTGATTGGAAAATTTTGTTGGGCGTTGTCGCCTCCCTGGTGATGCGGATTTCGGTCGTTTTCGAGAAAGCCGGTTTGCTTGTGTTCTCACAATCCGCATTCGAGTCGAGCATACCGATATGGCGGAGCTGTCGTCTTCTCTTGTAGATCACACTGCCTGTGCGTGCATAGATAGCAAAGGTTAGGAAAATGACGAACCAGACCGGGCCATAGAACACGGCAATCCGCAGGAAGTCCCAGGATGGAGCAACCCAACACCAGAGCTGCGCAAAATGTTAACATGTCAATTGACTCCAGCTGGAAAGCGCTAGGTACTCACTATAGCGGTTCCGTATATCTTTCCTCGCGCCCCGGTTTTGATGAAGAAATAAACAAAGGCTGGGATGAACGGCGTTCCGTAGCAGAACGCAAAGTACTTCCACTCTAAACGTCGGAGCCGATCCGAGTCGTATTTGCAAAAAAATGTCAAGTAGACATTGCAGGCCATGGCAAGAGTCCATAGCGCATCGGCAGGCATAAACCTGGTTGATATTGGAGTTCAACATAAGCGGACTTGCACAAGGAGTGGATTGCACCAACCATTGGATGAAAAATGCCTGGAATTGGCAAAGAGGGCTATCAGGGCCTGCATGAATGCCCGACTGAGATATGACAGTAGCCGAGCTGGCCATGATATTGCCCCAGGAGGCATAGAACACTAAGCGATTGATGGGCTTGCGAAAGGAGGTTGAGCAGAAGAAAGAGACGATTATAACACTTGATGCTGCGAGAGACACTGCCGAGCACACCCGTTCCGTGACAGATATGGCATATAGCTGAGGCTCTGATGGCGACATGATGTCAAGATCATAGTGAGTAGAGCAGCGTACAAGCAAGTCCGGAAGAGGGAGGACAGTCTCAGAATGAGGAAACGAAGGCCGGTTTTTCTTCGTGTGCTGGTCAAGGGGTATCCGGAGTCACAGTCAATGTGTCACAGTCAATGAATCAGCAGAATGATCTCTGATCTTGTGTAGGTTTGTTTAGCACATGGAACACACAAAGCTGCATTTGCTTACCTGCTATCTCAAACGTCAGTGACAGACATCGGAAAAGATTGGAGTCAAAGATATCCGCAGGAACAAAGGGCAAATGCGGGCCTATTCCCTTCTTAGCAAGACCCAGTTGAAAGCGTCCTTCGTCCTTCAAGTGTCCACGAAGGTAGTAGAATAATGTGACCCAACCAGGTGGCGGCTTCGTTCGATATCGACTAGGGTTCGACTGTCTGCTTCAGGGATCCCTTTGTGGATTCAAGCCCTTGTTTTGTTTTCATCCCTCCATCTATTTCTAGGTTAAGCCCGTCCAGGCATCGGCCAGACTCCGACAAACCCAGGACTTCTGACCCCCGTGGGCATGAAAAGGTAGTTGCGTGCCATATATTGAGAGTTTGCTTATTCTCGTCCAAACCGAGAAAGCACGTAAAAGAGTAGGGGCCAGAAAAGAGACGATAAAGGGGGGTGCATGGTGGTGAGTGCCCTAGCACGCGGGCGATTCTTTGAGTGATCCAGACATTCGTTCCTATCCTTGAGCCAGCCACTTTCCAAGCATCGAACAAAGAAAGCGAGAGGAGTAAGCGGGGATCAAGAGGATTGAAATGGACGGATGGAGGAGTCACATGTCTTCTCTCGACAGAGATCAATTTACCGGGCGAGAAACAGTGTAGTTGAAGTGATTGGCAGCCAGGAAATTGAGCAGTTTTGCAGGCAAAACAAGATGTTATGTCGCTTTCATCAGATGCCGACTTTCACTATGCACAACCCAATATGTATGCAGCCAGAAAAGAAATCACACGAAAATTAATAGGAACATGATCTCGATATACCCTTGCCTCGGTCAGAACGCCGCGCTTTCCTCCCTTCTAAATCCGCCATCACACCGTGTTCTTCAATCCATCATAACATGAGAGCCCATACCAAGGCATTAAAGGCCGGGGAGGGAAAGAAAAAAGAAAAGAAAACGATAAGAATAAATAGAAACAAACACGCAGGAAAAGAAATGTAAGAATATGGATACTCAAAGAAAGAAAAGGAACCCTGTACGACAGGCGACTAATATGCTTGTTGTGATGCAACCATCCCCCCATACGCTCCAGCCATCTGTTGCTGTTGCTGTTGTTGTTGCTGCTGCTGCTGCAACTGGGCCTGCAGCTGAGGTAGGTCGTGGAACCATGGGTGCTGCAGTGCATCGTGCGCGCTGATTCGCATCTCGGGCCGCAATTGCAGCATCCGGTTCAGTAGATCAAGCCCCAAGGGATCAATCTGAGGCAGAATTATGCCAAGATCCTGCGTGGCATAGACGTGGAAGTTCGGTTTATATTCCGGAAGCTGAGAGATGCCCGGCCACGAGCGTTCGGAGGGCGTCCCCATCAGACGGAATATCTTCTGCAGCTGATCCTCGTTCGTGGTTCCCGGAAACAGCGGACGACTGGTGTACAATTCTGCCATGATACACCCGGCAGACCAGATGTCGATGCTCGTGTTGTAGGTCCTACTGCCCAGGAGGACATCGGGGGCCCGATACCATAGCGTCACCACTTCGTTGGAGAAAGTGTTCACGGGAATTCCGAACGCCCGAGCAAGACCGAAATCTCCCAGCTTCAACTGCCCTTTCTTATTGATCAAGAGGTTTTGCGGCTTGAGGTCGCGGTGAAGCACCCGGTTCTCGTGGCAAAATGCGATGCCCTTCAGCAGCTGGTGCATGAACGACTTGATCGTCGCCTGGTCCATGCTACCCCGGTCGTTGCGGGTGTCCATGTATTTCTTGAGATCCTTGTCCATGTATTCGAAGACCAGCATGAGCTTGTTTTCCGTGTGAATCACGTCGTGGAGCGACACGATGCTCTCATGTTTGAGCTCCTTCATCAACGAGATCTCTCGGATAGCGGTGGACGGCGTCCCCTCTTCGGAGTCGAGGTGGATTTCTTTCAGGGCGACCAGTTCTCCGGTTTGGCGATTCCGACCTTTGAACACCTATGGTCACAAGCAGGTATAGTCAGGTCAGGGACTGGCGGGGGTAGGGACGGTCAGCATGGAACATACAGTAGCATAGGTTCCTTCTCCGAGCTAGACAAGAAAGAAACGCCAAAAGCGGCCGACGTTAGCTCGTCTGATCCCCCGTCTTCTCTCGCAGGCCCGACGAGGAGAGAACGCACCTTTTCCAGCTGCTGGAACGAGCTGGGTTGCTGGGCCTTGTCCATTGGCGACGGCGCCCCGTGCGAGGCAGGCGAAGGTTTCGGGGCGGGATGAGTGAAGAGGAAGGACTTGGGAGAAACGAGGGTCGAGACAATGTTGCGATAGGCGGAGGTGGTCTGCTGCAAATGAGGATCCCTCGGGGTTCTTAAGCTGCTGCGACGGTCCATGTCGGTGCTGAGTGCGAGCCCCGCGCATTCCCTTCCTGCGCTCCGTCTCGTAAGTCATTAACGGCCCGCCATACCGCCTGGTACCGACCGTACCGGACAACCTCGCGCGCCACCTCGCGCTGGCCCTGCGCCAGCCGCCAATACGTCGTAAGTACATTACACAGCCCCTTACCGTACCGGAAGGGTCCACCCCCGCGCTTACGGCCGACCAATCCTGTGGCGCCCTTCGGCCACGGCGTCTAGGACTATGCCTACGGGAGGTACATGGTACTCCGAGCAAAGTACTCCTAGTCCCTGGTATCTGGTTCGGTTCTATGATTAGGATACCACAGATGAGAGCGGTAGTTGATGGCCAATAAATCATTAAGCGCCTGGAATCCCACGGCACGACACTCGTGCGACGGGGTACCTATATATATGTACACCCTATGTATAAATAGAAATACCTACTGCTCTATGCATCTAGAAGCGCCCGAGTGATGACAGCTGCGATGCGACTGACGGCAGCACCGATTCGGAACTGAGGCTGCAGCGAATGTAGGTGGATCCGACATGCTGCTCCTTCCCATCTTCTCCGAAGAGGAGGGACTCATTCCGCACTCCTCCGAGGTTGATGATTCCGATGGGCATACCTCTCCGATAAGCCCGTTCCACCAGCCTCCACGCCGAATAGGTCGCGAGGCTACTGCCAAGAACAAGCAGCCGACCGGCATCGTCGATTGCTTCTTCTGCAGTGGCCTTCACTACCGGGTCGATGTTTTCCCCGAACATGGTCACCGCCGGCTTGAGGATCCCAGCCGTGGAAGTGGGTAGCCATGCGCCGTCACTTTCCACGTCCACTCTGCCTGGAGTTCCATCCGCGAGCCGTGGCGCTTTCTCCAAGCACGTTGGGCATGACGGATACCGGAATGTGGAATAGGGGGCTTCGGCCAGGTCCACGTCGCCGTCCGGGTTGAGCTTCAGGCCTTTGCGCCGTCTTTCTTCCGGATTGTCTGTGTCGAGTGCCCCGGTGTCGACCATCCTCGCCAGGAACTCCGCCCAGGCTGGGTTGAGTTTCTGTAGCGACTCCTGAAATTCAGCCCGGGAGAACTGGTTCCGGCAGCTCGTGCAAACCACCGACCTCAAGTAGCCATGGAGCTCCACCGTGGCGAGGTCTGGATGAGCGGTGGAATGAAAGGAATCGACATTCTGCGTGACGACGGAACTGATATAGCCTTTGGCGCTCAGGTCTCGAATGGCTCGGTGGGTGGAGTTAGGCTGGGCTTTCACCAATCCCGGCCACCCGATAAAGCTTCGGGCCCAGTACCTCTTGCGCGATTCATGCCGCGTTACGAACTCATGGAAGTAGATCGGTCGGTAGGTCCGGTTTGTGATGTAGGTGCCGTTCTCGCCCCGGTAGTCGGACAACCCGGAAGCCACCGATATTCCCGCTCCCGTCAGGAGCACCGCCTGGGAATGTCTTCCCACATCGACGCCGCGAAGATACGGCGACGGTGGTGCGGCGAAGAAGGACAAGAGAGCATCAATGGCCCCGGAGACGGTGCGCGCGGACGGAGGAAAGATAATCGGCGGAGGCAATGCGCCGGTGAAAGGAATGCGGATTGATGGCGTCGTCATTGAAGACGCATCGCACAGCCGAAAGAAGTATACCTGAATTCTAGAAGTCGGATCGATAAAGAGCGAAACCTTGAAGGGAAGGGAGTCAATACTCAAGTCATCGACAGCCCAGCTGACTCATCACCAATCACATGATGCTGTAGGATGTGGGCGAAGCAGCACAAAGACCAAGCAGAGCTATTGATAAGCTATTGATGCTGCTTCGGTACGAATGCCCGAGAAGAAGCTGCAGCTCTCCCACCGTCAGCGTCGTTTGCATCGAAAGGAAACGATCATCGCCGGGCCTGGATTTCCCCGGACTGGGCACGTGACCGCTGCCGCACGTCATCGTCGTTGGACCTTTGAACCTTTCGAGTTCGGCAAGCTTTTCGTCCCTTCGCTGTGGATTTTTCCTTGGTTTCGCCTTTAAGAAGATCGACCTGGGGAAATAATCCCCAATTCACAGGATCGTCCCCATCGGACATGTTTCCCTCCCAGACCGTTAGTTTAGATTTAGACGCATTGAGCGGAATCTGTGGGTTAGTACTAGTAGTACCATCTCTCCCTGCCCGCCGTATCTTTACTGATGATCAAATAGTTCGATATCCATTGCGTGCTGGGTCGTGGTTTTCTCGCCCCAGATCATTGAAAATTTTCGTCGTGGATCCGCAGATGGCTTGTCACTTCTCTTCCTCGTCGTCTGGTTGGCGGGCGATGTATTCAATATCCTAGGAGCCGTGCTGCAAGGCGTCCTGCCGACGATGATCATCCTTGCTGTGTACTACACGCTTGCAGATATCGTACTACTAGGGCAATGCTTCTACTACCGAGGCTTTACCCTCAAGGATGAGCCATCCTCGCCGCCTCCTGCGCAGGACGACACCGAGAATGCAGACCCGACATCGGAGCGAACGGCTCTCCTATCCTCAAAGCCCAATGGCTCGTCTTATCAGTCGAATGGGACCCAGAACCAACATGGCAATGGACACGTAACGTCCACTTCTACATCTACCGCCCAGCCACCTTTAGATCACAGAAGACACTCGGCGGCGTCTTCCACCTTCCGTGACATCCTTCACCCCTCGGTCGATGGCACCCATCTATCCCCAGCGACCCCGTTCATCGAGCCCTCTCCTAAGCAGACGGCGCCTGCGCGTCATATATCTACCATCCAGTCCATCCTGTTCAACGTATCCGCCATCCTATTGGTCTGTGCGGCGGGCATATTGGGCTGGTATGTCAGCCCGGGGTCCTCGAAGAACAAAGGCGATGAACAGCCGCCGGACGACAACTCCCTTTCATTCGACACGTGGGGACAAGTCTTTGGCTACTTCTGTGCTGTTCTCTATCTGGGCTCGCGCTTGCCGCAGATTCTCTTGAATTACCGGCGCAAGTCCACGGAGGGCGTCTCCCTTCTATTTTTCCTATTCGCCTGTATCGGAAATCTGACTTATGTCCTTTCCATTCTGGCATATTCCCCAGTCTGTCGAGGTGATGCACTGGAGCAGACTAACCGGTGTCGTCCCGGGGAAACCTCGGCATTATATGGTCGCTACATCCTTGTGAACTTGTCGTGGCTGATCGGCAGCCTTGGAACCCTATTCCTCGATATGTGTATTTTTGTCCAGTTCTTCCTCTATCAGGATTCTGGATATACCGAGAATGAACCTACAGACCAGGGTAGTGCGACGGAGTAGCCTCCAGATACCCATGGCTTTAAAAAAGAAGGTGGCTCAAAGGAAAACTGAAGATCATAAACCGTGAAATCGTTATGTTTTTATTTAGATCAGATCCATTTATCCAGTCTGGGGCTAAAATTGGCGAAATCAGGACTCAAAACTGAAAATGCGTGCTCTTTGTATCTGAACTGATTTTCCTCGGCGTGCTCAGCACACGCATTCATGCGGCATAGAAAGAAGCCAGAATGGAACAGAAATAAGACGACCCCTATTATACCCCCAACCCTCAATTGGAAGCGATAAAGGGGAATCGACTACATGCAACACCCGCTAGAAAAGCAATGATTACCTCCGTAAAACTCCGTTGATGCTCTTGCATCTGCGTCTGCGTCAAGACGCTTCAATCACTGGGAGGTCGAGCCTCGACTTTCCCTTGGCCGACTTCATTCCAGTTGGTGCTCAGGGAAGTTCCCTGGCTTTCAACGTAACTCTTGATCATGGCGCGGCGGGTGTCCGGATCGGCGCCAGCGTATAGCTTCTTGAAAAAGGAGTCGACTGGGTCGCCACCTTCGTAGTCCGAGTCCGCACCATCCGATTCATTACCCTCTTTGTCATTCTTAGGATCGGCCGTTCCATCGCCTGTCGCCTTTTTCTTGCCCTTGTCCCCGGCCTTGGTCTTCTTTTCGGTTAAAGTCGATGCCACCTTGTCCCAGTCTTTTGGCCCTTGGCGAGATGACGAAGGATAGGTCGGTGCGGCGCTACTTGATGGTGCAGAGCTCACGGCGGCCTGACGGTCGGCTAGCTTAAAGTCTGTAGACACGGCCTCTAAAGCATTCCATTTCTGCCCCGCCAGTTGTTTGCGCAACGAGAGTTCGATCTTGGTGGACATGACGGAGACCTTAGATGCAGAGGGATCGATAGGGGCAAACAGTGGGTCAAGGGTGAAGTCATAATCAGCACCAGAGGGAAGAGGGAACCCGATGGCAGCCTAGGAATACTTCGATTAGTATCTAGCAAAACATGTCGCCATCAAAAAGTATTGGGAAGCATACCGAGTCACTTGTAAATTGAACGCTGGCTTTATCTTTGGGCACACCCTTCACGTACAGGGTGACGACCACGCACTCGTTAGATTGATACCACTCGTGCCTAACTTTGTCAACCGAAGGAGCAGCTGCGGCACTCGGAGCTACTGGCTTGCTCTCAGAGCCTTGAGTGGAAGAGGAAGCCCCCGTGTCGGTCGAGCTCTGATGCTTCTCTGGCTCCTGGACACCAGTTGCCCCGGCCTTCCCCGACTTGAAAGCCTCCAGTTGCTTCTTGAGCTCCTTCTCACTGGGGCTTTGGATGCCAGTGGGGTATTCGGCGACCGTCACGGCGGCATTATCGTCCCCCTCGGCCAGCTTGTTCAGCTTGCCTTTTACCTTCAGCGTCCAGATCGGGAGCTCCTGATATCCATTCTTAGCCGAGCCGGCCATAGCATTCTTCACCTTCTCCGATTTGTCCTCATCCTCATTCCCCGCCGCGGTCTTCTCCTGGATAGTCCCAAACACGAACGCGGCATCACCGTATCGTTCCAGTTGATATAGTGCGACACCTCGTCTCATCTGGGCGGCTAGAATCAGCTCGCGCTTCCCACGCTCCCGCGCGAGTGTTACGGCAATCTCGGCATCATGTAAAGCGGCCGAGTAATTGGGGCCTCCGTCGGCGGGTTTCAGTCGAGAGAAAGCGGTAGATCGTTTGATGTAGTAGGGGGGCGCACGCGGCAGCTCGATCAGTGCCTGGGTGAAGTATTGAATTGCACTGGGGAAATCCGAGTTGGCGAGTGCCTTGTCTCCCAGCGAAGCCGAGTTCATTTTGTCCGGTTGTTTTTAAGGTGGGCTGGCTAGCTCCGCCTTCAAGCTACCAGTGACTCCGCGCGAAGCTCAATCGTTGAAATAAAAGCAAAGGATGACGCCGGAGGTAGAGTAGACAGGAGACGTTGGGGTTTTCCGGAGAGTTAAAGAGGAGAAGAGTCAAGCAGACAAAGCAAGCCCTGCTTGTGATCAGCGCAGCAATCGCGGAGGTCGAAGAGGTGAATCCGTTGCTTTCGCGCTGGAAACTGCGGGGATCCCGACCTGCTTATGTCAGGGCTTAACTAATCCTTCTAGAATCAACTACAGGCTTCACTACGGACGAGGCAAGGATTTGACCATTCAATAATTAGAGATACATATACTTACAAGAGACGGAGGTCCCTGGAAACTGCCCTATTCTGGAAGCATAGCGTCCGTCCTTCACAAGAGCTCTTCGTTGCCGAATTTGCGACTGTAAAGCCCCAGCGCGCGAATGGGCCAGTACAGCTTATAGTTGGGGTAAGAAATCATACTGCAAACCAGTTAGTTTCGCTCCGTTAGACAGTCCATTCACCCGCAAAAGGTACTCACCAGGATTGGTTGAAGACCCCCTCAATAGCCTCCTGCAGCCATTCTCCATTCGGCTGTTGCCGCGACATGAGCAGTTTCATGGCTTTCTGAAGCGGCTCCTTGTGGGGGTATCCGGCCTCCATCAGGGCAAGACATGACCATGCGGTTTGGGTGACTTGTGACTGCTCGTGATGGGTGTAGACGTGGTTCGCACTGCTGAGGTAGGATTCTCCCCACCCGCCGTCCTCCATCTGCTTCGAGAGGAGGAACTCGCACCCTCGGCGGGAGTATTCACTGGTTTCATATGTCTCGCCAATGCTCGCCAGACTTTCCAGGGCGAACATGGCGGCGTAGGTGAAACAAATACCCCAGGATCCATACCAGCTCCCGTCGGGTCTTTGGACGCGCTTGATATACTGCACTGCCTTTTCTTTGGCCGCCTTGATATCATCGGCACGGTAGTCGGGGTAAAATTTGCTGAACAACGAGAGCGCGGTTACGGAGGCGGTGGTGCACTCGGGGTGGTCGTAACTAATCATAATGCCTCCAAACACCTCGGCGGCATTGAGACACTCGATCTTCGGAGACGCGCGTGTAACCTCGTACTCGGAGAATCCACCGGAAGGGTTCTGCATCAGTAACAGGCAGTCGACACTGTCCTTGAGCCGCTGTAGGGAAATCAGTTTCGGGTAGTTATGAATCTCTTGAAGCTGGATAGTGGATCGCAGGCCCTCCGCAGTGCAGTCGCTCACGTTATACCCTTGCGTCTTGTTGCTAAAGGGCCAGGATCCCTTGCAGTGTTGACGATAGCACTTCTCAAGGTCAGGGACATTCTCCTGGATTTGGTGGTCTTCAAGGAATTCCAGGGCCTTGGTAAGCATTGGGCGCCATTTGGGATCATCGGCAAACCCGGCAACAACTATGGCCTGCGTGATGAAGGCAGTGTCCCATACCTGGACACCGTTGGTGCCATTGGAAAGCAGACCCTCGTTCTTCACCCAAATGTAGTCATGAAGGCGCTCCCGGTGGCGGCGGACCGAGTAACTATCGGGCCCATCGTGAATATAACAAGCCACCATGTTCATGGGGTTGCTCACGGGACCAAGACCGGCAAAATCGGTGTTCTCGTCTTCCATGCGAATGAGTTCCCAGGTCCAGTCTTCTGCCCGGCGCACCACGGCTGGGAGCCGAAGGTAGGGGTTCCAAATGTTGACCAGAAGGAGATTAACCGTGCTCAGAAGCCATGTTTTAGGGTAGTAGTTATCGGCTTGGTGGATAGAATTACGATGGCGTTTGAAATCAATCGAATCGTATGGTTCCGTATACAACTCCTGCCGTAGCTGCCTAGTGAGGGGGTCCAAAGGATGGCTGAATTTCTTGGACCAGAGATACGACATGGGCAGGAAAACCTGGCGCATGTGAATCCACCATCGCCAGGGGGCAAACGGAACCCAGTCGGGAAGAAGCCTGAATAGAGTCATTAGTGTGGTTCATAATGCAAGGGAGAGAGGATGACGGACCAGATCTCGGGAGGAACGGGGTTGACGCAGTCCCATTCCATGACACCAAGGATGCTGAGCCAGAATTTTGCCCAATGTGGGCTATAAAGTGCACCTCCGAACTGATGCAGCAGGCCGCGCGCTTTGATCATTCGCGGATCTTCTTCGCTGGTGCCGACCAGGCGTAGAGCGACGTAGTTCAAGCAAGTGCCAAAACAGGAGCTATGGCCCTCGATGTGAAGGCCCCAGCCTCCATCTTCTGGGTGCTGGCGAGCAAAGAGATATCTTCGAATCTCCGTCGCATATTCCGGGGGAATTGGCGTGTTGGTAACATACCAGGTGATGATGATCCCGGGAAGCAGAAACATCGGGCCACCGTACTCACAGGCCCAATTCCCTGGCGGTAGCTGCAGCTTAGAAAAGAACTCCAAGCCGTTCTCAGCGCATTGCAGAGGAGTTTTGGGGGCTGGCAATGCCGGAAGATCCTAGACGTAGAATGTTAGATTGGTCGGAATCGACATATGCAGTTGCAAGGAAGGGGGATCTAAAAGCAAGAGAGATAGCCTACCAAAGGAAGACCTAAAAAGTATTTATCGGCAATTGATTGAGGCCACTTTTCATTCTCCTCGTCCGATTCCAGATAATGCCAAGTTTGACGGCCACGGTCATCCAGTAGACGCCATCTAGAATAGTCCGTTTTGGGATCCCCGTTAGCATCGGCCGTTAGATGGCCTTGCGCGGCCGTTTTCCAGGGAGCAATGTGGTCGCCCGCCATATTTGAGAGCTCAACAAACCCGCTGTCCTTTGGAAAACAGGTCGATCGGACGATTGCCTCGTGCGGACGATCTTTGGGGGCGAAAGGGGATAAGAAAGCAAGAGTTGATCGTAGCGACTGGCGAAGAGTCCGGGGATGGGTCTAGTCCCGCTTAGTCATCAGGGGCGGTTTAACGTATTCCACAAGCGAGTCGGCACCACAAGCGAGCCGGCACCCCAACGCGTTTTGACCGCGATCAAAAACCTTACTCAATTCAACCACTAACCATGCCTCCAAAAGCGCGTCAAAAGTCAGGAAATTCAGCCGAGCAGGAGGGGAGGATTCTATTAGCAATCTCTGCTATAGAAAATAAACAAATTACCCAAATTGCTAAAGCTGCGCGTCATTATAATGTGCCTCGTTCTACTCTACAAGATCGGCTACGCGGAAAAACAAATCGCTCAGAAACACGTGCCAATGGTCATAAAATGACTCAAAATGAAGAGGAATCGCTTGTACAATGGATTCTATCGCTAGATCGACGTGGAGCGCCTCCCCGACCGTCCCATATACGAGAAATGGCCAATATTCTTCTTGCTGCGCGCGATACTACCCCAGTTCAATCAGTCGGAGTGAACTGGGTCTCCAACTTCATTAAACGACAAGATCGCTTGAAAACTCGCTATACTCGACGCTATGATTATCGGCGCGCTAAATGCGAAGACCCCAAGATTATCAGAGAGTGGTTTGATCGCGTACAAATCATTATAATGCAACATGGAATTGTACAGGAAGATATCTACAATTTTGATGAGACTGGCTTCGCTATGGGCTTAGTAGCTACTGCTCAAGTAGTTACTAGAGCTAATTACTACGGAAAGGCCTCTCTTATACAGCCTGGCAATCGAGAATGGGTTACTTCAATCGAGTGTATTAACTCAACCGGTTGGGCACTTCCTCCATGTGTGATCTTTAAAGGAAAGATCCATATAGAGGGTTGGTATCAAGATATCAAACTCCCACGCGATAGCAGGATTGAAGTTAGTCCTAATGGATGGACTACTGATGAGATAAGCCTTCGCTGGCTTAAAAACCTCTTTATTCCGACTACTACTAGTCGTATAACTGGAAGATATCGTCTTCTAGTTCTTGACGGTCATGGCAGCCATCTTACACCTCAATTCGACCAGATATGCAGTGAGAATAATATTATTCCTATCTGCATGCCTGCACATTCATCGCATCTACTACAGCCTCTAGATGTTGGCTGCTTCTCGCCTCTAAAGCGGGCGTACGGCAGCTTAGTTGAGAAACAGGCACGCTTGGGAATCAATCATATCGATAAGTTTGATTTCTTAGAGGCCTTTCCACAAGCTCGTGAAAGCGCTTTTCAAGCAGATACTATTCGGAATAGCTTCGCAGGTGCTGGTCTAGTTCCACTTAATCCAGATAGGGTACTCAGTAAGCTGAATATTCAGCTAAAGACCCCTACACCACCAGGCAGTCGATCTACCAATACAGCGCCAAAAACGCCTTATACAACTAGGCAGCTTGAAAAGCAGGCATCTACAGCAAAGAAGCTGCTTAAAGCGCGTACGCAGGGCCCTTCATCTTCGCTAGAGATGCGATTTAATAAGCTTATTAAAGGTCATGAATTACACCTTAATGAGCTTATTCTTGCACGCGAAGAAATCCGTGAATTACGCGCTTCTCATGAAAAGAAGCTTCAAAAAAAGAAACGCTCTACTAGGCAGCTAGCTATTACAGAGGGATCAGCTATTCAAGAAGGCCTAGAGCGATTTCAGCGCGAGAATGAGGTTGATGAAGCTCAAAATACGCTTCCTCTAGACCCTGCACTTTCTGCAGTTGAGCCACGCGTACGAGCGCCACCACGCTGCAGTAATTGTCATATTCTAGGACATAGACGGTTACAATGTCCCAATCGAGTTCCTAATTAGTTTTTATATAGAAATGCAATTATTTCGTTGATAAAGCCTCTAGTATTTGGTCCGCGGGCAGAAATTGGAGCGGGGGTGCCGGCTCGCTTGTGGTGCCGACTCGCTTGTGGAATACGTTAGTTCACTTTTACTTTACTTTATCCTCATAGCCTCTTCCAGTCTCTCCTCTCTGCAGACGGGCTGATCACTGCTTCGACGGATGGCTCTCCCTTTCCAGGATGCAGTGCAGAGCTACATTGCTACAACCATCTCGGCGGTCCTCCATGAGCTGTCATCGCCCGATGGTCGACCGATCATATCAATAAGCCGAAGACCACCGAGACAGTCCTGCTATATTAACCCCGTCACTGGTGCCCTAGAAGCTGATGGGTCGGACTCTCGTGTTGTCAACTACAGTTGGCCCGGTAGAGATGCTCATGAGGCCTGGGAATTCAGTACAGTATCTTTGTCTCGAGGTTCCCCCATGGACGCTGAATGAGTCCGATAGCGATTGTCTTTCGTATCCTCGCAGTCATCACCGAAGCGATCCACGCAGGCTTGGTGATCTCCAAAAGGTTGGTTCTGATCTGAATGCTGCTCGGACAATGGCCGATGCGTCGATAGAGACATCTACTACACTGACCCGGCGTGTTTCGGATCGCAGCGAGCCGTCGACACTGTTATCGACGACCTGGCTCATACGATTGGAGTGGATAGATTGTCGTTGAATGTGGTAATGTGTCACATCACGTTCAATCTCAACACCTCACCAGTACTCACCATTGCCAAAGGAGGCGGCAGCAAAAGGGCTGGTTACCGGTCATTTCCGGCTCACCCCCCAGACTCGTGGTGCGTCGCATGACTGTGCATCTGACAAGGTCAATGGCATCGGCCATCCTCGTCCCTCCCACTGCTGAGTGGTCCATATAGGACGCTTTGATACCGAGGATACGGGATTTCGATAATGTTGACACGTCAAGTGTCAAGTGGGTACTGATCATCGAAAAGGAGGTAATTGCCCTGACGAAGATACTCTGGTGAACCCATTTCTCAAGGCTGCCTAGGCTGTCTATCGTCGGTTAGCCAGGAATGACTATCATATCAGGGCGGCGGCTGGAGAAGGGATTCTAATCACAGTAAGAAAGACCTCGCTGTAACCAATCTTGTGCCGGTGATTGAGTCCGTCCAAGGGAAAAGGCTATCCGGACTTATCCACGCGTGAGTTTGTCCGTAAGTTGTCAGAAAGTAGACAACTGCTGGAAGACCCGCTACACTTCTACGCCTTGGTTGACAATGACCCCGACGGCATGGCCATTATGTCAACCTATAAATACGGCTCTATGGCGCATACACGCGACAATGCAAGACTCAACATTCCTTGCCTACGCTGGCTGGGGCTGCGCACGTCTGATGTTGTAGCCGGCGCCAGCTCACTAGAAGATGATGCACTCATTCCACTGACCGCGAGGGACCGAAAAAAGATCATCGCCATGCTCTCAAGCAATCCGGTGTGGGCAGCGGACGGGCCCGAGCTCGGATGGCGCGCAGAGTTACAGCAGATGCTCATGCTGAACGTGAAAGCTGAACTGGAGATCCTGTATAACAGAGACGGTGGAATCGAAGGATGGGTTGATCAGAAGATGGCCACTGTAGTCCGATAGACCAGGCCATGTCAGCGATACCGGGGCTCGAAATGATCAGTCTTCATGAGACGCGGGTGCTCTATCGATACCGTATGACCATAGCCATATAAATATAATTAGGGAGGGAAAAAACAAAAAGAAAAAAAGCCATCAAAAATTCTATCAGCACTAGTTTATCAGCAGTGCAGACGAATCACGTAACAATTGAAAGCTTTAGGAACAAATGCACCGTAAACGCCGATACCACATCCATGCAACCAGACCCAGGTTCTGTCACGCGCCAGGCGATCAAAGCATGTACATAACGGGCGAGTTATATACGGGAGTCGTCGTAGGGATATCGACGGTCTTTCTCTGCCATCCAAGTCCTACAATCCCAGGCCCTTGCGGACCTCGTCGCGAACCTTGCGCTCATACTCGGCCCGTCGCTCTCTCCACATCTTCGCGGCCTCCACGTTGGCAGGACTCTCATCGTTGGGCTCGGCCAGCATGCTCATGACAGAAATGAGGATTTTCTCCACGCTCTGAATCGGCGACCATCGCTCCGAAGCGTGCTCGTAGTGGTTGGGATCATCGCCGGGAGGGTGCAGAATGGAGATACAGACGGTCCCGTTAGGGTAGACTAAAAACAAATCCATTGTCAGACATGCCACGTTCCCTTTGCTACACACCTGGGAATCACTCACCGTTCGGATGCCAGACCCCGCCCCCGACAAATTTCATTGTCGGCGGACTCAACGGATAGTCCTTGGGGAATTTCAATTCGGCCGCAAACACCCCACCTTCGAAAGGCGTGCCCTCGGGACCCTGGATGAGGGCTTCCCAATAGAACATATCATCTTCCGTAACGGGGCCGGCCGTGATACCATCGGGCGGATTCGTCGAGAGGTTCTTGTATTCGTGGAATAGACGTTTTTGCGCGACCGACGACATGGTGAGCGATGGGATCGGGATGTCCAATTGGAGGTGGTGGGTCGGTGCAAATGGAATTGATTCGGAGATCAGTCGGAGGCGGAGGAGAGATGGAATAAAGATAGAAGAGACTGAAGGCGAGGGGGGCAGAGGGGAGTTGATGCGAGAAGTTGGAAAAGGAGAAAGAAGTGGAGGGAAAAGAGTTGTTGCCACCGGAGGAAAAGCGGCGTTTGTCAGTCCCGCCGAGGGGTTCGGCCCGACGTCATTAGGAAGTATACAGACTTTCTAGTTTCTACACAGATGGTTTCTAGTCAACGCGGCCTAGAATATGGGATATGGTCGCAGCTGAGACATCTACATCGCGAAATTGAAGCGAGACTAACGGGATATGAGACGACATTGGCTAGGATCTAGTCTCCTGCTCTTTATAGTCCTTCCTTTGTATCTTGTGTGTACAGCATTGTCCGCGCATCAGGGCGCGCTCTCCATCTCGTAGGTCCTGTCTTTGATACTACGACTCTAGGTCGTAGGCCAGCTGCCAGAGCCGTTCTCCTTGTCCAGGTTGGCGCCCGTCGAGGCTGCTGTTGTCACCCGGGGTTCGTAGCAAACCCATAAATTGCCGCCCTCGATGCCGATGTTAGCAGGCAACGGTGCTCTTGTACCGGTGGGTTGACTTGACTGGAATCTTCGGGATTTTATGAGACAAAAAATGAATGGGGAAATAGGCCTATCATTTAACTGCGTCCGAATGTCAATTAGAAAAAGTCGTCGTCCCCGCCGCCATCGGTCGGGTCTTCTTCGGCCCAGAAATCCTCTTGATCATGGCTCCAAGGATCCTCCTGCTCTTCAGCCCAGACATCTCCGTAAGGGCCAACTTGTCCGGAAGTCGGTGCCTGTTGATCCATGGGCGGCGGGTGCTGATCTGGCGGAGCGGACTGGGACTGGCCATCCCCCGGCACGCCCCGGGATAAGGCATCATACCCTGCCATGGCACCTGCGCCTGCAGCTCCAGCCACTGCACTGTCGGTCATGCCTCCGGTAGCACCGGCTCTGCCCACCGTTCCCGCAGCGGTCTCTCCTACAGCGCCGGCTTCACCGGCAGCGGCGCCACCGGCCGCAGCCTCTCCGCCAAATCCAGGAATCCATAGAGGGAAGAAGCCAAATCCACCGGAGTCACTATGACGACTGAAGTAGTCAAAATCAATGCTGACTGCTGTAGCCAACATTACCGCACGTTGGTCGAGGGTCATTCCGGTAACGGAAGTGTTTTGCGTAGCTGCTTGTTCTGCGTTAAGCGCCGCCGAGTCCATTCGTAAAGCGTATACGCCGGTGTCCGTGAAAACCTCCCGCGCAAAACCCGCAAAGTTGCGGTTCACAGATCCTATTAATCGACTGTCGGCCGAGCGAAGACCGAAGTCCCACGACAAGAAAGGTTCATCCACATAAGCGAATTGGTTGTATTCACCTTGTCCTGACCCGTTGCGTGTCGCTTGAATTAGTTGCATCTGCTGCGCGCTAGACAAGCCCGACTGTGAAAGTGGCATTCTCTGTGTTTGCATGTCTGTTGCTGGGTCCGGCGAGGCGTGGTAAGTGAAGAGGTTATATTTTCGGCGTAAAGGCGCCCACTGTTGCTGGGCTTCCCCAACCACACGCATTTTATCAAATCCTAGTGGCGAGACCCGGGCGTTCGAGGATTCTGTCGCCTGCGCCAATGTACCGGGAGAAACAGTTTGGACATTTGTAGAGGGGTGGGTGCTTGTTGCAATATCTAAGGGGTTGTAAACTCGAATGCGAGAGTTGATCCAGGAAAATGGACGGTGAAACTGGGACCATTAGTATCGAGAAGCGGTTTCTCTCGAACTGGACGGGGAAACACATACTCGAAGCACCTCATTCTCATGCCTATCAAACACGTGCGTCACGAAACCCCGATGCGTCCGAAACCACTGTCGAGCCATCATGCTTGCCATTCCCTTCTCCTGTTCTGCCATATAACCGATGTGGTTTCCATTTGCATCCATGATCACGTACTTGTTGGCTTGTTCAAACCCGCTGTCGAGAAAAAAACCCGGAGGTCAGTTTGAAGTCTTGATTGAACGACAAGGAGGCAACACTAACATCATTACATTCATCAGTTCTAGCTGCCGCTGGACCACCAGCCCAGAATTGGCCAGTATCCCCGTCGCCGGATGGGTTTCCTTGAGCACGGCATGCGGATCCTCGGGTATATGGACAGGAGCGAGAAGCGAATTTTGGGATGGATCGTAGTCTGCGTGTGCGGAGCCGGGATCATTTTTCACTTCTGATTGCGCGGGTATCCTCTCTCTTCTTAGGGGCTCTGGCCTGCGTATGGAATTGCGAGGACCGCGAGGGCTAATGCGCCCTCTGGTAAAGGAGCTCGAAAGTGCCCGGCCAGGCGCCTGAATCCATCGCGCCGGTGGCTGGCGCAGTGTGGCGCTCCACATTTCTGACCGTAGACTGTATCTCTCACGAAAGGTGTTTTTGAGCGAAAGAGTAAATAGGTATGGGGACGAGAACGCGGGTGAGACTTGGATCATGGCGAAGAAGAAGAATCGCGCGGAGGGTAGAAATTATGACGAAGGCTGCGGCGGACTTAAGCGGAGATAAAGCGTCTCCGGCAGAAGCGACCAGAAAACACGGCGTCCCATCAAGCAGTTTCTACGAGACAGAGGAAGAAAGCAGGCAGGAAATAATGCATCTTAAAACAACTGTTCGAGGCTGCGATATAATCTTCAATGGCTACCCAAGCACCAGTGGTTTCCTAGCGATCCCAAAATATGCATACACAGTACAACAGGCCTCATAGGCAATCATCCAGACACATCATCGTAATCGCTTCGAATCGAATCACAGAAGTCCCTTCCGAGCCAGCTCAATTTTCCGCGACGCCTCTCCAAACTCATACCCGCCTCTCGAGACGCAGACAGCACTTCCTTCGCCGAGTTCGACCTTCTCTTCCACGTCCGCGTGGGGACACGGGCAGTGATGCGGGAAATGGACGCACGCAAGAGTTCCGGGACAGAGGTACTTGTCGCAAGCGGCTGTTCCGATTTGCGATCGTAGACACACGTTAGCCAACCATGGACTTGATGCGACTCGACTTGACGAGGGCCATGGGTCGCATTACCTGATTCCCATGAATTCTGATACCGGGAGCTGTCGCTGGGAACATTCTGAGACGCCTGCTGTCCCTGTCGACCACCACCTCCTCCGCCACCGCCGAACATGTGCTCGAAAAACTGGAACTGGGCGTGGGCCACCGAGGCCAACAGGAGCCAAGCCCCGAAGGTCTTAATCCAGGCTGACAACATCGTCGAATGATCGGGCGGATGTTAGAGAAAATTGAGTGATTCGAGGCTCGGGTCCAAGGGCCAAAATGCACCCAGAGCAAACAAGCGAAAAAGAACCGACCGAGGGAGAAAGACGAGACGCCGAGTAGAGGTTGAGATTGTAGATTGTAGATGGTGATGATAGCTGTCTATACCCGTCGATCCACCGCCGCACGTGATGCCCGCCAAGGCCATCCGCGCCGAGAAAAAAAGCCGCTTCAACTCGAACTCGCTCCAGCACCGACTCGAGAGGCTCCATCCGACTGCCAAACACAACCCCCCCCAGCAATGTTACAACCCAGACTGCTGGCCCCGTTCCGGGTGCTGGAGAGGGCAATTGCCCCTTCTCTCCGTGCTGCTCAGCCCATCTCTCGCCCTTCGTCCTCCATCCTCCCTCGAACCGTCCCCGCTCCGACACCTTTCTCCAACTTCCTCCTCCCTCTGTCTCACGTCCGTCATGCCTCCCACGCCTCCCAGGGAACGGCGAACCGTCACTCCCGTGATCCGGCCGGAAAACGCCTGGGCGCGAAGCGCACCGGAGGCGAATACGTGGTCCCCGGCTGCATCATCTTCCGGCAGCGCGGAACGAAATGGTTTGCCGGCGAGAACTGCGCCATTGGCAGAGACCACACCATCTACGCCACCGAGGCAGGCTATGTGCGCTACTACCTCGACCCCGAGCGACACTCGGAGCGCAAGTACATCGGAGTGTGCTTCGAGAAGGACGGGAAGCTACCGACGCCCCGAAACGCCCCGACCCGACGGAAGTTGAACCGGGTTGCGATTGCCCGCACGCCAGATGTCCTTCCCGAGCCTCAGTCGGATCTGGTGGCGACTGGAGAGACCGGCACCGTGGTCGCGAGTGTGCCAGCGGCGGACGCGGAGACTGGCGCCCAGCTGCGTCCGGGGTACATGTACCGTCAGGCCAATTGGCAGATTGGTCGCGCGGCCGAGAAGGCCGGCATCACGGCCAAGCCGTACAACCGTGATAACCGCTGGATGGCGTGGAGGAAGAGACAGGCTCGGGCCCAGCGTGCTGCCCAGATGAAGAGTCTGAAGAACAAGAAGAAGGCGTCGAAGAAGGGCAAGGGTGGCCGTTAACCGGTGATGCATGTCTCGACCTCTTGTCCCTCTCCGCCTCTCCTACTGTCATTTTAATCTACGACACATGCATTTGACTGCGCCACACAATAACGGATCCCTGAGTGTTTTCTTTTTTTGTAATATAGAAAGATGTCTGCAATTATCAAGCTGTTTTCCCCATGTACGAATGCGCCTTAGTAAATCTTGATTTTTATTTCATTTTAATGACCGAACCCGGAAAATTAATCAAGTCATAGGGTATCTGTTCCAAATCACGCCTTCGACCCCGATATTAAGAAATCCCTTGCCCTTCCATACACATACACCGTTGATCACAACAATATGATAACATGAACCATTGCTAACCGCAGGATTGAAAGAGGAAAAGAAAAGAAAATAAAAGAAAAAAAGGAGATACGGAAGAGTATCTCTCCTCCCGTCTCAGTAAAGAGATTGGATCCAACTCTTAATCAAACAACTTGCCCAGAATCAGGCTCTGACAGACGAACTCATTACCGACTATCTTGACGTTGGTGTTCGAGCCGAGATCGTTGCTACTGATCGACTCTGTAAGCTCCACTCTCTTGCGTTTCTTGGATTTCTGTGTCGACTGGGCTTTCTGCGAACCAGACAGAGAGGCCCCAAGGATCGTCGCAATCGCCGACGCCTTTTCATCGTTGTCGACATAGATCCAGTCCCATTCACACTTGTTCTGGACATCTCCTTGTTGGTCGAGAACGGCGCGGGCGGACTTGACATCTGGAACTCGCTCAACCCGGGAAGCACCCAAGGCATAGGTCAGGAATAAATACGCTTTCCTTCGTTCTTCGTCCGCTTTTCCGCGGCCCATGACAATAAGAACCGACTGCCCGGCCAGGAGATTGGGCCGTGCAGAGATCACGTCGGGAAGTCGAGCCTCCGACGCCGGATAAGGCGCAAGCATTCGTGATTTGGTGGCCCCGTTCAGATAAGATGATTCACCGGCTGGAAGCAGGTACAATTCCCAGTCCACAACCCGGCCCTGGGCCACACAGTCTTCTATCCAGCGGCCCGAGAGACATGGCAAGTTCAGAGCCAATGCTTGCATGTACTTTGGGCGGCGGGAATGTCTGTCAGCTATCAGACACGCAAATCCGACATCCTCGGCACCGCGCGTTAGGCGCAAGTGTCTTCCATTCTCATTTGTGCCTGACGCTGGGGATTTTGAAGGCGTGGCAAGTGGGGCGTTCGTGGGCAGGTCAAAGAGCTCATTGAAGCCATCATGTAAGATGCGCCCATCGTTATCAAGGATCATCTGAGTGATGCGGGATTTCTTATCATTGTTATCGCCATAAGACACAGCAAATACCATCCCAGAAAATACTCCGCTAGAAAAACGGATGCTGCGAGATAACCGAGTACTCGGCGACGTCGGAGTTGAGTGCCTCTCAGAAGGTGTCTGGAGTCTGTTATCAGGCTGGATTGGAACAGAGCTGTAGGAAAATGCGCGGTTTTTGAGTTGATTCCAAAGAATTGTGTCCAGATAGATCCGAGAGATGGGAACTTTGACAACGCCTTCAGGCCCCGTTAGTCCTCCACTGGGGAGACTCTTCCGCTGCTTCGGTCCCAAGATAGCAGCCGAATGCCCATAAATATCAGTCACCGGCACCATCCCATTGTTGGCTTCCTTGGAAAGTTCATCCGCGCTGAGCTTGTCGGTAAGACCCCGGATAATGTGAGTGACCTTTGGGACATTGGGTATGTCCACTTTAACGGCATCGCCAACCCTCAATTCCAGGGTCTTGACAGCGCTCATAGGCACTTCAATGGGGGCAGCATCTTCAAATTTCACGAGGTACCTGGTACTTGAGGTCCCAAATGGTTTACCAAAGCAAGTCGCGGGATAGTAGGCTCGTTTTGATCCACTCCAAGGAGCAAACACCTGGTTGACAGCAACTTGGACGTTTTCAGCAGGTGGTAATTCCATTCGTATCGGCTCACTTGCAACGTCATTGTCTGGTCTTTTATGTGCGGCTTTCCTCGAGGGTGTTGTATGAGGTTGCGCCAAGGGGTCAGGGCTGGTGCTTTGGTGGTCGCGGTGAACAGCGGGTTGATCGTCAGTCCTCTGCTTTGGTTCATGGGACTGCTGTGGTTTCTTTTCTAGAGATCGGGCGAGCATCCTAGAGCGTTCAGTTCGTGGCGGGTAGAAATGAGGAGTGTCGTCTATGTCCCAAACAGTGTCCATGCGCCGGGATGGTCTCGATCGCTTCACGAATACAGTCTCCGGTGCCACTTGTGGCTCTTTCGGCTGCGGATGATCTTCCGTTTCGGTCCTTTCATGTCCTTTGGTGTGCATAAAATAAGAAGTCGGCCCAGGTGTCACCGGTACCAAGGAGTCCGAGGCGTAGATATTTCTTCCGACATTTCCGCGTCGTTTCTTTCGCGGCAGTACTGGGGACATTTCAACCGCAGACCTGAATTCTTGATCCTCGGCAGAAAGTAGATTGATGTCGATGTCAAAGGCACCTGGTCCAATCCGAGGTGAAACGTCGGCCGCGATTTCGGTCAAAGCCCTGCGCTGTCTCCCACTTGGACTAGATAGAATCTTAGAATTAAGTAGATTTTTCACGGGAGATGAGCTATCTTGATTTAAGGGCTGAGAATGGGAGATTCTCTCGTGCACGGTCGAGTGGATGGGGGGTAGGTCATCATCTTCTTGATCCATCAAATCATTCTGGAATCGGTTAGGACTTGTTTCCGGGGCATCTGTGGCAGGAATCTCATCTCCAAAGCTCCTTGAGCGGTGGAGTGGTGTTTCGGCGACACGAGAGGGCATTGATGACGATTTCTCTAGACGGTCGGGACGCGAGGTATTTTCAACCCCGTGAGGCAAATTTGGCTCCATCGGATGGCCGGCCTGCATTGCGATATCATCTGGAACCGATTGGTGCCTTGCAGGGTGGCCCGATGACTCGCGAGAGCTGACCGAATCAGACCTCCCCCGAGGTTGCACACGATTGTCCAGCTGAAATGAAACCCGGCTTCGCTGAGACGCCGACGGAGGAGAAGATTGTATGCGGATAGGCTTTTGAGGTGAGCTTGTCGTCTTCTCGAGATCATAAGACGATTGTACATGCGGGCCAGGATGTTGAGCAGCATACTGATCCCACGGTTCCAGATTAGTATTGCCAGCGTTTTCATCCTGATCATACTTGGGAGATTGCTGAGAATCCGCGACCACTATGATTTGCGAAGATCTGCTGATGCCCTCCAGTGCTTCGCCCTGAACTTCGATCTGAGATAGCCGCTGAGAGTCTGCAGGCGCGCCGGTTGGTTTCTTTGGGCTCGGAGACGTACTTCCATCCAAAGACAGTACCTGAGAAAGGCGATCATGTGCATTGGTAGCAGCACCACGCGGAGTCGTTACAGGATCGTCGTAATTTTCTTTGTCTTCCTCGGTCGAAGGATTCAGCTCTTGCGACTTGGGCACTGGCTGATGGGACTCCTGCTCATGTTCCGTTTCTTCCTCACTAGCCTCGTCGGTTGGCAGCGCGCTAATGTGTGTCTGCTGCCCACCCTCCTGAGTATGAGGCTCAGGATCCTCGGATGCCTTGTCACTTGTCCTGCTTCGATGGCTTGGAGGCTTTGCGGGGGTCGTAAGACCAGCAAATTGAGCGGCGGCCTCCTGGTCAATAGTTCGCTTGCGTGCCATACGTTCGACGAAACTCGGCTCTTTATCAAATTCGACATCGCTATGATCCTCCGAATAGACATGCTCTGCAGAGCGCGTCAGTCTCTCCTGTAATATCCTATCACGTTCTGCTTGAGATTCCTTCATGGTGACATAGTTCAGATTTGGTTCGGACGAATCTCGCGGAAAAGTCGCTGCGATGTGGTTCAGCGGGGAGGACAGCGTCGTAGCAAGTGGGTGACCCTGGATTGGAAGATTGGGAGAAGGCCGATCAGACATGGGATCAGAATGCTGACCACGGATCAGGGGAGATGATGGTGCCTGCGTCGCTCTGAAAACCTGGCTCAAAGCCATGATGCCCCCGCTTGAGCCAACGTCCGAGGCAAGTGGATTGCGGGAGACGGTGGGAGACCCTGTATTCAAGCCTTCGGTCTGGCTGTGCTTCACCACCGTTGCGGGAGTCTTGACCACAAAGCGCTGGGACTCCGGGAAGAAACTCGGCTGATAATGCATGGGAGATGATTCGCCTAGCTTGAAGCTGCTCTGGTCCTCGTTGTCGTCGGCATTGGCGGCGTCGGTGTGGATGTGATCAAACCCCGCCAGCAGATCGATGTGGCCACTATCACCCTCATACATGGTTGCTAACGTTGCCCGATCAGCCAAGCTATTATCCGTTTCATTATTCGCGGCAGCCTCCTGGTTCTGTCGGATGAGATCGTCATACACCGACTGAGAGATGACCTGGGTGTCGGAGGGCACCGTCTCCGCGGAACCCATTTTCACGGACCGCTGCAGGGGAACTCGATTCCGGTTGCCTGTAACAGAAGGTTGTCGGTTGTCACTCTTCAATGCTTCTGTATCATGCTGTCGTTTTCCCGTGGGCGAGTGTAGGGAGGACGGGGACCGATGCGGCGACGGCGATTTCCGAGGGTTTTCTGGCGCCGTGAGCGACACAGAATCGGCGGGATTTCGTGGAGATTGACGGTCACACGTATCAGAGAGAGAAACCTCGATAGGTTCGAGCTGCTGGGAAGGGAGTTGGGAAGGTGTGGATTGCTATGAGCGAGAGAAGGTGATTGGTGTTAGCTCGATCGACATCAGAACGCCACCAAAAGCGGCCAGGATCAATCACTTACTTGCCCCAGCGCGACGCGTTGCAGATATCCGATGTCGAGACTGTCCTGTTGGGTCTCCATTGTTTTTTTCCCTGCTCTTTTTTCCTTCTCTTTCTTCTTTACCTCATCGATGCTACCTCCCAGGCACGTCTAGAAACCATAGCCCGAACAGCATCGACGCCGGAAAAGAAGGCATCGGAAGGGCGTCACCGGCCGTCATGAACCAACGCGCGGGAACGCGTCTGCCACGTGACCAGTTAATATTACCTGTTCAGGATTAGCGCATAAAGGCATCCGGCGTTACTCTGCCTGCCTCAGGTTGCACTATTTACTGCCTTGGTGGGTTACTCAAGAAGCGTTGTCTCGGAGCTGGATGGTTACATATTGTTACAAATATTATGTACAGGAGAATCAGCACCACGGTAACATCGCCTAGTCTCGGGTCCGATTCGGCACCCATCGTCGAATCGTTATTTCTCGAACTTGATACCGGCCAAGAAGGGCCCCGATATCCCCCTCGGAAGATGCCTTCGGGTCAGACGAAGCTGGGGCAGGGATCTCGACGTAGCAAACCACCAAGGTCTTTTTCACCTGCGCCTGGACCCGGTTGACGCAATGGAACCACCACCAGCTGCGGGCCTGTCTCTGGGCACACTGCGCTTGTCGCTCTTCGGTGGCAGACCAGTAGGGGTCCTCGTAGGATGGGAGAACCACTACCGCATACTCGGCATGCGAGAAAACGGGACCCCGATTGTAAAGAATGTAGTCTACTCCGAATTTCACACCGGAGCGTACAACCCACCCAAGAGACCGGAAGTGGTGGTACACGACGTACGAGACCATAAACGGGTCGTCTGGATTCAAATCCGTAGAAGGGCTCCGTGAAGGGAAGTATGAATGTTGACAGAACGTGGACAGGAGAGAGGAAGAGGACAGTGCACGGTTCTGTTCCCTGTCAAAGACCTGTAGGGCGCCCAGTCCATAAACCAAGAAGAAGGCCTCCTCTCGGGATAGCTGGAGATGCTCTTCATTTTCCAGCCCCGGTTCTTCGCTGGATTCTTGTTCCTGGGGGGTGGATTGCGGTAGGTGCACGATAGCTGAATCCGAGGCGAATTCTTTGGCTTGGACCACTGGGGAAAACCGCACGGTCTTGCCGCCCTGAGGGGACTTTCCCCCGGGAGAGCCATCCTCTTCATTCTGTGTTACCGCTTGCCGTGTCTCCAAGATTCTGGCCTCTTTGGCCTTTCGCAGAGAGTACTTTTCGGTGGTGGGGACGGTGCCGTTAGTAACACCCTCGGCGGCGGCTGGCATGGAAGACTGATCGCCTGGCATGACGCCGGTCTCTCGCGCGACAGCCTCTGCCTTCAGTCTTTCCTCGATAGCAACTCTCTCCATCCTGGCTCGCTCTAACTTCAGTTCACGACGCTCGGATCTTCGCTGGCGGGTGGCCTCTTCACTGGTGACTCCTCCGAGCAAGCCCCGTCTCTTCTTTTCCCGCTCTAACCAGCTCGGCTCGCTTCGACTCAGCGTGCCCTTTCCAAAGAAACCCATTTCCCACAACGCCCGGATGGCTTTCTCGTCCGTCACGTGGACCGATGAAGTATCGGGATCGAAATAGGCGGGATAGACTTCACGGTGCGGGGGAGACACGAAGTACGTCAGATACGACAGGAGCACGCTAACAAGGGACAGAGGGTTGTGAGGAATGAGAGGAGGGAGCGGATGAACGCTGACTGGCAGAGGGAAGCGGTGGATGTGTTTGTAGTTGGGTCTGGGTGGCCGCGGACGGCGAGCAGGTCGGGCATTGTGTCGTGAAGCCTCCGGTGTGGCAGCCGCAGCCGCAGCCTCGGGACCAGGGCTGGATGTAGAATTGGAATTGGAGGTCATGTTCACTAGTGAATCCTTAAATGATGATGAAAAAAAAAAAATCTTTTGAATTGATATGGTAGTCTACTATCACGCGAAGAGTCAGCCGTGGAACTCTTCGTTACGAATGACCCGTGCAATGCAAAGTGATTTGAATTCAATGCTCCTCAGATACCGTTGTAGTCAAAACTGATACCATCATCGACAATAGCTAGAAATCAAGGTGCTATTGCCTAGGTTTGGGTATAGTTTGGTAGTCATCACCGGAGATTGAATGCAAGCACTTCACAAGCTTAGGAAAGCTGCTGATGCTTACCAGAAAATCTTTTCTGGAGGGGATCACAAGTCTAGTAAGACCTGGAGGTGGTTGAGGTTAAATACAATCGGCAATCTGCAAAGGATACTCCAACCGCATCATGCTGGGATCCAGGAAGGGATGCTCATCATTATCATCCCGAGCCTTCGGATTGTTCTATGGGTGTTTCGAGGTGTTGCACGGAAGAGAAGAAAAAAATTCGCTTGGGCATTAAAAAGGTCCGCGGGTGACTAAGCCGGATCGGGTGGTCTGTGCCCGGCGGTTCCAGAAAGAGACGGAGAAAAAAAAAAACCTCCAAATCCACCGGACGAGAACTGCGGCAAGACTTGGACGACTTGAATCCTCCCACCCTCTTTGAACCCACCCGCCAGGCCCTTCGAAAAAATAAAAACCAAATTTCAAGTAAGTGGCCACTGTCTTCAAGATCACCTGGTGACCATTCATTAGTACGTACTGACTTCGTCTGCCTGGAATTATAGGATGCATCTTATGGTATGTCGGCACATTACACTCGACTGCGGATCGCGCAAATCGTAAATCCTACAGATACTAAACCTATGTCCGACAGTACTCGCTTGACGCCGAGGGCAAGAGGGTCTACACCCTGAAGAAGGTCGATGCGCAGAGCCGCGTCACGAAATCGGCTCACCCTGCCCGATTCTCTCCCGATGACAAGTACTCTCGGTGCGTCGGTCCCTGTGATAAAGCGAGATATTAGAAATCCGATCGCCTGAAGAACGGCTGGCTAATCAGATTCGGGTTTCAATATAGTCACCGTGTCACTCTTAAGAAGCGGTATGGTCTGCTTTTGACCCAGCAGCCCGGTATGAAGAAATCCTGCCTCGATTGCGGAAGTCGCATCAAGCTAATACACGGCCACAGACAAGGAGGTTGCTGCGTTGTAATTTGCCGAATGATGGGATAATTGATAGCCGACGGGCAAAAGGTGTTTTGACGTTTCGAATCATTTCAATGGCGAATGGTGTTATGTGTGAACTAAGCGAACCGAGTCTTTCGGAGACCTTTCGATTTCTGATATACTGGTTGGGAAAAGCCCAATGGCCATATTTTAGAGAAATTTCGCTTTTGGATCTATATCCTTATATATGCCTGTGTGCTCTATGAATCCGTCGAAATCCATCCCGTATCGTAAACCCATCAAATATCCGCAAGGACATCGTTAAACATCAGGAAAGAAACTTTTTGACCAAACTCCGTTCCAGCGTTGATGCAAAAGACAAGAGGGAATCAAAAGGAAAGAGAAGGTCCAAATGTGTGCCTTTATCGCTTTCTTGAGTTCACGTTTCTGCCCGCGCCCACCTTGATCCGGCCTCCCTGCTTGCTTCGTTCGCCGGTCAGGATAGCGGGGAGATAATCCTCATCCATCAGATCCCGCTCTTTGCGAAGTCTTCGGTTCTCCTCTGCGGAAGCCCTTGTGTATTCCTTCTGGTCTTCGGCCAGGATCAGTTCCGTTCCCCAGCCGCCTTTGCCTCCACCTCCCTTCCACTTGCCATTGGAGCTCCCGTGGACGGGCTTGGGGACGCTGAATCGGTTGCCCCGGTTGTTCCATTGCATGTTCTTTTTCAGGTGCATGGTGAACTGCCCGTTGGCATCCGTGGTGCAGGAGACACGGGTAAGAGTGTCCTTACCACAGCGGGGACAGAACTGTTTGCTCATGTCCTTGGTGGTAAGGAAACAACCGTGGCAGCGTTTGATGAACGACTTCAGGTGTCTAATTCTTTGCAAGGTGGTTGTCGAAAGCAGGTTCAAGTTCATCTGGAGTAGGACGTTTTGACACTATAATTTGCCATCAGTTCGCGGTTCTTGTATCGATTCTGAACGATGTGCTATTACTTACCGCAAAGTCAGTTGTCATGGTTGCAACCTGCATCACCTTGGGCTCCGGCGTCGTCGAAGAGCTTCCTTCGTCGCGAGCCTGTCGCTTCTTGAAATTCGACGGGGTGATCCATTCCCCGCCATCCGATTCATCGGCAGCATCAGGATCCTCTTCTTGCTTGGCCTCCTCTTCGAGTGCCTGGACCGCCGACGAGTCAACTTGAGCATCATCCTTTGCGGACTCCGTCGCAGGAGCGGCAGCCTCTACTTGTGATTCCTCGTTGCCACCTTCTAACGAAGTTTTCTTGAGATCTTCGGCAACGGTATCGACCTCCGGGGTCTCGGGCTTGTTCTCGACCGACTCGGGCTCGCCCTCGGTCTTCTGTTCTTCCTCCTTGGCGGGAGGCTTGCCATTCACCTGCTTCTGGCCGGGGACGCTTCGCAGTCGCCAGTCTCCGCCATTGCGCTCACATTCTAGCTCATAGGCCAGGGCGAGGACCTCGATATCCGTTTTACTCAGCACAGATCTGTCACCGGTTTTGCGGGCGAATTCGCTCAGGACGGCCACGCTCTTGGGAGACGGGGATCGCTGCTTCAGGAACGGCAAGTAGAGGGTTTCCACTCGAGCGCGAGCGTCGGGATCACGAATTTCGGCGACCACGGACGGGGTGATGAGCAGTTCCTCGCATTGAGCCAGCAAGGTGGATAGCGGCGGGGTATTTTTGAGGACGGGACCGGCATCGAGCACGATGGTGTGGACGGGTTTGGGCGGCGTGGTGGTGGAGTCCGCCATGATTGATTTTGGCTTGCGTTCTCTGGCGGTCCTTCTCGAATCCAATCCAGCAGGACGACAGCAAGATGACGCAGAAGTGGGGGAGGGGGAGGGGGGAAGGTCGTTCGACTGGCGAGGCGCAGATTTTCGAGGGGGAATTTTTTGGGTGGTCTGTGCGCTATCCTTATCTTAGCGCGTCTTATCGCTCGTCCAGTCCAGTTCCATCCTTCAGTGTTCATCCTTCAGAGATCCATTCTTATGACCTACAGATCCTCTCGATCAGACAGGTCGTCGTTGCTTTCGCGGACATCTTATCCGTTCCGCCGTGCACGTCGCTCTTCCCCGTTTTGCCATCCTGCAGACCTGATCTATCATCGGAACCCGTCCACAGACGCAGTATATATCTTTATATCCACACGTCTAGCCGTACTAACGGACACAATGCGCGTTATGCATCCCCGAGAAGACAGAAATCCTGCTACAATCCACAATTAAAAATTATGAATCGATTCTCGACACCACACGGAATGCCCGGACCAGCTGTCAAGCTCGGACGGAGATTGCAAAGGCGTACAGAGGACAATCCAGTATCCACGCCGTCGCCCAGTCGACCGAGCAGGGCCGCGGTCGCAGACTCGCACTGACGATAAAAAGTACATACATGAGAAAGTGGATCGACAGGAGGACTTCAAGGGATTTTAATCCGGTCCAGCCTACGTGGGCAGGTGACTTGAAGGTTGCTTGTTTGCTTGCTTGCTTGCTTGCCTATGTTTGATCTTAGGGCTAACCATGATATACGAGGTGGCACAAGCAAACTCCTCGGTTAAGGGCACTACTTATATTACGGACAGTCAGAATGGCCAGAATCGATTTGAGATGCTCCGTGAATGATCTTGGATTACTCGGACGGGGTGTTTACACCGGAGTGTAGGAGTGACATATTTACTTGTCGATTGGTGGCTGCAGCCCACGGAAGTGCATCATGATATGCGATGATACGGTCCTACGCATCTTCAGCGAAGTGGAGGAGGGGGTGTCTCCATCCCCACCAACTTTAATGAGAGGGTTTCATCGTTGTCTCCGATAGAAAAATGAAATATCAGCCAGTGCTATGCCGGATCTCTGATCTCGTCCAAGCACTCGAAGGATACCTCATATTGGTGGCCAATGCGCATTATCTCTCATTTGACTCTGTAGATCTCTGCCTCTCATATCCGATTCAATTTCTTTATCTCATCCATCGCATTGTTTCCCATTGTCTTATACGAGAGGATAACGGCTCTGCGGATCATCTTCCAGTACGGAGCCACTTTGGTTATTTCCCAGCACCGGAGAATCTCAGCATTACCACGCCAGGAGAGAAAGAGAGGGCCAATTTTCGCTACTTCCTAGTAACCTCTTGAGCCCAAGAATATAATTTACAGCCTCCCTGACCGACACTTGCCCGGAGACCGGTAAAGACACCTGACCTGATAAGAGCGTGAGCTATATACCCAAGAGGCATGGATTATGTGGCCGACAGGACCGGCCTAAAATAATAGTCGACAAGCTAGCAGCGAGCGGCGAGCAACTCAGCACCGCCCGTGCATTTCCAATTAATCGGATTTCCAGGGCATTGAATCGAGCAAACAGTTGGCGATGCAAATGACACGAGAAACTACTAGTGCTCCTCGAGGGTTACACCGAAAATGCCACCCCCGTATTTTGGCCGTCCAGCCAGCCCGTCATCCGGCCAGATCTGGTAAACAGCTGAGGCGCCATAGTCGCCCTGTGCTCAATCAGAGCGCATCAGAACAGTAAAAGGTCAAAGCCACGATCGGCGCCATTGTAAATCGGACGCTGGGGTGGAACGCTATGAACGCTATTAACCACGGTGGCGGGCTGTTGGGCGACCACCTCGAGGCATAAGATCAGGAGTCTATAATTATTGACCTTGAACGGTCGATCAAAATTGAGATTTATTGGCCGGGTATCTTGGGAAACCCCCAAGGCGAGACCATTAGGCTTTTCGACGAAGCAATAATTTCTCTGGGCGGATCTAAATTAGATCGCCCCGGCACTGAAAGCGAGAAATGGGAGAAATGTGATGTATCGACTGGCGACTGAATCGACCGGATCCACTTCGACCGGACGTTTTTGCCCCTCTTTTTGTCTCTCATTGCCTTCTAATTCTTCTCTTGACGTGCCAGAATAGAAACGCATCTGGCGGACTGGGAGTGGAGCACAGGTGGAAGCTGTCATCCGGCTGTACGGTACTTTGCATCCCCTGCATGTCCGTTATTCAATGTGGCTCGCTATCACCTCGGGGGAAAGAGAAGCTGGACACATCTCATCCTTCCCAATTCTCAGTTCGCTTGGATGACCGGAATCGCCTCGCTGAGTTGTCCTGTCTCGAGAGGGTAAAAGGGAGAGCCTTGTATCCCTTGCTCTAAGGGATGCCCTGAAGGGTAAGTGAAGCAATTCAAACTTCAATTGTCCGACGAAGAGGCACCCCTTTCCAGAGGACGAGCACACTGAAGCAGAACCAAAAAGAAAAAGAAAAAGAAAAAGGAAAAAGAAAAAGGGAAAAAAAAAAAAAACATATCGCAGCTCAGGAAAGAGGGGGAGGCCGCAGGAGGCGGTTGTTGGTGACTCGGAAGACATCCCTGCTTGCAGCCCTTGGAAAAGCGATGATTGAGTCACTGACAGCTCGGCTCCAGTTCCCCCTTCGCTTGACGAAGTACTGTACATACCCTACCTAGCAGCCTAGGGTTAAAGGGGAATTGACCCAACCCTTTCCCTTCGCCACGATCTGTCCGTCTTATGCACTGTCAGGCAGCCCGGGCAGGAGGTCTCTGTACACATCGTATGACAGCCCATGGGCGTCAAGTCGACTGAGTCCAGTCCATGCATACCAAGGGAAGCGCACATGTACATCCTGTAGGCCATCATACTCCGTACATCTGTCGAACTTGCACGGCCCACCCTACCCCGACAGTGGGAAGGTTTTGGATACATCGTCGATCTATGACCTCTCCACCCATCTCCCTTCCGTCACTGGCCCGGATGGTTTCCCTGAGCAAGTAGAATCTGCTGGAGCCGATCATTGATGTTGTCATCAGCCTTAGTGACCCCAAAGGGCTGGAACCTATCGCCTGATTGTCCGTTGGCGCTGTTGCAGGGGGGTCAGTGTTAGCCTGTTGGGACTCCACAAAAATGGTAAAACAGAAAAAACCAAGAAAAAACAAAAGAAATTAGGGAAATGCACCCAAAAAAAGAAAAGAAAAGAAAAAAAAAAGTCCCGGCATGGGAGTCAGATAGAGTGCACTGGACAAGACGAAGCCCATGCTCTATCCATCAATCCTAAATGTGACAGTGGCTTCAACGCATGATTTGCTTATTTGCCTTCGCCCTTGCTTGCTTTTTCCTTTCGTCCTCGTCCTGGTCTCCTTTCGCTCTTTTTCGTTCATCCTGGTCCCCTGTCCCTGTCCCTGTCCCTGCTCCACCAATCTGGAGAAGCAAATGAAACGCTGAGCCAGGGTCCTCTCGGCCCAGGTGCCTAGTATTAACCTCATCCCTCATGAGGCCTGGCCGTTTCTGGGGCCCTGGCGAGAAAACGTTTATAATAGCTCTTATCCACTCCGCAGTCGTTCGTGCTTCTTCCTCTCTTCGCAATGCCACTGAGGTCTTCCATGCTCACATAGCGTCACCTAGATTCGGCGCATGCACGTCTGGTTGGGCTTGAGATTCTGGTGTATGCCTGCATGAACGTCTTTCAATTGACTTTCGTCCCTCGAGTCAATCCTTCGTGTCGCACCAGGTCGACCTCCGTCCTACCCAAGTCGTCCGAGGGGCCGCCATGTCGAGCCCTGCTCCGCGTACAGTCCTCCCTCGGGGGGACGACACGTCCTATCTGTCGCCGGGAGGCGTGAAGGGGCTGTCTATCAGCGTTGTCTTCACCACGTTAGCAACGTGCTTCGTCCTTGCCCGCCTGTACACTCGGACTAGGCTGATGAACCGCATGGAGTCGAATGACTGGATGATAGTGATCGCCCTGGTAAGACATTCGCGCAATCCCGCATGATTCTCAAGGCATCAGATCCATGTAGCTAACCAGCCGAGCCAGGTCTTGTCATTTGTCTTCATGGGATTGTTCATCGTGGAGGCTCTGAATGGCGTGGGTATGCATGCCGTGGACATTCCACCGCCGGTGATGCTTAAGCAGATGAAGGTAAGCAAAGACTGTCTCGATGGCCCAACACTCGGACTAACCCTCGCGTTGGGTAGGCCTTTTGGGTCACGATTCCCTTCTACAATGCCGCGTTGCTCTGCGCCAAAGCATCTATTCTCATGCAATACTTCCGCGTCTTCCCCACGAGGCGCATGCGCTGCATCTCCTGGATCATGATCGCCGTGCTGGCCACCTATGGCACCTGGGCCGTCTTGAGTGCCTTCCTCAACTGCATCCCCGTGGCCAAGTTCTGGGACCCTACGCTCCCCGGCTACTGTTTGAGCATGAAGGGCCTCTGGTTCTCGAATGCATCCATGCACATTGCCACCGACCTGGCCATCCTGCTGATCCCTCTCCCGGTCTTGTCGGCCCTGGATCTTCCCAGGAGGCAGAAGATTGCCCTAATGTCCATCTTTGCGCTGGGCGGATTGTAAGTCTCGCCCTCCGTCTTGGGCTTTCTCGAACCGGCCTAACATTGAACCCTCGTCTCTAGTGTCTGCGTCACAAGTGTGTGCCGTCTGGTTGCGTTGAAGAAGATTGCGGATTCGGATGATCCCACCTGTATGTCCTTGTGCTATTTTGCTTGTGATGGTGAATACGTGACTAACCAAGAGGTATCTCACTGCTGTAGATGACAACGTCGACGCCGCAACCTGGTCGGCGATTGAATGCAACACCGGAATCATCTGCGCCTGTCTCCCGACCCTTCGTCCGCTCATTTCTCGCATCCTGCCTCACCTGCTTTCGACCCTGAGCACCGGTGGTCCTTCCTATGGCAATGCGCCCCTGTCGCAAGCCCGAACGCCCGCATACTGGAACGGCACCGGCACCGTGTCCACGACCATCACGGCCATGGACGACTTGGAATACGGACACTGCACCTCCGACGCCGATCGTGTCTTGACTCTTGCGCCCGGGACCGACGCCAACGGCAAAGAGAAGCTCATGCTGAAAGATGCCAAGGTTTCTCAGGAGCTCAAAGAAGCTGCGGTGACGATCGAGTCCCGGACAGAATCCTCGTCGTCTTCATCGTCACCGCCTCGATGATATTGATGGGGATGGTTCAGTTGAGGACTTTGTTGGTGAAACGAAGTCTTTGTAAAGGGAGAAGAGAAAGTCGTCGAAATTTTGAAATGAAAGAATTACTCAGCATCTTGATATCCCCTGCGTTTTGTTATGTTCATCTTCCCTTTCTTCCAGCTTCACTGGGCTCGGCCTCGCTCGGTCTTCGCCATTCTTGTTTTCTCTTTCAGTCTATATATATATACTACACAGATATAGCACTCCTATTAGAATATTATTCAACCATTAATCGAAAACCAATCGAGATTTCTAGCTGAACCTGCCAGCTGGTGCTAGCAACCAACAGTAGTCTAATTGATAGAGTCTTGAGATAAACAGGGGAAATGGGGTCGTCGTGGAGGCACTTGTACGCCGACAGAGGACAGACAGATATTCGAGTCAATGGCAATAAGTGTCTCCGTCGTAGCATCGTAGGAATTAAAAGTCGGCGAACTCCTTGTCGACTTCCTCGAAATGATCAAAGAAGCCCTTGAATAGCTTCACTCCCAAGCCCGGGTCCAAACGTCCGGTTGTGGCGCGGATGCTGTGCATGCTCAGCTGGGGAATCCCGACATCGATGGCCCTCATCCCGATGCGAGAGCTGGTCATGGGCCCGATCGTCCCACCACTACGGGAGTCATTGCGGATCTGGAAGACCTGCAAGGCCGACCCAGTACGATCGGCGACGCGCTTCATAAAGCCGTAGCTCACGCTGTCCGTCGTCATGTGGCCATTTGAATCGGCAGACACGGCCACGCCAACGTTCAGACGGGGAGCATGATTTTCAAGATAGACACTGGCGAAGTTTGGATTGACGGCATGAATGACGTCGGAGGAGACGAAGAAGCTGTTAGCCACTGTCTGAGACAGTAGGTTGGGCCCATACTCAGGCGCAAAGGCCTCCGTAATGCGCTCGATCACGCTGCTCATGAAATTGGAGCGAGCGCCTTGGCGCAGTAAGCTACCAATTTCCTCGTCGTCAAACATTCCCACCATCTTGACAGAGCCAGTTGAGGTGTCATCGGACGATGCCAGCAGAGCCTCCTGGGCCGCATAACAGCAGAGCTTGTCATCGATTCGCCCGGCAAAAATGAGATCCTTTTCCAGGCCACCAAGTCTTGCGGGTTGACTGTCAAACAGCTCGAGCTCCCAACTCAGGATGGTGCTATAGTCGGTGATACCAAGCTCCCCAGAGATTACTTTGACCAGCTTCTCCGGTTGTGTGGCCGCAAACGTGCCGGGTTTGATCCCGCTAGCAGCGTCGGACGAGGATGGGGTTTGCTGCGAGAAGAGATCCGAGTTATCCACACCAATGATCGGAACCATTTGGGTTTCTTTATTGAATGGCGGCTGCGAGGGAGCCCCAAAATGGGGAGCTAGGGTTGGGATTCGCGCAATTGGCCAGTCCAACTTGACCAACTTGGACTCGACTTTACCGCTGCTTGGGTTACGGACGAGGACGCGACCTCCGACGGAAAGGTCACGATCCCACCAGGTGTCGCTCAGAGCACCGGCATACGGAGCAACCCCTAGTTGGACATAGCCCGACTTGTTGGGCAGCTTGGAGACAGGCTTCAATTTGGCGGTGAGCGCATCAATGTGGCCGGCGATGATAGCCAACCCATTGCCACTTTGATAATCCTTTCCGATCGAGAACGCAATGGAAGCGCTGGAGTTCCGGGTGACGTAGTATTTACCTCCACGCTCTAACTTGTTGGTCCAAGTTTCCCGCTCTGGCAGGCGCTTGTACCCGTTCTTCTCCAGCTGTTTGGTAAAGCCGTCGACCGCATGAAAGATAGTAGGGTTTGAGGTCATGAAATCACAGTAGGGTTTCGCATAGTCCTCGGGGGAGAACGTGGCAGTGCTTGTGCTGGGAGCAGCAGAAGAGGTTGAGGTGAATGCAGCTGTTTCCTCCGGGAGCTCGCCAGACAGGCGATAAGCCAGGGAAGAATCCCGGAGACCAAGAACACTTTTCTTGGTCATGATGAGGCTGCACGAAGGAACCGAGGGAATTTGGGCGAGGGGATCTAAAATGGAGCAAACTAAGCAATGAGAGAATGGGAGAAGAGAGGAGAGAAGGGAAGGGAAGGGAAGGGAAGGGAGAGAGAGAGGGCGAGAGGGCGGCTGGGGAAGTTGGGGAAGCTTCCCTGGGAGCGGCCGAAAAGGGCTTAGCTCTCCGCAGGCCTCAGGAACCAACTGATAAGCACGTCATCCCGTCACATGGCCGCCCCTCATGATTCGACATCTTACGGAGTAGATCCTACATCCTAATTACAGCCACTTGGAAAGGTCAAAACTCATTCATTTTACGCATGCAGGTAGCGCTGGTGTATGCTAGTCATTTCTCGTCCATATGATTCCGTCTCTGCCAATTTCGTGAATTCCCCGCTAGCCACTGGAACCCACGAAGGCATTCCAGTCGACAACTCCACCAATGCATTGATCACTGATGGGTGGACCAGTTGCTGTCGCTACTTCCTGGTGATTTCGCATGATTCCGAACCTCACTGGGCCCCGTTGTCCATAGAACGGAACAGAAAAGTGGTTGATTCCCGGTGATTTCACGCGGAAGAATGTTGGTGATTCCCCGCCGATTTGGGCGTATACATCACTCGGCTGGGTTATGAATGTGCTGAAGAACACTCGGTCCTGGGATATCTGACCAGGTGGCAAGACCCGCTGACCCGCGGCTGGGTTATTCCCGGTGGTGCCTTCGGAGCTTCCCGCGGTGCTGGGATTCAATCGGTACCAGTAAACGATCTTGTCAGTGAAAGACATGGGGTACTTTGGATTGTAAAATCCCGGGGACGCAGCCCTGAGCTGGCTGTGAGGATTCATCAGATTGCGCCGGTATGAATCAATGTAATACGGCAAGAGTTCTCGCCACGCATCATGCGGATGATTCTGGACATATCGTGCCGCTCCGTCTGGTATTCCGGGTTCGTAAATTGGTCCGATGTAATGGGTTTCCCCATAGTCATTCCAACTCAGAATCTAGAATGGCAGAGATATTCATGAGCAAGGGGAAGGGGAAAAGAGTTGCCCGACGGGGAGCTTACCTGGACAAGCGCAGGCTGCAGCTCCATCACCTGCTGCCATCGATAATGCCACATGTCATCGCCACGCCAGAGCCAGTTCTTGTTCCACTGGGGAAGGTTCGTATAAAACCAGGGGGCAACTGGCATCATGTACGGCTTTCCTGCCAGAGCATTCATCCATGCCAAATCACTTGACGCGTTCTTATCTTCGGCCCCGACGGGCCATGCATCCCAGCTGAATGCGCCGTCAATCTCGTTCAGAACGCCCCTGATGCCTTCTGGTCCCATACTTGTCCAGTTTGGAATGAATATGCAACCCGTAGCACTCTTGATTCTTGGCCAATCACCCGCATTGGCAACGCCTTCAAATGTGGAAACCAGCGGCTTTCCATGGTAGTGGAATTGGGCCCTCCGGCCTTTGTATGCATTGATGGTATTGATTACTCTGTCAGCCGGCCACGGGCCTCCAGACCCGTAGTCAAATGAAATGAACAAGGAGAAGTTGCCGATCCTTTCCGCAGCATCGTATGCCGTTTGGAGAACCCGGTCAGTATAGTCATCCTGAGGAGCGACATTCAATGCAAATCCGTCAATGTGGGCCTTTGAGGCCTCGATTATGTCGGTCTCCCAATGCTGCGGAGTCATTGAGTATGCGTTGCCCACCTAAAAGCATGTCAATGCGGTCCAACGGGTCCATCAACGACAAGTCTTACAATAAAGTGAGCAAAAACCCTCTGGGGCTCCGAGGATGCGGCAGGCCTCGGTGGTTTATATTGAGTCATACCCGGAGACACTGCAAGTAGCGATAGAAATAGATTCTTAGCAAGCATGTTGGTTGCAAGCAATTACGAAAAGGGAAGAAAGAGAGAGCGAGGGAATAAATAAAAAAGAAAAAAGCAACAGCGAAAGACACCCGGGGATAGAGGGAGATTGCGTCTGGAAACTAGGGGTCATGATCCTCTTGCCAATGAGCAAGACAGCGGTCTCTGGTTCAACGAAAGAGCCCAAGGACAGTTCTACAAAAGGATATGGATATAGCTGAAGGTTCGGGCGATCGGTTGGAGTTTAATCATGATTAGGGAATTTGGCAAGTCTAGGCAGTGGTATGCAGCGGAGTTTTGGGTGACGCAGGGATGGCATGGCACTGATCAGACGCAAATGCAGTCCAGGATTCCTGCCCTATGCCAAGAGAACAAAGATCACTGGAAGGAGAACGTGGAATCAACCCACCTGGAGGGGATGCAGGCGGCGTCGACTGCTGTTGGGGATGGGGTGGATACGGACCCCCTTGGGGAGGCGCCTGGTTGGGGCCGTTGCTCGTACAATTATGGCATTGCTGATAGTGATGATGATGATGATGCTCTTGCTTTTGCTCTTTCGGGAAGACGTGGTTCAGAATGCGGTTGAGGTGTTTATGTTTCATCGTGGTGGGTGTCAGCGGAGAGCAACGGGAGAGAAATCAAAAGACCGCTGGGAAGAATGTGGGATGATAGGATCAAGTATGTGGAACCGGAGGGGTTTATAAAGGGAAAGACCATCCTAATGGCATCCCTTGGAATGTCACGGCCTCCCTGAACAGCTGGCACGAGGAATCCGATGGAACCTGTTGACCCGAGAGCGAAGATGTGAGGGATCAGATCCGATGCGCTGGAATTGCATCGTTGGACCGACCGTTGCTGCCCTACTCTCGCTCATGACCGACTTGCAGCCCAGTTGAAACTCACTGCGTCCTGTCGCTGGTCCATTGGAAAGTTTGACTGAGTTGTGCGATGCAGCCTGGTCGAGGATGACGCAGCTGTAGAACCTGCTTTTGCTGGACCGACGCCGATGACTCGAGGCGGGGGATTTGCACATCGAATGCGGTCTTGTTTACAATTAACCGGAAGCAGTTGAAGCTGTCGTGCGGAGAGGCGACCCAGAAATAGCCCAAAGCTGGTTGTTCCAAGAATCGCGGAAGAAGTCGACTTCACAGTGATGTCAGTCACTCAAGCACGGCGAGATGACACCGCCCCCCCGTTTAAATTCCGGCGTGGCAGCTCCAACGTCGCCATTTAGCGTCAACTATAACTGTACTTGCTTGCCGATCGTATTTTTGTCTATTCTGATAATTCCACAATGGCCGCATCTCAGGCCGCCAATATTGCAGAGAAGGTTGTGGGGCATTCGGACAATGCCACCATTGAAACCGACGTAAGTAACTACGCCAAGGGAGACTATGGACAAGAAACAGGGGAGAAGATCAAGGCGACGGTGTGGCAGGGGAAGAACTGCGTTGAGGTTGGTGAGTACTAGGGAGTGTACTACATAGGGCTACCAATGGATCATCGTCTAACATGGTGACAGTGGAGATGCCAAAGCCAAGAGTCATCAACGAGAGCGACGTTATCGTCAAGATCACTGGAAGCACAATCTGTGGGAGCGATCTCCATCTTTACCATGGTATGAATTGAGGGCATCATCTGTTCCAGCCCCCCTATCATCGCTCACACGTCGCAGGGGTCATTCCCCAGCTCGAGAAAGGGGATGTTCTCGGCCACGAGTTCTGTGGAGTGGTCGAGAGCGTTGGACCGAAGGCGACCAAGGTCAAAGCCGGGGATCGCGTGGTGGCAGCCTTCCCAATTGCCTGTGGCGACTGTACCAACTGTCAAAAGCAGCTCACCTCGAGCTGCGAAAGGACCAACGAAAACACCATCGAGAATGTCATGTATGGCAAACGCACCTCAGGGATGTTTGGATACAGCCATTTCACCGGGGGGTTTGCCGGAGGTCAGGCCGAGTATGTGCGCGTGCCATATGGCGACATGAATCTGCTGCAACTGCCGGATGATGTTCCCGACGAAAAGGGTCTGTATCTGTCGGACGTCCTCGCTACGTCCTATCACTGCGTCGTCGACACCGGGGTGACCCCTGGCGATGTCGTCGCTGTCTGGGGTGCAGGACCGATCGGGCAGATGGTCGTGGGGTTCAGTTTCGGTCAAGGAGCCAGTCGAGTGATATTGATCGATGGCGGAGAGGCCGCGTGGAGACTGGACTTTGTCAAGTCGAAGGTTCCCAAGGTCGAGACGCTTGATTTCAGTCAGCTGCCGCGAGGGGAGTCGATCACTTCGCAGCTGAAGAAGATCGTTCCAGGCGGTCCCGACGTGGCCCTGGACTGCGCCGCGGGCGAGTATGCCAAAGGGTGGGCACACTACTTCGAGATGCTCCTGGGAATGGAGACAGACACGTCGGAGTTGTTGAATGAAATGATCACCAGCGTTCGTCCCTTCGGACGCATTGGCATCACGGGAATCTATGCCGGATACGTAAGTCATCGCGCCATTGTTTTTACGTCAGGTACATACTTAGCGCAGGATGTCTAACACATGGCAATCATTTCTAGACCAACCACTTCAATATTGGAGCCATCATGCAAACCGGCATCCGGTTGATCGGCAACGGCCAGGCTCCCGTGCACAGATACTGGCATCACTTACTGGAGCTCATCCGACGCCAGGAAATTGACCCACTGGACATGGTCACCCATCGCGTGCGCCTGGAGGATATGCCTCAATTGTATGCATTGTTCGAGAGACGAGAGCAGGGCCTGCAGAAGGCGTTTGTGCAGACCAAGTTCTCGTTCCCTCCGTCCGCCGGGGCACCGCGGTTGACCGAGCTGCAAGAGGTCCTATAGGGGCTGGGATGGATGCTCACATTATTGCTCATGACAAGACTCATAATGCGTTGACAGCCACGCCAGTGACGAAGTAGTGGAGTCTGTAACTTTATTGGGAAAAATCGACCGAGCGCGTCGGCGCATCTCTACTCTCTAGGGTGCGAGGAGTAATTTAATTTGACTATCTCTGACGTCAAGTGGAATTGCCTTCAGGGGTGATGGATTGAGCCGATGAAATTTTCAAAATTAAGAACCAAGTCCATCGGGACTGCGGAGTAGAGAGCGATAATCGGTAGAACTTATGAAGGCAAGGCACAAAGGCCTAGTTTCTCTGTCAGTACGGAGTAGTGCTCCGAACTTTAGTCGAGTCTCACCCCTTGCGCAATGCGACACGTCCACAACACCTACTCACTACTAGTTCCCAAAAAACCTCCGGTTGGAAACTATGCAAAAGCAATATCCAGCGCGAGTTCTAGCTGGTCCGACGGCTTTATCAAAAGTCGGTCAACAGGCAGCGAAGGCAGCAATTCGGTCCGGAATTCGCGCAATTGATTCCGTTCATCGGCATCGGGAATTGAAGGTCGCGCGGACGAGCGATTAGTAAAAGGAAACAGAATTTTCATTCCCTTTCCACCTTGAGGAACGAGATCCATTGAGCTATGCTGGACCCGGCTAAGGCAAAGAGTCCGGGCGATCATCAGGATTCCTCATCTCTGGGTTATTGGCTGCAAGGATCCCGAGTCCCAATGCGGACAAGACCGGATCAGATAAGATCAGATGATGGAGGGAGTCGCGGTGCCGAGTGAATTCGTTTCTTGTGTCTCTCTCTCCTTTCCTCTACTCGGGCTGAGTGGAGGATGATGGAGACCGTTGCCACTGCGTGCGATTGGCTGAACCCGTTCTTATTTCTAATCGTCCACTCTCGCGGAATGGGGTCAGCGGGCTGGAGATGCTCCGTGGCAGAGTGCATCTTATGCACATGAACCGTTGCTACGATGTTCAACGTTGCCATGAACGTGGACTTAGAGCCCTGAATCCATCATGGATGATAGGATTCATCCAGACTCTTGCTACGGGATCTGAATCCATTGAATGCAGGGGTTGTGGCGGTCATCGCGGGAGAGAATATTTCACACGCACCTCCCAAGGGAGGGCACGTACCCACATCCCGCCTGGTGGTCTTGGAGGGAAGAGAATTTCGACGGGTCCATGGATGAAGCCTTGGGAGTTGGGAAGCAGGCAACGGTGACTCACTTCTTTTCTTTTTCTTTTTTTCTTCTCTTTCTCGTGCTACTACTCCTGACTATTCTAAGCATTCTTACGAATCGGACAAGGCGTAGAGCAATCGAGAGGGCATTCTAGGTGGACAGGATCAAGTACGATACTGGACTAGCCAGCTTTCCCCAAAGCCGAGCGAACGCAGGCTAGGCTGCAGGCAGTTTACCCTAAAGCCCGAGGAGCAGATTGATTGATAACTGGACAGCATCCACGGGTCGACGAATGAGAGCCCCAAGCGAGTCCACTCGCCTTCCGAAATCGGGGCGAGCGCACGATAATCTAATCTGATCCGATCGTTCATTTTGCCAGTAGTTCAGTATTTCCCCCTCTTCTTTCCCTTCTCTCTCTCTCTCTCTCTCCCTCTGTTGATTCCCTGGCTCATCTCTGCTCTCCTGCCATCCCTGCTCCCCCAATCTTTCTACCTGCACTCCCGAGCAATTCTCCATCTCGAATTGCTCCTTGAGCACCACTCACCCCCGGGATTGGCTCAGCACGTCGTCTCGCTTACCGGCTGAGGGAGCGCACATCCGCTCTTCCGGCCGAGGCGATCAAGTGACACCACACCTGGTCCGTTGCTTCTGCCCTTCCGCTCCCTCACCGTCTTCCTTCCCGCACTCCCCCCCAAAGGACATGCCCACTGATTGCGCCGCAGAACTTCCTCTCGCCTTCGAGAGGATTTCTCTCGCAAATTTTTACTATTACGACATAATTCAATAATCATGGCCACCCCGGCTCCCTCGGCAGCTCCGTTGGCTCCCGCACTGGCCGCCAAGCCTGCGATCTCACCGTCTCCCGGTCCGGGCACACCCGGATCGATCACCTCCAAGGAATGGGTCATTCCACCACGCCCTAAGCCCGGTCGCAAGCCAGCGACCGATACGCCTCCCACCAAACGCAAAGCCCAGAATCGAGCGGCCCAGAGAGCTTTCCGGGAACGACGAGCCGCCCGCGTCAACGAGCTCGAGGATCAGATTAAGCAGATCGAAGACGAGCATGATATCCACGTAGCCGCCTTCAAGGAGCAGATCTCCAATCTGTCCCACGAAGTCGAGCAATGCCGTAACGAGATGTCCTGGTGGCGGGACCGCTGTCACGCTCTCGAGAAGGAGGTCTCCGTCGAACGAAGCGCCAAGGAAACCCTGGTCAAGGAATTCCGGTCCTCCATCTCCGAGAACAGTGCCTCCGGGGATAAAGCTCGATCCTCCGCCGATCGGGAGGCTCGAGGAAGGGCGCAATCGAGTAATGCCGGCAGCCATGCCCATGAGGAACGAGAGGAGGTGCCCCTGGGGTGCAGCAACTGCTCGTCAACCCACTGCCAGTGCATTGAGGACGCATTTACCATGCCTGGCATCGAAACTCGCGATTCGAAGCGTCCGAGCACATCCGGGGCCGTTCGACCGGAGCCTCAGATCAAGCCGGACCCCGAGGAAATGGAGATTGATTTTACAACGCGGTTTGCGGCGCCCCAAGCCCAGGAAGACACGTCGACGGCGGTTTCGTCGCCCGCGGTCGATCCCTGCGGATTCTGCCAGGACGGAACCCCGTGCATCTGTGCCGAGATGGCGGCGCAGGAGGAGCAGCGTGAGCAACAGAGCTCGTTCGAGAACAACCGACTCGCCCCGATCCAGAATTTGTCTCAGTTTACGCCACCCCCGTCCGACGGCGACGTTCGTTCGGAGGTGACCCTGCCTTCCATCAGCCAGGCGACCAATCCGTGTGCGAACGGCCCGGGTACCTGCGCCCAGTGCATGTCCGATCCGCGAAGCACTCTTTTTTGCAAGACGCTGGCGGCATCCCGCTCCGCCAGCGTTGCCTCCTCCGGCTGCTGCGGCGGTAAGGGCGCCGACGGTGGATGCTGTCAGTCGCGGAACTCGAATCCACCTCCCCGGAGCGGATCGACGGTCAACGCCAACTCCGCTTCGTCCAAGACCCCGTCCTTGACCCTTTCCTGCGCCGACGCTTTCACGACGCTGTCGCGGCACCCCAACTTCTCTCGGGCCAGCGATGAAATCTCTGCTTGGCTCCCCAAACTTCACACGCTGCCGAACCCGAAAGACGTCGCCCCGGCGGAGAACTCGCGAGCCGCGATGGAAGTCGAGGCAGCCAGCGTGATGGGCGTCTTGCGATACTTCGACCGGAGATTTGCCGACAAATAATCACCTACGTGACCTGTTTCCTTTTCGCTTTTTGTTGTTTTTCTTTACGATGATACCCAAACTTGACTCACAAATGTCTGAGTTTGTATTATACATTTCCTTTGGTCAACTGACGAAAGGAGAGACGCGGTTTTGATTTTAATTATCTATTCTCTCATTTTCCTTCGGGAACAAGACGTCGGAATCCGCCGAATGCTGCCCAGAACAGGAGGGGAAAAAAGTTCTTTTCTCTCCCTGGCAGATGATTCAAAGAATAGTTTCGAGAGTGGAATGAACCTCGATCCTTTCCGACCAACTTGAATGACTTAGATGGGTGAATGACAGGCGTTCTTCGGCTTGCACATTTGGTACTTTCTTTTCTTGAATGATTTCGGACGAATTTTTTTTTATCTTCACACAAAAGGGCGACGACCCACTGAGAACAACCCTGTGGAAGGCAATCCAGGGTTTCTGTATTGGAAAAAGGGGGAAAGGCTTAGATACGTCTCTGCTCTTGCGATCTTGATATTTAAGATCATTGATAGATATGGTTCATGGAGGACTTCTACGGACTGGCGATTTGACTGACTTCTTTCTGTATCTGATGTATTTATCTTGATATACGAGGAGGGACTTTGCTTTCGGTTGTGAATGGGGAATCCATTTGATCTGAATTTATTTTTTGACTATATACCGCTTGACTCTTTATGGATGGAGAGATGGTTAAAAGAACGTCCACATGATTTGCCCTACGAGACGAACAAAAACCGCGAAGAAAACCGTATATCAACATAAGCTGATCACCGGGCGTTGTAAAAAACTTCAATGGGAATATTATATACAGGCTAAACGAATCCTCCCAACGCCGTCACTCCCACTGATCCTGTCATGTGTGAAGATCAAGAGTGCAGTCCTGACCGTATCAGATAGGTATTAGAAAAGATAAACAGAAAGAAAGGAAAAGACGAGGTGAATCGAGAGAAGGGAATATGAAGGGGAGAGTGTGCCGAAAACATGGATCGAATAAAGGATAGAGATGAGATGCGAGACATAGGAAGATGTGCTGTTGTAGGCCAGTTCGACCGTCATTCATCTCTCGGCGTTCCGCTAAAACTGCCCACCACTCGTTAGGATTTCTTCGTCCCCGGCGCCAGCGTTTCCAAGAAGACTGGCGCCCCAGATTCCAGCAATCCCCCACATGCCGATTCTCCAGCCCCGGTAGAGACCCTGGATGCCTTGTCCTTGCCGTTTGCGCAGGGCGATGGGCTTCTTGAGGGCCGTCTGTGCTCGCTCCACCTCCGATGGCGTTTGCGTCCCCTCTTCATACACGATTCCCCACATTGTGCCGACAACACCGCGGTATGTCTGGGGAGTAGGGACGATGGTCTCAACCTCCTGAGCCGCCGAAGTGGCTGCGCTCGGTGACGCCAGCCCGCCCGCGGCTTGTTGTCGCAGACTGGGCGATGTAAATGTGGCGATCTGTGCGCGGCGGAGGACCGTCTCCAGCGGGAATCGAACGGCCAGCTCCAAGCCGGATCCAAGGAAGGTGAACAGGTTCCACGTGGATGGGTTGAGGACGGGATCAAGCGAAAGGTAAGATTTCAGCAAGAGTGGGGTGGTAGTGGTAATGAAATTTGGTAGACTGGAGTGGAGGACAGTGATCGGAAGCAGGTGAGGAGGGATAGTGCAGTTAGGGGTTGGGATTTGTCGGATGGCTCGCAGGAGAGAGCGAGGCCCGTGAGTGACCGGAGTCAGAATAAGGAACGTGCGGGCGGTGTCAATTGGCGACAGGATGATGGCTGACAGGGCGGTCGAGATGAAGGACAAGAGGAGCGTAGCGCCCGGTGAGGTCGACGTCAGGATATCCGCAGTCATGGAGGACGAGATATCTTCCTCCGGCAAGCCCACAATGGCGGACAGCAGGCTCCGAATGAACGTGTTCAACGTGGGGAGGAGCAGGGAATAAATGAACGTCGTGTTGGTGGCCTTCCACGGCGACGTAGGACCGCTGGTTGTCCACAGCTGGGATAACACCTCCATGAGGGAGGATTGGTTCTTGATGGCCAGAGCATGTCGAGAGGAGGGTGTGGAGGATGGGATGTAACCGCTGCGGTCGGTGATATGGCGCCGAGGCTTTCGAGAGCGTGGAGTAGACGGCGAAGAAACTGCAGGTGCAGCGGAGGTGAAATAACTGCTCTCATCGTCCGACGATAAAGATTCCTAGAGAGGGTCGGTCCCGCCGTTAGCCATGAGATTCTTCCTCGCCGGGCACGAAGAAATTTGCCGTGAGACATACATCATCCTCGTCTTCTTCATCATCGTGATACGACGCAGCTCGAGCGCTCGCTCCGGATCTCCGTCGGTCATCCAACGGCCATGGTCCCTCGGAGGAGTCGGGGGCGACGTAGGTCTGCAGAATGGTTTTGGCAACGTCGAAAGGCTGCGCCGTCAAGATGCTCGTGTAGCGCCAGATACCCTGGTCCAGAGCATCTCGCAGCCAGCTGGACACCGAGGGCGAATTGTCGAGATAATCGGAATAGTCCAAGTCGGGCAGCAGGTCGCGCGCCGAGCTGCCAAACACCTGGGCCGATGACGCATCTGGAGGGGACGAGGCGTTGGTGACCTCCAGGCCCATGGCAGGCGGGATATAGTACGGGCGCAGAGGATTGGGCCCTTGTGCGGAAGACATGGCGTCGGCAGATGCAATCCGGCCTCACTGGGGGCGAGTTCAGCTCCGAGCTTCAAAATTCGAGTCGATGGTGCGGTTCGGGGGGGAGTTCGTGCGAGGAAGTGGAGGAGGAAAAACGCCAGAGTTGGAGCAGCGAATGATTATGTCCGGATTTCCCGCCTTTTTTCGGGATTATCTTTTTTTCTCCTGCGCGCCCTTTCCTCCCCTTCTCCACTCTCCCTGCCTCTCCCCTCTTGCTTGTGTTCGTCTCTTTTTCGGTCCGTCGGCCTGCCTCTCGCTGCAATTTGGAATTGTCACAATGTCGCTCTGGAGAGAAACGTGTTTGAATCTGCGACATGTGCCCCGGACGATCCCCGGAGATCGCATGCGTCATGCTCAATCGAGGAGGTTCCTCAGCTCGTCCACAATGAATACCCGCCGACTTGCGCTGAACTCGAGGGGTCCGTCTCTGGCAACGAAGGCCCGGAGGTCGTTCCAGGGATTGGACTCCGGACGGCGAAGCTTCTCGGCGACAGCCGGTGTCCAACATGGTCACATCACGCCTCCCAAGCCGGGCGAAGAGTGAGTCATAAGAATTGGGTCGATGCACAAACTGGCATCGGAGCTAGTCGCTGATGCTTTCTGCCCCAGAATCAATGTGACCTTCATCGATAAGGACGGGGAAAAGATCGATTTCCAGGTATCCGAGGGGGACAACTTGCTGGACATTGCGCAAGCCAATGACCTGGAAATGGAAGGTTCGGAGCCCATTTCAACTTGCGCGCAATGAGACGTCCGATTACTGATCTTCGCCATCGTTACATTAGGAGCCTGTGGTGGTTCGTGCGCTTGCTCTACGTGCCACGTTATAGTCGAGGACCCCGACATGTTTGATAAGATGGAAGAACCATCGGATGACGAGAATGATATGCTCGACTTGGCATTCGGCTTGACAGAGACGTCTCGATTGGGGTGTCAAGTTGTGATGAACAAGGGTCTCGACGGAATGGTGGTCCGGCTGCCCTCGATGACTCGGAACTTGCAGGCGAGTGATTTCGAGCAGAAATAAAGCTCCCGGCTTGAAGCATGGGCGCAGAAAATTGGCCTTGCGTAAGGGGGAACATGTACGATATGGTTGTGCATTTCATGGGAGGGCAGTCGACAGGGACTGTCATTCCATCGGTCGGAGTTTCATCTGTTGCGACTGAAAATAATACTATAGTATCGGGTATTCTCTCCCCTCCATTCTATTTGACAAGAACTTGTAAATAAGAGTGACTTTTGATCCACATGTACATGTTTAAGAAAAAGAGAAGAAAAAAAACATCGAGTAAAGCAATACCGTAAACGCCTCAGTCATGCCTAGTTCGGATCAAGATAGAACGAATGTATGCCGTTACGCTTCTTCGATATTCAACGGCTTTCCCTTCTTCCCATTGATTAATTCCAAGAAGCCCTGCTTGCTGACTTCGTTCACGGTCTTCTCTCGCTCGCCCATGCCGACGGTTCCCTTTTGTCTTTCGTCCTTGACTGCCGCTTCTCCACGCACTTGCGATGCCCGAACGGCATTGAACAGCTTAACCACACCCCTCTGGGCGGTCTTGCGCAAACGCTTCTCTTCCTCTGCAACGGCACCTGTCTGTCCCCGTTCCACACCCAACACATCGCGGACTCGGCCACGGTCGAGTTCTTCCTTCTTCTCGGCCCGCAATTTGGCCCGCGCTTGCTTATCTAGTTTCTCATCTGCGATTTCGGTGCTAGTTTGTTGCGCCGTTTTGCTGCGGGACAGGACGGGATCAGCGCGAGCGGAGGTCGGGAGTTTGGTCGAGAGAATCTTGGAGATAGAGGTTGAGAAAGCGGACGGATCGTTTCGTTTGGAGACTGCTCTGCGGTCTGCATTGGGGGCCGTCATCGAGACATCGGAATCGCCATCGTCGTCCGAATCTTTGGATGTATCAGATTCTGAGGCATCGCCATCTTCTTCCCCCTCATCGCTCTCGTCCTCGCTGTGAACGGAGCTTTCATCGCTGGACTCCGCTTTCGATTTTGTCGACGCGCCAGTAGATTTGGTTGGTTTCTTGGTGGACTTCTGCGTCTTCGTGGCTACCGCGACTTCCTCGTCATCTGAATCGGCCAAGTTGACGGCCTTGAAATCGGTGGCTGTAGGTTCGTCTTCTGCCTCGTCGGAGCTGCTGTGATAGTCGCGCTGCTTCTTGAACTTCTTGGAACGACCAGCTTTCCCTTGGATGCCGTCCAAGACCTTGCGCTTCTTGCCAAAAGCTGGAGCCATGATGAGGAGAGAACAATTAATTGACTATCTCTCGTACTCCGAAGTTTGAGTTGGTCTGTATCTTCTGGATGTTCGATGGATGATGGAGACTTTTTTTTTTTTTTTTTTTTTGGACGTTGAAAGGCGGAAGGATCCGCGGTGGCCTGTGATTGGCGGGGGGCTCTCCGCATTCCCATTCGGCGGTTCGCTGGCTTCTTCGCCTTCGCTCGCTTCCTCCTCAATCGTCCCTCTCGCATTCTCTCTCGCATCTTCTTCTCGCCCTCGTCTTCTTCTTTCGTGGTCACACATTCTTGCATCCTTTCTGTATATCTGTTTTAGACCGGATCTTACGCCATGGTCCTTCAGGATCTTGGGCGGCGAATCAACGCCGCCGTCAATGACTTGACCAGGTCTAACAATCTCGATGAGAAGGTGTGTGCTTTCTTGACTTATGGATACGCACTCGTAGGCTGACCGACCCGTCTAGGCTTTCGATGACATGCTGAAGGAGATCTGCGCGGCTCTTCTGTCAGCCGACGTCAACGTCCGCTTGGTCCAAACCCTCCGGAAATCGATCAAATCCAGCGTGGATTTCTCTTCGTTGCCCTCCGCCGTCAATAAGAAACGCCTGATCCAGAAAACCGTCTTCGATGAACTGGTTGCATTGGTTGATCCGCACGCGGAGCCCTTCCGCCCCAAGAAGGGTCGGTCCAACGTGATTATGTTCGTGGGTTTGCAGGGTGCGGGCAAGACCACTACCTGTACTAAATTGGCCCGTCACTATCAAATGCGAGGATTCAAGACCGCCCTGGTCTGCGCCGATACCTTCCGAGCGGGTGCTTTCGATCAACTGAAGCAGAATGCAACCAAAGCCAAGATCCCCTACTATGGAAGCCTGACCCAAACCGACCCCGCCGTGGTGGCGGCCGAGGGTGTCGCCAAATTCAAGAAGGAGCGCTTCGAGGTTATCATCGTTGATACCAGTGGTCGTCACAGGCAAGAAGAGGAACTGTTCACCGAAATGACCCAAATCCAGACCGCGGTGACCCCCGACCAGACCATCCTGGTTCTCGACAGCACGATCGGTCAAGCCGCCGAGGCCCAATCGGCCGCCTTCAAAGCAACCGCGGATTTCGGAGCGATCATTATCACCAAGACAGACGGTCATGCTGCTGGAGGTGGTGCCATCTCCGCTGTCGCAGCCACGAACACACCGATCATCTACCTCGGTACTGGTGAGCACCTGATGGATTTGGAGCGCTTCGAGCCGAAGGCCTTCATTCAGAAGCTTCTGGGAATGGGTGACATGGCAGGGCTGGTTGAGCACGTCCAGGCTGTCACCAAGGATTCGGCTTCCGCCAAGGAGACCTACAAGCACATCTCGGAAGGAATCTACACGCTTCGCGACTTCCGCGAAAACATCACGTCTATCATGAAGATGGGTCCCTTATCTAAGCTGTCCGGCATGATTCCCGGTCTGTCCAACCTTACCGCAGGTCTGGATGACGAAGACGGTTCGCTCAAGCTTCGACGGATGATCTACATCTTCGACAGCATGACCACAAAGGAACTCGACGGCGACGGCAAGGTCTTTGTGGAAAAGCCCAGTCGCATGGTACGTATCGCCTGTGGTAGCGGCACGTCCGTGCGCGAGGTCGAGGACCTCCTTTCGCAGCACCGCATGATGGCCGGCATGGCGAAGCGCGTCGGCGGTCAGAAGAAGCAGATGCAGCGTGCCCAGAACATGCTTAAGGGCGGGAACAAGGAGCAGCAGTTGGCTGCGATGCAGAAACGCATGGCCGCCATGGGCGGTCCCGGTGGCGGCGGCGGCGGGTTTCCCGGGATGCCTGGCATGGGCGATATGTCCAAGATGATGCAGATGCTTCAGGGACAAGGTGGCGGTGGTGGAGGGATGCCTGGTCTGGGAGGCATGGATCTTCAAAGCATGATGAGCCAGATGAGTGGACTGATGGGCGGCGGCGGCGGCGGAGGTCGCGGCAGAGGACGATGATTTTTTCCTCTCGTTCTTTTCTCGGATGCTGTTTCTACCTTCTATGCTCTGTCTTATTTGATGATGCCGCCTCATGGGCCACGGTCTGTCTCTTCTAGCATGTGGATGGCGTTGGGTATGCGTTGATCTTCTTTCTTCTTTTTTCTTTCTTTATTTTGTCTTACAATTGGGCTACCTTACACAAATTCTTACATTCCTGTGATTAATTATCTCTTTTTTCTCCCTGCCTGCTTACCTTGGATTGTATATTGAAAGGAAACAAAACGAAGAGATGAATGTCTATTGCAGTTTACTCGGGAGGAATAATTTGGTAATTCATGATATTAAGAATGCTAAACCAACGCAATTTTATACTATTTACTGGTTACACTGACGAAGTCCTCTTGATTGGCTTTGGCAAAGATTCAACTCAGCTTAACCTCTCGGTCTTCTTCGCCCTCTCCATCAAGCCATACAGCGTATCCACGACCTGACGCTGAATATAGCCGGCGACCTCCTCGACTCGGCCAATCGTGCTTTTGGCCAGGATGCTTCCTACGCCGGATTCAGACGTATCCTCTACGACCTTACCCGGCAGAAGACGCGGGTGTTTTCCGGACGCCACATAAGTGACTCGGGCTTCGTAACCGGGCAAGGGGACGCTGAGCGTATACTTCCAGACCACGTCGTCGTCGATGTACAGCGAATAGGTCAGGACGGAGCTGGGGATTGTGATGACGGTGCCGCCAGGAGTCTCGACCGTCTCGTCTTGGATGTCAATGTCGATCAACCCGTACTTGACGTTGCCGTCGGGGAGGTACTTGACGGTGACGTCCTCATTGTCTGTCTGACGGTACGTCCGGATGGGCAGGTAGAACATGCTGAGCGGGCCGACGCTGAATTCATGCAAGCCCTCGCCGGCCGTGTTGGGCTGCAGCTCGTCGGGGGTCCAGTCCAGGGTGGGATCGGGGAACCGCGTGGCTCCGAATTCGTGCCGGTCGCCGCTCAACAGAACGATACGGACGCCGAGCTCGCGCTCAGCACGCCACATGGCTTCGAACACGGTGCGGCGCTCATCCAGGAAGCCGCCCCAGGTATCAGTAGTGCCGATGTGCCAGTTCTTTGTGAACGGGACGCTGGATGCGATGATCTTCCAACGGACCTCGGCGGGTTCGGGGCGAGCGAGGTAAGCCAGGAGGGATTGCAGCTGGGCCGAGCCTATGATGGTCGAGTTGGGTTTCGCCGGCTCCGAACGGTAGGTGCGAGTGTCCAGCATGAAGAACGAGGCGGGGCCATTGATGAAAGAGAAGTACGTGGTATTTTCCGGGGCAGCGAACGGGGTCGCAGGGATGGGAGGGTTGACACTGACGTGGTAATGAAGGTAAGGGTCGGCGGCGGCGGGATACGGCGCGGTGGTGTTGCCCTTTGACCAGTCGTTGGCGATCTCGTGGTCGTCCAGGGTGTGGATCCAGGGGAGGTCGATGGCAGGGGCATCGCCGGGAGTCGACCACGAAGGCGACTTATAAACGCGCTGGTATTCGCCGCGGTAGTGAGAGACCGACGAGCCGAAGCGCTGGGGTACGTCGATATAGATGAAGTCGCCGAGGAACAGCATGAAGGACGGCCGCAGCAAGGCCGGCAACTGGCGGATGGTTTCGGACATTTTCTCAATCCCCGGGATGCGCAGCGGGTGGGACAAGGGGTTGTAGGGGAAATTGGACTTCATGCAGCTGGACGTCAAGAATGACAGCCGGTTGGCGGACTTGGAACCCGGGAGAGGTGCGGTTACGAACGACCCCGTGCGGTTGTTGGACAGCGAGTACTGGTAGTGCGAAGACGGCTTCAAGCCTCGCAGCGTCACGGAAGCCGTGAAGTCCGTTGAGCTATCCAGCGAATAGATGATGCCTTCCTCCACCCACGGTGCAGATTGGGAGTCCGCTTCCTCTTCCCGATAATGTACCACGAGAGGCAACTGGGCGGCATCGGGCTCTCGAACGAGCAGACTGGCGGTTGTAGGAGACACATATCCAATCCGTGAGAGAACCACGTCGTCTCCGGGGTAGAAGATTAAGCCGTGGAACAGGAAATCGAACGTCAGCAGCGTGAGGACGAGGTTGATCAGTACAGTCAAGCGCGTCGCGCGCCGGGAGGTGGCGGATGGCAGGCCCGTCAGCAGCGTCTTAAGCACGCCGCCTTGAGAAGACGACTGAGCATTTCCTGTAAGAGGTCCTCTACGTCAGCCTTTCTTCGCCGCTGCAGAAGAGGGACTCGAGGGCCAAGCCACTCACTGGACTTCGATGTGGATGCCTTGGGTTGGTCGTTGGTCGTTGAGAGCGACAGCAGCGACGTGACGTACACCGCAAGGGCGGTGATGACTATGCGGGGGAAATGATGGCCAGGAATCTGCAGATCGACTCAGGAATCAGCATAAGTCCCCTCTCTTTATTCCGGACAGAGCAGGAGGGTAAAGGCGCAACCCACCCAGCGAAGAAAGATGAAGGCTGCCAGTCTCAGGATGACCGAGCTGGTGGCAACGGCAACGCGCGGTAGGGATGCCATTCTCTCTTGGCGGAAATTCCGATCGGAGATGGGGAGTCAATCAGATCATTTTGAGGCCCACGACGGGGGAAGCGGTGCTTGCTCGAAGTGTATTATTGTTTGTTTGCTGGTCGGGGATTCTAGCGGTGACGGAGAGAAGCCGCGGAGGAACATCGGGAAAAGGCGGCCGCCGCTATGACGACATCGCAAATGCGAATGCGACTATATAACTACCACGGGGGGCTTCCTCCCCAAGGTATTCTAGTAATACAGATATTCGTCTACTCGATACTAGCGACTCCCCATATTCCGCACAAGGCTCGCCACCAGGTTGTTGAGCTCCGTCGCTGCCATCACCAGGTCTTTCATGTGCATGCTGAGCGACATGACCGCTGCCCATTGCCAGGGTTTCTCGCGTCCTCCGGGATAGGAGTTGAAATACTCCCAGCCCATGACGCCGCCAAAGTTTGGGTATTCTTTAACCAGATGACCCAGAATAGGCCCTATGGTCTCCAATGGCACGTAGCCCTGGGATCCGTTGCCGGGATTCGTCAACAGGCCATAGACCACCCGTTGCGGCGACCATCCGCGTGAAATGATGGCCGCATACATGCGCGGATCGTCGGCTGGTCCCCATCCGTTGTAAAACTGTGCGTTATACCAACTGATCTTGGAGGCGCGCTGCTGCTCCAGGTCGTGGTAATCAAATCCCGACAGGTTTCCAATGCCCAGCAGCGCGGCCGCAACGGGAGCCAGCGTCACGATGAAGGCGTCTCCAAGATCGGCTTTGAGCCGATCGATCAGTCGGATGATGCCCGACAGTGACATATTTTCTTCCACGTCCAGGTCCATGCCGTCCAGCTGGAGACGTCGAATGGTTGCCAATAGCGGTTGGTAATAGCGATCGAATGACTCCAGGTCCCCGTCCAGGCTGCGGAACGAACCCTGCGCCGCGCCTCCCAGCATCCCCATAATGCGGACGCCTCGCTGCTTCATCAGCGGCACTTCGGTCCACAACATATCGTACATGCTATGGTCGGGCGGATCATTGTTCAGTGTGATATGGTGGGGATCGGCGTTTAGATGGAAGGCTGCGAGGATGACATGGGTAATGCCCGTGTTGTGCTGGATCAGCGGCAGCATGGAGACATACTGGCCATCGGCGCAGATGGTCTGATGATAGCACACCACCCGACATCGCTCGGCGGAGGGAGGCACCGGCGGCATCGTTCAGAAGTAAACGAAGGGGGAAGTAGTAACTTAGAAGCTTAGTTGACAGAAACAATGGCGGGGTGAGAAGCGGCAGTGGAGGCCGATGGTCGGTAGCTGAGCCCCACTGACGGCGAGTCTTGGTCTGACATACTACTAGAACGATGCAAAAACAACAAGAACCATTGCACGGAAAGGCCAGAGGAAAGAAGCCAGACGACGAGTCTCCGAGAGCGATGGAAATGACCGGAGGAAAGGAAAATGTCAGGCGCAAATTGGCACGCGACGAGTGGCTGACTCATCCGCTTCTTTATTCATGTATCGTAACGGTGTATTCTCAATACAGCAGCTCAGTACCGCCAACCCCAATCGGGAGACCCGTAAACAACGGTGCCTTGTGGCCTGAGACATCCACTCTTTCTTTCTCGGCGCATCGCGTCGGGATCGTCTTCAACTCCGCCGTCATCCAACTCATTCCATGTGCCTGACCAATTCGGGCGTCCCCATTCCATGATACTGTGATCCCTTCGCTCCGGGCCTACGAGCGCATTCCAATCTACATCGGTAACAAAGATAGATACAGCGATCCCCCTTCACCATGGCCGACACCACCGCGCACGACACGATCGGCGCCTCTACCCTGGCCACCCCCCTTTTCATGCCCTCTTCTCCTCCAGGTCCGAATCGCGACCCGATAGACTCCCCCGAGCGATCCCAAACCCCCGCGTCTGAGCATCCCGCTGACCAGTCGCACCTGCGGAACCGCCATTCTCCGGGGTCGTCCAGAGCGTCGTCCCCCGACCGCGCGCTGAGAGAACTAGAAGCCCGTCTGGCGGAGTACACGGTGGATTTCAGCCAGTTTCCAAGTGGCCACCATGACCTCGACGATGATCCCTTAGACGAACCCCGGTTGCCTTATGAAGAGGATCGATTGTCCGACGTCGCGGGACCGGAGGACTTTACGGCGAATCTGGAGCGCTATCTCATGGGAGAGGACGATACGGATATATTTGAGCACAAAGAATTGGAGGGGAATAAATCACCAGTGCCGCAGAAGGAGCAAGGGCCGGTAACAGAACAGCTTGCACAGGAGGTCGAAGAACAGGCCCAGCCTCCGCCCCAGCCACAGGATCAGCAACCCCTACAGGACGAACAGCAGCAGAGCTCCCAGCTTCATCAACCCGCGATCGAAGATGAACCCGAACTGGGCGAATACAGCGAATTTGGCCCTCCTGTCGACATGTCCACGCCGTCTCATTTACTGCGTAGGCCGAGTGGATTGGCCAAGGATGTGACGCATCTCGCGAATATTGAAGAAGATCCGGATGACGAGCTAGACACTGCGGCGACTCCATCAGTCCGTAAGCAACGGACTCCGTCGATTAAGGGGGGCAAGGATGCGGAGGGAGATTGGCGTCGACAGATCGCCGATTTACAGCGGGCGGTTCGAGACCGGGATGAGCAATTGGAGAGAAACCATCGTCGCGTCCTGGAGGCTGCTTCGGCCGGAGAACAGATCAAGCACTTGCAAGCGGAACTTCAAAGGAAGACGGCCTTGCTGGACGAGTTGCATGCCAAGCGTGGCGACGAGACGCTTCTACGGGAACAGATTCAACTGCTGCAGATGCGAAACGAAGAGAAGGAATCATTTCTCCAAAAGTCGTCCATCAGCTCCTTAGAGCTCAGCGCTCTCCAGAAACAAATTGGTGACATGCATAAAGACCTGCAGAATCGCAACACTTCTACAGAGCTAGAAACCGAGAGGATGGAAACGATTACGCACCTGCGCCAGCAGTTAACCATGTCTCAAGAACAAGTGAAAAAGCGGGATTCCGCGCTGGACGAAACCCTGGAGAAATTACAAGAACTCACCACGGTGAAGGAGCAGCAACTGCGTGAGAACAACACCATGGTTGACGGGCTCCGAGCCCAAATCGACGACCACGTCCTGGAGATTGAGAGGCTCGAGGGTGACCTGGAGCGCGCGAACCAAGCATACCACGAACTCGAGGACAGGATTTCCTCGTTGGAAACCAAGAATCGCCCCCTGGAAGAGAAGAATAGCACCCTTGAAGCCGACCTATCGCGCGCGCAATCGCAGATGACGGCCCAGGAGAATGCACTCAAAGCCATGGCCGCAGACCTCCCCGTCGAGACGGGTGGGAACACGTACACCGAGATCTTGGAACTGATCAAGGACCTGGGCCAACCCACCACGACACGTCCCGCCGATGTCCTCTTGAAAGAGAAAGCTCCGGTCGATCCGGAATTAGATATGTTCCGTGAGGAAATCGCAAAGCTTCAGGCCGAACTGAAGACTGCCTCCTCCGCTCGGAAGGCCATGGAAATGCAAGTAACGCGGTCCCAAGAGCAAACCACCGAAGCGCACACTCTCATCAACTCCATCGAGAGCGAAAACACCCGTCTGACCCGGCGTGCCGAAGACCTGAAATCCAACCTCGACAAGGCCCATCGCGAGCTTGCCCAAGTCAAGGATGCGCACTCCGAGGCACTCGACACCATCCAGCGCCTCCAAGAAGACAAGAAAAAGCAGCAGCCCAGCCCGCCTCCATCGCCTCCAGTTCAACGGCAAAAGGAATCGGCCCTCGAGGAGACCCACCAGGCGCAGCTGAAAAGCCTCCAAACGGCCCATGCCACCGCCATCTCTACCCTTCGCACATCCCATGCTGACTCCAACCGCAAGCTTCGAGACCTTCTATCTGCTGCCGAGAGGCGAGAATCCAATCTCCAGGCCGATCTCCAGTCCCTGCGCACCTCTCGCTCGAGCCAAGGCAAAGACCTGCAATCGCTGCGCGCCGAGATCGAACGTCTTGAGTCCGTCATCGCCGTCAAAGACGAAACGGCCGCGGCGGTGGATCAACGCATTGCCCGGTCGGTCGAGAAGCGCGAGAAGGAATGGGAACGCCGTGTGGATCTCTTGCTCAAGGAGCGAGAGCGAATGAGTCGAGCTCTGATGTGGTCTTGGGGTGAGAAAGAAGTCAAGGAGCCCCAGGACCCGCCGCGTGATGAACAGGGCCGACGCAAGCAGGGGTATAAGTATAAATACGCTCAGAAGAGTAGCAGTGGGAAGAAAGCATGATCCGATTGTTTGGCTCTGCTTGATTTTGGAACTCTGGTCAGCCTCGGTTGTTTCTGGTGTTTATCTTTTTATTTTATTTTTTCTTCCTTGGTCATTTCTCTAGCTTTCGGGGATCTTTTGTTTGTACTGGAGCATAGGGTGGGATCGTGAGTGGGATTGACTCGTCCGGCGTCTTTGGGGTGTCTAATGGCAGCATTTAAATGTAGCATATGGTATTATGCTCAAGAGACTTCATATTCTTTCGTTCAGTATAAATCACATCAACATTAACAACAAAGGGTAGAGACAGGTTATACATCGCATTTGATTATTTTGATCCGGCCATAGCGGTCTCATCCCGCAAGTGATTATTAAACATAGAACAAAGGTGCTCGCTCCCAAAAGCAGCAAGAACTATAAGTCAAAGATAAATTGTGGAATACTGTTGTTTTAGCTCATTCTCATCCGGTTCTCATAATCCACAAAATACGTCTGACCCGCAGACGTTCTTGAGGGGCTTAGTACTTGTGCATGCTAGTACGAGAGGTACCTCGGTAAGAGTTGTCCGAGAAGATATCCCCTCGAGGCTCATCGATAGACGTCCCCGTTTCTCGGATGCAGTCTAGATGGCCAGAGGAGAATCCGCCACACGTACTGCTGCGAGAGCGCCGCGTGCTTGGGTAGTTGACTTCGGCGTCATTTCGACGGGACTGGGACCACATGCGTCGTGGCTCTGCCCGCCCACGTTTAGACCATCGCGTTTGTGGAAGGTGCTGGCTCCTGGTATAGCGAGGGACCTGAACAGGCTCGAACTGACGCTGACTCCGCCGCCTGTCGCTGTGTCGCATGCTATGGCGGTTTGCTATTCTGTCTGGCTCCACCACGGAGGCTCTATGGCTTGGAGCTCGGTTCAAAGGGTGTAGCGTAAGGGGGCTTATGGGAACAGAGGTGAACTTGGGATGGTGCTGGTAGACGGTTTGGATTGGTCCAGTCTGCGTTGTGTTGGATCTGTGCACGTCAACCTTTTCAGGTATGACAGCCTCAGGCGCCTCGGCGGAATTCGTCGTCATGGACCGTGGAAGCGACGGCTTTGGAGGGTCCGGATTGCTCGCGACCAGGGATGAAGCCGATGATTCCTTGGGGAAATATTCTGGCTGCGATTGAAGACCGTCCTTCGGGTCCTTGGTATTTTCGGGCTCTATTTGCTTCTCGACGTCGCGCGGGACATTGGGATCAGCCAGGGCGCGTATTTGAGGGTCTGCAGATAGAGGTAGTGATAACGGGAAAGTTTTCGGAAGAAGCCTGCGGAGAGAGGATAAAGATGATTTCTGTCTCTTGTGAGTAGATGTTGACGTGCTTCCAGAGCCATCAGGTAGCTCAAACAAGGGAGGAGGTTGCCAAAAAGGATCATGAATGACCGTCGACGTTACACCAGTGGGTGTGCGGCAGATAGAACTCAAGTCATTGATTGTACTTCCCCCTGGCGATCTCCTACTCAGAGTGCCATTAGGTGAGATTGTCGATCCCGAGAGTACATCGCTGTTCTCACTTCCAGGATCGACATCAAGTGTGAGGTGTGGTCTTGGATGTATCGGTGTGGGATGCTGAAGAACCGAAGGCCAATTCGACTTTTCAGAAACATCGTTCGGAGAGAACTGATAGTCCCTAGTTCCGTAGGTAACGTCAGGACGACGACAGACGTAGTAAATATCACTTTTTAAGGTGCTGTCGCTTTGCAGTGTTGAGCTCGAGATGAAGCTGCCATCTCGGGTTGCTCGTGGATGTTTATAGACACCCAGCAAGGATACATCGTACGGACGTTCACTTAGCTCCCTGGAGCAAAAGTAAAGACAAACCGTGATACTGACAGAAGTTAATCGATGATCGACATGATAGTATAAAGGGTTGAAGAACTCACAAGGCAATGACAGAAACTATAACAGCAGCCCGATGAAGCGCGCAGCTAAAACCTGCTTTCCAAAAGCCATCGGTTGCGGATTCTGGAAGACATGATACCTGTTGCGATACAACTACTAGACCGGCAACGCTAGCGGCTAGCCAGACAATAATTGTTAATCGCAGTAAATAGGTGCAGGCCCTATGTAGGATCGCCTTTTGACTTCCAAACCCGACAACTTTGTTGTATTGCCAAGCGAGGATGCTGTGCAGGACGACGAGGGGGACCGTGAGAAACGACTGGTAATGACAATCAGGATCAACGTGCACCTAGTCAGAAAATACAGGAAACCTACCGCGACAATAGCAAGAATCAGGCTTGGTGTCATCTTCGAATCAACGCGTCGGTCCGCGTAAAGATAGAGCACCAGGGCCCATTCAATGAGTGATTCCAGAAGCAAGACGTATAAAGAGATGAATATGACAACTTTAGTCCACGATCCGCTTTTTCTTTGCGACATCGATCGACTGGCCATGCTTTAGTTCTAAAGAAATAACTCGATGTGGCTAAAATGCAGTTCCCATCAATGGGGGCGGGAAAGCATTCACAAGAGTATCAGAAGGCAATAAGTGGGTGGAAACTATAAGACCGACGGCTAAAGAAGAAGAATGGAATTGCGATAGCCAATAATTGAAAACAATCGAGAGTCCAATAGGCAGAGAGCTTTGATCTATGGGAGCTCAAGAAACATGCAGACATCATTATAAAAGAAGAGAATAGTCGAGCACGAAAGACAGGCCCATACTAAAAGAGCTATGTGATTGAGCGCCTTGGGCGCGTCAACGCGGAACCAGAGGGGCCGGAATGTAAAAGCATGAGGCATGGTGCACAAGAGGCAAGCTTGAAGGGAAGTGGTCTGTATGAGATCGAGAGCGCCGTTTCTCAGGAATGCAGGTTGAAACCCAGAAGAAACACACATGCTTGAGGGTATCAAGGGGGGCGAAATTTGGTGGGAGAATCCCTGGGTACCCTTTAAGGTTTGCAACTGCGACCTGTATAGCCTCATGAGAGAGGCGCTCATAATTGAATTATCCCATCAATACCACGCGCCTTTGTAGGGGTTGGGAGAATCTCTCCCTTGATTGAGGGCGAAACCGCGTGGTAACAAGTCAGCCCATCTTCCTGGTCGCAGTGATGGAGGGCGGATGTTGCAGGGATCAAGGGGGTGTTTTACTGCCAATGGATGTTCCTCAAGGAGAAGAAAGGGGATGGAAGAATGGATCACAAAGAACGAAGGACGAAGGATGAAGGATGAATTATGAGGAAAGTCGCAGAAGGAAGACAGAAGAGGAAGCGCCACGTGATGGCCCATCTGGACGCATCTTCAACCTTCGCTCTTTTCCTCTTTCTTACCTGCAAGGATGCGACCATGCATGTTTTCTCGCTTTCTGTTCTGGCTTGCGTTATCGCCATAGTTATTTCCGGTATGAAGGGCTCAAACGCGTCACGCCTTCGGTCCAGGTGCTTTACAATGCAGTCTTCCAGGCCCTCACAGAGCGTCTGTCGACGGGGAGAATAGCCGACTTCATTCAAGAGTCAGTGTCCTCACAAATTATTGTGGAATCATAGTATCAGTCTATCGATACTCCATCCATTGGTTCTCGGCTCCATTTCTTGTACGACATCGAAAGAATCGTTATCTACATCAATATCCAATATAAGCGCCTTCACAGCCACGCATCTATTTATAGTCAGGTCAGCAACCCTAGCCTTTCTCGACTACGGGTGTATATACAAGCAACTACACCCATGGCTCAGAATAAGTGCCCTGCAGAGGCTTTGGGGCCTAATCGGTAAGAATGGGCTTTTTTCGTTGCCACTGTGGTTCCGAGAAGGAGAATGATGTATTGAGCGGAGAATGAAGTCAGAGCCCGAGGCAAGGAAACACGCATGAACGAAAAGCGAGAAGAACCGGAGAACATGAAATGATCCTACCGAAGCAGATCAATCAATAATACGACGCTCTGCGGGGAATCCAATTGTATAGGCTTATCGGCACTGCGCTCGACCCCCACGTCTCGACCGTCTTCCAATGGGAAGACTGGCAATGGCCGCTAATTGAACTTATCGACCATTTTTGGCCTGCTCTGTCAAGATTTGGAGAACAAAACCCCCACGTTCCCTTGCTCGTCCCTTGCGGATGAAACCCTCGCGATGTAACTATCGCAGTGAGGGAATGAGAGAAAAAGGACCCCATTTCCTTTCCCCTCTTTCTTTCAAGTCGGCTCGATCCTGTTCTCATTCCCCCCTTTACCTCTCTACATACAAACATACAGAACATAGCGCTATTTGCCGTCACTCGCCAGATCATGTCCATCTCCCACGACCCCCAGCCTCCGTATCCCCTTGACGATTCGGTCAAAGATCTTCTAGATCCGGAGTATGTGGATTTCTACAACAAGCATGTTATCAATTTGCAACAGGTTCATCTCCAACCGGTTGACGCCTCGCGAACCGGCGGTGTCTTAATTCCCGGGGGTGGGCCGCTGCTCGACGTCGGAAAGACGGAAGATATTACCATCCAACGACGAGAAACAGAGGGCCCGGAAATTCTTCTGCGGTCTTTCACTCCCAAGGGAGAAAAGCCCGCGTCGGGATGGCCGGTAATGCTCTATTTTCACGGAGGAGGCTGGGTCCTGGGGAACATTAATACGGAGAACCCCGTATGCACCAATCTGTGTGTGCGGGGAAGCTGCGTTGTCGTGACGGTTGACTATAGGTAGGCGAGCCATGCTTCGGATATATTGACTACCCTAGGAGGTGGCTGACTCTCTCAGACTGGCTCCCGAGAATCGCTGGCCGGCCGCCGTGCATGACTGCTGGGAGGCTTTGCTCTGGCTCATCGCCGATGGTCCCTCAAGACTTTCCATCGACACCTCCAAACTGGCTACCGGGGGCTCTTCCGCCGGCGGAAACCTCGCCTCGATCGTCACGCACAAAGCGCTCACCTTGTCCCCTCCCGTGCACTTCCTTGCCCAGCTACTCTCCGTTCCAGTCGCAGATAATACGGCGACGGTCGAGAACAATGAGTCCTATCGACGATATGAACGCACGCCAGCCTTGCCGGCTCCCAAAATGCTCTGGTATCGCAATCATTACCTTCCCAATGAGGCGGATTGGGCCAACCCCGAGGCGAGTCCGCTGTTCTACCGGGGAGATTGGTCTCAACTTCCAAGAGCATTGGTCATGGTGGGAGAGCTGGACGTTCTCCGAACGGAAGGGGAGCAATACGCGGAGAAGTTGAAGAAGGCAGGCGTGGCGGTGGATCTGCAGGTGATGAAGGGTATGCCGCACCCATTCCTAGCGATGGATGGAGTGCTACAAGAGGGAAAGAGGTCAATCACATTGATGTGTGATTTGCTGAAGGAGGTGTTTTGGTCTTGATTCTGCTTATGTGGAGTCGGAAGATCGGTAGATTTGGGTCGCCGAGGAGCACGGGGCTTCGTCCTCTTGGGCTTTTTAGAGAACCATACTAATAGAGAGGATTTCTATGTGTCAGACGTTTGGTCTGTGTATTGGTAGAGATTCCGATAAGCATGACAAACAATATTGCCTGAAGATAGATAGCGCAGGAAGCCGATTAGAATTCTATCAGAGACTAAGTGGAGCTGCAGTAAGGGGTGAGCAGCTGATAAACGCATGGTCCTCAATTTACCTGGATTAACTCATCACTATGATTTAGACATGGCTATAGTGACCCGCGTTTATGATCTACAGCAGACTTGTAGTATGTCGCAATGCTATCTTTAGATACGTTGTCATGCTGTCAACCACAATACCCACTTCGCCGAGGGAACGAGCGGACACACATGAGATTTCGCTACTCTTTTTTCCACTCAATCTGGAACATTTCAAAGGGGAGTAATGGGTCTTGAGTGCTAACAGTGGATTGAATCATGTCAAATGTATAGCGAGCCGACCCAGGTAGCTGATAACCCTCGCCTTGCTCAAACACCATGTACAACGTGGTACCATGACTTACCTATTGCATACCATAAAGCCGAAAACCGACATACTCCAGGCGTAGTGGATATTTCGATGCTCTGAAGCCCGCCTTGGACCAGACAAAGAAGTCCAACCCTTCGGATCCGCGGCAGCATGTAGGTCGTATGAGAAACACCCACTACGATCTCTAACGGCCATCGCTCAATATGGTTCCATGCTAGTTCAAGCTCCCATAGCGGACATGACGGGAATGCATGCTTCCTTGTGAGAGGCGGGAGGTTACATGTTGCAGATATCGTTATTTTGTTTGCTTCGGGACGGCATTCATAAGCCTTGGGAGGTACAGCGCGGGCCGTGATACCCTTTTCATTTGACCCTCCTTCTTCTAGAATGATGGGTACTAAATTTCCAGAGCAGCCAAGCATGACCCTTTTTAGCCTTCCGGTGTCTGTCAATGTAATATGGTAGGCACCATTCTCATTTGGATGTAGAAGAGGCTAGAGGCAGATAGTACTAGGCTGGCAACGACTGTAATAAGCGTGGCGCCCAATATCGCCTAATAGCCTTATCCCGTTGGTCCATGGTCCCCCTCCATATGAACAGTGGAGTTTGAGACGCTAAGAGGGGTCCTAAAATCCCTGGCGATTTAGTCGATGTCGCCCCAGTGGTTCTCGTTTCTCTGCTCCGTGGAGGGTCAGTGCTCGGCCGATGCGACTAACGGAGATTGCGGTCCTCCAGGAATGTAGGCCGAGAGCCAGGGACGATGTAACCCTGTGCAAGCCGAGGGAGATCACACATGATGACAGGGAGGCAATAAGACGACAGGAGAGGACTTTTGAGGTGGACGGAGAGACGATTGCTTTTGGACCGGCGAAGATCCGGGTCGGTCAGGTGACTCACCCGCGGCGTTGTTCCGCACCGTGCGACTTCCTCTTCGGGACTAGTGTGTCTTTTTATGGGTTCTGATTGGTGTTCCTGGCTGGCCCGGAGCGTACTAGTGCCAGAAGTGGGTCCCTCCAACGCCTCGACGTTCGCCCGTCCATTTCTCTCTCTCTCTCTCTCTCTCTCTCTCTTGCCCTTGCTCTTCTACTCCGTACTACCAACCATGTGGTGGCCACTTCCGTCCGTCATGGCATCTTCCTGGCCATGTTCCCATGTTATTCTCTTACTGTTAATCAATGTCGGATTCCGATGAACAAGGCCTCGGCCTATTTGACCTGTAACTACAACCTTCCGGAGTACCCCCTTGGGCACTCGCTAGAAACTGGAATTCTTATCGATCCCTATAGAGGGGTCGATCTCCGGACCCTCTCCCGACACCCCGTCGGACTGGGTCCAGGAGCAGTTAGCTTGTGGTATTCCTCTTGCCTTTCTCATGCAAGTCCAGTCACTAAACATTAGCGTAGACATTTCAAACCCTGTCGCATGCGGCTCTCAGGATAGAACCCCCTCTTTGCGAGCCAATATCAGTCGGCCATGATCTCCATCATCATGGCAATCTCCCTGGACCAATCGGCCCTTGGAGTCGTTCTTGCTCTCGGGAACACTAGCTCCAAGCGTCTCGTTAGCCTCTGAGACTGGCAATTAGGGAGAGATTGCTATCCTGTTTAATCCTGGTAGCCTTTGACTCGCTCATTTCCTGGCCGTGCGCGGGCAAACTCGGTTGTACCGGTCCTGTGGTGGTGAGACGCTGGAGGGTCGGAATGCGTGCGAATTTCCCCCGAGGTGTCCGTATATATAACTCCGTCCGGTTTTCTCGCCTGATGCTTTCCTCTCCGGTTGTCCAACCTGTTCTCCCGTTAGTAGGACCAGTCCCAGCAGGCGTTTGTCTGCGTCCTTTCTTTGACTTATTTGCACACACGCTCTCTTTGGCTAGACATACCTAGCTGATTGGCCTTTGGCCGCTTGTCATTCCCTTTCTCAAATCACATTCGTTCCCCCCCTTTTGGGTTTTGGTCTTGAGGAGAAAGAAAGAAGAGCCATGTTTTTCCAAAGGGCTTTCGCCGTGGGTACGGCAGTCTCATGCCTCGTTGCATCAGCTTCTGCCTTTGATGCCCAGTCAAAGTCCAATATTGCTGTCTACTACGTATGGTTCCATTGTCTACTCGAAAACCGAAACGGCCCGCGTTGTGTCTGGGTACAAGTATTAACTTCTCTATTTCTCTCTCTCTAGGGCCAAGGGTATGATCAGCCTCGCCTTAGGGAAATTTGTCAAGATGCCTCGGTGGACATCATTAACCTTGGGTTCATCAATGTCTTTCCCGGCCAAGGTGCCGGTGGATGGCCTGGCAGCAACTTTGCCAACCAGTGTGATGGCACCACCTATGAAATCGGTGGAGTCAAGACACAGCTGCTGTCTGGCTGCCACCAGTTGGCAGAGGACATCCCACTCTGCCAGGCAGCGGGAAAGAAGGTTCTGTTGTCTTTAGGAGGGGCAACCCCTGACAACCAAAGGATTCTGTCTGAAAATGAGGCGCTTCTGTTTACCGACTTTCTCTGGGGAGCGTTCGGGCCCATCGACGATGCGTGGGTGGCCATGGATGGTCCTCGTCCTTTCGGGGACGTTGTTGTTGACGGGTTTGATTTTGACATAGAGCACAACGGTGGCTTTGGTAAGTCTTCTTGCTTTTCTTTCCCTCTCTCGGGCCGTCGTTTGTACATGGTCGGGGCGTGTTTCTAATTTGTCGCAGGCTATGCCACCATGGTCGATCGATTTCGGGAACACTTCGAGCTGATCCCTGACCGAACCTTCTACATTTCTGGCGCACCCCAGTGCTCAATTCCCGACCAACAATTAGGCCTCGCAATCGCAGCTTCGGTCTTTGACTTTGTCTGGGTCCAGTTCTATAACACAGCAGCCTGCTCTGCTCGGAACTTTTTCAACATTGCCGGCAGCGGCAATGGCGGCTTCAACTATGATGGATGGGTCAACGTCATCCAGAACGGGGGCAATCGCGCGGCAAAGTTGTATATTGGTCTCCCGGCAAGCGAGAGTGCTGCCAACCCGGGATATTATCTCACTCCGGAAGAGGTCGACACTCTGGTTGCACAGTACATGGGTCGCTACCCGGAGACCTTCGGTGGTATTATGCTTTGGGAGGCCACTGCATCGGAGCGAAACCAGATCAACGGAACTGACTATGCCGAGCATATGAAGAATATTCTTGTCCAACGCGATCCTGCGCATCCCACTCCTACTCCAATCCCTTCCAGCACCATCCCCGTCACCTCCAGCACACCAACCACTTCTGGGACAACCTCCACTCCAGTCACTGTGTCACCAACTACCTCATCCATCCCTACCACAACACGGTCCCATACCAGCCGCTCGAGCTCCTATCCCAGTCCGTCGGCCACAACGAAAACGACCAGCACGCTCACTCCGTCGAGATCCCCGGTCACTTCCGGAAGGCCCAGTCCATCGACCTCGCCGGGGACGTCTCGAACAAGGTCCACCCCGGTGATTCGAACATCGACGGTCTCGACCGTCACCGGCCATTCTAGCAGCTCGGTGCCATCGAGAACGCCCACATCGCGCCATCCAAGCCCGTCGAGCAGTGTGGTTTCTTCCAGCACCGTGATCTCTTCCAGCTCGCATATCAGCTCGGGACGACTAAGCTCGTCGACAGGGTTGTCGTCTGTCATCTCGCACACCTCCGGTGCCACCACTTTGAACCCGTCAGGGAGCTCTTCTAGAACTGGCGGCCAATCAAATACCATTCCGTCGCAGGGAGCCACCGCGTCGTCAAATGAGACCGGCCAGCCAACGGGGTCGCCCACGGGCGCGGCAACCCATCATGGAAGCGGCACAACCACGATAGCCCCCGGCATCACAGCTGCGCCTGGAACGACGGGTCCCACTAATCCCAATGGTTCCAGCTCCGGGCCGGTCACCGTCACAACCGTGATTGTCACATCGTACACCAGCATCTGCCCGACAGGGTTCACCACGATCACCACGACCTACACGACAACGTACTGTCCCGGGACGGTCCCCGCCACGGCCACGGTCACCAATCCTACCCCGGGATCGCCGGCACATACGACGGCTCCCAGTCCGCCCGAGGGATGGACCACGACGGTGACTGTATGCACGCAGTGTGCGGCAACCCCTACCACGGTGACTCTCACCTTGCCAGTCACTGCCCCCGAGTCGCAGGCCACCGCTCCTGCCGCTCTTCCACCCCCCGGATGGACCACGACGGTGACGGTATGCACTCAGTGTGGGCCATCGCCTACCACCATGACCGTGACCGTACCCATCAGTGCGGCGACTGATGCCGTACCCGGGTCTGGCCATTCGGTCGGCACTAGTCCAGAAGGGGGCGCCGGCACTCCTTCTCATCCGGACAACACGCACACCCATCATCTTGCTCCTCCTACCAGCACACGGTCCGCTGTTCTTGGAACGGGCATGGCCCATCCGCGACCTTCCTCTTCAACGTTGTTTGTGCGGCCGTCGCCCAGTGAGTCTCGGGTGCCGGTGGCTCCGAGCACCACGCCGGAGCATCCGGCGCCCGTGTTCACCGGCGCAGCAGCGCGCCAGGCTGAACTTCGCCACGCGGGCGGCGCCTTGTTGGCTTTGGCCCTGCCCGTACTCATTATGGTGTGAAATCTTTCCGGGGCGTTGATTTCGGCCTTGATTTTACTTTACTAATTCCTTCCACCTCTTATTTTTTTTTCTTCTTATCTATTTTTTTTATTTGATTTGATTCTATTCTTACTTCTTGGGCTTCCGCAGTGGGTGGCGGCCTGTCTGATGGTATCACGAAAATTGGCAAAGGTATATACCTCGAGTTGGTTTCTTCTGGTTTGCAGTTAAGCTTTGGGCCAAGGCGGCACGTGCCGACCGAGCCAAACCCAACAAACACATCTTTTCTACAGTTATTTCCTGTCTGCTCCGAGTACATCCAGTAGTATACTCCGATCCTGTGTAGAGTCAGTAAGAGATTCAGGAGACCGTTGGACCCAGCCGGACCAGACCAGAGACATGTGGCAGTATCCCCTAAGATTGGACCCCACCGGCCATCGAGGTGAACTCCGTCCGCCGTAATTAGCACGACTGGCGTTTGAAACACTCACGGACTGCTAGCCAGCAATCTAAACGCTTATTTGATTAATCGGGCGAGCTAAATGACCCAATGAGGTAATGCCAGGTCTCGACTGCCCCAAAGGGGCTCTGTTGATTCTGCTAGTCATTTCGCATGATGATTAGTAGTAGTCGTATTTATTGTGCAGAGCCCCTCGCGCCACTTTTTCCTGCCGACATTCTTCGATTGCCATCCCCTTTCTTATACCTTCTCTTCCCTACTTTCTTCCTCGTTCTTTCTCTTCTTTCTCTTCTTCGCTCGATTCTCCTCCCCATCTTCTCAGACCCACTCCCACTCCCACTCCCACATTTCCCACATTACACATCATGGATCTCGTCGGCAAACTCGTCGGGAAAGTGCTCGAATCCAAGAGCGGTGAGAGCAGCGGCGGCGGCGGCGGCGGCGGAGGATACGGATATTCCGAGCAGCAGCAACCGCAGCCACCGTCGGGCTATGGCGGATATTCCGCTCCTCCTCCCTCCGGCCCGCCGCCCGGTGCCTCGCAAGACCTGCCGTATCCGTGGATCGCCCGCTGGGATGACCAGAGCGGCCGCTACTTCTTCGTTAACCAGCAGACCGGCGAAAGCACCTGGCACCACCCCGGCGGCGGTGCTCCCCCCCAGCCATACGGTCAGCCCTCGTACGGCGGCCAGCCATCCTATGGTCAGCCTTCGTATGGCCAGCCCTCGTACGGCCAACCCTCGTACGGCCAGCAGCCGGCATACGGCGGGTATGAGGGATCGCGTCAGGGAGAGTACTATCCCCAGCAGCAGCAGCCGCCAGCCGAGAAGAAGGATCACAAGATGCTGTACGCCGCGGGAGGCGCGGCGGCCGGTCTTGCCGGCGGTGCGCTCTTGATGCACGAGGGAGAGGAGATTCGTAAGTGCCACTCTTTCGCATAGCTCAATCGACTCTGAACGGACTTGTTCGTTCGTTTGGTTGTCCGCAGGCCACATGCAATTACGCATACAGATTCAGCTGACTCTCTTCTCCGACAGATGACAGCTGGGATGAAAACAAGGAGAAGCTCGAACAGGGAGTGCAGGACTTCCCTGAAGACGCTGCCCACTGGACTGGCGAAAAGGTAAGCACTGATGATCTGGACCCGTTGCAGCGAGGAAATAGCAGACAGACCCATTCTGACCGTTTCATGATTAGGTCGGCGAGGCCGAACAGATCCCCGATAGAATCGAAGACGGCTGGGACCGCGCCGAGGACCGGATTGAAGACGGCTGGGACAACACAGTCGAGAATGTCGAGGACTTCCCCGAGAATGCCGCGCACTGGACGGGAGAGAAGGTCGGTGAAGTGGAGTCCTTCGGCGACGACCTTGGGGATGCCTACGATGCCGGAGAGGCCGAGGGTCGGGACGAGGATTGGTAGTTGCGCCTGGGTATCTGCAGATGACTGAATAGGTGGGGGTTATCATATACGAAATACTGGCATGTGCTTTTGGGAGGATGAATCCATGTGAAGGAGATTAAAATTGAATACCAATCGAATAGATAGAAAGACAGAATAATGCACCGCTGATGCACTCCTGACTAATCCTTCCCCGCACGTGGCCGGACCTCGGCTTGCGGAACCGAATTGGAGAGAAATATATATCGACGGTCGTTGAAGTATACACCACCACTATTAGACATTTTCGCCGACATAGGGTAATCACACTATTGTACCCTGTACTATTTACCAAACTGGCCTTATAAACAGAATCGAAATGTCTGCATCACCGCCGCTCACTGGCACTCGCGTTGTAGAATTAGCGGGTCTTGCTCCGGGTTAGTCGTGATCTCATCGATTGACTCCCTTCATACATATATGCTGACCAACCCAGGTCCATTCGCGGGCCTCCTGCTGGCCGACTACGGCGCGTCAGTGCTACGCATCGACCGACCCAATGCCGTGAGCGCCGACCAGCTAACCCGACATAAAACATCCATCACGCTGGACCTCCGCGATGCGGCTTCCCACCGCGCTCTCCTGTCCATCCTGGCTACGGCAGACGTCCTCATCGACCCCTACCGACCGGGAGTCCTGGAACGGCTGGGGCTCTCGCCCTCCGAGGTTCTTTTGAAACACAATCCTCGTCTGATCGTGGCGCGGATGACGGGGTTCCGACGCGATGGCAAGTACAAGGACATGGCCGGTCACGACATCAACTACATAGCGGTATCGGGTGTCCTGTCTATGCTGGGTCGATCGGGCGAGACTCCTTACGCTCCGGGGAACATCCTGGGCGATTTCGGCGGCGGAGGCGCTATGTGTTTTTTGGGGATCTTGCTGGCTTTGCTGGCACGCTCCCGCACGGGACGAGGGCAGGTCGTCGAAGCGAACATGGTGGACGGTTCTGCGTATCTGGCCGCGATGCCGCGACTGTGCCGCCACACGCCGTTCTGGGATCAGCCTCGCGGTCAGAACATGGTAGACGGGGGGAGTCCGTTCTACGACACCTACGAGACCAAAGACGCAGGCAAGTACTTTGCCGTGGGGGCGTTGGAGCCCCAGTTCTACGCGGCGCTTCTGAAGGGCCTTGGGTTCGGCCCCCAGGAGCTGCCGTCGCGAGACGACCGCACCAACTGGCCAGTCCTGCGAGCGGCATTTGCCCAGCGGTTCCGGGAGAAAACGCGCGCAGAGTGGGAGGTCATCTTTGACGGCACCGATTCTTGCGCAACGCCGGTGTTGGAACAGAGCGAGCTCGAAGAGAGTGGATACGAGCAACGGTCGGCCGTCCATCTGACTGAGACTCCGGCCTTGCCCATAGCCGCAGACGACGGGGCCTGGTCCGGAGGCGGACTCGCTCCGGGAACCGGTGGGCAGGAGACACTGCAGGACTGGCTGGGATGGGAGAAGGGAAGACACTACGGGGTTCGGTCTGATGGGGCGCTGGTGCAGCAGGCAGCAGGCAGCAAGGCGAAGCTGTGAGTCTGGCCATAGCCAGACTCACAGGGTTGTAATGGGAGGGAAGGGAAACCTGCTGGAAAAGCCCAGCGAGAAGAAATGTAAATATCCTGTTTGCAGGCCACGAACCCCCGTACATAATCTGGTCGACACAGTCTTGATTTTGGAGTTGAGGAGTCCCATGGAACGCCATGCATCTGGGTGCACGGGATAACAGGACGCGCTCGATCTTGTTTCGCATGCAGTCTGGGTCACACAGGCCGGCGCTTGATGTGAAACATGGACCTCGTCAGATCCCGTCAGACTCAAATTCTCGGTGCCGAGCTAAGCACCGAAACTTCTCCAGGACGAACCCCTTCCCTCCAGGCGAGTGGTCACACTGGTGGAACGCACCGATCTCCATCGACCAAACGCTGCGAGCGTTGGGGTCACGTCTCATGTCTTCAGAAACCCCTCAAGCGACTCCAATGCGATCCGTCTGATGGAGGCAAGGAGACATGCGCCCTGCAATGAGTGCAGACATACATATGATATGCGCCATTTTCTGTTGGAGATGGGATATGTCTGACGTCCGCTGTCGATCGACCCCTCCGAGGTGGAGAGAGGCGGGAATATGCAATCTCCACTGTCTGGGGAAAACCCAAGGGCTGGAGAGTTGGTGAAATCGACAACATCAACACCAGGCTGGCCTCGAAACGAAGCTGAACCAGACATCAGCCAAAGGAACGACGCAAAAAGGAGTGCACCAGTCAGAAGGCTGCCAATCCGGGGAACAGGGAAAATCCCCCTTTTGGACAAGCCCCGAGTCGGGGAATTCCCCCCGTGCGGGGTAATACGGCCGAGTTCCTTTGTTTTGTTTGTTGCGACCTGCGATGTATCCTCCCGCGGACATCAGTATGCAGCGGTACATCCGTAGGTGATATGATAGGAGATGATATGATAGAACCACCACGGACTCGATGATGTGATTTCCATACGGACCCCGGAGTTGTGATATGCACTCCTCCTCCGGCGAGATATCAAATGGCTGGATGCACCGCTAGTGACTCTCCCCTGACCAATCACTGTGTCCACTCTTCCGCTGAGGTCGCACGCCCGATAAGATCAGCAAAACCCGGGGTTGGGAAATGAGGTCCATGTCCATTGAGTTTGTTCGATCGTTGCCACATTCTCGATGGTTTCCCCGGAAAAGGGGGGCCACGGCTATCTCCAGCAATGAGGACCTCCCTAGGGACCAGGGACTTCTCAGGGATGGGACTCAGTTACCGTCCCCCCTTATTGAAAACGGAAACCAATCATCGTCATCGGCATGGACGATTGTTATCATCATGATGTGGCCAGCCTCCCTAGTCCCTCGAGGGCCGTGTTACGGAATGGCATGGAAAGTCGTGGAAGAACGACCGCGGACGAATCCAGTGTCAGCTGTCACCTCCCCATGAATGCCCATGGGTGGTTCTCGTGAGAGCTCTCGTGGTGGTGTGGTCAGCATCCGTTTGGGGGGAGCTTCCAGGGATCGCGTGATGTCCGTGTTCATCTCATCAAATGATTATCGCTGTTTAGTGATAGGCCTGGCAAACTCTCTTCTGCCCACCCGAACTTTGGACTCTCGGAGCGTAATGACAACCGTGCTGGATGCGCCCCGATCTCCTCCTGCCTATCCGAGTAAGAAGGAGGGTGCTCCCGGTATCTACGGTTCAACCTGTCCCATGAATCCTTAGGCACACACTCCCTGCTTTCGCAATAGTCAGCCTGAATGGCCCCCATTCCATGCTGTCAAACTGGCCGAAACTTTGATCAAATCAGAAAAGACGTAACGGAGATGACGAGCTCAATAATAATGAGCGAGAATAATACTGCGTGTTAATTCAGAAATATGAAAAATCGAAATGACATGCTACAGAAACAGTATACTCCGTACTCATGAAAAAAATGAATAAAATAAATAAATAAAATACAATAAAATAAAACCAAAATCAAAGTCAAACGACGATTCCCTTCTTCGGAAGCAGGCAGGAGAGACACGCAACACCCTGCAAGGACAAACCTTGCAGACACACCCCGGGAAGCGGTCAAGCTGCGACTAATGCACCAAGCTGGGTGGCCTTCACCGCCAACCTCCCCGGTACCTCGGCGCCCATACATGCCTCTAAGGTCAGGCAGGTACCTTGGGTAACCACCTACATGCATGCCGGAAACATACCAGCCACGGGGGTTTCTACCTGCCTGCCTGCCTACAGCCCGTCGGTCCAAACTCGACGCGCCAGCAGGGGGGGGGCGCTTGAGGGACGGTTACTGATTGATTTCACTTCCATTCCAATCGGACGCTTCACTAAGTCCATAACATCATATGTTATCTCTCCCCCCCTCCCCCTCCTTCCACTACGCCGTAAACATTCGGCCCTTGACATACGATCACCATTCATCAAATCATTCCTGTGACAACGGGAGGGGAAATCCCCGCACTCTCTCTGCCGCGCGATAACAGACTGAATGTTGATCACGCAAGCTGTGCCACACAAAGCCGTTGTTGAGTTGTTGACTCCCATGGGGTTCCCTGGGACCCGCGGGACTTGAACCACGAGATTGTAAACTCTACACGACGTTCTGCCGCCCCGATGGACCGTCTCAAAATATGGACCGGAACCCATCAACCATGGACTCCCGACATTCACCTGATCAACTCTCGATAAGAGAGATAGTCCTATGGACTAGAACGGGTCAGATCGTACGGAAGTACGTACAAAGTAGACGATGGTAATAATTGCGCTCACTATCTCTGGACCGATAATCTACGAATCTGTAACATCTTGAGTGTACACATAATTAAAACATCGTCATCGTCGTCTCAAAATTAATCTGCAACCACCTCATCTTCCCCATACACCCGAATCCAGAATGATCAGCCTGGGCCGGGAATTTTTTTTATTTTTACTTTTATTTTTATTTATTTTATTTTTATTTTTAATGCGGGTTCTTTCTTCTTTTTTCTTTTTTCGAATTTCCCCAACGAATGGTGCAATTGTTGGCCACGACACCTCCAACTGGGTGCTGGCGTCATGCACCCTGGAAATAGTACCAACTCGTCACCCCCTGATTGGCCGGTCGCCCATTAGTGCCAGCGCACTCAGCCGGAAGGGGAGTAGCGCTAACCGCCACCCAATGCTCCGCCTTCGACCGACGGGACTAGACCCGATGGAAATGGAAGCATGATGCATCAGCGTCCCCGTTTCCCCCAATCCCATCCTCATCAGTCATCACCTGTCCGGCTGCCTAGGTGGGGTCCGTCAGGATAGATTCAGTCTAGTCCCTTCCAGGGAGGGCGCACCGGCGGTTGATCCTCGACCGGGCTTCCTGTAGTTGTGCAACCAGTGCATTAGGAGTATTTCTCCTGCCGCCCACACGGTATGAATAATGTTATGTTTGGTTATGTGACGAGGGTGGTTTCCCGCCGAGACCCTGTCCGGACCTGCAGGAACCTTTCCCTTAGTAGACCCCAGTACATTCCGGGATGTCTTCCTGGGCAGCCAGGTTGCCCTGCCCTATATTCAAGTTCATGGAAAACAAACCAAGAAAGAAAAAGAAAAAAGCACCGTTTTGGTCTCTTACTACATATAGCGTGACCAATACGCCGTGATGAGCGATGTTGATTCCTGTCTCCGAAAAGTTAAACTATATCCCAACTATAACCTTAGGCACTGGCAGATAAGGAGGTAGTCCCGAGTGACTATCTGATACTAAACTTTATGGTTGGAGTAGTCCCTGGGACTTGCACATGGTCCCCCTTCGAGTCCTGCCTACGGTACGGAATACCGGTCTTCCCTATCACGACAGATCCCCGGGGCAATTGTTTGCTCTGCGTAACATTGTTCCCTACCTGCCATTTGCGCAATTCACCATAGATTATGAGGTAATTAATTAAGGAATGGATTCTAGATTCCAGCCACGGCATGACAGATACCACGCTGATGACTCGGTTGCGACTTGCTTCGTCATAAGAGGGATGAATAATGCTCTAGGAAGAAGATGGAAGCGCGCGCATGTCGTAATGATAATGACCGGAACGGTACGTTACTGAAACATGCCCAGGTCGGAAGTGAGTGCCTTCTCCGAACTCAGCCTGAGAGCATTATGTAATGGGTTTCTATTTCCCGAAGGAATTGATGACTCAAAGACTAAAACGGGCTCCCACCGAGGCGTAGAGCTCGGTCGTTCGATACCTAATCGTATGTACCTAAGCATGAGTCTTTTTTTTTTCTTCTGTTCCAGGCAGAAAACTCATGACGAGGGACGATGGAGATACTGGATTATCGTCGGCTGTTTCGCTGGCAGCACAACAGCCAAAGAGATGATTCATTCAGGGGGGTGTGGGGTCCGTCCGAAAGCGGCCTAGGACCTTCTCGACCTGCATCCATCGAGGCGAGTTGGTGGGCCGACCGGAGATCGCACGTATCGTAACCACGAGGAAACGGGGCCCTTGATTTGGCTGGCCGATGCGACAGACGTATTCGTACCGTAACGCTCTGGCGTCATTGGCTGGCGGGGCACCCACTCTGGGTCAAGTTGGACACCCCCCATGGAAAAGCCGACCAGGGAGGGTTCTCGCTCGTTCGCCCATCTTCTCGCCATCGCTGCAGTGAGTGGGTTTGTTTCCCCCCCCTCCAAAGTTCCGGGACCCGTCTGCCCTTTCATTCGACTGTTTCGCCCCTCAACGTACTCCATTATTACCTATCAACGACTAACTGCTATCATCCGGACCTCCTTATCCCTATCGCCTGCCAACTTATCCGCGCTCTCCGTCCCATCCCCATCCCGTCCCTTCCCTACTTCCTTCCCCTTCCTCTCATCATCATCATCCTCATTTCCTATCATTCCACCTCATCTTCACCGACTTCATCACTCCTACCTTCTTCTCTTCCCTCCTCCCGTTGCTCCTTCCTAATTCCCTCCCTCTCGCCTCCGTCGCCTCTCGTCATACTCCCATCTATAGCTCAATCGCCCCTGGGCTTCTCATCCCAATCTTCGCCCTCTACAACCTCATTTCAACAGCGGGACAGTGCTTATACAAGGCCTTGATTTGCTCAGAATCAGCTTGTTATCGGTTTTATTGCCAAAAAAAAAGTGCACATTGCCAAATCCGTTTCACCTGCTTTTTTGTCCGTTGCCTTGTTCCGGGACCTTCGAACACCTATCGAGTGACTCATATCAAGCCAATTACCTCTCTTAAGTCACTGCGGACCCACGACGCTTCGTCTCTCCTCCATTCATTCTCCGAAGCTGTGCTACGTTTCAATCGCCTATTGATACTACGTGTGAGGATCTCGATTTGCTCCTGAGGTCGACACTTGCTTAGTTGTCATCCACTTCGCCTCTCCCTGGGCCGGGTGCTGGTATTCGGATCTTCAACCTGCCCAAGCATCAGGGCTGAAGACGCCTGGTACCAGCTGTCCAGAGCCTCAGCATCGTTTATATACCATCCTCCGCTCCCCCTCAGCTCGGGCTTTCTTTGTTGTCTCAGGCAACCTATGACTCTGTCGTCATAGCTCAACCTCGATTCCTTTCCTGAGTCACGACAACCTCGGTCCTTCAACCTGGTGTTCGAAGGCCGATTTATATCTTTTCTTTCACGAGCCTTGTTTATACATCTAGCATAAAAAATTACGATATTACGCAGCGTTTTTCGTCTCTTCGATTGTTCCCTTCCGTGTCCCTCTCGCCCGGACACTGTCTTTCTCTTCGACACACTCTTTCAGTTTTCATACCTGTCAGCATTTGGCTCTCGCCCTCAACCTTCGCGAAACGATATACCGATGAACCTATAACAGTCTTTTCAAATTTCCTATTGTTGTCAATCCGCGCGGGTACCTGAACTGCGCTTCGTGCCTACTCATTACTTTGTGACTTTCTTTTGTGATCATATCCCCACTTTTGATATTTATATGAGACTTTGAGCCAACAGTCTACTGTGTCTTGTTTTCTTTCTCGCCCTGTTATTTTCTTGCATCCGATTATTCTTTTCCTTCTTGGTTTCTCTCGCAGGTCAACCTCCCGTTGGAATCGCCTTCTCAATTCTTGTCTCTATTGGTCGCCTCATTGTTCGTGTCGCTGATCACCAACCCTCTCCGTCGTGATCTGTTCGAGTATCTTGACGCAAAATGGACTGCCTCAAGAACAGTTTCGTCAAAGGCCAGCTTTTGGGGGGCCGATTTCGCACGGTTGCTCCCTTGAACCATGGATCATTTGGTATGGTCTTCCTTGCGACCGATATCCAGACTGGTCAAGATGTTGCCATCAAATGTCTGCTGAAGCCGTCGGGTGACGCCATACTCCAGCCCTCTGCCGATTTCCGTTTCGAGGAGCTCAACAGTCACCGGCGCCTTGGATATCATCCCAACATCGTCAACCTTATCCATTGTTTCGAAACCGATGCGCACATGTACCTTGTTCTGGAGTACTGCACGAACGGTGACTTGTACGAGGCTATCAGACTCAACCGTGGACCCCTCGAAACCGAACATGTTCGCGATTTTATGTTGCAACTCGTCAGCGCTGTCGAATTCATGCACGAGCATGGCTTGTACCATCGCGACATCAAGCCCGAGAACATCTTCTTGACCCAGGACGGGTCTATGAAGCTTGGTGACTTGGGCCTGGTTACCCGCGATGCCTGGAGCTACGAGGCCTGCGTTGGAAGTGATCGTTATATGGCTCCGGAGCAGTATGACCCTTCCACCAACGGTTACTCTCCGGCCAAGGCCGACATCTGGGCGATCGGTATTTGCCTGCTCAATGTTCTGTTCGCACGAAACCCATTCGCAACGCCGACAGAATCCGACGTGCTGTTCGCGGACTACGTTCGGGATCGTCAATCTCTTTTCGATATCTTCACCAACATGTCCCAGGACACCTTTGAGATATTGAGATATGCATTGGCCATTGATCCCGAAAAGCGCTCGCTCTCTGCCGTCCGCCACGCCATTCTGCGCGCCGTTTCGTTCACCACGGATGATGATGAATTGGACGAGTTCTGCATCGACGACCGCGAAGTGGTGCCTGCAAGCGCCAACCGCGAACCACTCCGCACGCCTTCCATCTCGAGTCCTCATATCAACCAAGGCGATTCTTTCCCCTGGGCCAAGGCTCTTCAATCCAGCCCTCCCCAGGCTATCCGTCAACTCTCCGCCATCCCGGACAACGAAAGCTACACGGAGGATCTCTTCCCCGCGTCCGAGACTGCCGGCACCTCTTGGTTCTCCGTTCATCAAGGGACCCCATCGATGGCCTCTGTTCTTGAATCTGCTCTCGGTGATTCATTCCGTTCGACCGCTCTTCGCAAGCCCGAGCCCCGATTTCCCCCTCCCTCCGACCCAGTCCCTATTACCGGGTCGCTGCCCAGTCATGCGACGAAGCCTCTTCCGTCGTTGTCCATGGTGTTCGGCCGCAACAAGCAAGACCAGATCTCGAAGAGCTGGAGCGACCTGTGGGATGAAGAGGAAGAATCCGAGGGCGAAGATGTTGCGCTCCAGCAACGACGTGAACAGAACTCTCGCAGCTGGAGCCACGAGAGCATGACTCCTGAGCTTTCGGGCCCCCTGCGTAGCCTTGGAGATGTTCGCAGCTCTCCGATCCTGAATGTTCGCGCTCAGAACCTTGACGAGCCAGACATGGAATCCGACGAGTTCGACGAGAAGCCAATCCAAGTCAAGCCTGGAGTAACTCCTCTGGTGACCCCGCCTCAGTCCCCGGACAGCTCCCCCAAGAAGGGCAACCTCGACAAATGGGCTGCGTTGGGCGACAAGCGAAGGAACTACAAATCGCCCAGCGTTCCTTTCGGACATAAGACATTCCCGACCAACATGGCCTGGCGAAAGGATTGGGGTCTCGGCTCTTCGGGCTTTGACTATGGCTCTTGGGCCAAGAAGGATGCGGGACCTGTCCATGGCCGCCGCCGCCGCCCCTTCCTGGAGAAGGGCTGGCGTCGTGATGCCATGGAGTCGCCCAAATACAACGTGAAGCCCTTCAATAGCTACGACGGTAGCGTCGACGAGGATCTTGATCTCGTCGGTGGCTGGCATGACCTGCACCTCTAAGTTCACTCGAAAGTGTCCATCGCCTCACCTGCCAGCCTGCCAACCTGTCCTCGTTCTGCTGTTCCGTTTAATACTCACTTGGGAAGAAGAGCAGAGAAAACCACAACATCCCGTACCTTTTTGTTTCTTTCTTCTTTTCTTCTTTCATCTTCCACATCAATTTTATTCTCCGCTCGGTCGATTCTATTAAACAGAAATTATGGTTCCACATTATTAACTTTTTTATTCAATTTCCCTCTCATGTGATAGATCCTTTGCACGCGGCTTCCACACATTTGATGTTCGTGTTTCCTCTTCCACTCTTGTATAATATATTAGCTCTCTTCGAACAAGGACGCAGTCGCGACGAGCAGTTCAAAAAGTGACACATCAACTGATAGCCTGGAGGGGATGAGTTTCTGGGGGAGGTTGAGGGGGTTTTTCTTTTTGAAAAATGTTCGTTTGTATTTCTGGACGCAAAAAGGTTCAACTTGACGGGGGCAGGACAGGCGCAACGGGCGAGGCGATGATCAATCAACAACTACAACAACCAATACAAGCAAGAAAGCAACAAAAAAGCTACGAGAATGGTTTTTTCTTTTCCCTTCATTCTTTCGTTTGGATCTACCCAAGGACACAGGTGTACTGGACTGGTTTCTCTGTACTGTAATTAGCTGGGACAATCGAACGGGTGGTGAAGTGGACCGAGAATATTGATAGCATCCGAATCAAGATCAAACATAGTGACTCTCGTACGTCTTTCGTGCAGCCACCGGCGTAGTGATTCTATCGCTGTAGTTGTAGACTTGTAGACTTGGAGATAGTGATGGTCTCTCACAGACAGGGCGGTGTGGACAGGCGGTGAGCGCTCTCCACGTGCGGAGACGCCAGATATGGGTCCGTCCCGTTTGAGCCGATTGTCTCTCCGATGCCCGTTCGCCTTCAAGCTCCTCGTCTTCTTGCATAAAATTGCCGGCTGCCGACAAGTCTCCTGTAAACTTCCCTCCATTTGAACTGTTGATTCCCGGCCTCTTATTGGCCAGCTTCGCATCGGGCTCGAATTCTAATTATTTCACTGATCTGCAGAAGACGATGCATATGCGACACGCCCTGACTTAGTCGAGTGACCCCAACGAGACGCTCTCCCACCAAGTCGGTTCGCCCACCACTACGCCTCAGTGGTGTGGTACGAGAAAGGGGAACAAGGAAAAAAAAAAGCGAAGGGTCACACGATGTCGGTTGCCCCTTGGTCCACCAGCGTGGTCACGGTGGCCGCACTGGCCTCGAGTTGGTTCCAGGGCGTCGTGGGGGAGAACACGCCACCTATTTGCCTGACACGCGACTGGAGGGAGGCCGAGGCCGGGTTCATTCAGTGGCCTGTTTGTGTTGAGAGCCGGTGGCAACGAACGCTAGAACTAGACGCCCACACCGCTACTGAGGGGCCGACCAAGGACGAGGCCAGTTCAGTCACGATATCGGAGACGCCGGCGTCTACACCGACGGAACGACAGGACCACGAGCTGGACACCGACTCGCTCCTGGACAACGCCAATTTCTTGTCCTTCGAAGACTGGAAAAAGCAGAACCTAGCGAAAGCGGGCCAGTCGGCTGATGTCGGAGGAAGCAGGCGCGCAGGCGCAGCCGGGAAGGAAGACCGCCGACGGCCTACGGGGATCAACAATGCTCTGGACTCGCTCGGGGATGATGCGGAGATCGAGCTTGATTTCGGCGGGTTCGGCGCCGATACGCCCGAGGCTGCCAGGCCAACGCCATGGGAGCCCACGGTGCGGAAGACTGATGACGACGACGCGCGCGTGAAGGCGGACCAAGAGCGAGCGGACTCTCTCGCTCATGGTATATCGCGCGCGGGTGCGTCTCGCCGAAAGGATGCCGGCACGACGTGCAAGGAGCGGTTCAACTATGCGTCTTTCGATTGCGCGGCGACGGTGCTCAAAACCAATCCCGAGTGCAAGGGCTCGTCGTCGGTCCTGATTGAGAACAAAGACAGCTATATGCTAAATGAGTGTCGTGCCAACAACAAGTTCTTGATCTTGGAGCTGTGCGATGACATTCTGGTGGATACGGTGGTCCTGGCCAATTACGAGTTTTTCAGTTCCATCTTCCACACGTTCCGGGTCAGCGTGTCCGATAGGTATCCGGCCAAACCGGATCAATGGCGAGAGCTAGGGATCTACGAGGCCAGAAATACTCGGGAGGTACAGGCCTTTGCGGTAGAAAACCCGCTCATATGGGCTCGGTATCTGAAGATCGAGTTCCTGACCCACTACGGCCATGAATTTTACTGTCCCCTCAGTTTAATCCGGGTGCACGGCACCACGATGATGGAGGAATATAAGCATGATGGCGAGGGAGGACGCGCGGACGACGACGTCTCCGAGGAGTCGCTTGAACCTAGTCCCCCGCAACAGGACGCAAAGACGGAGGAGAGCGCCGGCTCTTTCACTCAGGGAGTCTCGACTCCCCCGGCAGATGAACCGGACCCGGTACTTTCAGGTGATGTCACCTGCTCGAACCCGGCCGGAGAAGTCGAAATCCCACTATTGCCGGCTCCCTGGAGTATCACCAGCACTTGCAGGGCGCAGGGCACCTCAACTGAATCCGCTGAATCGGACGGAGAGGTGACTGCGACGTACCAGAACCCCCTGCGGACGAGCGAGGCTCCGGTTACTCGCACAGAGGCGCCCGTGCCCCCAGTAACGCCCTCGGATGTCTCTACGGCAGAGGTGATTGGGGAGCCGAAGTCGACGGCGTCTGCGGAATCGACCATGGTGCCTTCCCCTGCATCGTCTCCGCCGCCACCGTCCCCAGACCCTGCAGCACAGAATGCAACCGCCGAGTCGGTACCGCGAGCGACCGGTACGATGACGAAGGAAGAGCCCAACAGTGCATCGGAGTCGGTACGGCCGGCGGCGATTCAGCCTCCCTCGCCGAACCCAACGACGCAGGAGTCCTTTTTCAAGTCGGTCAACAAGCGGCTGCAGATGTTGGAGTCGAACTCTACGCTATCACTGCTGTATATCGAAGAACAATCTCGTATCTTGCGCGATGCCTTCAGCAAGGTCGAGAAGCGGCAACTGGGGAAGACTTCGACGTTCTTGGAGAATCTGAATGTGACGGTTCTGAACGAGTTGAAGCAGTTCCGCGAGCAATACGACCACGTCTGGAAGAGTGTTGCGCTGGAATTCGAGCACCAACGGATCCAATACCACCAAGAGATCTATTCAATCAGCACCCAGCTGGGCGTGCTCGCCGACGAGCTTGTGTTCCAGAAACGTGTTTCCGTTATCCAGAGCATCATGGTGCTCTTCTGCTTCGCGCTGGTGCTCTTCTCGCGCGGCGCAGTGAGTAGCTACATGGAATTCCCCAGCGTACAGAACATGGTGTCGCGGTCCTACAGTCTGCGGTCTTCGTCCCCCGTTTTTGGTTCGCCATCGATGAGTCCCAGTTCGACGCGGCCAACCTCGTCCCACCGGGGGCCGGGCCATCGACGCAATCTGTCGGACGATTCGCAGGATGGGCCGCTCAGCCCGACCGCGGTTTACGCACCGCCCACACCCCCGTCGGAGCCATCCAGCCCGGAGACGGAGGAGGGCGAGGCAAACAGGGCGACCGTGGATGCGGTGGATGCCGAAGTGGCGCCTCCGTTTCGGTCGCACAGCAGTCCGCCGGTGTTGACGGCCGACGAGGAATTGGCGGATGACGCGAGCGTGGAATCCGGCGAGTCGGTGGCGGACGCCATGGATGGATGAGAAATGAAAATGAAACCTGGCATGCAGATCGACCAAACGTCATGGTGGAAGGGAGGATCAGTTGGGCGGCGAGGCCAAAGTTGGTGGTTGCCATGCCAACAATCGTTTTGGGGCCGCACTTTCATTCTTTGCCGCCCCGTCGACCTTCTTCTTCCCTCGATTTCTCCTTCTTGCCTCTGCCTTCTTTTTCTCCCCCACACTCTGGACTGCCTGAACGATCGACTTCTGCTCTCGATCAGAACAAAAGAAGCGAAAGCATCTCCATTCCAAATTTCCATTACCATACCCCCGACGAAATGGATTCCCCCTCGCATCCCCTCACCGATCGCTCCACCAACACGCATCTGCCTGTTAACGTCGACAAGGCTCAAGAGCTCAAGAACGCGCCCGCCAACATGAACTCCATGGAATACCATCGTGCAGTGCTGCAAGGGAAATTGGAGAGCGGTGACAAGTGAGTGACACGCCGGCCTGCGTCGGGAGACACGCACTAATCTCTCGCCAGACAACCCGCCAACTACGTTTCTCCTTCGGATGACATTATGAGCCCCTGCTCGAAGAAACTGAGCGACCTGAAGGGCAAGCGCTTCAAGAAGTAAGTTTTTTCTGCCTTTCTCTTTTTTTGGTCTCTTTTGCCGGTCTTGACCAAACTTTTCGATTCGAGGACTAACGAAATCGTCTGATTATAGCGCCGGAAAGCCCCAGTCGCTGTTCGCCAAACTGGGCAAGAAGAACTTCGAGCAGTCATCGGCCGAGCATGGGCATCCCACGAAGAGCAGCGACGCAAGCTCGTGAAGTGCTGGGATGCAATGACTTGGATGAGATGAGAGTGGCTGCCCGCAACGGCGCCAGTCGTATGAATGAATGGAGACTCGGCGCAGACGGACCTAATGCTTGCTTTTCTTCTGGGCTTTGATTAATCTTGTTGTGGCCTTTTTCTTGTGTTTTTATTACTTTCTTCAGGTTCTTGGGCTGGTGTTGGGATGGATTCTTGGGGGTTACTTTTTTCTCTGATTCGCCAGACTCTCGGTGAACATGTCTGCATAGAAGGATTGGGGTTCTTATTGGGACTGGAATACCAACGAATTATCGACTCTTGTCATTTGCTTCTGTAGTGCGCATTGGGCGTGTCGGTTGGATCAGGCCATTCATTCCTTCAGCGATGAGTGCAGACCGGCCAGCCGAGGCCAACCTCGGCATCTCCACTTCTCCGCATCCTTTATAATTCCTCTCCCTCCTCATCCTCTTCCTCTCTCGAACCCCAACCCTTGTATCCCTCTATCGCCTATCAACCCTTATATCCCACCCTTTGATCTTATACCCTTCTTTTACATCATGTCCGCCTCTGCTCGAATCCCCCCTATTGCCCAGCCGTTTGTCAGCGACCGCGCCAAAAAGACCCTGGACTTGGTACCGCCCTCTTTCCCTCGGCTGTTTCTCATCGCTCTGCATCTAATCCGCCGGTTGTTTTACATAGGTCGAGCAATTCGTCGAGACGGAATGTATTCCCGCCGAACCTACCTTCCAGGCTCAACTAGGCGAGGGAAAGCAGCGATGGACGACTAACCCCGCCATCCTAGAGACCTTGAAGACCAAGGCTCGCCAGCAAGGCTTGTGGAACATGTTCTTGCCCAAGAAGCATTTCTCTCAGGGTGCTGGATTCACCAACCTCGAATACGGTCTGATGGCCGAGTACCTGGGGAAGAGCAAGTTGGCGTCGGAGGTCCGTTCCTTTACCCTTCCCTCGCCTCGCCACTCCTTTCTGACAATGGGGTTTAGGCGACGAATAATGCCGCTCCCGATACGGGAAACATGGAAGTGCTGGCCAAGTACGGCAATGATGCACAGAAGCAGCAATGGCTGGCTCCGTTGCTGGACGGAAAGATTCGCTCCGCATTCCTCATGACCGAGCCGGACGTCGCCTCCAGCGACGCCACCAACATCGAGCTGAACATGCGCCGTGAAGGCAATGAATATATCCTGAACGGTTCGGTGAGTTTACCGCTCCATCCTGCCCCTAATCCTCCCAACCGAACTCCACTAATCCAGCCTTCTTTCCTCAGAAATGGTGGTCCTCCGGCGCCGGTGACCCCCGATGCAGCCTCTACCTCGTCATGGGTAAATCCGACGCGGCCAACCCAGACCCCTACCGCCAGCAGTCGGTGATCCTGGTCTCCGCCGACACCCCCGGTATCACTGTGCACCGCATGCTGTCGGTATACGGGTACGATGACGCTCCGCACGGCCACGGCCACATCTCCTTCGAGAACGTGCGTGTTCCGGCCTCCAACATGGTCCTCGGCGAGGGCCGCGGCTTCGAGATCATCCAGGGCCGACTCGGCCCCGGGCGCATCCACCACGCGATGCGCACGATCGGCGCGGCCGAAAAGGCGCTCGAGTGGCTGATCGCGCGCATCAACGACGACCGCAAGAAGACCTTCGGCCAGAACCTGGCCGCCCACGGCGTGATCCTGGAGTGGGTGGCGCGCTCGCGCATCGAGATCGACGCCGCGCGCCTCATCGTGCTGAACGCCGCCATCAAGATCGACGAGGGCGACGCCAAGTCGGCGCTCAAGGAGATCGCCCAGGCCAAGGTGCTGGTGCCGCAGACCGCGCTGACCGTCATCGACCGCGCCGTGCAGGCCTACGGTGCCGCCGGTGTCTGCCAGGACACGCCGCTGGCGAACCTGTGGGCGATGATCCGCACGCTGCGCATCGCCGACGGCCCCGACGAGGTTCATCTGCAGCAGATGGGCCGCCGCGAGAACCGCACCCGCAAGGATGCCATCATCGAGCGCCTGAACTGGCAGCGCAAGGAGGGAGAGCGGGTGTTGGCGGCGAATGGCCTCGCCAATCCCAACCCTAAGAGCCACCTCTGATTTCTTTTCGGACTAAATAAACCATTATGAACAAGAGAAAAAAAAAAAGAAACAGAAGAAAGAGAATATGATATCAAGAATTAGTTTGTACATGTTAGTGGGCGGACAATCAACCAAATCAACAGCATAAACATGCAGTCTTATTCCATCGGTACTATATAATCTGCTTGACTTCATACTACTCAATGTGGCAGAGGGGAAAAAACACAAACACGTAGAGCACCATCATTGATTCATCTTCATATGTGAGCATTAAACATAACTCCGGTCGGATGGGGAAGCTAGATATCTAAGTCATAAGAAGGGATGGACCAAACAAGGCCCCGGTATTTCCCTCTCTAGAAACCACGCATTAAAAAACAATGAAATCAGAATGGCCGTAACCATGAACAATATACTTTTGATAGCATGCCCCTCCTCATTGCGTTGCCATGTCATAAAAAAGAAGAAAAGGAAATAACCCTCGGTAACCGCCACGTTTATAAGATCAAATAAATCAAGGAAACTAGAAAAAAGACCATGCGATAACAACTCGCCCGCGAGTAAAGAGTCGGATTTAATAATCTTCGTCAGCGGGGTTGTTGCGCTTGCTCTTGGCTCGTTTCTTGTTGCCCTTGAAATGTTTCTTCGAGTTGCCGGATCGCACTTCCGAGACGTCCACTCCACGCTCCAGGGCAACCATCAGTCGCTCCTTGCGTCCTGTGAGGTGTTTGCGCATTTCCTGGCCCTGATCGGTGTACTGGTGGTTGAATGGGAGCGTAAGACGGCCGCCGGACGTCTTGGAGCCGGGCCCAAAGAAGCCCGTGTCGAGGTCGCGGGATCGGAAGCCTTGAGGAACGGGCGCGGGCGCGGCGGACGACGACCCAGCCAGGATTTCCTCCTCGTCGTCGTCGTCGCTGGTTGGCTCAATATGGCCGGTTTTGGCGAGCATCGCCTGTCGTCGGGCAGGCAGATGAGCCGCGTCGTAGAGATCCTCGTTGAACTGGCGCGTGTCGATGGAGTCTTGACCCTCAGGGGTCGGCGGCGGGTGACAGAAAAGCAGTTTGCCGTTAACGTAGTCTTTCAGTACGTATCGAGCAGCACGCGATTCGTCGGGCTGGCCTTGACCCGTCGTGGCGAAACCACGGGCTCGCGCGTAGGCGCGAAGCAGCTCGTGCGCGGTGGGAATGCCGGTGCCGCCTTCCTCGACGGGTCGGGTGTGGATCTTGATGCCGTAGACGTTCTCAACGAAGTCCTTGGGAATTCGATGGGCGACGAGTCCCGAGGGCCCAGTAAACTCACGCTGCTGGTCAATGGGAAGCACACCGTTGACCACCAGCTCTGCCTTGGTCGTTGCGAAGTTGGGGAACACCAGACCAGGGCAATCGCAGAGCATGATCTCCGGAGAGAGGTACAGAGTCTGGAAGTGCTTGGTCTTACCGGGGGTGGCGGAAACCGACACCTTCTTGGCTCCAAGCAGGGCGTTGATGGTGCTAGATTTACCAACGTTGGGGTAACCCACCAGACCGATGGTGGTCTTCTGCTTGGGCTGCGCTTCCGGGTTGTCACTGTCGGGAAGAGTGTCGGGCGTGTTGGACAGGAAGAGCTCTTCCAGCTCGTCCACGTTCAAGATTTCTGTTCTCCGCGATTGGCTAGAGCCAGGTAGTTCCAGTCCTCCATCATGCTCCTCTTGGGCGCCCTCAGCCGGCGTTTTCTCGGACTGCTCTTCCTGTATCTTCATGGATTTGGCGGCCTCCGCAAGATCCTCCGCCTCGCTCTCACTGTCCGAACCATCTCCCTGCAAGAGTCGAGCCTCGTTTAGCTCCTTGGCCAGATGGGCCGAGAAGAACCGGAAGCTGATGTTGTGCTCGTCGAAGTAGTCAGCCCAGGACTCTCGTTGCTTTTCCGTCAACATATCAGCCTTGTTGACCAACAACAGGTTCCTCTTCTTGGGGTCAATCTCCTTGACATAGTTTTCCAGATCCTCCGAGCGGAACAGCAACGGGTTTCGCGCATCGACAATCTGCACGACGAGGTCCGACCGTTCAATAACTCGCCACAGTTGACGCCAAACTTCCAGGTTACGCTCGAACGGGGTCATCAAAAGATCCTGGTTGTCCTGCAGTTCCGCCAAGCCCCGACGCCAGTTCAACAAGCTTTCTCTCTCCATGCTCTCGAGTTGGTCGCGCGTCGTCGTTTTATCCCACTTCGGCCGTCTCGGAACGGTCAGACGGTTCTTGTTCTTCTGATGCTTCTTGACGGCGCTTCGCTCCTCGGACGCGGAAAGCAGGTAGGGGTTCTTCTGGTCGCCGTGAATGATCTTGACGTTGCTCATCTTCTCCGCGGTGAAATCGGTGCCAGCCAGCTCGGCCGTACTCAAAAACTCGTCCAACGCGCCCTGTTCCGTAATACTGCGCATCTTCACCCAGGCGGCTTCCTGGGGCGCATTGGTGACGTAGGTTTCTCCATTCTGATCCTTACGGGCGATCGAGGCGTTATGCGAAGCTTTCTTCATGTTGGACTGCTTTCCTTTGCCGAATCGATCCTTCATGAGGCTGTTACCCAGCCCCACGGAGTTTTTGGATTTGGCGAGAACCATGGTGGCGGAGGGGGTGCGAGAGTGTGGTCAATCAAGCTGATAATTTGCGTCTACTGCGTAGACGAAGTCCTTCCAAACACGACGATAACCAATCAGAAGGTGAAATGGGGACAAAGGGGGAGATATATGGAATGGATGAGTTATGGAGGGAGGAAGAAAAGAGAGAAGAAAGTCGGAATTAGTAATTTTGAAGGGTTTGCGATATGCCCAATCAGGAAAACCCCGCGGCGGATAAGATAAGACGCTGACTCAGCCGCTCTGTGTTTCGTTTTCTTGCGGTCCTCCTGCGAACCGACAGGAATTCAAAGGCAAGTCGAAGCTCTCCTGATTGACTAGTGCAATAATATTCCCTGGAATTTCGTTCATTCTCAGGTTGACTGGCTGTGTAGCCCGGAAGGTCCCCAAAGCAAAAATCCGCGTTGGGCCGATAAGTACTCACGTGACTCTTGTGTCCTCCCACTTTTTTTTTTTTTTTTTTTTTAATTTCCCCTCGTCAATATCAATATCGTCGCAGCTTCTCTGGCGAATTCGAGGAACGGAAAGCAAAACACCTCTGCAGATTCGAATAGCTGCTCACTCCGCATCCGTTCAAAATGCCTCCCCGCAAGCAGTGGATGTAAGTGTCCCACCAAGCCTGAGGGGTCTTTATATACTGATGCCCAAGTGAACAGCGACAAGAAGGGCGCAACCACATATCAGCTCTTCCACCGATCTCAAAATGACCCGTTAATCCACGATCCCGAGGCCGACGACCGTGTGCTCCATGCCGTCAAGGGACCACCCCCCGGCAGCGCAGAATATTCCCGCGCGAGAAACCTGGGCGACCTAACTAGTGAATTTGGATCGGGCGCTGTGCGGAAAAACGAGGGCGAAGCTGCTAATTATGGAATTTACTACGACGACACCAAGTATGACTACATGCAGCATTTGCGCGAGCTGGGGACGGGCGGTGGAGATTCGCATTTCGTCGAGGCGAAGAGCAAGGAGAAAGGCAAGAACAAGATGAAGCTGGAGGACGCGTTGAGGGGAATGTCGATGGATGACTCCAGAAGTCAGCTCGGAGGAGGTAGCGTCTACGGATCTGAGATGCGCTCGACTGTTTCATCCTATGTCCGCAAACCGACGTACCAGGACCAGCAAAATGTACCTGACCAGATCGCGGGATTCCAGCCCAACATGGACCCCCGACTTCGAGAGACTCTGGAAGCACTTGAGGACGAGGAATTTGTCGACGACGCAGACGACGATGATCTGTTCGGTCAATTGACGTCCCATGCGGAGGAAATGGACCCTGGTGACTGGGAGGATACGCTATTCGACGAAGAAGACGATGAGGGTTGGGAGTCAGATGCCACCGAGAAGGCCCCCGTCCAAACCGATCGATCGGACACCCTCCACACAGATCTGGACTCGGATTCTCAAGATCTTCCCCCGGGTGAAATGCCCGAGCACGATGCGCCTGCTCCTGACCTGCACCCCGAAGATCAGGGTTGGATGCGCGAGTTCGCCAAGTTCAAGAAGGATGCCAAAACCAAGACTGGACCGGCCGCGCCACCTAGCATCATGCCTTCGGAGCAGCGCAGCACGCTGGCATCTACTGTTTTCACTGCCGGCGGCACGCCAATTCGTCGTAAGAAGCGCAAGGGTGCCATGACCAACCCGTCCGCTTATTCCATGTCGTCCTCGGCTCTTGCTCGGACGGAGGGACACCGACTCTTGGACGACAGATTCGAGAAGGTTGAGGCGCTCTATGCGCTGGATGAGGAGGACGAGTTCGACGATGATGCATCCATGGTTAGCGGAATGACCGGCATGACCGGCATGACCGGCGTATCAACTGCCTCGTCGCAAGCCCCGAGCCTGGTGGATGCCAACGGGACGACGGTGCCGCCTCGGAGTGGGTTCAACGATGTCATGGACGACTTCCTGGCCGGATGGGACAACAACACGAGTGCCCAGGCGAAACGCAAGGGAGTCAAGAACAAGCGAGGCAAGAACGGCAACGAAGCCATTGGAATCAGAATGCTCGACGAGGTTCGCCAGGGTTTGGGGCCGGCGCGTGTGTCTGGAAAAGTTCCCGGCCGAGCCTAAACACCATCATGCTTCAACGAATTGCAATGATACCTTTCTTTTTTGTTAATGTTCTCCGACTTTCAAGGAAAAATGTGGTCAACGGCGTCCCGGTCTTCGTTTGATTCATGACTCATGTTCTCATGCATGATAGATATACTGTCATTTTCTGCGCCGATTTCAAAAAGTCTTTTCAAGTTGTCACGCTCGGGTGCGAACTGCTGATGTAGATAGATGACCATATATTCAATTGTCCTCACATTATATATTTTTGTAAAGTTCAACCCTGAAAAGGAAAGAGAAACTTGCTCTCGGCATAACTCGTCTATATAAGTCACTGTACAGTTACTATAGAGTACACGGGTATACAGATTCTATCGAAAAAAAAAAAGGAACACGCCATACTAATCGCCATCAAAACTACTGCCGTGAAAGAAAGGCAACTATAAGGCGCCCCCCACTTTCTCGACAATCCACATCGCCAGGCGGACCTTCCAGCTGACCCGGCGTTCAACCTTCCTCAGATCATCGCGGGCAATGACCTGCGAGTCCTTCTGTAGCCTCTCGGTCTCTGCGCCCAGCTGTCGCTTCAACTCTTGATCCCCTGTAACGACTAGGGCTCCGACCTCGAGATCGAGACTATAGCTGCGCTTGGTGTAATTGCTGCTCCCCACAAAGGTCAGACTGGGATGCTCTTCCTTCGGAAGTGTGATCCATAGCCCCTTGGCGTGATAGGTCCAGCCACCCGGTTCGCCAACTGTTCCACGGCGCCATTCTTTGAGCTGGATCGAATTTGTCCTCTGCGCTTCGGCAACGCGGTCGAGGAACCGGGCCGAGAGATGGGTGTAGGCGGCAGGAAGCATGCCGGAGATGCCGGAAGAGCCGTAGAACCCGTTGGCCCAAGGGGAGGCCGTCAGAACGGTGCCGCGGGTGGTCGATGCGGTTTCGGAAGTGGATGTGCTTGCGATCAGAAGGGAAGAAAGAACAGGGTGGATGTTGAAATAGCCGGCGGTGAAAAGCCAGCGGGCCCCCTCGAAAGCGGAGGAAGTAGAAAGTAACCGCAGAATAGTGGTGACGGCGGGAAACTCGGTGGAGGTATCCGGCTTCATCAACGACGTGAATTGTGCCACAGGGTAGACGAATGTTTGGCCTGATGTCTTCTCTTGGAGGGCGGAGTTGCTGGAGGGCTGGATGAGCGGGCTCAAGACGGTTGAAGAATACGCGATGAAATCTTCGGGATTGTCTAGAGGAGAAGGGGTACCATTGGCAATGGGCCAGTCCAACAGGTAGCCGGATGAATTGTGAGGATCGGGTAAGACTTGGAAACTGAGATTGCAGACCGCATGGTGGATCCGAGCATAGTACTCTGTGAGCTCTTTGGAGCTAAAGACATGGTACCGATCCAAGCGGTTGGTAAAATAGTCACTGGACAAATTCGCTCTGTAGAATCTCATATCAGTATACAGCCCCTATAGGTTGGAGCGAATGCAAATCCATACCCCGAAAGAATAATCTCATCGTCGATACCGTAAAGTTTCATATGCTGAAGACCCCAGCCTTCGTTGATCCTACGAGGAACCCATTTTTTCCTCAATCCAGTGAGGTTTGGAGTATGAAACATGCGAATTTCCACTCGATCTGCGCCATATTCTGCGACCAGCGAAGAAAGAAGCGAGGCGCATGAGGGATTAGGCGTTTCGCGCGTGCCTCGCAAGCAGTCCGTCAGGATCGATACTTTGAGGTCGGGATTGTCACGCAGAGCCTGGTTCAAGGTCTGGATAAGGTCATATTCCGTCTTGCCTATGTACAATGTAGATAGATAGATGCGTCTCTGGGCTTTAAGTATTTTGTCCTGGAAATGAACCAATTAGTGTCCTGGCTCTCGATTCCTTTCCGTCACAGGGTACACTCACCTTGAGGGTTCTGTAGAACGAGGCCGGTGAATCCAGGACTGTGATCCTGGAAGCCGGGACCTCGAAGCAAGGAGCAACCCGATCCAGCTCCGCCGTAATAGTCCCCAGAGGCGAGGCTGTCGAAAGACCAGTGGTGCTGGGAGCAGTGTTCGCCGTGTAGGCCGAGAATTTGCGCTCACAGAGTTTCCTCCGCGCGACGGGCCTGCGCACGGAAAATCGAAAAGCCTGGCCACCAATGCGTCCGAACATCTTGAAAGCCGCCTGCCGTAGCAGCTCCGACAGTATGCAGGCCTTGCGAGGGGAGTAGCGGGGCCAATGGCAAGAGGAGATAAACTAGATGGAAGGAGATGATCGTCCAGAAGGCGGCGCGGAGAACAGCCGCTGCAAACACGGCAAACAGCCCCGGGACGCTAGACCGCATCGAGTCGCCCTCAACCTCGACTTCTTCGCATTTCCGCTTCAACGCCCGACGACTTGCTCAAGCTCACTGCTTTAAATCGCCCAAGATGTCGACCATCGTTCGGACCTTGCGGAACCTGAGAAGAATCGGCTTCAAGGTAGGTTTGGTCGAGAGCCATTGCCGTGGGACGTCGCTAACTTGCCCCCTCCATAGGAATATGGCCACCAAATGCAGGTACGCACTACCCCCGGGAGTTGACGCGAATGGGAACAACCAATTGGTTCAATTTAGCTGGATACTTACCTTGGATGTTAATTTGCTTGGACTCAAATAGTATATTGGTATGTTTCCGGGTCCGGTCTGAGTTGCTGCGGAGAACTAACTCAGTCGCGATTACAGGTGATACCAAAGCCGGTACCTTGATTGGCACCGACCGCTACGGCAACAAATACTTCGAGAACATGGAGGAGGAGCTCCCCCGTAAGTGGTGCTCAGGTTGATCGTAATGGATCATGTTGACCGCAGCTTAGTCCGAACACGATGGGTGGATTACAAGGAGAAGGAATATGACCCTTCGCAGCTCGAGCCTGGCTGGTAAGGAACACCCGGTTGCGTTCATGTTCATATTAAATTCATTCCCTCCGCTAACCACCGTTTAATTTCGGTTTAGGCATGCCTGGATCTCGTACCTGGTCGATGCTCCTCCCACTGCTGATAAGCTCATGCAGACTGGCCACCGCAACTGGGAGCTGCCTGAGCACAGGCCCAACCTGACTCTGAGCCGTGCTGCTTTCAAGACTTACTCGACGTAAGCGACCTTTCATTTTAGAATTTGCCATGGTAGCTGCTAATTGACGGATCTAGCACCCGGCCTAAGTACTCTGCTTGGGAACCCGTTGCCGCTCCTCGGTAATTCTAGCATAGCCGAGTATAGAAACTGCCTATGTTTTTCTCCTGGGTTCTTCTGTCCTTGAGTTCGTAAGGAAAGCCCCTAGTTAGATCTTTCTTTTGCTGGGATGTGTGTAAATAAATATTTCCTATTGCGAGTTTTGGTTTCATCAAGGTCGTTCACGGTCATAACTGGTTGATTTTTTCAAGTGGCCACTTAAATTTTGCTTCTATAAACAACGCACGACTTGCTCATCCAGGTATCAAATCGCTTGTAGATCAGAACAGCAAGTATTATAGCTCTTGTCAATGGTTTAAATACAGAGAGAATGTAAATCCTTATTAGAGAACATATACACCGGAACCGATGTTGGACCAGTGCCGAATCGGTCGTCGATCTTCCAACTCAATACACCACCACAGCACCTCTTTCAATTTTTCGATATGTCCCTGCGCCTCGAACGCTTTGGAAAGAGCATACCAAGCCTCGGTATTATCCCAAGAGCTTCCTTGTTTGGTCAAGACTGATAGCAAACCATACGCCCTGTCTCGGGCCGCAATACGATTGAGCAGCCTGGGTTCCTCGTCTTGAATTGCGGAGGGCAACTCGTCTTCCTTCGAATCACCAGCGTCAGTAGTCGGCGAGGAGGTTGTTTGTTCCTTGGGGTCCGGAATTTGCTTCCTCGCCGAGTTCAAGGACGGCGTGGACAAATCAGGTTGGAGCTCTGTCTCTGGAGGTTCAAGGGGCAATTTCTGATCCCAAATATCGAGCAGGAAGTTGGCCAGGGTAATGGTGGCTTTCGGATGATCGGGGTTACGTAACAAGGCGGTTTCAAGAAGGTCCATCGCGTCATGCGGGCGCGACTGGGCTTTGCATAGGAGCGCTTGTTCGGCGAGCAGGTCAGCCCAAAGCTCTTCGGAGCTCTTGGGAGAGCCCCACGCACGCTCTGTGAAAGACCTGGCTGACGATTCCTGTACTGCAGAAAGCGCTTCGAACCGCGTGACTTGCTTGGCCGCCTCATCACATGCCTCGCGTGCATCGTCAAACAAGGACGCCCGCCGATAGAGCCCTGCGATGAGAAGCCAGGTTTTAACGAGGATGCAAAGTGCATGTTTTTGTGCCTGTGCGATTGGAAATTTGGTGATTGCCCTGGTTGGCGAGTCAAATCCGTATAATGTCGGCAATCGAACATCCTGCTCGGGGGGCTGCTGAGAATGGCCTATCGGAGGAGGGTACTTCTTGTGGTCAATATTATGAGCAGCAGGGCGCAATGGGTGCTTTGAATTCTGCACGCTTTGCTCCTTGTCTGCACTCGAGACTGCAAGTCCTACCATGTCCTGGGACAATCCTCCGTCGTCAGAAGGTTGCTGTGTTCCTGGGACACTGGCGATTTCGGGTGCATTCATGTCACCGTTCACCTGGCCGGCTTGTTGGCCCGCAAGAACTTCTGACTTCCTGAGGGTACTGCTGCGCTTTCGCAGTTTCTTGGAGTCGGATCGTGCAACAGGCTGAGGGGCCTCCTGTGCCATCTGTCTGTCTTCATCCGTGACATGTATGGACGGTGCCCCATCCATGTTGATAGAGGATTCATTGTGGGCGACCGAAGTGTTTACACTGCTTGAATGGTTGTCGCTTGCGTGCTCGGTACCCACTCGAGATCCCCTGTTCCGACCAAAGATACTTCCGCGGAGGCTTTTCACAGTGCCTGCGGAACTTTTCGGCGGCGTTAGATGGTCGACCGAGGCGGTTTTCTTTTCGTCAGCTTCGAGGTTCAAGTTGCCGAAGAGAGTGGCAAAAAGGCCAAGTAGCTGGTCGCTGTGGTTGACTGCAGCTTCTGGGCCCTCGAGGAGCTCAATAAATGCAAGCTGGCTCATACGGGTCTCGACAATGCGCTCTTTCTCTCTACCCTGTAGCTGATCGATCAGGGCATGGTCCAAACCGGGAGAGCCAGGACGCTCTCTAAGATTGCTGTGTTGCTTTTGCGGTCGTCGGTCACTGTGCGCAAGAGACGTGACAGCAGATGGGAACTGCTCGAATGCAGCTTCACAGGACCGTTCGGCGATATCAAAGTCATGCTTGGCGCTCAGAAGCAATGCAAGAAGATGCCACAAGGGTACGAGATCGCGTTCTCGAGCAAAGTTACCCTGGTTGGCTCCAGGGTGAGTGTTTGATGTTAAAGCGGTCTTGACGTATTCGATTGCACCGTCCAAATCGCGATCTTCTGCTAGAAGAAGCGCAAGCGCATAAAGTGAAGAAAAGTTAGTCTCGTCCTCCAGCTCGGGAGCGATGCTTTTTTCTAGATAGTCGATAGCCTCGGCTCGTATGTCGTTCCGGTCCTCGTTTATAGGGGTCCAGTTGGCCCAGTTTGCCAGCCCAATGCCAATGCCTCTGTACGCGGTAGCAACATCACAGGGAGACACGGCTTGATATTTAGTCGAGTTCGATTCGGGGACGATAATAAGCCTTCCCTCCTCATCATCGAGGTCCTCTTGTACATGCTTTTCGACGAATTTCACTAGAAGAGAGGTTAAAGCCTTGGCTTTTTCGGCCTCCTTCGCCGAGCCAAAGCAGCAGAGCATGGTGATACCCTCAGAAACAGTTCTGAGCAAAGTTCCATCATTCTCTAGGTCGCCGTATTGCGCAGCCTTCTCCGCCCTTTCTTTGGCATTGGTGACAATCTCGATATACGAATCAAGTGCTTTTAGAGCGAGGTCAAAATCGGCCAGTGCAGAATGAACGTGGAAAAGACGACGCAGAATCAAATGTGAATGGTATGTTTTCGTAGCTGCTCGGTAAAGAATCTGTTAATCTGGGGTTAGCAAATGTGGCTTCCAATTGTGATTGCATGTGGATACGTACGTCAAGAACGTTCCGGCCAACTGCGTTTTGACCTCCTTCGCCGAGATCATCATCGGTCCACCCCGAGCCACAGAGGATTTCCCAATTTTGGATCACTTGCTCGACCCAATCCTCAACCTGAACATTCTTAGATTCTGCCGTAGGGAACTTGACTTCGCGCAAGAGATTGGTTTCACATAATGATTCCACACGACGTATCTCGCTGGAGAGCTGAGGGCGGTCCGGCCCGTTCGCCGGAGGGTAGTATTCTAGTTCGTGGACTAAAACCGCAGATAATAGGTCGTAGTAAGACTTCCAGATTGCCGACTTTGAAATAGATTCGCGATCGCCGTCAAAGTGCTGTACAGGGGATGAGACCCCCTGCTTGACGAGGGGATGAGATGACCATAGTCTGCATAGCTTGAAGGCGGTTTTCGCCGATTCACCGTCAAGAACCGGAACTTGCTTAAGTGCTTCCTGGCTAGCGAGGAATGCGCCTTCGCCTAGTAACTTTTCGGACCAGTGTAGAAACTGGGGATTATTAGAGGATGCTTCGCCATGGTTTGTTAACCAGGGGACGAGTGAATTGAAAGTGTCGATAGCCTCGGTGGCACTAGAAATCATGTGCTGTGAAGCGCCTACCAGAATTGGGTCAGTATGGACTGATTTATCGTTCGAAAACCACCGAATACATACCTTTGAGATAGCAGCTTTTGACAATGCACACTTCGGTCCACGGAGAGATGTGTTCTCCGGTCGTGAGGTCGTCTATGGTCTCCCCGAAGTCTCTGGGTAGACGAGCCACCGCTAATCCGGGTTCATTAAGTGTCCAGTGCACCCATCCTAGACAGACCTGCGCTTGGAAGGTGTCTTCTTTTGACTCGCTTCCCCTCTCAACCGTAGATAGAAGGGACGGGATCAGTTCGGGCAAGCTGGAGGACGACGAAGGTCGAGCAGTTGGCGGTCCTTTTTGAGACTCGGCAGCGATCTGGTACTCAGCCGAAGCTACTTCCAATAGGCCTGAACGAGAAACCGGTCTTAGTTCATGCCCGAGGGGTCAATCATCGCAAGTCGGGGAGGCAGGAAGTTACATGACTTCTGAGGCGCATGCTTGGTCACCTTTCGAATGAGCTCGGGGAGTTCATCCCATCTATTCTGACAGCGCGCAGTGTCCAGGGCCGCGACGTAGCGGTACCCCTTATCGGATTCTCGACCCTATAGCCGAGAAAAAAGGATGTCAATGGGTTGGGAAGATGTGCCAGGGGGGGAAGAGGGGAAGAAGTTAGGCAGCGGTAGGATTGGCAGCTAGGATGTTGTAGGTAGGTAGATACTTACGGCCATGATTGAGGGGGGTCAGAGATGAAAGAAAGAAGATTGAAACAGGGGGGATGGCGATGGGAAAAGCATCCATAGCACATGCCCACCCCGAGGCTCCGACACAGGAACTAAAATATGGGGACGAATTAATGAGTGAAGGTTAACTGGCAGAAAGTGACGGCGGTGATCTTCGCCAGGGGCGGCGGTATCGTTACGCGGTACCGTACCGTACCGAGGCTTCATGTGGCCCGAGCGCCGGGTTTTTCTGCCGCCAAAAAAATTAATTCCATGCGACGGTTTTGATTGCATCTCGCTGTCTCCCCAAGTTGAACTGCCGTCTGTTCCGTTCAAGATGGCTTCCTTGTCCATGTCGCTCCATGCCGTCAACCATCGGTTGACCAACATTCCGGTCAAACAGCTCCCCCCCATCGCATCATGCCTGGCGACATCCTTGAGCAATTGCGGGGAGCTGCTCTCCTCCCCTCAGCAGCAAAAGTCGGCCAAGTCCGACTCGGATGATGCCGTGCAGGTGCACCGATTGATGACCCGATTGACGAGCTTGCTGCAAGATCGAACTCCGGAAGGCCGATGGACTGCTGTGGTGCTCGTGAAAGCCGTGGTGGAGGCGGGTCAATGGGAAGTTTTGCGAGGATGCGAGCCGTTCGTTCGCGGTCTGATGACCATTTTGACGGTATGGATTCAATCAATGGCTATCTGAGTTTCGGATATGCCTCGCAAATAGTTTGATCGCTGACCAATTGCTTGAGCAGAAAGCCGATCCTACTTCTACCAAGAAAATGGCCATCATCACCTTGACCAGAATTTTCCACCTGACCTACCAGTATCCTACCCTCGTGCGCGAAATCACTACACCCTCTCTACCAGGGTTCATCACCTCGGCCCTGAACCTGATCTCCGTCAAACCCTCCTCCGAACCGATTAGAACGCTCAAGCCCAATGCAGCGCCCTTCTTGGAAATCGTTCTACATGCGTTTGGAGAGCTGATCGGCCGGCATCCCACCATCTTCCGTCCGTTCTCGGCGCAAATCCACAGTCTCCTGCAGATTATCATTGGATCAACCTCACCTAGGTTCCCCGAGCCAGTGGTGGAGGTTGCCGAGCGATTGTTTGTCTTGCTTCACAACTGTGCCCCCAAGAATACGTCGGGAGAAGAATGGAAGAATGCATGCCAGATGACACTTGCTTCTCTCCATGGGACTGCGCACTACGTTTTCCGAGCCGTGGTCGAACAATGGGAATCCACTGACCCATCGTTGCGGATGAATGTGGGACCGCAAGATTACAGTCAAGAGGCGCGCGATCTGGGGCCAGACCCGTTGGGACTTCCGAGCTGGCAGGGAATCGGGTCCGGCGTGGATAGACTTGTTGTGCTGCTACGACTGTTGTCGGCTTTCCTGAAAACCCCATCCGCCTCGACCGTATCCATTCCCATCGGATCTATCCTGGATTTGACTTCGCGACTGACTTCGGTGACGGTCTCAGCAGATGGGGCCAAGCTCCAGACTAACGCTCAGATTGGTCGCGCAGAAAGAGAAAGTCTATTTGCGGAGCTCCCTCGCATCCATACTGCATGCTTGAAGCTGCTTCTTACTTTTGTAGAGAAGCTGGAAACCGGTGCTGTTCCGGTAGGACAAACGATTCTCGAACAGTCCCTTTGGGTCTTCCGCGCGGAAAAGTCCAGCCGGGAGGTTCGAACTGCTACATATGATCTGGTTCGCGCCTTGTTTACGCAAATGGGGCCATCATTGACGAAGCAAAGCGTCTCGTCTCTGACTAACCTAGTCCAAACATGCTGCTACGACCTCTTACCCCCTCCTGGCGATGAAAGCGCATCGGCGAAACTCTCGACCGATCCGAAGAGCAAAACCAAGTCGAACCAAGCGACGACAAATGCCGATTCTTTCTTGAATCCTGGCCTAAAATCGGGTCGTCAACTGAGTCCGTCGTCGTCATTCCCTGATCTCAAACGAGCTGCATCGGCACTTATTCCCGCTATGCTCATCAATGTACCCACTGAATTCCTGGCTCCATCCTTGCGGGCTGAAATCGATCGGACGATAATCATGACGTCCGATAAGAACGCGATGTTTGCCAGTGTTCTCAATCCCGTCCCACCCATGAAGGGCCGTGGAATGGGTGCCAGCATCATTCCATTCTTGGCTCGCGGCTATGCCGCAGAAATGGAGGTAGAGGGACTCATCAGGCCTCGAATGCCCGTGCTAACAAATGCATCCTCTGCTCTTGGCGGGTACGCTTACATTGAGGATGAGGATGAGGATGAAGAGGATGGAACTGTTCCGGCATCGGTGTCTCACGTAACACCTGCTAATACTGGGTTTCTGAAACAATCTGCCACTCCAGTCCTGCAGAATGATTTGATGGACATTCAAGAGTCGCAGCCCACCGTACCATCTATCAACAAGCGAAGCCACGGCGAAGATCTATCTCGATCTCTTGCTACCCCATCTAGCGCCGCCCAGACGGGACAAGCAAACGGACAGAGCAAGAGACCCCGGGTTGAAAATGAAGTTGTCGCCGCTCCAAGCCAGCCTTCCGTGGACAGGGCATCGCCTGACACATTCACGGGCACCGCAGCTATCCCTGTTCCTACTTCCTCGGCTACGTCTACTCATGCGCCACCCGCGCAAACCACCAGCGTCAACACATCGACTACAGCGACCGTTGGAGGTCCATTGTCAGGTACGGCCGTATCACGGCCCATGGCTTCATCGGCAAAGGCTGAGACCGCAGCGACAGAGGCGGGAGATGACGAGAGCGACGATGAGCTGCCAACGCTCAACATGGATCCGGATACGGATGACGAGGACGAGGAGGATGTCACGATGGGCGAGTCATAAACTGTCTTTGCTGTATGATAATGTAATACCGAGCTCAAATTGTGGATAGATCCACGCTACTAATGCTTCTATATGTAATCTCTATGTAGTCTCTATGTGAAGAATGTAGACGAAAACCCGAAACCAGTGGATCTAATCATCCAGATGCACCAACATACCTGCGCCGGGGCAAATAACCACAATGTTCATCTCTTTCCAAATGTACAGAAACCAAATGCATCACATGAAGCGCAGTCCTCGTCCCCAAAAAGTGCCGTCATCCCACCACTGGAACCACGGCTCGCTCCAACACCACCAGCCCTCACCCTCAACTCCAAGTCCGAATCCTAACCCGCGCAACGGACTAGTTGGGAGCGGTTCTGTCAACCAGAGTCCTCCCTTCGAGAAATCATCCGCAATATAGCCCCCTGAAAATATGAGCCACCCGATCGCGAACGTTGCATTTGCCGTCCGACGAAGCCAACGAGGAGCCGAGTTGGTTGTGAAAAGAGCCGGGATCAGATTCTTAGATGCTAAGTCCTGGATCATGACACCTGCTCCCTGCAAAAGGAAGAAGATGAATGTGCCGGAAATTGGTCTTGTGTCTCCGAACTGGGTGTAACTCCCGCTGGCATGTATAAATCCACTCAGACTAAAGACGATCAGGGTCAGAAGGTATCGACGGAAACCGGTATGGGTGGCTAGTCGGCGTGGGAACCATGATATTAGCCACTGAGCGGTTGAGAGAAACCCGAATCGAAATAGTTGGTGCCACCATCGACTCCAGCACCCGGCGAGGCCATGGTCTAGGACTGATGCTATAAAAGGACCGAAGGATTCCGGATAAAGCCAAGGAGCATCCAACGGGACTGCCGTTAACGCGCGGGAGGCATTGGGGAATGCGCGGGAGAGACCCAAGAAGAAGAGAGGGTTTAGAGCCGTGATACAGACAAGGGCCACGTGAATCCCAATGCCAGAAAGAGCGAGTCGATACACGCGGAACACGGCAGGAATGGGGGGTAAGATATAGCTGATGGGAGCAGGCGGCGGTGAGAACGACAGAGGAATGATGCCCCAGAAGTACGGGTCGCGCATCATGAGGACTTTGATCACATCCAGAGCCAAGTACGCTTTAAAGAACTCAAAGACCACCGCACGGATGCGGGTCTTACCATCTTGATATGCAGGCAATTTCTTGCACTGTTCTCGGCTTCGCGATCGTCGATGTTTCGGGTCGAGCTGGGTCCTTATCGAGGCAGGCAAAGGACCAACGCTTGAAATGCGCCAATTCCACTCGGGACCTCGCAGGTTGAGTAGAAGACCCAGAACCCAGTTCAGACGATGCGACCATGAGCCAGGGTATGTCTGCCATACGAGTGGCTCGGGATACTCCTCGTTCGGGGGTCCTCCGCTTGCCACGGCATGCCGAACGCCGTCGGCGTGCCTTGAGCGCGTCTCGGCTGACTCCCTTCGATCGTCTTCCCTCTCCAGCGGCCTGCGCTCGATGCGACGAAAGTCGCGTTGGGCATCATGAAAGACTAGCAGAGTCATCACCCAAATCGACCACCAGGCGGCGATCAGCCCTACAATGTATCCATTGCCACCTAGCAGAATCCGTCGAGACTGCAAAGCCTCGACCGAGAAGCCGAGAATCAAAACGAGGATGAATGGACGTAGGTAGCGAGCTGGGGTGCGATGGGAGATTAGAAGTGCGGAGGCCGGAAGCACCAGAAAGAAAGCAATCAAATGCCACAATAGAACGGGCTTCGGGTGTCCCTGGTGGATGAGCGACTCGATCTGAGCATGGCGGCTGCGCAGGATGTGAAGATACGACGGAGGAAGTGGATCGGCCATAGGAGGAATGAAGGAAGGGGTGGTCTGGTCAGTTCTATCGAGATTGAAACATTGGTGAAATCTCGGCTGCCGATCCGAATTCCAACAAGGGATGCATCCAAACGCGGATTATTTGTTGGACACGACGATTGAATTGACGTCAATTCACGCAGCAATAGTTACATGCATAGATTAGTAAGAGACTGATATGCTGTTATGTCGGTGAACCCGTTCCGCTCTCTTTCTCTTCTTGTTCTCTTTCACTTACACACTCTCTCTTGTCCAGTCTCATCAACTCATACCCCATCTTCAACCAGTGTGACATGGCATCTGTAGTGTGACATGCTGGACCGTGAATCACAATGGTCTCTATGAACGATTGTCATTCTTAATGTCGGCCTCAGTATTAATATCCAACAGCCATCCGCAGTCAGCACTAGCGTCGCACCACAGATGTCACTCCTGAGTATCGTCAACATCTCTTACTACTGCGAGATGCTGGCAATTCCCTAATCGACTTATCTGCGATCAAAGACTCATACCCTGGCGATCGCAGTCCCACCGGAATGATTTCTCCAAATCTCCAGCGGGGAAGCCCCGCCGTCTTTGCCTTTCTCCTCTCGACAAGTCGACACTAGCAAGGCTGCAATACGAATCAACCGACTAACTGGCCAAGTCTCTCGCCAATCCCTCGACAGATTCAGCTAGACAGTAAAAATGAACCCTGCAATCGGCATCTTTCATCCGATCCTTGCGGATTCGAACCAATCGTCTCTTCTTTTCGTTGGGATTTATGCTATGAAGGCTTGTGTCCGAATTGGCGGCACAATTAGTTGCCCCCGTCTGCGGCCATTGCTATGACTGTCTGTGCCCAGATCTCCGTTCGATCATGCCGTCAAGAGCAAGGCTCTCTTATCAGGTCATAGGCCGTATGTTCTGGCTTACGGAGCGTTCCTTTTCCGTTTACCAATTACTCGAGAGCTCAAGGGGAGCGCTGGTCACTTCCTCTCCCCTCATTTATTCTGCGACTTTCTAATCTCACTACCGCGCAGAGTAGTTGAATTGCTCTCAAAACACCCCGAAAGGTTCCTCCGCTAACCGCGCGCAAAGCAGAAAAGCAACCACAGCTTACGGCCATAAGGAAACGGAACAATAGACATATATCAAATCCTCTCGTGTTTTGCAATTGACCTCCGCCTCCAACCGCATGGGCTCATCTGTGGCGGACGAGGCTGTCAAGCCCACCCGCATTCCCCATTGGCGCCTCATCACCGACCAAGGCGTTCTCACCCGAGAGATATGCGACTATCCATACCCTGGTTCCGGAACCGAGGATGACCCATATATCGTCTCCTGGATCCCAGATGATCCTAGAAACCCTATGAATGCGCCCGCGAAGAAGAAATGGTTCTACACAATGTCCATGGCATTTGCAACGCTGGCGGTATCATGCGTCTCCTCCGCCTACACAGGCGGCATCGAGCAGATCATAGAGGATTTTGGGGTCGGCACGACGGTGGCCACGCTGGGAGTGTCACTGTTTGTAGCAGGCTTCGCTATCGGGCCACTCTTTTGGGCGCCGATGAGTGAGCTTTGGGGTCGACAGTACCTGTTTGCAGCTAGCTATTGCGGTTTAACAGTGTTCAATGCTGCCACCGCCGGGTCCAAGAATATCGAGTCCCTGGTTATATTCCGCTTCTTTGCCGGTGCCTTTGGGTCATCGCCGCTCACTAATGCCGGCGGCGTGATAGCGGACCTATTCCCTGCCACTCATCGTGGTTTGGCCATGAGCATCTTTGCCTCGGCCCCGTTTCTGGGACCCGTCTTGGGTCCGATTATTGGTGGCTTCCTAGGAATGAACTCTGGATGGGAGTGGGTCATGGGATTTCTGGCCATTTTCTCCGGCGTTCTATGGATCTTTTGCTGTTTGTGTGTTCCAGAAACATACGCCCCCGTTCTCCTCCAACGGCGCGCAGAAAGGCTTTCCAAGGTGAAAGGCAAGGTATACAAAAGCAAGATTGAAGCAGAACAAGGCAAAAAGACTGCTACTCAGGCTTTCAAGACCGCGCTATCCCGTCCCTGGCTTCTCCTCTTCCGAGAACCAATAGTCATTCTGCTTTCCATATATATGGTTGGTACAATCTCGAAATGCTTTCCTGGTAAATTGTTCTTCCGATTTTAACGTGTTGGTAGGCAATTATCTACGGAACCTTGTTCATGATGTTTGCAGCTTTCCCAATTGTTTACAAGCAACAGCGGGGCTGGAACCAAGGTGTCTCAGGTCTAGCATTCCTCGGAATCATGGTAGGTATGATAGTCGCCATGATCTATAATATCTATGACAACAAACGTTACATCAAGATTGCCGCGGCTAATCACGGGTTTGCGCCGCCCGAGTCACGTCTCACCCCATGCATGATGGCAGCCGTTGCCATACCGATCGGTCTGTTTTGGTTTGCCTGGTCCAATGGTCCGTCGGTTCATTGGATGGCTAGTATTGCTGCCGGGGCTCCGTTTGGGTTTGGCATGGTCCTGGTCTTTCTGAGCCTGATGAACTATCTAATTGATGCCTATACTATTTTTGCCGCCTCAGTGCTGGCGGCCAGTGCGGTCTTGCGCTCCCTTTTCGCCGCAGCGTTTCCTCTTTTCACCAGCTATATGTATAGGAACCTGGGGGTCCACTGGGCATCATCAATCCCTGCGTTCCTGGCCGTCCTGTGCGCGCCATTCCCGTTTCTATTTTACAAATATGGCCCGGCCATTAGGACGCGATGCAAATATGCCGCCGAATCCGATACTTTCATGAAGAAGCTAATGGAGGTGGCAACGAAACCTCCCCCAACCGGGCCAGAGAAAGAAACTTCACCTACTGCCGTCGTGGACGAAGTGCCTTCGGGTCATACTTCGATGACCCCAGGATCAGCCCAGGATTTGGGAGGGAATGATCATGCCTCATCAGGTTCGCGTTCGAGTCTTGACCGCATACGCTCAAAAGTATCGATGAAGCCACAGCATACCGATGCTCCAGACCCCGAGATTTTGTACGATGCCAACCCATATGATATTGATCGGGTGAATACCCGCGAATCTTTCAAGAATTAGTATGGAGGCGTCTGAGACTCAAAACCAGGGCATTTGGGGAAGGGGAATATCCTCTCTTGGCAGAAATTAAAAGTGTATATCTGCATATTCAACATAGATAGTCCTCGTAATACCTTTGGTCATGGAACATAACAATCTTTTTAACGATTTGTTTGGCAGCTGTGATGGATAACGTCATATTTATTTGCTCCGAGATCAGTCACGGGTGGGTCACGTGGAAGCGTGATCTAGCGCGTTGCATTAGTCCCGATGGGGAATAGCGCCATCCGTCAATCATACTCCCGTCATTTCCATGCCGTTACAGTGCGATGTGATCTCTCCCAAAGTCTTCTCTTTCTCCCCATCCGTTCGTTTCCTGTCACTCTCTTCTCATCTTGTCATCTCCAACATGGGCCGACCCCCAGCAAAGCGCAACATAAACCATGTTGATCTCACTTTGAGTGATGATGAGGGTTCCACCCCTGGACGCACTCCCAAGTACCCACGAGCGGACAGCGGGCAGCGACTGGGGCAAAGCACAACCTTTGTGCCCCTGAGTCAATCATCGCAAAACTATGCGGCAGACGATGAAGATGACGAGAATGCCGCAGACCTGATAATGGGAACTCAAGGAGCCGATGACCCGATATCTAACAACTCTATCCTGTACGGGGAGCTGCCTTCGAAAATCGTCGGCGTTCGTTTTTACAATGGATATGCTACCATCGGCGAGCATGTCGTCTTGAAACGGGAGCCGACGAACGCGTATGACCGGAACGCTATCCAAGTCCTGAATGTCATGGGGGCGCAGATCGGTCACATTCCTCGGAACATGGCGTCCAAGCTGGCGGGATACATGGTAGGCTTTACTCTCAAAGCTCTTGCCATCTGTGGTGCCATTGTTTGAACGTCATTAATAGCTTCCAAACAGGATTCCAAATCTTTGATCATTGAGGGCTCCCTAACAGGAACCATTGGCGCTTACGATTGTCCCATTGCTCTGCGACTTTTCGGTCCCAGCGATCCACAGAGAAGACAAGAGCTCAAGCAGAGAATGGAGGCAGATAGATTACCCTTGGGGGGCTTCAAAAAAAGGGAGCGTGATGAGCTTCGGTGGCAAAAGGAGCGCGAGCGCCAAAAGGGGCGTGAACAGATGCAAAAGGAAATATACGCCAACCTCTTCGTCGGGGAGGGTCTTCAGGAAAGAGAGAGCCTTGAGGACATTATTGGCCAAAGTAGCACTTTCAATCCTCGTGATATTGGTAAAGTGACTGAAAGCTTTGGCATGAATGAATCCGACTTGGCAAACATGCCCATGGTAGATACTCCTGCGGCCCTTTCCACAGAGCTACTCCCTTATCAGCGTCAGGGATTGGCATGGATGATTAGCAAAGAAAACCCTAGCTTGCCCGGTCCTGGATCAGAGGATGTGGTACAGTTGTGGAAGAGGAAAGGCCCTCGTTACACTAATATTGCCACCAACTTTTCCACATCCAACGAGCCCCCTCTTGCTAGTGGTGGCATTTTGGCGGATGATATGGGTCTTGGGAAGACAATTCAGATCATCTCCTTGATTCTGGCAAATTCTCAGCCTAGGACCGCGGGTGGTTCAAAAAGCACTCTAATTGTAGCTCCTGTCGGAGTGATGAGCAATTGGAAAAACCAGATCCAGGAACATACCCGCAGCGAGGAAGCTCCGCGTGTGCATGTGTACCATGGAGCAGGAAAGAAAGAGGCGAAGAATCTTGACCAGTACGACGTGGTTGTCACCAGCTATGGTGCTCTTGCGAAGGAGTATAATCCTCAGGCGAAGACGCCTCCTAAGCAGGGCATTTTCTCTGTCCACTGGCGTCGAATTGTTCTCGACGAGGGCCACACAGTGCGCAACCCAAGGTCCAAAGGTGCTCTGGCTGCATGTAACTTGCGGGCCGATTCCCGCTGGTCTTTAACCGGAACCCCCATTGTCAATAGTCTCAAGGACCTCTTTTCTCAAGTCCGCTTTTTGGGGCTTACCGGTGGTCTCGAGGACATGGCAGTCTTCAATAGCGTTCTGATTCGGCCCCTCATGTCCGACGATCCCAACGCTCGCTTGTTACTCCAGACACTGATGTGCACCATTTGCTTACGCCGCAGAAAGGATATGGACTTTGTGAATTTGCGCTTGCCGCCTCTCACGTCTCGTGTCCTTCGGGTAAAATTCCACCCGCATGAAGAGGAGAAATACAACATGTTCCAGTACGTACAATTACTTGCAACAATTGTGCCCGGATGCTAACCATCGGGATAGAGCCGAGGCAAAGGGTATGCTTCTGGATATCAAGTCGAAAGAAAAGACCGGCACCACATACTCCAACCTTCTCGAGGTTATCCTGCGGCTTCGACAAGTGTGCAACCACTGGGCACTCTGCAAAAAGCGCCTTGAGGGCATTACTGCACTGCTGGAAAAGGAGAAAGTGGTACCGCTTACCCCGGAAAATATCAAGGCTCTCCAGGACATGCTGCAAATCAGAATTGAGAGTCAGGAAACCTGTCCGGTCTGCCTGGACACACTCGCGGAACCGGTGATCACCGCTTGCGGCCATTCATTTGATCGGGAGTGTATTGAGCAAGTAATCGATAGACAGCACAAGTGTCCTATGTGTCGAGCCGATATCGAGAACACAGCCACCTTAGTGTCTCCTGCCGCCGAAATGGGTGAGAACACCGACAGTGTTTCTGCAGACCCCGACGACCCAAGCAGCAAAATTGAAGCTCTTGTCAAGATCTTGACAGCCCAAGGGCAGGCCGCCGATACCAAGACCGTGGTATTCAGTCAGTGGACATCGTTCCTCGATCTCGTCCAGCCTCACTTGGAGCGCCACGGTATCGGCTTCGCTCGCATCGACGGTAGAATGAACTCAGTAAGCCGTGACAACTCGACGTACCGCTTTTCTCGCGACCCCAGCTGCAAAGTTCTCCTCGCCAGTCTCAGTGTCTGCAGCGTGGGCCTGAACCTGGTCGCCGCCAACCAAGCCATTCTTGCCGACAGCTGGTGGGCCCCAGCCATTGAAGACCAAGCCGTCGACCGAGTGTACCGTCTCGGACAGATGCGCGAAACGACCGTCTGGCGCCTCGTGATGGAAAACAGTATCGAGGACCGGGTCCTCGCGATTCAGGAGACGAAGCGCAAGCTGATGCTGGAGGCATTCCGCGAGACCGCGACCAAAAAGAAGACCGATGAGAGAGCCACTCGTGTTGCTGATCTCGAGAAGCTCCTCACTTGATTTACAGCCCAGACTGCTTTGAGCTACGATTTCGCGTCAATTCCAGCACCTTTCATCTATCTCTCAGCGATTAAGCCGTTCCTTCTTGTAAAACGATCTCGGTGTGGTAATTGATTGATCGGTGTATTTTCAAGGTCTTCTCATCTTTCGAGATAGGTGCTACGGATGTTCTTTCTAGAACTTTTACCTGTGTTAGTTAAGATAGTAATTCTGCTGGTCAGAATGCCCATTTCTCGGGAATTTAAGCTCTTGTCTGTTGTTTTCTTCTCTTAAACGACGAATCAGGATAGATGAAGTAGACTCTTGTTGATTCAGAATCTGATTTCGCTTCTCATTATGCATTCATGATCATCATTAAGTAAGGCTATGCATGTATGCACGTATGTACATGCAGATTTACCACGCAATTTGAAATGCTTAGGTATTAGAGATAAAAGAAACAGGACAAAAAGAAGACCCCGCCGAAACGATAAAGCCAAGCGAAAGAAAACGGGAGGATGCTCGAAAGTTGTGCTTTCCCCCAACCCAAAGTGAATTTTGAAAGAAGAGAAACGAGCCCGCTCGATGTAAACAGAAGAAAATATGAATAACGATCCGGGCCATTTAGTAGAGTCGAAATTGAGGGGCAAGGATAATATCATTTCTTTTGTTCTATGAAATCATATCCGGAGCCAAAGGAGGAGGGCCGTCATTGTGTGCATTGGAAGGGACCACCGGTGCAGGGGCCAGGAAGTATGGCTGCTGCTGCTGCTGCTGCTGTGGTTGAAAAGGAACAAAATTGGAGAACTGCATGTGGGAAACGGGCGCGGACGGTGCCCAGGACTGTGTTGAGGGCGGGATGTTAGATGCGTAAGGATTCACAGCAGGAAGCTGAGAAGTTCCAGGTGCATTTGGTCTGGCTGCAGCCAGTAGTAGCCTTTGCCTTTCCCCCAATAGCCTCTGGTATGCGGCGGGATCGGTACGTAGGAGATTCAAGTCACTGGTTTCTTGTTGCACATTTAGTTCCTCTTCTGTGGACAATTTGTCATTGTCATCACGCTCGAGTGTTTTTGTGAGGCTGATTTTGCGGATCGGATAGTTGTCTTTATCGCTGAGGATTTTGTCCAGAACCTGAGGGTCTTTTCCGAGGAACTCATCGGTGTCAGTCTGAGGAACTGCCTTGGCTGGGAAAAGATAATTTTTCAAGGGCTTGGTCGCTGCGCGAATCGGGTTTTTCTTGTCAACCACTCGGAACGCAAGCTGCGTCTTGAATGTTGCCCTGTTGTATATCATTTCCTCAAAAGTGCCACCGGCGATGAACCGGTAAACAAAGACCGGTTTCTTCTGGCCAAGCCGATAGACACGACCGACTGCCTGCTGCTCCCACATCGGGCTAAACCCGAAATCAAATATCACAACGCGGTTTGCGCCGGGAATATTGAGACCTAAGCCTCCAGCGCGCGTTGAGATCAAGTAGACATTTTCTGAACCGTGGTTGAATTGTTTGGTTGCGGCCTGGCGGCTATGAGAAGGCGTGTGTCCATCTAGGCGGAGGTATTTTTGACTGGTCATCTTCATGACATGCTCGATGTAGTCAAGCGTTCGTAGGCTGTGGGAGAAAATGAGTAACTTGTCGCCAGCCTTTATTGACTCGGTAATAATCCTGTTCAAGATCTCTGCCCGGTATGATAACTCCAGGGCTTTGATGTCAGAAACAGTCGAAAAAAGACTCTCCTCTTGGGATATCAGTACATCCGAGTCAGGGAGGGGGGCTTCAGGGATTTGTTCCTCTTCCGGAAGCTCTTCAGCCTCATCCGATTTCTTGTCTGGCTTTTGCGCATCACTGGCCCGACTCAGTAGCTTGTCTCTAAAGCATGCCGGGTGGTTGCAGCACAGACTCAAGACCCCAAGCCAAGACCAAAGCCTCGTGCTATTAATGCGCTCGTCGCCTTTTCCTTGAACAGCGTTCTCAACATACAAATCATATGCTGCCTTCTGAAGCGGGGTCAAAGGAATGGTAAGGACAAATTCGGTCTTCGGTGGCAGACTACCCTCGAGGACAGTAATATCCGCGCGATTGAGTTTGGGTTCAAGATTGTTGTTGAGGGCCTTGAGCTTGACGAGGGACTTTCGCCGCTCTGACCGAGTGCTGTCTGCATATAGGCCCTCTTCTATTGGCTCCACAAAATTTGCCTTGAACTCCAGGAAGCCGCCTAGATAGCCCTCTGCGATCCAATTGACCATGTTATAATAGTCAACCAAATTGTTGGCCAAAGGAGAGCCAGTCAGTGCGATGCGTCTTTTGGTGCGGAATTGCATAGTGGCTTGGGAGACTGCAGAAGTCCGGTTTTTCATCATATGAGCTTCATCGGCAACAACAATGTCGGGGCCTTCCAAGAGCATTGTCTGTACCCTTTGGTGATGCTCATCAGATAGAGGAGGCTTGTCCCCTCTGCCGGTCTTTTTGTTCACTATCCAAGCCCGGAAGATGTGATAACTCAATATAAGAACTCCTCCCTCAGCATCCCACTCGGCCAAAGTCTGCAATCTCTCATGAGGTGGGCTCGAACTTGTGATCTTTCTCAAGGGACCGATAGAGGAATTTGGAGGGCTCCACATGATGAACTCCTCATACCAGTTTTCCACCAGTGAGGCGGGGGAAACAACAAGAGTTTTTGACTCTTTGAAACAAGAAGGAACTTGTTGACTGATGTTAGGGTCATTCGAGGAGGCCGTGGCGGAAATGGTGGCCAGAAGAGACACACTGTGTGTAGTTTAGCAACCGGAATTAAGAAATCCACGAGGCCTACTTACACCTGCATTGTTTTACCCAGGCCCATAGTGTGTGCCAGGAGACAGCCTTGCTCATTCTCATCCTCCAGGAGCTCTCGCCACATGAACTGAATACCACTCAGCTGGTGAGGCATGACACGCTTGCCAATGTACGGATCCAGGTAGATAATTGGATCTTTAAAACTGACGGCTTGGTGTGTTGGGTCGTTGTTGCTCTTGCCAATGCCCATGCTTTCCATTTTCTGCTCGGCCCTCTTTCTTTGCTCCTCATTTTGCCTAACACGCACATGGGCGCTTTGCTGGTTCATTTTGACGGCCTGGCTTTCCTTGATCTCTCTTTTTCTCTTCTTGTGTGGAGTCTCCGAATGGTTTGAAGGTGGTTCCTTCAAAGGACCGAGAATATTCTCCCCTTGGCGATAAAATACAGCAAGATGTCCGCAAAGCAACGCGAAAAAGTCTGAAAACCCATCCTCAAGATCTTCTTGCGCGATTCGTACGAGACTTTTTGGAATTCCTTTCATCTGAAGATGGGTACAGTTAACCCAAGATATGTAAAGCGACGCAATGCGCATAATGATCTTGCTTTCGGATTTTTCCATATTATCCATGAACTTTTGGCCCTTCTGAAGCCTTTTCAGGGCGGCCGTTATGTGCTCTCTCAAAGGTTGCATGCCGTATTGGGGGACCTTCAAAGCCAGTTTCTTTCTCTCCCCGTCAGTCAAACCAGCCAATAATTTCATTAGTAGTCTGCGCCGGTCTTTACGTTCTTGAAGCAGGTCCCACGACAACAGCTGGATCCCTGATATATCATCAAACGAAGGCAAAGCCGGTGACGCTCGATTCTTGAGGTCTCTGGGCGGGGGGTTTGTCTTGACAGGTATCTCAACTCTCAGAGCTGGGCCGAGTTGAGGCTCAGGGGACATCGAGGGGCTCATTCTGTTTTCAACGAAAGGGTCCTCAAGGGATTGTGCCACCACTGATTGAACGGGGTTCAAGGGAGGTGTCTCAATATTAAGTTCATCGGAAGGAGGAGAGTCCGCTGTCAAATCAATGTACGAAGCCATTGCATCGTGTTTGGGGCTGGGCGAGGGAGAACTAGATTCTCGAAAAGGAAGCCTTCTAGATTTCTTTGAGTTCCGGCGAATCCCTGAAGGGCTAATGATGTCGTCGTCGCTATCAGACGTTGAGGGCGTCGTCATTGGAACGTCGTCTCCATGAAGAGTCTCCTCGTTCACGACAGACGTATCATCAATGAAATCGTACGGATCGTCGTCTGGCCAGTAATCTGACTCAGAATGAAGCGATTCCTCATCCTCAAGATTTCGTCGCGCTTTGGGAGCATATGAGCGCCGAGGAGGTGTCAACGCTTTGGGGGGACGGGATTCCCGTTCAAGAGTCGAGATGCGCCATTTATTCTTTTCAATGTCCATCACTGTTTGTTCCATGCTTTGGCATAGGGTTTGTAGCTCGACCCGTGATGAAAAAGTGCTATCACAGATTCGCTCCTGCAGCTTCCCCAAGCGCTTTTCCAAATTGGTGATCTCCTGATGTAGAGCCTTGATCATCTGGTTTGTGCGTTTGCTTCTTTTTGCTGTAAGCCAGAGCCTCTGCGCCTTGGCTTCTTCTTTCTTCTGACCATCTTGACACCACTTGGCTTTATAGTCAGAAATGCAATCCGCAATGATACATTTGACCTCGGCCGGCGTCAGTCGATGTGGTACTGCTTCTCGCTGCTCGTCTTGGATTTCTTGCCAGGTTTGTTCATCGAATTCACCTTCCGACCCTGAGTCACCATACTCAGGGTAAATGTCCTGATCATCATCTTGAGGTGGGTATCTCTGGAGGAGATCTGCGTACGGATCGTGACTTTTCACAGTCTCCGTGGACCCATTCAGAAGCCTAGACGGCAAGGTATTGAACTGAGGCCAGTTACTCAACTGTTCCGTGCTCACTTCAACATCTCCACCTTTAGAGGTATACAAGGTAAAAAGCTTTGGGTTGTTTGCATGGACCATCTTGCTGCTGTAAGGTATCACAGCCCATTGCGCGGAGTCCTTGCCACTTTTATCAGTGGGGAGCTTGATTGGTTGTTGTTTATAGAAATAGCTTAAGCTTTTGTTCACAAAACGACGCTGCGCAGGTGGTAACTCCGGGCCTGTAATCACGAAAGAACTGTCAATTTCATCCAAATCAGGCGAGTAGAATACGTCAGCATGTGTGATGCGCTCTGGTCCCATGTACCACACTTTGCCTTTCTGGGCATCTGCGACTCCGGGAGTCTCCTTGTTATTCTTAACCTCAGCCGTGGATTTCAAGTCAAGCCTTCGCCGCTTTTTTCCTGAGCTATCGATGATGACGTGCTCTTGTGGCCGAGCGTGCAAGCTGAGACTGGAGGCCTCTCCGCTTTGGTCCAAGTCCATGTCCTGCTCAACGGCAGTAGTCTGGCGCGGTTCCGGCACGGTATCAGACGTGGGTCCAGGCCGCATAGCGAATTGGTTGTCGGTCGGCGAGGTATTCAAGGGTATTTTTTGGGTATGAGGTGTTGCGATAGCGGAAGATGCCATTGCCCAAGTGCGATTGCGCGAGTCCCCACGATGTGGAGTGGCATTTCCAAGGGTATGGCTGGCCTCAGAACGCACAGTCGAAGTCAAGCGAGGAGTCACACCCATTGGAGAAAACGGCGTTGGGGACGGGATATTCTGATGGTCTTCAAGATAATTGGGATATCCTCTGTTGCCCTTGAATTTGAGGGAGTTATCTTGCAAAAAGCGTATTGCTCGGAGCATAGAACTCACGTGGCCAAGGGTCTTGAGACCCAAGTCCTCGCGTAGTTCGGTTTTATTTACATCGTGCAAAAGCACCTCACCGGTCACGAAATTGTCGCGTAGAGCAGTTTCGAAGGAGGCAGGATCAGGCCTAGGCCCACGAGTTGCCGACTGCGACCAGGGTTGGTCGGGGTTGTGGCAGAGAAAGCCGACCACCTCATCGACTGTCCAGTCGAGAGGGTCCGAACTAGCAATCTGCATCTTGCCTGATTATGTTCTTAGATAGGAGTTCACATCGGCACACGGAAGGGAAGCTCACTTGGGGGTCATGGAGGTCACGAAACGACAAGACAGCTCGCTGCTATTAGTATGGAATGAGAAAATCGAGAACTGTGAGAGAGCAATCGTCGAGGTTGTTGCACACAGCATCTAGATGAGAACGAGACCTGACAAGTACGCGCAGTAGATGCGAAGAAAGAGAGTAAGGTAAAGGTAGAAAGAAGGTGGTAGGTAAGGTAAAGGTTTCAGATAGGCTTCACCAAATCAGATTGCGGGGAATTGGATGACGGAAAGAGCCGAGTGAGAGATGGCAAGCTCCAGTAATGTCCGACGGATACCATCCTCGAGACCGAGGCTTTGCTGCGATGCAGAAAGTTGGAGCTGGAGCAGGAGAAGAAAGAAGGATGTCAAACGCCAGACGCCAGACGCCAAACGCCAAACGCATAATTAATTTCTGCCGCCGAGCGAAAGCGGTGGGGCCGGCGGTGAGGCCTGAGGGCGGGCGATAATCGTTGACCCCTCCATTATTAATCGCCGATATGAACGGAACGATGGAATTGATCGATCTAGAATGTCGCTGCCTCTTCTCTCGGTCCCCTCCCCCTCTGCTCTCCGTCACCGTAACGACAATCCATCATGGGCGACTCCATCTATGCCAATTACCCCCCTCCCTTGAACTCCGCGCAGAGGGAGTTCTTGGTGACCACCATCAAGGACTGGACCACCCAGAATGGCCTCATGGTTCGCCCTGCGCCGACCTTGGTGCCGCGAGAAATCAATCCCCATGGCGTTCTGGCGACCAATGCCCCCGTCACTCTGTTCCCCAGCCCCTTCCCGAGAGCGTGCTTCGATGAGGCCAGGGCCCTGCAGACCGTCTACAATCACCTCTACGCGATGATAACGTGCAACGAGGAGTGGCTGGGCAAGATCATGGAAGAGTAAGAGACCATTCCGAGACTACGTCGTTTTCGTGGCTTAGCTAGAACAAGTCATAGCGAGATTACCGGGATGTCATGACTAAACACTTCTTTTGACCTGTAGTCTTATTGATGTGGACGATTTCGTCTCGCATTTGTGGAAGACGCATCTGGCAGTCAAGAAGGAGGGGTACGTGCAAACGCTGTCGCTCGGTCTTTTCCGTTCGGATTACATGGCGCATACCCCGTCCAGCTCGGATAAACCCTCCTTGAAGCAGGTCGAGTTCAACACCATCTCGGCCTCCTTTGGCGGGTTATCGTCTCTCGTGACGTCGCTGCACACCGAGCTGCTGGATTCCCCGCCGGGCTACCCAATCGCATACCCGGCTCACAATCTATTCAAGTCCAACAAACCCCCCGAGAACACGGCGGTGGAGACGTTATCGGCGGGATTGGCAGCTGCACATGCCGCCTACGGGGCGTCCAACTCCAGGCCGGCAATCCCGACATGCATTCTGTTCGTGGTCCAGGAGGGCGAGAGGAATACCTTTGATCAATTGGCACTTCTGAGACGCCTTACCAAATACCACAAAATCCCCGTGTTCCGGATCCTGAGCTCTGAGGTCTTGGATCACACGACCATCCCTAGCTCCAACCCCTCGCGACCCCTGATCTATCGCCCCCCTCACGCTTCGAGCCAATTCGAAGTAACCACAGTATATCTTCGGTGCTTTTACGCTCCAACTGATTACACCAGCGAGCGAGATTGGGACGCTCGCCTTCACCTGGAGCGGTCTGCTGCAATCAAGTGTCCCACCGTCTTGAACCAGTTGTCCGGCTGTAAAATTGTTCAGCAGGTGCTCGCGGAGAGCACCGGGCCCGACCACCTGGCAAGCTTCCTCGCCGAAGTGGACCAGTCGGTCATCGCAAGACTGCGGGCGACCTTTGCCCCTCAGTATGATCTTTCTTCTACGGGTCGTGGTCGAGACCTTGCCCTCAACCCGGCAGCGGCCGCGAACCACGTTCTCAAGCCGCAGCGCGAAGGCGGCGGCAACAATGTCTACAAGACTGCCATTCCCGAATTTCTGCGTTCAATCCCCGAGACTGACTGGAAGCGCTGGATTCTAATGGAGCTGATCCACCCACCCGCCGAGGCCAAGAATGTGGCATTGAGAAGCGACGGAGAGGTGATCCGTGGTGACGTCATCGGGGAGCTGGGCGTGTATGGAACCATCCTGTGGGATCAAGCCCGGGGCACCGTCCTGCACAACGAGCAAGGTGGGTGGCTCATGCGAACCAAGGCGAAGGATGTCAACGAGGGAGGGGTTGCCACGGGGTTCTCCAGCTTAGATAGTATCCTGCTTTTCTAGATTACCACCACAGTAGAATGATTTTATAGTCTTAGTATGCGAGCCTACGAGTGAAAAACGGGACACGGATGATGGATCTTAATCTGAATCAAATGGTTGGAAAGAGCTTTTAAGAAAGTTAACGTAAAATAAAGATAGACCCTCCAAAAAAGTAAAATAAGATAAAACAAAAATGAAGTGAAGGGAGAAGCTGACAGCACTTCCCTATTTCGTGTTTGAATGGACTGAAGAAGTCCGCCAAGTTGAGATTAAAAAGAACTTCAATTAAAGAACAGAGAATTTCAAGGAAAAGGACGCAACCAGAAACGACAACAAGCCATGCGTGCTAAAAGACGTCATTCCAAGGATTGCTAACAAAGAACAACGTTTCCCTCAACCAGGCTATTCGGAAGCTTCATCATCTGCGTCATCTTCTTCCTCATTTTTATCATCATTCTCATCGTATTCATCGTCATCGTCATACTCCCCCTCCCCCTCGTCCTGGACATCGACGATGTTTGCGCTGGGCGGCCTCGGAATTTCTGCATAGGGCTTCCAGGCGACGGGAATGTCACCACGCGGAAGACGCCGCCACGAGTCCAGCCCCCTAGCCAACGCTCTCTCAGAGACTTCGAAGAAGGTGTCCATTGCGGTGATGGTCCTCTCTGACGGTACATGGGAGCCGTCGCCTTCCACAAAAGTGTCCAGGTTGAAGTAGACGGCTGGCACGGGCTCGGAGGTGAGGGACTTAGACCGCAGACGGAAAGGGACCGGATGACTGGAGGAGCCGGTGAACCTGTACTCTATATCCATTGTCGTGTTCATATAGATCTGGTCGTAGGTCCAACGCTCCATGCGCTCTAGATCCACCCGGGAAACTCGACTGGTCCTGCCCCGACGGGCGGCCCAGCAGGAGAGACCCAGGGGATTGCGGACTTCTCTCTCGCGACGCATATTCAACGCATTCTCGGTGGGCTGCTCGTCCCGGGGAGCGGTCATTCGGGCCTTGATGTCTCTGTACGTCAGACGAGCATCGGTGCGCATCCAGTACTCGACGAGCCATGTAGGGGGGTTCGACGAGACATAGCGCGGCAGGAATGGGAAGTCGCGAATGGGAGCGCCGTCATGGCCAGTGACGACTGCTCCATGCTCTTCCAACTCTTCTACAACTCCGTGCTCGCGATCCATCGGTGGGTCCAGGCGGAAGAGGAGAGGAGGGAGGTTTCCCTCCCAGTATTGAGAATGGTAGGGATGGTCACAGGTGTGATCCTCATCCGGGGGGGTGGTATCTATATATACTGTTAAACAAGACACAAGTAGAAATAGGGAAAAAGGAAATCTCACGATGACAAACAGGGTTGGGAGAGATGTCTGAGTCTGACGCTGCTAGAGCCCATGTCAGCTTTCCACACCCTATCATCCACGAAGAGTCAGTACTCACCAGACGAGATACTTGCTTGGGAAGGGCTGGAAGTAGACATCTTGAGATAGGCTAATGAGTGGTATTCTAAGATACTGGCAGTTTGTGCAGAGGCTTGAGCAGGTAGAAAATTGAAGAAGAAGAATAAGGATGGAGGGAAGAGGAAGAGCGATAGAAAGAATGAAGGAGTAAAGCGTTCGAACAAACAGGAGAAGAGGGATCTTCCGCATAGGAATAAGTAGAGAGAGTGATGTTTACTGTGAATGAATGGAATCTTCGCTGTTTTTATATGCCGCTAGCAGGTGCTAGCTAGATCAGTGCAGTCCAGCATCCTCGAAGTTATTGCAGCGTGAATCCGTATCTTTGGTAGTCACTGCTCTCCGGTTATAATCAGATTCGTGAAGCATAGCAGTATGTTGTGATATTGTAGTAGATTCATTTTATGCCTGCATGTTTTATAGACTGGAGATGTAGATTTACGGCTAGACCATCAGATACTAGACCCAGGATATCTAGAAACTAGAAACTAGAAACTATTAAAGAAACAGATTTCTTAACTTAAATCCTCTTCTGATATCTAGTGATACATTCTCCATTGTTTCAGTTTCTTCACTACTCTTAGGATTTCAGTTACCGAGGTATGTATAACATTCATGCTTCGGCGATAAACTAAACATGGATTCTGCCTAGAGGTTGATGGCTGCCTACGCGTTGCAGGAACTCAGCAATCCATATCACTGTTCTATGGCCATGCATTACTAATAGAGGGCCTGAATTATAGGAGCTCTCAAAGAGTCTTGAGCTGGAAGAGACTCAGTGGCATCCTCCTGCAATTTCTCCCGTGTAGTTTATGTTTCTAAATCAAAGAAAATCCGATAGAGGCGAGCTTCATATTAGCTATATCTAATCGAGCTGCCTAGGGCACTGTACATAGCATTCCCCACCTTAGATTCAAAAACCCCCAAGACTGCCACATCCAAGGGATCATACACACAAGAAGAGACATTCCCTAAATCCACCAGTACAAAGACAACAAAACTCAGATAAAACAAAACAACCACCAGATGCCAATCATACGCCACAATGTACAGCCCCATATCATTCACTACACCACGCCATCAACCCAGGAAGCCGGATCCAAGAGCTAGATCAAAAGACCCCAAGAATCAAAGCCAAGCTCCTGCGCCACGGTTAAGCGGGAAGTCCATGTCATCGAAATAGCGAGCATTCAAGAAGTCCAAGTATCCAAGCCGGTTGGTTTCCATGTACCTTTCGAGATTCATCTCCTGCTCTGGTTCAGGCTCAACCGGTTCAGTAAAGAAGCGAGCAGGTGGTCCCTCGTAGGCCGCCAGCTCCAAGGGGGGCTTGGGATACTCGGGGAAGGAGGGGATAGTCTCGCGGCGGGTTTTCTTTCTTTTAGCATGCGAAACCGGGGCAAAAACACTACATTGGTAGGTGTTAGTCTCGCAATACAACCAGGTATGCGACACTCACTCTGCATCGACGTCCAATTTTCTTTTGCGGCGAGTGTCGAGAGTCCGGGGCTGCGCCACAAGCGCCTGGGAGAACTCCCTGACGAACGGAGCTTCCAGGCGCAGCCTGGGCTTGGGAGGGGTCTCGTACGTGATCCTGAGCTCTGGTATATTCAGCGCCTGGCTATTGCCGTTCATTGGGGTACGGGAACCGGGGGTATCCACAGTTTCACTGTGGGCCTTGAAAGAGAATATATACTGACCAGGGAATGAGAAGTTCGCAGCTGCATTCGGCTGTATGAAATGTCTTGACTGGCCAGGCATAGGACTTATCGCCGCTGGACCGGTAAGATTGCGAACAGGAGGCGGCGGCGGCAGAGGAATGCGCCCACCGGCTTCACCTTCGGCTGGCACGATCAGACCAGGAGTCAAACCTCTAGTGGAGTTCAGCTTAGGGTCCCTTCCACTGTGTCTCACCATGCGGGAGATTTCGTTCATGGACCTCTGGTTTCCCCAGTGAGCTATGTGGAAGGTCTGGCGGAATAGAGCGCGGCGGGCTTCGATTTCGTGCTCAGTAATGCTCCCGCGAAAGGCAGGATTGATGCGATCCAGTATGTCCTCTGGGGTCACACGACGGTCCAGGCGCATCCAGGTTTCCAGACGCCAGCCTTCAACGTGAGAGGAGATACGGTTAGGGAGCACGGGGAGATTACGAATCATCTTGCCAAAGATGGGACCGACATTGCTATGGACGCGATGTCTAGATTTAGCGTTCTCAGTTCCCGGACGCAAGACATACAGTATGTCATGAAGGTTGGTTATGCTCCAGTTCTCTTGCTCGGGATGGGGGGCGGTTCTGTTGTCGGTATCTGGCGGATTGGTCATGGTGGCGCTTGGCTGGCCGGCTGCACCAGGCTCAGAGGGACCGGATTGACCAGGCATGGTATGATTGGGAGGCTTGGGTAGAATGTATCGCAGGGGCTATAAAATGGCCGCGTAAGCATTGTTGACAGGACCTCATTCGGGTTGGTTATACTTAGCTGCTGGTGACTTACATATTTCAGAAATCCGCGGGGCCTCTCTGTGGTCTCCTTTTTCAGCTTAGACCAAATCTTGGATCTGGGCTCTGCTCTGGAATCTTCCGGATTGTTTGTAGGATTGGTATTGGCTGGTTGGGATTTAGAGGAGTTGGATGACATCGCCAGCTTTCAGCACAGAGGTTATGAGTGGTGGATCCGGGTTTCGATTCGTGCAGTGAATCCCAATGGTGCCTTTTCTGGGCTATCAAACGGTGATTGACAAACTGCCTGCGTCAGTGCTCTCACAACCAATGAACTTCACTTAAAATGAGTGAAGCCCTAGGTATGCTTAGCCGTCGGGTGCTTTCAGTGACAGAGACAAGTTTGTAGAACCATAAAGAGCATGAGCGTTTGCCATTCAAAGGCTGAAAGATGAAAGGTTGCAAGGTGTCCAATAAACAGTAAGTGTTGGGGGAAGAGAGTGAGCCAGGTGCCAGTACTCAGTTTGCTTTGTTGACGTTCTCTTCCACCTGCAAGTGAAAACCAGGCTGGTTGCTATGAAAGACAGCAACAACAGCTCTGGCCCTTGCCTCACTGTTCTTCTCTATGATTATTGTATTCATTGCTCAGTTTTATAGAAGTTGTTTTTGCTCTTGTACTATAATATTTGTAGCATTCCAGCAGCTCCGGGATATTCTTTTCCTCATCTATACAGATGGACCAAATTGGATCCAGTTGGATTCAGTTAGATTCAGTTGGATTCAGCTGGATTAATTACCAGCATTGAACGGCTCCCAGCGAATCTCATAAGTCTACCCTATGGTCCTATAGTTACTAACTTTGTGTTAGGCTGCTATCAGAGAAATATCTAAGTGCTACAGCAGGCTGTAGTATATCTTATCGGCATCCCGAAGATATATACTTCGGTATTCCTCCGTCCGGATTCTCGGGAGCCAAGACTTCGGTCCGGGACCGACCGCTGCCAATTTACACTTCGACCAGACCTTCATCTACTAGACTAGGGATTATATTATTTTCTGTGCAACACGCCTAATACTAAGCAGGCATTTGGGACCATATCAGAACCCTCCAATCAGCACCCCATCATGTCAGGTCCCTCTGCGCCCCTTCTTCGTCTCATCCAAAATGTCATCACCAAATCTCGCAACAGCAGCCCCCGTGCTCCGGCCAGGTACAGCCTGCAGATCTCATGCCATGTCAAGCCGAATGCATCCAGCAATCGCGAGGGCATTACCGCAATAGATGCAGCAAAGGTCGACGTCTGCGTGGCTGCGGTGCCGAGGAATGGCGAGGCAAATACGGCCGTGTCGCGAGTTTTGGCGCAGGTATTTCCCCTTGTCCCACTAGTTATGAGGGAAATGAATTGCGGGGATACCTTCTCTTCAATCATTTCTGTCTGCTCCGATTGCCCAATCAACCATACAACCTGCTCATAACCATGGAATCAGGTTTTTAAAGTCCCCAAGTCCAGCGTGGAAGTTATCCGCGGGCTGAAATCGCGTGACAAGACAGTCAGCATATCTGATCTGGACATTGGAGCCGAAGGCGAGAACAAATTCCTGCAGAAAGCGCGAGGAAAGCTGGAGGAGGCTATTTTACTCAAGTAGCAGCCCGAAATCGATATTCCGAGTTCTCAAGAACCACATGTTGTCCGCCCCAACGGCCGTACGGTAATCGCAAAACAGACCGTGACATCACGGGAATTTCTCCGACATTTTTTTCCCGCAACCGCGCAGTTCATCCTCACCAGCAATCAACTCATCGCACTGCCAATCAGCCCTGAGATCCAGATCCTTACACTCCAACATAATGTCTCCAAGCCTATCATCGAAACCAGCCTCCATTAAACGAAAAGCCCCCGATGCTCCCTCCGCTAAACCATCATCATCGCCCATCACCACTTTCGTCGCGCGGAATCCACCATGGACCTATCTCAAACTCCAACTGTACATCCCCCTCCCCTCCCCTCTAGCCTCATCCTCACTAACCCCTAAAAACACAGAGTCCACCAACCCGGCACCTCCCCCGCCGTCCAATCGCAACCCCTCGACCCGCTCACCGCACGCACATACCTCACCTCGGCGCTGTCCCAATTCCTCGGCCTAACAGGGACCACGATCTCGATCGACATCCTGAAAGTATTCCCGGAGGCAGAGCAGCAAACCCCCACGAACAAAACGGCCTGGATCCGGGTGCCGAGCGACGACGCGGCCGCCGTCGTGGCGGCGCTGAGCTCGTGGATCGGCGGAAACGCGGGCGGCGGAGTCGTCGGCAGCGTGGCGTGGAGGGTGTGCGCGAAGGGGAATTTTCTGGGCGCGTTGGTGAATGGGTCTGGGGGGGATTTGTTTATTCCGTCGTAGGAGGGGGATTTCCAAACAAGGATTTACGACTATGATTATGATGGGATTAAGGATGGAATCATTATACGGTCCAGTTGAGAGGCACGAGATAGGCGATTCATGCCTGAACGTGCGGTTTTCGGGCGGGAACCGAGCGCAAGCACATAGCTCCGAGAGATTGTAGGAGCAATACTGCTGGTATCGCAGTGGCTGATATACAAGGTGAAACCATCTCGATGGTCGCACGACCTACAAGAAGCCTCGATGCGCTGGAGTTGGGCTTACTCAGGCTGTCCTCCCCGCGTCCCAGGAGGGAATCATCAGACAGGCGAAGAAGAACCACGCACCGACCAAGACTGGAAATAATGAACCATAGATTTGTTCAGCTGTCATTCGACATGGACATTCTAGAAAAACGAAAAGATCGTACATATCCAATCCAAGACTTTCAGACTATTCACAATAAACACGGGTAACTGTAACGACCGGTAAGACTCCCTTTTTCTTCAGAAATACATCAAAACACCGAAACCCAAATGATCTAAGGACGCCCAATTCGCATGCTCCAGGAGATTGGTTGGCTTTAAATAAAAAAGGGGATATATGAACGAGGGAAAGAAGAAGAGTGGAAAGAAAAAGGGACTCCCGCTGATAATTTATGCGTATGTTTGTTTTTTTTGTTCATGTCGTATGATCACAGATCCTTAGACGGATTGTTTGCTTTTGGTGCTGCCAACGCTCGGCACGACGGTGGACTCGTCAGAGTATCCCGTCTCCGGGGTGTTGGCAATCACCTTGGCCTTCAGCGCGGCGCGGATGTCCTCAACGCTGCGGTTCTTCCACTCGGGGTACCCGGAGGCACTGAGAGGGAACAGCACGAGGTTATCGTCCCGAGCGCCGAATTCGTCCATCTTGGGCGGGGGCATAGCGGTAATGATATCTAATTCCAGGGCGATCTGTCGGCAATACGTGTCCAAAGGCAAGTCGTTAACGTCGTGGCCGAAGGGATTCTCAATTTCGCTGCCAATAGTGGCAAGTCCCAGAATGATATATGCGGCAACTTTTTTGACGTTAGAACGCTTTTGTATGAGTGGAGAGGCAGAGTGGACTTACTGATAGACCCAGGGATGGTAACCCATTGTAGCGTGTCGTACAACTGGAAGGGGAGGGCCAAAACATAGAGCCAGGAGATCTGGGAGATGGCGATGCTGTAGGCGACAGGAAGAGGGGTGTCCAAGACACGCTCGGTGCCGGTGACGACCTCGTTCAAGGTAGACAGAGCGGCGACTTCAGGTTGTTAGATTCGTTTCTTGTGACAGCTCTCATACCAGAAATTAGGGAAGTTGTACTGATGGACTCACTAGCTTGGCCCTGATGAAGACTGACAGACATGGTTTCGTTCGCAATGCATCTGTCGACGTAGGCGGAAAGATGATTCAGGATTTCCAAAGGCAAATGTCCCAGAGGCTTCTTGGACCGCTTGATCAACTTTCTAGGGTTAGATTCGGCGAACGAAACGCCCAAATATTCACCGGCCGACTTCCACATAGACTTTTTGGGGGGATGGAGAACGTCGCGATTATGGGCGTCTCTGGCGAAGGTGTCGAGGTAGGCTACTAGACCCGCAAGATCTTCGTAAGCCACGTCGGGCTCGAATCGGAGCTTGTGTTTAAGGGAGACCGCAAAGGCCAGAATGAGGTTCATGCCCGTCCTAGCGGCTGTCAGTGCGTTCATTTAGCAGCGTATAGCTGACGGCGAAACATACAGTTTCGCCAGCAAGTCGTCCTTTCCTTCCTCCCCCTCTCGTTCCGCAGTGTTGATCCAGATGGTACGGGCGAGGTTGCGGGAGGTCTGGATGAGAAGGGACCAATACTTTCGTCCGTCGGCCCATCTGTGGCGGTTAGACTGGGGGTATCTTTGACTGGATTCAAAGTAACTCGCGCTCAGCTTACCTCTCGTATGCAGTTGAACTTCTGAAAGACAAAGCCAAACCGACCACGAAACCGGTGACTGTGAGCAGAATGTTGTTGATGCCAACTAGAATTCGATCAGCCTGGATTCGATCTTCCTTTCCGGGTTGAGCACTTACTATCATGGACGAACTTGGAGATACAGGTAATGACCGTCGACCAAGCGGCGACAAACGTCAGGGGAAGAATCAACTTCGGCAGGACGCTGCCGTGCATTCGCAGAAAGATGGGCCATTTGGAGTGTTTGTCGAGATCGCGAGGACCGTGCTATAGATTCGAGGGCAAGTCAGCACGCAGACAGGCCAGCAAGACCGAGTCGGCAGGATGCATAGGAGAGAAGGCATACAAAGTAACGGTCGATCTCGCTGGAATTCCGTCGGTCAAGCATGAATTGAGAGTCGCGAGAGTTGGCCAAATTTGTCAGGAAAGTCGGACGAGGAGTGAGGTTCACACGACAAGTGGAAGACGAGGTAGATTTATCATCCGGGGTGGTGGTGCCCTGTTCATGATGGACCCCATGGGAGTGAACGTTAGACTGGACGGGAGGCGCAGGATCTCCAGTCGGGCCTGCGACATCTGCAGGGGGAGGAGCCGAGCTGCCTTCCATAGCAAATGAGTGAGAAGCCGGTGAGATTGATGAGAGGGAGTAAGCAATGAAACAATCAAAAAGAGTTTGCTCTACCGCGGAAAAAGAACGGAGAAAGAGGAGGGATGGTATCAGAAGCAGTCGCTAGCCCAGTAGCGTGAACGAGAGAAACTAAGAAAGAAATGATAATATTGGAATATCCAGATCGCAGCAGGTAGGGGGAAACTAAAGAACGGATGTACCCAAGCGATGGACGAAAATGAGAGGAAGGGGGAGGGAAGAAAGTGGACTGAGCCGTGAGACTACATGGGAGATGATAATAACGATCGACTAAAGGAATCAGACTTTAGACGAACAGAAAAAAAAAAAGAAAAATAAAAAAAACGAGGCGCCGCCTCCCGGGGGGTCGTAAATTAATTTGGCTGTACGAGTCTTCCTCTGTACAGCTTCCATGTACTCCGTAGAGGTAGTCCTTTTACTCCCGTCCACCGTCCTCATACAGTAACGATACTCCCTCCAACACCCCCAAAAGAGCAATGGAACCCTCGTCGCTCGCCGAAAGCGTCGAGGTGGAACGTCTTTGTCTGCAATTGCCAACTCGCCGGGCCAATCCAGATCGGTCTGGACCCCCTGTTTCACCGGATGCGCAACGGCGCCAGACTGCGCCACGCGGGCTAAAATGTCATACGGGACTATCCGCTCCATCCAGCGCCTGCCGCTCATTCGTTCGGCCGCGCTGCGTGGAGGGCATCGCTGAAACACCGCCAGCGCATTCGCTGGTCGTGGCTTTCGTTTTCTTTCTTTTTTGGACTGGCCTCGTCCATTCCGCGGTTCTCTCCCTGTCATGGCCGTCTTCACGCTTGCAGACTGCTGGCTGAATCTGAAGCCTGAACCTCTGCGCCATTTTCCCCTGTCGCACGCATGAGACACGCCATGCCTCCTGCGCCAGTCATGTTCGTCCCGGATGCTGATTTGCAGTTTTTAAAGTTGGCCCGATGCATTAGAAAGTCTTGGTGCGAGGGTGGAAAGGGGACTTCCTGCGCACGTACGTCGTATGGAGTCCTTCCATCGTACGGGGTACACCACCCATCGCCGTCCTCTCTGCCCCTCACATTCACATTCCTGCGGGCTGTCGCGCTTTCGTACAATCTGACAGGCCCCGGAGGCTGAAGCACATGAAATAAAACCCCTGACGAGGTTGGAACCGACTCAGCTTAGCTTTTCGGGCGGAAACATCCATGCCGGTACTTCCGCAGGATATCGTGTCGGGTGGCAATCAGTCAAAGACACGCCTGTCTTTGTTTCCTCCGTACTCTGCACGGCAAGTTCGAATATATTTTCTGTCGTCCAAAAGCTTTGTGGGCCAATGAAACGGCGCGTGGGCACCGCCAGAATACTGGGGCGGGCATACACGCCGGGATCCCCTTGATTGGTGGTCGCTCCATCTGACGAGTCGAGATCAACATGCAATATTAATATCTACTTGCAGAACACAACATTCGGCCTTGTCAGGGGGGACAAACGGAATGAACACAATCCTCCAAATTCCCGCTGGCAATCACCTCCCGACGAGATCATCTCGATAAATTCTCCGACGGCCATCATCTCGATCTTTGCCTCTAGTCCAGATTGCCGCTTACTATTAATAAATTGTTTACGTGTCTGTCTTGACTTGTGGGGTTGGTTAATATCGCCTAATATAGCACAACGAACGCGGTCCCATCGCAGAATGTCAATTTTTTACAATCAACATCACTGATCGGCCAGAGGAATTACATCATGCTCGGTCATGACACTTTCAACGGTTCTACTGTAATGGCGATAAAAGAGAGGTAGAATTGGACTGTGCTCAGTCAAACACAATAGTATGCTTGCTTTTCCCTGCTGAATATGAGGGGTAAACGCCACTGTATCAAGTCTCTGGACCAAAATATATAGTGACTCAATTAACAGTCATTCCACTTAGTACTACTCATGAGCGTCTTGGACTCAGCCAAGTCCAATCCTTGCAGTACACCCAGTGGTCTTGTTTTAATCACTACCTTCTGCTCATCTCTATCTATTGAAGCACTAAGAGCAAAGACAGGACTCATCACAAACAACTCAAGTTGAACAGCATCTTGAATAGGTCTATGATGACGCACAGAACGCAAGGTGAACCGCCACTCAGATGGAATAGAAACAATCTGTGACACCGTTGAGTATATTTTCTATCAAAGTTACACGCCTGGAGGCAATTACGAATTTGACGTAACCCTCCGAGCTCTGTGTTCAGTGCTCGGGTCGTCTTGCAAGATTGACCCTGTGTAACATCAAGCAGAGTTTTTGTGAGTGGCAAGACGTATGGCTTCTGTGATGATAGCGAAGCGATAGTCGAAATAGCCTAGTCAATGAAAACTTGGCAAAGGTTTGTTTTTTTTTTTTTTTCTCAAGATGCTGTTCTTTGTTCTGCATTGCTGTGGGATATTAGTGAGTTGATTAGGGTTAAGGGGTCACTAGTTAATTCCATGAAATATGTGAAAGAGCACATCTGTCACTGGCGCCCCTGAGGACCGCGCTGGCGGTCGGGCAGGTAGCTTGTACCCAAGTTTGTATGGCACTCTATATGGCGGGTTGGGTGGTGGAATCCCTAGAGGATTCCATGTTGGTCTTTTTGGCTCATGGGTTTCGAAGACCACCCACCCACTGCGGCGCTTACAACACTCAAGCACGACTATTTCTCATGGGTTATATAATTAATATCAAATGCAATTTAAGTATACTTCTAAGAGACTGATTGAGTCATAAGTCATGGGAAATACGATCATATTTTTGTCATACAGACCTCGTGGTATTCTCTCCTCAATTTCCCCCTTTCTTTGCCTTCCATATAGATTCTCTCCCCTTCTAAATGCTCTCTTCTGCCGCCCCTCTTTTAGTTACTCAGATGCATCATGTGTTATCCCGATCATATAACATGTTTAACTTGATGGCAAGTTTGGCTCAGATCTTTCTTGTGCGTTGACTTTCCCAAGCAAATCCCAAGTTCGTGCATATTAAAAAGCTCTCTGGAGATATATGGCCATAGAACATATCGAGAATCTTACACATTGCTGGTATACTAGTCGTATTCCCCGAGTGGCTTACTATATTGACTGTTATTGGATTGAGTACGGTGCCGAGTAACCCCAGTCCTGCTTGACCTGTCCATAAGCTGAATCCTGTAGCATAATGTGGCATTGTTTATGAAACGAACAGTGATCATCTAAACGAGGGATATTTCATAGTCGATTTAACGCAGTCTTCAGTATTTCAGACAATCCCTCTTTAGACATCCATTTCTTCCAGAGCCCATTGTTTCCGTCAATTGTTTCCTGTTTACAATGGAAGAAGGTACAGAGGCAGACAAACGTGGAGTCAGCTACAAACTCATCCATCCTAAATCAGACTTTAGTTGCGCGCATACCACCATAAGAGATGTACAAATGGCTCAACCAAATTCGCAATGAGAATATCAAGTATGTCGAGTTGGGAATAATACCGCAAAAAGTCCGCATTGGTTGGAAAGACTCTCAAAAGCTGGACGCTCGCTGTTCTCTCGGACAGAGAATAAGATTCAATTGACTTATAGCACAAAGAACTATTGCTTTGACCCATGGAATACAATATAGATAGATGTATATCTAGTGTGCCTGGCCCCTGCAAACTTTGTTCGCGGGTTGCCACTCCATGAAAGTATATTGCATGTACCTCCATTCAGTCGCGTCTCGACCCGAATAGCCATGATCAGGTCATGTATCATTTGGGATTCTCGTACGTGTAGTTCCGGTTCTGCGAGAATGTATCCCCAAACGGAGAGAAGAAGAGCACACAAGGAAGACGCTATCGAGTCAAAGTCTGTTACTTTTTTGGAATCACCAGGTCCTCCCCGAACCCTGATGCCCGGTTAGCTTTGAGCCCCTTAGTTCCAAGAACCCTGAAAACTTTGTAAATGCCATAGACCCGTACCGAGGAGTATTGGGGTAGGAAACCTGAGGTCCGAGTGCCTTCTAGACCTTATTTGAGTTGAAAGGTCGATCACCCGACATTGTCAGTGTGTATGGCGTTGGGTTCATCCGTCAGATGGAGATCTATGGATGGCTTTGATAGTGGGGATGCGACAGAGCGCCAATTGTGCACGTACAGTTGGAGGTAAGCTTGCCATCGAAGCCCTCCGGACTCCAAGAACTTGATCGTGATCTAAGTTTACGAAGTGGAAGGTGCAAAAGTATGCTTTCCCTTTGTCCGTTGCCCCTGGTGTCCTTCCCATTCAGGAGGAACAAGAAGTTAAAGTGCAGTTCGGTCAGATGGGATTCCCTCAATTCATCCGGTCCAGGGACTGATTGTCTATTCAGGGTCTATTGAAGCCTGAAAGTGACTAGATGTATGATTAGAGTTGTTTCGCGGGGTTAACCAAGGAAGTGGACTTGGGGGCGATTCTAGTGAAGATCCTCCAGACCAAGCATTTGCTGCTGTAGCTGATTTGAAATTTGACTGAAGTGATGATAAACATCATTTGTGATCATGCTTGCGTGAAAAGCCAATCTTCCACGACGCGCTTTTTCTTAATAATCTCCAAAGGTGTCACCGCGAAGATTATTGATCTGGTTTATGGGTTCATGATTTTCATCGACTATTAAGCTTGTTGGATCCACATGCTCCGATCACTTACTATTTGAGAACCCCTTTGGCCAATCCAGGCCATCTGGATCTAACTTTGACTTGGGATTTGGCAGATTCTCGCCTTATTGATGCCAAGTCACCATTTTGGCCGGGAAACCCCCTTCACCGAATCACTACATGAGATAAATCCGCGCATCAGTGCGGGGTTTGAAAATAGGAGTGGACATCTTCGACGATAGTCAAGTCTAACAAGTCCCAGATCATCATACTCTCATGGGTGCCAGAGTAGAACGTCCATAACAGACTCGATTCGGCTCAAGGGAAATCGAAGTATAACCTTAACGGATTAAACTCTCTCCCAATGTCGGACCCGACGGTTGGGACTCGACTCGAGCACATCCATTTTGTACCCACCTGTCGACTTGTAAGCCTCCTTGGTGCAGAACGAGTACCTTGGTTTATATCAACGTTGAAAAAGTCAAACCTTGGCCAGGAATAAGGGAGCAATGGGCACCTCTCGACAGCTGTTGAGGAAGACCCACGCATCCTGGTCGTTTTTAGAAAAAAAAAAACGCCGCACATGCCAGTTATGCGGCCGTGATTTGCTGGAAAATGGCACATGTCAACCGATCCCATGTTTTTCTTCCACTTGGTTCCTGCTTCCCGTTGGAATAGAGCAGGGATGTCTGCTGGCACGGTCTGGGCTGGTGGGAGTTGGAGCATTGCCGAAGGATCCGGCCAGCAAACTTTGATAGCAGCACATGCGACTTTTTCTCTTGACCTCGGGATTGAGAGCCATGTGCGGATGGGAATTGAGCAAGGCACTCACGCAGCCATGACAAGGAGGTTGACCAGTGATTGTTTGCTGCAATATGAGTCAAGAAAAGGCTACCTACCACTACATAGGACACACTATGATGTCGCAGGATGGGAACTAATGGCAATAAGTCCGCGTAGACAGCTCGGTTGTCATGATAGTGGATGGAGACCGGATGATCGTAGGGCGAAATGATTTTATTTTAATCTTCGACCCTCTTAAAAGATGATGCCACCATTGCATGACGTCGGAACTAAGGACACCACTGTGAATATCAATCGATTAATTAAGGGGCGCATTGTGTAGACTGTTGACCGTTGAGTCCTAATTTTTGCGCCGGCCACCCACGTCCACATGGAACTTAATTCCCAGTGGCTCTGCCTCGGAAATTAGCATTGCCGGCATCTGACATGTTAATAATGGCGCGAGCGAGGGACCAAAGGAACTGGCGTCGATCCCTGGAGGAGTGAGAGCTGAGCAGATGTAGGGACGAAGGCCAAGACGGGAGGCGAAAAAAGAGGAAAAGAGGAAAAGGTGCGGGGGATTTCCACTGCCGACCAAAAACGGGGGAGAAATCCAAGGGAGTCACGGACCGGCTCCTTCTTCCTTTCCCCAATTTGCCTGCCTTTGGTCCTCGGCCAAATAGTACCCTGGCCTTTCCTTTGGTTCATATCCCTACTAGTCCCGACGTATTATTCTTTCATTGAGATGCCAGCAGGCCGTCCTCGTGCGCTCATTGGCCTTCTGGCCTCGTTCACGATGCCCACCCATGGATGGCTCGTTGATACGACCTTTTCAGGGGTCGCCTGCAAATCTCAGCTAGTCAGTGGCCAACCCAGGCCTACCTAATGCCTCAAGACTCCAAAACGCCGAGTCGCCTTAGCTTTCGCTTTGCCCTGGGCTGAACCAGGGTTCCGGACGTCGCTTCGGCAAGTCTGATGGGAAATCATCCAGTGACACCCACCGAGGGCCTTGGGGACCTCAGATCGTCTCGCTGTGCCGGTGGAGTAAAACGTGAACGACGGGTCTCTGGATCTACCTATTGCCGTGCGTGAAACCCCGGTAGTTTTCGGGTCCGCTGCTGCTTTCGCAATCGCGCAGGTCCTCCCATCCGCGGTGGAGGTGGCGGACAACCATTATTGGAGGGTTTGGACTTCCGTCTGCCTTTGGTCTCGAGTGGGTTTCTGGATCTGAAAATGTGCGCCTATGGGGGGGTCAATTCACAAAGTCAAATTGTTCGCAAATAATGGCACCGAGTCCCTGGTTCCAAAAAGTTCACACCACTGGTGTTTCCTCCTTACTCGAATCGGTAGAAAGTGGATGCAGCCTGCGGTGGTATATCTTTCGCCAGGCTCCCCTCGTCTAGACTTCTTGTCCTACTCACGACACTAAGCTGGTGATCTGGTGGCCTTAGTTGCCCACTCTACTCTCCGTTCCTCAGCAGATCATTAAAACGGAGAATGGCCAATGCGAACTACGACCACTTGGCTGGGGTTGTCGGTTTCACTTGAACTCGTCTCGCAATTTTGTCGTGACACCAGCGCTCTTTTTTTATCTTAAAAAGAAATCCAACCCCTGCGAAAACTACTTCGACATTTCTAGACAGCCCTCGAATACATAATCCACAATCATGCGGCTTCCACCCCCGGAGATTTTGATGTCATGGCCGACGCCAAACTATAGCGATCCTCCGACTCGGGGTAACTCTGCGTTTATTGTCAATGTTGCCGGCACTGCTTTGGCATTAATTGTGACCTGCCTTCGCCTTTACACTCGTCTCAGAATAACGTGCAGCCCGGGGTTTGATGATGTCTTGATTGTGATTGCTCAGGTACGTTGGGAGGAAAATGCCATGCAACCTGGTCCTTCCTAACCCGGTTTTTAGATCTTTGCAATTGGCATGTGCGCGGTTATATCGCTGGCAACTGAGCAGTATGGGTGGGATCGGCATATGTGGGATGTACCGTTGGAATGGATTCCCGCCAACTCCAAACTCAACCTGTCCTTTCAGCTCCTCTTTTCGTTGGCCTCGTCAATCACCAAGCTTTCCGTTCTCTGGTTTAGCAAACGTCTGCTCGGGGCTGGAAGTAAGGGTTTGTACCGGTCATACAACATTGTCTTGATTGTGGCCATGGTTTTTGTTACGATCTGCTGCACGCTCTTTACATTGATGAGCATCTTCCAATGCCGGTGAGTACTTCCCAATATTTGGCCCTGAGATTTTTTCGACTTGCTGACAGAACACAACCATTAGGCCCATACGTGCGTACTGGGACTTTCAGCCGACCTATGATTATACCTGCCTGAATGACGGTTATATGGTGTTTTCCGCCAGCGTCGTCAACATTTTCACCGACTTCCTTGCCACAGTTCTTCCTATGCCATTGATCTGGAATCTTAAGCTTCCCGCCCGACAACGAATTGCCGTGATTTCGATTTTCGGGCTGGGAATCGTGGTCAACGTTGCTGGTTCCGTTCGGACGGTGTATGTGTGGAAGAGCATGGTTGCCTCTTACGATACAACTTGGTTGGGCTGGCCGGTTCTCCTGGCGGCGACCATCGAGATCAGCATTGGCTTGGTATGTTCCGTCTTATATTCCAATCCTCTTACCCTCTCAATACTGACTCCTCCAAGATCTGTGCGTCGGCACCAGCATTGAGGCCACTCCTCGCATTCTTCGTGCCCCGTTTGCTCCAATCCACCCGCCAATACGCATCCTACGAACAACAAAACCCGTCTCAGAAACTGTATTCATCAACCGGTCCGTCTAGGAACTCTAAGTACGGGTCGCGCCATTATGGGGATGCGTTCGATCGCATGGAGGTTATGCGGACGGTTGAAATGGAAACCTGGACCGAGCCAAGCCCCCCAAGAGATGCCGCTCGACGTCACGGCGTCACTTCAAACCATACTCGAGTTGCCACTCCGACTCACAATTTCGATTTGAAGGACAGCGGCACCGTGATTACTTCGCAAGGCAGCGACAGATCTACAGTCTCTCTGACTCGGGAGACAAGTGAGTCGCCCTTTGGCGACAACCACTATGTTTAAACGGTTAAATCTTACGCTCCCTCTAACTGCCATCTGCAGTATGGCTTTTCTTTCTCATTGTATATTCATGACGGCTTGGTGACTTGACGGAATTCTGGAATTACGATAACCATAGTACTGTATCTACCTATCTTCATCACATTATATTCTTGTATATAATTGATACACTCATATTTATTAGATGTTTATTCTACATTACATCTCTCACGTTATTGACTCATGGAGACGGGCCAAAGGAACGAAACATTGCCGATCCCCAGTCGCCTCCACCAGGTCTCCACTGCAGGCACCAAATATCCCACCGATCGGCGTCAGATCCTGCAAATATGGCATGATGCGCGCCTAAGGAGAGCGAGTTGCGAAATCCAGCCATCAAGCGGTATCGTCCACGAAAGCTTAAGCTTCCGTTCACGCCTGAGTCGGATCTGTCGAGTTTGAGTTCGAACTTGACAAAATTTGACACATGTTGAAAGCACCGGTGTCAGAGCCTGGCTACAAAGTTTGCGCTAGATACTCATCTTTCAGGCTGGGGTTGCGGAATCATGCCCTAACTGACTCGATACCATTTGCTGCTACCTGATATTTCCAAGTTCTATGATGGTGTCTCGTATCAGTGCGGGAGTGGGTACATGAAGCTGCACGATCTGCCGCAACAGATCAGCTGAGCTTCGTCTCAACTTTTCAGCTCCATGGAGATGAGGATCATCGATATACGCAGGAATTTGGAAATCCAGGGGAGAAGAATCCCAGCTACTTCCTTTCGTTTCAGGGTGGTTTCAACCTAGGATGAATTTTCATGGTCTCACCCTCACCATCTCTCAGGGGATTTCTGGCGGAAGGTCTAGAATTTTCTCTGGCTGCAGGATGGTTTCAGGCAGCGACGAGACTGTTCTCATGTCTCGAAGCTTCAATCCGGCCATTCAAAGAGCCGCGGAGTTTATTCGATCTGCAATGTGTGATATATACGTAGTACATTTATCGACGACCCGACAGAATTCGAATGATTGCCCAAATACTCATCACGAAAAGAGAACCGAGGATCATGTAAGCCCACTGCAAGACCATAACCTTTTTCTGTCGACTTCTATGAGCAGTGATATTGGAGTCGTGGTCGGAGACTTCCTCGTCGTCCTCGAAGAGTAGTCGCCCATGAGATTCGGACAAGGGATGGGGCAGGCGTCGATACATTCCGGAGAGCATGGCACTTTTGGATAGGCAATGGCAAGGACGCGAGGCGGCTGCTTGATAATTTGCGATCGGCTGACCGTCGAGTTCTCAATTGATCAATCTGGACGGGTGTTTAATCCCAACAAGGCCTCTACATGGTGCTGGAGTGCTGGAGTGCTGGAGTTGTGAATGCAAGGTGGTACAGACAATCTGCATGATTACGTCCCTTGTTCACCGGGGCTAAAATAACCCGTCATTCTACGGGCCTTTAGATGATGCAACTTGTGACTGGTCTAGAGCGATCCGATCGAAACCCATGTGAGCGCACGATGAGTCAATTCGACTGCTCAGGACAGAGTGGGAGAGTTGATCGGAGAGAAAGCGATGCTTCGCCCCTAGAAACTGGAGAGCGGCTTATCGAGTGCCAAGACTCCGATAAGCAACTGATAAGAGCTCCGATAAACGTCACCGCTTTCTGTCTTTGTCCTTTGCCTTGTCTTCCAATTCCTGTACCAATTTCCATTGCAAAGTCCGTGAATTAGAGGGAGGTTATCGGCGACAAGAACATAGCGTCGACCTGCCCCGTCGGGAACGCCTGCTGTTTGGGAGACTCCATGGATGACTCCATAACCACGGAGGATTGTTCTTCTGGTGGCTCTCTTTCTCCCGGCGCCGACCACGGGGGCAGCGGGCCCTCTGATTGGCCCAAATCGCCGACGAGAGCTGCACGGCGCGGGGCAGCTTCCAATGATTGCATCCCTGGCTTCAGATAGCTGTGGCTCGCCCGCCTGCTGTGATGGTATTTAAGTGCAATTGCGCCCGTCCGCATTCCCTCCCTTGATTGGAACTTCAAGTTTACCTCTCCTCTCCTCTCCTCTCTGTATTTTCTGGTAGCGGTGTTTTTGACTTGACTCGGCTGCCTTCCGCCCTCTATAGAGCTCTTCTTATCTCATCTTCCTTATCGTCTCCTCCCCGACAATCTCCAACACACTGCGTCACAATGGCTGCTCTCTTCCGCTCCAGCCTGCGATTGCGCCCTGCGACGCGTCTTCCGACCGTCCGCACCCTCAGTACTTCCCCGGCCCTGCGCGCAGCGGCGAAGCCTTACTTCGCCGATGAGCCCGCCGGTCCCACGTTGGCGACGGCCATCCCTGGCCCCAACAACCAGAAGGCCACCGCCGAGCTGAATGAGGTTTTCGATGTGCGCAGTCTGAACATGTTGACTGATTACTCCAAGTCGACGGGTAACTAGTAAGTCAATTGGACATGAAGCGTTGTGGAAGCTGGGAAAATGTGCGCCGTAAACTAACCACACAATTAGCATTGCCGATTTGGATGGCAATGTGCTTCTGGATGTGTAAGTTGTTACCTGTGCTCTCTTGATGGTCAAAATCACCTGTCGGATCGTGCTGACTTGCTTCGCAGCTATGCTCAGATCGCTTCTATCCCGGTCGGATACAACAACCCTCACCTCACCGAGGTCGCCAAGTCGCCCGAGATGATCACCTCCCTGATCAACAGACCTGCGCTGGGTAACTTCCCTTCGGCGGACTGGTCCCATATCCTCAAGACCGGTATCCTGAAGGTTGCTCCGAAGGGTCTGGACCAGGTGTTCACGGCCATGGCCGGCTCCGACGCCAACGAGACTGCCTACAAGGCCGCCTTCATGTACTACCGCCAGCTCCAGCGTGGTGGCCCCTCGACTGAGTTCACCGAGGAGGAATTGGAGAGCACCATGCAGAACCAGTCGCCGGGATCGCCCCAGTTGTCGATCCTGTCCTTCAAGTCGGCCTTCCACGGCCGTCTCTTTGGCAGTCTGTCCACCACCCGCAGCAAGCCCATCCACAAGCTGGACATCCCCGCCTTCGACTGGCCTCAGGCAACCTTCCCCTCTCTGAAGTACCCTCTGGAGGAGCACGCCCAGGAGAATGCCCAGGAGGAGCAGCGCTGCCTGCAGGAGGTTGAGCGCTTGATCAAGGAGTTCCACAACCCCGTCGCCGCCGTGGTGGTCGAGCCCATCCAGTCGGAGGGTGGCGACAACCACGCCTCCCCGTCCTTCTTCCGCGGTCTCCGCGAGATCACTAAGCGCAACAAGGTGCTCTTCATTGTCGACGAAGTCCAAACTGGTGTCGGTGCCACCGGAAAGTTCTGGGCCCACGACCACTGGAACCTTGAGACTCCTCCCGACATGGTGACCTTCTCCAAGAAGGCCCAGACTGCCGGCTACTACTACGGCAACCCGGCCCTGCGCCCCAACAAGCCGTACCGTCAGTTCAACACCTGGATGGGTGACCCCTCCCGCGCCCTGATCTTCCGTGGCATCATCGAGGAGATCGAGCGCCTGGGTCTGGTGGAGAACACCGCCGCCACCGGTAACTACCTGTTCGCTGGTCTGCAGCGTCTGAGCCAGAAGTACCCCGAGCACCTGCAAAACCTCCGTGGCAAGGGCCAGGGAACCTTCATCGCCTGGGACACGCCCAAGCGCGACGAGTTCCTCGGCAAGGCCAAGGGCGTCGGTGTCAACATCGGTGGTAGCGGACAGAGCGCCGTCCGCCTGAGGCCCATGCTGATCTTCCAGCAGCACCATGGTAAGTTCCTGGATCTTTCCCATCCGATTTTCAGTCACGGTACAGAAAAGCTAACTTTATATTCTAGCTGATATCCTCCTGGAGAGCATCGAGAAGATCATCAAGCAGCTGTAATATGCTTGCACTTGTCATATTTCCTATATATTTTCTTGTTTTGCCCATGTGAATACTGGTAAAACTCGTGGCGTTTTCCCTTTCGGTTGATAATGGGTGGGTTTGCATGTCTAGGCTGTCATGCCATATTTATACGAGTGATGTCTTGAAGCTTTCTTTGTTTTTTTAAAAAATCATTTAGTTCTTGAGAGCAACAATATGATGCCGTCTCAGGCAACGTCGGTTGATCAATCGGGTATTGAATAATTCATTTATCAAGCTTTATGTTTCAAGGTGTTGTAATAGACAGGTGATCGAAGAACACGGAGAACAGGCAATAGAAAACAAACTCCAGATAGATATCCCAAATAATGCTCCCGCGGCGTAAATATGAAAGGAAAGAAATCAACCTCATAACTCCGATTTTATGTATCTGATGGACCGGCCTGTCTGGTCTCCGATATTCAAATAAGGTATGCAAGCGGGTTTCCGGCGTAGAAGTGTGTAGGATCAAGGAACGGTCGGAGGGAAAGTCGACAAAGAACTCGGGTCGCCGTATCAAGTCTCCTCCTCGCCTGTGCTTCCGTCCCTCCTGCGCAGCAGTTAGCAAGCGATCCTAACGCCAATCATCGAGAGGCACGTACGGAATATATTTCACACCAGAGTCTTCCAGACTGGCGATGATTTCGTCGGGAAGCTGCACAGATAATTGACTCATGTTAGCTTTCGCAATCCCAATCTCTTTTCGTCTATCAAAACACAAGCACCACCACCTCCTCCTCCCCTCCGAAATAAACCACAAGGAGACGTCAAACTCACCGAACCCGTCACCTTGACCGCATATGTCCCCGGCACGTAGGCGTCCAGTCGCTGCCACCTGGCGACCCAGCTCGTAGTCGGATCACGCAGGGTCACAAGGCCCTCGAAGACCTGGGAGGTACATTCTTGGATAGCGTCGTTGTTGCCGCGCAGGCCGAGCACGTTGTCGCAGTTCGGGCATCCTTCACGCATGAATTTCTGCAGGGACGACCGGGGGGTTCTGGTTAGCTTGGAAATGCGGTGCGACGGGGGTCTGGGAGCAAGCCTTCTCTATGGAGATTTGCAGCAGAGGGATAGAGAGACGAGGAACGTACGTTGTGGAGCTGAACGAGAGAACAAACCATGCAGGCGCGAAGAGTGCGCTGCTGGCTTGGTGCGACGTAGTAGGACATGTATGGGATTGTTTTTTCGGGGGTGATGGAGGGTCGGGGAGAGCGATTTAGAAGCGAATCGCAGAGAGCGAGAGACGGACAGAGCGAGAGCGAGAAAGATGGCGAGCTCCTGGAGAACGCAGGAGCTTTGGGGAGGAGAGCGACGGCGGAAAGAAAGAGAGAGCCGGCGAAGGTCGACGGTTCTCGAAGCCTTCGCGGCAACGCCAAGACCGGCGGGAACAATCAATTCATTCATTCATTTCCATCCAAAAAGCGATAAGCCCTCGCCTTCTCTCCCTCTTCGTCGTCTTGTTGTGGTCCGGATCGGAGCCGCGCATTTTCCCTTTCCCATTCTTGTCGTGGAGACTTCATTCTGGTGGCGCCCCTTGTGCCCTCGTGCCGACTTTCCTTAAAATCCATCTCTCCCCTCTCTCTCGCCCTTTTTCTTTTTCGCTTCCCCTCATTTATCGCTCGCCTCTTTTCTCCGCCGATGGCTTCCTCCGATCTCGAAGCCGCCACCGCGCTGAAGGTGCAGGGCAACAAGGCCTTCGCTGAGCATGAATGGCCCACCGCGGTGGATTTCTACACCCAGGCCATTGAGAAATATGATCGCGAACCCTCGTTCTTCAGTAACAGGGCTCAGGTACGTCTGGATGTCTTGATGGCAATCTCGTCCAAATAGGATCGAAAATAACGGTTTACTAATTGCTTGGTCTCTGTAGGCCCATATCAAACTCGAGGCGTACGGCTTTGCTGTGGCGGATGCTACTAAGGCGTTGGAATTGGACCCCTCCTACACCAAGGTTAGTCGACGACCACGGGCCGTTTGTCCTCGTTGAGTTTCGCCAGCGGAATATGACAAAATATGACAAGAGACTTCGGGGAAACGAGCACAAGGCGGAGATAAATGAGGTCACTCCAGGCTAACCGTGACTAGGCCTACTGGAGACGTGCCCTTGCGAACACGGCTATCCTGAACTACCGCGATGCACTAAAAGACTTCAAGGCCGTCGTGAAGAAGGAACCGGGCAATCGCGATGCGAAGGTCAAGCTGACGGATTGCGAGAAGCTTGTGCGTCGGTTGGAGTTCGAGAAAGCCATTGAAGTCGGGGACCCGCCGTCGGCCTTTGAGGACCTGGACATCGATTCGATGGCGGTGGACGCCAGCTACGACGGTGTGCGATTGGACAAGGAGATGACGCAGGAGTTTATCGATGACATGATTGAACGGTTCAAGAACGGCAAGAAGATTCACCGCAAGTACGCGTTCCAGATCATCAAGGCCGTCAAGGATCTCGTGTACGCCGAGCCCACGATGGTCGAGGTTGGCGTGGAACAGGGCAAGCGGTTGACGGTTTGCGGTGATACGCACGGGCAGTTCTTTGACCTGCTGGAAATCTTCCGGTTGAACGGCTACCCGACCGATACGCATGCCTACCTCTTCAACGGCGATTTCGTGGATCGTGGATCGTGGTCCACGGAGATTGCCTTGCTCCTGTACGCCTACAAGTGGCTGCGGCCCGACGGTATTTTCCTGAACCGCGGAAACCACGAGACGGACGACATGAACAAGGTCTACGGCTTCGAGGGCGAGTGCAAGGCCAAGTACAACGAGACGGTGTTCAAGGTGTTCTCCGAGTCCTTCTCCGCTCTCCCGCTGGCCACCTTGATCGGCAACAAGTATCTGGTTCTGCACGGCGGTCTCTTCTCCGACGACAAGACTACTCTGGACGACATCCGAAAGTTGAACCGCCACAACCAGCGACAGCCGGGCCAGCAGGGTCTGATGATGGAGATGCTATGGACCGACCCCCAGACGGAGCCTGGTCGCGGACCCAGCAAGCGTGGCGTTGGCCTTCAGTTCGGACCCGACGTCACGAAGCGATTCTGCGAAAACAACGGCCTGGAAGCCATCATCCGTTCCCACGAGGTTCGTATGGATGGTTACGAGGTTGAGCACGATGGCCGCTGCATCACGGTGTTCTCCGCTCCCAAGTACTGCGACACCACGGAGAACAAGGGTGCCTTCATCAAGATCGGCCCCGAGCTTAAACTGGAATACCAGGTGTTTGAGGCTGTGCCTCACCCGGACATCAAGCCGATGGTAAGCTCTCTAGATTCTTGTTGCCAAAATGCGTGGCTAACCAATTCTTAGGCTTATGTGCAAAACTCGATCATGTCGTCTATGATGTGAGATGAAAAACGACTGGATTGAAAGGCGTTTACGGCAAGATTATATAGGGGCGAATGCCTCGATCGGTCATAGAGGAGACCTGGGTGCCAGTCCCCCGGCAGCGTATCTGATATTGAAGGGAAGTGCATGGAACGAACTTGGATATCGATGAAGCTGTACCTTATGGAATGATGATTTGACTCTTGCATAGCGGAGACAATGGATTTTTTTCTGGATCAAGGCTTGGCTCCTTTTATGTGTTTTTTTTTTTTTTTTATTTTTCTTCTTCTCACCTGGCCTTTCACGTTTATTATTTTTCTTCTTAAATTTACACCCTAAATCTTGGCTTAACCAGCAAAATAGACGAATAGAAAATGAATAGACCCTGCTGAGTTGTTGTTGCTGGCGACCGCTTCAACCCCGCGATCTTCCCGGGGACGTCATTCTCTCCCGGTCTTCTCTCCTCCATCTCTTCTCTCTCTACCTTTCGACCCATTGGCCATCGAACAGTGAGAGAGCACATCTCACATTCTAGATCTACTTGCAAAAATGGAGTTCGATCCCAAGACCCGTGAGTTGTCGTCATTCATGCAGTGAAACCCCACCAAAGCAGCTCAGACTAACCCCGCCTTTTTTTTTATTCCCCCGTCAGCGCAATACCTCACCTCCGACAAGTCGAGCTTCGCCTCGGTCTCGGCCAACGAGCGTTGGCCGGTCATTGTCGTAAGTGGCATTTTGACTGCGCGACCTAATCTAGGCTGATGGATTCCTGGCATACAGACTGGTGCCATTGATGATCTTCATCGCACCGTTGGTGATGTCACCGACGAGGAGAAGCGGAAGGAGGGAAAGACGATCATTGAGAAGCTGGCCGCCTTGAAGTATGAGATTCAGCATAATAGACAGTTGACGTGCGTTACATCCCCTCCCGATATCCTTTGTGTTTGAGAGTGTGAGAAGTTATTGACTTTGGGCTTGTTCTTATAGCCCTCTTGTCGATGATGGCCAACGCGATATTGCCGACTACAACCGGGAGTTGGAACAGCGGGGGAACCCGACATGGCTTCATGTTCCGTGGCTTTTCTCCGAATGCTATCTCTGTGCGTCCACTCGATCCAGGCGCCGACTATGAATACAACGCGAGAGGACGGGTACTGATGGACGAACAGACAGGCGTATCAGCACGTTCTTCGCGCTGTCCAAGCACTGGAAGGGCTATGATGTCTTTGCCCGCCAGAAGATGTCGACTTTCAAGTCTTCTCGACCTGCGGTGCTAGAACTGGCTGCCCGGTACAAGGAGCTGGCTCTGGAGGCGGAGAAGGCCGAGGGTGTGGATGGCAAGACGCCCGAGCAGATCGAGCAAGCGGAACGGGTGCTCTTCTCGGAGATGTGTGAGATCTGCCTGTGGGGAAATGCTACAGACCTGTCGCTGTTGACGTCTCTCACCTACGAGGATATTCAGAAGCTGCAGGGCTCCCAGGCTCGGAAAGCGGCCGAGAAGAACATCCTTGTCAACGACCTCAGTAAGGCCTTTGATGTGCTGCACAAGGCGCGCAAGGAACGAAAATCGGAGGAGCGCCGCGTCGACATCGTCCTTGACAACTCGGGCTTCGAGCTCTTCGTCGACCTCATCCTGGCTGGATACCTTCTCTCTGCTGGCCTGGCGACGACGGTGGTGCTGCACCCCAAGCTGATCCCCTGGTTCGTGTCGGACGTCACGCCGCCAGACTTCAAGGATCTCATCGATGCCCTCTCCGACGCGCAAGGGTTCTACACGGCCGCTGACGAGTCCGGTCGAAAGTACGAACCGTTGTCCGAGAAGGAACAGTCGGAGGTGAACTTCCTTTTCGAACAATGGAGCCAGTTCCACCAGGACGGCAAGTTGATTATCCGCCCACACATCTTCTGGACGACACCCGGAGGCTACTGGCGTTTGCCTCATGTGGCCTCTGACCTCCACGAGGATCTGAAAGAGAGTGAGCTTGTGCTGTTCAAGGGCGACCTTAACTACCGCAAGTTGACCAACGATGTAAGTCCCATTCATCCTCACCTCCCCATGCTAGATAAAGCTAACATCGCGCTCAGGCTGCATGGGACCCCACAACCCCGTTCACAACCGCCATCGGCCCTCTCGGTCCCAACTCCGGGGTGCGCGTTCTCGCCTTCCGAACCTGCAAGGCCGACGTCGTCGTCGGCCTGCCCGAAGGTGAAGACGAGCGTCTCCGTGAACTCCCCGGCGGCGGCGGCTCCGAGGCCCGTAAGTGGGCTTGGAGTGGCAAGTGGGCCGTGGTGTCATTCAGCGATGGCAAGGCCTAGATCGGTATAGAATCTAGATTTAGACCCGAAGTAGAGTAACTGGCTAGAGGAGTCCCGATCTAAGAGGAAGCCGTGAGGGATTACATAGATGCCGAGATCGGTAGATAAAGGCACGAAGACACCGAACATACAACGATACAAGACAAATTCAAATGCAAATGCAGACGCAAGTTCAAATTCAACTCTCCAGTCCCAAACCCATCGAAAACCGAACAAACAGACAAAGCAAAGAAAGACCAGCGGGAAAGAGCGTTTTGATTCAGGGTATATGATATCCAGACATTAAGACTATGTTTATTGGCTTGAGTCGACAAAAGAAACGTCCAAACAAAGAGAAAAAAAAAAACAGACTAAAAGGCAGTAAAGTAAGAAAGCGTCCGCAAAACGAAGCAGCACAGGAGAAACACGAAGGATCAGTCACAGAAAACGAATGAGCGCCTTGAAAAGGAAGTCCCGCACTTTCCCCGTTCCTACTACGCCGATGCCAACCGAATAAATGAGCGAAAGAGATGAAAGAGAACAGACAGGGCCAAAGACGGAAAGCAAGAAAGACGATGCATGACACCTCCAGAGCCCATGGAATGAACGTATAGGCTATCAGGGATTGAAATAAGGGAAGGAAAAAGGCATGGACGGAGCGAAATCAATGATTGGTGCTGTAGGCCCGGATATTCTCTTTGCCGTCATCTTTGATCTTTCGATGTTCGTCGCGGCGTTTAATTCGTGCCTGCGCGGCGATCATGCGGTCGATGGGTATCGAGCCCTTTTGGAGGGCGCTGAGACTCTGGCGTTTCCGCGATCGATCGACGAGATGATGGGTTTCTGGGAGACCGGATAATGCGTCGAGGCTGAATTTTGTAGAGCGACGGGGGCGCAGACGCTCGGTGCGGACTTGTTGGCTTTCGTCCATGGAGGCCAGGTGATGGGCCAGGGAAGTCATGGTTGTATGGGAAGGGAGGTACGAGCGGTAGCTGTCTGGGTTGTATTTCTGTTTGGTAGTACGAGGTCGGGTAATAGATTCTAAGGGTTGGACGTCGGGGGGGGAGGATGCTGGAACGGCTTCCTCGCCCTCCTGAAGGTGGATTCCGGGCGTCTTGCGCGGGGAGTGTCCTATATTCAACGATTCGTCATTGTGGGTGTCGTCGTCTTCGTGAAGACCCAGAGCCTTGCTGGCCATTTTCACATCCAGTTCACCCAGTGCCGTTCGAGGACCGAGAGAGCGTCGATCCTTAGCTCGGGGACTGGGACTGGGCGGTTCGTCAACGTCGGTCGTCTCGTCGTGTTGGTGGTGGGTTTTCTGGGGGCTTTTATGCGCGAAGTCATGCACCTGGACGCCCGGGTAGCTTTTGCGAGGGCTATCTGAAGGGCGGGTCCGGGCTCGAAGTTCGGGCAGCCGTTCGAGAGTGGTGACTTTCAGATTCAGCAGGTCGATTTGCTCCTGCATTTGACGGCGCTCCTCATTGAACGACGCCTTGAGGTCGTCTTCCAGCTCGCGGTGCTGTTGGGAAGCAGTCCGGAATCGCTCTCGGTATTCTTGGATCCGTGTCTCCAGTTTAGACTCTCTTTGCTTGAGCTTGGCTTCCTTGTCTTTGCGCCGTCCCTCATATTTGACCATCTCCTGCTTCACCCGCGCCAGGGTTTGTTTAAGCAGCGCGTTTTCTTTTTCAAGCTCCGACGCCTTCTGCTCGGAGCTCTGGGCTAGATTCTTCAAGTTGGTGAACTCGGATTGCTGCTTTTTCATCTCCTCGATCTGTGCATTGGCCTGACCCAGTTCCTGCTGGGTTTTGCGAAGCTCTTGCGACGATGTGTCCGCCGGGGCATCGCTGACAACAGGCGATCCTGGGATATCATCCCCAACCACACCGTGCCGTTCGAGAAGCTTGCGCAATAAGCCGACGCGATGTTTGTATTGTAGGGCCAAGGCCGTCTGCTTGGTGAGTTCCTGCACCAATTTCTCTTTGTCGGCATGGGATTTTTCGGTCACCATCGTAGAAGCGAGCTGGGTTACGTGGCGTTCCATCTCCGAAACCTTGACCTCTTCCTCCTTCAGTTTTTCGGCCAGCCGCACGGCCTCCTCATCCTTCTTTCTGGCGTATGACTTGGCCGCCGAGCGATATTGGATCAACTTCCGGATTTCGCGAGTAGTTTTGGTTCGATAGCTGTCGAATTCAGCCTTCCAATATTTCCCCGATTGAGAGCGAGGCTCGTTCAGGTTAACCGTGTCGTCGTTGCTCTCCTCTTCACCGGACGGCGTCATGGCTTTCGATTCCGCCGCTGGAAGGTCAACCTGCTGTGACGAACCCACTTCTGAGCCGCCGGGAGACTTTTCGCGGGAATCCATCAAGGCCTGCGTGAGTTTGCTGCGTGGTTTCGATTTGTCCGACGAGCCGGATGACCATTGGCTACTGATATTGCCGGGCGAGATAGTCGGGGTTTTGGAGGACTTGGTGGATGGCTCGTCTCGCTTCCGTTCGTTATCGACGACGCTCTCACCGAAGGAGACGGTCTTTCGCCGGTTGGATGCGGTGCCGGGGGTGACAAGGATACTCTTCGTCGGAGACGCCATGGCATTCACAGCCGTATCAACATCCGCCGCGGTAAGCCTGGGAGCATCTCTTGCGCCTCCGGTCGCAAGGGGCTTCCGCAAATCACCGGCACCCAGACGGGGATTGGCGGTCAGATTCTTCGGGTTCTGCTGGCGGCGGGCGTTTTCTTCGTCGTCCGCGGCCGGGGTTCCAAAGAGGGCGCTCTTGAATGCGCGAATGGCAAAGACGGGCGCAGGAGTCTCGGGTGGCTCCAGGACCGTTGAGCCGTCTGCGGAAAACAAACAAGAAAAACAAAGACCAAGTCAGCGCGCGAAACAGCGTTGTCTAGGGAGCATTGGCACGGCCATTATTGGGCCACTGAGGGGAGGGAGGGGCGCGGTCAAGACATACCTGCGAACTGCTCGTTCTGCCCCTTGATCCACTCCAGCATCGCGTCTGCAGGATAGGGATTGGGGTGATTCAGATTAGCAAACTCGACACAAGAGGCATTTCACGGGGCGACCCCATTGGCGAGTGGGAGAGGCAAAGAGGGGGCCAGGACTGCGAGGCGGATTGACGTGGAACGCCGTGCTTTGTTTACGCCGACTCCAGCGCCGGCGCTAAAGCGGTCAAGGCGGTCGGCGGAAAAACGACGGCGCGGGATTTTCTGCGCGTTACCGCTTTTTCTTTTGTCACGCCCTGCGCTCACTAGTCTCTCTCTTACTAGTCCCTCCTCCGCTGTCACTCCGTCTCCATCTTTTCTCTTCTTCCCTCTCTCCCAACCCACCCACTTTATCCCTCCCCATTGCTACCCGATCACCTCCCGCTATGTCCCTTTCGGAGTTATAGAGGGCTGCAGCTTCGGCTGCATCTTTGTCACTGCTTGCTCGTGGCAAAGCTTCGTCTCGTTCTTGGGTATTTCCTCGCTGTCCACACCGCCCAACGCCCCGCTATGCCTCACAAGCAGAAGAAGAATTCCAATCATGCCCCCCAGAACGCCTCTCCCCGGGCGGAGAAGAAGCAGTTCAACCCCGAAGCCTCGCCCTTTGCCTCGCCCGTAGTCGCCCCCACGAATTACCACGAAATCCACCAGAACGAGGTCGAGGCCCTGGCCTCCATCTACGGCGATGATTTTGAAGAGGTGCAGCTTCGACGATCCGCGTGGGGTCAAGTAAGTGCCCGAGTCGCCCGCATGTCGCATCGGGGATCGCTAACCACTGGGAACGTCTAGCAATCCTCCGAGGTCACATTCAAACTCCACATACGCGCCTCCTCCAACCCGGACGTCCATCTCGAATTGCTCGTCGAGCTCCCCGCCACCTATCCCAAAACCTACCCCAACCTTTCCTTGGAAAACATCGACGATCTGCGACAAGGCGCTCGATCGCGAATCGAAGACATCATTCGCAACAAGCCGAGGACACTCATGGGGTCGGAGATGATCTACGAGTTGGCCGTGTCGATTCAGGATGTTCTCGAGGACGTGGCGGAGGCTCGAGCGCAAGACAAGGATCTTCCTAGCCTAGAGGAGGAGCGCATGGAACAAGAAGCGGCAGCCCATCAGCGAGCAGAGCTAGAACGACAGGAAGAACTTCGAAAACAAGAGGCCGCGTCGGCGGAGGAGGAACGAGCTTTACAGCAGCTCCTCGACGACAAAATCAGAGAGCGAACGAAGGCACGCGACTCGAAACGGAAGAGTCGAACGCCAGGAATGGACTCGAATGGTGACCTTGATGCTGCGGAGAATATCCCGGGTGCGATTTGCTTCGATCCCCCTCTGGTCATGACGGATGCGGATGAGGGCCCTCTGGCCTTTCGCGCGGTATATGGGAAGACTATGCTACAATCCTCTCCGGGAAAAGAAACCTTTACGGTCAGGCCGGTCACTTACGACACGCGACCCTGTGCTCCTCTCTTAGTCCTGAAAGAGGTATCCCTGGATGAGAAGGGGCTAGACCCGTTGGCGTTCCGAGAGAAGATGCGTACGAGTGAGGATAAGTTGGAAGGCCTGAAAAGGCTGCGGCATTCCAACCTGGTTGAGTTTGTCGGGTTTAAAATATATAGACCTCTGAATCCGCTCGATTCCCATGACCATTTCTGGAAGGTGTATCTTCTCGTCGAGCACGCAAACAAGGGCTCGCTGTCTGAATTCCTGGATATCGTTGGCACGGCTCCCGTGGAAGTGGTTCGTAGCTGGACTATTCAACTTCTCGAAGCTCTGGAGTTCTACCATCGCAGCGGATTCGTCCACGGAGACATTCACTGCGGGCGTATCATGTTGTTTAGGAATCCCACCGGTGGCACGATCGTGAAGCTGCAGGCGGCCATCGAGGAGACTCTGCCGGCCTCTGCAGAAAATCTGCGGCCATTGACAACCTCCAAATCGCCCTTCTGGCTTCCCCCGGAGTTGACGCCTGATGATGCCCCGCCCACCACGAAGACGGATGTATGGGACCTGGGGATAGTCTTTCTTCAGATGGGCTTTGGAAAGGACGTTTTGCAGCGCTATACATCGGCCAATGCCCTGATGGCCACCCTCGGCCTCACGGCTCCCCTGCAGGATTTATTGCATGAATTTTTCCGGCCTGACCCCAAGAAGCGGCCAACCGCTTTCCAGCTTCAACCATCGGAGTTTTTCCGTCTCGACACTCCCTTGGTTGCTCGTTCGAGCGCCTCAAACTCGATTTCTTTGCCGAGACGTCCGCGTCTAGATTCCTTGAATGGCCTGCCTGCGTTCTCGCGATATAATCAAGACTTCGACGAGGCAGGCCGCCTAGGCAAAGGAGGATTCGGACAGGTGGTCAAGGCAAGAAACAAACTTGACGGTCGCTTCTATGCGGTGAAAAAGATTTCTCAGCGATCGGCCGCCGCGTTGAAGGACACCCTGTCCGAGATCATGCTGCTATCACGACTTAATCACCCGTATGTGGTGCGCTACTATACCGCCTGGCTCGAAGAGGATCATGGCCACGGCGATGAGGACGCTGTGTCTTCTTCGGACGGAGATTTTTCTGGCCGGGACTCCAGTCCATATGAATACAGCACTGGTGGCCTTGATTTCATCAGCTCTAGTGGCTATCCTAAGATTGAATTCGGAGGCGACAGCGACGAAGAGCGTGATGGAACCACGCCGTCTCAGAAATATAAGCGCGATACACCTGAAACCTATGGCTCGGAAAGTGGCACCGGCGTTGAACTCAGCCGTGTGATGTCTGGCTCGCAGGGTAGACCGGTCTTGTCTACCCTTTATATACAGATGGAATATTGCGAGAAACACGTGAGTCATCTGGCTTCTTGGAGTCTTCTGTATACTCGAACTAACGATTATTAGACCCTTCGTGATCTGATAAGGAACGGTCTGTATGATGATGTCGACAGATCTTGGCGCCTGTTCCGACAGATCCTTGACGGGTTGAGCCACATTCACGGCCATGGAATCATACATCGCGACCTGAAGCCCGATAACATCTTCATTGATGTAGCCAACAACCCGCGTATTGGTGACTTTGGACTTGCCACAAGCGGGCAATTCACGACAGCCGTGCGATCTTCGACAACGGCAGACTTTGAAGGAAACTTCACTCGAAGTCTTGGTACCACCTACTACGTTGCGCCGGAAATGAAATCGGGCTTTACTGGAAATTACAATGAGAAGGTCGATGTAAGTTTGAGTCACGCAAATCACTTCTAAGAAAAAAAATTTGGGAAGGAAAGACAGGCTGACAGACGCAGATGTTTTCCTTGGGTGTGATCTTTTTCGAGATGTGCCACTCTCTGCCAACGGGTATGGAACGAGACCAGACACTGCGAGCGATCAGGGAAGAGAACCACACTCTGCCACCGACATTCCAATACTCCGAAAAGGCCGTTCAAGGTAGAATCATCGAGTCTCTTTTGAGCCACAACCCCAGCGAACGGCCCTCGGCGTCGGAGCTTCTCCACAGCGGTCAAATCCCTCTGCAGGTAGAAGAAGAAACTTTCCGGCGAGCGATCATGCACCTTCTGTCTGATCCTAATTCTCCCGATTACAAGAAAATCTTATCGGCAATATTCTCGCAGTCCCCCAAGAAGTTCGAAGACATTGCCTGGGATATGGATTCTCATGGGGCGCCTGCTGCTAATGAGCTTCTTATCCACGGCCTGGTCAAGGAGAGACTTACGTCAATTTTCCGAAGACATGGGGCCGTCGAAACTGCGAGACAGATGCTGTTCCCAAGATCGCAGCATTACAATAGTGGTGCCGTGCGACTGCTGGATTCCACCGGTAACCTGCTTCAGCTGCCCTTTGACCTGACACTCCCCAATGCGCGTGCAATTCCTCGGCAAGATGCTTCTCTTGAGAAGACGTTCACTTTCGGAACAGTCTACCGGGAGACGCCTCATGGCGGTGAACCTAGATCCCACAGAGAGGTGGACTTTGACATTGTGTCACATAACACCCTTGATCTAGCCTTGAAGGAGGCGGAGACCATCAAGGTACTCGACGAGGTCATCGACGATTTCCCGCCGCTGAGGTCGGCTCCCATGTGCTTCTTGATCAATCACTCCGATCTCCTCCAGCTGATCATGGAATTTTGCCGCATCACGCCTTCCAAGATTCCCCTGGCAAAAGATGTGATCAGCAAACTGAACGTGGGGAAGTGGACAATGTCAAAGATCCGTAGTGAACTCCGATCCCCAGCCATCGGCATTGCTTCCACCTCGTTGGATGACTTGGCAAGATTTGATTTCAAAGGTTCGTCTCTACCGGTTGAGCAAACAGGTTTCTAGACTAACAAGTGACAGATTCTCCCAAGCAAACGCAAAAACGACTGCGCAGCATCATGGAGGGTACACCATATGTCGAGCGGCTGGCACCCATCTTTACCCGGTTGAATCTACTGATGGCATATCTTCAGCGGTTTGATGTAAAACGCAAGGTTTATATCAACCCTCTTGGAAGCTTGAACGACAAGTTCTTCCGAGGCAGCATTCTTTTCCAGTGTGTTTTCGATAGTAAACGTCGGGATGTCTTCGCGGCTGGCGGTCGATATGATTCACTGGTGAAGGAGTTCCGTCCCAAGGTCTTAACGAGTCGCTCGCACACGCACGCCGTCGGTTTCAACCTGAGCTGGGACAAACTCAACTCAGTCATGCTCGACTACCTTCGCGGTTCCACAAAGGGTTCTCTGAAACAACCCGAGGCTGAAATCGGGGCTTTTTGGAAGGCCAGAAGAGTGAGTAGAACGTCTAGTATCTCTCGGTAGTCTCTGCTAATTTATAATAGTGCGACGTGCTTGTTGCAAGCTTCGACGCGACTGTTCTTCGCACTCTTGGCGTGAAGATCGCGCAGGATCTTTGGGCAAGTGATATCAGCGCAGAGATAGCAGTTGATGCTTCCTCGCTCGAAGAGCTCCTCACTCATTACAAGGAGCACAACCACAGCTGGATCGTCATTGCAAAGCAGGATAGCCAGGAGCGAGGGTTCAAGATCCGATGTCTTGAGCCGAAAGAGGAATTTGATGTGAGAAGTGCCGAACTGATCCCTTGGCTTCGAAACGAAATACGGTCACGCAACCAGCGTGAAGGCATCACGGACTCGTTCCGACAATCCCGACTGCCTAGCCAGCCTGATCTCAACAGTCCGAACGAACGGGTGAACGACGTGCGCATCTTAGTGCCTCAACATCGGAGCAAGAAAACAAATCGACGGAACATTGTCGAAAACGGTGAGTTCTGGTCCCCCAACCGAACACCGGTATGTTATCTTACTGACTTCGTTCCAGCTCTGTTCCGCTCGCGAGAGGTCATTGAAGACGCCTTGAACGGGCCCATCGCGGCCATCGACACGCGGGATGACCTCCTCGACGCAATCCGAGATACGCGCTTGTCAGACCCCGACAGCTGGCGTGCAGTCATACAGAATGCACCTCTGACCGAGCGAAAGTACATGAGTCAGGTCCACGAGCTCCTCGTCGATCTCGCCAACGAGAGCCGCATCGGGGACGGCGCCGACGACTTCACCAATGCGTTCATCTATAATTACCGCACGGGATCCTGTGTGTACTATGATCTGGGCACAAGAAATGAGAGATGAAAACGACGAACGTGTCATGTGTCACGCATTTCCTTGCTGTTTCTCTTTTCATTTGATTTTGATTTTGAGTTATATCGACCTAGGTGGATTGTTTATAATCTCCTCTCTGTTTTCCATAGCGAAATATACCCATGCTCATTCTATGCAAACCAGCACCCCGTAAGAAAAAGAAACGTAGGCAAGATCCCAAGGTATCGCTGCTATTATACATATCAAAAAAAGAAAATAATCGAAGTCCTCTACAGTTCGTCAATCCCATTTCCCTAGTCACTGTCATCATCACTGCCGTAGCCTACCAGAGGTCCTGAGGCCTGAGGCGCCGGCTTTGTCGTGACATTCCCTCCAGACAGCCCTCTCAGGGCCGCCACCGTCGAGCTGGAGAAGATCCCACCACTCGCCGATTCCTGCGCCGGGACCTCCGTCGACGACGACGCAGCAGCTTCCAGCATCAGCGGCTGATCCGGCGCCTCCAGCTGGCCTCCCGTCCTGCCCGCATCCTCCAACTGCTTGGTCCTCGTATACCACACCTCATCAGGGGCATCGTAGCCCTGCAACCCGAAACTCCCCTCGATTTTCTTCCTCTTCCTCGCCTCGGGATCCTTCCCTTCCAACTCGGCCACAAACTCCGCCGGCAGGGCCCTCCGCACCGCCTCGGCCGCCTGCTCCTCCAGCCGGCGGGCCTCGCGCTTCTGCGCCAACGGGTTCGGATCGACCGTGGCCCAGCGGACGTTCAGAATCTCGCTATGGTCCAAGGACTGGTGGGCCATGGCCTCCTTGCCGAACTCGGCGTTCGCGACGTTCGAGTACGTGACGAAGGCGACGCCCCGCGAGGTCAGCACCCGGATGCGCTCGATCTGGCCCCACTCGGCGAAGTGGCGCGACACGACCTCCTCGATGTCGTCGGTGACGTGGATCCGGCCGACGTAGAGGGTGCGGTTCTGGCGCATGAATGACCCCACGCCGCCCATGTCGTCCCGGTAGTCGCTGAATTTGTCCCGTCCGAAGCAGTCGACGTTCGGGTTGAAGAGGTCGTGGAGTGTGGGCAGGCGGTGCAGGTATTCGCATTCGTGGCCTTTGTGGCTGTAGAACATTATGTTAGCTTTTCAGGTCCTAGTGATATCCCCTCTGGATAGTGTATATATGGATTGGAGACATGGATTGCACGACTTACCAGATACCTCTCGCAAAGAACAAACAGAAATAAGACCCGGGCACCTTATCCGCGCGCGTATACCCACTGTCCTTGGCGACATTGCAGCGCGACGGGGCCGCATGCTTCGACAATATCGAGTCCTCGCGATCACCGCCGGACCACTTGTTGTACCAGATGTTGAACGTCGTGCCGGTCTGCGGGGGCGGCTCGGATTTGATCGTCGCCGGGTCGATCTGTGGGCGAGCTGGTCGGCGCTTTCGTCGGATGATCTTCTTGGTTTTCTTCTGGCCGTCGGCGTCTGCAACTGCTACTTCGGTGGTGGTGGTGTCACCGCCGGCGGCGACTGTGAGGGCGGTTGTGGCATCGGGTTGAGGTGGCTGGTCTGAGGGGATGGATTCTGTCGGGAGGGGGGTTTGCTCCGTGGAGCTGACGACGTCTGTGTCAGCCATTGTGAGGGAGGATGTCTGGGATGTTGCGAGGACAATCCACGATGAAATGGAGGAGAGGAAGAAGAAGATGGGAAGTTTGAAGACGAGAAGTTCGGTCGGTGATTACGTAAGGCTTGGCATCGCGACGAATTTGAAGGCAGGTGATTTCCCCGGGCGATACTCCGGAGAGGCTCATTCTCGACCCTCGTGCGCTGGATCCGATCGCTTGCTGTAGGAGACTTTTCTGTTGCTGCTCCTGCTGTTCTTTGTTCCTGGGTTATTTCCTCCCCCTGGTGCCGCATACGTTCCTTGTTTTCTTTCGGAGTCAGTTGGGTCCGCGGGGCTCTTGGGAACCGTCAAGATGGTGAACATCACGGAGAAGATTAAGGAGTATGTTTGGAGCTTTCTGCTGTTGGTGGATGCAATTGCACTGGATTGGATGCTTACATCTTTTGAAGGATCGAGGATGAGATGCGCAGGACGCAAAGTAAGTCACGATACAAACCCAGCACAACACTCCAGGAACCCCGCAGCCAGCTAACGGAGAGAAACAGAGAACAAGGCCACAGGTGCGCAACAAACCTCTTCCCTCTGGACAATAGCACACACAACCTAACTCTTATATTCCAGAGTATCATCTTGGTCTGTTGAAGGGGTAAGCAGATACACACTCTCTCCTGCACTGCAACCGAACCCAACATACTAACCGCGCCACTCCCTGCAGAAAACTCGCCCGACTACGAGCCCAACTCCTCGAGCCCACAGGCGGATCCGGCGGCGGCGGTGCCGGTTTCGACGTCAGCAAGAGCGGAGATGCGCGAGTCGCCCTGGTCGGTTTCCCGTCCGTCGGTAAATCGACGTTCCTGAGCAAGATCACCAAGACGAGGAGTGAGGCGGCCGCGTACTCTTTCACGACGCTCACGGCCATCCCGGGTGTCTTGGAGTACGGGGGGGCTGAGATCCAGATTCTCGATCTGCCGGGTATCATCGAGGGCGCTGCGGAGGGCAAGGGAAGAGGACGACAGGTGATTTCGGCGGCGAAGGTTTGATTCCCCGGGCCCCGAAAATGCTAGATATAGGTGACTTACTGTCTTTGGGGTCTAGACGAGTGATCTAATTCTCATGGTCCTCGACGCTACTAAGAAGGCTGAACAACGGGCATTGTTGGAGGCAGAACTGGATGCCGTTGGAATCAGGTTGAACAAGGATCCTCCGTATGATATGCCACCGGTCTGATTCGTCCCCGATTCCGCGCTGACCAGCATGCAGGAATATCTACCTGAAGCAGAAGAAGGCCGGAGGAATGAAGATCACGTTCCAAACTCCGCCGAAATACCTCGACGAGAAGATGCTCTACAACGTGCTGCGTGACTACAAGATTCTGAACTGCGAAGTTCTGGTCCGCGATGAATACGGTAGGCACCGCCTCGACATCACACCACAGCATCAATTAACTAACTGCTTAACGCAGCCACAATTGACGACTTCATCGACGTGATCATGAAAGACCACAGAAAATACATCCGATGGTAGGACCCCTCGATCCCCAGCCTTGAAATCTACAAAAGCTAATAAACAACCAGCCTCTACGTATACAACAAGATCGACAGCGTCAGCCTGGACTTCCTCGACCAACTAGCCCGCGAGCCGTACACGGCCGTGATGAGTTGCGAGCTGGACCTGGGCGTGCAAGAAGTCGTAGATCGAGTCTGGAAGGAACTCCGACTAGTCCGGATCTACACGAAACGGTACCTCCCCTGTCCCCCTCTCCCTTACACCCTGCACTCTCGTCTTCCACTTCCCTACGTGCCTTTCTACCCTGTCCAGCCTATCTAGTCTGGAAGATGAACTAACAACCCCCCAGAAAAGGCGAGGAGCCCGATTTCTCGGAAGCCCTGATCGTGCGCTACCAGTCGTCCATCGAGGATGTCTGCGACCAGATCCACCGGACGCTGAAGGAGACGTTCAAGTATGCGATGGTGTGGGGTGCGAGTGCGAGACATATTCCGCAGCGGGTGGGATTGTCGCATGTTATTTCGGATGAGGATGTGGTTTCGATTGTTGCCAGGTGAGAGGTTACTGGTGTTGGGGACGAGGGAAAGAGCAGGTTATTAGATTTCGTGGAGTATAGCTTTCTTGAAAATATGAACGATATTAACTTAATGTTCTACTTTGTGGAAACTTAGAAAAGATAGTGAGAGCAAAACAAATCTTGATGGTATGTGAATATTGAACTTAATCAATTAAAATGTACGAAACCTTTTACCAAACTCGAATAAATCCCAGCCCAAAACCGAAAGCAAACGCCATGTACATATTGAATCTTCAAGACTTTTAAGCAGCAGCGGCAGCGGTGGCGGCGGCAACATTCTGCATGCCAATCGTTGGCTGCACGCCAACACGCTCCTTAGCCAGCAGATCAACCAGCAGAGGGCTGGGGATGGTCTCGCGCTGGGGGTGGAAAGCCAGCTGGCTGTTCTTGTACTTGAGGACGCTGTCCAGGTAGATGTCAAAGAGGTACGAGGAGTCCAGAGGACCTCCCTTGGCCTCGGGGTGGAATTGGGTGCTGAAGATGGGGCGAGACTTGTGGATCATACCTAGGATTGTTGTTAGTGAGTGGCTTCATAAGGTTTCGAGTGGGCAACAGGAAATACTAACCCTCGTTACTCGAGTCGTTCAGGTTGACGAAGTAGGGCTTCCAGTCGGAAGGCAAGGTCGACGTGTCAACGGCATAACCGTGGTTCTGACTGGTGATGTGGCAGCGTCCGGTGCTCATGTCCAAAGCGGGGATGTTGTGGGCACGGTTTCCGTACTTCAGCTTGATGGTACGAGCACCGGCAGCCAGAGCCAGGAGCTGGTGACCCAAGCAGATACCAAAGATGGGCACCTGGGAGGTTTCCATCAAACGACGCAGGTGGTAGGTAGTATCCTGGCAGTGAGTGGGGTCACCAGGGCCGTTGGAGATGAAGACACCGTCGAAGTGGTGAGCGACCTTGTGGATGGGGTAGTCAAAGGGGAAGACGGTCACGCTAGCGCCACGGCTAACCATGCTCCGCAAAATGTTCTCCTTAACACCGCAATCCAGGACAGCAACGTGGCATTGAGGGTCGGCGGCAGGCACGTGGAAGGGAGCCTTGGTGCTGACCTGGCGGACAAGATGGATCTGCTCCGGGTCGACGAAAGCCTCGTCTTGATCGGCATCGTACTCCTCACCCACGGTGATACGGGCCAGAGAGGAACCCTGCTCACGGAGGTAGGTGACGATGGCACGAGTGTCGACTCCCGAGATGGCAGGCACGCCCTCCCGGGTACACCACTCGCTCAGGCTCTGGACGGCAGTCCAGTGGCTGTACTGCTCGGCGACGTCGGCCACCACAACACCAGCAGCCTGGAGGTTAGGGGATTCAAAGTACTTGAGCAGACCGTTGGAGTCCTTCTCCGCCGAGGGGACACCGTAGTTTCCGATCAAGGGTTGGGTGAAGACCAGAATCTGACCGCGGTAGGACGGGTCGGTCAGAGATTCGGGGTAGCCGACCAGAGAGGTGGTGAAGACGGCCTCTCCGGAGATGTTGGAGCGAGCTCCGAAGGACTTGCCATGGAAGATAGGACCATCTCGGATCGTGAAGGTTGCGCGTTCAGGGGCGGCACGCTGTTGACGCACCGTCGCCATGAACCGAGACTGGATAGAAGCATTCACGGAAGGGAAGGCAGAGGCCCGGGCGGGCATGGCCTTGAAGAGTCGAGCGAACATTGTGATGTAGATTTAGAAAGATGTGACGAGAAATGAAGAAGCGGTATAGTAGATGGATTCAGTAGTTTCCGGAAGCCTTCCAGATTTGATCCGAGATGTAGTCCTGCAGGTGCAAACGTTAGTCATAATGATACAAGGTTGTCTGGATGCCAATTGACTTCGATCGGTGCCGACGACCCCAGCAATGGAGGGGGGAAGGTGTCGTGCCGTCATCACATCGGTGGTGGCATGGGCAACTTACCTGAGAAGTGAAGATGGAATGCAAACGCATAAGCGCGACTGTGGGAGTGCCAGTCACAGAAATAGTAAAATGGGATAGAGAAAGGGTTAGATTGACATGAGGTCTGGGGTCGAGGTAGTTGAGTCGAGGTGTGAGTCAAGAATGGACGGGGGAGAAGAAAGAAGGAGAAGAGAAAAAGAAAGTCGAGGCGGTCGGGAAATTTAATTAAAACGAATGCGGCAAAAGAGAAAAAGAGCGAATTTCGGCCCGGTCGGTGGGCACGTGCCCCAGTTCACCGACTTCTTCGGGCCTCCGCCAATCAGCAGCCCCGAAGGACCTGCGGGATCGGACGGACCAGTCACGGCCGGTGTTTGTGCACTTTGTTCGCCTCTCCGCCTATCGACGCATTACCATTTGCTATTCAATAATCTGTTCTATCGGAACTATCAGATGGATCCTATGGATTCTCCCTATACCTGACTATTCAGGAGTAGTCAATAACTAGGCCTGGGAGTCACCCCGTTGACTAAAGCCGCTCCGTCGATAGCTCCTATCTCTAGTCCGGAGTCACGCGAGCTCTCTTCCCTTCTCCTTCTTACTCACTTCTCACTTCTCATCCATCCTCAGCGTCTCGGATGCTCATGCTTGCCATGCGCCTGGGCGGAATGATTGCGAATCCAGCCGGTCTACGTTGCAGCATGTCGATGCCGGATGCAGCAAGGGGCCTGGCGGGTCCCTCTCTCGCTTGCTGATCTCATCTCGGACCCTCGATGATGCTCGCCCTCAATATGTGTTTGTCAGAGAAACTCATACCCACCGCCACTTGCCCTGTCGCGTCGACGGTAGCCCCGTTCCGACCCAAACTTGGGGCCCCTATGCAATTACCTCCATGCTGGCAGTCCACGCCTTGCGTGCTCGCTCAGACTCATATGCTTATAGTTTGTTGCGGTCCGTATGCAATGCCCGATACATATTCAGATCCGCGTCGCACCGGCAGAGATCCAGAATAGCACGAGAATTTTATAAAGACTTCTCCGGTCCGAAAGGAGTTGTCCGCGGTCAATTGGGATAGGCGTTGTACCTGGTGCATGATTGTTTTAGGTACCCTGCTCCACAGTGACTTCACAGCGGTGGGTGCAGGCGGATGATCCAGCCTCCAGGTCTCCTTCAGCACAAATCGAACGCGAACCGATCCAGCACATCGGCAATTGATACCTGAGATCGGAATCGATTGATTTACTCCGGAGGACATAATAGATTGATTGGGGTTTTGAAACACTGCACGGACTAGCGGCAGGGACAACCGGCACATTGCTGTTCTGCAGAATCCAATTGCACAGACAGAATTATCTCCAGCATCTCGCATTGGGGATGGGGATGACCAATTTGGCCGGCTGGATTGATCTACAGGGCAAAAGCATTAGCTCATTTCTAGCGAGGATATTATGACATAGAATGGAATGTGGACTCGGCTCTCGGCATGGACCAGAATATGACGCGTGTCTGGTGGTTGGGCGTCCCTTGCAGCATTCCTATACATAGCCAGCGATACTCCGGTAGATAATGTCCTGACATCGCTATAATGAATTCATAGTCGTGTGCAGAGTAGAACGAGATTATTAGAGAGAGAGAGGAAGTAAAGAAGAAAGAGGGGAGCCGACGCGCTTAGCCCGATTGGGAATCACACCCCGTGCCTGGCAGCCCCAGAGCGTCCGACTGCGTTGCTCACGATTTACTCTCCGTATTCAATGAATCCGAATGGCTTCATCTCCAGCCAGCTCCAGCCAACACGAGATGTTCTAGACCATGACCGATCATCAGGAGCCCGCTCGGAAGCGCTCCCGAGTCGCCTGCGTTTCCTGTCAGTCGCGCAAACGTAAATGTTCGGGCGACCAGCCATGTACCACCTGCTGTCAATTCGGCGTCGACTGCCATTACGATTTGCTGTCGCGCAAGAAGAAAGACATCAGATATTTGCGACCACCATCGGGGCCTGGCAGTATTCTGGACGAATCCTTTGCTTTGAAACCCCCACCGCAGGACCAGACCCAGGCCCCTGCGGCACCTGGCGCTGACTCGCCCCGGGTTGACCTCAGCTCGCTGGAAGCCAATTCCGGCGCCGCCTTCGTGCGGAGATTGGGACTGAAGATGGACCCGGCCAATGCCCCTCGACTTCATATGTTTGCCTGGAACGTCGGTGTGCGTCATCCGCCCCCGTCGCCCATGCCTCCGTCGTCACCGGCCGCCGCGGTCCCGGTGACGGAGACCCTATCCCAGGATGAGATGCGAGCGCTGGTCGCCGTCTTCTTCGAGAAAGTCGATCCATGCTACGGGTTTCTGGATCGCGACAGCGTCCTCCGTCAAGTGAGCCGGCGATGGCTGCCTCCATCCAACGAGTCTGCCCTGCCATATGGGCCCTACGACGCGGTGCTCTGCGGCATCGCCGCGTTTGGCTACCTCTTCTCCCACCGACAGGCTATCCCCACAGAGTTACAGCTTGTCGACACCGCGCGGCTCATCCTCGAGCACCACCTCCAGTCTGAGACCTCGTCCGTCGATATCGTCACCGGCATGGTCCTCCGAGTCGGCTACCTGCGCATGACATCCTCGCCGCACGCTGCCTGGATGGCGAGCTGCTCCCTCATGCACCTCATCGAGGCCAGCGGTCTCCATCTCGAACAGGCCCCTGATACGATGCTCGACCACTCGCCGGAACTCTGCGACCCGGAGACGCGGCGGCGGCTGTACGGGATGGCGCGGCATTTCAACGTCTGGATCTCATTCGAGCTCGGCCGCACGCGAGTTGTCCTGCACGGCGCCACCTCGGCCACCCCGACGCCGCGACAAACCGGCCACCCGACCGAGATCTTCAACCTCCTCCCGGTCTCCGAGAGCCTCGACCCGAACAAATCGCCGGACACCGCGGAGCTCGAGACCGCGCTCACCAACGTCCTCGACGACATGCACCTGCACCTCAAGCCGGCGCTGATCCTCGCCCAATGCAACCTGATGCTCTGCATCTACCGGCGCCTCCGCGCCCTCAACCACGCCACCCCGGGGAAGCTTCTGGACCGGGTTCTCGAGCTGGCGGGGAAGGGGCTGCACGCGACGCGCGACATGGTGAATGCCATCTGCCCGTGGCACCAGGTAGCCAACGTGCCATTCCAGATCGTCTGCACGTTGTTGGCCATCGACAACCGCGCGTCGCTGGGCCTGCTGAACGAGGCCATGCGAACCCTCCGCGAGGTCGCCACGGCGTACGACACGGCCGTGATGCGCGAGGCCTACAGCACGGCATACCTGCTCGTGGTGCTGCACCAGCAGCGCAAAGAGGAAGACACCAAGGCGCTGCGTGACGTTCTGAACACGAACCCTTCCTCGTCCTCGCTGCCGCAGGCCCCGGCTGTTGAGAACCAGCACCTGAGCCTGAACCTGAACCGCCACCAGCAGCAACAGCCTCTAGCAACGCCGATGCCGACGGCAGCGGCAGAGTCAACGCATTCGCTGGCCGATTATCCGGGATTTTCGTGGCTCAGCGATATCCTGATCGACATTCCTGGTCTTCAGAACTTCGATCTGGATAATTTCCTGACCACGGATCTGCCAGGACAGGCGCAGGATATACAGTAGTTACACTCTCACTACCGCGAGGGACATAAACCCTAAGCCATTGATCTATATTGCTTGATGTCTACATCTGGCGTTATGGATATGCAATGCCTATGCGAATATGGCCGATCATATACAATGTAAAACACCCGTCTAATTGACGAAACCCTTTCGACGAATGATAAACGCTAATCGCACAACTCAAGCAGGATGCAAAAACAAGTGAAATTCATCACTGGGCCTTCTTCTGCCGATCGGCTCTCGATCGTCCCTGAGATCCGGTCCCAGAAGAGCGGACGACCAAGCCTAGCTTCCAGAGCACCCAGAGCAAACCCAGAGTGACGATGACAACGGTACCCAGCTCGATTGTCTTGCCCTGGAAGAACCCATCTTCTTTCAACTGGAGAACGGGAACATCCAGATCCTCGACTAGTCGTTCTTGCTTGTGGCTAGGGTTAAGCTGGTAGAACATGGTGCGAGGGCCAAACAAGCCGTCCCAGCCCAAGTTCACCCGGTCGAATGGGTTGGTGCCCATCTTGGTGCCTTCCTCCGTGGTACAGGCCCAGAAGACGACGGGCCACGGCACCGCAGCCGTTCGGTATCCGGATTCCGACGGCGGCAGGTATCGCAGATGCAGCGGGATCGTCACGTTCCAGTCCCCTTGCGTTTGGTCCGCTTGGTCCTGGTCCGGAGTCGCCAGCTCAAGCAACCAGTTCGAACCCCAGCGCGCCACAGACCAATCCGGAGCCTCGAGGTCCGTTTCTCCCGCCACGGCACGCAGCGTTTTCAGGTGATGAGAGTCCAGGAACAGCCGGTCCGTGGTCGCGAGCTGGTACTTATCGCCGAAGATCGTCGACGACAGCGTCAGGTATGTGTGCAGTGCGCAGGTCGCGTCCGCCGGGGCCGGCGGGGGTTCCAGCCCAGAGCGAGGAATGGAGATGGTCATCGTCGGATGCAATCCCGTCGGGGCAGGGAACGAGACGGAATAAGTCGCCTCGCTAGGGAGGGAATGATGACGCGACGGAAATGAGAACAGGGTGGGTTCTAGATAGACAGTTAGCGTTTTTCACCCACACACCCCCTCACGGTATACCCAGAGGCAGGGGGTTGTAGCAAACATACTCAATTGATCATCCGACCCAACAACACCCAACAGCCCACCCATTTTAATCTCCTCCGGCTCGAGCGCTTTCTCCGTGCCCAGAAACCCAACCTCAACCTGCCCAGCCCCGGCAGCCTGTTTCTGGATCTTCTCCGTCCAGCCTCCGCTCGGAGAACGAGCCCAGTACCCCGTTAGCGTCAGCGCATGCGAGATACTATCGTAGTTGATATCCAGCGAGTCGGCGGAGGCCAAAGACGCAGCGTGGCGGAGACACTCCTCAGATCCTGACGCAGCACAGACTTTGTTCTGGATATACGAGACGAGGGTATCAAGCGAGGGAAGCAATGCGTGGTATTGATACGCAGCGGTAGATGCGAACCGCGTCGAGAGGATGGGGGGCGTGATGAATGAAGTCTGACCGCCAGATCGGCGTGTCAAGTTAGCATGTATACTCCAGCTCAACACAACACTCAACTCGACAGGGCACAAACCTCAGGACTCGAACACTTCAGCCCATCATCGAACACATCCTTTAGCAAAGCACATAGCGAGGGTCTAATCTCACTCGTTAGCCACCGCATCAACTAAACACAAATAACCACCCCATCCCCAACACTGCACCCAAATCCACCGCAACCCCAAAACAACCAAATAGTCCGCAACCGCGCCCCCAAAGAAAGTCCAGGGGGAAAAAGAAAAGACAAAACTTACGTCTCCGACCCCCCCTCCCTCGGCGTAAACAAAACATGCAACCCAGCCGCCACACGACTCGAGAACGGCGCCAGGGTATCCACCGACCTCTCACTCGCCCAGCGAACATGCAACTGGTGAGATTGTTTTAGGACATCTTGGATCTATTATATAAACAGATTAGCATGAACCACTTCACCGGTCACCGCAAACAACCCCAATAATAGAAACAAGACAGAGCAGTGTAGACACACCTCATCCGACACCTCCTCAATCCCCAACGTAACCCTCTCCTCGCGCGCAGCAACCAACTGACGAACTGAAAGCTCTTTTCGGGATAAGACGGCCTGGTCCAGGTCGAAGGGGGAGTCGGGGGGTTGGACGAAGGTGATTCTGCGGCGCATGGTGAGTCGGTCCTGAGGTAGGATCTCGGTGGGTGGGTGTGTAGGTCGGGTGATGAAGGACTGAGACGGGGATTGGTTGAGTTGGATGGTTTAAGTAGGGAGGGAGCTGGTCTGCGAGGGAGTCGGTAGGACGTAACGTAGAGCTGGTGCGGAGGAGCTGCGGAGGTCATGAGCGCGACATCGTCACGGGAGCTGATAAGATAAGTCAGATGCCGGGCTAGGCTGTTTTGGGATATGCGGGTATGCGGGTACTGGGAGAAGCGGTCTGTGCTGTAACTACCTATGTATGATGGTGGTAGGGAAAGGATTACGGTGTATACTCATGGGCAGGATAGTGAAAGAATGCTTTTATTCCAAGAATCTAAACGAGATATAACAACGCCTCAATCATCATCATCAGTAGTCATAAAAAACACGCCAACCGCTCCCTCGAAACGCCATTAATGCTAGGTATAATCATGAAATCACACTCAATTGGGAAGCACGTCCTTCAGCACGTCCTTCTGTTCTGTGGTCAGGCTGCTTGGGAATTTGACGCTGACGCGCACGATCAGGTCGCCTCGCTCGCTGGGCTTCTTCGATACCGTCATGCCCCAGCCCGGATACCGTTCTTCGTGACCGGGCTGCGTCGGGCCTGGCTTGGCGACTCGGATCGACTTGCCGTCGATGGTGCGGACAATACGCTCCCAGCCGGTGAGAGCCTCCTTGAGGGTGAGGTCGACGGTGGTGATGAGGTTGTCGCCGTGTCGTTTGAAGTTGGGGTTCTCTTTCTGCGGGATTGTTAGCGATTCATCTTGGGCGAGGACTCAGCTGGAGATGGGGTAGACCTACCTCTGTAACGATAAGATGCACATCCTGACGACCACCTTCTTCTTGGTCGCCCACGCCGCGGTACTTGATCTTCGATCCCGTGCGCAGACCCGGCTTGATGTTAGCCTCCAAGGTCACGTCCTGGACAGTGCGCTTGCCACTGGCGTCGAACGCCTTGCTCTTAACCGTGACCTTCTTGGTAGTGCCGCGCATCAACTCCTCCAAGGTCAGCGGCAGCTCCTTCTCCATCACGGTCGGCTCGGGGGGAGGAGCGCGTCGGGACTGCTGGAACCCACTGGGACGGCTCGATCGGAAGCCGCGGCCACCACCTAGGCCGCCACCGAGCATGGAGAAGAGATCGTCATCATCCATGCCCATGCCGCCGCCGCCGCCAGCCTTGGCGAAGTTCCGGAAGATATCGTCGGCGGAGCTGAAGCGGAAGCCGGAGCCGCCGCCGCCAGGGCTCGTCGAGAAGTGGAATGTGCGACCGCCGCCGCCGCCGGGCATGCCTCCGAACGAGAATCCTCCCGGCATGCCCCCATCGAAGGGGCTGCCTCCGGCGCCGCCGCCACCACCACCACCGGGCGAGGGAGGCGGACCACCGCGAAGGAGATACTCGAGGCCGAATTGGTCATAAACCTTACGTTTTTCCGGGTCGGAGAGGACTTCGTAAGCTTGGGAAACGTCTAAAGCGGAGTAGTTAGCTACCAATGCCATTGGGACAATCGAGAAGGAATTAAATGGGGGTAGACGAGTCAACATACCTTTGAACTTCTCCGACGCAGCGGGGTTATCCTTGTTCTTGTCCGGGTGGTACTTCAATGCCGCCTTCCGGTAGGCTTTTTTAATATCATCTTGAGAAGCGTCGGGCTTGATGCTCAAGGAATCGTAGAGTTTGGTTTCCGCAACCATTGTGTCGTAGGAAAGGTGTTGTGTGGCGGGTGAAGAGAATTAAAGATGCCGGTCAGGGCAGAACAGGGTCGACAAAACTCTAATTGGAGCTCAATAAATAAGGATGGAGCCGCCAGTAAACAAAGATCACGAAAAGAATGCAGGTGCCAAAGCAACCGGGGTCGAGGGGAAATAAAATTCAGTCCCAGTTGGCAAACCGGCGTGGAAGCTGGTGGGAACTCGAATGACGTAGAAGGTTCGCGGGGCGAGAGCGAGATAGGCAGTCAGATCGAGACTGGGCAAGGGGTACTCGCAGGTATCGAGGAGGATATCGTGTGATAGGTGAGGATTGAAATTGGCAGAGAGCGTGAATGCAGGAGAAGGAGGAAAAAGGACAACGCAGAACAAATCAGCGAGACGCGGCGAGGAGAAGAGAGGGGCCTTGATGTATGGAAGGCCTTTCAGGTGACGACAGCCAGTCCAAGTTGGTTGTGACGTGTGACGTCGCTGACCGCCGGCCAATCGAAGGTTCGAGAAGCTTCGGTCACTTGACCTGAATACAGCGTACTAAATGAAAAAGTAGGAATGGTGGGCTGATCGCTCGCCTGCATCAGGAGACGTTAAGCATGCAGCTGCCACGGAGCTGCATCCCTGATGGGGCGTTTCCATCGACATCATCGCCGTGGCCAGTTTGCCCGGTCGGAGACTCGCATTACATTAGGGCTCGGCTGAGGTAATCGAGTCAACTACAACAACTATAGGGTAAAGAGGGCGTCTTTCTACCACATGCATTATTACTCGACATGCAACATCTACTCTAGTCTCTTCAGCTATGCAACTATTCAACCCTGCCCTCAACCCACCACTGTATAATCCTTGATCACTGCCGTCCCGTTGCTCACCCGCTCAATCTGCTCCTCAGTGCAGGTGCTCAGCGACAGGATATAACAGGTCGGCGCCGGATTAGGCGGCACCTCGTTGGTGATATTCCAGGTCGACGAAGGTCCCTCGCTGGTATAGTTGTGGTTCGCCGCCGTGGACACCTTGCCGGTCGCAATGTCCCGGTTGAACAATGCCCGGTGGAAGATCTCATATGCCGTCTGCGGTTGATACGCAGGCACCTCGTGGCCGGCCTGGAAGACGCGAGTGAACGAGAAGTTCCCATGCTGTCGCACCCGACCGCCGACGTACGTCGCGTTGGTCTGGAGCGGCGCGTAGCCGGCCGATCGGAATTGCTCGGCGTCGGTATAGTCCACCTGCAGACTGACTTGTTCGCCTCCGTTCCACGGGCACGCGTAATCGCGATCACCATAGACAAGGGCCACCTTGATGCCGGAATCCAGAACATAGGCGATGTCTTCCAGATACCCGCGTACGTCGGACCGCGGGTAATCGCCGGTGGCGTCGAAGCCATTGTAGACGCTGTCGATGGATTCGGTGAAGTTGACGGGGACGCCGAGAGAGGCCTGCACCCAGTGCTGGCTCAGATATCCCAGGAAAGACGCAGGGGGGAACGGGTCCGGGTTCAGATGCGCGATGTCATAGTAACCCCGTCCGGAGAACTCCTGGTACGGCCCTTCTACTTGGTTGAGGCACCGGTCGTTGGCGTCCTTGCAGGCGGCGTTGACCGTTTGGTTGTTGCCGTACATCTTCGGGTCCCCCTCGGCCGCAAGATGCCGACATTCCACGATCAAATCCTTGCAGCCCCCGGGCTTACTCCAGGCATCCATTGCCCTCTCAAAGACGGTCCGGTTGATAGCTTCGATGCCGTACGTATTATTGAAGGCCATCTCGGGATATCCAGGCGCTTGAACCAACAGGTCGACGCAGCCGTTGATAATGCCCAGCGTGTCCAGGTGAATGTAGTGGGCATCCAAATCGTTGGACACGGATCTTTTGGCAACCTTTTCATTCTGTTCCTGGAAGAAAGATGTGAAGGATGGGCCATACCGGCCGCCGTACGACTCGGTCCAGATGCTAACCCGGTCGTCGTGGGGTTTGTAGTGAGGAAACTCGGTGAACCAGGTCTGCGCAAAGTGCCACAGCGCCCGGGCAGCATTCTGCGTGGTATTGGCCGTCGCAGACTGGTTCAGGCTGGGAAATGTTCCCACGTAGAAAGTGTTGTTCTGCTGGGGAACCTCGCCGTCCGGGAACGGGGAGACGTCCATCTCGGAGGTGAGGCGATTGAGCGTGCCGTTGGTGGGCACGTCGTAACTAAATCCGACCTGATTCGGCTGGTCGATGTACAGCATATTGACGTAGTTATTCCAGGACCACGGGTTCAGCTCCGTGGAGTTGGAATCGGCATTGACGATACAGGGCCCGTTCTCCTGCATCAGGCCGATCATCGACGAACTCCCGGGGCCGCCGTTCATCCAGATGGATAAAGGCGCGTTGACGGGGTCATTCCGCGACTCGAAGAACCAGAAAAAGGTGTTGATGGGGTAATCCTGGTCCAGCGACACATCCCCCAAGGTCCCCGGAGGCAGATGCACATAACCCGAGTAGGACTTCACGCCGGGGGTGGTCTCGCAAATGCCCGGCTATATCCCGCAACAGTCAGACATCCATTCCAACGGCACTGAACCAAGGGAAACAAGTCGACATACCTCTTTATACGAGATCTTCACCCCCTCCTGATGCTTCGACTCCACGACCTTGACGCCCTCGGGAGTCGGCGGGAAATACTGACCCGTCACGACGACCCCCAGGCCGAGGGTAGCCAACGCGAACGCAGCGGACGGCATTGAAAGCTAGCGACTCAATGGTCAGGGAGTCATGAGAAGCGGGGGAAAGCGAGAAGAAGAGGGGAAGGAACTGCGGCGCCTTTTAAGCATCACGGCAATAGGACCTTGCTAGTTGTTGCAGTCCGCTTCATCCTTGCATGCGTTGTGAGTCCATTGGTGGAGAGACCGTCGATCGTTACATCGGGCGCAGTCGTGATCCGTTAACGGATAAGCTCCACCAGGGCTCGCCTCACTGCGGAGGAGATGTCGGGGAATTGGATGTTGATGATAAGAGAATTGATTTGTGGATTGTTTGGAATTGATTGCTCCTGCATTCATTCCGGTCTGTTTATCTTGGCCAGGCTTATCTTTGCCAAGACCCGGAGACATATTCAGCGTATTCTATCAGTAAATCAGGGGAATTTAGATCTTTAGGTTCGTAACTAATCTTGTTGCCCTAAAAATGGTCGGACACTAGACCACGGTCTGTTTTAAATTCATGAGCAAATACATCGCACAAGGGCTTTGTTGTTCGAAGTAACTCTACCAGTACCCGCTCCTACAAGATCCAGGTGGTGTCTAGTTCTGCGTTATGGCACCGACCTGTACGATTATCCGTTCTCGTTGAGATTAAACCTCGAAGTTTGACTGCTACGAGTTCTTGACTCAACACAGTAGACAACCGGAGGACATGCATCAAGTCCAGTACAATATAATGCACGAATACGGAGTAATATATATCAATTGACTTCAACACCGCAAGGGATATAATTAAACCAAAAACCTGGCAGTCCTATTCAACGTAGTATAATCTTCATCATCGTCCCGTCCGCAAAATAACAATAACGAAAGACCCAGACGCCGAGGTATTCCATGCCAAAAAGTCCAATCCAATCCCATCAACACGCCGATACGCTAACAAAAGTAGAGATAATAACCAGAGATCGACACGGCGCACAGATTATAAAGAAACAAGGTCGGATGATAGTCGTCTGAACAGATCGTATCATGTCCAACAGAGCGCCAAGACCGAAACGATAACAATAGTGAGACAGTGATGATGGCGGATACCCACCATATCAGTAGATGGATAAAAGAGGAAGTGACAATGGTACATGCATGTGATAGGGACAGACGGGAGTATTCGTGGGGTATAGATTCTAATATATACAATGAGAAGAAGAGAATGGAGAGACCAAAAGCTTAGACAGCTTGAGGGTGGTGGACGGAGGGAGTGGTGGTGGCAGGAGCCTCATCACTCTCGGTGATGGTCTTGGTTGACTCCAAAGGCGCCTCGGTAGACTTTACATCGTTGAGATGCTCAGTCTTGGATTGGGCGATGTCGGAGATGGGGAGGTCATTGTTGGTGCTGATCTCGGTGTCGGAAGCCCGGTCGGATGAACGGACACTGGACACGGAGTGAAAGTCGTCTCTCTCAGGAGAGGGTCGACGGAAGCGGCCGGAAATGTCGGATCGCTTCGACGAGAGACTGGATGTATCGTTGTTGGGGTGCAGCGGAAGTTCGGTGAGCTCGTCCACCGATGCCAGTCCGGAGGTGGATGCCACGGAGCGTCGGCCGTCGGGAGAAGAAGGAATGGAGGTGGGAGAGTTGGGAGTCGAGAGGGAAACGGGAGCCCGCTGGGGGTTCCGCGGCGGAAGAGCGGGAGGCGCGCGCTTTTTGGGAATCGTCACGAGTCGCGCGCGGGTGAAGGTGGGAGACTGGCCTCGCAGTTCGGTCGGGGCCGTGGGATCTTCCATGGACACCGGCGAAGAGGCGGCACTGTCACGCTTGGTGATGGTGGCACTGCTGACTTCGTGCACCTCGAAATCGTCGTCGTCGATCAGGTCCTTGTCGTAGTCCTCGTGGGGACGGGGGTCTTCGTCCTTGCGCTGCTCGGGGATGACAGTGTCCCAGCGGTTCTCCTCGGTCTCCCACGGCGTGGAATCCAGACGGTCCACAAAATCGCGGTTACTTCGGGACGACGCCCGGCTGACGGAGGTGGGTGCGGTGGGAGGAGCGACGTCGGTCTGGGTGCCACGGTCCATGCTGGCATAGCTCTGCACGCTGGCTCGACTGGCTCGCCAGCTGTTGCGAGGCGAGCTGTCGATGCTGCGCCGGAAGGTGGCAAAGACGGGACTGCTGGGACTGGGCTTGAAGTCAAAGGCTTCGACACTGGGCCGGGTCCTCGTGCCGGCTTCGCGGATGAAGAGCCCTTCCGCTTCCAGGGCTTTGACTCCGAACGGATCGGGATCGTCTACAGCTGGGATGCCGAAGGAATTTCCCGCCGGGTTGAGCTCGACGTCACCGGGCGTTTCTCCCGGCGGGGGAACCAGACTTTCGTCCACGTCGCTGTCACCCTGCGCAGCCTTGATCGTCTGGATGAGGGTTTTGATGGAGGCAGGCGGGTATTTCGCTTTGCCGGCGAGGATGTCCGTCACCGAAATTCGCTCGCCGAAGAACCGCTCGTTCTCGTCGGTCCGCTCAATGATGACGGTTCCGTCCACCTGCACGCCCGCGTAGAGTCCGCGACTCTTCATGTAGGTCCAGATGGGAGCCTGACGTTTATGGACCTCCGACTCGAGGACACCTCCCATGCCAACCGGACCGGCCGATGCGCTCACCTCCCCTCCCAGTGTGCAGCGCACCTTTTTGAATGCCTCCAACGCTTCGTATGTATTGATAACGACCACGCAGTCGTAGATGTCGACACCGGCCAGAAAGCCGATGCCCGCCGTATGCAACATGATACCGGAGGGCGGACTCCATTCGCCGGTTTCGGGGATCCGGGCCAACAGCACGCCACTGCCGCCAGAGCCGCTCAGCCATAACCCCGTGCGCATGGTCGTGAAGATCGCGAGACCTTTTGCGCGTTGGATGACCTGGGTCGGAATCTTCTTGATCACGCGCTGTTTGCCCTTGGGTCGATCGATCTTACTGGACCGCTTGCTGGTGGCGCTGTCCGTACTCCGGCGCTCGGTATCCTCCTCGGCATAAAAGCCATCCTTGCAGAAGCTGCGCAGAATGCGAGCGGCTTTGTCGCTTTCTTTGTCGAGAGTCATGGGCCAGAAGGCCTCGGCACCCACCCGATAGGACAACCGGTTAACGGGATCGCCGAGCTTATCGAGCTGGTGCCATGCCTTGTCGAATCCCTTCTTGGAGGTGCCTTTCGTCTTTTCCCACAGGGAAGGCATTGCGACAAACTCAAATCCTTGGTCTTGGCCGAGGATCGACAAATGTGAAACGAAGCAGACAAGAGATTTCTATAGGACCCAAAGGCCCCCTCAGGCAGCGCGGCGACGGGGCAAAGCACCAGACCTATAACCAGCAGTGCGAATGGTCGGACGAAGGAAAAGCGACGAGAACAGTAAACATGCGACGGACGGATCAGCACTCGATTGCTTAATGCGAACACGAGAATGCTCGAGGTGAGACAGAAAACGGTTGCTGACACAGCCGAGGAATGCGTCTCCCAAAACACCGTAGGAATGCGAGGGAGGAAGAAGATTATGACGAGGAAGAAGAATGAAGACGGGGAAGGCTGCAGGGGAAAAGAGGTTAGATTGGACCACAGAAATTTTTCGATTCTTTTCTGGAAATGAGGCTACATGGTCGGGCAGAGAAAATGGAGGCAGACGATCCGATCTCTCGCACTCCGTCCGATCCGTGTTCCAGACTCTCCGGGGAATGAGTGGCAATTTAACGAGACCCGAGGCTCATACGCAACGAGACGGAGCCCAACCGTGGGTCAACGGTCGAACCAAGAAAAAAAAAGAAAACCAGCTTACCTTGCTCCGGGTTAGTTCGACGACATCAAAGTTTGAACCCTCCCGACCCGACGGGGATAAAAAGGCAACAGGGTTTGAGCAAGGCGCCGCTGCAGAGAAGTGGGGAGGGATCAAGGGAGAGGCCGAGAGGACGAGAGATCGTTTGGGATGATTTACAATCGGCGAGCGAGGGACTCGGAGTCTATATAGCGAAGGGGGAGAGCGCACGAGATGGAGGAACGGGACCGGCTACAGAGAAAAAGAAAGGAAAGGAAAAAGAAAAAGGGAGAGCGACGGGGCGATGGATGCAGGATAAGAATATAAGATTTCAGATTGGGGGGAATTAATTAAGCAGACGCATGCCATGCAGGCCGTCAGCTCCAATCCTTGAAGTGGAGAGCTGACGAGGGACCAGGAAGAGGATCCGCCTGGGGGCAGAAATGAACGGTTTACGGAAGTCGGATGGAGAGAAGAAGAGAGGGGAAAAGAAAAAGAAATGGCAAAAGAAAAAAGAAAGAAAAAGAAAGCCAAGCAGCCGAAGAGAGGCGAAGATCGATGGCATCATCGCCTGCAGCATCCGCCTGCCATGTTGACAGTCTGCCGGATGGGATGTCCGTCCATTATTAATGATTAATGAGAATGCATTCTGGCCCCGGATGGATGTCTCTGCCGGTATCCGTTGTCTGCCTCTTGGTGCCTCCTGCCGACAAACCCGTAGTCGCAAGAAAGACCATTGTTGCGATCCAGCGACCACAGTCATCTCGGAGTCATAGACCAGAGTCGATGACGTCGTTGCCCGACCATCCACTGAACCAGCGTTACGCAGTACTTTTCTGAACCCCGACCAAATTAAACACAATAAAAAGCAGGCAGAAAAAAAAAGAATAAAAATCAAATCAAGGAGCAGCTCCAAGCAAAACCGGACTTCTCTCCCTGTCTCCCCACCGCGACCAGACAAGTAGAAATCCACCTGCCCTGCTTTGCGTCTCCCATCCGGCCAAACCCATCGGATGCATACGAGATCAGAACGGATCGAATTCCCCATCTGACACCTCCGATTTCTCGCGCCTTTCCAGCCCTGGACCCGGTCGGGATTGTCGCCCGTCCTTCCTCTTCGATTCTTGGGTTCCTGACACGTCAATTCGGCCGCGCAGGGATGAGACCGACCCCCTTCCGATCGTTGTTGAGGGAACGGCTGGGCGATGCTTGCATGGAGGAAGGATTCGCCATTGCCTGCGTGGTTTGTTTGGGACTTCGAGGGGCTCCTGTGCCGCACGAACTTGTCCGATTGGAAGGGTTCCTGGCCTCGATCGATGGATTTACGGAGTAGTTTGTAAGCCCTCATGGAGCTGGTCGAGCCTCTCTTTCTTCTGTGCGACCCTCGGATTGCATATTAGATCCCGATGGACCTGCGATGGAAGTGATGCACGAGTCTGGAGCATTTATCTCAGTTCTCCATACTTGAGCATTTCGTAAAGACCAACTGAGTGCAAATGTCTCTGTTGGATGACTAGAAAAAGACTAGAAGACTAGAAGCATCTAGGCGGGAATCTCTCTCCACCGTCGATCCGGCCATCCACCGACCCTCTGCCCAACTGCCGTGCCCTAATTCCATCACTAATGGCTTGCGCTTTAGTGTCCACGCCATCATGATTCATGACTTTTTTTCCATCTTCTGTCTGTTCTCTTTGGTCTATCTTTGGCTAATGTCTCCTCCCCGACACTAACCCCGACCAGCAACTAGTCCAGCGGATCATTATATTATTCTGCATCTCCATCCTTCACGATCCCTGTCCAAACAATAAATCATCGGACACCTCGTCCTGCATGCATCTGCCATGGCACGAACTAATCCTTGCCAGGCCAGTCGATTCGTCGCAGCTAACGCCAGTTGAAACCAAGCCGCCGTCAGACTAGACTCGACTCGACTAGCTGCAATCTCTTCTCTGGGGTCCCTCGATGAGGGATTCCCCTTGTAATTAATTAATCTAATTTAATTTGCGAATCCTCCCGCCGTGCCTGAACCGTGCGATGCTCGTCCAGCGTAGAACTCCGTGGTTTATTTTTGCACTCGACGTCTCACATCCGCAAAGCCGATCTTGACGCTTGGGAATCCCGAGACTCGCAATCGTTCGACCGATCCATTTCCGCGGCCCAGTTCGGCACCGCCCTCGAGATCAGGGGAATCCTCGGGACGAACCAATTGCCCAGGAACCAGAGATCCCCAGCCAATAGCGATACCCTCTCGATCGCCAACCCTTCAAAAGGAATTCCCACGTAGGAAAAAAAAAAGACAAACGACCGAAACAGCGGAGAGCATACCCAGTAAAAGCATACATCCAATGCAGCAGCGCCACGATGGCCATCGAAAATCGAAAACCCATATCCATCCTGGCCAGCATCCATCTAGATCATCCCGAGTCCAGATGAAGGCCCTCCCTCCGTAAGTTTGGATTCCCACCCTCGCACGAGAATCTGTCAGCAACGCCACCATGCTTTGCTATCTCGGTCTTCATGTACAGACGGGTGAAGGATATGATGCATCCATTTTGCCGGGCATACGTCCAGAAGGATAAGTTTTCCGAGTAGACAATCATCGACATAGTTAACCTAGGTAGTCTAGTCCGCGATCTTTTCTCGGAGCCGGCCCGGACAATGCGAGAACCACCCTGTTCCAGATAGCCTCACAGCCTCACAGCCTCACAGCCTCACGGGAGGCTGGCCACTGAAACCCGTGGTGGAGAGCAGTTGTATGAGGATGAACGGGGTGCATGCCGTAGCGTGGCGACTAGAACTCGTCTCGAACATTCGACTCTTGTCCAATAGCTCGTACGCCGTGGTGTATGGGCGTCTCCCGCGGTCCGTATACAGACTAGAGTGTACTAGACTGGCGCCGACGCGGCGGATGGCGGATATCTATTGTTCAGCTGGAGAGGAGATTGGTTGGGCGTAGGGGTCGTGGCATTTTCTGGGATTTTGAGGCTGAAGTATTTATCTTCTAGTATCCGGACTTGTCTCCCGGGGTGTAGTTATAATCTGTTGTGGCTGTTCGATCTGACTGGTATATATGTGTGCATTCTCAATTCGGGAAGAAAGACAGGTTCGAGGGACTCGGAGCCGAGCCATGTGATCTCTGTGTATAGAGCACCTGGTTGTGAGGTTCCAGCTAAGCCATTCGGTATAGGATCACAGCAGCCACGCAATAACGACCTCAGCCGGGCCGTCTGTAATTTGGAAGCATGTATCTGATTTGGGTAGGTCCACGCCATGCGACTGTTCGCGCGATAAAGATATGATCTATTGAATCCAAGTCCGTCCACGTGCACATCTGAATTTTCAAGAGCATTCTCACGAAGCACTAGCTATCTGCGGTTCGATCCAGTGGCAAACTCTATCAGCTAGGGATGCCCCTTGTCGACTCCAAAGTCATATCACTCTGAACTATGTTGGTCGTTAGGATGCACTGTAATAGTACGGTTGCCAGATTATATACCATTGAATATAAGATCTCCATGTCGACTATTAAATATATACCGGATTCGAATCTTAACATACATTGCGTCCTCCGGGTTGATCTCATCCTACCTTCCTTATCCATCGGAAGCCTGCATACGCATAGCAGAGAAGCGAGGGAGAATGCACTTGTTGTCACCGAACCATTCCACAGCGGCCCCAACCCCCAGCAAAAAAGCAAATAAATATATCACCTAAACCGACCAACAGACAGAAAACAAAAAGCAAAAAGTATTGACCGACGCAGGGGTCGAACCTGCAATCTCTTGATTCGTAGTCAAGCGCCTTGCCATTGGGCCAGCCGGCCTTGGATGGAAAATCTGCTCGCAATTTGCCTATCTGAACCAGAGGCAAATGACAGTGCGGATTGCGCAACGCAGACTGCACAAAGTGGGCCGGCCCGCTAATGCATGACATCATGTAATTTCACTCATTCCGACCAAAAACGGCACGTGACCCTACCCGCTGCTACCAGTGTGGAATGGTGCGACCCTCGGTTTGGTAGACGTTGGCCGGACTACTTCTATGAAGTTTGCGCGGCGTAAAGCGATTCAAATCGATTGGAATTTTTATGATCTACTCTTCTAGTCTGTGCGACTATTGATATTAATTTCCACGTTTAGAGCACGTGTTTTGGGGCCGTTGGAATTAATCTAAAAATCGTTGGTTCCGTAGTACAATGGTCTGATGAACTCAACGCCGGCCCCCTTCCCGCTGACCGTTAGCCGTCCGAAGCCGTCCGAGGAATGTGCGCTAAGCAACCAACCATCCCTAGATTGATTGCATGGGCTTACGCATTCCGCTTTTGCTCGTTTGTACCTACTCACTCCGTTTTAATGAACACATGCTTTGAAGGGGCTAGAATGGCTGATTTCAGCTTCCGTGGCCAAAGCCTAGATAATGACCTTGTTGGATCTATATCCTCTCTCCTGAATGATGCTGGCATCCCAAATTTACTTTGGGGGAACTACCTTCTAACCATTTACGGAGTTCCCACTATTGTTGACGTCCGTATAATTTCCCATAGACATCACTATCTGAACAACTTCTCATCCCATGCCAGGGCGTCTCCTTCATTGTACCTGATGCACTTATCGAACCCGGTCTCTCTACTCTATTACATTCCGGTTTCCTCCCATGTACACCAAGCTTTGAATGTCCACACTCAAACGACGCCAAAGGCTTCTCGACTAATGCACATCTACATATCAATGAGGAGCTTGTGATATCGCTTTATGGGAAGTCTGATATGCTTTGGGAACTCCCGGACTTCGATATCGCTACCCAAAATACTGATATCATGTCTGCGTCTGACCCTCAACTCCCGCCCACAATCCTCGGGCGCGGTCAAGGACGCTTCCCCTCGCATCTTTCTGCCGTTAGAATCCCGAGCGCCGTGCGATATTGTGAAGCTATCCTTTTTCTACTCTGTCGGGACTACGGGCATCTCCGTGAGTATTATTGGATGGCAATGTTGACTTATCTTATGGAATATGTTGACGGGACGGATATTCTTCGTGAAGAAAGTCTGAGGGAGGAATATACACCGTTCTACGGGGCCATAATACAGGGGGATCCGGACATGTGGCTACACCTGGATACGCTTCGCGATGGTTTGATAAGAAGGCAGGCTATCAGGTGAAACGGGCAAACACAATTTCAACGAAATTCAGCTGAGCTCTTCTTTCCGCACAAAAACCAAGTCTGGAACTCTTAGAACCCCGAATCATCGTCGCCCGCGTCAAAGCTCGACAATCTTCTCGCTATCAAATCCGGTCGACTGAGCGAAGTAATACCCTCTCTGATTTGCTAAGACTCTTTTACCAGTCTCTGGATCCCTGAAATCACAGTTGAAGTGCGTATGTCCAAACGCCCAAAGCGTGACGGCTTTGCACTGCCAGCAAGATTCCTTGGATAGATCTGTCATAAACCCGGAGGAGATCTTGCTGTTTCCATGTCTGGGGTCAATGACGTTTGTGTCCGTGGAGGGACAATAATGAGTGAAAACAACAATTTTCCGACCAGGCTCTTCCCGGGAAATCAAGTCGACTTCCTTATTCAACCAAGCCAGATCCGCGAGGTGTGCTTCTCGATGAGACTCGACAGACCAGTCGCGCGTGTGGTAGAAATCATTCAGCCCGAAACTAACATGATCCGATTGATCGTGTGTGACATTTGAGAACAACGTGCAGCCAAGAATCGTGACAGTCGGTGAGAGATCGTAGCGCGTCTGGTCAAGCAGAACAAGCTCCCCGAGCGCCTCGTCTCCCTGAGAGGTGCTGTGGATCGTCTCTTTGAACCCTTCCACCCTGGATTTAGCCTCGACCCAGCTGCTATGGTAGGGCTCGTGGTTGCCCAGAACCAGGAAGACAACCCGGAAGGCGGCTAGCTGCTTGCGAAGGAAATCGAAAAACCCCTCGTCTCTGACATACCCCACGTCGCCGAGCAGGGCTAGAAACGGCGCCTTCGGAGTGATGTCGAAAAGATCGTAGGCCGACGGAGACTCCAGATGGAGGTCCGATACGATTTGGATCCGCTGGTCAGTCATGGCGAGTCGGATCTGTTCAGGAAGATTGCATCAAGAGATGTGTGGTGGTAAGGGTCGTGGTTACTGCCCGGCGCTAATCTAGCCGTTCTCAAAAGGCAAGCGAGTCAGATGACCTGAAGTGTGAGACACATCTTTGCCGCCGCCGTTGTCTCGGAGTTTGAAAACAAATCAAGGTGTATAAACTGCTTTAGGATGAAGTGAGCTGTAGTCAACAAAAAAGAACCCGCTTAGTCATCGCCTAGTTTCCAGGCAGTTAAACGAACAGCGGGTCTTCCAAATTAGCCGACCCACCCGTCAAATACTGGAACAGCACCACTTTTCCATCAGATATTCCACAATGAAGCGACGAACGATGGCTAAAAACAAACGCAAAAGATTGACCGACGCAGGGGTCGAACCTGCAATCTCTTGATTCGTAGTCAAGCGCCTTGCCATTGGGCCAGCCGGCCTTCGTTGAATATCGGCCGCAGCATTTGACTATATGAATGGGGGACATGGCTAGGTGAGGCGTTGAGGTCTTTGATCGCAATGAGAGGTTAGTAGGGAACAGCCATTCTATGCTTAGAAGCTATGTCCTCCGTGAGGAACTGCATATGGTCAGGGGTGAGGGTAGGATAGGAGTAATAAAGAACCCCAATTGATGTGGTTGTATTGAACAATAGCACACATTACCATCATGGTCTTCGTTAATCAGCTGAATAGCATACCATACATACCCATTATATATAGCCCAAGGTCATCGCGTGAGACTAACTATATCATCTACTTGGTGTGCAGGAACAAGGTATGGTTGATATACTATAGCATGCTAACAATGCAGACTAGCCCTAACATAAGAAGGCTGGTCAAATTCATTCCGGGTCTGAACCTAAAAATTTCAGAATGCCACAATTTCAACACTTGACTTGACCGCATAGATAAGATAGTATAGTTGAGCACAATATCGTCTCCAGCAAAACAGAAAGAGAGCAAAGAAAAAATACAAAAAGATTGACCGACGCAGGGGTCGAACCTGCAATCTCTTGATTCGTAGTCAAGCGCCTTGCCATTGGGCCAGCCGGCCTTGGTTGAAAACTCGGCCCTCACTTTGCCTACATCAACCAAGGCTAACCCACTAAGGAATGTAGACTACAGAGACCACTCGCTTGCTACTATATCCATGGTTTACTTGCCAATGAATCTCACATGTCATAATAATAGGTACTACGATACATAATAATCCAGAAATTCGAGATGAAATCTGACAGATCTCCCATACTTTCCCAGGTCCATTACACCCAACAGCACCATACTGAAAGAGAACAGAAGATCTAAGATTGCATAAATCTTGCCTATTGGTCATAAACATACAAAGTCTACTAGAGTATACTATATCGGTCCACCCTCAGCCCTCACAGAGCTCCCAGCTCCTTCAGCTTCGAGACCAGTCCATTGACATCCTCCACCTTGCCGCCACCCTGGCGAGGAGCAGGTTCTAGACCGAGTCAGCCGCATTTCCCAAAAAAGACCAACCCCGAGGGAATACATACCAGTCACCTTCAACGTCTTCAACCGTCTCTTGTCCTCAACGCCCAGATCGGCCAGAGTCTTCTTCTCCAACGGCTTCTTCTTGGCCTTCATAATGTTGGGCAGACTGGCGTACCGAGGCTCATTCAACCGCAAGTCCGTGGTGATCACCATAGGCAGCTGAGCGCGCAGGGTCTCGACACCACCATCCACCTCGTGAGTCACCTCGACGGTGCCCTTGTCGTCCTTGACATCCACCTTGCTGGCCTGCGTAGCCTGGGGCCACCCCAGAAGACCCGCCAGCATCTGACCCGTCTGGCCCTGGTCGCCGTCAATGGCCTGCTTCCCGAGCAGCACCAGGTTGATGTTCTCCTTGTTGACGACCTCCTTCAGCATCTTGGCCACGGTCAGGGGCTCCAGGCCTCCGTCGTTGCTGTCGGCCACGTCGACGTGGAACGCGCGGTCCGCGCCCATGGCCATGGCCGTGCGCAGGGTGTCGGCGCATTTGGCTCCGCCTGCGGAGAGTGCGAGGATGTTGTCGACCTTCAGGGGGCCCTTGCGTTCGCGCAGACGGACGGCCTCCTCGATGGAGAGCTCGTCGAAGGGGTTCAGCGAGTGTTTGACACCGGCGGTTTCGACTCCGGTTTGGGCCTTGTTGATCCGGGGTTTGATCTGGTGAAGTTGGGGTTAGTGTTCATGTTTACAGATTCAATCTGAAGAGCTTGCGCCCAGAAATATAAATCCAATCGTTTGACGGAGCTGGTTGCGTGGTCGTCTGGCGGGAGGTGGTCGGCATCATGGATCCAGATCCGCGGAGGTAAAGTGACTCTTCACCGAGAACGGAGTAACGAGAATTGATCAAAACTCACCGCATAGTCGATGACCCGCTTGACGGGGACTAGAATCCGCAAAGCACTGGCCATTGTGATGATGTTAAGGAAGACTTCACGGCTCACGGGGGAGGAATCAACGAGAAGGTCTTAAACGGAGAGGTAGCAGAGGGGGAGCAATGAGGAGAGGGTGGAAGAGAAGAGGCCGATTCGACGGTCCGCGGCAGAAAGCAGGTGACCCGGGCGGAGAGGTGCGCCGACGCGGCCCGACAGGATCCCCTCCGCTTCCAACCGAGGTTACCGCCAAGTAGCCTATTGACCTTCTTACTCTGTTCAAGTATCCAGATGTCTATTTGTATTTACATTTCTATTCATGATTCATGCTTCTACTTGGATGATGTAGCGTCTAATGCTCACCACGTCTCTTGCTTATACCGCCCGATTTTCTCCATGCCCACCAAATACTCCTCCGCCTCTTCTCGGCTGGAGATCTCTCCTTCTGGCCCTCCGCGTTGGAATGCCTCCGTGAGGGACTCTCGCACGGCCTGTGGCATCCGTCCCGATGAGCCGCAGACGTATACAGTGCCTGACAGTTCATGCAGGTATTGATAAAACAGGCCGAGGTTTTGGCGGATAACATCCTGCACGTAGACCTTTTGGCCCTGGTCTCGTGAGAACGCCGTGAATACTTGCAACTTGATCAAGTCGCTGAGTTGCTGCCACTCATCCTCGAAGAAGTAGTCCGAGGTCCGATTGCGGCCGCCATAAAGGAGGATGGTTGGCCCAATGGGTGGCTCCGCGCCTTGATTCTGCTCCTTGTATTCTTTGACGAGAGCCGCCTTCTCCCAAAGCATGGACCGTAAGGGCGCAACTCCAGTTCCGGGTCCTATCAAAACCGTCGTGCCGGTTAGCTGGCCCACGGAGGAATTCAGACCTCCCCGTTGCAGCTGGACCCTCAAGGTACTCCCCGGTCGGAGCACCGAGAGGTATCTGGTGCACACGCCCTCTCTGATTCTTTTGATGATGGTTCTGTATTTCACCGTGGCAATCAGCAGCTCGAACTTCGTCCCTCCTTCCGGGGTTCGCTTCAGCTCTCCGCCGCTCGCAATACTGAACTGCCTCGCCCGCAGAACGGGGAAGACCGAAACTGCATGCTGCCACGGTATTTTGACCGAATCGAACTCATACAGCACCTCTATGATGCTACGCCTTGGTCGGGTAGTGTAGTCCCAGAATTCATCCAAGAATTCGGGATTCGTAAACTCTAGCAGTCGCTCCTTGTGCATTTCATCCTTGGTGTAATGGGCTATCGTCGAGAAGAAAGCGCGGCGAGGAATGGCTCGGATATCCAAGTAGTCCATCAGAAGCGCTCGCAGTGTTAGTTTGGGATATGCCTCGAGACCTGGAATCGGAGGAAGGTGGTCCTCATCTACTGTTTGCTGGCTATCCCTAGGGACTAGGGAAACAGGCAGGTCGGCTTGTTCCTCCCAGCCCATCATCTTGATCATTGCTTCAACATCGTCCGCGAAGTTTTTAGGGGTAATGGCGAGCATGTCCCCTGGGACGTAGGAGACAGCGTCGGGGACAGTGAGAGAGACATGTCGCACATCTTGCCAATGTTTCGGCGGTGTCACCCGCTTATTACCGGTGAGTGTGGCCGCCAAGGTATCCGGAAGGGGTCTCAGATCATGATCCAGCCGAGTAAGTCCCGGGGACGCATCTGAATCCGTGCGAGACTCCTGGGCTCCGGGTACAGTTGGTTCCGTCTGATCTGACGTGTCCTGAATCTGTGGTTGCAGAACCCATTTGGGGGGTAGCTGGGCGTCGTCCGGTATCGGATCTTGTCCTGGCGGGAGTGGATAGGCCTCAAGCAAGAACTTGCGGAAATCTGTCATCCAAGGGAGAAAGGTTCCTTCGAGGCTGTTACACTATTAGAACATGGTAGGGAATAATTAGAGTGAGATGGAAGACATACCCTTCGGGGTGTTGCTGATCGGCTTCCCCGCATGGATATACCTCGTTGGCTCCCAGTTGCTGCAATCGTTTGTTTAATTTGCGCGCAGCCCAATTGAACCTTGCGCAATTGTTTAGCGATCATTCTTTTTTCCTGACCAAAGAAACAAGGAAAAAGAAAGGTTGACCTACTTGGGATACGAACTGTCGCCCAGACCAAACGAGACAAAATTGACCCCGCTTAAGAAAGTGGGCGGGAGTTTCTTCAGCAGTAATGACCGCCAGAATGATCGGGCATTGGCGGGCAGATCGCCCTGCCCCGTGGTAGAGATGGCAAAAATGATCACATTGTGGGATCGAAGACTCTCCTAAACAGCGAGTTAGCATGACTGCTGCATATCAGGTCTTACGAGAAACCCGACCGGCTTGACGTGATTCATTTCGGAGACTTGAGTCACGAAGTGCAGGCGTTCAGCCAGCACTCCCAGCTCTTCTGCCACCTCATGGGCATTCCCGGTTTCGGAGCCATAGAGGATGAGAGCAGACCTTTTCTGAATAGCTGGTGCCTGACTCTCCGTCATCCTGTGTATCTTGAAGGTGGTTCGGTGTATTCCAAACGATTGACTGCTTCACGGCGAAGAACGTTTTCGCCGGCGGGTCGGGATGATGTCATCTTGAGGCCTGAGGCTCCCTTTCTTCTTCTACTCATCTCTCTCTCTCTCTCTCTCTCTCTCTTTCTCCTCCCTTCAACTATAACCATCGGATCATTTACCAACCCACAAGTAGAAGCGAAAGAGGTCACTATAATGAATTGCTGGCTACGGGAGAAAATCCTGGCAGTGACCAATCAACTCTCGGATACTGTTTGATGTGCTGACTGATAGTACATGAAAGTCCTCCAAGGTCCATCCAACTTCATGGTTTATGCATCATCCAAGCCATGGCTTCAAATAGAAATCATGATTGCTCCTCGGAAAATATTGTCCCGAGGCTGGTCCCGGGATGAAATCAAACCAAACAATACTGACGAACCATTGGTGGCCATGTGCAGAGCCATCGTGGGATACGACCGGAAATTGATCTCACTTATTGGCCGAGACAAATGATTCAAATCCCGCATCCCGGTCCCATCCTGCAGCGAGATTTACTCTCACGAGCTATACGAGAAGGGCATTTGATCAGCTCTTCTGACAATTGGACACCACCCTTTGTTATAAAAAGGGACCCATCGATAGTCAGATTTTCTTTTTCAGTTTCGTTCCCAAGACGCTCTTATACGAGGATCCGCTGATAGTGGATTAACCCCGTTTATAAACATGTCTTCTCCACGGAAAGGGCATCCAGGAGGTATCGAAAAGATTCTATACCATAAGGGATGAATCTACTACGCATGTACAGGGCTTTTGCCCTCGCGGTGACACCATTACTTATTAGCTTATCTGCTACTAATACTTCTGATAAGCACAGTTGTCGATGCCGACCATACGAGCCTTGCTGGCCTTCCAACGAGTCCTGGGATCGCCTTAATGCTTCCATAAATGGTAACTTAGTTGAAGTTCAGCCAGTGGGCTACGTATGTCACGGCAACACATTCGACCAGGCTGCCTGTGATAATGTAAAGCAGTTATCGAGAAATGCTATATGGCGAGCTGCTCAGCCGGGTAACCCCTCCCTGGCGATATTCTGATATATTAGCCTATCCACACACCAAGACCTGACATGCAAGCAAACAGGCGCCCTTCAATGGTCAAACTTCGAGACTTATGCACCGAGGAATGAATCGTGCTATGTGGACTCGCCGAAAGATACAGTTTGCGGACAGGGGCGAATTTCTCGTTATGCTGCTGAAATCGAGACCCCGGAAGATGTGCGAGCTGCCTTAAAGTTTGCGAGAAAGCACAACATCCGCCTAGTCGTTCGAAATACCGGTCATGACATGGCTGGTAAATCAAGCGCCCCGGATTCTCTGCAAATTGCCACTCATCGACTCAAGCAAATCGAGTATGTATCGGACTTTGTCCCTAGCGGCGCGAATGCCCATAGCCCTCGTGGGCCTGCAGTCACCATGGGTGCGGGTGTATTAGGATTGGAACTGTACACCGCGGCAGCAGCGGGCAAATACCTCATTATCTCGGGTGTTTGTAGCACAGTGGGCACTGCGGGTGGATATATCTTAGGTGGTGGCGCGTCCACACTAAATCGACTTTTTGGATTGGCCTCAGACAATGTTCTTCAGTTCACCATGGTTACGGCAGATGTAGGTCAACAGTCTATACCAGAAAGACGGAACCAGCAATCTAATTTAGCCAACAGGGAAAACTGGTCGTGGCGAACGAGTTCCAGAACGAAAATCTGTTCTGGGCCCTGAAAGGCGGCGGCGGCGGCACCTTTGGGGTAGTTATGAGCGTCACGGTCCGTGTCTATCCAGACGTTTCCGTCGTCAATGCTCTCTTAACTATCACCCAGCCCGCTGGGAGCGAGACGTTCTGGGAAGCTGCGCGCGACCTTTTCGCTGCGCAGCCCGCTCTAGCCATAGAACACAATTACATCCGAGTCGCCGTGTTTCCAGTTGCATCTGATGACCCGTCTATGGGTACTCTCTTAGTGGAAGGGAGACTGTTCAATGCCACTGTGAATACGACCGACGAGAAATTTGCTCCATTGCGCGAAGCCCTCGACAGTGCTGGTATACCCTATGAATACCAATCCGAGCATATCCCCAGCTACAGCTCATATCTAACCAGGCCCCTCTACATCGAACCAGCTGGCGGGGGCACCGTCCACGGCTCGGTCCTGGTATCAGAACAGCTCTACCAGAGCGCTGACGGACCGTCGAAGCTAGCTGAAGTCGTCTCCAAGCTACAACTAGGGCCAGGGAGCCTGATTGAAAGCAGCACGTTCGGCGGTGGTCAGGTCGCGGCGAACAAAGACATGGTCGATAGCGCCGTGCACCCCTCATGGAGGGAGGCACTGTCACTGATCGATCTGTACGTCAATTTGCCCAGTAACTCTAGCTTTGAGATGCAGGACAAGGCTCAGGCTTTGTTGACTGGGGTCCAAATGCCACTCCTGCTTTCTTTGGAGGACGGGCGAATGGCGTCGTATGTGAATGGCGCGGATTCCCTGCAGGAGAATTTCCAGTGGCAGCTATGGGGGGATAACTATGAGCGGCTGTATCAGATCAAACAGGCTTGGGACAAGGACGGGCTTTTCATTTGTAAGGTGGGAGTTGGGAGTGAGGCTTGGGATGAAGAGGGGATGTGCAGAACGAAGTCGAGTGATTAGATTGGCCATCAGATGGAACTCATGGAGACGTAGTACAGGCAGCAGTCAGTCAGATAAGAATCATATCGCATCCGTGTTTGGATATCTAGATATCAGAAAAAAGGAAACAAAAAAAGGGTATCAATCAAAAGTGCCAATCCACAAAAAATATGCACATCACCAAAGGCCATCTCATCATATCTAATACGTATCCTCCTCGCCTCCACCACCTCCATCCCCGAACCCATCATCCCCATACTCATCATCCCCACCATCAAAGTACTGCTCGGCATTATAATCGCCGCCCATCTCATCCTCATCGTCCTCGAAATCATCATCAATGATCTCCTCCTCCTGCTCCTCGTCCTCGCCTTCCAAGAGATCATCATTCTCCGGGCCCTCCCCATCCTCGCCGTTCTTCTGCTTCTTCGCCGCATCATCGTCCTCTTCTTCGTCGTCGTCCTCAAATCCCCGCTTTACCCCAGACCGGGCCGTTTGCGGAACATACCCATCCATCGCGGCCGCCGCATCACCTTTAAAATTCGGCTGAATAGTCGGCCACAGCTCCCGGGGGAAGAATTTCATCACTGCAGGGCACATCACATTAGCCCCTTTCTCAAACCACCCCTCCCAAACCACCTCTCCCAAACCCACACCCAAAGGGAACAGGAAACAAGAAAGAACTAACCATAAGCCCTCCCACTCATCCTCGGCAACGCGCGTTTCTTCTTCTGGTACCGGCCCGAATACGACGGCATGCCGTGGAAGGGGTCGAAGGAGGCGCGCGCGGCGCTGTTCTTCTTGGCTGCGGACGAGGCGGCGTCGAGAACGGAGTAGTAGGGACCGTCGTGGAAGCGTTCGCGCAGGTCGCGGTAGAGGTTGACTTGGTGGGTTTCGCGCGCGGAGAGCGGGCGGGCGCGTGGGACGGTGTATTTCTGCATTTGAGGGGGTTGTTAGGATTGTTTCTGTTGGTTTACGTTGGAGTTGGAGGTGGGTTGAATTGAGTTGAGTTGAGTTTGGTGATGAGGGGAAAAGAGAGGGGGGTTGGAGATGAGGAGGGCAAGGGAACAGGAAGATGCAAGATGCCATGGTGATTCAACTGGATTGTAGTCTGGACTGGTCCGGACCGGTCCAAACAGATGAACAGAAATCACAACATACAGGGTATAGAGGGGTGGGCGCGCCGTCAGGTTCCCCGTTTGGATCAGCGTCCCAGGTGAATTCGGAGCCGGGGAGCTTCCTGCCCTTTCCGAAGCGAGACATATTTGAGGAGCGATCACTGGCAGGGATAAAAACAAAGATTCAGAGCAATTGGATCAGGAGGGGAGGGTGAAGTAAATGCCAGAGGAATTGAGGATCAAATCGGAGGAAAATCAAGTGGAGGAACATCGCGAGAAAAAAAGTTCCGGCGGAGATGACGCTCACCGCCTTCGGTGAGTGGGGGTCACAGAATACGAATACGAAGTATACAGAATGTGATTGAGTTCATGTCATGATGCTGATTGACTGAAAGGTATCTGAAGAAGAAAAACTGCAAGTCACGAATGCTAATACATAAATCCCTCATAGGTTGACGGTCTCCACCCGACTTCCGTTCTGCGTGACAGGCCCCCATGGTCCTTCGTTCACTCGCTGCTTGAGCGTTTTCACGATGTCCTCGAACCCTGGCACTTCTCCGTTCAAATCATTGAGTCCCTCATACAAGGCTACTAAGACCTCATATTTCGCTGTGGCGACTTTCCACACGACGTTCTGCGGGTCTGCAGCTCCGCCGCCGACGAATTCGGAGTACGAGCGGGGCGGCTTGAAGAGATACGGCAGCAGAGTGGTCAAGGCCGGAGGTGTCAGCGTTGCCCATACTCCGGTCGCAGGCAGGATTCCTTGCGTAGCTGGCGAGAGGTTACCCAGACCTTGCTCTGACGGGAGTTGATACCGCGTAGTTCCGGGGACGGACGAGATCACGTCGCCGGACAATTCCTGCCAGTTGGCGGTGATGATGCTCTTCATGAATGAGATCGCCGCGAGAGAAACGTCTTTCATGGCCAACACATCGGCTGCGGCTACGATGTCCGTCCAGAAACCAGGGCGGTGATTCAAGTACATAAAGTACAAGGCCCGGGCGGCGGCGGCTTCTTTATGCCAGTCTGTGGCAGTTTGACCGGACGTGTTCAGCTCCATGGAGTCGGCCAGATCCAGCTTTGGCGGTCCATGAAGAATCTTGCCCAATGCATCGAGCGCCTCCTTATTGGCCGGGCTGCAGGGCAGGGCAAGCACGGGGTTCAACCCCTGTCTGCTGGCCTCCACTAGCATCACGCGAGGAAGGCTGGAAAGAACATTCAGCTGTCCACTCGGCGCGGGTCCATGCGCCCACCGTGCTGAGGAGATCGCCACGGAAGCAGTAATGCGAGACAGGATCTGATCCAACAGGCCTTGGGGGTTCTGCAAGAAATGATTGGGGTACAATTCGGCATACTGCGCGACGTAAGCCGTAATTGGCCCGGAAAGGTAATTCAGATCCACGGGGTCAAGTTTCGATTCATCCAGATAGTAGCCCAGAAGAGTCGAATGCAGATTGTGAGCGATCAAGAAGTCAAGGGCGGGAGAAGAAAAGGTGGATGCCGACTGTACAAACGTGCGCGCGGTCAAACCCGGAGCATCGATCTCCAAGAGGTCTTGGAAGAAGTTCAGCAATGTCATGTGCATCAAAACATCATTCTTCTCGACCATTTGGCAAGTAGCGAAATGCAGAAGACTCTGGCTGTCGTATTTGGTCTCGACTTCCGACACCTGGGAGCTGGAGATGATATCCCATCGCAACCGGCCTGCCTTGACCAGAAAGCCCATCAACCTGCCTTGTGACAATGTCTTCTCGCGTTTCGGCAGACTATCAGGGCCGTTATCAGTCAAACAACAAAACGAGAAAAGACGACTGTAGACATCTTTATCGGTGAACAGTCTCCTCCACATTAGACCCTGTCCTCCTCCCGTCTCGTCACCATTTTCTAAGGGACTGGTTAGATCGATCTCCAAAAGAGCCCATAACGCATCTAGCGCTGCCTGAGCGACGGCTGTTGAAGAGGTCGAAAGCCACAAATCCACCAGGGAAGCAACTAATTCCGAGTCCCCCGCGACAATCGCAGCGTCACTTGGGACCTTCCCGGCTTTGCTCAGCAACGAGAGAGCCAATAAGTTGATGGGTGGCGACGGAGCTTTGAATCCCGCGACGAAGTCAATGGGAGGGTCGACGGAGCGGAGCTCCGTGAAGCTGAAATAGGCCGTAGCCTTGATTCCCAGGGTGGTAAGAGGAGTCGGATCCTCCTGGAGAACCGGCAGAAGCTGCGATATCTGGGTGAGAAGGGAGGCGGGGACTTTGCGGTCCGTGGTCTCTGTCAGCTCCAACTTTAGCTTGTCAATGAGGGTGTGATCCAGCCGAATGGACGTATCATTCTGGACCTGCTGGAGATGAAGCTTCAACTCATCGTACGAAGAAGGGACCGCCATTTTGCCTGACGCCTACAGGAGCGAAGGGAGACAAGAGGTGGACGACTTCCGGGCGCCTTCGACGGCGGGGAAGCGAGTGCAAACAGGGCAAACCAACAGCTCCGCCTTCTTCGATCCGCGGCATCTTCACTCCTCAGCTCACTTCGTGCATGATTGTTTCTTGCATGCCTGATCATCTCTTTCTTTAATTTACTTCTATACCCCCTGCATCGCAATGGACGAACATCGCAGCTCTCTCGTTTCTCAAAAATCCTCGGATTCCGGACTCCACATCCAGCTGCATCCGCTGATACTCCTCACTATCTCCGACCACATCACCCGTCATGCGGCACGAGGACAGCAAGGCCCAATCATCGGAGCCCTGCTAGGACAGCAGAATGGACGTGAGATCACTCTAGAGCATGCATTCGAATGTATCGTGGTGGAGGGTCCGAACGGCGAAGCGCAGCTATCGCAGGACTGGTTTGTCGAGCGAGTGAAGCAACGTAGGCACCCCCAGTCTGACCTATATGCTGCTCATTTCTAACGGAGAACTTGTTGTAAATAGTCAAGGATGTCCACAAAGTCCCCGCCCTCGATCTCGTCGGCTGGTGGTCAACAGCGCCGCCGTCCGGCCCCGACGAGTCCCATCTCCCCATCCATCGCCAAATCCTCCAAGACCACAACGAATCCGCCGTGTTCCTCGCGTTTCATCCATCCCAAGTACAGGGGGCATCCTCGAACGGTGCCAAACTACCCCTGACCATCTACGAGAGCGTGTACGAGGGAGAGAATGCCGCAGAAGGCGGCAAGGCCATGCAGGTCGACGGCGAAGAGCAATCACTGAGCATCCGATTCCGCGAACTGCCATACTTCGTTGAGACTGGGGAGGCCGAGATGATCGGGATTGACACCGTTGCCCGAAGTGCGCGGAATGCTGCTCCTATTGAATCGAGCACCGGAGGCACCAGCGAGTCACAAAAGAAACAATCCCGCAACAAGGAGCAGACAGACATCAACGTGCTCTCCCAGGAGGATGAAGAACGTGAGCAACCCCCATCCCATACAACTATACCGTATTCCACAGCTAACGAACCCCACCGCCCAGTCATCGCAAACCTGAACACCCGCATCAACGCCATCCGAGCCCTCGAGTCCCGAATCTCCCTAATCAAATCCTACCTCTCCAGCATCTCGACCTCCCAAGAACAAGGCGACAGCCAGGAATCCCCTAAACCCGCCACCCTATCGCACCCCATCCTCCGCAACATCAACTCCCTCATCTCGCACCTCTCGCTCCTCAACCCGCAAGAACAAAGCGCCTTCTCCGCCGAAGTCCTCGCCCAGAGCAACGACGTCCACCTCGTCGCTCTCCTGGGCCAACTCAGCCAGAGCATCAGCAGCATGCGCGAACTCGGCAGAAAGGCCGCGATCATGAACAACGTCCGGCGGAATATGCTCTCGCGGAAGGCGCAACTCGGCGGGCCGGGCCGGTTCGATGACGAGTTCTTCTCGCGGGATGGTCTCGCGCATGGCTAGTGGTTGGTGGGCATTGTTGCATCTTCGCCTGCCTAAATACACAAAGAGAGAGAGAGAGAGAGAGAGAGAGAGAGAGAGAGAGAGGAGGCAGGAAGGCAATTATTCTAGAGCTTTGACAATTACCGGCGTTGGGTGTCCCTAGAGCAAGTATCTGATTCTGACGAGAAACGAAGATCCAATACCAAAAGGCTGAATGTCGTTCATTCCGTATAGATTCTATCTAATCAAAGCGTATAAGAGATTCTGAAAACGGGTCAAGAGAACCCCTGCCTGCACTTCCCTTCAAAGCGCAAGAGGCAATCCAGCCGTGATGTCATGTACAAGAAGCCAAAGTAAAAGGTGGGAAAAGAAGTGAAAAAAAGAATCCTAGGACATAGATAAAATAGGGTATAAACAACCAGAAAACCAGAAAAAGCGAACAGAAAGAACAAAATGATGGTATGTTCGTCTCGACCATAAGAAGGGATTCATCCACTCCACTCACTCTCAGACCTGTAGTCTGGCTGGACCTGAGACAATTCCTCTTTGAAAGTCTAGCCAGTACTATGAATGAGGGTATCGTTGGATGTTAGGATCACTGTCATGATGTAGTGGAGGCGGGCGATATGTGTCTGGGAGAGGGATAGGCGCTTGCTCTTGTAGCTCATCAGAGGGATAAGGTGCTGTAGTGTTGTTTGTAGTGTGTGTGGTAATGATGGTCGGGGGTTCATGAGGAGAAGTGAGATTCTGAGTCTGACTGTGCGGATTCGGAGAGTGAGAATGATCAGCCGTATCCTCCGGCATCATGTTCATGTAAGGGTTGTGGAAGCTGTCCTCGTAAGGCGAGTACGGCTGCGGAGAATGCATGCCCGGCTCGAGCAAGGAGATCGCGCTGAGTCGGTTATGGTTGTAGAAGCGGCTATCGGTTTCTTCGTAGCCCGGCGGCATCATGGATAGGTCGGTGGCAGGGGTAGGCTGCGCGTGGGACAAGAGCACATCGCCTTCTTCGTCAGGCGAGGTGGGATATCGACGGCCGCCAGCAATCGGAGTACCGGTCGCCGTGACGGCGCCACCGTTGGTGGTATCGAGACCAATTCCTTCGGTGGAGGTGTGGTAGCTGGGATCCATGGTGCGTCTCTTGCGACGGACGAAGAGCCATCGCATAGCCCGGGACACGGCCCTGATGAGATCCATTGGGTTGAACGCGTCTCCAAGACCGCGAAATCCAAACCGGCCGCCTTGGTACGTCGCCTTGCCGTTTCCATAGAAGTCGGTGACTTCGGCTGGGTGAGAGTTCTTCAGAGAATACGGCTGGTAGGAGAAAGCCCACAGGTGCAAGACTGCGAAGATGGCCATTTCCATGGAGATCAAGAAATTGGGAAGTCCCACTTTCAGATCACTGGCATGGAGCTTCTTGGTTGCCTTGATGACCCCGGAGGAGAAGAGAAACGATATCATACTCTGCACGATTGATCAGTCGGTGTTTTGACTTGGATGAAAGGAGACTGGTTTGACTTACTGATTGCCAGAAAGAAAGGAAAATCACCAGTTTGATGGAGAGAATCTTCAAAAAGGGTCGATGCTGACTGATATCTTCCTTGACCTGGATATAAAACTGCACCAGGCAATACATGGCGATACTGACCGCAATACACTCGATGGCCATCACCTGTCAACGCATGTCTTATTAGCCAGATTCCACAGTGCAGAGACAAAGTTGCAGAGGAAAGCATACCCAAATGTGCGCGAACTTCGGATTTAGCGTTTCCTCACAATAGACGTTACCCTTTTGCGTGAGCACGGCGACAATTGTCATGAGCACACGCAAAAGACAGTACTGGAAGACACCGGTCCAGACGACCTGTTAAAAGATTCCCCATTAGTCCTGTACGAGAAAATATATGCCCCGCCGATATGGGCAAGTGTCAGGCCAGAGCCAACCTACATTGAACCAGGTCAGTCCGCTCCGTGGTGTCCGCCATATTCCATGTTCCCCGCCGCAGCATTTTTGCAACCATGACATTGGCCAGACCCACGGTTTGGGCTCAATTCCACGAAAGTAATCCTTTTGGCTACGGAGGTCCGGCGCGATATAGTGACAGAGGAGGGAGAAGAAGGCGGATATCGTAAAAGCCTCGTAGCAGTCGCCGAGCACTGTGTAGTAGACGCTTTTCTTGTAGTAGTAGGTTCCGAGCCATGCGACCAGGGAGTAGACGGGGATCATGAGAAGAATGCGAATGATACTGAAGTCGCCGGAGAGATATTGTCAGTTCAGCGCGACATAAACCACAGGGGAGGGATCGTTGAACAGGAGAATAAAAAAGAAAAGGAGAACTCACTGGCGCTGCTCCACGGGTTTGCTGTAATGCGTGGCATGGCACATAATCAGAAAGAAAGAAACGCCGGCCGCAGTGAGCGCGAAAACCCCTCCGGCGATCAAGCAGAGAGTGTGGAAGGTGAGGCCGCCATCCCACAACTCGACCTCGTGAACTGCTCACCAGAATATCGGTCAGTCACTCGATCGTATTTGTCCCGCGCGGAACGGGGCTCGGAAGGAACGGCATACTGGTCTCATTTTCTATCGTCGAATTGCACTGTGGCCAACCCATTCTAGCGGCAACGAGGGAGGCCGAAGATGGTGGTGACAGGCCTCAAGGAGAGTGGTGATGAGGGATTCGAGGGGAGGAAAGGAAAGATCGTCGGAACTGCAGAATTATTCTGATGGCTGGAATGCAGCATTGAATGGAGAAAATAGATTCAATGGCGTTGGGGCGATCGCTATCTTATCCACTAGTCGAGTCTTGTCCCGGAGCGGATCAGCCCCTGGATCCAACGTTTGTCTTTTCTTTGGCCTGGGTTCTTGAGTAATGCCAATGGTTGCTTGCCCCCCTGAGGACTGGCGCTATTCTGTTTTCTCACTGGCGTGAAGCCCTGCGCAGTGTCAGAGTAAAGTGGTTGCGTCAACCACAAGCCTTGGCGATAAGGCAGAAGGAATGAAGCGGTGGACGATGCGAATGAAGAGTTGAGACATACTTAAGACAGTTAGTTGAGGAAGGGCTGTGTTTGAAGTCTGGAACGGGTGAGACAAGCATTGATGGCTGAATTTAGAAACCGAACAAGCAAAACGTGGCGGTGTTGATGAAGCGCAACGAACGAAAGAAAATCCACGGTCGGGGATGGAGCCGCTGCGCCTCAGGAATCCCCCGCTCAGCCCTAATCAGCTGCAAAGAACCAGCATTCCAATGAGATTTGGGGGTTTATTTTGGGAATGCTATTATGCTACAGGCCAGCAAAAGCCAAGCTTTGGACAAGACATGACAAGCATTCTTGCTGCATGACTAACCGGGGTGTCCATCCTATCCATGTGGTCTTGATTCTAGATGTATGTACCTCTAGCATCGCCAGAATCGCCATAGATCAACGTCCCATTGCACATAACTCCAGTTGTATAAGTACACATCCACCTTCTACCGTAGATACAATTCCCTCGATGAAATCCGGTCGATTGCTTTTCCCAACAGATTCCGGTCCGATCCTCGCATGCACCCAATTCGCCCCCGTAGATCAATCAAAGGACTTATGCCCGACCGACGATTTCCCTTCAACCCTAGTGGGTCCATGGGACACTCGATAGATTTTAAAAAATAAAAGAAAAAGAAAAGTACAAAATACATAATAAAGATACAAGATATCAATAGTTCCGGCCTCGTCGATCGTCTCGCCATGAATCGCCAAATCCACCTCGACCACGTCCCCGTCCGCGACCGCCCCGACCGCCGCGACCACCGCGAGGATTGAAGTCTGGCCCGTGATCAACGAACAAGTCTTCATCTTCGAAGGTGATGCGTCGAGGCTCGTCCCCTCCGCGACGCGGAAATGATCCCTTGCGCAGAAGATCGTCGAACCGGTCCAGACGACGGTCGGCAACCGACCGAGGAACGGGGAGATAGTAGAGCTTGGGCTTGGTGGTGGTAGACATGAAAAGGTCATCCAGAGGCTTGAAGCCTTGTCCAGGCCGAGGCTTGCTGTCGGCTTCGCTGTGGCCACTCGGACGTCGGCTGGGTTCGCCCATTTCCGCTCGAGGCCCCAAGGGTGGAGGGCGAGAGAATTCGGCCTGCTCCCGACCCCGTGAGGGTTGAGATGTGGCACTTCGGGGATCAATTTCTTCCAGGACGGCCTTGACACCGTCATCCGTTCGGTCATACTTCACTTCCCAGCGAGGGGGAGGACCGCCGCGTCGTCGCGATCCTTCTTCCAGGTCGACCCATTCCTGTAGCTTGTTTTCGGGGATAAAATCCACAAACAGGGTCTTGCGGTTGCGTTCGTTGGGCCAAACGGTGTTATGGAGTGCCGCGCGCACGCGAGATGCGGCGGAGACATTTACAAAGCTCACGAAGCAGTGCGTTTTGATCGAGTCGAGATAGAAATCCGTGATCACGTCGGAATCCTGAGAGCCCCCGGGAGGGGAGGCCAAGGTGAGTAGGTGGCTCTTGAGGGCGTTCGGCTGCAGGGGGCGCATGAGGCCGTCCACATAGAGCGCTGAAGTGGCCGCATGCTTCGCTGGCTCGACCGTTTCGTCTTCCATTGCATCCTCCGGGGCAGGCGATGCGGGACGTGGTTCGGGCTCCGGAGCGGTGAACAGGCCCTTGAATCGAACATCTTGCTTTGCCGGGCCATCTTTCTTGGTAGGTGTAGTCTCGGGAACTGGCTCGTTGGATTTGTCTTCTTGGGCTTCATCCTGGGCTGGCGAGGTTTTGTGCTCGGGTTCTGTGTCGGCACGACTCTCGGCTGCCTCTTGTGGTTCCGGAACACCTTGGTCCTGCTGGGCGTCTCCGTCCACATCCATCGCGTCTTTGTCTTCCGGTAAAGCAACCTTAGGTTCTTCATTTTCCGCCTTCGCCTTCTTATGCGCAAGCGCTTCGGGCGTAGGGATGGGACTCTGGCTGCGGCGTTTGCGCTTGCGACGGTCCTCGAGAACCTCCTCGGGGGCTAGAGGTGTTGACAATCCCGTGTTCGCCTCGGAGATCTGAGGGACAGCTGACGCGACTTCTTCGGTAGCCTTGGATGGCTGGGATTCCTCCTCTGCGGCTGGCTGCTGGGCCTCTGTGCTCCCGGGAGCCTGCTCAACCGGTTGCGCCGAAGCCTCATTTTCATCCTGTTCTCGGGGAGCTTGTGGCGACTGCTCGGCGGTTTGGTCGGCAGCTGGGGTTTCTTCGGGCGCTTTCTCCTCCACTGGTGCTTCGCCGTTCTGGACGGGCTCCTCCCTCTGTTGTGGTTCCTGTTCCTGCGGGGATTCTTCAGGCTTCTGATCTTGGGACTCGACCGCGTCGTCTGTCGCCGGCTCCGGTGCTTCTTGCTCAGGTGCGGCCGGTTGCACGTCCTCCTGGGGTGTCTCCTGTGTGGTGGCAGGCTCCTCGCTCACGGCCTCACTGTCGCCTTTTGCATCCTCCTCCAGCAATTTGTCAATGAAGTTCTGTTTCACTCGGAGGCCGGTCTGCGGAATGCCGCGCCGCTTCAGCTCGGCCTTCAAATCGGTCACCTTCCATTTGGAGTAGTCGGCCATTATGAGGAAGATTGCGCGCGGTTAGGAAATAGGATCATGTAGAGAAAACGACGGGGTGTGGATGGGGAGTTAAGCGGGGGTCGAGAGGGCCATTGTTCGCGATGCGATGCCCCTGCGGTCGGACGAACCAAGTCCTGCGTTGCTTTCCTCGCCGGAAATGATGTCGTACGCTAGCCTCGATGAGGTTAGTGCATCACGGGAGTGGTGTTAGTAAGCAGTCCGCATGGGGTTAGCCTCGTTTCTTATCGAAAATAAAGATCCCTTTACTTATACCTAGTTACCACAGTCCATAGCAAATGGAAAAAGGTGTTTGTCTCGGTCTCGAGAGTCAGCTTAGGGCGCTGTGGGTAAAACTTTGATATTCAAGCTCTTCATATGGTCATTATCATCTCAGATCATGAACCTTGAACCAAATATTCCAACCTAAATAAACATCTCGAACATGCCACCAGTCTTTTCAGTTAAAAGCCTTTCTCGATACATAGTATTAACAGAAACATGTTAAGAAGCGTTGGCTGTCTATACTTTGCACTAATCTATCCTCGATTTTGCGACGCAGCTATGATCTGCGCCGCCAGCTCATGCAACGAGTCCGCAGTAACATCCATCTCTCCAAAGATCTCCGAGCACGACTCCTTCTCCCAAGCCGTACAATACGCACCCCGGAATCTGCAATTTTCAGTCTACTGCCACAAATATACCATCAATAAGAAAAGAGATGGAGACTCACCCCGCAGACTTGGCCGCCGAAACATCCCACATATGCGCTGCCGCAAACCACACCACGTCGCCTTCGTCAAACTTACTCAAGACCTCCTGATATGCTTCCAAGGCTGGCTTCGCTAGCTGACTATTATCGCATGACACGATATTCTCCTCGGGCATCTGAATCATACTCCGCAGAAAGTAGCCGCGGACCCGCCGCACATCCCCGCTGGTAAAGCACCACACGGTGAACCCGGCATCTCGCAGGCTTTGCATCGCGCGGTATACACCCTCGCGCGGCAGAAGCTGACGGTAACCCTTGATTAGATAGTCCCTGTCCTCGTCCGAGGCGAAGGACCGCGGGTCTTCCATCCCGCTGAACCAGAGCGTGCGGTAGAAGATGGCGCCGAAGATGTCGAGGAAGGGCCGGTACCGATGAGACATCGACAGGTAGGCGTATTCGCGCTCGGCGGCCTCCATCCAGGCGTACCCGAAGAGTTGGGGCTGGATGTTGTGGGCGCGGAGTCGGGGCCCCAGACGGGATTCGATGGCGGCGAAGAAGGCGTCGAATGTGAAGCAGGTTCCTACGACGTCGAAGACGACGTGGTGAGAGGGCATTTTGAAGTGGATATTTTAATTCGATGCTGAATGCGACTCGAAAAAGTGTAGGAGGGATGTTGAAGTAAGTCGGGATTGTTTGATGCCCGCACGATATTCTTAGTCCAACAACCCCGCATTTGTCTACTATGCAGCACTACTATTGCGGTTACCAAAACCCGTTGGGTTCGACATTTTCTGATATTCTCATTAACTAAAAGGTATTCATGTATAAAGAAACACGAGGAATCGAATATATAGCCAGTATGCTACCCTCATAATCTGGCCTATCCCACAGATCCTTTTGTATTGCCGGATGGCTCGACTTTGGGAGTGATATAGGTAGTGGGAAGTTAATAAGGAACATTCACTATATCATCTAGTTATTTCCATGGTTGTCAAATTCACTGGCCTACGAAAGGTCCAAGGGATGCCAACCATTGAAGCCATGGTCCATGAGTCTGAAGGCCCGCTGGGTTAAGTGATGCACGCCATCACAACCAAGGTCATATGCTTCGCTACCAGAATTCCGGAGTATCATCATAGATCTATGTTTAGTTCGGACTAGTCTGGAAAGTATAACCTTGGATAGCTACAGGGATATCTAACCTAAGAAAAGTTTGATCAAAAAGATATATGCATTTTTATTTGGATCAAAATCTCATATAGATACTAGGTACTACTATGTTCGGCATGCTTCCTAATAGCAGGAGTGCCTTCCTTTCATTAATAAATATTAGTCTCAGTAGCTCAAAGCTATCCGCTACTCTTTTAAATGGACTTCTCTACTTGCCGCTACTATTCGGCTAATATAGAACGAAAGAGAATTTATAGCAAGCCCTAAGAAATTGGTTCATATAGTGCTATGGGGTACAGAATGTTCAAGTGCTAAGTGCCTTGAATTAGGGCTAAATGTCGTTCTGTTCGAGAACACTGTTTACTAGTCAAACTTTCTATTTTGTTTTGAAGTCATCAGAATACAACGACTGTAAAATATCCAAAGAGACAAGGATAATAATATGAAAACACAGGAATAACTGAACCGGCAAGTCCTGCCGATGCATCACAAATGCGCTCTTGGCGCTGCTTGCGAGTGGCCAATTTGAGAGCAATTGTCTCGTATCCAAGACTCCACTTCAGTGTCACCATGAGGTGACTCAAGCCGTCTCTATAAAACCATGAACTTTTCAATCCTCTACTGAATCCCATCAATCTTCTCCATTCCATCTACATATCCCCCCACAATCCATCCAATCAACCAACCATGTCCACCCAAAACGACCGAGCCATCTACTTCCGCAGCCTGCACAGGCCCGGCAACCCGATCGTGCTCAGCAACATCTACGACGGCGCCACAGCATCGTACATCGCCGCGCACGCCTCCACCAAAGCCATCGCGACCGCCAGCTATGCCATCGCGGCCTCACAAGGCGTCGCAGACGAGTCCTTAACTCTCTCGCAAAACCTCGCCTCAGTCCGCACCATCGCCTCCGTCGTGGCCGCTACGTCTCCGCAGCTGCCGCTCACCGTCGACGCACAAGACGGCTACGAGGACGTCGCGCAGACCGTGCGGGAAATCATCGCCCTCGGCGCCGTGGGCTGCAACATTGAAGACTTCGATAACCGCGCGGGCACGCTGCGATCGCTCCCCGACGCTGTGGCCCGCATCCGCACGGCGGTCCAGGCTGCCAAAGACGCCGGGGTGCCTGATTTCGTGATCAATGCCCGAACGGATATTCTGGGTCCGGCTGGGACCGGGGTCATTGCGGATGCGATCCAGCGCGGCCAGGCATTCCTCGAGGCGGGCGCTTGCACGGTCTTTGTGTGGGGAGGACCTGGCGGGCGGGGAGTCTCTGGCGCCGAGGTTAGGGAATTGGTTGCGGCGCTGGGGGGCCGCGTGAATGTCAAATTGAACTTGGCAGAGGGGTCCTTGACGGTTGCTGAGTTGAAGCAGATCGGAGTTGCGAGAATTAGCCTGGGACCGGAGCTGTGGAGGGCGGCAATGGGGGCGTTTAGAGAGACGGCGGATCGGTTGTTGGCGGGGGTTTCGTATGATTGATTATTGTATCAGACCTTTAGGGGTGGTGGTTTCATATTCCTGTAGTTGTGAAAGGATCCGAATAATTATATTCATTTAATATTGCCACGGGTCTTTAAAGCACCGGAGATGCTTAGTACCGGTCATCCTGACACATCGGATGGTAAAGAGGGTTGCGCAAAGGGAGCTGACACTGGATCTGTCCAAATCAAATCATCAAAAGCGAACGGGAACAGGCCTGCGTCTGATAAACCTGACTGTTCGCTGAATGAATTCGAGATCACCCAGAGTGAGTCCCAGTCGTAACTGGTATCAGTCTGAGCGACATTGGCCGTACCCGTGTTGTCAAGAGAGAGCTTCTCAGACAGGATCTCAAGAACAGTGACGCATCTTGTCGCCGACTCTGCTAATACACTATAGGAGCACAGAATACCACCAATTCGGCAAAGACCCGAGTAAGGTCTGCGGGTTGAGATGGCGCGCGAAAGTGTCAACCAATTCGTGCGCAAGACGGAAGCAGCTTCGTGAGCACTCGGCGAGCATCGCTTCGGAGAGACTCAAATCATTTGAATCATATGGGTTTCCTGAGCCTGCGGCACCGCGCATGCAATGAAATCACGGCGGGACGAAAGAGTAAAATGCGAGCGTGCAAAACCTGCATTTTTATCAAAACTGAACTGCAGAGACTGTGCGGAGAGCTTACCGAACCCTCAGGACAATCGCCTGTCGTTGTAGCACTTCGTCATCTTCCGCAGCATGTTGTAATTGAAGGTGCCCAGGAAGGGATTTATTCCAAGCTTGCAGATTACCATTGATCTCAAGAATTCGGGTGAGTGTACTCTCAATATCTTCACTCCTGGCCGACTTGAGATAGAGATCAACTAGAGTCTCATCTAGAATCTGATAGAGGTTCATGGCCTTGACGATAAATGCCACCCGACACGGTTTTCCATCTGGTCGTAATGGCGAACCTTGCGTCTGGGTCTCAAAGAACTCATCGTCTATCATTGAAGGCAGCGGAATTGAGTTGAACAGCCACGTTGGGATCATACCTGTTGGACAAGGGGAAAGATGATCCTCTTGTCTTCGGTTCGGTTTAGTTCGTGGATGAGAACCGGCTAATTTTATACATACCAGTCTATGTCTCGACAGAATCAAATCCTTAACATTAACACCCCTAATTGGTCATTTAACGATATCCAGCAAAATCGCCTAATTAGAAAAACATCAATCCCACTTAACATTCAATCCAACACCACCTGCTTCCATCCTCCCTTTCCAGCTAGAGCCTGCGCAGAGTAGTCTGGCATATTCATGGTGCCGAAACTTCAACAATTATCTTTCCTCTGACTTGTCCCGTTTTGAGTTTCTCAAATGCTTTTATGACGTTTTTAAAAGGAAAACTTTGCATCAATGTTGATGCTAATTTTCTCCTCCGCCACCCAGTTCGCTAGTAGCGTAAGATCCTCTCTGTTTGGGAAGCCGAGGACAATGGAAGTAGGTCGTTGTGAGCCACCTAGGAATGCAGGTACCAGTTGAGAGTATATGACTATGACCCCCTTGATAGTCGTTGCTCTGACCTGGGAGATGCGAGCTTCTGGTTTAGTGAAAAGATGCGCATGAGAATATAGCTCGGGCGTGGCTCCAACATTGTCTACTACATGGTCAAACATTTGGCCATGTTCTTGGAGTAGATCTATCAGATCACCTTTGGTATAATCAATGACTTGGGCACCAAGTCCTCGGCAGAACTCGACATTACTTGTAGAGCAGGAGACAGTTACTCCAGCCCCAAGAATCCTGGCGATCTGTATCGCGAAGGTTCCCACTCCACCACTACCGCCATTGATGAAAACGTTTTGCCCACTCTTAACAAAAGGCGCAAGATATTTATAGGCTGCCATGGCGGCTGATGGAATAGCGGCAGCATCTTCGAGCGATAAGCCCTCAGGGACGCGGGCGCAATAGTTCTGATAGGCAATAAAATATTGGGCGAGGGTCCCATGTGTTCGAGGGTGACCAAGATTTCCAAAAACAAGATCGCCGGGCTTGAAGAGGTCATTGGAAGGATGGACAGCCTTAACACGACCACAAAAGTCATAGCCAGGCGTGGCTGGCAGGCGCAGGTTGAGCATGGTGAAGAAACGGCCTTCCGGCCCTTTAAAGTCGGCGGGATTCAAAGCCACGTAAATGGTTTCGATAAGGACCTGATCATGAAAAAGGTTATCTGAAGAGGGTTGAGGAATGTCATCTTTAAGGCGGAGATGCTTTTCAATGCCGCCAGCTGTAGCTGCGTACTGCCACCCATTCATCAAGGACATCTTGAACGACGGATTTGAGAATGAGCTGATGTAAGAAAAATCTGTTAATAAGAGTCAAAAGATGTGTCGCTTTTTGAACATATTTAGATGATTCTTGCCAGACCATCGGAAGTGTGTAGCCCGAACGGAAGTACTTGCCGGACCAGACAGTGAATCGAGCGTATTTGGCTCGTTCCGTTGGCCTGAAGCCGGAAATCTCACCGTGTATAAAAGTAGTAGTACCTATATCCAGCGAGGGGACGGAACTCATAGCAAAACAATTTAGTTATCCACGATAGCTATGGTCGAATACATACTCCGCAGTCATCTTATGGAATGGTGTGATCCACCCGGAAGGATTGCCGACGCAGCCAAGAACACCACGTCGTGCTGGTCTGGCGTCTCCAACCCCATTTTATAGAGCACCAACCATCCAACCATCCAGAGACCTGACCCCGATGAAAGGAATCGCTGAATCTACTTTTCAGCCCATCTCACTCCCCGAGATGAGCTCCCAACGTCCGCTACTTCCGGTCGAGAACCCCACACGGCCGTTTTGGCGCACCGAACTGCACGAACTAGATGAGCTGCGAACGACCCCTGAGCTGCCCCAACAGAGCGACATCGTGATTATCGGTGCTGGGTATGCGGGTGTTACTCTGGCATACTACCTTTCGAAGCTCCTCGGCGAGCGTAACCAGTCGTATCCTGCCATTACCATCCTCGAGGCGCGGCAGGTGTGCGCCGGCGCAACGGGTCGGAATGGTAAGTTCTAATGGAACTAGTTCGCAGCTCAGCTCTTGTTGATGAGGATATGTAGGCGGTCATCTCCGACCGGATTTGTACGGACACATTCCGACGTATCTGGAGCGACACGGCGCGGAGGCCGCGGCCGAAGTAGCCAATTTCGAAGTCGACCATATCAAGGTGCTAAAGGAACTTCTGGCCGAAGAGGGTATTGACTGCGATCTGAACATCACTCGGAATATGAATGTCTATCGGAACGATGCCGCGGGGAAGAAGGCGAAAAGCACCGTTGATCTACTTGCATCCCATGGGCTCGGATTTGTTGACGATATCCATTACACGTCGGAGAAGAACGCCGAAGGGGTAAGTGACAACTGAAGTGTCCAAAATTATAACCATGGGAAACAATATGCTGACGAAAAGAAAGGTGTCTGGCGTCAAGGGAGCCAAGGCCTGTCTGTCCTACACAGCGGGCATGCTGTGGCCGTACAAGTTTATTCTGGGGCTGCTTTCCAAGATCGCCGATTCTCCAGCTATCAACGTGCAAACGCACACACCAGTAACCTCTGTCGAGTCGGATGAAGCCGGGCACGTTGTCAACACACCCCGTGGATCGATCCGCGCCACCAAAGTGGTCTATACATCTAACGCGTACACAGCCGGCCTGCTGCCTGAATACTCGGCAAGCATTATCCCGTGTCGGGGGATCTGTTGCCATATCGCCGTCCCCGAGGGCAAGGAGGCACCATTCCTACCCTACTCATATATTCTCAACACCGCAGATGGTGGGTTCGATAGCTACTTAATCAGCCGGCCAGATGGAAGTATCGTCGTAGGAGGGGCTGGGTACACGTTCCAGCACGACAAGAAGGAGTGGTATAACATGGTCGACGATAGTACGCTCATCAAGCCAACCAAGGACTACTACAACGATTACATGCAGCGGACATTCAAGGGATGGGAGGAGAGCGGGGCCTATGTGAAGGAGATTTGGACGGGGAGTAAGTGCAGACACGATCCACGGCAGCAAGTCATACTAACACGAAACAGTCATGGGCTACTCCGCCGACAGCAGCCCGCATGTAGGCGAGGTTCCTGGTCGAACGGGACAGTATATTTGCGCTGGGTTTAATGGACATGGCATGCCGGTGGTATTGCTGTCCGCCAAGAGACTGGCTGAGATGATTCAGTCGGGGAAGAGCTACGAGGAAGTTCATCTTCCGCGGGTTTTTAAGACGACCGCGGAGAGGCTTCAGAAGGCACAGGACGGACCGGAGGGAGGAGACATCCTGAACCCTCGGAGTTGAGGCGGTTGTGTACTTGGAAGCCTGAGCGTAAATATGCCGAAAGTAACTAGAATAAGAGGAATCACAACAAGCAAACGCCGGCCTGCAGAATCAGGCACGCCGACATCGGCTCGGAATATCTAAGACTCCGGGCGTCATCGGCGCATTATGATTGGCTTCTCATGACGACACCGCGGCGGGTGGGTCACCGCCTCCAGCTTCTCCGGAAAGCCGCCGTCATCGACCCGCCTTGGCCTCTTTTCCCGTTTCCCTCTTTCTTTCAATCTCTGAGTCATGGGAGTGCAATAAATTGTCCTCTTTTCCTCACCTTTTTTCCTCCCTCGATTTGTATTCTCTCTTTCTGTATTATTGATTCATTCTTCAATTCCCAATTTCTCGAATGGCTTCTCAGTCCAACGGCGCTGCGGCGCAACTCCGTCAGTATCCCACCCCCTTGTCTCATGCCCCGCATACCAGATGGACAGCTACTAAATCCCGTAGAGAGAATCGATTCGCAACCTGAAAATCCTTACTCGGGTCTCATCACCGACCAGAGCTATGTCGTCGTTCCCTCGTTCACCCTGGAATCCGGCGTGACCCTCCACAATGTCCCGGTGGCGTACACGACGCGCGGTAAATTGTCCCCGGAGGGCGACAATGCCTTAGTCATCTGCCATGCTCTCAGTGGCAGCGCGGACGTGGCAGACTGGTGGGGTCCGCTGCTGGGAGGACCCGGACAGGCATTCGATACGTCTCGCTTCTTCGTGATCTGCTTGAACAGCTTGGGCAGTCCGTACGGAAGCGCTAGTGCCGTGACGTACAAGGACGGGAAACCCGAAAACGGCCTCTATGGCCCGGAATTCCCTCTCACCACCGTCCGGGATGATGTGAAGTATGTTTTTTCTTCAAGCTCGGTTATTACACAACTAACGTGGATAGGATTCACAAAATGGTTTTGGATCACCTGGGCATCCGCCAGATCGCCGCCGTGGTCGGTGGCTCCATGGGTGGCATGTTGACTCTTGAGTATGCCTTCTTTGGCAAAGATTATGTGCGCGCGATCGTCCCTATCGCCACGTCGCCTCGCCATTCGGCATGGTGCATTAGCTGGGGCGAGGCTCAGCGACAGAGCATTTACAGCGACCCGAAGTATGAGGATGGCTACTATGACCTGGAAGATCCTCCCATCACCGGTCTGGGTGCCGCCCGGATGTCGGCCCTTCTCACCTACCGCAGTCGTAACTCTTTCGAGTCCCGATTCGGTCGCAACGTGCCGGATCCTTCCAAGAAGCAGAACATCAACGGCACCGAGAGACAGCCCAGCCCGCCCAATGAGCACTGGGCCATCCACAACGACGGTCACAAGAGTGGCCGAACCACCCCGAGCGAACAAAATACGCCCGCAGCCCAGCCGACCGAGATCCAGTACATGGACCCGCAGTTCTCGGGGACTAAGACTTACAGCAAATCCCTCGACAACAACACGGATGCTAAGCGCCAGAGACGGCCGCCGACCTACTTCTCGGCCCAGTCGTACCTTCGGTACCAGGGCGAGAAGTTCGTCAAGCGATTCGATGCGAACTGCTACATCGCGGTTACCCGAAAGCTCGACACGCACGACGTGTCCAGACACAGGGCCAGTCCCACCTCGACGGACCCGGTGAAGGAGGCGCTGTCGCAGATTCAACAACCCGTTCTGGTATTGGGAATCGAAAGTGACGGACTCTTCACGTTTGAGGAACAGAAGGAGATTGCCGCGGGCATTCCTGATTCGCGCCTCAAGCGGATTGAAAGTCCCGAGGGTCATGACGCCTTCCTTCTCCAGTTTGAGCAGGTCAACCATTACATCCTGGAATTTTTCCGGGAGGTTTTGCCTGACATCATGGCGAAGGCCCCGGCCGACGGAGTGGAAGCGGTGGACGGAGTGAACACGCTAACCAAGAGCAGCACATTCGGCGAGGCCGAGGTGGAAGACATCACCGCCTGGTAAACACCGACTGGGATGATACGACCAACACTTGGCGCATTCGTTGCAGCCTTGTTTCTACGATCTGATGCTCTGCGGATTCCACGCAGGGGCTCCTCGGGCCGTCTCTCCCGGCGACCAACGGAAAACGAGAGACCGCGCCATCAGGCTCCTCCCCCGGGACGCCGCCGGCATCAGTAACCATTGGGGAAGTAGCGGTGCAGACCTTTGTTATTTTACTATTCTAAGCCAGTCAAGAGAGAAGTGCATCCAACTGCCTCTCTCGTCACCTCATTCAACCGGTAAGGCTGTAAAAGAAGCATCCAACTGCTCTCCATCAGATAAGCCCTCACAAAAGCGGTCTTCTATCATCCAGAGGTCCGTAGGAGGGTGGTGGGCAACCTTTTAAAAAAGACATGATCTTTTTTCCTCCTTCAACAGTATAGATAGATGTTAGCGGTAGCATCGAAAAAGACATGATATTGGAATTTTTGCAGCTTGTTTTTTGGTGGCATGTATTGCACGATATATGCTGATCTTCCGACCAGCGCCATTTACTATTCATAGCTCCTAGAAAATTACAGGATGAGGATTGGATCGGCTGGTTCTAGACCACCTTACATCGTCAATCGAGCCGGCCATTCGAGTGGATGTAAATGAGGGTCGCTTCAAAATCCCGTTGGAAAAAGCAACGAGCGCAACGCCACCAAGGCCCTTCCTTGCCTACGCTTAACCGAGTTCAGACGATGCATGAAGCATCCCAGCTGGGTAGGGCGGTCCTTGTCCCCGAGCACCAACGCTGGATTGCTGATTTGATTTGACTCAATCTTGGACAGACTTTCTGTGGAGTGAAAAAGTCCCAGAAGAGGGGGCGTTTATTAAACCCGCCTGCATGAATCTCGCGCGCAAATAATGAAAGACGTCCAACCAGCGAGGAGAGCAGAGATGCAGGAAAGCGGTCCTCTCGGAGAGGTCAGAAGCGGGTTCCAGACTGGAATTCATATGCAGCGTGGCTGCATTGATTGTCGATGTAACACGGGAGGAGATTAAAGCCTTGATTTCACCGTTCTTCGGCGTCGTTCCTGGTTCTTCTGGCCCGGTGGGCTCGAGATGATATCACGCGCCTGGTGCGACCGCTTGGGCTTCGAAAGAGCTCTTACGGTCTTCTGGTCTTCTGATCTTCTGATCGGAGCAGCGCTGATGACGTCGAAGGCGCCCTTACTCGGCCGATCGTTTATCCCCCGCATGGCTGAAGCCCTAAGCCATTACCCCGGAAAGCAGGGAGTTAATTAACCCTTTTCTCTTTCATACGAGACGCTGGGCGGATGGGACGCTAGAGCGGCTAGACAAGGCAGGCAATGGAGGGATCAGGCCGATCTGTGATCTATCACTTCGGGCATCACTCCGCCAACCACGCTCACTCATCCCTTGATTCACCCCCTGTTCGCTCTGACAGCCCTTGCGATCAAGTCAGACATTTGGGGACTCCGGGCCAAAGCACAGATGGGAGGCTGTAACAGCCGCGAAGGAGAGCATGGCCCGGGTTTCAAATCGGACAACGTGAGCAGGGAGTCTTGCCTGAAGGTGGTACAGTCCTCGTCCTGCAGCTGGTTGGGATCAGCCGACCTGCAACTATGGAGAACGAGGCTTGCTCTGGCCGGTGGATCCCCGATTATCTTTCCCACGAACGGCTTTCTGGGGACTGGAAACGGTAATCCGATTCTCTCTGTCTTTCCCCTTCTCTCTCCAGCATCCCGGCAGCGGTCCAGTGCAGGAAAAGAAAAGCAGCAAAGTCTCCGGTGCCTGGACGTTCCAGCCGTCAATAATCGCTGTATCCCGTGACGCCGTGTGACTTTTCTTTTCTTCTTCCAAACATCCGCTTTTCTTTTCTTTTTCCTGTTCTGCTGCCATTCGCGCCCCTGTCCACTCTGCTCCAACGCCGTCACTCGTTTGACTCCACTCTCTCCTCTCTCTCCATGCAGTGACGGTGTGATTTCCTCCTTCGCTCTCCACTGTGCCGCCACGGCTGCATCTCATCGTCTCTCTCTTCCTCTCCTTACGATACGAGCGGGAATCTCGTCCGCCCCTGGGGGATGCGTCTGTTGCATGGGACTCCCAATTGACGCTCGTCCTTTTGCCTTTTGAATGCCTCCTTCGTCACTGGCCAAGTCCTGTCGTTCTCTCGGTTGATTTTCTTGTTTTTGTCTCGCTCATTTTTCGTCATTCTCGATCCAAGCCTCCCCCACATTCCAGTCCATTGCTCCGGACACCTCAAGCTTTGACAGTCAAAACAACCCACATTTTTCTGTCTTCCCTCTTTTCGTCTCTCATTGTAACTCGGCTGTTGGAACTGGTTTCCTGACAGCTGGAAATTCTCAATTGGGTTGCGCTGTTTGTCTGAGACCAGCATATACCAGAAGCATACCTGAAGTTGGCCAGTCGACAGAGATCTCGTGGAAATTTCCACTGATCGCTGTTCCAATTTGGAAGTCTTCCCTGAATTTTTCACACCCTCACTTCATCCTTTCCAGTGGCTCCGTCCGACGTCATGGAGCTGCTTCTTTCCAAGAAGTCCTCGACTTTGAAGAAGGGGACATCCTTGTCGTTTCTCTTTCATTCACAGGTAAGAAGATACGCGATCTCACCGGTGGTCTGGCCCATGAGGACTAACAGGTTTAGAAACCCACTTTCACACGACTGCCAGAAGGGCCGACCCGGTACTATGACTTTGTTGATACCCCTGATATCTTCAGGCCGTCTTCAGTGGTCGATCGCCAAACGATCTCTCGTAAGGTGGAGGCAGAAATCCGCGATTCCTGCCTGCTGCTCGTACATCGAGTTGGACAAGGGGTGCCCTCGCGGGCCACCAAGTCCATGAACTCGCGGCTGGAGAAAAGCACAGTCACATCGGAAGAGGGACTTTCTGCGACAAAACCGCAGATTGAGTCTCAATATACAAAACCTAATGTCGGCCCGGAGGCAGCTGCTCTGGCAGGAATCCATGATTCTGGCGTCGGGTTAACACAGCAGCCCAGCCGGCAGACAATGCGCGTGCTGCAGTCTTCGCAGTCTGACAAACCGTCTGATTTAGGGGCGAAGGTAAACACCGCCGTCAACCAGGAAAGATGTGCTACATCGTGTTCCGCGCCACTTGATACGAAATCCACGGAGAGAAGAAGCAGCTTCCCGTCCGTCAGCAGTCCCAAACAGCCGGAGATGGAATCCTTGGCCGGGGTGGCCACCATCGGCCACCCTCAGCCACCAGACCAGGACACGAAGAATTTCCTCGCCGACGAAAGCCAATCGCCTTCTCTTGATACCACAGCGGACGGATCAGATGACATGGAAGTGTTCCTCAACCCCGACGCCACGCTCATGGCAACCGGCGTGGCTAGTTTCTCTTCCCCAGAGACGCTACTGAACCTCTCCTCCCCTGATGGCAGAGCATCAGACTTTCAACCAAGCCGCTGGTCCCAGTCCACGACCTCGTGCACCACTCAGGCAGACCACCCACCGGTCATTGGTCTCGGCACCACCGCCGTCAAGGACACCGAGCATCAAGCCGGCATCATCATAGACACCAACGGAAACATGCACGTGATGAGCGCTGAAGAAGAATCTCAGCGCAATATGCACCTCCAGCAAGCGGTCATGGCGAAGATGAAAGCAGGACGGGACGTTGACCCAGTCCACCCGGCGGCTCGGCCCATCGAGTCCAAGAGACCGGACACATCTTCCCAACGACCACAATCTCGACTACACTCCGCCTGGTCCTCCAAGACGAGAGGAACATTGTCTAAATGGAGAAGCCGGTTCGACGAGCCCCAATCGGACAAGACCGCAACGCCGGGCTTTTTCCAGAAGATCGCCACTCTCTTTGGGAAGCGGCGCGCGCAGGCTGTCTAGGCTGCTTGGGGACTGGTTCTTCAGTTGCCTCAACGCTCTTGTACATTTGGCAAGACTTTAACAGTCATAAATGACTAGTTTAGGGTCCGCATCGCTTGGATACTATATGTGATCCATGAATCCCGCGGTTTACGCCGCTTAAAAGAGATTTCCATCTCAACATCTACCGAAGCAGATACCAAAGACTAATGTCGGGGTGATGAGATGTCCACGAGCCTTGTTTTATACCTTTTACTTTCTACGACCCATGTTTCTGTATTAGAGTTAGTTAGCTGTGCTGATTATGAATTGCAATACTTGTCCTGTATTTCTAAACATTCGTGGGGACTTCATACTATTTATCAATGTCCTCTTCATAGTCGGCAGTCCGACCTGGTTTTTAGGAGATGTGGATCTCAAATACAGGCACCCACCTTTTCTCCATTATACTGCATCGGTAGTTCCCTGTGACCCCTAAGACGCTTACTCGCGCTAATGTCGTCCCGCCCCGGCCTTTACCCTTAACTTTAATTCTCCTTGATCTTTCCGAAGATCTTCAACTCTGTACACTGCTCCTGGCTATCTGATCACTTTCCATCTCCATCCCCGGACACCCCCATCATAAACAGACGAAGTGGAAGCATGGAGCCACGCATGTGCTTTGACAATGTCGCTTGAGAACCAAGTGAATCACTACTCTGCTACAGGAAGCGGCTTGGCTGTCCACAATCAGGCACCTTTTCCATTTGGGCAACACTTGTGTACTGCTCAATAAAACAGGCTCTCTAATCTGAACTGATACTATAACGAGAGTGAAATAGTCTACTAAGCAGGCCATGACTAAGCGGATGTCTTCAAGCTCCGAATTCCTTCAGTGTTGATCTTTCGGCTCCACATCGAGGTACTATATAACATAACCTCTCGCTTCTTGTCTTAGTATCTTCCCTCAGCAGGATGACTTATACTAGGCCCTATCCTCTCTCTGACATTACCTTCCATTCTTTCCCTCCTATCAATAAAACTAAGAGAAATGCCCCAACCGAACTGGTGACCCGGCAAAAGAGTGGCCATCGCCGGTGGAGGCCCTGCCGCCATTTCCACAGCCCTAGCATTCATCCAACGGGGCTACGACGTCCGGGTCTTCGAACGACAATCCGAATGCAAACCAATCGGAGGCGCAGTCCTCCTCAACATCCCCGTGATGGCAATCCTACGATCATACGGCATGGAAATGCAGCACATGGGCTCCTACACGGTGACCTCGTTCCAGAACAAAAGTGGCGTCGAGCGCGTCGAGCTTGCCTTCAACAAAGAGGTCGAGCGATGTATGGGAATCAAGGGCTGGCAATACGGCGTTCTCCGCTCGTCTGTGTTCAAGAAAATGCTCGACCTTCTCCCGCCAGGCGTCATCAACACTGACCACCAATTCACCTCGTATTCCGAGCTCCCAGACCAAGAGGGGATTGAAGTGCGGTTCTTCAATGGGGAAACGGTCACAGCTGATATCCTGATCGGCGCCGATGGGATACGATCAGGCGTTTCACGACAAGCCTTCGGCGACCCGAAACTTTTCCACGCCGGAGTGCGTGTCTGGCTCGCCTGGTGCGATCACATCCCCGACATCCCGGAGAACTACGGCGTCATCTCCCATGACTGGCAGTACCAAGCTAGTTATTTTCCCATGCTCCATGAAGGCAAGCCCGGGTTCGAATGGTGGATTGTGGAAGCCTCGTGGGAAGACAAGCCCGTCCCGGAAGACCCTCGAGCGTATCTATCCAATATCCTCAAGGACTGGACACAACCGCTCCCTCGGCTCCTAGAAGCCACGAACTTCGACACGCAGGTGTACAGATGGGAGATATTCAACCGGCCATCCATGAAGAAGTGGTCCACAGGGCGGGTTATGTGCATTGGTGACGCTATCCACCCTGTATCACCGTACGCTGCGTACGGGTTAGGCATGGCGATTGAAGATGGGTATTTTCTGGCGCGAGCCCTGGACGGCGTGGATCTGCGTGATGGAGCCGCGGTGAATGCGGGGTTTGAGATCTTCGAGAAGCAGCGCGTGGGTTATGTGAATCATAATATGGAGTTTGCGCGGTTTAGTGGGAAGATGTTTCATTGGTTGCCATGGCCACTGGCGAAGCTGAGGGATTGGATCTTTGATTATACGCCGATATTGGGGAATCTTCTTAAGAAGGATTATTTGAAACGGGCTGAGGAGCAGACGATGAGTATGAAAGAGCTTCATGTTGTTTAAAAAGACGGTGTGGAAGAGAGAAAGGGAGAGACGGCTGTACTTTCAGAGCCCAGCATCACTCGCTGGATATCCGAGGGATTGCTCTATATGAGTGTTCTCCCATGTACCTAGTAGCAGAGAAACTGTATATACTCTTAATTTGCCTTTCTCTTCTGTTTCAGCTGTCCAATAGCCCATAATTAATTACTCATATCTCTCTGTTTCTATTTACACCCAAATACGCTAACCCTAGACCACCATGAGAACGAGTCGCAGTTACGAATTTCGTCGCACTCAATGGAGACGCAAAGTCAACAAATATCAATTCGATGCTGTCTTCCTCATAAGGATATTGAAATATGATTATAGAGACATTTTTGCCATTCGTACTCATTCCATCCACCAGTCACGTGTGGAGGGGTGTAGGCGCCGGCGCAACGAGGCTGCGAAAGACAACACCATTACATCCAGCCACTCCCTCAAACACATCCAAAGAAGACCTTTTTGATATATATAAATGGTCAAACTCATACCATAAACCCCACCTATTAACTATGGCCGATCCACTCTCCATAGCCACTGGGGTTACGGGTTTGCTCTCATTTGGCATCCAAATCTCCGAGTCTCTGCTGAAATTCTACCAGGCATACAAAAGCCAGGACAAGAATATCTCGCACACAGCAAATAAACTCGAAAACCTTCTCACCATGCTTCAATCCCTAGAGACCACCCTAAAGACTCGAAGATTCCAATCCGATGAAAAAGACCTGGTCCAGTCTGTTAACCGCTCGATCTGGGACTGTGAAGAGATCATCACCGAGCTCCAGGAGGAAGGGAAGAAGTATGACCGAGCTGTTACCAGCGGACTCGACGGATTCAAGGAGACTGTTAAACTAGCCGGTCGTCGGGCAGCGCATCCATTTCGGCAGAGCACTCTGCAGAAACTAGACGAAGATATCAGCGAGATACGAAACAATGTCGCGGTAGCGCTTAACATCTTGCAATTGGGCGATCAGAAGGTCATCCACGACGATCTCACGGAGTTAAAGTCGCTCGTTGAACATATCCAGGAACACCAGATCTCGTCCACCGTTCGGCAGTGGCTCAGGGCACCTGATCCCACGGTGAATCACAACAGCCTGCGGACCAAACACCATACCGGCTCGGGGATGTGGTTTGTGAGAGGAGATGCGTTTCAGACATGGTTGGCGCAGGAGAACTCTTTCCTGTGGCTGAATGGGTTCGCAGGGTGTGGCAAGTCGGTTCTCTGTTCCACCGCGATCCAGGAGACTTTTTTTCAAAGACACCATCATATAGGCGTGGGGATTGCGTTCTTCTACTTTACGTTCAGCGACGAAGCGAAGCAGGATGAGTCAGGGATGATCCGGGCCCTATTGTTGCAACTAGCAGGACAACACGAAGACTGCCAGGCAGATCTTACCAGTCTCTACTCAACGTACCAGTCGCGGACACCTCCACCCGAAGTACTGATGGAGTATCTTCAGCGCATGGCTCGGAGGTTTGAGCATGTGTATATCCTGCTGGATGCATTAGACGAGAGCCCTCGGTATGAGAAGCGAGAGGGGATCTTAGCTGTGCTGCAGACAATGAGACAATGGGGATTGGCGGGCCTGCACTTGTTAGTCACGAGTCGCGATGAGCCCGACATTCGAAGATCTTTTAGTCCGTTGTCTGACGAGGAGATTATTCTGCGAAATCAGGAAATTGACGAGGATATCCAGAATTACATCGCCTTTGAGCTGAAGTCCAATAAAAATCTCCAGAGGTGGCGAGGTTATCACGACCATATCCAACAAGCACTGAACCATCGTGCCCAAGGGGTGTAAGCACACGCGACAAGAAACCTCTTTTCTGACACCTGGCTAAAATGATATAAGCTTCCGATATGTGCAATGCCAATTCCACGCCCTTCAGCGATGTCCCCGAACAAAAAGCCATCTTCACAGGTGTCTCCAGTCGCTACCCCGAGGCCTAGACGAGACATACGAGCGGATACTCTGCAGCATCGACGAAAGCTGCATTGACGATGCGCGACGAATCCTGAACCTTCTCTGCTTTTCAAATCGACCACTCACAGCAGCAGAGCTGATCCACGGATACGCAGTCGACCTAGACACACTCCGCCTCGACACAGACGACCGACTGCTAGACATCGAGAGCATTTCCGAAATATGCCTCGGCTTGATCGAGATTGTGTCCGAAGCAGACGCAGACGCAGACGCAGACGCAGACGCAGACGCAGACGCAGACGCAGACGCAGACGCAGCCCGAGAACCAGAAAAGACAACCATACGCATCGCGCATTTCTCCGTCCAGGAATACCTCGAATCCGAGCGCATCAGACAACAAAAGGCAGCGATATACTCTTTACGCAGCGAGACCGCACACGCAATGATCAGCCAGATCTGTCTCGTCTATCTCTTAGATTCTCAACTCCTCAGCAAAATAGACACCACCACCACCACAGACCTCTCAGAATTCCCACTCGCCACATACGCCGCGGAATCCTGGTTCCAGCACTACCACAAAGCCCAAGACCCCAACTCCCAGCACGAAACCCTAGCCCTCGAACTATTCCAAAACCGACGCGACGCCTTCAACGCCTGGGCAAGACTCTACACCGCAACACAACCCGTCCGAAGTGGGCACGAAATAGCCCATCCCATATACCTAAACCTCCCCAGAATCCTAGACGCCATAAAACCAGGCCCTAACGACACCAACCACACCCAGAAAGCCGACCTAATCAACTCCGCACACGGAGAACTCGGCAACGCCCTGCACGCAGCCTCATTCCGGGGTCACGAGTCCGCGATAAAAATCCTCCTCGACCACGGAGCCGACGTCAACGCCCGAGGCGGCGAATACGAGACCGCTCTACAGGCCGCATCTCGAAATGGTCACGACGCCGCGGTGCAGGTCCTTCTCGAGCATGGCGCGGATGCCAACGCGCAGGGGGGCGGGTATAGCAGTGCGCTGCAGGCGGCGGCGTCTCGCGGGTATTACTCGGTAGTGGAGAAGCTGCTTGATAAAGGGGCGGATATCGATGTGAGGGGTGGGCTGTATGGGACGGCGCTGCAGGCTGCGTCGTTCTGTGGGTTTCAGAGGGTGGTACAGGTGTTGTTGGAGAGGGGCGCGGATGTGAATGCCCAGGGAGGGTATTTTGGGAGTGCGTTGGGAGCTGCGAGGTTTGCTGGGCGGAAGGTTGTGGTGGGGATGTTGTTGGATAAGGGTGCTGGTGCTGGTGTAGAAGGTGAAGTGTGTTAGGGCTAGGTGGTTATCTGTAATGTAGATATTGCATGTTTAGTAACTGAATATATAGAGAAGTCACGGGTGATAAATTAGATTATGAATGGGCTCATTCTATTTTATAAGCTTAGGATCAGTATTTAGAGACCAGTTCTTTGGACTGTCTCTCGCTTGTATGTAGCTTAATAGCCCCAACAAATTTCTCGGCTGGATTTGACTTAGAGAGGCAAGGTCTAAAGTACAACACCTTGGGATAACATCCAGGGTCCATTGAATGTATCATAAATGGCGTCTCAAAAGAGTCCCTTCTCTTACTGAAGCAACGGATTTCTTGGAGGCAATAGTTGAACAATTTAGAGCCAATCCTATCAGAAAGCAGACATAACTCTAGAAAGACCACCTTCTCCAGTGAAAGTGAAGTGGCTTGAGCTTTGGAAATTGTTCCTCCAGCTTACGCATGTACATCTCCTTTGTCCTCAATTTGGCCATCGTGGCCTCTGAAACATAGTATCCCACCCCCAATTCAGCCATAAAAAGGACGGTATCAACGGCAGTCAACGATGGCGTGGCATCAAGGGTACGTAAAGCGCCTGTAGTCCATATGCCCAGAGCCACCTTCGTCGACTGCCAAACCAAGGCACGTTCCCTGAAGTAGGCCTCCATCAAACCTCTCATGAGCTCTCGTAGAAACCCCATTACGTCATTGGACGCTGGTACAATGAGATAAGCTAGGCGGATTGCAAGGTCGTGGCAGTTCCAATAAACAGGCATGTATCTCCAGTCACGTCGAAGGCCCCGGTAGACTGCGCTAAGAGTTAGCCATGAATTGAAATAGCTTGCTCAACTCAGCACATGCCTTTGGAGATCTCCTCATCACACATATTCGTCCGACCAATCTCCTGTCCACTTTCTATCGCTCGGATATAAGGCTTCTCCCAAGTCCTGTCTGCGTTCCGTTCTATAATACTGCCACTTCTGCTGCTTCTCGAAGCCGTCGAACTGGTTGAATCTCCGGGATGGTCCCAGAATTTTGCATGGGCGAACTTGGTGAGGAGGGTCAAGGACGGGTGGTCCCATATCTCGCTGGGGATGACACACAGGGCATAGTGTGTCATAAACTTAAGCCGGGATTCAATATTCGGCAAGGCGCGGTTTTCTCGGCTTTCCCAGGCAACAGGAGGGCTGGATGGTGGTTCGCGTCCGACTGCTCGGACGATATTCCGAAATGAGCTACCGATTGGGGCTGTCACAAGAAGGACGACTCCGATGCCTGTATTAGAGTCGCTTTAACCATCCTTTTGCCAAGGATACACTGCAGATTTGGAAGACAACCTACGTTCCTCTTCGGACATGCTTACTTGTATGGGACTTCACCACAGCTCGTTGTCGTCGAGAACAGCCAGAATTAAGATCTCCAGGGAGGCTTGGCCCTTTTTGGCTGAGTGGAAAATGCGAGCGCCTGGTTTCTTTTTGGCCCCGAAGGGGTTGATAGAAAGATAAATAGCTTCAGAAGCTCCAGCTGGCACTAAGAGATGCCTTAATATGTATTCCGGTCAATAGAGGGTGTCCAGAAAGGGTAGACGAATGGGAAGTGATGAGATCAGAATGACATCTGGGTGACAGGTTAATGAGAGGAAAATGGACGCCTCCAGTCATCTAGGCCATTTGGTTTGCGAACAAACCACGCGCGGCTGTCTGTAAACCGTCAGTAGTACCATGGAACCTCAGTTTAAAGTTGCAATAATAATATAAAGGAACCAAAACATTCCATTCATTCAAAAGCATATCTCATCACTTGGTCATACTACGGATTCAGCCAAAATAATCAATCGAACAGTCCACATCAGAAAGATCAGTTTACAATCCCAACCAATACCGAGTCTTCTCGACCGTGAAAGACGACTTGAGCACACCCTCGCCGGTACCGGTGACCTGCACCTCATACGTGCCCTTCTCGGAGGCCCATTTCTCGCGCTGCTCGTCCCACCAGCTCGTGGCCAGTTTCTTCTCCACGACGATCTCCACCTTCTTCTGCTCGCCTGGCTTCAGCTCCACCTTGGTGAATCCCTTGAGTTCACGGACGGGACGGTTGACGCCCGTCGGGGGCGGCGCCACCCACAGCTGCACGATCTCAGCACCGGCAACCTTACCCGTGTTGGTGACGGTAACGGTGGCGATGATGGGCTCGCCGCTGTCTGCGAGCTTGGGCTGCTCGGGGCTGGTCTTCAGGGTGAGGTCGGAGCGGGTGAAGGTGGTGTAGGAGAGACCGTGGCCGAAGGGGAAGAGGGGCGGGAGGTTGACCTTCTCGTAGTAGCGGTATCCGACATAGATGTCTTCGCCGTAGAGCACGCGGCCGCGCTCCGAGCGGAAGTTGAGGTAGCTGGGGTTGTCTTGCAGGCGGACGGGGAAGCTGAGCGGGAGCTTGCCGGAGGGGTTGACGTCGCCGTACAGCACGTCGGCAATACCGTTGCCGCACTCGTTTCCGCCGAACCAGGCTTGGAGGAGGGCCTTGGTCTGCTTGGCCCAGGGCATGGTGACCGGCGTGCCGCTCTGGATGACCACTACGGAGTTCTGGTTGGCCTCCAACACGCGCGAGATCAACTCGTCGCTGCCCGGGGGCAGGTCCATGTGGTCACGGTCGTACCCTTCGGTCTCCCATTCGCTGGTCAGACCGGCGAACACGACAACCTGGTCCGCCTTGGAGGCGAGAGCGACGGCCTTAGAAATCAGCTCCTCCTGGCCGACTTGGCGGCTGGCTCCGAAGCGGAATCCTCCGGGGCCGAACGCCACGACACCGCGGGTATCCAGATCAGAAGTGGGCGCACTGCCGAACTGGAGCAGGACCTTGTACGTTTGGCCGGCCTTGAGCTCCTTGCTGCCGATCTTCTCCTCGGTGGCGTTGCCGAAGAACGCGGAGCCCTGGCGCTGGTTTTTGGTGTTGTCGACGACCACTTCGCCATCAATCAGAAGCTTACCGGTACCCACAACGGTCACGCCGAAGTCGTAGACTCCGCTCTCCTCGGGAGTGAAGAGACCCTCCATATCGACGTAGAAGGTCATGGACTTGATCTTAGGGTTGATGTAATCCATGAGGAAACCGCTGGAGGACACCAGGTGCAGCTCATCGACAAGCTCTCGCTTGGCCTCGGTGGGAGGCTCGTTGAACACGCGGAATGCGAATCCGGTCTTTCCATCGGCCGTCTTCAGGAGGGGACCAAGCAGAGGGAGTTCCTTATGCGAGTAAACGCCCTGGGAGTACTGGACCTCACCCTTGCTCTTGGCCGAGACGCCCTCAAACGGTGACACGGTATAGTAAGCATCCAAAGAGGCAGAACCACCACCGCAGTAAGCAGAAAGCTTTGCATTAGGTCCGATGACTAGGATCGACTTCTCCTTGTTCAAAGGCAGGATGTTCTCATCATTCTTCATCAGGACGACTGATTCCGCGGCGGCACGTCGCAAGAGCGCCTGGTCTTGGGCTCGGTTGAGAGCCTTCTCCGGGGCATTTTCCGGGATGCCGAGGGGCTCGACAAAGTTGATCAAGTTCAATACGTTACGAACTCGCTCATCCATAACATACTCGAAGGATTTGTTGGATGATACAGCATGGGCCAGGGCGGTTCCACGCCAGCGTGTCTTTCCCGGCATTTCCAAGTCCAAACCGGCATTGATAGCATCAGAGGTACTGTATGTTCCGAACCTGCCAATCTTTTAATATCCAAATAGGCGGGTAATGATTCCAAAACTTACCAGTCACTCATGACGAGGCCATCCCAGCCCCACTCCTTGCGGAGGATGTCGGTGATAATCTGCTTGTTCTCACTCACATGCGTGCCGTTGACCTTGTTATACGCCGTCATGACACATGCGCTCTGACAGATCCTCAGGGCCAGCTGGAAAGGCAGGAGATAGATCTCGCGCATCGCGCGCTGCGTGACGATACTGTCGACGGCCAGACGCTCATGTTCTTGGTCATTGCAGACGAAGTGCTTCAGGGTAGCAGCAACACCCTTCTCCTGCATACCCTTGCAGTAGTAGCCGGCCAAAATGCCCGAAAGCACACCGTCCTCAGCAAAAGACTCGAAACCACGGCCTCCGAGCGGCGATCGCTGGGTGTTGATGGTGGGGCCTAGAACAATGTGGGATCCTTTGGCAATAGACTCCTCGCCCATCAATCGCCCCACTTCCTGCAGCAGCTCGATATCCCAGGTGGCGCCCAGTGCCGTGGAACAGGGGAAACAAGCTGCCGGGACACCGTTAAAGAACCGCGTTCCTCGCACTCCATTGGGGCCATCGGACATGCGCAGACTGGGGATGTTCAGACGAGGGACGGTCGCCGTATGCCAGAAGTCAATACCTGCCGAGAAATATGCGTCGTTAGAAAGACCAAGTCCATCTATTAGGATTGAATTCAGGGGTAGAACTTTCTGAGATACTCACCAGCAACTAGAGCTACCTTCTCCCCCAGGGTAAGCTCCTCAATGGTCTTCTCCACATCTAACCGGGGCATTGTGAACAGAAAACCGAAGACTCAGCTTCTCCGCACTACAGATGAAGCGGACGAGGTTAAGACAAGAAAACCAACAAAAGCAAAGATAAGAAAGAGGGGAGGCAAATGGGAAACAAAAAGAATCACAAAAATCGGAGAGGTCAAAGGGGAAAGTGGGATGGATCGCACGTAATGTGGAGAGGGAATGGGATTAGAAAAGATCAATGTGGAGGGGGGCAATGCATGTAGATATACCTCGACGAGAAATAAAAAAAAAAAGTAAAAGAAAAGAAGAAGGAAGGTCAGTCAATCAGTGATCTCACCTTTTGGGAAACATCTCCAATTTCCAATAATGCCAACTGTACTCCGGAGATACAGCAACGTTCTTCCCGGGCTCCCCGCTCCGTCGCACAAAGGAACATCATGCTGGATCCATGATCAATGGCAGGTGGATCGAAAACTGGATCGTCGGTCTAAACGTCCCGAAATTCTCCCAGGGGTGGAGAAACCAAAAGAACATCTGGTGATCTGACGGGTGGGAAGGTGAAACTCGAAGGCGTAGGGACATCGCCCGCCGTCAAGGCCGTGAGTCCGTCAAATGCAAAGGATCTTGATCTAGATCCGAAACGCAGCAAGACGGAATGGGGGACGGCAGATAAACCCCCATCACTAGTGTGGGTAGTTGGACTAAGCCTGAAGGGAATCAGCCCGGCCAGTCAAGGCACGATGAAAGCGACACGGAGGAAAGTCCGAAGATTAACCGACTGCTTGGCGATGCGGCGAGTGGGGGAACAGGCGGAGTATCGGACCGGCGTGCCTTGATTGACTCCATAGGAATGATGAATGCCGGATGGATCCAGAGACTGACGATGATTGAAGGAGGAAAAGAGAAAAGTGGATGGGATTCCGTCTGAGACTAAGACTCTGCCTGCTCCGTAAGGCCGCCGGTCACATGGTCAGTAGGGCTTCGGGGATCTCGTGCCGACAACATTCTATGATTTAGACAGCAGAATGTACATCCTTTGGATTCTGTCAGTCGATTGATACATATCTTTACGCTGATCCATTGCAGGTCACATTCACCATTACTATGCTTCGACAAATTCTACAGCTCAACCCTCAAGTACATCCTGGACTCTCCACCCATGCTCCGGTCCCGCCCAAGAATGAAAAAAGAGAAAAAGAGAATACAGATTGACTCCGCCAAAAAGAAAAGAGTCTAGAAAGGTATTGAAATGGAAAATGCAAAAACACCGTCCAATAGATGCATAATGTAGTAAGAGAAGAAAGGAAAACACAAAGAAAAGAAGGCTGAGTCAAGTAAAGAGAAAGACACACCACAAGGACGACATAACTCATCATACAAGCTTCACTGGGAAAATCAAATCGAATAAGAAAACACTCAAGCACCACGGCGAGGTCGCTTGTTTTCACCTCCCATTCGCATGCCGCCACGGCCACCTCCATCGCCGTGGTTGCCTTCGTCGCCGCCGGGTCGTCCACGCTTGCGATGAGGCCCTCCTCCTCCGCTACCACCCTCGCGGTGATAGTCACGGTCTCGTGGACGATCACGGCTGCTCCGCTCTCGTCCGCCCCAGCGGCGATCTTCTTCGGGATTTCCGCCAGACGAGGCCGGGGCAGCTTGGCCGCCAAACGACGGAGGCCGAAGGCGTCCTTCATGTTCCTGGCTGCCCTGTTCAGCGGCGCCTTCATCCCGGTCTCGCCGTCGACGGTTGTCCTCGCGCGACCCGGCTCCTCGTCGGGCAACCTCTCGCGACTCGTATCGTTCTTCGCGAGAGCCACCCGCTCCCGGGGCGTCACTTCGCCGACTGCGTTCGCGCTCGTAGTCTCGATTCCGGTCCCTGTATTCTTCCCGCCGGCTGCTGCCACGGGTTCCCTCTTCGTCACCTCCTCCCCGGCGATCCCTCTCTCTTTCGCGGTCTCTGTTTTCGCGGTCTCCACGATCGTGGGAATGACCGCCACCGCCTGTAGAATAGCGTCCGGATCGTCGAGATTCCGAGCCTTCCTCGGTAGGCTCACCTCGCCGGCTCCGGTGAGAGCTGTCGTCGTCGACGTGCGTAGCAGATGGTCGATTAGCCAAAAGGTCAGGCTTATTTTGGAACGAGCTAGACCGTCCACCGTCATCAGTTGCACCAACGGGAGTAAGTTGTCGACTAGTCTGAGGAGACGCATTCGCTTGACGGTTGGCTCCTCGGCCACGAATTGGGGGACCAGAGCCTCCACGGTCCGACGGCCCGCCAGACTGTTGTAGCATGTTGTTAATGCCAGCAAACCGTTTGTCGCCTCGCCCTCGCTCTCCACCAAATCCTGACCCGGGGGCTGGACCGCGAGGAAGAGACGACGGTCCGGAGGGAGGTCCCAGTGCGCCGCGGGGACCAGAGGGAGGTACAACCGGCGGCTGGGATTGGTGGGTGCGCGGAGACCCAGTGTAAGCACCGCCTTCTTGCGGCTGCTGTTGGAAAGCTTTGAGTCGATCCGGGTGCATTCCAGTAGCCTCTAACTTCTCGACACCTGGTGATGACCTTCCCGCAGAGGCGTTTTGGTCGGGACCACCACGCATGCCCTGTCGACCGGGGCCAGTGGGTGGTTGACGTTCGGCCGGATGACCACTCGCAGAAGGGGAAGGGTGAGTCATGTTGGGCGCGTTTCGTCCACCACGGCTAGGGGTATTCCTTCCCCTTGGTCCTAGGGGAATGTCTGCAGGGGCATCAGGTTGGCGAAGCCGTCCATGGTTGAGGTCAGGGCCGGCAGGCTCTCGTAAATCTGCACCGTCCAGAGGAGCTCGCCCATGTCGGTCACTGCGCGGTCCGGTAGGCAAATCCTCGTGTCGTGATTGAGTCGGGGGGTAGTTGAGCGATCGACGGTCATCGGCAGGGAAACGCTCGGGACGGTTGGGAAGTTCGACCCGCTGAGGTGATGTTCTGGCCGGCGGCAATGTTCGTCGATCATCTTTCTCTGGTCGTGATGGGTCACCGCGTCGAAAGCTCGGGTCAGCATGCTCGTGTATCATATCAACACGATCGGGGTGCGTAGGCGGGCCAGATCGTGCTTCAGAAGCACGCAGACGCCCAGGACGGTCATGCCACTCCTGACCTAATGAAGGGCGGCCTTCACGGTAGGGATGCGCACGGAACGGTTCCTCCATCGGTCCTCGGGGATAGTCCCGCTCCAGGCGACCATAGTTCCTACCGTCGCCCACAGGCTGATCGAAGGAACGATTGTAGTCATGGTCGCTACCGAATCTACCCCCTCGGAAGTCCGCATTTCTATCGCGTCGTTCATCCAAGAGATCGGGACGCGGCGGCAGTTTGGTCTCCTCTCGGTGGTTGCGAGATGGCGTATGTGTCTGTGAACGCGGGGTCTGGTTGCTGGAGGAGATGCGGTCCACATCAGGACGTTTGGGTATACTCGAAGGTCTATTGTGCTCAAGGCCTCTGGGTGTTCCACGAGACTCGGCCGATGGCGCACGCGGACGTGAGGCGGGCCCCGTGTCGTTGCGATTGTCGGCCGTCAAAGTTGAGCCAGCAGCTTTCTCTGCGGAAGTTGTTGTGGCAGCACCTTCTTGGCTCGCTGGCGTTTGCCATTCGCCATTTGACGGGCCTGCTGCAGCAGTTGAATCGCCCTGACTTGGGGTGGTACCAGCCTTCTCCGGCTGTTTCTGGGAGTCATCTGCGTTTTCGGCGTCCTTTGTCGCCGCAGCATCGGTCATCTTGGCGTCCTCGATCTCACCGTCCTCTACTTCGGCGCTGGTGGGTGCTTCGTTTTGGGATCTATAAATGGAATCGCAATCAGATACTGAAATGGGCCTTGGCCGGGTGAATCATTGAATGTTGCGCTTGCTTGACTTACTCGTTGGTGGCTGGGGGTTTGAACTCGGCTGCCGACGCGTTTAATGAAGGAGTCGTAGATTGTGGGCGCGACGCACCGGGCTTCCCACCCTTCTCAGTGGCAGTGCCTTCCGTCTTTGACGCATTGCCCTTTGCTTGTGGTGCTGCTGACATGTGGAAGGCTTGCGGGAGCATCCACTTCTTCTCTCGCCGGTTGAGATCACCGATCAAGGAAGCGGCAGGGATCTTGACATCGTCTCGCTCATCGTTCTGGCTCAGGTTCGTCACACTGTTCAGCATATCACGGCCGATCCAATTCACGGCCGGGAAGTGCTGCACAATCGCCTTCAGCACACTGATACCATTCCGAATTTGCATGTATTCGCCCCCATTGAAACAAGTCTTGAACGTCATGGCCAAGTAACGGTGCCACTTGTACATGAGCCGACGGAAATCTTCATAATCCAAAAAGCCGGTGATCGACCCCTCAGCATTTACTTTCATGGCGAATCCGGGCAGATCTTTCTTGGTTCCAAAAGCCTCTTTCTCGTACACTGATCTGTCCGCATGCCAGCGGGCAAGATCGCGGAGGACTTCGTTGAGGAAGCGGCCAAGATTGTCAGCTTCCCTCGATGTACACAAGAAGATCAGAGCATTCAGCCTCGGCTCACTGAAGAGGTGATCCAAAATACCGACCGTGCGGAAATTCGACGGCCCAGAGGAGTGAAGGAATTTCAACATCTTAAAGCAGTAGAATGCGTCGAGCGAGGAGACCAGCATGCGCGGCAAGAAGCACTGTTCGAGGAGTGCCACGTGCAGATTGTCATAATCCTCCTTCGTTCTTTTCAGGTGAATAAACCAATGGTCCTTCTCCTTCTGCAATTTCGTCCTTGTCTGACCGTATGACTTCAGGTGGGCCTTGTTCTCCTCCAGTATCCGCTCCTGAAGTTGGGTGATTAGCTTCTTCTGGGCCTCCTTTTTCTGGGTGCCAGCAACACTGATGTCCATGCGGTCGCTGCTGATGCTGATGACCTTCTTTTTCTGCCGTTCGATCTCGTCCTCGTATGCTTTCTGAGGGATGTGCACATCGTAGAGAGACAGTTGCCAGAACGTCGTGTAGAAAGAAAGACCGACGGTTTCCCAGGCCTCAGAAGGCAATGCCGATTTGACCTGGTCCTGGAGGTCCTGGATGACAGGATTCAATGGGGGAGGTTCAGCGACCACCGGGGTCTGCTCAACGGGAATAACCGTATCGTCATCGTCCGTCTTTTCTACCTCCTCCTTCTCGACGTCCATCGAATTCTCACCCTCTTGTGCGGGCTCTGCCGCCTCGGCCTCTCCTTCATCGCCAATGTCCATCTTGTCGGCCTCAGCCTTAACAGAAAGTTTCTCTTGACTACTCTCCTTAGGGGTGGCCGCATCATCCTCCAGCGTAAGCTTCTCCGTGTCTGCAATCTTGCGAGCGATGCTTGGTCGGCGAATCCAGAATGCAATTTCAGGCTGCACGCCGTATTCACTGATAAGAGAGGCGAGATCGGGAACGAAGGAATCAAACTCCTCGACGGTCAGGTTGCTGCGAAGCAGGTCCAGATACTGAGCCAGAACACGATGGATCTCGTCGAAAACGTTCCCCAGCAACTTCAGCTCGGAGTCGCCTTCGGACTCGCGGAACACGCATGTCCAGCGTTCCTGGGCGATGGCAATGAGAAGTTGACCAGCAAGCTTGGAGACGGTGAGGGCTTTCATCAGGCGCTTTGCCGTGGTCTTGGACTCGTGGCGCTGGTCCAACAACTGGAGAATAGTCTGGCCCTGGAGGACCTCGCCACCCGCCATGGCCTGGATCTGCGCATCGTTAAAGCTGGTGTCCGTAACGATACCCGCCATGGAGCTGATAAGTTGCTCCAGCACGATCAAGTCCGTCGAGTTGTTATGCCGAAGTTGCTCGACAACATATTGCAGCAGAGGAGTGGGGTCTATCATCGAATACCGTTTAAACGTTTTCCCCGCGAAATTGGCCAACGCATTGAGCCAGCGGCTTGTGAGCAATCCGCTCTCCTGCAGTCGGCTCCGTCCTTTGTGGCCGAGAGAGCTGATGAGAGCCCAGGTCAAGACGTCATATCCGAGGTTAGTGAAGTAACGCGCGCACTCCACAACAACGACGATCAGGTTCTCGTACGACTCGATCTGGCTGATGGCAGTGTGGATGACGATTGCGGGATTGGCGCATGCGATCTTGGCCAAGGCACGAGCCATGGGTCGAGTGTTCGTCTTGCTGAGCCTCTTCAGGACATCTTTGGTTTCTGCTTTCGCCTGATCAACGGCTGATTTGATATCCGGCAGCCGAGACGTCTGGCCCGAATACCATTCCGCGTACATGTTGTACCGTGTATCCCTCGGGAAGAAGCTAATAAGATCAAAGACTTCGTTGACCACACCGGGGTTGGCTTTGGTCAAGCTGATTGCCGGAAGCAAGAGGCGTTTGCACAGATCTCGCCAGCGAGATGCATTGTCTGCCGAGTCGTCCTGAGTCATGCTGTACTTGCCAATTCTAGCCAGCTTTGTCAGTAAGGTCGGGTCATGTCCGATCTTATGCCCGGACAGATTGAGGAAGGACGAGCAGAGCGCAAAGACGTCGTCGACAGAGTGGCAGATTGGAATATTATCGGCCCAATCATCCCAATAGAATCGATAGTCGGTTCCGTCGTTCGTATCTTCTTTGTCCAGCTGGGCCCATCGCAGCACCCGTCTCGGAGGGGCTTGGATCAAGCGAAGCTGGCCCTTTGCTCCTCCACTCTGGTCCTGTCCCGGTATTTGCTTGGGTTCCCGGACCTCATCTGGAAGCGGTGACGGGCACGAAGCGGCATAGACTTTGCCCAAGCATTGGTGAAGGATTCGGTGGATATACTCGGGAAGTTCGGGATAGACGTCCATAAGCCAGGGGAATTTGCTGAGGATGAAAAGAGACTCGGGAAGCGCCCCAATGGTGAGCAAGCTCTTCAAAAGCAGCACCTTCTGGTCGGATGGCTCCGGAAGGTCGCTTTCTTCTGCTTTGCCAGCCGACTTGTCCGCATCTTGGTCCTTGCCGGGGGTCGCTGACGGTGTCTCGGATTCTCGCAGACGCGGAGTCGGTAACGTGTCGTCTGAAAGTGCACCGGCCATCATCAGTGCATTGAAACCGCCGCCCGGTCGTGCTGCTCTTTCTCGCTCCGCCTTCTCCTTCAACTTTTCTTCTTTCAGGACGTCCATGGAGTCGTCGGGTCTCCACAGGTGGGGGTACAAGTCGCGCAGCGAGATAAAGCCAACCTTGATCAACAATGCGGCCAGGTAGATGAGGTTGTCGGGAAGGACGTCGACCTTGGAGCGCGCTCTGGACGAGTAAAAGCGGAGCTTGAACCCGAGAAGCTGGGCTGCGACACGGCTTCCTTGGGGTGGCGAGGTTCCTGTCGCCTCGATCCATTTCCGCGTGTCGATTTCCTCCTCCGAAAGACTGTTGGACTCCGGAAGGATTTGTCGTAGTTCCTCTTCGGAAACAGGCCGGCGACCGATTTCAAAGAAAGCGCGAATTCCGATCTCCCTCACTCTCGTCCAGAAGGCCTGATCGCGCTGTTCATTGAGCTGCACGGCCTCCGCCCGTTCCTCCTCCGTCGTGGCCCATCCTGAGGACCCCGGGAAAGCCCAATTCGGAAGCCCCGAGTCACGGTTGGCTTCACTGGTGCCGAAGGCATTTTCCTTGGGCCACCAAGAACTGGCGCGCAGCAGCTTGACGAAAAAGCGGTATTGCTTCACAAGTACAGCCGCGAATACGTCCAGAGTTACGTCGAGGACACGTCCCACATCCATATCGAACGCACCGATCATAGCCTTGACTTTCTCGAAGGTATCCTCCACGACCTCGCTGGATGGAGGTTCATTGTTGCTGGTTGTAAAAAGTTCTGTGAGAAGTTTCGAATACCCCTCGGATTCTTCGCGCAGGAGATTGTAGTTCGACTGTCGGTAAAGGAGGTTGGTCTGCTTACGAATGCCCATGCGGGTGAACGTTTCACGAACGAGACCGAGAGACTGGAGAAGGGGAGTGTCGAGCTGGAGACGCATCAGAGCGGAGCTAATGCCGGTGGAGAAGACCAACGGCCTCAGAGCAGGGTTCGACGTGTCGGAATCCGTCATGATGGATAGGGTGTCCAGAAAGAGAGAGCGGGGGTCGAAATCCTCTTCCAGTTGGCCCTCTGCCTCCATGTCGACCTCTTCGCCAGCCGCAGCATCTTTTTCGATAATATCCTGGATAGCAGCGCCTGCCTCCGGTGGTGTCACGCGTCCGTAGAAAGCGCTTCGGATTAGCTCCTGGTAGATCAACGCCAGCTTCGGAATATCCTGCTCCTTCCTTGCCTGCACTCCATCGTCCACGAACTTCCGCTCACCAGTGGAAACCCAATGCTCGATGTGAGAGTCGGTCACGTATTCAAAGGCGTACGGCTGCGGCGGCGGCGCGGGAGGGTGATGGATAGGGGTGATAGGAGAGACGAGAGATTGTGAGGGAGCCGGTGTTTGCATCTGAGACGGAGGTTGGGACGGCGTCGGCGCCGGGGACGGGGGTTGCGAAGACTGATTTACGGTGGACGAGACACCGTTGGCCTGGCTTTGTTCCGCGGCATTGTTCGCCGGTGAAATAGTAGTGGCGGGAGGGGACATGGCAGCGTCCCTACGGCTGCCAGCTGTATTCTGGGTATCATTGCTGGCTCTGCGACCGTGGTTATTCCGTCCTCCTCGGCCGGATTGCCTTCGCCCCCTTCCGCGCGTTTCGGGGTGATCGCGAGGCTGCGAGGGCTGGGAGCCGTGATTATGTTGCGCCATGTTGAGATTTCCTGGTCGATGAGGAGAAGGTCGCTGGGTCTCGTTGGAGTCGCCAGACCAAGATCTATCACCTCTTTTCCTCTTTCCACTGACACCCGGAGCCATGACAGGATTGGCTACAGCTTCGGGGCTCAGGCAGAACGGGGAAAGGTTTCCGACAGAATGCGATTCATGAGGCGGGTCTAAAGTTTGGGAGGGTTGCCGTTTGTTAGTCTTTCGGATTTGTTCAGGGCGCAATGAATCAATCAAAAGGGCAAAGCTGGTAGACGGGTAGAGGAGAAAGGACAGGGACCAACATTCTGTAGAAACTTCATGCAGTCGGGAGACAAAGGGGACTGCGGGTGGAGTTGAAGAATCGCTGGATGAACAAAGGATAAACCCGATGATGATATTGAAGACCGCCGGGCGCGTGTCGCGCTTATTCCGTTTGTCGGTTCCGCCGCGCTAACCTTTGTCGGTGCCTTCCTTTTCAGGAATCCCAATCTTGGCACGGATGGTATTGACAATGAATAAGTGTATTCTCTTGAATAGGTTAAATAGGAGAATAATATACTGTAAATGAATAGAGTTCATTTATCATGTGAATACAACTGAAGCGTCAATATCCTGCTGCTCCGACATACTTCTGCTACATAAATATCTACATCTACACCAACTATATATAGCAGAATAACTACAAAGCAGCTCCGCCAACTTGGGACTACAACTAGCACACTGCTATTTTCCTTGGAGGAAATAAGTTAATCCTTTTAACATTGCATAATACAGCAATATACTTGCTCGTTACATTCATAAGATTGCCTCAGTTCTCCCAATATGAGACAATCGGCATTCGGCAACCCTGTCGGCTCTGCCCCTCCTACTTGACAAGTTGACAACTCATTCCTACCTAACGCAATCGAGAATACCCCAGTACTAACCTAAATTATACAATTTCTAAAGCTGGGTTGACTCTTGGAAACTTATGATAATACAAAATCTATCTCAATTTTGTTAAAAGTTCATAAAATTTCATTAATTACAACGAAGGAAAACAGGTAGTTCAAAGACCCAGATCCCTTGCCTCGATATCCACAATCTCAGGGATCAGTTCCTTCAAGCTCGGCCTGCTCGGGGACCAGCCCAGCAGCTTGCGCGCGCGAAGCGAGTGACCCCGCGAGCTACTTCCCCAAGCGTACAGACCGAACTGGTTCAGCGCAGTGACCTCCGCGTCAGGAAGAGGCTCGACCTCGGAGGAGGGGATCAGCTTCTTCTCGTGGGCCACGCGGGCCACCTCGCGCTGGATGTCACCCCACACGAAGGGGCCGTTCTCTGCCAGGTAGTATCCCTTATCGTTCCAGGTGGCCTTGCCACCGCCGGCAGCGGCAGCGTCACCCAGGAGCAGATACACGTCGCTGAGATCCTGGACGTGGACCTGGTGCCAGATGTTCTCGCCCTTGCCGACGAGGAGACCCTTCTTGCGCTTCAGCACGGCGGCAGTCAGCCAGTAGGCCTGGACACTCTTCTGGTTGCCGGGACCGCGGCCGGGGCCGTAGATGGTGGGCGGGCAGACGATGGCCACCTTGACGCTGTCGGGGTTCTTCTTGCCGGCGTCGATGATGATCTTGTCGACGTTGCGGTGGAGGGAGTCGTCGGGGAGGTTGAGCAGCTCGTCGACGCCGTCCCAGTCGTCGTGCTCCTTGGTGCGGTACAGACCCCAGGTGTTAGTGCGGAAGTCCTCGACGGTGAGGATACCGGTGCCCGAGGTGTGGATCAGCCACAGAGGGCGCTCGGGGGTGTGTTGGGCGGCACCCTTGGCGATGGCTTCAGCCGAGGCGACGTGATCACAATCGGCGCAGTCTGTAGGTGGGTATTAGCTTGTATTTATGTGTAGAAAGGGAGGAGACAACGCACGGAGCACGATGTCTGCGTTCTTGGTTTCCTCGGCGATGACATCGGACGAGTCGAGGTCTCCAATGACGATGCGAGCGTTGGGGTATTTGCTGGACACCTGAGCGCCCTTCTCTTTGCTCCGAGTCAGGACGGAGTATTCCCAGTCGGGGTGGGCCTGGTTGAAGTCGAAGAAAACATCACCACCGATGTAGCCTGTAGCTCCGGTGCTAGAAGAGCATTAGTACGCCACAAAGTCGACGTCTTGGCATGGAAAGTGGAAGAACTGGACTTACACGAAGACCTTCTGAGGTGCCATTTTCGTGAGATGGGGAGAAGAATTGGGGAAATTCGAGGAAGTTCAGTTAACCACGTCCGGACCGAGGTAGGAACACAATAAACGAAAGACATGCTAGGCGGGGAGCAGCTGGAATATATAGGCGATTCCATTACCAGCACGACCACCACCATTGCGCCGAAGCAACAGCTTTCAAATCAAAAGTGGCCGAAAATGGGTCCTCCGAGCAAAAGTGGGGGTGGGGTGGGTTGCTTTGGGTGGTTGAGGTGATGCGGTGATGCACAGCTGGCACCATTCACGGACTGCATAAGCTGCAAAGGAGGTGTCGGAACTGCCTCCCGTCAGAGATATGATTTGCATGTACGGTATCACTTACATGGCGGAGGAGGAAGAAAGAGAAGGAATGGCGTCGAGAGAATCGGAGGGATGTCCTTCCGAATTACGTCATCCGCCGTTGATGTCGATGCATTGGAGTATATTTTGAAACTCATTACATACATTGTTCTTTCCTTATTTTTATTCTCTATTTTGGTCTTGATTTATACCTCTACTCAATAATTCCCTCCTCCCTCGCCTTCTTCAGCGCCTCCTCTCTCTTCTTCGTCGCCTCCTCGTCCTCACTCCCCTCCGAAAACGATCCTTTCCAGGTATACTCCCCATTCTCATCCTTCCCCTTCTCCTCGTCCACATACTCGTCAAACCCCATATTCCCAATGTCCAGATTCGTAAACATGATCCACGCCTCGACCCACGGCAACCTCGCCATCACAAACGGCGACCGATCGCCCTCGTCATCCTCCTCCTCCTCTTCCTCTTCTTCCTCGTCCTCATCATCATCCTCATCATTGATTGAACATACCAAACACGACTCTTCCCGAAATCCTCTATCGTCGATAATCAACAAGTTCATAGTCGTGAGGCCCTTTCCGCCGAGCTTTTTTTCATTTTCCTGAACGAACTCGAAGACCTCGGAGGGCGTTTTGCCGGCGAAGGCGTTGTTGGTGGAGTCGAGGGTTTGGGCGCCGGAGAGGTCGAGAGGTGGGGTGTTGGGGGTTTTGAGATCGGTTTCGTCGTCTAGGTGAGTGGTGTTGTGGAAGATGGTCCAGGAGTGGTCGACGCCATACTCGTAGTCTTCGAGGGAGATGAGGGCTTTGTGGACTTTCTGGGCGGTGTTAGTTTGAGTACTCCATTTTTGGCGTAGAGTGGGTACTTGCCTTGACTGATACGGCGGGGGCCGTGATAATGATGGTCCAGGCCATTTTCAAGGGTTGGATGTGTAATTGATTCAATTGAGTTCACTGAATGAAGATGGAGTTTAAAATGCGAAAAATAGTCGAGAGAAACCCTGTGTTAAATGCAGGTTATGCGCATACGGAACGGAGTAATTGAGGCTGGAGCCAAACAACAGGCAGCGAATCCTTCGTGGCGGTGATCTACGTGGGGGCCTTACAGCCTCGTTACTTGCCTGCTAGCCTTAGGAATTAAGTGGAGAACGAGACAGTCTTCGAGCGAGTAGATGTTCGGAGTACAGCCTTGCTTCTACGTAGGGGTTTAATTAATAGCGCCAACAATCCAACCTAAACACAATCAAATTAGGCATAGGTCAATCAACAATACCCACACAACTTATATCTCCGACCCGAATGCATATTTTATGCTGAACACGCCATACTCATATCTTAGTATGGATAAGCTTAAACAACAACCCTGCAAGATAATCTACCAAATCCCTGCAGAAACCAACACTATTGAAAAATAATTAATCAAACAAAATCAATTTAAAGTTTAAAAATAAAAACCCAGAAACCACATCTTAACACTGATTAATCACAGCACCACCATACAACCTCCATTCCATTCCACCGATGACTTAGATACCAGGGAGACAGAGCTGCTCCACAGGCTATGTTACTTGAGACTGTGGCAGCCCAATACGAATAGCATGATGCGAATGCATCGTGACTCATTTATACTTGGAATTGACAGACGGAATCTAATGCGAGATTAGAAGACTAGAGCCCACGAGACTTCTCAGGAGATCACATCTACAGACAATGCTGCTGTAAAGGACGTGGTGGATGGTCCAAACTATCCCATGAGATGATGAGCCAAAAAGACCAACATAGGATCTAGGGATTCTACCATATACAGTGCCATAAAAGTTTGGGTGCCACCCGCCACCCTTCTGGTCGGCAAGTCGGTGACAGCCGCTCGGCATTGAAACTGACACCGATAATCCTTGATTACAAATTATATCTGCTGAAATCTGCGCTTCGGCTTAAATGTTTCGTAATCCGATGGTTAGAAATGCATCTTAAGCTATTACTGAACCCGGGTATGCATTTATGCAATTATCTATGCTTTGATGATCGGAGTTGATTCAACCCGAAAAACTGGATGAGAGCACTTATATCCTTCCATCGATTGTAAACATAAACCCAAAATAGATATCTTGAAGCCTAATCCAGTCGGTACTACATTTGAGATACCATGAAGATACTATATCCACTATTTGACTTCCTAAGTTCATCGGTGTGCGTGAAGCCCTAACGGTGCGAACCCGAACCCGGACCCGAACCCGAACAAAGATGTGGAGAGTGATCGACGGCTGCAGAAGCCTAGATTTCAGTAAAGCCACTATAGTATACTCTTAAAAAAGATCAAACCAGTTTTACAATCTAGGGTACTAATGGCGCAATGCTAAGCCCTGCAAGACGGCAGAGTGTCGGTTTCACTTGAGAATTAGTGCCATTCTCCAGCATCGGTGGATTTTTGCAGCTGCCTGTCGTCCAGAATAGAAAACACAGATAAGAATGTTCCGATTCTATGAGCCTCACGAACATTAGAAATAAGCCTTCAACCCTTTGGCATAGTCGTGAAATTTCTATAGCTCTAGCAGACTACTCGCCTGTCATTTGCTTCTCCAAAAAAAAAAAAAAAAAAAAAAAAAAAAAAAAAAAAAATCAAGACTCGTTCCGTCTCCCATCTTTCCACCATGTCAGACACAGCCTACTATGTATACACACCCAACCCGATCCTCGCCATCATTGGCGTGGGGGTCTACTGCACCCTGACAGCCATGCACATATTCCGAGTTACATCAACCAAGGCATGGGACGGCAGCTTCATGGCGCTGGGCAGTTTCTGTGAGCCTCCACCCTCAACCCTCCGACACTCTCCATCACATCTAACAACCACTAGTTCTCGCAATGGGCTGCGGCGCACGCATCATGTCCTCACACGACATCCACGACAAAGGCGCCTGGGCCGCCCAGAAAGTGCTTCTCCTCTGGGGCCCGAACATGCTCATGTTCACGGTGCACCTGAGCCACGCGGAGTTCGTGAAGGCGCTGCACGCCGAGAAGCACGTCTTCGTGGGACCTCGGATCGCACGACCGCTCTACTTCGCGCTCAACACCGTGCTCTTCCTGCTCATGATGTTCTCCATCGTCATGCTAGTGACCACCTCCGACGACGGCAAGAAACCGCTCTACACGACGCTGGTAAAAGCCAGTCTCATCATCCAACTGATCTTCTGGCTCGTGACCTTCGTTGAAAACGCCTGGTTGAGTATCCGGCTGCGAAGACACCCGACGACCGAGAGTATCGAGGTGATTCCGAGCTGGAAGCGGTGGAACCAGCTATTTGGACTGGCGATTTCGATTCTCGCGATGGGGCATAATGTGGTGCAGATGCAGATGCTGGGGGAGGCGAAGGGGTTCATGGCTAGTGCGGAGTGGGCGGCGTATGCGTTTGATATCTACCAGAGTGGGGTGGTGTTGCTGGGATGGGGCATTTGGTATCTGCCTGGGAGGTGCAGGGCTGTTGTGGGCAGGCGGAAGAAAAACTGGGGCGCGATTCAGGATGAGGCGGCTTACTCCGGAGTATCATCTTACGGATTCGAGGGGTGTGGCTCGTGAGGATACTAGATACAGGCCGTGAGGTGAAACGTTGCTTCAGTTTACAAGGATTTGATGTTTCTGCGATGTGTTTTAAATGAGAATTATCTAGGACTAAAACTTAGGGTTCTTGTTTACAGGAATTTATGAAAAGCTATTTCTGCGATGTGATAAAGTTTTCTAGAAGAAAATTATCTTATATGAAAACTTAGAGTTTGTATCCACAATTCAGTTCTAGAAACTAGATCCACCTAGCGGTTCGGGTTCGGGTTCGGGTTGCTGATTGACATCGCCAAGGTTTGCTATATCCTAATCTTGGCTCGAATTGCAGATTTAGGCTTCCGAGAATCTAATAGGGCAATGCAGAAGAGAGCCTGGCTGTCAAATCTAGATCCTTATCTCTAGCGTAGATCGATGCAGAGATTGTCTACACTGCCCCAAGTAAATCTTGATGCCTCCGGGGACCGAATACGAGACTTCAGGGTCTTGGTCTAGGAACTCTCTATATTTGGATGCAAATTCTGCCAAGATGGATACAAAGCCAGGTCGAAGGCACTATATAAGCCTCCAAAAAAACCCATCATATCTCATATCTCCACTCCACTATCAAATCAACCACACCATCACCACAATGGGCCTCCTTTCAACCCGCTGGAAACTCCCCCTCCACTGCCTCCAGATCCTCCTCGTCGTGATCGTAATCGGCCTCACGATCCCGCGCATGCTCATGAAGAACCAGCCCCGGACGCGCGCAACCTCAATGGGCCTCGGCATGGTACGCTACCACCTTAGTCAAACAACAAAATACTAACTGAAACCAACCAGGGCGCCAAATCCCTCGTCATAATAGCCTACCAGCTCCTCACCGAGCACGTCGACCGCCTGCGCAGATGGGCCAGTTTCAAAGCCTTCACGATCCTCAATGCCCTGGAGATTGTCTTCTGGGCTGCGGTCGCGTTCCTGAATATCCAGGTGAATGTGAAGACGTGCGTGGCTCCGGGGTGCGAGATGGGGTGGGCGGTGATGGTTGTTGCTTTGGTTGTTAGATATGTGTGTTTGGCTGTATGCTTGTGGTCAATACTAATGACTGGGAATAGTGGATTGGCGGTCTATGCTACTGTCTTGTCGTGGGTGGAGTGGCGCGAGTCGAAGAGGCCGAGTCCGTCGTCTTATAAGATGGGTCGGAGTGATAGTCCTGTATAGTTGTTGATTGTCGAAAAGAATGGGTTTACGTATGGATAGATAAATTCGATAGAACGCCATCCTTTGTCCTAGTTTATACTTCTATGCCTCAGCCTGTAGTCTTCCTGTCATGTTAATTCTAGACGGCCGACTAGTGAGGAGACCTGTACTGGGAGTTTTGCAGTAAGAAGAACCAAAAGAACAAACCAAATCACAAACTCCACCGAATCTCCTCCATCGGCCACCTCAAGAACTCCCTCCACGGCCCCTGCAGCGCATCCCACAACTCCCCCATGAACCTCTCACTCAACCCATCCACCCACCACATCCACTCCAGCCTCTTCACCAACACACTAAAATACGCAAAAACCACCAACGCAACGGGCTCTTTCCCCCTCAACCGAACCAGATACTCATCCGACCCTCCAACAACCACGCCATCACCGCCGTGGCATCCACAACCCTCTCCCCCCCGTCTCCCTGCATAACACCCGCCTCAAACCCCCCACATACGCCTCGCCCCCCTCAACCCCCATATCCCATCTCACCCGCGACACGCTCGCCCCATGACTGAACACCGGGGCTAGGATCCCCGCGCGGGAAAACCCCCGCCTCGCCTGGGTGGCAGGTATAATTAGCTGGTGGAGGTGGATTAGGGCTGGGCTGGGGAACCTTGACCTTGCGTCGTTTGCACGGTAGACACCCGTTTTTGGACTTTCGGTGGGATCGTCGGCCGGGGGTTATCGTGTTTGTTGGCATTATTCTGTGCAGGGAATGGTGGTGAGATGGAGAGATAAGTGGATCGAGAGTAGAAGTGATGAAGCTGACAGAACTCCGATAGAACAATTAAGCCAAACGAATTAAAGGCAAGAAAGAAGGGATTCTTGCTCCACTATAGGCTACCTGATACGCAGACCATCCTGCATAGCTTGACAAGAGGCAGATTAACCACCTGAAACAGAACGCAAGGATCAAACACAATAGCAGGAACCCGAACCCGAGGGGATCATCGGGTCGGGTTCGGGTTCGATATCTAAGCTTGGACTATCGTCTAGTTCAGTAGTTCTGGATGAAAAGTGGGCCAAACGTGGTTCCTGCAGATTGCACCGCCTGGAATAGTCTCAGGGGAAGTGGAGCCTATTAAATAGTCGCTGCAAAGGTCCTGTCCCTTGAATGTGACATGTCATCCTCCCTTTCTCGCAGCAGACTGTCCGGGCGTTTCTCCTGGTCCGTCTGATATGGAAACCCACCAACTCACCTAGTCAATCTGGGTGACCTCTGATCATGTTCAAAAGGTATTCATCTTAATCCAAACATCCACGACAATCGCTAAGCTAATACTACCATCCCAGCAAAGCCAAACCAGAGTCGAAACAAAATGCCCCCGTCTACAAACCCAACTCCCTCTGGACCAAGTCCTTCATGATCACGGCCCTCGTCCAAAACTGCTTCACAGTAGGTATCGAAAGGTACCGGCCAACCAACCACTTTGATCGCGCCCATCTAACCCATGCAGTTTCATGATCATCAAGTTCGAAAACAACCTGCGCGGACTCTCCGACAATGAAGTCGCCTTCAAACCGATCCGCACATCCCTAGGCCTCTACACCTTCGGCCTCCTCTGCGAGCTCCTACTCGTCTGGGACGCTCTCCGACACGAGAACGCAATCCAGCTGATCGGGCTATGCATCTGCAACATCGGCCTCGCGATGTACGGCGTCGTCCAAGTCAAAGAAATCAAGATCGCGGTAGCCGACATGAACGCAGACCCATCCAACACCCCCGACGACCTGTGGTCGAAATACAAAGTGCACATCATCCTAGTTCCAGCGATGATGGCCCTCGGGTCGATCATCATGAGCGTGCTGACCTGGAAACTATACTCGGAATTCTCGTGGTCGTTCTTCAAGAACATCAGCGCGGATCTGCGCATGAAGCGCCGATTCATCACCTACCAGGTGTACATTGCGCTGCTGAAATTCGACTTCTTCTTCATCAACGGATGTCTGATGCTTGTGCTGTTGGGCATCATCTCCGAGGACTGGAGCCTCGAGTCGATCGTCAGTATGGCGTTTATCCCGTTGTCCATGATCACGCTGTATCTGGCGGGGTTGTTCACGAGACGGGAAAAGACTGTCGGAATGGTGGTTGTCATTGTACGCACCCTCTCCTCCTCCTCCCTTCCTACTTACTCCCCACGGCTAATCAACACCAGATCATCCTGTGCATTTACATGGCCTGCTTCGCAACCCTCCTCTGGTGGATGAACACCCTGCACGGGTCCACAGACTACGGCTCCACGAGGCTCTCCCTGACGCTGCTGATTGCGATCACCCTGGGTCTGATCCTGATGACCATCGTGACTGGGATCATGTGCATGCGCAATTTCGACAAAGGCTTGAAAACGCAGATCGTGCCGAAGAGGTCAAAGTCGAAGCGCGGGGACGTGCAGTTGGCGGATATGGAGACGCGGTTTGATATCGATGGGGGGGATTATAAAACGAGGGTAAGGGTTGAGCCGAGGGAGATCATTTGATTGTTCTGGATGAAGATCGAGTACAGATTGGATATGCAGGTTGAGAATGTTAGCACGTAAAAGTGGTAAGTTGTCTGCATTCTTATAGGGCGTTTGGATTTATTGATTGAAAATTATTCGATGAACAACATACTGCTTTATCCATCTCATCTCAATCCACAACAGCAAAGTGCCATCTAAATCCGAGGCGCAATATTCACATCCTTGGTTACAGAACGGAAATCTGAAGATTGTGGCCCAGCTGAATGGATCTAGGATCTGACTTGAGGGTCTACAAGTACGAGCCATGAGGTGTTAGGACATTACACTCTATTGCTGACACGGGAGACAACTTCATGAGCTGCCATATATACCAGGACTATCCTGCTCTACTTAGCACAAAGTACCTACATAAATCACGAAATATAGATAGTATCGGACGGAAGGAAACAGTGGATCCACAGATCAAATAAAGAAATCGAATGATCCATAATCAACCATGCCAATTATCTACAGGTCGACGATCATGCATATACAGGGATAATCACGTCACGGCGCAAAGCAGTGGCGAGATCCCCAACACCCTAGAAATAGACCATCCATCCATCTGATGCAGTAATTCCTACTAACTACCCCTGCCACTATAACCATCACCACAATCAACCACCATGTCCTCCCCCTCACCCCCCAGCGAAACCAAACCGACCCTAACCGGCTCCTGCGCCTGCCACCACATCCAATACACCACTTCAACCCTCCCCCTCATCCTAAACAACTGCCACTGCACAACCTGCCGCAAACAATCCGGCGCGGCGTACCAAACCTGGGCGATCTTCCCATCTTCCAGCATCGTCTTCATGCACGGCGAAGCAGACCTCCTCGTGCGACGGTCCAGTACCTTCGCGACCCGCACGGCGTGTTCGCGCTGCGGATCGAGTATCTCCATGCGGTATGATTTTAATCCCGAGGGGGTGGGGATTGCGGCGGGGACGATTGATTCATCGTCGGGTTCTGAGGTGGTGCCGAGGCCGGCGAGGCATATCTATCTCAAGGAGAAGGCGGGGTGGTTTGAGGTGCCGGAGGACGGAGCGGAGAGGTGGGAGGGGCATTTTGATGGGGTGAGGGAGGTTATTCAGGGGATTTTGGGGGAGGATAAATGAGTATGGGGTTTAGTAGGATTACGATGAGAGGATAGACTTGACTTGTACAAAGAATGATGGTTAATGCGTATAGTAACAAATTCATAACGTTGAACTAACAAATCCACTACTCAACTTCTCGCTTGAAAATAAAGCAGTCAATGGGGAATCACAGAATCATGTATGCCCATAATGTACAATCGCGCTAAAAGGTACTGGTCGCTAGTCGACTGGCCGCGTTGCGCGCGTCCAGCCGGTCGTCGTCGTCCTCCTCGACGATCGAGCTCACTCCGCTGGCAGACCGCAGTCGCCCCTTGCCCTGCCCGTTGACCTCCTCGTCATCGTCCGGAGTAGGCGAGATCATGCTGCCGCTGAGGCTGCGTCCGAGACTGTCGTTGCGGCGCGGAATGCCGCTCCACGCGTCGCCCTTGGGTCCCTGGCTCGAACCCAGGTTCGGCCGTCGCTGGGCCGGATGAGCCTCGCGGCCCAGTCGACTCAGTCCGCCGGACGCATCGATGGCCCGGATGTCCGGTCGAACGCTCTCCATGGTCGCCAGGGTGCGGCGCTCCGCCTCGATCTGGCGCAGCGTGTACTCGCGCAGGCTGGTCAGCAGGTCCCCGGAGGTGCGCTCGAACCAGCGGCGCTTCTCCGCCAGCAGGTTCGCCGTCACCCGTTGCGTCTTCTTGGTCAGGTAGGTCTCGTTGTTCTCGGCCTCCTCCAGCGCGTTGATCGCCTCGTCCACCTTGTCCGGTCGCACCGACGAGCTGACCTTCAGTCGGTCGGCGGCCGCGCGTTTGCTGCGCGTGGCCTGCTGGGCCTGGAGCAGATCGCGCAGGAGAATGTGGCGGTTCGTGAGGGTTTCCTTGACAATGAAGGCGTCGGACGAATGGTAGCCCAGGGGCTCCCCGAGCGTGGTCGCCTCGGCGGTGGCTTGGACGGCGTGAAAGTCGCCGACCGTCTGAATGATCTTGCCCAGCTTGCGGTAGGCATTGGACAGACCGGGGTGGGTTTCTTGCACGTGCATCTGTCCTAGTTTGACGCCAAATTCCGATTCCGCAAGACCAAGTCCTAGATTCATCAGCATCTCCCCGAGACATGGTTGCAATTGAACATACCTCGTCGGCCCTTGACAACCCGGTCGACCTTGTGGCTTGCATCCATGCTGCCCAGATAGAACAGCTTCACCGTAGGCCGGGCGTTCTGCAGCTCGGGCGTGTCGTCCGGCGGCGGAGCGAACTGCTTCAGGACCTTCCTCCGCATGCCCGTCGCCGGCTGCTTCATCCGAACGACGGGGCTGTATCCAAAGTCGCTCTCCACGAACAAGACCACCTCGTCATCATGAATGAGAACATCGTTGCCCATCACCACATTCAGCCATCGCTGCATCGACGCCTTCACGCGGATCTCGTCCTCTTCGGTTCCGGCACCGGCGGGAGTCAATGGAGGGGGGACGGCAGGGACAAAGGTTTCCGGGTTGGCCGACATCAAATGCTCTGCGAGCTTGATGAATTCGTTATGGGTGCGGCGCACATCGCGGTACTGGGTGGTTCGGAATTTGGGAACATTGGTCTGAGGCGGTTACCAATTAGGTGAGATGCGACTAAGGCAACAAGTTTCACACAGCGAACTTACGTGGACATCAAAACGAAGAATCGGGTCCTTCTTGCCTATTCTCTCCAACGCGGTGATCTTGGCTGTAATTCGGTACACAGGAGCGGGGGGTTGCTGATGCTGTTGCTGTTGTTGCCAGGCGTGCTGCCTAGCCCCCGTCTGATAGCGAGCGGGCAACTGAGACGGATGTTGACCATAATGCTGTCCCGACTGATGTGCCGCAGCCGGATCATCTAGCTGAGTATTCTGTAGTCGCCCCGACAGGTCCGGAGAGTCGGTTTCGCCCTCGGCCGCGTGCTCGGGGTGAGAGCCATCGCCGGGCGTATCCCTTTCCGCGTCGTATGCGGATTGATGTGGGGGCAAGGGGGACGGAGGGATGTCGCTAGTTGTCGAGGCGGGATAGGTGGATTCGCTTGCTCGAGGAGAAGCCCAAGGCGAGGTGCCCGCAGGGTCTTGCGATATGGAGGAGTAGTCCATTGTCTGTCAGGGTGAGTGTGGGGGAGGTCAATCGCTCCGCTGGAGAAGTCGTCAACATTGCTCGAGCAGATCAGAAGGGATTGTGGATGCAGTCGACGTACTTGAGATCCCACCAAATAGGGATAGGAACCACCAGGGATGGCAAAATCAGGACGAAGAGCGTAAGAGAGAGTCGTAGAGACGGAGGGAGAGAGAGAGAGAATCACGGCAGAAGAACAGCCGAAGGTTACGTCGTTGGTGCCTGCGCCGCATGATTGGTCAGGCACTCCTCCGCATCCGAACTGCGTCTTTCTTTTCATCTCCGTCTTTTGTCTGGAGCTCGCATTCGCAGGAGTTGCGCGATAAAGATGAACCAATTATTGTAACTATTTTTCTTAATCACTCCGCAACAGACAATTGGTCATGGTTGCAGCGCTCTTCTTGCGCGCCTCTCACCCGGCCGTACGGCCCATTGGCCGACCAGGCCAGACTGTCAGTCGTCTAGGATGCAATGCATCTCTGGTCCAGAGCTCATCGCGGCTGCATCTGCCCAGATTCAATGGATTTTCGACATCCGCAGCCAAGTACAATGTCGACTCTCTCGACCGAACTAGGAATATCGGCATCATTGCCCACATCGACGCGGGCAAGACCACCACCACCGAGCGCATGCTGTATTACAGCGGATTCACGAGAAGGCTCGGAGATGTCGACGAGGGGTCTACGGTAACGGATTTCCTGCCTGCTGAGCGAGCACGAGGCATCACCATTCAATCGGCCGCCATTACGTTCCATTGGCCGCCCAAAGCTGCCGAAGAAAACGCAGCGTCGCCAGAGCCCGGGACTCCCAGGTCTGCGTTCCCGCATACGGTCAATCTGATCGATACGCCGGGGCATGCCGACTTTACGTTTGAAGTCATGAGATCGCTACGCATTCTCGACGGGGCTGTGTGTATCCTGGACGGCGTCGCCGGCGTGGAGGCCCAGACGGAGAAAGTGTGGCACCAAGCCAGCACCTATCGGATTCCTCGAGTGGTCTACATCAACAAGCTGGATCGAGACGGTGCTGCTTTTGGACGGACAGTCCGCGAGGTGGCCTCGCGACTGGAGGGCTGGCCCGCGGTGTGTCAAATCCCCTGGTTTGAGGGCGGACGCGGCCGCTTCATTGGCGTGGCGGATGCGATCAACCTGCAGGGGCTGCGATGGGATGACGGCGACGGCAAGTCCGTCAAGATGTACACCCTGGAGCAGCTCGACAGCGAAGAGAGCCAGCTCGCAGAGGAGCTGCGACGCGCGAGAACCGCCCTGGTGGAGCTGCTGAGTGAACATGACGAGATCATGGTGGAGAAGTTCTTCGAATGCGAGGACCATCTCGCGGTGCCGGCCCACGACATCTTGGAGAGCCTGCGCCGATGTCTCCTGCGCGAAGAAGGGCGCAAGATCATTCCGGTGTTCGCCGGTGCCAGTTTCCGCAACATCGGCGTCCAGCCGCTGCTCGATATCGTGACGAACCTTCTCCCAAGCCCTCTTGAAACCTTAGACCCTGAGGTCAGCATCGGCGGCGTCAAAGGAGGCCTCCGACGTTTACTCTCGGGTGATCTCCTGGTCGAGCAGAGCGAGAAGGCCGTCGCTCCCAAAGGCAAATCCAAGAAGAAGGCCGTCGTGCAGGCAGAATCCCGCAACGCCATCGAAAGTCTCCAGAGCTGCGCCCTCGCGTTCAAGGTGGTCAACGACCCCAAACGAGGCGTGCTCGTCTATGTGCGCGTCTACTCAGGATCCCTCGACCGCAACAGCACGCTGTTCAACACGAACCTCAACGTCTCCGAACGAGCCCCCCGTCTGCTCAAGATGTACGCCAACGACGCCGTGGAGGTCGACTCGATCCCCGAAGGACATATCGGAGTCGTCGTCGGCCTCAAACACACCCGCACCGGAGACACTCTCGTCACATACGCCGGCAGCAAAGCCCAACCCCCAGAGCCTCTCAACACCCTCCAACTCCGTCCCATCAACGTGCCTCCCCCGGTCTTCTTCGCCAGCGTCGAACCTCACAGTCTCGGCGAGGAAAAGCGCATGCAAGAATCCCTCGCCATGCTCCTCCGAGAAGACCCCAGCCTCCACGTCACCACGGACGAAGACTCCGGCCAGACCCTCCTCAGCGGCATGGGCGAGCTGCATCTCGAGATCGCGCGCGACCGTCTCCTCAACGACCTCAAAGCCAAAGCCTCCATGGGCCGCATCGAGATCGGATACCGCGAGTGCCCTCTCGCCGCAACCGAACCCATCACGCAGATCTTCGACCGCGAGATCGCCGGCCGCAAAGGCCGTGCCGGCTGCACCGCCGCCATCGAGCCCTTCGACCCGGACGCCTCTTCTCCCCCAGACGCCTCCGCCCTGTCCGTCCTCACCACCGAAGGCAACCAAATCATCATCCTCGCTCCCTCCCTCAACATCGAACCCAACAAGCGCGGCATCCCCGAATCTCCTCTCCTCCCTCCCGGCCTCGACGTGCCCACCTTCCAAAAAGCCCTCTCGAACGGCTGTCTCGCTGCTCTCGCCCGTGGCCCCCAGTTCACATTCCCAATGCACAGCACGCGCGTCACCCTCACCATCGACCCAACCACCCACATCTTCGGCGCCGACACCACGCCCGCCGCTCTCTCCGCCGCTGCCCGTCTCGCCACGGCCTCTGCCCTCCGCACCCTCTCCCCTTCCCCCGGCAGCAGCACCCTAAACCCCAACCAAGGAACCGCCATGATGGAACCCCTCATGAACGTAATCATCAGCATCGACGAAGCGAGTCTCGGCGCGGTCGTGCACGACATCTCCTCCTCGCGCGGCGGACACATCGTCTCGCTGGACGAAGAAATCCCCCTCTCCGCCACAGACCTCGTCTCGGCCCCTCAGGGCACTGAAGACCTACCCCCCATCGACCCCAGCAAGGTGTATGCGCCTCCGGACCCGTTTGAGACGGCCACGCTCAGTGGCACGGAGATGGGTGGCTCGACGAGGGCGCGCACGATCACGGCGAAGGTGCCGCTGAAGGAGATGGTCGGGTATTTGAAGCATTTGAGGAGTTTGAGTGCCGGACGGGGTACGTTTGTGATGGGGGTGGATCGGTTCGAGAGGATGAGTGCGCAGAGGCAAAAGGGGGTGTTGGCGGAGGTTAGGGGGGAGATGCTTTAGCTTGCTTTCCCTTCTGGGTTGAGTTATAGAAGGTGGAAGTGTGTGTATGTACGATAGATTTAGATGGAGTTTCGTTGGATATTCGGATGGTATATATAGTATAGTTCATACTACTCATTCTACCTATTTAGAGTCTCCTGGGCTGAACATCAATATCTACGCCAGTCTACCTCAGGTCAACAGATCAAACCAAGACCAAAAAGAATCCCATTCCACTCCCATTGCCACTCCATACAGACAAACTAATTACAATTCTAATGCCATGCAATGCAATCACCAATTCTCCCCCCAATCCTCGTCCTGACTCTTCCTCCCCGCCGCCGGCGCAGTCGTACCAGCCCCAGCACCAGCACCAGCACCGGTAGCACCACCCGTCCCCGTAGACGGCTTCATGGCCGCCGTGCCGATGGCGCTGGACCGGGAGGTGTTCCGACGATGGTTCTCCTCGCCCAGGGAGGAGAAGTCATCCCAGAAGTCCTTGCGCTCGGGGTCCTCGCGCTCGCGACGTCGCGCGTCGTCAGGCCCCTCGACGAACCGGTTGAATTGGTCTGCGGCGCCGCGCGCACCGGTCTGGAGGTTCTGTCCGAAGGTGGAGGCGTGGACGCGCGCTTGGGCGGCGAAGTCGGATTCGGCGAACTATATCAGGTCTGATTAGCAAGTGTCCCTGGTCTCTAATCTCCAATAAAAGGAGGAGAGCAGGTAGAAGGAGGGACGTACACTCTTCGCCGTCGGCTGGATATACGAATCATTCATGGTCTTCGCGCCCTTCCCCACCGCCGTCGTAAACCACCCAAACCCCTTCGTCAACGCCGCCATCGGATCCTTCTGAAAGTCATCGAGCCCCGGGACCCCCCGTCCATTGCCTCCAGCACCTCCCCCGCGCGGCGTATCCTCGACCGGTAACCCGCCACCAAACCCAGTGAACTTCCCCCCCTGGGACGGCGGCAACTTCGCATCACGAGTCGCATTCTCAGCCCCCATCTTCGCAAAATACGCCTCATTGCGCTCCTTCCTCGCACTCCCACTGCGACCCAGCTGCCCTCCCTCAGCAGGGGACCCAGACCCCCGTCCCGTACTCCCCACCCCAGCCGCCAAGGGCGTACTCGACCGCGACGGCTGCTCCGACTTCCGACTGGCGCTGATATTCCGCTGCACCTGGGCAGCATCATATTCACGACCTTCCACCTTCGCGGCCAACCGCTCCTTATACTCCTCGCCGACCTCGCCCTCGTAGCGTTCCTTGATAGTGGAGTCCTCGAAGGTGCGGCCCTCAGACAGCGTGACGGGGTGGTTGTCGAAGAAGGCCTTCCAGGTGTCGTTGCCGCCGTGTTCCATGCGCTGGGTCTCGGAGTTCTTGAAGGCGTCCATGGAGATGGAGCGCACGAAGGAGATGTGGACGCCGAGGCCGCGGTGCGTGCCGGCGCAGTTTAGGCAGATGAAGGTGCCGAATTTGGGGGAGGCCTAGATTGTTTGGGGATTCATGTTGTGGTTATTATGATGGACTGGGACGGAGAATGGAGGAGGGAGAGGGAGGTGGTGACGGAGGTCGAAGGTTGGGTCAGGTCAGGGGAACGAACCCATTGAGGGGACGGAGCGCCGCAGTCGCAGCAACGGTCGTTACCGTTGGTCTTGGAGTATTGAAGGAGCTATATAGACGCAAAATCAAAGCCATCCGGGTGGTCAGTTCGGCCAACTCGTCAGGGTCGTGAGGCGTGGGCATGTCATACCTTGGCCTTCGTCTCCGGGTCGACTTCCCACATTTTCGACATGATGTCAGGGATGAGAGCTTAGTCGACGAGGACTAAGCGAAAGGAGCGAAAAAAGGAATGAACGGAGAGAAAAGGAAGAAGAGCGAACTGAAGGAGCGAGAGGAACAATTGACCGGGGATGGTTGCGCAGGGGGAAAGGAGTTTCGAAGTTCAGGCGCCGCCCCTCCGTCTCTCCACTCGCCACCCACGCGGATCGCTCGAGGCCTCGATTACTGACGATCAATCGTAGTCTCAGAAAGAGAAATACTCTTGAACATAGAACTACATCTACGAATCTGAACAACACAACACACTACAAGGCCAGCCTTGCGGCTAATCATAAGCTAAATGATTGCTAAGATACAGTATAGCAGAAGAACAAGATTCGTTAGCAAGTCTCCGTCAACAACACATTACGGTGTTTCCTCTCCACGTCGACACTCGGAGTTCATAAGATCGAGATATAAACCTCCTCCATCCCCGTCTTCCCCCTCTCCCCAAGATAGACCCCATATATGGGACTGGAACAATATCCACAGCTTTTCTTGTTTTGCTTGGCCTCGCTTTTGTGTTTCAAGAAAATAAAAACCGCAATCCGGACGTGTCACCATGAAGATTAGATCCGTCCATACCGACGGTCCTTCCAACTTCCTCCTCAAAAAGATTGCCGATCCCTACGAACTCAATCGGGGGACTCGGCATCGCTCGGGATAGAACGAAACTTGTCAATTTATTTAAGCAGTCGCAGTGGCGGCCGCGGGGGCGGGAGCCGGAGCGGCGTTCTCCTGCGCGGGAGCAGCGGTCTCCGTCGCAGGGGCAGCGGCCTCCTCGGGCTTCTCGCCGGCAATGACATCGTCCTCCTTGCCGGGGCTGTCGATGGCGACCTTGACGGCGATCTCACGTCCCTCAATCTCCTTGCCGTTCATCTCCTTGACGGCCTTGTCCTGGAGCTCCTCGGAGCCAAGGGTGACGAAGCCGAAACCACGGCCCTTGCGGCGCTCGTTGCGGGCCTGGAGCTTCTTGATCATGAAACGAGGAATGGGGCGCAGAGCGATCTTGGCGGACACGGGCGAGTAGCTGGCGAAGATCTCCTTAAGCTGCAAGAAGTTAGATGTGGAGCTATAGAAAAATATACTTCGATACATACCTTGTCCTCGGTCAGGTCGTAGGGAAGGTTGGCAACCATGACCTTGGTCTTGGAGGGAATGCCATCCTCGGGAGGACCGCGCTGCTTCTGGGGACGAGGAGCACGGGGCTTGCCGGCCTGCTTGGCAGCCTCGGTGGTAGCAGCAGCGTCGTTCTGGTTGGTGACCTCGGTCAGAGGAGCGGCCTGGCCAGGAACGTTGACGGGCTCAGCGGCCTGGTCGGTCTGAGATTTACGTTAGCTTAACACGGGGAGTGCTTTCAAAGGAAACTTACGGAACGGCCTCCACGTCCGAGGCGACCGCCACGACCGCGACCGCGGCCACGGCCACGGCTACGGCCGCCAGCTCTCTTGCGGCCCTCATTGCCGCTGGCACCCTCACCACCACTGGCAGCGCCGTCGGCCTTGGCCTCGGCAGGCTCGGGCTTGCGGGCCAACTGGACGGACACCTTACGCTGGAGGATCTCCTTGCCGGACAGCTCCTCGATGGCAGCGGACGCCTCGTGCGCGGTAGCAAGGTCCACGAAGGCGTAACCAACGGGGCGGTTGGTGCGAGGGTTCACGGGGATGGAGACGCTCTCACTGTTGAGACGACCAATTAGCGGGGATCAGAGACACGAGTGAAAATGGCAGATCAAAACAAACACTGCAGAAGGCCTCATGGAAAGCACAACGCAGAATTGATCAACCTCGCAAGGGCACCCATTTGGCGGTGTTTGCAAGGCACGCTCAGTGGGTGTGGAAGAAAAGAACACCCTTCCGAAGCTTCCAGAAGATCGCCACTAACAAGGGCGAAAAGCTCTCGCCAACAAGGCGCTCACCAGCAACACATCAACGAAAAGACGGCACTTACATCTTGTAGCTCTTGAAGAACTCCTTGAGCTCCCCCTCAGTGGTCGCATACGCGAGGTTCCCAATGTACAGCCGGCGTCCCTCGTCGGCACTGGCGGCGGCCGCATCGGTGGACTGAGCGGGAGCGGCAGCGGCAGCAGGAGCAGTGCCGTTGGTGGCCTCCGGGGCGGTGGTCGCGGGGGCAGGGGCGGGAACGGCCTGGTCGGCGGCGACGGCGGTGTTGTCGACGGCAGAAGACATCTTGATGGCTGAGGACACAAAGGGTCGATTGGGATGATGGGTGGATTGAAGCGTAGTTAAACAATCGCAAGTAGGACTTGGACCGAATGTGTGTCAAGGACTCAGGAGAGCTGAAAGGCTGCCTTGAAAGTTTCCTTGAAGGGTGAGATGGGAAGGAAAAACTTGAATGAGGGGGGAGAGGAAAAGGGTAGCTTCGTGCCCTAGATACGAGAGGTTGACTTGGGGGGAAATCTAGTTTTGAAAGATGGAGATTTGCCTTGAGAGGAAGGATGAGGTCGCCGGGCAGAAAGGAGAAGGAGAGAAAAAGGCAGGCAGAGGGCGGTGGCGGCGCTAGTCCCGGCCGGGCAGGGTGGCGGCCTGAGGATGCCTGGGGGGCGGTCACGACGTGTCCGTTCGGGCGGTCTGGCCCCGTCAGGCCTCAGGCTGAAGCCTGACATCATCGCTTTAGCCTCAGGTACTGTCCAGTTCTCACCTGACTCCCTCCCTGCCTGAGGTTCTCCCCTGCGTTCCCCTTCTTCCCTCCTCTCACTCCCTCCTCACTGCAGTCATCCCGTTGCATCCCTGAACTTACTCAGTATACTTTCACCTGAGAACTACGCATCCTCCGTCCACCAAGTACACTTCCCTGAGTCGATCGAACTGCTAACCCCACCCCACTCGCCATCATCTCTCTGGTCAGGCCCGTCATCCCCGTCTCCACGCCGGCCTCCCATCGCCGGCAATGAGTGGATAGTCCTCTTGGTCCGGCTCCATTGTTCCGGTGGAGCGCACAAGAATCCGGAATTTCAGTGGACTGTCCTTCTTTTTCCGACTTCTTCAAACCTCTGGTCCTTACTCCTTCGGGCCTGGCCGCTGTGCTTCTTCCCTTTTCTTCGGTGTGCTTCGCTGTCGCAGGTGCTGGCTCTGCTTATCCACCGCCGTGAGTCATCGCGTTGGGGTGTGGAATCGGGGAGAAAAGTGTCGTAGATACCGCGTTTACGTTCCTCAAACTGAAAGTAAAAGCTGTCAAACTCAATCGTGGGCGAAAGGCAGAACAAATAATAAGAGAAATAAATCGGTCTATAGATCCCCCCTCATAACGTCACCTCATGTGCTGCAGATCCAAAGACGCAGGGCCAGACTAACTGGGACACGCTATTCCCATCCAGACTTCGGTAATCACCGTGTCCACCGGCGCCAGTCAACAGGCCAGTCCGACACCCACCTCGTCCACTACGGATCCCACTTGCGATAGCTGTGATCGAAGATCTATCAATGACGTGATGTCACCAATTAAAGGTTGTACACATCGCAACGGTTGCACGCGGGGTGAGCATGGTAGAGGTAACACAAGTCAAACTATATATAACATTGGCTGAAACAAATTCAAGACGTAACCAAATCAGGCAGAAGGTAAATGCACAAAAGTCTAGTCGCAAATATATTAATACATATCAATCATCCAGGCAAAGGGTGGTATCATAGAATGTAAGGTTCGTGGTCGGTCGTAAAACAATTTAGTGTGAGTTGGTGAATTGTGAGTGCCTCAAGTGCCTTCGTAGGGTTGAGGGCGCGCCGATGCGGTAGACACCCGCGGCGGATCTTCGCCGGTTTCCTCGGTAATCTGTTTCTCAACCTTCCGTTTCTTCTTGTTGATCTTCTTCATGGCTTCGCTGGTCAGTTTCTCGCGGAATAATCGCTCGACAACGTCTCTCTTCCGCGACCTGCGGTCCCCGATCATGATAAGGACACCGCCGCTGATATTGCAGGCAATCGAGCAACAGAGGATGACGGTGGTGAGAGCGAAGGGCCGGACATGGTAGCTGATGCCCCACGTACAGGCGCCAAGCGAGATCTGGAGTAAAGAATGGCAGTCCAACAAGACCACGATGGCAATCAGAACACGAAGAGGGAAAGCATGGTGAGTCAGCGTCTCGTGAGGTTTGTAGAAGGTATGCGACCGAGACAATTTTTTCTGGTGGTGCATAAGTTTCTGCTGCTGGAGGCGGTTGAGGACGGAGAACTCGTGCTCTTCGTCTTTCGGGGTGTCGCCAAACTCGACATCCACTTCGATTTCGCGTCGCGCCGGGAGGTCGTTCTTATCCTTCAGTTCGGGAAGGCGGCGCTTTCGTCGAATCTTCCAGGTCAAAAACGTGTAGTGCGCGATAAAGATCATGTGGTACGTATCGATGGCACGGAACGGGGCCAACCCATCGCCCATGATTGCGAACAAAGCCACCAGGACATTGTCAATGACATTAATGATATAGAGCTGTCGCCCTCCAACATTGATCCAGCCTATATCGGTCAGAACGCTGATGCTGAGAGTTCAAGAGAGTCCTTACCAATCAGGAAAAGTACCCAAGCAAGTCCAAAAAGCGTAATCAAAGTCGCATATAGAGTGATGAGAAACCCAAGAGCTACCCCAGACTGTTAGTGGAGGGTCCCTTATTGCATTGCGAAAACTCACGCTTGGACACGTATTTCCCGAATCCCTTCATCGAACGCTTAAACTTCGATCGCCGAGAATGCAGCATATGCCGGACGTGATCATTCAACTCCTCCACATCCCTTTGAGTCCATCCTTCGAGATTGCTTCCTTCGGGTAGCACGGCGAATCGAGTGTCTTGTTTCTCGAGCACGGCGGAGAGGCTCGTGAGCGGACGCTCGAGTGGCGGGCGTTGCGGGTGATCCTTTTCGTCGGTCGGCTCTTCGCCTTCATCGGTAGTAGTCGTTTCCTCCTCTTCCGACGATTCTCTAGGTGGCGATAAAGTATAGGTTTGGTTGCGGTTCAGCAAAGGGCCGAGATTCGGAACGAAGAGCGAGTTTTGAACATTTGTGAGGGTTGACAGAGCGGACACTTGAGGATCTATAGAGCGAGCATTAGGATCCGTCATTGAAATGGTTCCGGCTTGTCGAGTGCTTACCGATAACATCCAACACATCAACGATATGAGGGTGGTACTCCGTTTCATCCTCCGGTGTATCCGGGTGGGTTCCATCTTCAGTCACTCGGTTTCTAGAGAATCTATTAAGCGCTGCTTCGCTTGTCCATCGTAGCAAGTTACGGCTCCCTCTCCTCTGCACCGGAGCATTCGGAATTGCACGGGGATCTTCCGGCGGGAAGGTCGGGTTCGTAGCGGTGGCTCCGAGAGGAGATAAATTCGATTCATCTACTCGGGAAAGCGCCTGGCCGTTCGCCAATCTTGGAAGGGAATTGGGAGTTGCTGCCGTTGACCATCGCCCCCGATGGGGTTCGGAGCTGCTGCGCCGGCGGTTCGCCTGCCATGAGTCGTCGGCGGGTTGGGAGGCGGTGGGCGATACGAGGTTCGAGCTGGAGGCATTCAAGTTGGCACTGGTTCGATTCTCGTTTGTCCCGGGAGTATCAGAACCTCTCTGCGGCTGCGTGGGAACCTGGTCCGCCGTGTACGACGGCAGGCGCTGGAGGCGGATGGTCGGGCGGCGGGTACGGGATGATAAGGCGCGCGGCCGGGTAGGCTGCGATGACGGTTGTCGGGACAGATTCGACGACGGCGGTTGCTGACCTTCAGGATCTTGAGAGCCTTCTACCGGCTCTATACGATCCATTGGGAACCGCTGGCAGAGAGATGGAAGCCGACTTTAGTCGGGGGTAATATGAAGGGAAGCCAAGGAAGGAGGAACAAGACAAGAGGTGGGGAAAAAGTAGGGGAGGGAGAAGAGAAAAACGAGAAAAAGAAAAGACAAGAGACCGGCCGGGTCTAGAGCAGACCAACAAAAGGCGCCATTCGACGACGCCTGGAGACAAATGGCCCTTGACTAAGCCGTGGATGCCGCCAACCTTGTTTTGCGGGCCAAAAAAGAGTCGACTGACGGAGGCCAAGAATTGATAAGCACCGCTAGCGTCGCGTCCATGCGGAGTGGTCGTGTCGACCCGCCATTGCTGCTGGTCTGTATGTCTGTATACTATCTGCAGGATTGGATTCTTCACCGGTTTTCGACCTATGCTGCTGCCTATTGCTGTAGATGTCCGGTCTGCAGTCTCATTCCCCGGTGGCGACGAGACTCGAGTGCCTGAGGTGGCAAGGTACGCGCCGGCCTCGACTTTCAGGCAGACTACCGCTTCGGGTATCGCTCAGGAGGGCCAATGGACTATCAGTGGGGTTTATATAAAGGCATTGATCACTCAGAAGACGTTAAAATATAGATCGTCCTCTCAATCCTGTTGTCGCTGTTGTTGACTGCAGAGCATGACGGCATCATCTGACATTCCGAGCCCTGAGGCATTTGGCTTGAGCTTGACATAACCTAAACTACTACCCGGTCTGTTCTTATGGAGATGATCCCCAGCTATTTTAATGGCCCAGCACTCTTTTATTTCCGATGTTTCAGCATGCGATTATCTTGCTTTATAGAACTGTCAAATGTCTATTCGCCTTGAATTTTCTCCGCATGCGTACTCAAGACCCACTCAATCAAAGCAGGCCTAGATTAGCATTGCAAGCGACCCTAAATCGGTTACACAGCAACCACTGACCAGACTGGCTCTGACTCATTATGCACAAATACATTGACTTCCTTGTAAATTCAATTCATTTTGCAGATCAGAGGCATCTTCTGTGGCCTCTTCACTCTTCATACAACAACCAACCTCAACCACCTCTTTCCGCTGCGCTACACCTCACCAAGAAGAGACAATCAATTGATATGTCACATGAGCTTCCAATATCAAGGTGAGGCCCAAGTGTCTGGCCAAGGTCATTTGGCTCCGAAAAGCCTCATGCGAGTCCAAGATCTACTTAGAGAGACTTCCCGCAAGAAAGGAGACCAGCAGGAGGGACTTCCGGCTATCAAAGTTACTTTTCCTCAGACCCTGGCCGCATTCAACCACCTAGCAGAAACCCTCCTGGCAATACTGATGTTGAAAATGATGTTGGAAATGAGCGAAAGGAATATCGCGAAAATCCACAATGCGACAGCCCCAACGAAGCGCGTCATTGTGAATAAGAAGTCCGTGGAAGCCCATAACTCCTGCTGCTACTCCCAGCCATTTCAAACGAGACTTGCATCAAGACTGACCAGCTGCCTAGGCCGATCCCGTGATATGTAGTTCACTAGACACAGGAAAGCCTTAGTGACCTATCTAAAACGGTGAATATGGCCATCCTTTTCGCACTTTCGCCTAAGCCCATTATTGTGCGCATGTCCCTCAAGCGATCCGCACCTTAGAGCCCTATGTTGAACTCGACTTTGAATTGACATGATACAAAACTGTACATTCCGAAAATGACCAAGTTATAATTGGACTGTATGTCTCGTTTGAACAGGAAGCTAGAGTAGTCCAGACCAAAGGCTCCAGGAAGTAACAACAATTTGCCATCTGCTGGTGACTCGTCACGGACTATTAACCAATCTTCTAGTTGGGTTTTCTTTGGTTCATCATGAATACTTGGCGCTGAGCTCATCTGCAGAGTCTGACAGTTCTAAGTCGCATCTAATCAGTTGGAGCAATGAAAACCATCGGATTCCGTCATTACTACATACCTTGGTGTTGCCATTGTTCAAAGCCGATCTTTCACTTCCTGAAAATTAGTTGAAGTATGTTGAAGATCGAGCCAAAACGAGTTCCTCAGAACAAGCTACTACTGGGTAACAATCTCTCCAGACTGAAGGAATTCAGGAAGTGTATGCGTACGCTGAGGACTGCGCTGGACCATGACGCAGACCAAGATGAGTTTATTCTATAATCAACTGTTTACGCTGTAGATGGCCTGTTGCAATTTAAAAACTCGTTCCCCAAAATGCAACATCGGCTCATTTATCCCCGGGTTTCGACCCACCGGCAGGATCAGCTCATTGCTGCGTTATCCCTGGCCTGGCGCATTGCCGAGAAACCGTGATAGGTGGAAAAAGCTGATCTGCAGCAATTAGAGCCACTAGCTGCATCTACAGCATCATCCTCCGCCCTTTTTGCAATAGTAATCGTAAGAATAATAAAATGTACCTCTTCAGACATGACGCTACCCCTCTTAATTTCCCTCGATCGCATTTAGCCGTGCGGGCCTCCGTTCGCCTAATACCCGGGGCATTTAGGCGCGATCTCGCGCATCCGAGTGAATATATACCAGGCAGCGTATCATTTGCCCCCGTGAGGATGCTCTAGCTCCTTTAGCACGCTGACGATGGCTCCATTCTCGGCCTCATAGTCCATTCGCTGCGGTGCCCGCTTCCCATATGACCTGTTTGAACCGGGTTCATTTCCGAAGTTCTTCCACGATCATTTATTCCTGTCTTGGCTGCCTGGTTTGCTCGGTCGATGGAGGCGATTTCGCCCTCAGACGACCCTAAATATGTGCCTAGACTATTTGTCTGTCCTCCGCAATTTAGGAATAAAACCGGCGGGCGTTCCGCGGCTGTCCGACATTCCTGCTTTTTTCTTTTCTGTCTTCTTCTGCAGGTAGACAGCCGTCTGTCGTTACCAATTTGAATTGAAGGAAAGGTTTTGCCCTTCTTCTGGCAGTATGGTCGCCGGTCTCTTTTCGAAGGGGCTGCTGCTCCTGGGTCTCTGCTCTCTGGGAGCTGCTCAGAATGGCTCGAAACCACTTTACAAGAATCCTAATGCTCCGGTGAATGATCGGGTGGATGATCTATTGGGCCGGATGACCGTTGAGGACAAAATGGGCCAGTTGATTCAAGGTGCGTTTTTGGAACCAGTTTCTGTTCGTACGTTTGGAGCATGGTTCACTCACTGATTCCTACAGGCGACATCACCAATTGGATGGACGCTGACACCGGGGAATTCAACTACACCGGCCTGGTGGAGAACATGAAATGGAAGGCTGGAATGTTCTACGGTAATAACCTGGCGCAGTCTGTAAAGGACAATGTTGACCGCTCGCAGTTGGATATCCTGTTCCGTGGGACTGGATTGCGACCAATGTCAAGAGGGCTCAGGATTATCTCGTCCATAACACGACTCTCGGTATTCCGGCTTTCGTTCAGACGGAATGTGCGTATACCTTCCTTGGCCTTCGGACATGTACTGACTAGTATTGAAAGCCATCCACGGTTTCCTGATTGGCAATGCAACGATCTACAACTCGCCAATTGGATACGGGTGCTCCTTCAACCGAGATGTGAGGCTTCGGTGACATATCCTCGAGCTCTAGCGCATAGCTAACATTTCCTGCAGTTGATCTACAAGATGGGTCGACTCATCAGTCAAGAGGCTCTTGCTCTGGGTGTGAACCAGCTCTTTGCGCCAGTGGTTGATCTGGCTCGGGAGCTGCGATTTGGACGAGTAGGAACTATACCCCTATCCTCCTGAATATCGCTAAAATATGAATTCATCAGGTCGAAGAGACATTCGGCGAGGACCCCTACCTTGCGGGAGAAATCGGCTACTACTACACCAAGGGCATCCAGAGCTTGAACGTCTCCGCCCAGGTCAAACACTTCGCGGGATTCAGTCAGCCTGAGCAAGGACTCAACACTGCGCCAGTGCACGGCGGCGAGAGATACCTGCGCACCACGTATGTTCTACCGGCAAGCCGTATGAATAGGTGCTAACATTGACTAGCTGGCTGCCGCCCTTCAAGAGAGCAATCATCGACGCCGGTGCTTGGAGTGTCATGAGCGCATATCATTCGTGAGTGCTCTCTTCAACCCAACTCATCCTATACTAACAGAATATTCCAGCTACGACGGAATCCCCGCCATCTCCAACCACCACGTTCTGACCGAAATCCTGCGCGAAGAATGGGGCTACGAGTACTTTGTCATCAGCGATGCTGGCGCGACCGACAGGGTCTGCAACGCATTCCACCTCTGCCAGAGCAACCCCATCGATATGGACGCCGTCACGCTGTCGGTGCTGCCCGCCGGTAACGACGTCGAGATGGGCGGCGGTTCCTTGTAAGCATCCTTTACCCTGTCCCCAAATCCCCAAACCCCCATACTAACGTCTCCAAAGCAACTTCCGCAAAATCCCCGAGCTCGTGGAATCCGGCAAGCTTGACATCGACACCGTCGACACGGCCGTCAAGCGCGTCCTCAAGGCCAAGTTCGAAATGGGCCTCTTCGAGAACCCGTACCCCGGCGCGCCCCAGTCCGAATGGAAGAAGCTCATCCACAGTAAGGAGGCGGTCGACCTGGCGCGCAAGATCGACCAGGAGTCGATTGTTCTGCTAGAGAACCACGATAATATCCTGCCATTGAAGAAGGGCGGTGACATTGCTGTCATCGGGCCTATGGCTCATGGATATATGAACGTATGCCATCTCTCCTCCCTCCCTCCGATGCACTTCTCCCTTCTTCTCTCAGAACATGCGCCTTCTAACATACTCAACTCACAGTACGGAGACTACGTCGTCTACGAGAGCCAATACCGCGGCGTCACGCCCCTCGACGGCATCAAGAAAGCCGTCGGCAAGAAGGCGAACGTGCACTACGCGAAGGGCTGCGAGCGATGGAGCAACGACGAGTCCGGATTCCAGGAGGCCGTGGACGCGGCTAAGAAATCCGACGTCGCCGTCGTAGTGGTGGGAACGTGGTCTCGCGATCAGAAAGAGCTCTGGGCCGGATTGAACGCAACGTACGCCTTCCCCCTCCTCCATCTCATCCCCATCCCCATTCTCCCACCCAAACTAACACATAAACAAAACACCAGCACCGGCGAACACGTCGACGTAAACTCCCTCTCGCTCGTCGGCGCCCAAAGCTCTCTCATCAAAGCCATCACGGCCACAGGAGTCCCCACCATCGTGGTCCTATCCACCGGCAAACCCGTCACGGAGACATGGCTCTCCTCCAACACCTCCGCGCTGATCCAACAATTCTACCCATCCGAAGAAGGCGGACACGCGCTCGCCTCCGTCCTCTTCGGCGACTACAACCCCTCCGGCAAGCTCTCCGTCAGCTTCCCGCGGTACGTCGGCGACCTCCCCATCTACTACGACTACCTGAACAGCGCGCGCACGATCGGCGACGCAGGCCAGATCCACGATAACGGGACGCTCGAGTTCGGACACCAGTACGTGCTCGGCTCGCCGTTGGCGTGGTATCCGTTCGGGCACGGGAAGAGCTACTCGGAGTTCGAGTACAGCGATGTGCGGGTGAGCAAGACGAACGTGACGGACGCCGACACGGTGACTGTGTCGGTGAAGGTGAAGAATACGTCGAAGGTGAAGGGGACGGAGGTGGTGCAGGTTTATATCCAGGATGAGTTTGCGTCGGTGGTGGTGCCGAATAAGGAGCTGAAGGGGTTCGAGAAGGTGGTGATTGGGGCGGGGAAGACCAAGACGGTCAAGATCCCGATCAAGGTGGGGGATTTGGGCGTGTGGGATGTGAAGATGAAGTATGTGGTTGAGCCGGGGAAGTTTATCGCGTGGGTGGGAAGCAGTTCGGAGGATATTAGGGGGAACGCGACGTTTTGGGTACGTTAGGGATGGGTATATACCTGAGTGGTTGATGTTATGCTATTAATTGGGGGAGGATAGCTGTATATTCCCAGGTTGGAAGTATTGAATGTGTTGATTTATACTGCAATGAGTATATTCATGTTCTCCCGTCGTATTCCAGAGAACGACATTGATTTGAGGCAAGACAGAAGCAAAAGGAAACCCGAAGTTTTTCAAATCCTGACTCCAAACGAAAGACGCTAAGAATAACCAACCCCTACCACCGATTGCAGCTATGTGTCAGACGTGTCCGCTTTACTATCCGAGTCCTTATTCACGTTCCCATTCTCATTCTCACTCTCCGGTCTGGATCCGTCCCCGGATGGAATAGGCGAGTCGAGTGGCTTCGCTGAAGGGCCCGCCATAGCCGTAGCCGTAGTGTCCGTGCTAGACCGACCCTCCGCTCGTCTGGTCTTCGCCGTTTCTTTCAGTTTCTCCCAGCGGTCTCGGTACCGGTCCAGCACATTACGCAGTTTCTCGTTCTCGCGACTGGCCTTTGCTAGATCCTTCTCGCCGCGACGGATCATGTCCTCGAGCTCTTTGACACGCTGGTCGTGCTCGATCATGGACGGTTGGGTCGAGAGGGGCGCAGTCGGGGATGCGATTGCGGAAGAAGCCTGGGGGTGGTGTTCAGGGGACGGGATGTTCTGATGGTGCATAGCTTTCAGGGACTGCTGCAAGGCGATGGAGGAAGACTGCGCGTTGACTTCCCACATATGCAGCCGCTTGGACAAGGTGTCGGAGAGATGGCGCAGAGCCTGGTTTTCCATCTGCAGCTCCTCCATGGTCTTGGGGTTCTGCAGGTTAGTGGTGAGCTTGTCATTGGCTCTGCTGCTCTTGCTCTTGCTGCCGCCTGTAAAGCTGTGGCGTAGTTCAGGAGATCCCGGGGTCTCGCGAGCATCTACAAAGTCCTCGTCGCCTTCTTCAAGGCTATTTCTCCGGGCTTCCTTCTCGGCTCTGCTGAGAATACCGGCGTAGGAGACGGTGCCGCCCGTCGTGGGCACAACGTAGAACGATTCGGCCGGACCGCCGGTTGGGCCGCCGGCCCCGCTTCCCCCACCGGGGGTGTCTCGTATAGCCTGGAGTGCTGCCCGCGAGAAGATCCGGCTGATGTCTGGTTCGGCGGATTGGCTCGAGCGACCGGAGGTGGCCTGGTGACGGTCCAGCTTTGTCTCCGCCGCAGATTTGCGGCTGGACTCTGCCTGAGGGGAGGCATCTGATCCCAACGGGAGGCCAGCAAAGGCCAATGGAGCCGACAGTTTTGAAATCAGCCCCTCGAATGTCGAGTAGAACCGCTGGAAAGGCTCCTCCGTGTCCGGCTGTCTACTCCTACGGCGGGGTTCGACGGCATCGCTAGGAACATATTGCTGTGACGTGACATCGGTAGGGCTGGCCGCCGGGGGAGACCATGGCTGTTTGGACGTAGATGAAGTCCGGTACATGCGATCCCTGGGGGAATGGAGTTGCGTTCCACGCAAGCGGGATTCACTCGTTCTGATTTTGGCCGGTCCCTCGGTCATCCGAGCGCCTGCCTGCTGGGACGAAAGTGTCGGTGACGCGGGGGTCGCGCGGCGTGGCTGCGAAGGGATCCCCCGTGCGGAGGCCAGGTTACTGGCGATCGAAGAGGTTTCTCTTTTCGGTAATCGAGTGTTCCCCGACAGCTTTGGTGGCTGCTGCTGAGCATCTTGAATAGACGGTGAGGCCTTTGGCGTGCCCGATTCCGTCGGCGAGAGAGGGGTATTCACACCAGCGGAAGGGGGATTTTCATGTTGAAAACGAAGGATCTGAGCGAGTCTCTTGTGGTGCTGCTCAAGCAAATGTAGCGTTCGCAATGCCTACCATATGGGATATTCCCAACATATCAGCCTGGGCTTATCTACCATCGACGAGATGAAACAAGGGACATACCTGAGGGTCGGAACTATTCTGAGCGGCCGTCGCAAACTCCCCGGCAGCCAGGTCATGCTCCTCGCTGGCAGCCACGGGATTCGACTTGCGAGTCTCCAGCACTGCATTCCGGGCATGGGTATGAGCCTTGTCCAAAGAAGGGATGTCAGGTCATGCTCCGAAGGAGATAAGGTTCAGGCTTGGACGCTGCACGTACCAAGGTAAGGGGAGCGGCATCCATGACTATTAGCTGGGGGGACCGGGGAGTCTGTCTTCAGGCATCAACAGACATCAACTGCAGTCGCGGTCTGGGGAAGAAAGAAATGGAATGTAGAACTGAAGCGAGAGAAGCGTGGGAGTGACGCCATTCGCCGCATCGGGGAAATCACGGGCCTGTCGATGTGACGGTAACATTACGCCCATCCGTACGGTAATCTGAATACCACAGTTCTGCCTCAGTCACCAGGTAGTTCTCCAGAATATACCGAGGAATTTTAGAATATCCCATGCTCCCAAGTATATTGAATTAAAGAGTACAAATGGCGATCTCGAAAAATCATGTCTTCACCGCCCGAGACTTGGTCTGGTCCGAGCGTGTTAGCTCAGTCTGAAACATGGATTTGCGACGGGTGGCATCCAGCTTGCGACGCTCAGAGAGACGGGTCTAACTTATGGGGACTACGGGGCTGTCTAGCGTATTCGTATAGGACATGCTCCTATCTGAGAGTCTCCTACGGACTAGGTAAGGTACTCGATCTCCGTACCTCCGTTAGATATAGTACTTTCAGAATCATTTTTCCGACTCGGACATTATAAAATCTATGGATTCTAGCTCGAACACCGCAATTATCCCAACCCGTCTCGCGGGTCCAATATATTTCCGAATCCAATGCTTTTAATAGCTGTGATGGATCGCCGTCTGCCGCCTCAGCTATTAATAGGCAGTTCTTGGCGTTCGCACTGAAGTTCTGGACCATTCGAAACCAAGGTACCGGAAACTTTCCAGACGGGATCTCAGGGGAACTCGAGGAGAATTAAGTCGAGCAGGAACTGGGGATAAGTAATGTACGTGGACGGTGCGTCTACGCCGGAGTACAGTCAGTACCTAGGTAGACACCTGAGAAACCAGGCAGCCGCGGATCAGCGAATGGTTGACACGCGGTGCTGAGTCAGCCCCCTGGAAGCGGTAAGGCTGGACGGCCCAAAGAGGCAAGGTGCATACAGGCCGTACCAGCCCGTACGGCCCCGTATTCCTTTCCTGCGGAGAAGCAAAGCGTCGCTCAGCTTCATCCTCATCCTTCCCCTCCCCCCCTATTCTTCTCCTTCCTCTTCTTCTCTTCAGTTCCCTTTAACCCTCGAGGAGGACGAGGATTGTTATTCTCTTGGTGGCTTGGAAATTCTCGCCCACCACCTAATCACCCCATCTCTCTTCTCAGCTACTTGGTATAGCTGTCAACTGTACGCGGAGACGGACCAGACGAATATTCTACCATGCCCCTGCTATGGCCATAGTGTCCCATCTTGTTCGATTCGATTCCCGTTAATCATCCTTCACCTCTTCTTCGTCTCTACACCCTCCCCCCTGCGTCCGTCCGAACCACCCCGTCAGCCTCATGGATCACACAGAAATACCCGAACCCCCGCCGGTCCCCTCACCCGAGCCCCAGGCTACCAACAGATTCGGCCGGTCGAAGACTATCCCCGTCGACACGGAAACGATGGGTAGCTCCGGTCGCAGCAATGGGCGCTCGTCGATTGACTCGACGTCCGACCGACCCAAGTCGCAAGCTGGCGAAACGTCCGATTCCGCAAAGGCAGGTTCCAGCGGATTTTCGAAGTTGCTGCGACGAAAGCGAAAGCAGAAGGAGAGCCAGAGTAAGGTGGATGAGCTGCCGACGCAGTTCGAACTCGAGAAGGACGGCGACGCCCAGGAAGCTGGCTCGAATGAATCGCGGGAGGGAGTTTCGTCCGTCCATGAAAACCAAGGCGCCCCGGAGCCGGAGGCCATAAACTTGTTGACAGATGACTCTGAACCGGATCGGTAAGCTGTTAGCCTCTGAGCCAAAACGAAGAAAGAAAAATGGAAAGGCAAAAAGCGAATATCATATGGTATCTAACGGCCACGTTTTTCTAGGACCCCGCCTCTCACCAGTCACAATTCGCATAGCGGCTTCTATACGAGCTCCTCCCCTCTCATCAACACGACCTCGGTAGACGTGGCCAACGATACGGACGGCGTCCAGGCCGATGTCGAGTCGGCGCTTAGTGGACCAAGCGCCGCCCCTTCTCATTCGGAGTCCAACCCAGATACGGAGCTTTCCAGGCCCACTTCTCAGCCTACATCCGGATCCTTAAATGTCCCGGGCGACCAGAGCAGTAAGAAACGCGGTGTGTCCCCAGGCAGACGATTTAGGAACGCCTTCAGTTCCAATCCCGATAAAAAGAAGGACTCCAACCGCGAGCGCGCCTCTTCAACGGCGTCGGGTGAGAGCAAGAAGAGCGTCGGTCCATTTGGAAATCGCGGCAGAAAGGCCAGCGTATCCTCCAAAAAAGCGCCTTCGATTATCACCGAACCCGTTCCCCCTCTGCCACCTCCAATTCGCACCGACCTGGTAGACGACAAACCCGCCGAATCTTCAGACGGCCCTGGCGGTCCACGGACCCCCCCTCACACGGCGCTTGCGGCTCCGCAAACCACCGTCACACCTCCCACCCCCCAGGTCGAGCATCGTGACCTGTTCTCGTCCCCGGAATCGTTTCAGTCAAAAGATTCGTCGGAAATTGTCGTTAGCCCCTCAGGAAATATGATCTCTCATCGACGTGTCCGGTCCGCCTCCTCGGTCAGCCACAAACCCAGTAAACTATCGAACTCTATGTCGGCTATGGGGCCGACTATCGAGGAGACAAAGGCTGCTACGCGAACGCCTTCCGCTGCTCAGCAGAGTGGTTTCTTTTCTTCCGTATTCTCCGCGGCGCAAAATGCTGCGACGAGTTTCAGCAATAGCCTCAACGCCCAGTCCAAAGCCCGCGGCCTGACCCCGGCAGAACTTGCGGAAGCCGATCCCGCACTGCTGAAGCAGGCAGACGAGGATACCAACAAGTCGCTGGAGGGCAAGAAGACCGAGGATACAAAACCCTCGGCCATCGACACATTAGGCTCCGGGGATTTGGATTTCAGCCATTTAGATATCGCCATTCCTCCTGGTGGATCGGTCTCGACACCCGACGGCGTCGTTATTACCAAGCCGGACCTGCCAGCCGAGAAGCGCAAGAACACCATGGTCCAAGAACGTGACGAACAGGCCGCGAAGATTGAGCACCGACGTGCGCAGCGTGCGGTTACCATGGCCTATGAGAAGCCATCGGAAGTGTCAGTCGTGCCGCCGTCCGACGATAGCCTCGAGCTACGGTCTAGCGTGTCACTCCCGCGAGACCCCGTCGGTGACCAAACTCCTCCGCCTGGTAGTCTTCTTGATGGAGAGGGCGGTGGTACTCGGCCACATCGAAGTGGGAGTGTCCGGAGCCGGTTGGCTCGACGCCGTCACCGAGGCTCTTCCGGTGCGACTACCTCGACGATCGGCGCCATTGGAGCCAGTGCGCTGGCGCTTGGAGTGCTGGGGGCCAACGCTAGTATGCCGCGACTCACGGGCTTTGCCGTCGCCAGCAAAAAGCGGAACCGAGACTTCCACTCCCTGTTCCGCAGTGTGCCCGAGGACGACTATCTGATCGAGGATTACAGTTGCGCTCTGCAGCGTGAAATCATTCTTGCCGGACGAATCTACATCTCGGAAGGCCACATTTGCTTCTCCAGTAACATCCTGGGCTGGGTGACAACTCTAGTCATCAGCTTCGATGAGATTGTTGCGGTTGAAAAGGAGTCTACTGCCATGGTGTTCCCCAATGCCATTGCCATTCAGACGTTGCATGCCCGCCACACCTTCCGAAGTCTGCTCAGTCGTGAGTCCACGTATGACCTCATGGTGAACATCTGGAAGATCAACCACCCAACTCTCAAGAGCTCTGTCAATGGTACCAGGGTTACCGAGGGCACTGGGGACAAGACCGAGAAAGCCGCCGAGAGCGACGCGGAAAGCGAAGACGAAGACGAAATTTACGACGAAGATGAAGAAGGAGACAATGCCGACAGCTTTTTCGACCCCGACGGCAGTGTGAACGGCAGCGAGGGATCTGTACCCGTGAAGGGCCCCAGTCGACAGGCCTCGGGTCTCCTGAATGGCAACGGCGCGACGTCCACCGCAGCGGCTGCCTCTAGTGGTGACGCGAAGGGCAAATCAGGCGATGGAGACGGTGACACCGACTTCCCGGGTCCTGCCACGCATGCCCCAACCGAGTTTACGGACCCCTCCGGGCAGTACGACAAGGTCATCAAAGATGAAATCATCCCGGCGCCCCTTGGAAAGGTTTATTCCTACATATTTGGACCGGCGTCTACCACCTTCATGCCGAAATTCCTGGTTGACAATCAGAATTCTGCCGAGCTCCAGTTCGACAGCGAAAAGGGGGGTCTCTCCAACGACAAGAAATCCAGGAACTACTCTTACATCAAACCTCTGAATGGGTCCATTGGGCCTAAACAAACCAAGTGTATCAGTACCGAGACCTTGGACTTCTTTGATTTAGAAAAGGCAGTTCTGGTGACCCTGAGCACGCAGACTCCTGACGTGCCCAGTGGCAACGTATTCTCCACCAAAACGAAGTACCTCTTCACCTGGGCTGCGAACAACCAGACTCGATTTCTCATGACTTGCACTATCGAGTGGACGGGCAAGAGTTGGTTGAAAAGTAAGTTCCTCCCATTGAAGTGAATGCAAGCAATCCAATGCTAACGAACCATAGCTCCCATTGAGAAAGGTGCCATTGATGGCCAGGGCAGCTTCGGAACCGAGCTCATCAATGCCCTCAAGGCTGCGGTTGTTCCTCGTCGCGCCGCCGCTAAACCTGGCGGCAAGGGCAAGGGTCGACGGAAGAAGACCGATTTAGCCACCGAAGAAGCAGCAGCCGCCGCCGTGAAGGCCGCCAGCGAGGCCAACGCCCGAGAAGCCGAGTCTTGGGGATTCTTCGAACCCCTGCACCAAGTGCTGGGCCCGGTATCCGATATCGTGAAGCCCCTCCTGGGCGGCAACATCGCTCTTGTGGTCATCGGGGTTTTGCTCCTCGTGATCTTCTTCCGGAGCCCGTCGCGATCCAGCTCTGCAGTGTCACATGATATCGGCTGTCCTGGCTACTCGTTACCACAGCGTCTGGCTGCCTACGAGGAGATGTGGCGAAGAGAAGAGAGCGAGCTGTGGAGCTGGTTGGAAGACCGAGTCGGCATGGATGGCATGGCCTTCCCGACGGTCAACCGACCGGTTGAATCGCAGACCCGCCAACGAACTCGCAAGGTCCAGGGTGACCGTCAGGTTATCGACATGATCGGCGAAGAGAAAATGTCGGATCGAGAAATGGACCATGCCATCCGCACGACGCGCGAGCGGCTCGATAGTCTGGAGAAGATCTTGAACAATCGCAAGCGCGAATCTGCAACCGAGCAGGCAGAACATACCGAACTGTAGGGTTGATAACCCTACCCCCTCTGAACTCAATCGACGAGTTCACATCACACTCTTTACTCCCATCTCCTATTTCCTTTCCTTTTATCTTCCAAAACCGGTGTTGTGAGTTGTAGTTTGATTCACCTGAATCTTCCATCCCTCGTTCAAACCCGCCGATCAGCGATTGGCCCATCACTGCTGAGCGGTTCTCATCTCCAGCTTTTCTTATTTCTTGTCGATTTCTTACGTTTATAAACTACCTACCTCCTTGTTTATGATGTCTTATTTGCACTTATTATTGTCGCCTTGAAAGTGAGGCGTCAGTGTGAGACAGAATCATAGCATATCCTGTACATGAGCGCCAACTGCATGTCTATATCAGCTGACTAGCCATCATATTTTCCTCTAGTTTGTGTTTGTTTTAAACCTAGAGTAGCCTTGTTCTTTTTCGTTGGGTTGTCTGTTAGCTGTCTGTAAGAGAATAAATTAACCATGATTTGTACTGTATAACGTCCTTCTCTTCTACTTGATCCTTGTCAGCTGTCTCTAGCTTGTCTTGAATGATGGGATATGCCTGTCTCACACAAATATACTTCCACTCTAAAGTGGAAGATCTAAATAGCCCAGCGCAATTACCCCTTCTCTTTAGATCCCTTCAAACTTGAGCATCCACACATCGCCCAACCGATCATTCGACTCGCCCAGTCCTCCCTGCACCACAATCCCCTCCTCGGCACCACTACCAACTACACCCGCACCAAACCAGCCCCTCGCCGGAGGCCGATCCTCAGAATCCACAACCACCTTCCTCCACATCTCCGACTGAATATCAAAAACCCACATATCAGAAAGCATCTTGCCCGCTCCAAGATGACCCAAATCACTCGTCTCCCGCTCCCCAAACATAGTCACCAACGACTGTCTTCCACCAACCCGAAGAGCCAAAAGACACGCCACGCTCCGCGCAATTGGACCTTTTACTCCATCCGCCGCATAAGAGATGTTCCTCCACTCGTTAGCCGCAAGATCAAACACATCCACCGCGCCGCCTAGTTCCATCGCCCCGTCGAATCCGTTCATGCGGTAGATCTTTCCATCGGAGTACGCGATCGAAGACCCGCCACGTTCAGGACCCGGTGCGGAGGGTAGCTGTGTCCAAACACGCGATGGGACATGGAAGGCCCAGAGATCGCGTAGACGGCCGGTTTCGGGACACCCGGCGTGTAGGTAGATGGTGTCTGAGCCGTTGTTCGTGAGCGCGTGGTAGCTGCGGCCCTGGGGGTAGGGGGATGTATTGTCAGGCTTGAGGTAGGACCATCCGCGCTGGGGATCGAGGATCTGGAATGCGCCGGTTTCTTCAATCGGGGCCATGGCGAGCCCGCCGCGGCCGGAGAAGATGTAGATCTGACCGTTTAGGGCGGTCGAGGCGGCGCCGACTCTGGGTTGTGGGGGGTTGGGGAGGCTGCTGATTGTCAATGAAGAGGTTGTTATAGTATCTGTTGGTGGGTTAGAGTTGGGTCCTGTAGGGTCTCTATATCGCTATATCTCTTGGGTTCTAGCTACCATGGACTGATAGGCGATGCACGGCCGAGTCGACGGGCTCTCGGGGCCGGAGTTCCCCGCCGTAAATGTAGATGTCATCGCCGAGGACTGATAGGGTCTGAGAGGACCTCTGGATTGAGGCATCCTCGATGATCTTTGTCCATAGTGCGTGTGTCATGGTGTCTTTCGGCATGGAGCTGTAGAGACCGGTGTCAGACTTCACTGGTGCTGGTGGGTGATAGCCAAATATATATCTTCATCTGATGGGTCGGGGCTTATGATATTTGATTTAGTTGAGTTCTTAGCAGTAAGAGATCATCTGCAATTGGCATGATTGTACCCTGTAGTGGGTGGCATACTTCGTACCACCGCGGGCGTATAATTTGTGTAGAAGTGGTTAGACTCAATTCAGATTGTCCAATGTGGTGGACCACCGGTAATCGGATGTCGTCATCTTCAGTTTTCGTTTAGCAGGTTTCTCTGTAACGACTGATAGTGGGATGTAGTGGAGGAAGATCGGAGGAGTGGAAATACGACGTCGAAAGGACGGCGTATAATTTGCCCCAACACGGTTAGACTGTGGGGAACCCCCGACTATCATTCATCGTTGATCATCCATTCATCCTCTTCTTCGTCCGCTTTTATTCTCCTCCGTATTTCATTAAATATTGACATGGGCCATTGTCAACAACTAGTTACCCGACCCCTCTAACTTACTGCCCATTGGTAGTAGTCCTTTGCTGATCATACCCGTGTTATCCATGCTTTCCACCCGAACTCGTCCGATGCACCCCTTGGCGTTTAATAGCAGGCACATTCGTAGCTAGGACAGCTATTGCTTCAACGTCTCCACAAGTGGACATCGATGCCCATTGAACAGCCATGCCAGGACTCCCCCCAACTGCGCAAGATTAAGCGCGGACACTCGGGATGCCGGCCATGCCGCCGTAGAGGCAAGAAGGTGAGCCTTCCTTCTTTCGTTCAATACACGTCTAACGAATCTATATAGTGCGATGAAGCAAAGCCTCACTGCGGAGCCTGCAAAAGGCTGCATCTGGATTGCAGCTATGGTGTTAACTTTACTTTTCGGAGCGTGAACACCATTCCGGACCAACGAAACTCGGCCGTCCAGCGCACATCCAAATCTGTTTCATCTCCTGGAAAGCTGGTGGACTTTGGATTGAACTCCCAAGCCAATCTCGAATCCAGCTATCTGACCCATTTCATGCATCATGTCCGCCCCCTCATCCCAGCAGTCTCACTGGCCCTATCCGAGCAATCCATTCTTCAATCGCCCCATCTCCACGCCGCAATTCTATGTCTCTCGGCCTCTAATCTCTCCATGCTCAACGCCCAAATCCAAACTCGTACCTTACCCACCCACTTTCGGAACTCCGTGTTCAGCCCCGTCGCCAACAGACTTCATCACACCCAAGCTCGGAAATATCACGACCAGGCACTTTCGCACTGCCACGGCGCCGATCTTGCCAGCAATGACCAATCCCCATCCAAAACAGCATCCATCCTAACCGCCCAAGTCCTCCTGGCATACTACCACCACGCCTCAACCTCCCATCTCCACTTCCGCCACGCAGTATGGACAACCCTCTACTTTGTGTCTCAGAACCGAGACACACTATCCAGCTCCCCAGAGGGTCTTGCCGCGCTACAAATGTGGTACCGTCTCTGCGTTTCCCATCGTCTTGGAAAACCGCCCGCGTTACTTCTAGAGGGAGAAGGTGATAGCTCCTTCGGACCGAACCGGTACCCCGATTCATTCGAGCAGGTCTATCTGAACTGCATCCTGGGCATGAATACCGATGACTTGATCTATGATATCTTGATCAAGACCATCGAGATCCGGACTCGCGTGGTAGTCTTTCGGGCTGTTGCAGGGCTTAGCGGCGTTTCCGAAGGACACCGAGGGATCGGCCGGGCTGCCCATGATCTTCTGGCCAGGATACAGGGCCATAAAGGGTTCGACGAGGCAAGAGCCGAAGCAGAGAAGGGATACATGCGAGGAGAACATCTACTGGGCTTGCTAGACGTGCAACGAGAAAGACTAGCAGTGTGGAAGACCCGACTCCACCCCGACCAACTCCCCGACTCCCCTACATCTACATTCCCAACCCACCGAGACACCATGAACGCTCTCTACTCGCTTCTTTGCGAAATGATGTTCGAAGAATGTCACCACCCCTCTCCCTCTCCCTCCCCCCTAACCCCCTCGCCACCACCACCCTCCACCTCATCTCCAAAATCAACCTCACCCCAACCACAACATCCGACCCCTACACATTCAGCCTCACCGAAACCCTCCTCCAATTCACCCAAATCCACAAATCCACCTCCTCACTGACTTACATCCTCGACGACCTCTGGCCTCGCCTAGAATCCAAGTCCCGAGGCTACGAACACTCGCATTACCCCACGCACCTGGTGAAACGGACGATCGGCCTGATCGCCGAGTTCTGGGACGCAGGGCGGGATGTAACCTTTGCGGTGCCTGCGGTGACAGAGGAGGTGGGCAAGATGACGCTGTTGGATGTTAATGAGCCGGTTGAGGTGGTGGTTTGTGGGTGGGGACCGGGACGTGACGGGGATGGGGGGTGGTTTGTTAAGAAGTGTGCTCTTCCTTAGGTTATAATCTCTTCAAGGGATTCAGAACTAAGTGCAACATGCTGGACTTGGGGTGGGTGGAGGAGTAGAAACCCCTAGATGTAACTATAACTACGTCACCGAGCCATAAGAGAGACTTCTTTTCGGGGAAGAAATAAGATAACGCCTGTATACCTAGATTATATACAAGTACAGAACACAAGACAAGACAAGACAAGACAGACAGGCAAACAATGCAGGGAATTCAGAACATGACAATCAAAACAGGAACAGAAAAAGGAAGTCGCAAAGCCAGATACTCGACAACAAACAAAGTGATGATAACTGGCTAACGGTGATGTTGAGATTACAACGATAGAGATGTATGTATGTAGATAGAAATGAATGGTCGAAGAAAACATAATATGAATGAGTGATATATGTACCGGATTTCAAAGAAAGAAGCTGGAGGGAGCCAGTCATCTTTTTGGTAGAAGGACTTGAAGTACTCAGAACAAAGATAATGGGAATGAAAAAGATGAGGTCCTCCGGTTCGCTCTATCCTAATAAGTCGACCTGTGTTTCTTATACACGGTCTGACGGGTCATCCTGTTGATGGGATTGGTCATTGTGGGAAGCCTGATCATGAGGGTGCTGAGATTGGCTGTCTGTTTGAATGCCAGCTGTGGAATGGTTCTCGGTCGGGGTTCTACCGTCCTGTCTGCGCAGTGTGTTGCCGAGCCAGGATAAGCCTCCACTCCATGAGTCGCTGAGACTTCGGAGTCGCGAGAGCGAAGCCGTTTCCTCGCCCTGAGAAGGACGGTGGATCTCACCACCATCAAGCCCAGGGGTCGAGTGCCCAGTCGTCACTGGTGCAGTGGCCAGATCGCCTGTGGAGTGAAGACGGGCTGTTGCCAGCGCGAATCGGGGATCGAATGCACCGTCTGCAGGGCCGGGTTGATCGTTGGTTGCGGCATCAGGGTCGGGGGCGCGTGGGTCCGAATCTCGGCTGCGGAGGAATCCGTCGAGGACCGTCGTGCTGAGGTGTTTCCCTCGTTCTCTTCGTCGAGGTTTCCGTTCCTTCACTGGACTAGTCTCGCCGCGACGAAGGGACTCGGCAACGACGGCGCTAAACCCGGCCGAGATGGTGGGGAGGAGAGGACCCGGGGAGAAGCGAGATGAGATGGAATTGCGCAGTCGGCGGGCCGGTGGGGTTTGGGGAATGAGGGTGTTTTGGGTTTTGGGCTGTTCGGGATCGGCAGGACTGGCAGTCTTGGGAGGCGCTTGGTCTTCGGCACCAGGAGCAGGAGGGAAGCGCAGAAGTACAGTCGAACCCGATTGTTCCGGAGTGGAGGGACGGGGGATCTGAGGTTCGGACCTGTGCGTATCGATTCCTGGCCTTTGAACATCTGCCCAGGGGTTTGTCAAAAGAGACTCGGAGTGGAAGGGCGAGGGCGCAGGAGATGCTTGGGGTGATTCCACGGTCAGTGATCCCACTGGCGACTGGCCTTCGTCAAGACCCTCAATGCCACGACTGGTGAACGAACCGGCCGGGGATTGCAGCTCATCGTCATGCTCCTCCGGAACCTTTTGGCCGGTCTCATGGACTCTGGTGTGCCGTGCTGGAGGCGACATGTCGACTTGGTCCCGGTACCTTTCTCCCTCAAATAGACCAATCGCTTCCTCTTCATCTTCGGCAGAATAAGAGGACTCGTCGTCGGAGCGGACGCGGCCACTCGTGATAAAGTACACACCAAGGAAAGTGAGAAGACAGCCGCCCACGAACTTTGCAGCTCGCGTGACGGTGTATGATTCGAAATCCCGATAGAGCACTGCACTTCCAATGATAACAGAGAGTGTGAAAAGCACAAATTGAGTGGGAATCACTTGGGTAGAGTCAAATCGTTGCAGCGCTCGGTTGATGTAGCGGATTTGCATGAGAGCGCTGAACACGAGGACCAGGACTAGGAGATAGGTGATCGGAAAGGTAATCACATGCCACAGAGTGAATGATAAAAGCGAGGATACACCTTTGGTTGACAGAGCCGTATATCCACCTGATAGCTGTTAGTAATGCCCATAACGAACCACGCGAGAAATGCATACCAAACAGAGCCACCAGCCCGACATCGATCAGGATAGATCGTGATCCGTACTTCCCACTCGACCACATGAGGCCCACAATCAGTGCTGCGGTAAGTCCCAAGTACAGCTCAAACTCCCAGCGCGTGATCATCACCCAGATATCATGAGGCCCGATTTTCTCCTCGGATGATTTCGCACTGAGGACAACCACCACAGCTCCAGCGATCGAAACGATAACGCCCCAGAAATCTCGCTTCCGGAATTTCTCCTTCAGCATGAACGGAGCAATGACGCAGTTCGAGATCAAGGCGACCACGCCCAGGGGCGACACAATCGATGCTGGGGCAAATCCGTAGGCCATGAAGTTTCCTACCTCACCCAGACACATCAGCACGATGCCAACCCACCAATACGGCGATCGAAGGTAGGATTTGCGACGTAGATCTTTCTCTCCAGGTCGCACGGTCCTATCTGACGACACGGACTCCCGCATCCGATCGTGGGTGTCTGAAGCATTGTCCGGCATCTCGTCGTCCGGTCCAAGATCGATGTGAGGCTGGTCATGGTACGGAGCATCCGGCGATTCGTCGCGATACCGACCGAAGCGCTTGAAATGGTCCCGTCCTCGATGGCCATTTTGCTGATCATGCTCCGAAACCGCGCCATAGGACCCCGAATTCCCACGGCCTGGGTTTGCGCGTTTCCAATCGAGTTCCTGCTGTTGCTTATCATGCTCCAATTCCCTCCCGATCCTAATATGCGCATAGCGTTGAATATTCAGAGCCAGAGAAATCAACACGTTCCCAGCCAGCGCAGTTATGATACCGATCAGCGAGGACCACTCATGCAGGCTCCCTCCGCCGCCATCGCCATTTCCGGGGTCGGAGGTAGAAGAAGCATTCTGCGCAGATGTAAGAGACGCAGCGAAAGGCGGCGACGTCGGCGTGGGGGCAACAGATGACACGAGCGCAGTGAGCAGACCGGCTGCTAGAGGCTCCTCCCGGAGGTAGTCCATGCGGAGGGTCGAGAGGACGTGACACACGCGAAGGAGAGTAAGGGAGGTCGGAGGCGGGGCGAGGGAGGAAAGGGTTTAGTTCCGACAAGTCGGCGGCGCCGAAGGTGAACCACGGCGGGATCTGTGTCACCTCAACTGGGCCAAATTATAAAGATGAATCGCCGTCTTTATCGTTCGCCGCAGACGGTTGTATCGATGATGTTCGCAACGTCGATCGGGAGCAATCGTTCATGCTGTTGGAAAGAACCGCATGCTACCCCTGAAACTGGCGCGATTTCGACGGCAGGAAGCTTCCGGATATCAACGACGACGTAATATCCCTGAGATCCCCCTAATTTAGCTTCAACGGATTTCGAAGCCTGTAAACTCCGTAAATCGCAGGGTTTCAAGCCAAGGCCGGAAGTCAACGGTGATGGAGACCGGGCTTGAGGGAAGGCAGCAGAGAAAAGCCAACGACCGCGAGCAGCCGAGCGACGAGCTAAAACACAAAGGGATGCACGTGCAGGGCAGATGGCGAGAGAGAGTCCAAGCGCAGCATGATGGATGGGCAGGGAGAGGCGGAAGATGCAAGTTCGGAGGAGAACGCGATGGAGAAGAAGCAGCGAAGAGCCTCATTGGCCACGCCCGCCAGTTGATCGGCTCCACCGCCTGCCCAACGTCATCGAGCATGAAGGATTCGGACTCTCGCAATATTGGATACTCGGTGGTTATGCACTAGAAGGGATCCTGCTGACGCCGGTAAGGAGCCTCGCGGCAGTCGCAGTACACGTGTCTGGAGGATCTACTTGGATCTGCTGTTGTGCCGATGGATCCGTCCGTATACACTGAATAGTGGATAATCACTAGGGCTACTGAAAAAAGAAAAAAAAAAAAAAAAAAGGTGGTTTATGCCATATAATACATCATGAGTATACCCCCAACCGTCTACATAACCCTAGCGCCTCGCTTTCTTCTTCTCCGGCTCGTCCTCGTCGTCACTAAGCTCCCGGTAGATGGTCTTGGGCTGAGTCTCCTTCCAAGCCTTGGTAAACACCGGGTCCTTCTCCGCCTTGTCTGCATATTTCAGCAGGGCTTCTCGCGGATCCTCATCGCGCATCGAACTCAGCGGAATATTCTCCCGGATATGTCTCTCATCCGGCTGCGACTTGGCGAATGGCGTTTGGACCGGCAGATGAGGTCGTCGGGGATCCTTCGGGCGACCGGAGTGCGTCATACCAACATTCGGGTGTCGAGAGGCCCGGGTAGACGAGCTATAATGAGGGATACCATTCGATCCGGTGACGATGGAATCGCCCGACAGGCCCTGGGTGAGATCCATCGTGAGATTCGGGTCGTCATCGACATGACGGCGCTTGGGTGCCTTGGACATGACCATGGCGGCACCCTTGGTCGATGTGTTGGGGTTGTAGAGCACATGGGTTTCCGCATTGGCAGAGCCGGTGATGATCTGGTTCAGCTTCTCGTGCCACTGAACCGTGATGAGAGGAGATCCCGGAGTGACTGGCGTGACCAGCTCCGGTTTCAAGGTGGCCGGGTTCAAGATGTGCAGGTGGCCGGTCTCCGACCCTGTGAGAACATTTGCCGAGGTAGGCGAGAACACGATATTAGACGTAGGGTATCGGAACGAGCTAGACGGATGCGCGACGGTTGTAATCGGCTGCTTGAACTTCCTTGTATCCCAGAGCTTGATGGTGTCGTCACCGCCCTTGGTGATCACCAGTCGCCCATCGGCACTGATGTCGATGCCACTCGTCCACGTATCCCGAGTATGCGCATCCCGAATCTCACCGCTAGGTCGCGTAAACGGCCCGTTTCCACCCCACATCAGCAAACTACCATCCAGGGCAGCGGCAACAAGCACGTTGGGACCTCCTTGCTTCGGCGAACCCCATGCGACGGCAGTCATCTTGCTCCGACCAGCGGATCCGGCGACTCTCGATTTATGAACGATAACTTCCTTCTGGGACCGACCGACGTTGGCGTCCCAGATGCGGACTGTGCTGTCCGATCCCGCGGTGGCGCACAGGTTCTCGTCTGTCGGCGACCACGCCCCGCTGGACACCTCCGAAACATGGCCCTTGGTATGGTGTAGATCTCTCAGGTACATATCACCTTTGACGAACTCGGTCACCGTTTCTCCATCGCGACTCAATATCTTCGGCTGCGGCGTAGCGGGGACGACCAGAACGTAGCTGGGCGACAGAGGATTGAAGGCGGCATAATGCACGGCATGCGCTTCCTGCGCGGCGGCGTTCTTTTTCTCGGACGGATCGACGGATTTGAAGGCGCGCACAGTAGACGGCGTCATGGAGGCAAAGTCATGTAGTTTCACCGTGCAGTCGGTCGACCCTGTTATCAGTCGCGACCCGGACGGGTCAGCAGTCAATGTTGTTACGGCGCGGTCATGAGTTTTGAGAAGCAGCTCGTGGGAGACGGGGAACTCGTCCTCGTCATCGGAATCATCATCGGAGTCGTCACTATCGTCGTCGCTATCATCATTATCAACCTCTTTTCTGGTTTCTGCGTCAGGTTTGGTGTCAGTTTCCACGTCTCCAACTAGACTCGGTTTCTCATCTTCCGCGGGCTTGACGGAGACGTTTGTCCGCTTCGAGACATCTATCTGAGCGTTGACATTTGTCGTTTTTTCTTGCTTCCCAAAGCTGGTTGGGAAGAACTTCTTGAACGCTTCCTCGTCGAAACCGTCCATCGTGCTGGTTGAGATGATTGCGGAGTCGATTCTTCTCGATTCGACTTGCGCGGAAATGATGATGTTTGCATGTTGGGAGTGTTTGCACTGTTTGGCTGGAATCAGCGTCATGCCAAGACTTCATCACTCTACGGATCCATCACGATAACTACTCCGGAGTGATAAGGCAGCGTATGCTTTATTTGCATTAAAATACATCCATAATAAACTTCTACCCGAAACGGAGTAGCTCCATCTAGACTAAACGTAGGTACACCGTCCCCTCGCACCTACAAGTACAGTCCCTCGACAGGACCGCCGTCCTGCTTCGTCTTCATGATTCGTTCTCTGGCGGCCCGGAAATCGTCCATCTGGACTCTCATACGGCGCTCCCGCAACGCCATCAGACCAGCTTCGGTACAGATGGCACGGATATCGGCACCGGAAAGGTCGTCCTTCTGGTTGATGAACTCGTCGAGGTCGACATCGTCGCCGAGGGACATCTTCGAGGTGTGCAGCGTGAAGATCTTCTTCTTGGTGTTTTCTGGGTCGAGTTAGTACACTTGTACATCATATGCAGTTTCACAGGTTAAGGGTGCTTACGGTCTGGGTTCTCGAAGAGGATCTTCCGGTCAATACGACCAGGACGGATCAAGGCGGGATCCAGGGTTTCGATCTTGTTGGTGGCCATGACCACCTTGACATCACCACGGTCGTCGAAGCCGTCCAGCTGGTTCAGCAGTTCAAGCATGGTTCGCTGAATCTCTCGCTCACCACCCGACTGGGATTCGTAACGCTTCGTACCGATGGCATCGATTTCGTCGATGAACACGATGGACGGGGCATGCTCGGCGGCAACCTGGAAAATCTGTCGCACCAAACGCGGGCCATCACCGAGGTATTTCTGGATCAGTTCACTACCGACAATGCGGAGGAAAGTGGCACTGGTCTGGTTGGCAACTGCCTTCGCAAGCAACGTCTTTCCAGTACCCGGGGCACCGTAGAGGATGACACCCTTGGGCGGCTTGATACCCATCTCCTCGTACAGTTCTGGATGAAGTAACGGAAGCTCGACAGATTCTCGGACTTCCTGAATCTGCTGCTCGAGACCACCAATATCCGCGTACGATTCCGTGGGGGCCTTATCGAGCTTCATCACCGACACGAGAGGGTCGGACTCTTCCGTCAACACACCGACGACCGAAACCGACTTGTGATGCAGGAGAATGCTGGCGCCGGGCTCGAGCAAATCCTTGTCGACGAAAGACATGATCGACACGTAGTACTCGGGACCCGTGGCACTCGAGACAATGGCGTGGTCATCGTCAATCAGCTCCTCCAAGTTACCAACGCCCATGGGGCTGCCTCGCATGTCATCGACTCGGCCTCTCTCGTCGGCATTCCGATCCATGATATCGAAATCGCCTCGGTTGGCAGTGTCCTGGGATGCCTGCGCCTTGGTCTTACGCAGGCGTTCCATGTTCTCCACGTACTCTTCCTCAAGCAATAGGTGATCATGGACTCGTTGCATTCGCAGATATCGTAATTTGCATCGTGACGTCGGGTAAATATCGGGGAGCTTGGCCGCCGTGCTGGGACCGGCGGCTCTGCGCTTCTTGCGGCCGATGCGAGTGGTGGGAGGAGGAGGCGGCTCGTACTTAGGCTTCTCCTTCTGCGCGAGGGAAGCTGGTCAGCGAGAGGGATGACCATTACGGTTATTCGACCTTACCTTCTTGTCCTTGTCGTTGGCTCCGTCGCCCCCGGGGCCTCCACTGATGTTGGACTGCTGGTTACCCTAGTGTAAAACATCTGTCAGCCTGAAGGCACCACGCAGAGAAGGGTGATGATGACGTTGTTGGGCACTCACCATCGTCCCGGATGTGGAGGGAAGTAAAAGAGAGAGTAATGAACTAGGCTCCTGGAGTTACTCGGGTCAAGTCAAATTGGGAAGATAAATGGAAAGAAGGGTGATGTCGATGGACGGAATCCGCGTGGAGGATGGGAGAAGCTGGCGGCGATGATGAGCTGGGGAGCTTCCGCCGTTTGTCATGGAGTGTCACGTGAGTTTTGCCTCATGTTCATGCCTCAGTGCCTAAGTGCCTGAGTGCCTGAGTGCCTGACTCGTCTTCGAGTCTGCATAGTTAATGCTGGCAATATTAATACCAGCAAAGACTAGTAAATTCGTAGTGAACCAACCAGTACTCTGCATTCTAGTAGAGTACGGCTGGACTCGAAGACTCCAAATATGACCAGTCATCCGTCTTCCTGAGTCTGGCGGCTACTCGCACGCCTCGGAGTACAGAATCCAGAATGCTTCGATGACCTTCTGCCCGCAACTCTCCCCAACCGCCCTTCTCCCCGCCTCATTCTTCGTCTTTAGTCTTTACTTCCCCTCCATCCTCTCGCTCCGGTGAGGCTCTTCCCGCGTCACCTTTCGCCTGCCAGCTCATATTTACTTTTTCTGACTCCCCCTCCACCTCCCGCCTTTCTTTATTCTTATCCTTATTACTATCTTCGAGTCCGTTCTCATGGGCATCATAGCCAAATTCACCTTGTTAGAATACCACAGCTGACCTTCATCCTGTAGCTGGATAGCTCCGGGTTGCTTATCTTCAAGTCCTCCTTTGACCTTCATTCCTCGTATACCGTATTCTTCCTATCCTTAAGGCATCGCCGTATACCCCCCTACCCCTCATGGCTTCCAATCGCGGGCGGCGCATCGCCAAAGAAATCGCCGATATCCATGCAGATACGCTGTCGCATGTCACGGTGGAACCAGTTGGCGACGACGAGGACATCACGCATCTTCGAGGGTCATTCCCTGGCCCCCCGGCCACTCCGTACGAGGGTGGCACTTATTTTATCGACATCCGAATCCCTACCGACTATCCGTTCCGTCCGCCTAAGATGAAGTTCGAGACCAAGGTCTGGCACCCGAACGTCAGCAGCCAAACGGTCAGTTTCCCTTGTCTTTACTGTGCCATACGTCGTTTCGGAACGACGAGCTTATGATTCTTGCAGGGTGCTATTTGCCTAGATACCCTCTCGACGGCTTGGTCGCCGGTCCTCACGATTAAATCTGCGCTCTTGTCGCTACAGTCGTTGCTCAGCACACCGGAACCGAAGGATCCCCAGGACGCGGAGGTTGCCAAAATGCTCATCCAGAAGCCCAAGGACTTTGAGCGCAAGGCCCAAGAGTGGGCTTGGCTCCATGCGGGAGCTCCCAAGAGACCGGGAGGAGAAGGTAGCGGCGGCGCCACAGACGAGTCGCTCCGACTGCAGGAACTCAAGTTCAAGGAGGAGCAAGAAAAGCAAGATCTGGCCAAGTACGTTGTCCCTTTGCGATTGCTGGAATTACTCCATAACATCTGTTGTAGGTATGACGGGTACAACAAGGACTTGATCGATCGATTCTGCAGTATGGGCTTTGACGTGGACCGAGTCGTTTCGGCCTTCAAGTATTTTGGCATCGATCGAATGGACGGAGAGGATTATGAATTGGAGGAAGCCTACATGGGCGACGTCACTGCTCGGCTTTTGGGTGAGCCATGAGTGACTTGCATATTGCATCTTGGAAGATACACTCCATTGGCCGGGGTGTTGGAAGAATCTAGGATGGAAATTCTTTGGATTTTTTTACTTTCATGATTGCATACTTCTTATTGACCTACTCCTACCCCAGACCGTGATTTTGGTTCTCACCAACCCAACCCTGTGTTTCTCATTATGCCTCCACTCCTCGTTTTTGATTTTTTTTTTCTTATTTTTTGGATATTCACTGGTAATGTTGTAGCAACATGATATGAGCGATTTGAGCATAGCAATGAATGATGACCCAATCCTTTCCGTGACTACGCAGTAGTACTAGTTAGTTAGTTACCGGAGTAGATGGACGCCTATCGATAAGAGTGGATCTTCCGCTGGACCTCCGCCTTGAATTCTCTCCGCCGAACTCTGGCTTTGTTCTTCTTTTCTTGCATCAATCAACCCACCCAACGTCTCCAAACATATTTCCCTGAAGATAACTTCTCTTTGTATCTACCATCAGCTTGGAAATAGATAACGGCACCACGGGGAGCGCGCCACCATGATCGAAGACGACTTCTACCGCTCCTCATCCCAGTTTCGATTCTGGTCGTACACCGAGGCATCCTTGCAAAGTTTGCGAGCCAAAACCAACTCCCTTGCCAGTGATCGTGTACGTGCCACTTTGCGCAAGGCACGAGTTAGTCGCCAATCCGCCCCCTCGTCGGCAGCAGGCACACCGAACCCCAACGGCAGCGATGCCGACAGCAAGGCAGGAGAGGAGAAGGACGTTGAGTGTCTGACGCCGGAGGAGGAACAAGTGCTTGTGCGATATTTCTGTGAACAGCTTGTCGAGCTGGGAGAGAGCTATAAACCGCCACTTCCAACGATAGTTCGGGTGCGTCAATCCTCACAGCCACCTTTTTGCTTCCAGATCCAATTTCCTAACCGTCATCACCAACAGGCCACCGCAATCCAATACCTCCGACGCTTCTACCTCACCAACTCCCCCATGACCTACCACCCGAAAACCATCATGCCATGCGCGCTCTTCCTCGCCACGAAGACGGATAACTACTACCTCTCGCTTCGCCAATTCGCCGAGGTCGTCCCCGGCGAGACCACCGCCGACGACATCATCGCGCCCGAGTTCCTCGTCATGCAGAGCCTCCGCTTCACCTTCGACGTGCGCCATCCTTTCCGCGGCCTCGAAGGCGGCATCATGGAGCTCCAAGCCATGGCGCAAGGCCTCGGCGAACCCGCTCCTCACTTTCCCCAACAAACACCGGACGAGCTGCGTCGCAAAATCATCTCCCTCCCCCCATCGCAATCCACCCAATCCTCCTCCATCAACGATCGCCTGGCGCGCGCACACACCACCACCCGAGAACTCCTCAAGTCCGCCGCCCAAATGACAGACGCATACTTCCTCTACACCCCCGCGCAGATCTGGCTCTCCGCCTTCCTCCTCGCCGACCGCCCCCTCGCCGAATTCTACCTGGACACGAAACTCGGCGGCCCTCTCACCACCAACCAGCAGGGCAATCCTCTCTACGAAATGCGCACCAAACTCATCCGTGTGCTGAACGACTGCGCCAATCTTCTCCAATCCTACACCCCTCTCGCCTCCGACCCCGACCAGAAAAAGAACCTCCGCCGCATCGGCAAGAAACTGTACCACTGCCAGAACCCCGGCGGGGACAAGGCCAACCTCGCCGGCCAGAAACGGATCCCGGCCGCAGCCTCGGCAGCGGCGGCAGCAGGCAGTGGTGATCCGGGTACTTCGGAGAGCGAGATGGAACGGCTAGCGAAGAAGCGGAAGCTGGAGCGCGAGCAGAAGGAGAAAATGGGAAATGATTTGTTTGGCGGGGAGCTTGTTGCACAGAAGGCGAAGGATGAGGACAGTAATACCACGACTCAGCAATAATACCTAAACCACTTACTAGCCTGCTTATACTACGAAATATACTATACCTACTGCACTATACCATATTACTTCGTTAGTCTCAAAAGTGGAGCAGCATGTAGATCCAGCAGAAAATAATAAGTGACAAGAGCTCGAAATGGAACCGTACTGAGTGAGGGCTTTAAAGCCGTACTTGGGGCTTTTAAGCACCCGGGGCAGTTCTTGAGACGTATACATATCTGAGAGACTTATTTGGGGGGAAGGGGGTCCCAGGCCTTCTTTGGTTTCTGTTTACCCCAGGACAAAGTTGACTGCTTGGGTTGCGAGTTTACGGTTCACTGCCCGTCCTGGAATCGAGGGTATTGAAGCCCCGGTATAATGGTATTACTAGTGTGGACCCATGTAAGCGGATATGGTCAGTAGGCCAGGAACAAGAGCCTTACTCTGGCTTGAAACTTTTCCGGCTTGCTCTCCAAGCCGTAACTGTTTCCCAAGGCATTGGCCCAATATATTGCTGTTGTCCACAGGACTTCGAGCCGCTTACAGCTAAGTAGTAGTCATGCTAGACCATGCATATGATAAAGGATGATACCGGAATGACATGCTTGTCTGCGAGAATGAGCCATGATAGGAGAACGAAAGAGATGGATGCCTATGTTAGGCAGGATGTACTACTGAGTACTAAATAAGTTAAATCGCGGCGATCCTGTGGCTGATTCGTGTGGCAGTAAAGGGTCCAACAAAAGCAAACAAGACAAACAGATTCCTTGATATCTAAACGCGTTTCTCCCTCACCCTTTCCTCGAACTTTTTCACTTAGAGCGTGGTGAGCATGGGGGATTTCGTCGATGAGATGCTGGATTCGCGTGTGCCTACGAACCGCAAAGCTACCAATGACCTTGAAAGCCCCCCAGCCCAACGATTGCGTCGCGTCGTCCCGGAGTCCCCGAATAATTCCATCCAAGGCATTCTGCGAGCGAACAGCGGAGAGCGGCTTTATGTCCGTCCCATCTGCTGGACTTCGAGACAGCTGCAGTTACTGAACTGTTACTTCGTACGAGAGGAAGTGCATTTGAAGATTGGAGACCCACCGGTGAAGTCGGTCTTAAAGACTCTGCGTAACCAAGAGCCAAAAAGAAAACCCATCTCTGCGATCGCCAGGCTACTTGCCCCAGCGACCTCGGAAGCGAAGCAATCAGATGTGAGAGAAATTCTCAGCTGCTACGATATACACCCTCTCCTGTTGAACGATGGACGAGTCATCTTGTCGTACGATGTACGGCCTATCCCGTCGAAGCGCCTTGCATTCAATTTTGGACGCAGGTACGCCGCTGGGATCCGTGTAGATGGCATTTCTCCCATACCTCTTCCTCCATTCCGAGCCTCGTCCACATTACATTCGATACAATCCGAAAGCTTCGTCAGAAAACGCTCGGCAGAAACATCAAGAATCCCATCTTAAGTCGTCTGTATGATATAAAGCTACGGTCGCATGATCCCCCGGATCCTGCTCAAGATCCCTACATTATTTCAATCCTGATTGCTCTTGCCCAGGAGCAGCGACAGCTTACAGAAGAATCACAAGCGACAACAAACCATCAGCAAGAATGTCAAGGGCCAACACAGACAGTCAATGATACAGGCCCTCGGTCCTTCAAGGTAAGTCATGATACGTCGTTGAATCCCGAAACCAGGTTGACTCAGGTATTATCAAAGGTCACCGTTCTTGCTACACCCAGCACAGTGGTTGATGTACTCTACGTCTATGTCGCCTCCATTTCGACCGAATTTCTCGATTGTTTGGATGCCCCATCGCAACCTTTGCCCAGTCATCCTGTTCTGGTGAAATCCTACCATATCCCTCTTATAACAGAAAGGAAAAGAAAAGCTCTCAAGGAACTACACCACCTGATTTGTACTGGTTCATGCACTTTGTGCGCTGGCAACCAGCCTACAGATCCTGATCCACAACCTGAGGCAATCTCAGAAGATCACAATGCCTGATTTGTCACCAGCCATCAGCACAACTGGGTACCTGGATCTTAACCTTTATGACCTTGTGTCACCCCTTCATACCTCCTGCTGGAGGCAGTTGCCATAGTCTAGGAGCTCATGCAACCAAAGTACTTTCGCGCGACGGCATTGCATAGGTCGTTAACTGCATTGTGGCTTGGATGCCCTTGCCCAAACACGGCACCATCTTGACAATGTCAGGACGACACGGAATATCCTACCACTACACGGGGTCTTCTTTGAATTATGAAGGATCTAACACTAGATGGAGGCTCCGATGGCCATTGGGTCTAGTAACCACTGAGTATGGGTACTGCTTAAGACCACCGGCCCTCATCCCGATTTGGACTTGAAAATTTCCAATAATTCGTGACCGCAACATTTCTCCCATGGGAGGAACGCAGCGATTTACCAATTTGGTGAAGATGAAGCTCTTCCCCCTCTCTCCCTTGCCTTTAACTCTGTTTTCTGGCCTGACCTTTCATCCCGACCCTCTTTGTCTGTATGGCATTTCCATCACCTTCGCGTTGTCCATCGCGAAACATCGATGTTCAGCCAACTACCTGGATGTAGACATTAGAATACCCAATCCAATCTACTATATTTAATTCTCGCATTACGGAAAACAAAGTGTCTGTCGAATATCTCTAGGTATATAAGAGAGACAAGGTCATGGCAACTCTTTTTCCTATTGCTACGAAAGAATCTTTGCTTGAAACCTCCGTCCTTCCTAGCAAAGATGATATCCATTATTTAGTTAAGGGTGCTTTCTTTTACCCTCCTATGGTTTCTTTCGCCTTTTCTGCTCTTCAGTTTCCATTCTCCTCTTCTTCAATTTAACTGTAAATTGCAGCAAGTAGGTATACTCGCACGGACCCTATACGTCAACTAGCCCAATCGGCACCATACAAGGCACCACCGCACAGCGCAGCACATCGAAATGGACCTAAACTAAACAGCGAAGAAAGATTGAACCATTCTGATATCTCAATCGGGCAATAATCTACACCTCGCTCCAATATTTTGCCATTTTCCTTAAGCTCGGCGTTGAATCTCCGGTCGTGTGTCGCTGCCACCTGTTGAAGCACGGGTTTCAAGCGCTCAACAGTCTTGAACGCCGAAGAGCACGGAAATGTTGAAACTGGTATAGCTAGCCTCTCTTGCGACTGCATGCTATTTATCACATCATTTATAGCTTTGAAAAGTCCCTGGAAATGACTGTTACAGTAATAGTATTTGTATATATTTACCTGTACGTGTCTGCTAAATCCTGCGTGCTTTATATTTCCCAAATCCTTTAGTTTAGGCCTCCTAGACATCTGCATAGCAGTCTACTGGCATAAGCCAACTAAGATTAGACATTCTTGAGCTAGCGTAACGCCTTACATTATAATATAGCCCAGTACTATAATCGGGACTAGGGACTAGTTCTATAATAGCCAAGAGACATACTACCCACAAGATCAACATGTTCTGAAGACGAGGAAACAAATAATACCTAAGAGCCGAGGTAAGGGAATGCATATCCACCCTCTATTCCCTTAGTGTTACTATATGATCACACACGAAAGGTATCCGCCTACTAACTGTATGGACAGGACATGACATGGCATGACAGACGTCAACATAGGCAGAACAAAAAGACAGGGCAATGAATGACCGAAAAAGAAAGCAAAGTCTACATAACAAGTCTATAGTGATAATCAAGAAACCAAGGAGACGTAGCCCATCCCAAAGAAAAAGAATAAAGTAAGAAAGTATCAAATTCAACCCTTCAAACGCTCGGGTCTAGGATGAGGTATGAAACAGGTAGCAACGAATCCATCTAGTAACAAGAAACAAAAAAAGGACACCCAAAAGTAATACGAGCAAGATATCTTCCCATATGTGAAAAAGGAAACAAGAAAAGAAAAGAAAAGTGGTCACAAGGAAAACCCGCCTGTCCCGAACATTTAAACCATCAGCGTCAATCAAACAAAACCATTAAAAACCTGGTTTTATATCCCATCGTCGATATCCCTGTATTCCCGTAAAAGAAACTTTTTGTGTGTTCCTCCTCCCTACAGTATTGTTTTTTCTCTTGGTTTTGATTTTTTTCATATATGTTCATTGTCATCTCTAACATTCCAATCATAACAATAGGTAGGTTTGTTGGTTTTTTTTCTTTGTTTTTAGCTTCTTCAGTTTGGTTTTCTGGCTGCAAAAGCTTAGACAGCACCGGCGCTGATCATCTTCTTGCGGAGATGGTTCTTGTACGCGCCGATGGTGCCGTCCCACCGGGTGACGGTCTTGTTCTCGCAGACCATGATGTCCTTGGCGATCTTGTCGAGCAGACGGAAATCGTGGGAAACCACGACAACACCACCGCTGTAGGCGTTGATGGCGTCAGCCAGACTGTCGATGGTGGGGATATCGAGACCGTTGGTAGGCTCGTCCAGCAGGATCATGTTGGGCGACTCGATGGCCAACAGAGCGAACACGATACGACTCTTCTGACCCTCGGAAAGAGTACCCATCAGAGCGGTCTGGCCTTCACCGGTAAGACCGTAGCGACCGAGCTGCTGGCGCCAGTACTGGTAGTCCTGACTCTTCTCGGGGAACTTGTCACGGACGAACTCCAGAGCGCACTTGGTCAGATCAAGCTGCTCGGCGGAGTGCTGGCTGTACATGCCCAGCTTCAAGTGGGTGTGACGGCTGACACGGCCACCGATGGGGCTCAGCTTGCCGGTCATGATACGCAGAAGGGTGGACTTTCCGACACCATTAGGTCCGACCAGGGCGGTACGGGAGTCCATGTCGACACCGAAGTCCAGGTGCTCGTAGAGAGTGTCGGACCACTCGCCCGAGTAGGAGAAGGAAACGTCGTCGAAGGACAGGACGGGAGGAGGCAGCTTCTCGACGTCCGCGAAGCGGAAGGTGAAGACCCGGTCGGGGATGACGGGCTGGATGAAACCGTCGGCCTCCATCTTGTCGAGGATCTTCTGACGGGACTTGGCCTGACGGACCAAGTTGGCGTAGGTACCGGCGGAGGCAATGAACTTCTTGATGTGGACGATTTCCTCCTGCTGCTTGGCGTAGGCCTTCATCTGGTTGGTCTCCTGCTCGCTACGGGTCTTGTGGTACGAGTCGTAGTTACCACCGTAGTAGAGGAGCTGCTTCATGCGCATGTCAATCATGTTCGTGCAGACACCGTTCAAGAAATCCATGGAGTGAGAGACCAGGACCAGGGTACGGTCCCACTTCTTCATGTATTCTTCCAACCACACACAGGCCTCAAGATCCAAGTGAGCGGTGGGGTCGTCCAGCAAGAGCAAGGACGGCTTGACGAACAGAGCCTTTCCGAGGGCGACACGCATACGCCAACCACCGGACATATCCTTAGTCTTCTTGTTGATCGTCTGCTTGTTGAAACCAAGACCCGTCAAGATCAGGGAAGCGCGAGTGTGGAAGGTGGAGGGATCCATTTTGTCAATACGCTAGAGAAGTCAGTCGTCTTTACCTCATAAAAATAGCTAGATGCCAAACTTACGTCGTACAGATCCATGAGAACGGGGCTGTCAGGACCCTGGGTCTCGAGGATCTCCTCAGCCTGCTGCTCCATACGCTCGAGTTGCCTCTCGGCCTCCTTGACAACCCATTCCAGGGCACCGTCGTCGGTGGGAGGGGCACCCTCGTTCAGGAGGTAGATATCGATGTGCTCGGGGATGGGGAATTCACGGTGAGCGATGGACTTGAGAAGGGTGGACTTTCCGCAGCCGTTCTCACCCAACAGACCGTAGCGACGACCGAAGTTCAGTTCCAGGGTCGAGTCGGTGATAAGGACCTTTCCGTGGAACACCAGGGAGGCCGAGGTGATCTTGGCGTCACGAGAGGCAGGCAGGGAGGAGAGCACACCGGTGGTGACACGGTCCGACAGACCGTGCTTATCCATCTGGGCTGTGAGCTTCTCGACCTCCTTCATCTTCTCGTCGGTGGTCGCGGGCAACTCCTCAGCGGGAGTCTCATCGCCGTCCTTCTTGCCGACCTTCTTCTTGGTGTCACCGCGCTTTGCGAGACGAGCGGCTTTCGAAGCAGACACCATTTTGTCGGTAGTTATGGAGGATTAATGGGGGATCGGAGAGGTGGAAAGGCGTAAGGAGAGGAGAGCGGGAGGGAGAGGGGGGAGGTTGAAAAACGGGTAAGATAGATGGCAAGAAAAAAAGCCTGACGAAGGCGAGAGAAAAGGGAAAAATCAAAAAAGAACTCTCGACAAAGGTGGATCGAGAATAGCGGGGTGGGAGGGGGCGACCGAGAGGCTTCTTAGTGGGGAGGGCGAAAAAGTTCCTTGGAAAGCCCTTATCGATAGAGGACCTTTGAAATACTAACACGCCGGTTGGATTGGGGGAAAATCCCGGCGACTATATACGGCGAGATCCGCGGCGTCAAAAACAGCGGTGGAAGGGAGCGGTAGTCGATAACGATACCGCCTCGCTGATGATGAAGATGAAGGAAAAGTCGACGGAGCGAGGGAGATGAAAGAGATTGTGGATGATGCTGAGCAATGAAAAAACCGATGGGCCTCAAAAATTCCTTTCGGTGGGCTGCCCAGGCGCCGTCTGATTGGCCGGGCTACGTCACCGCACGGGTCGTGGCGCGCCCTAGCCTGATTGGGCATCAACAGCACGTGATTTGTAGCCTTACGCCCCAGGCAGTCAGGCAGGCAGGCAGTCAGGCACCGATGGCCATCAATGCTGGTTATTTGACTGGGCAATCAGATGCCGGTAGACTAACATGTCATCGATCCAGGCCCTTTGATGACCACTCACTCAGATCATCTAAAGATAGTAACACCGTATCATCAACGGCAACCAATCAAAGGTCATACTCTGTGAATCCAGACCGATTGTCACTTCTTCCTGGTCAACCACGGAGCTTCTGAATAATATCCGAGCGGCTTGATCTTCATGGCGATGATCGGGTCGGATATCAGACACCTGGGAAGTATCAATATTCAACATCTGCTCAATTTCTGTCTTTGAAGTAATGCTAAAATAACACCTGACTATAGGAATACAGCATGGAGGAAGATATATGCAGTATTGATAGCCATTATCTTCATCAACAGGTTCAAATAAAAGATTCCATAAAAGTAACTAGCACGAACAATATCCAAAGATAACTCCACCTATAAGTATATACCTTCCAACCACCTACGCAAAGCACAAACCACCTACCACACTACTAAATGCACCGCCAACTTCAGTATGCCCCAATCAGGTACCTCAGTCCAACCTCCATGCGCCATGCAAGGAACCACCACATAACATCAAATCCCACTCAAACTGAACAATCATATCAATTATTAATGTCAAACATACCATGCATCTAAGCTTCGAAATCCAAGCTATAAGCCAAGAAAGACATGGCATACTGTATTTCATCTCGAAATACGGTTCCACCGTTGTGGAGACAGCTGCATCTATCGATGAGGCATTTATAAATATACCGAGACAACTCCGACAGGAGTCAATCACCTGTTGTCATTTCAAGGACGGCTAGACTGCATTCCTTACATATGCAGAGAATGGGATTGATACTAGGTATCGGCACGGATATCCGAAAGGGGGTTATATTTTGACACTACACCTCTGTCTCGTGATATCAAGCTCCACAACCAAATATAGATAGGTAACAGCGACAAAATCCCTCAATAATTTCAATAGTATATTCCCCTAAGTACATACTAGTCCAGCAGCCCCCTCAACAACCCCCAAAGCGCACCAGGATACGAAACAAACCTAGCAATAGCCAACAACCCAAGAATGCAGACAACCCAGAATCCAACGAAAATGCCTCATGACTGACTCAACCAGACCAAACACACTAATGCGCATGCCATGTCCTCTGGGCTCTTCTTTGGTAGGGGTTCAGATATGCAAGTGGTCGATGCAAGGTCCAGGCCGTCCATTCGCTAGCCGATATGCAAGGGGGAGAATGAAAAGGCTTGTTTACAAGTTTATGTCTATCGAGAAATGCCGCTCATGTGGTCAGTGATATTTACTAGCAACCATGTCGTAGCTGGGGTATATGAGTTATTTGACGAGTGCATTCTTGTCTCGAGGTTAGATCTCCGCGGATGGGATCTATATTCTATACTATACTATTTACAATCAGGATTTAAGCAGTTCCCATAAGGCATCAGTGTAAACCAATGAGTCATTATTCCTAGTAAGCTATATACACATGCGTAAATTACTGTATCCGTTCACTGATCCTCTCAAGGACCTCCATCTCCTCCGCCGTGATCCACAGATCATCAGGCACAAGGACCTTCCCCTCCTGAATAACGATCCGCACAGGAGCCTCCTCAGTATTCGTAACAGCGCTATCAGACGAACTTTCGGCGCCATGGCCATGGGAAGGGCCATGAGTACCTTTCTCCCCTCCCCCACTCTCCGCATCAGCCAGCCTGCGCCTCGAAAGCGGCACCGCAGTCCACCAATACACCGGAAATCTCCGCTGGATATTATTCACGACCAGCGCGACGGCCTGCATCATGACGCAGCCCAGCACCATGATAGGGATCAGGAACCAGCCGATAGGGTAGCCTTCTGTGACGGCTAGGAGGGCGGTGGCGCCAGCGGGCGGATGCACGGTGTTGGTGAGGACCATGAAGGCGGTGGTGATGGCGCAGGAGAGGGCGCCGCCGACTTGGGGCTTGGAGTGGGCGGCTGGGTTCAGGGCGAAGAGCTTGCCGATGCCGATGCCGATGATGCTGGCGAAGAGTTGGCTGAGGACGGCGTTGCGGGGCTGCGCGAATGGGGATTCGATGACGGCGAATTCGAGGACCGCGGCGGCGCCCTGGTTGGGTGTTAGTTATGTGTGCCTTGCTTGGACTGAGGATGGAAGGGAGAGGGCGTGAGGAAGGTGGGTAGACGTACAAAACTAGCCACGATGACTGGTCCATTATGGTGCTGGAACGAAGGTACATGCTCCGACACCTCGGCCACGACGAGCACGCCGCAGAAGACGCCAATCAGAGACCAAAATGCAATCACAAGATTCCCCAGGCTCTTGGGGACCTTGTCGCCTCTATATCCGAAAAAATGGGAGATCGGCCGCGGGAGATATCGCCATGGGGGGGCGGGGATGTAAGGGTTGATATAGTCGTCTATGTCTAGATGCCAGCGGGAAAAGTCGACGTGTTTGAACATGATGTTGATTCCGAAGTATAAGCCGGGTGAATGTCGACGCCTTTTATGCTAACCAGAAACCATAAACGAATGAAAGTTTTCTCGGACCAGATGGGATGGGTCAGGCCCGAGACCGAAAGTAAAATGATAGAATCTCAGAGAGAAAGGCTCCAGCACTCATGCCATGAGGTGCGAGGGCAGTATATAGTCCGGACAAATGGAGAGTTCACAAGGTACGGAGTAAATCAAAGAACTTGTTTTCGAATGATCAACAGGAGACAAGCGTGACCCTGACGAAAAGAAAGTCCGAGGCCCGAGTCAATGTGCCAGTGAGACATCCAGTATCGGGAGTCAGGAGGAGCCTTATAGTGCCCAAGGATGGACAGGCCAGCTGCGAGTGCCTAGGGGTTAATGAGCTGCAACATGCTGTGACAGCACTGATTGGGGGGTTCAGCAGATTTTAAGGATTCTGACATCACAGTGGTTAATATCGCCTTGGAAAAAAAAGGAAAAGACGGCAGCCGAGCTGGGCCCTTTTTTTGTCCCCTCTCCAGCAGACCGAGCAGCATCTCCGCGGAAAGACCAGGAATCGACAGCCCTAACAATGAGCATCGTCGCAAGAACCAGAAGGCCTTCAGCTGTCTTCCACTCATGCGATTTGCATTGAGTAACAGAAATACCCGATGCGGCCTAGCGGCGGCGGCGTGGAGACGCGCCGGAATACGGGCGCATGGCGTAATATTACCCGCCATTACGCAAAGAACCCCCCATTTCCGCTTCCGCCCTAGTGTGGCCGCAGTCAGAGTCGTACGGGCCCCGTATTGGGACAGGATTTTGAGAACGGCAGACGGAAGACGGAAATGCTGGTGACTGCCGATCAATCCGGGGAACCAAAGAGATGGTCAGCTCTCTTCCCTTCCGTCCTGTCCTGCGAGGGCAAGCTTTGATTGTATGTATGTATTTACTATATATGCAGGCTATCCCGACGATCAGCAAAGTTCCGTCGCAACCAAAAGAATTGAGTTCGTTATCGTTGACATATTTCTACATGAAGTCATCCTTCTAAACGTCCAAAGTCCGACCGGTCTTGGAGCTCTCCTTCGCCAGCTCGATCAACCGGATCACGTCGCGGGCTTCCGCACCGCTGGCGGGGAGGTCACCCTCGCCAGCGAGAGCCCGAGCGAACTTCCTGAAGTATTCGGTGTAGGTAGGGGGCTCCACCGTGGGAGTGACCTCCTTGACGGGCTTGCCGTTTTGGATGGTCGTCAGGGCGCCTGGAATGAATCAGCATGTGACTTCTGGTAATGAACGGGATACTCGAACGCATGACTTACCGTATCTTTCACTGGGCTCGCGACCGTAGCCGCTGTCTCCGGGCTTCACTCCCTCCTTGAGTTGATCCTCCTGGATATCGAGATGGAACTGCGTTGAAGACAAATGATTAGGTCGTGCGCTCCCACTAACGTGTCGGTTTGCCATCGCTCCGGATATGCTTACCTTCTTGAAGCTACCCTTCTCTCCTCGAACCCAGAATCGCAGCTGCTCCTCCTCGGGGCTGACGACACCCGCCTTGGCCGTGACGAGAAGGCCGGACTTGTAATGCAGCAAGACGGTGAACGAGTCTTCGAATCCCGAGGTGTTGACCTCTCTCTGCGAGCCGATGAAGCCGGTGATTCGGTCCGGCAATCCCAGAAGGTGCACGGCCTGGTCCAGCAGGTGGGTTCCCAAATCATAGATGGCGCTTCCTCCGGGGATGACCTTGTTCTTCCACTTGTGCGCGTCCGACGAAGGCTCCTGCGGGCGATGACGGTCGAAGTGCGTCTCGAACTCCACCAAGCGGCCCAGCGATCCGTTCTTCACCAGCTTCGAGAGGGTGACGAAGTCGGCGTCCCATCGACGGTCTATGATGGAGGTTAGGCGGTGATTTCTAAAGAATTAACTCATTCAGGCAGACGTACTTTGGTAAACCGCCAAAAGTTTGTTGTGCTTCTTGGAGATGGCGACCAGCTCGTCGGCTTCCTGGGAAGTGGGGGTGAACGGCTTCTCGCAAATAACTATCGCACCAAATCATCAGCCAAACTTGACCACACATCAATGCGAATAAAACTCACCGTGCTTTCCATTCTCCAGGGCCAATTTCGCCAGGTCGAAATGCGAGTCGGGGGCAGTCGTGATGATCACCACATCCACGCCGTCATCCTTGACCAGGTCCTCGGTCGTGCGGTAGGACTTGACGCCGGGGTGGTCCTTCTCGGCATCATCCTCGGGCTTGGGGGTACGCTGGACGACAGCGTAGAGCTTAAGCTGGGGAACTTCCTGGACGAAGGGGATGTGGAAAATTTTGGCACTGAAGCCGTACCCCACCACTCCGACATTCCAGGTCTTGGAGGCCATGTTGTATACGGAAATAAAAATAGGAGGGGTCAATTGAATTGAGACAAAAACACAATTGAAGAAAGACACTGGGGGCCTTCTGGACTTATATACAGGGAAAACGTGGGTGGCACGATCTAATGCAGGGCTTTTGTAGAAGAATTGCAGGTGCGGGGGAAGGTCCTGGCGACGGGAACCTTTGGGTCGGGCGGGGCATCAAAGGCCGACTCGGATTTCTCTCTCCTGCCGAGTTGCGATGACGAGATCCCCGGCCGAAGTGGCTAAACGATTCCCCCCACGGGCCACCATTCTCCATTCCGGACTCTCACGTCCTGGACCTTCCTTCACTCTTGGATCCCCACACAACGAGTCACCTCGACCCCATCCTAAATCAATTGTCAGCAAAACGTCTCTCGGACAACACCCGTGGCAGAAACTTACGCGACTCCCTTCCGGCTGTTCCAAGGAACTGGTGTACACCAGATTCGGATTCCCCGTGATCTCGAACAGTGGCGTGGCGTCCTCCCCAATGTAGGACTGGACAGTGCGCTGGGACATGCCCTCGGTGTTGAAACTCCGCGCAGGGCCTGACTTGGCCGCCTCGCGCTTCTGCTCCACCGAGCCGCGAACGTACTCCAGATACGGCGGGTTCCCGGGATAAATGACATTATCGGCAGCCAACACCGACACGCCAGGGACGATGAGACCCAACTGCTCGCACAGCTTCAAGTCCGTCGTATACGCGGGCTTATAATGATCCAAAAACAACAGCTCTACCTGCTTCACCTCCCCAGTAGCATACAACTTATGCAGATTCAGATCACTGCGCCCGACCAGAATCCGCACGAAGTCCCGCAAACCCGCCAGCTCAATCAGCATGTTCGCGACGGCCGCATACTCGGGATTCACCTCCAGACTGTAGTACCGCTTCCCGCCGGCGCGGCGCACGGCATCGCCGAACAGGATGGCCGAGTACCCCACGTAGCCACCCAGCTCGATCATGACCTGGGGCTTGCGCTCTGCGATCAGGTCGGTGACGACGTTGCCTTTGGTTGCGCCGACGTTGACGAAATGATACTGGGTGGCGAACTCGTCGATTAACTCGAGGACTTTCTGCGGGTTTCCTTGGATCTCGTCCCGGTTGGGCTGCTCGTAGATGAAGTGCAGGAGCTTGATTTCGCGGTTATCTTCGCGCTGGGTTATTGTTAGCATTGGGACAGCGTATGGTTAAGATAAAGGATTAAACATACCGACTCGCCAGGGCGGGGATGACTTGGTTGATCTTGGGCCATTTCGTTAGATTTGCTTCACAGGCGGAATAAAGTAGATACTCTGAGTGATAATACACCATTCAACACAGTTCCTCGGTATTTATACCCATTGCAGCCCAGACGACCATAAACTTCGATGTCATCCGGCTCAATCAATCATCATCATAACTCCGAGCGCAAGGTTCTCCACATCTACCAAACCCAAAAAATCATGGCATCATCGGCTCAGAAAATACCGAACCAATCTTATCTGCCTGGCTACTTTCCGCCCTACGGAGTAATGAATGAGCTCATCAGTGCCTGGAGATAGATACCGGATACGGGAACGTAGCATCTCGGGGCTGTTTACCGGATTCGATCCTCGGAGTCCGAGGCTCGGAGGATTCTGGATTGACTCACTGGATAAGCAGGTGGATAGTAAACCGCCATAGTCTTTAGAGTCGGGATTATGTTTCCAGTGGCTCTTTACGGCTGGGTCTAGTCACCTTCGCTCGAAATAGGTACTATCCGCCGGCTACCGTAGTTCACTGACCTCGGAGATAAGATCCTAGGTTCATGGAACCTTCGATCAGGGAACGAACGCCTATACCCCGTAGGACAAGAGCCTTGTAGATCGCAGTCGCACGAGATCTTTCCTAGGTTCCACGGTCTAGAATTGGGTGACGTCTCGGAGATAGAGGGGCATGGAACATCCGACGGGGGGGGTTAAGGTTGTGTCAGTGTGCTCCGTGCTCTGGGCCATGGTCGCATGATTAACTATGGGTACTAGATGATGAATCGACTATATGACTATGTTGGCTGGAGTATTTGGTATGAGAGATCGATTTTCAGGGTAATTTATATTCTGTTTTCTTCCTCGTCTGGGTTCAGATCCCTCGGCGTGGTGGACGAAATGATCGGATTGTAGGCTCATGAGAACTATCCTACTACGCTTATGCATGCTCTCAAGGCTAAAAAGTCTTCGATACAAAAATGTCCGATGCTGCATTGTGGTCGTGTTGATATGAATTAAACCCTGTGTCTCCAGGTCATTCGCTGTCCTTGTGGAAATCAGGGGAATATAATCTATATCAAATAGCTACGTAGTCTTAGCAGAATTAGGCTCCGAGGTGTCAGCGATACTTACCTAGGTAGGCATCAGTCCAGATAGCATGCTATGTAGAGGCCACATCCTCATGCACCAAGGCCCACATTAGCTATATCTCTGCAATAAAATTGCAATGTCATGTAAGTAGGAAGTTTTCGCCACGTTGTAAACAATAACGCGATACATTCCTGCATATAGCATGATGTGTTGTCTTCAACTGAGGTGGAACAATACGTGCCCATACCGAGCGCTCACGGTATGCATGCTGTCTCCCTGGTTCCAATTGCTTCATATCTCGAAAGGACTCCGAACATTAAGAGCCAAGGGTGTTCGGCGGGAAGTCCCTAAATTAATTTAATTTGGCGGGTAGAGGACAAGCCTGCATGTGAAAGTGACAGGGAAAAGCAAAAAAAGACGAAGGCGACTTTCAGCCCAGCCAGCTCAAGGGGTGATGCTGTAATGCATCGCTGACGTGGTCGCCGTGCAGCATTCCGGAGGGGCAGCGAACTCGTCAACAGACAACAACGTGCCACTGCGATTTGAACCCCCTCTTCCTCCTTTCCTCGACCATTTCGCTGCTGCATTTGAACTTGACCCTCTGAATCGGCATCTTCTTGAGAATATTCATGAATGACCGCCGACCTCCCACATAACAGCATGTCCGTCCCTACGGTCCGACGAGCCTTTGGGTCGATTTCCAAGCAGCGATCGCTCTACTCCGTTCGAGACAGACTCCATTTCGGCATCCTCGTGCACCTCTTCAACATCGCCCTGGCGCTGGTGCTCCTCCCGCTGAACAACACCATTCTCTTGGCGGCTTACACTGCGGGGTATCTCTCGTTTGTACTGTCGCGCTCGGACCCGATCCAACGACGCCAGGCGGCCCTGCGCGATGTGCAGTTCTATCCGAAGACGATCCTCGTGACAGGCGTCGATACGCCGCACGGGCTGGCGGTCGCACGAAGCTGCTACCATCAGGGCCATCGCGTGGTCGGAGTGAGCGTCACGGAGACGGCGATCCCGTCGGGGGAGAGCATGTCGAAGGCGCTGGGGGCGTTCTACCGGATTCCGAAAACGAAGTACGTATCGCGACTGCTGGACGTGATCAATCGCGAGAAAGCGGACGTGTGGGTTCCGTGCTCCGAGAAGGCGTCGGTGCTGGACGATGCGATGGCCAAGCAGGTGATTGAGGGGCGGACGGAGTGCAAGTGCATCACGATGGACACGGAGCTGGCGAGCATGTTCGGTCGGCCGGCGACGTTCCGGCAGTATCTGGTCGAGAAGGAGTTGCCGGTGGTCGAGAACCATCAGGTGCAGTCGCGGGACTCGATCCATAAGATTCTACACCGGTCGCCGACCAAGACGTATCGGATTTCGCGACCGGATCCGGTCACGCGAGAGAACAAGATCATCACGCTGCCGAAGCGGACGCTGAGTCTGACGTATTCGGAGGTCAGCGAGATTCAGATCTCGAAGGAGAGTCCGTGGACGCTGCAGCAGCAGAGCCGGCTGGGGGAGTTCCTGGCCGAGATGCTGGTGGTGCATGGCCATGTCAAGGCGATCAAGGTTCGTCCGGCGGACGATCAGTCGACCTGGGGTCGGTCGCGGCTGGACGAGGGGCTCACCATGTCGATCCACAAGCTGATGGAGCGGTTTGCGCTGAAGGGGGGATATCGGATGACGGGTCACATCTGCGTCCGGGTCATGGTGGACGAAGAAGTCGACGCCAACCAGGTGCGCTATGCGCTTCACATCAACGGATGCACGCAAGGCGCAGGGGCTGTCAACGATCTTCTACAAGATGCATCCGAGCAGCTAGTTCGAGGGTATCTTTCCGTGGAGGCTCCGCATCTCAATGGCTTCATGGCGTCAGATTCTGTGGATGCGCTGCGCATCCAGGCGGCCCAATCTATCGTGTCTACGACGCCACGGCCGAAATTCAGCCTGTACCAGAAACTGAAGGAGCACGACGACGAAAACCTCTTCACTGTATTATACCCCGTCGCTCAGCATATCGACACCCTCATCAGCGGGACCGAACGAGCCCTCATGTTCTGGCGAGATTGGCGATTCTCGATCCACGACCCCCTTCCTTGGTGGTGGGACGCCCATGTCTACCAACCGTTGAAGGAGTTGGAATCAATTGTGAGTGGGGCCGAAGTGAAAGAAGCCTGATCGCGTGCCTACGGAGTATACCCATCTTTTCCATCTGCCTGTTCAATCATCATTTCGTTATCATATTAGTTACCCTATTTGTTCGGACGGCAAGATCCGTCAGTATCAGTTTGCATGGCATGACATAAAGGAGCATCGGGTGGCGTCTTGTCGTGCATAATCACATTGCTTATTCCTTCTGCATATTGTTAAAAGCAACGACATCCAACCTGATACTCTTCTCGATGATTCTTGGGCAGCAACAGTAATGGCTGTAATGTATAGGTGTAGATCGGTGGAGCACAGCCGAGAGGCTAAGCCGATGGCGTTCCGTGTTTCCCGGAATAGACTGGTTTCCAGGAGAACGGAGTTAGCATCACTCTGGTTGAAATTAATATCGCTGATGGTAATTTGCAGGAATTACTACGGAGTCATGGCTTTCAGTCTGATGCGGTTAATTTGTTTGTTCTAAGTAGATTAAGGGTAAATAGTTACAATTGGGGAGTATGGAGTCGGTATTCGTATTATGACATCAAGTAAATTCGGTGTTAATTATAATATTCTCGAGTTAATGAACGCCACAATGCATCCTCTTTGACGAATGGCAGAGACTAAATATAGCATGTCAGTGGAAGATGTACTGCGTAGAGTTTGCACCCTCGGCCGCTTGAGAAAACATCGAGCACTGAACCATGGAAAGGCCGTTGCCTTGACCTGGATGACGCAGTTCCAACAATAGGCAGATACGAAAGGCCAGTCTGGAGATCTTGGCATGGCTTTGCAGTTTTGCACAGCCATCAATGCCCTTCCCAATAATAATACGGAGAAATGATAATAATAAATAATAATTATTACCATTATTGCTTACTTGATGCCTGAGTCAGCCCAGCCCTAAGCCATGGAACAGTTACCGTACGGTACAACGGCATATCGACGCTTCCTCTCCTCCTCTCCTCTCTCGGTCTTTTCTATCTTCCTGTCTTCCTGTATTCAACCTCGTGACTCTCCCTTTCTTCGCTTCTATCCTCACAACGTGTCTCGACCTTCGTGCGGCTTCGTCATTGTCTTCCATCTGCGCCGACCCATCGACGCCTACTAGCCTCTTAGCGTCCGCGCGGCATCGATCGGGTTGCCCCGTCGCTGGTTTTCACGGCCTTCGCATAAACAATTCATTCCACCACTTTCTCCGACGAGCGAACACCTCCCACCTTTGGGCTCCTTTTCGACCCGACACTTGACTCGGCTTTTCAACACCACCTTCTGATTGAATTAGAGTCGACAAATCATCTGACGATCGACTTAATACCTTCTTACTGGCCTTCCTGTTCTTGAGGAAGCGCACTCCGTCGGGCACCACCTTTCGCCTCTCCTACGACGAAAATGAAACTCTCACGACCTTCTTTTAATCCCGGGCGGACAAAAAACATCATCCATGGAGTGCAAGCACTGCTGATTTTCCTGGCATGGGCTTTGACCATCGCCGTCTTCACGAAGGGTGATGGGATCGATGGGCGATCGGCCTGGTATTGGGCTCTGGTACGTTCGACTGATTCATTCTTTTGGTCGATTTAATCCGAAGTCTAATGTTTTATCTCTAGTGCTGGTTCAGTATCCCCGGTTTGATTTACCTCGTCGCAGTGCCCATGTGGCCGCGCGCACGACGCTTCGGAAATGTTTACGCCTTCGCGACCGTCGACTGCTTCTACGCTCTTCTTTGGTTCACCGCATGGATCTGTGTCGCCAGCTACGTTGCGCAGGGCAAGTCGGAGGGCAAGTCGGATGACGATAAGGATAAGGACAAGGATAGTGACAAGAAGAGTGGGTGTGATAACTGGAAGTACGGCAGTGCCAGCAAATGCAAGGTCAGCACCGCCACGGTGATCATGGGAGTTGTTATCTTGTAAGTTCTGACTGTCTGTCATTTATGACTATTTTACTAATCTTTGGAAAGCCTTCTTTTCGTCGCAACTGCCTTCATGTCCTTCCGCAATGTCATGCACTTCCGTCGAACGGGCACTCTTCCCGATGCTGTCTCCGACCCTACCTTCGCCGCGCAAAGCAAGGCCGCCTTCTCTTCCAACCCGCACGAATTTGACGAGGAGGAGGATGACTTCCGGTCGCGCGCCGGCATGGGCTCCTCGGTCCGCGGCGACCGCGACGAGGACTACGCTCTCCTGCAACAGAACGAGGCGGATGAGTTCGGAAATCCGAACCAACGCTCGGCGATGCACGGCGGCTACGACCCGACCGCATCCAACACCGGCAGCGTGCCACAGAGCGACAACCCGTACACCAGCTATGGCGGTGCATATGGACAGCACTACGGCCAGCCGTCGGAATTCGGATCCAACGTTAGCGGCAACTACGGACAGCCCTCCGAATTCGGCACCAATATGAGCAGCAATTACGGACGTTAAGGCTGCCAGCTGGCGTGTTTCTTTTCACCATTTACCATTACCCTTACCCATACCTTGTTGTATCTCGAAATGAAACCATGGAGCGGTGTTTGTGGGCGCACTTTTTCACGCTGTACTACCCTTGTTTCTCTAGCTTGTTTTTGATACATGAAAGCTCTGCATGTGATTGTTTTGTTGGGACTGTTTGGTCCTGGGCGGAAGTGAAGTGCTGGCCATGTACGCCTTTTGTTGTTTACTTGATGATTTTGACGACAACCTTTCTTTCAGTGTTAAGTTGAGATCTTAGTTCGGATGATGCATAGGAATTTGACTTATATAGCGTTACCTTGATGTAGTCTAGTTGTAATCAGGCTTTGTTTACTCCTATGCTTTTCAGTTATATCCTGTAGTTCCAGAATAACAACTCAATTGTCTTTATTGCTGAATTTCACAATTTGTTACATATTATTATGTGCATGCACATTTCGGACGGGAACGGAGAAGCGGTTTCACCGGCGGTCAGGGACGGCAGAAATGGGACTTGGAGGACTCCGAATCTCCGTACCTTAGCACTTTCCTGTATCCAACAATATAGCGAATGCCATACAATTTCATTGATTCATTCTTATTCTCCTTGTCTTTCATCATCCGGTTTCCTTACGGAAGTGCCGTGTTGTGTGATAACATATGGTTAGATTGAATAACACTACTTTACTGTTCAGATTTTGAAGACTGATTACTCAACATTATGCATAAATACATTATGGGTAGTTATGCTACAGCTTAGTCATGGCATTCGTCATTGTGAAGAACTGCTGCCTGGGAATAATGAGCTTCTGCCGTGGAAATAAAGGGATCAACACTATTTCCAAACTGCCTAATTAGTCGCAAAAGATGCATGTGCAGTCTGAAAAATGGACAGGCATTGTAGGGGAATCCAGTACTAGTACTAGTATTACATGTCACATATCGCAGGCTACTTCTAATATTGGTGTTTATAAGCACAAGAGTGACTATGTTCAAGTCGGCTCCTGGTAATAGACTGCAGACACAATTGACAGATATAAACATTCGAAACAGATCCTCCATATGACATTTGCGACGAGAACATGAATGACTAGTCACAATCAACTGGAAGCTGCGACCTGGGTTGATGTCTCAGTTTGAAGAGGCTTGAGCTTGTAGTTCAAATGGATGGTGCAAAACCTGGGGGCAGGTGAACCACTACTAGGACCACCTCTTAGGTCTTTCTTCTTGCCGTATGCAACCTGCTCCACGAAGTCAAGCAAATCTGACCCTGTCTCTGTGGTACTTCCAAAAGAGGGACCCCGACTGGTCTGATCTTTGGGAAGTTTCTTGGATGGTTCACATTCCAGCGCACGCAAATTCACTGGGAGATCACTGACAACTAGCACAAGATCGACATTCAGAGCCCCATTCTCCCTGGTATATTTGGGCCATTCTAGTGTGATCTTAGAATTTGGGTTCGCTTCTGACCACCCCAAGGTTTTGATATATCCTTTGGGGATGTCATGCCCTTTTGCTTTATCCATGGCGAGAAGCTGGACTGAATCGAGATAGACCTCGAGAATGTTAACATGCAAGAGCTGTTCCCCGGAATTGTCCAGGTCGAAGTATTGGAGCTGTAACTCGTTGAAGGTGGGGGGCCTGTCCGAATCAGGATATATCTCAGTTCCAAAAACATTGTCTCGTGCAAATGGAATACGTATGCGATTTTCAACTTTTCCCATTGTCACGTCAAAATGGCTGAATGGCGGCTTATTCCGAGGCAGACCCCCTAGAGCGAGAACATGCTGGCCTCGTGCTATGCGCTCAAGAGTTTCAGCGCACTCCTGATAGACATCGATGTTTCTGACGTTGACGTTGTCCCAGCGGCGAATGAACTGACCCTTGAGTGTCACCTCCATCCCCCATTCTCCCGCTGAGCTGTGATGTACCTGTTTGAGAAGGGCCATGTAACCTAGGTTTTGGTCTGTGGTGGGTGAGAAGGTTTTTGAGTCTTGCAGTTTCGGTTTCATGAGATTACAAAAATCGTCGTCCCCTTGTATTAGGACGAAATATCTTGTCAGGGCCCTCTTCGTGAGTATGGCATGTGCACCGATTTCTGGAAGTTTGCTATCTCCGGTTTTCCAGGTGGTCTTGCAATGAGCGCGTGTGGTGCTGATGCTCTCTATGGTGGCTTCGGCAAACGAGTTATCAGAAGTGACTTTTGAGTCCTCAATCGGTATGACTTCGTAGACGTCACCCTCAATTAGACCATGAAGAGTACCTCCTTCCAGGACTATTTTGCCTCCTTTACCTCCCTCCTGTGAAGCTGGAACGCTGTCTAAAAGGCCCTCTTTCTCTAGGCTGAAGCAGAATCGGCGCACTGGTCCATTGATCTGAGGATGTTGCGACGATTTCAATCGCTGAACCCTTTGGGCAATATTGTCCATGATGCGCCTCCACGATACTAAGCTCGACGGTTTAAGCTCCGTGAGTGCATCTACCAGGGCCTTGGTGAGACATCCTTGGTAGTTTTCCCCATCGTATTTATCTTCCACAGCGCGCTCGGTTGCAGCTGCGGCGGCCACACACACGACGTTTTCGTTTTCCTCAAAGGGCACATGCTCGTCAATCTCGCCCCTTTCAAGAAGGGCCTGAATTGCCTGCTCTAGGAAGGGATATTCCTGAGGCTGTATAGACTTCGAATGTCCACCGCTTCGAAACATTCGTGCGGAGTAGCAATTGTCGAGTATGAGCGTCACATTTGGGGTTTTGTTCGTCAACTTTCTCTGCAGAGCAGATAGTTGAGCCCCAGTAATAATTTTGGGATCTTTGAAGGATACATCATCGAAGTCAGTGGGGATGATATATTGGATACGCCTGAGACTCCTAGATTGGTGGGTTGAAGCCACCTGCGAGATGGCTCCATGGCCGCTGTAAAACACAACGACCGCGTCGTTTTTCATCGTAGCGTTTGTAAGTTCGCTGAAAGCCTGGAGGATTCCATCCCGCGTAGCATTTCCTTGATTTTCACTCTCCCCGTAACACTCCCGGATATCCGTGAAGTTGAATTTGGTTCTGAGCAGGCATCCCATTGCATTTATGTCATTACGAACACCTTTCAACTCCCCCGTGGCGCTGCCTATGAGAAGTGCACGCTTCTGGGGGTCAGGCTGCTTCGGTTCGATGGTCATTTTCTATCGTAAACGCACGAATATTGAAGTTGAAAGCTGGTTTTTAATGGTATTGATTGCTGTATGGGGAGGTTGTAAAAAGAGTTTGATCGGAGAGCCTGTTGGGTTTTCAAGCTGGACTACCCAAAGTCATCACCTCTTATAACAACGAATGCCAGATGTTCGCATAAAGAAAAGGACAGAAAGGGTCTGTAAATCTTCAGGACACGTCACCCAAGACCATCATCTCATACCCTATACGTTAAACCCCTCTGTCATAGTGAAATTCTACAGCCCCCCATTAATCACCTATCGTGTTTTTTCTCGTATGCGCTATTTCTTTTCTTGTCCCCTGTCTTGTCTGCGAGGGTTTTCTTGGGCCTTAAGCGGGTAATATCAAATGCACCATGCATCATGTGGCTTGGCCAGCATCAACATTGTACTCCGTGACGACACCTGTGTGCGCGTCAGCTTTTCAGGGCAATCCGACAGGACGTTTAGTCAATAACTGAGAAAGAATGGTCTCGACGAGAATGACAACGCATTGCGCATGTGAACGAGACGGCATACATGTCCCGTCTTACCCAATTCATTTCGTCGTGCATACTCTAGCATCGATTATTCTTCTCAGGCCCTCATAGCCTCATCGGATACGCCTTCCTTTTCTCTCCCAGAGCGGGGGCACGAGAAGTGAGGGGAACGATGAGGATGGTGATTGAGTCGCACCTGTACCGGGCCACGTCAGTACGGCATGAATTCGCATGAAGTTCCATCCGAGGGCCTTGCTGGATGGGTGGAAACTAGTTACCCAGTCAGCTCGATATGTGAACTGCAGATCTGAAGAGGAGCCTGGTAGCTTCCCATTCCCGACACCTCCAGCCCCTCCGATTGGTGATGGTCGACGGCCAGATGGTTTATTGTCTCTGCATATCGCGGCTGCATGTTGCTATATCCCCGACGAAGGAGGGTAGCGAGTCGCGAGAGATGCGGGGGAGAAATCGTGGACTGCCTTGGATTCTTCGTCCGTAAACTTCCTATTCCCGTAATCAGATTAGAGTACGAAGTCTTGAGAGGTATAAAGATGAGGTGAGATCTCTGACACAGAGGGCTTCTCTAGAGTGCAATTGTCATTCAATTTTCATACTACAATTACTCGCAAAGCTCAGATCGCCGTTTCATCCCCCGATCAGTTGATCATGACTGCCACGCCAAACACCTCCAAGCCTGCGGGCTCTATCCACAATGCCTGGGCCCACCATCTCGCTAAGAGCCAAATCACCCAGGAGTGGAACAACCTCATTGAATCCAACGATGCCATCAAAGAAAATGACAAGATAAGGTACCAGCTCAGCCAGGATGACGATAGACTTCCTGAGCTGCCCCCTCAGCAACCTTCCGCGAATTATAGGAACATGGGTAAGCCCCCCAATGTGGCCATCATTGGTGCTGGTGCTGCTGGTCTTTTCACTGCCATGATGTTTGAGTATCTGGAGCAGGAGACCAGATTGAATGTTACCTACGAGATCCTCGAGGCAGCAAAGGAAGAAAGATTTGGAGGTCGATTATACACTCACAAGTTTAAGGGGCCAAATAATCAACCCGGAAAGCTCTTTGATTATTTTGATGTAGGGGCCATGAGATTCCCTGAAAATGATGTCATGGAGCGGCAAGTCTTTATTCCTGATCAATATCTGCCTTGGCTAACTCGTTCTTCAATGGTTTAGGGTGTTCAAACTCTTCAAGCATCTGAATATGCGGAAGGAAGACACGTGTAACGACGAAACCCAGATAGGAAGCCTCGTTCCGTATTACATCGCAAACGAAAAAGACATGAACGATGTCAAATCGAAAGGCGAGCCGTGGCATTTCAACGGCAAAACGCAATGGGGGGATCTCACCAGCATCCAAACCGACCAGGGCGAAGACCCATTTGGTTTAGGAGAAGGCTCAAACATACCCAGCAAGTGCGATTTGACATCCAAGCATAAGCTCGCGAGACACAACCAGAGACTAAGCATTTCCCCTGCTCCTTGGGGAGCGCATCTAGTATTATGAAATTCCATCCCGATCAGATCTTGAACGAGCGCATCTTCCACGACAGGGAGACACTGAAGGACCCCAAGACACAGCCCCGAAATGCGTGGGATACGTTGATGAGGTGGGATGCCATGAGCACGCGAAGTTATCTTGCCACGTAGGTCTTCATATCTAGTTTTCTGCCCCTCCCCGCGGCCATTGAGAAGAAGAAGAAAAAAAAAAAAGGTTAGCATCTCACCAAATTAAAATAGGGCACCCGACCTACTTGAAGTGAGAAGAAAAAACGCAACCCGACCTGACCGGCCCGAAATACCCATCGAACCCTATGACCATGACACCATTGAATGGATGGAAACCTTCAACGGGTAAGTTGAATCGCTTCAAGATAGGACCAATTGCTGATTTCTGTAACAGGGGTACAAATTGGTATGATCAAGCGCATAGCGAAACCGTGCTGGAGTCGCTCGATTTTGCCTGGGACGATAAGACCAAATGGTATTGTATAGCTGGTGGCGGTCAACAACTCGCTGAAAAGATGCGTCAGAGCTTGCCAGAGGAAAATAGACCCAAATTTCAGCATCGTGTCAAAGAGATACAGAGAAAAGGTAAAATGAATATGCATCTTGTCTACGAATCCCCCGACCTCGAATCCCCCGGCCTCAAAACTCAAGCGAAGGAATTCTCGGGCGTCTTCAGCTCCGTGCCATTGGGGTGTCTGCAACGCATGGACCTCAAGGATGCAGGCCTCAACTACGGTACCAAACAGGCTATTCGCTCCCTTGGATATGGGTCATCGGCCAAAGTAGGAGTGAAGTTTAAATCGCCATGGTGGATCCACAAATTGGGAGATTACAGCATCAAAAAAGGGGGTTTGGGCCACTCAGACCTGATGATCCGAACCTGCGTGTACCCGTCATACAATCTCCATCTCACGGAAAATGATGAAGCCGTCTTACTATGCTCCTACACATGGCAGCAAGATGCACAGCGCATGGCTGCTCTGATTTCGGGCGCCGGAAACCATGAAAATGAGCCAGACCTGAAAGAGCAAATCATCCGTGATCTGGCTCGACTCCATGCAAATGACCTGTTCGGTGAGCCAAAACTCCGCGATATTATCAGGGAGGAGTACTTGGAGCACTTTGCGTTTGACTGGGGAAGTGATCCGAACGCAATGGGCTCCTTTGCATTTTTCCGACCCCAGCAGTTCTCGCAGATGTGGCCCAAGATCATCCAACCATCCGGCGACCTCGTCATCATTGGAGAAGCGGCTAGTCCACACCATGCGTGGGTGATAGGATCCCTCGAGAGTGCAGTCTACGGCGTGTACACCTGGCTAGTGAGCAACCAGGGGCAAATGGGCAGCACCGAAAACAATGATTGTGCCCGTGCGGCCATTAATCTCATCAGACATGGCCCTGCAGGGGATAGATCGTCCAACCCATTTGTTGAGATTCCGCCCTACATGACTCCAGATCTTGTGCAATGGCAATCGATGCTTTCCCAGCGAGGCGAAGATTGGAAGCTACCTCGGGATGTTATGGAAGCTGTCGTTGACCACAATGAGAATGTTCAGGCATAAAAAAAAGAAGATGTTTGTCGGATCTAGGGCCAGGACCTCCAATTTCGGCTCAAATTCATCCATCCTTTGTTTGTCCGATGAGATTCGTGTATGAGCTGGGGACGGGGGGCTTCGCCAATTACCACACTATACTGAGAAGGATGCTTAACGCGCTTCTTAGGATCGGCTTCCCATTAACATATTGATAGTAATCATAGAGCCTTCCCCGGGATCTATTTTCTTCCTGATTAGAATCCTAGTATGAAAATCTCGCCCTTTCCCGTGGTGTGTAATTCAATTTGGGCATAAGCCAGCTGCAGCCATGTGATACATTTGGCTGCATTCCTAACTTGCAGATGATACGTAGCAATTGCCCGACCTGGGCTGTGGGCTCTTTGTGAGTGTTTAATATATCCTGCTCCGCGGGTGTCATCCCTGCAATATCCCGCTGCACTAGCTTGCTGAATTAGATCGAGCGCTGCAGGTATGAATGCATGCTGAGAGCCCCTCTTCATGAATATGAACCAGACCTCCAAAGTGTGGGATGAGGTAATGGATTGAGATGACTGATTGTGATGACCCTCCCTACTGAGTGCTGACCATCTGCCATATTCATGTATTTCCTATGGCTTCAAAAATATCAATTTCGGTTATTGCGGCAAACTAAAAGCTAGATGGGGAAAACACAGTAAAAAAGGAGAAAGAAAAAGAAAAAGAACCCGAATGGAAAGAAGTCAAAGACGCAATGAACACAAGTAAAACGCTGGTTGCGCGGGGGCGATGTGGTCAAACCAAGTCCGAGTGTCTCGCTCGGCAACAAGAGACTCAGAGGAATCTCCACAATCATTGAATTTCCTTGTGCATTCTTCTTTATGGGGGGATGGTGAATATTTCCTTGTCATCTACCCACAAGGAGATCTCGTCTTGGTGATTTCCGATTCTGCTAGAGTTCGGGTCCTTACCAACAATTATTTTGTCGGCATCCCATAGCCTGGGGAGCTCAAGGGACTTCCAGGAAAAGGACATATCCTTGGTGACAAGGGAGCGGAAGATGTCGAGACGAGGATTGCCATTGATAAAGTCTAAGGAGGGGGCATCAACGGGGGGAATAACATCGAAAGTCGCTGCCGAAGATGCCCGCGGCTCTATCGGTTTTGCATCACCTGTTGGAGGATAGATCTGTTGAACATCGAACTCAGGACCAAAACCCACTATAGTAAGATACAACAGGTTTTCGGAATGGTTTTTGAAAGTGTATCTGAACTTTTGGGTTGAGTTGTAAGGGCCGTTCTGTGCATCAACTCCCACAGGCTCTAGCGTGACTTGAAATGGTGGGTTAGGAAAGGCCAGAATTTTTTGAAGTGTGAGCAAGTCCCTGAATCGAGCTATCTGTGCAAGAGCAAAGGCAGAACTCGCCGCATGTTGCCTGGTATCAGCTCCACTTATCTTCAAGGGTTTGACTGGTCCCTCATAAGATATCCAGGATCGATGTCCCCAAAGTTTTATGCTTCCATCACGCATTCCCACCCGGAAGCCCTCGATTTCTTCAGGACCAGGATCATCTTTGGTGACCTCCACAGCGCTGCCGATTCTCGCCTGAAGAGTTTCCTTCAGCTGCTCCCGGAACTCTGTACTCAGCATTGGATCCACGGATACTCGCAGAGTTTGAATCCCCAAAGTCCAATTGAGTGGAATGGCGGTGCACTTATGTCTATCCTGGGATCTTATCACATTGCCTTCCATCGTGACGTTCGTTTGGAAATTTTCCACTGCTCCCTGTACACTCAAAATAGACGTAGTGGTAGGAGAGGATAGCAAGAACTTGGATCCGGCGCGAACTCCATGGGCCGCTCCAACAGGAAGTTTTGCCAAATTCCCTTCAATTTTCACTGGTAAAACCGATGGCGAGAATACTGGCTCCCAACCTTCAAAGAAGAGCATCCTATCACGTCCATGCATAGTGGGCGTTTGGTGTCCACCCTCCTGCTCAAATTTGGTCTTTAGATGGTCTTGTATCATGCGATAGGTTACTTTGACGGAAGTATTGAGGAAATCTAAAAGGTACGAAGTAAAGGCGCCCGTCTTGTCTTCGATATGCCTTCCGTCCTCTGTTCTGATGGGTAGCTCTTCCGCAAGTTGGTGAACGGTACAAGCGGTCATTAGCGTGAAAGCGCGCGGATTTAGATTCCACGATGTGTCTAGCTGCAGTCCACGGTTGTTGCCATTGTTGTCTTGGTTTACCTCCATTCTAACAGCTTCCTCATCGGCAGGCAGATTAGGAATGACGGAGGGCCAATCAGTCGGGGTTCGATACGAGCCTCCCCCAACTCTCCAGGCACCTCCCGAGAAACAACTGTCAAGAGAAACCACGACCCGGATGTTCTTGTCGTTAAAGCTACGCAGCCAATTATTGAGCTGCCATCCTCGTACCGCCGGCTGTCCCCGACAAAAGTCCAGTGTAATCAGCGACGGGTCGCTCATGTTGCCTTGAGGCGATCGCTGCGATGGGGTGAGTTTGTACCCATGTCCCGAGAAATGAAAATAGAAGAAGTCGTTCGCTTCCGCCCTCGCAAGAATTTCCTTGAACTTTTGTTTGATATTCTGGAAGGTTGGCCAACTTTCTCTTGCTTCACTTGGGACCGCATCAGCGTTGTCGACAGTGAAACCAGGAGGCCGAGAGGAGGTGAGAGTGGTAATGTCATCGGTCGCGAAGTTGAATTTATTTTGAATGAACGAAGTTATGGCTCTAACGTCGTGGACAGCGCCATAAAGTGTATCAAGAGACAAAGGCTTGTTTTCCACAATTCTTGCATCACCTTTGAAGTATAGGTCGACACCAACCAATAGAGCGTATTGCTTGGGCATGATCTGTACTTGGTGATGTGAGGTGATATGGCTAGAAAACAAAAAGAAAGAAAGACAGAAATAAAGAAAGAGGTCTTGATGGTTCGACTGTTGTGAGAATCTCACATATCATGCCTTGCCATAGTCTCATATATGGGTTGACTGTTGCTCTTATAGGGATGAATCCTCATAGCTCGCGAGTGAAAAAGTATAATTGCCATTACCGAGGGCCGAATTTCTGGGCTGACTACTATGAGCTCTTTCGTTTTTACTTTCATTTTTTTAGGCTGCCCCCTTTACTTTCCTCGCGCGCACAGCGCAGGTATTTCGCCTACCACCTAGATGCGTTCGTGTAGTTCTGCCTCCAGCCGAGTTATAGCGCAAAACGCATTTGGACCCTTTTGTATAGGCTTGAGGCAAATCATCAATGCAAGTAAAATGGCAGGACCTTTCTAGGTACACGGTACACTACACTTCCCGAATTCATGGAATGACAGGCATCTAGCCGTCGAGGGAATTCACATAGGTAGATTTCATATCAAATATCAAGATGAGGTAAGTGAATCTGGTAACATGAGGCTACTTCGCTTTAATCGGAGCAGTCTTCCTCTTCGTCATGAGTTCCCTCTTCAGGCTCAGAGGGGTAAAAGCGCACATTGAGCTCCATGCTATTTTCATTTTCTGTCCAGTCTCCACGAAAGATCTGCTTGGTCTGCTTGGCCTGGTCCCGCGTGCTTGCTAATTTCGACCCCAGCAACTTGGGCGAGAAATACATGCCACTCATGAACGTAACCACCCCCGCTTCGTCCTCATGTAACTCCGTGCAGCAGTTGCCGGTGTTGTTGGACCACGCACTCTTTGGCGTCAGCGATAATACCCCTTGCACATCTGCCCCTAGACCAATCTCGACCTTGGACGTCCGAGCGGTCATGACAGCGATAGCACAGCGCCGGGTGGAGTAGGTCTTGGTCACGATCCAGATGCCATGTCTTTTAAAGATGTGGCCGTGTTGACGCACCATCTCTGTCGTATTTTGAGCCATCCATAGCTTGGCTCGGATTTCTCGTTCAAGCTGGTGCTTCCAGACGGGGCTCTCCGTGACCAAGACGGCACTTTCGGTGCTCTCGCTTTCAAATGACATAGACACCGAGGGCTCGACAGGTGCAACCCCTATGCTGAACGGCGCAAATCAGCAGCTATCAAAGTTGAGACTTGCGTATGCAAAATGATCAAAAAAAAAAAAAAAAAAAAAAAAAAAAAAAAAAAAAAAAAAAAAAAAAAAAAAAACCGCACAACTTACGACGCCCCCAATTTCCCGCCAACCGTAGAAGAGCGAATAGAGCCGGCCTGCTTAGGCCCCCAGATTGTATTCTCCGCGGGCTTCTGCCCAAGTTTCGTTTCAGGGGGGGCTAGGTTGTTTTCGGCAATGTCGCCGACATCTGTCAGATTGACAAGGGTCTGCCAGTCCCCCTCACTGTCGAAATATCCACACGCGCCCGGATATATGTTCCCCGTGGTGGCTTTCTTGTACAGTGCCCAGCCGTACGGATGGTCCTGCATGAGCCGCGCGTACACTCTGTCGAGACGCGATTTATCCGACATGACGATTGGCTGTTTTCTGCGTTTCTAGGTGGGTTTTTATCGTCCAACGTGGTAGAGAACTTGCCCTAGGTAATGAAGGGGTAGGGTGCAAGATTTTCATTGCTTCGGGGCTCATGCGGAATATATGCACAAGCAATATTGAATGAGGGGGTGATAGTTTCCATGCAAGTCTGTCTGTTTGTGGCTGCATTGCATGGGCGGGCCATGCTGTCGGCCCGGGAATGCGGGCGTGCATCTGGTCAGGCTTCTGCTCAGGTCTCGGGCAGCCATGCGTGTGAAGTAAGTTATTGGCGGAGAAGAGAGGCCATGGCGAGCGGCAATTGGACTCCAACCACACCACCCTGTCGGTAGGTTGTGTGGATAACGCCGCTAGGAGGGTGCGCAGTGTACATGTACTTAGTAGACTGTGGGGCTATCCTCTCAGGTAAGATCTGCGCGGTGCCTACGATTGTAGGAAATATCATCCTGCAAGTATGATTGGTCTCTCAAGGTGTTTAGTTGTTGACATTGATAATAGGTGCGGATCGATCCGTCCCGTTAACTTCACCACTAACGCACTGACCCACGTACTACTACTCTATAGCGCATAAGTTGTCAGCTCCTCCATCGGTCCCCAGCTAGGAGAGTCTGCTGACCCAGTGAGTCCGCGAAGTAATGAGAGCTGGCAATGAACTTTCTCAACAGGCCAGTGCAGGCCTCCTGCGGACGCACGAACAGAAACTGAGTTGGCCAAGCGGAATCACAAGGTGTAGGTTCTGTATCATAGTGCGGGAGCGCTGGCGGCTACGCTTTGGATGCAACGGGCGTGTACATACTCTGCAGTGCATGTACTTGGTTGTGACATGCACTGTTGTGGCCCTAAAGCCTCAAAAGCAATGCTCACGTAGCGTAGGTAGTCTCGAGGGTTGGTTGAGTCACCTTTCACTGTGTTAACCTGGACGTCAATCGTTGATACCTTGAATCTATGTGAATAGTGCTTTGTCTGCTCCTTTGTTTTAACTCGTAGTCAAATTTGTCAGCTATAGCCTTTTCCCCCTGGGGTCTAGAATCCGTTCTGTGTCTTCATTTGCACGCCAAAGAGATGGAAGATCTTACCCAGGCCAATCATCAGAAATCTCCAGCTGCAAAAGCCAACGATCCCGTTAAAAATGACATAGCGATAAAATTGGGACAAGAGTTTGTCGAGACTGGAGACGTTGCGAAATTGAACGAATGCATTCGACTGTTATGGGATCTCGTCAACTTTGCAGATAGAAATAGTCCTCACTACGCTTTGTATCTCAGCAACCTCGGTCATTCCCTCGGTTTAAGGTACTCCCAGACGCTGGAGATATTGGACCTTCGAGAGACTATTCGCGTGCTAGAGCAGGCCCTCAATGCCACTGCCTCAACGGACCAGACATGGCCGGTCTGTCTGAACAATCTAGGCATGCGCCTAGGAGAGCTGTATTGCCATACCCGCGATCCGAAAGATCTCGACAAAGCTATTAGCATGTCGTGGAAGGCAATCAAGGCTACGCAGCAGGGTGATCAAGATCGTCCGCGGCGACTTCACAACCTAGCACTGAACCTGAACAAACGATATGAAAACCGGCGAGATCCAGTGGATTTAGATAACGCCATTAGGGCGCTAGAAGAGGCGGTAGCTATTACACCTCCTGGATGCAAAGGCCGCGCGCAATGGTTCACCAACCTTGGTGACGCTACATATGACCGATACCTTCTAAGCAATAAAATCGAGCATCTTGAAGAATCTCTCTCCTTTTCGCGCAGAGGTCTCCAAGCGGACGATCCGGGTGACCCGACACGGGCAGTGTGGTTGAATAACCTTTCGCTGCGTCTGCAGGCGGTATACACGCGCACTGGAAGAATCGAGGATATTGAAGAGGCAATTGCAATAAGCAAAGAGTGTGTTGCAGCTACTTCAGAAGATGACCCCGAGCGACTCAACCGATCGTGCAACCTAGCCAACCGCCTATGTGGCAGATTCGACCGCACGGGTGCGGTACAGGACCTCGACCAAGCTATCGCAATATTCAGGGACGCAGTCTCTCATACTCTACCGAGCGATGAGGAAAGAGCGGGCCGGTTGAACAATCTTGGACTTTCTCTTTCCAACAGGCACCTGCGTACGCGCAATGAATTAGACTTGGAGGAGGCGATTGGCACGCTGCGCCAGGCTGTCGCAGCCTCCAAACCGAAAAGTCCCGCACGAGCAACGAGTTGCAGCAATCTTGGTAACGATTTGGCTTTCAAATACTCTTATACAAACAACCAGGATGATCTTAGAGAAGCTCTCAACGTTTCATTGGAGGCTGTGGAAGATACGCCAATCGGTCATTATGCAAGGGCTGAGCGTTTGGCCAACGTTGCCCTGCGCCTGAGAGACAAGTACCGGTGCACTAACGATGTTGCACATCTTGAAAGAGCCATCCATGTGGGCCATGAGGCCATTCAGGCTGCACCTCAAGACCACCCTATCCAAGCGGCCTGCTTGGATACGGTTGGGAGAATGTACCTTGAACGATACAGAGCAGGTCAGAAGGCTGCAGACTGGACAGATGCCATATGCCATTTCATCGAGGCTCTGAAAGTTTCCAACACTTCGACCAGTGTACGAGTAAAAACGGCCCGCCAGATCCTAGCCCTCCCAGGCATCACAAATGACCCAGAAGCATGTGAAATAGCCAGATCTTGCATAGAGTTAATCCCGCGACTTACTCCACGGTTACTGCAAACTGCAGATAAAGAGTACCTCCTCTCCGATGCTGTGGGAATGTCATCCGATGCAGCGGCTATCGCCCTGCGTTCTGGTAAAGGTGCTGAAGCCGCCATTCGACATCTGGAAACAGGTCGTGGCATAATTGCGGCTGCGCTTTTCGAGCAAGTCGACGTTAAGAATCTCATGGGAGCGCATCCTGAGCTGGCAGAATCATTTGTTAAGCGGCGTGACCTACTGGAACATTCAACCATGCAAGCAGCCGGCTCATCTATCCGTCCAGAAGCTGAGCTGATGGGGCCTCTGGATATAGCAGAGAATGAACGTCGTACTCGCGCCAAAGCTGAAGAGGATATCGCCTCGCTCTTGGAAACAATACGCTCAAAAGACGGGTTTCACGACTTCTTGCTCCCTGTGTCGCGGGACGAGATGCTCGCGGCCGCCAAGCATGGTAGAATTGTGTTTCTCAACGTGAGCATGCACGGTTTGGATGCCTTGATTGTTGACCACCATGATATTTGGTCAATCCCACTGCCGCATGTTTCCCAGGGGGAGATTAGTGACCACGCTGTGGAACTTGCTTCCCGCGGAACTCTGAAATGGCTCTGGGACAAAATTGTGTCTCCCATACTCTGGAACATAGGCTTGCGGGAGGCGATGGAATTCCCCCCACCGGAATCAGAAAGGCGACAGGTTTGGTGGATCCCTACGGGCGAGTTGACCAAATTTCCACTTCATGCAGCAGGAAAGCTTTGGGAACGAAATCACGAGAATGCACTCGACAGAGTTGTTTCGTCATATGCTGCATCCATAAAAGCCATCGTTCATGGACTTCGACGGAGTCATGCGCAGTCATCTCCGGATGCCCAGTCTCCAATGAACCTTGTAGCCGTGGCGATGAGCGAGACTCCAAGGAATGACAATCTCCGGTATGCTCGCCCGGAAATTGACGAAGTACGCTCTGTCCTGAGAGACACGTCAATCCAGCTCGTGGAGCCTTCTCCATATAAGCAGAACATCTTGACCGCTTTGGGTACAAGTACGATCTTTCATTTCGCCGGCCACGCGGGCGCCCATCCGGTCCACCCACTTCAGAGTACACTACTATTGAAGGACTGGCAAGAGGACCCCCTCACAGTCGGAAGTCTCCTCGAAGCCGATCTTGGCTCGAGAATGCCATTTCTTGCATACCTTTCTGCCTGCGGCACAGGTCAAATGCGAAACAGAGGGTCCCTGGACGAGAGCATTCATCTAGCCAATGCTAGCCAATTGGCTGGATTTCGGCATGTCATCGGCACTCTTTGGGGTGTCAAAGATTCGTTGTGCGTGGACATGGCTAAGCTGACATATGAATTTCTACGCGATCGAGGGATACACGACACGTCGATAAGCTTGGGCCTGCATCGTGCTATTAGCGAACTGCGAGATAAATGGGTTAGGGGCAGTAGCCGTGCGATTGATAACTACCATGGGGAACAACAGAAGTCTACGCCGAAAAGAATGCCCAGAATTGTTTACGAAGATTCAGTCGATGACGAGCAATTGTTTTGGGTTCCATATGTTCACTTTGGTATTTAGTGAGAGGCTGTATGTACGTACAAGGTCCGTCGGCGTGGCAATAGAGCAGACAATACGCTACTCATTGGGAAAGCGGTGTAGAAGACTTTTTGACACCCTCTCGCCGCCAAGTAAGCCTGGCAGTTAATCACCGCCTTCTGATTGGAGAACTTCTTATGGACAGCTTGCGGACTGATCTTCGGTCATCTTTGTCTGCATCACATCCTCTGGCAATTCATCGCGGCGCTCATTTTTGCTCAGATTGCTCATCAATTCATTTTGCTGAGTACACAGTAAGCACGCCAACTCGCTATCTCATATCCACCCTTCTAACCAAACCCAGACACTCAATCACCACCAGACCGCCAAAGCAAGAAACCCCAAGCACACCAGCAGCCGTCACCATGGCCAGCAGCGTCGACCTCTTCCACCACTACCCCCTGCACCTGGACCCCAGCTCGAAGGCGATCTCACTCGAGCCCTCGACCTCGCAATCGGCGCACCAGAGCAGCACCATCAACGAAGAACTGCAAGAGCTGAACGCACTGCACCGCGCCCTCGTCAGCCTCGACCCTCCCAACATCCCTCCTCCCCCCCTCCCCATCAACCCCAAGCGCAGCGCCCAGATCACCAAGCTCCGCGACTCCGCCAACGCCGGCTACCGCAAGAACAACCACGCCGAGGCCATCCGCCTGTACACGTATGCCATCGACATGGCGCTGGGCCGACCGGGCTGGGAGCCCGTGGCGCTGACGCGCGACGAGCTGGCGGGTCTGTACTCGAACCGGGCGCAGGCGCACATGGCGCAGCAGAACTGGCCCGAGGGCATGCTGGACGCCAAGACGGCTGTCGAGAGCAAGCCCATGGCGAATGTCAAGGCGTGGTGGCGCGCGGCGAAGTGTCTGGCGGAGATGACGAGGTGGGAGGAGGCGCAGACGGTTATCGAAAAGGGTCTGGATATTGAGGGCCGTGAGAGCGAGGGCGGTAAGGAGCTGCTTTCGCTCTTGGAGGAGGTCGAGCAGGGTTTGAAGCGCGCGGCTTCGTCGTCCTAGGGGGGATGGGATGAGAAGGGATCTGTACATTGCATTGCGTTGCATTTGCGTGTTGCTGCACAGTGATGGATAAGATGGTATTTTTTATGGGCTTATGTTATGATTGGTTTTGCTTTTGTGTTGCGGGTTTCTTGCAGTCATGTGGGCTTTGTTTTGATTGTTCTTCTGGGCGTTTGATACCGGATACCTGATTCAATTGATGATTGCATTGTGTCCAGGGCTTATACTAGGTTGTCAGTTTTCAATAAATTCTCCGGTATATGCTCTAATGACTTTGATCGACTCGTGTAGACTGGGTTGGGGTGCACTCTTTGATGCTGAACTATATCCGTAGTTCAATCTACTGATTGTATACTTGAAGCAATGGAGACATGGTACATACGAACCTTCTAGTCTATGTTATAGATCAACTACCTCATATCTCTGCAGACGAATGCCGTCGCCACTCAACTTCCCTGACTGCGTACTTAAAGATAACTTCTCGGGAACACAACAACATGTAAAGAGAGCATAATAGTACTTCGTACGTCGTACATAGTCACAGTCTAACAGTGACCCATCCACACCCTACCTACCCAAACCAGCCTAGCAGTAGCCACCCACCAAAAAAGAAAGCATCAGACCCACAAAAAAACCCTACGTAACAAGAACCACATTCACCACCACCACCTATCCCCTCGCCCCAATAACGCTCCCCCCTCCTGCCCTCCCGCCAAAAACAAAAAGATAACCAACCCAACCCCTTTCTTCTAAGAAGAAGATACAGTGATTCCGATGCGGGGAATCGAACCCCGAGCTGCCGTGTGAGAGACGGCGATGTTAACCATTACACCACATCGGATGTGTGAAGAAAGAAGAAGGTTGATGATGTTTCCGATGCGGGGAATCGAACCCCGAGCTGCCGTGTGAGAGACGGCGATGTTAACCATTACACCACATCGGATTGTTGTTGAAGAAGGGCGAGGATTTGTGCTAGATGAACCTGGGTGGGTTTGCGGGTTAGCCGAGGGGGGAGTTCGGCGTCGGGATGTGGGGCCCTTCTGTAAGTGCCGAGGGTGTGATTGGGTCCCGGGGGGAGGGGACTAGGGTTGGGATTCCGGATTCCGGATTCCGGATTGATGGGAGTGGGAGGGGGAGGGTTTATGAGGTTGTGTTGGAGGGTAGGGGTTTGGTTTTTATTGTTGCTTGTGTTGTTTGGGATGGTGCGGTGGTTTGGGTGGAATTGATGATAGGTTTTTGGAGATGTGCTTGGTTTTGTTGTTAGTAGTTGATGGGAAATATATATCTTCTAGATGCCTTTCGCAGATACTGTTAACACCAGGATGAATAATTCAAGGAATGTCATGTCTTTGTCACTTTCAAACCATCATGTTTAGAAAAGCTTTACACCAAGACGCCGTATATATAGTTGACCAGAATGGAGATTAGTTGCAATTACCAGAATTTTGCTATAGATCGGGACAATAGCGACAAACCCGTCCTGTCAATGACTTCCCATTAACCACTTTCCAAAACAATATAGCATGATGATGAAACTGAAAACTCCAAATAAGAATTCCGCCTCTGCACATGCCATCACACTCATCACAAGAGGTCTCATGACCTTTCTCACGCAAAAAGGCTGAAGATGGGAGCTGAGCATTTTATGTGAAGAGTAGCTCTCTTCTTGTTTGATTTCAATTAGTCAAGGTAATGCGTAGTCTACTTAAAGTTGATAGATAGTGGAGGTTTTGTAAAAAGGCTAATGTATGTTTCTCAAGAAGCCTGTGATAGGCTTTAAGTCGATCCTCAAAGCCGAGGTCTTCCAAAGCATTGGAAGAAAATTAAAACAGCCATAGTCCGAAATTACAAAAGCCTGGGCGTAAGCACACTACATATCACTGATTGCAAAGGGAGGATCAGGAAAAAATGGATTAATATGAACATAGCTGTAGAAATTAAATTAGTGAGTTTAAAATAAGTCTATATGCGGCGAGAGATAGAAAGATTTACTAGCCTGAAGACAGAAAGCAGTACCTCTCATCCTGCTAAGACTCCTCTTCTTCTCTGCAAATAAGGGTGAGGACGAGCAAGAAGGCGGGAATGGGCCGCCCCCTGACGCTGTACGTAAGCCTTGCCAATGCAGATGGTAACTAATATCTCAGCAGTTCTTTATGAAAAAGCAAAAAAGCCGCAAGGCTGGAATACGAACCCCATAAATGAACCAATGAGAAAATCAGATTTGGCGCCCTGCTCAAGGCTAGTACATGCATGCCAGGTGTTCACCAAAAACACGTACGGGGTAGAGCGCAACATAAGCAGGCTGACTGCCAGCCCTGCTTCTTTCAATCTGTTCAACTCTGGACGAGAAAAAAGAACAGCCCAAAGAGCATTCCACAATGTTTTTGAGATTGTGTGCTAAACTCAACTTTACCAAGGCAGATCGAGATGGCCGTAAGAAGCATGATGATCAGCCCCCGCCTCCAAGCACCACAGACCAAGATCGCGTCGGAACAAAGGCCAATAATGGCGTGCCTTCCAGGCGAGATGCAGAAACCGATAACACCCCAAGGGAAAACCTCTGCGAAGTGACCGGAGAGAGATTGGACGAGAACCCCCCGCCTTCGAGCACCACAGTCCAAGATCACACCGGAAAAAAGGCCGATACTGGTGTGCCTTCCACGCGGGATGTTAAGCCTGACCTCCCAAGAGAAAACCTCTGGGAAGTGGCCGGAGAAAGATTAGACGAGGAACACCGAAATGCTCTGGGTCTGGAAAGTGTCTTTCCTGTCACGAATGCCATCGAACAAGTGATCAAGACAACTGAGGAGAAATACCGCGAGTATAAAGAAGGTGGGCTCAAGATTCGCAAGCGCGATGGTGGACACATCAACGTTCGGGATTCCGCCAAAAATATCATTCTGTATACACTGCAGGCGCAGGATATTGTCAAGAAATTGGTGGCTTTTGATCCAACCGGACATGGTGAGTACCTACTTGACCTTCCAAGATTCTAGTGCAGAGCGGTCTGGGCCCCAGAAACAAAAGGTGCTTGTACATCTGCTAAAGCCAAGCTCAGCATCAAGTGCATGGTCAATCGTTTCGATTGGTCTGACGTTGATCAAAAATGACATTGAACGTCGGGACGACATTTTCGAGACAGCCGAGTATCTAGCCCGCATTCTTTCCTACTATGCGATCGTTGACAATCATTATCGAGAAAGAAAAGTGGAAAGCGATCGAGGGTTAGAAGACGCTCTGATTGAGGTCTACTTGGCAATTCTTCAGTACACGGCAGAGGTGAAAAAGGCAGAAAAAGAAAGCCATGCTGGTATGTGATCCAAACTTGGGTTTCTCCATGGTAATTAATAGAAGCTGATACACTGAAAGCCCGCGTGGTAAAAAGTATCACGGCCCTTGTTCATCAGCCGCTCAAAGACCTCAAGGAAACCGTTGAACAGAAAGGGCAGGCTGTTCAAAATTGGACAAATCTCACGGCAGCTCTAGGTATCACCACCTTCCGTTTGTCAAGAATCAACAAAAAAGAGGCCCTGCTTATTTTTCCAGATCACAGAAAGCAAGCTGAAACAATGCTGGACGGAATCGACGAGGCGGTTGAAAGGCTGAAGATTATTCAATCCCACACTAGAAGTAAGAGATTTACTAGGTATTAGCGATCGAGAAGGGCATACACTGATGTCAGCAGGCTTGCAAGACCGAGAGATTCTCGACTGGTTGTCCACGGCATCCTATTCAGACCCCCAAATTCACACCCAAGACCGCCGGGCATCAAACACGGGGAATTGGTTTCTTGACTTACCCGAGTATAAAGAGTGGAAGGCCACGCCTGGACAGATCTGTTGGCTTTATGGAGCAGGTACGTTTTTTTAATCCTCGCAAAATCAAAACTAATCTTGTGCAAAAGTCGGATGCGGAAAATCGGTTCTCTGTTCTACAGTTATCCAAGATATTGGGGAATTCTGCAGGCCTGATTCATCAAGGCATTTTGCCTACTGGTACTTTCAGTTCAGCAATGACGAAACACAGAAGGTGTACAACATGATCAGGTCCATCCTGCGACAATTCATGCCACGAGAACTTCCTGCATCTATGGTCAAACTCTGGGAAGAACATCGCCACCGAGGCAGTGAGCCACAACAGCAAAAACTTGTAGAGATCCTCGACATTGTGTTGGAAACTTCTCAGGGCGAGTTCTTCCTTATCCTTGATGCTCTGGACGAATGCCCCACGACAGGACACAACGAACGAAGGTCGCTCTTGCCATTCCTCGAAGAACTGTTGGGAAAACATCGATCCAAAATGCATATTCTCGCCACAAGTCGACCAGAGCCTGATATACGCTCAAGGCTGGAACAATATCAAAGCGTGGATCTGGAGACTGGGTTGGGGGGAGATGTGGAAACTTTTGTCCGGGCTCAAGTTGCCGGTGGCAGGTTGTGTCAATGGGACGAGTCGATTAAAAAGCTGACCCTAGAGAAATTGCTTGATATTCCGGAACGGTATGTTGCATTGACCTACAAATATGTACAGCATAATTGACACGTGTGATTGAGCAGGCGCTTTCGCTGGGCTGATTTGCAGATAGAGCGGCTTGAAGAGTCCACGGATGAGGATGAATTTCATGAAGCTCTTGATTCCATTCCAGCCACACTCGAGGATACCTACAAAGACACCCTTGAAAGACTGTCACCAAAGCATCGAAAGGCTGCTCGCACAATATTGATGTGGCTCAGTTTCTCTGCCGTCCCATTGGATTTGAAAACTGTCGCGGCTGCTGTGTCTTTTCGTTTTCCAGGGGACGTTGTGACAACCTGCACTACTTCCCTAGTCACTGTGAGCATCTCAGATAATACTGTGAGACTGGCTCATTTCTCCGTGAAAGAGTTCCTAGTTTGCAACGAACCCGAGGTCCAATGGTATCAATTCTCGGCCCTCTCCGGCCATAATGCCATAGCAAATAAAACTATCGACTGCCTGCTTGAAACTACCGAGATCCTAACAAAGACCACTGCGGTGCAAAAGCCACTACAGATATACGCTGCGGGATATTGGGACCGTCATCTGGCAGAATTAGGAGATCTACACGCCAGTCGTACCGGTCTCCAGGAAAAGATTGACCTCCTGTTCACCGAGCGCGATATTTATTTCAACTGGGTGCGCTTGGTTGATTTTGATTGTGATTACAAATGGCATCAATCATTTGAGGAGTTGGAACCGCCTCTGGTTATTGCATCAGGAAAAGGATTGAAACAAACAGTCGAAATGTTGCTTGCAAAAGGCGTCAATTCTATGGGCCCACACCCTGGACTTTATGATGCGTTGCTTGCGGCTGCGGGACAAGGTTACCTAGAGGTCCTAGAGCTTTTGCTGAATAAAGTGGATGAGATACCTCGAAGAGTGATTGGAAACATGCTGTGGCATATTAAAACCGCCGAAGCCGACAAAGAGAAGTTGGCGATCATTTTAGACCTGCTTTCGGACAAGGGTGCTTTGCATGATCAATCAAGAGCATCGCATAGGATCATTGATGAGAGACTAGTTGAACGTGCAGCTGGGAATATGTGGTCGGGCCAGATACTAATGGGCCTGTTCCTAGATCGACAAGAGAAAATGGGCGTCAAGATAACTGAGGGGTTGTTAAATGCTGTGTTGCACAATTACTACTACAGCGAAGAAATCATGCACATGCTTTTAAAAAGTTGTGACGTGGATATAAAGCTTACCCCATCATTGATGCAGGTGCTTGGTTCCTCATACAATACTAATGCCATGACTGCCGTTCTGAGTAGGCGGATCAATGATGTCACGTTGGATGAAGAATGTGTTGGGGCTTTTGCAAGCGGAAACAAAGAAGCGATGGAGCTGCTTCTGCGGGAGCGTGGCGAGGAAATCCAAGTCACCCAGAAAGTCCTGATTACAGCCGCCAGTTCTGCACGCGATCCACAGACAGTGAAGTTACTTCTAAACAGGCGAGAGCCTGGAATAGATATCGGTAAAGAGGTCCTCTTAGCCGCTGCAGGAAACTGGACAATAGGCAGTGAAATCATGGAGATGTTGCTTGATGAGCGTGGGCAAGACACCGTCATTAATGATGAGATCATCCAGGAAATTGCAGACAACCGAGATCAAGGCTTGGGCATGATGAAGACGCTCCTGCGCAGACAGCAAGCGGGCTTTGTGGTCACCGAGCAAACATTATGCAACGCTGCTCGATGTCACAGTCGGGAAATGCTGGAGCTCCTGGTGAATAATTCCGGTGGTTCTGATCTTCCCATCACAGGGAAAATCTTATGCTCTGTAGCTGGAAATATTGCTCGTGGGAACGCTTTGATGGAGTATTTATTTGATCTTCGAGGTCACAGTCTTCCCGTCTCAGAGGATGTATTGGTATCAGTTGCAGATGTGAAATTTCTCGCAGCGAAAAGTCCCGCAGCGGACGAGGTGCTCACATTCATCTTGGAGAGATGGCCGGAAATTCCGGCAACTGATCGACTGTTGGAAGCGGCATGTGGTCACCCTAAGGCCATGGGTCTGCTATTGGATCGACAGCAGGACTGTCTTCCAATTGAAAGAATGATCTACAAAATAGCAACTGACTGGAGGGGAGGAAGGGTGCTGGAGATGCTTCTCGATCGGCAGCTTGTGCAAGTGGATGAGTGGCTGGTAGAAACAGTCGCTGGTAACGACGGTGCTCTGGAGGTCATTTACAGCAGGAATCCGGATTTTCCAGTGACACCGAAGGCAGTCGTCAACGCGGCAAGAAAAAGCGATGCAATGAGGATCCTGCTCAACAGACAGAAGAATCAAGTCTTGATCACAGAAGAAGTGATCAAAGCTTCATTGTTGGGATCGCACCCAGAATCAGTCATAAGCTTACTTCTGGCTCGCCTGGGACCAGAGGCAGTGCCGATTACAGAGGATATCTTGATATACGCTATTCGGAATAACCAATTCAGTTCTGTGGAGTTGTTTTTGGAACAACGCCGTGGCCTCAATCTTAGTACAGTCTGGGAAACAATATGGCAGGACCCTGAAATCCCCCCATCTTCTCTGGCTAAGGCAGGAGGGGCTCTTGTTCAACATGCCAGTTTCGATGTCTCGGATAAAATGCTGGAGAGGATCCCATCTGAGTTTTTGGACTCTTTTATCCGCGCATGTATGCAGCACCGGATATCGTTACCCACCACAGAGGCAGCATTCGAGCTGATTGTGGAAAGGTCAAGTTTGAATACAGTCGATATATTCTTGGAGGATCACCCTGGCTTTCCTATCACTGAGAGACACATTGAGGCTGCTGGGAGGAACCAAACAAAATACATAGACAACGATGCTTTGGGGTCGCTTCTGTCTGCCAAGTCAAGTTCATCTTGAGGCACAGGTTTGCAATATGTAGGCTCATTTCAAGTTTGAAAATCATTCAATGTCTTTGGTAGTGCATGCCAGGCCTTCTCCCATCTTAGTTCTTAGCGTCAGTCAACTACATGTTCATCCATACTATTCTTCTTCACCTCCGTTTCCCTGACAAGTTTAACTTATCAACTTTCACAAAAAGCTACCATGGACCTTACCGGGGTTTATTTTACAACTGTGAGAGCCAGATGAATTATTTATCTGCTTTGCCATCCCATTCGGCTGCTCGCTTTGATGGTGTCATGAATCGTGTCGTTTGTTTTGCGGAGATCTTTCAGCTGACCCTCGAGAGTTGCGATTTTTGCCTTCAACTTGTCAGCGTAGACGTAATCAGGGTTCTTGTCTTCCTTGCTCACACGTAGACTACTGAGGGAGACAGTAACAAAGTATGTTCCATGCTTCTTCACACTAGCTGCCTTGAAGCGAAATAATAACCAAATCACGCTGGCTGTGGCACCCGGCGCACCCCTGAGGAGGCCATTTCTATTCAACTAACAGTAGAAACAAAAGAAAAGCCCCGAAGGGCACCAACCTGCCTCTCTGGCAGCAGGCCGGTAACAATAGGATAAAAAAGAAAAATGACCTGGTTATCTAAGTCTTATCAGGCCAAATAAAGGTACTACCTGCCAATCACAGGGCGGGGACGTCATCTTCTTCGGAGTCGGGAATCTCAAAGGGATTCCCAGGCGAGCAGGAGTACGGACAGCAGCGCCGGAAACACGAGCAGAAGCTGCCAGGGTCGGGGGCGAGGGCACGCAGCACAGGAGGAAGCACCAGCGGAAGAACTGTTGTCACGACTCAGTACCGACCAAAGAGCTCCCAGAAGGCAGCGTATATCAGAGCGCAAAGCTTGTTGAGTGATGCTGAAAAGCATAATAGGCGTGGTTCCGTCGGGAGCTCTGGTGTTCGCAGGGGCGTGGAAATCATATACCCTCATCTTTTTTCTCCGCGGTCTCGGTGGCCCAATTGACAAGCACACCTTGAAATAGTAGATCATTCGATGTGATGGCGTTTTTGAATCTTTCGATGCACTACCGATCGTCTGGCAGCGTGCTTGATCGATAGTAAACCGTATGATGGGTTCTGAATTCCATGCGTGCAACTAGGGGAGCGCTTATTCCGAGCCATGAATGTCCGCGGTCATTCGGCCTAAGTCCTTAGGGTAGGACGAGCTACAGCATTGTTTGACAGCTGCAACCCTGAGCTATGGGAGGACGGTGGATGCGAGAAGAAATAGCACTGATTACCGAAGGGCCAAAGCCTCGAAATATGTTGCATGTTGTCCTAGTGTGACAGGCAATGTGCACAAAAGACTGCACTGAGCGTCAATGGACCTAGAGCTTCATGGTCTGTCGAAAAGCGCTAGGTCAAAGAGAACGTAGAGTGGAACTGCAGAGTCCTTATTTCCCGACTATTCTTCACCAGATCATTTTGAGCCTCCAGAAAATGGTTTGCATGCTATAAACCCGCAGTAGACTTCCTGTGAAGCATCGTCTTGAGTCCACGTGCAAGCGAGGCAGTCAAGATGAGCCTCGTTTGGCTGATGTGATTGAACCTGACGACTGCAATGTATTTAGTTCCATGTCTCTCAATGATGACTGGGTCACCTCGGGGCAACCTGTTGCGTTTCAGGTCGCCGTTCTGTGAAATCATTATTCCACCACGCATACTTGAGATTGGCCCTTCCGCCCTTTTGCCCTCTGAGGATGTTCTCTTGTACCCCCGCCAGACCAATGTTTTGCTTGTCGGAGGTGTTATGCTTTAGCCAGCTTTCCTATAGCTTAACCTAAAAAGGCTTGAAAAGAATTCAATAACAAAGGCTACTCTCGAAATCTTCAATTATAGCGAAGCCTAAAGAGGATAAATGCCGTCACGCAGAGTTGACATTATTCATATAATATTCTGCCGGCTGGCCTGGTGCTTGAACACCCCGACGGTGATGATGCGGATGGACACCGCGTCCCAGCGTTTCGACGACTTGTCCGGCGTCTCGGACAGCCATGAGAATGCAGACAATTCCAACAGCGGGAAATGGCAGAAATTCCCGCAGTACAGGCCCATAGGATATCGTCAGGTACCGAAGCTTCAGGCGCCCCTCGTGTCCTAGTCCGCGGGCCGCTTTTAGAACCGTGAATCAGATAAAACAGAATAACTGCTATTTGGCGAGCGTCTATTGCAAGGAACATGAGATAACGCGGAATAGGCAGTTGTTGCATTTCTGCCCTATACCTCTCGTCCTGTTACTAGTTGACGCGATAACAATTTTCAGGCGTTGTATTGGGGACAGGGCCTAACTTGTGAGGCTTCAGATCCAGTTGAGTTTTGGCTGGGAAGCTTTCATGAGACATTTCCGGAACCGAAAGGTGCATTTAAAGGATGCAAAGAGCTCAACTGGCATCTATAGATGCTGAGAAAATATGCGTCTGTTGAATGTATCTGTTCTGTGTCTTGTTTAAGCAAAGACGAGTATCATGGGACTCTGCTTGATCAAATCTCTAGATACATGCAAGACTGATGTTGTCCCAGTAGTACATCAGCAGGGCCGAGGCTCGCAGAGGCCAGCATCGCCTGGTGTCCCATGTTCGTAGTGATCTGGCTGATTGCTTTGGTCGACAGGTTATAATCCTGCCACCGGTTGATGGTATGCTCCATAAAGACTATCCACGCGCGCTTGTCGAACCGCTAACCCAGTCCATGGAGCCTGCTCACTACCTACAGCATTAGGGAGAGGTTCGTGGGTGTCTCTATCAGTACGGCCCTGGAGTACATGCAAATCCAGCTCCAGGCTACCTACCTAATAGGTGGTGAGGAGGATGTGGCATGTCAAGTGGGGATCGTTAAATTGGTTCGCAATCAGGTGCCATTTCTTCATGGCGATGTTGCTGAGGATGACCTCATAATCAAGGCCCAGGGCATTGACTAACATCTCAGCCACCCACAGTGTGGACGGCCACTGGAAAAAGAGAATGAATTGGGATCGTTTTTCATTGATGGCAAATACGCCTTCTTCTCAGAGAACTAAAAGCTTTCGTAGTGATGCAAATGTTGCAATTGCCCATCCCATTTGGTTGACTTATGAGGGAAGCCATTAAAATCGGGTTGATTTAGAGGCCTCTCCTCCTTTTCGGTTTTATTCAGAATTCGAAAGACCTTTTCACATCTGGGCTAACTTGGAAGATAGACGACCGTGTAGCATCTTCCTGCTTTTCTATTGTGTTCTCCAATGGGAAGGAACTGCTCTTTAATCTTCCGAGCAACATCCTTTTCATCAAAGGCATCTGATTCGTGTCTCAAGCTGGAACTAAATGACCTATCTCGGGTCAGGAGATCGACATTCTTTCTCGAACTGTGTAACAGAATCCTCATAGTCAGGTTTCCCCCCTTCAGTCAGCCGGGTGACACTATCGCCAGCAGTGCTTTCCCAGCTCGTTTTGTAGAACATAATGAAGAAGCCACGCAAATCCAGGACGCGGTTCACAATCCGCGTGACCGTGTTGACCCTGACGCTGGGGGCACTGAGTAGCGCAACAGACTGGTCGACCTTGGTTGATATGGTCTTGATCGCGTGTCCCTCGTCCGCGCAGGCCCCAGTAGGTGTGGGATCTGATCGAAAGATTGACTTAATCCTGGCATATCTATGCCTAGGATGGCGCTGAGATCAGGGCAACACCGCGAACATAAGATATCCAGATCGAGGTTTCCAATGCGTTTTCAAATCGAACGGGGCAGTCTTCTTTCGGTATAAGAGAAGCTGAATTACCACATACTCCTCGTCATCCTCGCTGTCAGGGATTTTAAGAGCCACTATCCGAATATTGATACCCTCCGAAGGCTTGTCAAGAAGTAGGCCGTCGATTATTTCAAGCTGGCCGCTGATGGACCCTTGGCCAACTACTTAGTCTATGTTTTGAGCTATGAGCGTAGCCCTTCTCTCGTATGTTTCCAGTTCAGTTGCCTCTGGATAATCGGCTGTGGTGTCTCTCAACTGCCGTTCGAGTTCTAGCATAGCCTGAGAAGCTTGGTGCACTGTACCAGTATGATCCGTATACCCGTTAATGTAGACGGGATGTGGACTCAGGGTATGTAGTTGTGTATCGAGCTCCATAGTCTCTCGTGCGTACTTTTCTCCGCCTTGTGTGTCCTTCGCGGTCTTTGGTTTTTGAGTAGTTTCAGATTCTAGAGTATTGTTGGCCTGAGTTGTTTGTCTCAAATCGCCTGACGAAGCGTTCATTGATTGATGATAGGGTACGCGGTGGGGGGCTTGTACCATGGGTATTTACAGGGGAGGAATCTTGGAGGAAGTGCTGGGCGCGTTCTCGTTGTCGTCATAAATCATAAAAGGTCTCGGAGGAAGAACCGGGCATGTCGGTGCCGGAGAGAGCCGGGGTGATAGGAGCGCCAGGCGCAAACTCTATATGCGCGCACAACAATGCGACACTTGCGTGGTATCGAGCTCTGATAGTCTTGACATTATGTCCTTCGTCGCAGATTATTCTTTGAAATTTTGAACCCATGGAGCTCACGAATAAGTTGGTAGAAAGGCTCTTGTAATTGGTTTTTTGATCGGATCTGATGTCCTGGTTCTGGCTTTGGTCGAAATTCCTTGGCCAGCGCATAAAGTTGCTTGATCATGCTGTGAATGAAAGCCCCCTGGTCCTCTCCATCGGTGACGGTGTTCAATTCCTCTGTGAGGGCTTGAAGAAATGCGGCGTAGGAAGCCCTGATCCCCATAGTCCTGATGTGACTGAATCTACCAAGAAGGACACACAAAAGATGACAGCCCAGCTGGTTGACTTCATGAAGTCCACACCAGCTTACCAGCGTCTTCTTCTTTTATAGCTTTGCCCGGTACCGTGGTGCTGAGGATAATAATTTATACAATTGTGATGTAATTTGCGTTCAGCCTGGCTAACTTGGTGATAAGTTCTTTGATATTATCAATGATGTTTCCGTAATGTTTCTGACTGCCGTGGAAGAGGATAACTATGAATTCGTTGCTGAAGAATGTTTGGATCTCGCGCAGCCATGTCAAAAGAAGTATTATAGGGCATAGTATTAGCGTGGGTCGGTGGTACTCCTCTTTTGGGGCTTTTATTGTCGTAACAGATATTAGCATGAGGGCCTGTATGGTTTTTCCGAGGCTATAACTGTGTGCCAGAATGCTATTTTTCACTGGTGACAATTCCTGGGCGACCATCCATTGGACACCGACAATCTGCCATGGTTGCAGCGTCAGATCTTTGAGCTCGGCGTTGGGTCCCCAGGTGTTCAGGCCAATACCCAGTGCTGTGCTTGCTTCGGCTATATCGAGTGTAAATGCTGGCAGAGAGCTCTGTTCGCGAAGCTCATGAGAGGCGTTCCGTTGATTTGCTTCTGTTTCTTTGTCTTTTTTACTTAGGTCGGGAGAGTCGTCCGGTCGGGTTCCTGATTTTTTTTTTGTACGGTTCACGCAGGCGGGCGGCTGTTTCTGCTTCGCTGGTTGCCGCAAGCCGCGAGAGCAGACAGGTGTTGTTCGCGGTGTTGTCCCTTGAGGAGCTAATGGAACCGATACAGGCTTCAGCAAATCCGATGAACAGAAACGAGGCCCCGCTTAGAAATGTCCCATCTGTGATGGAATGAAAATAGGCATGGGCGCCGTTGGCTGGAAGCAAGTTATTGCCGAGTTTGCTTTGAATAATCCAAGTTCCAAACCCTGTGCATGCTTGGTGACTCTGTTTGGTTAGATAAGACGATTCTTTCAAAGATGAAAAGCCTAGAAAAGCTGCTGAATGCTGTCTCATAAAGTCGATAATTTTTCGTCTAGCATACTAGATGTAGGCTGGTCCAAGGATTTGTTTCGCCCTGTCGGCAGCATTCAAATCTGAAAGTCTCAGACTTGCATGTAGTGTAAATGTATACACTTCTCGCTTGCACAAGAAATAAAGTATAACAAGGAAGCTGAATATTCATCAGCACCCAAGACGTAGCTATGAAGAATTAGATCACTCACCGTGATGGGCTATCCAACGACCAGGAGTACCAGCCAGAAAACCAAGAAAGAGCTCTCAATCTGTCAAGACTTTTTCATAGCAAATAATTGTGATCTGCCACAGAGAAATAAAACAGGAATATAAAGGCTATGTACCTGTTAGCAACGTCTACCAGTGGCCATCGGGTCCAAGCAACTCACCACAGAAGCCCGTCTTGTGGCATGAAGCCAGGATTTTGAAGGAGAGCGTGGAATATATGATAGAAGAAGGGAATGATAAAAGGGCACTGAAAGGTCCATACAAGAAGGGGAATCGAGGGGCAGATCAAGGGGTAAAGAACATCTGGAAAGTGATATGAAGGGGATCAAATAAGAGAAAATGCATGGAATCAAAGTAAAGGATATTTGAATGAAGAGAGATGGAATATAAAGTAAAAAGGGGGAAGATGAGAGGCAGTTGAAAACCAGAAAGATAAGCCCATCGACTTTGGAGTAGAGACTTAAAAAACACGACTGTTTCCTGATGAGAGGTGTAGGAGGAAAGAAGAGGAAAAAGATGAGCCGGAGATGGAGGCGGTATTTATACCTGAGGCAAGGCTTCAACGCTAACCCTGTTTGCTGATGGAATCGCTGCCACAATCACTATCCATAGTGAAAACCGGCTTTAGCGGATTTTAGTGACAAAGGCCTATATTCACAGATTGGGGGTCTATTCACGGCAAACAAGGCAGAGCATAGATCTAGGCCACTGCTGGAGATGAGCAGCAAACAGGCAAGGTGTAAGAAGAAGTACGTTCAAAACAGGCGTTTGGACGCCCACTAAGCAATCAAAAAATTTGTCGGTAAATGCTGGCATACAGCTAATCCAAGGAAATTCAAATGAAATATATACAAGAAAGCTAGGGCCCAAACCACAACCATAGAATTAAAACCGAAAGAGAAACCTAAACCAGTACACTAGACCCATCATTCTTCTTGCATGCACAAGCCGCACCACCAGATGCAATCTGGGACGGAGTTCTCGCAAAGCTAGGAGGAACATCCAAAGCCGGGTTCCGAGTGAAGAAGTTCCTCGGGCGAAGAAGCAACGTCATCGGTTCCGCAGGCATGATGGGGAAATCCTCGGGAGACGGGAAATGCGTAAGACCGAAGGTATGCCATAGGACGACGTCGGTGTTGTCAATGGAGCTGTTGGGACCGGCTGCTTCGATCCAGGCTGGAATACCTTGCGACGGCTCACCCGAGGTCTGCGGGACATGGCGACCAGCAGGGTGGATCTGGTCGTCGGAATCTGTGGAAGGGGTTAGGGAGGGCTTATTCACTAGGCAGGAAGGAAGGGAGCTTACATTTGGTGACATGGACAGCATGGCGGGCGAAACCGGCCCGTTTCCAGACCAAGCTGTTTTCCTTGGGAAGCAAGGGAGGTACCTCACGGCTGACCAGCTTGTAACAGACAGGCTTCTTGCTGTAGGGGTTCAGTTTGCTGGTATTGGCCATTTCCCAAGTGCGGCTGGTGTTGCCGTCATAGTCAGACATGGCTTCCAGCGGCGTGTTGAACTTGGTCTTTTTGGCATAGAAGGCATTGCCGTACTTGTTTTCGGCGCTTCCAACCTCTGCAGAGGCACGAGCGGCATCGACCTGGAAGACAGTATTATTGGGCCCGTCGATATTAGGATCGACTCGTAGACAGAACAGATGCTGGTGGTTGTGGGCGTTGACACCAGGGTAGACCTCGGTACCCCAGCCGTGGGTGTCCTCGCCGGGGTTCATGGCGTAGGTGTTGAGAATACCAGTCAGCTTGACATCCAGCTGGACTGTTCCATCCTGGTGGAAGATCCAGTACACGCAGTACTCGTAATTGGCGGCGGTGAAAATCTGCGAGATGATCAATTTTCTGGCGCGAGTGACAACCATGGATTCGTCACGGAAATCGGTGTGCTTGTACAAGATGCCGTTATCCTCTTCGTGAATGCAGATGGCATTCTTCACGATCGTGCTAGCGCCTGCGCGGTTGACGAATGCGGCATCCATGTAGTGAATCGCGCCCTTGCAGTCACAGCCGAGGGACAAGCTGTTGGTCATGTAACCACCGCCATACTCGCCCAGGTCGAACGCATGCTTTCGCTGATGCGGATGCTCAGGGTTTCCATAAGGAACCACCATCTCAGCCAGAGACAGGCGATAAAAGACAGGTCGAACATTTCCCTTGTCGTTGAACGTAATATTGTTGAGCACAATACCTTCACGGTAGTTGAAACCCACATGGATGTTCCAGTTTTGCCAGTCAATCTCCCGCCCCTTGACCGTAAAAGAAACACCCTCCGGCTGAGTGATATAGATGGGCTTCAGGTCTGTCCGGAAACCCCCTTCTGCTTCGATCGCAGCAGGGTGGTAGTTGCTGGGAGCGGCTTTGCTGAGAGGCCTGCGCACAGGCGGCACATCGATATGAATAATCTCCTTCGTTTCTGCATTGTAGATGGGGCAGAAATCCAAAGGATAAGTATACTGGGAGTCGTCGATATGAGGGCGGTAGTACATAAGAGCCTGCTGCAATCGAACATCCGTACCAAAGCGCTCATCGTATCCGATTGTCCAAGCTGAAACACCTCATTAGCATCAACCCACATCATCTCAAACATCCAAGAAGACGCAAAACTCACGATCACAGTACACCTTATGCATATCCTCCTTCGGAATCCCAAGAATCCCACACTGCTCAATGACCTTCGGATCCTTGCGCACGATATGCTCCACCTCCTGCAAATCCTCCATGGTGATCAGAGGCTGCACACCGGGGGTATGCTTCCACTGCACAACCTTCTTCTCATCCAGATTGACAACCCCATCGTACACCTTGCCACCCGGGGCAATTGCGACGATATCAGCCGCTCGCGCAGGACGAGGAGCCTTCACCGGATCCGCCAACCAAGCTATCATCTCCGCCTTGCGCGGCTCGTACAACGTCACCGCATTGAAGTTCACCTTGCCATGTGCCTCGCGGATCAGGGAAACAGCCGTATCGATCTCCGCCGTCGACAAGGGATCCAACGGATGAGGCGGAGGCGCGGTGGCGCTGACCTGGAAGGTCAATTGCTGGAGACGGTCGAGGACCATGATGACGATGCCGATGTAATGTCGATGTCAAAATTGCGACTTGCAGAAACAAAACAATCAAATGCAATCCACTTCGGTATTCGCAGGACTTCAGGGTGATGGTGGTGGTATAGAGTTTATAAGACCGTCAGATCGGCAGATTAAGTTAACTCGCCGAGCACAGAAAGTAACCGTGACACAGAGGCGCGAGGAAGTTGTCAGTAACGTCACACAGACAGATGCCGGCACCAGGCGCCTTTTAAGCTCTCGCATCGTAGCTGGCAGCGCAAGGAGCTTCGTGCTTGTCCAACCGATAGCGATAGCAAGTCCGATATGCCGATAAGAGGCCCGGATTCGTTCGCCAGATCGGGACTAGCGGGATTAGGCGTGTCGCTGGCGCTCAATGCGGCAGTCGGAACCTCCCTTGCCGGGGATCGCTCGCATTGGACTGCCTTGTTCAAGGGATCTTGTGTAGCAGGCAGATGCCGGGGTTGGATTGGTAAAGGGTTCGGGTAATACAATTGTGAATATCAATGCCATTGGACTTGACCTGCCGGTGCCGGAAAGTAAGACGACTTCGAGGTACGGGCAGCGAGAATGCCTGAGGCAGGATATGTTTTCTATGGATTCTACAGAGATATTCAAGCCAAATTATCAAACAGAAAGCCACTCGATCATTTATATACTATATAACCAGACCTACGTCCTCGTAACATCAAATCAAAGAAGTCATGAATGAAATTGAAGATCATATTCCAGCCATACAAACACCGTACACCTCGCGCGAACACCCCCTCCAAAATAAAAGTGAAGGATCTCAGGCGATTATCCCCATGGAGGAACCGAGAACGGAAGAAAGAAAACGTAAGAGTTCGGAAAGTGCTGCAAAAAACAAAAGAAGACAAAACGTGACACCCCCGTGCCACATGCTATGTACATCCGTCATGTCATACTGAATCCTCATCCCTGGCCCGAGAAAGGAAAAGAAAGCAAAGAGAGCAGTCATTGTGCATATCTACACGAGACATGCCCTCCAGGTGGCTGGCAAGAACCCTGAGGAATCAAGAGAGCCGAAGCCTATACAAGATTCAAAACAGAAACTGAAAAAATCGAGCAGAAATGAAAAGATGCAGGAATGACTCCACCAACCCAATCTAAACACCCAGAGAAACGGAAAAATCTTTCGTTGGGTCAAAGCTCATGACTTCCCGATGGCGAATTGTCCGAGTACTCCGCCGACAGCCCCTGGAGTTAGAGTGCCGAGGCCGTGGTGCTGGGGCGTTTGGTTGCCCACCGATTGAGCGGCATTGGGTGTGCTTGGGGTGCCCGTGGACGAATAGATGGTGGCCCCGTTGAGATTGGGGGTCTGATGAGGCTGCATGGAATACTGCATCAATGGCATTTGACCGTTCAATCCCCAAATCTGGCCGGAGTACTTGGACTCGTCGATGGTGCCATTGAAGACAAGCTGTCGCATCTTCCAGTAGATCTCTCCGGTGACGAGGGAATCCGAACCGGCCTGGTGAGCAATGCCAACACGCTTGACACCGAGCTCATCAGCGATGTCTTGGAGCCCCGATTTTTGACCCAGGTTAGCCAATATCTGGACAGCTGCGGCAGTCAGTGGGGAGTCATTGACTGCTTGATTGCGGCCCGCATGTTTCATCAAGTATTTGATATCATACAACGACGGGAAGAAGGTGTTGAGGAGCTTGTGGAATTCCTCCTCATTCTCGGGGAGTGATGCGCAAAGCATGATCTTCATCAAGTAGCCAAAGTCGTATCCGGAGTGGAACGAAACCCAGTGGACCTCATCCAGCAGGACGAGACCAGAGCTGATCAAGAGCGCACCGAAGTCATGGGGATCAATTCCGTTCTTATCATGCATCGCGAAATCAATGCCCGCCTTCGCAAGCATCGCCGTCGACTCCTGTGCATACATGTCCTCTTCCAACGAGAAGCGGAAGTTGAACTGCCAGGTGCAAGGCGCCGGCACGAGGCTATTTCCCATGGGCTGGCCATTTGCATCGGTCGCGTTGGGTGGCGGAACTTCTCCTTCGGGCGAGAACAGGGTGATCCCGAGCTGGATCATCTTCAAGAGATCGACGTTACACCGGAGGGTCTGGTAGTGGTAGTCGGCTTTGTTCGTAAACGCACCGATAGGGCGTGCAACAATACCGGGGAACTCGGTGTCCTAGAAAACAGAAAAAAAGCGGCCCACGTTAACATTTTCCTGATCGGTACAGTAACAACCGACGGTCCAGGCATGGCATTTCAAACAGTACTGGACCTGCAAGGCCACCGGACGGTCGGACAAAGATGGTCTTACCATGCTGATATAAGGGTACTTCTCCACCAATTGTCTTAATATCGCCATTTCCTGGGCCAGGTTGTGTTTCCATACGTCACGTATCCGCGTCTTGACCCCACCTCCTTTCGTCTCGAGTGCCAACCGACCATCGTGGGCCTGATGTAATTGCTGCTGCTGCATCTGTGCCCCTCTCGCGAAGCCCATCTGCGCCGCATGGCTGGCCAGCCCGGTGCCGCCGCCGTCGGCGCCAAACCCACCGACCGACATGCCGCTGGCGATTCCGGTTCCAGATAGCGTGAACGGGTTGATGTTGGTGTTCGGGTTGCCGGCCGCGAAGCCTGGATGGCCACCGAGGGAGGGAGGCGGGAGGGCTGTATTGGCGGACTGGGCATGGGCCGGATGATGTTGGGGTTGCTGCTGCTGCAGGTGGGCCTGTTGCAAGTGTGTATAGGGAGCGCTCAGGCCAGTAGGCCCGTATCTGCCGACAGGAGGTGGCATGGTGTGTGTGTCAGCGCCGTGTGGAGGTCATGCATCTGAAGACGGGCAAGTTGAAGGAGGGAGGGTTGTCGCGGGAGTCGCTGGGAGAGGATTCGACGTCGGTTCTTTTTTAGCGCTGGCCGCTGGGGAGCGAGGAAGAGGCGGAGGGAGGGAGAGAAAGAGGGTTTCGCCCGGCGGCGCAAAAGAGGCGGACAGCTTGCTTCGAGGGCCGCCGTATGCGGTTTAGCGCCGCCAAGCACCACATCTTCGGGCCTGTACAGCTTCAACTTCGCTCGCTCTCTCCCCTTCCGCCCTGCCCTCGGTATTGCCCTGCCCTCGACCACCATTGCTCTCTCGGACCCTGCGGACTCGGGTGCCAATTCTCTCAATCACCTCCCCGTCTCTTCTCTGCTCGACCTTTCGCACGTCCCCCACCCACTCATCCACCATGAACCCCACCGGATTCGACATCAAGGAATTCAAGGCCGCGGCCTCGCCTAACTCGGTCTACGCCAAGCGAGACCCCTGGGCTCGATAGTACGGCTCCCTATATTCACCCCAACGTCTCGAGTCCAGTACTGACATCTTCCAGTGAGACCTGGCGCTACACCGGTCCCTTCAGCCGATTCAACCGCTTCAAGCGAATCTTCCCGGGTCTGGGCATCGCGACCGTTGCGTTCGCCGGCTACTGCACGTACGAGCACTTCTTTCTGAAGCACGACGACCACCACGGCGAGGGCCACCACTAAGCGACTCCGCCGAATTTATCGGAGGGAATGAAATGGATGTCACTCAAATTGGCCAGCCCGATAAGGGACATGACGGATATACCCCGCGGTGCGAATTGATGCATTGGACATGAAGAAAAAGGGGGTTATCTGCCTGAGCCTGTTCTATCGGCATGGTGGCATTCTACGTGATGTGGATATCTTGATTCCTCGTGGGTCGTCAGATGAGCCCTCGTTCTGTCTGTCTCGCGGAATACATGACGGTCGGGTCTGGTTGTTCTGGATGAAATGAGCCAAGCTCGACAACGGCGCTTGGGTTGTTTGTTTCTGCTGGATGTACATAGTATCTATCTGTTGTTATATTAAAATGCGTTATCTTATACTCCAGAATGCGAGCCGTAACTGCATTTGCGTTTTAAGGCATTTTTCTAGAAAAAAAGGCACAAAAATATCAGATTCAATCAATTCGTAATTTGAACTTTTGTCTTCGTTTGTCATGCGCGTCTATATACTCGTTGAAATGATAACTATATAAATAGCGATTAAATTATTCCTCAAACACCAAGCTGATGCCGTCATCACCCGCGGTAACGACGCGCTTGCCATCGAATCCCTGAACAAAGCCCATGATACCACCCGACTGCTCTCCGTCGTCGTTCTCGGTAAGACCCAAGTGGCCCTTCCACTCGGACAGCAACCCGTGTGCCGTGGCCGCCGTTCCACCGCGACCGTCCCAGCGTCTCACGATACCGTCCATACCGACGGTGGTGAGAAGCCAAGGCCGGTCCTGGTTGGCAGCAGGGGGTGCAGTAGGGCGAGAGATGGAGGTTGCGGAGCGCTTACGAAGGAATTCCACCTTGACGACGGCACCCTCGTGTGCGTCTCTGATGTGACGACGGACGGCGAAGCGGTGAGCGGCGTCAAACAGAGCGATCGATCCATCGACCGAGCCCGCCGCCAGCAGAGTCAAGGGAGGAGCGGAGAAGGACAGGGTCTCGACGCCGTCGGACTGGGCCTGGAGGGATGCAATAAGGGTGCCTGAAGCAGATGCGCCGGAGGCCGGCTGCGCCGCGGGCTTGCCCTTGGCTTTTGACGAGGTGTTGGTACCGGGAGCTGTAAGACGCGGCAAACCGACCACCTTGACGTGACCTTCCGCGCCACCGACGGCGGCGATACCACCACCCGGGGAGATAGCGATCGAGTACAAGCCTCCGTCAACGGCGAAACGCTGGTCCTCGGCCGTCAGTCCGATGATGGCACTCGTTCCGGGAGAGTAAGAGACACCCGCGGCGGCGGCAGCGCCGAAGACATCGTACACGTAAAAGCTGCTGTCCTCGGAGACAGTGGCGAGGAGGTTTCCGTCGGGGGTCCAGGCACCAGCGGTACAGGAGCCAGTGTGCTGGAAGAAAGTCTGCAGGATGGAGATGGGCTGCGCGGCATCCTTGTGATCGATACGGAGAACCCAGGCGCTGCCGTCGTTGGCACCGAGGGCGATCACATTGCGCTTCTCTTCATCGTCGTTCTCGCACGGGCAAACAGCGACCCAGTTGATCTCTTCCACTTCCTGGGACTCCGCGACGAATTGCCACGCCAGCCCGGTCAGCTGAGGAGAGGTATCGCGCCAGGCGCGGAGTTTACCATCCAGACCCGCCGTGACAACGTATTCTCCCTTCGGCTCAGTGAAGGCGACTGCGTTGACGGTGTCCGTGTGTCCGTCAAGCTTGAGGATCGGCTGCAGAGACTCGCGCTCCTTTCTCGGCTGCGGGTTGGACTCGTAACTCTGGGGGAGGACGGGTCGCTCGGTCTGGGGTGTCGAGTCGAGAAGGTAGGCAGTGTCGTCGCCCGAGCCTGTGATGACAATCGAGTTGTGAATAGGGTGTTGCGCAATGCAGAAGACCGAATCCTGGTGGTGATCAAAGTGGGCGGCGGAATCGTTCTGGAGAAAAATCTCCTGCATCATCTGGTCCTCATCCTCGGGATCGGACTCCATTGGATGGTCTTCATCGCGGTTAATGACTTCGTCCGCTTCATCAGCATCGACGAAAGCATCTTCGTCGTGCTCGCGATGGGGGTCTTGCGAAGACATGATGTGGGTAGTGGTCGGAGGGGTAGGCGGAAAATATAGAATGGGATGGGAGCGTAGGTATGATGAGATAAATGATGCTCTTAGGGAAATTTGAGCGCCTTTGAATCGCCCAGGAAATTCAAATGAGAAATTTCTAGCAGCGACTAGAATCTAAAGCTGCAGAATGGGGCGTTGCTGAGCAAGAATCTCTTCCGATACTTTTTTTCTGATGGACCCCTCCGCTTAGAAATTCGATTTTCTCCCCGCGCGGAGATCAAACAGTGCAAACAGCGATCGGTCGCTTTTGCATATCCCCAAGTCCTTTGAAATAGAAACAATTCTTTCTATTCTAATATCTAAACAAGTTCTAAGTATCCCATGAAGACGTTCTCATGATGAACAATCATACCCATCAAATTTACACGCTGAACGGAAAAACAAACCAAAAACAGGCGTCATAACTGCCAATTCCTCCATGGCATAAATCCCACGTCTATAGCTTGGAACCGGCCTTGCGGCGAGCCTCCTTCTCTTGGTCGCGAAGCAGGCGACGGAGGATCTTACCGCTGGGGCTCTTGGGAACGGCCTCGACGAAGCGAACGCCACCTTTCAGCCACTTGTGCCGGGCCTTGTGTTCCTCCACATACTTAATGATGGACTTGGCAGTTGCTTCGTCATCCGCGCCGGCAGAGGGCGACTTAGCCACGATAGCCTTGGGAACCTCTCCGGCGGCTTCATCGGGAATGGCAATGACAGCGCAGTCGGCGACGGCAGGGTGGGTGAGAAGGTGAGCCTCGAGTTCGGCTGGTGCGACTTGCAATCCCTGCAGCAGCGTGGTTAGTATGGCAACGCGTTGCTTTGTCGAGGAGAGATTCATACCTTGACCTTGATGAGCTCCTTGATTCGGTCAACAATGAAGATGTGCTCCCTGCCCTTGGGGCTCAGACGGACAACGGCTTCGTCGCCCGTGCGCATCCAACCATCCTCGAAGGTTTCCTTGTTTGCTTTTTCGTTGTTGAGATAGCCAAGGACGACACTAGGACTGCGAACCACCAATTCACCTGGAGTATCGTAGGCAGTGATCTCCTCGTTCTCAGGGGTTACGATACGCGCCTCGACTCCGGGAATCAAGCTGCCGGAGGACCCCAGGTAGACGTCATCCGGGTATGTCGAGCAGACAACGGTCGATGTCTCGGTAAGGCCTTGCAGGGAATCAGTATTCATCGAACTCTTCCAGGGAATTCAAGAGTCTTACCGTATCCTTGGCGGATGATGACATTGGGATACACCTTCTGGAAATCGGCCGCAGTCTCCATCCCTAAAGGTGCTGCTCCGGTGAACAGCGAGGTTACCGAACTCAAATTGTGCTTCAAGCACTCGTCGGGGTTTCGGAGCATGGTGATAATGATTGGCGGGACCTGAAGACCGGGTCAGCATGGACTTTCGTCATACAACGGGCAAATAACCAACCAGCAACAACACGGAGATTTTGAATTTCTCGATGGCAACCAGGTAGGACTTGAGCTCGAACTTGGGCAGCACGACAACCTGGTCACCTCGGTAGGGACCAGCATGGCAGATAACTACCAGAGAATAGATATGACTTTGGGGAAGCAGGCCCAGTGCAACTTCAGTGTGCTGAGACTGAGTTCCGGGAGGAGTGAGAGATGCACGGTAGTCCTTTTCGGAAGCGGTGATTTGCAGAACGTTTGCGATGACATTGCGATGAGAAATCATGACACCTTTCTAGAGATAGAATTCTGGTTAGCGAGACAAGGATTTTCTGCTACTCGAGGGATGATTTGCTTACGGGCAATCCGGATGTTCCGCTGGAGTAGCACAAGAATGCGGTCCGGCGGGCGCCTTCGCCGGGCGACCAATTGAGCTTCTCCAACTTAGGAAGAGATTTTCCAGCTTCTAGGAGCTGCGCGAGTGTCTTATACTCTGTAGGCGCCTTTGCATTACCGGTGAGCTGGACCGGAAGATCGATCAAATAAATGCGGTCTTTGGGGAATCCAGCCATGGAGGCCGCCTCCAGCGCGGTGGAAAGCAAGGGAAGACATGTGAACAGGCACTTTGCCTTGGAGTCCAATAACTGGTGTTTCAGCTCAGCAGGGGAGTAAGCTGCGTTGGCGGGCGATACGATTCCACCTAGCTGATGGGTTGCCCAGCACAAGGGGAGGGTATCAATCTGATCAAAGAAAAGAAAATGTGAGTGATGGCGTTCGCGCTCAGCTTCGAGATAAGGGACCATACGGTGTTCAAACTGAAGACTCCCACGGTCTTGTCCCATTCCGTGCCCGTGTTGGGAGCCCAGCCGAATTCTTTCGCAAGCGCTCGCGACAGATAGTCAACTCGGTCCGCCACTTCCAGGGAGGAATACGACTTTCCGCTGAAGCCGCAAGTGAAGGGATCCCGGGAATACCCAAGAGGATTGCGCCCATAGAGGTCTGTGAGCATGAACTCGCTGATCGGGATATTATCAGGAATTGGGGGCAAATCGCCGGCCCAGCTGGCAGGAGTAAACACCATGATTTCTGAGTCGCGTGGCAAGTGGTTTTAAAAGGATTGGCGAGAGGGGAGAAGGGGAGAGTATGAACCGACGCAGACCAAGAAGAGAGGAGGATGCGGAGAATAAATAGGGGAGCGAAAATTGGGGTCGGGGCAAGGGAATCTTAATTACGGTGGCACAGCAACTGTCCTAAAAAGTAGGCCAGTATGGGGACAGTGCGGGGAAAGCTTCCATCGCTCGGCATTCGGCATTCCTATAATGATTATGCCGTCGCACTGCCACTGTTCGACCGAATCCCATCCCAACTTTTCTACAGTAGGTGAATACAGATGCTTTTATTAGAACTTTTACCAGGCTGACGAGAGATACGAGACCAATCCCAGTGAATAACTAATTAATTTAGGGACAATGGCCACCACTGCGCCGTCCTAATCTTGCCCCTCGGTCAACGTTTAACCGAGGCGATTTGCTCGAGTGGCAGTTAACGTTCGGCTAGACGGTGATTGGCTAGGGCAGCGTACCCTGCACAATGTCAATCTGGCACGAGGCAAAGAACGGCTAAGCAGAATTACTGCAGCCGTGCTGGCATCCGTTTGGCTCGTTCGCCCACCGTCCCCATATTTCTCGTGGCGATCCCGGTCTCCACAGCGCAAGGGAGAAGACTAACTTTCGCAGGGAACAGAAAATTTTGGAGTATCTGTAGCTTATCGCCACGAATGGAGAGCGTTCTTGAAAGCTTCATGAGTGGTTTGTGGTTGTGATGTTATACTTATGTTTTCGCAATGGGTTTTAGGGGCCAGGCCAGGACAAACACCGTGCATTAGAGGATTATTATGTAAATATTCGTACGGGATGGACACCTCAGGAAGACATGTTTTGTCCTGATCCTGGATGTTGATGCTTCTGTTTGGTCTATGTTGTAGGGCACGACCCTGCACTTTATATCACATAACATGTACACTGACTTGTTCAGAATTATGTCGATACGAATGAGTATAGAGCTGGATAGTTAAGCAAAACCAACCTGCCATCGAATGGCCCACATCCAGTAAAAAAAATGAAGTGATGTTCTGAGTAGGAGTATATCGATCGCAGTCACGAGATCACCTCCCCGTGACAGGCGGTGACACGAGGCAGGTAGATTGTCTCGCTGCCCTCTTCTCTTCCTTCATGCTCCCTGCCACCCTCGTATCCCCAGCGTATCTCTCCTCTTCATCCTCTTAGCATTGAGTTTCATCAAAAGTTTGGTGTCTTTCATTGTAAGCGAGGCCTTTGTGAATCTGTCAGAGCATTGCGTCTTTTTAATGTCCCCAGTTCTTATAGTTCGAGACGCGTGGACGTGTTGACCTTCCGCGCTGAGATAACCGCGACCATTCATCCTACGGTTGTCACAGACTTTATTTTCTGTCCTGAAAGCATCACGATTGATTGAACTCAAAGTAAGTTTCTTAGTCATAAACCTTGAAAGCCTTCTCTGATTCCGAGCCAATGGGCCTCCGTATCCTCTAAGGCACTGCCTGTTCATCTAACAGACTCTTCCTTTCACTCTGGGATCAACACAGGTTCGAAAGGGAGATATAATATTTGTGAGTGACCCCTGAACTTACTTGAAGGACCGACACTAATACTCTCTGGCGCAGATAACAACAGATCAATACCGAAATGGTCGGCAAAAAACAATCCAAAGCCTCTAAGGCTAGGCCGGACTCGGTGCTACATGGCCGTGTGACCAAATCACAGAAGTCTCGTTTGCCCAGTATAGTATTCTCATTCTATACACACGGCTGGGATGACTGATAACAGCAGCACATCCCGAATCTCCATCCGCGCCTATGGATGAGGATGTTGTCTGCGGGGAGCCTCCAGCATGGGCAGAGGTTCGCTTCCTAGAATTCAGTCTGGATAAATGATCATTAACGCTTCTACAAGACCCGACCTGCACTGTGTGATACCATTCCATGGTTCAACTCTCTCCAAGGAGGCGTATATCATACAGGCAAAATATGCCGTGGATTCCTTGTCGACCAAGACTGTGGGATTCGCTCGTATATGGATGAAGAGGTAGTCATCACAAGAGTGTAAGTGCATAAACTACTGTTGTGCTTCTTCGGGTGATCATGGTCCTGACAGGAGTAGGGGTGGTGGTTGCCATAAGGATGCCGATGGAAACTTGATCCTGGACAAGGACCAAAGTCCGGACAGTTCCCAGGTGGTAAGCGTTATAAACAGCATGGAACAAGGCATTCCCGTTGGTATGGTGATTGGTGAGTCGCATTGCACCTCCACTCGAGAAACTTCTCTAATTGATGACAGGAGATCGCAACACCTTGCTGAAAGTGAAAGTGCCACACAGGTATAATGTGATGGGCTTTTTCCGCATCACGAATGTGTGGTGGGAGGACATCGCGGGAAGATCAGGAGCCAAGCTGCGCTTGGAGAAAATTGACATCTCAAGTAAGAGTTGGTGGGCAGCTAAAAGCTCGTCAGATCCACTCCCCTTTCACATGCGCAATTGCACAAAGGAACCCAAGAAAGAGCAGTGCTCTTCGTGTAGAAAAGTCAGCCCACAGGTGTACAGCCAGGGTTGGATGTGTTTGAGGTCCAGTTGTAACAAATTCTGGACACTTAAAGGGCTGGCGCCTACAAAGAAACTCGAGTTTGATACTAATTTCCTGAATTTTCGCACCCCACCCGCCTCCGGTGCTATGATTCATGACGAGCTGATTCGCAGTTTTTCGTCTTTCCTGGAAAACTATAGCGAAGAAGATTCTTACTCGCGTTCCTCATGGAAAGGTATTGTTTGCCCTTCATGCTCGAAGTGCATATCACGCGCACACTGGGATGGATGGAAATGTGCCGATGACCTTGCGTCTCCGTCCAAGACATCGGATAAGCTCTGTGACTTCGAGCATAAGATCGCCATGCGCCCAATCCCATTGGATTCTGTCATTGGGAATGCTAGTAGGCCCCCTGCTGGAACAGTGCCAAGTGTGACACTGGTAATTGACAACATCTCTGTCTATCCATATGAGATACGCAAATATACGATGCCAAATGAGGTTGGCTCAATAACTCACCTTGTTTCAAACCCCCAGTCCAACAGTAGACCAAATGGTCCGGACGACATGTTTGGAGAATTGCAACTGGGCGATTTCGGACTGCGGCGTTATCCACTGCAGCAAAGTGTTGGTGAGTGCGCCGATATTCCAAAGCTTGTGCTGTTATTGACTACTTTATTTTCAAATAAGTCGCAGGAACACATACTGCCCATTTTGCCTCCAACTACGTGAGCGGAAGTTTTGTACGGTGTTAGCCTACCAGGTATTGACCCATATCCAGGGAATGCCATATAAATACGTCGTGTCTGTGGCGTCGAAGGCCTTTAGCGAAGCCCCTGGGGTGATCTTACGGGCTTTGGGCCGTCTGACGTGGGCAACGAAAAAGGCGCTTGGTCCTGACTATCTTCCACCAAACGAACTGCTTGCTTTGGGATATTTTGAGGCCATGAAGATTGGGGTATGTGAAAATATTCGACTGATGAATCCAGGCGCTAACGTTCATCAGTACCATGACGATGGTGAAACTTCCCTGGGTCCTACAATTGCTTCGTTGTCGTTGGGCGGTCCATCTGAAATGAAAATCCGAATGAAAGAGAAATGGTTCCGCGGACAAAGCAAATCAGGTAAACTGCTGGCCCATGATCCGGTGCTCACTGGATGTGAGTTTTGGGCCGAGCGACAGGCCCTGAAGAACGAATTCGAAGCTGGGGACTTGTCGATAGACGAGTACGATGACTTACGCAGAGAAGTCCTCAAGAAGAGCCGACATAGAGAGGCCGGTGCATGTGTCACCCTGCATCTCCGCCATGGAGATATTGTGGTGATGGATGGAGAATGCTTCCAAAAATTCTACGAGGTATGATACAAGATTCCCCAGTTCACTGTTCGGATGCTGAGAGCTTGAAGCATAAGGTTACGCCTTCCGATAAGCTCCGCTTTGCTTTGACTGCTCGATATGTCAAGCCCGATGAGCTGACATCCGAGGAACTGGCAAAGGGAGAATTCACATTGACAGGCGATCAAGTCTATAATGGAGAATGAGATGAAGATATCATTCTTCTTCTCCCCCCCTCTCTTTTATTTGCAGTTTTTCTTTTCGTTTCCAAAAGTGCTTCCATTTGCGTTTTTCCAGATTCGTTAGTTTGTTTGTATCTCGTTCTTATGTTTTTTTCTCGTTTCCTGGGATTATACGCTGCGACTGCCTACTATATTCTGATTCGCGTTCTTTAATATTGCTTGAGGGTGATTTATTTTTCCGCATTTTTAGCCGCAGCAGGCATGTGGATGAAGCAATTTTCCACTCCTTATCTTTGATGCTTTTCAGCATTGCACCAACATCATTTTCCTTTATATTCCCTTCTCTCCGTCCTCCAACGAGTTTGAGGACAATATGAAGCATTTGAAGCTGCAACTTACTGGTTGCTAGTCCATGCCTCAACATTCTTTAACACGATACTTCTCCATGCATTTCAACATGGGTATTGGCAGTCGAAGCTTCTCGAAAGAGCGACTGTTTCTTTGCCTTCCTGAGAATTGATTTGAATGGCTTATCCCTGCGATGTTGATTTGATCTGACTTTATGACTCATCTCATGACTGTTTGAACTCGAAGTTCAAAGATTGCTCACCATCGGCGGGTTTGCAATTCTTGACCGTTCCTTGATCGTCGTTTGTTTGACAGGCAGCATCCTTGATCCAGCAGGCTCACCTGCTCATAATTTGATGATCCCTGATCCCAAAAGTTGATTGATATTTGTCAGTACTTTGCTCGTGTTTCGTTCTGCTTTACAGCGGCTTCAACCTTCGGGAAGCGATTGCTTGCTATTCAATGATTTATGCTTCGGGATGTGGGTGTTTCGAGGGATGATATTACGAGGTGGATCATAATAAGAAACTATGTACTTATATGTACTTCTGTGTATGGCGTTTCAGTTGACTGTTCTTTACAATGAAATTTAAATTACAAAACGGGTTACGTGCACAGTTGCTTTTCAACGACATTCTCATTCGAGGGTTGTTGACAAAAGCACGCAGTGGGTCATCACACAAAAATCGTGAATTGGCTTGGATAACATTATCCTAGCTATATACCCATAACACCTCTAGACATGGAGATTGACAAAGAGATAAGTCAAAACCATCTTCCACCCAACACCCAACACTAATGACTATAACTAGTGCCTTCAATGGTGGTGTCCACCATGCGCTCCCTTAACCCAGCCCTGATGCAAATGCGGCGTCTGGACAGGGACATCTCCCTCTGAAGATCCGAGACCAATCGGGAACCATCCATTTCCGAGCTTTGCGGCGATCTCTGTCGGGATCGCCTGGGCCTGGTTTTGGGTTTGTTCCTGTTCTCCACCCTCATACTGGCTGGATCCTCCGAGAGGCCAGAAGACGGGGATGATGTTTCCGCCCTGTCCGTTACCGTTGCTGTTGCCGTTACCAGCCGGTGCCGCGACGGTGCTGGTGACAGTCACGACGTTGGGCGTAGTGCCGGTGCCAGATCCAGTCTCGGTCTGGGAACCAGAACTCGAGTCGCCGCCGGTCTCAGAACCATCGGTTCCCTGGTCCCAGGGGAGAGTGATCGTGCCATCGTCGTCCGATCCGGAGCCACCGGTTCCCGGGATGGTGTTGCTGTCGTCGCTGCCATCGCAGTTCAAGAACACGGCTAGATGACTGTTAGCAATATCTGGTACCATTAACTGGACTCGAGAGACAAACCGGAAGCATAGTACGCGAAAGAGTCAGCATTGTTCAGCGCTTGTTTAGTACTCAACTGCAGCACACTGTCGTATCCGTACGCGACATCCTCCGTGCCGGGGTCATACACGCTCGTGGCGTGGGAGAACTCATGCAAAGAGATAGCCGCCTGGTCGAGGTAGTTGCAAGTATCCGACACCTCCGTCGACTCATAGTAACCCTGGCAGTTGACAACGCGGTCCTCAGTGGGATAGGTCACGGCGGCGATATTGCCACCGCAGGAATCCTGCGCCGAAGGCTGGCAGTAGTACGTCAGGACACCCTTCGAGGTGGCCTCTTTGGCAATGGCATCCAGCCGCTCGGCAACCTCCTTGCGATCGGACTCATCCGTCGACATGAAGAACTTCTCGAAGAGCGAAGAAGTGCCGTTGCGTGCGTCGTTGGCACCCGCGGTGGCCATCTTGGCAGCGCGCTCGAGCGCCTTCTTCACGAGCGAGCTGTACTCGCCATCGCAGGACTCGAGGGTCGACCGGGTCGATAGATCCTTGGTGATTGACTCGGGAGCGTCGAAGCGGATCTCATTAGACTTGTACGGCACGACGGAGAACTTCTTCGGGTTGCCGGACCGCGTGTATTCGAGGGTTCCGTCGGCAATGGCAGAGTACTTCTCACCGGGCGAGAGGTCATGCGAGTTGGCGATGTCGAAGATCGACTCGATGGTCTGGTTCGGGGCGAGATGCACAAAAGCATCGGGCGAAAGGTGGCTGTTGATGTAGGTGACCTCGGCACCGTTGAAGATGGGGTTTTCCTCTATGAACTGTGTTAGCGATGATCCTTCCCTAAAGTTGCACAACGTAGAATATGACTGGTGGAAAACTTACTATCTCCAGACACAGCGACCTTCTTCGTCGGATGATCGCCGTCCAAAATACTTCCACTCCGAACGAGGCGCAGACCTTCATTACCAACATTCGTGACATGCGCCCGAACAGTCGAATTGCCGAGCGAGTACAACTTCACATCAACGAGTCCCTGACCCTGACCCTCATTGCCACCGACCTGCGGCGCATCCGAGGCCTGCCTCGGGAACAAAATCGGCTTACCAGCAGCCAAAGTAAGGAGAGAAAAGAGCTGAAAGAAACGGACAGCCATGATGAAGGAACGACGAACAAAAAAAGAAAGAAAGGAAGAAATGAATGAATTGAGGGAGGGAAAAGGAACGAATGGATGACTGGCATGGAAAAAGAAAGAAAAAAAAGCCCCCGGTTTGGGGAGATTTTCGTGCTTATATGCCATCCCAGCACACCACCCAATGCCGCACAGAGCTGTATAGCAACTGTCATTATACATCGATACTACACTACTCCGTACTCTGCGGCATGTTTCACGATCGAAGACCAAGAGGTAGGGTCAGGGATCCTAGCTCCAGTGGATCTGATATGGCACCAACGCCAGGGTCTCGTCCACACCACACCTACTGGGTGGGTCTCGGCGATGCAAGACGGGGGTCCAAAAGCGATGAGCGTGATTGCAGGATTCCCATCCACTCCCATGTGATTGGAGTCGATACTGCATGCGCCATGAAGACCCGAGGGAAAATCGAGGAGGTAGGGTGTTGGGCTTCAGAACCCGCCGTGCTTGGAAAGCGTCAGATTGATTACAAGGCTTAGGTCTAGATCTGAGCCCGGCGGGGCGTTTTGGCAAGTATGGAGAGCACAAAGTCTATCCATGGACGACAAGGCGATTTGAGACTGCGATTGTCTAGCCTGCCATTCTGTCTGCGTCCAGCTTCGACCCTTTGATACCGCGACAAAGAAAAGCCTCATTCGCATTGTGCCTGCAATTACCAACCTTCCCTGATCGTCAAACGGGGTCCCACTAACTCACGACTTTCTCTGCAAGTCGCTGACAGAAAAGCCCCTGCATCGGGGTATTCCGACCACTAAATCAGCATAGGGCACGATATTCAGACCGACTCGAATGATACAAAACCGAGTGAAAAATTAAGGAGTGGAAGAAGTGGAGCGCGGGAAAAAAAGGTGTGACGTCTTGGCGTGTCAGAACGCAAAACCCTCGTCCGCCATGCTCCGACGACAACCACACGACAGTCACTCCCAGAGGGAAAGGAAAAAGAAAAATCAAGGCTGCCAATCCTCCTACCATGCCCAGAACCAAATCTCAATCCTGAACTCAAACTCTGACGAGTCCACAAATAAGGTTGAAGCCCTGCAGTTGCCGCTAGTATCTTCCCGCCTCATAGTCCAGTAGGTGCAAGCTGCATACTCCGAATCCAGTTATGATTGACCCCGTCAAATGAAACCTAATCAGTGTGGACATTCTCCTAGGTAGTTGATCTCTGCTCTTTCCCTATTCCTCCACCGAGCCCAAACTCCATACTCCGTAGGCTAAGTCTCAAGAAGCATGCACAAACTTAGGTATTAACTCGGACATAACTCGATATCAACCCTTCCCCGCCGTTCTATTCGACCCCGGCACCAGAGAGACAAAATACGGAGTAACAATAGCTATGAGGAGTTAGTCCGCTAGATAGATCGAGAACACTTATCTGAAACGCCGAGACCGCGGCGCTTCGCGGGACGTTTATGTAACGGTACGACGTCTTGGCAGGGTGTGGGGTATAAATGACTGGATGGTAGATTATATTAGGTACTGAAGGTCGTGAGATGGAGTTTAAAGTTCAGTGGCTTCGTATAGAAGTGGGAATGTGGATGGGAGGGATGATTCGATAGGCAGGTGTTTGAGATCCGTCAGGTTATGTGTGCGGGATTGGATGTTCGAGGTTGAGTTACTTCGACTGGGAGATGGGAGGGAGGGTTAGAAGATGGATGAAGAAGGGTCATGAACTCTAGTAGCCTGTGAAGAATTAGAAAAGGGAGGAGAGATCGTGTTTGTGGGTGTATGGTGATAGACACCGAGGTTTTATGTTGATTATTGCTAATCGAGTAGTTTATTTCGAGACGGAAGGAGGCGGGAAGAACATATGATATTGCTGCCAAGGAGGGTTGGCCAGTTATACCGAGGGAAATTCGATAGATGTGGCCTTTAACCAGCTAGCGCTTTTGGTCTACTTAGCAAGACGTGAGTTGTAATAGGTATGTAGGGAATCAAAGAATATGCTTCGTGGGTATGCTATTAGTTTAATATGATGTATGGAAGGGGACGCCACAAACATCCTTCTAGATAAAACTTCTGTTATTATGTTGCTTGGGTTTATTTTCTTAATGAAAATGCATTAAAAATACAGAAAAACTCAGAGCCTACAAGTTTTTATTATCCCTTTATGCAGTAGTATTAGTAGTAACATTCATGCCTTTTCAGCATGTCTTTCTAGTGACCGCTATGCTGGGAGGCTGGCCCTAGAACCAGTCGTCTTATCTGCCCAACCTGGCCTGTATACACCTTCACAACGCTAACAAATGACATCTAAAACGAGCACAAAACTGGGGAAATTACTAAACGGAGCTTCAGAATGATCTAAAGCAAGTAAAAAGCGCGAGGCTCGGAATAAAAGTAAGACCGACGAGCAGACAACATTCTTAGGATTATTGCATTATATATAGGAGGACCACTATGTGTGTCGATTGTGAGTCAGCTGCCCTGTTGGCTGTAGCAATTATATGTAGACGGACCGGGTGTCGGAACGATCCAAGAGGCTGTTGAAGGTTGTTGAAGATGAGGTACACGCAGAAAGGGCATATTTATGCTGATCCAGGCGGTGTCCAAGTAATCTGTCCTCGTTACCACTTCCTCTACTCAAGGCGCTGTTTTACTATTAGACGATTGAAGTACCTATCAGTCTAGGAAGTGGCGGCGCAGTGCAGGTAGTTGTTTCCAGACCTTCTTCTTACCTCCTGTCTTGACACCTCTAGAATGGCTCGCCACCATTTCTCCTTGATAACTCCGCTTTCTTCATTGTTACTTCAGTATACCGTCTAGCCCTACATTTGCCGGCCTTCCCGTGAGGTGGACGGTTTACTATACCAGTCATATTCATCTGATAATGAAAAAGGCCCATCAACGAGGATTGCTCTTGATCATTGATCATCTCATCTACCTTGAAATCATTGATTTTCAACTCACACTCCTGTTACTTGCGACTAGCCATAGCCAACCATCCTCAATCAACCGCTAACCATCTGGGATCAAAGCCTCTCACCTTCCACCTTCCACCTCTTGCCTACCTCTTACTCTTGCCTCTTACCTCTGCAGTACTTACTGAAGGTTACATTATCTCTTCCTCACATTCTATTCAATATACCTTCACAAAATGAGCCATCCAGTCAGCTTGGTCTTACTCCCCGTGGAGATTCTCCACATGATTCTGGCCTATTTGGATAACCATAGTCTTTACTCTTTGACTCGTGTGTGCCATTATCTGCAGTGCGAAGCCGAATGTCATCTATACAAGAGCATTCTACTGCGCAATCAACATGGGCCTGGCTTTGTTCGTGCTATTGAGCGCATTCCTACTCGGGCCTTACATGTTCGCGAATTAAAGCTCCATTACCATGAGAATATCATTGAGGCTAATCCTCTGAATCATTACGCCCAGCTGATCTCACCAACAATTGGCAAATTGGTCAACCTGAAATCCCTGGTCCTCAAAGATAGCTCACCTATGACATTTCCAGCCTTTTTCGGACTTGAATGCGACGCTGACGTGAGGAAGTTCGAAGCCTTGATCTTACAGTCAATCAAACCTTATTCGTCGCAGTTACAGAATTTGCAGACATGTGAGTGTGTCCCAAGTTGAAGGGCGGGAAAAAAAGGAATGAACAGATGGATGAATCCTTCCATGACAGTGCTAACCTATAGCCAAAAGGTGTCTTACAATTCTCAACAACCGAATATTGCCCTATTGGCAAATCAGACCGACGAGATGCTGTGTTTCTCCTCTCGCATCTAAAGCGTCTTACGATCATCGGGATGAAGATGACGACGTTCCGGTCTTTCCGCTCGCGCAAATCTGGAACAACTGCATTAGAGGAGTTGAAGCTGCTGTCTTGTTGGATCAGCCCTGCCATTCTTCGAAAGATTATATCCCTCCCCAAAGCTTTGAAGCATTTTACTTCCGGAGGAGATTGCCTTAATATGTCAGGCAATCGCAGATGGTGCCCAGCTACGAACCCGGATGCTCTTCAGCAACAAAAGGATTCACTTCTCTCGGCTACTTTGCATTTTACTTTTGCAGGCTATCGTCGAAAGGACCTCGCACAAGACTTCTCCGTATTTTCGAAATTGGATACGCTGGAAATTGCAATTTCTGAAGTCCCGGGTGTAACTTCTTGGTGGTATGGTTACCAGATAAAAGCTTTCCCGCCCATGCTGCGATCTCTCCGCATTTTCTCTCCATCTTGGAGTTCTCACCAAGCCTTTGAAAATGCATGGGTGCGTAACATTTTGCTGAATGCAGCGTTATCACACCTTCAAGTTGTCATATTTGAATATCGACACAGGCTTGCACTATATCATGGATCGGATAAACCCCCTGCACCTGGCCATATTATGGAGGTATGCGGGGTCAAAGTGATGAGGGAAGTGAAGAAGAAGAAATGGAAGCATTTTCCATTTGATTGCACGTGCTGCTGGATCGGAGGGCTAGGAGATAGCGATGAAGCTCCTTTCTGAGGACCGCAAAGTCTTACAAATCAATTATTGTTGCAAAATGGCATTTTTGATTACATACCGAGTTATATGTTTTTCGTTTTGAAGCAATTTAGTTTTGATAAAAAACAAAGATAAGGCATGAATTTATATTCATCTTTCTGTGCCTGAAGATACGACATGAGTAGCCTTTAGTGGCCGCGTGTTGCCATGCCTTTAAGCACCTTAAGCAAGCTAGTTGATTAAATCTGAAAGCTAATAAGCAAGGCCTTATCAACAGTAGGTAATAAGCCCACACTCATGGTAGCCGGTAAGCTTACGTATGTAAGGGATTGGTAATATTAATAGTAGCTAGCAAGTTTATACTTTATATTCATAATAGCTAAGTAGCTTGTAAGCCTATCCTTATACTACCTAGTAAGCCCATACTACTCACGACAACTAGTAGTAAGCTTATATATATAAAGGTTTATTAGTACTCACAACAACTGGTAAAACTGTACTCACGGTCCCTATCATATCTTATTGTGCCTATTTGTTTGTGAGCAAATAATTAGTAGCCAGGCGCTTACAATTTTCACTGGTAGTTGCAGCTCCCAGCTGCCAAGAGGAAAATGTATATGCATTCACTATTTATGTATTAATATGGCAGATGATTTGCTCACTGACAGCAACCTAGGCTGAAAAAAAGAAAAGAAAGAAAGAAAAAAAAAATACCTTTTCAATGGAATCTCCGGTCATCATTTTCGTCTGGACCGAAAAGCCAGGGATCAACACGCCAACAATAAAGCCGATAGGACATCTCGAACTCTTGGCGATAGTACCTAATTGATTATTGCTAATCGAGTAGTTTATTTCGAGACGGAAAAAGGCGGGAAGAACATATGATATTGCTGCCAAGGAGAACTGACCATATGTGACTGAGGTAAGCTCGATAGATATCAATTAGTTGTTCAAATACCTTAGGGCTTGAAGGTATGTCCTAAATCGCTAAGTGGCTAGGAATTTCAAAAAAAAAAAAAAAAAAAAAAAAAACCATTGTTTCGTGGATGTAGCACCCGTGTGAAGAGTGCGGATGATAGATCTTCCAAACTGAGGGTCTGATGGCGGGTGTAGATTGCCCGATCCTGACCCCGATACCTCCGACTGACCGGAGGAACGATCAAAGGAGGTGTTTTGCGCACTATAGACACGGTCTCTGGCGACAAGAAGCAGTCCAGCTCCTCCAATTCGGAGTCGCAAGATGCGCCTGGACGAAGGACCCTCGGAATAAGGGGGAAGGAAATACGGGCAAATCGGGCCATGTGTACCTCATGAAGTACAGAGATGTAGTCTTCGAGCGGCGCGAAAAGTCGCATAGGGAAGTGGCCTAGCGAGAGTTCCATTCCGTGTGCCAACTGCACTTGGTAGCAGCGGTACCTCCTCGCAGTCTGTCTGTTAATGGGCTATCTTACGCGGCAGATAGTATACTAGACTTAGCAAAATGGAAACAAGTTAAGGAGTATAAAGCCTGATTCTAGATGACACGAGAGAAGTACCAAAAACCAAGACCAGAAACTGGTTTATTCAAGATTTATAGCCAGGAAAAAGAAAAAAGGGAAGGGAGTGAAACGTAAAATTGCACCCTGCAGCAATGAATGGTTTGATATATCTCTCTGTCCTCAGACTAATAATACCATTGAGCTCGAGAATGCTACGAGTGCAGATTCCAGAACTCACAGCAACAGCAATCGAATGGAAAACGTTTTGTATCAAACGGATTAAGCTCCCTCCTGATCTTGACCCCAGAAAGTCCATGGAAACGAAGAGCTTCACGCTGGCCCCAAAAGTCCCAGGTTCTCTCACTGTGATATTCGAATGTCAGACGTTGTAGATGTGATAAGTGTCCCTGCAGCATCTCGGACAAGATGCTATGTGCCCAACTCCGTTCAAAGGAGTTATAGGAGAGTAAATGAAGGTCGAATACGACACGGAGCGACTGTAGCTTAGGGGGGTAGCTTTGTATTTGGCATAATTTGTAGCCAAGAGGTCGCCGACAGAAATGATGACTCGAAATCCTCAGCGCCTCCAGTTGCGAAAAAGCGGATAAGTCTTGTGCGGGTCTTTTACATTCAGTCATAGCAGACCAATCGCAATGGACCGATAGAAGTGAATCCTTATGGCCTTCAAGAGCCTCGACAGTCTCATGAAGACAGTACCTATGACGGGCTCCTCTCCCATAGCCACAATATTTCGAAGAAAAATGTTTCAAAGCTTTCGGAAGAGAGAGGATCCTTTCTAAAACGGTAGGACTGATCCAACAGGACAGTACCTTAAGTATTTCCAATGGAGTTGTCCCAGCTTTTTCAAACCATAATAAAGGAAACCTGGTCATTTTTATGCCGATTAAGGTGAGAATCTTTAGATTCGGGTGAAGGAAGAGCCAATGTCGTCGGGCCATGGGAACATAATGGTTCGTAGAGAATTGCACGGTACCTTTTGGCCAGTGAATTAGCACTTGAACATTTCGTCCAACCTGGGTCCCTTGCTATCCAAGGAAGCACATACATCTCTGCAAGTTCTGCAAAACATTCGATTCGGGTAGGGTTGACTGCAAGACCAGGTTTTCGAACTCCCATACATATTCGTCGGGATGATACCTGTAGCGATTGATATATTCATCATGGACATTCAAAACTTTCAGATTCACTAGTTTTGCAATGGTCGGGGCCATCCGCTCAGCTTGCTCCTGCGTGGGATTTTCATCTCTACAGCCATGATAATGAAGCCTCAGTTCGTGAACGTATAAGGCCCGAGCTGGAATACGTTCGATGGCGCGGGCAAAGCCAAGTCCATGATGAGCACGAACTGTGATTCTCTTGTAGAGTATGTATTCGGCCTCACACTGCAGATAACGACACACGCGAGTCAAAGAGTAAAGGGAGCGTCTGTTCAGGTTACCTAGAATTAATTGAATTATCTCCGCCGGGAGACAAATCAGGTTGGGTGGACAGCTCATGTTATTAGAAGATAGATGGCTGTAACGAGTAGAAAATAGCAGACATGTCAGTTACAAATTTAGGATATCAAATAGATGAAGCGAGCAATGGCCAAGATGAATTTTCACCGGCGGGTGTAGTCAGTGCAAGGGAAACTATGGGTTTGATCAGAGACTTTTTCTGCGGCATCGTTCCTCGTTCACAATTTCGTCATCATAACAACGGTTCCAACCCGACTCTCTTCGTTCTATTGCCAAATATATCTTGGAATGACCTGTCTTGAATCCTTCATACAGATCCTATGATCTACCCGAGGTTCCTAGAGCAATACAAACGCCATTCCAATCGATCTTCTCGATCATTAGAACGCCGCTTAGAATCCCCTAAAGTACTTGATACTAACGGAAGATTTATTTTAGTCCTCGGGCCTGGAAATAACTTAGACTACAGTACAGAAATCGTACAAAATCGTACCAAATCACTCAAAATAGATGGCAGTGGTTGCAGCCGCCTCACAAGGGGTGTATGTATACACATTCACTAATTATCCACTAATATTGCAGATAAAATCCCTACTGACAGCAGCCAGACCGAAATAAAATTCCCTCTCCAACGGAACCTCCCACTAATTTGTTTTCATCGGGACTGCAAAGCCAGGGATCGACACGCCACCAACAAAGCCGACAGGACATCCCCAACTCTTGGCGACGGCACCTAAGAAGATAGTCGTCCGTCAACAATGCGACCCCCTCGTCTTCGTTGATAAGAATTTAGATTCCATCTGCGATCGGAATGTAACCCTGCCAATCACCCCCACGGAATGCAACCGTCTGCAGCTTATGGATGCGGAGATGCGTTGTTGACGCTTTTCCACGCGACTTTATAATCGCCGTCTGTCCACCAAACAATTCCACCCCAGTCACTCATCATGCGGTCCCTGGTTATTTTTTCCTCGTTTATTCTAGCCGCATCGGCTCTTCAGACTCTTCCGCCGGTTCGGTGGACTGGATCTGGTGGTGGTTCTTTTGACATCGCTGCGATCGAGCGGAGGAGTATCTACATCAGCGATCAGTTTGCCTCTCGTCGCGATGAAGATGGGCTCACGCTTATTCCGCCATCGGCCATTGAGTTCGCGGATACGTTTCGCCAGGACCTGGAGGAAGTAACTGGGTCTTCCTGGGAGGTTCACACAGTGGATTCGCTGCCAACAGACCGTCCAGGGATCTTCCTCGACGGGGTAGAAGAAAGCCGACAGAATGAATTCACCTACGAAAATGGGAATCCCACCGAAGAAGGCTACGAGCTAGTCATTCAGCACGATCGTGTCGTGATCAACGGATCAGGTTCCCGAGGAATGTGGTGGGGAACGCGAACATTCCTGCAGAAGCTACTTGTCGCAAACAAAGGTCCTATTCCGTCGGGTCGAGTCATTGATGCGCCGGCATTCGCGACAAGAGGGTTTCTTCTAGATGCGGGGAGGAAATGGTACTCACCGTCTTATCTAAAGGAGCTGTGCACATATGCCTCGTTCTTTAAAATGTCTGAGTTCCATTACCATACTAGCGACAACGCGCCGCTGAGTCGCGGACACAATGAGACTTGGAGCGAGGTATATGCGCAGTTTGCCCTGCGCCCCGAGAGCGAAGAGTTGCAGGGGATAGTACAGCGACAAAACGAGACCCTGTCTCGTGAGGACTTCGAGGATCTGCAGAGCCATTGCGCGCAGCGCGGTGTGACTGTCATCCCAGAGATCGAAGCACCAGGCCACTGTCTTTTTGTCACGAAGTGGAAGCCCGAGTTGGCGCTGGAGCAGAAGGACCTGCTGAACCTCTCTCATCTCGACACTATTCCCTTGGTGAAGTCCATCTGGGCAGAATTTCTCCCCTGGTTCCAGACCAAGGAAGTCCATATCGGCGCCGACGAGTACGACGCAACCCTTGCAGACGTATACATCGACTTTGTCAATGAAATGGCAAAATTCGTCGACGAGAAATCGGGCAAGAAGATCCGCATCTGGGGAACCTACGAACCATCCGAGACACGCACGATATCCAAGGACATCATCATCCAGCACTGGCAATACGGGCAGTCAGACCCGGTTGAGCTCGCCAATGAGGGCTACGAGATAATCAACTCCGAGGACTGGTGGGCGTACATGTCTTTGAAGAACGACCACATGCCCATCTACCCAGCGCCGTATCCACAATTCTTCAATAACACGCGAGTGCTCAATTTCGGAGGCGTAGACGGCTGGCAGTGGAACCCTTCTCTGTTCAACCCATTCAACATCACTGAACAACCAACTCAGAAACCCGTTAAGGGCGCCATTCTAGCGGCGTGGAACGACAACGGCCCTGACGCAACCACCCAGCTTGAATCCTACTACGCCATCCGCAACGGCATTCCTACCGTCGGATCGCGCTCGTGGTCTGGGAATCGAGGCCCCGTGCTCGATGAATCTAGCTTGTCAGCGTCAATGAACATCTTAACTTCCAAGGCCGTCGCTCAGAATCTAGATCGTCAGCTAGCGTCAGCGAAAAACAGTACCAGCCCTCTAGTAACCTGGTCCTCTTCTAACCCAACCAACAAAACCCACCTCGGCCACGGCAGCAAAGGCATGAACTACACCCTCGACCTCACCGTGACCGGGCCATTCACGCTCTCATCCGCCGACACAACACTAAATCTCTCCCCCAATGGAAGTCTCACATTTATCTCCGACGGCTGGCCCTATCCTCTCCGCTCGATCGACGAAACAGACGGTTTCGACGAGGGCTACCCCGGCCGAATCTGGACAAACGAGACGTCCTCGACGCACGAGGAAGTCAAGGTGCCGTTGAAGACGAAGCTGACGATCCGGACGGATGTGATTGGGGGTAGTCGGGTGTGGGTGGATGGGGATTTCAAGGGACGGTTTGAGGTGTTTGTATTCGGGGGCAAGAATACGTTGTTTTCGTGGAGTCAGATGGCGTTCGTGGCACCTTTGGAGTGGGTGCAGGGTGGTGTTAGGGGGTTGGAACTTAGGGGATATGATGGGCAGCATTAGCTTCTGATGGTTGAAAGCGACCAAGCTAGGTTTTCAACAGGATAATGTCGCTTAGTATCGAGAAATCAGACATCCACTGAAAAGTCGACAACCAGCAGGAGATGAATCACGGTTTAGAATACTGGGAAGACTAGTAGGTTATCTGAATCCAATAACAAGTAGTAGGAATGACAAGAGCAGATTCATTTGAGACCATATGTTGCAAGTGATAAATACGTGATGGTCATTACGCCAATATAGGTACATATGGCCTCCACTTCTCAATCTCAAGCATCACAGTTTGGAGCAACTTCATGGAGAAATCCCCATGCCGTGCAAGAGTTGGCCGAAGAAGCTCCCTGATGTTTGGACTGGACATATAGTCCTGCAGGATAAGTCGACAAACAGACCACCTCAACGAATCGCAAGTTGAAGTCGTGACGAACAACTCATCCAAAACCGCGAGGAACTCCTCGGAGGTTTTCCAGTGATGCTCAGCTGTTCTTAGAAACCGCGTCTTGGCCAGTAGTTGCAGCGCGGGTACATCATACTTATCTCCTATGACGTACATGCGCAGCGAAGTAAACAACTGCGTTGGGCAGTTTTCGTGGTATTGCTCATCGCCGCTTTCACGATCCCAGTCGTGGGAGCTGTGCAGGGAGCCGTATTCTAGATGCTCATCGTTGTCCCGAGGGGATTGTAAATCTTCTTCAGAAGGGTAATCTTCATCATTTGCGGAGTCACTCAGTTCGGCAACTGTGAATCGTTCTGAACCTTTCGTTAGATTGAAGATACTGTAGGAAGGCGTTAGATATTATACCTAATTTCTGGCTGAGCTGTGCTTGGACTTCCTGTGGCTCCGTCATGGCTGGGATTGAAGGCAATTCATCGAAGTATTCGCCATCTGTGTAATTTCCCAGGTACAGGAACTGAAAGAGTCTGTCTATCATGTCTGGATCATCATCTGGCAAGTCGATTTTGCTTTCAGAAGACTCCTGAGAAATCGAATTAGTTTTAGAAGGAAAAGGACAAAGCGTGGACTTACTTTAAACCGCCCCCCACAAGCAGCGTCAAAAAACGGAGATTGAGCGCATACTATGACCTTGTGGACACGGAAGGATCGATCTATACAGGTCACCGTGAGATCCGTATATCTACCTGATCAGAATAGATGATGGGATTCAGCCAAAGACCACCAGCATTTCAACATTAACCGCGATCGATAGCCTTAGTTCAACCATCAAGCTATCTGCCCAATCGCGGACTCTGAGCCCTACTGAGCCTTTGGGAAGCAAAGAAACCGAATCCTTTATTTAGTCCCTAACATACCACTCTGATAATGATGCCACAGTGATATCTGCAATGTGGAGCTGATATAGTGACCGACGTCGATGTCACTAACCCTGCGGATTTGGTTGGCTGGCGGCGGCGGTCGCCTAGGCGAGCCTTGATATGGGTCTGGCTCCAACGCTGGTCCAGGCGATTCGGGGCGTGATGGTTGATCAGGCAAAGGAGCGGCAGGATCCATGACCACAAAACAAGTCTTGATGATGAAAGACTAGGAGTTGGTAAAGAGTGAGATTGAGATAATCTGCATCTGCGAAGGTCAACAGAGGGGAAGGCAACCACGCTAGTCCTGTTTGGGGTGGTTTGTTTGTATAGACCTGCTGAGTCAGTGCGGGGACACAAGGATGCATAAACAGTGTATAAATAGCATAGTTGGACTGTTATCTGGAGATGCTGGGATAGCATTTGGACAGAGCCCTCAAGGGAGATGAAGAAGCTAAGTAATAGCGCTCTCTATTGTCTATCCTCCAGTGGTATGATTCAAAAGTTAACAGATCTACTGACGAAAACTCAGAGCAATCTCCATGCTGAATCCAGCTTTGATATGGTGATTTCAAACATAAATTGCTAGGCATATATAGGTTTCCCACAAGCAAGGACTTTCCATAATATGAAAAGATGAATTATGGGTGATGGCAAAGAGATTCCCGTCACACTCAATCGGTCCGCCTTGGCTTCAAAGTATATGGTGCTTCCAGAAAGCGGAGGTTCCCTAAGCTTTTTGAAAGGGGGGAGAAGTATCATAATTTAGCACCCTGGAGGTCATTATTAGGTAGAGGCGCCATAGGTGATAATAGAATAGTCAGTCCATCATATTTGACCTGGCCGGACTGCTGTTCCCTAACCCAAAACCTGATGGTAAAGGCAATGTCATCATGACGGTTGAACCACCAGGAAGTGCACGGATGCCTATCACGAGCTGGGCATTTAAGCGCCCACAGAATTCTAGGCATGCGAATATTCCTTCCTCCCATCGTCTATCCTCGAGGCATTGGCAAATCAACAAATCCCACACGCTCACGCTCAAAATAAACCACAGACCATACACAATGGAGCAGGCCCGTCCCCTCAAACACACGGACATTGATACAAAGGGTCCAATGTATCATTGCCTCTCCGCTATTCAGACCTCCTTCTGGAAACTGTATCAGAGTGGCAGGTTTGCCGACTTCACTGTGACCTGTCGAGGTCGAACGTTTCGTCTGCATAGGGCTATAGTATGTGCCCAGTGCCCATTCTTTGCCGCAGCTTGTGAAAAGCCGATCAATGTGAGCATTGCTAGCCTAGTGGAGGCGATGACATGCTTCCTATGCGTTTGGCACTGACAATCACCGAGCCGGACCCGAAAAGAGGAACAGTCAATACGCCCAATGTTGACGAGGTCAATATTGACGAGGATCCCAAGCTTATGGAGCTGCTATTCCAGTTCCTGTACTTGGGAAATTACTCGGACGGAGAGTACTCTGGCGAAATCCCGTCGATTCAGGGAGTCATGGATGCAAAGGAGATCCAGGAAGAGACGCTGCTAAATGTTCCAGGTGCACATGAGCCGCTCTATCCCCTTAGCTATGGACTCAGCTGAAACCATTCATTACACAGATACCATCCATACGATGGACTTTGAGGCGGGGAGGGAGGAAGATGAACTCACCGTGGAAAGTGAATCCTGGGGCAGTGCTCATGACTCGAACCCCTTTGAAGAATCTGGAGACGAAGAAGAGTACGACTCTGACAACTCCGAAGAGGAAAAGCCTATAACAAAGGACGAGATGTGCGATGCTGTATACTACCCGTCAGCCTTGCGCACGTCTGTCCAGTTGTACGTCCTGGCGGACAAATACAAGATTCCTGTTCTTTGTCAGCTGGCGCAAGAAAGATTCATGCGCTCTGCCGAGAACCCGCGGATGAAGATCGACGACTTCTACAATATCATTGACACAGTATGCACCTACACCCCGGCAGGCGATCCTTTGCGGCAGTTTGTGTGCAACATCATCTCGCCCCAGTACTATAGCGACAGCGATATTCGATCAAGCATGCAACGGACGATGGAAAAGCACCCGGACTTTGCAGCTCTAATGATGAACAGTATCTGTACTTTGGCAAAGAATGACGAACTTACTAAACGTCTTCGGGATCTTGCTGAAGAAGAAGAAGAAGAATAAAACAATTGGGTGGTTGATTTCGTGTTAACTAAGGGATATGAAAACGAGGGGGCGGGGATGATTGATGGCAAGGAAGATGCTTAACAAAATCCGATGTATGGTTTCTTATTGCTAGTTCTGGTTGTTTTAATAGGAGGTGTTTCTTTAACGCGTGGATATTGGGAATTTTTAAAAGATCAATCAGTAGAGATTAGTTGATTAGACATAGCCATAGATAATGTTAAGACGAGAAGATCCAAAAAAGAAGTTTTAATTCGCTTTCAGAATTGAATTTGCAATCTCTCATTAGAACAAAGAAAAGGCTTTTTTTCTTCTCGTTACATAGAAAATATGGCAAACAGAATCCAACACGCGGCGCTAAAAATCAGTGTAAATCTTTCCATAAGACCGCCCGTCAATTTCATCATCAACCATTAAGGTGGCACAGCCTGGAATCATGACGATATCATAATGCACCTTATAGTACCGGACACCTTGGGAGTTCGTGGCCTTGTCAAGTTCCGACTTCGGAATAGAACTAAAGTTCCACCTCTGTTTGCAAAGCTTCTTGACATCTATAGATTGGAGGGGTTAGTTGAAAATGCCAGATAGATCGATTATGCCTACTTACCGTTTCCATTATATTTCTCTGGTGGCGTATCTTTGTCACAGACATAGATATTGTCATTTCCTGACATTTTTGAATTTTTGTTGAAGATGCGTTGGAACCGATGTTCAATCCGCTTGTTTGGTCTTATGACATCGCCCTGTGATGCTATTAACTCATGGCAGTTTATGTGAGTTGTGGGTTGAAGCAACCTTTTTGATAAACCACCGCATTCGGTCAGGGACCTTCCATCTTTCGTCAAGATCGTCCCAGTACACCTTTTCTCCTTGATGTTTCAAGGGGTCATAACGCGTTGTATATAGAATTCCATAGCTACGGGTTGCAATTCGGGCCTTGTCAAACTCATTACGAAGTCCAGTCAGAGCAGCTCCACTGCATCGTACTTAGTGAGGCCTCTCGGATACTTTACTTGATTCTTCTACTCACCGTGCAGCAGAAGCCCAGCTGGTATATCATCAGTATAATCCTCAGCATTCTGGAAGGTTAACTCACGCATTGTCTTGTTGCATGATCTGGAGCCGCGGATATGCCGCCTTCAGCTCGTGGAACAGGTATTTAGACGAACCGAACCCGCCGACCAAAGCGATAACCTGGATGTCTTATTAAGCACTTTCTCCCGTATCGGCCTCAAATGAATTTATGTATATACCTGGATCTTTCGCTCCAGGGCTTTCGACTTGCTAATCTGGGTAGCGACCAGGTTCTTGACCTTCTCGATCACGGGATCAAAGATGCCCTGAACCTGAGATCTGCGGGAAGTGTTAGCACAACTTCAGCGATTAACCTGCTGAACACGGACCTCTCTATCGACAAATAACCGTCTTTGACCCCAAAAGAGGGATCATCTTTGACACCGGGCATTGGCACCAGATATGTCGAGTCATTGCCATCACTCTGTCCGAAGCTTGGCTTGATGATGTCTCGCCAGTGGCGCATTGCTGCCTTACGAGTATCTGACGGAAGTCCGGAGTAGACTTCATACCCAAAAAGCTTGATCAGGAGAGCTTTGAAGAGATCGTCTAGCATTTCTGATCCGAAAGATTCGCCTATCCTCGTGAGCACGATTCCATTCGTCCCTGAAATCGAAACACTTACTGGAATCCGGCAACATCTGATAGCCAAGAATGCCATTACCCAAGTGGTGGAAGCTTAAATCAACTTTAAAGCTTCCAGCATCGACCAGCAACAGGTCGTCAAATTGCTAGAGTACTCATCAGCTGTGCCTAAGCACAATAAGCAGCAGGAGAAAACATGCCTGAGCACTATCAGTAGCCGAGTAAAGGAGGCAGTCGTTTCGAGCTGCATCAGTGTCACGTATCATATTGAACGAACTTTTGTTAATCCCAGCCTTGATAATTGCTTGCTTCAAGGCAGCAACTGCTGGACTCGGCCAATGAGGAGGCATGGTGAAACAATACTTCATATCCATCTTCTTCGCCGCCTTACCGAGCCTTCCCAGTGTCGCCGACTGGGCATACTTGACGAGCGCCTTCAGGTAATCAGCAGCCACGTCGACAGGCTTCTTACTCAGCCCCTTGAGCAGGAGCTTAGTTTCCACCGCAGGCTCGTAGTCTGTGTCATGCTCGCTATCGAGGAGGAGCTTGATCGCGCGGACCACATTCTCCTCGTCTAGAGAAGCAGTTTCGTAGCCCCAAGAGATCTTCTTACCCTGATAGGCGATGGTGCTAGGCACTTTGGACTTAGGTTCTATGGTAGGTGTTAGAAACACTGATCATGATATTGCAAGATGGCTGCGAGATGGGAACGTAGATATCCGACCTTCGCTACCGGGCCAGTCATCAATCACTTGTGCCCTGTTTGACAAGCCCTTGAAAGAGAAGGCTACGCCAGTGTAGGTGGTACCGAGATCTATGCCAATGCGAATTTCTCCAGTACTCTTTGATCCCGACTTCCAAAAGCAGAAGACCATGGTGAGTGAGATGAGAATTCGGTTGATAAAAACGGAAGATTGTCGACGCACAGGAAGTTGAGAGGAAAAAGAAAAAAGAAAAAGAAAACGTATGCCCAGGAGCAGAAACACCAACACTTTCTTTTATGTGGCTTTTTACCCCTCAACGGAAGTATAACTTTCGGAATCATTGAACTGGCCAAAGTCCGTAACCATGACATCTTTTTAGCTTTCCAGGGAGTTCACTCACCTATAAATTTATACTTTCCTTCTCTAATCCTCTCAAACCTGAAAAAGCCTCATTTTCAATACCTCGCGCTTTCTCCATCACAATAAATCCAAATATATTGTCCCAAGCCCATCGAATTCAAAGACGTCAAGAAAAGAATCCCCCACCGTCAAGATGTCGTCCACCAGCAATCTGGACCTTGAGGCCCCAGAATCAGAACACTACCAGAGCCCAGCATCACCGATTCCAGAGCACGCTTTCGGGTCCCCCAAACCTTCCAGTGAGAGCACATCCACCGAAGTCGAAACTGCCCAGAACACAGAAGGCCATCACTCTCCGAACTCAGACCACGAAGTTGGGTACGGTTCCGATTCGTCCGAATCCTCAATCACGGCGGACGAGACACCGGTCGCCAGCACAGAGAATCCTTTTCCATGTTCTTATCCATCCTATTATCACGGAATATATTCCCACCACGAAACATACTTCCCCATGTGGAAAGACGCACAGGAGAATGATTATCGGAACAAGTACATCAAATTTCTGAACGCGCGCATCAGTTACCTCGAATCGGAGCTTGAAAACCAGCTGACCCGGAAAGAGGCCAAGATTAAGGAGATGCAAAATCGCATCGATATGCTGGAAGCGCAGGTGGAAGGGGAGACGGACCAGAAACAGGGAATCTTCGACAAGCTTGATGAGCTCGAGAGTATGCTCGATGGTCAGATACCATGATGAGCGAATGGAGTTACTCGGGACTAGGTGCCAATGACCTTCAGGAATAAGGAGACTCTTCTAGCTGGGTTTGTTGGGAATAATAGGTGCGGATATACTTTCCGTGATGATAGATTAGAGCATCAGGAATGTGGGTCGGGTTTATCTTCCGAGAGATTTTCTATTGTTTGGTTGCTAGAATATCGAACGTGATAATTTGCAATAATGATACGTTTACTTCTCTATTCTGCTCAACTTCTTAAGTTCGGTAGCTTGCTCAATATAACCGAGTAATTTAACCCAATAATGTAGATGTCGTCCAGCACAATTCAAACACTCTCATCACCCAACGATTCAACCGCAAAGAGAACATAATATAGGCTTTTGAGGAGCTATTTCTCATTAGCCGCGATCTAGACCACCACGTCCAGCTTCCTGAAGCATAACTTAAAAACCTAGGATCACTCGCGCGACGCTGCAGGGGTCCCAATCACATTAAAAACTCCCGGTCTACAACTTAGAGTAAACAAAAACTACCCCTCCCATGTATCCCACGTGATACCCTGACCATATGAAAGAGATCATAGAAAATAAAAAGAATCCGATGATCCAACAAGCAGCGACCAAAGTGTCCATCCAGAAAAAGAGGGATAATCCCTTTACCCACAAAACAGCCAAACCGAGGTCCAGACCTTCACCCAAAGTCCCAAGAGCGGAGAAGGAAAACCGAAAAAGTAATGCGCTAACGCAGTGTCTGCGGAAATGAAAACGAACCAGGTTAATGAGACATTATTAGGCAAGAGCCGATGCAGACTAATTTCGGACCGACAGGGATGCAAGCCAATGAAGCGTCGCAGTTAATTTATTTTCTGCGCTCACAGCCACAATCTCCTGCAGGGTTTAACTCAGGGAGTGGAGGAAAGTAAAACGAGTTCTCATTTCTGGTTCAATCTGTGAAGTAATATCTAGGCGGGGGAATGGGGAGTGCAGTAGGGACGTAGTAGTATAGGAAATTGGAAATGAGATGCACCGAAAGAAAGAAAACAAGCAGGCAGAGGCAAAAGAAAAGAAAAAGAGACAGCAATATATGAAAACAAAACCAGCAATCAACTAAACCCCATTCTTAAACCCACTTCCACCAGCATCCGTATCAATGCGAACCGAATCCATCAACCCACAAACCTCGAAGATCTTCTTCGGCCCCAGTCCGTCCGGAATGCCCGTGATCCCGTCGGTCTTCAGACGCTCCAACGCCCCCTTAATGCCCAGGTAGGCCGGAGCTAACGAAGCAAACGAGAAGATCATAATGCGGAAGCCCATCTGCTGGGCTTCCTTGGTGGTGATGACCGGCCCCGCGCCGTTCTCCACCATGTTCAGCAGCAGCGGCCACGGCGCGAGATCCTGCACCGCCTGTCGGGCTTGTTCCTTGGACGTGAATCCCTCCAGGAGACCCACGTCGGCGCCCAGGTCGCGCGCCGCCTTGAGACGCTTGATGCACTCGTCGTAGCCGTGCTGCTGCAGCGCGTCGGTGCGTGCAATCAGGACAATGTCCGAGTGCAGGCGGTCCTTGGTCAACTTGGCGGCGCGGATACGGGTCAGGTATTCTTCGATGTCGACGACGCGCTTGCCAGCCAGGTGGCCGCATCGCTTGTTCTGGATCTGGTCTTCGATGTGGAACCCGGCGACGCCGGCGGAGATGTATTGCTGGACGGACTTGGAGACCATCAAGGGGCCTTGGATTGTCAGATGTGCTGGGATGAGAGGAAGAAGGGGAATGGACATACCGCCATAGCCAGTGTCCATGTCTGCAATCAGGGGAGGACCGTAGGGATCCAAGTTGGCAATCATCTCGGCATTGGTGCGCATGTCATACAGCTGAGCCAGACCGAGATCTGCCATGCCGAGTCTAGAAGCCGTGGTTCCGGCGCCGGTCTTGAGGAGTCAACATCATGCCGCTGGATGGAACTAGATGAGATGTACTCACCATGTAGAGAGCCTTGAAGCCAACTTCCATGGCAACCCGAGCCGACAGGCCGTCGTACACACCAGGACACACGATCAATTCGTTGGTATCCCGCAGCTGACGGCGCAGCTTGGATGCGCCGGCCAGCATGTGCAGCGAGACAGTAGGCTCTTGACGGGTGCCATTGACCTCGTAAAAGCCATCCTTTTCGACAGTTATGGTAATGGCCATGCTGGAGTTGGAGGAGGAATCTTCAACCTTCATTGTGATAGATGCAACTGAAACCCAAAGAGATTGAGGAATGATGGTATGAGAGGAGATGTTGAGAGGATGAGAATGATACTGAAAATCAAACGGACTGAAGGATCCTTCGTCCGGTTTATATACCCCAGATTTCCCTACTCCCCATATCCTTCAGGTCATCTCCCTGGTCCTTCTCCTTCTCCCCTCGGGGGAAATTCCATCCGTCAGTGTGACTGACAAGGTCATCCCCTCCCTCTCCACCCCCAGACTGCGACGCGATGCTATGCCAGGTATCTCATACCCCTCCCTCCATGGCAACGAAATGCAACTCAAGTGCTTGGCTGAGGCAACAATCCGGGTCAATAGCCGATGACGATCATTGTCCCCTCCATGAGAAACACACTTAGCAGCGCATTGACAGACGAATAGAAAGCGCCAAGGCATTTTCCAGGACGCGTATACTCGCTCGATGTCTAGAACTCCCCGGAGGCCGGAGGGCCCGAACAGAATCAGTCACAAGAGTCTGGACCAAACCCATGTAGAGAGGGGAGGAGGGGGCGCCACAGACGAAGCAGAGGGAGACTGATACCAACCCCGTCACCTCCCAAGAGTACTCGCTGGATATAGATCTTGGCGAAAGATAAGCAGTCAGCCACAGCACGGTAGGAACTTGCTCCGAGAGGAGCGAGCCCGCTTTCACTTTCGGATAGTCCGCCTGAATAGGCGAACCTTGATCCGGACCGGATCCATCGCGATGAAGCACGCCAAGGACATTGGCAATAGCTCGGTGGGCAGATGAGTGGACGAGAGCAGAAATACGAGCGGGAGATGGGCTCGATTGTAGGGCTCGACGCATGTCAGATGTCCGGAGGCACATGTTCGGCGGTTTTGCGTGCGTCCCTCCATCTCTTGATTTGCTTGAGATGACGCAGGCCGTCTCCCTTTCTTGGCTTCATTCTTTTGCCAATCGTCAGTGACCGGAGGACCTCATTTGCGGATCTGATCTGCAGAGCTTCGTCGCCAAGATTCGCTCGGAGAGTTTCCTTTTCTCTTCGTCCTTTTCTCTTCGTCGCACTGCTGAAGATTAGCCAAATGGGGGACATGCAGGGTGATCTACTCGAGTTAGTGCGAGTGATCGTGTCCTTTTCGTCGGTGGCAATCCGCCGAATTCGGCAGCGCCAGCCTGAATGGGTTTTTGTTTTTCTTTCTCCCCGACTCGAGGCGTGGCACATGCTGATCAGGGGTGGGAGGAGACCGCGGTGTCACCCTCAATTGCCTCCTCTCGTCGCCTAGAGTATTGAGTTTGGACAAGAGATGGGGCGCGCAATGTCGACCAGCAGACGGCATGGCGGCCATTCCTTCGTACGACCTCAGCAACAGTAAGCCCGCCGAGTTACACAACCCATACTTGGATGACAACATACACATCCAAGAATATAGACATGGACATATTCACGCACTCCCTCACGAAAATCACGACATTCCCCTCCTCCCCATCATTTCCCACGGGGTAACGCAACTCCTCTCCGCTGGCCTCCTCCCAAGGTGCAGGAGCCAAGCAGCTTGGCATCGTGAACCCGACTCTCGGCATCACAGCGATCGCTCTTCTCCCCTCCTTTGTTGCCACGGGTCGGTCCGTAAGCCAGTCGTGGATATTAATTAGTCCAATACGGTGTCTCGCAAGCGATTCGTACCAGACAGTACCGGTTTGTTGGCCGTGCGTCTGTCTCGGACCGAGTTTAGTCTAACTCTGGATTTGATACTAAGGGCTTGGGAGTGGAGGCTGGCGCGTATATCTGACACACCTCGATTGAGAAGTGAATTACCGGCGAATTTCGTCTAATACGGAGGGATTTTTAGGGACGTGATTGGGTTAAGATAGGTAAGTGGTCAGACTGTGTGGACATGGCTGGCTGGCCTAGGAGTGGTTGCTTTACGGTTAGATGCTATGGACATTATGGTCGTTTGGCCAATATTGTTCGATTAGTCGCCCATGTGTCGTGGTTCATCGATTTATCTGTGATATTGTTGTGATTTCTCATCAATTCCCATCCGAAGTGTCAATACAGTAGGACTGGTACTTTGTTAGTCACTTCATCCATGAAGAATGCTTGGCGATTCTTTTACTTAATCGTCTGATTAAATGCGTTATTTTGGCTACAGGAATTATTCCTGGTAGATTGTTCCACTTGACAAAAAGTGACTAAGTAAATAAATTATCCCTGTGATATCAATTAAAGCCGGTCTTTAATCAAAGCCGATACTACTTTCCTCAGCGGCCCCGTACTTCTTACCTCATGGCATATTTACGGTAACTAGAAGCTACCAGCGCTTATTCCAAGATCTTTACAGCAAAATCCGGTTACCGAGAGGCAAAGCTGACATTATTTCATCCTATCAGTCGAGTCAATATTCTCTGAGCGCCCCTGCGCATTAGATATCGGTAATTATTTGCAAATCCAATCGATCGATCAGAACCTGCATAAACTACATCTATTGGACACAGATAGTCACTTAGCGAGTCGAAGAAATCAAGAATAATACACTGTTGAATTTTGACCTGTTTCGGGGATCGACGCCTCCGATTAACGGCTTCGGGGGTTCCATGTGTCCGCATGTCCGCGGCCATTTCTTGCCCTAGCTGCGTATCTAGCGTATCAGGGTCCCTCGGATTCCGAAACTAATTTCTATTGTACTTTCCCGATCGCCGTTTCATTTTCTACATTGTATGCCTTTTTCAATACTATCATTCAGACGAGTGTTGAGGATTCGAGGCCATTTTCGCATATATCTTAACGATGTACGGCTAACACTGTCTCATCTGGCCGCTGTCCGCGGAGATTCTGGACATGAAACTAGAGGGAATATTAATCACTTAGAACACGAAGAAATTAAGCGTCACGGAATCTGCAATGTAATGTCATGTCAGCATAAGGTTCCGTACTACAAGGAATGTCTGCCGTAACGATTGCATTGCCGTATCCGTATTCTTTCATCCATCACGCATCATATCCACGATTTACCACGTTGGCATGCGCATTTACCGAAGAAAAGCTGTATATACCCAAAGAATATTATCTAGATTGACCAGGCTAGCTAGAACAGCAGGATAGACCCCATTACCGCTGAAATAAAACCACAAAACCGTTTTAATACCACACCACAAGCCAACATCCATGCTCCTGCGCCGAGCCTCAACCTGCACATGCACATCGCTCAGGCCGATGACCCTTCGGAGACACTGACGTCCACCAATCTGCTTCATTCCACACTACATCTCGCATCGAGCGCGCCTATGCATGTTGGGGTGACAAAGCCGTTGCGTTGATTAGGGCTAGATGGGTGTCTTCACTCTCACCGGATCGTCAGTCCTCTTGGCGAGAATGTTTCCTGGACGCCTGAGAATGAGATGGGTGTTATCATCGAGGATTGTCTCAAGTGTATCTGGTCATTTCTTGTCCTAGGCAGAAGTCTTGGACGGATAGACAGGGAGGGTAGGGGCCAAGAGGAGGGAGCGCCGCGAAGAATGCGTAAGTCTGACGAAATAACGCCTCCTCCAGACCCCCCCCTACACAGCTGCTAATCAACACATTCATTAGGCAAAGCAACAGCCACATCACAAACCTCCGACTTGGCCACATCCCTCTCGAAACTCCATCCAAGACCAGTCTAGTCTTGGCCACCGCCCAGACACCGGAAATACCCTGCCTAAAATGCACGCCCAGCCGACGCTCTCCGTCTGCTTATCCGATCTGCAAGAATCGATAAACAAGAGCAATACCAAGACCGAAACCAAAACCAAGACCTCGATCCCCCCCTCCCTCTCTCCCTCCCCTCCCCTCCTCTATCATCTATCTCCAGCGCCAAGAAGGAACCCATTCCGAAATCTCCATCGCGGGAGCGCCCAGCCCGAGCAAGCGAGGAACGGTCACCCGTGCTCGATTCTGCGCGCAACACACCCGATTCGTCGCCCGCAGTCGGATTGCAGATATCCTCTCCAAGAGGTGGTATTGCGTGCCTTGGCTCCTTGGGTGTTTGTTTCGCGTGCGATGATTTTCCGGATCGTCGCGTGCTTTGCTTACGGCGTGGAAGGAGGGAAGAGGGGCTGGCGAGAGGAGAGGTCTGAAGATCAGTACGCCTACGCCTACGCCTAAATTCTGTTCTGGTCCGGATGTATAGAGCGATGTGACAGTGGGAGCACTGTCTTCCGTCGTGATATTGATTGGACTAAGGGTGATATTGAGCGGGATGCCGGATAAAGGTAGTATTGATTACATAGTTCCTAGTACTTACGCAGGACGAAAGCGGCAGGACTAGGTGCATTAATCAGTGATTGATAATGCATTCTGCTGGTAGGTATTATGGTTATCAATGCAGTAATCTCTGCTGAGGACTGAGGAGACAAGTGGAGCTGCTGTGGCGAGTGCAGTCCGTCCCCGAAGTGGATTCCCGGGATCATCTCAACCTGAAACCGAGCACTTAGCACTTCCCTTCCGGTCTGGAGGGGTCCGATTCGAGTAATCTCGTAATGCCTCCACTCGATGACATCCGGATTCATTCGAACTAGACACTGACCCGGCCTGCGCACTCCACTGACTGACGAAAGACCACACCCCGTGGGGGACCCCTCTCTGCCAACTGCCAAAGGTCCCACGGGTAAATGGACTTGCATAGTTAGTCATGCTCTGTTCTGCAGACAGCTCGGGAGAAGCACCGAGATTCGGACCGCGGAGACCAACGGGTGTCGATCATAGAGCCACTAGTTCTGGGTGTCTGGGCATTCTCGTCCGAGATGTCCAGCCCATGGCCCGGCGGTCTCCACGCCACGAAATCCATATCGAAGACAAAGTGATTGGCCTATACAAATCGCTCAGCACTCACATGTCGAGTCGCAAGCTCGATCACGCAGCTGAGCACCAAGACTCACTCACTTACTCACTCGTCAGGATCTCTCTCCACCACCGGACGGACAGGGCGCTCCGCCGAGACCACTACGAAGCCAAGACGATGATTATTGCCCCCGACGTAATCATACGTGGTTGTGAAACGCAGGCCGACTGGGCAATTATCTTACGCCGAGAGGTTCAGTCAAGGAACATGTTTCTCCCAATGCCCTGCTGAGGACTCTTGGTTGTGTCATCCGAGAAGATCTGAGGAACGCAGACGGTCCACAACTGCAGCCTTGCCAGGCAGAATCGTAAGATGCTTGGATTTGTGGAGTTGTGTTCGTGCCTAGTAGGGCTGGAGCTGAAGAGTGTTGGCATTACATACTGGACTGGTGAAAAGTACGGTCGATTTCTCGATGATGGTATGTGATGAGGGATGGATTAGGCGGGTTTGAAACCATAGTCGATGTCAGCTTTACTGGTCCTCTTTAGTTAGGATCGAGGGATCGATAGGGTTGTTGCTGGCTGTGGCTGGCTGGCTGAGAGAGCCAATTGGGATCAGGTCGAGATTGAGGAATGTCCATGTCCAGTGCTACCGTGGTAATTATTGCCTATAGAAATTAGTGCGATACTTTCATCTGACACTTCTGTGTCCAATCAGCGCGAAACGATGCTATCGCTATCGGTGGCACATCCCTTACTTACAGCCACAGATGACAACCTCACCCACACCGAAAAGGGTGACCATAAGCGCCGTGAAGAAACAATAATAATATTAAAAAAAGAAAGAAAGGAAGGAAAGAAAACTAACGAATAAAACACAAGGATCCTCCCACAGCAATTCTATGGCAACAGAAACCGAGCCAAACCAAGGCCCCGCCGACCCCTGCAATACTCAACAAATTATTGATATCCGCCGGAGATGACCAAATCCCTCTGCTGATATCCACCGCCAAGAGGGCCTGCAGAAACAAGAGAAATAGCGCAGATTCCGGTGTCGGGCATCGTGTGCAAGCGATGAGATGAGATCCCCGGCGAGTTTCCGTTAGTGTCACTCTCGGCGGGACGGAGGTGGTATTGCGTGTCTTGGCTTTCTTGGAGCGGTGCCTATTGGCCTGTGGGATTTTGTTTTGCTCGTTGGCGTGCGATTGGTGAGTTAAAGGGATCGACGCTGAGGGGTTAAATTGGGACGTTTGGCTGTTTGGTCTGGGTGTTTTTATGCCCAGGTCGATGGGTATACTTTGCTTCCCCTCTCTTTCAACTTTTTCGGATTCGTTTTGATCTTTACTTTTCGTCCAGGTGAGGTTTAAGGTCCCTGTGCTTGAGACATGTCCGATGCGTCGTATCCCAGAAAGAATCGTCTGTCGACGTTTCTGCGCGCCGATGTCCAGCCCAAGTATACGGACTGGCTGCTGCTGGCCTGCTGCTTCACGTCAGGGATAGTGGACAGCACGATATACAATGGTCTGTTATCCTGCTCTCAGCCACCTGTTCCTAATCAAGATGATAAGATACTAACCAGCACCAGCATACAACACCTTCGTCTCCATGCAAACCGGTCCGTCCCCACCCATCTCCCATCCATTCACCTCTCACTGACGAACCACACAGGAAACACAATCTTCGTCGGGCTGGGCGCCTCAAACCAAAACCCGCGTCCATACGGCTGGGCGCGCTCCCTGACCTCCATCGGGTGCTTCATCCTAGGCTCATTCATCTTCGCGCGCCTCAACCGCCTCCTGGGCCCCAAGAAGCGCGGCACCCTGATCCTCTCGTTCCTGCTGCAAGTGGCCATGCTGATCCTGACGGCCGCGCTGGTCACGGGCGGCGCGATCGCAGGCATCCCCGAGAACCCGTACTCGACCAGCGAGGCGGAGACCGAGTGGACGCAGGAAGTACCCATCGTGCTGCTGAGCATTCAGTCGGCGGGACAGATCGTGGCAAGTCGTGCGTTGGGGTTCAATGAGATCCCCACCGTCGTGATTACGAGTCTCTTGTGTGATCTGATGTCTGATCCGAAGCTGTTTCTGCTACGGAATGAGAAACGGGATCGCAGGGTCATGGCGTTTGTGTTGACGATGGTGGGCGCGATTGCGGGCGGTTGGATCACCAAAGGCACGGGCGATATCTACGCGGCGTTGTGGATTGCAGCCGGGATTAAGTTGGGGATTGCGGCGGCTTGGGTGTTTTGGGGTGTAGAGTTGGCTGCTTGATTGTGCTTGTTCTGTTTCTGTGTTTATTTCAAGACTCTTTGCCCTTGTGGCTGTTATATCTGCTCTAGATAGCTTGCTTATATACCCTTCTCCCACCCATTAAACCCCCCTTCCTTACACTAAACCAAGATAAAAAGCTCAAGCAACCCAAATATTATCCTCCGCATAATCAAACCCAACCCACGAATCCTCAAAATACCTCTCCAGCACCACATCCCGATACCCCATATCATCAACACAATAATCGCCCCCAGACGGGGCAATATGCGAACAATGCATATCGGGCCGATACCCAACCATATGCTTATGCACCTCTCTACACAGCAACGTATCCCGTCCCAGCTCAAACGGCTGCCCGAACCGCGTCTCCTCCGTTAGATACTGCACGCACTGCTCGTGGCTCTCATAGTGCTCGTAATCGCCGCAGTACTTCATGCTCTGCGCGCAGATACTATCCGCGACAATCCCCGCGATCTTCGCCTGGGTTTCTGCCTCGGATGTTGTGTTGAAGTTCTTCGCGGCCACGGTGAGCAAAGTCGAGACGTAGTAGTCGAACCAGCGGAAGGTGGCGTCGTATTGGGCGATTTTGCCGTCCGGGTTGAATTCGATCCAGGTATCGATAACCAGCGGGAGGAGGACGTTGAAGGTGGTCACGTTGAAGGTCAGCACGGTGGTGGCCGCCGCGAGGTTCTGGTTTCCGGCGAATTGCGTCACGGTGTAGTTTATCGGCACGCCGGTGAGGCTGATGGTGTCGGGCTGCGCGAACAGTCCGAAGATGTATTCGTTGTTGAGCTCGCGGCCGTCGAAGGTTCGGGTGATGTCGACGCGGCCTTGGATCTGTTTCATTCATTTGCGTTAGCTTTTGTTTTTGTTGTGGTTAGGGTTGGTTGGTGGTGGTCGGTTGGGGATAGTGAGAGGGGAGGTAGGGCTGGGGGTTGTGTCATATCAAGGGATGGATGATGTGCAGGTATAGCTGCGAGTTTCCGTAGATGCAGGTTCCCTATGCATCCTGCTTGACCAGAGGAACGTACATCTTCAGCAAACACCGACTCATCCGTCGCGTTGATCTGCTTCAAGTTCGCCGGATACAAGAACTGATCCCAGAAGTTATGTTCCATCTTCCAGAGCTCGTCGAACGAGAACTCATGGCGCTGAGCCCCAACCAGGGATAAGAGTCCCCAGCAGGTACATGCCAGGAGAGAGAGAGTATGCCTCGCCATATTCAAAAAAATAAACTCGCGATCAAACCCAGGAAGTTAATCTGCGAGATAAGACTTCAGGACAGTACCCAGTACCCAGTACCAGTGCCCTTATTTATACGCCGTCAGCCTCACCATCTCATTACCAAATCGGATCTCGTGGCTCAGCTCGCGGATTCATGTGGTATCCCTTGCAGGGAGATCCTGGCCCGATGGGGTCGGCTCTCGTATAGCTGTGTCGATCATGGCCCGTTCGCATTCCGCTGACTGCATTCCAGTCAGACGAGTTGGAATCCAGCCTGACTGGTCTGTTATTGATTCCGGATCCATTGGATCACTGAATGTGACTGGTCGGGTCGGGTGAGCTGTCCATCCCCGAGGTGGATTATTGGATTCAGATCCTAGCTGCCAACGTTGGGCTGACTTGCCCTGGTGGTTCAGTACAGGTGATCAGTTTGTTCAGCTACGGGTACTTATAATCTTATATACATAAATAGTGCCGACACCACCCTCCGAGACTAGTCCCAGCTTAGACAATGGGGTGCATCTTGTTAAACACGTTCCCGGGGTCATATCGCTTCTTGACCTCCCTCAGCCGGTCCAGGTTCTGGCCGTAGATGTTATTCACGACGGCATCGCCGGCTATTCCAGTCAGCATTGCATCATTCAACAATCAGGGGGTGGGGGCGGGAAACTCACGCTCCGCATAGTTAATATACTGCGGGACATCCTCATCGTCCTTCCCGGCGCCATGCACCCTCTCAAACTCCCCCTTAAACGACGCCTGGATCTCGCGCGCCCAGGCCCGATGCGTCCCATCCATGTCCGTCCCTGACCACCGCAGATTCAACAGCCCGTTCTGCGTCGCGCTGCGGTTCGCAAACGCCGTCGCGTCCAGCGGCACACTGCACGTCTTGCGCATGTCATACCACTCGAGCAGCAGCGCGGGGACGAGGTCCGGGAAGGCGGCGTTCTTCGCGTTGAGGTCGTCGAGGACGGAGCGCAGGAAGGTCGCGTCCAGCGGGGTCTGGAAGAACAGGCCCTTGAAGGTCTTGCGGTCGCCGTAGGTGGCCATGGGGTTTTGGAGGGAGTTCAGCTGCGAGTATGGGATCATGGAGACCATGTTGGCGACGGGAGAGAGGGAGAGGAGGTCTGCGAATCGCGCCTCGCCTTCGCTCTGGCTGCCGTTGTAGAAGACCAGCGTGTTCACCATCAGGCTGGGTGCGCCTGGCGGCTGGGCTAGAATGCACATCACGCCGGCCTTGGGGTCCGGGTTTTCGAGCTGCTTGTTGAGGGCGGCGATGACGGGCTCGAGTTTGTCGGGTCCGAATGAGAGAATGCCCGAGTAAACGGGGTTCGTCTGGACATAGGCCTGGAAGGTGAAGTCGACGACGACGCCGAAGTTGTAGCCGGCGCCGCGGAGGGCCCAGAAGAGGTCCTGGTGGGAGGCAGCGTCGGCTACGACGATCTCACCACTAGGCAGGACGACGGTGGCGGCGAGGAGGTTGTCGATGGTGAGGCCGTACATACCGCTGAGCCAGCCGTAGCCACCGCCGAGGGTGAGGCCGCCGACGCCGGTATGGTTGACGGTTCCGCCGACGGCGGCGAGGCCGTGCTCAGCGGCTTTCTCGTCGACGTCTTTCCACACGGCGCCGCCTTGGACGGTCAGGGTCTTGGAGTCCTCGTGCACGGTGACATGGTTCATGCGCGAGAGGTCGATGACCAGACCGCCTTCGCTGGAGCTGGTGCCGGAGACGGAGTGGCCGCCGCCTTTGACGGCGAAGTCGACGGTGTGTTCTTGGGCCCAGAGGAGGGCAGTGCGGACGTCAGCGGTCTCGGTGGGTTGGATGACGACGCCCTGGGTTTGGTTAGATCAGACGTACATGCATGCAGATGTATTAGGTGTATGGGTGTATGGGTGTATGGATGAGCGGACTTACCGCCTGCTTAACACCCGTGTCGGACCATCGGCGCAGACTCTCCTGGTAGCCGGGGTCTGAGGGCGTGAAGATGGTAGAGGAGGTGAGAGAGTTGCGGAGAGCTTGCAGGGCTGCGTCGGGAATGGCCATGTTGTATGATGCAGGGCAGATACTGAGAGCAGGGATGAGGAGGGGTAGTCAGGAGGTGAAGATCGGATCTGCGGGGTCTTGTTGATCCTTAGTGTGGCAGTTAGCGAGATCCACTTGTGTCATATGGTCGTCTTTCGTGTCTTGAGGACTCGAAGAAGACTCGACAACCAAGGAGAAAGCTCGTATTGACTCGCAGAGACTTTGGGTCTGAAGCTCTGGATTTCCCAATTGGGGGCCACGTGCGCCGGCGGATGGTGAACTTCTTTAATATCCTACTTTCCACAAGTTGGAAGCATCGATTAGTTAGCGAGTGTACCGAGGCAAAAGAAAAGAGAAAAGGAAACGCAAAGAGCATAAGTAGCACCTTGACTCGCGGTCGTTCCTCATGCGGTCGGCCTCCGAAAGTGCTCTCGGAAGTCCGAACAGGACGAGTAAGATCTCAAATCAAGAGCTCAACTCAAAGAAAAACAAATAATTGAGTCTAATCCTGAGCAATTGGTCACGATAGAAACTTAATTCGCCATTCGAGAACCCAAAAGGTAAAATACTGAGAACTTACCCCGTATTCCGGTGCTCTGTAGCGCCACAGGGCAATACCTGGCACTAATGTATATTCTGGCAGTCTGACATGCACCTGTCTCCTCGTAGCAACCCTTGAACTACCTACAGTTTAACTCTGCATGAACTTTAGTCGGAATATATATCTTCAAATTACTTACTAGAGTAGACTAACAAATCAAATGCATGTTCACTAAACATCTAAACCAAAGGAATTGAAGGATCTGAGATCGTCAGCACTAACCATAACCAATTCGCCGACGGAGCATCCTATCACGCCTTCAATTCCTCCGAACCAACAAGCGGTCAATCCTCAGTAATCCTAGATTTCTACATTTTACCTGGTTTATTTCCCTCTTCTTCATACTCTTGAACAGTTTCTACAAAATCTACCCCCCCTAACCCCTTCTCTGGAGTGATTGTCTAATCACCATGATCCTCCCCGGTCGCACGCTCCACACCCGCTCCATCATCCAAAACCTCAAATCACCCACCCTCCAAGTCCAACCCTGCGGCGTAGACCTCTCCCTCAAACGCGTCCTCCGCTTCACTTCCCCGGGAACCGTCGACTTCGATAACACAAACCGACAGACCGCTTCGACAGTCGAGATTCCCTTTTCGGAACCCTCCAATCCCAGAAACACCAACCCCAACACCGCCCCTACAGCTACAGCTACCTCTACACCCAAAAACCCCATCAACAACCCCGAAAGCAAAACCCTCCACCTCGCCTCAGGAACCTACCTCATCGAATTCAACGAAACCGTGACCGTCCCGCTCGACGTGATGGGCCAGATCTTCGTGCGCAGCTCGCTGTTCCGCTCCGGCGTGGCAGTCCACGCGGGCGTCATGGACGCAGGGTACTCCGGGGCCGTGGGCGCGTTGATGCAGGTGTCTAATGAGCACGGGGTGAGGGTGTCAAGGGATGCGAGGCTGGCGCAGATGGTTTTTCATTCTTTGACTGAGAGGACAGAGGGGTATAACGGGGTTTATCAGGGGGCGAGGGGGGTTTGATTCTTATGGATGGAATAGAAATGGGTTGAGGATGGAGGAAGAAGGATCTATATGTAAAAGTGGTAATGTCGTGAGATACTCTGTACTACTAGGCAGTGGGAGTAAACAGCAGGTGTACTCCGAGTAAAAAGAATCTAGAATCCTCCGTAATCAAGTCCATGCAAGGAGTACCGTTAGCGCATCGCTTGCGGCAGAACTCCGGAGACTTACTGCCTTACCCTGCGTCTGACCGGACTCCAGCTCTTCGTACTCCGTATTAGTTACTGAAAAAGCACCGTTATATGAACAAGCTCCCAGGACTCTTGGCTGCGGAGCTTCCAAGTTAGAGCCGACTCCGCAGAACCAAGGAGAGCTTCTAGAGGTTGTAGTTGTAACTAGGCTACAGACTGGAACGTTAAAGTACCCATAAGATTAAGAACAGAATCAATCATATGACAGCGCAAAAATAGACACCCAAGACTCCATGGTTTGCCAGTTCTGGGCGTTAATCTGCCGAAGGATGAAAGGATGAAACAATTCCAGCGTTCGTGCTTACCCGATCCGGTAGGTGGATATCGTGGCTTGACTCCGTTATTCTTATTAATGTGCGCGAGGATCCACTCATTTGATGTTTGGACTACTCCGTACGATGAATGGAATATTTATGCCTTGTGCTTGTTCTTTCAAACCATGGTTTAGCTATTGAGATGTTGTAGCTATCTGCATATCAAGCACTGTGGTTATAGAATCAGTCGTAGAAAAGGTCAGCTACAAACCCACCATCGGAGACAGTCATATCGTTAGTCATAGCCTCATTGTAGTATCTCCGTGGAATACCGCTGGTATAATTCTGGATACCATTTCTGTCCCACATCCGGGTGGCTGAGGATGCGGTTCCGCAGGTATGCTTCGCCAAACTACGACCATTAGCGCGTAATCGAGCATCGCAACAACGTAAACTCACGCAAGAGTACAACGGCGACAGGAACTCGCTGGGCACGTCGACAGCCCTCTTCTTCCGATCATCACTCGCCGGGATGCGCTCGACAATATGTTTGGCGGATTCCTTCAACTCCGCCAGCGTGAGATCCATCCGCACGCCCAGGAAGAACGGAATACTGTATCTTGTTGTGTTCACCGGAGCCTAGGTAAGATCAGTCAGAACTAATCGATCCAGCTACGAAGACCGAGGTATACCATCACGCGGTGCGTCGTGGCCGTGCAGATGCCTCCCGTGATGGCTTCGAATCCCTGCTGGATGTTCACCACCAGGCTACCTTTGATGGGCGGGGCATCGATCCATTCGCCCTTCTTGTTGAGCACCTGTAGCCCACCGGTGTCGTCCTGCGACAGGAAGGTAAACAGTCCGGTGGAGTCCTTGTGTGGTCCAACGCCTTGGGATCCTGGCGCGGCGGGAGGATACTTGATGAATTTCAACCGGTCCATGTTGCCCTTGAAGGACTCAAAGGTTGTCAGAGGCAGCGAGAGGCATTCTGACACGGCGCGCATGAACCGCCGCGACAACGAGGCCGATTCGCGGATGTATTCTTCGACGAGGTCTTTGGCGCCCGGGTGGTCGGGGTACTAGACATCCATCTGGCTTAGAGGGTGGCTACATTGCACTGATGCCGAGACGTAGAATGAGACACACCTGGCTGTCCCCTTCGAGCCTCTGCCAGAATGGGTCCTGAGGGGTCCACCGCTTCATGCCGGGGGTTCCGAAATCATATTGCTGGAGTATAGTCAGTTCATGCACCTGGGCAGCTGCCGACCTGCCGATAGATGGAAAAACATAATTGGGATGTGCGCTGTACATACCTCCCGCCAGTCCGTCTTGGATGCGGTCGTCTCGGCCCCCAGACGAGTATATCCCACGAACGAGGGCGAGTTGAGCATGTTGCATCGCTCCTTGACCTTGTCGGGGAGATCGAACAGCTCGGGTAATTGGGCATGGGCGCGCCGAATGAGATCTTCCAGGCCGTGGTTGGTCAGGTAGAGGAATCCGACCTGGAAGATGGCGTCGCGTAATTGCGCGAGAGCATGCGGTTTAGTGCCAGGGTCCTGCAGCCGCTGCCAATCGACGACGGGGATGGCGGAAAAGTCCCGGTCCATGATGGTATGCACCCCGTGAAATTGCAGGGAGATGATTGTAGGAAATTCCCAGGAGGACCGTTTCTTGTCGGCGGGGTTGGAGGATGAAGCGAGGCCAATCAGTCGGGCGGATTATGGCCTCATCGTCAGGCATCCTCTTACTCATCTCGTCTTACTCATCGGTCAGTGATCACCCCCTGACCGCTCAAGCCCTAAGCAAACCGTTTTTCTTGTCCGCTCCTTATAGGGATGAATGCGAATATCATGGTTCGACGCTGGTCTGCCCAGATGTTTCTCAATAGCGGACTTGGCTCTTGGCAGCTCTTGTCAATATCCACTGCGGATGACGCCTCAGGAACCGGCATCCGAAAACCCCCAGGCTTGGACTCTTGGACGCTGCCGGCATTTCTGTGACAATTCTTCCGTCGTCCGTGTCGCATTAGGACTTGCATGACCACAATCGCATCATGGATGAGCAAAATCAACCCAAATCACCCATTTCATCCTGCATAGACGCCGTGATATCCCCTCGCCCAGCTAGGCAGGCTAATCAAACCCCCGTTCTTGGCACGCCGTCCTGAAACGCACCAGTCATTTGTGGAAGTTCTCCGTGTCTCAATTAGACTATAGCTCGATCTCCTGCTAAGCCACGCCCCGACTAGTCGACCTTCTGCAGTCGGCACTGCTGTTCTGGGCACCACGACTCATGCTTGCCGGAGAATTGTCTCCTGTTCCTGTCCGCTTTGAGACTCGTGTGACGCCGATCCCATGAATCCGTCCACCTATGGATGTGGACCGCGCGTCTGGGCACTTTATCGACTGTGGACCTAGCTATAGTTCTCATCCATGGCGACAAGAGAATTACGGAGTATGTCCATGGCATTCGAGACGAGGACAGTCGCAGTCAGCGCCAGTATAAGTACCCTGGGATCTCTGCTCGTTCTGGTCTGATTTTTTTCGTTCTCCAGCAAGTTCTCTCCTGTCATTCTTTCCCTACTTCCTCACCTTTCTACCTTCATTCTTACATTTTCCTTTTATCTTTATCTTCCAAGCTTGATTCTGCGAATCAACTACAATCACAATGGTCAACTTCAAGCAGATCCTTGCGGTTGCCGCCGCCCTGTCTGGACAGGCTCTGGCTGCCCCTACCCCCACCACCAACGTGAAGCGTGCTTCCGCTGACGACGTGAGCTCTCTTTGACTCTACCACCTCTATCCATACTGACTGAAAAGGTTGCCTTCGGCTACGCCAGCCAGAACGGCGGCACCACCGGTGGTGCCGGCGGTACTACCACCACCGTCTCCTCGTACGCTGCTTTCAGCTCCGCCGTCCAGGGCAACGACGCCAAGATCGTCTACGTCGACGGCAACATCAAGGAGAACGCCAAGCAGATCAAGATCGGCTCCAACACCTCCATCATCGGAAAGGACGCCAACGCCATCCTCGAGGGATTCGGAGTGTACGTTTGACTCGTCCAGGCCTATAATCGATTGGATATGGAAAGCTAATCGTTGCACAGTATCGTCAAGGAGGAGAGCAACGTCATCATCCGTAACCTGGGTGTCAAGAAGGTCCTTGCTGAGAACGGCGATGCCATTGCCGTCAGTATGTATACCCACACTCCGAACCAAACCAAGCAGATCTAACAAACACAGACAAGGGAACCAACGTCTGGATCGACCACGTCGACGTCTCCTCCGACATGGACAACGGCAAGGACTACTACGACGGTCTGATTGACGTACGTCTCCCCTTCATCCCCTCCAAACCACTCCTCTCCAACCTATTGCCCATACTAACATCCTCCAGCTGACCCACGCCGCCGACTTCATCACCGTCTCCAACTCCTTCATCCACGACCACTACAAGGCCTCGCTGATCGGCCACTCCAACTCCAACGAGGACGAAGACAAGGGCCACCTCCGCATCACCTACGCCAACAACTACTGGTTCAACATCAACTCGCGCGCTCCCTCCTTCCGCTTCGGCACCGGCCACATCTACAACAGCTACTACGAGAACGCCTCCGACGGCATCAACACCCGTCTCGGCGCCCAGCTCCTCGTCGAGAGCAACCAGTTCGTCGGCTCCAAGAAGCCCCTCTACAGCGTCGACGACGATGGATACGCCGTCTCCAACGACAACGACTTCGGTGATGGCGAGAACGCCGCCCCCAAGGGTACCCTCACCTCCGTTCCCTACGAGTACAGCCTCGTTGGCTCCGGAAAGGTCAAGGCTGCTGTTGTCGGCACCGCTGGCCAGACTCTTACTTTCTAAGAATGTGCGGGCGGTTGCATTGTGGTTTCGCTTAGTTAAGTGAGATTGTGATGCTGCTTATGCTGTGCTGGTGGGTGCGGGGTTTTAGCTGAACACGAGGTGGATGCTAGTGTTGATTCTTTGTATATCTTCTTATGCGCGGGTCGTCGCTATCTTTTTATGTGGCTTGCCTATAGTCTTAATATAGTCAAGTTATTCCTTGCTCATTCTATTTCCGACTATCGAACTGAGTCTTACGTAGTATGTCAAGTATTCAGGTCTCTGATCCGAACAATGTGAATCAGGGATTTCATATCATCGATTCATTTCCCGCGATGCCTGACAATATCTCTGATATTCAACAAGCATTCATCCGTACTTCGTGTATCCTGAAATAACTAGACCTCAAGCGTCGTTTCGTCTTAACCATTCTCCCATCTCTCCCTCATCCTCTCAATGGTCCTCCAACTGAGTAGTGTCACGCCGAGTCTCCGACATCTTAGCTTCTAAACGCAAGCACTCAGCGCAGAATCCGAATCACACAGGACCGTAAAATTCGACGTCAACCATGAAGGTCTCTTCACCAACTATAAAGTCTCCTAATAACCTTTCCAAGCTCCTCATATCATCATCTCAAATCCCCACACCGCGGTAAGAAGTTCAACTCCCAACAAACTCCATCCACAAATCCAGAGAAATAACGGCTAGATTTCTCAGGCCGCGTCTATCCATTGCACCGAATATGATGAAACCCAGCATGAGCGCTCATACATAGCCTCGCGACGCCGGGCAATAGACGTCAGACGTCAGACATCAGACAGCAGTCATTATCGGATCATGAAAAGCTGCATTGCGGAAGCCACGGATGAGCAAGCACCTCCCGGCCACAAAACTCCTTCTCCTGTAGATAATAACTAGTAGAGTGTTGAGTACGCTTTTGATGATGAACCGAGTTTGTCTTGCTAATGGGCGCGGAGATCCTGTGACCTTTTCTTTTCTTTTTTGAGGAAAATAAATGGAAGATTTAGTGAGCTGAGCTGGTGATTTCATTTAGAATATAATCCGTTTCTGTCAACTGTGTAAATGTACAGAATGTCAGGGTATAGCAAAAGCAAACGTGCGTGGTGTGGTGCGTATAGCTTCATTACTTCCAAACTATGTAATCAATCATCATCAAATCTGCGGCCTTAGGTACTAACCACCCACCCGTGAAAATAGGTAGCCAACTTCGCAACGACAGTCTCAGCATAGATGATGAACTGTACATACCTCATAATTCGAATACAGGACGTGTGGAGAGTAGGTCCTTGATCAGAACTATAATTTCCAAAGTACAGCATAACACGCATAGCACAATATAATATAATATAGTATTGTAAACAAGGAGATATCCATCTAATACAATTTCAAAACGCTATCGTAATCTCGTAAACTGATCGATTCCAACCAAATCCAGTCCATCCAATCTTCCCTGTCCGACCGACCGACCCTCCTGACCGACCGACCAGTCCAGACTTGAAACTCCATACACCAGCAGAAGCAGTCCTCAATCCGAATCAATCCACACCATCACAGTAGAGAAGCCAGCAAGCGAAAGTCAAAAGCGACAGAATAACAGAACCGATAACCCGAACCCGAACCCCGACCCAGCCAAGCCCAATCCAGTCCAGCCGCAACCCCGGAAGAAAGAGAAACCCATGAAAGCAAGCAAGCCAACCAATAACCCGATGAGGGATACGAATCACCAGGAGCAGACAGTGTGACTACCTACACCTCGCAACCGAAAACTCCTTCTCATACGAATACGACGAGCTGGAACTCTGCTCCTCGACCGGCATGGGGATGCTAATTTTCGTAGCGTCGAACTCCCACGCGGCCTCGCGCGCCTCTTTCGAATTCTTGAGGTAGAACGGCAGCGTCCACTCCTTGAGCCGGCCCTCCAGGAAACTCATGTCCCGGTGTTTCTCCCACATGCGGCGCGAGGACTTGAATGCTGTGTTGACGGTTTCGCGGCGCAGGTCCTCGTAAGCTCTGAAGGCGGCGGAGAGGGGCTCGTGCCGGTGTTTGGCGAGGATGCGCGAGAAGAGGATCGCGTCGTCGAGGGCGTAGGCGGCGGATTCGTCGCGAGGGGGCATCTATTTTCTTGGTTAGTTTTTGCGGTGGGGGTGGGGTTTGTTTGGGGAGAGAGGGGCTTACGGCGTGAGCGGCATCGCCGAGGAGCATGACTCGGTCTGTGTGCCATTTTGAGCCGGGCTTTACCTGGTAGACAGGGTAGAGCATCCAGTCGGCGGATTTGCTGGCCATTTCACGGATGCAAGGGACGGCGGACTTTCCGAAGCGGTGCTTCATCTCGTCGCGCAGAGCGCGTTTGATGGCGGTTTGCTTGCGGATGTCCTGGCCAGGTTCGAGACGGTAGTGGGCCAGGAGGTCCTCGTTGACCTGGACGATGGCGGCCAGGAAGATCTGCTCATGCTCGCGGTCACAGTAGCTGGTGATGAGGGAGCCGTGGCGGGAGATGTTCATGGCGGTGGAGCGGAAGTGGATAGGGGCGTTGACGCTCTCGGTGTCGATGACGCTCTGCACGAAGGAGATGCCCGTGTACTCGGACGTCGAGGCCGGGTCGATCCACTGCTGGCGGGTGGCGGAATGCACGCCGTCGCAGCCGAGCACGAGGTCGGCCGTGGCGGAGGAGCCGTCGGAGAAGTGCAGGGTAGCCTTGTCTTCGGACTCCTCGCCGCGGACGAGCTTCTTGCCGAAGACGACGTTGACGTTCTTCGTGCGTTCCACCATGGCCAGCATGGCGACGGACAGGATGATCCGCATCACTCGTCGTCCTTTGTATCCGCCGAACCCGTTCCCGCCGTGGTCGATGAAATCGATGGATCCGAGTTGTCGGCCGGATCGGCTGGAGAAGATCTCAATGGCGTCGACATCCGAGCCGCCCTCTGCGCCGAGTCGGTCCAGCTCGGCCAGCACGCCGAGCTGGTCGAGATGTCGTTGTGCTACCGGCGTCAGGTTGATGGCGCCGCCGGAGGTGGAGAGGATATCGTGACGTTCGAAGATGGTGATCTGGAGGTCGGGGACGAAGGGGGTCAATTCCTTCGAGAGGGAGAGGGCACAGGCAATGCCGGCAATACCGGCGCCGACGATGACGATATTGCGAGGGGCCATGATCGAGGTGAGGGATCGCTCGCATTCGGTAGGGAAGTCGTACCAGTCCTTGCCCGACTGAGGGGGGATCTCGGCGACGTTCATCTCAACGGCGGACATGATTCGATGTCGTTAGAATCGTATTCGAGACTCCAACTGGCCATCAATGGGGAAAACGAAGCGGTGATATAATCGAATTGGGGCCAGACGAGGGGTGGAAAAAGTCGAAGGGTTCATGAGCATAAATCCTTCGCGGCACCAAGCCGGCACAGGCCATTCTTAATATGATATATTGGAGAGTAAAAAAAAAAAAAAAAAAAAAAAAAAAGATAGGAGGGGTCCCAGAAAAAGAAACAAGAGAAAAAAAATAATTAGCGATTTTTACAAAAAACAAAAAACGATTTTCCCCAAAGAGGCAATAAAATGTCTTGCCCGTTCATCCTTCTCGTCAAATCAGCATATTCGGCCGGAATGGGGAGTGTTCGGAAGTATCGAAGCACGATCGTTGGACAAAATCCTTTTTTTTTTCTGCAGGCACCCACTCTATTACTCCTGGGTCAGTCAATAACGTCGAGAATATGCCGTCACAACGCCGTGCCGGAACTCCACCGAGCCTTCCGACTCGACCTGTCATAGGCGGGACGGGGGGACACCCAAGCTGTCAGTCCGTTCTGGTTGTCCGAACTCTGGAGCTGCCCTTCGACTCCGTAGTAGAATCCATAAAAATTAAAAGCCGTTGGCGCGCCGGCTCGGCACCCAGGAGACTAAGGGGAGATAGATCGGATGCCCCGGTGTTCAAGGTTTTGGACAGAGTTCGTCGGCTACATGTCAATTTGCCTTTTGGGGGTGCTGTTTTTTTCTTCTTTGTTCCCGGCGATGCGGAAGAAAAATTGAACGAACTCCCAGGTGGCGCTGCAGACATCAGAAGACTGCAGGCAGATTCTTCATCGGTTGATTAGGGTTATTGGCCGCCAGGGGTGGTGACTGGTCCAAACCCTACGCTAGATGGGCTTGGTGCTGCTAGGTACGTTGTTAGACCAATTAGTTGCTTAAGTCTGTTGCCCCGAGGCTGGCTAGTAGTGTGTGCGCTCGGTAGGATGCAAGTTAGCCACGACTCGGAGGCACAGAAATTCGAAAGGATAAGGCAGCCAAATGAAAAATGGAAAAAGCAATAAACATTTCCCTGTTTTTGAGACTCGCTCCTCCTCATCTTACCACTTCTGGAACATCCTCCGGAATCGGCTTTCAAGCGAGATTATTTTAGTCTGGCTAGTATCACTCCCTGGTGCTGCTCCTGATTCTGGAAAGCACGGATATTAATTGCTGGAGCTATGGCGATTGTTCAACGTAATGCACTCCACTGTTCGAACGGACAACTTACCCCGTAGTACTAGAAAACCGACCGTTGTTGGCAGTGGACACAGCGAGAATGCCTAACGCTACTCCGTATACTCCGTATGCCTGGATCCAAATAGAACATGGAGATAGTCAAGAGTCCGTGGAAAGGATACGTCATGTGCCACCGTGCAGGCCGAGACGATCGAGCATTCTCTCGATGGTCGATTCCAGCCCGTCATCCACTTCGATCCATGGTCCATGAAGAGTCACAAAGGCCGAGAAGTCCAACTCCACGACCGGGATTTTAGGTTTTCGGGTAAAGAAATCCTTTCCCTGCGATACTGTCTCAGCGTGAAAACTCACCAGAAAAATTAATCAAAAAAGCCAGGGAAAACAAGGACAAGAAATCCACTCCCTCGGAAGGATTTGCCTCGCGTACGGAGGTGCCACAAAAACAATCTAGATAGCTTTCTCCCTTCGTTCTCGGAGATCCGCTCAATCCACCGCTTCCCGTCCGAAACCAGACTATTGACGACCGGAGGAGTCGTTGCTCTCGTCGATCGCATACCAAGCAATATATTGGTCGAGCAACGGTCGGTAGAGCAGTTAGCACGCGCTGAGAAACCTTCCGATTGGCGCGTGTCGATGCATCGTCCACATGGGAGGATTAACTTCCCCCCTTAACCTACCGTAGTATTTTCTCGATGTTGAATTATGATAGTCCTATTATGATATTCTCCCCAGGTCGGGAGCGATCCCGGCGGCCTAGTGTTTTCACTTGAGCATTCTCAGGAGTTTAGCGCTCGGACGCGAGTACGACAGACGTGTCGAATAAACCCGTTGATCTTGGAAATCTGAATTGTTTGATTTTGTGTGCCTCTGTCTCGGACTCCGATAAAGTTGTGATGTATGGACTCCGTTCCGCTCGGCGACTCGGGATCTGAATGGAAGGATGGAACTTGCCCAGATGGACCTGTACCACTGCCATGGCCTCCTCCGTAGCTAGTGCCGCGTGATTGGAAACATCCGAATGCGAGAGGATTCCTGCGGAGGTCCGTTCCCTCGGCTCCATAAACCAACCACTCCAGCGACAGGCTGTCTGTTTGATACTCAAAGAGGAGTTCGGTCACCAGTGCCATGGTCAAACTTGATGCAGTATGCACGCTACAGGATGCACTCCGTACGCTCAAAGGCGCAGAAGGCGACCATGCCAAGGTTTCACACTAGTCGCATCCCCTCTCCGCTAAGCAGGGAGTTGATTGTCGAACTGACGAGCCATAATCTCGGCGTCCTGCAATAAGACACGGGTCCTAATTGGCAAATACCCAATGTCGATCTACCGACAGGAGTTTGAGGTTGAACAAGTCCAGGGATCCTGGTGATGTATCTAAGATCATTAGTCTGCGCCCTCAACTCCGAGCGACAGCCATAAGCCTCTTACGCTGTACGGAAGCTAGCATCGTCCAGTGAGACCGGAGCTGACAGCAGACAGACGCAGCCTCGGCCTGGATACAGCCGTTGACTATAATTAGCGCGCCGTTTGCTCGCAGCTAAATTGCTAATGCGATTCCTGAATCTGCTGACAGGCCCACCGGGGAATCGCATCTCCTTTTCCCGTCCAACCCCTCATCGTTCCACATCTTGGCCGACGTGACATTCGATATGTCAGATCATATGTCTACTCAAGCGGTCACCCCGCAATTGGCGTGTTCCGTCTAAGTGATCTATATTCTGTCTCTGTATGTACTGCAATCTAACTCTGTATCTGTCCGCAAAGATTCTGGAACGGCGCTCAGATCGCTCGACCGGGAAATCGGGAGCGAATCCAGATTCAGGGGTGTTGTTGATCAGTCTTAATTTGCCGATCCTTTGGCACTCGGGAATCTAAATTGATGAAGGTGTTAAGGCCGGAGAGCAAACATAGTACCGCTGAAATTAGACGACGTTAGCATTCTTCTCGAAACGCCGGAGCAGGTCAGATGGACAAAACCTACCTAGCACGCAATTCATCTCGTAATATCCAAATCGCTCTGCAAGCCAACCGGAAATGATCGGCCCGACAAACGATCCCAGGGTCCAGCTCATACTGGCAATCGACAGCGCCCGCGAGTATCCCCCATGGGGACCAAAGATCCCTGGGTGCCTGGCCTCGATCTCATCGACCGTCACTAGAGGATAAGGTCAGGGCAAGCGACAAACTCAACAAACACAATCAAACATACCTGTGGCTTCGATAGTTCCGGCTCCGTTCAGCAAACAAGTCAGAATGCCGATGCCGGTCATCGCAATCATGTAGATGATTTGTCCGCGATTGCCCTCGTTGATCCAGGGGAACCGATCGTCGCCCGGCGTCCCAAGCAGCCACATCACCGGAGCCACGCCAATGAACCCGGCAGTTGTTGGCCAGCGCGTTCCGACGCGATCTTTCAGCCAGCCAGTGAGCGGGCTGAGCAAGATGCTGGGGCCTTGGAAGGCGAAAAACATCAAACCCGCTAGCATGCTCTTCCAGCCGAAGACGTCGCGGACGTGCAGTGGTAGCGTCGTGTCAAAACTCGTAGTCAGGATCGCAAACGTCAGATAGCTCAGGCCTCCGCAGACGAATTTGCGGTGTCGGAACATGTACAGGTAGAACTGCAGGCCTGTCTTTTCCTCCACAGCGCTGTCACCACGCGTGTCGGACAGTAGTGGATCATTCTCCGAGTCGTCTCCTGTCCGACATATCAGCCCCATCACACAAACACAAGCACATTCCTGATTCTCACCTGGAATAGACCTCGGCCTCTCAATCATCAACAGCCGCAAGATAATATCAAAGACCATGATGACGAAAGCACTGGACCACGCCAGCCAATACCCGCCCAATTCGAACAACACGCCCGCAATGATCGGGCCGCCCGAAGTCCCGGCTCCCACGACCACCGAGACAAAGCCGTACGTCTTCCCCAGGTTCTCCGGCTGAACATTATCAGCGATAGTAGCATAGCCGACGACCCAGATGAACGAGCTCGCAATGGCCTGGATCAAACGACCTATGAACAAAACCGCCGCTGTGTCCGTCAGCCTCACATTCCACACTCACTCCACACAATCTACCGGTCGCAGGGGTCCATACCCGAAGGTGCAGCAGCCAGAACGAGCGTCCCAAGCAGCGCAACCGCCAGAGAGGCCAAAAGCACCGCCTTCTTGGAGGGCAGGGTATCCGCGTAGTTCCCGATGAACGGGCTCGAGACCAGCGCGATGACGGAGCTTTCAGCCAGCAGGGCGAAACTCAGACGCTGGGTCAGGGAGGGGTCGATTCCGAGGCGATTCTCAAGGACGTAAGGAAGGATGGGGACGAGGAAGGTGTACAGAAAGACGTCTATGTAGGATCGGCATTAGCAGCTGCACTGCACTGCACGTGGATGTGGGAGCACCGAGCTGCAACTTACCGGTGAACAGGGCCATTGACATGGTAGCGACGATGAAACCGGGAGATGAACGCCATCGCTGGCCCCAGACGGCCCCGTGGTCGGTCGGCATGTTGTGGGATGGTCAATTGACGGTGACACAAGCATGGTCAGGGCAGTCGGTAGGAGGCATTTTTTGTCGATAAGATTAAGCGGTCGACCCTCGGCTGGGGTTGCCGATAGGGATTAGACGGACCCCACCGTTCAGTGTAAGGAAGGGAAGTTCGTGGATTGGCTCGTGGATTGGTTCATTGGGTGCATGGCCAGAGCATTCTAAATAATGCGCATCGAGACTCGAAACATTAGAAATCAAAACTGAAAGAAATGCAGGGATTCAGGGATTCCCGTGCATGGCCGCTGCACATGACCTGCGCTACAAAGGGTCTAGCGCGGGATGTGTCTACTCGTTTGTACGTCAACGGAGTAATTCATTTCTAATTGACGGGCAAGGTACTATGACTGTATTTACTCTTCACTATATTGGACGAAATTAGCCATGTTATTTTCTGCGGCGATGTTTTTGTATTTCTCAGTTGTTCGAACTACTTCGGAGTAATGATGCGGCAATATATACCGGCCGACACTAACCGACACAAGTCGAAGGACGTACCTAGACACGAGAACATGGACTCTACCCTGTCTAAGACATGGAAAGAAGAGCCTTGAAGTCTGTAGGAATTCAGCGAGATTCCGGATGCCTACCGGAGCGTTCCGCTGACCTATCCCAAGATGATGTCATTCGATCATGTTTTATGGGAGGTTCCATTAGTTGATCACCGCCTTGATCAGCATAAATAGGGCCTTTGTGCGTGTATTTAGAACCTCATCTTCAACAACCTTTCATCTATCTGTTTTCTAGTCAATTGAATTGTTCTATCGTGGACCACCCCCCTCTGCCAATTTCCTACAAAGTCCAACTCAGTTCTCATTATTTCCATGATGACGGATCAATCTCGCAATATCAACCATACTAATATCAACCAGATATCCAATAGTTCATTCCCTTCTGATCATATAAATTTACCCTTAACCAAACCCAAACAATTCAAGGATTCGCCTCAATTTTTAAACGGCCATACCTGGCCCCGACCTTAAAAAAATGCCAAATAGGGCAATCACCCATCGTCCAGCGATTAAACAACCCAGCTCAACTAACCACCCCGGGACTACTATACGCAATATCCCCCGCATTCTGTCCCAGAATCACCACCACGACAGCAATCTAACCAAGATATCAGCATTCCATCTTTCTCTTACCAACCAAAACCCCCAACGAGATATAAAAGACCACTAACCAGCGAAATATCAACCCCCTGCGCAACCCTGACCTCCCATTTCGGCCGTAGCCGGAAAGGCGGCATCTGACCCTCCGTCAACTGCTCTGGGTCCGTGACCCGCCGAATAGACGCAACATTGCGGTTCTCGACGACGACCACCTGCACCATGTTGTCGAGGTCCTGGGCGTGCACCTCCATCGTCACTTGGCGGGATATTGCAGAGTTTTGCTCCGTAGAACCCTTGCTCTTACCCTTCCCGTCATCCTGGCCCTGGTCCTGCGGAGACGGAGCAGCGACTGCATTCTGAAAAGTAACCGTAACCCTCGGCTCGCTGACAGCGACGCGCAACCTCGCTGTTAAAAGGCTCTTCTCTGCGCCGGGGAGCTTCAAGTCCAAGATCGACGAGGAGTACCAGCGACAGCGGAGGTCGAAGAGGGGGAGGCCGGAGCTGTCATAGAAGGTGCGACGCTGGCCGATGGAAAAGGGGTGGCCGAAGACGGTGAAGACGGGGACGCGGTTGTAGTAGACGTTGTAGTCGAGCGGGTGCCATGGTTCGGGGCGGTTGTGGACGCAGAGGGAGATCTCTTCGGCGGCGATGGACTCGGGGCGGATGGCGATGAGGTGCACGGGGGGTTTGAGCGATGGGGTTGGCGTCGTCGTCATCGTCATCGTGGATGGGAGGGAGTGCTGGGCATGGTGGCATCGCGGGCATGCCGTGGGAGGGAGGTTGTTGGTCGTGGGGATATATACGGCATGATGGAGATGTGCGTGATACGGAGTCCGTGGGAGGTGCAAGTAGGGAGAGCAAAGGGAGTGTGTCGGCTCGTGCAGGAAGTAGGGCTGCTGTCCCTGATAAGGCTGATATGGGGTTCGCCTTGCCCTAAGACGTTCTCGTTGCATCCTGCCGCCGGGACGGTTGGAAGTGTTGGTTCGGCTGGCGTCATGATTGGTGGCTACGGCGGTGGACCTGGGGAAGTTAGTAGTTTTCCCAGGTCTCGGCGTCGTCGGATGGGAACGTTTCGGGCAGTCGGGAGACGCGGATTGGATGGTTCAGAGGCTGTCATGCATGTGCTGGCGATGTGACAGAGGGAAGGTTAAATTAACCTGGGTTTGATGGGCAGAGGCAGACTGCAACGAGACTAAAAGAGGTATGGTATTGATAGTTGGTGATATTGCCGACATGTGAAACTGATGGCTAGGCTCTCTAACAAGGCTGATACCGAGACGATCGAACATACTCCATATAGGGTAAAAGAACAGCAAGGGATGGAGCATGGACCCCTTGCTCTACTTCGTATCAGGACAGATCACCAGTACGTCGCCCACTCGCTTTCACCCTTCACCACCTGCACAAACTCCTGCGCGACAATCTCACTGGTGCGCTCGGACGGATGCAGCTCGTCAAACCACATATACGACTCGGGGTTCGGAGCCAACACGCAGTCCTCGCCGTCGTCGTTGCATTGTTTCGTGAACCCGGTGACATTGGGCGAGGCACTACCAGGGAAATACTCCGTTGGGTTCTCATACACATGAGACAGCTACCCAGGTCAGTCTGCATTCCACCCCCTAGTCTGGAACAGAATACTCACCAATCCAAATATATCCATCACGGCGAACTTGGCCCCGGGGTACCGTCGAGCCACGAGCAGCTCAAAGGGCGTTTTATAGTGAAACACATCATTGGCCGTCGCCACCTGCTCCCACATCCGATAGCTCACCTGCGTGATATTCTCCGGCTTATTCTTCCAGAACCCACTCCGTCGCACACCACCATTCTCCGGGGTCGCATACTGCGGTGCCAACTGCAACGGCGCGAGATTCATCAGAACAAAGTACCGCCCGCCGTTATCATACACCTGATCCAGCGAGGAATAGATACACTCGATGTAATCGGGGATGGTCTTGCCCTTGACCTGCGAATCGGTGATGATCGCATCGTTGCCGAGATCGTTCGTCCCGATCCAGATCGCATACACGGTCTCTTTGGGATGAATATCCAGGAATTTCTTCCCACGGGAGACATGCTTGCTGTCGGCCACGAATGCCGGGATCTCATACTCCAGGACCGACGGGAATGGCGCATGAATGGAAGCTAACTCCCGCGGCGTGATGTAATTCGAACACCCTGCGCCACTGACGGCGTAGTTGTATCGATTGACGTTTGCCTCCTGCGCGACGAAATGACCCCAGGTGTACCCTCCCGAGGAGGAGCTGTTGCTCTGGCTTTCAGTCAGCAGCTGCTTGAGCCAAGGGGAGGGAACAAACCTCTGGCTGCACCCATCCTACCGGCGGGGCGGATCCATTGTGGTTGATAAAGTAGCCGAGTCGAGAATCATCGGTGTAGCTATCCCCAAAGGTGACCAGGGATTTGAATTTGCGCAAACCCCAGCCCTGGGACGGGCGGGCGAGCGTCAAGTCGAGGGTTAGGGCGAGAATGCCCGCGAGGAGCTGTGTTCGAAACATGATGGATTGGCGGGTGGGGTGGCATTCTGCTGGGGGTGGGGGGATTATAACCCTGAGAGCCGTCGGCATTAATTCCCATTTCCACTAGGGATCCTGACGAGCGCATCGAACATAGCAAGGGATGAATGCGGGGGATGCGGTGGAGACGGCTAAATAGGCATTCCGGGCCACCAGTGAGGTTGTGAGCAGTAAAGCCCCGGAAAAAGGGCTTGTTCGGCGGAATAGCATGTTCCGGCTATATACTTATATGTTGATAGCACGACTTATATCAATGTCAATCTATTTAATAACTGCATCTCATGTCAGTTCACCGAAATCCGTTCACTGACCAGCGGCTCACCGTTTGCGGCCCCATAGGGCTAGCTAGCTACTTATGCATCCGATCGTGCTATCAAGTCAAGAGTACTATTTCCTGCTTAGTTGTTAATTGATACCTCCACCAAGCAAGGGTATCCAGTCCCATGCTCCTGGTCGTGATTCAGCCAGCCATGATCTCGACTCAACACGAATGGCAGTGCGTCGGCGTCTGTCTGGCAACGTACTGCCTCTCTTGGCATGCGCATTGAGAGGTGAAGAAAGTCTCAACACGAGATGGGGAGGCTCGTGTCACTGGAGCTGTCAGCTCTTTCGCACTCTTGTCTAGGCTGCAGGAGATACTATCAGCCCTGTCTTTCACATATGACTGAGGATGCCTGTCCCGATTTGCTGGCATCCCTGGTCGATATTACACCGCCATCGAGTGAGTCCGACGGAGTTCATGGATGCTTCAAGCCTCCACTGCCACGTCCGCGTTTCTTCAGCTGTGCAGCCTCAGATGATTCATCTGGATGTTGATAGTTCTAGGATTTGGGTTTGATTCGAGAACTGAAACAGACTCCCAGTTATATGACCGTTATATGTAGATGATCGTTCGCTGAAGATCCAGTGCTGCCCAAGTCCTGCGATATGAAACCAGAGCCCAGATTGCTGCTAGAGCAGCTCCAGAGATACGTTCACAAGTAAAATGTCAGCATACGAGGGGTTCTGGATCAACCGGGATCAGCCCGCTATCACCGGCTGTGTGCTCACACTATCGTCGCTGAAAAGTGGGTTCCTGTTAACATTTCTCGCCCTCTTCGTCAACGCAACCGGTCAGGCATTCTGGAGAATCCTCTGCTTCATTCTGCATCAACTGCGATCCACGCCAGGCCCTCACGACGGCGTATACATACAGCAACAGGTCATCCTGCGCAATGCCGACCTGCCCTTATCTGCAGTCTGGGACCTCGTCATCGTCATGTTCAGCTGGCGCGGCCGTGCTAGACGCTTATACAGTCGCTCGATGGCTCTCGTTACCATCGCTACCGTCAACCTGGCCGTTTGGAAGGCAGCCGGAATCTTCTCTGCCAAGCTGGCCATGTCTTCCGACGCAGACATCCTCCTTCAGAGCCCGCGATGCGGTCTCCACGCTATTAAAATCGACCAAGCCAGACCTGATCGTCAGCTGATCATCAAGCCGATTCGACTGGCCAGGGATTACGCGCAGCAATGTTATGAGGATGTCCCTTCTGCTGAGTCGATCTGCCGAACGTTTGTGTCTAAGAGCCTACCGTGGAAGTCCAGTCCGAATGCATCCTGCCCCTTCGCTCGGAATCTCTGCATTGGAGGCGAGTCGGCCGCGTTTGAGATGGACACGGGAATGCTGGACTCCCACGTCCATCTGGGACTGAACGCGCCACCAAAGGACCGCATCTTCTATCGCAAAAATGCCACCTGCGCACCGTTAGATCTAACGAACTACACAGAGATCCTGAACGGCAGCTACCCAGACCATAAAACCATCAACTTCTACCTGCAGGACCCGAGCATCAGAACACCCACCGTATCGTACAACATCTCGCTTTACGGAACAGGCGATTACTATCTAACGTACGTCCCATCATCCCTCCAAACGAAACCAAACTAACACATGCAGGACCGTCGGCCCTCCCTCCCCCCTCGCCATCCCCGGCACCAACTTCACGACCCCCCGAACCTGGACCCTCCGTGACGCCCTCCGCCGCGACGACGCCGTCGTCAGCTTCCTCTTCCTGTTCCAAAACAGCGTCTACTACCCCTCCGCCGTCGACGACCCGTTCTTCTCCGCGCACTTCGCCTCCCAAATCTCCCCAAACATCACCTATTACCAATGGGACCACCCGATCACCGTCCTGGGGTGTATTGAACAGCACCAGATCTGCAACCCCCAATCCTCCCCATCAAACCCAAACCCATCCTCAAACTCCACACAGGAAAAAGGTTGCACCCCCCTAAACTCCCCCGACCTCATTCCCTCCGCCCTAACAACACAATCCACCCTCCTCTCCCTCTCAAAAAAGCAACACTACACCGCCATCCTCACCCAATCCTTCGCCAGCACCATCTCGATCCCAAACACCATCTACGCCCTGGGCTCGTCGGCCCTCCGCGCCCAGGAAACCCTCTCCTCGGACCTCGGCAATATCGCCCTCCCGAGCACCCAATGGCATATCGAATCCGCGCACTTGTTCAACATCACACTCGCTGCGTTTCAGTACGCGTTTGTGGATTACGTGAGCCCTCCTGCGCCGTTTAGCCCGGAGGATAAGGTACCGCCGGTGCCCGGGGACTTGTACGATTTGACATGCGGGATCCAGAAGGTTCGGTCGAGCGGGGAGTTTGTTTCGTTCCGAGCGGTGGGGTTAGTAGTAGTGTTTGGGGTCGGGGGGTTAGTGATTGCGGTGAATTTCGTGCTGGATGATGTAGTCGGGTACGTGAGGGGTTGGTACGGGGGGAGGGTGCAGAGGTATAAGAGGGCGATGTGGGCGGTTGATGGGAAGTTGCAGTTGTTGCGGTTGGCGTATGAAGGGAAGCGGAATGGGGGAGTGTGGGAGGGGGTCGGGGATGCGGTGCCGGTGACGGGGTGGGGGGAGGTTTTTGATGTGGAGGAGTTGAGCGGGGATGTTGATGTTGATGGGGATGTTCATGTTCATCGGGATGTTGATGATGGGGGAGGTAGTAGGGATGGAGGAGGAGGAGGAGGAGGAGGAGGAGCGCAGGATCAGTACCTGTTAGGGAGTTGGGGGGAGACGCGGAGGGGTGTGTAGTTTCTTCACCTGGGTGTGGTTTGACTATGCACGGTATATCTTTGGAAAGCGTTGAATGCATTGGTGGATTTGATAGTAGATGACCCAAGGCCGGATGTCATGTAGAATGCCATTAGAGTACTGCTATTCTATCCCAAATATAGTATCTTAAACTCATTGAATACTTTAGTATTATATCATCAACTCATATACATACAACATAAGCGTCGGCTTCCGACTCATCTATCTATCTATACAACATCAAACCAAACACTATAATACAACCCCTAAAGTACATCCCTACGCAACAACCTTCACACCCCCTCTCAACCCCCTCTTCGTAATCGCCCCCGCATCACTCAACGCCTGCTTCCTGCCCGGCCCGAAATTCGGCTTTCCCCCCAGCGTGCCAAAAATATCGCCCACATAATTACTCGGCTTGACACCCTTCTCGAACGTCTCATTCCACCCGCCAATAATCCCCTTCACGACCTCAATGCCCGCAATGTACAGATTCTTCACGGCAGGCTCAAACGCGCCCTGGTCCGCGAACATCAAGTTATCGAGCGCCGCCTGCCCGGGATACGGGCGTTCAAAGTCCGACGCGGTGCGCATGACGACGATACGCGAGAAGTCAAGCTTCTCATGCAGAGACGCACGCAGAAGGGCTTCCAGCGTGGCGTTGTCCTCCTGCGCGGAGGAGCAGTACGTGCCAGTGCCGTTTGTCCAGACGGCCGTGGTGTTGGAGAAGGCCTCGCCGAGGAGTTCGCCGGAGTAGTAGACGTCTGTGGTGGCGACGTCGCATTCGAGGATGGAGGGAGCGCGGGTGGCAGCCTTGTAGATGTCGCCAGTCGCGTTGGCGTAGTTGGCGCGGTAGGCCTTGGCGGTGTCGGAATCGGAGAGGTTAGCCTTGCGCGCGAACCCAGCGGCCAGGGCGCGCAGCTCGGCGTTCACCTCGAAGACCTCGGTGCCGTAGATGCTGGTGGGGTATTGGGAGGGGCGCTGGGCGCCCTGGGGGATGTAGCTGGTGGAGTAGTTGCCGGGGAGTTCGCGCAGGTCGATCTCGTACTGGAGGGCGACTTGGATGGCGAAGCGGGCGAAGGAGGCGGCGCAGATGGTGCCCTGCTCGGGGTTGATGCCTGCGATACCGGCGACGAGGAAGTAGGTGTGGGAGAGGTCGAAGAGGGGCGAGAAGGCGATGGAGGAGACGGTGATGGCGGCGTTGATTTCGCCCTCGCCGGTGATGAGCTGGCAGACGGAGTGGTCGGGGGTGCAGTGGACGTCGGGGAAGAGGGGCGACGCGCCCGGCACGGTGATGTTGTGCGCGAGCAGGTCGAACTCGGGGATTCCCCACCAGGCGGCGGCTTCGGGTTCGAACTGGGATTGTTAGATGGGTTGAGGTTGTGGATGGGGGAGGGACGTACCATCGACACGATGAAGACCTTCGGCGCAATTGGCGCAGGTTTCACCTCCGAGCCATTGCGGCGGACAGCAGGGTTAGCTGCGACGGCAGGCAGCAGGCTGCTGGCGAGGAGCAAGCCAGAGAGGGACTGGATGAGCTGCATGCTGGATCCAGTGAAGGCTATCGGTGAGTTGACTGAAGAAAAAGAAAAGCTTGCATCCCACGGACTGGGAAAAGCTCAATATATAGCCCCATAATTCCTTCCATAAAACTCTTCGCGGCTTCGTCGGAATTCGGCGGTCGGAGAGAAAAACAGCAGCAAAGATCATGACGAAAGCACGCAAGGGGAGATGATCGGCAGAGAGCGGAGATTAAGCTCTTCTGGCGGCGCTAATCCGCCAATAAAAGCTTATCGCGGGCTTAGGGCTCGCATGCTCGGGTATGCGATATTGCCATATCAACGCTGGATGAGTATCGCGGAGCTGTTAGTCATGGGAATTGCGGGTGGAGACGCTAATTGCAGAGATATGGTCTTATCACGTATCTTCCCTTAGTTGAGATGGTGTTTGCATGGTCCACTGGTATTATCTCTTGTACCTGCGTTGGCGTGATTTCGCTTTCATTTACTGTTGATAGACAAATCAATCTGAACTCATCGAGACCTGCACTTGGTAATGTATCAACTGAGCTGGGAATAGACGGGCCTGGAATGTGGCGTATCTTTGAAATGTCTGCTTATCAGACTGAAAGATAATCTAGGTAGATGAGAATATCAAGAGTTCCAGATCAAAATCCATTCAATTGCCTTAGGATTAGCTTGTTACTGCGTTAGATAAATGAAAAAAGTATGTTGCTCAAAGGTATATAAGGGTCGAGTTTTCCACTTGCTGGCTATCTCGGGTGTCTCGACTCTCCGTATTCCACTAACCAATGCGGATGGCTGAGGGAATAGGGGTTTAAAAATTTAAGTTTGAGCTCAGATCGGCTGCACCAAATTGTACATGGTTCGGATCAATTACCGACTCCGCAACCATGTATCCCACAAGGGGCAGTGGCCTAAGTGTAAGGTAATTCCATGGAGCTCACGAAAGTAACTTGAGGAACACCACCTGGAAATAAATGATTTAAGACAAGAGGAGAATCCATATCCTTTGCTACAAATTGTATACTCCTGCAACTTGCAGGATGAAATCAAATATCTCGTCACAAAATTCCATAACCAAAATAATACCCAAGCCCTCCAAATCACCTGCCGAGAACTATAATTCAGTTCATAATTACTCAAAATTGAAACAATGATGCCATCCGACCTCTACCCGATGACAATAATTAATTCCTGGGCGACATCAGCGGCGCAGATTCCGTCCTTGGCAAATCGACATATGACATCATCGCAATCAGCGTTGCGCGATGATCTACACGCCCCCTCAGGTATATTTCTTGGGTGGGAAAACTTGTTTGAATGATAATTAAATTCATAATTCATCGTGATTGGCACTTCCTCTACCCCCCGGAATAAGGTATATACTAAACAGGAACAGATACATAGAAGGAAAAAAAAGAGTAAATAAAAGAAACAAAACCCCTCCACCCCTCAATCAAAATAAAAAGACCTCCCTACCAGTAGGCAAGTCTCAACAGAGACAGACAAGACAGCCTAAAGCATCGTCTCCTGATGTGCTACAATCCTCCACTCGCCATCACTCGCCTGGCTCCACGTCGTCGACCCCGTCGCGAGGTAGGGTCTGTTTTTGTGCGACGCGTTAATCCGATAAGTCACGGTGCCCGCCATGAGGTCGATGATGATGACGCGGACCTCCTGCAGCTCGTAGGAGTCGAAGTGGTGGAAGGGCGGCTTGAGGGCCTCTTTGATGGAGGGCTGGCCGTCGAGCGTGAGGATGGGCGTCTTGGGGAAGAGGAAGTTCGCTTCTTCGTTGGACAGTTTCTCGATTTCGGGCCCGGGGTCTGCGGATGTGAGGGCCGTCCAGAGAGAGCGCTCTTTGATGAGGAGGTCGTCACGGATGCGTTCGTGGATGGGAGCCATTTTGCTGGTGGTTTTGGAGTTAGGGGGATGGTGGATGAGTTGATGAGAAGGGGATGGATAACGTACCGTATGTGATAAGGGTCGAGGATGGAATGGACAGGGAAAGCGAGAGGTGATTCAGGAACAAGATAAAAGACAACAACGACAGAACCTGGAACGATCCGCAGTATAAGAATAGATGAGGAGGGGCATCTGACAGACGCACTGACGTCATGTCATGCGTCGGTTGCACACGTGCATGACGTGTGATGGGCTGGATCGAGATTAATTTAGAGGATCATCATCTGAGGGGCAGCCGGTTGGAGTGGGACTGTGGTTGATGGTGGTTGGTAGGGGTGTAGTTTCGGCCGGGCCTGCTGCTGTTGGTTTCAAGTGGTTGACAGATTGCGTTCATGGCCCAAGATCTATAAGTAACTGACCCAACGTCTCGGGGTGTTTATGGGGTTCCCATTTGGGAAAGGTGTAAATGTCATTGCTTTAGCGGGACTTGATTGGTCCGGCCAGCTCTCCCGGGGAATTGCTGCCTGATTATCGAGGCAGCAAAGCGATCGTTGTAAATGTGACCATTCACAGTACAGAATGTGATGATATGGACGCGCGTCGTATAAGAACTCAATACTGTCAAATGAGTCATTTGTAGCCTTTCCTACAGCACGAGAAACAGACACTGGCCAATGTGCCGTCTATGAAGATAACTGACAAGAATCATTGATCACATTCGAATTCAGCGTGATGACAATGAAGGGGACAGCATCATCAGGCACTCCTCTCAAAAGTTCCTACCAAACACCCCCAAGGGAAACGCATCCGCCAGCCTCTGATACCCAGCAACATTTGGATGCAAATAATCCCCCGAATTAAACTCCTCCTTCAACTGCGCCTCATTGTCCGGATCTCTCAGAACCTTATCAAAGTCCAACACCTCATCAAACACCCCGCTCGTCCGAATCCACCTATTCACCCTCTTCCTCGTCTCCTCCCTCCTCGGATCCGAATACAAAGAATCGACCCCCTCTGGCGCCATAAACGGCGTGATAGTTGCCCCAAACACAGGGATCCCTGTAGTATGCACGCGCGTCACAAACTGCTCATATGCGACGAGCAGCCGCTTCTCAATATCCGTCTGGGATGCGTCGTCCGTGCCTGCAGAGCCGATGTCATTGACGCCGGAAAAAATGATCACGTATCTGACGTGCGGCTGGGCGAGAATATCCCGGCCAATTCGGCTGAGGACGTTCGGGCCTACGTTGTCGGATAGAAGCTTGTTGCCGCCAACGGCTTGGTTGAGGATGGCGAGGGAGGATGTGGAGGGGTTATTTTGTAGGCGGGGGATGAGGAGGTCAGGCCATCTAGACGAGTCTATTAGCTGGGTGCTTGCATCATTGATTAGTGTTTATGCCGTACCGATTGTTTTTGTTGGTCTCGCTTCCTCGGCCGTCTGTGATGCTGTCGCCGATTATCACGCAGCTATGCACTGTGTTCGGGAGAAGGGCTTCGATGCTACTAATAAAGTACCTGTAGCTAACATTAGCGAGGACCTTATTCGGAGACGTAGGGTGGTTGATACCAATGATCGACGCTCGTTGCATCCGACCCTAGATTCGGCTCTCCAACCCAATCCCCCAGCGCCAGCCAAGATGTAGTCCGACTTGACGGATGAGCTGTGATGCCGCCACTCTGTCCGTTCTCAAGATAAATATCAATCGTGAGAGTTTCCTGTGCTTTTTTCAGAGGAAGGTTAATCGGATCGGATACTGCCAAGGCACCGTTGGGAATAATGATGTCGGGATTTCCACTGAACAGGATATCTTTTGTCGTATCGGGTAGAATCTCTTGAATTCCGAGAGTGTTGTTCTTGGTTCGACTGATGGCTACTTTTGAAATGGGCAGAGCTTCATTTCCAAAGGCGTTGGATATTCGGAGACGGATCTGCGTAGCTGGGTAGTTTACGCGGATTGTCTGGCGGAGGGTAGTGTTTTGGAATTTGTATGTTGAGTTCTGGGTCGTTAGTTTCTTGTAGGGAACTATATATGAGTCCAACATAAGTAGAGTGTGGAAGCGTACGAATGGTTCCGGAGGGAGGTTATTTGGTTCGGTCAATTGCGGCATGGTAGTCCAAATTCCGACCCAGTGGGAGTTCTTGTGAAGGCCATCTCGGCGAGAAAGCGCATCGACTGGATGAGAATAGACAGCCTGGAAGAGAAGAGCTAGCAAAAATGTGAGATATAGAGAAAGCGCCATGGCGGGCTGACAAAATTGTATCCAGATGCAGGCCTGACAGCATGAGCCAAGTTTAAATAGACAATTTATTCCGTCTTTATATTAAGATCACCCCGCACTTTATTTCTCCGTTGAAGGAACAAACACAATTTCCCCACACCGAGCTAGTCATTCTGCATGATTGATGCTTGCTCTTCTAGCCGGACGGCTAAACCGGGTAAACAGGCAGAGTGTGGTGAGTAGGGCTACTTCCCCTCTCCCCCTGAGACCTGGAATTAGCCTATAACATACAATTGTAACAGGAAACATTAGTAATTTTGCTTGTCGCGCAGGATGTTAGTTTGCTAGGTGGTTGGATTTTCGATGTTGGTAACGAGGGCTTGTAGTGTTGATTCAAAATTGATTTACGGCTTACACTGCCGGCTTAGCTGCCCATTTATTATTTACCGTCGGAAAAGCGCAAGATTTTGACCAAAATAGCTTAATGGCTATATCCTGTTAAGTAGAATAATTGACAAAAATGAGTTGACGGCAAAAGCCATGACGTCATACATCTGTTCAAGATCTCAGGATCGGCATTAGTTTCTTTGACTTCCTGATTGAAGCTTTTAAGCTGCTAGCCTTGGCTCTGAAGGCTTGAATAGGGACAACAGGTCAGATTTATGGGGACACGGTACCCCTGAAATTGCTTTTGATTATTTGAGCGCATCAATTATGTCGAGAAGGCGCATGGATAAAGGGAGAGACATTAGAGTTGTAGAGTAGAATTGTGGAATATTAGATTAGATACAGAGTATGTAAGATAGTACCTCATGTTGGTCTTGATATCTATTGTGAAACATTCCAATTGATTTACCATTTACTAGAAGCTTTAAGAGTCCATCGCATTTGCGGACCACGGACTCTTAACTCCACTAACTGCGCCCCGCCATGCAAGTTGCTGACAGTGTGGGGCATTGCATTTCAAGCCATAAATAACCTTCAATCCTCCTTCCAAAACATCAATCCAGAACACTATTCAAAGCTTTCAACTAACTCACAATGGCCGCTATTCAACCGCAGAAAATCGCTCTCATCACAGGTGCCGCGTCAGGCGTGGGTTTCGCGACCGCCAAGCTCTGTCGCGGCCAGGGAATGCACCTGGCCCTGCTGGACATCAACGCCGAGAACCTGCAGAAGGCGAAGACCGAGCTCGCAGCGCTGGATTCCAAGTTGAAAACAGAGGCATACGTGCTGGACGTCGCGGATCGCGCAAAGTGGGACGACGTTGTCGCGCAGGTGTCTACCATCTTTGGCGGAGTGGATCTGGTCATGTTGAATGCAGGCGCGTCTTATAAACCGCAGAGTCAACAGGAAGGAAAGCTCAAACCGTGGTCGGATGTCGAGTATTGGAAGAAGGTAAGCATATCTCGTCCCTCTATAGTCTGAGAAAGAGAATGGATGCTAACAGGACAAGACCTTCAACACCAACACCATCGGCCTGCTAAACGGCATCGCAGCGACACTGCCTCTTCTGCACGCCACCAGCACCCCCAAATCAATCATCCTCACAGGCTCCAAGCAAGGCATCACCAACCCCCCAGGCGGTAACAACCCCGCTTACAATGCCTCCAAAGCGGCAGTCAAGAACCTGGCCGAGCACCTGGCGCACGATCTGCGATCGGAACCAGCCAGTTCGCATATCGCGGTGCATCTGCTGGTGCCTGGGTGGACGTGGACCGGGTTCATGGGAAGCTCTGGACCCACGGCGGAGAGCGAGGTGAAGAAGATGGACGGAGCGTGGTTTCCGAGCCAGGTGGCGGAGGAGCTGTATAGGGGTTTGCAGAAGGGGGCGTTCTATATCATGTGTCCTGACGATGATGTCGATGTTGCGTTGGACAATGCCCGGATGCACTGGGCTAGTCAGGATGTGATTGAGGGCCGACCGGCATTGTCGCGGTGGGAGGACAGTTGGAAGGGAAGAGCAGATGAGGAAATCAAGGCTGATGCGGCCAGGAGAAGGGGATGATCGGTCATTTTTATTTTCTCTTGCGTGTAGCAGTGAAAGGTCATGTGATTGGCTCTCGTGTTTCGTGCGGTCGCGGGCGCCTCCTTTCATCATGCATTGAAGTTCACCCTTTTCATCCACATACGTTATCTCTTGAAAGAATCATGATCTTTCGACTAAGCCCTTGGAGAATTGTCTTTGACAAAAGACCACCATCCCGTTTAACAAGGGCCTTTAGTAGCCCGTACACCACTCTACCCCTGAACATTCCCGTCGAGGAAGAGACTCTCCCGCATTACAGGCCTGAGGAGTACTACCCAGTGAATATCGGAGACGTATATCAGGCCAGGTACCAGATCACGGGGAAACTTGGCTATGGGGCATATTCAACAAGCTGGCTATGCCGGGATCTTCAGTACGTTTCTAATTGCCACCAAATCAATTAGTGACTCTTAACCAATCATCTACTGTTAGGAATGACAAGTACAAAGTCTTGAAGATGACCAAATCGCTGCCAAAACACCCAACGGAAACCGATCGCGAGTTAAGGATCTACGAGCACCTGGCAAGGGTTAAGTCCACAAATCCAGGTCAGTCGCTGATTCGCGAACTCTACGACTCCTTTGATGTTGAAGGACCTGTTGGAAAGCATCGTTGTCTTATTCTGCAACCCATGGATATAACCCTTCTTGACATGATGAGTCTCAAGAAAAGACCTTTTGATCTGCCCCTGCTCAAGATGACGACCCAGCGACTCTTGATGGCTCTGGACTTCTTGCACACTGATGCCAACGTAACGCACGCTGGTACGCAAGACATGTCTCTTATTCATTTCAAGTGTGACACAACGGTCTAATTCAAATTAGACATTAAAATGGACAGTTTAATGCTGAGCCTGGAGGACAGCACTATGCTGGCTGACTTTGCAGAAGCAGAGGTCAGAGATCCAAGTCCTCGGAAGAAGGTCGATTCCTCTCGTACCATCTACAAGAGTCGGCGATTTCGTCCACCTGGTGAAGGCAGGTACGGATTACCGATACTATGTGATTTTGGCGAGGCACGAATTGGAAAGATCCATGAATCTTGCCCCTTCGTCCAGCCTCATGTTTACCGGGCCCCCGAGGTTATATTTGAGATGCCGTGGGGAAGTGCGATTGATATTTGGAATCTAGCGTGTCTGGTAAGGAGTTGCCCCCCACTGATGGTTTTGTCGCTGATTAGCTGTAGATATGGGATGTCTTTGAGGGGGACCATTTGTTCGCAGATATCTTTGATTCCAGGGGCGGTCATGACCCATTTAAACATCTGGCGCTCATGGTGGCCTTGATTGGACCGCCACCGAGCGAATTCGTCAAACGGAGTGAGACGACGGAACAGTGCTTTGATTCGAGCGGTAGGCCCCTGTTATCGATTCTGAATGAAGCGAATAACTGACTGAGCTAATACTTTGTTCTGACGTTTTCAAGCGACTGGGTTGCTCACGAGGAGGCAGCGATCCCGTCTATTTCACTGGAGGATCGAGAAGATCGTTTGACTGGAGAGGAGAAGGAATTGTTTCTTCAATTCATTCGGTCAATGCTCAAGTGGCTACCGGAAGATCGCAAGACACCAAGGCTGCTGCTCGAAGACCCTTGGTTGCATGAATGATTAATCCGTGGTCCCTTCTGAACAGTCACCTTTCTGCAGCCAGCATGGCTACCATCATCCGCTGCCTCGACTCTGTTAGGAACGAAGAGGTAAGATCTCGGCCCACAGGGAACATAGGACCCTCGTTGAAATCGCAGTAAAATGATTAAAATCAGCATGAATGACCGATTGATTTCTGACAGGCTAATCTTTATCTGAACTTGACCGTGACAGGACCGAGCCTGGCAATAAGCAAGTCGAGACCTCAAACTTCCGCTGCAAAGCAAGAGCTCCTCGATCGCCGCTATCTGGCGGGGACTAAGGAATGAATAATTCATGTTTACTTGTTGGGGTTGTTCATAAACTTGATCGTGCCGCAAAGGTAACGCGCTGCGCAACTGTGGAGACGACTAACCATACTTCATCCTGAAAGCGAGGATAGTTCTTAAATTTCTCCCTGGGAAATAGACTACTGGACAACGCACATTAAAGTACCAAGACATTGGCCTTGACGCGACAAAAGGATTGTAGTGGCGTTGCAAGCTGTTTTCAAGGGCTTATGCCAAGATTTACAATTCTGTCCGCTTTTGGAAGCTTGGGAAAATAGCCCTAAGCACGAGGTAACAGCAGCACCCGTGATAAACTAAAGGAACTACGATACTACATCGACCCGATAGACGATGGTAAGATCCAACGGCATACGATAAGTCATGATGAAACCAGATAAGACGGGCTGTCAGCCAATGCAACCTCGACGATCGCCGGATTCAGTCACAATGCGGAGGTTAGCGTGGGGGCCTCCCGCCGATGAGAATGCGACGCTTCTTATCGAACGATGATACTGTGGCTGCCATGATGAGGCGAGAAGAGGTAGTTGGCTTTTTAATCCAACCAGGTTGGTCTCACCGAATCTTCCTCCTTCCCCTCCCTTGCATCCCGTCCCTTTCTCTCCCCCTCATCGCTGCCTTTCCCTCCCTCTTCTCTCCGTCTCGTTCTCAATTCTCCGAGCGGATATCTATCATGTCATCGAGCAATCTTCCTCCCTCCGAGTTGGATCGCCAGGATACCTCCAAGTCGTCTGCGCGGGACTCCATTCACGATGATACCAACAAGTTAGGGGGTTATGCCTCGGCTCCGGGGGTTGTGGAAGATGTAGTTCAGGTGGTGGATCATAAAGCTGAGCGCGCTTTATGCCTACGATTTGATCTGAGATTGCTTCCTGTCCTGGCAGTCATGTGTAAGTTCTCGTTCGCTGTGGGTGAATTTTGCTAATCTTTTAGACCTCTTCAATGCGCTCGACAAAGGCAACCTGGGAAACGCAGAAACGGACGGACTGAGTAAAGGTATGTGTAACCCGAGTTTTCTACAGCCCAGTACTAATTTGAGCAGATCTAAACTTCAAATCCAACGAGTACAACCTTCTCCTATCCATCTTCTTCGTCCCATACGTCATTTTCGCGCCTCCGTTCGCAATGCTGGGCAAACGCTTCAGCCCAGCCCGCGTCCTCCCCATACTCATGTTCAGCTTCGGCTCCTTCACGCTCTTATCGTCGGCGACGAAGAATTTCGGCGGCATCTTTGCGCTACGGTGGTTCCTCGGCATGTCTGAAGCAGCCTTCTTCCCTCTCGTCATCTACTACCTCACAACCTTCTACCGTCGCGGCGAACTGGCCCGCCGTCTCGCCATCTTCTACGCCGCCTCCAATATCGCCAACGCCTTCTCCGGCCTCATCGCTTTCGGCGTCTTTCAGATCGAGCACTCCTCGATCCCCAACTGGCGCTACCTCTTCATAATCGAAGGCGCCGTGACTGTCCTCTTCTCCATTTTCGCATTCTGGTACCTCCCCCGCAGCGCCAGCGAGGCCAAATTCCTCTCCGCCGAGGAAAAAGCCCTCGCCTTCCACCGAATTCAAGTCGATTCCAGCGCGGTAGTTAATGAACAATTCCGGTTCCGCGAAGCCATCGCTATCTTCAAACACCCATCCACATACATCTTCCTAGGTATTGAAATCTGCCTCGGAGTTCCCCTGCAAGGCGTCGCGCTCTTCATGCCCCAAATCATCCAACGCCTCGGCTTCTCCACCGTCAAAACAAACCTCTACACCGTCGCCCCCAACGTCACCGGCGCCGTCATGCTCCTGGTTCTCGCCTTTGCCTCGGACGCCGTCCGTCTCCGCTCCCCCTTTATTGTCCTCGGCTTCCTCTTCACCTTCACCGGTTTCATGATCTACGCGTCCATCGACGACGTCCAGGGCAAGATCCAAGTCGCCTACTTCGCCACCTTCATGATGACATGGGGAACGTCGGCGCCGTCCGTGCTGCTTAGCACTTGGTATAACAACAATATTGCGCATGAGGGCCGTCGCGTCTTGTTAACCAGTATCGGCGTGCCACTGGCGAACCTGATGGGCCTGGTCAGTAGCAATGTGTTCCGCAGTGAAGATAAGCCGAAGTACATGCCGGCGTTGATCACGGTTGCTGCGTTCGGGGCGACGGGCGCCGCGCTGGCCGCGTCATTGGGCTTATTCATGTGGTTCGATAATAAGAGAAGGGATCGCAGGTCTGGGCATACTGTTCGGGCGCAGGATGTGCCGACGGAGAGACTAAGGGATGGGCCGGCTTCGGATGAGTTTCGGTGGTTTTTGTGATCGGTTTTCTGGTTTCATTTTTTTTTGGGTTGGCGGTGTGGGTTATGAATTTTTGGAGGACAGCTATACACATACCAGATGGCTTGTATTTGACTGCATGCGTAGACTGGACAAATGATGATAATGATTATGACTTGAGATGATCAATCCCCCACTCTTGCAGCTTAATTGCCGTCTTCCCCGCTTCTCCGCACCAAACGTGGGGGCGGCTGACCCCGGACTTTACCGTTCAGATCGAGATTTTGAAGTCTGTGCCATGATGCTACCGTCGTATAAAATGGTTTAACTGGAACGATAGTCGATGTGATCTGTGATGTTGGGCGAGTGGAACATGAGGTTTTCGTTAGTCACGTATAGATCTAGCCAGACGTGAGATTACACTGGACGATTTTGACTACTATGACTCTTCCAAGCCTAGTGCATCAGGCTAGTTAGAACGAATACATAGAGATGTAGGCAGGCAGAGAAGCTTTTCAGAGTACACTCCAGGAACAGATCTTCCACGGACAGCTAGGCCAGCTTTGAACTCCTTGAATGTAATTTACCTAACCTTAGTTTGCAAATCGAGGCTAGGGTTATCTTTCAACCTCTATCACGGTTCGGATGCATTTTTTAGCTAAAATAAGCCTCAAAGAAGATATACCTTGTAGACTTCAAGGCTAATAAATAGACTGAGCTTTCGAGCGCGGAAGAAGGCCAAGATTTCTGCAAGCCTCGTAGCTCAGTAGTGAATAAGCCGCCTTTTTCAAGGACCATGGCCTTCTCTTTTTTTATGGCGTTTGGCTTCTTCCTCGCGTCCTCTTTACCACCGGAAAAAAAAAAATGAAAAAGAAATAAGGAAGAAAGGAAATAGATAACGAAGAACGACATCCAAAAGCCAAGATTCGATGTTCACTACCCAACTACTAACCGCCGTGCGGCTGACGCGCCTCACTGCTGCGGGACTGGTGATGATCGAAAGTACGAATATCTGCGGCGCAGGAAAACTCCCTTCCCATTGGCTGTTAGACTTGAATGTTACGCAGCCTTGCCTGGGGTTGCCTGATCGGACTGACATTCACCCGATTCTCATCGTACTGCCGCCCCGCACCAGAACAACATCACTTCGTAACTGAATCAACAAGGTCCAGCGGGCTGGGTTCGCACTACGTCGAAGAACAAAGTGCCTTGATACCATCGGCAAGATGAAAGTATTCAGTATCTATCTTGTGCTGTTGATCGCGGTGGTCTATGGGGCGGATGTGAGAGGTATTTGTCTCTCTGGTCTCTATCTATCCTTACCACGACTGATACTAGGACTACAGAAGCTCTCCATACCGCCACCGCTATCCCCGATAACCTTACCGTGGTACCCCAAAACAACTACAATGGCTGGGTCAACCCAGAAGACCTGGCTCCTATGCCACAGTGCATCGCTCAGCAAGATCAGTCCGCCTGGCTGAGTGCGATGACGAAGTGCACTAGCAAGCGATGCACCTCCCACTTTACATTTATCTGCACCCACCACCAATGGCTGACTGATCTCAGCTGCCTGAGTGTTGAATTCTCCTCCGACGTTATCAAACGCTATCTCCCATACTGTGCTAGATCAATCCTCGCCAAAGAGCAGCTGTATCAATGGACCCATAAGATAACCGGTCGAACGTGGCTTGTTGATGTTGGCGACACGATCGACCTGGAAGGTCTCTCCCCAGCCTCTCTAGCAGCAGGCTATGCAGCTGTAGAAGAGACCTTCCATGCACCAACGTGCCTGACCGGCTCGGTCTCTGCCGTGTCACAGGAACCGTTTCAACACGTCATGGCCTCTTGTGGGTTCACGAGTATCACTCAACATACCGGAAATGCCGATCGTCCTTGGGAATATAGCGAGTCCCTACATTCAATGATTCCTCTGGATTCTCAAACAGTTGGTTACGATCTCATTCCCCGTGGCATGATCCATAGCCTATTTCACCGTGGTATCAAAGATGGCGACTACTTTGACAAAGATTGCTTCTGCAGCAATTTCAAAATCAATTTCAACAATGAACCTTGCTCAGGGCCAGGAGAGCTGGACTTCACGAAAGAACGTCTCTGGATTAACGCTATATGTGGACCGAGCCTTTTACCCGAGAACTGGACGGACTCGCTCAAAACCACAGGGTTCGAGTACATTCCCATTGACAATTGGCACTGGCCCAAGTGTGTGGCGGATATGTCAAAACAGGTGCTTCAGCGTACTGACCAGTGTGCAACTGATGCTTGTGATGTTGACTCAGATGGATATTGTAAAGTTAGGCGTGCAGTTGACAGGGCTTGTGTCTGTCGCCACATCAGCTACGATTCATGTGGAGGTTCGTGCCATGTATTCGAGACCCGAATAGACTATGTCAAGTGGCTCCACGGTCTCTGTGGCGATGTGCAGGACTGGCGCGGTCTGCCTAATAACTGGAGTCAGTTAGCTGCCCCTACCCCTGTCGAGATGATTCCATGGGGTTGGACTCTCAGCCCATTCTTCAATTCAAACCCTACCAATGGGACTCGTTCGGGATACCAGAAGACGGCAGAAACATGTCCCACGAATGATTGGAAGCTTGGAAGCTTTGCTCTAGTCAACATAGCCATCTTCCTTGCAGTCCTTGTGAGCCAGAGAATACGCGCATATCAAACCATAGGTGGCTGTCGAAAGGACCCCAACCCCTCGGACTGGCTTTTCAAAGGGGCTTCAATCGCTACTCTCCAACTCCTTGCAAATTGCATCAACGCTTTGATTGTTCAACACACCCCTGGCTATGAAGGCGTCCTCGTTATCCAACTGGTACTTCTCTGGTGCTCCATGCCTCGAACCACATGGCTGATCATGTTGTTACTTGGTCTACAACCCTTCGGAGCGATCGACCTCTCCGCGACAGCGTCTGTGCTTCTTGGGGAAATGATCCTCCAGTGCCTATCGTTTTATTACATGATCATAACCGTCAATTATGGACGAGGACACAACTTCTATCTTGGAGCTATAGGAGACGTGGAAAGAGGTGGACCAGCAAAGGCCATGTATGCCGGAGCACTCTTATGGCTTATGCTCTTTATCCTGGTGCTCGTTCAATCAATGCGGGCCAAGCGTAAGATCAACAAGTTGACTGGATCGACAACTGTGGAAGAGGTAACATCCGCGTGGAACGAAAATCGCATAAATTCAAAAGACGGAATAGCACAATCCTCGAAAGACAATGCGGGCACGGAAAAGACACCCCTGACGAGAACCGAGAGACATTCTACAGCGTACGGCACTTTCTCTGATCCCGGCCAGCAGCACTGGGTTTCTCAAAACGCATTCGTGGAGCTGTGTGTGGCCACAGCCATGGGGATGCTATTTCTCTGGGTCGCGCAGTGGCTGTTTTGGGGCGGGTTTGTTGGTCTTAGTTTGGAAGAGTATGTTCTCGTGCACTTATTCCGTGGATATTGCTAATTGATTTAGGTTTTGTCCGCCCAAGCTTGGGATTCTCACAGCTGTTTGGGTTGCTTTCTCGGTGGTAGGAGGTATTGTGGCTTTCGTCTGATAGGTTTTGTGGTGGATTCTGAGGCTTGGAGCTACGATAACCATATTGCAGGAGCTACTTGTTTTATTTCCGGTTCAGGCATACTTGAAGGTGTTTCTTGAGAGTTAATATGTCGAATGTTAAAGAGACGGACGAGTAGTCACGTCGAATGCCCTTGTCTAGCTTCACAGAAGACCTACTAAGCTATGAGAAGTCTGGATTGGGTTGCTTAGAGATTATTGAACCTCTCGGCGAGACGCTCCATCTCTATTCCCTTTCGGTTTGATTTGATTTTTGCATCGTCCAAGCTCTCCCAAGCCACGCGAATTCGGTTGTACGTCCCCATAGCAGCGTGATGTAAAAGGTAAACACTGTTTGGTCAATCAGAGAGTAATTGGACAGGCGTTCGTATAGTATCCAAAACCAGTAGATGATGATAGTCTCAGCCGTATCTCATAGGAGCTCGAGCATGGCAGTTCTAATAATAGACATACCATAGAAGAGCTTTGTAAAACAGTTGGGAATGAGAGTATTGGATAATAAACAGCAACCACGGTGCCCTGGTGCATTCACTGAGTAGTGAGCACTGTGGTCTAGATCAAATACTGCTCATCTACTCAGTGTCTTCCGATCATGTGCGTCAAATTACTCAAGTCCAGTGACCAAAGACCGAGAAACGAAGCATCGAACATGGGGCCTTCCAGAGTCGATAGCAGTCATTGGTGGGACATTCATCTTTATCACATCACATTCATCTAACAAAAGAATTAGTAGAAGATATGTATTGGTTTCAGTCAGCAGGAATAGAATGATCCAGCGCACGAGCGTAGACGCTCGCACTCAGTTATCTTGACCCAAAAGGTATGTACATTCACGTATGTCCAATCCAGACCGTGAATTGCTAAGGCACCCAGGAATATACACATAGGGGCGAAAGGGAATACAATAATGATCTAACTACTGGTTAATACTAGGTTATTGACCTCTAATCGATTGTATATTCCCAAATGCGATTAAGGAACCACAAAATGGTATGTGAGAACTGTCTCTCTCCCATGATATCTTTGTGTGGAACTGCCCCAAAATCTCCGATGTCCCTCTGATTATCTCTAGGTATTTTTGTGTGGCATTCCGAAATCTAGGAAATACTTCTGATTATCTCCAGGTATCGTTCTGCAAATATTCGTTCGTTACAATGGCCACAATCTGGTTTCTAACGCGGCGCCAAATCGAACGACTTCACATGAAATCGATAGCCCCAAATACTCTTCCCACACAGCCCAACCTGTTGGAGTCTGCGATCCATTCGCCGATGAACATGAAACACTACGGACAGGTGGTAGATGTGTTGGAGCTTGCTGCACATCTCGCGAGCAGAATAATGAAGAATCATGCCTACCTGGATGGGAATAAGCGTACTGCATTGGTGGCAGCCGATATGTTCTTGAGTATCAACGGTCACCAGCTCCAAAAGGAGCCCTTTGCGGACGATGCGCATAATAAGGGACTCGCAGATGCGCACGTCGCTGTTGTTACCAACAAGTGGACTACCCAGCAACTGTCAGAATACTACAAGTCTGTGGCAACGCCGCTAATTGAGCTGACTCCAGAAATCATGGAGTTCAAGAAAGCTGCCACCGAGTATTAATTAACTTGTTGTCAACATACTGGGAGCAATACACTTTGCCGGGACCGTACTTTTGGAATTTCCTCTCGACATCTCTCTGCGAAGAATTGGACCTGGGGAATAGAGGGCGATGAGGTTTTCAGTACTGTTGATGGAGAGTGGCTTGGTGGAGCTACGAAAGGTCAGCTGGTGATGAGAAATTGAACAGCCAGAGGGCTCCCTGAATGTAATTACTTTTACCACCTATCTACAGTGTGAATTGGAAGGATCATAAGAGAGCTTGAGCGTGAAGTTTTCTCCTTTCCGCCTGCAAATTGAAAGAGACTGTTTTTCACGGTCATAGCATTTGGGTACAGTACAATTCGGTAGGTCTTATTTGTAACCATTCCAGTATTTCGCTCCGAGCGCCCTAAATGCAATAACTCATCGTAAAACGTAGACGTCGAGCCTAGACGGGAGATCAAAGCAACCGCTCTAATCTCACATATCCTTCAGTTGATCCAGTACGCTCGCGAGATTCTGACAGGTAGCGTGTGAGTGATGAGCAAATGCGGCTAAATCAGCATCAAACATTAGCATTCATACGGACAATCATAGGATCCTAAATTTACCATCAGGGGTTCCATCGAGGGTAATCTCATGCATCTTGCCACTCAAAAATAACGTAGCAGGACTAGCATCCGAGTCTGTTTGGTGTGGGATAATGCTTGGGACATAGAGACGGGGGTAGCCGGACAGGCCTTGTGCCGAACATGTTAGAATCCATTTTCCATTGTAAGAATTATATTCAACACCTTACCAGCCCCAAAAGATCGAGAGTTATGGCAAAACATAAGTTTACACTTATCTCTGACCGTCGCAGCAGCTGACGCGTGGCTTTCCGCACAGAGAGCCCTCCCAACTTCTGGGAAGATCAAGACATAATGTTCCCCTGGGTCTCCAACGACAATAGGAACCTTTCTGGTCACCAAATTTCCGTCGGTGTCGTGACTCGAGAAATCCGCAGTGACTCGATGCAAGAGCCGGAAGGTAGGAAGTCGCAAGCAGTAATTGCGGGAGGGCCGAAAGACGGAACGAAACATAGATTTGGATTGATTAGACTATCAGGTTTGTGACTATTCCATACTTGATTGAGATGAAAAGAAGGAGTTGTATTGGAATGTAAAGTGATTACTAGTCAAGCTGGGATGACAGTGCTCGCGGTATGTACCGGAACGGAAGATTGTATATCCCGACCACCGCTATCGCCTTGGGATTTAGACGCTCTGCTCGCCTGGCTGTCTCAAGTATGCAGCGGCACAATCCACCACAGGAGGTATTGGGGTGACTTGGATTTTCGAGAGCGATATAAATTATCCGTCCTGTAATGTCGACCTTTGTTGTCACCTGCGAGAGCAAGACCTCAATAACTTTCGGACCGTCAAGACAATTGTTCACCCCTGCGATTCTCTGCAGTTGCTGAAAGAAGCAAGATCATGCTCATTCCTGGGAAGCTATCTGGCCTGTGCTGAGCTATATGATTTACTTTCCCATGGGGCGGACTTTTGTTCTTCACCCTTCTTACGCTTCAAGTTCTTGATGTCTGACCAACCACCGAAACCATAATTTTAGTTCAGGATTCAATCTCGTGGGCATCATACTAATTTACGGAGTAGATGTGTTCGCAATCCAAGGCCCGCCCTTCGCCAGGGTCATTGGAAGGCCTTCTCGGGACACTCCAGCAACCACCTCCTGCTTCCTACCAGCTCAAAGTGGTACGGGCTTACAGACAGGGCGTCAATGCTGGGTATCTGAACCGTAGCTGCCCAATGCCTTCGGTCTCAGGCAGATTATACACCTTGCGTCAGAGGCTGGCAGGTCAGGAGGGGGGGGGGGGGGGGGGGGAGGGAATGTTGAGGGCACCTTTGTTCCCGCCCCCACATTTTCCAGTTTAGTTGTGAATTTTTCTAGATCCTTCGTATGTTAGGCTTGTTGGAGGAGACTGAAGTCTGCCCCGAATGTGCGTTTGTGTTACACTGCAGCGGGCTGGTTGCCTGGTTCTCTTAACTCTAGCCTTGTCTAGTTGGGTAACTAGCGCTATCCGATGGTCTAGATGATCTGATCTGCACTGCACCTGCGCCGCCGAGTATTTGTCCAATCGAAACCAATAGAAAAATGTGCCAAGGGTCGAAAATATCACCCGGGATCTTGCTGTATGCATACGGCTCAGCCTCGATGGGCTTTGATCAACCGTGTGTATTTTAGACTTTCGGCCGCCAGATCCTAGACGCTGCACTAGGGCATGTTGTTCTCAATCTAGCAAATAAGGGAACTACAGCCCGAGATACCAAATCCCAGGGCTACTTAATGCTATGCTGCCTAGAGGTATCGATCTACCCGGGTACCTCGGCTGTCCCATGCATGGGGACTCTCCCCTGTCAAAGTATTGAGGACACTAGATAAAAATGCATGATGGACTCATTACTTCGTAGCAGATAGCATAATTCCTGTTTCACATAAATCTTCCCATTCATCCCCCCTTTAGCAAGGACAATACAAATACTCCATTTGATTCCCCCGGTTACCGTAGACCTCAGCTCCTCTCAATATCATGGCGGCCATGATCCACGCTCCCCGCAAATACCACCACCTTGTGGCCGAGCAGCCAGAGCCCGCAACGCCGGCATCGCCGGCAAAGACCAACCTTCTTGGCTCCTGGTACATCACGCGCTCTTCCAGTCCCTTCTGGATCGACAAACGCAATCCAACAATCACGCTGGCCGCCGACAGCAAAACCGATGACGGCACGCGTGCCCCGGAAACCCTGCCCCTGAGTGCGCTCTATCAGACTGCCGGTCCTGCGCCAGTCCTCGCGAATCAGACGTCGTATCAGACGCTGGCTTCTTCCAAGGTCAAGACAACGGCAGGGATGGACAGACCGGTTGACGGTTCTTCATCCTTTTGGGGAGAAAGTGGTGGGAGTGGCGGTGGGGAGGGCCCGATTCAGATGGAGTGGCGCGGGAGCGGTTGGCTGCGCATGGTGAGTGCGCGGTGGGAGATCCTTGGGTGGGGTGGAGAGGGCGAGGCAGAGGCCGACGAATGGTTGCTTGTGTTCGCTGATAAGTCGATGTTCACGCCGGCCGGGATAAGCCTGTACACTAGGAGGCGGACGGGGGTTGAGGATATGGAGTGGGCTGGGATTGAGGAGGGACTGAGAAGGCTCGTGGAGCGATATCCGGAGGAGGGAGAGTTGAGAGAGCTCGCGCTGGGAATGAGGGTTGTTCGTCACGATTGAAGTCTGGGTACTAAGGATGAGCATGGATATTTTGCACGCTGAACTACTGGGAATTCCCAGGACAGTCGATAGGAAGGCTCTACTTTGATTAATAGATTCTAAGAGTGGGCATGATGCGTTGCACTTGGCTTGACTAGTCCACGGTTACGGGGAAAGACATGTCTCATTCTCGTCATTCTGGCATAAATATTCAATCACTTGCGCGCTCGCAACATCAGTTTCGTACTGAAGCGAGGCACAACGGCTGTCGTCCACACAAAGGTTCGGGGTGCATTCCTGTCGGCCAGCTTGAAATCGTACTCCATAATCAAATGGCCGAGGATCTGCTTCAAAGCCCTCGAGACATACCATCGACCGGGGCTGTTATGAATTGCCAACGAAGTGAGCCACGGCTCGAAGAATGGGAGATCTTACTTACCATGCTCGTTTGGATGACCCCCAATATGGATAATTCCAATGCACGTCCGTGTACTTTGGGACAGCTCTCATTGACCCGTCCGTTTCATCCACCGCCAGAAACCGGTATGGATCAAATTTCTTGGGGTCCGCATAATGGCGTGAGTCTTGCATGACAGCCGCCTGAGGAACCGCAATGAGGTTTCCAGCTGGAACATGTGTACCGTCTGCGAAGGTGTAGGGAGATAGAGCGACGCGTTGGATTGACACTGATACCGAGTGGGGTCAAAACGTAGTCCTGATGAATGCTATGAGAGACAGGTGATGCATGGGGAAAGCTCACATGCATCTAGAGGATTGAGCCGGGCGGACTCTCGCAGGAAGCTATCCATCAAAGGGAGGTGATCAAAGTGGTCTTCAAAATTGGCCACACTGCGCGCGCGCTCCATCTCCTCGCGGAGCGGTTCGATGAATTCGGGATGGAGACAAAGATCGAATATGGCGTATACCAGAGCCTGGGTGAAAGACTTAGCACTGCAGCGGCATGAGGGAAGGGGATCACGCGAACCGCGGACATTTGATGCACTGATGCAAAGAGAATAGCAATCGTTTGCTGGGTTAATCTGGTTACGGTTCGTTGTGCTGCGGTCCTGGAGGAGTCGATCACCCATTGAATGCAATCACGCTGCCACGATCGGACAGATTAGCCCTGGTACGATAAAAGACGGTCTCTTGGCTCACCGGTTTCGAGGGAAAATCTGACGTGTTGTGACTCTTGATGACTCGATCCTCAATCTCGGCAGTAACAGAGTGACCAATGGAATGCATAGCGCCACTCCAGCGCATCATGGCTGGTGCTATCAATCTTGGCTAAAATCAGTATACCGGAGAGAATACGCGATTACAGCAGGGCTCACATAGCTAGAAATGATGGTAGGTGACGACATAGCTCCATGGTCATCACGGCGTCTTGAAGGTAGCGGTTAACAGTATCTTCAAAAACTTGATCGCTTGCTAAAGGCTCGTTAGGACGCAGATTACCAAAAGTAGATAGCTCATGTCGAGCTTACCAAGCTTCGACCCCAAAAGGACATGGTTATTGAGTCGTGTAACAAGATGCTTGGAGAGGGCGAATGCACTTGCTTGACTCCACCCTTTTTTCCACATGATCAGAAATGGTCATTCTTCATCATCAGGACAGAAACGTACCATCCGAGTCTCTCGCTGTCAGCTCCCGGGAAAATAGATCTTGAATCAATGGCTGAAGCCCATCCTGCATCTGAGGTAGATTCATGCGTAGCAAGACCTTGAGGACTCGCTTTGGGACATCGTTACTTGGATCTACGCTGTTGTGCTCGAAGCCAAAGAGAGTATGCCTGTGCCTTATTCTCTATATAGGCTGTCAGCTCCGATCAAACAAGGGTCTCATCTTATGTATGTACCTGTTCCATGGCGGCGTGAAACGAAAGCACGTTTTCCGCGCTCCCGCTCAGCTCTCGAACGTCCTGCTGAGAGGAGACTAATAATTGATACTCGCCTAGAGCGGGAATCGCGAAGGGTTTATCACCTCCCAACTGTTGTAGTCCATCAGCTGCATAGTCTATAATAGGGCAAAGAAAATTGGATTTGCCTACCGTTTTATATATATTAGAGATCATTCCTGCCCCGTCGACCACAAACTCGAGACTGGTGAACCACCTCCCCAGCAACAAAATGGATGTACCCCCGATGTAAGCATTCACCTGCGTGACGCATCAAATGTATCAGCATCTGGATAACAGTCACTCTCCAAGCCCATGCAGCGCCATCGAGACACAAAGAGAGGGAGAGCACTAAATACGTACCGGGCGCCTGCTATACATCCGCAGTAGTTTCACTACCTGCCAAAGGATCCACAAGGTCACCAGAATATAAACTTTGCACCTGGTATCCAGGAGCTGACATAAAGTCAGGGTATTAGTTTGGATCAGAGTCATAAACATAGTTCAAGAGAGTCAGTCGTGCTGCGCCGTTGCAAGTCTAAATTCAACAAGCCAACGTGTATACGTGCTTATATATCTGACCCTTCGCCATTGCTTCATGTTCTCCCTAATCACTTCTCAGACGACTCGCTACTGCTGGTCCTTAGGCTTACAATTGATCCAGGTAGGCGTCCTTTGACAGCTGAGCTGTAGACCCCTGACGATAAAGTGGGGTCTGAAATTGAAACCAGCATTGGAAAAAATTACAGGTTGTTCAAATGTATTTATTGCTTTTTCCTCTTGCGGCTACATATAATCCCAACTCCGTTTGAATGGTGGCTGTGGTAAGTTAGCGTTGGTGCTATCGGACGCCATGGATAAAGACGAGTCGGGTCTGAGCCGGCTGTTGGTTTGTTTGCTATGATTTGAGCCAGTTGGAATCAACCCCCTGACCCACTCATTTGTGTAAGGCTGTAGGTCAGATCTTCCTTGTGTATTTCTTTGTTTGGGGGGACCATTTCATCTCCTACCGCCCCTTCTCATCGAAGTCGATCTCCCTTGTTTCTCCACCTACAATACTACCCCTTTCCCGCTTTACCCGCCACTCTCTGATATTCGATGTCACCTTGAGCCTTCCAAGACACGCAGAATACTAGAATGTCTTTGAATCCCGTCTCATCCATTGTCCTTCAAACTGCTGTGGTGGTGACCACATTGGGCTTTACCCCTGCCCAGTCAAGCCTGAGGCCTGGCGCCCTGGTTCTCGTCGCACTGTGCACTGCCCACTGTATCTCAACGGCATTGGAGTATTTCGTTCGCACACCATGGGCTAGCCTCGCGGGGGGTTACTCGGTCATGCTACTGCTTCATTACGTCGACATCGGCTTGCTGACCCGCTGGGAATTTCCAGTAAGCAAGAAATCTGACACCCCTGGAGCGAGCCCGCGCGAAACCCCAACTACATCCTGGGCAGCGCGATTGGGGTTTGGCATCTGGGCGGCTTCTAATGCGCGATGCATCGGGACCCCTGAACAAGTGCGCCACGTCCCTGAGGCCGCCACCCTCGACAGAGTCGCATTCCTCCGTCGGTCCGCCGGTTTTATCCTCCTCAGTTACCTGAGCCTCGATGTGCTCGGATCGATGGGTGATCCCGAGGTGAGCTCTTCCTTCCTCGTCCCATCTCGCGTGCCCTTTTTTCGGCGGCTACCCGGGATCACCGCGGAAGAGATCGTCGTTCGAATCTTCTCCGGCCTGGCGGCAGGGATAGGCCTGTTATCCAGCCAAGGCGGATTCTATCATCTCTTCGCCTTCACCAGCATTTTCATGAAGTGGAGTAAGCCGGAGGACTGGCCCCCGTTCTACGGATCACTGGCAGACGCTTACAGCTTGCGAAGCCTATGGAGGTAAACTTGTCTTCTTCTTTCTTTCTCTTTTCTTACCCTGGCGAGGACAGACAAAACAAGGGTAAAATCTGACACCGGTATCTAGTCGCGTATGGCACCAATCCAACTCCCACAAGTTCCGCGCGATCTCCCGATTTTTCGCCCGCGATGTCTTTGGCCTCCAGCCCGGGACGCTCGCGGAACGATATGCGAAGGTCCTGATCGTGTTTGCAACCTCAGCATTCATGCACTTTCTCATCGATCTGTCGTCAGGCGTATCAGCCGCTAGCTCGGGGGCCGTGCAGTTCTTCTGCACGCAGGCCCTCGGTTTGATGACCGAAGACTTCGTGATTAGTGCTTACTTGCTCTACGCGGCGGGTCCTCCCGCGATCGACCGGCCTCTAGTGGAGAACGAATGATTGGATTTCTCTGGGTTGGGGGCTTTTTGGTCTGGTCGTTTCCTGCGTATCTCTATCCGATGTTGTACCGATCCAATTTGGGTCTCAATGACTCGGTAGTTCCTGTGAGCGTGGTCGGGTTGGTGCGGAGACTGTTCTAAATGTGACCAGTTCAAGCCAGGATCCAGCGAAGGGATTGAGTCTGGTCTTGGTCCAGTCAATTCGCGCGTCTTATCTACAGGAAGGGAGTGGCTTGTCTAGTTGCGTAGACCAGACATCCTAGTTGTGCTTTGGGGCCGGAAGAGTGAGGTGGGGAAATGGTAGATAGAAGTACTGTGCTTAGTCCTGAGAGCAGCAATAACACCATTGGATGCAACTTGCCCACCCCTGTAAATCAGTGAACTCCATATTCATTCACAAGGCTGTTTCCTTGATACATTTATAGACTGATCGCTTCGTGGTGGGGTTGAACTTCTTTGCCGTCAGGATTGGCTAAGCTGGACTCCCTCCTTTATCCCGCCTTGGTGTAACGCAAGACGCTTGGCTGCGTACCTGAGCCTGGCGTAATGCCTGTTGACTTTTCCTTTTGGCATGAAGGTCAGGGGTTTGATTTGGATCATGCAGGCGATAGAGGATCATTGTGTAACCAACCGGTAGATATTTGCACATGATGTGTATCATCCTGGTGTGGAGTTCAGCTTTGTCTTGCCTTCGTTTTAGATGCTAACTCTTCGATGTTGATGAGACCTGGAATGTAGAAGCACATCTGTCGGTGTAGAATCCCTGTCCATAGCAGCAAACTCATGTGTCTCATGATATGTTGTGCCTTCAGCCCCATCTGCAACCCCCGCAGTAACGAAGTGTGTCATACTCCAGACTGCTGTATCGTGATGGATCCATTTGCATAACTACTGAAAATGATTATTTGGACTAATTTTGAGAGGTTGTCATCACAAGCTACTCCCACCAAGCGGCTTGGATGGTTGTACACTCTCATACAATCATTCTCCATACAGCCTCCCCAATGATCAAGGCAATACCAGGATCTCACAATGTCACAGCAGTCAGGCTGGACTGGATGAGCCCCATAAAACTTGAAAGTCTTGGCCGATTGTTTGTATACGCCTTCACGTGGATCATGACTCCTGACACGTGTCACCTCCCCCTCTCAAGCCTCCTCCATTCTCTCGCTTATGGCACCAGTACCACCGCCACCAGTCACCTACATCGAGATGTGGCTCTGCACAGACACGGCAGACTGAGCGTGCTTATCTCCGCCGTGCAAACTCCCGGTCATCAGAATCGGTCTTTCGAGGGAAGCGTAATCGCGGGGTGGAGAGAACAGCCCGCCGCGCCCTGGAAGATCGCGTGCGGATCTCTTTAGTTTCGTGTAGAAGGTCCAGAACGACGCCAGGCAGGCCATCATGATTGCTACGTCACACACTGTCAGATAACCAACATTAATGGCTCAGAGGGACAGAGAGACAAATCTCACCGACGCAGATCTCAATCGCGTTCCAGAAAACGAGCCACGCGGCACTCAAGATGCCCGTGCCTGAGACACTGAGCAACAGTCGCACCAGTGCGGTGATGATAATGAACGCCGTCAGGAAGCTTACCCCGATCAGGGCGAGTTTCTTCCAGAGGTTGATTTTCACTCTCCATATGACGTTTCCCGAGAGGACGATGACTGCCGTAATAGGATCTTGGTTAATCCAAAGTAGAGGCAGGGAACGGATCAAACACGTACTAGCTGCATCGGACACAATGTCCATGCTTGTCGAGATTTTCAGACTGACGCGTTCATACCAGACTGAGTGCGCACTGGCGCAGAGCTCTGGTGTATATCATGGCTCAACTAGAGATCCAAAAGATAATAAAAGAGAAGAGAGACGAACCGAGACTTTCTTCGAACGAAGCCATTTCGCACGCATAGTCCAGGACGCCCAGTGTGACCGCATAGCAGGAAATGACAAACGCCAAAACCACCCACCACAAGATGCGCTGCGCACGAAACCGATTCCCCAAGTGGCGGAAGAAGAAGACAAAGGAGAGCTTGACCAGCCACAAGCTAGTGTACGAGAGGTAGCCGGCCAGCTGGCCGCGCAAGTACCGCTCCATGACGGACGCGATGTTGGGGGGCAGCGTCGCATAGTCGATGGCACCGGTGGTGAAGGTTGAGACCAGGAACATCTGCTTGTGGCATACCGACCAGACGATGCAATTTCCGAGGAAGAGAAGCCAAGCCGCTAATAGCAGGACGTCGTTGGTGCGCCACTTGCGGTCAATCTGGTATTGGAGGAGCAGCTGGGCGAGCAAGAAGAAGAATGTGATAGTGAGGCAGACCCAGATCACGGCCTTAGTGGAAAGGTGGTCAGTCAGGCTGCGGGAGGGAAGGACATTCCAGACATACCACAAATGTAGCTTCGTCGATATAGTTGTTGGCCATAGCGGTCAAGGTTTACTGTAGCGTGATACAATATCAGCACATGCCTAGCGGAGCGGACTGCTGCTGAGGAAGGAATGACCCTTTGAATATAGCTCATGGGCAACAAGCAGGCCTATCGCCCTTGACACCATTATTACAACGATCATGTAGCTATCTGGTGGTGTATGCAGGCGTAAGGACTGGGCGTGGTTGAGTGAGAGGGGACTGTCAGCCGGACAGGACGTGGTGGTTTGAAAGCTACGCAGTACATGGAGTAGCCCTGGGGATATCATCTGCAACTCGCATGGATGGATATCACTAAGTGAACTGGGTCAAGCCTGTCGTATTGTATGCCCTGAGGCCTGTATGCTTTTCTCAATATGTTGCCGGCTCCAAGTGTGCGCGCTAGTTCGGGCAAACACCCTCTACTCTGTACATGTCGATCTGACAAGATTATACTATTTCAGGAATGGTTGGTCGGGAAGTCTATTTTTTCTTTTTCTTTGTTACCCCTCTCTTTTCACAGCTCTAGTCCCCTTGGCATTTACGTGTCAGGGGTGGAGAACTGAGCAACAGGGTATAAGGCTGGGCGGGAGGAGTAGCGAAGTGAATTTTAGAGCCTTGTTAATGACAACACGGGCCAAGAAGATTGGATGCACGGTCTGGTTGCATTTTCCTTATATAACATCTTCCCTGGGCTTATTGCTTTTCCCATTTGCTTGTTTGGCTATTTGGGGGGGAGAGAGAGGAGGGGAAAAAGATCTGTCTAAAGATCGAGCGAAAGCCAAGATGCAGGGTTTATTGGCCAATACCATTATCCACCGACATGGAAGTTGCTACTACTGTTTCCTTCGCTAAGCCCGCGTTTCACTAGTTACTAGGGTTCATTTTATCCTCATCCCGATTCACAGTCTGCTCCTCCACCATTTTCCGCCTGGCCGCCTCTTTCTTAACATTGCGCCACTCCATACCTAGCGCGAATGGGACCGCCACGCACGAGCCCGCCAACCCAAAATACATTACTGCTCGGATTCCGTAGGCATAAGCATCTTGCAGCGCGCGGAGGATAGTCGCGTCACTGGTGAGTGATTGTAGACCGGTCGGACCGGCAGCGATGACTGTCTCAGCGGTGATGGGGAGGTTGGAGTGGTGGTGAACTTGGTGCGCGATGCTCGTTTCCAAGATATTTTGTCCAATGGCGATAGATATGGCGCTTATAGTTCAAATGGGGATTTTTAGTTCCTGCTGCGATAGGTTGTCTGATTGGGGGGGGGGGTAAGGTAATGGTACTCACGCGCCGAGTTGGGAGAAGAAAACAATGATTGCTTGAAAAGGGCTTTTTTAGCTTTGCCGCCGTATTGTTTGCCTTGGCCGGGGAAGGGGAAAAGTTGAGAATAGATGCAAGAGATGTCCTGGTACTTACCATTTCCGACTGGAACATCATCATCGCTGCGAGGAAAAGAGTTTAGCGAATGTCAGGAATGCAGTAGACTCGTTGTCTCACTTCAGAACGACCTGGACTGCTGTGAAAGGCATCTGAAGCCCCAAACCATGACCCACTCCTGCGATAACGAGGAAGGTCGCCCATAGCGCGGTCGAGGTGCCGACTTCGAGTTTGGTCAGGCAGACGTGGCCGACGATGGATACAACTTGGCCCAGGACCATGAAGGGAACCTGGCAGTAGAGGTATCCGAGTCAGCGGGAATGAGAATGGAAATATAGAGTGAGCAGCCACGGCTGGGGACTCACGTAATGCCCTGTCATCGAAGCCAGGACCCCGGCAAGGACGACTGCGGCGATCTGCGAAACGCCCAGAGGAATTCCTCGGACGCCGCTGACAGTTGGGGAGACTAGTTGAGCGGATTGGAAGTAGAAGGGGATATAGTAGAGCGTCTGTTGCGGAGCATCAGTGGGCTACATCGATGAATGTGTGGTCTCGGGTTAGCAGAAATGACACTCACCACGTAAATACTGATCTCCAGAAAAAAGGAGAAAAGAGCCCCCATTAATACGGACCGTTGGCGTGCAATACGAACTGGAATGGTGCTTCGCTCCCCTTGGCGCCATTGGGAGAGGAAAAATGCGATCAGAAGCAGTCCTGCACCGACAAATAGGCCGATCACCTTGGACGAGCGCCAGTTGCTGGAGCTAGTTCCGAATTGCAGGGCTAGGATTAAGCAGGACACCCAGGTAATCGTCAAAGTGACCCCGATCAGATCCAATGACCAGATACGCGTGAGAATCGAGGATGCCGGCTTGGAGCGACGGTCGTTAAGTTTCAGGAAGCATAAGACCAGGAAAATGGACACTCCGCCGATGGGTAGGTTACTACCGGGTGATTACAGAAATGATCAGTAATAATGAGACCAGAAATCCCAAATGCGCTCCAGAAGGGAAAGTCTCTTACATCCAGAAGCACCAACGCCAGGTCAGGTGTTGTGTGAGAATCCCTCCCAGTGGTGGGCCCAAGCATGCCGCGATACCAAACACGCTCAGGACTATTCCCAAATACATCGGTCGTTGCTCCAACGGGACGCTTAGTCCGACGATGCTGAGCGCGCCTTGATATAATCCAGCCGCACCGATGCCCGTGATCGCTCGACCGACGATGAAGACCGTAGAATTCGGAACAGCGGCGCATAGTACAGATCCCACTTGTCATTGTCAGCGGAGTTCAACAAGGTAGGCAAAAGTCGATAGTCTAGTCGTTTAATCTCACCTTCAAACAATACTGCGACACTCAGGTAGGTTTCTTTCGCGTCAAAAAGCTGAAACACATTGCCGAAAGCGGGTTGGAAGGCTGTTACGGTCAGAAGATAGGCTGAGCCATACCAGCCCACATCTTCAAAAGCCTGAAAGGTCGTTGCGATACTAGGCACAGCGACACTGATGATTGTAGTATCGAGAGCAACCAGGAAGGTTCCACAGCACAAGGACGTGATGACAATTGCTAGCCGCCATGGCTCCGTTGATGCCATTGTCTGTCTTGTGGAGCCTTCAGTCTGGATGGTGTTGGTTCACTCCTCTATCGATACCTGGGCTGTAGGTGGTTTGGTTTTCTCAACAGCCATATTTGGGAAGCTAATCTGTAAGTAACTATAGTGAGTTCAAGATGAAGAAAATGTGTTTAAAGGGCCACGACGGACAAAATGCGGCTAAGCCCCCCAACCCAAACAAAGCAATATCTGCCTGGGGTCGCGTTAGCCCTAGCGGGCTATGCGACTCAACATAAGTACCTTTGGACATGGATCATGCATGCGTTACTTCGCCAAAGCAGGTATGAAGGGAAATACCGTAGGCTGTGTAGTTTTGAGGACGCGAGACAAACAAAGCTGCAGTGCATACCAGGATGATGCAGGCCAGATGCACATGGTTACACAGCAGTCCGGCGTAATCTTAACCAAAGCCTGATTCTTCTCCTAAATGGGATTAGTAAGGAACAAGGAGCTCAAGGCCTGCATCGAAAATATGAAGAAGTATCTCTGCCTATTTATCACCAGCGTATGAGCCAGCTGAAAGAAACCCGGGTTTACCTCTTTATACCTCATTAGCTCTAGTCAAGTATTGTTGACTACTAACAGCCATTGGCGACCATCGACGATCGCCGGCGACGTTAGCGACTACCAACGACTGTATGTGAAAAAAGCACCCCTATCATTGACTCCCGTATCAAGATCAGTTCAGAAAGGCATTCAGGTTAAGGGTTCTTCGACAATCAACAGTGCGGACTCGGGTGTTTTGCGTACGGCTGAACAGACGGGAAGCCACGTCCTCCTCGCTGTGGTCGTATGTGCTAGGAGTAAGTAAACAGTGGAATAGGAAGCGCCTTGACGGTCACGAAACTAGGGTCAAATGGTGTAGACGCTGAGTTTCTGTTCACAGTTAGGGGTAATTTAGTATGCTTGCTATGGGGACTAAGATTGAGACCAAGCACAGCCTGGGGAATAAATTCGACCCAGTGGGCGTGCTCCATCCAATATTCAATACAATATCCACTGTCCGACTTGACTTGGAGAACAAGTGTTCACTGAGCCTGCTTAGTTGTACAGTACCTTTGATGAAATCGTCAGTATGAAGATTGAAAATCCATATAAATTCCGTAATTGCTTGACTTAGTGACAATGACCTTTGGTGGCGAACCTGTAGCCTTTTGGGAGTGCCGTAAGCTTTACATACTTGCAGTCTCTCGGCCTCTTACAAAGACATCTGACAAAGAATAATGGAAATTATGTTATTCAATAAATACAGTAGCATTATTGGAATATAAAACTGATAACTTGACCAGATGGGTATCCGAGAGCAACCATATTGTTATGAACAGTAGTGCTTGAGGGTGCTCTATACTCCAAAGGTATCCACAAGAAATTCGTGGCATGCAATGTCAGCCATGATTTGGTGATGGAAACGCTGTGAGCGGGCTGTTTGTTGCTGTTCAAGTCTTCAAGTTCAACTGGATCAAAACATACAATGCCTCGATTTGTGTTCAGACATAGAGAGTTGGTGACAAATGCCAGGATTTCCACGTCATAGTGACTCTCCAGGATCTGCAAGCAATGGCCGTTTGTGGTATCCCAGAGCCGAATGGTGTTATCAATTGACGCAGATGCTAGTAACTTGCTATCTGGTCGAAAAGCAATAGAGTTAACCTCTTTATTATGGCCTTCGAAGATTTGTAGGCACTCGCCACTTGTGGATTTCCAAAGACGAATGGTATTATCATATGAGCCAGATGCTAAGGTCTTTCCATCTGATTCAAATGCAACACAACTACCGGAATTAGTATGACCACTTGCATGATCCCAGAGGCGAATGGTATTATCACCTGAGGCAGATGCCAGTATTCTACCATTTCGTTGAAAAACAAGAGATGTTATCCAGCTTTTATGACCCTTGAGTATGTGCAGGCATTGACGGGTCCTGGAATCCCAAAGACGAATGGCGTTATCACCTGGACCAGATGCTCGCATCTTGCTACCTAATCGGAACGCAACAGAGCTGACCCATTTGTCATGATATTCCAAGGTCTTTGGATACTGCCTGCTCGTTGATTCCCAAAGACGGATGGTATTATCATATGAGGCTGATGCAAGCGATTTTACCCTCCGATGGAAATGCAACAGAACTGACAGAGTTGTTGTGACCATGTAGGGTCTAGAGAAATTGGCCGGTTGTAGAGTCCCAGAGGCAGATAGTTTTGTCATATGAGGGAGATGCTACTACATTGCCACCAGATCGGAAAATAACAAAATAGACCACACTTTTATGACCTTTTAGTATCCGCCGGCAACAACCAGTTATAGGATCCCAGAGGCGAATAGTGTTTTCACCTGAAGAATATGCTATCATCTTACCATCAGGCCAGATATCCATTAAAACATGTAAAAAAAAAGGCGGAGTACGGAGTAGCTTTAGAAGAAAAGGCATGATGCCACGGAATAGTTCAGTGTGAGTGGGAATCATATAGAAAATTCCTGCAGATTGCTACAGAGCTTATTATAATGCCTACGGTGTTCAATAAGTTTCCTTTCAATAACGTGGATCTCTTCTTTATATTCCGCATTCTTCGCAAGATTTTGAAAGCCCCAACTACTCCCCCTCGCTTGTATTAGCCAAAAGGGCGCCAACCATTGTGCTCCAATCCATATCCAAGCCATTGCAACCCTCCCTCACCATAGGCATTGACCATCGTCGGTCGCCCGACATAATCTCCCAATGGCTATGAAAAAAAAAAAAAAGAAAAAGAAAAAGAAAGCTTTATAGCTAGGTTTGGTAAGGGTTTTGGTCCCTAGCCTCCGCGCCAGACCTCAAAGATAGAGCACTTGAACTGAGTATCCGGCATAAAAGCTATCTCGTTTGTATTCCAATGTCTGTTTCTCGTGTGGACCATAAAAGTCATTAGGATTGCGATGGATCTCCGGAGGGGCCGTAAGGACGGTTTGGCAGATGCTTAAATCGTCATATATGTTTCGAAGATAGTATGTGGTTTATGAGTCACTATTTCAGACACAGCTAGCATGCTTGTACGTCACCATGCCTGGAAGCTTTTTTGATTCATTGCAGTTGCATTCTCGGAAGACTGCAGGACGGATCCTCTGTCGTCAATGACAAAATTTCCACAGAAGGCATAACGTTGGGGTTAGAATCAAGTTTACTCAGAAAGGGCAAGCAAGTAAACCATGCTTTTAATAAAGTAATATAGCCTTATACATTGCGAACTACGCCATGCTAGTGTATATATCTGGGTAAACTTTGCGGAGTAGTTCGTCCAAGTTGCTGCCCGTTTTATCTTTTTTGTTTAGCCTGTCTTTTCCGTGGCTATAGGTTTCATGAAAGAACTTTATCCGATGACACACCGGTCAATCCAGCAGTAAGTGACCCTTACGCCGGAAAAGATAGGTCTTTTCCGTCAAAATAACTAGCAGCACCGTGTAGTTGACACATCAATTCTGAACACAAATACAAACGGAAGACTAACCACGCATATATAGTTTCATTAATTGCAGAGAAAAGGGACATAAATATAGCCACGTCTCCGCCACATGTTCACAATGTTCTCGTCCTAATGAAATGTGTGATATGGATGTATCCGATTACGGGTAGCATAGCAGTCGGCTAAAATAGGGAATAGGGGTTGCTAGTTTGATATGACGACGATCCAATGCGACTTTGGCCTTGATTTGACTTGAAGATACGCTGATAGGTCGACGCGTAGGCCCTGATTGAGTCCCTGTATAAATCCAAAATAGGATAACGTATGGACCCCGATCCAAATGATATAGAGATCCCAGATGTCCCTACGTAATGAAGGTAAAATAAGTAAAAGATCACGTCGTTTTTTAATCGGGACTAATGGGGTAGAAAGCGTGGCATGCAGGATGGCATCCCTTACTTTTGAAATCTCCAAGTCAAAAGTCTGAGTCATTCTGCAAGTTGGCAATGGAGCTTAAGCCTCTTTCAGGAACCGATGAAGAATGTGGAGGAGATAATCATACCTGTCACATGTGAGGTTTCTGATTCCCCTGGCGACTACTTCCCCTTTCTTTCGAAGATTTGGAACTATCTATTTGAAGCAGACAAAGGCCCGAAACACTGACTTGACTCTCCTTCCTGTACCAACTTCAGCAAGATATTATCATGGGACACAGAAGTAAGTGACTTACACAATCGAAGTTTTGTGACAAGGTGTCCTTGGTCATTCGCTGATCAGATTCAACCACAAGAGCCTCTAAAGATACTCATGCTTCATGGTATGCTATGTAGCCCGATCACTATCATGTCAACCAAATCAACTGACTGCGATACTTTTTAGGCCATGGACAATCGGGTCAAAAGTTCTACTACAAAACCCGCATTTTCCATGCAGCGATTCAAAAAGAAATTCTTTCTCTAACGAACAATCCAGTCGAGTTTGTTTACCTCGACGCTCCGATTTGTCAAATCCCGGGTGACCATGATACACGGATATGGGCATACGGTAGCTATGAAGAAGCTGAAATGCGAGGTTTAAACGATAGCATTCAGCTTGTCATGAGCGTTCTCAAGAACAAGGGTCCATTTTTAGGAATCATGGGCTTTTCGGCTGGGGCAGCATTGGCAGTTATTATTGCTTCGCTACTGGAGAGCCCTGACAGACACAAAGAGTTCAATGTTCAAGTGAGACTTCCCAGCGCTTTGGTGTATATACCCATCGCCGCTTTTTTGTTTTTTGTACTCGGGCTGACATTTTAGGTACAACAACCACCCCTACAATTCGTTGTGGCATACAGTGGTTTTATGCTGGCTCATCCCACCCACATGTCCTTGTACTATCCCAAGATACAGGTTCCTATTCTGCATTTAATTGGAAAGCTGGATTGCATGATAGAAGAGTCATTGACCCTGCGCTTAGCCGAGCGGTGCCAGATCCGGAAGATTCGATATTTTTGGGGTGGGCATTATATTCCTCGCCACCCTGAAATAGTCTCCGAGATTGCCGGTTTTATTGGGGACTCATTTGGTTCTGGTCTGATATTGAAGACTGGTGATTATGAGTTGCCAGGATAGATATGTTTTCTTTTGAGGCGAGTTTATGTATATTTATTTAGTGGTGACAATGGATGTACATACAAAATAGCAAAGTGACAAACTCAAAAGTACAAATACCTTACTACTTGTTTTCTGATTCGTCGTTACTCTTTCTCATTACGTGCGCTTTCAATAACTCTCTTGTCAAAAGACGAATCAAATAGCTTTTATAAACAGAGGTCTCAACATGTATAGGGCGCAGTAGGAATGATGGGATTATCCCCACACGCCCAGAAAAAGAATAGCAAAAGAGGCAACAAAGTCAGACCAGATCTGCAAAAAAGATACCAAAAAAAAAACTAAGAACAGAGAATAACAAAAGCAAAAACATACAACAGCCGGGATTCGCTGGTGGTCACCCACCCAACTACTAACCGGCCGGCGTGAGGCTTAAGTACGGCTGAGCGGACGGGAAGCCCTGTTCTCCTCACCCTGTGGTCGTATGTGCTTGCTCAGACTTATTGATGGAGTATGTAGGGCCTACAGAGTCCTGGATCCGAGTAAGAATGGCGACTTAGACGCTGCGTTTCTGTTCAAGGTTAGAGGTGATTTGGTATGCTTCTTACGGAGACTGGATGAGACCAGACACAACCCCAGGAATGGAAGAATACAGATGCAATACAAGTAATTTACTGCTGAGATATAATGTGTTATTGGGAATGGTAGGGGTTCAAATGCTACTACGTATAGGCGGTTAACAATTGGTTAGTTCCGGAAGTATTCAAATATGACTTGTTCGGTCCATGGTTATAGCTGTACTTTGTGCAGGATTCTTCTAAATATTTCGACCGAAACTATATCACACAATAGCAATTATGTTCAAGACCCTAGGTAGGTCTTTGTTTTCAGGAGATCAGTACCCTCGATTTGCCAATATTAGCATTTCCCGACCAAGTAAAATTAACTAGGCTGCTGCCATCCGCTTTGTCCATGGGGATTTGAGAAATGCACAAGACTTACTCCTTTTAACCTTCTAGATCTGTAATGCCTTCTGTCAACATAGAAAGGAAACATTCGCAAACTGTTCTACGCAACTTGCCAGAAATCGGATGTTCTATAAGCCACATAGAGTCGAATTGCATTAACATCCAAAGCCACACCACTATTGCATAAGAAAATGAACTTCCAAAGTAACATGCATTCGTATGCTGGGGCGAAACTAGCTCATTAGACAACTCTCGTCTTATCTCGATGAAAAAGAGGCCATAAATAGCAAGAAACAAAAAGAACAAATAACCGCCACACAGCACGCCATTCTGTTTTATGGGGGACTTGTGGGTGGATTTGACGCGCCTGCAACCTTCGATACATGGCCTTCCCCAGCTTTTCTGACACCTCTTGTAGTGTGCTGTTAGAAATGCAGACAGGGCCCTTGTATTGGTTTAGAAGCAGGCCCAGCATCTTCCTGCCGAACCGCGTGCTCTTCGTCGCAGCCATGACAACACGTTCCGAGATTGGCAATGGAGCGTTGTGGTGACTTAGCATAAGCTTGATAACATCATCCTGAATTCTGATACTGTCATTCTGAACTGCAACTGAAAGGAGCTGTTCTGACACACCAACTTCGTGGTATGTTGGATGATTTAGAAGAAGTATTAAGATGTCACACGCCTGTGTCGGGTTTCCAGCGGCCGCATAAGCAACATTTGCGGTGATTTTCAGCTTTTGCCCACCATATTTCATCAAGAGGAGAATACACCGTTTTCCATTTATGAGGTTTGTTGCAGCCGCAACTAGCACAGCTTCGGTGATTTTGATCCGATCGCGCCTTTTGCGGACAAGTAGCCCCAAAGGGGAATGCCAGATGTAATGGAGATCTCTCCAGCTCTTGTCGACCTTAGTATTCGTAGCTGCAGCCTTCAAGACTTTTTCAAAGTTGATTTGATCGTCTCCTTGATTCTCAAGACGAGACAGAAGAAATCGCAGCATTTCTGTTCCATGGGCGCGGTTTTTGGCAGCGGCGGAGAGCAGTTTGGTGGTGATCAGAATTGAATCCTGGCAGCATCGAAAGAGCAGCCTGAGCAGCTGAAGAGAGAAAGATGCTTCATTAGAAGCAGCAGCCAATAATGCCTCCGAGTTGACGAATGGTGCTTTCGAGCGTCGGGTTCGTAGCAATTGAACAGACTCGTATCCGTACTTTGAGTTCCCAGCAGCAACAGCTACCAGATCAGAAGTAACTGCTACGGTCTTTCCTACACCTTCACCGGCAAAAATCAACACTTTCAGAATATTTGTTTCTGAACTCGTATTTCGGACTGCCCTTTTCAATAAACCCTCTGACAGATCGATTTCGTGGCCGTATCGCTCGAGAATCATTCGTAGGGTGGCATCGTTGCATTCCTGGGCGAGCTCGAAAGCCAACTCCTGTGGATTGAGAAATCGAGAATTGGACAGAAAGACATCGAATTGCGAGTAGGAAAGGGACCTAGATAGGATCGCCGCAGTCCGGAGACAGTGCGGGTCGACATATAAAGATGAATCGAGGAAAGCATCGGGAACAATGTATTTACCTGTTGTTGTTGTCATGTAGGCTCTGAGAATGCTTTCAGTCAGTCGGAACTCAGGCCTCCTTCTCCCAAGGAGCAGCTGGAAAAGTTGAATGCCCTGAGATTCGTTGCGAGCAGCTTCAATCAAAACGTCTTCTGTGAGGGGCGTTTGAAATCTCTCCAACAATATTGCCATCATGTCCATCGCAAAGATAGGATTGCGTGCAGCAGCAGCAAGTACACTGGGGGTCATTTGACAATTTCGCGAGACACATTGTAACAAAGCATGTTTCGTACCCTTGTTCTCTGCGGCAGCGACAAGCAAAGAATCGGAAAGTCGGATCTCATGACCAAAATGATTAAAAAGCACTACAAGCGGGTGATCTCCTTGCGCATCGTTTTTAGCTGCAGCAACAGCAATTGGTTCAAGATCATCAATCCTGCCTTGGTTGCAAGCAAGCAACAGCTCAAGCATCTGTGTAGAGTTATACTGCGTGCTAGCAGCAGCTACCAGCGCTCTGGTGGATACAACATTGGGACAACCGAAAGAAACAAAAAGAAAATTGAGAATTGCCAGATTCTGATCACTGTTATTCTCAATTGCTGCGCAGACAATATCCTCTTTCACCGCAATCCGCAGCTTGGACCTCAAACCATCTTCCATGTTCTCGAGCTTTGTGCCGTGCAATGAAAACAGCAACACGGAAGGAATGATGACATTTTGGTTTGGCGATAGCAGTAGTCGAACTGTGCTTAGATCATTGTATTTGATTATCGCAGGAATAGCCTCAGCTGTCACAATGACCAGGTGGGTCTGTTGACGTAACAATAATCCTATGGGGTCACCTCGCCTGTAAACTGAGGCCTTGTATCGCACCATCTCTTCGGTAACAATTATATCATGAAAAAATGGATTGCTCTCTTCAGACTTCGAACCTAGGGTGCTGGTTTCAAGAAAATGCCTGCCACACTTGTCTCCATCAATAGTGCCCAGGAGGCCTTTGGTTGTGAGGATATTTTGAAGCTGGAGAAAGTCTGATTTATCAAGAGATGAAGAGGCCAATGCCGGATCCATGTCCCTGAGGCCCTCGAACCGATTTCTTATGAACTGCAAATTACCTGCCTTGAAAGGTGGTATCGCAATGTCCAGGAACTCAACGCTCGGGGGTCCCCGATCAATCATCTTCGCCAGTAGATCCATAACATGTTGTTCAGTAAATGGTCCCACTGAATTTCGGTGTACGGTGAGCAGAATGGGAGGCCACAACTATGGCTTCCTCTATGACTGGCAATGGGAACGACCCCTGCAGAAGCTTTTCCATCAGCCGTTCATCGCAACTGTTCTTCTTGAGTATACTGATGAGGACAGCTTCGCTGGTATCATTTTGAAAGCTCAATGGCGTGCTAAAGGCCTGGATTGTTTCGAGGGAAATCGAAGACTTGTCTGCGGCTGCGACGAATAAATCCTTATTGATGTCAATTTGGCTTGGGAGATGTCTCACAAGAGGCTGAATAATACTGGCGGAAATTCCATCGTTCTCTAGCGCTCTAATGATAATTTCGGGGCTGATGCTCGTTGGAGCCAGACCCAGTAGATAGATGAGGACCTGGGAAGACCCTCCAGCGGCAGCAAGCAGCATATCTTCTGTGACCTGAATGCATCCGTAATCCCTGTCGAATATCATCGCCATGACCTTTTCGTCTGCAACCTCAGTCAACTGGATGGCAACTTCTTGACACATTCGAAAGCCCTCGTGTGGTAGCCGCGTTATTTCCAATGCTATCATCGGATACATCGGTTTGATGATGGATATCAAGCCTCCTGCGGTCAAGCCCGCCGGTGAGTGGACGTTTTTAAGTATCCGGTGTAAGGCAAAATGACCCAGGCTATCCTCCCCAGAATCACCCCTTGCCCCACATATCAGAGGAAAAATAAAATTTTCAACCGCAGGTATTGAAAACTGTGCACCAACCCGGCGCAGATATCGGGTGTCTGGGTTTGCACGTAGAATCGCCACCAGTATGTCGTCATCAACAGACCTCTGCTCCCTCGAATGTCTGAAGTACACAGCGACACAATCGCACCACTGGTTCAGTTGCTCAGGAAAGTCTGGCGAGTCTGAATCAAGAAATTTACTATACAAATCAAGGAACGAAGCCATGGCAGGTGCTGTGACACGGAGTTTGTCATTTCGGTAATTCAAGACTTCATGAATCACCTGCAGCCCATGACTACAATCCCTTATATTTCTTATTATCTTAGGCGTGATAGTCACTGGCTGATTCAGTTTGGAAAGATACTTGAATATGGTGAAAATATGAGCAGGCGAGTGTCTTTGGCTGACGATAGCCTCTGAAAGACACACTTCATTCATTGCGATCTGCTCGGCGCGGGACGGGATTAATTCTGTGATTATGGTGGAATCCGGGGTTTTCAACGCCTCCATGATGGCGGCCTGGCCGAAATGGATCTTGTCGCTTGCAATCAATTGATGTAATAAGACTTTGTAGTGACTTGTATTTTCCAAAGCGATAGAAATTGTTTTTCCTGTGATCTCGACTTGCGTTGTCACCTGTGAGAGCAAGAGCTCAAGAACGTCCGGACCGTCAAGCCGATTGCTCACCCCTGCTTCAATCATGCCATGGTCTATATCCACTTGGAGTCTGTCGTCTGACATTACCTCTCGGATTATCCCAATGCCAAAGTTCTTGATTATCCCCCTCAACCCACTATCTGTAATCCATACCTTGTCAGGGTGGACTTCTAGCAATAGTCGCATGATCTTCTGCCCCAGCCTCTGGTTCCCAGCAGCCGATTCCATGGTAGCTTCGGTAACTGGCCAAGGGCCTTGATGGCTTTTCAAGTAAAGAGATGGGGACCGTTGTTTGAACAGCTTGTTCTTGGGTATGTCACTATTGATGTTCAGAATTGACTCGATAACTTTGTCGCCGCAACTGCAATTCTCTGCAGCTGCTGAAAGAACCAAGATCATGTTCAGTCCTGGGAGCTTATTGGGCTTGTTCTGAGCTATAAGCTGTATTGTTTTTGAATCTAAGACTCGTAACATGCCGTAGATCAGTTCCGCATCGATATTGAGCTTCAGAGCATCATCGTCGTCAATCAGGAGCTTGAATACCGCACTGCCGCTTTTTATGTTTCTCAAAGCTGCCCTAGCCATAGAATCCGTGGACATTCCGCTTGGCCCCAGTGTATTTGCAAATTCATTTTGTCGTAGTGCGGTTACTACTTCGGATTCAGTGCACGACTCGACAATCCCTTCAAACAATTTCTTCTTAACGCTGGCATCTTCACGGCGTTGCAATAGCAGTTGGATCAAAGACTGGGTGTATCCGGATCTCGACTGACAGAATGCCAGAATATCAAGCATCTCTCTTGATTCTGTTTGAAGCGATAGGCGCTGGAAATATTGTTCGATGACATGTGGCTCGCATTTGCTGACAACAATCTCCAATACTTTTTCATCGAAGGGTAATTCTCCTGAGGTACGCTCTAGAAGAGTGGACAAAGTCCCAGGGGCATCGGCATTAAGAGATGCGCCATGTTGCAATTCCCGGGTCATTTCGAACTCCCATCGATCTAGCATAAGGATTATTAAGTCCACGTCATAACTTTGAAGAATGAATTTTGCAGTGCCATATTCGATAGCATCAACCCCCCGGTGAAGGAGCAGCAGCTCGGTATTCTTTCGCCCATACCTTCTGGCAATAGAGTCAATAGCCCAACACGAAATCGTGACTCGATCCTCTGGCATGGCCAGAATTCGTTCCATAAAATTCAATTTCCAGTCCTTGTAGTTCAGAGCTTTGATTAGGTCAATATCGATGAAGGCAGTGGTGCTTTTCTGTTGTAAAAAAAGGTTCATGGTGGCCTCAGTATGTGTAGCAGGATATTCTACTCTCCACAGTAAGTCATAATCAATCATGATTGATCCTGTCTTAGCATTGAGTAGAGTGTTCATAACATCTAGTGCACCAGTTTCCAGATGTGCGGCGTTCCTAATGGCTTCTCGATTCACCACGTCCTGACCCATTGGTTTATGTGCCAAGAGGATATCCAGTGTCTCCCTGTTCGACCATACGGCTTCTGCAACCATTCTCTCAGTCACCAGGAGGCGCTGTGAGTAGGATAGGAACAGGAATGTAAATATAGCTAGACCATGGTGACGGTTACTCGCAGCGGCCACAAGTAGATCTTCTGGCAGATCCATAACGTCTTCACGTAGGGCCAAAACCTTTTTTATGGCCGCCACACTTCGAGCTCCAAAGATCGCACGGGCTCCATCCTCAGATACAACGACAGAATCGCGTGGTTTTGAAAGAGCCCACAACAAAGCCGGCTCATCTTTAGCACGCTCATCATACCGTCTCGGGATTGCGAATCGTCCAAGTACAGGGGGCTGTGATGAATCCTTCCACAACTGCTCAAGACAATCGATGCCGCTCTCGATGTTTCTGAAAGCGCACGAGAGGATAAAATCGGTAATTTGCATGCTATGAGCCACCCGTGTTCGTAGTACCTTGATGACGAATGGTCCCTCGGTCTCATTTTCGGCTGCTGCAGCGATGACGCTCTCTGGAATATCGTTCTCTTTCCAGTGTTCAAGAAGCATCTCCATGAGAATGGTACCATCCTTGGTGTTTGATGCTGCGACTTTAAGAAGTTCCTCAGTCACCGCGACTTCATGATTGAGATAATCCAGCATGAACTTCATAGTTTGCTCTCCTTTGTCTTCATTTTTAGCTGCTGCGACAAGCACAGACTCGCTGATATGAGGCCCAGTGGCATGTGACCTTCTGTCTCGATGAGCCAGCAGGTGCTTTAATATCTCCGGTGCTTCACCATCACTCTCGGCTGCAGCTATCTCCATGTCCTCAGTCACAACTATCCGATGGCCCATATTCTTCAGCAGCCCGGAGATCAGGTCGCCACGGTTGGCGTTATGGCGAAATACAGCAGTTAGAACAGAGCCTGTGATGACCGTTGCAGGATGACTTCGGGACACCAACTCAGTAAATATTCCCGTGTTTCCCGATTCCGCAGCCTCTTCCAGAGGTGTAGAGTGGGTGTCTGTCAGGAATTCGGTATCAATGTAGTAGTTACCATCATCTGTCGACTGCTCACCAAGGACGAAAGGAATAAACGCAGGTATGCCCCATTTTGCTGCGATGTGTAATAGCCCCAGGTTCTTTGGAACCCTGCGGTAAATTAATCTGTAGCATCGCAGCCATCGTTCGCGAGAAAGAGACTTTAGAGTGAGAAAATGGGTCTCCGTGACGTGATCAACATCAAATTTGGGACCGGCAAAGTGGGCGTGCTCCATCCAGTATTGAATACAATACGGTATGAATTCATCCCATCTGGAATCTTCCTCCCTGATATATTCAATCAATTCACCATCCCTCTCTGCCTCCCATTGCTGTAATTCAAGGTCATTTAGCAAGTTTTCAAGACGTCCGAGAGGCTTCCCAAAGTGTTGTGCAGTGTAGTTAATGCAGGAATATGCAAGCCGAGCATGTGACTCTTCAGCAGTTGGAAGCTGGGTCAGATCAGATTTGAAGATAAAGTCATGTACTGACTTATGGAGAAGGTTGACAATCCCGTCATGCTCCACAATCATTAGGCGGCAGAGTTTAATGTCCTCTCTTGTGAACGCAATTCTCCGGTCTTTCTCCTCTCCAGCGTGGAGGGAACAGGCCATGCAGAGTTGAAACAGGGTAAGTGGCTTTCGTGAGACTGCAACAACAGTGAGGATAGAGTAGACTGTGTCCCTCTTCACCTCGCTCTCGAATGCTTTCTCCATCAGACTTTTGTAGAGCCTATCCAGGCCGGGTGCCAGCCTTTCAAGGAAAGGCAGTGTATCTTGCACGCCGACTTTCATCAGATCTTCACACGTCAATCCAACCCAGAGAAACGTGCCCTCTGATTTTTCCTGCAATATGTTTCGTATTTGACTGGCCATTCCGTCTGGGTAGCTCTTATGCTTGTGCAACTCATCGACCCTCTTTTCAATAAAGACCTCGATATCTCTAGCCCTTTCTTCAAACTTTGCAAGATCCTGTGAAGGAAATAGACGAAGGTATTCGGAGATCTCTTGGTAGGGCCGACTAGTGATCAGGATGCGAACATTTTGAGTGAACTCGTGCCAAGGTTGGTCAAGGAAGCTGAGTTTCAGCTGCTGGAGGATAAGGATCTGTGACTCATTGTCGCACTCATCTAATGCATCGATAACACAGTACGAAACTCCGCACCTAGGATCGACAATTATTTCTGTAAAAACGGTCCAGAGAGCATCAAATGACCGAAGCAATGTATCCTGGCGTTCATGAAACTTTTGAACAAGCGAATCTCCGAGGATTGGATTTTGGCGCACCAGCTGCCATAAGATCCCTCTGAGAATGGTTGTAGCGGTGTTCTGTGTGTCGTGGTTTGCCTCGCAAAAGAAGTACGCGAATGATTCTTGCTCGAGGTTGACAAACCGCCGCTCTAGGCCTTCTGTTAGACACATGGCCATTGTCGACTTTCCACTTCCCGGTAGGCCATGAAGCCAAAATATGCTATCTTCAGGGCGACTCCCTTCCGCTCTGGGGTCTAACCATTTGGCTAGCTCTTTAGTCTCAAAGATCCACTGGCAAGTGCTTTCGGTCGGCCCCCCTCTCCGTGCCATGAGACTTCGCCTGTTCTCACTCGGATCCGTCACATACAAGCGGTTTAGATAGTTTCTCAGCTCGTGAGGTATCTGCACTATATGGCGCATACATTAGTACCACGTTCAAAGGAACATTGCACTTCAATATCTTACCTTTCTGTTCCGAGTTTTCTTGAGCCTGACGCCGAGGCAAAACTTCCAACAATGCTTTCACATATGCCGCCGCGGAAGCGGCTGCATAAGGCTGCCAGATTTTGTTCTTGTGCGAGTCCGAATAGTCGCATATCCCTCGTATAACCAAGCATTCAAAATCGTCCATCAATCCAGCTGCTTCCATTTCATAACATAGGACGTTTCGATCTTTCGTAAGCTTATCTCGAGTTATCGCATCCTTCATCACTTGGTTACCAGACGCAATCAGTCCATAATGCACACGAGGGCATTCAGAATATCGCTTTTCTCTATCCACTAGCCATCCCCGATCGCACTCGTCACAGGTTGAATTTGACTCTGGGTGAGCGTAGGTCGGGTGAAACAGACGATCCAATTGGCTTTCTGGGATGTGCAGTATAGTTTCGCCATTTGCCACAATCGTTGCAATCGCCGCCGCTAGTCGCTGATCAAAGTCTTGTTTTGTTTGCAAATGAGGGATCGCGTTTAGGAGGACTCGAGGGGGTTTGTTCAGTATTCCAACTTCTTCGAACCGACCAGACGGCAGCGTCTTTCCCATATCATACTGGATGACACCTGGGTTTTTCCCTTCTGGCTTGCTCACCACAATATCACCCAGTCGTATGTCGTTGGTCTCGCTGGGAATGCCTCCTCCAATTCCAACCATGAACCTGTACCTTAACGATGGAAAGCTGGCATTCATGTGTTGCGCAGCAACCGCTGCTGGCGTCGTTCCATATCCACCAGATGGTAGACACGTTATCACCACATTATGACCATGGATCTCCCCGTAGCTGTATGTATTCTTGTCGCTTTCTGCCAGTTCGATGCTAGGGTCGTGTATTTCGTCTAATGCTCGTCTGGCAGCGTCCAGCTCACACTGTAGGGCGCATATCCAGCCGACACTGTAGTCGCCACAGTGCAGAGGACGGCGTGTATTCATTTCTTTCGGTTTTCTCAGTCAGTTTCGATAGCTGTCTTGAAGACGTTGTGGTAATTTTTGAGATCAAGAAAACGATGCTGTTCCCAGTGTTGAAGATCAGCAGAGTGGGATTGAGAACAGGACAAATGACTTGGGGGCGGAGCCAACTCATCATTTTAGCGCCGAGAATCAGAAAAGATCATCGTCAATTGTATTCAACCAGTAATATGAATATTTGCCATGCAACCTGAAAGCCACAGCCTCGTCTTCTAGCTTGGCGAAAGGAGCAATCAAACAAGTGAACCTTGATCCGGTATATACGCAGTAGGGCCTTGAGCAAGATCATAAAAAATTATTCCGTATGCCATTCCGGTTCCAACTAGCTGTTTTACTTCGACTGGCGATCAACGCTTTGCAAAAGTCGAAGGTGGGAAGTTTGAGGCCGGCGAGGTGACAGGGATGATGCCACTTGCATTCCGTGGGCGCGTGACATAACATGTTTTGCGCAAAGCGGGGTTCCCATTTTTGACTGCTAAAAGATACTTGCAGTGTTTACTCCTGCGTATCTGAAATAAAAATATAACGAAAAGGCTCTTGTGATGCCAGACTTCTACTATTATAGAAGAGTTCTATTGTTATGCCGCAAGATCGTACTGTCTCGACAGCTAATCAAGGTCCTTCGACACTAGGTTATTAGCCTCTTCATCCCAGACAACAGTTCCTAAGCCTCTCCTATCATTACTAAATTAACTATCGGCCGATGCATTGTGGGATTATGAGGTGCATGAAGCTGCCATTCTTTCCTGTTGGCTACCCCTCCCGTTCCTCTACATCTAACTTTTATATGTGTAATGTTTTAGGCGATTTATTTGAAATATGCCCCATTGATCTTCCGAATGTATACTCACTTCTTTTATTATTTGGTTTATTCGGCTTCTGATTTGCCTTTCCTTTTCATTTTTTGTTTTTCTTTTTCTTTCTTTTTTTTGTTATCCTTATGAGTATTATGTCCCTTAAATTTCTACGGTAGCATTTGGCTCTAATTTTTATAGTTCTTTTCCTCAGGTACCGTAACGGCTTTTATACCTTTCTTTCATAATTTAGCCACATGAAACTATAGAAAGTTAGCTGTCTATAATAATTTACAATTACCAGTTACCTTTGAACTATTACAAACTGACTACTATAAGCATTTTGGGACTCTATTTACCAAGTTTACCCATGTCAAATATCCTCAATGGCGTATGAGATATTACGATATGCAGAATATATATCTTCGAAGATACCTGGCTATTTGATTTAGGCAATGATCAATTTATTAAAGCATTCCTACAATGTGTTATTAGGAACGGTAGCGGCCCAAACGCTATGTATAGAAGTTGAATAACTGGTTGGTTTTCGAAGGATTTAAACTCATCTAGTGCGATCCATGAAGTACGTCTGGACTTACGATTCCTGCCGAATATGCAATTACCACTAAAAATATAAGCAACAGCCTCCCTGTCCTGGGCAATGGAACGAACGTGCATGATACACAATCTCCACCACGCGTTACACTACACGAGGACATGCCACCGACGAACGCACCCTCGCGAGAGAACAGCATCGAATAGGATGTCTCAGTGTCTGCAGACGGAGTCAGTGAAGAAAAGCAAAGTGGGTCATTCTCCATCGGTGACGTAGAATTTTCACCGAAGCATTAATAATCCCTGTCCGATTTTCTCCAACTTTTCTCCAACTCCAACGCTTTTTCCCCATGGCAAAACCCCGATGATTTCATCTATTTAACTTCTGGATTCTGAGATCTGACTTTTGGCGTCGCGATTTGAGTTGACATTCCGGAGATTTTTTCCTCTCTTTTTTTTTTCACACCACGTACGGATTTTAGAGATCATCGCGAGCATATATACCACGCAATGGCTACGATTCAGCAATGGAGTTCCCCTCTGAAGGGATTGGATTCGTTGAAGCTGTCGGAGGTGCCGGCATCCACGCCGGGAAAGGGTGAGGTGTTGATTGAGGTGCGCGCGGTTTCCTTGAACTATCGCGATGTTGAAGGTACGTTTTCCGACCCTTTTTGCGCTCTACATTCCTACATTCTTGCTCCAATCGCAATCGCAATGGATCATACTGACTCCTGCAGTCTGCAACGGCGAATACACCCACCACAAATCCGTCGGCCAACAAGAAACCGTCCCCTGCTCCGACATGTGCGGTGTGATCACCAAGGTCGGCGACGAGGTCAGCAACTGGAAGGTCGGCGACCGCGTCCTCTCCACCTTCCTCCCCGACCACCAGACCGGCCAGGTCACGGAGAAAGAACTCGCGCGCGGAACGGGTCTGCCCATGCCTGGTTTCTTGGCCACCCAGCGCGTATTCCCTGCGTACGGACTCGTTCGTGCGCCGAGCTACATGAGCGACGAGGAGGCCAGCACGCTGCCCATTGCCAGCGTGACGGCGTGGATGTCCATCAACGGCATGAGGTCGATGGGACAGAGCGGCGGTAAGGACGAGTATGTCGTTCTTCAGGGCACCGGAGGTGTCGCGATTGCCGGATTGCAGATTGCGAAGGCTGCGGGAGCGAAGGGTCAGTTTTAACCTCTCCTGGCCCACTTCACTAAGCTTTGACTAACGCTGATCTCATTCCGACAGTCATCATCACATCCTCCTCTGACGCGAAGCTCGAGCAAGCGAAGGCCCTCGGTGCCGACTTCACCATCAACTACCGCACGCAACCGAACTGGGAAGAGGAAGTGATGCGCGTGACGAACGGCCACGGTGCTGATATTATTCTCGAGACCGGTGGCGCGCAGACCCTCAAGAAAAGCTTCGACTCTATCGCCTTCGGTGGCCTCATCAACTGCATTGGCTATGTTTCCGGAAAGGTCGATGCGCCGGAGGATCGCACGAACGTGAACCTGTTGGCGCTGCGACGAAACGTCACGATCAAGGGTATCATCAATGGGCCGAAGGACCGTTTCGAGGAGATGGTGGGCTTCTATGAGAAGCATGAGATCAAGCCGGTTGTGAACCGGGTCTTCGGGTTCAAGGAGGCAGATCAGGCTTTCAAGTTCTTGGCGAGCGGAGGACATTTTGGAAAGGTGGTTATCAAGGTGGCTTAGAGATTTCTGTATAGCTTATCGAAATGGTATATACGATGGCATTTATTCAGGATGAATGTTAAAGACTTTCCGTTCAGTTTGGTTGCTCGTCTCTTGGTTTCTTCTGTACATCTTTCAAGGGCTTGCATGTCGTCAATCCTACCGGCTGTCAGTGAATGATTTCATGCTGGATCATCAAACCGCGAACGAGACCGCATTCACCAAACCAGTGACCGCTGGAGTCAGGTGTGAGTCAGATGCCTGGTGGGTGCCTTTCCGTTCTGGCACCTTCCTCTTTCGACCGCCTGACAGGGCCGGAAACTTCCCTCTCTTCTCCTTTCTCCTTTCCCCCTCCCTTCTCTCCTCTTCTTTCCCCTTCCCCCCTCTTCTCTTCTCTCCTCTCCTTTACCCTTCCAAAAGCTGAGATAAGTATCCCAACTTCCATCAAAAGTCATCCACCATCAAGAGCTAGGCTGACTTATGATAGGTAGACGTCCTGCTTCCCTGCTTGCGTCCTCTGATGGGTTGGCTGAAGCACCTGTCTTCTATCCTGTCGCCGCAGTGAGAAGACAGAGGTCAATCCTTTACCGAACAGCGAGTAGATCGCCTCGACTGATGAGCAAGTCTTTACGTCTTGTCTACCTGCGGACTGGGCTGGAGGGACGTGTGTGGACCGATTGAAGGCCAGGGAGGACGCACTGGAAACACTGCTGACCTGGCTGGATCGTCGAGAAGCGACGCGTTTCGATAGCACGGGAGGAAGCGGCGCGGATGGTGCGAAGGAGATAGCTCATCGGAACGGGCAGATCGTCCACGTTTTCTCTGAAGCTATGAGGAGACTGGGCTTCCCGGTAACCTCATAGTGGCCGCTAGACTTTGTGGGCTTGCCTAGTACGGCAGAGACCAACGCTTTACCGAACCGCGAGTAGACCGCCTCGACTGAAGAGCAAGTCTTTCCGTTTATCGAACTCGCCTCGTCGAGCTCGCCTTATCGAACTGTGGACTGGACTAGCGACCGCGTGTGGACCGATTGAAGGCCAAGGAGGCGCACTGGAACGGATGCTGAGCAGGCTGGATCGTCGAGAAGCAACACGGTTCGCTAGGAACGGGAGGAAGCAGTTCAGGGGGCGAAGAAGATAGCTCACATCAGGAGAGGCCGGTCGTCCACGTATTCTCTGAAGCCATGAGAGCACTGGGTTTCCCGGTAGCCTCATGGTGGCCGCTAGAATTCGAGGACCCGCCTAGTAGGACAGGACCCAGGTCGTTCTACAACCCCAATGATCCTGTGTAGACTGGCAATCTACCAGGGGAGGGTCATCAGCGATGAACTCGCACTTCTACGCAGTGCTGATGACTAGTAGCCTTCGGGCGAAGCTAAGACGAGTTCACATTCCTCCTGTAGTACGTTCCGCAATTGCTTTTTTGTACAATGATGTAGACTGTGGGAATATCTTAGCTAGTTTAATTCTTTGGTTATTTGGCTTTATCCTGTCCTGTAACCTGTTTTAACGCAGCTGAATTGTTGATTGAAGTTACAATTATTTCCTCCTCGCTGGTCAGACACCTAGTCTGTAGACGATCTGAAAGTAACCAACTGTACCGCATGAACTGTCTGTATGGCCTCTTATTAATGAATATTCTATGGTTTACGACAAATTTCCACTGATCGAAATGCTCATTGCTAATATCTGATAATCAAGTCTTGGTGGTCTCGGTGCCAGTACTTGGACAACGAGGAAGCATCTCCTTTCTCAGAATATGCCCTGCAAACTGGGACAAATCAGCTCGGATTACGATGTCGTTTTGTTCCAGTCCAGTCGACTCTCCAGCACTTCGGGCCTGAGAATGCCATCTCTTTAGTTCCCGCAGATGAAAGAAGCACTACTCGGTGACAGGTGTAACCGGCTAGCTACGGTCGGCGCTACAACTCTCCCTTAAGTATCTAGGGCGGTGTGGCTTGCCTGAAATAAATGATCCCTACCCCTAGATTGGAAGAGATTCTAGAAGGGTCTTCCTACACACAGGTCTTGAAAGCCAGGATTGCCAAACATTGGACTGTTCTTTACAAAGAACGCAAAATACTCCCCAAACTGTCATCCTCACGATGAAGGGCTCAAGACAACAGGTCCGCGAACACATCATGGCTCAAACACCACGCGTTATATTTGAATCCCTTCATGACCTTCCTTCAGATGGTGCAGCCCGCATACTCGTGGATACCCCTAATAGCGTTCTCAATCCGCAAGACTACTTGGAATCCATACATCCATTTGCTTTGACAGTCCAGCATTCGCTACATGGGTATCGCTCACATCACGAGACTCGCTTTGTCGCTGTCAATATATACCCCGGCAAACACTCCTATTTCGTGGTGGATCTCAATAATGTCAACTATAACTACGATACCGCCCATGAGTGCAAGACTCCAATCCCAGTATACGTCCTTCGTCTGTCGAAGGCACCAAGAATTCGCAGAGCTGCAGCCCTGGATATCCAGCTTGCTGAAATGCTTGCTAAGATGCACAATGGGCATGGACAGGACCCTCTTCCTTTGTTTGAAGATCATAATGATCCGAATCTCCAATACCGCAAACCTCGCAGCCTGCGAAGTTGACATGTTTTGCTCTAGAGAGGGTTAGCAGGGCAGGGTGGTGGGTATACGTTATATAGGTGATAATTTAGGGGTGGATAGAGACAACAATAGCCGCGCTTTTGAGAATCAACACGTTGATTTCTGTGAGGGTTGATCAGTATGGCTTTTGTGTTTTTTGTCCTCTTCTTTGGTCATCCTCTTGTGTTGAACCTGCCTAGTCTCCCTGTTAAAGAATGCCAATTTACAGTCGCCAGTGCGCGGTCCAGTAGCTCGAAGAAAAGGTCGGTCCTTATGTTCTCTTGGCTCGCCGCTCGTAACAACTCCGTCGTGATGTGTTCAGGGGGGCTGACACAGTCAGTTCGTGAAGGGGTTGGTTCTGAAATTTGATGATGATTCGGGCCACAAGATCGAGGGTTAATCCGAGCGAGGCACGCGAGTAAACAAGGATTTCAAAACATCGACGCTAATGCGCTCATCGGCACCGAGCGCCTTTAAAAACGGCTCCTTCGAGACCGTGACGTCGGGATCTCTGTCCAGCAAAAGTCCCATGGTCGACTTGGTTATTTCGAGTGGATGTTGTTTATTCTGAATCGCTGCCTCATGAGATAGCTGGCATTTTTCATATGAGACGAGACTTCTTCCCTGTCGCTGGTCAGATGTCTATTCCATAGACGAGCTGACGGTACCACCCACACTTTACGGATCATAACAAGCCAGGCTAAGAGGCCAAAAGCCAATCCATAACCAATTTCCAATGTTAGACTCGCTTCGGACGCCCACAGTGTGCATTCCGATTATTCTTGTTATTTCCTTTCTGATAGGTAACACCCGGCGCAGGCGATCCCCGACCTCGCCGAATCCATGGATATTCTGTTTCGATCTACGGAGCGCTTACATCGGCGGTTGTTGAACGAATAATAGGCTTACTAGGTAAATACAATTCTCATTAATGTACAGATTTCGTTCATTTATCACTGATACTTCTTAGTGGCAACGGGTACAGTGTGAAGACATACTTCCCTTCTCGGTGTACGGCTCATAATGCCCGGACAGGATATATGCGCTTTACAAAAACGGAGAAATTCAAAATCTCGCGTTCTCTAGAGCCACCGAAATTGTTCCTCGGCATCCTTGCGGGAGGTGCTACACCATTCAGAAGTTATTTCTTTCGTCATCTTGCCTAGGCTCCGCACACCCTGAATGACAAAGTTCGTCTCTCCATCTCTCGGTACCATGATCTTTAAAACTGCGGAGCAAGGACTGCATTTCTCCTTCGTGTACGGCCTCTGACTGAGTATAAAGCGCTGGACGTCAACGTGCGGGCAGAATGGAATAGGGTCTATTCGACGCAAGACAGAAAAGATTTGATATAAAAACATCGTCTCTTCATCAAAATACCCCTGTTCTGCAACCAAGTGCACATCGTACCTATACTGCAGCTCCAGTGGGCCAAATAGCCCCATGACCAATGTAATTGTAAGGTCCAGAAAGAAACAACCACGGTCGAGTCTCGGGCAGCAGTGTATAAGAGAAAGCGTCTTGTTGGCAGTTACGGGCGTGAAGGCCCCGCGAATCTTCTCAGGTAATCCATCGGAGTTCCCGGTGCGTAACCATTGCTTGAGCTGCATTCCCTGGTAGTAGCTCAGTTCAAGGCACGCACATACATCGACCTTCCTATGAATGCAGCGGCGTTGAGAGGGATCGTCACCGGGATCGATCTTTTTGAACCAATCTCGCGGATGAAGCTTCGTACATCTCGAGCAGTATAACCACTTGTCGTCTTCGATGTGGGCGAGGAGGTGATTTCGCTGAAGCTGGGTTAGATTCAGAGGAACCGGCCAGATTTTGCAGTTCAACACATTGGGCCAGGACAGCCGATCATCTTTCAGAATGTAGCCCACATCTTCATAGATGACCTTGCAGGTGAGTGCGAGGGAGGCTTGTGTCGAGAGTGGCAGTTGGTCGAATATCTGGAGCACGATCTCGGTGGGGAGACTGGTAAATGGGCAGGATTGGGTTGACTGCACGCGCTTTTGCTTTCTTCCGTGAGTAAGAAGTAGGATGAATTCACTTATCATTGACTTGAGAGTTTTCGGTTCCATGCTTTGACTCTCGGCCTTCGTGGTGACAGTGCCTGGGTTGGTATATTCGCCAGGAGGCGGAAGCGACCGCTTCTCTTTCATGGCGTTCTTGTGTGAGTGTCTAACAGTTAGGTCTGGTGGATTGTAAAGCCTTTTTATGTAGCACAAGAAGCAGTCGTAATAACAAGCCTCAAACTTATTAATTCAAATCATTGGACTTGGAGCGTGATTCGGAGATGATTCAGTAGTGCGTGGAAAGGGAGGTGTCCAAGAGATGGACTGAGAGATCACTCAGACCATACCCCGATGTTATATGTTTGTTCCATAACTATCATAACTGAAATTTCCTTTTCTTTCTCTTTTTTTACTTTTCTCCCTGCTACAGGCCTGAGCTCTAATGGATTTATCCGGCACTCCTTTCCAGAGGGATTCTTACAGAGCATACAAGAGTGAATGGAAATTATGTTGCGGGTTTTCCCGCTGTGAAGGCTACACAGAAAGATATGGACAAGATTTATGCTCTTTATTCAGTACCCTTTGTTTGCATAAGGCCCCTTACGGCAACTAGTCACCTGTTCGACCAATTAGGCATAGACTGATATCACTCAGACAAGTCTTTCGCGCTCCTCATTGTGTTTATTTTTCATCAACTCGGTCAGACTAGAATGGATGAGACCCTCCCAGATGACAAGGCCATCACAGCCCCAGTCCCAATAGTTTACATGGCTGTCGAAGACCAATACAAATCCGTCCAGGCCGCAGATCTCACCCATTTTGTTGTTCAGTGAGTGGAATTCCAGCGCCTTCGCAGATGCCCTAGATATGTACTCGTTAAGCTTGACCCACTTTCTAACGGACTTGCTACAGACTTTCTTATAAAAGACTAGATTCGATAATGCAGGCTGTTGTGGGGATTTCCTACGACTTCAACAAGCCTTGGCCGTTCTGGTTCTTTATTGGCAAAATTGTATCAAAGGCGTTCTTTGACAACGAAGAACAACTTGAGTGGTTGAACAGTGTTCAGGTTGGGAACAGGGAGTTTATTGCATTCAGCAACACCGGACGTAAATTCCCAGACCAGGAGGAACAAAGCACCGGAAAAGGGAAGCTCCGGGTTGTTGAGATCGATCTCTCTAAGCCCCAGCCAGGTGAAAAGTTGCAGATGTTCTGGAAGCCCGCTCGATCGATTATTTGCCAGAAAGTTCAGGGTTGTAAGTCAATGATACTGGCTTCATTTTTAGTCGTAATTCCAGTCGTTCTTTTTACATCCAGATGCTGACATTCTCGAGTAGGGTTGGATTATGCATCAAATGAGGGTTGTGCTTAGGAGGGCAGTCATCGCTGTATAGTTACTACTTTGCCATTTGGGCTGTCCAGAGAGTCTATTGTCTTCAGAATTTTCACCATCTAATGAACGATCTCAGATACAGGATTATTGGCTTTCTAATCGGATTTGAATTGGGTGCTCCCTGAGGACAATTGGAGATTACAGGAAAGTTGATAGAGAAAATAAAGATTCGTTGAGTTGATAAACATGAATACCAAAACCCAGTGCATACACAGAAAATGAAATTCACAAATTAGCCTCCCAGACACACGGGAAGAAAGAAGGATAAATCAGACTATTTGTTGAAAATAGCCCCGAGATAACCAGCCAGTCTGAATAGACTTAGTTGAAAGCAATACCATCTAGATCAGCCCCTCCTGCTTGTTTTTAACGTTCTCCTTTTTCACTTTATAAGCTTCGTCCGCCCCATCGATGATACCCTTTGCTTCCAACTCATCCAGAAGCTCAAGAACGTAGTCCTGACAATTGTACCCCGAATACTCGTTGTGAATTGGCATTTTCTCTGCCAACCGCCTGATGGTGCTGATTTTCGAAGCAGGCACATCGCACATATGAATCAGCTCCATGAGCGTCATCTCTTTTCGGGCATCTGAGTTCCTATCCTCGAAGCGAAAATTCATCGAGAACCCCATGATGTGAAGGACGACCTGTTCCGCGTCGGTGGGTCCGTTGATGTAAAGTGTCCAGTGCTTATATACACCCTCGTTGTGGTGAATAGCGACGTGGATTTCCGCAGTGGAGGGCATTTTTAAGTAGGGACAACTGACGGTGGGAGTTCGAGAAGCCACAGAAGGTAATGATGTGTAGCTCGGAGGTGATAAAATCTCGGCAATAGCACGAAGTCAGGTAGGTACACGATTGTTTCGAGGGATCTTCTCAACAGACTAGTCAAGTGTTTGAATGGGGGAAACAGTGCTATTTATACAGATCTAGCCATCAAGCATGATTGGAATTATTGGAACTTTCCTATGACGTTGAATGAGTGCCTAGGCACCGACCTGTATGTCTAGGCACCTGTGTCACAAAGGCAAGGCACGTATTCATCCCTTTGTTTCACTGCAGGCAGTCATAACCATCAAATCATATCATTATTCTAATCGCATGAGAATGTCACCCTCAGCCGTTGCGATGCACCCGGTCGCTCAAAACTGAGAGGTATGCAAGCACAATGGTCTTTACAACCCGACGTTCCTAGTAAACAGATCATGCAATGTTCGAAGACTGGTTTTGCCGGCATTGATAGCTGAGAATACTTGGTTCGATGCCTATGAAGATATGAGTCAGAAACCATGGACATAAAATCGGGCTCTGGACTTCGTTAGGGGTCGCTTCGAAGCTACAGCATCTTCCGTAAGATCTCTGTTCCAATGTGCTGCATCGGCGGTGGAGAGGGGGAGGGCTGCCAGGGATGAAGCTGATCGGCTCCGAGGCAACGGCGAGTAATGGAGCCTAAGGCCCCAGTTGTAAGGCACCTGATCCGTGCCAAGACTATGTCCCAAATAGGTTAGTGGGATATTGTGACCCACCGACATTCGAGGGCAGCTTTGCCTTCCTTGTACATACTTTCTAGCACCCTGCAGTCAGTTCCTGATGGCGCGGAAGGACGTCGAAAGGTGGCTTGAGGAAGCTGACTTCCAAAAAAACCAAACGCCAGGTTTACCAAATTTGCAAGAAGAACCCCTTGAAGACAGCGTTTCTAACAACGCCCCGAGCCTGTCAAGTCCGTCGGCGAGCCTCGCAACAGAGGCACTTTTACAGCTAACTATATGGCTTGTTGCTATATTGGAGAAACAATTTCAGTTAGGCAATTTCGGTGATAGCCAGTTTACTAGTTCCCGGCTTCCCCTTGCTATAGGGTGGACAGTCATCGGGCATGATTGGCACCTATATATCGCGTTTAGGGGAAATTTTGAGGGCGAAGATAGGATTGTGAGAAACTGTCACTCCCCAGCCCCCAGTATTGGATTGAAGCTAACTTGATAGTATATCGATGATCCTCTTCATGGTTTGGCGGCTAACACGAGAACCCACTACGGCATATTCAACCTTCTAGACCTGATCAGAAGAGCTTGTGACTATGCCGAAGATACGTACTGGCCTTGGATGCGTGACGAGATTCTGAAACCTTTAATCACAAATATTGAGCACTAGTATTAGGGTATAGCCGACCATGAAAGTATGATCATTCACGACTTACGATATAGAGCACATTATTCACAAACAAAGCAAGCACTCATCTGTCCGGTTTGAAGGGCGATTGTCTTGTTTTGCATTGACTATATAATGTTTAAGTGAATTTTATTTTAGAAATACCTTATCATTACAAATTTGAAATAAATCACAAACAGACTATACTATCAATATACACTACAGCTTAACAAGTGGTAATAATGAATGATATTGTCCTCGGGGAGGTGGAGCTATAAACTTAAAAGACTCTCCGTCTTTCTTTTCTTCTTTCAAAAAACGATTACACCAAAGAACCCTGTATGTATGTACACATGAGGAGAAACTGAGGATCTACTATATCTGCAAAGTGAATGATACAGGTGTCTTCCTGAATCAATATGAGTCCGAGACCTTCTAGTAGGCTGCTGTGTTCCGGGGCCTTCTCTAAATTGGTGAATAGAATCAGGCGGGGCTCAATTGAGGGGAGAATGGCCAATAAAAGGTGGAAGCTCGGCATGTTATGATCCAATCCAAGAAGCCTCTAATATATTAAGAGAAAGGTGATCACTGCTCAGTAACTGGCATCTCATTCATTCTCCTCTACTCCTGTCTCTGATGCATGGTCATGGAAGAAAGGCGTATCTATTCGGATCACTGCGCCAAAGACTCACGTTCGATACCTTTTCGTAGATTGCTCAAAGATACTATTTATGGGAGACATCTTGCCGTGGGCAGGTGGTGTTACTCTTTTTCTGTTGATATTTATAGAGTCCAAAGTTCACTAAGATATATAATCTACTGTAGTAACTATCGGATCTACTGGGAACGATAAATCTATATTAGCAGTAGATTATATTTCGCAGCGAGAAACCTGTCTGGGGTATAGAATCAGCTACACCCACATGTACAGACGGGAATCCGTGTCTCTTTGACTTTTTTGTTTTTTTATCACGGCCTGCTGTCTATCGATTATTTGGCACGACAGAACCTTCCGTCCGTTATATCATGAGAGAGTCAGTGTGTATTCCCTCCTGCCCGCAGAATGTATACGTTATATCCAACCTGGCCGCAGACTGTCCCCTTGGGATATGTTTAAACGACAGTGCCTCGATCCTCTGCCATACCGGGATTTGTTCCATGCACTGTACCCCAACACCCTCTTCGATTTCGATAACCCGTTCAACCAGCCCAGCAGTAGAGATGCTATCCCACGCCGCCTCGCGTATCAGTTGGCGTCGCAGAATACGCAAGACTTCACGACGGACATGAGGATGTCGGCACTTGGCGCCAATTATGTAAAGAACAGGGATGAATCCGATCTCTGGCGTAAATGTTGATATTGACGACCCCGAATACCGCTGATGCGCTGCCGCTACCTTGTCTGCTAGTGAGACACATTGCTGGAACTGGGGCAGGAATTTGTCGTACTCCATTTCTCTGCCGGGTCCGTGGCCACTGAGGAGAATCCATGCGATTGTATGCTGTAAGCGCAGGAGGGATACGAGAGGGTTGGTTTCAAAGTCTGACGGAGATTGCTGCCGGAGGTTTTCGAAGCGACTCAACCATGTTTGCAACTGTCCGAGAACGATGTCCTTGAGTGAAGATGGTAACGGCGGCATTGTACCCGTCGGAGACATTTGTTGCTCTGTGTTGCGCAGCCTCATTACTTGGGCAACGAGAACCTGGAGGTGGTCGGCAGCTTGGTCGAGTGAGGAAAAGGTAGTGTGGAACGGTGTAAGATGGGACGCGAATGTCTCTTGAATGTTGACTGGAGTCCAGTCGACCAGAAAAATGGCTGCCTGCATGTCAAGACGGCGAATCTGCTTTGTGACCTGGCAGATAACCGCGTGAACCCCCGATTGGGCATCGTCGTAGGTGCAGGTGTTCAACATAGCATTGTTGGTGTTGCGTGAGAGCTCCACGCCTCCGCGCAGGTGTTTCACAGCTTGTACGTCGTCGCCTGCCAGATGATCAAAGCAGGTAAAGAGATAACAGACCAAAAGCGTGACAGCTGTTATTTCGGCGCTGTTGCCACTTTCCGGGTGCAGCAGGTGTTGAATGGCGCTGTTGTAGTGAAGCAAAGCAGCCTTATCCTGTAGTCGGTCTTTCAAGGAAGGCGGTTGATACACCCGACCGTTAGATTGACGATCCACGTGGTTTCGGTGAAGCAAGGCCAGAGCAATGGCAGCATGCCGCACTGATGGCACGGTTTGGGAGAAGAACATGAGAGTGTTCCGCCATGATTCGCAAGGACGGTATGCATTCAAATGCTTGATCGAAATATCCTCAAAAAAGTACATTGCCTCTGCCTGGACTGACCCAGTCACTGGTAAGATCATAAAGGATCCGAGATTCGGCAAAACGAGGTCATTGTCCTTCGAGTGCCATTGCTGAGTCTCGTACGCACTGATCGTGGTATAGGGGTGGTACCCATCGCAGTTATCTACACTGTTGGCGATCTCCTTGTGATAATGAGTTGATCCAACCTCGGTCTTCCCGGTCTTGAATGCGAGGACCATTTCACTATAGCCATCACAGGTGCGACCGGTAGAAAGGCATTTCAAGCATGAAGGCTGGGATAGATCGCATTTAACTCGTCTGATTCTGTGGGATGTCAGTTTCGATCTCTTTGAATATAATTGATCGCTCTGTAGTAAACGTAAAGTCAAGACATACTTGCAAGTCTTACAGCCGAGTCTTGACTTTGGAGCGAATTTGCGAGGCTTTCTTCTCCAGGCTTGATTGCCTATTTTGGTGGTCTTGTTCTTCATCCCATCCATCATCCCATTCTTTGCGATGGACAGCGGAGTGAGAAAGGGTGACGGGCTCTTTAAAACTTCTCATGACGATGTGTTGGATATGTAGCCTAAAGCTAGACTAATGGATTGGTGGCCTTAATCCGACTAAATATAGTCTAGTGCGTGTCATGATAAGTATTTATTGGCGAGTTCGTACAGGTGGGACCCCTAGAGTCTGACATGCTATTATAAGTTCTAATTGGTTAGTTCGTACAGGTGGGGACAATTAGGGGGCCATATCAGTAGTCATGTCTGGGGTCGGTGGACTAGAATGGTTCATAAATCTCAATTGAAACGTGCAGTAAAGCCTTGAACCCACTACTACACCTATGAGGCTGCCCTACTTGGTTATGCTTGTGGTGGTCAAAGAAATGTTGATTGGCTGGCTCGTTCAAGTGGAACGAAAGCAATTGTATGCAAGAAGAGGTATATGAGTTGATGGGAAGAATGCAGCTGCCTATTGAAACCATCAGACTTGATACTACTGAGGAGATTCAACGGGTATAAATAGTTCCCAGATATCGCAGTCGTGTCGGCTCTTGCAGGCAACCGAAGGAAAGATCAATGAGATGCCTCCAGCGATTACAATGAATCGGCTCGTGAATGCGCTCATGCTTTCCATGAGTTTGGGATTGAAACCCCACGCTTTGCATGATCGGGACATGGCCTATGGATTTGACACCGTGAGTCGACTTGCGGTACCACATTGCCCAAGGGCTTCAAGCTTTCTGACAAGCCATTTAGATTGAACCATCGGCCAACCTCACATGGACACCATGTTTCGATTCGTTTCATTGCTCTAAACTGGAAGTTCATTTGGATTATTCAAACAGAAGTCTTGGTACGACGTCGATTGCCTTCATCAAGTTAGCCGGCAAAAATGCCACTGTGGACTCTCCCAGCATTGTACTCAACCCCGGTAAGATCTCAATTGTATCAATAATCCAACAACGTGTGAGCTTCATCTGACTGGACTAACCCTTCGTTAGGCGGTCCGGGTGGTTCTGGTGTCGACCTACTCCTCACATACCAGAATCCCATCGGGCAGATGCTGGGAGAGCAGTACAACTTTGTCTCCTTTGACCCTCGCGGTGTGAACAACAGCGGCCTGCATCTCGACTGCTTCTCAGGGAACGCAAAAGCAAGATCAGCTTTCTATCGACTGCACAGAACAGGCGCCACCAATATCTCATCAACGTCGCTTGAGGAACAGTACTATTCAAGCTCTATCTACGGCGAGTGGTGCAACAATGCTGTCGCGAACAAGTCACCCCATTCATATTATGTGACTACGCCAGCGGTTGCCCGTGATTTGCTCGCATTTATCGAAGCCGAGGCTGAGTTGGCCGGTCAGTCACCATCAACCGCCAAACTGTGGTGCTATAGCGTCAGTTACGGCACTGTCATCGGCAGCACTTTCGCCTCCCTGTTTCCTGACCGCGTGGGGAGGATGATACTCGATGGGGTTCTGAACGCAGAGCAATATTATACTAATTATTGGACGGACAACGTTGAACAAATGGACGAGGCCATGGAATCATTCTCGGCCTTCTGTCATTCCGCTGGGCCAGAAAACTGCTCATTCTGGGGACCCACGCCGACTAACATCACGGCAAGAATGGATGGCATCATCCGTCAGCTTCAGAACCATCCAGTACCGTTAAGCGGCGTCGGAGATTCAGACCTGCCGACAATGGTCACCTATTCAGACCTCAAGACTCTTTTTCTCAACACACTCTACGCCCCACTGGCAATGTATCCAAGAATGGCCGACATCCTACACCAGGCTGAGGGTGGGAATGTATCTGCTCTTGCGGGCATGTATGAACAATCAAACTCTATATCCGATGCCCGCCTCGCCATTACGTGCACCGATTCGTATCGGAGGAACAGGCTTACTACCATGGAAGAGTTCAAGACTTGGGTGGAGTATACGATTTCCAAGAGCAAGTACATTGGCGATATCTACCCCATCTACTTGGAAGGTATCTTGTGTCGATCATTCCGACCGCAGTTGCCTGATAGCATGGTGGTTCAAGGTAGGCAACACCTCCTTTGTCTCTCCCTCTTTTCGGTATTCTATAAACATCGTCTTCCGCAAAACGGGTGGTCATCTGCATTGGAAAGAAAGTCTAACCAGGATACAGACGAAATCAGCGCACTAAACACGCCTACGTCCTTCCCGATCCTCTTTGCGAGTAATACCATCGACCCTATCACGCCGTTGAAATCGTACGTTTCGGCCATCGCCATTGGAATGTTATTAGCTGACATTATCTCGTCTAGGGCACGCAAGATGTCTTCTCGGTTTGCCGGATCGGTGCTCTTAATGCAAGAAGCCGTTGGTGTAAGTTATCAACTCTCAATCATACATCCATCTCGGCCAAGAGTTAGGCTGACTCGTGGGGTGTTTCGTTGAATTCAGCATACGGTCATCGATCAGGGAGCGTCAGAATGTTACTTTGGCCATATTCAGGCATACCTCGAAGGCACAGTTCCATCGAACAACATTACATGCCCCAGACAGTACACTCCTTTCATAGATGCCTCCCCCCTCTAGCGACTATCAAAGGCATGGGGAAAGGTTCGGCCAATTCAAGGAAAGGCTGAACAGTGAAAGAACTTCTCAATATGTTGGAACTGCTGTATGCCGATAGAATTCTCATAGCAGGGTATTCTATGCTTTTACTCTCTGCTACGCATTCTTATTCGTCCAACCAGCCCAGTAGCAAGCCAGTTCGAAGCTAGACGATAAATAGAACGTAATAACTTCAATCAATTCTCAAAGACAATCATCATACGAGCTCCCATTAAACCCATCCCATCAACACCTAAACCCCACCCTACTTCGCATTCACATCATCCTTCCAATTCAAATCATCATTCCCATTCAAATCCTCCCCCAACTGCTTCCCCCCCGCCACAACAGGCTGACACTCCTGCAAGAAGAACAACATCCGGGTCCACTCCCCGCTCACATTCCGCCACTCATGCATCGTCGCCCTCTGCACCGCAATATCGCCCCTCTTCAGCACCCTCACGTCCCCGGAGTCAAGGTGCATCTCAATCTCCCCCTCCAGCACAACCCCATAATCCAGACTCTGCGTCCGATGCATCACGCCGGGCGAGTTCGGCGCAAAGTCCACGACCCGACACACGGTGCCGTTGGGGTTCACGAGCCCCAGCGACCGGGATTCCATGAGCTGTTCGTTTGCGACAACATCTGCGTCATTGTTCAGGTTCGCGGGGAACTCGGACGTCGTGTAGGCGACGCTGAAGCCGACGGATTTCTCGCGCAGAGAGATCCAGGACGCCGGGGTCGAGGAGTGGATGGTTGCGGCGCCGGAGGGGTTGTGGGTTGTTATGTGGCGGGTGAAGTTGGGGAGGGGGGAGGGTTGGCCGTCTTCGATTTTGAGGTTGGGGTGTTTGGTGGACATTTTGGTGTGTTTGATGGGATGGATAGGATGGATGAGATGGATGAGATGAGGAGGGTTCGGACGTGTGGTTTGGGGAGAGGTTGCAGGTGGGAGATTGCGGAGTTGAAGTCGGGCGAAAGTTTGGTTGTCTTTGTGTTTGTCTTCCACGTCAGAGGCGGGGTGTGCATGAGGGGTGGTCGTGTTGTTGATCTTGGCTCCTTGTGATGCGGTGGAACCTAACTGGAGTGATGGAACTGAATGCATTGGGTGGATTCATGCAGATACCCACTTTCTTTGATTTCAGAATACCTCTGGCACTGGGGATACTGAAGTTGATGTCCGCTCTTATGCATCATCCAATTAGAACCTGACTCTGTATCCAACAACACCCAGCAAGCCACTCGTAAATGTGAGATGCCACACGAAGCCACTCGTCGCTGCAAAAGCTTAGTAAATAGCATGATGCTCCCGATCTCGGAGAAAGTGATGATCGGCAATCTACGGTGGACTTTACTTCAAAAGCATCGTCATAGTATGGAGTTACATTTGCACCCCAGACATGTAGCATAACCACCAATGCAACTCTGTATCAAAATATTCATATTTCTTCATAATACTCAAATACTTCTCCCTTGAAATAACTCCCCATTTACCCTTCAAGTCAAATATATACCCCCTCCACATCCATACTCAACACTCCAATCCCCAAACCCCACTGATCTACACACCTCACCTCCACCAAAAAAGACGTGCTCGGGACCCACAGTTATACCATAGCTATCAGACAGTAAATAGCACCATCGGCTTCAAAAGCTCGCAATCAGCTCCCGCCCATTGATGGCATTTGTCCGTCCTGACACGCGTCATGCCATACTTCCCAAAACAGAAGTATATACCTCATCCGGCCGTCCCTGACGCTGATCATCCATCAAGATGAAGCTTACCACGGGAGAGCTTCGCATCGTGCCGTTTACGCGTTGATCATCCGGTGATTTTATACTCGTCTAAGCGCGGTGATTGTCGCATAGTGATTGTGTGGGGGGATGGTGTTATGGTGATCGTGGTTATCCGGGTTGATCTTTGTGTCGGTTAATCTGGGAGAGAGGTATATATACCGGGTGTTGAATGCCAGGAGTGGGTAGACAAATGCATACTATTTTATGAGATTCTGCTTGTTTCGATCATGAAACTCGGCGTTCTCCTAGGAGGCATACTAGCCTGCCTCTCGGCAGCCGAGGCCGCCAAACAGCCCAACATCCTCTTCATTCTCACAGATGACCAGGGAAAGTACATCGGGGGGTTAGAGCATATGCCTAAACTCCAGGTATGGACACACTTTCTGTTCTATGCTAGACCACTTCATCTCTGCCACCCCCTTCCCTCCCCCTACAAACCTACAAACCTCAGCCCATCAACTAACAACCACCCCCACCAACAGCAAACCCTCATCCAAAAAGGCACCACCTACACAAAACACTACTGCTCAATCGCCCTCTGCTGCCCCTCCCGAGCAAACCTCTGGACCGGCCGCATGCCACACAACACGAACATCACCGACGTCGGGCTCCCCTACGGCGGGTACCCGAAGATCGTGTCCGCCGGCTGGAACGACAACTACCTGCCGCTGTGGATGCAAGACGCCGGCTACGACACCTACTACGTCGGCAAGCTGTGGAACTCGCACACCGAGCAGAACTATAACGACCCGTACGCGCGCGGGTTCAACGGGTCGGAGTTCCTACTCGATCCGTGGACGTACAGGTACTATCATGCCAGGATGACGAGGAATGGGGAACCCCCGGTGAGGTATGATGGGGAGTATTCGACGGATGTGATTCGGGAGAAGGCGCTTGGGTTTTTGGATGATGCGTTGAGACAGAAAGAAGGTGATGGGCAGGGGAGGCCGTTTATGTTGACGGTTGCGCCGAACGCGCCGCATTCGAATGGGAGTCATGATCCCGGGCGAGGGACGACGTGGTTTGGCGAGCCGGAGTATGCGCCGCGGCATGCGGGCTTGTTTAAGGACTATAAGATCCCTCGCGATGATAGCTTTAATAAGGTGATTCAGGGCGCGGTGGGCTGGACGGCGCAGTTGTCGGAGTTGAGCCAGAAGGAGGTCGATTATATCGATGAGTTTCAGCGGTGTCGGTTGCGGGCGCTGCAGGCTGTCGATGAGCTGATTGCGGAGTTGGTCGAGAAGTTGGAGAGGAAGGGGGAGCTGGAGAATACGTACATCTTCTTCTCGACGGATAATGGGTATCACATTGGACAGCATGCGATGCAGCCGGGGAAGAACTGCGGATATGGTGTGTCCTATCCTTTACCTTCTATCATCAGGGGAATGCTAACGCAGACAGAAACGGATATCAACGTCCCTCTGATCGTGCGCGGTCCTGGGATTCCTGAAAACGCTACCCTAGATGCAGTGACCAGCCATACTGACCTGGCGCCTACGTTCCTATCAATCGCGGGCGCTTCGAGACCAGGTCTGGATGGGAAGCGCATCCCGACGACTGTCGACGCTGGCAAGGCAGACAACAGGACTGAGCATGTTGCCATTGAATACTGGGGACGGGTAAGTGTCTCCTTCATTGTATCATCAATTCAATAAAGAACCCATGATACTAATCCAACCAGGCCATCCCCGAAGGAATCTACGGCCACTATAGCGACAAAGGCGAACAGCCGGGCAACGGATATCGCAACAACACATACAAGGCCGTGCGGCTCGTGTCTGAAGAATACAGCGTCTACTACGCGGTTTGGTGCACGAACGAGCAGGAATTCTACGACTTGAAGGTTCGTGCCCACTTCCCTTTCTATCCCATCCCGCCAGTCCTAACTAACACCCCTTCCCATTCTACAGAACGACCCCCACCAAACAACCAACCTCGCCTCCTCAAACACCAACACAAGCTCCAATTCCACCGCACCATCTATCGCCTCCCGTCCCCTCCCTCAGATCCTCGCCCGTCTCGACGCCCTCATGCTCGTCCTCAAGTCCTGCTCCGAGGACTCCTGCCGGTACCCCTGGCGCCATCTGCACCCGGCAGGAAAGGTGAATAGTTTGGCAGATGCGCTGGACAAGGGGTTCGATGGGTTCTATGCCAATCAACCGAAGGTGGCGTTTTCGGAGTGTAATCTGGGATATCATACGTGGGCGGAGGGACCGCAGGAGTTTAATGTTTTTGGACAGGGTGGAGGTGCAAGTGAGAAGAGATGGTGGGGTGGGTTTGGGGGTGGGTGGTTTTGATATATTATTTGCTTTGTATGGATGGGAAGGGTAGGTCTGATATGACATACTACGCTCTTTTTGGGATATCTTTTATGTTGAAAAGAAACACATCTCATTCAACGTTCGCTATTCTCCATAAGGCTGTGGTATGTGGACAAATCTAACACAGTATAGTTCCTTCCTAGAACCCAGTCATACACCTAGCGTGAGAGATTTGACCCCAAGCGAACACTCTCTATCAATAAAACTTCACAAATTCTCACTCTTGAATCTCATGAATCTCATCAACAACCTGAGGTCAAGTCGAGGCCTGATCAATCCATCCCCGGCGGCGTCAACCCCCTACAAGAACGACACTGGTAAGGTCTATCCTCTCGCGCATCCCACGTATTGACTCTCTGGGCCGGAGGACAAGTAACTCCATTCTGAACGCCAAGTGTGCACTTCAAAATATACACGAACGCGGAGTGGCTGCATTGGCTGAAGCGCGCGTGGACGTTGAAGCACATCTGGGTTTATTAGCCATGCTTTGGGGAGGTATATTTAGAACTAGAAGCTTACATTGTTAGGAGGTTGGGGGCGTTGGAGTTAATAGAGGTTTTTGAATTGGTTGGGTTTGATTTATTTTTTGAAGGAAACAAGGGAATTTAGGGACTGTATGCTATCGAGATATCCTGTAGAGTCTGGAAAGAAGGAAGGAGTGGTGGATTGAATCTCCGTCACCGCTAGCTATGACCTCTTTTTATATAGATGACTCGTTTGGAGTGGTGACTGAGAGCACCGGGTACTGCGAAGCGTAGCTCTCCGGTATCATGGTGAAGATTCCCAAAAGCACAGGAAGTCCTCGTGAAGATGACATACCCTTATTTTATCTAATCAGACCAGGACAGATCGCAAGACTCTTGCGATAATGTTTGCATTGTTTATAAAAAGGCTACATACGTGCCATCCGGTCGTATGCACAGGAGTGGCAGGACATTACTGATGTCATCGAGATCGGTGTTGCAAAGCTATCTAATCATGGGGGCTTCTTTCTGGTAAATATATTTGGAATGATTTATATAGTTTAGAAAAGACATACATAGAATAGAATCGAGATGATATAATCAATCCATTGTAGTAATCACATTCATAGACTGTACATACTCCACATCCAGAACATCCATAAGCAAATCTATATCCCAAACCAAACACCGTCATGAAAACACCAACATTATGCAAAACATCAAACCAATCAATGTACACCATCCAGTCAAACTACCCAACCGGCCAAGCCATGTATAAATCTATAAACAAGAGAAGGGTATATGTATATATCAGTCCGTAGGCAATAATTGCTGTCCAGGACTTCAGTACACGCCGCAGCGTTATCATAGCATCATTAATTTGGTGGTTCTTCGTTCCGGGAACCGTCGAGCAGCAGGGGGTGGCCCGTAAGGTCCGTCGAGATATGCAGGTCCCGGCATTCCAGGCATCGGCGGCATAGGTGGACGAGGTCCGCCACGGCCACGGCCGGGATAGCCCGGTGGAGGAGGATGTCCCCGAGAGGGTCCTCGAGAGTGTCCAGCCAAGGGAGAGGAGGTCATGGTTGGACGACGCATTCGAGGAGGAGGGGTTGACGCAGCCGCCCGGCGAGCATCACGTTCGCAGTACACTTGTCCGTTCCATTCAAAGTACTCGCCATTCAGGAGGACGTTGCAAGTGCGGCAGGTCAGGCACTGGGGATGATATCTCCGACGGTCACCTGGGCCACGGCCTTGTCGCTCATTCGTCTCCAGGAACTGTCCTTCGATACCAGTGAGACATCCCTGGCACAGGGAGCCGTTGCGCTCATGGTAGTGCTGAGCGCAGAATGGCAGGTCGCGGAGGACATAGAAATCGGCCGTTCGGAATGGAATGCGACACTGGTAACAAACAAAACAGTCCTTGTGGTAACGGCCCGTAAGACGCCCGTCCGCAGAAGACACCGACTTGCCTAAGATCACCTCGCCGCAGCCTCGGCAAGGCCCCTTGGGACGCGGCGACAACCGCGCGGCCGGATCGATCGAAGCGTTCAGCAGCTCGGGTGAGTTCTTCTCATCCCGCGAGGGTTGGTTGTGAAGGTGAGACCCTTGGTGTGCGAATCGCGGTTCTGCGGATCTCGGCTCGGGGAAAGACCTCTCATTTCGAGATTGCCCACGGAGATGAGACGGCGGCGGGGCCGAACGTGGAGGTTCTGGGGACAGTCTAGGGTCCCGGACAGGCTTCTGGGGGATGTAGGACGGTTCTGGGGTCTTGGATTTGGGGGGCTCGGGAGACCGTCTTCCCTCCCAGTCCGGTTTAAATAAGGGAGACGGCTCGGGTAGCTTAGGAAGAGACTTGTCGTCCTGGGACAGCTTGGCCGAGTGAGCAGGAGGTGGTGACCGAGCCAGTTCCGGTGAAAGCCGATCGCTCTGAGATGGCTTGCTGGGAATGTGAGAGAATGGCTCCGGGGTTGGCGGAGGTATGTCGGGCAGATATTTGTTGTCCTGAGACGGCTTCTTAGAGCTGGGAGTTGGAGGCGACTTGGTTAGCTCAGGCGATAGACGTTCGCTCTGAGATGGCTTGTGAGGTACATGAGAAGGCGAAGGCTCAGGCGTAGGTTGCGGCAACTCAGGCAGATACTTGTCCTGAGACAACTTATTGGGAACGTGAGTAGGTTCCGCCGGAGACTTCGGAAGATCCGGCAAATACTTGTCATCCAGAGACGGTTTGTTCTGGATATGAGCATAAGGTTCGGTCGGTGACTGCGGACGGGGTGATAGCGATCGCTCGTCCTGGGATGACTTCGCGGTGTGAGAAATGGGCGGTGTTGGAGATCTTGACACCTCGGGAGTGAATCTGTCCATCCACGACGGCTTCCTGGGGATGTGAAACGGCGCTTCCGGTAAGAAACCAGGTACCACTGGAGCGAGCTTCTCCTCCCGCGATGGTTTATTCTGGACATGAGACGGTTCGGGCGAAGACCTAGGCATATCCGGCAGATACTTCTCGTCTTTCGACGACTTATTCAGGATGTGCGATGCTGAAGGCGGCGTAGAGGTCTCATCCCTCGACGGCTTACTGGATATGTGGAACGGCTGCTCGACCGAGAAACCAGGGATATTCGGGTAGGGCCTCTCCTGTACCAACTCCTTGGCGTAAGATGGCTCCGGCGAGGGCTGGCGTAGGTCAGGAACATTCTCCCGCGACGGTCTCTGGGGAACGTGGCCTGGTTCAGGAGACGGCCGGCGGAAATCCGGAACAATGTTCTCCTCACGCGATTGCTTTTTGGAGACGTGCGAAATCGACGGCTTTGTCCTCAGTCGCTCCGGAGAAAGCCTGTCCGACCATGACGGTTTCTTAGGGATGTGAGAGGGCGAAGGGAGGGATGCTTCCAAATCCGGGAAGAATCGGGTCCCCCGAGACGGCTCATCCTCAAAGGTAGGCATAGGCGGTGCCAGAGCAGGTACAGTCGGCAGGTTCTTGTCTTGCGAGGCCTTTTTCGGGACATGAGACAGGGGTGCCGTTGCAGACCGTGGTAGATCCGGGAGATTCTTGTCTTGCGATTGCTTGTTCTGGGTATGAGACATGGGCCCCGTGGCGGACCGCAGCTTACTAGGGAGCTCTGGGAGCGCTTTCTGGGTTTTGTCCGGGAGCAGAGACACGCTACCGTACAGAATGGCAGGGTCGGTAGGAGAGTCAGGACTGAAAAGAGGGTCCCGAAGTTGAGGCGGCTCGAGATCGATCGGGCTTTCGGTCTGGTCCCCGGCATGCAACCCATACTGTTGGCGTGTGTCAATCCGCCGCTCCTCGATCACGGGTCCAAGTCGAGATTGCTCCGAATGCTTTCGTCGCGCGTCGGCTTCCGACGCGACGCTGGAAAAGGAGGTCCCGCTGCGCAGGTCGGATGGCGACGAGTCCGAAGACACCGTGTAGTTTTCCGGGGCCTGCTCGGGCAGGTCCAAGCCCAAGGAACGGGCGAAGTTGGATACAGACAGAGCCCCCTCACTCGTGGCGTCGGACGGCTTTCTCTGCATATCCTCGTAGCCATGCCCGTCAACGTCTGGCGAGGGATGCAAGTACGTGGCAGTGGTGGGAGATTTAAATGGCTTGTACTCCACCTTCGTCGGGGGATTGATGGAGGTAGACCTTTCAGGGAACTCATGGGGGTCAGGTAAGCGTTCAAATGATGTTTGTGACGGGCTCCGAAAGAACAACTCGGTAGATCCTCGGGTGCTGCTGAGGCGATCAGAATCGGTGTGCGAGGATACACGCAGCGGACCGGAGTTGGACTGCTGGTGATCCGACTGGGCATTCACTTGGTGCCACGCCCCCAAGTTATAACTACCATGGTCCTCCTGACGGTCGTTCCTCGACTCGCGCGACATATTGTAGTCCGACACCGAGTAAGTCGTTTGGCGCAAGGAAGGCACGGGAGGCGCATCGTCGTCCGGGTATTTGTACGGTTGGTTGACACTGCCGAAGGACGGTCGCCGACCGGACATGGCCGTCGATCGCTTCGAGCTGTTGTCGCCATACCGAGAGCTTGCAAACGACGTCCGATAGCTACTTTTGCTGTCGATCGAGCTACCATACTTGTGCGCAATTCTCGGCAGAGACGACGGTTCATCCTTTGGCAACGGCGGCGGAGCATCGCCATCCAGGTCCCTCGGCAGGGGTGCCGTCGCCGGAGGTCTGTTGTTGCTACTTGTATACGGATGGGAGGGAATCGGCGGCATCTTCTCCTGGGGCAGGGGAGTCATGGCACCGGACTCCTTGTCCGACATGGACTGCGGCAGAGGAAAGCGGGGAAGGTCATCCGAGCTGATTGTCACAATCTCCGACGTCTGTGGTTGAATTGGGACGGCTGTCTGACTCTGCTGCACCATCCGAAGCGGCGACGGCTGCGGGGAGAGGCCGGCCGGTTCGTTGATCCCGATCGCATTGTCCGGTCGTAGGAAGGGTCGATCTGAGCACGTTAGGCATTCGATTGTAGCTAAACAGTTTCGACAACAACATACTGGCAACTGAGGGATTGATGGGAGCAGGAGGACCGGTTCGCCCCGTGTTTCTCGAGAGGGAATCATAGTCCGACTTGGACGGCGGCGGGGGAGCTGCGTTGATGCCAAACCCATCAGTAAATATGTCGTCGGCATCTGTCGGATGGATCCCACCTGGCTCTGATTTCGCACAGACGTGATCTCCCATCGAGGAGATCTCAACGTCCACGCCGCAATTGGAGCATTTGATCATGGGCAACAGCCCCAGTCCCATCGTAGCTGCCATTTCGACCAACGCTAGGGACAGAGGATTGGTTCATCGAAGGGCAGGACAGGCCGGCGTGTCATACGGAGGAGTGGTTGGTATACTAGCCAGCAGCTAGCCAGGGCTGTCCTCGCGTCTGCTCCAGGCAGACAGCCCCAAATATCAACACACCGACGCCCACAGAACGACCGTTAGAACGGAACAGGGTCTAGGCGGTCAATAGTCGGGAGTCTAGAGTCTGGGAGGGGGAGGGGAGGAGAGTGGAATAGTCAGACACCCAAGTGGTTCGTCGCAAAGACTAGAAAGCATCGAGAAGGGAAGCAGCAGAAGGTAGACTAATAATAACACCGGCTGTGACGAGAAAGCGAAAGAATCAACACAGTTGTGCTACTGGCAGACCAAACGGAGGAGGCAGCGAGTAGCGCAGAAAGTGGAGTGCGAGAAAGGGACCCTCGTGCGCCGATCCCGGTTTAGCGTGGTTTAGTTCGGGTTTAGCGCGCTGGTCACCGGACACGATTGGTTTGGCCCCCGTCAGCCTAAGGCAACACGCGTTCAGGAACTGTTCCTCAGGTTGCACACGACAGTATGGATAGTATGGATAGTATGGCATTGTCTGGAGTACACCGGTGCCGACGGAGTACTGCGTAGGTGTTGACTGCAGCCACCCCGTAGTCACTCAACATCCCTAATGTCTCTTAGTATACCTCTACCCATACCAATACTCCATCACCCCTGTGTATTTTTATCGCCCCCTTTTCGCCTCTCTCCGACACATGTCAGATCCTCTGGTCTCCCAAGCCACGTCCAAACTATGCCCGTCTGCACGACACAACAATAGTAACAATTATGACGCCGGTCGCAACCAACTAACTTTCCCGCTGTCCACTCCACGGAGTATTCTTGCTCGACCTGGGAACTCTGGAGTACCCCTGAACCAAACCTGGCTGCCATCGGCTGTAGATCTTCCTCAGGGGGAGGCAGCGCATCACTGACCCCGTCTTGCACATCCCGTCTCTTCTGTCATCGATCAGCCGTGATTCCCTTCTGATCCTGGCAGAGTATCTGCTACAGCCCGTCCCGGCTCAGCACGACCCTCTTTCTGTTGGATTTCCTGCACCGCGTTGCTTCCTGCGACGATGAGACTTTTTTGGCCCTTTGGACCCCATTCCGTCAGATCGGCCTCGTCATGGATACACCAATCCCGCCCGGCACATCCGTCTTCTGAAACTTCCATTTTGTTCCAAAGCAAGGGGCCTGGTTTCACAGTCGACGGGGTTCGGGGTATGTCGATCACCGTCCGGAGAAGACCTGGCTGTCAAGAGGTCGGATAGTCCAGAAACGCTCAATTTTGGAAATCTCCGATTCCTGGGGTCGGCGGTCCATATTGACCATTGCCACGGTGGTCCGAATCATGACAGTCTCTCACCTACCTGTTTCGACCGCGTACTCCAACTGACTGAAGTGCACCGAACGGTGCCCCATACCACTCCGTAATGGGTGGGATCTGAGGTCAGGAACGGATCCGCTCCCGTGGCTCGGTCGGGAATGGTTCGGGCTGCTTGAGAGTGAGACCGTTGACCAATTTCCATGGATCTCTCGTCTCATCTGTCCTGCGGATTCTCCAACGTCATCGCGATCGTTTCTAGCGGCCTGCGCCAGCTGACTACAGCACTTTATCGGTACCGGGCTCCCGGTTATCCACGCTGACAGGATAGAATCATCTCGTATCTGACCCTCAGCCTTGAGTAAGCCTTAGCTGAAGCCTCAGTACGTTTCACCAATTTAGCTGAATGGCCCATCTGAGGTCTGAAGACAGGTGTTGACACAAACCGGCCGTTATTCGGTAGGTTCAAAATCCGACCACCTACGCCGTGGGCAATAATAATAGTCGGCTCAAAGTGAAATACACTACTCGAAAGTAGTTGTCAAGTGCCGTTGTCAATGCCATCCATAAATTCAAATTGATCATTTCCCTGGTCGTGGAATGACAAAAATTGAATCCAATCTTGAGATCCTGAGCGAATGCAGTGGCACACGACCAGCAGACTTCAATCGACCGTCCAAACAACCCAAATCCAAAGTCAAAACCAAGCAACCCTCGATGCGGTGGGCAGGGGGTAATGCAGCATGCATACGCAGCGTAATGCGTCCCTCCGCAAACAGCAAGTCCAGAGGCGGATTCAGGGGTAGAAAGGCGAGGGCCATCCATGGAACGTTCTGCCGAGCTTTCCGCAGCTCACCGCAACGCTGGCCAGGGGCCGCGGTTAATTAACAGGCGTCCGAATAATAAGACCACACGGCCATCCACGGTCGCTTTCTCGCCATCCTGGCTTACCGCTTAAATGGATCTGATTTTCCAGCATTATCGGCTACGGCTTAATTCTTGAGTCGAGTTGAAATGTGCTGCTGTCTAACCGAGTCTCGATCGGAATCCTGGCCTATGACAGACCCCGTGGGACACCTGGCCTGGCCCACTCGCAGGCCGATAACGCGCAGACCACACGCTGTCTTGATCCTGAAGGAACAACTGATCCATTGGTTGGTGGGAAAGCCTTTGTTCCTAGTCTTTGTCTGGATTTGCCAGCTCACGCTTGGCACTGCCCTATGAATTGTGTACACGGCACGAGGGCAGAATTTTTGAACACGCTGGGTGAAAATTCAGACTGGGGGAGGCTGGAGGGACAAACACGTTACCTGCAGGGGGCATTGGCCTGGAGGACCCGAGGGGTATACGATTACGGAGAGCTGGTGAGGGTCCAGGCAGCAGTCGTATCCACAGTAGTCCATGGAAGTCAGTCGGCACTCGGTAGATCCTGTGCAGAGAATAGTAAATCAGTATGAAGAGAAGGAGAGAGAAGAAGAGAAGATGATACGATGATGGAAATAAAGTCAAGATGGAGTCTATCCTCCCAATGGACTCCAGAGACGAATGGATGAGGGGCAGAGGGGCATACGGTCGGACTCAATTGCTCCGGATTATGAACATGCCATTTGGATAATCTTGACCGCTTGTTGTCGTGTCTCTGGAACGCATGCTTATTGGGCCTGGTTCTTGCGACTGCAATAGACGAGAAATTAGCCAGCACTAGACCAAGGGGAAGGCGAGGGTTGCGGAGCACTGCGGATGGTCTCCCCGTGACTGCGGGCTAGCCGTATGCAGCGCTTTAAATACGCCCTCGCTTTCCCTCCTCCCTCTTTCCTCTTCCACCATCCATTGACTCGTTTCTCCTGCTTCGTTCCGCTCACTTTTGCTCAATCTGTTCAGATCACTTCTCCCTGAGGTGTGATCACAGGAAACCGGCAAAATTTTCGGCACACAGCTCAACTCGTAAGTCCCCCGCATTCTGCTTCCCCGGACTGCTCTGCCTGAATGAGTTATTCCTTCTACCTTCTGCACTCCAACATATTACTTTTACAATGGCACTAACTTCTACCAGGCGTCACCACCCGTTCAACGGCCGGCGCTCATCTTCCCGCGGGGGGGCACCGGATAATTCACTCTACATCCAGTAAATCGTTACTGTTCAAACATCCCATTCCGTCGACAATCCATTTTCTATTCGCATAAATACAAAAAAGAAAACAAAAATTGAATTGAAAATGGCCCCCCACGCAAGCTCGGATGTTGCTGCCAATGGCACCGTGAACGGGTCGGCTCGTACGCAGGCCGCTCCCCTCTTTACCGTCAACTCTCCCAACGTCGTCTACACCGACTCCGAAATCAAGAGCAAGTATGCCTATCATACCACTGACATCACCCGCACCGCCGACAACAAGTTGGTTGCCACTCCCAAGTCGACCAACTACAACTTCAAGGTCGACCGCAAGGTCGGCAAGGTCGGTGTCATGATGGTCGGATGGGGTGGAAACAACGGTTCCACCGTCACCGCCGGTCTGCTTGCCAACCGCCGCAACCTCGTCTGGGAAACTCGCGAGGGTGAGCGTGCGTCCAACTACTACGGGTCGATGGTCATGGGCTCGACCATCAAGCTGGGAACCGATGCCAAGACCGGCGAAGAGATCAACGTGCCCTTCCATGACATGCTGCCGATGGTCCACCCCAACGACCTCGCCATTGGCGGCTGGGACATCAGCAGCATGAACATCGCCGACGCCATGGATCGGGCTCAGGTTCTCGAGCCGACCCTCAAGCAGCTGGTTCGCAAGGAGATGGCGGAGATGAAGCCGCTGCCCAGTATCTACTACCCGGACTTTATCGCGTCCAACCAGGAGGATCGTGCCGACAACGTCCTCGAGGGTTCCAAGGCAAGCTGGGCTCACGTTGAGAAGATTCAGAAAGACATTCGGTAGGTTTCCTCATTCAATGATTGCTATAGGTGCTAACCTTTGCTCAGCGACTTCAAGGCCAACAACGGTCTGGACAAGGTCATTGTCATGTGGACCGCCAACACCGAACGTTATGCGGATATTGTGCCCGGTGTCAACGACACGGCCGACAACCTCATCAACTCGATCAAGACCGGGCATGAGGAAGTTGCGCCGTCCACCGTCTTCGCCGTTGCGTCCATCCTGGAGAACACTCCGTTCATCAACGGATCGCCCCAGAACACTTTCGTTCCCGGAGCTCTCCAGCTGGCGGAGCAGCGCAACGCCTTTATCGGCGGTGACGACTTCAAGTCTGGTCAGACCAAGATGAAGTCGGCGCTGGTGGACTTCCTGATCAACGCTGGTATCAAGCTCACCTCGATTGCCAGCTACAACCACCTGGGCAACAACGACGGCAAGAATCTCAGCTCGCAGAAGCAGTTCCGCTCCAAGGAGATCTCCAAGTCCAACGTGGTGGACGACATGGTGGCAGCCAACCAGATCCTGTACGAGAAGGACGAGCACCCCGACCACACGGTGGTGATCAAGTACATGCCGGCGGTGGGCGATAACAAGCGCGCGCTGGACGAGTACTACGCCGAGATCTTCATGGGCGGCCACCAGACGATCAGCTTGTTCAACATCTGCGAGGACTCGCTGCTGGCGTCGCCTCTGATCATCGATCTGGTGCTGATTACCGAGATGATGACGCGTATCAGCTGGAAGGCGGACGGCGCCGAGGACTACAAGGGCTTCCACAGCGTGCTCAGCGTGCTGAGCTACATGCTCAAGGCGCCTCTGACTCCTCCGGGCACTCCGGTGGTCAACTCCCTGAACAAGCAGCGCAACGCCTTGACCAACATCCTGCGTGCCTGCGTTGGTCTGCAGCCCGAGTCGGAGATGACCCTGGAGCACAAGCTGTTCTAGTCACTCTGCGCTCACCTAGTACCAGTCAGATTCAGCCAACTATAGCCACTCTTTAATCTATCTTTACCCACGTGGTATTCAACGATCATTCGTCCTCTATACACTGTAGAATGTATATACAACCCTACTTAGTCCGGCCCAACTCCGAGTAGGCGTTCAGCGCCAACTGTCCCCCAAGATGCGCATACAGCACATTCCCCTGAATCTCCCCCTTCTTGATCAAATCCACCATCCCCGCAAAGCTCTTCCCCTCGTACACCGGATCCGTAATAAACGCCTCCATGCGCGCCGCATACTCGATCGCCTCCCACGTCTTCTCATCAGGAATCCCATACGTGCCCGCATGATAATCCTCATTCAACACCACATCCTCGTCCGCAATATCTGCCTCCGTCAACCCAATCTGCCTCGCCGTGTTCCTCGCAATGCGCAGCACCTGCGCCTTCGTCTCCGCCGGCTTCGCAGACGCATCAATCCCAATGACTTTCTTCTTCGGCTCCCCCGGATAAAGCTTCTCAATCAACTTAAACCCCGCCACCATCCCCGCCATCGTCGACCCCGTCACCGCACACACCACCACCGTCCCAAAACTAACCCCCATCTCGCGCTCCTGCTCCCGCACCTCAAACGCCCACCGCGCAAACCCCATCCCTCCCAGCGCATGATCCGACGCCCCCGCAGGGATGTAGTAGCTCTTCTCCCCCCGCGCCTCACACTCCGCCTTCACCCTCGCAAGCGACTCTTTATGCCCGATCCCAAACCCCTCCTTTCCCAGATTCACCTCCGCCCCCATCACCCTCGACAGCTGGATATTTCCCACCGTCTCATACCCCCCATCTTCCCAGTCCACCCAGTGTTCCTGAACCAGCCGTGCCTTGAGACCCAGGTGCGCCGCGACGGCTGCTACCTGTCGCGTGTGGTTGCTTTGCACCCCGCCGATGGAGATCAGCGTCGTGGCGGACTGGGCGAGGGCGTCGGCGGCGAGGTATTCGAGTTTGCGCGTCTTGTTGCCCCCGAAGGCGAGCGCGGAGGTGAGGTCTTCGCGCTTGGCGTAGATTGTCACGTTCTTGGTGGGGGAGAGGTCGGTGGAGATTCGGGGGAGGGGGTGGATGGGGGAGGGCGAGAGGGTGAGTGGGTGGCGGGGGATGGTGGAGAAGGGGGGTGGGAGGGGGATTTCGGAGGGCATTTTGTTGGTCGAGGTTAGGGTGGTTTGGTGGATAGAATGGATGGAGGATATTGTTTGTATTGATTGTGGTTGATGGATAGGTAGGTAGGTAGATGGAATAAGTACCCGGAGTAAGAGGGAGAGGAGGGGTCACCAGGGTACTTTATATACTGGAGTGAACTGCTACTACTAATACTGCCAATACTAACATGACAGATAAATGAGGAGTAACTTGACTTCCCCGCCGGAGAAAGTCCCCTTCTCCGAAGACGCGATGCTTGATCTCGGCATGCAAAGGATCGTCCGATGGTGTCAACGGATCGGATCTTGTCCGGATAAGAGGGGTAATTGATAGATATCTGGGCGAGATTATTTTACGTAGGAGATTCATCCTTTGATCCTCTCGCTTTGGTATATCAGAGTCACTTTAATTGTAGATTGTACTATCTATTATCTAGTGTGGAGTTTTATGTTGTTTGAGACTAGGGATCGACTGTCGGGGTTACTTTTGAGGCCGATGTTGGAGATGGGATGATAAGATAGCGCTAGATCAGGAAATTCATTCTGCGATAAACAGTTATTACTCGATCTATATGAATTTTATAGCTCTCAGAAATAAAACAGTAACCATTCATCATTGGTTAACCCTTAATTACCAGTGTTGATAATTCATTCTACATTTTCTATCAGACCTCTGAACAGACAAATATTTCACATAGGTCAATATAGCCGGCAACATAAAATAATATAGCTACTATTTACAAGTATGTCAAGTGTACAAAAGAAATCAAAGAAAATTCCAAAATTAGGAGTCAGGTGTTCAGCCACTGAGGGGCAAGTTTAAAGTCTCAGCCTCTCACTTCTCCTAACGATCATCGGCCTTCTCTCCGAATCCAATGTCATCACCTCTCAGCCAGTCTACCACTGCACGCGATGTAAATAATCCCCCTCCCTCTTGACAGCCCGCTAATCAACCCAGGAGGAAGTCCTATCCCTAGACCTCGAGGAGAACGACTATCTCTACCGAATAAAGAGAGACAACCGGATTGTCTACGTCTCAATCCTCGACGGTGATCTCATCCCACCCGACTCCAGAACAGACAGCTTCCCAATTCTTTCTCATCTACGAAAACTCCCAAAGTGGGATGAAGAATGGACGACACTCACAGTCCGAAGAGCCTCTCCCGGCAGTACCGATAGCATCGAAAGCACTGCGGACGAATTCCCTCCCCACGGACTAGACCTCGCACAGCTGGATCTTTCCCCCGTCGTATTCTACAATTTCCTCGATCTGGAATTCATCGCTCGGGTGAGCGACCGTATCTCGCGCGTTAAATGTCACCATACCGGCGAGACACGGATCCTAAAAATCGCGCGATTCGCGCACGAGATCCCAGCTCTGCAGCGAGAGGTATCCATATACTCGGTCCTCGCGGCGTCTGGGTTTCCGCTTTCTCCGCGCGTCGTGGGATACGTGTATGAGGGGACCAAGAGTCGGACGGTGGGGTTCCTCATGGAGGAGATCGAGGGCGTGGTTCCTGGGATACAGCATCTGGATGAGTGCAGGAAGACGGTGGGTCTGTTGCATGCGCACGGGGTTGTTCATGGCGATTTGAATCGGTATAATTTTCTGGTGGATGGGGATAGGGCGAGGGTTTTTGATTTTGAAGTTGCGGTGGTGCAGAGGGATGGGGATGTTGCTGCTGCGGAGGAGGAGATGGATTCTCTTGAGGCGAGGTTGAGGGATGAGACGGGGGTTGGTAAACGATGGTTGGTGGGCTGATTGTTAAGTGGTTGGTTATTACCTATCCACGTTCTGTTTATACATGCTTAGGGCTTTATTGATATTAATTTCGAGTAATATAATTAAATATTATAAAACCATAATACAGCTTCCAGCGACAGGTCGCGAAAAACAATTGACCTATCAACTAGAACTCAGACCCCTGCCATCCCCCTTAAATCCATGCCATCCCGCCCTCAGAATAAACCATTCGAACATCCCACCATCGGATCGAATCAGAACAACATCAACATGCACCGAATGTGTTTCGACGATGCCTCGTGGGAAAAAAGCGAAGAGGTCTCCGACTCGTTCGCCATCCAATTCCTCAGCCCCGACGTCCTAAGACCGGTCGGTGGCTTTCTCGTCCGGCATCACAGCCCCGACGACCCTGAGCAATTTTCCATTTTGCAGAAAGGCGCGTTCAATATCTCTCTGCAGATGGAGTACGAGAACGGTAGCTCTGCTGTGATGAGATTCCCGCTCCCCGGTGCTGCGATGTTTCCTGAGGAAAAGGTTAAGAATGAAGTCGCTGTTATGCGGTATATTCAGGACCGCACGTCCATTCCAGTTCCTTTTGTTCTTCACTGGGGTGCTAAAACGGAGAGTCCGTTGGAGTTGGGTCCGTTTGTTCTTATGGAGTATATCGAGCACGATACGAACATGTACGATGCTCTTAATATCCCTGGATGTCCGAGGGCAGAGCGTGGAATCCTTGACCCGGATATCAGCGAGGAGAAACTGGAAACGCTGTACGGAGAAGTAGCCAACATCCTTCTTCAGTTTTCTACACTCTCCCTACCCCGAATTGCGTCCTTAGATCAAATAGACGATTTCACATGGGAAGTCACACGTCGACCGCTATCGATGTCCATGAACGAACTCATTCGACTAGGATCTCTACCTCAATCGAAATTACCATGCACGACATTCGACACTGCATCTTCATATTTCGAGGCTCTGGCTGAACTGCATATTTCTCATCTAGCCAACCAACGAAACGACGCCATTGACTCCGCCGATGACTGTCGCCGCAAGTTCATTGCTAGACGCCTCTTCCTGAAACTCGCTCGAGAAGGCCGGCTCACAGGAAAACAGTCACGTTTTGAAAACGGTCCGTTCAAACTCTGGTGCGATGACTTTCGTCCCGCGAATATCCTTCTCAATCAGGATTTGAAAATCGCCGGCGTCGTGGGCTGGGAATATACCTACGCAGCACCGGTGGAATTCTCCCACGCTCCGCCCTGGTGGCTTCTCATTGAAAAGCCCGAGTACTGGCCAAGCGGTCTTGAGGGTTGGTGTACGGAGTATGAGAGACGGCTTGGGACCTTTTTGCGCGCGATGATAGTTCAGGAAGACAAAGCGATTAAGCAGGGCCAATTAGCAGAGGAGCAGAGGCTTTCTGGTCCGATGCGCGATAGTTGGGAGAGTGGTGATTTTTGGATTGTCTATGCGGCAAGGAATAACTTTGCGTTTGATGCGATATTTTGGGAGAAGATTGATGGGCGGTTCTTCGGGTCGAGTAGTTGTTCTGTTGAGGATGTGTGGAGGGAGAGACTTTATCTTTTGACTGGTGGAGAAAAAGAGGAAATGGAGGAGCTTGTGGCTTTAAAGGTCGGAGAGATGGGAAGCAGAGTTCTAGCATGGGATCCGGACGAGTATACTCTCAGTTATATTGAAAAGGCAAAGACGGACACTTTGAAGGAGGAAGATAGAGTCGATGATTGCACCGGTCAGGGTGGCAGTGAGAATCAACTTTAGTTGGTTTTGCCGGATGATTCTAACAATATAGCCTGAAGTCGACCTCATTATACAGGAACTATAAGGTGGGAAAGTTAGACATAAACTGTAGTTGGCCCATACAGCGCTTTAACACTGAGCTTGGAAAAGGGTTATTGAGTAGCGGAATATCGATTTCCCTTGACTATTTGATTCAGTAAATGATGCAACATCATTGAACGATCTCCGGTACTTCTTCAGTAACACACAATAATAGTATACATGTAACCTTTGAAGGTATATGTATCCATTTAGAACTGGCAAGGCACTATTTCTGTTATTGCCCAGCTCTGCAGTACCAGTTACCATCTTTGCTTTCAAACAGCCCACTTTCTTTTCCGTGATATCATGTTGTGCTTGTCAACTTGGTACCTTCAGCAAAAGTCCTGAACCTTTGAATATTCTAGAAGGCATGTCTCTTCCGAGCGTTAATTAAATGATTGCGCAGAACGTGCGCTTCGTTGACCACAATAAAATTAATAAGCCATTAAGCCATGCTTATCAGGACTATGTTTGTCCTCTTTGTTATAACCTGTCAGTCTATCAAATTTCGAACTGGCTTAGATCCAGGCTGGGCTATGAGTGTTGTTTGAAAGAAGAGCTCTTTGATGTGATTATACCAGCGGAGCTTTTTCTCGGCGTTGCTCATTTTGTTCGCAACGATAGAATGACAAGCCATTGCTTGAGATTATTGCTCTATGACCGATAGCAGATTAGAGGGAAGTCTTGGGTCGGAAGCGTTGAATCTCCTTGCGTGTATTCCGAGAAGTATAAGACGCATGTCCCCAGTGGAGATAATGCTTGCTATGAGCACGTATCAAACGTCGTAAAGTCGTTCAGTATGCGGGGTGACATCTTTGATAGGTACGAGGCGGAGTTTAGACAAGAAATTCTCCTGTTGATTATCTGACTTTGATTGTCGTCGATGCGCTTTATGAAGGAGGTTCTCTCGTAAATGGTGAAGAGTCCATAACGCGCGTAGCAGTCGTCTATGTATCGCGCCAGTTGCCCTTGTGTATTCACGACTATGTTTATCGTGACAGCGAGCTTTTGATAAACTCCAAAATTTGCTCCAGGTACGTAGAAGAGCATACTGGCTTCGTACGGAAGACTGAATATGTTTGGCATCGCGATTGCACTGCAGAAGGTTTTCTTGACACGATTCGATGGCCGCCTTCCTTACTCCACAGTGTTATCCAATGCCATGCTTATCATAGCATATCTCCAAAGGCGTCATTGATATTGAACTTGTCACTGCGGCGGCTTAAGATCAGACGCTGCCGAAGATCTAGCACAGAGTCAGTGTCCTGGGGCTCTGGTATCTCTGGTTCTGTGGTTGAAACCCACTGATTGGAGGGACATTGATCACGGTGGTGTGGGCAACATGGGCCTGCAGCCCCAAAAAGAACATATATTGCCGGACAGAAGGGGACCCGTCTGAGGCCACTGAATATTCGTGCCGCACTACCCCCGTGTGCTGCAGCTCGTACCCCCACGCCGTCTCCTGGACACGGAAGAATATGGTCTCATTGCAGGTAGAGAGGAACCTGTACCTCAGGGAGCAGTCCCTGAGGTACATCGCTACCTGCCCTAGGTAAAGTATTAATCAAAGTTCTCCACATAGTGGGATAAGCTCGAATTCATTGGCGGCCGGAAACCACAATAAAATAATATGCTTCCTGTGAAGCGGTGCCTGGATCAAAGCAGAAGTTTCTAGGTATCATAATATTTCAATTTTTTTGGAGCCAGTTTGCGTAGCCCGGCACAGGGCCTTCTAGATCTGACAGGCTGCTTTCCTTTTGATACAGCGAAGTCGTTCATAAGATGTGACACCACTCATTGATGTACACTTGAGATAAAATATCTTCAGTGCCGGTTTCAACGACGGATAGATAAAGCAGGAGAATTGTTGTAATGGCTTAAAATCCACAGATATTGGAATTGCTCGCATGCTTTCAATGAATGTTGCAGTTGAAAAAGGTAGTTGAAGATCTTGATCATTATCATCAAGTTCGCCATTGAAAATCTGGATAACATGGCTGAGACTTGATAAAACCGTCTTGGGTGGTGTCCGCGTTCTTTGTAGTATGTTGTCAAACCTGCTATACTGCAAGCATCTGACAAGCTGTGATAATTTCTTTCGGAATGAAAATAAAAGACATCAGAAATCCTCAGCTGTTTCAGCTGAGGAGGGGCAACGCATTTCAATTGACGGTTTCTTTCCAACGTGCTGGGAGTACGTTTAGTACTCTCTCTCTTGTTAGCAACCCAGGCGATTGTAGGTTGGTATTAGGTATTAGTCGGCCCAGTCTTTGATATTTAAATATCTTATCGGAGTTGGAGTTGTAGAGCGCTTGATTGGAGATGATCCGTCGATATCAGGTACGTAGTTAAGCCTTCTATGCAGCTGACAATTGCTCAGCAGCCTTATTGCGTAGGCTAGGACTAAGACGGCCAGTCTGGCCTTCGTCACCCACGGAGGATGGCTGCGGCAATTGTTCGTGTTTTGCCTCGCCGAGAGATGTAACGACGCGGGAGGTGTGGGTAAGCAACTAGGTGATTTTGTCTGTGCCTGATTGAGATTCTCTTTTTCGCCAATGTTGATGTCCTAGGTATTAACCCGAATAATTGAGGACATCCATAGATCCGGGTTCTGAATTTGGCATGCTTTCATCCAGCCGCCGTTATCACAGATTCGTGTGTACCAGTCACCGACTGGAGAAAGTTCAGGTAAGAGTTGAAGGCGTTGTCAGTAACGATTTAAACCGGTAAAGCGCTTGATTCTATCAAGTCTAGGTTTGCATAATCGACGTATATTCCGGGTTCAATGAGGATATTGCGAATACTCAGCAGGTCTTAGGATCGCTGAAAAGCCGCTTCATGCAACAGATTCGTAGATCCATCAGTATCATGAAGGTTGACTTTGTTCTGCCTTCTCTTTTGAGGTTATCCTGAGCAAGTTCAAGCTAGTATTTCCGATAAGTATGGAGTCTTTGTTTCTGCGGTACGGAGTTTAGGCATTCATTTGGATTTCGCCCTCGCTGTATGCTTCTGTTGACGTCGAATTGTGCGGCAAATGGTTTTTGTAGTTGCTAAATCTAGTTCTTTTTATTGGACAGCACGCCTAGGTTGGAGTCTTCAGACATGGTTGTCTTCCAAATTGTCATGTTAGCTGGTTTCAAACCAATGTCAGGATATCTCTTACATTGTTGTATATTAACTCAAACCGTAGGCCACGACTCGGTATAATCGGCGTATCTCGATACTCGAATTCGAGGACTTGAGCCCACTAGTTCAAGATCATCAGCATTTGTACGCAGTACCTCGCAATATCCCCAAAAGATATGTTCAATCATCAATGTTCTTCCTGGTTTTCGATGTTTCATATGCTCTTCATATTCCTGTAGGGTTTTATTCCCTCGTACTGAAAGTGATCTGGCTCATACCGTGGCCGGCAAAATGGAGATCTTCTAGGGTCTTATAGGCTTTATTGCCGTCCTCTATGACAAGAGAAAAAAAAGTGGGAGAGTTGAAACCACCAATGAATCAATGGTCGACGGAAATCCGAGACGATCAGAAGGATGTGTTGTGTCTGGAAAATCCGAAGTTTGCTGGTCTGGATAAATACTTATCCCAGTGGAGTAAATTGAATTCAAGATTGAAATAATCAATCACGAACGGATATTTTGAAAATAGCTTGAATGTTGTCCATAGATGCAATGAATCGACTACACGATGACGTGAAGCCTTGATGGTTAAACAATTTTCACAGCTGCATGGGGGAGATACTTCGGAAGTCGTAATGTAAAAACTTCTTTTACCATGCAGGAATTGCCCCGGCTCCGGGTATCCCTTGAAATCGTGTAGGCTGTTGAAAACAGGCGTGGCGGTCAGAAAAAGGTTAAAATCAGCTGTAGTTCGCGGATGGTCTGCGTGCTCTGAGACTTATGGTTAAGCAGGATGTGCGTCTCGTTAACACCCACCAGGCCGAAGCACCTGGAAGGCTGAACCTTGCCCGGTGGAGCGTTATCGCCATGGTATGTGTATATCAAACACGTGCTGATCCTTTTCATAGATAGGAGGACGAGCGTGTTTGGAGTCGTAGAGTTGCCTCATGCGGACTGCGGCGAATGACAAGGCTTCAGAGGCATCGATGCGGGTCGTAAAGTCTTGATGAGTGAACCATCCTTTCAAGGTATCCCAAGTAGAACGAACGTTCATTCCGAACATCAATTCGTGAGCAGTAGAGCCGGTTGAACGATTATACGACGAATTGACAGTGGAGATGATGGATGGTAGTTAAGGTGACTCCCGATATCATGAAGTAGACCTCCGCTACTTTTCTATCAGGCTCGCCGGCACCAGTCTGCCTTCGCCACTTAGTCATTGAGCCTTTTTTTTTTTTTTTTTTGCTCGTTTCGCCGCTTTTGTATCTCTTCATCAGGAGCAAGGTTGACAACAGATTCGCATCCGATCTAGGTAGCTCCCTTGTTTTTGTTCTTGACAGGATGGGGCTGTGGTCTCGATATTTCGTGCCTGTCAGTGCCATGAAATAACGGACTTCAGTAATATAGACTGATAGATGCTGGAAAGATAGTAAATTTATGGCTGAGGTCAAGACCTTGCTCAGCCTGTCAATGGCATCTTATTTGTAGGTGTATCTCGAGAGTCGTGTGGAAGACAACATGTTCGTTTGGGTCAGCTTTTTTTGTGCATCTTTTGCTATTCTCATCTTTCTGGGATTCTGTTGATCCACAAGACAAGCACCACGATCAAGGTTCCGAATGTCGGCTTTTCGTTCTGTCTCCGAAGTCGGTGTCTTGGAGATTTCAAGGGTCCTAATGTCTTTGGAAGTAGCCTAGGCACTCCATAATGAATCATCTCATCCGGGAATTCAAGGTGTCCCATATCGGTACCATGATTCTGTGTAGTTGTTCATGGTGTTTCGGTCTTCTCGTCACGACGAGTCAGGTTGTACAATTCTGTCTCGGTTGAACGCATCGTATATTCGAAAACCTTTCGCATTTTTCTGCATTCCATGTCATTTTGTTATAACCCAATCCTTTACAAGCATGGCGGAACGGAGGACAAAACAGGAGAGAAGAACTCCCGTCAGCGACAGAACGGCTGGCCACTGGCTCTAGACCTGATACAGTTGACGCAGGCTTGACCTTGATTCTTTGACTGTCCACATGTTGGCTTAGGCATAGATATGAGTTTCGTACTGAGCCCATGTCCCAGATACGATCCATATTTCGTGTCCGTGTTCGCAGAACAGAATGTGGCTATGACATCGAGTCAGCAGGTTTCTTGATGCCAGGGAAGGGAGTGGAGATATACGCACTGTGCATGTGAAATTTGGAATCATCCATACCATCATCTCAATTCCCATTTGCATCAACACTTTTGTGCCTGGTGCATAACGCACGAGTTGCAAGAAGGACAGATGTCTTTTGCTCGACGGCCTATCAGCTCGAGGGTTTGTTATAATCTCCTGGGACTTGTTAGTACTGTTGTGTCATGTTATCTCGGGAACTATGTTTGAAGAAATGGCTTACCCCGACGCAGCATCAATTTATCAATGATGTACGTGTTGTTAGCTTTTAAATGTGATAGCTTGTCGTTGCTGTTCCTTAAGGCCGTTTTGGCATGTTTGCAAAGAAACTCTAGGCGAGTTTCCCACCAGTTTTCTGATATTGGGATTTGGGATTCTGCTCCACTGCATGTGCTTGTGTTCTCCTACAAGCACATGACTGTTCCATTCTTTGTGGTTTCCTTTTGCTTGATCAACGTAGTGGACTCCAATGTGCATGTTCAGTCGTTGTTCCATCGCCCTAATCTCTCGGATTTTCTGAAAGATGCTAGTGTCGTAATGAAACCCTTAGCTTGTATCGCAGATGATCAGTGCGCCTGGGGTGAGTTCAACATCTTTCTCTGGCAGCACAGGGTTCCTTTCCATCACCCGGTTAAATCCCAAAACTAGCTCGTCTCCTTACACGGAGGTAGGCGTTGCACCATAGTTATAGTTCATCTCGGTCGTGGAGACCAACGCCGGCCGGAAACAGGCCTGCGGCTCCTGGTGTTGGCATATGGCGTGTACAGGCGTCTCTGGCACATACTTCTCGATTATCATGCGTTGAGTTTGCCGGACCACGCGGATCTAGATCGCGATGTGTCTCTGTCTGAATTCGTAATCCACCATGCTGCGTCCTGTCGTAGTCGCGGGAGCGATTCCGAGACATAAGCTTCAATGCACGAGCGTCAGCCAGCGGATCTCAAGACGAGTGATCTTTCCCAGCAAATTCGGTCATTGGTTCTGTTGGTGGCTTTTTCTCCACTCTTCAATCATCTCTTTTTTGTGGTAGAGAGCGTATCGAAGACCTTGATAGTCGGAATCTCTCGGGTCTTTCTTCTGTCTGGACTCCGATGTAGAGGGAGATTGTGGATATTCGTTTTCTTTGATCTGCTCGATATTCTGGCGTTTTTGTTTGTGTGGTTTGTAGAATCTCTGAGGAAGGTCGTCTGTTCGCTATGTTGATATAGAGATTGTTCGATACAAGTGTATAGGAATAGGCTGCATTCTCGTAGGGCAGGGAATAGATACTACGAGATATCAGTGCCTTGAGATGAGCGTCGATCAAGTTGTTAGACTTTCTGACTGGCGATATCCATTTTGGTAGTATGAGGTTTGATCTGGAAGAATGATCGCGATAGAGAATGTATAAGAGTATCACGATGGTCCAACCTACCTACAGGCCAACCATGAGGAAAATATATACGCATATGAAAGATGCAGAGAGATGTAAAAAGGAAGAATCATTTACAAGGAGATCTCCGCTTTATATTCCATTCCCATTCCCTTTCTCTTTCTCTTTCTTTGCAGAACTACTAGTGAATATGTTTCTTTCCTTCCCTTTCGTTGAAGATATATACATGCAAGGGAATGCGGGTTTGCTACATTCCCTCTTTTTAGTTATTCACCTGTTCCTAAGTTCTGGGTGCTGTGAAGGGTTCGAAATTGAACTGCTATCTTCAATGACATCTAGATAGGAATATTCCCTTATTTCTTCCGTGGGGAGGGGGGGGGGGAAAAAGGGAAAAAAAAAAAAAAAAAAAAAAAAAAAAACAGAAACTTGCCAAGAAGCCAAAGACGGAACTACTTCTACCTCCGAGCCCAGCCGCAGTTTTCCGCCGGCATCCGGGATAGAGTCGGGATTTATTCGGTGATGACATTTGTTTACGCAGGGACTTTTTTCTGTTTGCTAGTTTGCTAGTTTGCTTTGTTTACCCCCCATTGAGGGGAAGTTTGATTGAGTTTTTTTTGGGGGGTCATGTAGAAATACGTACGCATATAGCGCTAAGACCTACATATCAATTTTGGTATAATGCCGGGTGGAATACTCAGTTGATTTCTGCCAACCTATTATTTCAGGTGTAAAATGCACATGGGTTTTTGAGCTCTGCTTGCCTGCTACCTAGTAGAAAAGACTCCAGGCTTAAAGTTTCTGTAAGACCCAGCCAGACGAACAGGTCATCCGGGTCGTGGCAGTTACCCCGCCTGGAGAGGACCTTGAAGACGCTGTCTGATCTCCCTGCGGACCTATATATATGGGGTATGGTATCCAGGTTGGATTCTTTAGAACTCTCTGAACATGTACACTTTCATTCGGTCATTCACGTCACGTCTCATCGAAGAAGTACCAGCTACACTACTAGCTAGCTATGGGTGATTGATATTAAACACTTTTTTTCCGTTTCTTTCAATTTCATCTTGCTCGTCCTTGTGGCTGTCCTACGACATGTCAACGACGCAGCGGACGCAGTCGCCCTGCTTCATCTGTTCGAAGGCAGTGTTGATCTGGGTCAAGGGCTCGCGGTGCGTGATGAACTCGTCCACCTTCAGCTGGCCGTTCAGGTAGTCGTCGACCAGGCCGGGGAGCTGAGTGCGGCCCTTGATGCCACCGAAGGCGCATCCTTTCCATACACGACCGGTGACGAGTTGGAATGCTAGTTTTATTAGTGGGAGGATTGGAATGATACATCAAAAGGGGACTTACGTCGCGTCGAAATCTCCTGTCCAGCAGCAGCAACACCGATGACGATACTCTCACCCCAACCCTTGTGGCAAGCCTCCAGGGCAGCGCGCATCACGCCGACGTTACCCGTGCAGTCGAAGGTGTAGTCGCAGCCGCCGTCGGTCATCTCGATCAGCTCCTCCTGGATGGTCTTGCCCTGGAGCTTGGTGGGGTTGACGAAGTGGGTGGCGCCGAACTTGCGGCCCCAGGCCTCCTTGCCGTCGTTGACGTCCACCACGATGATCTTGCCGGCCTTGTTCTTCACGGCACCCTGGATGACGGAGAGACCGACACAGCCGGCACCGAACACGGCGATGTTGGAGCCCTCCTCGACGCCGGCGGTGACAACGGCGGCGCCGTATCCGGTGGTGATACCGCAGCCCAGCAGGCAGGATCGGTCGGTGGGGATCTTGGGCGTCACGGCGACGACGGAGATGTCGGCCACAACGGTGTACTGCGAGAAGGTCGAGGTACCCATGAAGTGGAGCAGGTCCTTGCCGCGGGCCTTGAAGCGGGAGGTGCCGTCGGGCATGACACCCTTACCCTGGGTGGCACGGATCTTACCGCAGAGGTTGGTCTTGCCGGACTTGCAGAACTTGCACTCGCGGCACTCGGGGGTGCTAGGCCGGTAAGTGGAGGTCAGATTGATCGAGGAGGGGAACATACTAGAGAGCAACAACGAAGTCGCCGGGCTTCACGGAAGTGACACCCTCACCAATCGACTCGACGATACCGGCACCCTCGTGTCCCAGGACGATGGGGAAAGCACCCTCGGGATCCTTTCCGGAGAGCGTGTAGGCATCTGTCGAGATCAGCTTGTCGCGCGCGTCCATCGCCCGGAAGAAAACTTACCCGTGTGGCAGACACCGGTGTGGTGGACCTGGATACGGACTTCGTTGGCCTTGGGAGGCGCAACCTCGATGTCCTCGATGGAGAGGGGCTCTCCGGCAGCCCAGGCAACGGCGGCCTTGACAAGACTCAGTATGATTCAACAGCAGACGGGAAGCTCGGAAAGCTTCCTGGCACTCCAGAGAGCTCTTACCTTGCAAGTGATGGTCTAAAAAGGTCAATGTTAGTCGCGACACCAGCAGAGGGCAGGGAAGAAAAAACAATTGGATCCTTACCTGTCCGACAGTGCTGGCCATGGTGAAGATGTGCAGAGTTGACGACAGAAACAAAAAAGATGGAAGTCAGAGACGGAGACGGAGAGAAGGAAAGAAGATGAAGAAATCCAATGGAACGCGCAGGGAATAAGTTGCTTAAAGCGGGCTCGACCGGTGGTGGGGGTTTCGAGGTGAGGGGGAGGGGTGGGGGGTACCGTTGGCTGCGTGAGGGGCCGATGCCAGATGCCCTCACGGTCCGGCGTCACGGTCCGGCCAAGATAACACACGGCACGCTGTCTTGGACTCTCCAATTCTCGTGTTGGATCCCCTCATCTCTCCGCATGCTAGGAGGCTGGTGGTTGAAAATCGGAGGCATTCCCGACTGTCGGCAAGCATGGATGTGAGTCATGAACTACCCGATAGCTTGCATGTAGATAAGACCTATGCGGAGCTACGGAGTAGGGATCAATTCTACGGAGGAAGGGTCTAGGGGATTTTGGGATTACTATGGAGTAACTACGGACATAGTAAAATGCTAGAAATCTGCCACCGGAGCTCTTCTTGAGCTCAAGCAACGCCCGAAGCTGCAGGAAAAATGAGCGGCGTCTCAAACAGGCAATTGTTTCCCGGCGTTGGCCCGTGCACGATGACGACAGGTTTGCCTGGTTTGCACTGTTTGGCAACATTCCAAATCTGTCGGCGCTGAGCATGAAGGGAGGTTTTTCCCCTTCTAAGATACCATGCCCGGTCGGGCGAAGATGACGTGCGGAAAATGCTACGGACAATGTCTACGGGCTGAGCTATTAGAAATATCGGCAACAGTACGCAGTAGTTGGGGGTAGCCGAAAATACTCCGGGCGCTCATGTCTCAATGGAAAGCACACCTGTCGTCAGGAATCCGGAGTAAACAATTCCTACGATTCCTATGTTGAATCACATCGACGAGTCCAGCAGAAAACAAGACATCCTGCATTATGGAAACACCTCGACCGACTCGAGACGATTACTACGCAAAATCCATCCAATCCAATCCAATCAATCAACGGCAGCAATCAAGGGAGTTGTCATCATTCGCAAATCTAATATTTTATACACGAACCGCCCAAACCCATGGAGTCAAATTACACGATTAGAAAAGAATTGTTCCCGGTCAACGGTTTACCGCCCCGGCATCTGGCCGCTCTGCATCATGGCCGCGTTCTGCTCCTGGAAGCGCTCGTTCAGCCGGGCAGATCCCTTCAGGTACTTGTCCACGCAGCGCATCACGCAGCCCTCCTCGCGGTTGACCAGGGACTTGGTGGTGAAGTCGTTGACGCAGTCGTCGAAGCAGCGCTGGACGAGCTTGGAGTACATCTGAGGAGAGTGTAAGTATTGGTTCGCGTGGTGGATGGATGTTGGACAGGGATGAGAAGGGGGTTCGAAGGGGGATCGATCGAGGGTCGGATTGAGGATCAGAATGCAGATGATAGGGGACGTACGGTCATGAACTCCTTGAGCTGCTTTCTCTCCATGCGAGAAGCGAACTCGCGCTGTTCCGAGGCAGAGAGTCTGAAGGAGTTAGCAAGTCACTCTTCCCAAAGATTGGATACAGCGGAGATAAGAGTGCTAAGATGTACTAACCCTTCCATTGTGAATGAGGTTTAATCGAGGAAAGGTTTGATGATCGAGGGTATAACCGACAACAGTCTGAGGTTGTCCGGGACAGCTCCGGAGCTCTCGACGGGCCGCAGGCTCTTTCCGGGTCACATGATGTCAGGTGAGCGCACCTGACTGGTCACCTGATTCTATATCACGTGGGAGATGGCCATGTTTATTAAGGTCACGTGGTCTTCACGTGAAGTAGGCGGTCGGCCAAATCAAGGCAAAGAACGATGGAGAAAGGACAACGTATGCCGTCCCAACCAGGCAATGACAACGTCAATCCGACCCATCGGAATCCAGTCGTGCTATGACTCGGGCCACAGGACCGTAGGTGGCCCCGGACCCTGTGGCGAGGGCCAACCACGGGTGTGGATGTGGGATAAATTGGCCATCGCATACGAGCTGAGGGATCTGCGCACCAGCCAATCTCCACGTCCCGGTGCTGATTTGGCGACCGCCCAATATGAGAGGTAGAAAGGGTTACATATATACGAGCTGGATCTGTAGTGCGGGCGTCTGGCATGACCGAGATCCATCGCCTAGCTGGGATGTTTCGATGGAGTCGCGTGACGGTGGCTGGCGGTGTGTTACGGAGTATACGGAGTCACTACGGCGTAGGTATGGACTGACAAGACCATTGTTGATTGTAACTCACAGGATTCGGTATGACTTGCATTGAAAATCACAGGATGAGAGCCTATGGGCATGGGTACTGGCACGGATCGCTTGTGCTTAGTGATCTGCACATATAGGCTTCCAGCTGATTTTCTCTGTGGCGAGGACTCCGCAATTGCCTTGAAAATCGGCAGGTGGCTTGTATTGGTCGCCAGGTTGGACGGCGATCGGGGAGACTGTAGAGACTATGCATTGAAAGAACCTTAAATCAACCTGGGAGTGGGAGTTTTGGGCAATTGATCTGGTTCAAGGCAGCACCAATATGGATACTAGGTAGGGAGTCGCTGGTCATTGTTAACAAGTATCTCATAGTGTTAGTAGTGCTCGTGGTGGTGTTATAAAATATACGTGGTCATGCAGTCAAACTGGCATTACAATTTGCAAATAAAACTCGTACTCTGAATGAATTGTTTGACAAACTCCAAACCCCCTCGACAGTTACTACTCCAACTACGTACACATATTGCAGACCTGATTCTATGCCCTACGCGGCCTGCCCTATACTACCCCTTAACATTGACTGTACTAACAGGTACCAGGCACCTTCATTGGTCTGCTGACCGTTTTTAGCTGCAACAGGCCCCCCTAGCACCCAGGCACGAGGACCAACAGGGCCGTGATATCTGGCCTCCATCGTGGGGTACCTGAAAGAAGTGGATACGGGCAGTGGGCAGAAAAAAAGTTAAAACTCGAAGGTTGACTCCGGATGTCTTCAGGGAGAGCGCATCGGCGTCATACACCAAGAAATCCGGGATTAGTGCGGTGCTAAGGGGTTAGTCGAGTCCGTTTTGGCCCGGGTTCCCGGTTCTAGACTTCGCGTTGGCCCTGTGATCACCGATCCAGGGGAATGGACCGCGACGATGGAGAAGACTCCGTGAAGCAGTCTCAAACATGAAAGAATGTGGTGGCTGTCCTATCGGGAGGTGTTCGCGAGTACTTCGGCTTTCACAAGGGAAGGGGGGGTTTTGTTTCAGAGGGACTGGATGACACGAAAGGCTATCTGGTTAGCGTTGGGGGGTACCGGACCGAGGAACGGTCGGCCATGGCGGTGTCGTGGATATTATTTTTAAATTTGGGGTTGCATTGTGATGACAGAGAGTGGAGATGAGGATTGAAGGATTGCCGGAAGGGCGAGGGAGGAAGACCGAGGAGTAGAGGTGACTGTGTTCGGTATTGATATCTATACCACCTACTCCGTAGTTCTCAGTGAGACCGATGTCTGGATACAGACGCATTTTAGACGGAGCCTCGGCTAGGAACGAGGGTTCTAGAATTCCGGTCGAACGTAAACGGTGGCTGCGTACCGTACGGAACGACGCCATACACGGCGGCATTCGAGGAAGCGCCGCCAGAGGCCGCAAGCGACCAAACTTACGGTTCGGCGGCGTATCGAACCCTGACGGTCTGCTTTCATGGCGGATTAATTAATTCATGCTCGCGGAGAGCCTATTATTAGCCGGCACGAGTTGGATGACAGCGTCTTCCTTTCTGGTTTTGGTTTTGGTTTTGGTTTCTGGTTTCTGGTTTCTTTCTGTCTTCTTTCTATTTTTTTTTTTCTCTGCTGAGTGCAAGAGTAGGTATACTCAGTAAAATACCTGATTTTTGGGCGCGATCTGCAGCGAACTGACCGGCACCCCCCCTTCCTACTTGCTACTTTTTTTCTGGGGCCCGTTAGTCCCAAAGTTACCAGTCCAGCCCAGTCGCTCTCCATCCTGTCAGCCCTCCGCCCACTCGTGTGCCTCCGATCATCATCAATCAACCCCATCAATCAATCATTTCAATCACTTTCTCCCCTTCTCTTTCTTCCCCCCCCCCCTCCTTCCGTCCTGCCATCCAATCTGCCGGCCCTTTCTCTTCCCTTTCTTTCATCCTTCTCATTCTCCCTCGTTCGCCTCTCCTTTCTCCCCTCCCTTTGATCGCTCTCTCGTTCTCGTTTACCCTCCATCCCTGTCCCTCCTTGCCCTGTGATTCGGTTGATTTTGATTTTCGTCGTTTATTTGTTGTCCACCTCAGGCGTCCTTTGGTCCCTTTTTCCCTTCTCGCCGTCCGCTCCGCATCTGACGCTTCGTGTTCCGTCGCTGCGACATCCCTATTTCTTCTGCTCCCTCTATATCTATTTTCTCGCCTCCCCGCGGGTCCCTGTTTCTCGTCGCCATTCGCTCTCTCCCCGTCATCCTCCCGCTGCCGTGTGTTTCTTGCCTTGACCACCGACCCGGACGGCGCGGCGTTGTCATCCGCTGCCAGGCTGACTAGTCCCTCGTGCTATTTTGGGATTTCGACCGTTGCCCCCCTAGCCCCGGAATTCCTCGCGAACACGAGGGCGGTGACGGAGGACTCGGTTTGCCTGGTTTCATCATCCCGCCCTACTTTCGCTTTCTATACTCTGCTCGTTCGTCTTGTCGCGCGCTTGTTCATCATGGTTACCGGAAAGGGCGCTGAGGCGTTTCACCAACTGCCTCCGACGACCTCCCAGCACGGCTTCGGCGCAACCTCCCCGCCCTCGAAGCGCGACCTGGCATCCTGGTGGAGGCAGTTCAAGAGAAATACTCGCAAGGAGGAACCGAAGGGTACGTCTACTGTTTATGTGCTTATGGATTTATGTTTCGATCGGTGTGGTCGGCTTTAGGCTCGTCTGAGTTCTGTCATTCGCGACTTGCATAAACCCTTACTCCTGTTGCCTTCACTCAACCCTTTCTATGCATACTAACCGTCCGCAGAACCCCAAGGTATCTTCGGCATCCCTCTCAACGTCAGCATCAAGTACGCCAACGTCGCTATTTCCCTTACCAACGATAACGGCGAGAGTTTCATCTACGGATACGTCCCGATCGTGGTGGCGAAATGTGGGGTCTTCTTGAAGGAAAAAGGTACGCATAATTACAGTCCGGTGTTAGTGAGGTGTGCTGACACCAAAAAGCGACCGATGTTGAAGGAATCTTTCGTCTCAGCGGATCTGCAAAACGTATCAAGGATCTGCAGGAAATATTTGACTCCCCGGAGCGATATGGAAAGGGCCTGGACTGGACCGGGTACACGGTTCACGATGCCGCCAACGTCCTTCGTCGCTACCTGAATCAACTCCCCGAACCGATCGTTCCGCTAGAATTCTACGAGCGCTTTCGCGAGCCGCTGCGAGTTTACCAGAACCAGGTTCAGAATAGCAACGGCGCCACGACGGAGTCGGACCCCTTCGACCATGCGAAAGCGGTCGCATCGTACCAGCAGCTGATCCGAGAGCTCCCGCCGTTGAACAAGCAGCTGCTCCTTTATATTCTCGACCTTCTGGCTGTCTTTGCATCCAAGTCGGACCAGAACCGCATGACGTCGGCCAACCTTTCCGCCATCTTTCAACCGGGGCTGCTGTCTCACCCCCAGCATGACATGGCGCCCGACGAGTATAAACTGAGCCAGGATGTATTGATATTTTTGATTGAAAACCAAGATCACTTCCTCTTCGGTATGAACGGCACCGCCGCGGATGAGCAGACGGTGAAGGAGGTGGAGGGCGGAATGGCGCACCGCACGGCGACCACCAGCTCAAACATCCGGCGCTCGGTCTCGAGCGCAAGTGGTGGGGGCGAGAGTTTCCGCAAATATGGCAGTCTTCGCCGCAACGTGTCGGTATCATCGAAGAATTCGCGGCAATCGAACACTGCGCAGGGTCCTACGACCCCGACCTCTCTGGGTGCAGTTGGCGTCCACCGCAGTAACACGCTGCCCTCCAAAATGTCCCCGGCCATGCGCTATGGCCGGGTGACGGAAGCGACCGGACTGAACACCTCGGAGCGTACATCTGCACAACACTCGCGGTCCTCCAGCGTCGCACCGTCCGCACGGGAGGACAATTCGCAACCGTCTGTGCCACCACAGCCGACACCGCAGCAGCAACCGCCCACCGTCACCCCTGCGCAGGGGGTTCAGCCTGCGACCGGGCTTGTTTATGTGCATACGTCCACCCACGGCCCAATTCCCAAGGTCATTCCTGTGCAACCGCCGGTGGCAGAAGCGCCCGTCCAGACCGAAAAACCAGCCCAACCGGTTGCTCAGCCGGAGAAGCCTGTCGGGCCCCCTCCTGCTCCTGCTGCTGCTCCTGCACCTGCACCCGTTTCCGTTCCCGTTCCTCCACCTACTGCTGCTGTTCCCCCTGTCACAACAGCCCCGGCACCGGCACCGGCACCGGCCCCAGCTCCAGCTCCAGCACCGGTCACTTCTGCCCTGCAGGAGAGTTTATCTCCTCCATCCTCTCCTCCTCAGACCGCAGTGACTCCGACCCGAGAACGGAAAATCTCCAGTATATTCTCCAAATCGCCGCCGTCAAGTAGCGACCAGAAGGACCCTCCGCGGCAGCCCAATCGCTTAAAGAAGAAGCGGATCCCCGGAAGTGCCAGCGAAAGCGCCCAAAGCTCGTCTCAATCGCTGCAGGCGGCCACCTCGGACCCGACCACCATCAATTCGCCCCTCAAGCCGGGCGACCGGTGGATGCCAACACCGATGCTGGGGGTGCTACACCGAGACCTCCCAACGCCACGAGCTTTGACGATCTGGCCTTGAGACAAGAGAGAACGGCAGTCCAGCATGAGAATGGACAACACCAGCACCCAGCTAGCAGCAGCGGCGACACGACGCTGCGACCGTATGGGTCGCGAACCCCGTCGATGAATTCCCGGTCATCATTCACCGACGTATCCGACATCGACCAAATCGACGACGCGACCAAGACGGAGCGGAAGGAACATCGGCGGAGTTGGCGATTCCCCCGCTCGTCTAAACGCAGCAACGAGCAGATGGGTCTGGGTCTGGGCTCGCCGCCCCTCATGGCATCGACCCCCGGGGCGGATCGCAGCACAAGTTCGATCGGCAGCTGGCATCATGCTAGTCGCAGTTCTCCGTCGGATCTCCAGCAGTTTGCCAACGACCCCTCTTACCAGCCATTGAGTCTGGACGCTGAGGTCAGCAATAGTGGCAAGGATTCGGGAAGTTCGGAGCCAGAGAGGCGCAGTCTCTTTGGGAAGTTCAAAGCCAAGGTCGCACAGGTCCGGGATGAAGTCAAGCACTCTTCGGAGCGTGAGCGCACTCGAAGTCCCCCGGTCCAGTCTGACCCTGAAAAGTCAGCGTCCAGTCAAACGCTGTCGCCTATTGGCAGAGACAGTCTACCCAATCGACCCGCTCCGATCGAAGTGGTGAAAGAACCGATCCCGCCCCCTCATACTAGTACTCCCACCTCGCCGCTGCCCCCAGGACTTCCCCCGGCGATCCCCGAGGAGCCGCGCACTCCGGAAAGCCCTGTGGCGACACTGGCAACCCCGGAGCCAACACAGGAGAATGGCACGGGCGAGAAACCCCAGCCAGCAGGGCCGGACACTTTGCCAACCTTTGAGTCTCACAAGGGAGATGACAGCGAGACCTCCCATTTTCTGGGAAATTAGTTGGGCATTTGCCTACACCTAGCACGTTTGGTTGAGCGATACTGAGCGATTTCTTTCTTTCCTTTGTCTTTGTAGGTATTATTTTCTTTTGGATACGGCGGATAGATTATATTGCAGGGTTGGTACGGGTTGAAGAGTTGGTTCGTATAACGGTTAGCCGTGATGATTTTCCTTGCTTCTGTCATTCTGTACGTTGCTGGTGCACCGATCTATCTGGTCGAGTGGTCTAGCTGCATACCCCGTTGTCACCAGCCATGCTTTATGGGTTACGAATCATGGACGTATGCTTCTGATTGGCTGCATGGTCAGTTGAATGGAGTGGATATATTGGTTTAATGCCTCGTGTATCAATAGACTTGAATTCGTTCGATGCCTCCAAGTACGCAGTAAATCCTCGGGTGGAGTCGACACCTCAGGCACACGTGTCAAACCCGTCAAACATTCCCCGAATCTCCGAATCCCTCCCGAACGAATTATCCAAGAAATCCACAAGTCACATCCAACCACCACCGCATCCTCCACCGGGCGCAAGCCCCAATCCATTCAAGATGACTTCCACGCCCTCATCTCCGTCCCCCTACGCGCCTCCCGCCTCTCCCGCCATCCCCGTGCTGCCGACCTCCCTGGCCCAAACATACGTCTTTATCCACCCATGTCTTCTCCTCGGCCTTCTCGCGCTGCGCTTCCAGTCCTTGACGGCGGATCCCGTCGCCGAGCTGCTGAGCGATCTTCCGCTGCTGGCCTTGCTGCAGGTCATCTTCGTCATGATCTGTCTCCCTCCCGCGGGATCCGTCCTGTCGTCCAAGCCTGAGACCGCGGACCCCGACGACAAGAAGGAGAAAGCCCCTGCGTCGCCGTCCGCCGGACCGGCAGGAAGCGTGGTCCTCAAGCCCGGCAAGGTGGGCTACCGACGCCGGGGTCCGAAGACTGATTCTGCGTCCGCGAGCTTTGTCGCGAAGTTGATTGTACGTCCCTTCCCCTCCGTACCTCCGCTGCATCCGGACCCCGAAGTGGAAAGACGAAGAGGAAGAAGAATACTTGAACGATGCTAATGATGGTATTCGATTGCATAGCCCGCTCTCCTCTCCCTCATCCTCACCTTCCTTCTCGCGACCCCCGTCTTCGCCGCCCTGCTCGTCCTCTTCGGCGCCCCCGTCACAACCCACCACTGGCAGACCCTGCTGTGCGCCGCGCACATGGCCCTTCTGACCTCCACCGGCCTGATCTACGTGCACGGCGTCGACGGCGCCGTGTGGAAGGAGGTCTGGGGCGCCGCGAGACCGTTAGATGTGGTGTGGGGTGGTGCGTTGGGAACGGGTCTGGGCGCGTGGTTCGGGGCGGTCCCGATTCCGCTGGATTGGTTTGTCCTCCTTCTCTTTTTCTATTTCTCCCGGAACGGGCCAGGCACTGGGGTTGTTTTAGTTTGGTGGGTAATGGCTAACTAGTATTTGTTAGGGACCGTCCGTGGCAGGCATATCCGATTACGATCCTGGTGGGTGCGTATGTCGGGTACGCGCTTGGAGTGGGACTCGGACGGACGGTGCTGTTCGGGAAGAGGATTGATTTTGAAGAGGAGGGGGATGCGAAGAAGGTTGATTGATTGGTTGTTGGTCTGGTTAATTAAGGGGATTTACGGAGGAGGGATCTACTCTGGAGGTTAGCGTTGGGTGGGCTTTATTGTGTTCTTTCTATTTCTATGATGGTATTATTATTAGGAATGTTTATTGCATGGATGGATGCTTGCATGGTTGTGGGTAGGTAATGTACAGATATCTAGGTTGAGCTACAGTGGAAATAATTAATGGATTGCTCGGATTCACTTCAGTATAGAGAACTGTGTAGATGACAAGACAACTTAGATGATATTGGCAACTTAATAGAATCTCGCGCTGGATGGAGACATGCTAGAGATATCAAATCTCACTGAAGAGCGTCCCGAACCCATTTGCCCCGAAAATAAAAATAAGCAACATTAGATACACAGACGAGCCTCAATGATCGATGCAATTCCGAGAAGATGGAGGGGCTACGAAAGTGCAAGAGAGATGTGATCATCATTGCAAACGGGCAAACAGACCCCGCGGCGTGATCCAGACTCGAGGCATCACTATCTACTTCCACCTCCCTGCTGATCTTAACTTTCCCTTCTCATCGCGATCAGTATCTACAGAACGGTATGCACTCTTCCATTTCCTGCTATTTTCTTCCCCTTCACATCTGCTGATCGCTCCCCTCCCTCTGCTTGATATGTTCTAACATCATGAAGATTCCGTCTGCCCTCGCTGAGCAATAACAAACCACTCCACCACTTCATCCAATACATCCAACACCCCGAATCCAAAGAATCAAACAGAAAGAACCAAGATGCCTAGAGGTAGCTCTAGCGACTGTCTTCGTACGTCTTCCCTTCCTCTATTTCACCTTCATGCTCTCCTTCTTTCCCCGTCTTCTATCCTTTCTCTTCTCTCCATCCTTAAACTCAGTCCACATACTTATTCATTACTCTACCCAATCCCCCTCCATGCCTTGAATTAACGAAGCAAAATGAAGAACCCCCACTGACCCCCGCCGAACGGACCATCGTCAAGTCCTACGGCGGCTGGACCCAGTTCCTGGCCAGCTTTGGTCTGAAGCCATGGAACAGGGAGGATGAGAACGAGGGGAAGAGGATCCTAGAAGCGTTTGTTCGCGATGATGATTAGGATTGTGATTAGTTATCTAGGCTCCGTGTAGATGGAATATCTATGATATGATGTGATATGGTTGATAGGGTCGGGATTGCTCGCCGTCTGGTCCTTGCCTGATAATGCAGGCAGACTGAATGTACCTTCCACAGCTGTCGTTTACTGTCACACTCCTTCCCTCTTCTGCCTTCCTTTTCCTGCGAGGTAGAGACTCTCTTTTTGTTTTCTGTCGATCGATTAATAGTTTGACTCGAAAGTGACATCGCCAAAGCTCTTGTCTACTACGGTAGTTCCTCTACCTAAATCCAATCATCCTCGCTGCTAGCAATACCAAAAACCATCCACTCCATCAACCAAGCCAAACCCAAAAGATCCATCAACCCGAAAGAGGAACCGAAAATGCCTCTCAGCGACAGTCTTCGTACGTCCCACCGTCCCTCCATTTTCTTTCCTCTTTTCCTTCCCTTTCCCACGACAAAACCAAACCAAATCATCCCATCCTGGCTAACCAACCAACTAATACAATGAAATAAAATAAATAGAACCCCCTCTGACCCCCGCCGAGCGCGCCATCGTCAAGTCCTACGGCGGCTGGACCATGTTCCTACTTAGTTATGGACTGAAGCCGTGGAATGAGGACGAGAACGAGGAGGGGAAGAGGATTGTGGAGGCGTTGGCGGAGGATTCGGATTGATTTTGGATTAGCTGAGTGTGTGTTTGGTATAGGGACTGGGGGATAAGGGAGTTTCGATTTGTGTCTTGTCTGAGGGGATGGGATTATGGGGAGGGTGGTATTCTGTGGGATGGCCTATTGACACTTCGGTTCGTGTGTCGTTGTAGGTCAGGAGAGGGGAGAGGGTTGATTGATATGACATGGTTTGAATCGGGGGTCTGCTGAGACTCAACGGTCTGTCTGCTAATGGGCTTGTTCTGGGGTACTGCCTAGGTACTTCTATACTGTCCAGGAAGATGAGTTATTGCGTGGACCTTGTGCTTTTGTTTGTAGATGCTGTAGCTGTAAACCAAGGTACAGCACTTTGCTATTAATGCTGTTTCTATATTAACGTAGAGGATAAGTACCTAGGTAGGTAAGGTGGAGAATTCTCTGTACAATGCATTCTAGACTTTGGGTGGACTGTTATCCTATTATAATTCAATTCGCTCTACACTCACATGAACCATTGCTGAAGTTGGATTCAACCCTTTTCAGTCCACAAGGTCCTAACGCAGGCTCAAATGTATGCAGACCTGTCAGCAATCAGCGCCAGATTTGGATCTAGTCACGCAATGGCCAATTTACGTCTGCCACCTGTGATTTCAAATGTTGTAGATTATATCTCACGAAGAGATTCACCTAGCATGGCTCCTGGGAGGCATTGAATTCCTAACCGATCATCAGAGCCCAACAACCCCCTCCTCCTCAAGCCCCGAAATACCATTCGAAACCCCAACCCCCGGCTCCAAATATTCCCACACTCGTCAAACAGCTACCCCGCAGAAATATGAGCTCTTTCACGTAGTTTGGAAATCAAGACCATTCATATTGAATCAGTGCAGATCACCCTGCCAAGCCCTCCAAACTGCCACGTTATACTCTGTCTGCATCCGGCTAGCGGATTAGATACACCATCAACAGGGGAGGCCGTGCTCCGAACAAAGACGCCTTGTCCCCTGCATTCCCACGCCTGCAACCTCACTAGTCAATATGACAGATGCCCCTTCATTTCTCGCCCCACGGCCCCCCGACGGCACCAAGCTGGAGATGGACTTTCTAGACTCCACTTTCTTCAAGACCCCCGGCCAGCGGCTCCCGACGCCCGCAGAAGTCCGCGCCCTATCAACAGATCTATACACAAGCCCTCAACCCAAACCGATCACCTTCCGAAACCCAGATATCTTCGTCAAGTTCGGTCGCTACGTGACGGTTGCAGAGGCTCAGTGTCTTTGGATGCTTCAGCGGGTGTTTCAAGGCACCGTGCCGGTTCCTGAGCCTTTCGGATGGCGTGTTGATGACGAGGGCTTCGTGTTTGCTTATATGCAGCTTATCGAGGGAAGTACGTTGCTGGATCGATGATCCCGGATGATCTGCACAGCGCCAGATAAGGAAATGATGCGTAATCAGCTGTGCGAGATCATTAAGTCTCTACGACAACTTCGTCAAAACCCCGGCACGTATATCGGTACGTAGACCCTGACCTAGGACGGGGGACGCAAATTCCTTGCAGGTATTAATTCGTCTGTGTAGGATCCATCCATTCACCCACCAAAACCTCCCCGATTACGTCTTCCAAACACGACCAGACGCCGGCCCTTTCCCCACCATCAAAGACTTCAACGACTGGTTCTCCTCCCTCCCTCCCGCAATCGCGTCTTCCGGCGTCCCTGGAATACAAAGATCCCTGTAGAGATCTCCTACCAGATGATGGAGCCGTCACGTTCTCACACGCCGATCTGCACAGAGGGAATATCATGATCTCCTCGTCTGCGCCTTTTCGTGTCCTTGCCGTCGTCGACTGGGGCCAGGCTGCCTGGTATCCGGATTACTGGGAGTATTGTAAAGCGCTGTATACCTGCTGGTATGAGGATGAGTGGCGGAGGGATTGGGTTAATAGGTTTCTAAGTCCAAGATTGTTGGAGCCGCAGGTGTTTTCGGAATATACTATGGCGATTGGGGCTGTTTGGATTGGGCTTATACTTGAAAGGGGGGGGGGGGGGGGGGCACTGCCAGGTTAATACCTGGTTCTGTGGTCCGTGTTCTCATTGCTCGCTGCCTGTATGATGGCTGTCACGAGCCTTTTCAGACTAACTTAATCGCCTATCATAGTGTGTGCATGCTACAACATGCCCTTACTTCCCAGGGCTGATTCAGTAACATGAACTAAAGCTGAATATACATCTCGGTTGTATATTGGGAGTTCATGAGGACGTCTCTATTGCTCCGATTGTCGTCTATTCAGAATCCGGCCTAACGTCATGGAATATGGAAGGGCGTCTGGGTTCAGATTCTAGCATATTATATATTATATATTACCTCACTCAGATATTGTTGACATATCAGATATTGCAAGGACTACCCAGTAGCCCAGCTGAGGTTTTTGGTCTAGTGGTAATATCAGAACATGCTTATAGATATGGGCTTTTAAGCGTATTAGCGAATAGAACCAACATGATATTAGACGCGACAGTTTATTGCAGGCACTAAATCCTGACACCGCGCCAACTACATTCTCCCAACCTACCTACTTACTACCAATCAACTACTAAAGGACAAAATGAACATCCCAAATCTGTACATTAATCGGAACGAACAGGCAGACAATAGGATCAAATCCCGTTAAAACAGCCGCACGATTCCCTATCTAACTAAATCTTTTATAAACAAAAAATTGGCTAAACCAATGATATCACGCTCATGCGCTCGCTTGGCTCACAGCTCTGCTCTACGCAAAGGTAGGCATAACAGTGATGGTGCTGGTGCTGGTAACAACAACCAGCTTGGTGGTGGTCACGACGACCAGCTCACCGGCCTCGTTGGTGGTGGTGGTGGTGTGAGGGACGGCGGCCTGGCCGTTGCCGTTGCCCTGGGCGGCGGCGGTGGTGGCAGCCTGGGTGACGGCGGGAGCGGTGGCAGAGCCCTGGTTGTCGGAGCCGGCGTTGGAGCCAGAGCCAGCGTTAGAGCCAGTAGCAGCAGCGGAGCCGGCCTCGGTGGTGGTGGCCTGGACGGTGGTGGCGTCGGTGGCGGTCTCGACGGAGCCGGCGGCGGCGCTGGAGACGCTGGCGACGGCGGTCTTCTCGGCGGGGGCGGAGGCCACGACGCTGGAGGAGACGGAGCCGGAGAGACCCTTGGCGGCGACGATCTTGGGGATGGCGGCCTCGGCGGCGATCATGACGATGGCCTGGGTGTTACCGGTGGGCAGATCGGGGTGGATAGAGGCGTCGACGATGAACTGTTGGGATTAGTATGGGTATGCTATGATTATATGATGGATTAGGGACTTACCAGGTTCTCGGTACCGTAGACCTTGGTGTCGGTGTCAACAACGGAAGTACCCTCGTCCTTGCGGCCGTCGTCAGTGCCCATCTTGGCGGAACCGACGAAGTGGTCACCGGAGGTCTTCTTGGCGACAATGTCGTCGGCGGACTCGACGTCCGCGATGCTGAAGCCCTTGCCAGAGTTCTTCATGTCGTCGATCAGACCCTGCAGGAACTCGGTGACGGCCTTCTTGTCGGCGTCGGTCTGCAGCAAGGGTTCCTTCTCCATGACGGTGGAGCCGGAGGAGCTGATACCCAGAACACCGGAAGAGGTGGCACCGTGGGTGAGGTAGAGCTTCATGGTGATGGTGCCGTCGCCGCTGGTGCTGCAGGAGGCCTGGTAGAAACGGGTGTTGCCGTCGGAGCCCTTGTTGGAGGTCCAGAACTGGAGACGGTGGCCACCCTGGGACAGGACACCGGAGGCGTGCTTGTACAGGTTCTCAGCGAGGGCGTTGGGGCCGGGGATGACGCTGGAGGTGTTGAAGGCGGTGAAGTTGCTGTTGGTGTTGACGGTCACGGTGAACATGGGGTGGTCCTTGATACCCTCACCGACGGGCAGGTTGATCCAGTCGGCCTGGGGAGGGACGGTGACACCGGTGGAGCCCTTCTTGACGTTCTGGATCTGCTCGGCGGGACCGATGCCGGAGTTGAACAGGATGCGGGGGGTGGACAGGGCACCGGCAGCGAGAACGACCTTGCCGCCAGCGCGGATGTTGATGATCTCGGCACCGCCGTTGGCAGTCTCGACCTCAACGCCGGTGACGCGGCCACCGCGGCGGATGAGACGGAGAACCTTGGTGTGCAGGCTCAGGTGGAAGTTGTCGAGCTCCTGGGCGAGAGGGAGGTAGGAACGGACGGGACCGGCACGGATACCGTTGGCGACGGACCACGAGGGGTAGGAGAACTTGTTGTGCTTCTCGTTGGGCTGCTCGTGCTGGTTGACGTACGAGTAGCCGAGACCCTTCAGGAAGGAGGAGAGAGCGGTGAACATGCCCTGGTCGTAACGCTTGCCGTCGGCGGAGGGCAGCAAGCTACCGGGGTTGCGCTCGTACAGACGGTCGGCAGCCTCCTTGACGTCGTCCCACTTCCAGCCGGAGGGCCACTTGTCGTCGAAGTCGGCCTCCTGGGGGTGGATGAAAGCAAGAGCGTTGACGATGGTACCACCGCCGAGAACGCAGCCAGCCATGCCGGCGGTGTCGGGGCAGAGGTAGTCATCGAGCAGGCCGAGCGAGGACAGGGAGCTGCCGAGGGCGGGAACGTCGTAGGCAGTCAGGGAGTTGTTCCAGGAGAGGGCGTTCTTCTCGTTGCCGAGCTGGACGGTGTGGGCACCACCACGCTCGATGAGCAGGACGCTCTTCTTGGTCTCGGCCAGACGCTCGGCGGCGATGATACCGGCGGCACCACCACCGACGACGATGTAGTCGTAGGTGGTGTTGGACACGGTAGGAGCCACGCTGGGGGAGGGGGTGCTGCTGACAGCGGCGGACGAGGCGGCGGCCGAGGGCGAAGCGGAGGTGCTGGTGGCCTTAGCCTTGCTGGCCCAGGTGGAGTACTTGGAGGACTTGGCGTCGGACAGCAGCATGCGGAAGCTACCGAAACCGTGGGCGTGGTAGCCCAGGACGGAGGAAGACTTGGACGGGGTGGTAGGGGCGTTCTTGCTCAGAGCCCATCCCATGAAGTAGCTCTCGTCATCCGCGCTGAAGGTGGTGGGGTCGCCAACGATGCAACCCTTGCAGAGGAAGGTGTAGGTCAGGTAGGTGCTGTTGACGGAGGTTCCGCTGGAGATCTCGGCGAGGCTGGCGTCGCCGTCGTACTCGTCGGGGTTGGTGTAGGAGGTGGCCTCACGGAGGGTCGAGACGACACCGTCGCCGTTGGGCCAGGCACCGATGAGGAGGGCGTGGGTCATGGAGCTGGCCAGACTGACACCACCCCATCCCTTGGAGTCGGTGAGAGGGATTTCGAGCTGACCAATGAAGTCCTTGTCGGCATCTTCAGGCAGGGCCAATCCGAAACAGAACCCGGTGGAAGCGTCGCACCACCGTTGGAAGTCGATTCCGCTAGCGGAGTCACTGTAGGCGGTCGAGTTGTAGTTCTTGGCCGCAGCCCCGAGCACGGAGCTCAGAGCGACGACTCCTCCGAGGAAAGAACGCATATTGAAAGATAAAAGGGTTCTCCGACGATATCAAAAGATCGGACGAACTGAAAGAATACGAAAAAAGATAGTAAAGACTGACAAAAGTGGATCAAAAGAGAGACAGTGGACAAAAACGCTGACCCAGCAGCAAGTCCAAGAAAGATCGAACGGCTTAGAGAAGCCGAAAGAAACGAAAGTGGCAAAGAAAGAAAGAAAAAGTAGGGAATGTGTGAAGCAAGAAAGAAGAAGAGAAAAAGAACTCGACTTCTCTGGCGGTCGTCTGGGATTCATATATCCATCTGAACGGCTGGGAGGGCAACTCCCTGTGGGGACCGAAGACAAACCTGCAACCATGTCATGGAGAACCCGCCAGCGACGGTTGATATTGAAGGGTGATGAGAAAGGGGAAACTAATGCACTGGGCATATTGAATAAGTGGGAACTGCCTCGAACCGTACGGCGATTACCCACACGTGGGAATTTTCTCCCAAGGCCGTCGCAGGCCAGTGCTTGATGTCGCGCCCTGCCGTTGGCTCGAACCAAGATAAGCAAATCCCAGTGGGTCTAGTTTATCTCCGAGGCACAACGGTGTGGGACATGCCAAGCGGATTTAATCAGTGATGGTTTCATCCGAAGGCGTTGGCGGTTTGGACGGCACGGCGTGCAAGGCGCCAGTGTCGCCGCAGTCATATAGTCGAAACAAGGCCCCCTCAAATAGTTCACATTCGAGTGGATTGATCACTAAACCGGTGGTTCTGATTGGACTTGATGACAGGCCTTGCGAGCATTGTGTCAAGACCGGGGCAGACGCTGGTTTCACTCGAATTAATTTCGCCCGTAGCGTTTGTCAACCAGGCGAGAGGGAAATTTCGGCTTAACCCCGAGCGCTGCTGCTTGGCTGGTTCTGCAGGGATTAATTTCCTTTCATGATCATTCGATTCGTCCGGATGATAGTAAAAGGGATGAACTAATTGGATGGGTTATTAAGAGCGATCGGGAATTCCGACGTAATGCTTACCGACAAATCCCCAGAAACCCTACTCATATACTTCGTCGGTGTCTGTCAGTCAAACTCAGAATCATACCCACCAGGCTCAATCTTGACGGGAGATGGCAAGAACAAGGACGATCACCAGGGACGGGACTCCTGTCTGTGGTTGACACTGGAAGCGTCAGGAATCCTCAGCAGGGGAAAATCGGCCCGCTCCGAGTGGGTCACCTGCTGCCTGGAAGAGGCAATTAGGGCTCAGGGCTGCTGGCCGAGTCGTGCCATCAGCCATCGCTACGCAGGATTACTCGGTCGATTCTGGACGGCGTGACTGGCCAGGGGTTTGACTGGTGCCTGGGGTTATATTAAATCATATTAAGTCGTATATTACTTGGGTCTTATTGGACCGACGAGGCTAAGCATTTCGGTGGGGTTACTATTGGCGCTTAGACATTACTCCAGAGTAGACTCAAGGACTTCGGAAAAAGAAAAGGGAATCATAATTATGCTCTATGCGAGACAACTTAATTGGGCTCGAATCAGCCGACCAACTGTACAACTTGAAGATAAAGGGTCTTATGCCGAAAAAACGCCACGGACATTTCGTCAACACAAACTGACGCTGATATTCGCCAGGATCTGACAAAACAGCAGGAAAAAAAGTTGGTAAAGACCAAAGGTATAACCTGTCATAGACAGGATTAGACAAGAACCAGGCCAGCGCCAAACAGCGTCGACATAACGGTGACCATTCCAACGACAACGGGGGCCACGGTCAGGCTGGGGATGTGCAGACCAGCGGCGGCACCGGCAGAGGAAGAAGAGGTGCTGCTGCTGGAGTCGTCGCTAGAGTCGTACGAGGAAGAGGCAGAGCCGGAGCCGGGCTCAGCGGTACCGGTGGAAGAAGTGCCAGCGTTCTGGCTACCCTTGCCGCCGAAACCGTCACCCTTGCCAGCACCCTTCTCCATGTACTTCTTGGCGGGCTCGGGGATGGCGGGGAGGTCATCGTCATCCACGTCCCAGTTGGGGGAGTCCTTGGCGGGGCAAGGGTTGGCACCACCGGTCTTGTTGAAGCCACCGCTGCCGGAGGGGTTGTCGGTCTTGCTGAAAGCGGACTTCAGAGCGTCGAAGTCATCGAGGGTCTTGATGCTGTCCTTGCTAACCTTGACGAGACCGTAGTTGCTCGACTCCTGCGAGTACTCGTAGACGAGACCTCCGGAGTAGACACCGGTCATCTTCTCGTCGTAGAGAGCGGAGACCTCCTCGAACTTGCGCTTGTTGGTGTTGCAGCCGTATTCGGAAAGGAAGAGAGGGAGACCGTAGCCGGTGAAGTTCTTGACCTTCTGGTCCCAGCCGGAGGTGGAGAACGACGAGGGGTCGCACCAGGAGTAGTCGTTGAAGGCGAAGAAGTCGCTGCGCTCGTCATCGGTACCGCAGTTCATGTACTGGGCCATCTGCAGACGGTTGGTGTCGATGTCGGCCTGACCGGTTAGTATGAGTCTTTTTCTGTTCTTTTCTTTCATTTGGAGGACTTACAGCAGAGTATCCGACGGGGATCTCACGGTAGTTCCGCTTGCGGATGTACTGACGGAGATCACGGGTGACGGCCTTGATGTAGGGGGCAGCCTTGGACGAAGGACCATCGTTGATGACCTCGTTACCGGAGAAGAACGCCAGAGTGTTCTTGTACTTGGCGAACTTGTCGACGGTGGCGAAGATGTACTGCAGGTAGACGTCGTTGTAGGACTGCTTGGGCTGCGCACGGTTGAGGGAGTACTTGGGAGTGTTGACGTCGAGCACCAGGTAGATGCCAGCATCCGCCAGGGCGTTCATACACTCGTCGTGGTCCTTGGAGTTGTCGACGGAGTAGACACGGATGGTGTTCAGGCCGAGCTCCTTGAAGTACTTGATGTCGCGCTTGCAGCCATCGGCATCAGCGATGGGGTCAGCCAGGTCGGAGGAACCTCCGGGCTGGTAGTCGACACCACGCATGTAGAAACGATCGTCGCCCTTGAAGAAGGCATTGCCCTTCACGGTGATGGCGGTGACATCGTCACGGGCCTGCAGGTTGGGGGCAGCGAGCGCGGTAGAAGCGCCGAGAGCGAGGGCCGTCGCGACGGAAGAGCCCTTCATGATGAGATCTGGGAGAATTGAGATCCTAATGGATAGAAAGAGACGGTCCGAAAGGAATGGCGAGACCGGTTTGTATACTCAGTAGTAGTGCAAGTGAAATGAAAAGGAAGATTCCGCGATGAAGAACGGAATCGGGGAGAACGAATGACAAGAAGACGGGTTGAAATACAGAGAAACGAGAGGCAAGAGAAACAGATCTCAGGGAAAGGGATGAAGAAGGAGCAGAGAAAAGAAAGGGCAGGAAAGAATGGGCGAGGGCGGGTGCCTTAAAGCGAGGCCTCGCAGAGTGCCTGCGGTATTCTTACCCCGTATTTCACCTCAAAGACAGCATTTTGGCCGGGGTGCACTGACGGTGGGCCGTAAGTTACCAGCGCATACAGCCGACCGGGTATACTCCAGGCCTCGTCATCCACCCTGGACTAACTGGACTAGGGAACCTTGACTGCTTGACAAGCGACCCGATCGGCCCAGGGTCAAAGGGTCTCCCTCCGTGCGCCTTTGTTACTGGCTGGCATCCCCGTCGCTCTCATTCAATCAGCGTGGTCGAGGCGGGTCGAAGGGCATCCAGAATGAAGATGATTCCCATATGCGATGCCGCAGTGGAGTCTTCCAGGGGCCGGGTGGGTCGAGCCATGGATTAATTCCTGAGACCCTCGATGGTGGCCAACATTCAGGTATTGATAAACAAACAGGACGGAATCGTACTGCGTACATAAGTCGAACCAATCCATCATCAAGGGCTCTCAGAGGGATTTTGTCAAGGAGACCACTCTGTAGGTCAAGGGGCAAGGAGGCCAACTCAGGCAAATCTGGCAAATTCCGATCATACCACCGTCCTGGCGCCGCACAAATTTGAGCATTCCCAGTCCAGACCAATCATTCGTGAAACGGACGGAGTACATGCCATGTTTGGCGCGAGTTATCTGGGCGCATAACCCCGCGGTCGCATCTCAGACATTGCCAGCACATGCCCCAACGCTCTACGCAGTACAATTCTCACCTTCCAGAGTGCCGTCAGAACAGTACGACCACAGCCAAGTCCCTCACAGCCACAAAGATCGACTTCTTTCAGACCGAAGCCGATGTTTCTCCTAAAATAGGATCGGCCTCTGTCACGACCGGACTCCTTCGGCCCCTGGGGTGGCAAATCACGACTCGCGATCCGTGGCGCTCTCCACTTCCCCCGACGGTACAGCATCCGACCGAGATTTGGGTCCTTTGGTGTTTCATCTGGTCACAAAGAAGTCTCGGGAATGAAGACCAGGGGAAGAAGTCCAAGGTTACGCTGTAGTACCTCAGCACCTCTGCCGTAGCAATAAGAATAAGACGATGATAAGCGAGTAAGACGGGATCAGTGCGTTGGCCCCTAAACTCCATGCTTATTTCGCCAGTGAAACAAAAGCCTCGTCTTAGCCCGCCGGCGTAAGCTTGAGTGCGGAACAAGCCTTTTAGACGCAGAGTCCACTCTTCTAATAGAAATGGCCCCAGCCATCGTGATCCTTTTGTTATTGCATAAATCCCGCGGATTCCGAGCAGGAGTAATTCCTCGCTGTAGTGATATTTCTGACGGTAGGAAAATACGGCGGGTGATTCCACCTGCAGACCGACCAGGTAATTGGAGGGTGTGGCTGGCCGGAAGGCGGTTCTAGAACCCGTTGTCTCAGTCTAGATTCATTCGCTGGTCGATATATTTAGAATGAAGTAGCAAGGTCTGGTTGCATTGCAGTGCAGAATCTGTAAGCAAGGAGTTTCAATCTGAATCTACGCTGTACAGTGTCAACGTTGGTCTAGTGCATCCACGGGTTGGATAGCCCGTAAGCGCAGCAGTGAGATTACATGTAATCGTTTAGATCAAAAGTTGATGAGATAGAACAGATTTTTGAACAGACATGATCAATTGTTGTTTGGGGACAGGATAGCCAAGGATAATGGTGAGAGAAATGTCACCGGTCGCACACCTTTTAAATGGGCGGGTCATTCCACCAGTGGTCCGAGGGGATAACTGACAGCCTGATTGATTGTCTTGTCACTCGACGTAGACTTTATTTTATGTTTAAATTGGTATTGCTTCGTTGGGAGAGGATATTAACATGGGAAATGAATACATTAATGATCAACACTAGCTGTCGGCCAGTCTGAAGCGGAACAACCGGGTAATATATATTCTTGGAAGTCTGCTCGCAAGTATTCCGCTCCTCAGCAGTATACTTTAACAATCAAATTTAAATCTAATAAACCTACAGTATACATCTAAATCCTCGATAGACATTGATAAATTGTAGTCAATCGACAGGTTAGCAATCAACCTACTTTCCCACAGGATACAACGAAGAAAAATATAAAATAAATCGATTCCCTCAGTCTGTAGCAAACATGACAAAACTACCATCTTTACACGCTAACCGGAGGTCATCCTGTTTCCTTGGCTTGGCTTGGAAGTGGACTCCTTCATCCAATTGAGTTCGATTTAATATTCCTTCAAGCTTAAATATACCTAGCAAATGTATACAATTGATCACTGTTCAATATTAAACCAGAATCTAACCTCAATTCGACACCCTCAAACTGACCCTGAATGAGCGAATGCCCCGAACAAAAAATGGAGTGGACCGCCCCATCAACCAGTCAGGGCCAGCTCCCGATCGTCGCATTCAGGATCCACTCTGCAATGACGACATGCGATGGAGGACAGTGAGGTGCTTGACTTGCCTGTATTTCTCTCACGACCTTCACACTCGCTACCTATACCTGCTCAATTGAATCTCATCTCATACTCTCTGCTCTACTGGAATCAATTGAATTGAACCGAACAACCACACCAGCAACCAAGACGCCGCAAAAGCAACATAAAATGTCCGACCCCCTCCCAGCGCTCTACAAAGCCGTGACCGTCCAGGTACCTATGCCCCCTCCCTCCATTCCCAATCCCAATCCCTCCACCCAACATCCAACATAAAATATACTAAATCTAAACCAACAGCAAAACCCCACCCCCACCTTCACCCCCACCACCCTCCCCCTCCCCCCCTCTCCCCGTCTTCAATCCTGATCAAACTCTCCACCACCAGTATCTGCAACACAGACCTCGCCCTCGCGACCGGCCAACTAGGCCCCTGCCGTCCCGTCCTCGGTCACGAGGGAATCGGCCGCGTCGCGCGCCTCGGCTCACATGTCTCTGAGTCTCAGGTGCGCATCGGCCAGCGCGTCGGCGTGTCCTGGGTGCGTGAGACGTGCGGGGAGTGTGCGATGTGTTTGCGAAATGCTCGCGAGGTGAGGTGTGCCAGGCAGGTGTTTTCCGGGAGGGAGGTGGATGGGACGTTTGCGGGGTTTACGGTGGTTGGGGATGTGAAGGGGTTGATATTTTTGCCGGATGATGGGGAGGATTTGGGGGATGGGGATCAGGAGGGGGTTGGGGGGAGAAAGAGAAAGAGAGAGGGGATATTGGACAGAGACCGCAGCGGACCCCCACGCCGTCGGATGAGCAGCTGGCGCCGATTATGTGCGCGGGCGTCACGGCGTATAAAGCGCTGAAGGATAGTGGTGCGCCGCCTGGGAGTTGGGTTGCGATTTCTGGCGCAGGTGGAGGCGTCGGGGCGCTGGGGGTGCAGTATGCGCGGGCGATGGGGTATCGGGTGCTAGCGGTGGACGCGGGGGAGGAGAAGAGGAAGCTGTGTATGCGGCTGGGGGCGGAGGCGTATGTGGATGTTGGGACGTACGAGAGCGGGCAGGAGGTGGCGGACGCGGCGAAGAGGGAGACGGATGGGGATGGCGTCGAGGCGGCGATCGTGACGGCGGGGTCGGCGCAGGCGTATCAGGATGCGTTCGGCATGTTGGCGCCGTATGGCACGCTGGTTTGCGTGGGCATTCCGCCGCCGTCGGGTCGGGCGGTGCAGTTCCATCCGTTGATGTTTATTGATCGCGGGATTCGGGTCATTGGGTCGATGGTGGGGTCGAAGGGGGATATCTACGAGGCGGTGCGGTTTGTGCAGCGGGGGTTGGTGAAGCCGGAGGTGACGGTCGTGGGGATGGAGGAGCTGGGGGAGGTCATGAAGCTGTTGGCGGAGGGGAAGGTAAGTTGTTCATCAGATGCTGGAAGAATGTGCTGACTGTATTCCGTAGGCGACGACGAAATACGTGATTAAGTTGGATTGATCATGCTAGACATGATAGAACAGATGCGGACTGGATATCTATACACTGTCGAAGCCGAAGACCGCATCACACGGCTTGATTCTACTCGTGCTGGATAGCAAATAGTACCTCAAAACCAGGTCAAAGGCTTACGACCATTCTTTGATCATATCCGCGCATTTCTCGCCAATCGCGTAGGCGGGCATTTGGGTATGCCCACTGTTAAGGCCTGGCATGATACTGCAATCGGCGACGCGCAGGTTCTTAATCCCCTTCACTCGCAGCTTCTCATCGACCACGGCTAACGGGTCCGTGATTCTGCCCATCTTGCATGTTCCAGCGGGATGGTAGCCTTGGGGCCATGTCAGAGGCTGCCTTCAACCGGCGGGGGAGCAAGTTTACATGTCGTGATGTTTTCCTTGATCCAGGAAATCCACTGCTCTCGAGTGGTCCACGTATTATGGCCGGAGGCGGGCGGCCAGGAGCCTTTGACTAGATCTTTGGTACCCTGTCCCTCGGTCATGATCTCGTTGGCAAAGCGACAGGCTTCGCTCATCACTAGCATATCGAGCGGGTCGGCCAGAAATTGGCAGTCGACGATCGGATTGTCCAGGGGATCGGTCGATTTGAGCCGGACCGAGCCTCTCGTGCGGGCGCCGAATAGTTCGGGCACGATGCCGAAAGCATGCTGGTTGTCAGCTGGGAAGTCGGTAGAATGTTTCAGCGGCGTGTAGCATTCCAGTGTCAGGAGCTCGATGTTGGGTTGGTTGGGCCTTATTCCCATGGGATCGTGTCCTTGCTTTCGCGGAGATTCGGTCCATAGGGGTTCGTTCTTTAGCTGATCGTCCACCCTGGAGTAGGCAACGACTCCGCAAGGGATGTGGGTCAGAACTCCAGACTTCTCTTCTTCCCACTGCTTGAGAGAGGCCTCCATTGCCCCGGTATGATACACATAGCAGTCATTCGTGAGCCCTGCCTTCTCGCTCTCGTAGAAGATCCAGACAATCTAGTCATCCGTCAGTGGCCGGTAAGATAAGACCCACCGGGTGATCCATGAGAGTTGCCTCCCACCCCAGGCAGATCCATGATACAGTCAATCCCATGACTTGCCAGATCATCGCGAGGACCGATCCCGGACCGCATCAGAACCGCAGGGCTGCAGAACGAACCCGCGGCAATAACCACCTCTCTACTGGCTCGCACCGTACTGGGCGCGTGGGTCTGCGCATCGACGTAGACGACACCCGTTGCGGTATACGAGCCATCATAGCTCTCGGTGATGAGAATTCGATCTACAACCGCGTTAGTCTCCAAGGTAATACTGCCTCGGATATGGCCACTTTGGAGATAGTCCGCTGCGGTCGTTCGGATTCCCTTATGGACGGTTCGGACGACATGTCCACACCCCTCGGGCGCTTCTCCCGTGGCAAACAGGTCGTCGATGAACGGGGGACCCTTGGATATGCAGGACTCCTTCATCAGCGTGGAGATGGGGGCAAAGTCATGAGGTTCGGTGTGTAAAGGGCCGGAATTCCCATGCGTGTCGGGACTTGCTTTGAACCAAGGCTTTCCATGAAAGGTCTCGGCCTAGCCAATCAGTCTGGTCGGCACGATAAAAGGGTAGCATAAAAAAGGCCTACCTTCTTCATATACTCGAACATCTCCTCCCCTGACCATCCCTCCACGCCCCAGTCATCATAATCTTGCTTTATCCCTCGAACGCAAAGGGTCGCATTGCAGCCGCTACTCCCGCCCAGAAACTTGCCGCGGTTCAGCATCACCCGACGATCTCCATTCCCAGCCAAAGGCTCGGATTCGATGCACCAATCCTGACTGGTTTCAAAGTTCTGGGTGAATCTGGCTCCGTCAGACGTGACTGGGGAAAGGATGTTGCGTACTCACGCTCCAGCCATATGGGTCATCTTCAGGTCTCGATTATGCTCTCCAGCCTCAATCACCAGGACCGAGACGTTGGCAGCCTCAGCCAAACGACTGGCCAGGACGCAGCCTGCAGTGCCGCCGCTGTCATCGGACAGATAGTTGTCAGTTGCCAGGGATTTGAACTTTCGTCAAGGTGAGTGGGCTTACCCGCAAATGACATAGTCGAAAGAGCGTTCGGTGCTGCCCATAATGGTGTAACGATTTGGCGAGGGCAATGGGATTGAGGATTCTGTGATAGACTAGGCGATCATAGCAATTTTATGATTTTGAATAGGTCAGTAGAGGTATTGCCTATTTAATAAGGCTGCTTCCGCATTGTCGTCATGACCGCCCTTTCAACGTCCGGGCCCAGGAATGCGAACGAGTTAGGACAATGTAAATTAGACGTTCTCCGCGGGAAAAGCAAATAGCAGAAATGCCTTGACAACCAAACCAGAAGAGCTTCGACATACCAGATACTAGGTGCTACATCTTAATTCATAGATGTGGAATATATCACTCTCGCAGGAAGGGACATGATAAATCTGACTGGAAAGTCTGCTGCGTTTATCTATGTACATCCTTGCATTCAACTAGTACATGAGTTCTCAGGGTATCGATCACTCTCCAGGTCCCATCTAACTGACCTCTCCGACTTCCACGGTTTCGCGCCAGACATATGACAAACCAGACGCGAGACCAAGCACCGTTATGACGGATGGAATCGCCTCGTCGAGAAGAAGATCCACTGGGCCAATCACCAGTATCAATCCGATAGTTCTGATCTGGTTGTTTTCACAACCTTGCTAGATGCTCGGGCTGCCATGACCACCCGCGTATAGAACATAGCAAAACGGCGCTGCCGACCCGAGTCCGACTCGATGATTTCACGGCGGGAGAACAGTTTCGATGGACTGGGTCGCGTTCGGACTCGCAAGGTTGGCTCGCACAATCAGCTAGAGAGAGAGAGAGAGAGAGAGAGAGGGCTATTAGGCAATGAGCTAGAACCCAGGAGAGTGAAGAGCAGCAAACAAAGGTTTGGAGTCAAAGATACACTGCAAGCTTGCTTGCCTTGCAGTTTGTGCCTGAAAGCCTCGACAGCGAGGATGGCTAGTTGATCGGGACTGTGTGTAGCCTTTCGTGGGCGTGGGCGATTTGTATGCAGCTGGGTGATCATGTATCGTCTAGATAGCCCTAAGCTATCAAATCAGTACATAGTTACATGGCAGTCACCATCATAATCATCCTACAAAAAAAAAAAAAACCCCCAACCCACTCAGCAGCCAACGCTGGTGCCACAAAGGAAAAAAAGAAAGGCCCGAACCCGGGATCGACGGGGACCTCGCGCAATCAATGCTTGGGTGAACCCTAAGCGCGAATCATACCACTAGACCATCCGGGCGGTGGATGGTGTTGGTCCCAGGTTATGAGTATAAGAGGGGAAATGAGAGGGTATGTGTTGGTGGTGGGCTTGGAGTATGGGAGTGGGGAGGGTTCCGGCATTTTGGGGTTAGCTGTCTGTCGTGCATGGACTCCGGGATTCCGATGGAGACTACTGGTCAGGTATAATGCATGATGATCTAAGTATTTGAAAGGAACATGGAAAAGGATGGATTCAATGATCATGGTCCTCTGTAAGACTTATAGGAGTCGTTGGAAACCAATTGATAGCATTAACCAAGTAACACCAAGTTACGCTACGACACTGCGGAGGAAAATGGTTACAATGACTTTAGAGAAGAGAACGGGAAAGAAAAGGAAGAACCCCATTCCTTGATCTCTGGCCATTGATCAAATCACGCCACCCTACAGCTACATCGTACAAACCAAACGAAAACACATATCCAGACCTGGAAAAAGGCCAGAATCAATATGCAAAATTCTGACAAGGAAGATAAATAACAACAATCAGAAGTAAAAATAGATATAGAGAGATTTGGCAATCAGTGAATTGTATCTGCAATTAGACTCCGCAGATTAATAGTGTAGACAGACTAGACTAGCCACGTAAAATAACAAATACCCAACTCCAACTGAACTCAACCCGCAGGGAGATCGACGCGCATAAGGAGTGACAAGACAATCGTCGGACGCCGCAGCGATGCATAAGGATCGTAAGTGTATGTAACATGATGCGAAGATATAGGATACATGAAGTCATTGGAGAGAAAGGAAGGGAAAACGCCATATGTATGCTAAGAAATCAGTTTTAAACACCAGGAGACAGATCTGGTGGATGGCCGCCTATAGAGCCATAGCGACCATGGCGGCTCCGCCCATCATGACGAACAGCTCGCGACCCAGACCGTTGGTGGAAGCCGCGGAGTCGGTCTGAAGACCAGGCGCTGGTCCGGTTCCGCTGCCCGTGGCGGCGGCGTGGTTGGTGCGCGTGGGATGCACGACCGTCACGGCGGTGACAGTGCTCTGCTCGCCGTTGGGCAGAGTGGTGGTGCTCTTGTAGGTCGAGGTGTAGGGAGTAGTGTGGGTGTTCTCCGGCTCCGTGGTGGTGTGGTCCTTCTCGGAGGTGGTGTGGTCTTTCTCGGAGGTGGTGGTCTGGACGGTCGTGGGAGCTTGCGTGGTCTTCTCCTTCTCGGAGGTAGTGCTGGGCTCGGTGTGGGTGGTCTTAGGAGCCTCGGTGGTGTGAGTAGTCTTAGGGGCTTCGGTGGTGTGGGTGGTAGGCTGGGCCTTGGTGGTGGTAGGTTCGGCGTGAGTCTCGCTGGTGGTGGGAGCCTTTTCAGTGGTGGGAGCCTTTTCAGTGGTGGGGGGCTTCTCGGTGGTGGAAGGCTTGTCGGCCGTGGTGGGCGGCGCCTGAGTGGTCGAGGGCGCTTCCTCCGATTTCGAGCTGGAAGTCTCCGGGGCAGCCTGGGTAGTCTTGGGAGCTTCGGTCGTCTGCTGAGTGGCAGGCGCTTCAGTGGTAGTGGCAGCCGCAGCGGTGGTCTGAGGTTCAGGCGCCGCCTCGGTGGTAGGCTTGGGTTGCTCGACGGCCGAGGATCCACCATCACGCTTGCCCATCTTTATGATGGGAGAAGTGCTGTGCGCGGCATGCTCACTGCGGTACTGACCGAGCAGCTCCATAAACTTGTGGATCGAATGCTCATCGACGTTGGTGAGATAATCGTGGAAAGCGGAGTTGCTGGAGATCACATCCACATGAGGCTGCTGCTCGGCGACCGGAACAGCCACGGCGGATGACGCGATCGCCGAAGCGACGAGGAGTTGAATGAGGCGATTCTTGACGGCCATTGCGTTTGAGGTGAGTTGGTGATGGGAGGGGAAGTGGATGGCTGCCTAACTCCGATACGAGGAGTGTTTCAGATGGCGAGTGAGGAGGGTCGAAGCGTTGAAGAGGTTGAAGAGATTGAAAGGTTCAATGTGGATTGAATGATAATGCGAAGAGAGAAGAGACAGCGAGGAGGGGAGGAGGAATAAATACCGCGGCAGGAAGAGGTAAGGAAGATGCAGAGAGAAAAGAAACCGATCGGGAAAGCGTGCCTTTTTGTTGGAGGCCAATGGAGCCGCTTGGACTGGTCGCAAATCAAGGATGGATCTTTTGGCTGCACGAATGGCCGACGCCCAGCTTGGCACGGCGAGTGGAGCTCCGATGGAAATCCGCTAGAAGGTTGGAGGAGAAATTTGCACTAGACGACAGTTCATCGCGCTAGAGAGGACTATAGATAGACTAGCCGGTAGGATTGGGTTGCACCATGGTTGAGTGGGAGGCACAGTCGAGGGACAAGGGCGATGTAAGGTGGGATAATAAAAGATCCGTATTTTTTTTTTAAGGACACTGGCGTACGAAGGGGAGAATACGAAAACAGAGAGGCAAAAGAGAGGCAAAAGAGAGGCAAAGAGAAAAAAGAAAACACCGGCATGAGTCCGACGGACCGATACGAAAGAACCCGTATTCCGAGGCCAATCAAGGATGACACCAGCCTGACCTCAGCGTCTCCCCCCACTTGATCACTAGACAATCTGACCTCGATCGAATCGGTCTGACCCAATCCCTCCGGCGCAGGAACATCGCCGATGGCAATGGATCCCTTGACCCCTGGTTCCTCGCGCATCCCTGGACCGCCGGACAGCTGCCATGGATGAAGCGAAAAACCTTGACTTTGACTTTGCAAACGGCGGAAGGGAAAACCTCCGCGGCCGCATTCGGACGCCCGACCGGAAGGTTCTGACTCAGCCTGGTCACGGGACCGGCTGTTCGGGGGGTGACGGCCGCCTGCTGATTGGCCAGGATTCAGCCAGCGGGCGGAGCTAGCCGCATGCGGACTGGCGCAGGGAGGCTTGGCACTAGCGTCGGCGGAAATAGAAGCATGTCTTGCCTGTGCAATAAATAGATTGTTTAGCTTGGAAAGCCTGAAAGGATCTGACGACTGAAGACTGAAGACTGAAGGTCGCACAATCCCTACGGTTTTCTATGACGACATCCTCACTAGTCCCTGTCTATACTTAGATCTGATTGATCGAGAACGGACCAGCTACCCAGGGTTTTCCCGGCTAGCGACCAAGGGACTCCGTAATAGCTACAGCTACCAGCTCTGGATCTATCTGATTTGACCATACGACTGCGGAGTGTTGGGAGGGTCTTTTTGACGGGGAAGGGTCTTGTTGACCCTGTCCCGTCTATCGCTTAATCCATCCCTAGGAGGGATTTGTGCGCCATGTCTTACTCGATGGTTGGACGGCGCACTAGCTTCAATGGTTTGTCAAGGAAACTCAACTTTCTGGCATGTTGAAGTATTGCTGAGATATCCTAGCGTTCAGCAATTGACCTCGGCATCTGCATCTCAACCCCTTCGTTTAGACTCTAGTCAGAATTTTATATTGTTATGTCGAATAGTAAATGTTATCTACACCTAACGACGCACCGCATCGCGCCCGGTAAGGATCAACAGCTCTCGGTAACAAAACATGCCAGGCAGGTGCTGCGGGATACCGGTTTACGGCCCGCTCAATGCCGATCCTTCGACGAATACAGGCATAGATTCGATGTCGAAATGACACTATGGCACCTATACTTAGGGGAAAGAAATGTTTTCAACTGAGCGGAAGTCTCCCATAGTCCTCCATATTCCTGGTTGATGCCATGGTGGAAACACGACCCTCGTAACGCCCTCGGTAGAAACTTTGAGACGGAACACCGAGCTCCATCAAACTATTCTCGTTGATGCCAAGGTCCTGTGATCATGGACGAACATAATAGACCTGGATGGTCTTGATTCCTTAGGTCAAAATCCATCAGTGGTGATTCGGCAATGCGAACAAACAGGGAGATATCCGAGCTCCACCCGTCCGTTGCAACCCTCGGTGCGAGTTACCCTGGACGACTATGAGATCATAGTCCTACCAGGGAGTTGGAGTACAGGACCAGGAATCAATAGGCTAATCTAACCCCTCCAATTGATATCCGATTTCTTGACTAAAACCCATATTTTAGTCTGGATATAATTAACCGAATATTGTACAAGCACAAGCTATGAAAACTTTGAAAAGATGAAAAAGAATGTTTCGACTTCCATCATTGTGCGACTCACCATACACCCAGCTATGCTACTGTCAATCAAGCTAAGAACCCTGCCAATTATTCGTAGGATACCCTCTCACTGGCCAGATCTCCAGCTGGAGTAAGACATTCTCGATATTCAAGCGCAGCTGGCGCCCGTGTCACGGAGTCCGTAAGATGTCTCTGTTCCTGGATTCCGGGCCGCGGAGCTGTGCGTCGGGCGGCTAGCTTTAAATGGCCGGAGATGCTGTGGCGAGTATTGTCTCAGGTTTGCTTGTTCTGGTGTTGATGTTAATGTTGCTTTCCGGGGTGGATGGATGAGTACCTTACTCTTACAGGGTTTTCTCCCTTGAAGAATTCAAAAAACAGCAACTCATTCATTAATTAATAATATCGTAGAGAGCTAAGCAAAACAGAGGTACACAACTTTTCCCCCAACCTCATACTGTTTGTTTATCCGCTTTTTTCGTACTTTTGTTTATTTCGCGCTCGACAAAACACATTACGGAAAGACAAATGCCACTCAAATCAGATCAATCAAATAAAGCAGAACATGTACCTCCGTTGACATAACCATTGTAGTGGTAGAGCCGGTGGCTCAGCCAGTGAAGAGCTTCAGGTGGTGTATTCCTGCAGAACATTTATCAGTCATGCGTCTGTCTAGCCAGGCAAGGTGGTGCAGTGACTTACAGCCCAGCAGCTATGAGGGTAATTGGCCTGGCCGCAGTGGATGTTGGTCGGGATCTAGTATTATTCCGTCAGTCATCTGTCGGGTTGGCTTTCCGAAGAATGTGAGGAAAGGTTGATGTCAAGGGGGCTCAGGGGACGTACATTGTCAGCTGTAGTCAGACAGGCATCCTCTGAGCGGCAGTCGCTGTCTGAAGTGCACTATTTTGTGTGAGTGGTTGAGTGTCAGAGAATTTAGACTAGAAGAAAACGTACGAAAACACCCGCGGCACAACCATGCCAGTGGTACTCGGAGACTGTGTGCTCAGTCTCTGGGATAGCTGCGGCCAGAGCTGTGCTGGTCAGGCCGAGAGCTGCGACGAAGAGGGCAGAAAGAGAGAAATGCATGGTGATGAGGGGGTTTGACTGATGAATGAAAAGTTCGTATGTCGAGGGTTCGTGATGAATGTTGATGATCAGAAGGACCCGAAGGCGAGCAAGACGCGATATTTATAACTTGCTTGGTTCCACGATATCATCCATCTCGTCGTGGTGAGATCAACCGTGGCACTTACCATCATCCCATTGCTTTTCCTGTCTTCCCTTCGCCCCCGATGCAATGCAATGCAATGCAATGCAAGGAACCGGGGGCGTCTGATGTATAGGTGATTTCATAGCGGCCTGCGTCCTGTATGCAACGGTGATATCTCAACGACTCCACTCTCATCTTGCAGACGATCTGATCGGAAGATTGCGTGGTACTATTGCGCCGTTGGCTTGATTCCGAAGGTGCTTTGTTTGTCTGATCCGAAGAGGTCGCGGGATGAAGGAGTACATGCACGCGGAGATACTGCGGCAGATACAGGCCCAAGTATATATGTAGGTAAGCTTAGACGTGTCTCATCTTGTCTCGCCTTGTCTCCTACCCAGTCCTGATCGACCAGGATCAGCCCTCCCAAACCCATGCCCATAGCCAGTCAAACTCCTTCACCACGCCATCCCACACACCACCACATCTTCGCAGCTATCCACGGCCCCTAAACCAGTCTTATACAATCTTCCCACATCTCGGAAATAGCCAAACCTCGCGTCGCACGCGTACCACCAAAACCTGAGCCCCCCTGTCCCTCAACCGCCACTACTCTAAAACCCAGCGACACAGCATCCTCACCAACCAATGACCCCACCGCGTCTTATCACCCAACACCTATCCCACGACGCAACATATGATAGCGAGACAGATTGCTGTCGTGCCAGGACCAGACAAAACGCCACCCACGTCCTCGGAGCTGAAAACCCCTCTTTCTGTGCGATGAACTCGAGATAGGATCTGTTGTGACACTGAGCGGGCCAATGGAAATACCACGTCCCGGAAGCAGGTACAACAGGGCGTTTTGGGGCCGAGACATTTGGTCGAGTATGCATGTTTCCTGCGGATGAGGATCCGGTGGATTCCTATATGTTGGTTGAGTGGTGGCGTGAAGGTAGTGGGAAAATATGCGAGGTGGGAGGGATGCTGTTATTTGACGTTGGAGATGTTGTGGGAGAATACGTATATTTTGAGGGGAATTCAAAGTACTATGCATCCATATGTAGAAATCGGATGGGTCAGGTGGGGGGGGGTATAGATGTCCGCGATTTGGATCTTAAGTAAATTAACCGATAGGGTGTTCTGGAAGGGCATTGGTTCTTGGTTGTAAATTCTAGATCTTCCTTTCTGATACATCTTTCTATATATTAGTGAACCTAGCTAGTTAGACATTATCTAAAGTAGATATCTATCTCAAGGTCTGGCCCGGTAGAGAGGCACGACATACGCCAAGGAGCGGAGCTTGCGACCTTCATATTTATGACCCATACTTAATGATGACTGGATCGGGCGAAAGACCGTCGATCTCAGGCCTAGATGCTTGATCAGCGCATAATCAGTTGTTTGTAGCTCGGAGGCGCTGCTGTGGGCAGATCGTTTGCTCAGTTGCGGCCTGCTGTGTGACTTCCGCATGCTGTTGTGGAAGAAGAATGTGATATTTTAGGAGCGGCGTGCAAATCCTTTCTTGTTGGTATTAGTAAAAGCATGATATTTGCTTTTGTCTGACAGAAAATTCGAAGGCAAGACTGGAGATTATTACGGAGAATGTCAGGCAGCTATCTCGAGCCTGAGGCACTTCATCCGCCAACGCCAGGTTCTCTCAATCCATGGAACGAAGTCCCAAGAATCTTCACCTGATCACTACACCTGCGAGATGACTTTTCTTGATCCGAAATTCGGCATAGGACAACCGCACACTTCCAATACTATGCCATACTTTTTTCAAGTCATTCCGATCGCTCCTTTGTCGCGAAACCGCCGCAAACCCCTCAACTGATGTACAACCATTCCCAGGGTCGCACTTTTCCAGTGGCTTGATAAGAAGGCCATAAGACTGATCGAGCGCTTACTTCTTGGGGTGGTCGTTTGACTTGGCAGAATTGCTTGACCTGGTCGATCTTAGTAATCTCACGATCCAACTGCGGAGTATACATCTCGACATCACCTCATTCATATCCCAAAACTACCGACCATTGCGTCTCCAGCGTAGTGTTTCCTCTGACATCTTCAATCGCTATCACTACAGCATACCACTACTCTGGACATCATGACTCGACCTACCCCGCTCGCCAGGACATATGCCCAGACTTTTAATTAATATCGTGTCGCTTTGTTTGCGCGACAAGGCCGTTGCGGTCTGCGTCCTCGGCCCAGCTTTGTTGCTGGCGAGAGTAGTCCACCAGTGTACGACGCTCATTTGCCATAAGACCAGATGAGGCTCGCTCATGTGACCATCTAGTGCCCGTTATGGTAGTACCCTGGAGTACACGTACTACTGGTTATATAGTAGTGATCTTGGTTAACGCACCCAGCCACACCACAAACATAGTCTAGCCCATGGATCCGAGCATCAATGTCGGTGAACTAGCTCGTCGATGTGTCAGATGCGCCGGATTAAGGTGAGCAACTACAGGGTCAATCCCTCGATAATGTGCACGTGTTAGGCAACGAAGGCTTAAATGGCGTCGCGGTTTGTATACCCTTGCACAAGGGCAATTTCGCCGAATGGTCATGCGCCGCGGAAACCTTTCAGGGTCTCCCGCGGTTTGAAGGCATATAAGGCACGAGGTTGCGGGATGGGATAATTCTTAAGACGGTTCATTGTCGTATTGCTACAGTCTCTGAATCGGCATCATGCGTATTTTCAAGAATTCTCGACCAACGATGGGACAGGTCTTCACGAGGAAACTCACGTACCTGGTGACATTGTTCATGGTCATTTCTCTGGCGATATATGGGTACAGCGAACAGTTTGCCAGAGGTGCTGTTCCTGAGATTGACTACCCCGTCCTGATCCCTCGCTCTGAGAGCCCATCCGTTAGTTGGGAACAGGTACGACAGCCGTCTCCAGAACATGAACATGAACGCGTGCACTGAATGTTGATTAGATAGTTCCGTCCTCGCATCTGGTTTACCACCCCTGTTTCGAGGACTATCAATGCGCACGTCTGGAGCTTCCCATGGATTGGAAACGCACCGATGGGAAAGGTTCCAAGATCGCACTGGCAGTGATCAGGCTGCCCGCCAAAGTGCCCGTGACTGATGCGCGATACGGCGGTCCAGTTATTATAAACCCAGGTATTCCGCTGTAACCAATCCCTGCATGCATTGGCCTATGTCTAATGATGTTTAGGTGGGCCAGGTGGTTCGGGAGTGAGCTATGTCCTTACGGATGGGAAGCAGATCCAAGGGATCGTTGATTCCGAGGGATCAGCAAACATGGGGGTTGGGAAGCATACGGCAGCCCCCGGGAAGTATTTTGATATCATGAGTTTCGACACAAGAGGGACCAACAATACAACGCCGCCGTTTTCCTGCTTTCAAGACTCGGCGACCAGAAAGGAGTTCCTGTCGCAGCAAGACGCCGAAGGTATGCCCGGGAGCTCCGACCTGGCATTTGATAATTTCTGGGCACGATCTGCGTCAGTCGGCATCACCTGCTCTCAGGCTGCCGAGGAGAGCAACTTAAAGGGTGAAGAGTGGATCGGCCACCATATGAACACGCCCCCTTCGGTGGCGGATATGGTGGCGCTTATCGAGCGTCACGGAGAATGGCGGGAGAAAGAAACCAAAGCACTCCTGCAGCCCACCCATCAAAAGTCCGATGTCAATGCAATCCGACTGCGGAATCGCTGGAAGAGAGGCAAGGAGAAGCTTCTCTACTGGGGCATATCCTATGGATCCCTTCTCGGCATGACTTTCGCAACCATGCACCCCGGCCGGGTTCAACGCGTTGTACTGGACGGCGTGCTGGATGCCTCAGACTATTATGCCGGCGGTTGGCTCACGAGCATTCAGGACGCAGACCAGGCGTTTGAATCGTTCTTTGAATACTGCCATGAGGCGGGACCGGCGCAGTGTGCCCTTGCGCATGGCGATAGTTTGGTGGATATGAAACTCCGCGTAGACGAATTGGTTGAGAAGCTGAAAACGAACCCCGTGCCAGTCCCAGGGTCGGCGACTCGTCCTCCAGATATCATCACCTATACCGACGTCAAGACGACGATAACGAGTGCGCTCTATCAGCCCATGGAACTGTTTGAGACTCTGGCGCAGCTCCTGGCTGATCTCTCGCGCAATAACGGTTCGTCTTTTGCGGACTTCAAGTATCAAGGAGCAGCAGCGACCTGTCAAGGGCCGGACCAGCTAGCTATAGTCGCAGGAGACAATATGTTCGAAGCGCAGGGGAGCATCATCTGTACAGATGGAAGGAGTATCGACGGGATTAGCAAAGACAAGTATCGACAATACTGGAAGACTCTTTACGAACAGAGTAAAACCATTGGGGATGAATGGTCTCAGATCCGCCTGGCATGCATCAAATGGAAACCGCGACCAACATGGGAATTTAATGGTAAGTCCAAATCTCCGCGCGATCGTGTCCATGTCTGAAAAATTGATGTACAGGTCCGGTCGCCGGCCACACCTCGTATCCGCTTCTATTCATCGGAAACACTTATGACCCTGTGACACCTCTCCGGAAGTGAGTTTCCATTGATTGACTCTTGCCTGTTCCTATCGCTTATTAACCCGAACAAAACCAGTGCCGTGAAAATGGCCCGAAGCTTCCCCAGGTCTGTTGTCTTGCAGCAGAACTCCGTGGGTGTAGGTCCAACCATATACTCTGTCTTGCGCCTACAAATAAGCTAATATTCTTCTAGCATTGCTCGTACACTGGCCCTTCATCATGCACAGATCAATCGATTCGTCGATATTTCCAGAGCGGCGTTCTCCCTCGGCGTGGAACCATTTGCGAAGTGGACAAGCGGCCGTTCGGACTTCCTCCAGCAGTGAAGAATTAAAGAGCGAGAGAGAGCTAGATATATCTCTATATGCTTAGTATTAAGGAAACCGTGATCGGGGCATGGGATAGATGTCTATAGAAAGAAGGCTTTATCCGCCACGCCGGCGGGATACAAATAGAGAAAAGAGAATCAACACAGAAATTAGGATACTGGCTGACTTTCTAAGCGCTACATAAGAGAAGAAAAGTAGGGATCCAACCCGTTAACATTCAATCTTGTAAACAAACCGGGATATATTGATTGATTGATTGATTGATTGATTGTGATAAGAAATTACACGGAAATTTATAAAAAATGAATAGAACAAACAGATCCATCGAAGAGCCTTGTCCTACCATAGTCTAAACAGAATGTGTACCTACATCCTCTCGAACTCCATAAAAAGAAGCGTCCCATCCCTGGTTCCAATTACAACCATCTTATCTTGAGCCGCCCACGCCCGGGGTATACCAGGCTGGCAATCAGAAGGAAGGCAAATGAGTCTTCTGCCCGTGCATTTATCAGACACCCAGCTGTCCTCGATCCCGATCTGTGGCTCTGGAACGCCTGTTTCGATCCCGGCGTTGACGTTGAAAATCCTCGGCTGACCTCCGTCCAAAGTGACATGTAGGCAATTCTCAGCAAAGCCGATTTTGCATCTCGATCTCGAGCCCCCTGAATTCCCTTCTAAGGTCTGTAGCAGATCGCCGCTTTCTGTGCTCCAGAGCTTGACTGTATTATCCCACGAAGCTGTTGCGAGTATTTGACTGTTTGGTGAAAAGATCATGTGCACTATATTAGCAGACTGTCCGGGGGGTCTGTGAATTTGCCTTCCTGTTGTTGCATTGTAAAAAGTCGGATTTCGTTCCCAGCTGCATGAGGCGGCCCACTGTTTGTTTGGAGACAGTGCCACGATAAAAATGGGTGGTCTGTCGGTGGAAATATTCGTTTCAAACCCCCCAGAGTCCATGTCCCATAGTCTGACATGGCCGAACCGAGTCCCGGTGGCCAGAACCCGATTGTTAGGCGAAAAGACCATAAAGGTTGTGTAGTTAGCCTGGAAGGAGCCTTCTAACTTGCCTGTGATCATATTCCATACGCAGATGACCGTCCCTTTGTGCGTTGCGAGATAACGATGGTCAGAGGAAATCGTAGCGAGTCCAGCGCCAGGGTCAAGTGTCATCTTGAGATCCCATTCCCATGTTTCAGTATCCCACACTTTGACATTGCCGTCTCCGACTGTCCACAGAAAGCCATCCGTGGGAAATGTGGCCAAGAGAACATGTGCATGGGCCTCAAGCCTGCGTTCAAACTGTCCCGTCTCAATATTCCATATCTCTAGGACACCAGTGCTTCTGGCTGAGGTGAAAGCTATAAGCTTGCTGTTTGCAGAGAAGGCGACGCGCAAGGGTTCCTCGGGTCCTCGCATTGTTTGTTGGATCACCCATTCACATGTATCCCATATAAATATGAGCCCGCTTTCAGACGCTGAGAGCATCAATTGACCGTTTGGAGAGAATGCCCCATTTGTCAATTTGTCTGGGCCCTGGAGGGTTTGCCTTATCTCCCATTCATCAGTGCCCCGTATAATAATTGTACTATCTTCTAAGCCCAAAGCCAGCATTTTGCTGTCAGGAGAAAACGCGAGAAATTCATTTGGCGTCGTGTCCTCCAAGATCTGTACCAAAGCCCCTGTAGATGCATCCCATATTCTGATTTCCCTACAATAATCTGCTGCAATAAATCTGCCGTCTGGAGAAAACAACACAGAGTCGACCCAGCTGGGGTGCTCGAGTGTCTGTAATGCTGCATTCCAATATTCAGAAACTTCTGGGAAACGATGCATCCAGACTGGCCTCTCTTTATGCCAAAAGATGCATCTAACACTGCTTTTCTTGGGCGCAAACACAAGCGCAGAAACGTATACTTGAAGTGGTGCGGCTGATATGGCCGACATGCTTTTCCTAATGAATCGATGTGCATCCCTTATGAAATCAAGTGGATCTGGAAAATCCTAATGGTTTTACTTAATTAGTTGCTTGAGTGGCATGTGGAGCTGGGTCCCACCTGTAAAACCTCTTCCAATATACGCATCATGTTAATGGTATCTGGTAATATTCTTAAAAGGCTCATAGCCTCGAACCAGTGAAGAAGGTGCACCTTAAGAAAAGATAGGACTTCCCCTGGAGTAATCGTATCGAACTTGCTATGGCTCAAATGATACACCCAGTGTTGGCAGGCATATGAGAGCGGATAGAGAAGATCTGGATCCGGAGTGGAAATGTCCTCAATTGCAACACCAGGATCCAAGAGGTTATAGATATCACGTTTCAGGCCCTTCATTCCCTCCAGAGAGTTTCGACAAATATCGCTATTGAGCGTTCCCATCGATACATCACCGAGCTCTCTGTAGTGACTGCTCAAGTATTCACGAGCAGATTGATGCAAGATATGGATCCTTTTACCTTGGATAGTCAGAAAGGATCTACACTGGCGCACGACGTTCAGGGTAGCTTCAGCCTCCATTGCAACAATAACCTCTAGTTCTGCCAGGTTCAATGGTCGACGTGCAAGTAATACAGCGGTGAGAACCCGCTGGCACTCATTCTTTGCGCTAATCTGAGCCAACTGCCCAAGAAGCTTTCTGTAGAGGTCTTCCAAGTCCCGGGGCAGTTGCCCAAGAATCTTAGTCCAATGGTGACTGTCTGCATCCTTGAGTTCTCGGATAACTAAGGAGACCCATATGAAAGTGTTACTTGCTTTTTCTTTCAGCTGCTCGCTTATTTCAGCCAGCCGGGCTTCGTTATCAGTCACCGACTTCAGCTCAAGTGCTTTTTTGTCAATGTAAGCATGGATGGGCTCTTTCAAAATGTAATCGTTGACGTCAATTCTGCCCACGGTTTGACCGGATGGCCGTATGATTCTGTAGACGTCTGGCAAGGGCCGACTAGAGACAAGCCATCTGACATTGCGATTTCGACCACTCACGCACGCCTCCTGGTATATGAAGTTGATCAGTTCCTTTCTGCTTGCATCGCTGCATTCATCAAGGGCATCTATGACCAGGAAAATTCGACCGAGTCTTGGATCATCAAGCATTTTCCTCAGCATGTTACGCAAGGTAATGAAGACGTTGCCATCTGTCAGATGCTTTCCAGCAGACTGCTGGTAAACCTCCCGCGGGTACTCCGTAAGTTCCGGCTGCTGGATGATCAATAGCCAAATGATTCCTTTCAGGACTGCAACGCTGTTGTTGGTGTCTTTATTTCCATCCTGACAGAAGAAATACAGCAACTCTGGGCAATCCAGCTCCAATCGACCTTGCAAGCTCAGTTCCTTGATAATGCCGATCAAAAGCATTGTCTTGCCAGTTCCTGCTTGGCCTGAAATCCATAGCAAACTGGCCTCTGGATCTTCCCAGTCAATAAATTTTTGATACTCGTTGGTGTCGAGAATCCATTTGTAAGAGTCCTTGATGAGATCATCCTTTCGGCTTTGAATACTGTCGATATCTGACCGTGGATCGGTGCCACACAAAAGTTTTATGCACTCGTTGTCTTGCTTCTCTTGTTCAATGGACCGTTGAGTGCTGGAACTTTCTTGCAAAGCATCGAGAACCCGATTGAATTGGTCCTCCATGTAGTGACGGCTCTCTGCAACCCGTGATTTGAGAGATTCCGAATTATACTGGTCAATGTCTCGCTGTAGAGCTTCTTCGGCTGTTTTTATCGCTGCTAAATCATCGCTCCATTTGTCAAGGTCCACTAAACCACGCACAAAGGCTGTAACTTGGTTCTTATGGTAAAAGCAAATGCTTTTCATCTGGTAGAAAAGTAGCGACTGATACACATCTAGAATCTCTGCTCTGAGACCACTGCGTGCAGTCTCAAGCAGCTTGTCCCTGACCGCATTGTCAGACAAGACCTTGTCAGTGAACTGCGAATACCAGTCAATTCTGGAGACAGTGTAAGTCACTCCACTGTACAGAGTCGCATTCGTTTTGCCTGGCTGGGCCAGTATCTGAGTTTCTCGGTCAGTATTGAACAAGATTCCTGGTCCAGGGAAACACCCACATCAAGACTTGACGACACCACACCCCAAGGCAACGCAGTTTGTGGGATATTCTTTAAAGGAGCGTCAAGAATTGCCTTGAAAGGCCTGGTAAAATCAAACACGCTTTCATATCTCTCAGTAAAGCGCTTCGCCTTCTGTACCCTTTCCAAGCCTCGTCTGACCATCTCCTTCATTTGCCTTTCTCTCACGTCCCGATTCTGGTGAAGGCCATTTTCTCCATCGTGGCCGAGGTACAGCCTGGCAGCGATCCTTTCGTACGAATCGAGATACTTGGCCTTTTCTTTGTCGTTCTTGATCGCCTCATAGGCTTCGTTCCAGAGGGCATTATGCTCCTTGGTCAACTCATTGGCATCAATCTGCTTGTCCGATGTCTCGATTGGGTCAGCTTGTGCGATAAGAGGTTCGCTGTTTCGGTTTCCTGTGGAAAAGGTGGAAGCGAGGCTCGACCTGTGGGGACGGTCGGAATCATCACGATCGCTCTTCCGTTGTTTATTCAACTGCTTTTTTAGCCAGTCACGTCCGCGTCCCATGTTGTATTGTGGATGGCCGTCTTCTTTAGACCCCATAGGAAGGTGTAGGAAACCTGGAACCTCGAAGGCAAGAGCATACTAGATGCAAGAGAACAACATTGCCCCGCTTTTGAGCAGCTATTCAGCTGCAAATGCATGGTTCGTCATCATTGGGCCACCAAGCGCTGGGATAAGCAGGAGAAAAAGCAAACATAGCTCTATTCTTTTATACCTATCTAGTACGGCCCAATCTCGTATGTATAGAACAGTGTAGTATAGATCCGACTGAATGTCTAGTCATTTTCAGATCATTACTTGTTAGATAATATGGCTAGGATGGCATGGCTATCCAGTGAGCTTGATGATCATGTTGAACTATGACAATAGTTGTGATATCAATATCATTTTCCCTACCTTACACTAATTAATCAACGAGGCCATATCACTCTGTCCGAAAAGCTACTTTAGCGATTTATTTGCCGCTGGAATTAAAGGCTAGTACTATATTCAGTCATGCATATCCACATTGAAGCACTGTCCGAGAGAAGGTGCCCCTCCGTCCTCCAACCAGGATAGCATTTCAGAAAAAAAGCATATCTCATTGCCAGTCAATGGAAAATAGGTATCAACTAGGTACAACACAGCAGATTCGGCCCCTCCCTCCATCATCCAACACTCATAAAATAATATAGTATCATAACATAGACCATCCAACACCAATCAACATCAATCTAACCATAGCCAGTGTTGCTCACCGCACCCCGAAACTCCCCGAAGCCTTCGTGTCCGTCCACCGTTCCTCCTCGGTCCAGAACCTCACCACGCTCTCCCAAGCCGGGATGTCCCCATCGCGGAGCAGTGCCGCGACGTCCACGTTAAGCGGCGAGTCGGGGCGCGGGTCCGTCAAGAGCTGGTGGATGGCCGTGAGGGTGGTCGAGAGGGTGTAGACGGGACTCCAATGCTCGGTGGTCAACAGGGTCAGGCAGATTTCGCCGGTGGTGAAGGAGATGTTGGGGTGGGAGATGCGCGTCGTGAAGGTGATTTTGGGCGGCGAGAGGGGGTAGTTCGGTGGGAGGTGGATAGATAGGGACCAGAGGCCTCCTATATCGACATTATTGTTAGCGATCGGACTTCATTTTCAGTATGAGGGTTTCGATTGCGGGGAGTCGTCGGTTATGGATGGAATGGGTGTAGAAACGAGAGTACCTTCATACGGCGTCCCTTTCACGCCCTTCAGGACAGCCTCCCAATGAAGCAAATCATCCTCGTCGACTGGGCCGAGATGCAAGAGCGCTTCATTCGGCGAGTTAGTGTAATCCTTCAGTTCGCGGAGGAGCCGTTGCGTCGTTGACGAGGGGGGCATTTTGGTCGCGGTCCGTGATGCGTCGGAATGTGAGATGGTATGCAGATGCGTGTGCAGGAAGCGGACTATACTCTCGAACAGTTATAGATTTAAGAGTTTATGATAGGAATCGCGTGTCAATCAATCAGGCTAGGGTATATATGCAGGAAAGAAGCAGGCAAGACGAATGGCTGACAGATAAGAGAGAGAGAGAGGAGAACCCGAGAGTCGGTCTGCGCCGAGGCTTAACCATCGGGCCGTGGGGAGTCCAGCCTTGGCGTTGTTAGCGTCAACTTCGCATTGGCCATTCATGTGAATGTTATTCGGATTACCCATCATCGACTGTCAAATTGTAGGAAGAGCGAAGTTTAATTATTTCTGATACTGCAAAATTCAACCGCCATGCGCACTTCGCGAGCTTCCAAGGACACGGCAAAAGTCCTCCAGGCCCTGTCGCCCCCTGGACGGCGCCAAACGCGCAGTGCCTCCGGGGCAAATGTCCTGCGCGAATTTGCGTATAACGGAGGAACAACTGCTGAACCCGAGGCGCCCAGCAGCGATGATGACGTCTCATCCCTCTCGTCGGTGGCGACCGTTGATATGGAGGATATTCTGGAACCCCCTGCCAAACGACGAAAAAGCAAGCTGGCCAGTGTGGCGACACGCACCGGTTCGCGGTCTGCTGCCACGCGGCAAGCGCCTGAAAGGTTGATCGAAAAGTCTGTGAATAACGAGCCTGTATCTCCTAAAGCTCAGAAGGCTCCCCGGAAGGTGCCAGCTCGAAAGATCAAGGATGAAGATGGTTCGTACAAAGTCGAACCGCCGTCGAACTGGGAGACCATTTATGACACCGTCAAGAAGATGCGCGAGGAGAATCCAACCGCCCCTGTTGACACGATGGGATGTGCTGAGCTATATTGGCGCGCGTCCGCTCCACGGGAAAGACGCTTTCAAACCTTGATCGCGCTGATGCTGTCGTCGCAGACCAAGGATACTGTCACGGCGGTGGCGATGCAGCGGTTGCACACCGAACTTGGAGAAGCCCCTGAGGCAGCCAAGCAGGAGCCCGTCATCAAGCAGGAGTCTCCGCCACCAGAACAAACCACTAAGGATAGTACTCTGAATCTAGAGAATATCCTGGCTGTGGCCCCTGAACGTCTCAATCAACTTATCGGCACCGTGGGCTTCCATAACAACAAAACAAAGTATATCAAAGCAGCGGCGCTTATCCTCCGGGATCAGTACGACGGCGACATCCCATCGACCGCACCGGAGCTGATGAAGCTTCCCGGAGTCGGCCCGAAAATGGCGTTTCTCTGCATGAGTGCGGCATGGGGCAAGCATGAAGGCATCGGCGTGGACGTCCACGTGCATCGAATCACGAATCTCTGGGGCTGGCATAAGACGAAGAATCCGGAGGAAACGCGCATGTCGTTGGAATCCTGGCTGCCAAAGGAGAAATGGCATGAGATCAACAAGCTGCTAGTCGGACTGGGCCAAACGGTCTGCTTACCTGTAGGGAGGAAATGTGGTGACTGCGACCTCGCAGGGACGAAACTATGCAAGAGTGAGGTCAAAGGACTAGTGTCAAAGAGGAAAAAGGAGCAGGACGACCCAAGTGGAGTTCCGAAGGTGAAGCGGGAAGAGGCAAAGATTAAGATCGAGGCGGAGGAGCCCAGCGGTTGAGTGCCCCAGGCACATGAGCTTCACGAGATTCAACGCTCGACTCGATTCTTACCGCTAGCCAGACTCGCTCTTCTGTCCACTTCCTTCACCTCGTACCTTTCGACCGCAGTGAACCTCTTCCCCTCCCATTTCCTTGTCGAGTTCTCGATTCTTTGTATAATCTGCACTGATCCTAACACGGATCCTACCACCTAATTGTCACGTCTCTTTGCACTCTTTATGGACGAAGCCATAGTATTTTAGGATCGCTGAGAGGCGGAATTATCTTACCATTGTTTTCACCACGCGTAAGGCCCCGCGATAGCCATTCACTTTCCCATACACCAAACCCCTCTCTCGCTTGACACATTGTCTATCTCAAACTAACACGATGATGTCTCTCCCCACAGACTCAAACACCGGCCGTCGATGGATGATTTCGTGGACGACGAGGTACCCTTCTCTCCATTCTTTCGAGGATTGGACGAGTTGCTAGAGAGTCTCGGCGATCCCAAGGACTGGGACAGGGAATGGGAGCCTAGTTTCGAAGATACGGTCCCTGAGGTTGAGGTTAAAAAGGAAACTACCCCTCCACGACCTACCATTACATTCCTGCACCTCCCCGAGCATGTCCGGATCATAATCCTTCAGTATGCTGGGCTCCTGAGGCCTTGCCTGGTCAACATCAGTTTTGAGAAGGACCGCATAAAACGAGCCATCACGCAAAGTTGCAGCAGTAGTCCGATGCGGGAGACTCGCGGTCATTGGACTACGACGGTTGACAGACCCTGCGACCACCCACGCTTGCCTTTGGGGCTCCTAGCATCCTCTCGCAGTATGCGCGACGAATTGGGTCCCCTGTTCTTTAGGTTAAACAGATTCAGTGCGTTCCTGCACACAAAAGCGGACTTCAAAACCTTCCGCGTGGCAACGGCCTGGGGAATCCACAATCTGAAATCCCTGCACCTTGACCTTGGACCTAGGGAAAACCGGAACCTGAAGCTTGACGGGACGGGGGCTCATCGCACAGCATTTGCCGTCTGGAAGGACTTTTGTAAGATTGCCGCTCAGAAAATGACCGGACTGCGGGATTTCAGTCTGCGGTGTCGTGTCAGGGAGGACGAGGTGGCTTGTCGACTCATGCGCGACGCATACCCTTTTCCCAAGCTCTCTCGCTGTGCTATTCATTTCAACAATATTCAAGACGACGATATCCGGCCCATTCTCAAGAGGGCTGTCTGGAGATTGACCGACAACTTGGGACATAGGCCTTCATTCCCATTCCATCGCCTGCCCAAAGAAGTGCAGTATATGATCCTCGAATATGTTCTAATCGATCGCTCCGATCCGTACATTCCAACAGCGGAGTGGTCCCGCGGGATCGTCACCTTCCAGGAGCGCAGGCGCCCGCGAGTCAACGTGTTTCCACTTACCTGCTGCGGGACCTGCTCACCCCTGCAGACGATGTGCTTCTGCCATTCACGTCAGACTTCATATTCATCCACGTGCAGTTGTTTCACCTCGCCACTGCCCTACTTCCTGGTCAACAGAGAGTTCTATCACGATGCAAGTCGGATTTTCTATTCCAGGAACATCTTCGCGTTCGTGGAAGAAGACCCGGAATTCATGATGCGTTTCTTGCACAGCATCTCAGACTCCACCTTCAAGCTTATCCGCCATCTGACGTTCAAATTCCCGGCGCTCTATCGCCACCCCAGCAAATGCGCCCACCGGCCAGAAGATTCCGCGCTCGTCTCCTGGGCCGTCTTGCGTCGCTTTATTCGCGAACATTTTGCGGTTCCCCTGCTCTCGATCACCATCATTGACCTTGGGACCAAGAACTATGTGAACAACGTCAGTCCGAACCGCAACAAGTACCTGCGCAAGCTGCTCAAGTCTTTCGAAGATTTGCAAAGCCTGCGCGATTTCCGGGTGTTTCTGGCTGACGACGGCATATTTGAAATACAAGCGGAGACTGCAGTTCTGGGGGGTGTGGCCACGAGGAGGGAGAAGGCAAGGAGTCTGCCGTTTATTGGAAAGAGACATTTGACTAGACGTGGATGATGGATGATGGATGATGGATGATGATTTATGGCAGATGGCAGATGGCGGATGGCGGATGGCGGATGAGCTGATGTCTGGGGATGCATTTCTTTCCATTTCATATCTTAGCCTGGAGTTGTGGCGATGATTTTTGTCTTTCTAGTTGACTTCACATCTATTTACTAGTCAGTATTGTACGTTCAGGGCCATAGCCTGATTCCCATATTGGATGAAGCTCGATGTGAACTATTGGCACCAACTCTACCAAACGGTGTGCTTGTACTTGACAAAGACCGTCGTTCAGTCTGTTCATCAGTGGGTTCCATCTGTGGCTGGGTATCAGATCTCACCCATGTATCTCCACTTCTCTTAGACATACCTAGTTATGAGCATTTGATCAGGCATCATTCAGTAGTGATATCGCAATATGATTTCAGTTCAGGGTTTAAATGCAGAATATATATCACGGGTGAGGAGATGGGAATCTCGTAGTCTGTAGTAGCATGGTTGATGAACGAAACATAATCATAGGCCCCATTTCCTCGCGAACCAAGGGAGACACCTTGGCTGTCGGTGACTGGGACAGCGCTCGGTCCTTCTGATGGTACCTGGTATTCACCGGAATGTCCCTGGAAGAGTACTGGAAGCACGCAGGCTACGTAGACAGCTACGGAACAAAGACAAACATCTGATTCAATCCAACATAACTGAGGCAACTTAACTATATGTCATACTAGTATCTATAATATAGGCCGATCTATATAGTTGTTTATGATGCAGAAAATCCAATGTTTGTATACCCTGACTCAGCCAACGTCATACCGGAGATAACCCCACTTAAACCCGCCCGCCTACGCTCTGCAGCTCTTTCTTTCTCCCCGCCTTTTCAACATCAACCACGACCTATTTACCTGCAGCTCATCCCAACTTCTGTCTAGGAATTGACCATTCCAACTACCCACCCACACACTGTCACTCAACAACCCCCCACTGAAAGTCTGGAATACCACCCAGAACACCCAAAATGCCACTGCCCAAACCAATCCCCATCTCCAACTTCGCCCTCACCCAACAATCCCTCCTCCTCGACGAACACAACATCGAAATCTCCTCCTCCTCGCTCGCCACCACCGCCGCCTCCGTGTCCCCGTCTACGCGCCGTACTCTGCAAGCGACCGGCTACGCGCTGACCGGCCTTCTTCTCTCGCAATGTCGCACGGGAATGGGCGGTCGCGTGGTCGGCGAGTTTGATGCTGATGCGGCGATTGCGCAGAAAGGTGGCGCTGAGGATGGGGATAAGAAGGGGGATGGGGAGGTGAAGCTGGGTGCGCATGGGATTCGTGTTGGGGATGTTGTCAGGGTTAATGAGATTGGGGCTGGGGGGTCGGGAGGGAAGAAGGGAGGGGCAGGGAAGGAGAAAGCTGGTGGGAAGGAGAAGGAGAAAGGGTCCGGGGGGCCGGAGGGTGTGGTGACCAGGGTCGGAGAGAGGAGTGTTTGGGTTGCGTTTGGGCAGGTTGGGGGTGGGGGGCGGTCGAAGGAGGATGATGAGGCGATTGAGGAGTTGTGGGGGAAGAAGCTTTGGTTGTATGTTTTCGTTGCCTTCTCTTTCTTGGGGTGGGTGAGTGTTTGGTTGGCTGATGGCTAACGGGTTGCAGCATCAAGCTTGCAAACGATGTGACGTATCGACGGTAGGTTGCTGCGCTCTTCCCTGGGGGTAGGAGGCTAATGTCGTGTAGGATGAAACAGACGATGGAGAAGATGGTCAAAATGACAGAATCCGACCATACGCATTTCATGCGCGTCGCGTTTGGCCATACGACGCCGCTGCAGCCCGACTACGAGGCGATTGGGCCCGTGGAATTCCTCGACCCAACGTTGAACGACTCGCAAAAAGAAGCGATCCGGTTCGCTCTGGCTTCCCGAGACATCGCGCTGATCCATGGCCCGCCAGGAACCGGGAAGACGCATACGCTGATCGAGCTGATTCTCCAGATGGTCCAGCGAAAGCTTCGCGTGTTGGTGTGCGGGCCGTCCAATATCTCGGTCGATAATATTGTGGAACGGCTGGCGCCGAAGAAGGTTCCGGTTGTGCGCATCGGCCATCCAGCTCGTTTGCTTCCGTCGGTTCTGGATCATTCGTTGGAGGTACTGACCCACACGTCGGAGGCAGCTTCCATCGTGCGCGACGTCCGCAAGGAGATCGACCAGAAACAGGCGAGTATCCGGAAAACGCGGTACGGCCGAGAAAAGCGGGCGATCTACAACGACATCAAGGAGCTGCGGCGGGAGTTCCGCGACCGGGAGTCAAAGTGTGTGGACAATCTCGTACGAGAGAGCAATGTCGTGCTGGCCACGCTGCACGGGGCGGGTGGACATCAGCTCAAGAACCAAAAATTCGATGTGGTGATCATCGACGAGGCGAGTCAGGCGCTGGAAGCGCAATGCTGGATTTCACTGCTGTCCGCGTCCAAGGTGGTTCTCGCCGGTGATCATCTGCAGTTACCCCCTACGGTGAAATCTACGACCCAGAAGACGAAGGCGCAAGGGACCGCTGATGAGGATGCAGCCGACACGGACAAGGCTGGCATTGGCAGGGTTTCACTCGAGACTACCCTATTCGACCGATTACTGTCGATGCATGGACCCGACATCAAACGCATGCTCACGACACAGTATCGGATGCACGAGTCGATCATGCGCTTCCCGTCCGACGAGCTCTACGAATCAAAGTTGATGGCTGGGGACGCGGTGAAAGCGCGTCTATTAAAAGATCTGCCGTACGAGGTGCAGGAAACTGACGATACCAAGGAACCCGTGGTCTTCTGGGACACGCAAGGCGGGGATTTTCCTGAGAAAGCGGAAGACAAGGAAGTTGGTCAGAAGGAGGCCCTGCTCGGAGAGAGCAAGAGCAACGAGATGGAAGCCCTGGTGGTGGGCAAGCACGTGGACAATCTCGTGCAATCAGGAGTGAGACCTGAGGACATTGCGGTGATCACGCCGTATAATGGCCAATTGGCGATCTTGTCGCAGATGCTGCGGGAGAAATACCCCGGGTTAGAATTGGGAAGTGTGGATGGGTTCCAAGGACGAGAGAAGGAGGCCGTGGTGGTCAGCCTCGTTCGGAGCAACGAGGAGCACGAGGTCGGATTTTTAGGCGAGCGACGACGGCTGAACGGTATGTTTCTTGCATGCAGGGCAGGGGTCTGATCCCATTGTTCCAAACTCACATGGACTTTTCTATCCAGTGGCCATGACCCGCCCGAAACGACATCTCTGCATCTGTGGTGATTCGGAGACCATCAGCAAGTGAGTATTCTTTCCTTTTTCCCGCCTGGATTTCAAGGCTGAGGGCAGGGGAGACACCCCGCGCCTTTGCGCATGGATCCACTCCCTCGGTAGAAGATACGAGGTGGCATGACGTGAATGCTGAACATGTTTCCCCACAGAGGTAGCGGCTTTCTCAAACGCTGGATGGCCTTTTTAGAGGAACACGCCGATCTGCGCTACCCGGACGCTGGCGAGTTGCTATAGATAATAGCACGCTTCTATCCCACGGATTCAACTCGAAGATTCCGACGACTGAATTTTGAGTCTGATGACACCCGATCCCTCTGCCGAAGAGGAGATAATTCGGCATATAACCATAGACTTTAGATCATCCTGGTAGGGAGAGAACTATCTGCTATCTGACACACACACTAGCGAGTCTATTGGATAGACTACGGGGTCAGAGCCATGGTCCCATCGCCGGAACGAGGAAGATCGGCGCGTGTCCATACTACATATATACTTTGGAGGGTAGGGGAACCATGGACGAGAACACTGAGCAGCACTTCGGAAATCCAAACCTGATACACGCCAGGGGAGGAGTTGCCTTTTCTTACTGGAGTTGCTCGCACGGCCTGACAATTGCGATGGATGGGGTCCCTTGCTCGGGGATGCTCCAAATAGGATATCGATCGTCCAGTCAGGCTGTCTGAGCGTTTTCACCTTCCTTTCTCTCCTACAGTGGGATGCAATGTCGAAGGATCGAAAGCAGTGAAATTGTCAGGCATATGGTTGCATTGACTTTGACAACTCATTCGCGAATCCTGTAGACGGAGACTAGACCGTGTAGACGGTGATCGACCTTTTAAACCTGCAAGTCATGACGATGCTTCTCCAACTCTTCGACCGAGTCGGGGCAGAAGACATATTAATAGAAAAACGATTGGCGGTTTCAGGAGCAACTAGTGAGGTTGGTGGAGCCGGATGACTCCTGACAGATCCAGAATATGCTCATTATGCTTACATATGCTCATTATGCTTACGAGGATGTTGTACAACACTACAGAGTACGTACTCCGGGGTATGTTGCTTGATCCTGATATCGAGGCAGACCAGCCAGCAGGCAACAATAACAACGAGGCGATTCCAACACCTCGAGCGGTGAGCCTCAAGATCCATCCTTCAAGTCCACACCCAACTAGGAGGACGGGGCGTAAACAACACGCAAGAGTAAGCAGTAACTCTAACTACGGCGGACTAACCGCAAACCACCTCACTACGTAGCACGTAGGACGGTACCACTACTACGAAGGATCCCGTCAGATGAAGCCGCAGACGCACCCCTACCCAAACCCCAAACCCAAAACCCAAGGCAAAGCCAATGCGCGACGGAAAAAGCAAAAAGGCTCCCAATGCAGCTGCCATGTGGAGCTAGAGCCAAAAGATGGGGGCCACTTGGCGCGTCTCAGAATCTGCAAGCGTCGGGTCGGTCGAATCAGGCGGGCTTCTGCGCGGTCGGAGAAGCAAGATTTGGGGTGGAACGCCTGGACAGGGAAGAACCATGTCGTAGTCAATTTACCTGGTCGATGACAGGCGATCGCGAAGGAGCGTGACTGGAGGAGAGGGGGATCGTATGACGGGGGTTGAAATCCTGAGTGAGTTGTTCATCTCCTGGAGTCCAACCGAAGGAAGGGCTTGCTCCGGTGCACAGTGTGCACAGTTGGGGACGAGGCAGAATCAATTAGTAGCCTGGATTGATAGTCATTGCGTCGATCGGAAGGAAGATTTGGAATCATTCTGGAAGCGTTGGGAGATGCTAGTGTCGAGGGTCAGCGTCATCGCGTGTCTGATGTCTGATGCCAAGATGGAACAATCTGATCATGGATGATGGAAGAATTGGATGCAATCGGATAGAATGCCTGTCGAAGTGCAGGTGCAGGTGCAGTCATCGCATCGGCCACACCGACTGAGAGAGAGAGAGAGAGAGAGTTGTACGGAGAGAAAGAAACCCCTGAAACACGAACGCATGGACTCCCGGCCAGGCCGACCCACACCGCCCGACCTTCGCGGCTTTTCTCTTCCTCGTCTCTCCTCGTCCTCTTCCACTCGCTAGACTCGCTCTACTGACTCGACGCTCGCTAGCTGCAGTATTCCCCGACGACGGTTGGTCGCCATGTCTCGACTCCATGTTTGAAGTCCACTCGCCTGCTGCTGCTTCTGCCCGGTGGAGATCCGCTCTTTCTCGCTCCCTCAACCGCCGTCTCTCCGTTCCTTGGTTCTCTCCTCCGGCTTGAGTTTCACTTTGTTTTCGTTAACTCTTTCGGTCGTGATTTTCTATTTTTCATTTTTCGTCCTTCTTTTTCGTCTATTGTCTCTCGTTAATATAGTCTGTATGCCATGCTGCAGCTTTGTCGCCTGATTCTCGGCTACTAATCAGCCTGCCTCTCTTTTGCTTACTCGCGAGCCTCCTCGCTCAGCTTCCAAGCCAAGGTCAGCCTCTTGCGATTCATTGCCTAGTGTTGGGGTCTTGGTTTCGCAGGAATTTCGCTGACTGGTCGAAGCTGCTGTTCCGATCCTTCGATTGAGATAGATTGGTCGACTGTATATCCCGACTATACCGTCAGTTTCGTCGTCCTCGTATATCTCGACCCACCTTACCCCTCCCGATCGATTCCTTTCTCTCTTTTCCTCTCGGTCTCTCATTCAAGTCGCTCTTTTATTCCGTTAATTTACGATCTGATCTATACCGTATGTGCCCGTTCTCTTGATCGATCGTCGTCATGTCCGTCAGTCCCGGCTCCAGTCCCCGCCATGCCGAGATGGATACCGCGTTGCCACCCATGAGCTCCAAGCAGCTGGTCACCGCCAGCTCGCGTCGCCATCTGCGCGGGTCCGAATCTTCTATAGTCATCCCCAATTTCCGTGGGAACAATCAGCGCGCCGCCGCTACGTTGGGAATCGGCGCTCCGGATTCGTTTTCCGGCCTGATGGGACGCGGCGGGCCCGGCTCGCATCGGCGCACGGGGAGCACGTTACGGACAGTGATGAAGAAGATTTTCACTCGCAAGCGAGGCAGTCAACACGACGGGTTCGACTCGGATTTCCACTTCAGCAGTGCCAATTCGTCGCATCCGAGTCAGGTCAATGGGGCAGTGGGCGACCCGTCCTTCTCCCTCCCTAATTCCTTGAGTTCGAAACGCAGCGGCGGCCTGGCTCAGAAGGAGATCGGAAATGGAGGTCCCATGACGCTGAACGACGCCCTGGCGAAACTGGAGATCCGTCCGCCGCGACAACGCCGAGCCACCCTGCCCAGTTTGATCTTTTCGGACGATGAGTCCCGCGACGCGCTGGAGGACGTGATCTCCGGTCGACCGGACGGCAATCGCAGTCGCAAGAACTCCCTGCGTCCGAATCATGATCCAATGGAGGATCGACGACGGAAACGACGGTCGAGAAGTGCCGGACAGCTGCGCGGGATGGCCAGGGACCATCGCATGTCGCCGATTCAGTGGCGCAGACGGAGTGTCGAGTCGTACGTCGGGTCGACGGCGTATACTGCCGTGTCGGACAGCGAGCTGTCAATTCGACCTCCGACGAGGGCCACGGTCACCAGTCTGAAGCCATACACCGAACCGTCTGTGTACTCGGTGGACCAGGTTCAAACCAACGTCCAGGTTGAAACCGAAAGCATCGCACCGAACGCGGGTACCCTGGTCAATGCCATGCACGATGGCGACAATCTTTCTACGGAACAGCGACTAGCAACCTTGGAGGTCAAACTGATCGATCTGGAGTTTGCCATCGCGCGCATGCAAACGGGACAGAGCAACGCATCCTCCTCGCCCGTACAGACCCCTGTTCCTCCCAAGAAATCCGAGCCGGCGACAGCCACCAACCGACGACACAACCGCAAGAAGTCCACTGCGCGCTCGCCTCCGGACACATCGTATTCTACCCAGGAACCGGACCGTCCCGTTAGCACGGGCACCATCCGTCCTGGCACCACTCACACAGTCAGCACCAGCGGGAATGTGCACCGTTCGCGAACCCTGCAGCCCCCGTCTTGTACCTCCCTCAGCGACACCCACTCTATTTCTATTGAACAATATAGCGCCCTAGTCATGCTGCTGCGTCGCGAACAGACCGCACGACGGAACCTCGAGGGCGAGGTTTCCAGTCTTCGCGACGACATCAAGCAATTACAATGCATGGCCCGCGAGTCCGTCGGTGTCGGAACGATGTATCCCATCCGCAGTGCCGACTCGCAGGAATTCCTTCGCATGCGGCAGGCCGGCCGCTCAGCGACAACATCGCCGGCTCGCACGGAAGACAAGTTCGGGTGTCCGTCGCCGTACGAGAGCGATTCCGAATGGGATCGACCGGAGATACCGGCCAAAGATGAGCTTTATAAATCGCGGTGGCAGAACCGCCGGGTCGAAGTTCAGGGAATGATCTAGCCGACCCTCAACTCTACCACATGATACCTGGACCTGATCCTCACCACTCCTTATGATTATCCTCTTCTTTCCCTCCTTACAACATCTTCTACCTACCCTTCTTTCTTCATCTTCTTCTCGACATTGAATCTTGAAATTTGACATTTCGACTTTCCACGAATTTACTTTCCTTCCTATCTTTCTTGTTTTCATCTTCTCATGCACAGTATTAGATTGATACCACCACCGCCACCATCTTGGTTTGAATTTCTTTCTGTCTGTCTGTCTTCGCATGGCGACTGTGTTTATTGGTTGTTGATGATTCTTTAATGACTTTTTGGCTTTTGGATTTGGCATTTGATTCGTTGATTGATAATAGATATAGACCTTACTTTATCTGCATGGAAAAGCACTGGTTGCTCTTGATTTTATTTCTTCGATAATGCCAATTGGTTGATCTAACAGGTCTTAACTTTTAAACAGCATAGTGAGACGCAGCACTTATACACAATGTGGTATCGGTGCAATCGAATGGACTGATATTGGGTATCTTGCATAACAAAGGTCCATGAGCGAGTGTTCGTCACTGGAGCTAGACAGCTCACTGAGGTCGACTACTATCCGGCAGCTCCTTCAGGGTCGAACCGCCATCTAACTCTACTCGCGGGTTGCTATCTAGTTCCGCTCGCGGATTCCCATCCAGTTGCGCTCCCAGCATGTTGCCGTCCAATTCTGCCCGCAGGTTGCCATTTAACTCAGGCGGAAGGTTGCCGTCGTGGGTAGCATCTGTTCCGTCCTGTGACTTGCTGATGATATTCTCGGCTTCTGATGCTCGATCGAGACGACGCTTGCGGACGCGGAGGAAAAACCATATTATGCCCACGATAACCAGTGCTCCGCCAGCCCCGCCAACCACGCCGCCTGCAATCGCACCTTTATTGCTGGACGCGGAAGACGACTGATCTGAAGATGATGTGGCAGATGCTGAGGTGGCCGCGGGTGATAATCCTAACGTGGGAGCCGAAGTCGTCGTTGTGAACCCTTTCGGTATTTCGTCAGTTTATCGGAGACAAACAGAGACAATAAGGTGGAAAGGAAGATGACTCACCATCACGCTGATCCAGAATCTCCATCGTCTTCCTTTTACCTCCACGAACCTCTTCCTCCGTCCCGCAGCCTTTGTATCCCTCTTCATTCATGAACCCCCACAGCTGCGGCTCGCAGCAGAAGTAACTTATAGTATCATTCCACAGCGTGAGGGACGAATTCGCGCACTGGTCCGGGATTGATTTAGAAGACGAGTTGTCGTCCGAACCCTTGTTCGGATCCTCCAGATAGCATCATGCGTTGTTGTCATCGTCTATATACTGCGTCGTATTCGACGGACAGCACGTCCACCAGTCTTTCCAGGTCCTACTCCCGTACTCGACTCCATAACACTGGCTATCTCGACGGACTCCCCAGCCGTCTCGGGCGATTGAGTCCGAAGGCATTCTTTTCTGGATTTTATTGCGTGACGGCGAGAAGGGAAAGGCGTGAGAAGCCACCAGCTCTCGCAAAGTTGAACAGTCGCAAGGCTCTCACGATTGCGAGGACGCCGGCAGCAGGCTTTACTACGGACTAAGCCCCTAGTCCCTGCAGGGAAGGGGCTAAATGAGTCTCATTGGGCCCGCGATCGCTTGAACCCGCCTAAACCCCGCGAAGGCGCCATGCGAGGCTTTGTTTGTTCTCTCCGACAGGTCGGTAGTCGGTAGTCCCTAGTGGCTGGCAGGGATATGACTTTCTCGGGCCATGTTCCGACAACTGCCAGATCTTTACACGCATGAGCACGCATGAGAGCACCCATAGTTTTGTGTCCCTGAGTGCAAAGGGGTGGTCTCTGTGACAAACGAGCCGTGGCTTGGCAGGAGCACTAGCCATATTGTTGGATCAGTCCCTTGTTCTGGACAGACTGGTACCGGAACCAACCTAGTGGACCTGACCTGCCATGGCAGTCCTACGGAGTAGAGGTGGACCTATCAGGCCTGTAGGACTGGTTCGGAAGTGTCCATCTAGAGCTCCATCAGTGATTCCCATTCCACGGCCCTACACCTTTGACCTGCTCGAATCTAACAAAAGACCACCACCTTGCAAGACAGCACCGCGGAATGTTGACAACGTCAATTGAACCTAATCAGTCTTCTGACAAGCACACATGAACTTTGGACGATATTATAAACATAACCGACAATTATATGCATCCGATGCCAGCAATCAAAATGTACAACAGACTGATATCGGGGGTATCTCGCATACAAACGCTGATAGGCGATTATTCGTGACCTGTTGGAGCAGGCAGCTCATATCGAGGTTGAACGCTATCATTGACTGGCTTTTTCGGGACTGAGCCACCGTCTAATTCTGCTCGCAGGTTGCCATCTAATTCCGCTGGCGGGTCGCTGTCGCCTTCGGGCTGGATAGCCTCTCTTGGGTCGGGAGGTATCTCGGGCTGCGACGTGCTTGGGACGGGATTCTCGGGTTTTGATGTTCGAGCGAGATGACGCTTGCGCAGGCGAAGGAGAAACCATACTATTCCGACGATAATAAATGCTCCGCCAGCTCCACCGACTACGGCACCGGCGATGGTGCCTTTGTTTGTGGACGTTGACGCGGAAGACGACGACGGCTCCGAAGATGTTGATGTGGTGGGTGCTGCTGTATTCGACGTTGATATGGAATCTGTTGGTGTGGTGGGTGCTGATGCGGTCGATGTTGAGAAGGAAGATTTGAAGACTGTTACGGTTCGTTCTATCCCAGCACCAAGCAGGGTCGTGGTTAATCCTTCAGTGTTTGCGTCGGATTTCATAAGGCAAATAGGCAAAGTGGAAAAGCAGACTTACCCGATTGCGTAACCTGCTGCACAGCCGTCAACAATTCATCCTCCTCGCCTTCGTCAAACTCCGCCTCCGTCGCACAGCCCTTGTGACCATCATAGAATCGGAATCCTTTTTCTCCCTCCTCGCAGCACCAGCTCACCTCACCATCTTCCCACAATGCAAGGGAAGAATTAGCGCATTGTTCGGGAAAATCTACGGTCTCACGATCAGACTCGTCGCTGTACTGGCACCAAAGTTCATTGATGGACGTATCACCCGGACAGCACAGCGACCACCCGTCCCAGGCGGTTTCCCCTATCTCGGTATCCAAGCACCCGTCAGAACCAGGACGGCGGGCGGCGTAGCCGTCTTGGGAATATGAATCTGAAGACATCTTCTCCAGATTCTATCCCAGGAAAGAGAGGATGCGAGAGACACGAGAACCCCCGGAGCAGACCCGATCGATCGAAAGGATTTTAAGACGGCTGAGAAACAAGCCAAGAGCTTTGATTACGGCCTGGGCAGAGAACGCAGGGGGAGGGGGGCTACGAGCACCTCATTGGGCCTGCCCCGCGAAGGCGCAATCAGGCGTTGTTTGCTGTCGACGTTACATGCATCTCATGGCGCGGGTCTTCATGCGGCGGATATTACTCGGAGCCAGCCCTGTGACTGTAAGGCTGGTGAGGATGTGAATATCTCGGGTCGACCCGACGACTATCATGCCTGCCTTGTCGGATGTACGAGAACAAATTGGACCCGGGGTTTCGTGTCCTTTGATCGCAAAGGGGTCGGTTGCTGTTGTGATCAGATGTAGGTGCCCACAGCCTTGCAAGCAGCCAAGGCTTGGCGAGAGCACTAGCCAGGTTGCTGGGATGAACACAAGACACAAGGCTGGGGCTGATCGGCCAGTAGGTACTGGTAACCAAACCAACGTGGAACCGATTTATGCTATGGCGGTCCTGGAGGCGTGCCTGTCAGGTCTGCAGGATGGTTCGGAAGCTTTGGCTTTTGGTATAGACATTCTACCTAAGCTCAACACGAGATATTTAGTTTCGGGAAATTACTTGGTTCATTGCCAAGTAGTCGGTGTGCTCAGAGAATCTGTGTTGAGAGGGACAGGCATATATCCACCGTAAGAGGAATCAGCATAAGTACATGACTATCTTGACTGGGCTTTTGCCATCTTTTAGTCTTTGTCATTCAGCTTAGATGATTTGTTTTCAATGTCCATCTAGAGGTTTTTCAGCAGTTCAACACAACCGTACACCTTCAACCAGCTCGACTCTAAAAGCATAAACCACAGCCTTGATAACCTCACTAGACACGACCCCCAAATACATATAGTACAGCACCACACGCTCAACCAACTAAAGTATTCAATAACATCATTGGGTATCTCATCTATTAAGCACACTCATCACACCACAAGTCATATCCTGTCAACTCCCATGACCCGGAAGCTCATACCTCGGCCGACTACTATCCGGCAGCTCCTTCTGCCCCAACCCCCCATCCAACTCGACCATCTGATTGCTCTGTCCCCGAGGAAACTGTCCCACTCCGGCTGATGTGCTAAACCCTGCTCGAGTGAGACGACGTCTCCGTAGGAAGAACCAGATTATGCCCATGATGAGCAGGGCGCCGCCGACGCCGCCGACGACACCGCCTGCGATGGCGCCTTTGTTCGTGGATGAGACGGAGGATGACGATGTTGATGGTAATGGTGATGTCGATGCTGAGGACATAGATGTCGAGGTTGAGATTGATGTTGATGTTGATGTTTCCGTAGCTGATGAAGATGAAGCCAATGTACTCGTCGTGGATACTACATCCAACCACCTAAATTAGCACCACCCTCCCCAAACCCAACGCACCCCATCCCATCAAAAAAAGGGAGAAAACAAACCCGTCGGCTTCCCATGCTGATCCACAATCTTCACCACCGTCCCATCCCCCACCGCTTCCCGGACCTCCCCCTCCGCGCCACACCCCTTGTACTCGTCCTTGTTCATGAACCCGACCAGGGTCTCCTCGCAGCAGAAGTAATTGCCGCTGTCGGACCACAGCACCAGCGACGAGTTCGCGCACTGATTCGGGAAGTCAGAGCTGAGCTTGTCGCCTGGATCGTCTAGGTAGCACCGCGTGTTGTTGTCGTCGTCCACCCGTTCCGTCGTGTTCGGTGGACAGCAGGACCAGTTCGAGCCCCATGTTGAGTGCCCCGTTTCGGAGCCGTAGCACCGGGAGGGGCGGCGGGTGGACCAGCCTTCTCGGGTTGTTGAGTTTGAGGTCATTGGGGATTTGGGATTGGGGGTTGGATGTATGGGTTGTATGTATGGGTGTATATTATGGGGGAGAGGAGAGGAGGTAGTGGTGTGAGATGAGAGGAACGCCCAGCTGGGCAGGCAGATCGACAGAAGGATGGTTCTTATGTCTTCTGTTCAGCTCGGAAAAGAGCCAAGAGCGTTCATCCCGACTAGTGCTCATGAGGAGGGGGGCTAAATTGACGATCCTGGGTGGTTTGGTAGATTGGTGCACTGCGCCTGCGCGAACTGCGCATTGGAGGCTGGTCTATACGGCGTATGCATTGTTTGTGTCGTGGGGGATATTCCGTGGTCTGGCTGCGGGAGGGTCAGGATATGAGACTTATGATCTGACCTTCATGTCTCTAGCGGTGCAACTATTCTCAAATTTCCTTATACATGAATGAGAATGAACCCCGTCGCTGCACTAGACCCTTGCCTTGTGGTACAATGCAGACCGACTATGCCCGACAGACATCCTTGCGACGAGATGAGCCAAGACTTGGCATGCATTAGCTCTGCTCAGCTGAGGAGATGAGCCCGAGGCTGGGGCTGAGATCGCCAAGAAGTCACGATGGATTGGCACGGCTGTTGTCTCCGATGAGATTTAAGGTAGGTCCGCGTTATGCTCTGGTTCGTGCTGGGGATAGAGATTGCGGATCAGCAGGAAGGATTTAAAGCTTTGATGGGGGGATCTAAGGCTTGGCTTTGGGATTTAAGATTACTTGCCCTAATTAATTGAGAAGTAGGTGATGTGTCAGGAGTCTGTGACTAGGGGAAGAGTAGGCCAGAAATCCTGAATGTGGAAGCAAGAATGTCGTGGATGTAGGTATATGGAAACACTATAAACTTTGATAGACCGCGAATTTATCCAGCTCGTCTGATCGATTAACACTAGCGTGAACAGAGCTGCTAGAAGATAGTGAAATTAGGGTGAGGGAGCTTCGATCTAATATTTATTGTAATTGATGGTCTTTGGATGGTGGAAATCACCGGAAATAGAAGGTATCAAGCCGAGTCTAGATGGGAGGGTCTGATCTAGGTATTAATTGACGGAAGCAGCGTGGCAGGTAGTATACTGAATATATCCTAGCATGGAGAAAGACTAATAAGGTGCCACTAAGGTTCATAATTCATTAAAACGCTACCCAACCACCTCAGGGTTTCATTCTGCTGCTATTCCACCCAACAATCAAATGTAAACCACCCTCCCACCAACCAACAAACCCCATTCCACGTAGACATGCAGTCAACTAAGCAGTCCACCTCCAATTCGGATCCTTCCACCCCCCAATCAACGACTTGGTCGCAACATCCTTCGCCGTCAAGCGTACGCCCTGCTCGCGATCCCGTCTCCGATTGTCCCAACGAAACCACGCCCCCATCGCCAGAATCACCAACACCCCGAACAACAAAAACGCACAATTCACAATCAACGCCGGCTTATACCGCGGCGCCGTGTCCGCCTTGAACGCCAAGCTAGACGGAATGCCCGCGCAGTTCGCCGCGCCGACGAGGAACCCAACTGTCGCAGCGCGCTGCGACTCGTCCGTCACGTTGTTGGTGTGCCAGCTGTGGAAGACGGAGGAGGGGACGAAGGCGCCGCTTGCCAGTAAAAAGCAGGCGAAGTAGGCGAGGGGTTTGTGGGTGGGAGCGTCGACGGCGATTAGGATGATGTAGCCGGTGAAGGTGAGCATGAGGGAGGCGGCGAGGTGGGTGGAGCGTTCGCGGAAGTGGTCCGATGATTTGCAGATGGTCCAGAGGAAGACGGTCCCTGCGCAGTACGGGGCTACGGTGTAGAGGTTGGTTTTGATGGTGGAGTAGCCGAGCAGGGCCACCATTTGCGGCATGAAGTTCGACACGGAGGACTGCGCGATCCCGTAGCAGAAGCAGCTAACGGCCCAGGTGAGGACGCGCCAGTCGATGAGCGCGGCGAGGGCCGCCCGGATGGAGAGTTGCTCGTTGGTGCCGGTGCGGACGGAGCCGTCTTGCAGGAGGCGGGCTTGGGCGGTGCGGGCTTCGTCTTCGGTGAAGAGGTGCCAGTGCGCGCTGTCGGCAGGGAGCCAGTAGAAAGAGAAGAGAGCGATGATGAGGGTCGCGGCACCTTCGATGAGGAAGAGGTATTTCCAGCCGGGGAGCTGGTGTTTGATTTGGAAGACGCCGAAGGAGATGAGGCCGGAGAAGGCGCCGGCGATGGTGACCATTCCGTAGAAGATGCTGAGGCGGAAGGCCATTTCGTTGCGTTTGTAGAATTGGGTCAGGTAGAAGATGACGCCGGCTGTGATGGTTAGTGGTGGACAGAGTAGGATAGGGTAGGATAAGGGAATACCGAAGAAGCCTGCTTCAAAGACACCCATGAACAGGCGACAGACGAGAAGTCCGGCGAAGTTGTATACCGCGCATTGCAGCAGGGTAATAGAGCCCCTGTTCGCGTTGGCTTCACGTTGTAACAAGTATTCGAGGCCACTCACCATCCGACCATCATCAGGGGCAGCATCACCTTGCCACTATACTTCTTCAGCAGCAGGTTCGACGGCAGATCGAACAAGCAGAAGGTGACGTTGAAGACGGCCAGGATGATGCTGTACTGGTTGCCGACCAGGTTCAGGTCCTGCTCGAGGCCGTCCGTTTTGGCATTTCCGAGATTCGACCGGTCGAGGGAGTTGAAGAAGTACATCAGTGAGAGGACCGGTAGCAGCCTATCGACGTTAGTCTTTACTCTATCCCATCGAACAGGACAACACACAGAAAGTCTAGTTTCCGGACGACGGATCGCTCAATGGCGACGTCGACGGCGATACTCTCGGCGACGATAACCCCTGCTTCCTCGGAGAGGACGGGCGGTGGGGACTTGAGATCGTCTTTGGGGTCCATTGTGATGCTAGAAGAACGAGCAGCGTGTGCAATCCGGACGGAGTTCATCGAGGGCCATCCCCGGGAGAACGCGCCATATATACACCATCCCGCCTATCAGGACGACAAAAGTGGGCGACATTCGCCTACGCCTTCCCATATTCTATATCAATAATGATACAGAATCCTTCACAGCATCCTGCGTAGGGACTATCTTATCATCCGGGGTATTCTCCGCAATGACAGCGGCTTGAACCGCCGCGGACGATAAGCGTCCACCTATAAGGCGGAGAACGCCGCTCACTTCCAATCATCCGGACGTCGATCATCCTGGTCGATGGGAAGGTCCATCCTGATAGAGCCGGTCTGGTCAAAATCAAATGCTGGTCAAAAGTGGGGGAGCAAATCGCACCATTCTTATCGCTCTAGTTTCCTCTTCTCTCCAGTCTCCACCGCATCTTGCCGCGGATCACGTCACTCGTCGGTCCGCAGCGCATATATAACCAGCCAGCACCCTGGAATCGAAACCTCGTCCAACCCACCTGCTCAAATTGTCTCCATCGCGATGTCGTCTGCACCCCAGAAAGACTCACCCATCGCCATCATCGGCGCCGGCGTTTTCGGCCTCTCGAGCGCCATCCACCTCGCTAAACGGGGCTACTCCAACATCACCGTCTTCGACCGACAGCCCTACCACGAGACTTTATACGACTTTGACCGAGGCTGTGATGCCGCTTCTGCCGGTACAACCTTACATCTACCTCCCTCAATTAATGCCTAACTAACCCGACCAGACTGCAACAAAATCATCCGCGCCGCCTACGGCCACGAATCATGGTACCAAGACCTGACTCTCACGGCCATCAAGGAGTGGGAATCATGGAACGAATCGCTCTCCACCGGTAAGGTCCTTCCCCCCGGAATGACCCCCTCCGAGAGCATCTACGTCAACTGCGGAAATTACCGCTTCGGCAGCGACAGCGAGCAGGGGCTGAACGCGTTTGAAAAAGCCTCTGTCGAGAATATCTCGCGCGCAGGGCTCGCTCACACGCAGTATCTTTTCGGCGAAAAGGCTGAGGATGTGGACCGCGCGAGGAGAGATGGGTTAGGATATGCGGTTGATCCGTTTAATCTGGCGTCTTCGACGGAGAGCGGGGGGAAGAAGTATAAAGGCTATCTGGACGCGATCGGCGGGTTCGTCTACGCCGATAAGGCGTGTCGGTTTGCGCTGCACCTTGCCGGGCGACTTGGGGTTCGAGTCGTCCTGGATCGTCAGGCGGGACAGTTCGAGGGATTCGAGTACCAGGGGGATCGCGTCACGGGCATCCGGACGGCCGATGGCAAGACGCACGCTGCGGTGCTGACGATCGTGGCCTGTGGAGGGTGGACGCCGTCTCTGCTGCCGGAGATGGACGGGTTGTGCGAGACGACGGCGGGGTCTGTGGCGATGGTGCAGATTCCCGAGGGATCGCCGCTGAGAGAGCGCTTCTCTGCGAAGAACTTCCCCGTTTTTTCGTGGAATGTGCGCTCGGGGCAGAATGGGAATCTGTACGGCTTTCCGCTGGATGATAGAGGCGTGTTGAAGATCGGGTACCGCGGGACGAAGTATACGAATCCGCAGGTTCAAGTACAGGCCTCTGGACAGGGGAAGGGACAAGTGCGCAGTACGCCTATCACTAAGTGGAGTTCGCCCTCTGTCACCGGTCTCCCGGAGAAATCAGTCCAAGTCGTTCAGCACTTCCTGGACACGTATCTCCCCGAGCTGAAGGACGCGGGGATCGGCATCTCGCAGACGCGACTGTGCTGGTACACGGACAGCTACGACAACCAGTGGGTGATTGATCGGGTACCTGGGAAAGAGGGGGTTGTGGTGGCGACGGGGGGGAGTGGACATGCGTTCAAGTTTCTGCCGGTGTTGGGGCAGCTGGTGGCGGATCGTGTCGAGGGGGTGGAGTCGGAGCTGCTCAGTCGTCTGCAGTGGCGCAAGCTGCAGGAGGGGGAGAAGGCGCAGAAGGTGCTTATGAAGGGGTTTGATGACGAGTATGCGTTGCAGAATGTAAGGATGGTGGGGGAGAGTAGGCCGAAATTGTAGGTTTATTATTGCAGTGCCAGGGATGTTATGTCTTCGAAACTTCAATGGAACGGTCTGCTTTCTGGGTCTATGGCCTATGGCTTTGTGACGGCCAGTATGAAGATGTATTCCGGCTTTTGCATGCAGCTCTGGAAAAGGGTCTGCTAGTAGTATTACGTTAGAAAATATTACCATCGCTCTTCCTGAGTCTAGAAGGTAGGAGTCTGAGACAGACTCGAATTTCATCCAGCAGCGGGCAACAGACTTTTGGGCAGGGGCAAGCAACCGCATAGCGAATAAATTAAGGGGCAGAGGGGCAGGCAGACACGTCATTTCATACCAAGCTCAGCTAAGCTTCTTGGTGAGGTGCTTGGCTTTCTGGACAGGGGAAGCTTTGTGCAGTGGCGTGAACAGAAACCGAGTCGACCTGCCGACTGGCCTCAACTATGGTCCAAGGACCGATAAAGCAGTGGTTCCATGGGTCGGATGATCGGGTTGAATCATTCGTGCGGATGGAGCTGATAGCGACTAGTAGGAATAGTTGCAAATCATAGGGGCCGAACCGGGCGATCGGATGACTTGGAGTAGGCCGTATGCTAGGTCGATAATTAGGATGATAGATGAAGATCATGTACGAGTGAACTTGCTGATCTAATCCTGTCGACGTCAGTACGCCACTGAAGATATTCATGAACAAGAGAATTCCCCACGATCTCCATCTCCATCTCCATCTCCATCTCCTCTCCAGCTATCTCGCGTGTCGAACCAGACAACCAGCGTGGTACCAGGAACCAGACAGGGCCAAAGGAATTGCGCGTCAGACAGGACCTTCTTTTTAAGAAAAAATAAACTCATCGTGGGTCCGTCGATCGCGATGGCACCATTTGACTGGCCCGGAAGGCCGAGGTGTCGACGAAAAAACGGTGACAGGGAGCCATGGACGCAACAGGCAAATCAAGGGCAGGCTGATGGTCAGATTAACGGGTCAGATGAAGCAATCCCCGATTGACATCATTGCCACATGAAAGACTGGAAAATGAAAATCCCGCATTTTGGACGGCAGCACAGCCACCACTAGCTGTAGTTTTTCCTCCGGGGTGAGGAGTTGGTTGGAGTGACTGTTCTCTACGCATGAGTGTAGAGTGTAGTCTAGAGGGGTGGGAGAGAATAGGGGCAACAGAAGAAAAGAAAAGCAAATAAAAGAAAAGGAGAAGAGAAGGATAAATGAAAAACAAGAAGAGAAAGTGAAGAAAGGAGAGTGAAGGAAGAAAGATAAGCTCACCGCCAGCCGCATAGTGGCCTGAGCTTCTCATTTCCCTTTCGCCCTGCAAAATCCTCCTCATTTCATCCGTCGATCTCGCCAGGGACTGCTCCACCCCCAGACTAGCAGGCAGCCATTTATCCCGTCTATGAGGCATTTGCTCCCTGCTCGCTTAATTTCTGCCCTGAAGAAGGGATTCGACTAACCCAATGTATCCGTGTAAAATGCCGCAGTCTTTTTTGCTAGCGAGCCACTGACCTCCTGTGGCGGTGCCCTGTCTCGAGTATAAATCCTGCTCTCCCCGATGACTCTCCTACCCTCTATTCCTCTTGATCCAGTCAGCAAGGTATGCTCATCGACGGCGAAAAGTGGGCTTGTGAAGCGTGTGTCCGCGGCCACCGTGTGACAACGTGTAAACATCATGGTCGGTCCTTGTCTTCTGTCCTCCCTTGTGTCTAGCCTCATTCTCATGCTGACATCCCAGATCGATCATTAATCCGCATCAACCGTAAAGGTCGTCCCTTCGCGACCTGCTCGGTCTGCCATCACACTCCCTGCCCGACCCCCGACGAGCACACCAAGCTGCGCCGCGAGGCCGAGGCCAAATCTTCAAAAGTAGATGTGCACCACCGCTGCCTCCTCTTGCCCGCCCGATAAGATTCCTCCATACCTGTGAATTCCATTGTTGCTGATGATGGCTTTCCTGCGTCCTTCGCCTGCGAAGATTACTAGGATTCCGGGCAGACGTCCCTCTTCCACTCGTTCGCACGCCGCCTTTATTCCCATTGCGCCGCGTCCTGCCCCGTCGTCCGTCTCGTCGGCTTCGTCGTCGTCCTCGCTGGCCCCGGAGTCGAGTGCTAGGGGTCTCATGCTGGAGGATCTACAGTACTCCCGCCAGGCCGAGCCCCGGAGAGATGTGCCCGTGGCTGGGGCCGGCGTGGGTGTGAGCGGGAACGGCGCAGCAGGTGCTACGTCGCTCTCTCCCCCGGATACGTATTTGCCGCTGTCCTGCGCGTCGCTGGGCTCTTCTCCGCTTGGGCCGCTGGAGACGCCCCTGTCTGTGTCGATGTCCATGTTCATGCCGATGTCCGTGGCTAGCGGATCCTGGACGGACGCCACCCCCGCGTATGCGGATGCCGGGCCCTTCACGCTGGAGGACATGGATGTCGACGTGATCGGCGACTGGACGTGGTTGTCGCAGACGGTATGACACTAGGGAATGGGTATCGGGTGGTACCCATGATTATGAATTATGATTTATGCGGTGGCTGCTGTTTTACTGGATTTGGCGTCGCTTTGTATATAACGGACGTCTCGACTGCATAAAATGAAGAAATGTGATTATTTATATATACAGAACCCGCATTTCCAGGCTCCTTTGTTTTCATGATCATGGTACGGCATCTGCTGGTGTTCGAATATGCAAGAACGAAACACCCGCCCAGAGCCCGTACGTACGGAAGCGTCTATACTGACTGCCAGAATGGTCGGTCTGCTGCAGAGGGGACGGCCGTCAGGCTACCCCAACTATCACTAGGTTGGATCTTTCGAAATTCGTCGAACAACGAGGCCTCAGTCTATAAGTCATGGCTCCCCGTGAACCGATGAATCCCGCAGTTGGTCTGATTCCGAAGTTCTATTCTCGCCGGTTGTCTATGGGGGTTTATGCAACTCAGTCAGAGATACCACAGGGGTGACTTCTTCCCGGGTCTCCTTATGCATGAGAACCGATAGAAAGAGATCTTCGAGGCTCCCTTGGGTCAGCGAACCCGGATCGGGATAAAGTGCGGCAGGTCGCCTTATCGTCACTCGTGTAGAGATAGATGAGACTGGCGGTTGTGTTCTAGATCCTCGTTCCATAGGTTCGGAGGTAGACTATCCACCAAAAGGGAGCCGCCGGGAGATAATAAACGTAATTGCAAATCAACTCTGATGCTAATGGGGGAGAGCCAAAATCTGTTGACGTGGTAGAAATCGTAATGTCCATTTACGTCGACCCCGGTGGCGTCTGGAGACGATCAATGCCATCAGATGGTCGTCGCCGCTTCCACCGGAGGCTTGGACTCGGATCACCGGTGGCTGCGAGGTTCTTATCCTTGAGACCCTCAAAGAAAGAGGAATCGCGTGCAGCTTCGGTTGCCCATTTTCGTTTTCGAGTTCTGCCTCTTCTTTCCTCAACATTGCCATCATCGCTATCCTCTGACTGTTCTGGTGCAGAGCCATCATCGACTTCATTTCCTGGAACGGATCTTTGCCTCTTCTTGGGACTCTGGCTCCCACTATTCGCCCTCGCAGATCCCGAGAATTTCCGCCGATATTCATCCGCGGTCATGTCTCGCACTCGGAATTCGGTCGAGCCCTCGGGATCTACGAGAACCAGTTTTCTCGTCACCCTTTGGCCAAGAAAGGGGCTATTAAAGAATACCGTAAGGGCAAACCGGCACAGAAAGAAATGTCGCGACACGCTAGCCAGCGGCTGCAACTGAAGGTTATGATATCGCTCCTGGATGTCGACCACCGAAGAATTCCACATTACATGGACCACCCACTTTCCACGTTTAGGCACAATCACAAACTTATTGTCGTCCCACAGCTTATGCAAGTCGCGACGCAGCAGGATGGTGTTGTCGGCGCATCGCGTGTCAAGGCCTCGCCCCGGGTTAGCCGTGTACAGGAACATGCTGTTACGCTGTCACCAGTCGCTCTGCGCGGCGGGGATGATGTGCGCGCTCTCGTTCGGCAGAGCCGACGCGGTAATCCGGCAGCTTCCGTCGCGGCGAATTGCGTCGTCCGCGGAGCTCGTTACAATCGGTGCGCATGAATACAGATGCGGGAGAGACGCCGGACAGTGGAAGTGCTCGAATGTAGGCACGACGGGATACTGGTCCTCGCCCTCGATGCAGAAATAGTATCGACCGTGTGGAAGCACATCGTCCGGGCCCGCGGACAGTCTAGCTCCGGTTCTACTCAACGATAGGAAACCATCCCAGCGACAGTTAGCGAGAATGGCGCAGGCCGTGTGCGCCGTTCCATGGTGAATGCCTCCCGAGTCGAACGCCGGCAGCGTCAGCAGGATATTCTGGTTATCTGCATAGCCAGGGTGCAGGAAGAAGACGAGCTGCGCAGTTGGCGCGTTGGCGTCGAACGGTCGCCGAAGCGGTTTCAAGGATAACTCGACCGACGCTTGATGCTGGAACATTGTCAGTCGCCGCCAGATCGATTATCTTCCCGATCGCTTCCCCGTCAAGCATATGTCATGTGACCAATCTCCGCGCGGAGATGATTACATAATAAGACCCTGCGGGGGTTCTTCCGCTCCGAAGTATAAGCAGTCCAGACATGCAAAGGAAATAAAATGCCACTGACAATCCGACACATCACATTCCCATGGCGAACCACACCACAGCACTATTGAACCATCTGCATGCCACTGCATACGCCATCATCCTAGTCCTGCACCCCTCCCCATGCAGAAAAACATTCTGATATCTCCCCCCAGACGCAGAATTGTCTCTCGCCGAGACCCATTATTGAATAATTCATGCGCGTCCACCCCGTCTGCCTTCCCTCTTCCTTCTCATGTGGGGAAATCCGCATGGCGAGGTCCTTGAAGGCCCTGTCGGCTCTCCCCCCGTCAGCCCATGTCTCTTCCACCTTGCTGCATCGCCAACTTAACCTAACCTGCTTCCGGACAGTTTCCTGTCTGTCTCACCGTTTGTCTGTCAGCTGTCCTAGGCTGCGAGATTAGGTACTTAACCGATGGAGCTGGAGCTGTTCTTAAACGAGTGGATTTTCCTGCTCCTAGCTGGGTTTGTGTTTCTGGTTGTTTGGCCGCTTTTGCTCGTCAGATCGTGGGTTGCTGTTGTTGCTTGGTCTGTTTCTGCCGAGACCGAGAGTCGCGTGGTTGAGCTTGTCTAGCTGTTCTGCTTTGCTCTTGTTCCCTTGTTCATTCAACTAAGCAAGCATCACCATGAGGTCTCTTCTTCTCTGTCTGCTGGCATGGACCAGTCTGGGCGTGCAGCATGTCTGCGCGAAGGCTGTCTTTGCGCATTTCATGGTATCTTCCTTCCCTTCCTTTCCCTTACTCAATACTATCCGTCATCTCCCAACCCTCTCCCAAACCACCCCCACTATACAACCCAACATACTAAAAGTAAAACAGCTCGGAAACACAGAAAACTACACCACCAAAAACTGGGAATCCGACATCAACCTGGCCAAAGAATCCTCCATCGACGGCTTCGTCCTCAACATGGCCCGCAACGAAAAACTCCCCACGCAGATCTACAACGCCTTCACCGTCTCCGCGGACCTGTCCTTCAAACTCCTCTTCTCCTTCGACTACGCCGCCAACGGCTCCTGGCCCAAGTCCCAGGTCCTGAACCTCCTGAATGAATACTCCACGCACCCAGCGTACTACATGCATAACAAGCAGCCTCTCGTCTCGACCTTCGAGGGCCCAGACGCGTGGAAAGATTGGCAAGAGATCAAGGAGAAGACGAACGCGTTCTTCATTCCGGATTGGAGTTCTGTCGGCCCCGCGAAAGCGGCGAATCGCTCCGTCGTGGATGGGCTGTTTAGTTGGGGAGCGTGGCCCGAGGGCCCGAGGGGTCTGAACACCAGTCTGGATGATGCGTACATCGACGCGCTCGACGGCAAGGCGTATATGATGCCGGTATCGCCGTGGTTCTATACCAATATGCCGGGGTTCGAGAAGAACTGGGTGTGGAGGGGAGATGAGCTGTGGACGGATCGGTGGGCGCAGGTGATGGACCTGGACCCGGAGTTTGTGCAGATCATCTCGTGGAATGACTATGGGGAGAGTCATTATATTGGGCCGATTGGGGCGGGCGACGGGGTCGATGTGTGGGATGCGTTCGGGAGGGGAGAGGCCCCGTATAACTATGCGAAGGATGTGCAGCATGATGGGTGGAGGACGTTTTTGCCTTACTGGGTGCAGAGGTATAAGGCGAATAAGACGGTGGATGTGAGCGAGGATGAGGAGAATGTGGTGACCTGGTATCGGTTGGCGAGGGACGGGGCCAGCGGGTGCAAGGATGGTGGCACGACAGGCAATGCGAAGGTGCAGGGCCAGAAGGAGTATAAGCCCGAGGAGATCCTGAGGGATCGTATCTTCTATGCGGCATTGTTGGGGAGCCCGGCGAATGTGTCGGTGAAGGTGGGAGGGGCGGCGGTGGCGGGGACGTGGGATGTTGAGCCGGAGGGTGGGAAGGGAGTGTATACGGGGAGTGTGGAGGTGAAGGATGAGGGCGATGTCAAGGTGGTGGTGAAGCGAGGAGATGATGTCGTGGCGCAGGTGGATGGCGAGAAGATTCGAGGCGACTGCGAGGCAGATGGGGGATACAGGAACTTCAATCCATGGGTTGGTACATCAGGGGCGGAGGGAGTCAGAGCGAGTGTGTGGATGAGTTGGTGTCTGATGATGTTGTTCTGCATGCTATAGATTGATGGGTATGGATATGAGACCAAGGGATATATGGACTAATCATAATGGGGGTTATTAATTTACTTAGGGGTTTAATATATTGTTTAACATCTACAAGTATGTGCAGTTAGGGTACAATACGATATACCCGGAATAGTTACCTAAAATGCGACCACTGAGTAGAAGCAGAATGAAGATACATCCTCTCATACCACCCTCGGCATCCACAGCTCCGAACAAGGCTTCCGCCAATTCCTACAATAGCATCAAACTACCAAGTATATCCCGGAGCCCGCGGACCCCGACCATCTCGAGGCATCTCCCGCGTCCATAAAATCCTCAAACTCCCTCCACCTTAACCCCTTAACACAAACAAACAACCCTCAACCACGACCAAAATGCACAAATCCACTGAAGGCTTTATCTGGACACCAACTGGTTATCACTACGGTATATCCAACCCACCCCTCTCCTTTCCCGTCTCCCAGACAGTCAATTTATATATCAAACATCTAACACCCCCAGGCCTCCCCACCACCTCCACAATCCCCTCAACACCAACCTCATCTCTTTCGGGCACCTACGACGTAATCGTCCTAGGCGCAGGCTTCACCGGCCTCACCACCGCCCGGGACCTCGCCTTCCGCGGCAAAAAGGTCCTTCTGATCGAAGCGCGAGACCGGATCGGGGGACGGTGCTGGACCGCGCAGACAGACGAGCTCGACTCGAGTGCGAAGCTAGAGATCGGAGGCGCGTGGGTCCACTGGCTCCAGCCTCATGTATTCAGCGAACTGCAGCGCTACGGACTCGATCAGTTCGTGGAGACGGTCTCCCATCCTGATGCTGAGGTTGTGGGGAAGGAGGGACGGGATGGGTCAGCTACGTTGCTGGATCCGCATGAAGGAAAGGAAATGATGGAGCGTATTGGCCAGCTGATGGAGAGGTTCTTTGATGTCGATGGTCAGGGGGGTAGGAGTGTGCTTTCGTTTCCGTTTAACACCCAAGCCTCAGTGGCGAAGAGCGCTGAGTATCTGAAGCTCGAGGAACTGAGTATTACGGATCGAGTTGCCCAGCTCGAGCTTGGGGACGAGGACAGGGACATGCTGAGTGCGCATGCGGCGTCGTTCTTTGGGCTGGATCCTGGCCAGGTCAGTTTTATGGAAGTCCTGAAGACGCATGCGTTGTGCGGGTTCGATCAGGATATGATCGAGGCGGCGACGATGAAGTATAAGATTTCAGAGGGGACGACGGGTCTGGCGTTGGCGATTTTGAAGGACTTTAATGGGGATAGGATTCTGAGGGCTCCTGTCAAGGCTGTCACTCAGGACCTTGGGGGTTCGTTTCCTGTGACGGTCACGCTGCAGAATGGTGAGGTGTATAGAGCCAAAGCCCTCGTCTCGACGATCCCCATGAACGTCCTTCCTTCGATCACCTTCGACCCGCCACTTTCTGAGCTTCGGAGAGAAGCGTTCACAGCGGGGGTTACACCCGCAAGGACGGATAAGTTGCTCGTGTGCACGCCGACGAAGTTCGAGCGCGGGTTCAACTTCACCTGCGAAGGCGACGAGAGCGATTTGCCGTATACAGCCGGGTTTACCGACGGATCTTACGGTCCGAATACGCTTCTCACTCTCCTCACGCGTCCAGATCATGCTCTCGACCGCTCTAACGAGAATATTCGGCTGGTGGAGACGCTTCATCCCACCGGGATAGAGCTGCACTCGGCGTATGGACACCTGTGGTCGCAGGATCCGTATGCGGGCGGTGTTATGCCGGTGCGAAAGCCCGGGTTTATGCGGTATTATGAGGAGGTGAGGAGGCCACATGGACGGGTGTGGTTTGCTGGGTCGGATTTTGCGGACGGGTGGAGGGGGTTTATTTCGGGGGCTTTTGAGGATGCGTATAGAGTTACTAGGGAGGTTTTGGGGAGGGGGGATATTTGGTGAGGGTTAGTACTGTTTAGGTCTATTGGGGAAGGGGGATTTTATACATAGTGTCTGGGTTAAGATGGTATGTTCAGGTTGGTCAGCATACGATTCATATATATCACTCTATGCAGCCAAAAGCAACGCTAATTGCACCTGCCATGCACCCCGATCAGTTCATATCTACAGTCCTATCCCGAATCACACCTCCTGAATGTAATTCGCAGGCACGCTCTTCGTCACGCCGCCGCGTTCCACGTCCGCCCATCCGTCGCCGCCGTCGCGACTCACCAGCACGAATCGATCGCCCTCCACCATGTTCCATTCCATGTCGCTGCGGGCCTCGTAATCGTACATCGCTTCCACGTACTGCACTTTCTTGGCACCCCGGCGCGGTGCCACGGCCGGCCCGACGCGCTTTGCCGCTGCGCCCGAGCTGCCGGCCAGCGAGGCCGATGAGTTCGAGTATACGGACCCTGGTCGGTCGGTGAAGCCGGGACTGGCGGAGGCTGGGGATGGCGCAGGCGCTAATTCCACGTAGGATGTTGGGACGAGACCTTCGGAGGCTCCGGCGCGGACTCGCATCCATCCTCCGTCTGACACCGTTAGCGTGACCGCGAAGAGAGTTAGAGGGGGCTTACCGTCTGGTTCCACAATAACTACATCGTCACCCTCGTTGACTGTTACCTCGTCGGCTCCGCCTGCTTGGTACGGGTAGAGCATCTTCCCGCGTTGCTCGCCCGACTTCGGTGTCGGGTCGACAGGCGGAGGACTAATGTACTGGGCCGGCGGGGGCGCAAGGACGCGGTTGCGTTTGGCAGCCGGCTTCGTCTCCTGCACCGGTGCGGGCGCCGGAGAGGCCGGCGTGGGTGGCGTCGGCGCTGGAGATGCGGGCGCGGCCAGCTCCGCCGGCGGAGGAAGGCTGGCTGCATTCGATAGCGATCGGTTGGCGCTGACGGCGTAGCCCGAGCTCAACGAGTTCATCGTGTCCTTGCGCGTGAGCGACGGCGCGGCCGACGGGCTGGCCGACGGCTCGAGGTCTAGAGCTGGAGTGGCGCCGGCCTGTTCTTGTCGCTCGGCCTTGAGTTTCTTCTTCTCTTCCTTGGACTGCTCGCCGGGACACTCGGCGGGCACCTTCATCTGGCACTTGCTGTGGCAGGTGTATCCACAGTCCCGGCAGTCAAACCCTTTAGCGGATAGTCCCCATATGCGCTCGCCGCAAAGGTCGCAGTTTGTCGGGATTTTGAACGTCTGCGATTTGAAGTTGTGGTTCTTGGCCCCCAGGGACAGATCGCCGACCACAGAGATGATCGTGGACGTCTCGACCTCGGCAGTGAGTCGCTTGCGATCCACCTCGTGCAGCCCCTCTTGCAGGAAGAAGATGGACCGCACCACTTCCACCTCATTCCGTTTGTCCGTACCTTTCTGGATGTTGATACGTATCCGCTTGGCGTTTTCTACCGTTCGACGTTTCTGATCGGCCTCCACTCGCAACTCGCGAACCTGCGTCTTGCTGTTGCTGAGCACGTTGCGCAGAAAGACCTTGGCGGACTCGTCCGTGATGAGTGCCTCGTCGTCGTGCCAGATCGGACTGGGTTCGAAGCCCAGGCTGGGCGGCTCTTGCGACTGTGTGACGTTGTGTCGCAGGAACATGAGCGAGTCGAGATGCGGCTGGTTGCGAGGGATCTCGTTGATGAGGTTGGCCATGTGGTTGACGCTGTTGGAAAGGGAGTTCTTCTCTAGTAGGGCCGCATGCGACCATAGTGTGTTCAGTTTCGTAACTCGGGTTTCGTTGAGATCTTGCAGGCCCTGAGACGGTTAGTAAAGTAAACTTCAATGGTTGCGGTACTCACGTCAAGTAGTTCTGGTACGTATTCATGATAGAATCGCTCCTTCATTTTGTTCGTCACGTTTATGCTGATCAAGTATGTGTTCTGGTTTGTTAGCAAAGACTTGACAAAGACGTATGTAGACTCACTTTGACGTTGTTCATTTCTAGAATTTGCTGCTGGTACGCCGTCTGGGCCTTCGCCTTCCCATGGTCGAACGAGCTCTCCATCTTCTTGCGCTTTGCCTCGACCTCCTGGCAAGCCCCGTCGTATTTCCCTTTGGCCTTCTTCAGATCACTATAAGACGAGTCCCTCTCCTTCTCGAGTTTCGCATGAAAGTCCACATGGCACTTTCGTAGTTCTTCGTACTGCGTGGCCGCCTGTTTCAGCGGCTCGGCCACCTGCGCGACCAGGTCGTTGGCAAACTGATCGCGCTCCGAGGCATGCGACTCGACGGCGGTCAATTGTGTGGTCCAAGTAGTGAGGGAGGCACTTTCGAGGGACCCCGGCGTCATGCTGGGGGTGTCGCCCACACTCAACGTGCTGATTTTCTTCGCTTTGCGATCATAGTATTTTTTGCACAGCCCGGACAGCTTGGCTGCGTATTCCTTCTCGATCGCGCTGCGTTCCCGATAGAACTGTTGTATCTCGTCCAGCCATGATATACCATTAAACACCTATTCCTCCAGTCAGTCTATCGCGAGTCGGGATGCGGTTGCGACGGCAACGACGGCGACGTACCCAATTGTTGACGGGTTTGAAGGCATCCTATCCTTGTTAGCAAGGCAATCTGAAACAATCTGGATCGATAACAAACCTTCAATTCGGCCCCAAAGTGAGGAGCGGCTTCAGCTGCCATCGTCGGAATCAGTGCGGCGCATGCGACCTTCCAATGTGAGACGACGGAGATTAGGCTGCAGGATACGGGTCAATTCGGACGCCGTACCTCGACGCGTAGACAGGAAAAGCACTGCAGACCAGGTGATCGGCGCAGGAGCACTCCGTAGATGTAATTAGAGATCAGAGAAATCGATAGAGCGCTTCTGCGATGCGAGATCAAGGCAACAAGCGGGGAAGTGACAATACCGAACCCCTTGTCAGGCCACGTTCCCCTTGTTTGGGGGTGTTTGGCCCGTTTGTCTCCCCGGCGGGCCCTCCGATTCGCAGCGACGTCATCGCTATGCTCCTTCGGGCACTCAGGCAAACATACGCTGCCGCGGTGACGATACCATACGCCCACCGCCTGCCGTTCCGGGGTGCCCAAACAGGACTAGCGCCGTCCGGGCGGTTGGCTCGATTTTTTGGAGTCATGAAGTCTTCGGTTGCTCTCGTTGCTACAGTCCAGCCATTGCTGCAGCTTTCTGATCTCTTCTGGAGCTCACCTTAGACTTCCGCTTCCTCCTTTCTCATCTTTCACCTGCGTGTCGTCCACTCCCCCCGGACCTCCCGCTGATCCCGCCTCTCTCTGATCTCTTTCAACTTACCCCGCCGTCCCTCTTTCTTCCTGGGCCATCTACTGCGCGTCCGACGAGCGTCTTTCCGTTTCCTCTCTCTCGTCGTCATTCAGATTGAAACACCACCATGGCCTCCGAACAGCCTACCGAAGCTCCCTCCGGTGGATCTCTTGCCGATCGCGTTTCCAAACCCGAGGAGTCGCAGACCGGTACGTGTTTGTTATGAAGCTTCGCTTTAGTCTACAAGTCTGACCATTTCAGAACAATCCACAGACTGGGCCGACCAGACCGACCAGACCGATGGCGCATCTGGGCAACAGGGCGGCTCCGACCTGCACGAGCCCGAATACACCGTGGAGGTCAAGCTGAGTGATCTCCAGGCCGACCCCAATAACCCTTTGTACTCGGTGAAGAATTTCGGTGATCTCGGATTGTAGGTGACAAGCTTTTGGAAACGTCGCGCATCCGATCACAGCTAATGCGACACAGAGACCCTCGCATTCTGCAAGGTCTATCCGCCATGAACTTCCGTAAACCCTCGAAGATCCAAGAGCGAGCTCTTCCCCTGCTGCTCAGCACCCCCGCCAAGAACCTGGTCGGTCAGTCGCAGTCCGGTACCGGAAAGACGGCCGCCTTCGTCCTGAACGTCCTCAGTCGCCTGGACCTTTCGTCGGAACAAATGCAGAAGACTCCCCAGGCGCTGATCTTGGCTCCCACTCGAGAGCTGGCGCGCCAGATCGTCGGCGTCGTCCAGGTCATGGGTCAGTTCTTGGAAGGCCTGTCGATTGGCACCGCCGTGCCTGCGGATAGCAACAGTCGCGTCGCCCGGATGGAGTGCTCCGTCGTCGTCGGTACTCCGGGAACCGTGATGGATATGGTCAAGAAGCGCATCATGGTGGCCAACAAGCTGAAGGTGCTCGTTCTGGACGAGGCCGATAACATGCTCGACCAGCAGGGTCTGGGTGACCAGTGCATTCGTGTCAAGGCGTGAGTTGCCCTGCGCCTCTTATATGGACCGTACTAAGTTCAATAGACTTCTGCCGAGAGACATCCAGGTCGTTCTCTTCTCCGCCACCTTCCCCGAACACGTCCACGCCTACGCCTCCAAGTTTGCCCCGAACAGCAACGAAATCACCTTGCAGCACGAGGAGTTGACCGTGGAGGGCATCAAGCAGCTGTATTTGGACTGCTCGAACGATGACGACAAGTACGCGCATCTCGTCAAGCTCTACGGTCTCCTTACCGTGGGATCTTCCATCATCTTCGTCAAGGTGAGTAGTCTCTTTCCGATGGTTTGTCCGCTCTAACAATGTAGACCCGCCAATCTGCCGCCGAAATCGAAAAGCGCATGGTCGCCGAAGGCCACACGGTTGCGTCGTTGACCGGTGGTATCGAGGGTTCGCAGCGTGACTCCGTCATCGATGAGTTCCGTGCCGGAAACGCCAAGGTGCTGATTACGACCAACGTTCTCGCGCGAGGAATCGATGTGTCCACGGTTTCCATGGTCGTCAACTACGTAAGTCGTTCCTTAGATTGCCAGGACGCGATGCTGATTGAATAGGACATCCCCGAATTGCACCAGCCCGGAGCTCGCCAGCGCCAGGCCGACTACCAGACCTACCTGCACCGTATCGGTCGTACCGGACGATTCGGCCGTGTCGGCGTCTCGATCTCGTTCGTGTCGAACCGCGACGAGTGGGAAATGCTCAACCAGATCCAGAGATATTTCAACACCGACATCCAGCGGATCGACACCAATGACTGGGACGAAGTGGAGGACATCATCAAGAAGACGATCAAGAACACCCGTGCCCAAGCCGGTTTTGGGCGGTAAACGGACGCATCGCGGGCCAATGACGGAATGAGAGGAATCCGATTGCCAACTCAGAGCATCGCTCGTGCCTGCATGCGTTGGCTCACCGACTCGACGCACTTTCAGACGAGGGGCAATTTGGACTTGCTGTTGTGTGCTTTTATGCGTGAAGAAGTTATGATCCGATGCGACCAGGTTTGCGAGAAAATAATAGATACCAATTTACTTGAGTTGTCGGAATGACCGTGTACTTAGTGCGGGTAGTAGTGGCTGATGGCTTGAGTTTATCTTGTTAATGCCAAGGGTGGAATCTAGAAGCGCCCGATTGATGAATCCAGACTCAGGATCTCTTCCTCTTGTGTTGATTCGGGAAACACCCGAAGCTGTTCGGCCTGATTCCCGAGGCACTGAGGTCATGCGTGAGGGGTTCAAACCAGGCAAACCGACTGACCCCGCCCCCTTCTCTCCTCATTCCATCGTAGTCCAGAGGACTGAGTTACACGGAGTGGAGGTGATTTCTTCATCTCTACGGAGTAGACATTGGGAGACCCAAGTGCATCTGCAATTGACTGCAAGACAAGGTGATTCAGATCATATGAGGGATATATCCAGACCCCTACCAGACCCCTAGCAATCACCAATAGGGCCACCTCGTAGGTTTGCCTGCCTGAGAATGGATACCTAAGGACACTCTACCGGTCACATGCCGCATTCCCTCCTTTTCTTCTCCTCTTTTGCCTGCAACCTTCTTTCTCCTCCCTTCTTTGTTATCCTCCCGATCTTTGACTTCCTTCTCTACCGTACCTCCTGGACCCTGTACTAGAGAGGTCAAACACCATGGACTCCTCGACTACTCAAGCTCCTGCTCCGCCCAATTCGCGGTACAGTACCCATATCGTGGTATGTTCCGGTTCTCCACACCCCCGCTTGACCACCCATCTAACCGCCCGTAGTTGACCACCTACCCCGGACAAAGCGGCATCGACCCCGTCCCGCTGGAATGGGGCGCCCCCGACGCCAAAAGCCGTGGCCCCGTCGTGGTCTCCCGCAGCGGCACTCTGCTGAAGCGACGCAACGCCATGGGCGCCCACGGCGGCAGCTACAGCATCTATAACGCTCTGGCTATCGCTGCGGGCGACCTGGACTCCGACTTCCGCCCGGACTTCCGCAACAGCGAGCCTACCTTCGACTTCCCGCGCCAAGACGCCTGGGGCGACAAGAAGAAGATCGTCTCCATGGATCCCTGGGGCCATGATATCGTCAACCAGTTCCGCGACGAGCTGGACAAGGGCTGGGACATCCGGCCCACTATGGCCGTGACTCGCGCGAATATGAAACTTGCGGAGATCGCCGAGGCCGTGCGCGATGGCGATTTAGACGTGGACGGATCGATCGTGGTCGATGGGTCGGGTGAGGTCCGCGTCACGAAGGTCGCCGTCGAGCCGGTGTGGTATCTGCCAGGCGTGGCGGAGCGGTTTGGCGTCGACGAGCCGACCCTGAGGCGGACGCTGTTTGAACATACCGGCGGTAGCTATCCCGAGTTGATCACGCGACCGGATCTGAAGGTCTTCCTGCCGCCCATCGGTGGCCAAACTGTGTATATCTTCGGACCACCCGAGCGAGTGTCCGATGAGAAGGTGAAGCTGGCGCTGCGCATTCATGACGAATGTAATGGCAGTGACGTGTTCCAGTCTGATATCTGCACCTGCCGGCCGTACTTAGCGTTCGGTATCCGTGAGGCTATTCGCGAGGCGCAGAGCGGTGGTAGCGGCGTGGTGATTTATTTCCGGAAGGAGGGCCGCGCGCTGGGTGAGGTGATCAAGTACTTGGTGTACAATGCTCGCAAGCGCGGTGGCGATACTGCTGATAAGTACTTCACTCGAACGGAGAACATCGCCGGCGTCAGAGATGTAAGTGGGTTCCTTGGTTGAGGGACGTTGCTAATGTTAGTAGATGCGCTTCCAAGCTCTCATGCCCGACATTCTGCACTGGCTGGGCATCAAGAAGATTGACCGCATGCTGTCCATGTCGAATATGAAACACGACGCCATCGTGCAGTCTGGAATCGAGATCAAGGAGCGTATACCCATCCCGGAGGATATGATTCCCAGCGACTCGCGGGTGGAGATCGACGCGAAGATCAACGCGGGGTATTTCACCACCGGCAAGAACTACACGATGGAGGAGCTGGCCGATGTGAAAGGACGAGGATGGGAGAAGTGGGAGGATGTGACGGTAAGTTCCCTATCATGGTGTTCTGATGGAGGCTAATTTCGCAGCATTGAATGGCACGATGATTTGGCAGGGATATGGACATCAAGAGGGACAATATGGACATCAAGAGGGACAATATGGACAATGCATGTAGGCAAGTAGAGCAGACGAGAAATGAGAAACGACGCATGAAAGTATCCATCCATTCAGAACAACTACTCCACTCGGCAGTGCATCCGATGTCGATAAGATCGCTTCGGCTTTTCTTCCCGAGGCGGATACTTTTCCTTCCCCGCACCGACTGATATAAATAATGACTGCCCCTCTACTGTGATCCCTCGATTATCTATCATCCTGCACATACACAAGCTCCCTCTCATCACATCTCCTTTCTACAGATATCTCCAACCACCAAAATGGGCTCGCAATCCGCCTTCCCCCACGTCCCCGCCCCCGGCGTCTGGTGCCCCGCAATCACCTACTTCGACCACTCCACCGATGAGATCGACCTCGTCTCCCAAAAGAAATACTACTCCTACCTCGCCACCACCAGCCTAACAGGCCTGGTCATCCTCGGCACAAACTCCGAAGCCTTTCTGCTCACGCGCGAGGAGCGCCGCGCCTGCATCGCCGCCGCCCGCGAGGCCGTCGGCCCCTCGTACCCCCTCATGGCCGGTGTCGGCGCCCACTCCACCAAGCAAGTGCTCGAACTGATCGACGACGCCGCTGCCGCCGGCGCAAACTACGCCCTCGTCCTGCCCCCGGCCTACTTCGGCAAAGCCACCACCATGCCCGTCGTCAAGCGCTTCTTCAAGGACGTCGCAGCCAAGAGCCCCCTCCCCGTCGTCGTCTACAACTTCCCGGGCGTCTGCAACGGCGTCGACCTCGACTCCGAAACCATCACCTCTATCGTCACCGAGAGCGCCGCCTCCCACCCCTCCGGCCGCAGCAACGTCGTCGGCGTCAAACTCACCTGCGCCTCTGTCGGCAAGATCACCCGTCTCGCAGCCACCTTCCCCCGCGACCAGTTCGCCGTGTACGGCGGACAATCGGACTTCCTGATCGCGGGTCTGAGCGTCGGCTCGGCGGGGTGTATTGCCGCGTTTGCGAACGTGTTCCCCCGCGTCTCGGCGAAGATATTTGCGTTGTGGGAGGCCGGGAAGCGAGACGAGGCCATGGAGTTGCAGCAGAAGGCCGCGTTGGCCGAATCGCCGTGCAAGAGCGGTATTGCGGCGACTAAGTATGCCACGGCGGTGTTCACGGCCCCGAGGGCGGGTATTGAGGATGCCGAGCAGAAGTTGAAGCCCAGGACGCCGTATGAGGAGCCGGCGGCTGCGGCGAAGGAGGGCGTTAAGAGTATTATGGGGGGTGTGGCGGTTTTGGAGAAGGGTTTGTAGTTTGCATGCCATGATTATAGATTTAAAGGAGATATGAAAATATTATACACATGATGACTTTTCAATAGCTGGTTCATTGTACTCACTCGGACGACCTGTATGATTAAAACATGATAATAAGTTGAGCGAAAGATCATAAGTCGATAAACGAGCATAAATAAGTAAATCGAACTGTGTTCAAAACCCCCCTCCACCCCCCAATAATGCTTCCTTTGCTTTTCCCGCAATCGCGGTGAAGATCTTTTGCTAAGTAACAACGAAAATAAGACAGGAATCGATGGGGCAGACAACGCGATGGCAGAATACCAAGATTAGAGCAATAGGTACCAGTAAAGAACCACTGAGAATCGATAGCTGTATTCGCATGTATAGGCTTACGCATTGAAGCACCGCCAATATCGACGACGAATAACCACCAAGGAAAGAATAAAGAAGAACGAACGCCGAAGAGAATCATCATCATCAAAGGCATCGGGATCAAAGTAGAACAAGCGTCAATCACAACGTTATAGGCGACGATCAGAACGCAAGAGCGAAAGAGGAAGAACCTGTCAAGGGGCGTTCAGAACAACAGGGGCGTCGAGGATAGTATCTCGGGTATTCGTAAGGCCTCCAATCGAGGCCAATCTTTATTTCAGGAAGGCGATCCGTCCTTTGTATAGCTCGTTTTCATGAACGAGTCGAGTCCAGTGAGCCGTAAGTTGCACGTTGTTGTCTTTAGAATACTCTTTTCATCCGAGGGTACGGATTTGATCACGGAGGCTGTTGATGTTATTTAAATTAACCGTAGCTTCGCTTTGATTGTCTTTCTGGCTGCTGTTATCATAGCCCGGGTATTTGAAGGCGTCAAAGTGACCAAGATCGAGGAAACGGCACATATAGAAGGCTGTAGATCTGGCAGCCCTGGTTGCTGTGGCCAGGTAGTTACTTGTTCAAAAAGAACTGTAGAACCTGCGCTTAGTATTAATGTAGCCAGTTAGTCTCCTTTCCAATCACTTCCGTATCATACTTGAGCTCGTTATCCCGAAGATCGCCATCCTTCGAAAAAAACCGCGGTTGACGACCGAGTTCTTCTAGATTGCCTGTCAAGTGATAGTCTTGGGTAAATCGCGATTCTCGAACACAAGGTGAGCCTTTGATATTTGCTGTATAAAAATCATGATCATGACGCTTGATGTTTTGCAGCCGTTTAACCAGATGCAGACGGGAGTTTCCTCTATCGAAGATCAATGCTTGGTGATAAGGGCGTTTTGGCTATCCTTTGCGGTCTGGGTCAACGTCACATTAAGCCAGGACGGGTGACTTTTTGAAGAAGAAAATCCCACGCCACGCTGTGCGCTAGCGCAGACAGAAAAGCAGCAATGTATCCTTGCAGATTCCGTATAGGATTCGAAGTATATGAGTGTGACTTCGTATTTGCTTAATTTTGAGTCAAGATCATGTAGGAAATGACGCAAAGTCTCGCTGTTTTTCGGATTATTTCCGGGATATAAACCGGGTATTCCTTATCACTGATGCACATGTTGGCTGCGGTATGGTGACAAGATTTGCTCATCCATGTAAAAGTCGATTGTTGAATAGGTCTTGGGATCATTGACTCTGAGTCCATGGGCCAAATCTGTATTTTAGTGTCTTTTTGTCAATGGGATGGAACCGCACCTCAATACTACCTCTCTGTGCATGCCGTGCAAATGCCGATGATGCATTAGGGCGCGTGAGAAAAGTGACACGCTTCTCAAATGTTACTACACTTGCAAAATATGTGTATGGCGTGGATGTATTCTCAACCTTTCCCAGTACCATATCACTGATGCATTGGGGTCATTTTGAAACTTTGGCGATATATTCTCCGGTAATTCCGTTCCATGTTGGTCAGGCGCACCGAGACTTCGTACCTCTTTTAGAAACAGCATGCTTTTGTGGCGAAGGAGAGCTTTCTCCTCGCTTGCTTCCATGTTGTCTTTCCTGAGGCTTGCCTCGCTAGTTATTCTTTCTGGGCATATCGGCGCTCGTGGAGACTGTCACACAATACTAGCTGTATCTCATATAGACGACTTAAGGAGCCACAGCCTAGGGTCGAGTAGCTGGTTCACTGTGGCATAGATCCGGTTGGCGGTGACAGGGTCTTCGTCAGTTACATCCCAGTCTGGTGCGTCATCCTTGTTCTGCAACTCAAGCAGGTCGCTGCTTAAGTCTCCCATATAGTCAATACCCCCTTTATGCGCAGTCTGCCTTTCTCGAGGCATCCCTTTATAGTAAACGGGCCGGATTGCGGCCACGACAGTCGGGCTTTTAGGTATAAGGCCCGGAGAGTGATATGCCTTCCAGGCCAACATCCAGGCGCGTAACTCATCCATAGAGTTCAGTCTCGGTGAGTGGCGGCTAGAGAATGCGTGCCTGAATAGCAGCTGCTTGCAACGAACCCTGTATTAGGATTTAGCGTCCACATGATGGGCTGGCTGTTTCTGGCTTCCTGGGGGCGCCTTTCAGTCGCGGATGGTATAGGGCGTACGTTCTGCAGTAGACAGGATTGGGTTGATGCTCATAATGTTTGATCCACTCTCCCTGATCGCTCCTCGGACTTCGTCAAGCCGGTATTCTTGAAGTCGATATGTCCGCCACACAAGCATTCCGTGGGGAATTAGATCACTGTCGGCAAAAGGCTGCAGTTTTGTCTGCCTCTTTTCCACAAATCCGTTCCCGTAGTGCGTAATTGCCTTTTTTTCTTCTCCGACGCGTAATGACATTCGAACTGCTGGTGTTACTTCAATTTCCTCTTTGAATAGCTCCAGGAGTTGCCTTGCTAGGATCGTATTGTTATCTTGGAGATTGAGCGCCATGTTCATCGCTGGTTTAGGGTATGTAATCAGCCTGTAGTCCTTATTGTGATGAAACCCCAGGATAATGTCATTATGTGCTCCCTTGTTGTTAAGCTGATCAAATTTGTAAGCCCTTGTCTGCTTAAAAGTAGTTTCTTTTATTATTGTTGTTCTTCCTTCACCAGGAACTTTGGAGTTGCATAACGCTTTTGCACAGATACCCCAGCTTCCCGGTAGGTTGGATATTGCTTCTTTTTTTTTGCTTCCTTACTCCTAGGGCATTGGTCGACACATGTGCTTGCCGGTCGAACAGCGCTCACATGCCTTAAACGCGTGCGATCCAAGGCATTCAATCTCGGGGTTGTTGCCCAGTGCTTTCGTGCGTCGAGAAGTCAGCGATGCTGGCACTACTATGAGTGTTGGTTTTGGTTTGGGTGGCTCTACCTCGTCCTCCGTAGCCTGTCTTGCTTCAATACTAACAGATTTGATAAATCTATTTGTGGTGATTCACTCGTCCGAGTCAAAGCGTTCAAACACTCCGGCCTTCTGGGACCAATTGAGTAATAAGCCCTGGCTAAGTCGCTGTACAGATAGTCGCCTATCCTGTCATACCGCTGATTATCGGACTGTACTAGACTCCCGGGTATCTGCGGCATGATCTGTAGACGGCTTTAAGCACGAGCTTGCTTGCTCTACTGTCCACTGGATGTTCGCTGTCTGCCTTTCCCTGGACAATCTCCTCTAATTTCCTCTCGATTTGAACGTGCAACCCGCTTTTACAGGCAGCCTGGAACTCACCTGCGATCTGTGGGATGGCTTTGCGAGTATTATTCCAGTCTAGGTATCTCTCGATGGATAGTGCTTGCCTCAGAGTCCAGACGTTCTGCTCGTGTCGCTGGCCCAATCGATGGACACGTCCGGCGGCCTGCCATAATGTATTCATATTGCGAGGCGTTTCAGCGACCACGACACGGCTGCAATTATGATGCAAATTGAGCCCGTAGGCACCGACGTGGAAAGTTACCAAGAGAACAGCGATTCCCGAATCGGAGGCGTCGAAGAGGTGCGCGACCTCCTCGTTCACAATCTTTTCCGTCGTGATTTATCTAAACCCGAAACCTCGAGGGCAAGAACGGATCCATTTGTCTAACGAAGATTGTCTCATCGTACCCACCAGCGTAATCATTGGGACTTATTGATAAGGGACTCAAGGGCGTATCAGGGAGACCGCAGCTATCTTCTGCTCCCAACGGACTCTTGGGATCATTTTGTTAACGGGGATAACTTTTGTATCAACGGCATCTGTCCGGGTGGCAACTTCTTGTTCGCCAGGACCGCTTTTTTCAACAGCGTGGCTTAGTTACACAGCGTCGTTTTTCAGGCACAGTCTAGGGGCAAAGTGTATGGGGCGATCCTAAAGCGCAGGCTCGGCGACTGTGCGTATGAGTACGTGGTCCGCACAGACCGATTGTTATAGTCGGTGGGAGCCTGGGGATGTGCGGTGGCTTGGACTCGCGCAGGAGAACTTTGAGCAAGCTATCATGGGTTCATGGTTACAATGTTTAATGGAATCATTGGGTGGAAGTCCACATACTGATGTTGGCGCGGCCAAGTTGCTGCCAGGGATGGGGGTTGCAGGACGGCTAGAGTAGTGCGTGTATGGGCCAAGTCCGGGTTGGGCGTCTCAGATGAAGCCTTCTCAACAGAAAGGAGCAAAGTAGAACGAGTAGGGTCCCAAGCTTGACCGAAAGTGTGACAGTCCTCAGGCTTTGCATTCGCATATGTCTTCATGCCCCGAATTTTGAAAAATGTTTGCTGTTTCTATGTAAGGGTTGTTGAGTCTTTCCTTGGTTGACTCCCCAATGATAAGGCATCAGGGACGACACTGCTGTACTGGAGACCTGATGCACCAGTGTTAGTGGACACATTGTTTGTGATGTCCGTGATCCCTTGTTCGAGAAACAGTACATGGGTAAGCTTCTCAAGCAGGGTTGGTTTCATCAAGGGAAACTCCTGCACTATCGCACATGGCCTTTGAATCGTAAATCGTGTTTCCGGTACTCGTGACTATCAAGCTGCATGGTAATTCTATCGTAACAGCGCCTTTCGTTAGCAGGAGGTTTGACAATCAATACCTCAATGTCTTCGAAATGTCAACCTGACACCACGATAAAAGCCCATATAAATAATTGATGTTTCTTCTAATAGAAACAGCATGTTGAGGAGGTGCCACATTTCGAACCCAGTACAAAATATAAGAATAGACCGCACCAGTTTGACCGGGTCTTTCTCCTTTCCATGTCTCCCGCTGTCCATGAACACATTTCTTTAGCCTTGCGTGCTCTCCGCATTCCATAAAGAGTTTTCTTGGTTAATGCGTACGACCCATTGCCAAAAGTCTTCTTCTTTAGTCCACAGGGGGAAGCAACACTTTGCGAAGTGACGACATCCATGGGAATACCTGACATAACCGTATGCCAATGGAAGATCATGAAGTGCCTGATTCATCGATACTAGAAGGATCGGCTGATTCCTTATGCGTATTTGGCCAATTTGCTCGACCGTCTTGTTTGTTGTGCCTGGTCAGTCGTTCGTATTTGGTGCTTGCGCTCCATTTTGCAGCTTTCTCTTTTTTTATTAGCTGCTTTGCGTTTGTTGTTCTTTGGGTTATTTTTTCTTCAATATCGCACGACCTGACGTAGACACCAAGAAGTCCGGAGAATGAATTGGCTGCCCATGATCTTTTAAAACTATGGGTAGTACGCCTTGCGGTGTGGTAGAAGTCCTTTCCTTGAAATTGGCTGAACCGAATCTCAGCAGGCTCCATGACTGCAAGCAGTATGAATCAGGAGCACGACATGTCGCGAAAAGTTTGCACATAGGGCAAAGTAGGGATGCCAATCCAATCTCTGACCGAGCCCAGTAACAGATGGAGGGTCGGCAATCTGGACCAAAGAGCAGCGTGATAGACTCGACACTTTTCGTTCTGTGTGACGAGTGGGTTCCGGAATCCGAATGTCTAGACAACCACTGTTTGCATATCACCTTAACCCATGTGTTGTTTTTCATGCATTTGCGTTTTGATGATTTTTCTCTTCGTGTCTTCGGTCCTTTTGGCGCATTGTCTGCGTTGCGCAATGTCCTCAAGGTCGGGAATCTTCGGTTATCTTGTTCCAAAACTCTCTCTCAATTTCCTTAGCGCTCTTGACCGCATAGGCGAGAGGCAATAACTGGATTCTCCAGCATTGCACCGTGTCTGAAATCTTCACCATCCGCCTAGTGGCAATGATACCACCTAATGTAACCCTTAATGGCGAGAAACACCGCTAGGGCGCCTGTCCTTGAACCCAGAGTGAGGTAGGGGACCGTGAGCTCTAGGGTCCACGGGGGTTGAGAAAGAAAGGTGGGAGCGAGGAATATCTTTAGGGCGCCTGTCGTTTAACCCAGAATGAGGGGGAGATTGTAATCTCTAAGGGCTAGCGGATTTATGGAAGTCTTAGGCTGGATCTCGAAGCGCATAACGTCCCCGGCAGCCTTCAGAAGCAAATACCGCAAGTGATTAACAGAGGAGACAGTCCTTACTAGCATCATATCCTGGTCCAGTGGGCAAATCTTTTTATATTTTGGGTGGAAACCACAGTCGTCCTTGAGGAATATCAGCTATTGCTCGTATGAAAGGTTGTTAGCCCAGATACGCTTATCGAGCGCCGGCATAATACTTCCGTGCATAAGGAGATAACGCAACGTCTATTTAATAAAGGCAGGGTTCTCTTAACAGCAGACTTGAATCTCGATGGACGGGATGTACGGCTGGATGGAGGTATAAGACGGAACAGCCGAGGAGGGCGCGGCGCAAGCATGATTGGCTTAGCCAGGCGCTTAAGATGATTTATTCTTAATCATATTGTTATTCTCGTCCCCGGGACTTTCTTTGTCGCGCCGGGGGCGCTTGCGCCTATCAGATATTAGGGATCAAGATCCCTTATTGTTGTTCGAGGACTTGTCGCTGTCAGACTCCGGCTTAAGCTGATCTTATGCCCGTCTAGCTCGCTTGCGCTTGGAGCGATGGGCTGACCCAGCATTATGGTTTAAATTAGGGCTTACAGTACTGGTACACAGTCGTCCCCTTGCCGATGACATCTTTTGGATGCCTTTGCGAGTGCAGCCTTTCCATTGCTTGCGGAAAGATAGCCAGCCAGCTGCTAGACCCCATTACGGCTCGTTGGGGCTCCTACCGTCCCTCTTACTCAGGCCCCTTGCATTAAACATTGAGAAACGGACCAATATCTCGGATCCGGATCCCAGACCGTGGGGTGGGTGGAGCGTCTCATCAGTCCTTCTTTTGTGGTCTCTTCTAGCATTGATGGAAGACCAGGTATTCTCCGATATTCGAGCGGTTTGGTCTCTGTCTGAATCTTTCGGAGCCAATTTAAAAGCCTCTTCCTAGGCAGATTGACTCAGACTTGGCGCTTTCTATCGGGCCACGGCCCTTCCTTCTTCCCCCGTTATTTCCAGTCACCACGTGCCATCTTGCCGGCAAAATAAGAAGCACTCCCTCATACTGAGGGTGTTGTTATTGGCGATCTGACGGTAACTCAGACCGGTGTTTGACTGCCAACCACTCAGTTGGTAAATTCAGCTGGGTGCTTGAGGGGCCGGGGGTGGAGGCTGCGCTTTGCCAGAGAACGAGTGGTTATAGGCATCGAGGGTAGGATGTACCTAGGTGCCAGATAGGGAGCGTAGATATGGTACGGAACCTCTTGCTCGCACGTGATTGTTCCATACTCGCTTCTTCTTCTGGTCTTCAGCCCCGATCGTAACGCCTGCTGCACTATCGAGTATGTCATCGTCGGTAGGGGATGAGACCGTATATAAAACCGTCTATCTTTTATAAGAGTGGCAGGTCCTCTGCACTGTTCTCTATCTGTGCCTTCGGAGGTAGCATGTGTTCCACGCCGGTTCGTGAGCTTTTTCGTGGGCAATATCATGAACCCTCTTTTCTTCGTTTGTGATGAAGTACCCTTGAAACAACACTGCAGTGCACTACTTCAGTTTATCGATGTCTTGTCCTGCCATGCCAAGTTCATAGTTCAAACCTTGTTGCGGGCCCTGGTAAATCAAAATTTTTATTCTTGAGCCCATGAAATCGTCCGGGATAACCATCCACCACCTCGCTTTCCAATAAATAAGATCCCGAAGACAGGTGGTATGTTGTTGCCATATCCTGATATAAAGTCGTGCTATTACTGGAGGTCGAGGAAGGGAGTCTTGCTCTGTACAGAGGACTGATCTTCTGGTAAATCTTCTTACTTTTAGCCCATCTTAGAGCATATATCAACGCAAACCAAATCTGTAGATTGTTGAAATATGTTCGTCAGGGGTAGGTGTCGATGATTCACCCATAACAGCCTATAGAAAAAGCACATTTCGGTTCTTGGGATATCGGTCTCTCGAAGCAACAGCCACTGTGAAAACTGCACCCGCAGTATCACAGATTCCACGATGAAATAGCCGCTCAACTGTTACTGGAAGCTTCCTGGACTGTTCCTTTCAGGCTCGTTCATGGCTCTGGGGTTTCGTGTATAGCATCCCGTGGTCCCTGATTGTTTGGTCTCCGGGGCAAGGCCCATTCGAATATGTGGCTGGCTCTTCACCCAGTGGGAGACGCGGATGCTATCAATGCCCTTGAGAAATTGACGGTACTTCCTAGGGCTTTTCCTAGCATGAGCGATTATTCTCTCGACATCATCATATGGATGGGTCTTGTTGGCGAAGAGGTGCGTGTGAGACTCCGCCCTACCTCGCAGACGTACAACTTTGTGACTTCCGTATTTGTTGAATTCAAACGATACCATCAACTGCCACAATACCGCGTCACCAGCTACATACGTCGGCGCTAGGTAGGGCGGCTAATCTGGCCTTTCCTACCGACACATGCAGGCGCAGGATCTGCGTGATAAGCATTGTAGCTGCCCCTGTTCCACTTGTGGTGATTTCAAGGTTGTTTCTCGACGCTAGCATTTACGTTTTGTGTGGCCAGGCGTCTTTTCATTTGAGCTGCAGAAGTCTTGCACCAACGTAAAGCGCGAATAGAAGGCCTCTGTAGTAGCCAGTTATGCTCTTTTCTTTTCTTTTTGGCGTGCTAGGATATTCGAGTTGTCTAGTATGCTCTGCTGATGTTTTGCATGTGGTATTTAACCCAGGTAAAGTAGGCTCCGGATTGGGTCTTGCAGCTATAGTCTGCTCAGCGACTGGCGTTTTGTGCATTGCTGAGAGGAGATAAATATACCGGCGGTAGATGGTATCCTTCAAGCCGCGGCAGTGATAATGTGTGGAATTCTATTAAAATACCCAGACGCGGACGATATCGTCAGCCAAATATAACAGCTTTTTGCAACCTTTTCCCGTACCGCGAATTGATATTGGGCCCCTAGCCTAGGTCGGGATTCGCACAAAGCTCTATTGTGAAACGATGTTCGAAGATGGTCCATCTGTTCAACCCCTCAATTTTCTGGTCCTCGTCGTTATACCGATGACGCATTTCAATGTATAACTGGTGGATCCCAAAGTGGCCACGGAGGTTGCGATGTTTGTACTCCGGCCGTCGTCATGGTAATTGCTATGGTTTTAATGGAAACCTATCCAATTGGAATTGTGGTTCATGAAAGGATATCGGAGGCCTGTAACTACCTCTTCCATACACTCTACAACGAGCATATCGATGATCTGGGCGTATTTTGGCCTGTGGGCCTGCTTTTAGCACGACTTTAGAAAATGCAGAGTCGAGGAACCAGCTGTTCATTTGTTGCAGTATGGACTTCTGTCGGCATGATTCGCCTGAAGGACCAAGGCAAGAACATCAAAGAACATGCGGTAGTGGGACCGTAAGCGCGGCTAGAGCAAGCTTGTAGCTGGAACTTTTCCTCGGTCACTGAAGTATGTTGCTTTGCCTGCTTCGTGAATGTCCACGGACAGAGTCGGTAGCCAAAAGAGTTTCACGCTAGATTCTTAGTCAACAAATGTGAGTCAAACGCCACGGGATATGTCCATACTTGATATGATTAAGGAGCCCACTCAGCGAAGGTCTTCTATGACTAGGCATATGCCTCCCACTGGCTGGGTGAGAAGCAGCGGTTTCAGCTCACCGCTGTGCTGATCGATTGTATCAGTCTTTCTTTTGAAAGAGTGTCTTTGGATGTTGCATGCAGAATGGATGATATAGGACAGGAAGCCAAGCACTATATATCCTTTGCAGGCTGATATCATGTAGAATGGATGATATAGAACAAAATGTCAAGAATGATGGGCTCTGTGGAGGTTGAAGAGGTTGAGAATTCTAGGACGAAGGGGAAAAAAGAGAAGGCTTTTATGGAAGGCGAATTCCAGGATTTTGGGAATGAAGGGACTCATATTCACAGCTGGAGGCTCAGATTTACTCTTCCCATGGCTGATTCACTGCATCCATAGAACGATTGAATTCCTATACTCTAGTGAATGACGCTGCAAGGAACAGAAAGAAAGAAACAAAGAAATAAAAAAGAAGAGGGGGAAGGCGAGGAAGAAAGAAAGACAAACGAAAGTCTCAAAATTGGAAAAGAAAACCTATCTTCTAGAGCATCATCTCAACCAATATAAATCGGCATCTTACTATTGCACCACTCCGCCGGGATCAACTTGTACGGTCTACCTCCTGCACGAGCCGGGTTCTGAAAGACATGCGAGCGATTGAAGATCAACGCTCGGAAAGTTAGAATATACCATGCCCCTTCGACACTCTCTTCGAAGTCCTGGATCTTCGATGCCAGAGGGGAGGTTTCAATCTGGTGAATCCGACTGGGACTTATGACGCGGCGGACGACCTCCGCTGCAATTGTGGGGGCATCGTCCATTTGGAGATTCATCACTGTTTTCTAGGTTAGCTTGGGAATTAAGGAGTTTGACGAAGAGGAAGGCAAACGGATAAGTACTTTGGCAGTAAATAGGCCCCTCCGGCCAGCCCATCTTCTCAAGACCGTACATTTTCACCGGCTTGCCCCGGGCTATATGATCGGCTGCTGAGCCCCAGATCTTGATGGCCTGGAGCATGTGTGACCGTACAAGTTCCTTGATTGGTTGACGATTTGGCGATGGGCGGTAGTTTGATTCAACTTGGGAGAGGACATCGTCGATGTCTTGGAGAAATTTCCGGGTCCATGCCTCCAGTCGCGTGGTACATTCGTTGTGGACTCGTGACATCGTCTCGGCGAGGACTACAGGGTCTGCTTTGTCGACTATAATTGCTGGCTCGAAGGCTCCGTGGATCTGTTTGGGAATCTCCTGCCATCGGTCCCATATCCATATTGCATTTTCTCGCACATCTGGGGACGAGGCGCTGTCTTTTATTTCCTTCATGCGTTCACGAAATACTACGTAGCCTTCCATGACGTATAAAAGTCCATAGACAGCCGTGCGATGAGGCAAGCGGACGCGGATTAGTCGACAGTTTGGTAAAAGAAGACATGGCGAGATCAAAGACATAAGCTGGTCGAAGCCGGTCTTGTGTGGGTCGGACGTCTTGAAGCTGTTGTTCATGATTCGACGCGCCTTAGGATCTAGCGAGGCTATGTAGTCTAGACAATCCGAGTCAGTAGTAGCGAGGACGTCATTCAACCCAAGGCGCTGGTCGCCTGGGATGATGCCGAAAGCGAGTTTATCCGCAGCGGTAGTGGGAATCGGCATGAATGCGTTTGTGTAGGCAGATTGATTCCCGCGATCTGGTTCGTCGTGGAAAAATGTGATCAGCGTGCCTAGGCCTCGGATGTCGCTAGAGCTGATGATGTTGCCGTTGTCGTCTTGCGCCTGGAGGATCCCTTGTAGAGGGTCAACGGCTGTCCAGTCTAGACCGATACGATGGCCGATAACAAGTAGATCACCTAGGGAGATGCTGGCGAAGGGACGTAGCGCTTCAGGCCTACGAGGCTTAATGATTGGCTTTGTATGATGGAAGCAGACTTACGGCATGAAGTCCCATGCAAATTCGGTCACTTCGGCCGCTGGAAGTGTCAGCCATTCGGATTGAGAATCAGTCTTTAGTGCTGTGAACCATGCATTCAGATTCGATGAACTGAACTCCCAAGCTCTCGACTCGACATCTCCCGTCCCCTTCTTCTCGTTCACGAGGCCTAGTCTCTGAGACGTCAGACTTCCATAAACGGCACCTTGGTAGACTCTCAACTGTTCCAGAAGCACGAGCCACGACGCTCTCAGGGTTGGGGGAGAGCTGTCATGTCTCCGATCTAGCAGAAACCGCCATCTGTGAGACTTTCTATGTTCAAGGTACCGTTGCTGATTCGGCAGCTCGTCGCTTCCCACAAAATACCTCTCCTCCGGCAGCGCGGTTGGCGACTCCAACGACAGATGTGGACTTTGGTAAACGGTTTGAAATCGCAATTCTCGCGGAATAAATCGTTTCCTTGTACCTTGGGCCCAGGCGCCCATCACGGGCGATTGACATCGTCGGTACCCTTCTGCAGTCGAGATGTACTGCTGGGTGATTTGGCCGATGGCGACAAATAGTGCCAAGGACGAGATGGAAAGCGCGGCAGCTGCGATGATTGTGGCGGCGAGATCCGTCGCACTGCTTGACTCAGACATTGCTGACCGGGTTTATAGAATGATCAGCATTTCAGAGCCCTTGAGATGGAGCACATGGTTTTAAAGTATTTGGTAGCCTCGTTGTTGCAAGTCAACTGCTTGGCGTGGCAACCTAACACGAGAGGCTGTGCTCTCGTCGCTCTTATGATGACATTGGTGATACGATGATGCAGAGGATTGGACGGTGGAATCCAGGCGAGCGATGATCTTCGATGGCACAAATCACAATTGGCAGCTTTCATTCGATTTAGGGAGACCCCATTTCGTCATCGACCATCGCTTCTTTTCTTTCTTGCAATTTTTCTTTCATGCAGGCAGTTTTTGCCGGGAAACCTGTCACTGTATCATTTTATCCAACAATATATCTACAAGTCGCGCAAAAATATCATCAATCTCCTCGGAGTAGACGTCTCTTGTTGTCGGCATTAGCGGTGGATTCCAAGTGGATCATCCAATCTCACTCTCGATCCACTCATTAAAGGCGAAGTCCCCGATAAAGGAGGCAGAGACAGAGGCAGAGACAAGAATGATAAAATGACCTATAAAAATAATGAGTTACTCGATATTATCCTTGCTATTAGGAGCAAATCAAGTATCGAAATCCTCTCTTTATAACTTTTCGTACGGTCGGATCGATTCAGCCAAGTGTTTTTCTCCGCCTAGTTTTGAGGGTGAGAATAAGCAGTAGTAGTAAGGGACATTGATATACTTACCTCATTCAATTCAAAGAACCTTAAATTTAAGCTATGAGGTTTCTAATAGATCAACCTGTCTCGCGTTGGTGTTCTCATTCGAATTTGCATGTTCGTACAGTCGTACTCCGTGTTCTTATTCTCCCTCGCACTTACTGGTCAAAATCCTCTCGGGCCCACCGATAGCTTCACGCGATCGGTGATAAGATGTTTCAAGCAAGTCCCACGACTCCTTAATATCCATCATATTGCCCGCCTCATTCCCTTCTATTCGCGGGTTGACTCCGTTTCAGCTAAATGGACCTGGGCCCAGATCAACCCGTGCGATGGAATTTAAAAGGAAGGGTGTTCGCCGAAGCTGAGATTGATTTTCACCGCTCGTCATTCATTCTTTGGGGTCAATCCATTCGTTCTTTTTATACTTTTTATTTTCGGTTTCGGGTTGATTCCGTACACTCTTTTATTCTGTCAAAATGGTTTTTCTTCGCGACGCGGTTGCCCTGGCGGCACTTTCTCTCGCGACCTCCGTCCTCGGTCTGCCGACTGAGTTGACTTCTCGGGCCGATTCGACCAACCTGTGCGGCGTGCAGGACTATAAGATTCTCATGGGAACTCCCTGGATCGTGTACAACATGCTCTACAACAAGGACCAGATGGTCGGCACCCAGTGCACTGGGTATGACAGCACTAGCACGTCCAGCAGCGGAACCAAGGAGATTCACTGGAACAGTAAGACGGATATCGATTATGTCAAGGCCACGTGAGTTTGATACATCCTTTCAGTCATAAGGGTGATGCATTGACACGCGTAGGGACAATGTCCCCAAGGGATACTCGTTCGTCGGGCTCACTCAGAACCTCGAGACCAAGCTGTCTGCCATCGACTCGATCCCCGCGTCGTACAGCTGGACGAAGACGAACACCACTGCTTATAAGGGTATGATCTGGGCCTGTTAGATGGATGGTAGAGGTTTTCTGACAGACGATACAGGCAATGTCTGCTTCGATTTCATGACCAACGACAAGAAGGGCGACTCGACTTCCTCGTCCTCCCGCGAGCTGATGCTGTGGCTGCAGTATGAGGGCGGCCAGCTCCCCATTGGCTGGGCCAACGGTGCCGTTGCCACCGTCGACGACCTGTTTGGCACCTCCTGGAAGCTGTATGAGGATGTCAACGAGGACACTGGCATCACCGTTAGCACCTTGATGCCCGAGAAGCAGTTCGAGGGCGAGTTCACCGGTGACCTCAAGGACTGGCTACTTGCGCTTTCCAAGCTGGACCGCTTCACTACCTCCACTTATGTCAATGTTGGAAATGCTGGGTATGTCTTCGTCTCTTAAAATGGGGCTGTGCTGTGCTAACAAGTGTTACTCCGTAGAACCGAATTCTTCTACGGTAACTCGGTCATGAAATCCACTCTTTCTTTGCAGATTGATCTTTAAGTGGATCATTCGGTTGGGAAGGAGATTTCTCGGACTGCAATGAGGCATTTAAGACACTGATTGCATGGTGGTTGTGTCGGTGTAGTAGCTGTTAGCGGATTCAATTGCAAACTGGTAGCACCGATGATGTCACCGTCCGGTGCTCCTGGCCACTTCTTGGTAGCAATTTCAACCTGTCCCATACTAGCTGGGCGTTATGCCCCCCTAGGAAGGTCTGTAGAAAGTAAATTCTCCGAAACCCCTCTGGAGTCGCCGAGGGGGATCGTGGGGTAACAGGCTTTACGGTTACCCCGACAAAACCCCGAGCTCTCCTCCGTACTCTGCGCCAAGCGCGCGCATCCCCCACGCAAACATGCATTTACTCCGGAGCCATCATGGGGTAGTGTTGAATTCTACTCACTTCTTTCAAAGTCTTCAGGCTTCAGGTCGTGTCAGGTATCGGGATGATGAGGATGGATTTTGGTGTTGAGGCGCGGATTGCCGCAAAGATAAAGCATCATGAGATATTGGATGTCGGAAAATTGAGCAGCATCATGAGAAGTGGACATCGCCAACCCCGCTCTAAGGCAGACGAACAAAATAGTCCTCTTGCCCTAGATCTTAGGTCGGGCTCATTTCCCCTTTTGATTCTCGGCTTGCTCCATTCGCCCTGTTGCCAATGATGTAGCATCTTTTCGGCCTGACCAAGGTGCTTGACAACGGTAAATGTTTTGCCGGATGCCAGAAAATGTTATAAGTAGCACTTCCCCTCCAGGGTAGATGCAGAGAATGGAATTTGAAGCAAACCCAAAGCAGTTCTTCACCATGCTTCTTCAGTCGTTGGTTTTGTCTTCTCTGCTGGGCATTGCCCGAGCAGCCGATTACTCGGGGAGTCTTCGGCCTCAGGTTCATTTCTCTCCTCCCAGCGGTTTCATGAACGATCCGAACGGTCTTTTCTTTGACAGCAAAAGAGGCATTTATCATCTGTATTACCAATGTGAGTTGCCAAGCATAGTCATGGATATCACGCATGCTAACAGCATGTAGACAACCCCACTGAGACGGTAGCTGGAAACCAGCACTGGGGCCATGCCACCAGCGAAGATTTGTACCACTGGACGAATCAGCCCATCGCTATATCCCCCAGCAAACCCGACGAGTATATCTTCTCCGGGTCGGCCGTGATAGACAGCGAGAACACCTCCGGGTTCTTCCCGAACCAAACGGATGGCGTGGTTGCCATCTACACCGTGGATGCACCGGAAGCCGAGACGCAGCATATTGCGTATTCCACAGATGGCGGTTACACCTTCACGAAATACCAGGACAATCCTGTCATCGACAGCACGTCCAAAGACTTTCGGGATCCTCAGGTGACTTGGCATTCCGAGACCGAGCGATGGGTCTTGGCCATCGCGTATGCCGAAGACCTGGTCATCGGCTTTTACACGTCGCCCAATCTCCGGGAATGGACTCACGCCTCAAACTTCAGCCAGTCTGGGCTCCCAGGAACGCAATTCGAATGTCCCAATCTGGTCAAATTCGCCGTGGACCAGGAGTCCGGCGAGGAGAGCAAACACGTCCTGTTCATCTCGGTCAATCCCGGAGCCCCTCTTGGCGGTTCGGGCACTTACTATGTGGTCGGAGATTTCAACGGAACCCATTTCACGTCCGAGGATTCCCACGAAACATTGTATGATTTCGCCAAAGACAATTATGCCGCACAGTGGTTTTCGGGCCTTTCAGAAGAAAAATCCCCCATTTCCATCACTTGGGCCAGCAATTGGGACTACACCGACAAGGTCCCCACTGGCCCGCTTGAGGGATGGAGAAGCTCCACTGGCTTGCCACGAGTGCATTCTCTTATCAATCTCGATGGAAAGTGGACCGTCACTCAGGCTCCCTTCGAAGATCTGTCGCCGGTGAGAGGAAGGCAGCTGGCGCAGGAGCGTTTGGGGAATGACGAGGCAACCGTGGATTTCTCGGATGTGCAGTCCAACGCGATTTCGTTCAATGTGACCATCGAGGGGGTTGTGGCGTTCGACCCAGCTGGGCAGGTGAATTTCAATTTCACTTCGTCCTCTTCAGGCGAGTATCTCGACGGAGGGGTGGTGCTCGACACCGGTCGCTTCTGGATCAACCGGGCGGGAACGCGTGAGTTCACCCGCGCGGATAATGCCGATTTCACGTCTCTTTTCAACACCACCGTCTCCTCCAAGGGTGGTTCGTTCAGCTTCAGCGGGGTAATTGATCGGTCGGTCTTCGAGGTCTTTCTCGAACAAGGGGTCCAGGGAGGGAGCATGACCTTCTTCCCTACCGCGCCTCTGGATACCTTGACGATTTCTGCGGAGGGACTGGATGAACAAACTAGCGTTAGTCTGGATGTCTGGAATCTTAAGAGTGGTTGGGAGAAATGATCCGCATTTTATTCAATACTCCACCTTTGCAGGTTACATCAGAATGGAGTTGGTGACGTGGACGAGCGATGTATATATTTCAGCTAGAGTACGGGCGCGCGAGGTCTAGCTGCTGTAGTAGTAGCGGACCAGGTAGCGAGTCATTTGCAGATGCAGGTATGATTCAATGAGCAACATGATGTAGTCCATTTGATAATGTTCCTATGTACTCCGTAGTGCATTTCAATTGGATCTGCCGTCTTTGCAGGTCTCTGGACTGCGCATCTCCAGTCTGTCTTTCTCGAGTCTCTTCGAGGCGGAAATCGACGGCCCGTGATGTCACGGGATCCGGCGTCATTCTGCGACCTGATTGGACCTTCCGGGCGGAGAGTATTATTACTGGCGGTGACCAAACCAGGCCCCAAACGGTGCCTGAATCCGCCCCATCTGGTCAGGCCAGACGTCACCGCGTGACAATACGCCGTCCAGACCAGTCGGCTTGCCGGAAACCAGGACCCGCGATCATACGACGTTCTGCCGCCGAGCGTTGGCCGAGGCTCCCCTTCCATTCAGCCTCTGGAACCACGCAGCCAAACTAACGGACTGTCCGCCATGCATCCCCCTCTCTCCCTCCATCATCCACCCATCCACAGACACACAGACACTCCCATCCCTTTGTCCCGTGTCCTGGTCCCCTGTTGCTTCGCTGCAGTCTTTTCACTTGCGCCTCTTGACCCCGACCACACATTCCCAGGCGGAAGGTGCGGAATCAATAGTGGGTTCTCCCGTTCCATGTGAGAAGTTTGAACCACGGCGCTCGTTCGACCCAACCGCCCAACAAGTCTGATAAGATCTTAGCAATCAGGTAATCTTTTCCCTCGTCTCTGTTGCCCCTTGCAGCTCGCACACATTATGCCGTGAATCATCCCTGACCCCTCTTCAGGTCCTTTTCCCACGCTGGTCAATCATTCATCTGTTGCCCTTCCTTTTTCATCTTAGAATTTGCCACGCGAAAAATAGAGCAGCATTTTCCTTTTCCTAAGGAGGCGGGTAGACGCCTAAACCTTACTCCACAGTTCAACCTTTAGCCTCCTTAGCGCACTCGGTTCTGGTTGATCATCAGTCACCTTACAACTAAGCCCGCACCTAGCCGGGTCTTGGACTTTCTTCCTTTTCATCTCGCCAGGTACGCTGAGACGTGACTTCATCTGGATCAACACACACGAGGGGTCCTACATGCTTTCGACCTCATCATCGTTGACCTTGTGTTCTGTATAGAACGGCAAAATTGCTCATTCCCGCCAACCCCCCTCACCCGTGCGGTAACTCGCTGCGACATATCTCGCCTTTCCTTCTCCCGGCCAGAGTGCCTTGATGGTCTAAACCCAGGCCGCTGGACACCATGGCTATGCCCAACATGGGTAGTGATTTCCAGCTCTTCTCCCCCGACAGACGAGAGTCTCAGTCAGAATCAATGCCCTATTCCAAACCCGGCTCGGACGATTCGGGTCAGGATTGGACCCAGTGGATGAGATGGGATGACAACGCCTTCGCCGAATCCGCCAAGGAACTTTCTCAATCGCCTCTCGACTTCCCATTCACCTCGCCCAATGCTTCGGTTGGACAGCAAAGCATCGACATGTTCCCGAAGAGCGACTTCTCCCCTGACGTCTCCCTGGACTGCGGCAACTTCCCCTTCTATTCGTTTATGGGCCAGGATTCTGGCGAGGGACTGCCCTCTCAGACGCGATCCATTGGTGCGGCAGAGCTGCTGTCCGGAAACTCGACCACCTCGGGCTCCCCAATGTCGCTCGAAGGCGCCGTGAATCGCAAGCGCAAGTCCGGTAGCGATGACGACGGCTCGACTGTTAGCGGCGCTGTTCTCCCGAACGGCAAGAAAATGCCGGCCAAGAAACGAGCGCACAACGTCATCGAAAAGAGGTATCGCGCCAACTTGAACGAGAAGATCGCTGAACTCCGAGACAGCGTTCCAAGCCTGAGAGGCTCGAAGAATGCAAACGGCAACTTGGTTGATGACGACGACGAGGGCGTGACCCCGGCCAGCAAATTGAACAAGGCGTCCATCTTGTCTAAGGCGACAGAGTATATCCGACACCTGGAGATTCGGAACAAGCGCCTGGAGGATGAGAACACCGCCCTGAAGAACCGTCTGCGCCAGGCGGACAAGGCGGTCGACCAGACGTTAACCTCCGCCGCATCCGTATCATCGCCGAGCAACTGCACCGTGTCGACAGAATCCGGTGCCAGCTCCTCTCCCAGCGTGTTTTCACATGTGGAGGACTCCCCCAGTGATCACTCGCCGAGCTCCAGTTACCCGCCCGAAGGTCTCATGAAGGTTCCCGATTCCTTCAAGCGCATGCGTGCCGCGCAGCCAAAAGACGATGCGTGGTCGCAGTCATACATCCAGTACCCAAGCAGCAACAACGGTAACTCGGGAGGACGCAAACGGTCTCATTATCCTAACAAGTACATGCTTGGAGCTCTTGCCGGTCTGATGGTTCTGGAAGGCTTCAATAGTGAGAAGGACACCGAGTCCTCTTCCAAAGGTCTTCTGGCGCTCCCCGTCAACCTTCTCAGGAATATTCAGTTGCCCTCCAATGCCTACTGGGCGACTGCCCTGCGAAGCTTCTGGTACTCGTGGCACGCCCGGGCCGTTTCTCATTTCCTGGTCCTTGCCACGCTGGTCGTTGGAAGTGCATTTGTGGTGTTCGTTTATCTGTTCAACTCGGGCCAGAGCCGGCAGAATCTCACGCCAAAGACCGCCCCCAAATCCGATGCCACCATGTCATCGAGCGACTACCGACGACAGGCATGGCTCACTAGCATCCAGCAAGTCGGAGTGCCGCGACATACGTTCTTCCATGAGTGGTACGTTGTCACCTCGCGGTGCTTTGAGTATGTTCTTCGGTGCTTTATGGGTTGGCAGCTCTACTCTTGGGCCACTGGCGTTACTGAGGATGACGAGCGAGGCCGAGTGAAAACCTGGGATATCGCCATTGACGCTCAACTTGCGGGCGGTGATGCCGAAATCAGTAAGAGCCGTCTAGTGCTCACGATCTTTGCCGCCGGTACCCTCCCCCGGAGTCCCATGAGGATGATGCTGAAGGCTCTTCATTGCCGTATCTTAATGTGGCGTGTTGGAGTCCCTGGTTCGTGGACGTTCAATACATCCAACGAGGTGGCTCGCACTTTGGCACGGTACCAGTGGGATCTCGCCCGGAAAATGAATGCATCGCTGTCGAAGGATGATCCAGATGCCCTCCCGAGCCACCTTGCGGCTTTGCTGAAGCTCGACTGTGAGGTTGTCATGACCGACAGTGTCGTTCAAAGAGCCGCCAACCTTACTTGGAGCCGCCCCACGCAGGAAGGCACTGACGATGACGAGGCTCTTTTGGACGTGGTAGAGGAAGATCCTGCCATTCAGTCGTCTTTGGATGCGCTGGCTGCCTGGTGGTCGAGCCATCTGCTGCAGCGTGCACTGCTCAATTATTTCGAGGCGAGCTCTGGCGGGCCAGATGCGAAGAAGAGCCGTACCATTTTCAAAGCAAAGATTAAACTTGCTCTGGACGTGGCCCCTCAGCCTTCGGCGGCCCATACCCGCGCTCTCGTGATGAAGTCCGTGTTCTTCGAGCAGGACCGCGTGGCTAACATCGGATCGGTCCTTGCCGCCCTTCCAAAGGAGAAGGGCAAGAATAAGTCCAACCAAACCTTTAAATTTCTCGACTCGTCGCTTCCCGTGTCTGTTCGCGAGGAAATCACGATCGCCGTTCGCTGCGCCATGATTGCTGCCGTTTTCACGGCACGCTCTACGGGCGACACCTCCCTTCCCGCGTCATTTACCGTCGAGAAAGCCACTGCCTGGTTTAACAAATTGCCTCTGGATCCGGTGGAGCTGACCTTGGTCGGTTTCGCGGCCGTCTATCACCTGCTCCATGTTCTTGCATCTGATACCGATTACCTGTTCTCCTCCGATTCCTCCTCTCCGTCATCCCCCGTATCCAAGGCATTGTCGTCCTCCGACGAAGCAGATGATCAGCCGCCGACCAAGCAAATCCCCGTGCAGCCCATCCCGAACCTGGGCCGCGTGGCATCTGAGCTGATGTACTGGGCTCGCAATGCCTACAATCCCGCCTTCTACGGCTTCACTTCCAACCTCGTCAAGGTGATCGAATCCGAGTGCACTTCTCTCTGCCACAGTGCCGGCGTTGACGTCACCGACTATTCTTGCATTCAGGAAGAGAGAAGCAAAGCGAGAAAGCAGACCAAGAAAAAGAGATCATCGCGACGGTCGAGGGAAATCAAGGCAGAACTTCCGCAGCCGCCTAAAACCATACCTGCCCTGAACAATGCTGACGTAGCGCATCAAAGTCTTGACGCCCGCCCCATTGTACCTGACAAGACACAAACATGATATCACCAGGAGAAAAAAAAAAAACAAAACAAAAAAAAAAGGGCAAGTACCTATTTCTCTGTTTTACTACGAATTGTTATTAGTACCTATTTGACAACATTTCTTTTACATCATGTGGGATAGAAACCGTGCTTGTTTGGGAAAGCCAGGTTTCGGTGGACGATGGAACATGGGATCGGCGATTGAATATTTCCTCGGCATACGGCGTTATGGTTGTTTCTCGGCCTGTTATGTATTTTCCCTCCAGGTCTCAATATCAAGTCGGATCTGGATCCAACAACTCTCATCTGGTTAATTGTCTGTCCATAGACTTATAATGTGATGTCAAGACGCACCATAGACAAGTTTGTCATTTGCTTTGTGTGTCTGGCTATTACTTTCTCCACTTGGTGATTTTTTTTTCTTGTGCAACCGTTTCTCCTGACCTCACGACTCCTGATTGACCCTGACTAGAACCTCCTACGGAAGGCTATGTCCTGTTTATTTGTTCCATCGCGCTCCACATGGTGGATCAAAACCGATTCTTGACCTAGCGCTGCATGCAGTTAAAATGCCGTGCCACAGGTTCCAGGCCACAAGTTCTAGGCCCTTGTTCTGGCCTTCGTTTTGAAAGAAGCGTGGGCACAAAGCCACAACTGACGGATTCTGCCACGCGAGTTCGGTGCCATGGTTTACGGAAGTAGATCGGGTTGACCCTTTTGGAGAGTCGCCGGTTTCTACGGAAATGATGAACACAGCCGAATACGGCCGGCCACGTCGAGTTTATAGAAGTTTATGCAACCGAATCTCGCACCCGGGAGGACTAGACACGCCACCCGCAACGATATAAACAATTAGAGTTGAACGACTCCCCTGGTAGTCAGGAGTGGCCGACATGTCAAAGATTGAGAAAACTTTAACAGAAGCCAGGTGGAGAGGGCCATTGTCTCCGAGGAAGCTTAATTTCCGAGTGAAACGGTTTGCCATCGGCAGGCCGTCGCCAAAGCCACGGTGGTATTGGGATTGATCCCGAACAAGGGTTCTTCAGGATCAGGCCGGAACGGCTAGTTCTCGTTTCTCCACCGGCTGAAGCCAGTAACTGCCTCTCGGCTTGCTTCCCCCCGAGGACAAGGTTGGCCATCGATCCGGCGCCGTAACGTTACAATGAGCCTCTTGGCGGGTTGATATGCCCCTGCATCATCAGTCGGCCCTGGGATGTAACAATATCTTTAACCTTGTTCTGTCTCCGACGTGGTATGGATATGAGGCGTGTCAACTCGACTTGCGCAATCTATTGTTCATCCGAGTTGATGACGTCCGTCTCGTGGTTACCTATTATCTCATGGATTTCGAGAAACTCGAACATGATTAGTTCACACCAGGCATCTACATGATGCGTCCCTCTGCCTGCCTGCGGGCTCAGGTGGCCTTTCCGCCTGGACGATCTTTCGAGCCAGATAGGAATGCGGCCCCAAGGGGTTATACGGGGTCGGATACGATTTACATCCTGTGACGGGTTCGCAACACCAGGCTGACTTGGAAGTTATAATCCATTTGGAAGCCTAATCAGAGAAAAACCAGTTCGATGTTTGCGATGACGCATTTGATCCCACGCGACGACGGTGGATGCTTCGGGTTTGGCGGATGGCTTTCTTCTCCCCTTTTTCCGTTTCCGGCGCTGCTGTTTCATCGCGTTCAGACCCTGACGATGTTTCAACCACATCCACTCAGACCGACTGCTCTGCGCTCGCTGGAAATTGTCAGAATTCGGTCGCCCTGCGAAATTTGTACGAACTTTCCTGATCTTCATCGCCGCGTCGAGATAACACCCTGCGGGATCGAGACAAGTCCATGACTGCATCCCTCACATTCCAACACATCATTTCCCCACATTCTTCTCCATTGCATGCGCCCGGTTGCCGTGGGCTTCCATATGTCTTGGATAAACATGAGGAAGAAAGAAACTTGGCACCCAGGCAGCCCCAGTGTCCATCTTTTGATTCCCGGGACAAGTTGTTCACAAGCCGGGACTGCCACCGGAGTGGATGACGTAGCCTGAGAATAAAATATAAACCTATTTGCACGTCATTGCTGAGTGGGCATTCATTATATTATTTTCAACTGTTTGACAGTTGTGCCTTCTTTTTTTCTTCCTTCTCTTTAGATGACTGTCAACAACCTCTTCGATTTCCTTCGAGTGGTGAACGGATGTGTGTGGCTTCTAGCCCCTTTACGTGACTCGCCTTTCTTTCCCTCGCTTCAGGATCTTATAATATCGGCCCCAAAGGCTTGAATCATGGGCGTAGAGCTGTTGAAGCCGGGGGTGGAGCGGAACACCAAGCATCACCCGCCGATGAACCCAGCATTAGCGACTCCGCTGTATGTTTTGGGAGGGATGTTTTTTGTCCTCTTCATTGGCCGCACGATCACACGACTACGGTATAGGCGACGCCTGCGCGAGGCTCTCGAAAAGAACGACCAGTCACGATTTGTCCGGACGTCTCGGTTATCTGCCTTTATCAACAAACATGTCCTCTATGCGCCGTTATTTTCCAACCGCCACAGCCGCGAATTTCGCTTGCTGGATACATTTCACATGGGGACGGTTCCGTTGAGACTGGAAACATTGCTATTACTGGGATATATCGCGCTGAACCTGGTGTTTTTCTTCGCCCTGATTGACTGGTGGGCCGACTATGAGGAGATGATGTACCAGCTCAAATACTCGGGTGGCCATCTTGCTGTAATGAACTCGCCGGCTCTGGTTCTGACTGCAGGGCGAAACAATCCGTTAATATGGTTGTTGGGGCTTCCGTTCGACACGTTCAACCTCATGCATCGGTGGATCGGACGGCTCATGGTGGGAGGCGCGATCCTGCATGTGGTGTGTGTGGTGGTTGGAAAGGCTCAATCAAGTGAGACATTTTACATCGGATCGGCTATGGACATTGCTAAGTGGAACAGAAAGCATGACCGAAATCACCCATATCATCTGGCACACTCCGTTCTTCGTGGCCGGGTTGGTTGTAAGTGCTTTGTTGGGGATGGGTGGGCTCGAGCTAACCGGAGCATAGGCTCTTATCGCATTCGTCGCGATCTTTTTCCAGTCCGCCTCGGCTGTCCGTCATGCGTTCTACGAAGCTTTCCTGCATCTGCACATTGCCCTGGCGATTATGGCATTTGTAGGGCTGTGGTACCATCTCGAGGGCCTTGCTCAGCAGTGGGTCTTGCTGGCGACTCTCGTCTTATGGGGATTAGATGTGAGTGGTCTCACTGAGAGAGGCGAGCTTTACTGACCAGGAGCAGAGGGCCGGACGACTGGGCATTATCGTCTGGCGCAACTTTGGCCGCAAGATGACGACTGCCACCGTGGAGCTGCTTCCTGGCGACGTGGCGCGCGTGGACGTGACAATGGCACGGTCGTGGCAATTCAAAGCCGGCCAGTACATGTATCTATACATCCCATCGCTCGGACTGTGGACATCGCATCCCTTCTCCGTGGCGTGGAAACTTACCCAACCGCCTGGGATGTTGCAGAAACGCAGTTCGGGTGATTCCTTGAATGCGCTGCTGGGAGAGCCGCAGCAGTCTGTCATGTCATTTTTGATCAAGCGGCGGGATGGGTTTACGCATAAGCTCGTGGAGAAGGTGAACAAGTCTGCCGAGCCGAAGTTCGCGGCTCGCGCATTGGCCGAGGGGCCTTTTGGTAGGTCTATTCTACTGCAGTTCAGAAATACGGCTAACGATATAGGTGGGCTGCACTCTCTTAAGTCGTATGGGACGGTGGTCTTGATCGCGGGTGGAATCGGGATCACGCATCCTATGAGCTACATGCAGGAGTTTGTTAGCGGATTCGCCGCGCGGTCAACGGCGGTGAGGAAAGTGACTTTGGTTTGGGTGGTTCGCAGTCTAGGTTAGTGTCCGCGTCTTGAGCACTGTTCTGAGTGATGATGGGTCAAGGATTCGCTGACAATCCCAGATCATCTAACATGGATCCAACCGTGGATGACCACCCTTCTCAACCACCCGGCTATCCAGGTCCCCAACGAGCAAAAACGACACTCTTACTTCCCCATGCCGGAATTCTCGCTGTCTGTCCAAATATATGTGACGCTCAAGGAAACCAGCACGGAAGACTTCAAGACGGACGAGAGCCCTTGGTCGAATACCCTGCCGCCCACCGTCCCCATCAGCGTGAACTTCGGCAAGCCGAGCTTTGATCACATCCTGGAGAGTGAGAAAGCCGCGCAAATCGGGGCGATGGCCGTCAGCGTGTGCGGGCCGGGGGCCATGGGCGATGATGTGCGGAGGACGGTGCGAGAGAAACAGGGAAACCACACGATGGATCTTTACGAGGAGACCTTCTCATGGTAGGCAGTGGATGTCGCAGGCGGATGTCACTGATAGAGTTGGGGTATGACTTTCTTATTAGCATTCACTTCCTGATGATAGTTATGAATTTACTTCTTTCACGTTATCCCTTCCTAAATCCGTAACCAACTACAAAACACTCCTGATCTGCTTCTCCACCAAATGCGCATTCACCGGCGTCAACGCCTTCCCCGTCTCCAAAAACGCCTCCACATTCTCCATCGCCAGCCTCTCAAACCCAACATGCGTATCCACCGTCCCCCCCGCATTATGCGACATCATCATCACCCTCGGATGTCCCGCCAACCGCGGATGCACATTCGGCTCGCTCGCATGCACATCCAGCCCAGCAGCACTCAACACCCCCTCATCCAACACCTTCACCAACGCCTCCTCATCCACCAGCGACCCCCGCGCTACATTCACAAACCTGCTGCCGCGCTTAAACGCGCGGAACCGCCCCTCCGTCATCAGCGTCTCGCCTGCAAACGGCGTCGCCACGATCACGCAGTCGCTCTCGCCCAGCATCTTGTCCAAGGTATCATAGAACACCGCTTCAATACTCCCCTCCATCTCGGGACTCTTGCGTAGTATATCATGGTATAGGATCTTCATCCCGAATGCGTTGTGCGCCTTAAGCGCGATCTGGTACCCAATTTGTCCGAGTCCGATGATCCCCAGGGTTCGGGACCGCGGGTTGTATGCGCTCAGGGGCGAGTTTTTGTGTGCGTCGAGGAAGGATACGGGGTTGGCGGAGTGGGCGGCGCTGTGTGACCAGCGCAGGTTGCGGAATACGGACAGGATGAGGAAGAGCGCCATGTCGGAGACGGAGTCGCTGGAGGCGGCGGCGCCGTTGCAGTAGATTATTCCTGGGGATGGGATGTTAGTAGGTGGTTGATGGTGAATGAAGGGGGCTAAGGAGAGGTGGATGAGGGGTTTTAGGGATTGGATTCGACGATGAGGTTGAGTGAGGTTGAGGTTGGGGATGTAGATGTTGATGTAGGAGGGAGATGATATAGAGTGGTCAAGCTCATGACCTGGCTAGCCCTAACTTCCCTCTTCCTCTCCCTTTCCAACTCAACAGCAACTCAACTTAACCTAATGACTCAACCCACTTACCCAAACCCAAAACCCAAAAACCAAATAAGTGAACTCACCTCTCTTCGCCAACCCCTTAACATCAACCCAATCATACCCCGCCCCCGCCGACGCCATAACCCTCACACTCCCCGGCAAAAGCCCAATCAATTCCTCATCCCAATTCCCCATCTCTCCGCCCGTATTCCAGAACGGACGAAACACGGCGTCGAAATCGCCCCATCGGCGCTCCTTCAGTGCGCGCTTGAATTCTTCGCGCGGCAGCTCGGACGGCTGCGGCTGGATGATGTCGAATTTTTGGCTGATGCGCGTGTAGATCGTCGGGTTGTATTTTATGGGGGCGCCGAGGTGGAGAACTCTTGGTTTAGACATTTTGGATTCGGGTTTGCTCCGGGTTTAGGAGGAGGTAGGGGATAGGGAGTTGGTGAGTAGAGGAGACAGTAAGGACGGTGGGAGTGGTGTGGTGTGTCTGGGAGGTAAAAGTTGAAGAAGGATGGAAGAGTTGAAGAATTGAACAGAGCGGAGTCAGGGAATTGATTAATCTCTAACTGCAGGGCCCTGTATACATGTTATACCTATAGCTCTACCTGGACCTTAAACCTACGAATGTCAAGTCAATACCCGCTGTTCAAAACCCGACAGAGCCGAGTCCATGGGCCGAGTCTGGATTGCCGACGGAATCCCGTCCGATCTGCAATTTATGGGGACAGAGCGGAGAAAGTGCCTCTTTTTGGAGAATTGCTTTTCCAATTCATGTGGTCTGATTTGCGATCTGGTCGGTTTGGTCTTTGATTTGGTATGTATGGTGTTAGTCGGCTATTGATCAATGGGGTGGGATTGGCCTGATTTCCGCTGACGTAGCACACATCGTGACTGTGTTGTTATGGGAGTGCTTAGTACAAGCGGTCCGGGGAATTGAGACTTTCTGCACCTCCAGAATAACTTGTCGAGACTGTACGCTGTATGATGAAGAGAATTGGTAGTTTAGCTCAAGGTAGATGGACGGTCTGGTCGGCGATTGACATTACCGGGTCGGTCGGTGTGCGCTATCCCGTTATCGGACTAGTGTGACATGGCAGGCCAAATAATGAATTCCGCTGTGAAGGAGGACTTGCTCTGCTTAAGGAAGAAGAGATAAATGCTTGTATCTGAATCTTGGGATAATACTAGGCGCACAAAAAAAAAAGGAAAGAAAAGAAGGTTGGAGTCTGTTCTCTGACCATTCTCCATTCTACTCTTCTATGGTTCCAAACAAAAACTGGCCCAAAGTTCGTAACGTATCATAGTTGTTGTATAGCATCACAAATACCAAGCCTCTCTTCGAAATTGCCCAAACACAGTCCTCCGCCAATATCCCGGAGAATATCTGAAAACCCACCATCCTCAATCGATGCAAGTTCTACCAAAAGCTTCCCAAACGCCCACCAATCACTCCGACACCTCACTTCAAACGAGGCATCCAACGGAGACGAATCATCCCGCAATTCAGGCGCCAGGTTCTCATACGTATACCCGACTCCAATATCGATCCAAACCGCCCCGTTAGAAGCATCTATGACAGCATTCCTCGGCGCAACATCCATATGCGTAATGCAAGAATCATGTAACCGCAACAGCGCACGCGCCAGCTGCCTCGGCCACGACTTCCAGGCTACTCCTTTTCCATCCCTTCGAGTGATCGCGTCCTCGAGAGTCCCGTTGGGGTGGTATTCTAGCACCATGCCGTATATGACATTGTGGTCTTGCTCACTGGGTGTGGTTGTCGTTTGGTATGGGCTGGGCGCCTTCACCACAGCAATTAGTTGAACCATGCTAGGACTGTCTTGGTAGAGCTGGAGATTGTGAAGCTCCCGCTCAAACATTGTTGTATGATTTGGTTCGTTAAAGGGGTGGTCTACTGTCTTGTAGATGAAGTTTGTGGCTTCGTCTTTCTTGGTGATTAGAAAGACGTTGTTGGAGAGCTGCTCCGTCTCTTCGATGTCTGTGAGAATCATGGCTGGTAGATTTGAGTTGTTCTCATAATTCGGGTATCGCACTCGCGCAACATCTTCTTGGATTATGTATGTCCAATCAGCATCGAGACTATCGCTCGACTCGGGGTTATGTCCTGGATTCAGTGGGAGCTTTGCGGAGTATGAGGCTTGCTCAATGACCAGCTCACTGACTGTGTCTGGAATGAGGGGAAGGAGATGGAAATCAACCATAGAAATGAATGCTTCTAAATTCTTTCTTCGTTTCAGAAGACCACTTCTTTTCGTGATGCCAATTTGGCCTCGGAATGTCACCCTGACATGCCACTTTGAGCTGTCGGCTTTGAAAACGATGTTTTCGGATCGTGAGCATGGCTCTGAGTCATCTGTTCGGTAGGCTTGATCTTCTTTGTAGGTTCGAGGTAACATCTGAATTTGGTCGGAAATTCGTGAGTCCATACTGAGCTTGTATTAACAAGATAGGCAGTGCTAGCGATAATAAAGGGATGAAGATGGCGGAATGATGGCTTGGCGTGTTAGGTTGCCCCACCCCAGATACCAACATGCCAAATAGTTTGCTCATGGTATGGATGTTGAAGCTGTATCAGTATTGTGAAGTGGTCTAATATACTGTGCAAAGCTGTTGAAGCTGCACTTCTCACCAAAATAACACGCCTATTCTTTATTTGACCGACCAATTCCGCCTAGGATATCATTATCTGGCGGTAGCTTTCAAGTGTCATCACCCAGGACTAGAAGAAAAGTATCTCTGTAGCATGAACACGAGGGTGAAGCTCGATTCTTTGTAGATTGCCAAATCTATCCAGCTCAGTCAAGTCCCCACGCCCAATACTCCTTGTCATTCCACTCCCGGGACTGTCGAGTCCACGTCTCCCAATCCACGATATAACTATAGAATCCAGAAATATCAGCTTCAGATACCCATCCAAGAACTCGGACGTTAGACAAACCACTTCTTTTCCCCCTTATTCCAAATCAAATTCCTCGAATATGCATCTATTTCACGAACCCAAGCTCTTGACCTTCCCTGACACGTCACATCCCATCAGCCATTGCCAATACACCATTAGTAAAATCAATAAAACCTACAGATACGACGCCTTAAACGCCTCTCGTAAATCCCGCCTCTCATCAATCTCCATTCCGCGAAGATACCTCCCCGAAAGAGCCACCCCCTCGACTCTTGTCATCACAATGAAGTCCAGAAACCCGCCCGGTACGCACCCCTCCTCGGCTTGGGTTTCATACTTCGATGTGATGTATTCGGGGGTGCATGAGCATCATGCCTCCGTGAGAACTTGGAGGGCTTTGATCTCCAGCGCTGTTCGACCGCGCAGTGCCGCCTCTGGCGGTTGGTCGTATTCTTCTTCGTCGCTTTCCGCGGTAGTATTGGGGATTCTATGAGCCGTCACCCGTCACCCGTCACCGTTAGATACTCGGTTTACTTTTGGATGCTAAAGGATAGATGGATAGGGGGAGAAATGGAGTGAATCGCACTGCATTCGAACTTTCATAATAGCTTGAGTCTGAGCTTGAGCTTGCGCTTGAGGATGAGATGTGTCGGTAATCTCTTCGCAGAGAAAAATACAGCTCGATTCAGAGAAGAAGCCGGAGGTTTCGTATTCGTCCCGCGTGAAGCGGTCTTCGCTTTCTCGTCGTTTCTGGGTGATTTTCCATGCGCTTGGAGGGTTGGTGAATTGGATGGTTTTTCCGAGCCATGTCCTGTCGAACCAGCGGTTGTCGCTGGGCATGGTTGAGGTGGTTTGTGGGGTTGGAAATGTGGGATGCTCTTTAAGCAAGGGAGGGTAGGGTATAAGGTTACACGGTCGAGCTTTGTTAAATGAGGGGTTAAATATTCCCCGCGTCATAGACAAGGTAAGGTATCTTCGGAATGTGAGTAGCGCTCCGTTGTTTGAAGTATGAGAATTTCTGATTGCATATAACAGCTGACGATAATTCATTCACTAAGTACTAAGACTAAGACTAGACTAGACTAAGATTAAACCACATCGCATCAGATCACATTATCGGTAAATAAATATCAACACCATCGACATCAGCATCACACCGTAAAATCATTACCTAGATATCAAACATTAACATTTCATAAATCACCTCCCTCATCATCTCGGCTCACTTCCTTCCATAAGGTGCAATCCAAATCCACCCTACATCAACACCATAATGGCACCCAGAGCCATCACGCCCGCAAAGGTCGATTCCACATCCTTGACAGCCGCCGCGCCGGTGAAGATCGGTGCCGTCGGCTCCGTCGAGGTCGTGGCCACGGGAGGAACGGACTCGGTCTTGGACGGCTCGTGCGGAGACTCGCCGGACGGCTTGGAGGCCGTCGACAGAGTGGTTCCGGGCACGGGAGGCACGACGGTGGATCCAGGGGTGGTGATGGGGATGGGCTGGGTCACGGTTTCTGGGGGAGGAGGGGGAGGCGTGTGAGTCTCTGGAGGAGGGGGAGGAAGGGTCTTGGTCTCCGTCTGGGGAGGAGGAGTATGGGTCTCTGGGGGAGGAGGGGGGAGAGTCTCGGTTTCGGTCTGGGGAGGAGGAGGGGGAGGAGTGTGAGTCTCCGGGGGAGGAGGAGGAAGGGTCTTGGTCTTGGTGTGAGGAGGAGGGGGAGGGGGAGGAGGAGTATGAGTCTCAGGCGGAGGAGTCACGGTCTCGGTCTCGCATGGAGTGCTGGTCTCCACGGGAGGGTTGGTGGGAGGGACAGTAGGTTGGGGCTCTGTCTCGGTCTCGCAGGGAGTGGTGGTTGGGACAGGAGGCTCAGTAGGAGGAACCGGGGGCTTGGTCTCCGTCTCGGTCTCACAAGGAGTCGTAGGGGTGGGAGGCTCGGTAGGAGGCACCGTCTCAGTCTCGCAGGGAGTAGTCGTGACCGGGGGTTCAGTTGGGGGAACGGTAGGCTCAGTTGGAGGAACAGTAGGCTCCGTCTCGGTTTCACAAGGAGTCGTGGTAGGAGGAACCGGGGGCTCAGTGGGAGTCTCCGTCTCACACGGGGTGGTAGGAGTAGGAGGCTCGGTGGGAGTCTCCGTCTCGCATGGGGTCGTGGTCGTTGGCACCGGGGGCTCCGTGGGGGTTTCAGTCTCACATGGCGTAGTAGTCGTGGGGACAGGCGGTTCAGTCTCCGTCTCGCAGGGGGTTGTCGTAGTCGGGACCGGAGGCTCAGTTGGAGGAACGGTAGGCTCCGTCTCAGTCTCGCATGGAGTGGTGGTAGGAACCGGAGGCTCAGTAGGGGGAACCGTGGGCTCCGTCTCGGTTTCACATGGAGTAGTAGTCGTTGGCACAGGAGGCTCCGTAGGAGTGTCGGTCTCACAGGGGGTAGTGGTAGTAGGCACTGGAGGCTCTGTCTCCGTCTCGCAAGGAGTCGTGGTTGTCGGGACCGGAGGCTCGGTGGGAGTATCAGTCTCACACGGCGTAGTGGTAGGTACCGGGGGCTCCGTCTCAGTCTCGGTCTCGCATGGAGTGGTAGTCGGGACAGGGGGTTCAGTCTCCGTTTCAGTCTCACAAGGAGTAGTGGTGGGAACTGGGGGTTCCGTCTCGGTCTCCGTCTCGCATGGCGTGGTAGTGGTTGGCACCGGAGGCTCCGTGGGAGTATCAGTCTCACATGGAGTGGTAGTGGGCACTGGAGGCTCCGTCTCAGTGTCCGTCTCGCATGGAGTAGTGGTTACAGGCGGCAGAGTCGGAGGCAGAGTCGGATGAGGAGGCTTGGTGTGAGGAGGTTTGGTATGATGAGGCGGAGGAGGACCCCAGGGAGGAGGAGTATGATGCTCCGGGGGGGTGTGAGGAGGCTCGTGGTCACCTCTCTCGACGATCCATGGATGCCGGTAGACCACCTTGGCCGGCGAAGCAGCCACGCCGGTCAAGGCGCCCAGGGCGACCAGGGCAGAAACTGCGTGGAATTTCATAACGACCGGTGGGTTGGACAGCAAACAAGATTAACGAGATGTGATTATTATTAGGACCCAAAGACTATAGGTCGATATCGGGGACAAGCCCTAACCCAGCAACAAATCTCACAAAACGAGTGTGGACGTCCGAACGAAGAGGCAGAGAGAGTTCGCCGGATGGACATTGCGGACAAGAAGCTTCTATTTAACACCGTTCTGACGGACTGCATGCGTCATGGCTGTTGTCTTTCCACTGCGTCCCATTCATGGATTCTCTTCCAATGGATCCATTTTCTTATCTGGAGACCCTGCTCCGGAGTATCCCTGGCAGGTTCCTTGGCCAAGGGAAAAATAACCAAAAAAAATTAAGAAAATAAAAAATAAGACAAAAGAAAAGAAAAGAAAAACTAAAGCGAGGCCATCACACTCGATAACCGGATTCTTTGGACCTAGTCCAGCAGGAACTAAATTAGTCGTTCTTGGGAAGAGAAGCGACTCGAGTCACCCATGTCTTAGAAAGACCAGCCAAAAAAGACCCCTGCTCGCGTGCCCTACAGCACACGCTAGGATGCATTAGGAGTTTAGGACCCTCGACAGAGCTTTGTCGACCCGAGTGGCGGCAGACAGCTCACCAGGATACGGTTGACTCGGCCTGTACCTACGGGGTACTGCGCCATAGATACCTCTCATTCCTGGCCTCGCAGGGCCGATCGGCGATTGGATTCCCGTCCGACAACTTATCGCAACCAAGCAATCCACGTTACTGACTCGTCCATGGGTTCTAATGCAAGTGGTCGTGCCGATCGTGAGCCCCGGTCCATCTGCGAGGCCGGATTTCACCTACGGGATTCAGATAGAGAGGGGAACGGCAGGTCTCACTTCTCCTCCTCGACGGAAAACTGACGGGCGATAGAACAAAGAAGCGAAAGTTCAAGACCGATCGAAGTCAAGGCACCGATAGCCCAATAATCCGAACCCGACCCACCCACTTCCAAGGCCAGGGTCTGCAGGTCCGAGCGAGAGCCCAAAGCCTATGACGATGGGACGATTCTGGACAATCGAGAGCCACGTCCAGCGGGGTTGTGAGACATTTTTCATCTATCATATCTCCACCGCGCCAAATCAGCGTCGCGCAACGGCAGACGTCCCGTTTAGCGTTGGCAGGAACAAACGGGAGGTTGGGAGTGCGCTAATGCCTCCCCGGCCTCTTAGCGTCTTGGACTCGCTGGTCTGGTCCGTCTGTGCCTGTCCTTTGCTCACCCCCGCAACTGATGTTGCGATGGTCCGTCTGGTCTGCCTGTCGGGCCTTCTGTCAACGCGATGTCACCGTCATGTAACCAAGAACGCCGCCTCCGAGTTGGACGATGTACGTTGATCTAGTGCACGCATGGCGTCGCCGGTTTGGGAGATTGGTAGAGAGAGGCTGGAAATACTGCCTCCTCTGGCTGTAAGAATATTGATAAGAGTCTGCGCAGAAAAAAGTCTGACTACGTTAGTTACAGCTGGTCGGCTCTCCAGTCAGCCAATATCCTCTCCACGACCGGTGGCAGGAAATTGCCCTGGACAACGGCTGCTTGTTTGCGAGGGAACCTGCGTCGGCTGGGCTGTAGTGCGACCTTGTCTGCGGAGATTCGAATTAGCTGGTTTGTTGGCAGTCTGCAGGTTGTCACTATCAACTCTCAACACGCAGTCCAGATACTCACTCGGGTAATGATCTATCGGTGGCCTTGAAAACCTGACTAAAAATAACTAGCCATTTCGCACTTACATACCCAGTACCTTAGTTACCGAGTACCACTGCCAACCCGACAGACCAAAGCAGTCACAATCCATGTCGCTGGCGAGCGGTATTTTACGAACACGACGCTTCCCGTGATTAGCCATGTTTCGCAGAATATTCCCCGGCGGGCGAGCATCCATGGAAGCACGGCGAAAATCTTTATATTATCTTATATTACGACCGGATAAGACGCCATTGGATTTCGCCGGACGGAGTTGGCGAAGGTTTTCCGGCCTCCGTGTTCTAGTATGACGCATCGATGTGATGGGCAGGTGAATTCTCCGAGTGAGACACTGGAGACTCTCGAGCCACACGAGATGCCTTGCGCTTGGTGGTGTGCGCTCAACTCAATTCTCTTTCAGTCAATGGTATGATGTCTACGAGAATAGTTCGCATCGTGTCTGCTACCATTGCATTCGCTGTGGATGTCACTTAGTAAGACATGAGCCTAACAAGGCAATGGGATCCGTACAGCGCCGATTAGGGTTCTGGTCAGGTCACGCGCTCATTTCCAATTGCTCTGGTTTTTCAATAGAGTTGGGTATTACGGAGTAGACATCATTGTAGAACACTGCATGCAATGGGTCGGGGGCGCCGTGACCACCAATTCTCGTGGGCTCCCCTCAATATTAAGATTGGAATGTCTGACCAGATGGGTGATGGGATTACTGATTAGTCCAGCCTCTATTATTGTATGCAGGCCATGCCACACCAAGACATCTCATGTCAGCATGAGGGGTAATATCTGGGCTGTATACTCGCCACCGGTTCTTTATCTTTCGGCGAAGAGTTTTCAGGAAAATCCTGAATGGCTGGCGGCTTGGTGGGTTATTGGGGCTCTGAGGCATGGTCTGTTATCGAATTTCTATGCGGCTCGGGTAAGCAGGAGATATGGGCACTTCTGTGATTCTGTTGTTATCATGGCAACTGGGTTTAATTTTTCATCTGTACTCGAGGACCAGGATCTTACTAGATGCTTTAAGAAGGTCTTTTTATCCGAGTACCTCAGTGGGTGAAGTTGTGATTCCTACTGCAGTAGACCCAGTGCGACAGTGTCAAAAACGAAAATATATATTTGCAAAAGAGAATACCAGGGAAGCTCCTGGATGATCAAGAGACAGAAATTTTTGTAAGACTCAGACCCTTCATAGTTACATACATTCCGTGACTGACTTCACAGAACAGAATTCAAGCGGAGTCTTGTTGCATTCAGTACAACTGCCCGAATGATAGGATGATGGCCAGAATGAGGCGGTAAGGCAGTAACCTGCCTATTTTGGCTAGAACCGCGAGACGCTGTTATTATCACGTGATTGCGGACTTGTTACTGGGGCAACATAATTTCGTCCCACTCTGGACCATTCTGGATGGGAGTTCTTACGGTTTAGTTCTGATCTTGAGATGTTAGTGTATGCAATTCAGTTTCAACCGCGGGGTTAGAGTTAAATCACAGTTGAGGATGTAAAACGAGGATATCATCATGTGACTAAAGTGCAAATACTAAAATCACTCACCATCTTCCGGACCATCATCATCACCCAATGACAGGAATACTAGGCCCAACAAAAGGGATCATGCCATTGAAAGCGTTTTGAACAACCAAGAATTTACCAAATCCCACAAATAAACAATCCATTATTGCGTCTCATAATGCGAAAACATCAACGTCAGCAAATTTCGGCCGAAGTCCAAGTGGCCAATACCCGACACAATACCCAAAACCAGCCAGGAAAGAGTAAAACCTCTTTCTAGGGCGGAGTCTTTTCCCGCACGAAACTTTTATCATACACTCTATTCCTGGCTACAGAACACATTATCTTGTCAATGGTTCGATGTTAGTCTTTCCAGCACTTCCTGGCCCTTCTCATTAAGATCTGGATATTGGCTCAAATGATACAGATCGTCCCAGAATTCTTTTGCATCTTCATGTGTATCCAAACTTTGTCGTAGGAGCCGCTTCCAGTCGACATCCATCTCTGTGAATCCCCAAGAAGCTGAGACATACTCATACCATATAGGATAATAAGCAGCATATTCCCAGTCAAGTATGGCAACAACGTTTCCATCTTTAACCATTATGTTGCCCAGGTTGAGGTCACAATGAGTGAGTACATAGGGCTGGCATTTGGGAAGACGCCTCTTCAAGTTCTCCAGGGCTTGTTCGGGAATGGGCTCTTTGGGTCGATTGCGAAGGGCGAGCCTTATAGCATCCCAAAGTTCGGAATCGGAGTGAAATGGTCCGCGAGGTTCGAGGTTAAAAAAGAGTAATCCTGGATAGCACTGGCCTCCGTCAACAGTCTGTATAGATGTTGAGGTGACCTTACAGAGCCTCTTGCGAATATCTGCAACTTGATCTGCTATGGCTATTCTCTGAGGTGCTGACAATGATGGCCAAGCTTCCTCAAGTGTCTGGCCATATATTTGTTCTTGGAGAACGAAGTATCGCCCATTCTTGTCAGACCAGTCGCGCACGACCTTCGGGGTTGGGATATCCGTGATAGTTGAAAGATAATTCAATGTTTTGACATCATTCTTTCGTCCATCATCGGGGCGTTCTTTCAAAATCAACTCAGAGCCGATTGCCCATACACCGCGATTGTGTGCACCATATATGAGCTTGACATGGCTGGAATAGCAACACTGCTTTTGTTTGTCGAGTGTCCATCCGCATGCGACGCAACCTTTATCGGGCGCTTCTCCAGTCATGGCAGAAAGATCCGTTCATCGAGGAGGAGGACTAGGAAATGAAAGTAGTCTCAGTCTTTCGCCTTTCAGCTTATTTGTAGCTCCTTCGATTAGACACTTCCCAGCTACGTGGCAGTTATTGACTAGAAGCCAAGTTTTCTCATTTGATCGTAGGACTGTGATTGGTAGGCAGGGGGAAGGGCGCAGGCTTTCCACGTGACACCCCGGTGTTTGGAACTGGGCAGCCTCAGATCTGCAATTCATCGTTCTTGCAACTATTGCTTTCGCAGAGTTCATCTCGGGGATCTAACGTTTCATCAGTTTTCAATCATACTTGATATGGGGACAGCCACCTACTGGCTGTGGAGTGCTTGAACTTTTCCAAAACTTGAAATACCTCATGGTCCAAATTCGCTCAATGGATTGCCTCCGAAATCACCCATTCCATTAGGCACGGAATCCTCAGTGGCTGGATCATGTTGCGTACGCATCTCCAGAAGCCGCCTTGCCTTGTCAAGACAACTTGCCAATTCATGACCACCCCACCAATCAAACGCCCCGCTCACAGAACAGGGCAAACATACGTCAGGCAAACTTGAAACAGGTATTCAGCATGACCAGCAGCTCTGCACTGTGGAGTAGACAATTCTTTCAGCTGACCGGCACGGTCCGATCTATCGAAAAGTAGCGCGCCAATAACCTCACCTTGTCGCTCGATTGAGTTTTGCAATGTGCTGATCTATACTAGTCTTGTCGGGATGATCCACGGACAGTATCCACTTTGGTTGATAGCTGGCGGTGTCAGCTAGCCGCTACGACGCAGCCGATGCTGTGGCCATTCAGATGTTTGATATTGATCGGAGAATATGCCCGGCGAGCACATGTCTCGAGTATCTTCAGCTGAATACGGAGCGGGGTTTGCATGAAATTGAGACACGACTTTTTTGGGTGGCAGCATGCCTGATGGGTTCCGAGTTAAGCGATGGGTATTTAAAGGGCCATAGCTTCGCTTGCTGGAGCTGGCCAAACCATTCACAAATATTCCTTACTTTCTAAGAATTGCTCAATTGACAACCGTGTTTCGAAATGTCTTCTACGTCTGCGTCCGAGCTGAAGAGCAAGGCGGCTGCCTTGAAGGAAAAAGCAAACGAGGCAGGAAAAGGTGTGTATCTTTATCCGCCGGTCGACCTTGAGACTTACAGTTTGCAGCCAACCAGAATCAGACACAAGCTGTCTTTCAAATCTACAACTATGATCCTCTTTCGCGCACTTCGTCGATGGAGAAGTTCGTCTCGCTTGGGAGTGTCGGCAACCTAACTGGCAAGAAGCTGGCCGATCTGCGAAAGATGCTCATTAGTGAGGAGGTGTTGTCTTATAGACAGTGGGTTAATTATCCTAGACTAGAAGAAAATGTTGCTAACGATGAAAAAGGCAAGGAAGCCCATTCTGTAATACCGAAGGAGCCGAGGCCAAGGAGGACACGCCTCTGTCGGTGTATTTGAAAGGAGCTGGCAATAAACTGGTTTGTACTTCCGTTCTGCTCCAAGAAAAATCTAACGAGCCATAGGAAACATCCGAACCCAAGACGGAAGAAAACCCAAAGACAGATACGGTGAGTTTTGCTCCTTTATCAGCACGGAAAATACTAATGGGTAGACCACCACTACGGGCGACAATGTCCTCACTCAGGACACTCAGACTTTGAGTGTGTACCTGAAATTGAAGAGTCTGAAGACGGAATTAGATACTGGTACTCAGGAGTTTCTGAAGGCTAAACTGGATCTCGACTTACCCAAGGTATGATCGTTTAGATGATGTGAAGGATAAAACTGACAAGCCAGGCCCCTGCCTTACCAACCACGAAGGCCGAGGCTATCGCATCAACATATGCTCACTCCAGCTTCATGGCTCAAAAGGGTGGTGCTACAGTGTACGTATGCTAACCCAGTCGACGGTGACAATGCTGACAATAACAGGTACCCATCAGACATGACCGAGAGACATTGGAACATCGTCTTCAGGAACAATTGCCTTCTCCATGGTAGTCGAACCAGCATGTACGAAGTATCCATCAACAAGAAGGTCGAAAGAGCTGTCTACCCGGGTATGTGTTCTGAAAGGGGTACAAGAAAAATATTGATTTGATAGCTTTTCAATTGTCCAAGCGTCAATTCCAGGACTTTGAGACATCTTTTGCTTCGGACATTCCTCCACCGAAGGTATGACATTCAATTAATTTTGGGACTTTGTTAACATGAATAGCAAATGCTTCGCATTCCCCGTTTGACTCCTACGTCGAAATGTCCGAGACATCCAAGTCTGTAGCGAAAGCCATGGCCGATAGCTCCATGACTGAATATGCGGCTGAGGTGGCAATGTATGCGCTCATTGCTTTGACAGTGAGATGAATGCTAACCAGAATAGTGGTGGGGGAGCTTTTGGTGTCAGCGCCGCAGTAAAAGGCGGATACTCATCGAACAGCTCTGACTCGAAGGCAACCCAGAATGACACACAGACTAAGGTGTTGACAATCACCTACAACGTATGTGCCGTCCCCCTCAAGGCTGCAGCATAGCTAATGAGATCAGTTCCCTCGGGTGGTCATTCACCTAGATGAAAGCAGCCTCGAGCTGACCGAAGAATGCAAGGCCGATATCAACACCCTAGGTCATAAGATGTCTCTGACCGACTTTAACGAGAAATACGGTATATATCACTCTTCAACTTACAGAAATCTGTGCTGATTGTGTAGGCCACTACTTCGCAACTCGGATTGAACTCGGAGGGCGACTCCACTCGTCCGAAGACTGCACAAAGCTTCAAGACTCCGAGCGGACGGAGAAAGCCAAATCCATGAAGGCAGCTGCTAGCTTGTCATTCTCGTCGCCATGGGTACAGGCCTCCGCTAGTGCCAACTACGGAAGCGCCTCGAACAACATGACGGAGAATAAGACCAGTTCCATGAATATGACCATGACTTGGGAGGCCAAGGGCGGTGATACACTGCTGTGCAATAAGTGGGTTTGTCTTGCTGGTGAGCGTGTGCTAGTGCACTAACTGTTTTGTAGTCCACCGGCATGGTGCAGCACAGTGGCATCGTATTACAACTGGCGCGTTGTTAAGGTTTGATCTCATTGGCGTGCTGAGAATTTGGAAACTGACATCCCACAGCAAGAATCTTTGATTCCCGTGACCGACATGATTATGAATCTTTCTGGTGGCTCTATTCTCAAAGCCAAGATCGATGCCATTAAAAACCCGCCCGGCCCAACAGACAAGACGAGTGAGGGCAAGACGGATGCAGATAAAACAGGTACGTCGCACGAGACAAGCCTGCCAGTCAAGCCAGAGACCCATGTACAAGCTGGAAAGACGGAGAAGCCTGTCGCTCCCGTCAAACCGGACGCGACATCTCAGCCTAATAAGACTGGGAAGGTCCTACCTCCGGTTAAACCAGAAACTGTACAGTCTGGCAAAGCTTCAACCGTCTCTCCTGTTAAATCCGAAACCTCGAAGCCAGCTGTAACTGAAAAAACAGGCACCACGGCACCGCCCAAAGTCCATACGGTGAAGTCAAAAGTTTCCGTATCTTTGAACGCAGGATCTCGGTATCTAGCAGCCACGAACGAGATGGGAATGGCTTGTAAGTGAAAATATTTACAATGATCTGTAACGAGCCCGACTACTGACAGTTGAAGTGGGTGTTCTCATGCACGATCTCGATGGCAGCAATGGCGCCTTCACCCCGGCACAGTTGAAGTTCATCAACGATATCGACACGGGAAGCATGCTAACCAGCAACTGCTCACTGGTCAACAACGCAAGCGACCAGAAGTTCGAGATCGAGGTGGAACATAACTCTAATGAGAAACCACTGGTAATCAATCTACTAGCCCTTGTGTCTAACCCGCCTGCTAATTCTCAACAGCTCAAACGCAACGTCACCTACCGCGTTCTGTCCAAAAACGCCGGAAAATGGCTCACCTCCAGCTCCACCCTCCCCGGGTTCTACGACAAATCAGCGATCTACTTGCGCGAATCAAACCAGGGAACTGACCAACTTGCCACGTTCGCATTTGACTCGCTCCGCCATCGCTCTGTGAGCGCTATCGAAGACGGTGACTTAGCTTTTATTCGGATGTTTGACTCTTCCGGTCGCAGTCTCGGAGGACTGACTGATATTTCGTCCAACAATGGAAAGCTTTCTGGGGCTATCGGCACCAAGGGGACTTCGGATAAGTTGACCTTTGCGGTGAAGTATGTTTGAGACCACATGACTTGGACTGAACCAATCATGATTCAAGGACTACTTGATGTAGCCGTGGAGGAATATGCCGAATGACAGCAGTTACGGGCTAGCAATGTGACCTTCAATGAAAATATCAACAAAGCGTGGGATGTGACTCTTGAAAATTTCCTTCACCTCATGCAGATCCGCCTTCCGATGCGCTTGAAGGTACATAACAGGACATGTTAATTTGTAAATGTGTGCAGCTGCGCTGATAAAGTCTGTTTATAACCAGTATCTAAAGGTAGGCTGTGAGAACATGTAATATTGATCCCGGATATGAGTACTTCTGCGCCAGAGCTGGAGGATTTTCCACCCCTTACATGCGGCTCGCGCCCGCTTGCAATTTATGGTTTGTCCAATTATTTCTTGGTTTGATAAACTCCCTTTACTTTCCCCTCAAGAACCTCCTTGACATAGTCCTCAAACTTGGTAAACTCAAAGTCGGGATATAGGTCCTTGCCATTCAAATATCCAAGGTATGCGGCATATTCCGGAGTGTTTTCGCCACGAATGCCCCAGGACCGGAACAGCTGAGACACCGTGAACGTAGACAGCGCGTCACCGTCCTTATGATTCTTGTTGAGGGCGGTACGTGCTTCCTCTATCCGTGTATTTACTTCGTTCTCCGATATCTAATATCAGTTAGCATGCTCGATCCACCAAGCTCCGTCGCTGGTAGTAAATCTCACATATTCCCGTGGTATCTTCTCGCCACTATGCCGCTCCAGTACCTCATATACCTGGTTCCGTGTGTATATTTCGTTGTACACATGAACCTTCTTATTCAGAGTGCGCGGATCCGTGATAATTCTCGCAACATACCGTCCAACGTCTCTGATATCAGCTAGAGCACTGGGAATATTGCCATCCAGACCGATGACCTGGTTGTCTTGTGTTTTCGGGAGAGCGTAATCAATCCTACCCGAAGGGAGTCGGGGGAGAGTCAGTTGGTACCACCACCCAACATCGATGTAGGTGTATGGAAGGTGAAGACTTTGAATATGGCCAAGATTGTTTTCTTTCTGATAGTACCATTAGTATTCACTGTCGTTCTTGGTCGAATGGGCATATATGAAAACAGTCTCTACCTGTTCGCGAAAGTCCACGACTCCCCTTGGGGGAAGAATGATCATAAAAGCGGACTGAACAAATCGCTTCACTCCAGCAATCTTTGCAGCATTCGCAAGTAGGACTTCATCTGCAAGGCTACCAAAGTAGATTGCCGAGATGACGATGTCGATACCCGAAAGGAGCTTGACAATTTCGTCCTGGGGACCTCGTAAGTCCGCTGGGACAATCTTAACTCCACGTTCCTTGAGATTGGTATTGGCGGGTTTCTCGAGGGATTCGGGCCTTGTGAGGGCTACGATGTCCTAGTTGACACAGAATTAGCAACCTTCAGCATCTGCGGGAAAGGCTCGACGGTACTAACGAATTTGGTATCTTGAGAACCCAGGAGACCATTGACAATGGATTGGCCTGTTTCACCACTTGCTCCGACAAGTGCAACTTTCACGGCTGACATATTGAATATTGTGTGCGGGCTGGGATTGAAACTGATGGCGCTCTTTAGGCTGTGATCCTGGCCTTATATATAGGCCCTTTCCGTTGACGTCACCAGATAAAGATTGATATGAAAACGTGCATTTCCCCCTGGTTTGTAATTAAGCTTTGGGCAACATGGCTGCATTACTAAGTTGTAGATTTTGGCTCCAATCTTGATCCATGAGGTTCCACGGCATCAATGCTCCACTCTTGGTGTGTGGGCGGAATTTATATTCCGGCCACAAAGTATACCCCTTTTATTTTTCACCTGACACCTGATTCATAATGCGACGTTCTCTTGATTGCTAATCAGTCTTCGCGGTAGCAGTGTTCCAGCAGGGATCCAATGTGGGTTCTTTTTGCGTGTATGCCTCTCAGCATGTCCTCCCTATAGAAGCGAATACTTCGATTACAACTGACTCTTCTTTTAAGGCCGCTCATTACGGTGAACAGTAGAGTGACAACCTTACACGCATAACCATGGTGGGCAAGTCAGTATTCACGAGCCAGGCCAAAATTCTGAACGAAGGAGTAGCGACATGGTCCCCGAATGCCACCTCGAACTCCCAGTGCATCTCAAACATCATGGAGACACCTTCCAAACCCGGAAGCGCGATTTCACGAGCTCCTGATGATGGCCCACATATTTACCGAAATGGGTAGTCATTTCGTGGCTGCTAATCTTTGATTTTTAATAACGGCTTGATAATTGAAGACGCCTATTCCCACTTAGTCTTCTGATCTGACCAAACCCTGAAATAAATACCATCGTCCTCCAAGTGTTTAATATCGGAGCTTCATTCTTTCACTTCTTTGGAGTCTATATTTCCTTACCATTTCCCGATTTTATCCTCCCCCCAGCTTCCAAAATGTCCGACAGTCAACTTTTCAAGCCATTGAAGGTCGGCGACCTTGACCTTCAGCATCGCGTGGTTCTGGCTCCGCTTACAAGATTCAAAGCCGACGGAGAGCATGTGCCTCTACCAATGGTCTCCGAGTATTATTCTCAGCGGGCTTCTGTCCCCGGTACACTTCTTGTCAGTGAGGCCACGTTCATATCGAAGCGAGCTGGCGGCTACCCCAATGTCCCTGGTATTTGGAGCAGCGACCAAATCGAAGCATGGAAGGACGTCACCGCCAAAGTCCACAAAAAGGGCAGCTTCATCTTCCTACAGCTCTGGGCCCTCGGTCGTGTCGCCATGCCAGATGTTGCAAAGGCAGAAGGCTTCGACATTGTCAGTTCCAGCCCGACGGCCTTGGAGATCGGAGATCCCGTTCCGCGGGAGCTGACGAAGGGCGAAATCGCGCAGTTCGTCGCTGATTACGCCCAGGCTGCGAGAAATGCTATTGCGGCGGGATTCGACGGGGTGGAGATCCACGGTGCTGGCGGGTACCTTATCGATCAGTTCACTCAGGAAAACTGCAATATGCGGAATGACGAGTATGGAGGAAGCGTTGAGAACCGCTCTCGCTTTCTCCTTGAGGCTGTCCGTGCCGTGGTGGATGCTGTTGGTTCTGAGAAGGTCGGGCTACGTCTATCGCCCTGGCAAAGATATCAGGGCATGAGGATGGAAGACCCGGTTCCTCAGTTCACTCATGTGATTAGCGCTTTGAACGAGCTTAAGCTGGCATATTTGCACCTGATCGAGGCTCGTGTCATTGGAAACGACGACGGCGACGATGACGACAAGATCAATCCTTTTGTAGATGCCTGGGCTGGCCCCGGTCCGGTTATTCTGGCAGGCGGGTTTAATCCTGATTCTGCAAAGGCCCTGCTTGAGGCAGAGTTCAAGGACAAGGACATATTGATTGCGTTCGGGCGACATTTTATTTCCAATCCCGATCTCCCATTCAGAATCCGAGGGGGGTTGAAGCTTACTCCTTATGACCGGAAAGTGTTTTATTTACCGATGGTGAAGGAAGGATATGTGGATTACCCTTTCAGCAACGAGTTCCAAGACTACAGTGTGAGCTATCGTTTAGATAGGTGGTTGATCGGGACGAAAGGCCTCTAAGTTTATGTACACTAAATACCGAAGCCTATTGTTCTTTCTTTAACAGAAAAACGAAAATCAGAAACAAAGTAATATTTCCAAACACATAAAACAGTAAGGATGATCACATCCACAATTTGGCCGCATCAGATACGGCCCAGCTATGTACAATGTCCTCGATATGGATATCACGGGCAAAGATATTAAAAGCTACCAGAACACAGCCTCGTAAGGATAATGGAAACAAGAATTCAAGAATAAGTTGCAGAGCGTCGGTCGTGACACCGATTCCGAGACGAACTGTAACCTCAAAGCTCACAAGTGACACCCCAAAGGGGAATCTATCCCAACGACACATGGCTACAAACACTGTTATCGTCCAGATGAACATTCAATCTATAGGAAGCCGTTAGCTATATGATACACTCCTACACCTGGAGCCAAGAGGATCAGCGAAGGAGAGAAATACCGATCCGCAACATATTCCATAGTCATCATATCGTCACTTCTCAAGACCCGACTGGGACTGGGGAGACTGGATGAAGTGAATGTCTAAGAATTCACGCTATTAGATCCCTACCAAACCTATAGAAGGTTTATGGAACGCAAGAAGGGCATACATCACCACCAACGCTCTCCGCCTCGTTGTCGACGAACTTCTTTCCCACGAGCTTCTTCTGCCAGTCGTCTGCGAGAGACATTTTTGTGGATTGATTTTGTTTCGTTGGCTTCGGTTGGTTTATTATGGGTGTGAGTGTTTCAAGGAATGGTCTGAACAAGGATACTGAGTGAAATGAAGTGGTCTTTGTGTCTTGAGAACCTACGAAAGAAGCGATATTGACGGTGCTTTTATATCCACCCACCATTGTTTCCCTGGATCCATCTACTAACTAAATCATGGTATGACATAGTAGGCATGATGGCGTAGCACGGACTCAACTCGGCTGTTAACTTGTAGAGCAGATAACTGCAGTGATGTCATCCCCGCGCCGATCCCCGCGATGGATTCTGCGCCCGAAAGACTTGATTCGATCTACCTGATCGGCTGATAGATGTCGTATGTCATTATACAGGGATCGGCACTATAGACCGGACTGGAGTGGTGATCTGGCCGGAGTGGATTGGTGGTTTTGGCTTTTTAAACTTTTATATATCCGACGCGGATGCAGGTGGATCGATTTGGAGAGATGATGTAAGTGATTGATACTTGAGGAATTTAGGGAGGTGCTAGAGGGCTTTTTCCTACGGCATGAATTTACTATTTGAGGTCTTCCGGGTTAAATAAGAATGCTTATCAGATACTTAGTGCATGGTTTGGTTGTGGACCAGTTGTGCCCCTTGAGATTACCAGAATTGTTAAATTATCGTAGTTAATGAAGCCAGTAGCAAGCGTATAGAGACTAATAAAGCGTACGATTGAGGTAATTACAAAAGGAATGGTCTAATGAAGCTAAATGCTACAAAGAAAGGTTCCTTCGAGCAAGATACTGTAAAGAGAATTCCAGGTCTAGGTGCCAACAAATGAGCAACGATGTCATACTCGAGGCATTCCATGTTAAGGCATGTTCAAACAATCTTGAAAGGCTGAGTACTATCTCCATTGCAGATAGAAACACCGGAATTCAACGCGATCAACAGAAGCCATCAAAAAAGACAAGACTAAGGCCCTACCAACTCATCCCCACCCCCAAATTGGGCCTTCGCGTCCATAAACGCCATGTCCGTAAGTTGAAAGCTCGAGAGCACCATCGGGGCCTCTTCGATTGGAAGGAAGCATTTGTCCATCCGCCGCACCTCCGGGTCATCCAATTGTTCGAATTCATTGTCATAGTCATCCATGAATACCAGGAGCAGACCCTTGCCGGGTTGAACACAGTCCCGCGTCGTTACGACGAGGAAGGCCTCCGGATGCCAGCCCAGTTCATAATTTGCCTGGGCACCGGTGAGGGGAGTCATTTGCATGTCCATCTCGGTCTGAGCCTTGACGATGTCCTTTAGCGTTTTGCCGGTGAAGTTGTACGTTTTGGGCGTGCGGACTATGGGTGGGATATCATCGTCACCGTGGCACCATTCATGGTTCAGGAAGAGGAGGAGTTTTGAGAGATCTGATTCTGGAATATCGACGAGGGTGTATAGAGCGAAGGCAGCCAAGTCTTGGTTGCATTCATAGTAGCGGGGGTGACAGAGAGGAGGGCAGGTGGCCGGGAGGGAAAGGTCGAGGGTCATCGCATCGGGTGAGTTGGATGATTGTTGGATTCGAAGCAGCTGGAGGTCGGATCTGTTGCGCAGGGGCTGGACGAGGATAAGAGGGGAAAGCAAAATAAATAAACAGGGATACTGGGTGAATTGGGAAGCTTCCTGGCTGGCTTATCCCGGGTTCTCCCTTTGTTGTTCCCTCTTTCACGCAGCCTTCCGCTTGCTTTGTCCGAGTCTGCGTTGGTAGATAGGCAGAAATCTACGACCAACGCGGTGACCTAGTGACGTTACTCAAAATATTCGCCCCGCTGGAGATCAACGAATGGTATGGATTCAGAACGCATGGGCCCCTGAGGCTTCAAGCTTGTACTTTGAACCTATTTTGGGGACTTGATAAACCGAGCCCGTTCGCAATTTGAGCTTGATAGGCGATTCTAGATTCATTGCCTTATAATAGTCCGGAATTAGATAGAGCTTCTAGAAGGTATTCATGTAAGTTAATCCTGAGTCATAAGCTGTAAAGCAATGGTTGGCACAGGTGCTTTTGGTGACCGACAGATCCCTGAGCTGGGAGACTATTGCTCCTGGTCAGGATTCAGGGACAGATAGGCTGGTAGGACGGCCTTCTCAACGTATGCTGTTACCCGGGCTCTTTGTGCATATATACACCGGTCGTTGCGAACTGGACTGTTGGGTAGTGGCTTTGCCAATCACCAGGTAACTACGGCGTTGGGTGGCTGATACAATCGAGCTATCATCCAAAAGGCAGCCTCGGGGTTTGAACACTGGCAGATTACATGCTAATCAGCACTGTCCCACTGCTTGGAACAGTCGTCCTACCACCTACACATGGAAGCGTACCTGGATAAAAGATGCGGATTGTGTTCAAGTCCCATGAACCTACATTCCATGAAGAGCATAGCTAACAGCAAATTTGTCGGTTAGGAAATGCATCATGCCCTATGAAAGGGTAAATATGGAATACATGACGGCCTTGGAAGGCACTGAAAAGATGCTTGAGCCGTCATTGCAATGGAAAGGGGAAAGCAACGACTTGTTCCATCGATATTGCAACGCATGTCATCAATACCCTTGGCCGCCCCGCAGCTTCAAGGTTACCTGTTTTCTAGTATTCAAGCCACGAATCATGCGATATCACCCCTCGAGAGCCTTGTGGTCCCCCCTTTTGCCGGTAGCGTGAAAGCTGAGAGGACCAAGCACCGTTTCCTCTCAGACGGTCTGGATGGAGGCTTGGGGAAAAGGTCATCCAAACCGAGGAGACATAAATAGGTCACCTATTGCCAGCAAGAATAATGATAGGTAGCAACAGGAAATCAATACATTCAATATCTCTCGGAGAAACCGCTACAACAGATTAGCTGTCAATGAAGCACCTTCTGCTGTACTTTCTACTTTTTGCTCTTTCCCTGGGATCGGCAGTCCCCGAAGCTCCAGCACCCGATACACAGGTTGCTGTTGTTGCTAAGAAGCATCTTACTTTTGATTGCTCTGATGGGCAGGTCGGCGGTATGTCCATTACCTCCTTCACAATGTATGAAGACGGGAAACTGAGGGTGACTGTGTGCAGATGTATGTTTGAATATGTGCTACGGTATGCTCCCCCTCCCTTCCTGTTACCCAAAGACAAAAGCATGACATTTTATGTTTAGGCGCCAAATGCAAAAGGCTGGGCAGTACCTTCACCTGGGATAAGCCAAAGAAGAATGTCGGCGAATGGCGCAGCCGTCTCGCCGGCTGTGACAGTCGAAACCGATGCACCAGAGCCCCCTATGGTGACGCGTACCAGTGCGACGAGTATCCGTTCAAGTCCGTCAAGGAGGCAGACAAAGGTCGCCAGGTCAACCGATGCGTCAAGACCCACTACAACGGGCGTGAGTCAAGTCAACTCCTGTCTTTATTAAGCCGTTACTGACAAAGGACAGGCCAGGGACAGACCATGAAGAATTTTTACAATTCTTGAGGACAGTTCAAGGGCAAGGGCTGTAATGGAAGACCCTCCTGTCAGTTCACCGTTTCCTTCAAAAACTTCAGTAAGCATAAGTGCTGCAAGAAGAAGCCAAACTGCAAGAACGACGGAAACCAGTATACCAAGGCTGGTCTTGCGAAGCGTCAGGAGGATGTTGATAACAGTGGCTACTACCGCCTTAGTAGTGGCGACATTATCTTTGTTTCTGACGGCGCCTCAGTGGGTGATATGGTCTATCAGACTATTTTCACCAATTCGAATGCCACTATGGGTGTCGATGCGTTGGCTGACACTCACGAGGATGATGATAGGCTTGGTGATGATGAATTCGAGGTTCAGGAGGACCGCATTGTCGAAGAGGTGGCGGACTATGAATAGCTATTCCCTGGCTTTCTAGAGTCCGATGGCCGCTCGATGTAAGCATCTTCTTACCCGTTCATGGGCGTTGAATGCATACAACACCATGGATATTTCTTTCTGTTAGCCTGAGTGTAACCAAATCATTCACTCATTTAAGACACCCAACTGAATCAATTTATTGATTTTTATTGTCATTCCGATATTTTCTATATTGCCTCGATAGCTTCTGTTCCTATAGATCAATAGGGTATTAGCCTGGAGCCTCGTTGATGACTAGCTACTAGGCGATGCACTTCGCTTCCCGACTAAGCAGTATTGAAGCTATATAAAGCTCCCTACCCGCCTCTCTCTATTTCGAAATTACTCTCTTATCTTCAATTCAACCGGCTTTATCAACCAGGTCATCCCCTAAGTATACCTTCATCAAGACACCCCATTCCGTCAAGCCGCAGCATCCCCTGAGACTCCCCATAGAAAGCGAAACGACTGTGTGCTGCCCCCGGAGCGTTCGATCGAATTTATAGCTTTATCTCAACATTAAGGGTCGAGAGTTTGAGTAGCGAGGTCGAGGGGAAGTTTATTAGGAAGATCCGCTGAAGCCGGTAAAGCGAGGGACTCTGGATTGGAAGTAGGGAGTTGCTTGGGCGCGAGCAAGCTGCCCCAAAATGAGACTTTTACAATGTTCTAGCTGAGTTAGGGGAGCACACTGGAACGCAGGATGCAATGCATTTCATGTATGCCCAGTAACAAGCTGGGACAGCCATTCGGTTTCTTAATCTTTCATTGACAGAGGAAATTACCCGTTTTGGAAGCCTGTATGGCTTCATGATTGCCATAGTCGGGCAGTCGCGAAAGCCCGAGGTGGCCGCTGCCAAGCATTTCGCTGTATGGACATTTCGTACATACAAGACTGTGGAAGACTTCCTTCTACCTCTTTCAACGTAGATTCATTCATTTTGTCCTTTCTGGATCGCCCCGGTAGTCCTCGGCTCCCTTTGAGTCATTAGTGATTGAAATATCGGCCAAAAGCGCACAAAGAAAAATATGGAATCAAGGAGCTCCAGCATGTTATGTTCAATAAGCCTGCTTGTTCTTTTACTTCTTCCCTACTCAGTAAGCCTACCAGACACTCTGCTCTGCCATTCCGTCTTGTCTGAGTGATGTCTTGGGGATTAAGGGGTGCGTCTGATATAAGTGAGGTATATAGTACCTTTGGGTCAGATTAGAGACGTGCTTGTTTACTCTTCGAGACATCCTCCATCTGTGTTTGATTTGGTGTTTCTCATACAGAATTGGCGGCGATTTGACAGGTCCTTTCCATTCAGCAATAGGCGGATTCGTGCTCAGGTCTGTCTAGACAGTCCCTTACTTACTCCGTATATAGATATCTATCTAATATAGTAAATGATATGTTGAAGTGTAAGTGGTCTATGTTGAATCTTTATTCGATCATCTTTATCCAATCTAAGCCTCCACCCCTGGATACCCTGTACTGTATGCGGAGTTGATTTCCAGCTTCTTCCCAGCCCAAACCATCCAACCCACCATCCAGATCGAATCGATCAATCAATCACACCCCCCTCCCTCAACGCCCAAATGACCATCTCTGTCACCGTCGCTGTCACAGCCTCATACCTCGGTATCTCATGCCCGCCATTATGATTAAACGTGCGCCGGCGCCTCTCATCACAAAGCCCCGACAGCTGCACACTCGCCTCATACCGCGGGTCCTTGTCTCCGTATACATGCACCGTGGGGATCCGGATCTTGACGTCTCCGTGTGCAGCGAGTTCCTGCCTGATGCGCTCTTCCGCGTCCGAACTAGTGCCCCCGGGCGCTTGGTTGTTCCATCGCGAGGACCCCAGAGCGAGAAGGTTCTCGGAGTTGGCGACTTGGGCGAGTCTGGCGCGGCTGTCGGCGTCGCGGTCGAAGATTGCAGATGGCAGGGTGTAGCCGGTTTCGGAGAGCATTAGGAGGGGTGGACCGCCGCAGATGAAAATTGCTGCGGAGAATGGGTTCTTCCCGCCCTGGGTCTTGGTCTGGGATTCAGTCTGGGTGGCTTGCTGCTGACGCTCCCATTCTTGTAAAAGCAGGAGACTCCCGCCGAGCGCGCACCCCTGGCTGAACATCATGACGGCATCGTAAGGGCCACGTTCGGCGATTATGCCATTCAACCAGGTGATGGTTTCGCGGATTGCGGGGACGGTGTTTTCGCGCCAGAAGGTGTAGTACGGGGGCGGGTAGAAGAGATCGATGCCCGGGGCCGGGGGAGAGGGGTATTGGGCGTCGAGGAAGTCGAATTCAACGTCGGTGGGGAGGTGGGATTTTAGGCGTTTGATGATTCCTGCTTTTGGGTGTTAGTTCTTCTGAGGAGTTTGATATTGTGTAGATGATGTAGTTCGATGAGATGGGGGAGATTAGGATGATGGGTGGAGATGGTTGTTGGAAGGCTTGACGTGGGTGGGGTAGTGCAGCAGATCAGTGGACATACACAACTGTGACCGGAAGATAGCAGCGCTAGTGCCTTGACCGTGGAGGCAGAGGATCTTCATCTTGATGGATGGGTCTATCGATGGATGGCAATGGATGGATGAAGCAGAGATGACGGAGGGGAAAGATGAGGTTATGTTATCGACCAGACATGCAGGCGGCCCCCACTTCAGGTCGCATGATGGCGTTTGTGGCGCTTATCATTCTGTCATACATTGAAGTCTGTCTACAGAACTTGATTTGGAATGTATCTGTCAATTCGATAATGAGGGAATAGGTCGGTCGAACAAGAGAAATATGACGGGGTGTGTTGAACACCGCATCCAGCAATTCAGCTATGGTTGCGCATAGCCTTCACCCGTCCTCCACTTGGATCTATTTAACCTCCACACTGGCATCCACACTGGCATTGGCGCTCATGGAAAACGGTGACGCCAGTCCAGCCCTCATCTCAGCATCCTCCATCGTCAGCCGCGCATTCTTTCCACTACCAATGCCAAACGATCGTTTTGTCGCCTTCCAACTCTCAACCAGGACCAAATATACCAACATGCACCCGAAAACAACACCCCATTCCCAGTCGATACCGTGGTGTTTGAACACGATGCGGTTGACCGCAGGGAGGTAAATAACGGGAAAGGCGACCACGAAGCCGGCAATGACCGCCCAGAACAGGAAGCGGTTGCGCCAGATGGAATGGATGACGGATAGTCGACCGGGGTATTTGTCCGGGTCGAGATTGAACAAGGATCGAGAGAAATGCTTGACCTCCCAGGCCGTGATCAATAAGAGGAATGTTAGGGTGGCGTAGGTCGTAGCGCGGGCGCGAAAAACCACGTCGCAACTGCTGTTCCATCCCTCGTTGCAGTCGTAGCCCATGTCCGCGGTGCCAGATCCATTGGCATAAATCACACATACAAATGACACGAGGCAGAGACACCCCATGAACGTGCCGTAAATCATCTTATCCATGATCAGCTCCCGGGTAAAAACGCCCACTTTTAGATCGTGTGGCGGGCGATACATAATATCTGGTTGCGCTTCCTCGAGTCCAAGCCCTAACGCCAGGAAAGAGGACGTCACGAGATTTGCCCATAGAATCTCCAAGGGAGATAAGGGAAAGATCGAATTGTCCTCTGCATCTTTGAATGCCAGTGCAACGAGAAGGAGAATGACTTGGGCAATGTTGGAGATCAAAAGATGCATCAAGAACTAAAGGGGTCAGTACTGGGTATCAAAGACAACCATGAACCATACCTTTTGAATATTGTCGAACAGACGTCGACCTTCCTCGACCGCTCTCACAATCGACGAAAAGTTGTCGTCTGTCAATACCATATCAGCCGCCTCTTTGGCGACGTCACTGCCATTTTTCCCCATGGCAATACCCACGTCTGCCCGTTTCAGAGCAGGCGAGTCATTGACCCCGTCGCCCGTCATGACACAGAACGCCTGGCGTCGGTGCATCGCCTCGACCATTCGAACTTTCGTGGTCGGGCTGCAGCGTGCTATCACCAGAGGCAGCTTCTCAATCGCGTCAATCTCCATATCCGACAACCGGCCAAACTCCTCCGCCGCCATGACAAGTCGGCTGGACTTTGCGTTGACGAACGGGTCCAGTATACCCACTTCGGAGGCGATCGCCGTGGCCGTGCGGATATGGTCGCCGGTCAACATGTGGACCGTAATGCCAGCCATCTGACAGCGACGGACAGCCGCAGCTGTTTCGACCCGAGGGGGGTCATAAAGTCCAACCAGACCACTAAGAGTTAGGTCAGACTCGGCGTGGGCACGTGGGGATACCTGTGTATTGTCATCAATCGACGTCATCTTATAAGCCACGCACAGTACGCGAAGGCCTTCTCCGGCCATTCGGTCTGCCGTGTCCTGCATGAACGTTTTCTGCTGTCCACTCAGACGGAGTCTAGGAATAATAGCCTCAGGTGCCCCTTTCGTATATACTTCGTGGACCTGGGCGACTGCGTTTTTGTAAACGACTGTCATTCGTTTAATTGAGGAATCAAAGGGATATTCTGTGTGTAGGGCAATGTCGCGCTCCTGTAACAAGGCTGGCTTTCCCATGCCAAAACGCATCGCGAGAACGTGCAAGGCAATTTCAGTAGGCTCGCCGACAGCAGTCCACTCATTTTGTGATCGGACAGGATCTTTTCCTGAGACATCCGACGGCCCGGCTTTTTCTACCACCGACAGATTGCATAACGAGATTGCAGCTAGAAATGTTCGCAGGGCGAGGTTGCTCTGTAGATCCTCTCGATTCCAGTCCACCTCGTCGAGTTGGACCGACCCACTGGTAGGATCGATTGGATTTGTGGTATGGTGGATGGTTAAAGTGCCAGCCTCTGGAATCCACGCGGTACGTGCGACCATCTTGCCCTGGGTCAATGTCCCTGTTTTATCGGAGCAAATATTGGTTACTCCGCCCACGGCTTCAAGGCACTGCAGTTTCCGCACAATGACATTGCCTTTGGCCATAGCCTTTGTTCCAACTGCCACAGTGATCGTGAGGACGGCAATTAGCGATTCGGGGACCACGGCCACGGCGACGCAGATCCCGTAGATGAGAACTTCGCCTTGAACATCCCACTTGTTGACCGAAAACACGATGATGGCAAGAAGAATGGCGAGAGCAAATAGCAAAAGCGCAAACTTACTCAACTTCACCTGTAACGGAGTACCTACTAGCCCCAGGATATTTTTAATGGTGGTTTTCACTCGGTGAAAGCCGCGCATGAACAGGTTTGAACTGGTGTGGGTGGACGTCTCTTGAAGAAGCTGCGCAATCTTGCCCACCTTAGTCCTCATTCCCGTTGCAGTGACAATGCCCGTGGCTCTACCTTGGGTTGTACTACATCCTGAATAGGCCATATTGGTCCGGTCTCCTATAGGGATGTCTCGCGAGGCCATGACCATATGCGGAGTCTTTGCCACCGGCAGGGACTCGCCAGTCAACAAGGCTTCGTCCATGGATACATTCATGCCGTCGACGAGTCGCAAGTCGGCGGGGACGATATCTCCGACAGCCAGTTGGACAATATCTCCCACGACAAGCGACTCGGCCTTCACGGACACTACATGGCCATCTCGTAGCACCTTGCACACGGGAGCAGACAGTCGATGCAGGGACATGATGGTTTTTTCGGCTCGATAGTCCTGCACGAATCTAAAACTCATAAGAAAGGGCGGATAATGCGAGCGAATGTACTCACCCGACGACGATATTAAGGAGGATAACCGCTGTGATCACGCCTCCTTCGATATAGTCATCAATCCCAAAAGATATTGCCATAGTAATGACGAGAACCTAAGCGTTCTTGTCAACAGGCTAAGGAACATTACGCCGCACCGATGACGTTGGGACTGTTATCATACTAAAGTCAAGCTGTTGGAAACCTGTCTCAGCAGTATCTTCCAGACCGACACTCCCTGCATTTCTCGGACCCTGTTCGGCCCATCTCGCTGGAGACGGGCCGCCGACTCGGTATTTGACAGACCATGGCTATTTGATCAGCAGACGATCGCTCGAAGAACGGAGAGGCGTACTGAAGCTGAACGTTGAGAGACGCTGCAAGTTGTGCAGGATCAACAGTGTGGGGGTAATCCGACAGGCTTTCAGGAATGGGTTGGCACGGTTCTACAGCAGGATGTTGAGCATCATTTACCACCCGAGCACTCGGCTGTTCGATTTTCTCAATGTCCTGCTGGCTGTCTACATCGGTACGCGTGTGTTCCTTCGGTAAAGAACATATAGGGGGTTCCGTCGATTCCTCGACATCAAGAGGGGAGGTTTCAATGCCCATTCAAGTATAGGTAACGGAAAGGATGAGAAGGTTGATATCGGGCAACCCCAGTATGCACGAGATGGATAGTAGAAAAGGTTCAAGGATCACCAAGACGTGGAAGCCTCAAACGTTCTTTCCTAGATGCTTTCTTTTCTTTCGAAACCTACTTATAGGACGGTCAGAGCAAGCGGGGGGCAATCGTGAGGGGTTGCCATGCTTGCGTTTTTCTCAGCACTGCCTCTTATTGGAAAACCAGGATCTTTATCTTGGCCGATTCATGGCCGGACTGGATGATTCGCGTGCAAGAGGATGACTCGCGAGGGTGTCCTTGGAAGCCGGGCCGCTAATGGCTTGGAAGATGATGGGATTGGACGACCACCGGTCCGGGGAGGCCAGACACAGACAGCTCACGAATAGTCTATCTAAGCCACAGAAGGTGAATGAGGGGAGGCTTGCTCATCACGGACGTGGCGACAGACTAGACCCTGTCAAGATGGCCACGTGAGTTGATGCCAGTGCCGGCATCCTAATAATAGGGGTTCTGGAAGAGTGCGGAACTGGACGCTGACAGATTCGGACGAGGACCAGGCAGCAACGATTGGTCTGTTTGCCAGAGACTGCCGGGATGAAATTTCATTCGACCATCTCAGTTTCCCAGGTAATTCCAAGATTGAATTTGGAGACGTGGGTGATCCAATCATCTCCGTCGGTGGGTGTAATTTCCGCCCATTGCAATTTCTCGCTAGAAGGATTCTGCAATATCTCTTTCGATGGATCCATGATGAAAATGAAATGCAAGCAGTGTATTGCAATTTTTATGTTTCTAAATCGAGATGATGCTGATGAAGAAGAAGAATGAGAGAAGAAAAGGCGAGGAGAAGAGGAAAGGAAAGAGGGCGGCCAGCGACCAATCAGCAAACAGCCCGCACCGCCCGAAATCCGCCAAAAAATTGCAGCGGAACAAAGCAGTTTCTCTCTCCATCTTCACTCCAGATTGACTTCACATTGACATTCAAATTGACATTCAAATTGACATTCAAATTGACATTCAAATTGACATTGAGAATCTAATTTCCCTATTTCTTCCAAGAAAATACATCCAATCCATTACCCCCTACGAATTCCCTCTTTCATATCGCCAACATGGTCGGTCCGACCTCGTCTCTCACCCCCCTCGCGCGCGCCGACGGCTCGGCTTCCTACAAATGCCCGTCGACCGGATCGAATATCCTGGGATCGGTGAATGCTCCAATCGAGCTGCCAGGCCGTCGGGATGCTCTCAAGCCCGAGGAAGCGACCGTGGAGGTCTTCGTCAAGCCCGGTACCGCGCCAGGCAGCGTTGGGGAGCGATACGCCGAAGGAATCATCAAGACCATGCTGGGACGACTGGTTCTCGGAAGGGAGAAAGGATATGCGAGACGAGGAGTGGTGGTTACATTGGCGATTGTTGGTGGTGAGAGCGCCGGCAGGGGAGACTCGGTGAGTTTCTTTCCTCCCCCCTAGGTGATTACGCTAACGGGCCCTCTCACAGTATCTGACCCTTCTGCCTGCCCTCCTTCAAACCGCCCTCCTGGCACTACTATCGGCATCCGTCCCCCTGTCCATGACCTACTCCGCGACCGTGCTGGGAGTTGATTCGTCGGGGAAGATCACTCGGGAGCCGTCGCCCGCAGATGCTCAGTCGGCCACGTCGCTGCACGTGCTCGCCTTTTCCTCCAAGGGACATCTGCTGCTCAACGAAAGCCAGGGCGCATTCGACTTCGAGACGTGGGAAAAGGTCCGCGCACGTGCCTTGACCATCTGTCAGGGGACCTTGACGAGCAGCGCGGACGGTGATATCGCCATGGCGGAAGACGCGGACGGCCAACCGTTGGAAGGGACAGTGCGGGAGGCAGTGGAGGACCAACTGCACCAAGACTATGCCTGGAAAATCGACGCGGCGTGAAGGATTGCGGGGGACGAGACAGCACCACGAACACCGAAGGTCGAATGATTGCGACCGGGCCGACCACCGATGCCAGCCTTGGGTACATGTGTTTTCTTTTTCTTGCAGCCGGCGATCCGTCCTAGCTCGATTTGGACCTGCGCCAGAGCTGATGCCACTTGGCGTAGGCCTCCCTCATGGGAGCGTGCACGGGGGTCATTGGCGCCCGCAGACTCCGCAGAGTACGGAGAACCAACCTTTACGAGCCAACGAGGGATATGATAGGAGGGCGGCCACCAAAGGAATGGGGATCCATGCGAGTCAGCCAGCATAGATAGAGCGATCTGACACGCGAGGACGTGATGTACGGTATTAGAGACGCTAGCCAACCAACAGGGCAGCCACATATGACTGCTGAGATATGCCGAATGCAGAGGAAGGGGAAATCCGAGCGTGTGTCCGTAGTCCGTGTCTCGCATGTAGTCTGTCTGCCTTACTCTTTTCTTACGTGCAGTACATCCAACGTATAATCGAGAACGGTGAGTGGTGGGATTAGTCACGGCCGCCACAAACCACCAACTGCGAGTCTCAGTCACCGCCGACTTTCCCTTGCATCGCCTGTCCTGCGGTGAAGAATGCGCGCATTTCTGATGAGTTCCATTCCGTCATGGACGATCGGTCGATGTCTATCGCTGTCCGCCAATCGAGGATCCTGAACGGATATGCGATCTAAATAAATCCGCCCCGCCATGTCTGGCGCCCACACCGCGCCTTTCCTCCGAGTCTAACGGAGAGATTCCTCCAGCTGACAAACTCGCTGACCAGGAGAGTGGAAGGCTATCGAACACTCTCCATCTCTCGTCTGCTGTCATCTCCGGTTGCGGATTTAGTCCACTTTCCTTTCCCTGGTTCCTCTGCTGCAAACCCCGTTACATCCGACAGCTCCTGCGGCCCGTTCTTCTCCCCCCGTCTTTTTCCCTCCTTGCGTCGTTGCCAATAAAATATTAAAATAAAATTAGCCAGACCAACCAGCGTTGTCTCACCCTCGTCGGTGCGCGGCTTTTTTTGTTTTATATCTCGCCCGTCCATGGCTTCCCCTGCCTCCAGTCATGGCTCCGTGAACGCCCCCCAGTCCTCTCGTGCCTCTGCTCCGTCATCATCTTCAACGTCACAATTCCCTTCGACGACACCCTCTGCCCCACCATCCGATTCTCGACGTGCGACTGTCGCAAATCCCCCTTCTTTGTCTGCCACATCGTCGTCTGTCGGTTCATTACCGCTCCGTGACTATGTCAGCAATATAGACCCGTCGTCGAACGCTCCTCGCCGCGGTGATCCCACCTCGGGACATTCTGCTCCCTCGGTCTCCACTGCACGGAATACTGAACTCGCCCGGGAGGACGGGGTCGGGTCGTTACCGTCGTCGCCTTTCCTGCCTCTGCGCCCGGCCGCGTTGGCCAGTCATCATCGAAACGCGCTGTCCAGCGACTCAATTCCCCGACAGACGATCATGAAAGCTCTGGCATCTCGACCGTCGGGGGCTCAGCAAAATACCAACTCCAATACCAACAATCCCGCGATGCCGCTGGCGGCCTCTCTGGGCATCCAGAGTCCCAATACGTCTGCGAACCCGTCGGAGGAGCCGGGACGTCCCTGCAGCAATCCGTCGTCGCAAAAGCTGTCGGCTGCGCTCTCCAGCCTGCAATTGGGTACATATTTGGACCGGATGCCGTCGACGGCCCGGTTGGTCATGCAATCGCCGTGCTTTTTCCATCAGCGGTTCGACGATGCGGTGAATATTCAGAAGGTGCTGGAGGAAATCGCTGATGACGAGTGGTTGTCCCATTCGCGGTTAGTGCAGACGGCTACGGGAGTCCGGGAGGTATCGAAGCAATTGCAACGACGACCCATCAAGCGGGCGGTGAAAAATGTCATGATCGTGACGAAGGCGCGTGATAATAGTCTGGTGCATTTGACGAGGGAATTGGCGGAGTGGCTGCTTTCGACACCACGGTATGGGAGCGACCTGGGGGTCAATGTATATGTGGATGCGAAGCTGCGCAGATCCAAGCGATTCGATGCGCCGGGGTTGACGGCGAAGAACCCTCGTTTTGAAGGAATGCTGAAATACTGGACACCCGATCTATGTTGGACGTCGCCGGAGATGTTTGACCTCGTGCTGACACTCGGCGGAGACGGAACGGTGCTGTTCACGTCGTGGCTCTTCCAACGGGTGGTCCCGCCTATTTTGTCTTTCTCTCTCGGAAGCTTAGGGTTTCTGACGAATTTCGAATTCGAGCACTACAAGGATCATTTGAACGCGGTCATGGGCGACGTCGGGATGCGCGTCAACTTGCGCATGCGGTTCACGTGCACCGTCTTCCGCAAGGACCGCAGCAAAGGCGCGGATGCCGATGCTGTCGAGGAAGGAGAGCAGTTTGAGGTTTTGAACGAATTGGTCATGGATCGGGGCCCCTCGCCCTACGTATCGAATCTGGAGCTGTATGCAGACAACGATCTGTTGACGGTCGTTCAGGCCGACGGCTGTATCTTCTCCACCCCAACTGGTATGTCCTCTCTTCCTCTTGTTTCCGACACTTAACTAACGAACATAGGGTCTACTGCTTATTCACTATCCGCCGGAGGGTCCCTAATTCACCCTTCCATTCCCGGCATTCTCCTCACCCCCATCTGCCCGCACACGTTGTCCTTCCGTCCCATGGTCCTGTCCGATTCTCTCCTCCTGCGCATTGCCGTGCCGGCCGGTTCCCGGTCGACCGCCTACTGCTCCTTCGACGGCAAAGGCCGCGTCGAGCTGCGTCAAGGCGACTACGTCACCGTCGAAGCCAGCCAGTACCCCTTCCCGACCGTGGTATCCGGCAGCGGCGAGTGGTTCCAAAGTGTCCAGCGCGCTCTCCGCTGGAACACGCGCGGTGCTGTGCAGAAAAGCTGGCAGCGCGGGTCCGAAGCGGGCGTGGACGCCATCGACGAGGAAAACGAAGAAGAGGAGTGGGACATCGACGCGGATGCCGGTCTCGCCGGCACCGACAGTGGCTTTGGCCCCAGCGAAGACGGCGACGAGGGATCCATCAGCCCCATGAAGCGACAGATGAGCATGCTCAGCATGTAGCCTATACCACCACCCATATACACCACCACACCCACCTGCACACATCGCTTACATATTACTCCGTGCTCGTGCTCGTGTTCATCTCTTAGCATACATACCAGGTACACCGCTGGCTTGGCGCTTGGATTGAGTTCATTTTCATTACTTGTTTTGTCCGGTCGGACTGGAAGGATACTACCGATACAGATACAGATACAGATACAGGGCTGGGGTTATCCCTTGTTTGGTTTCATAGCGTTTACTAGATAGACTTGTCTTTGATATTTACTGATCCCGTTACATCGCGGGGCAGAACTGGCTTCTAGCGGGTTGCAATTAATTTATTTGCGTGGTCTGACGGCCATTGTTCGGGTTTTTATGATTCTTCGCTCTAAGACTTGATCGTCGTGTAACCGATGCCGAGGTTGTATATAATCCCTACGGTTCCGCTGGATTTGCTGCATGTCTCTTCTTGACAACCCGCTACTCTTGTACTCTTGTCCACGGGTTGATCATGCAATGTAACCTAGTTCTGTCTCAAGATCACAAACACCCCTCATTCCATGCAGGAACCCTGACTAGGTAAGCCAAGCAGTGTTACTGATCCATCCAGCCACTCGCAGCCATCCATGCACCGTCGGTAAGGATCATTCCCACCCTGCTATATCTATCTCTATCATTCATTATCACATTATTCACCTAGCTTCCTCTATACACTCCGTCCCAAACACCGTCTAGTGAGATAGATCTATTACCAATCACAGCTCTCACTCAACAGCTTAGCCAACTGCTCCAGGAACTTCTGATCCACCTCGTCGAACCCATTTGGCTCCGTGCAATCGATATCAATAATCGCAACAGTCTACCAAACAACACACATTAGCCCAACCACACCACAACCCCCCAATCCAAAGCAAGTCAAAGAGAGAAAAGGAACATACCTCCCCCCCACTCAACACCGGCACAACAATCTCGCTCCGACTACTCGCATCACACGCAATATGCCCGGGAAACGCATGCACATCGGGCACCAGCAGCGTCTCCTTATTCGCAGCCGCGGTGCCGCACACGCCCCGCCCGAACCGGATCTCCTGGCACGCCGGACGGCCCTGGAAGGGGCCCAGCACGAGCACGTCTTTCTTGGAGGTCGCTTCGGCGGTGGAGGCGCCCAGCACGGGGAACTTGTCTTGGCGGATGTAGAAGCCGGCCCAGTTGACGGAGGACGAGGGGGCGGGGAGCGCGGCGTAGGCGTGCCAGAGGAGGGAGGCGACGTTGGAGAAGTTGCTTTATTTTCCACGGTTAGATTAATCGGGGGGGTGTGGTGAGGGAGAGGGGAGCGAGGGAGGAGGGTGTTTACCTGACCTGTTTGTTTAAGAGGCGTTCATGTTAGCTTAGGGTCTGATCTGGGATCTGGAGAGGGCTGATGAGATGACGTACCCAGTTGCGCTGGCCGTAGACCAGCCCGGTGGCCTGCTCTATGACCTGCGTGTAGATGTCGGATTTCGAGGCATTGGAGCCGAAGTAGGACGAGTCGGCGTGAGGCTGGAGGGCTGTCAGTGCATTTCTGACGGTAAGATCGATGTAGATCCTACCATGATGAAGGAGTTGATGCAATGCGATAAGAAGAGGGACGGCGAAGAGAGAAAGAAAAAAGAAGTGGGGGTGCGGGGCGGCGTTTTCTCGCGGCGCCTGCTTCTTCCATCTTAGTGTCTTTTGCCCCCGGTATACTTATAGTCTTGGTTCCGGATTTGGACTTTTCAATGTTTGTTTTTCATTAGAATTGTATTTTTTTATTTGGTTTGATGGAAAAATGTTCAAGTCTGCCCTGCTTGCGCTTTCGACCTTATCCTCTGCCAGGGAGATTGTCTTCCCTCCTGTCGCCGCCGTCCATCCCGCAGGCCAATTCCCTCTAGGACATCATGATCCTGTCGACATCACCTCAGGAAGTCAGTTCTCAGGCTTGACGACCTTCGCGCATCTCCCGTACGTCAATTGTTTCGTCGACGAAGAAGCGAACACCCAGCGATACGATATCGCGTTCTTAGGTGCACCATTCGACACCGTATGCGCCCTAGTCTGCACCGCTCGAGGATAGAAACTCACCATCGAATAGGGCGTCACAGGTCGTCCAGGCGCTCGCTACGGCCCCGGAGGTATTCGTCTAGGTTCCCGCCGACTCGGAGGCTGGAATATCTACACCGGCGAGAACGTGTTCGAGAGCTGGGCGAAGCTGGTCGATTGCGGAGATGCGCCGCTCACGTGGTTGGATAATACGGTTGCATTGAAGCAGCTGGATCAGGCGCATAAGGTTTGTCCTAGCTGGGCTTTTATGGTGTCTAGATGGCTAAGTGTTAGGTTGTCTCGTCTCGGCCTGCGAACAGTACTGAGAAGGGACGCGTGCCGCGCATCATCACGCTCGGTGGCGATCATACGACGACGCTTTCGGCGCTGCGATCGACGCATGAGAAATGGGGTCCTGTGTCGGTCATTCATTTCGATAGTCATATAGGTATGTTTGCTGCTGTGATGGTTGGACATTGCTGATGGTGTAGATACCTGGGATCCGGAGGTGCTGGGTAAGTTTCAACCTGTTTGGGATGGGATGATTGCTGATGAGTATTAGGTGGCGGAGTTTCTCATTACGCGTGAGTAATATCCTGTTTGACTGTAACAGTTCTAATGTGGTTAGTGGCGTCAACCATGGCACGTTTCTTCATCTGGCCCACGAAGAGGTATGCGTGCATATAAATGTTCTACCACAGCATAAGCTCTAACAGCACAGGGCCTGATTCGCAATACATCTATCCATGTCGGCATTCGAGCCCCCGTCAACCGTGGAAAGGCTGATCTACGCAACGATGTTCGCTGTGGTTTTGACATGATCAAAGCACGAGACTTGGATCGACTGGGCATTGACGGCGTGGTCGAACAGATCAAGTCCCGGGTTGGAGACAGCCGAGTCTATATCTCTGTTGATATAGACGTGTTGGATCCAGCTTATGCACCAGGTGAGTTTCTCGATCATGTAGCAGGGATATAGCTGACTGATTAGCAACCGGGACTGCGGAACCCGGTGGTTTCACCACCCGCGAGCTTCTTTCTATTCTGGATGCTTTGCGAGGGCTCCCTGTTATCGGGGGTGATGTGGTCGAGGTTGCGCCCATCTATGACACCGTTGCGGAGACGACTACGCTGGGAGCGGCGGAGGTGGCCAATTCGTTGTTGGCTTTGATGGTAGCGACCCCTGTTTCTGCCTGATGGATTGGACTGCAGATTCCTGCTGTAAGTGCAATAATGTAAATAGTGACAACAGGCGGAAGTATGCGGAGTATCTGCTCACAGGATGTTTCCTCTATTTTCAATTACCGTCGCTGCTTCAATCCCGAATCCATTAGCCAACCGAATTATCTTACATTCCTCCCCACGCTGTCACCTGCTTATCACCCTTGCAATCGCTTTTCTTTCCTGTGTCATCATATTTAGTCTTTTATCAGCCAAAGAATGGGCCAATTCTCCGGCCTCCGATTCGCTCCCCCGCAAAGTCGCTCCACCGCGTCGCGCAGACATTCCCGATCCGGTAAGCATCGTGGCACATCTTCTTATCGGCTTTGGCGAACTGCTATCTCCAACGACCCTTGCTGGGATGTCATAGACCCACGGATTACCGGGGATGGTCTACTCCGGAGGACCTCTTTAAATGGGAGATGTCGGGTGGTTGTTACCGGGTATTTTCTCAGAGTCATCAAGGCTGCTTCTACTATGGCGGATAACGACGAGAATCAGAAGGTCTTTGCCTCTTCGACCGGAGAAGATGCTCGGTTGGAGCATCTGGGATATGAGCAGGGTTAGCTTTGCTATTTCTGACACCGCTATTGCCATATACTGACAGAGACAGAGCTGAAACGAACCTTCGGGCTACTGGGAATGATCGGGTTCAGCTTCAGCGTCGTGACATCGTTCGTTTCTCGCTCCCTGTAGACTTCGTCTTACTGACCCTTCAGATGGACTGCTTTGAGTGGTGTCTTCATCGTCGGCGTCAAGTCCGGCGGCCCCCCTGTCATGGTATTCAGCTTCATCGCCGTCTGCTTCCTCACTCTCGCCGTTGCCATTCCCATGGCCGAAATGTGCTCCATGTACCCAGTCGCCGGTGGCCAGTATTCCTGGGTAGCAGCACTCGCTCCTCCAAGAATAGCCAGGGGACTGTCCTACATCAGCGGATGGTTCATGCTCATCGGTCCGTCTATCCATCATCACACCGTTCCGTCTAACAAACACAGGCATCCTCGCAATGGGCGCAACCAACAACTCCATCGGCGCCAACTTCATCCTCGGCATGGCCAACCTCGTCTTCCCCGAGTACACCATACAGCGCTGGCAGACCGTGCTAGTCGCCTACCTCGTGGCCTTTGTCTCCGCGTCGGTCAACATATGGGGCCCGCATCTCCTCAACCGCATCGCTCGCTTCATCCTCATCTGGAACGTCGGTTCCTTCCTGATCACCATGATCACGCTCCTCGCTACAAATGACAACAAACAGCCCGCGTCCTTTGTCTTCCATGACTTCCAGAACTTCACCGGCTGGGGCTCCTCGATGGCAGCTATCGTAGGCATCCTGCAGGCCTGCTTCGGCATGTGCTGCTACGATGCGCCCTCGCACATGACCGAGGAGATGAAGTCCGCGTCCAAAGAGGCCCCAAAAGCGATCATTCTCTCGGTCGTCCTGGGCGCCGTCACTGGCTTCGCATTCCTGCTAACCCTCTGCTTCTGTATCGGCGATATCGACAGCACGGCGAACACGTCTACCGGAGTTCCTGTGATCCAGATATTCTACGACTCCACCGGGAGTAAAGTAGGGACGTGCTTCCTGGCGAGCATGATCGCCGTGATTGTGCTCGTTGCGGGGAATAATCTTCTCGCCGAAGGCTCGAGGTCCGTGTATGCATTCGCCAGAGATCACGGGCTGCCGTTCTCGTCGGTCTTGAGTAAAGTCGATCCGAAGCGTCAGGTCCCTGTTAATGCGGTGCTTCTTACCCTGGCGGTGCAGTTGGCGCTGGACGCTATTGACTTTGGGACGACGACGGGATTCGAGACGGTTATTGCTATTTCCACGGAGGGGTTTTGTATGTCCATCTCTCTTTCCCCTTGCTTCAGCGGCTTATGCGACTCTATACTAACCCTGGATAATAACTACAGACGTCTCCTACGCAATCGCCCTCTCCGCCCGTCTCCTTGGCCACGTAACATCCCACAACCCGACTATGAAAGGGCCCTTTGCGCTGCCGACCTGCGTCTCGATCGCGTTGAATATTCTCGGTCTCCTTTTTCTGCTCTTCGCGGCGATTACGTTCAACTTTCCCACGTCGTACCCTGTTTCCCACGACTCTATGAACTATACCTCCGCGGCGGTGGGTGTGATTGCGCTGATTGCGGTGGTTACGTGGGTTGTTACGGCGCGGAAGAGGTTTACGGGGCCGCCGGGGGTGAGTGTTCTGGATGGATGTGAGGATGTTGGACAGAATAATGCTGGTGGTTATGAGGATGGGGAGAAGGGGGAGAAAAGGTAATGTGTTTTGGTTAGTCGAAGTTCCTGTTGGTATATAACCAGGTTTTATAGCCGTCCGGGATATTTCAAGGTAGTACAACAACTAATATGTCATAATGTTGTCTTATACCCCTGCTCACCAATTAAACTAAACAATTAGCCCTGTATGACTCCAATTCCATCTAGGCAACAAATTACCGGGTCTAACGGAAGCCACTAGTGCTTATGCCGTGGCGTCGACGCGTTGACCCTTTGGCCCCCAGACGCTTATTTTTGCTTAAAAGCTACCTTGCGACGCGCGATACCTCTACTGCGTAAAGTCTACACAAATCCCGTTAAGTATAATCCGGAATGATCTCGGACACCACAAATACCCCCTTTTGGGGACCCACGACCGCGAATTCAAAGTTAGTTTTTCTGTACTAGCACGAGCTATCAGTTTGTTAACGTGATGAAGTTTCTGCGAAGAGGTATTCCAGCTCCATGATCGCTTAAATCGGAAAAGGCATCGCGTCTAAGGAGTCAATTGAGTTAACTAATCACATTTATCTCGCGATGACAAGGACTACGTGATAACGCGCTACATCGCCGAGTTCATTAACACATTGACCAATCTCTCCTACAGTATGTCTAACCTAAACAACTCTCAATTTCAACCAGATAATCTAACAGAGAATAGTTCTCTACGCAATCTATGGCCTCCGTCGCCTCCACGCAAAACCAAATGTCCATGTCTTCCGCCTCTTTCCTTACTGGGGTCTCATGGCCGTTGGAATCTGCTCTGCTGCTTTTCATATTAGTATGAAGTATCATACCCAGATGAGTGAGTCCATCTGCCCTATCATTCCCTACCGATCTATCCCCTCAATAGTGGAAAGAATATTGACGTGAGGAAGTGGACGACCTCTCCATGCTCTTCGCCACCACGCCGGTTCTGCACCGCGTGATCACAGTGCATTCTAGTCATCGGGACTCGGTCAGGATGGCTGTTTTTCTGGGGACCTTGCTCAGCGCGCTAGTGGTTTATCATGTTCTTACTGATGAGTTGATCTTCCATTCTGTGTCGTTTGGCGTCATGGTTGTTATTATCGGCCTCAGGACGATGCAGTTGATTGGTGCGAGGACGAAGGCTGGGTCTGAGTCTAGGAGGAAGGTTTGGGGCGTTGTGAGGTTTGGTGCAGGTATTTATTCCCTTGCTACTTTTGAGGCATTTGGGGTTGGGGTTAGGTAGTTGGGTGGATGAGATGAGATGAGGTGAGATGCTAACCGCGAGAAGTGATATTCAACGCCGGCTACTATCTCTGGTTAATCGACAACTGGACCTGCGGGATTTTGAAATCCTGGAAAGAGACGATTGGGCTGCCTTGGGCGTTTGTGCTGGAGTTGCATGGGTGGTAGGTCTCCCCTTTTTATCTTATCTGGTTCTCTCCTTGGTTCTAGTGGGGTTCTTGTTGTGGGTTGAGGTATTGCTGAGGCTGATTATCTGCAGGTGGCATATCTTTACAGCTATGGGCGCGTATATCTTTATTGCTGTTGTGGATCAGCTGGTTTCGGGTGACGACCTTGAGGGTCTCGAGAGGGAGTTGGCCTGGCCTGCGCCGTGGGCTGCGACGTCGGCCTTCGCGGGGAGGAAGAGTGTCGAGGAGAAGAGGGAATGAGTGGAGCCATGTGTGCATTTATGGTTTTAGATGAATGAGTTGATGGTTAGTATTTGATGCTTAGGGCTAGTCTCTGTTATAGATGCGTTCGTCTAGTCCAGTTACATGGTGTTGGGTTTGAGGTTGCCAGGACAAGGAATTTGATTGCTTGAATGGTGAGCAACTTGTAGTATATTCCTGACGAAATTTCTGAGTAACCTGTTCTTGGACAAATAATATCATGAAGAGCTCTCCTGGGCCGTCATATACGCAGCTACACTGCCTGACGCCCGCGGATACTGGACCTGCTGAGCGCTGCTCCCATTCGCATGGAACCCATTCATCTCTGCCTGTCCCCAGCCACCACCACCAGGTGTATGAATAACGCACCGGTCCCCCGTCTCCATTCTCACCATGTTCTTCGACCCCATGTTCACCCACCGCCACTCCTCCTTCTCTCCGATCTTCACACGACGAACCCAGTAATTCGCACCACGCTCCCCCGGCTGTCCACCATTAATCCCATACGGCGGAATACTGCGCCTTTCAGTAATAACGCTGAAGCTCAACGGCGCCCGACATTCAATATCCCTGACGACGCCATCCCCACCATCATGGAGACCCTTTCCCCCAGTGCCCGGACGAATAGCAAACTCACGCAGAATAACCGGGTACCGCTTTTCCAGACTCTCCGGGTCCGTGATCCTCGTGTTCGTCATGTGCGTATGCACACCTGAAGCGCCAGGTGAAATTTCGGTAGCGCCGGAGCCCCCGCAGATCGTTTCGCCAAATGCATACGCGTACCCGCTCAGTTTCTGTCCGTCCTTGTCTCTGCCGCCCTCGCCGAAGAAGCCGAGGCAGTTCATGCAGCCGTGCGACGCTGCGGCGGCGCGGAACGCGCGCAGGATCACGTCCACGATGCGCTGCGATGTCTGTGTGTTTCCGGCACATACGGCGGGCCCGGCGGATGGGTTGAGGAAGGTTCCCTTAGGGAGGATCACGTCGATGGGCGCCAGACAGCCTTGGTTAAGGGGGATGTCGGTCCCAATGAGTAGGCGCATGGTGTAGATGATGGCGGAGTGCGTGATGGCGGGTGGGGCGTTGATATTGCTCAGGAGTTCGCAACCGGTGCCGGTGAAGTCGAAGGTGGCGGATCCGTCTGGGGCGATTGTGATTGAGAGTTTGATGAGGGAGCCGTTGTCCATCTGGTCTTCGGCTGTGAGGTGGGATCCGAACTTCGAGCAGGTCGATCGGAGATATGCTCTCACTGCGAGCTCGGCGTTGGATTGGATGGCGCCCATGTAGAGCTGGACCACGGGTAGCGAGTACTCTTTGATCAGGGCTTGTACAAGTGTCATTCCCTTGTGGTTGGCCGCGACTTGGGCTTTGAGGTCGGAGATGTTGTCCGCGACGTGGCGGCTTCCAGAGCAGCCGGGATACTGGCCAGGACTAAGGAGGATTTCAGTGATGCCCTTATCGTCAAAATTCTCGGCATGAACCAGCTTGAATGACCGGATTGCGGCACCCTCCTGCCATAGTTCGGTGGAGTTCGGTGGCATGGAAGTCCCTCCGAGTCCACCTATATCCGTGTGGTGGCCACGGGAGGCGACATAAAAGGCGACTTCTTTTCCAGATTTCTCAAAGACAGGTGTGATGACAGTAATGTCAGGCAAATGGGTTCCTCCAGCCTCGGGGTGATTTGAAACTAGAACATCTCCCGGAGTTAGATTTCCTTTGTGCAGATCATGTTGGAATTTCACCGCGTAGCTCATTGAACCCAGGTGAACAGGAACATGAGGGGCGTTGGCCACCAGACCCCCTGGATTGAGTTAGCATCATCCTCTCCAGTCTCTTGAAAAACATACCGTCCGGTCCAAATAAAGCACAGGAAAAGTCCAGCCGCTCTTTGATGTTCAACGAGACGGACGTCTTCTGTAGAGCACGACCCATCTGCTCGGCGATGCTCATAAACCGATGACCAAACACCGATAACTGAATGTGATCAACGACAGTAGGATCCTTCAATTTGGCTGACGCGCCAGACTTGACATCAATCACGACATGAGACTGCAGAATCTTGGCTTCTGCATCAGGCGTAATTACAAGTGTCTGGGTCTGATCAATGATGACTGCCGGTCCAGTAACGATGACAGATGGCGTCAGGTTCTGCAAAAGGAATACAGGCGTGGCACAGATTCCCTGTCCTTGGAAGTAGATCTTCGTCTGCTATCATTAGCGATACTGATGCGGCAAATTGAATGCGACCCTACCGTTCGCTCAGCTATTTGTGTTGACACTGGAGCAAAATGTGTGTTCTTCATCTCTGCATCCAGCTGAAGTCCCTCTGAACCCAAACCCCCGCTGGCTCCAATACCTCTTACACGCACATCATCCACAAATATTGGTCGTTCATCAGGAAATAAGAAGGCAAACTCCCGAAGGTGCGCTTTTTTGAACTCTTCTTTGAAGTCACCGTCCTCGGGCTTCAGAACCATGATTGATGTTTCGGTCCCTTGGTATCGCATATTCAGGTACGATTGGTAGGATATACTATTTGAATGGATGCCCTGTTCGACGAGCTTCTGATGAACTTTTGTTTGGAGGAGAGACAGGCGGCCGTTCAGTATCTTCAAGGACGCTTCGGTATAAGTCTCGTTAACTGGCTCTTGGGCTTCCTGGACCACGTCCGCCAACGCCATACCTGTGTTGTTAGCAACAGTTCCTGCTTGATAAGGAGTCCCTTACCATATGCGGACAGAATACTTGAATATTTGTGAATGATGACTGTAGATATTCCCAGCTTCCGTGCAACATCACACGCATGCTGCCCGCCAGCGCCACCAAAAACACTAAGGTTATGACTGCCTGGGATGCGTCAGTCACTCAATTTTGTCAATTCTCAGGGCAGATCATACCGATATCATATCCCTTCCCCTCCGTCAGGGCCCGAATTGGTCGACACATTGCCTCGTTTGCTACATCTAAGAAGCCGCAGGCCACTTCTTGCGGACTCAGCGATCGCCCTGTTTCGGCATTGATTTCGGTCGTGAGGGATGTGAATTTCTCCCGTACGATTTCAGAGTCAAGTGGCTCGTCCTCGTTCTTTCCAAATATCTTCGGGAAGAAATCCGGCAGAAGTCGACCCAAGAACAGATTTACATCTGTCACTGTCAGCGGCCCCCCTTTGCGATAGCATGCAGGCCCTGGGTGTGAGGACGCGCTCTCCGGGCCAACAGCAAAGAGCCCGTTTCTCCAATATAGGATCGATCCACCACCGGCGGCAACTGTGTTTATATCCAACTGAGGGCTCTGGATAGTCACGCCGGCGGTGACACTTTCAAAGACGTGCTCTAGTTGCCCGCCATATCTTGAAACATCTGTCGATGTGCCACCCATGTCAAATCCCACAATAGGAATTTTGTTCTGCTTGTCATACGAAGTGTTTGCATAGCCAACCACGCCGCCTGCGCTGTCAGAGAAGATTCATTATCGTACATGGGAAATGGAGAATACCTGCAGGCCCGCTCAAAATCCCTCGTAATCCACTGAAGCTGTTGTGGCTCACGAGACCGCCATCAGACTGCATGAAGTCGCATCTGACGCCATTGAGGATCCCACCTTCGAAACCTTTGGCAAATCCGGAGATGTATTTCTTGATCTCTGGAGTCAAGTATGCATCCGCTGAGGCAGAGCTTCCTCGAGGAACCATCTTGATCATGTTCGCGGCCACAGCAGAAGATAACGACACGTGGGTGAACCCCTCCTCGGTAGCTAGCTCGTAAATACGCTTCTCATGTTCGGGGTACACATGCGAATGCGTCAGGCAAACAGCAAGTGTATCGATTCCTTTGACTCGCAGATCCTTCAATGTCTGACGGACCTTTTGCTCATCAAGGGGGGTCAGAATCCGGACCATGTCTCCACTGGTCCCACGAGTTAGGGCTCCTGGGATCTCCTGTTCTGACCTGAACAAACCATCAACGTCCTCGTCAAAGCCCTCGATGGTAACTCTAGCGTCAACCTCACGCACTTCGGTGTACAGCACCTCAGGCTTCACTATGTTGAGGTCAAATAGCCTAGGTCTGGACTGATATCCGATATTGAGCAGATCTCGAAATCCTTTAGTTACTAGGAATGCATGCTTTGTGCCCTTGCGTTCGAGCAAGGCGTTTGTGGCCACGGTAGTGCCCATTCGGATAAACTCGATGTCAGTCTTAGGCAGAGGGCTTCCCCGGGGAAGCTCTTTGCCGTAGAAATGCGATAGAATACGTCGAATACCTTGAAATCTTTAGCAGGTGTTTAATTTCATGCAGCTCTTAATACACAAACCTTCTGTTGGCGCATCGTCATAGTTGGATGGATCAACCGATAGCAGTTTGAGGACTACATCTTGTTGTCCAGGAAAGCTCGCCCAGACATCGGTGAACGTACCACCTCGGTCTATAATCGAAGCTGTGTTAGCACCGAACTCTTATATGGTTTGAAAACTTACCGATTGCGATCTTGATACCCTCTGGTCTTGGTGCCATTGCTCAAGTGCTGATGTTGTTCGGGTCTATGGCATTCTCCAAACTGGTAGGACCAACAGCGATCTTTATATCCATTTGAACATTATAAACTCCCACCCACCACATTATCCCCGCCCCTACAGAGGGGTAGACGATAACTTTGGCGACAATCCGGCAGGTCGATACCGTTGGATTGCCAAGCCACGCCGTCCAGTCGCAGGAAGGTCAACACGATGCACTCCCATTCGCCGGTCTAGTGTTATTCTCCACCCGTCGTATCGACCATCCTCTTCTACCACGCGATCCTTGCTGCTTCCCCGCAAAGCTTATCGTCGCACGGCATTAACCATGGATCCTGGTCGGATTCAAAAGAAGGTCCTTCCGGTGATAGCTTTCGGACTTTTCATTTGCTCCAATCCGCTCGTATCTGCCAAGCCTATGATAGACCATGACGGGAAGTTGGAATCTATCGGGACTTCCATCATCTCGTCACTATATATAGGCTTATCGAGTTATCGTGCCTTTGGGGATGAGTCGAAATCCTTTTCACCCGGACCAGAAGTCAAGTCGTCAGTCAGTTCTATATCGTCGTCATGAAACATCAAAAAGCCCCTGGCGAGGAGACTACTCCAGCAGTCAAAGGTGAAGTCGCTGGAGCCATGGACCAGGCAGCATCATATTTGGCTCAGAGTACTCAATATCCACCTATGACTCCGGAGATGGAGAAGAAACTAATTCGAAAGCTCGACTGGATTTTGGTTCCGATGGTAAGGCGTGAAACCTCTTAATAACTCGCAAGGAGCTAAGAGAATGGCAGTTGTTCTTGACGGCCACATTGGGAGCAGTTGACAAAGTTGCCATCAGCACCGCGGCGATTTATGGGCTGAAAGAAGGTGAGGGAATCCCGGCCAGCCTCTCGAATATACACTCACGTTTCTGTATAGATCTCCATCTGGTCGGCCAGCAATATTCCTGGGCTGGATCTATTTTATCGATCGGTGTACGGTTCCATGCTTTGCTTTCTGAATTGATCTGACCAGAAGTCTGCAGTCAATTGTTGGCATGTGGCCCTCGTCCTATTTGATCCAAAAGCTCCCTTCCGCGAAATATCTATCGTCTTGTGCGTTTGGCTGGTCTGCCATGGCCCTCTTGGTTTCCTCGTGCCGCAATTGGGGTGGGCTGATGGCGTTACGCTTCTTCATGGGTATTTCCTCTCCCAATATATCGTCTCGTGATCCGGATGATGTTGACAATAGTAGGTTGCTTGGAAGCGATAATCGTCCCCTCCGTCACTCTGATCGTTGCAGGCTTCTACAAGAAACACGAACAACCTCCGAGAAACGCAATTGTTCTGGCAGCAGTCAGTTCAGTAATCAATGGGTTTCTCTCTTGGGCTGTCGGTCATATTCCTGATTCTGCACCGTTGGCCATTTGGCAGTACTTGTATCTCATCGTTGGTGAGTTCGGTAAATAATCACATTCGATGCACGGATGGTGCTGATGTCTTCAGGAACTGTCTCCATAACATGGTCCATCGTCGCTTTTATCTTCCTTCCTGACTCTCCCATGACCGCGTCTTTCCTGTCCGAGCAGGAAAAATACTATGCAGTGCAGCGGGTGGCGGAGAATAAGACTGGGATTGTCAACAAGCAATGGAAGGGCAAGCAAGCACTCGAGGCAGTCATGGATCCAAAAACATGGATACTCTTCTTCTTCAACATTGCCATCAACATTCCGAACGGAGGTAAGTCAAACATTTGCTCGGTGTGCGTTCTGTGCTAACAATGGCAGGGCTCACCACCTTTAGTGGAATCATCATCAACAATCTTGGCTTCTCACCTGTCAATACATCCCTCCTGAACATGCCCACTGGTATCATGTCGACACTCTCGGCCTTCTTCTTCTCGTGGCTGGCTGCGAAATGGACTGACCGGAGATGTCTCGTTACTATGATTGCGGCTTGTTTGCCGATTATCGGATCGGTGATCGTCTATACTCTTCCACGCACAAATATCGGGGGACAGATGGTCGGTATATATCTGGTATGTTGTCTGCTCTTGCGACCTGTGGCATACCACTGACTTTGCAATTAGCTGTACACCTACTTCGGACCATACGTAGTTGGTAGGTACTCCACTTCGGTCACCAAGACTTGCTAACTTCTTAGGTATTTCAATGGCCCAGGCCAACACTGCTGGTCACACGAAGAAGAACTTTCAGTATTCAATCTTATACATCGGCTATGCTGTCGGTAGGTTTCATCCGGTTCGTTTATTTGTGGCTTCAGGCTTATCAGTGCTAGGAAATCTGATCGGACCTCAAACGTTCCGTGAAGAGCAAGCTCCCGCGTATACCGGAGGTTTCATCGCGATGCTAGCCTGTTATTGTATCTGTATCAGTCTGATAGCAGTATACTGGGTTCTGGTTGCTCGGCTGAACAGACGGCTGGAAGGTGTTGATCCCGAGTCTGAGGCTTCTAGTGGAGATGAATTGGCAGATGCATTTGCGGATCAAACGGACTTTGAGCAGAAGAATTTCAGATATGTTACCTAGCCCTCAGGTTGAGGGTAAAGGATGCAATTGTGGTGCTGCTTTGGCGAGGTAGTTGCAAATATGTATTTAGTAAGCTGTGTATCGCTAGGCTGTGAGGATTAGAGGTAGCTGTGATCAAACTAATGTACGTTAAGACATAAACTTTGATGATATAGATAATGCATCGATCTGTAGTGGAGTAGCACAATCCGACGAAGATTGCTCGCACAATGCAGGATGCGACAAGGGCGAATACAAGAGTTGGCGTGGGGAGTTGGAAGAACCGTCTGTGTTTGTTCTGTTTGCACTGTTTGTTTCCCATTATCTCCGTCCCCAGACGCTAGCCCAACTAGGAAAGGTGTTTCCCCGCATTGCCCCGAGCTGATAACACGCTCGACTTCGATATCTCCAAGTTCATATACGACATTTGTGTTTCATTTATTATTCGCCAGTGCTAGTCTGACTAAGATATCTCTATGTCTTCACGACAGCGCACCCAATGTGAAAGCCGTCGAAGATCCGGTTGTCATCAGTGCAAAGGTTCGATCCGCAATCGTTGGATGAAAATGCGACCGTGCTGATGATCTGAACGAGATAGATAAGCATGTCCGATGTACTGAGGAAAAGCCGCGGTGTCGGCGTTGCGAGCGACTAAATCTCAAGTGTGAGCGAGGTCTGAGATTGATGTACCAAGAAGATGCGCTCCAGCGAGGAATTAGTTTTGGACGTAAAGGTATGACTACTGAGGACCTCGAGCTCCATATCCTAACTGAATTGAACAGGAAAATGGAGCAAGAACAATGGCAAACATGAATTATCATCACCGGTTCATATAGAAGCTGCATCGTACACTTTGCCATTGGACAAGTACGTCGGGCGGTGGATTTTTCTCAATACAACAAATAGCGACTTTGATATTGAAAATCACCCCTCTACAGTGCTCGAAGCCGATGAACCCACCACTGAAGACCTATCAGAATTGGAGCTCGAATACCAATATCTTGACTTGATGACTTCATCTTTCCGGCATCCATTGGCTGAGTACTCCGAGGTCGAAAGCTACCTCCTCGACTACTTCATCCACGGGATAGGACCGAACTGCGCCTTGAGTCAGGTGGACAACCCGTATATATCACTCATAACGCCTCTTTGCTTTGTACACCCAACGCTACGAAATGCACTCCTGGCGGCCGCCGGAAACCAGCTGCGTCTATTGGGAGACACGAGGTTTATAAAGGAGACGTTAATCTACACGAGCAGAGCCTTGAAAAGCTTGAACCAAGCTATCTCACAGAATAGGATTGATGATGGAGTCATTGCAACTGTCCTGATGCTTTGCTTTCATGATGTACGTGTGGCCACCTAACTGCCGGTATCCATTAACGAGGATCTAGATATCCGATGAGTGCGACCCCTCCTGGATCACGCATCTCCATGCGGGTCTTGAACTTCTGAATCATACGGGGAGCCATTGCGAGAGCCCATCACTGCTTAAATTTGTTACTATGTATTTCGTGGCACATGATATTATGAGCCGGACAGCTGCACAGAGCAAAACGCAAGTTAAGCGGAGATATAGCTGGACTGAGAACGATGATCTCGATGAGGTAAGTGCTGTGCGCCACTGAGAATGCTAGGTGCTAATCCCATCAGATTGACATGGTCATGGGCTGCTCGCGGAGATTGATGAGCCTAATCAACGATATTTCAGACATGGCAACGGAGCTATCCATAGTAATTCTTTTCATATTAATGGGTATTGTACACTACTAATTCAACCCTAGGATACTCAAAAGGAGTTTCAACCCAAGGAAGAAGACCAAGATCTAAACACGAGGACTAATGCGATCAGGTCTGCATTAAGCGATCTGAAGCAAACCTTGCCCACCCACTCAGCAGATCGAGATGACCTCTCCAAAATAGCCGAAATTAAACGGTTGACAGCACTGTTATACCTCACAGAGAGACTGAGTGCTGTTCCCGTCCAACACCCATGTAGCCTTCAGTCAGACCAAACAGAGAAAAATGAGCAACAACCAACACTGAGCAAGCGATACCTTGTAAACACCATCATCCGTCAGATCTCCTCCCTCCCCGACTCGGCAACCCTACTATGGCCACTCTTTGTCCTCGGGAATTCCGGATTAGAGAATGAAGACCACCGAAGATTTGTTCTCGACCGACTCGGCAGAATGCAAAGGACCCGCAATTTGGGCAGTGTTCGTCGCGCCAGGATGGCAGTCAAGCAGGCATTTCAAAAAGTAGATCTCGATTACCGAGGTACACGCAGATGGGGAGTGGCGACAATTGGGTCTATCAGTCTAGCATAGTATTTCATCTATATCTATCCGCGATGACAAAAGCCGGAATCCACTCCTTTATGTACATTAAACCTGCTTCTCATCACCCGAGTCCTCAATGCACTCCACCTTGGTCTTCGTGTCGTCGCCCACCTGTCCATCCAACTCAGGCCACTTCGTCATGCGTCGTGCAGCCGAGACGGTTTCAAACACAGATATATCCCGCTGGAACAGCTCTTCAATCTTCTCAAGACTCTGGCCCATTGTTTCGGGGTAGAAGAAATACGCAGCGATGGGGAAGCAGAATGCGATCAGTGCATAGACAATGTAGTATTTGTATCCGATTTGGGCCAGGGCGACCGGGGTGATCATTTGGACGACAAAGTTCCTTTTAAACACTCGGTTAGCATTTGAACTTTAGGAATTGGATGAGGGAAGCTAGGATAAAGGACATACCATAACCAGTGATTCGCCGTAGAGATGGAAGTCGTTGCCACGCGTAGACGAACCGGCGCAACTTCCGTACAATACAAGAACGAAGTGCCCAGAAAGCCAATCGGGAAGAAGAAGTTGAACAAGAAAATGAAAATGACACTAAATATCGAAGCAGGCTTGTTGCTATCCGGGAGGCTATTCGTGATAGCCAATCCCGTCATGCAGAGGGTGAGTCCGGTGCCAGTGAAAAGGAAAAGCTTGCGTCGTCCGAACCGATCGATCGTGAAGAAGGCGACGAACGAGGCAAGAAATTTCCACGTTAGCGCACACCCAGCTAAAATACGTGACAGATCGCTCGATAGACCGAGGTCTTGCTGGAAGATGGTCGTCACGTAGGTGCTGATCACGTTGGCGCCCGTCATGTGGATGAAGAATTGTAGACCCATGCAGAGCATGAAGCGGTAGAAGAGCTTGCCGTCTTTCATGGTGAATATATCTTTCATTGTAGCTGCCGTGCGGGAGGTTTCTTCGAGGGAGAGCTCAATTGTGGATACTTCTTGTCGGATATTCGGGTCGTCTGGTGAAGTCTGTTTGATTCGGGCGAGGGAGTGGGCGGCGCCATCTCGTCGACCCGAACTAACGAGCCAGCGTGGGGATTCGGGGAAGAAGAAAATGGAGGCCATGAGCATGATTGAAAAGACACAGGGAATGGCGAGAGGAACACGCCATGAAACAGACGACTCCTCGACGTGAGAGAAGCCGTAGTTGATCCACGACGAGACCATGTAGCCGCTGGTGATAAAGATGCCATCGACGACAACATGAGCACCTCGATTGATGGCCGGAGAGCATTCAGATTGCCAGACTGGGGTGATAGTACTCAGCTCTCCAACACCTAGTCCGGTGATGATGCGTCCCACAGTAAGCTGAGGTAGGTGAAACGAGGTACAGGAGATAATCTCTCCAATCAGGGTCAGACAAGCGCCGATGAAGATAGTCTTGCGTCGACCCAGCCAGTCCCCTAGCACCGAACATGAGAAAGCACCAACGAGTGCTCCGAGGGTAAATGAGGATACGTAGACTCCTTGAATAACTGAATTGTAGGATGTTCCGTCATTTTCAATATGCGTGGTATCGATCTCGGGGAATGTTTGGGTCCAGCTTTCGAAAGCCAACAAGCCACCAACTCCAACTTGATTATAACCAAAGAGTATGAAACTTGGAAAAATCACCAAAATGGTCTGAGCCAGCGTGAGATGTCGCCCTTTAAAAAACATGATGCAGGCCAAGTGAAAACAAGACTTTTGGGGAAGGACAAGAGTCTGAGCAAAGCCACGTTGCCTATCAGGGCTTTATATGCGCTTCATCCTTTCTAAGCGAGCCAGAGCCACTCCGGGGATGTTCCTATCTATCCAATCAACGATATGATTTGAAATATACCCCGCAGCCTGCCTGTTGACCCCGATCCCAACATGACCTGTGGCCCGTGGGGGTGACTGGGGTCAAGTTGCCGCTGGACGTATTTTCCTTATCCGGAGGTGATCCACTTGCCCTGACCCATGCAGCCGACTGGGCTAGACCTATAGAACTGACAACTACATGGATTAACGTTGTCCTAGTCAAATCCAGTTCTTCTGTTTTGTATGGAGAATTGTCACAGCGTTGTCTAATTTCAAATCTAAATCTACCTACAACGACGCTCCATCGACTCCCTTAATGGCACGATACATCCTCTTGTGCTGCTCCAGCAACACCAACGTAGCCATAGTCTGAGGGCCCAGCCTGACGAAACTAGGTGTCCACCCCCGGAATATCCATTTAAGCCCTTCAGTTGCAGTCAATTCCTTGATGACCTTCAATGTAGACCCTTGTCCCGAACTTCCCATCAACTGGGTCTTAATCACATCCATAGGACTGCAAACTGTCGTCGCCACAAGACTTGCTAGTAGAGACGCAAACACGTGAAGAACAGGATGTTCGTTTTTCGTGCCCGTGAAGCTCATCAACAAGCCCTTGAAGACGTCATAAGACGCTAGCTGGGAGGCTGTCATACCCGCACAGCGAACGCAGTTCGGCCACAGTCCTTGCGTAAATGCCCTCCAGCCCTCAGTACGCTTCATTTGTACCCAGGCATCTAGTACGTGGGCGTAATTGCGCCGAGAGGCCGGTGGAAGAGATCGGTCATTCTGCATGCGTATGTTCGCGATATCGGACGGGGTACCGAACATGGCCCCTACAAAACCCGTTGTAGCAGCCACCATGGCTAGAGCGGGCGCATTCAGGGAGATGCCGTTTTCTCTGCATTTCTCTTTGATTGATTCGTAGAGTCCGATGCGAACGGATCCGTACGTTACTAGAAACGGGGAATTAGCTTCATCGATTATGACATCACCAAAATTGTTACGACAAAGAGGGCATGCATACATTGTCTCATAAGACCTGCCGATAACTGCGACAGTCAGTTTGCTGTATCAGCCGTTGATATGGATCAGCTTACTCCACTGTATAACCCGGATATCCCTTCACTCTGGACGATTCGTATAGCCGTCTTGGCGGTTCCTTGTCTGGCGCCGCCGTCCATCTGCATTCGCACCTTGACTGCGTGTGTTAGTAGTGCTAAAGTGATTGAGCTGAGGACTCGCCTACCCAAGTCAAGTGGATGCGACACAACCACGGCCATGCATGACGCTGAGCCGCCGAACCATTTTGGATAGTCGATTCTCGTTGTGCCGGGTATCGTAGGGAGAAGGGGTGATGGAATCCTGTGTTTTACTTCGGCCATAATGCAATGAAACGAATTTGAATATAAGCTCTTCAAAGCTCTATTAAGTTTTGAGCACAATTCCGGGTTTCATCTTATTACTTATAACTCAGCACCAAAATCTTATGTACAGTGCATCTCATTACCATATAGCCATCTCGGGTATTTGCCACACGACACTTTAGGGCAACGTAGTAACCGAAATATTGATAATCTGCTACCGATGATGAACATGCAACCAGAGGATAATGCTAAACGACTTAGACGTAAGGAAATATGCGTGCAATTTTCGAAGGACATTGAGGAAATCGACGAAAAATACCCACCAGCTATCTTCCCACTAACAACTGCCACTTTAGGGCTTTTAGAGCAGAAGCGAAGCGATGACGGGAATATTCGGCGTGACCTATGGATATGGCCCCCACGACCAGGAAGACATTCCTACAACCACTTCTCGTATCGGAATGAGGCTTCATTGACATTATGCAGTCTATTTGTCTCAAAGTTGGAGGACGTCGAGCATATGACGTCATGGGGTCAAGGATCAAGAAGACAGTCGTTCCAGTTGATGCGAACTTGCGGTTATAGCAGTTGTCTAATCTCAATTGTGAAACAATATACATACCTACACGGTGTTTTTACCCAGAAGCCCATGTCCAGGTAAGAAATTTGAAGTCGTCTATTCCCCACGAGCATAAACTACAAATAAATTGGGGATGCGGAAAAAGATGTGACATATCCTCGATCGCATCCTATCTATCATTCAACAACCAGGCAGCATGATAACCCGAAACCCATTCATGGTGCTCTTTAATGGTGACGAAAAGCATGTTTTCTACTTTAAAAAAATATAAATCGAGTTTTATTTGGCGGATGAGTCACATTTTTCACTCGTACTACACAAGTCACGTGGTGTTTACAGGGATGTCGCGAGTGTTGTTTTCCTCGCTTTGACCTCCAAATGTCGGTTTATGGTTCTTACCTTCTGAGTCGTACCTAGAACGGCTAAAATGCGGCTTGTAACGAGGTCAATAAGAACTACGCCGAAGCGCTTGTTCTCGTCACTTCGCAGAAAGCCCCTGCCAACGCCTTCTCCAGGGCCTCTTATACGCCAAGATGAGCGCGTTGACGAGGAAAAGGTTCCAGGCCACAAGTCCAAGTACTTCTACCCAGCAAGACCTGGAGAGGTAGTCGGCGACCGGTTCCAGATCCTTGTAAAAGTCGGCTGGGGAGTCTCCTCGACCGTGTGGTTTGCCCGTGACATGCGAGGGTATTTGGTTCCTCCTACCATTGCTAGTGTCCATTGCTGAATACCCCAGGGCCGAATCTGACCCAGAAGCTGCCGTGGCATTGAAAATCACCAACTCAAATCAGAATGCCGAGGATGAACGTGAAATCGAGGCATGTATTGCGAACACGGATCCCTCGCACCACGGGCATCCATTCCTTCGCACATCCTCGGAATGCTTCGAGATAGAGGGGCCGGAGGGAAAGCATCTCTGTTTTGCATATGAGCCTCTAAGAGAGCCTTTATGGCTTTTCCGGAGGCGTTTTGTAGATGAGAAGATTCCTTTCCCAATTATCAAGCTTTACATTCGGTTTCTTCTCGCGGGCATCGACTACCTCCATACAAAATGCAAAATTGTTCATACTGGTATGTATTACGTATTACCCCGACAAGCTATATGTCTCCAGCTCAGAATGATTGCTATAGATTTGAAGCTTGAGAACATCATGGTCACGTTCGAAGACCCGTCTGTATTAAATGACTTTATGAATTCCCAGCTTGACCAACCGATGGAATACAAAATCGATTCCACAGGCCGACCTGTCTTTCGACGTCGCAATAATTTTGGTCCATTAAAGAAATTCAACAACATGCCGATGCTCGTTGATTTTGGAATAGCCGCGAAATTTGATTCCGATAACGCAATGGGTATCTACCCCATCCAACCACACCACTACCGCGCCCCGGAGGTCATTCTAGGCTGTGGTTGGAAAGCGAGTGCGGATATCTGGAACATGGGTACCATTGTGCGCTAGAGGCTCCCCAGTTAGAGCTGTTCTATTGCTGATACTACTCAGCTCTGGGATATGATAGAGGGCGAAGAGTTGTTCCAGCAGGTCTATGATAACCGAGGCCGATACGATGCCAAGGCACATCTCGCAGAAATGATAGCCTTGCTTGGCTACCCTCCGCCAGAGTTAATCGCAAGATATCAATCGAAGCGAGGGTTGAAATGGCCTACTCGCATCAGATGGCAGGACGGTGAGCTTTCTGACAATGCGGATCAATTCTTTGGTGGTCCTTTCTTTGATGATAATGGTAATTCAAACATCTACTTGTTCTGTATCAAGAATTCTACTAATGGGTGACAGGCAACTTTCTGTATCGGGGTTTAATTCCAGATCGAAAACTTGCAGATAGTCTTCCGTCTTTAGAAGAGGAGGAGAGGGAAGACTTCCTGTCGTTTGTGAAGGGAATGCTTTGTTGGCGCCCCGGGGAAAGAAAGACGGCAGGCGAGCTACTTGAACATCCGTTTCTCCGAGAGGAATAAAGATACTCGCTTCAGGGTACCTTGAGAAAAGTCGTATTTTCGAGGACGTGATGTTCAGCTGTTTAATCTCCTCATATTGAATGATGATGAGGTTGTGTATTAGTATCACCATATCTCCACTATTTAGCCACGCATAGCGTTGATCATCTCCAATCAAACATCAAGCCAATTTACATATGAAATTACAAACACTATTTTCTACACGGCGATACGGGACCCGCAAAGTTTCTGAGCGGATAATCCTCTCGAAGACATAAAACAAGAGATTTTTAAGATTCCGAATGACATGCTACCACTTCTGTGGTGCACATCGGCCCCATTAAACTAGTCATGAATTTTGATGGTGATGAGCAGGTATGTTGAAGACGGAGAAGGTGACCGGCAATTAACAATGCTGATTGCAGTAGACATCAAACTTGCCAATCCTTGTACTTGGCGACAGGGTGTAGTGTGTTTAGCCTAGATCTGACTGTCTTGTGTGTGGAAGGGATGGTAGTCGAAAAGGACTGATGAAGAGAAGGGTAATGAAGTAGCAGCACACAAAAATTGGAGATAGGGGGTGTTGTTTTAGGAGACCTTTCCGAGAGTCGAAGTACCGCACACAAGCGCACCGCCTGCTTTCAAACATTGCGTTTCCTTCAAAGGGATCGTAGGCAAGATCATATATTTTTCACTGACACCATTTCTGCAAGGCACAATTGGCACTGAAAATCAAGCTGATCGAGCTCTCACAACGCGCACTGTTTGATTTGAAAACATCAAATGAAAGTTATCAATATCTGCGATCTCGCAAGACATCATCAGTTCTCCCCTGACACCATTTCTGTAAGGCAAAATCTCAACCGAATGTCGGATTGAGCTTGATTCTGACAGTCCAGAGGCAGAAAGATATTTTCTTGATAATTCCTGTTGATAAAGGAGTTTTAGGGCCTTGCCGTAAACTGTGCGATGGTTGCGATGGACTGTAGACGATATTCCTGCTTATTCAATCCGAAAAACACACTCTGTCATTCTGCCTGTTTAAACTTTCCTTATCGACAGTTCGCACTTTTTGGCAAGTATCCCTTCCTGCTCATGGGACTCTAATGTAGCTAGAAGCCGTTTCCGTGATTTTTCAATCGCTTGACTTGCCTTTGGAGACCCTTTGGATATGTCTTTTGGTGCATCCTCATGTTGAGCAGTTTCGTTCTTGCTAACACATAAGATGTTTTTCTTGGTTGTAGGTGCCGTTATTAAAGATCCATTACAGCGGAGCTCCTGGTTGCCGATGCTGCGACATAGCGAAAGGAGCACAAGTTTGGTCGTTTTGCTTGTGGTGAGATGGTGGAGGTAACACTTCAAAGCCACGAAATAGCCATGAAGTGGCCTAGATGACCTCATTCCGGGCCCTTTGCCTGGGGCCAATCGTGTAGAAGGGTATCAGTAATCATGTGAAGTAACTACTGGATAGGTGCTCAAGTACCCGACTACTTGTGTCAACCGCTGGGATATTGCTTGTGTGCAAAAAGACCAGTTCAACTTCTTTAACAGGGTGCCGCGATTGTGATCTGCAAAGTTGATTTGGACGTGATCCAGATAGGTGTGCTAATGGTGTTGATTATGAGTGCAATCTTGAGAAACCCGATGTTTGCTTCACTTAAGTGTTGTCACGGTGCATAGACCCTGTAACACTGGGTTCCTGTTCCAGGAATCTTGATCTTTCCATCTTCGGCCAGATGACCCGAAAAGCGAGGAACTGGTCTATCGCAACTGCTCTGGGGGCTTGCATCTTGCCCCCAGTTACTTTTCATCGTTCCTTTCATCGCAGCTTCCGTATCAACTCCTTGGCAAATGCAAGATCAAGGTTTGAGAAGCAGCGATCTCAGCTCTTTGATTATTTCACCATTAACATGTATTGTTTTTTGGTTGTGAGATCGCAACTCATTAATGCGTAGTGATGCGTCAAAAGTCCCGCGAGGAATGTATACGCATCATGATCATAGGGGATATTTTAACCATGTGTCTGCTAGATGGACCGCTTTTTTTGGTTTGATTCCTGCGGCTCTCTTGCAGGATATGTAGGAAAGAGAACTCAACGTCTGGATCTGCCTCTAATGAGGTATAAGGCACGCTCTTGGTGGAATATTATGCAGTGCCATTTGGGGCGTAGAAGCAGTCCAGGCTCTTCGTATGGCGAGGTCGTCTGCTGCAATGGGTGCGGATTCAGTCATGCTGTTCTTTTATAATGCTTTATGGTCTAGCCACCGCGTTGGGATATATGTGATGAAGGTAGACTTTGGATTTAGAGGCATGAAATTCCCTTGATCACAAGAATATCATCTGTCTTTGGTTGTTTCAGGGGTGGCACGTCGGCGTGCATTTTGGTGGGTGGGTAAAGGGCCACCTGTGCTCATTATATGATTTGCCTCTAATTGCGGTAGAGGTGCAGAATAGAAGAGGTTATTTTGGAGAGAAGAATTGTTGAAGAGGAAGGAGGCCTTCTCTGATCTTGTTGAACACAATAAGTATCTCATCATGTTATAATTTCTACGAGTGAATACTCTTTATAGGACGATCATAGTGAAGGAATAAAATTTGGTTGTGATAAAAATAGAACAGAGCAAGGTGAATAGATAGCCGAAAGAAAACACGGTAAGCGAAGCAGATGAGCGAGCAGGCTAGTGTTGATTCTCTTGCTTTCCAACGGCTAATGGAATTGAATATGTCGTGCGATTTCAAATCCGAACTTATACATTCTTTCTTGTATCCTCGGGCGTTCAAGTACCTGGAAGTAAGAACCCGCGTCCCTCCCCCCAAGACTGGAAATTCTTATTGACGCCTATTACGAGTTAGCCATTGGGTAGTGCAAGATCGAGGTAGATAGATAGTCAACTTACAGCCATGTCGGATCGAATCAGTAACCAAATAATCTTTTCAATATCCCGCATTCTGACGGGGCCATAATGGGCCTCTTTGCTAAGAGACTTGACTAGGTATTCGTCAGAGAGGTCCAGGCAATTAGCAGCATATTCGCAGTCAAAACTACAGAATGCATCAAGTTTAAAGTCAATCCATCTCCAGCCTCCGCACAGTATTGAGAAAATGCTGTTGGGACCTGGCAAATAACCTCTGTAGTCATCATCCCAATTCTCAGGAGGCTGGCGGGGAAACATTCTTCTCCAGCTTGCCTTATCTCGTTGGTATGCCTCTTCTTTCTCTGGCATCAGCGGGTGGGCTGGGATTACCAAGCTGCACTCTAAAGAACATGAAATTTGGCGACGCAAAAATTCGATGATACCACCCTCAATGCGAGGGTCAAGGAGGGGGTTTTCAAGGGGTTTATCCTGAGGAATCCTTTTGCAGTTGACTGGTGCGAAAAAGAGTGCTTGTCGAATCGGGAGAGATTCGTTCACTAGTTCATTCCAGGCCCTACAGGTGCGCTGGACCCCTGTGAGTAGAGTCCGCATGTCTGTCTCCAAGAGGATAAACTCTTGGACTTCAATAGGAAGATCCAATATTGTTAGTCTGTGTTCCATCTCCAGTAATGTGGATGTTCCTTCTTTCTGCGAAGGTAGATGTGATTTGGTGTTGTGATTTGAGGCAGGTTAAGGAAAGCTGATGGTTGAGAAGGGGCAGGGCAGTCATATTAATTTATTTGTGAGTCACAGATGGATGCGATGATGGGAAACGTCGTCATAATTTATGAGTCTCAGACAGATGTGATGATGGGAAAATTCGTCATATTTTCTAGCCTGACTCTCGTCGGCAAATTCTATCTATATACATCCTCGGTCGGACCAGCGCGTTACATGGACGGCCTCAGTAATCGAGCGTTTGCTTGATGGCATCGTATATTCCTGTGTACTGCATTAGAGTGATTTCTTGAACACTCATGGGGATACTCACTTGCGACATCTGGCAGGATGAACTTCTCGTAGGAGAGACCCGTATGCGTACTCCATCCCGCGACTCGCTTTACCGGGGCCTCGAGCCGCAGAAAGGCTCCGTCTTGGATGGTAGCAGCCACCTCGGCGCCCACTCCGTAGTTGATCATGCTTTCATGAACCACGATCGCCCGACCGGTTTTCTTTACACTTTCCAAGACTGTCTCTCGGTCCCACGGGTATATTGTTCGCAGGTCGATCAACTCAATGCTAGCGCCAAGGGCCTTTTCGGCAGCAGCGATGGCAGCCGAGCAGAGATACAACGGCTGACCATATGAGATGACTGTGACGTCGTTACCGGGCTTTAGGATCTCCGCCTTGCCCAGGGGAATAGTATAGTATTCATTCGGAACCTGCTCCACCGCTGCTCGATAGAGCACCTTCGGTTCCATGAAGATGACCGGGTCGTTGTGTTCAAAGATCGATGAGAGGAGAAGCCCCTTGGCTTGTGATGGTGATCGTGGCATGACGACATGTACACCCGGGACATGAGCAAACAGTGATTCCGGGGATTGCGTATGATACCTGACACCCCGATCAGCCTCGGACATATTTCCATCTCGAAAATATACTTACAGAGCACCATGTCCGACCGCCCCACATGGCATTCTTACCACCATTCCACCTGCATTTACTCCTGTACCACCCTCACGATACCGAAATTTCGCAGCTTCATTGACAATCTGGTCAAATGCCGGGAACACGTAATCGGCGAACTGGATCTCCGCGACGGGTTTCATTCCCTGTGCTGCGGCTCCAATGGCAAATCCCACAATCCCCTGTTCTGTCAACGGTGTATTGAAGACTCTCTCCGACCCAAACTCCGTTTGTAGATCCATTGAGCATCGAAACACACCGCCGAATGCGACATCCTCTCCAAAGAGCATCACCTTGTTCGACGAGGCAAGGGCGGTTCGGAGGGCGGAATTGATGGCTTGGTAGAGGTTCAAGGTCTTGGTTGTCGTCGAGCTAGGGAGGTCAAGGGCATCGGAAAGGGACGACGAGGTGTGATGAAGGATTGGCGTGGATTTGTAGTCGATCGGTAGGTTGAGTCGTGAAGCAGAGGAAGGGACACCTGAGTACAGCCGACGAGGTTGCTGCTGTAATAGTAGCCTTGGGACTCGAAGGGGGGCCATTTTGGCAGGATGTATGGAGGAATAGTACAGCAAGAGAACCACGGCAGCAAAAAAGCCCAAACGAGAGGAAAGGAGAAGGCTTCCCCGTGCCCCGGATTTATACGGCGGACCCCTTGAGCGGATGTCATCATGCGGGGACGCGCCGCGGATAACCGAGCCTTCGGTGCCTCGCTGCCTGAGTGCCTGCAGATAGCACCTGCCAAGACTCCGCGATTGTCAGGCATCAATACCTGCCTGATGGGGAAGGCACAACAAAGGCCGGACTGTCCAGCATCGTCTTTCGTCCTCGTTCCACCTCCGCTTCGACATCCACGTCCCAGAGCCATCGCAGACGCTCCTGTAACGATTTCTGGATTTTCTCTTCGTTGCTCCCGACCCCATCTAGACACAAGCATAGCAAAAGCGCGTTTTCTTTACTGGTTGTCACGACGCGTTGGCTGCGCGGTCGTCTAACAGCGTCGTATCCTTGAAACGCCGCCATGGCATGCGCTGCATGGGTCACCTGTGGATCTCCAAGAAGCTCTGCGAGGACGTGCGCATCTTCGATTGCTTGTCCTGCTCCAGCTCCTTGGTGCGGTGTAGAGGCGTGCGCTGCATCTCCAAGGATTGCCACGCGCGACCTCGCGTAGGTTGAGATATGGGGATGCTCAAAGATGGCCCACTGCGAAGGGTCTGGCATATGCTTATCTGAGTGTTAGTCAACACAGCATTTGGGATTAACCGATTAACTTACCTCGACCAGTCTGCCGATGTACTCGCCCATATGGCCCAAATCGCGTCGCATGTCAGCCTTGCTGGCTGGCCGCACCCACTCCGGATTATCCCATCGATCGTTCAGTTTGTATATCCCCACGTTGACCTTCTGGGCCCGCATAATTGGGTAAGTGATTCCGTAAGCACCCTCGCCCACGTACATGGTCGATACCCGCGCACGATGGTCCCCCACTGCTTGAACCATGGTGTCCATGTCTAACACTGCACGATATCCGTACATGCCGCTATACTGTGGCAGTTTCTGTTCATACTCGTCTGGGATTACCGTTTGCTTGACTTTGGAATGGATACCATCACAGCCTACCACGATATCAGCAGTGGCAGAACTACCATCCTCGAATTGCAACTCGACACCAGCTGAAGTCTCTACCAGCTGCACCAATCGCCGGCCGAAATGGGCGATCTCTGGCGGTATAACGCTGACCAAAGCGTCTAAGAAATCGGCCCTTCGCACGGTCGTTTGCCCCGATGGTCGCGCCTTCAGGTCTAATAGGACATCCCCTGATTTCTCACCCGCCGCCCATACTACCTCAAACCAAGTTTCTCGAAACCGTTCGTAGCCTGGACTGTCCGCATGCATCGTTATAAGAGATTCGTAGATCTCCTTAATATGCGGGTCTATCAGAGGCATTGCGCGAAGCGCAGCAGGACCAATTGTGAGACCAAGGCCAACCTCCCTGAAGGCTGAGGCCGCTTCGTAGATCTGGACCGGGACATTGCGACGAAGTAGTCCGGCTGCCAGGCTCAAGCCCCCGATCCCACCACCAACGATCGCAACGGTGAACTGCTTCAGTGGTTTGTTTGAAGACATCTTGACCGAGACAATATAATGTGTGCAAGATGCGAGCTGCAGAGTCTAAGGGGACGCTGGCTGATCGACCGTGGAACTGATCTGCATCTCCCCCGCCCTCGGGGACGCTAAACGGCAGGGAATAGCCGAGCAATCGCGATGCCTGTAAATGTCACCACGGAGTTGTCAATTGTCATCATTGGACCAGGGCGGCTAGAGCAAGATTGACCAGCATGGTTTGGAAAATCTGTTTCTGCCTTCTCCTGTTCGAACAGTGCATTCAGGAATACAGGAATTGCCAAATATGGTTAGCGTGGCACTGCGTCCAGATATGGTCTAGTGCCTCTATGTGCTGCCTCAGGCATAAGATTTCCCCATTGAGTCATTGTTGGTGAGGTATACAACAGCAGGTTGAACAGTTTTGCATTTCTATCTCTGGTACGGATACGATCAGGACATCCGGCATGGCAGGCTTTGTTTAGTGACTTTGAGAAAGGAGTAGAAGGAAAAGAGATTGTTAAATTTTAGGGACAATATGTTATGATATATATTCCCACTGCAGATTTCAATGTCTTGTTCAGAGGGCATGTATTCCATTCAAAGTAGAAAACTTTATAACAATTTGTCTTAACATCTCTTTTGAATGATAATTGACTTTAATATGATGGCTTCTACACAAAGAGTTACTCCCAAAAGACCCAAACCAACTACTTAGTATCCTTCGTCCCCGCAGCAGCCCTGATAATTTTTGCCCCCTGTCTGACTATCTCGGCCGCACATTCCTCGCTCGATTTGGCGGAAAATCGCTTATTATCCAGCTGTCCTAGCTCCCGTGTCTCGCCTTGCGGGTCAATATAAATGACCTTATCCGCGGCCGAGAGGCCGAGATACCCTTGCTCAACTTCGTCTGTAGAGGTCACCGTGAACCGGGTGACTTTGTGTTCTCCGAATCCGCTGCCTGGGACAATTTGTTCTGGGGGCGACGTGTTAGCTGGATGAACCTCGTGTCGGGCTAGGGGATTGAGGAAAATATACCTTCCCAAATTATGCTGGTTGGATCCAACATCAAGTCGTGGATTTCGTTGTTCTCACCGATGTACAGGAAATGGATCGCTCCGCTGTCCCCTGCATAAGCGGTGTGAACGAGCCCTGGCTCCTGTATGTACGGGAGGGGAGGAAGGGTAGTACATTCGCCATTCTGTTTGATGCGGATGCCCTGCAGCTGGCCGGAGGGGTCTTGGAGGAAGAGAACCTGGTGTCCGTCGTGGTCGAAGCAGCCGCTTAGGAGGCTGTTAGGATGCAGGGTCAAGGGATTCACGGACTGGAGAATGACGGTTGTCCATTCGTCCTCGAGGTCGTCGAACTCGGCACATTGGAGGGTGTTTTCTTTGTTGCGGAAGAATACGCGGCGCTGGTTCGGGGGAGTTCATTTTAGTTTGGAGGCTCTTTGGTTTGGTTTGGTATGTGTGGGGGGAGATGGGCTCACAGTATCCTCGTTTAGAAGGTATTTGGCAGCTGGAGAAGCCGTCACCTCGGAAGGGATGTAGATGTTGTTGCTGATTTCGATTCCTGTCCAGTGATTCTCTGTGAGACTGCCGTCTTCTTCCTCAATGTAGTAGATGATTGATCCGTCAAGGGACAAAGCGCCCGTGGGAACCTTGAGCAAATAGCCGATGTCGTGGAGAGAAACGTCCATGGTGATGGCAAGCTGGCTGGGAATGTATTCGCGGTGATAAACTTTCGTGCGTAGGGTGTGGCTGCAAGGACTTAATAACAAACAGGCTTTGCTACTACTGCAGGGACAAACGGAAGGATTGCCGATGTAATAAGGCCCTGTCAGATGAGCTGAAGTGACTGACGCAATTGCAATGAGATCAGTCAGATGCAACGAGACGCAGTCGATGTCTCGCTCAGCCGCACCAGAAAGCGGCTGACGGCATGACCGATCACAATTCTGGAGTGCTGTGATCTGTATCCACCGGCTGTTCGGCTTGGGTTAGATCGTATGCGTGTCTTATAAATGAACAGCAAACACAGGTCTGCCTGTAGAGCAAGTTCCACCTCTCCACTAAGTGCCAAACCGCTGTCATGCCCGAAGATCAAAGCTTTCACCTTAACCCCCAGGTCTGGGATGTTTCCCGACGCAGGCTGCCCGAGAAAGAAGAAACGGGTGGTCTTACCAAGGCGCAGATGAGGGCGCGAGAGAATTGGGTGGTTAGACTGAAGTTCACACAAGATGAAACTGGTGTGTATATTATTTTATGCCTTTTTAGCCCTTTGAATGTGTAGAGGCATGATGCTAACATTAACAGCGGATGAGAAAGTGGGCACGGGATTCTTCCTGAACATCCCCAAAGCCAAGTGGTATATCATCCTCACAGCAGGACATAATCTCATAGACCAAAGCGGCAATCCCTCCAAGAGCCTGATCATTCAGCGACATAACCACGAACCCATGAAGCCACTAGACCCCCCGCCGTTCGTATGTCCATCTTACCGCCGAGGAGGTAATCCGGACGATGACTACGGCGTCATTCTCATCCCCAGGCGGTTCCAGGAGAGCAAAGATCCCAGAAAAGCCCCGGAATCACTGGACGCTGATCTAGGATTTGGGTTCGCGTTGAATCTGGGCCATGAGAATCTCCGCAAGAAGAAACTCGAGCTCGCGGGATACTTCCCCCGGGAGAAAGAAGACGGCAAGGCGCAGAAGACGGACGAACTTGAGCCTCTTGACATATCTAGTGGAGAATGTCTGGCGGCTCGTCCAGGCCATCTGGAGTACAAGATCGAGACAGCCCAAGGTTTGAGTGGATCGCCAGTGTTTATGCCGTACAATGGCCACGAGGCGGTGGTGGCAATCCAGTACGTGAAATCTCCAGCAGTCACTACCTGATCAATTGAGCGCTTAACTAACGGAAGAAAATAGTAATAACGGCCCGGCCAGGCCCGGAAAAGGAAGCACAGGAGCTCGATTGAACGCTACAGTCCTCAAACAGATCTTCGAATGGGCCGATCTCAGCCAACGTCGCAAGACCTTGAGGGTCGCTCCCGAGAAGCCGGAAAAGAACAAGGAGCCGGATCCGTTGTATCTGCATTTTACCCCTGGCGAGGAGGCTGCATGGGTCCACTGGAGCGAGGAGGATCTGAACACAAGATTTGATGTGTTTCCAGCCTATGCACCAACGCCTCGCGTGGCCGCAAGCATGCTCCATGTCTTCCAGCTTGTCCCGCCACCAGACTGGCCGGAATCAAGACAGGGGCGGCAGTGGGTTTTGTGGAATGCCATGGAAAATGATGTAGTCCTCACGGATACCCTGCAGCGCTTCTGTTTTGTAGAGCTGAAGCAATCGAAGAAGGGGAAGATGTTCTCGGTTGTGGTGAAGTTGAATGATGCTGGGAGGGAACAGCGCTTGTCATGTCTGGTTATGAACGGAGATGATTTTGACGAGGAGGTCGATTTGAATATTTCGGGCATTACGTTTGAGAAGTATACTAGTGGCAAACCGGTCAAGGTATGTATGTATCTTTTTTCTCTTGATTTATGTTGTCTTCTTGGCTTATCATTCCAGTATAATACCTTTGACTGGTACGACTTACCCGCTTGAGGTGTCCTATGATGGAGAGAGTTGAGCATGTATACTACTTACTACCATGAAAAGTTGCGAACTAAAGATATCCATCCGAGGAAAAAAGAAGAAAAGCAAAAACATACAACAGCCGGGATTCGCTGGTGGTCACCCACCCAACTACTAACCGGCCGGCGTGAGGCTTAAGTACGGCTGAGCGGACGGGAAGCCCTGTTCTCCTCACCCTGTGGTCGTATGTACTCAGGACAAGTAAGAAGTGGCATATATCGTGGCTTGAGTATTAAAGTTGAAGGTCCAGAGATCATCAAAGTAGTCGTGGAAGGTTGAAGGGTACATGTAGAACAAAATGCTGTTAAACAACAGACCCCGGTTCATTCTCCAAACGTGGCCTCGGCCTCGACAACCGCGCGATAAAACCAGACCACCTCAACGCCTGAACAGGCACCACAACTAACAAACCAGCCGACCAGATCGGAACCATGATCTTCGTATACCACGGGATAAACTCCCTACTTACCACCGAAACACTATCGATCAGCAAAATGACCCCCGTAATAAACGGAATCAGCTGGCCCGGCGAGCGCAGATCGTTCAACGGCGTCAGGCCATTCCAATGCAGCGTCGTTTCCACCGCAATAATGGAAAATATCCAAACCAGCCACAGCATGATTGTGAGCGCGAACTGGTCCTGACTCCACTTGATGGTGTTGACGATTGCGTCGCGCTCCGCTGCGTTGGCCTCAGTGCGGCCGGCAGCGTGAGCCGTCCAGGCGATCATCACGACGCGAACCATCCTGTACGCTACATATAGAGAGGAGATGGCGTCGACGGCAAGATATACGAGGGCGACGTAGCGGAACCAGCCGGTCAGGGAAACAGGGGAGAAGAAGAACACCACGTTGGGAGTTCCCAAGGGAGGGAGAGAGTGGACGAGACTGCCAAAGGTCCACAGCAGGGCCGCGCAGGTGCCTAGCTCGGTCAGAAGCAGGGTGATAACGCCGATGGCTTCGCCCATAATGGTCCGCGGATTGAGCAGGGTGTATTTGGCCGGGAAGGACAGACTCATTAAGATCATCAGGACGACGATCGCCTCGCTGGGACTGAACTCTTGCTTGGCGGCGTAGGAGAACCACGAAGCCAGAATCGAGACGGTGATGCTGCCCGATGCGACTTTCAGCCCCTTTCCGTAGTTGCTTTCGTTGCCGTAGAGATAGAGGATCATGGCTAGTGCTTGTAGGTAGGATCCCAGCCGCACTCCCAGTCCGTAGAGGTCCTGTGCAGACTCGTCGTTGCCTATTTCCGCACGCGGGAGAATGAGGGATTTCATGGTGGGGGGTGTTGTTTAGTTAGACTCAGAGGTGACACTTGCGCAGGAGAGATGTATACAATGCATCAAGTAGATCGTTGTGTCCGAGAGATTTATCTAATGGTTTCACGGGCTGAGACTCGGGGACATATCATGTATGACAAGTTGGAACGTATCCCCAGGGCAAGATCGTTACTACGAAGAACCGATTGGCGTTGAGGTAACTAGATGGTGGATGTGTTTGGACCAGTCGACTGCATGCGGTGGACGATCCCATCTGACAGGGACTAATGAGACACAACGAATCAGGGTGTTGAATCTGATCGACTAACCGGTGGTCGACTTGACCCGTTCCTGCATTTCCTGTGGCCTCTCAAGAGCCGAGTTCTGAAATAGCGGTCAAACCGACAAAAGCAATATAAAATCCAAAGAATATGAAAGGTGGGCTGTGTGGCTATAATTTGTGCTGGATACGTACCGTAGCCTTCCGGGGAAAAGAGTCAAAAGTTATCTGACGTGTCAAAATAATATGATGCAGCTACTCCGTACTCATGTATGTGACACTGCATGAGGCTGTGTGAAGCCATACGCAGTTATACTTTTTGTATAGGTAAATTTGGGCAAACTTCGCACAAGTCTGACTGGCAATGATCATGTCAATAGTCTGGCTGGTATGAATCGTAGGCCGCGTCACTGGTTTCTTGGGTGCCGAGACAACTGACAGGTAATAGTGCGTTTTAGGCGGACCGGGGGAGCGATTCAGCTGAGGAAAGGTGAAAGCTCTAAATATTTCCTTCATCGCTCAATGGAGCATCCTGGAAAGAAAATTGAAAACAATAAATTGCTTCCATTTCACGCAGGTAGCAAGCTGAGGACAGGGAGAAGCCATGGCTTCTATCTACATTTTTGCCAAAAAAGGAACCTTGACAGAAAGTCAGCTGCAGGGTTTCGACAGCAAAGGACTCGATCACTTCGACTCGACCGACAAGACAACCCCCCTAGGCATCGCCGTCCGCGAAAAGCATTTTGCAACAGCGAGGCTTCTCCTCGAATACGGTGCTGATCCAAACTGCGGTGGAAAAGGAATCCTCCCTTTGATGCGACTATGCGCGGCCCCAAAAGGCCTAGCCAACCACGAAGAGAGCCTGATTCAACTACTGCTTGAGAAAGGAGCAGACCCAAACATCATATATCTAGGGTCTGCTGGAAAGTCCTCAACGCCGTTGATTAGAGCCGTCAAGAGCCGCAAATCGCTCGATACCATCAAATGTCTGGTCGACCACGGCGCTATGCCGAACGAAAAGGTCGATGGCAAATCGGCGCGGGACTGGACCAAGAATCCCCAAGTCTTGAATGCCATGTTGTCCAGATCGGAGCGAATGAAGAGCCGTGCCTTGGAAGTGGCCAAGGTCACAGGATTTCTTATGTCGGCTGTTTATTGGATAAACAGGAATATCAAGGTTGCTGCCAGTGTGGGAGCCGCAGTTGGTACCGGCATGGTTCTCAAGGATGCGATTGGAAAGCGGTTCGGAATGTCAGGAAAGCTTCACAAGGACCTGGAAATGGTATCCCTTTTTCTCTTTTTCTGTTATTTTATTCCCCATTCCCTCAGCACGGTTTATATACAATAATGCTAATAGGATTAACACCTAGCATTTCGCAGAGGACCAGGCATTCGAGGATGCGAAGGAAGACGAGAAACATGATCTCAAGAACCGAATGCGAGGGATCATTGAACATTACAAGCTCGATCGATTCTTCCCAGAAGGCAATCCTTTTCTCGAACACGTGGTGAGCAGGGCTGTGGACTTGGATGTATCCACTGTGGTAGACCCTAAGGACCTAGTTCATTTGGCCCTTTATCAGCCCGTTTTATATTGCGGTAAGACCTACCTCATGTCTCATGAATGTTTCTGACAAGACCTTAGACGACAGTAAATCGATCAAAACCAAAGGGCGAAAAGGGTCTCTCCATGACCTCGCTCTGCGCATCGCTAGTATCACCACCCGGCTGGTTCCTGATGATAAAGGAGTCGAGCTGCGATTCATCAACAAGCCAACAACAGGTGAAATGTCCAAGCCATCGTTGGAGAAGGTCGACGAAATTCTAACCAAACTGACCCCTCATGGGTGGACCGAGATTGGCACGAAGCTCAAAACAAATGTTCTGGAGGAGTACGTTTACAAGCATCTCGAGAACAATACATTGGAGCGCCCGATCCTGGTTTCGATTATCACGGATGGCAACCCAAACGGGCAACCTGGCTCAAATGAGCATACCAACACCCTTAAAGAGGCTATTCAAGATTGTGGGAAGAGATTGGAAGTTAAGGGATATGCACGAAATGGTAAAGGGCTCTGATATCTCCCAGCTCTGCTTGACTATCGCAAACTAACAACTGCAGTGGTCCGGTTTCAAATAAGCCAGATTGGCGGGGATAAAGAGGCGGTCGAATTTCTGGATAATCTGGAAAATGATCCTGGCCTTAAAGACGTTCTCTACGTGACCAGCCGTAAGTATTTGTACATCCTTGACGAATTATTGCTTATTATTGTTATAGAGCAGTTAGACAGCGAGTTCAAAGAACTACACGACAATGAAGCTAGGCTTGAGCAATGGGTAAGTTACTCTGTCGCGTTTTCTTTCTCGCGCTGTATCATCTCTATCTCTAACACCACACCAGCTTCTCCAGATCTTGATGGGTCCAATTGTTGATGCAGTCGCAAACTAGTCAAGTCGGTCATCATAATTTAGCCTAGGCAGGCTTCCCTCACAAGGAACGCTAGTATAGTAAAATGGATCGAGAGTACAAATCGAAAATGTGTTCTGCTGCATTGCGTTTGGTCCAAGAATGTCATTCCCGAATCGCTCCATGGTCAGTTATTCAATACTTTCCGAAAGGAATCCGATGCAGTACAAATTCATATGGTTTTGAGCTAAGGTTTAAGCTCCGAGTATGCTCTAGTGGAAAATGAACTGATTACTCCATCTTTTCTCGACCTCCATATCTAACTTCCTCGGAGGATATATGGCGCGTGAATGAAGTAAAGAATATCCTCCATTGAGCGCCCACAGCTGTAACTTGTATCTTTTGAGAAGTATTATGTAACGAGTAAGTAACCTAAGTGGTGTGTTGCTTGGGAAATATATAAGAGCAGAGTAAGTCCCATGGTAGCTTCCAGTCCTATGGTTTAATTGGCAGCATGTTCAAACAGCAAAGCTGACTTCTTCAATTCAGACTTAGCAACCAGCCTCCTTTCTGCTTATCATGTACGGAACAATCTTCTATATCAGCGGAGCTTACTTCTCGCCTGAGTATAACAAGTATCTCGAGACCGCTTGTTATCTTGAAACAGGTGATGTCTTTTTGTCGGTCAGGAGATCGATTTACTTCAAACTCAAAAACAGGGAAGAGAGGGCAGAAGCACCTAGAGCACTGTGGGCCCTTATCAGGTACATTGCAAGCGGAGATGCTAAGGTGAACATCGTAACTGCTGCCATTCAAGCAGCACGCAGTTAGACTAAGAAAGCACTATGAGGAATTGTTCAATTTAAAAGTCCAGCGTTAATCCGTGTATCATGTACACGTAGGTCATATCATCGTAGGGAAGCAATAGACAAAACATCGATGGATTCATTCAGAAGCCCCGCTGTAACACTATCATGAGATTTGGCCATCAGATCCTTCGCGCACTTGGGAGGACATAATAGCTGACACCAATATCATCTATCCCAAACTAGGTATCTTGACAGGAAGTAGGCTAGCCTTAAGAAGCATGTTCAACCGCCTTGCCACCCGGGATGTATCGAAGCAACCTCGCCAATGCACGCGTCGCTTGAAGCCAATCTTCCTTCAATCTCAAGTTGAACCCTCGTGTAAACTGCAGCTCAAATGACTCGTTCTCGGCGCAACCCTTTGAGTGGACCCTTGACACCAAACTGGCTGTAAAACGTCCACGGATAACATAGATGCATGGCCCCCGAATGCCAACAATAAAAGCTTCCTGTCCCTCGGAGTTGAAGGTGAGATTGCTAGCAAGCTTCCCCAGCATTATATCCATCACATCCGCGAGGAATTCGCTCCAGGACTGCCCTCTGTACCACTAGGAAAACCAGATACTTTCCAAGGAAATGGGAATGGGATATGTGCTGAGACTTACACTAACATGAGGGATAATCGGTCGAGGATTGGCAAAGGGGCCGACAACAGCACCACCATCTGAAGTAGATGCATACCTTTTGCCCCCAATGAAATATCTCATTTTCACTGGTGAGTACGTGAACCTAAGAATAAGTATTTATTGCTTGTGAGCAAGATAACGAAGAACTGATGTGAACAACAGCTAATAACTCACCAGACACCCGGTAATTGCTCTTGAATACCGTCAAGGTTGTAGCAGATCGTCTGCATCAATGTTGTCATCAACGAGACCTGCACGCCTCTAAACCCCGCTGAGCGATGACCTCGACTGGGTGCTGTCCAATTCTTCCTGGGCAAAGTGATCATTTCACGCTCTTTGAACACAATACTAGGGCTGGTCTCGCTGGGCTCTCTCAGTTCATCGTAGAATGAAAAGAAGACAGCAAAGAAATTGCGGAATTCTGCCTGGTCATCTGGCCAGCTATCTGTGCGGTCTGTCGCAAAACAAGCATCGTGGAATACCAAAGGAACTAGCCTCTTCACATCCTCGTCTTGATGAACGGTTACTCTATGACATTTAGAAGTTCAGACAGAGCTATCCACTTACCTTCGCGTTCAATACAATTCGGCCTGGGTATTATTTCATCCAAGTCTAGAGTCTTGCAATGAATGGTTGCCGACATGTTCAGAGATGTGATGGATTTGAACGATGGTGATTGTTTCCAGGGCTGTGCCACGTCGTGAATGAATCAGATGCCAAATGAAACATGATTGCCTTTGCACAGACCGAGCACTTGGGGAGCTTATAAGCCATTGTGACCTTGTTGTAGGGGAGCCTACCCGGAACGGAAGAAGGTTGATGCGGAACAAAACATCCGGGAGTTTCCACTAAGCCCAAAGGGGTCAATGCTTCTTCTCGGTGACATCCGCTGATTAACGGAATGTGCATCTATGCATCATGAGCTCCAACGATACGCAACCCCAGCTCCGAAGCAGCAGACTCAAGTGTGTCTGCGAGTTCTGTAACCGACGCTTTGCAAGGAAGGAGCATCTAGAACGACACCTACGCATACGTAAGATGCCTTTCTTTCACGAATATCTGTGCGATCCCCTCATGAACCGCCGCAGATACCAAGGAAAAGCCCTTTCGTTGCCCGTGTGGAACTTCATTTACGCGCAAGGACCTTCTGAAACGTCACACAAAGATTAATCATCCAGATGAGGAGCATCCAACCTCGGCCAATGTGGCACCAAAGACCCCGCACCACACTTTCATTCCCTACTTGTCTCCGGGGCATTCGGAGTCAAGGCCTTCTTGTTCTACTCAAAAGCCGCCAAATCATGCATCCTCTGGTAATACCGAGCGACTTCAGAAACTATCGGGTAGTCCGAGCCTCGCTGTCAACGGCGTTGATGATCAAAGTTTAGGGATTGCGCCACCCCCGGATCTTGGCCAAGCAGGGATCGCTACAGATCTTACAAATTGCCGTGAGCATTTCCGTTGAAAAGCCAGTTTCTCCCTAACAATATCCAGAAGAACAATCTGTTTTGCCACAGGACAGCTTTGATCACTTTGATGATTTCGCCAACTTCTTGGATCTAATTGGGCTGCCGGCGGATTGGGCTCCCTTGGATCTGGAAATTGAAAGTCCCTTGGAGAATCTCGATGCACCTAATCCTGAACCCCCCATGGAAGGAGAAAGTCATCTCGACGATGGTCCCTTCCGGTCCTGGTTACCCTCTGTCCCATCTTTGGGACAGGGGGAGTATGCTTTTCATGATGCTGGTATGCTACGATTGCAATCCCTTGATCCGAGCGAAATCAGCTAATGGGCCATCTAGAGTACCATCACGCAGTAGAAGCTAACTCCACTGTTAGAGTGGATGAGTACCATAGGACTCATCTCATTTCTCTTCTGGAGACCTACAAAGACATCCTGCCCAACTTCAGATTACCCTCACGACACACGCTTACCCGCTATATAAGCAGCTTTTTCCAGGGGTTTCATACTCATTTGTTATTTATACATTTGCCAACACTTCGAATAAACGATCAGTCTCCCGAATTTATCCTAGCTATTATGGCGGCTGGAGCACAGTACCGATTCGAGCATCAGAATGCGCAGAGGTTCTTCAATGCAGCGAAGGCAATCGCCTTACGAAAGGTTGACTCTATGCCTACCAATCACAAGAGTCCGGAGGTCTTTGGCGTGACCAAAGAGGGCGCAGGGGTCAATGATCTGTCAGAAATCGACATCATCCGTACGCTGCTTGTTCTGATGGGATACTCGACGTGGGAGTGCGGGAGCTACCTAGAAGATGCGTTCCGGCTGCGTGATATTCTTATCACCAGACTAAGGGCGTCAGGTCTGGATGAAACAGGTCAAGATGATATCCAGCATGATGAACCAAATTGGGGGGGTTGGATCATAGATGAGACTATTCGGCGGACAAAACTGGCAGCTATTTTCTTTACCCAGGTCCACAGCATTGCTTACAATATTTATCCCACAATCCGGAATAACGAGGTGAAGCTACGGCTCCCCTGCCCGACCAAATTGTGGAATGCTGCCACACCTGGTGAATGGGGATATATCATGCGATCGATCGATCGCAAGCAAGCGTTCTATCATCATGCCGTGTCACAGCTCCTCCGTGACTCTGATTCGGCCGGCGTTATTAACCCAACGCCCTCGCCTTTGGGGAATTACTATCTTGTACACGGCCTTCTCCAGCGGATTCATATTGTCCGAGAACTGGCTGTCGATTTGGGCGACTCTTCGGCACTACTGCCTAGCGACGAACTTAATAGGCTTGAGTAAGCTCTTCAGTTGGTGGCATTATCGACGCTAACAAAATTCAGACGTGCATTGAACCTGTGGTCAACCATGTGGCAACAGGCGCCTGAGTCCAACCTAGACCCCTCAAATGAGAATGGACCCATTCCCTTTACTTCAAGCTCGCTACTTTCCCTAGCGTACGTTCGACTATCACTGAATATCGGCCCATATAAGCGACTTGAAAGTCGGGACCCTGATACCATCGCCCAGTCTCTGAGCGACATGCCTCCGGTTTGGCGATGTGCACGCTTGACTCCTGCCCTCATATATGCCATCCACACCGTGAGTGTTCCCGTTCGGCTCGGGTTAGATTATATTGCAAAAAGCCAGGCCTTCTTCTGGAGTGTGCGTCACGCCTTATCGAGCTTTGAATGTGTCATTCTTCTGAGCAAGTGGCTTCAGGCTGTGGCTGCGGACCAGAGCAAACCGCTCAACAGTTAGTTTCATCCAGTTTATCGGCTGTCAACCTTTTGCTGACGTGGTTTCTAGCGAACGAAAAACGCATCCTTCGCTGGGCCCGGCTAATAGTCGAAGAAGCCTATGATTCCATGGATACCGGCGAGGGAGATGTGCCTGGACGCGAGCCGGGGGAACTGGCCGCCGCAGTGCTGGGCATATGGTCTCGCTTTTTCAAACAGAACTCGCAGTGGAAGTTCATCAACATTCTCGGGGAAAGCCTCTCGAGATACGCACAGCTACAAAGGTTTGGTTAGAGGAGCCGATAAGTGTTCAGCTTTCATTCCTACCTTCTTACGAGAAATGCGGCTCAAGAGATGATGCGTTAAGAATTTCTAGAATCCTTCTATATTTGTATATAACCAACGAAGTAAGCAATGGTCTATCACTTGAATCAAACAGACGCGCTAGTGCGAGACAAGCAAGCTCTTCAGTTCTTCAAGGTCGCCTCAAACTCCGCACTAAAGGGATAATCCAGATATCCCTCGGCCTGCACCGGAGTATAGAAAGTATCCCGGTGATACTTCTGCAAGGGAATGCCATTCTTCAAGCGGAACGGAAGATCAGGGTTGGCCAGGAAATGGCGTCCAAACACGACCGCCACATCATTGTCCTGATAGACGTGGTCAATATCGCCCGCGTTCTTCGCGTTATATCCTCCCGCCACCAGAACCGGTGCATCGCGTCCCCAAACCTCCAGGAACGGCTCGATGCCTTCGCTCTTCTCGCAGTCTACATTGTTCACAACCCGCGACTCGATGATGTGCAGATATCCCAGCTTCAACTCCCTCAGCTCCCGCACCAGGTACGAGAACTGCGCCACCGGCTCCGCCATCTTCATCCCCTGCCACGTATTCCACGGACTGATTCGGAATCCCACGCGCTCCGACCCAATCGCCTCGCTGAGCGCCTTCGCAATCTCAATCCCGAACCGCGCGCGCTTCTCGATGCTTCCTCCCCAGCCGTCCGTCCGCTGGTTGCTCACGTCCTGCGTGAACTCATCAACCAGGTACCCATTGGCGCCGTGGACCTCCACGCCATCGAATCCAGCCTGCATGGCGTTCTTTCCCGCGGTCGCAAAATCGGCAATCAGGTCCTCGATCTCATCCTCTGTCAACTCAACCGGGACCTGGGCGCCCTCTTCCATCGGGATCGCGCTCGGCGCACCAACCTCTTTTCCGGAGTCTCGCTTCAGGGTCTCCGCGTGCGCTGCGCGCCCTGGTGCGACAAACTGGATGAAGATGAAACTTCCTTTGGCGTGCACGGCGTCGGTGATCCGTTTCCAGCTCTGGATCTGCTCGGGACTCCAGATCCCCGGGCCATGCGGGACTCCGGACGCAGCCGGTGAGATCATCGTCGCTTCGGCGATCAGTAGCGTTCCTGGGACGGAGGCGCGCTGCGAATAGTATGTTTCCGCGATGGGGAGCGGGACGTGCGATTCGTCGCAGCGCAGACGGGTCAATGGTGCCATGACGACTCGGTGCGAGAGAGTCACGGGCCCGATGCGCATGGGCGTGAAGAGTCGGCTTTGAGGAGAGAGAGTAGAGGACATGGTGATGTATCTGTTTGACCTTAATCTCTGTTACAGGGGTTGGATGTATATGCGCAGGAAGTATGTTGCAATTGTGATGCAAGTATGGACAGTTTTAATCATACACTCGGTCGGAACAAACCCACCAGCACCGCCCTTTATATCTACCCGTTAAGGCATATATGAGGCCTCTACGTTTGCGAAATTTTCTATCTCCAAAACCACCCGCTGAGTTTCCGTGTGGAACATCGTCTCCACACGGCTACTTACTCCAGAGGACCTGCTTTGTCATTCTCCCTCCTGTGACCATTTGAGCTTTTGGGGTTTGGTTCGGGAATATCTTGGCGAATAGCTGAAGGGATACCGTGTGGAAAAAAAGAGGGTCTCGTGGAGAATATTAGAAATCAAGTCGAAAAATTCGCCGTCGATAAGAAGTACCTCCCCGATCTCCAACATGCATTACTGAAAATGGTTAATTCTCCAAGTTGGAGGCGTCTCCGAAATGCCAAGACTGGACTCTATCCTCCGAGAACGCAGATTGTTCGTGATTTGAATATTGAACCAGGTTTTTTGGGCGAAGAATACAAACTTCAGTAGGGTATGCAGATATGCAGATGGAGACGCAGGAGAGTCATGTTCCTGCACAAGATGGCGGATTGTGAGTGTTGCTATAAAATCTCAGTATGATATCATCACTGCTCCATGATTGCCGAAGTACGATAGAATGAAGACCAACCGCTCGTCCTATCCAATAACGTTCCTCGTCTAAATAATGGCCTTATCAATATCAATAGAAACTGAAGCTTACCTCTCGTCCGCCTCCAAAAACGCGCAAAACATGCGGGGTGAATCAATTAGAGGCGTGGAGATACCCACATGGCAACAGTCTTATCAGCGTGACTGAACATCATATAAACCTCCTACTTACCCCGGACATCTTCTAACTCAAACAACCAGCAACCCACTATCCCTCTCACCCACAAACCCCCAATCCACAAACACAATGCCCCCCAAAAAGCGCGTCCTCATCTCCTACGGCGTCGACGTCGACGCCGTCGCCGGGTGGCTGGGCTCCTACGGTGGCGAAGACAGCGCCAACGACATCAGCCGCGGCATCTGGGCCGCAACGGTAGGAACGGAGCGTCTGCTGAAGATGTTCGCCAAGTACGGCATTCGCACGACTTGGTTTATCCCGGGACACTCGCTGGAGTCGTTCCCCGAGGAGATGGCGAAAGTGAGAGACGCGGGCCATGAGATTGGTTTGCATGGCTATTCGCATGAGAATCCGGTTGACATGACCCGGGAGCAGCAGAGGGATGTGTTGGAGAAAACGGTCGATTTGCTTACGAAGTTCACGGGGAAGAGGCCGAGGGGGAGTGTGGCGCCTTGGTGCGTTGAGCCTGGTTCTTTGAGTTTGATACATGACGGCTAATGATCCATGGACAGGTGGGAAACCGACGCCGAAGGCGTGGCTATGCTTCAGGACTACGGCGTCGAATATGACCACAGTCTCAGTCACCACGATTGCCAGGCTTATTACCTGCGTACGGGCGACGAATGGACGAAGATTGACTACACGCAGAAGGCCGAAACGTGGATGAAGCCTTTAGTCCCCGGGAAGGTGACCAGCCTTGTTGAAATCCCGGGGAATTGGTACATCGATGATCTGCCGCCGATGATGTTCATCAAGTCGGCGCCGAACAGTCATGGGTTTGTCAACCCGCGCGATGTCGAGGACATTTGGCGCGACCATTTCGATTACTTCTACCGCGAGTATGACGAGTTCGTGTTTCCGATTTCGATCCATCCGGATGTTTCGGGCAGACCGCAGGTTATTTTGATGCATGAACGGTAGGTTGTCTTTTGATTTGTGGGTGGGCGTGGCTAATGGGTCTTTCTAGGTTGATTGAGTATTTTAAGTCGCATGATGGGGTGGAGTTTGTGGCTATGGAGGTTATTTGTGATGATTTTAAAAGGAGGAATCCGGTTTAGTGCTACTTGTTTGAATAAATTTCTGAACCAGCAGCTATGTTATACTTGTTAAATATCGAATTTTGTGAGCATTTCAGATGCCACCAACTAGACAAAAACCCCAGCTTGGTACTGGGTAGTCCTTGCAGCATCTTATAAGCCAGCAGAGTTTAAGGACTTCTAAGGGTTTGATCGCTGGTAGAGACATAATGTCATATTGTAAAGCGATTCTCGCTTTACTGCATGCTTGCATGCCCCCCTTCCACTCCTAGCAAGATGGCCTGTGTTTAGTCACCGGCAGCCGCTGTAGCTAGTGGATCATTAAGTTCTTCTTTCTATTCACTGGATCTTTACGATTGGTAGCCAGGATACCCATGGATCCCTCCCCGTAAGCAGCGGTGTGTTGTTGTTAGAACATGACCCCTATCCTTGCATCGTGGCCCTTGCTTCCACCTCGCAGAGCACGCTGACACTCTTTGCAATATCAGATACTGTTTTCATGTTTGTAAATATGTATTGTTTGGCATGATCAAATCAATCCGTCGGCTTCCGTAATGTCACCAATGTATCAATGTGAATAAAAGCTCTGATTATGGTTATCCTCAGCTTCGAACCGGGCGGCCCGAGCCATGTTTCTATATGGTCCCAATCACGAGTTATAAGAGGTGAGATGAAATTAGTAGAAGCTTAGATACCCTTTTAGAAGTGGTCTGGGAATCATCTCAGTGACTAATATGTGCTCCATTTAAGTCTAGTCCTGACTATCCCTCGCGCTAGCATGTTGTTTGCTAGCTGCGCAATATCTTCCACCCCTAGCTCGATGACAAGGTTCATGCCACCCTAAGCAGCACAATTGCCGCTGCAGCCGAAGATTCGTGTTTCTAATCGTTGATATGGTGCTTCCCGTTGTTGAAGCTCACCTACAGGCCGCGCAGCTGTATATCCTAATGATGACCACTCTGGCTGCCCGCCACCACACTCAGATTCCGAGGTACTGGCTACTAGAAAGCGCGAGTGTGAAGGTGAACAAGATCTATGCCTACACCGCCAGTCTGAAGGTGAGCAATAGTTATACCCACACCGCCACTCGGATAGACAGCATCGACACTCTATTCATTAAGCTCCGAATATGTTGCTTGGCTAGACATGCTGGGGCGAGGAATTCCACCTTTCATTTGGGTTTCAACGTATTCTTGCGGTCTCATTCGTCTTGTCCCGAACGTCTTCTGACTGCCCCTATCCCTGGAGAGCCTATCATTACTCCATGCAAGAAGAATCTTGTTTTGGAAAGGTTTTTGATTCGTCCTACCAATGTACGACTTCATTCTTAACCCTTACATCCAGGCCCATTGTGGCATTATGGTGCTCTTTTTAATTGGGGGCCACTGTAAGGCAGGTATATCGGAGCCTGATTAATCCAGAAGCCTTTATCTGCAAGTCCCCCTTTCTAGCATTAAGCTTTCTCTATGCCTATTTTTCTGGGCGGGATTTGCATATGGGATGGTATTCATCAAGATTGTGGTGTAACATCATTGGGCATAAAGGGGATTATTCGGACCTCAGCTTGCACAGTGTTACATGGGATTGCTTGGATTCTACTTTCGCTACCTCCTTGTTCGGCTCATAATAGCCCAGTCTAGCCAATATAATGGCTTGAGACCAGCGAAGACTGTACTTCTCCATCTGCAGTGTATACATCTATTAATATTGTGCATACAGCTAGGTCTTAAGTGGACGCAGAGTCATGCAGGCCTATCTGGAGGGTTTTGGCACATGAAGGTAATGACGTTGTGTCTGGTAGTACTGGCTATTTAATGATTTACCTTGGATCTTATGGTGGCTTTTATCGAATCAACGCAGGCAAATCTATCTTCCCCTCTTTTACCTCCCTTCCTCTCTTTTTTCCACTTTAACTCCTTCTTCCTCCTGTACATACCTTCCCATATTTCATTCAAACCCGCAGACAAGAGAAATGCCAACCTCGTCCAAGCAGACCAGTCGTGGCGCGGCACCCAAACACAACGCCAGCCATGCTCCTGTTCCTACAAACGGTGATCTTCCTTTCACCCTTACGAACCCCGCCAGCTGGGTTCCCTACGTCCAATTGATGCGTCTCGACCGACCAGCCGGCTTCATTGGATTCTACATGCCCTCACTGCTAGGCCTCGTCTACGCAGCCAGTCTCGGCGGGTCGCAGGTCGAGCCGATGCAACTGGTCCAAGGAGGCATCTTCTTTTTGATAGCCAACATCTTCATCCGCGGTGCCGCCTGCACCTGGAACGACAACATCGACCAGGACTACGACCGCCAGGTCGACCGGTGTCGCCAGCGCCCCATCGCCCGGCGCGCCGTGTCGACCACACAGGGCCATATATTCTTAGCCGCGCAGCTAGCCGTGCTCGCTGTCCTCTTCCGTCCACTCCCCTGGCCCTGCGCCCCCTTCGCCACCGCCATGGGCGCCTTCTATGCCCTGTATCCCTTCTGCAAGCGCTTCACCAACTACCCGCAGGCCATCCTCGGTGTACCCCTCGCTCTGGCTATCCTCGTCTCCGCGTACTCTCTCGATACACACACGTCCTTCTTCGATGAACAAAACACCCCCGCTACCTTGGCCCTTTGCGCGGCGGAGATCCTCTGGACCATGATCTACGATACGATCTATGCGCACCAGGATCTGCAGGACGACGTGCGAGCAGGTGTCAAGTCCATGGCTGTTCGCTTCCGCCACTCCACAAAGCCGCTGTGCTCCGTCCTCGCTGTCTTGCAGCTCGCGATACTGGCTTTGGCTGGTGTGTATACTGATATGCCGGCCAGTTATTTTCTCGTGGGCGTGGGAGGTACTGCTGTCGCGCTGGTTGTGATGATTGCTGCCGTCGATCTGATGGTGCCGGCTAGTTGTGCACGGTGGTTCAAGTTGGGGTTCTGCTTTGTGGGTGGGTGCATGAATGGAGGATTCTTGGTGGCTTATTTCGAACGATGGTTGTCTATTCGGTCGTAAGATGGAATGGGGGTGATTATATTCAGTTTTTAGGTTCCTGTGTTGGATGTTTATGTAAAGGAGAGGAAGGACGAGAATTGAATCATCTTTTCGCCAACGTGGAATATAATTCTTCTTCTACCAATTACCTGAGCTTCAATATGCTATTTGCTCTAATCATAAATCCCTTTCGCTTTATTTGCATTCACTTTTCATCGGTAGTTTTTGGATGGTTCAGATATCGTGGTAAGCACGTTTATCTCCTGGTGTTATGAAATGAAACTCTTCAAACTTGTAGAAATAAATAGATGAATCCAAAATGATTCCCCGGGAGTTATGAGAGTCATTTGCTTTAAGGTTAAAAAGATAAGATGCACATATTAAAGATAATAATTATAAATGAAGTACTACTCCGCCGGATCTCTTCTTTGCCGTGGGCGACCAATCTAGCCGTAGCTCAGCAATTCTATGGGGCCAAAGGACCGAAGTTTTGCCGGACTTCATTTGCAGATAAGTGATATAGATTAAAGCCTACTATGACGGACTATTTATAGCCCTTTCTTTTTATTATGCCGGGCACGGACACATCCTTCTTGAGATGGATTGACTACGGCCAAGGTCGAATCGCATTCAATCATCGGGTGATACTATTGAATCTAACGTATAGCATAGTTCTACTTTTATCTTCACAAATAGCCTCGAGGCAAGTGTACTTTATAATTTAATAGTTATTAGTACATAGTGATATCAAGATAACCAAGGGCCTATGAACGAAAGACAGACCACGTTCATGTCAATGAACACACCCATTCCTGGCACAGTATGAAAGGAATAACCAGTCCTTCCTACCGCATATCAAGAAAGCTGCAACAGCCCCTGACCCAAATCAACGCAGACTTTTAGAAATGGGTACGTCCAAAGCGAGGCTTGTGGCTACGCTTGCGGGTCATGCCCATCATCTCACGGCTCTTGTCGTAGTCGCTGGTTCCGTGGTCAGGGTCGGCATCCTGGGCGTTCTCGGCACCGCAAACGGAACCGGCATCGGCATTTCCCTTGGGGCCGTTGATGGCGACAAAGTTGCGGTTCGATTCAGCGCCAACCATGTTCTGGGCAGCCTCGGGTACCCATCCGTTGATGAAGTCGCCGTGCGAGCAGTACGACGAGCCACAGGCAAGCTCGAAGGGGGCCTCACCAGACCAGCCGTCGGGGAGCAGGGAGCGGAGGTCGTAGCGAATGGAGAATCGCAAGCGAGGGATGCGAGACATGCCCTGGGGGCACCAGTTGCTGTCCTGGTATCCCTCGTTCACGCGAGGGTTGCCGGAGTACGCGGACTCGAGAGTATCGGGGTTAACGCAGTCCCTAGAGACGAAAAAGATCAGTTATTTGGTCGATGGTTCCGCAGATGGACTACTTACCGGAAAAGGAGCAGAGTCTGCAAGTGGGTAGAGCAGGTCTGGGTAGGGAACGCGGCCTCGTCCTTGTCCTCGGCCTCGTCACCTTCGCAGAACCATTGGATGCCGGCGTTGGCGTCGACGTCGTCCTGAGACTGAGCGCCAGCATTACCAGCAAGGTCGGTGTAGTCCTGGGGGATAGGGATTTCGGCCTTGTCCAGGTCAATGTAGTAGGCGCTGAATCGGTTCACGGTGACAGGAGTGCGGGTGCCGTCCTTGACAAGGTAGAGAGTAGGAACCCCTAGTGCTATATTAGTTTCTGAAGACCCATAGACAAACACAAGTAGTAGAAGTACTCACAGTAGGTGGAGAAGTCATTGGGGTTCGCGGTCGAGGAGCATCCCTGCTGAAGCTCAGCCGAGGTGGTGGTGTTCACAGTGACAGCATCGGAACCGAAGAAGCTGTGCATGTGCGACTTGTACTCTCCGGGAACCACAAGAGGATCAATATTCTTGTACATGAACAGGTCAGAAGTAGTGACAGTATAGGCCTGGGCCATGCCTGCCGCCAGGGCAGACGAGAGAATGAAAGAACGCATATTGATTAAAGAAAAGATAAAGAATGAATGGAAGTGCCGATCACGAGAATCAAGAAATGATGGGCAAACCCATAACTCTTTATAGGCCCTTCCAAGCGCTTAGCACGCATAGGCAAGAGACGAAGGGTTTACGCCGTTTCTTTTTTCGGCGGTTGAGAGTCATGGATCAATTAGTTCGAAACCGTTTGTAACGCCGGCACAGACGCTCTGTGGGTCCTATCCTGCCAAAAGGGGGTCCTATGAGCCCCGAATATTAAAGGCTATTCTTATCAGCAGCCCTGCAAGCTGCCATCTCCGTGGCCCTAGCTTTACTGGGTCTGACCCACGTGTGATGGGCTGCCATCATCCTGCTTTTGGACTACTCCGTGCACTGTCGTATGAATATTGAATAGTCTCCAAGTCGTTTTGAGACAACTTGACACGAGCAATGGGTCGACAATACCCGATTTGATCAAAGGGTGGGTTCAAGCTATTCTACTCTCGTGCTCTTTAGTGTTCCGTAGCGTGTCCGCAGAGTTCAGATCCTGCTTTCTATCAATGACAGCCTTCCATGCGATTATTAGAGCTCCTGCTAGGCCAAACTCCCATAGAGCAAAGTATTTCAATGCAGGCTTTGTTTTTCCCTCTGTTTTCAGCTTATCCACCCCAGCGTTAGGGGTTAAGTGACAAGTCCCTTTGCCAAGCCCCTGAGCGTTTCACATCGGCGGTGGTTGCCGCAGATGATAGACCATTGAAATTAAGAGGGCAGAGGCATAAAGCTAACTTATCCTGTATAAGCCCCTTATCATCTTCGCGCCCAGGATCTATTCCGAACTGTGGGCCAAGCTCCGATACTCCAAGGGCACAGAACAGGCTGGACAGCTTCGCATTTGGCACGTGACCCAGGGAACCCTGGTTTACGGGAGACCGACACTTGATGACTTGGTAGCACGACGAGCAATCAATACATTCCCCAGCGCATGAGTCTTGATTCTTAACCTGACATCATTGGGCTACGTTAAAGTATATCGCTTCCAAGTCATGGGAGTGCAGATAAAAAGTTTTTGAGTGCATCCGAGCTACGGAGATCCTCGGTCAATTGGACCCACCCCTGTTTCGGACCCATTCTTCCATGACCACTCCGGAGTAGAGCATCTCCGCGCATCAAGACCATCGGAGCTGTTAGAAACATAAAAAAGATTTAAATATGTCATATTAATGAAACTTTTACAAGGTACTCGGACTAAATAAATTCAGAAATATGTGTAAGGAGACATGGTATACCCGTGCAGATTCGAGCAGAAGAAGTCCGGTATTCATTTATATATCTAGGGTGAGCCGGCGGATGTCAACTCAACGTCACTACAATTGACCAGCACGGTCGTCCACATTGCCTTATTTCACCTATAATAAACTGACAATCTCTCCTATCAGGACGGGGAGGACTGGGATTAGACCGTCGGAACAATTATAGGATTGCTAGTGTTATACCACGGTTAGTTGAGTAGGTGCAACAGCGATATTACTAATCTAAAGGATTCCGTTTGCTAAGGAGTATAAATAGACCTCGACACAACCCGCGGTTTACCCGTTTTGGGTTACCCAAAACCCGCCAAGAATGGGTTTTGGGTCTCTCACGAAAACCCGCGGGTTGGGTTTCGGGTCTATACTTTAACCCGTGGGTTTTTCTTGGGTACCCGTGGGTTCATAAACAGTGCCAACATGGTATATTATGTACATAAATAGATAAATAATCAGTTGATTATCGTTTAGGCCTTCCTAATTAGGTGATTTATACACTTTTATGTAGTTTTGGGTTCTTGGCGGTTTACCCACGGGTTACCTAAAAAAGCCCACGGGTTGACGGGTAATGGGTATGGGTCCTGCCTGACCTTCTACCCGACCCGTGGGTTTGGGTCCTAATCTTGGACCCATGACGGGTTTTGTCGAGGTCTAAGTATAAACCGTTAGGTTAGGAGAAACAGCTTATGCCAAGTGGCTTTGTCTATCGTGAATCTGTTTCTGTGTCGTGAAGATGATCTGACGATATCCTTAGAAATAATGAATGAGGTGATTGAATTCCTCAGCGTCCCTGGCATAAATCCAGCAGCTATACATAGTGGATCATGTTATGAGCTAACCTATAATAGGAAGGTGACAGGGCAATGGAGAGCGATGGTCCAACATGATCTTAAACTATTCCCTGGTTACTCTGTGCAATATAAACTTGACCACGGCAGTTCCACTTAGACAAAGAAAGCCGGGTCTGTGCCCTACAGAATCAAGACATAACCGGCTATAAATAGTATGCTACCGTTAGTTACATCTAGTCTCAATCATTTTTTCTCTCGATGTTCTCCGGCAAAACCTCGGACCTTGGCCCCATGGATTGCAGGGTTAGTTTAGTTAGTCGATCACGTCAAACAAACTATCGGAGAGGATAGTACTTCATCACAATAGCTATCTGTAGTACTTCTGCCCTAGGCAGTCCTCCAGGGTCTACGCGCACATTCGCAGAAATTCTACGGATATCCTCAATATTCCCGAGGCTCAAATAATCTTGTACAACTAACTCAGAGAAAACTATTTCGGATTTATTCCAACCATTTCACTTCACTAGATCCGGCACCACTTCATCGCAGTCCATTGACCCTGAATCCGACCTTTGAACAGGTTGATTGCGCATTTCCAGAATCAGCCTTGAATATCATCATGGATACCCGTTGAATGTCAAATATAACTGTTTAGCACGAACAGCAGGACTTAAGCTTGAAAGACGACCAACCCGGGGTCTTCTACCAGCTTCCCGATCGGGGCAACCAAGCGCTCATCACGTGGGATTTACCAGCGTCATGCTCAAAATTTATAGAACAAAAACAATTGGACAAAGTCTCAAGAGCCAAATATTCATACATTACAGTGAGTGATACACACTTATTTAACATGATGAATATATCTAACAAAGCCCACGTGGTCCGCAAGTTGCGCCTCTGAGCTGAAGCTTCATTCATATGCCAGGTTGAAATCAACTCGAAGCCGCCGAATCAGCTCCAAACAGTACATAGCACTGACGCTCTAAATATCGTGGCAGTTGAATGTCAAATCCTCGGCCTAAACGTGACAATACTTAGTATCAAGATTCCTCCAGAACAGCAATTTATAGGAAGCTTACCAGCTCTCCCACTGGAACAAATGGCAAGCAGCACTGGACCGTGTCCTCCGCAGCATCGCAGATATCGAAATCAAACTCATCGTCGATAGGGGTGCCTGAGGAATTCCCTCATTGTCAGTGATTGCGCAATGAATAAGCCAGCTCCACTCAGTGTGCACTTACCGTTGCCACAGATGTTACCCTCGTCCTCGCTGTCAACGCCATAATCGGCGAGGATTTCGTTCGGCAGAACCGAGTAGGGTGTAACCCCCGCGCAGCATTTCAAAGCTCCGCCGTCGCAGACAGGCAGCTCCTGGGCCAGAGCCAGCGAGGCGAGAGGAAGAAGAATGGCAAGGAAGGACTTCATTTTGCTTGGGATTTCGCAATTGTTGCTTGTGATGATGACTTGGGTTTTGCGGGGGCTCTGAGCTTGTTTAAATGCTCGAACTCCCCTTGGATGTAAGGAGGTGCTTGTATCTGGGGTGATAGCCTAGCATATTCTTGGTCCCTTGCTTGGCATTCCTTAAACTGGGTGATTTGTTTGCCATTGGTGCTTGGGCGGTATCGATCTGCGTTTGCTTGTGTTTGCTTGCGCTTATTTTATTTCGAACTGCGCTGTCAAGGGATGGGGCTGGGAAGCTGAACAGCTTGGCAAAAACAATCTTGAATCCAGACATTGTAAACCTATAATTTAACTCAGGACTCTTAATAGTTATGTATATCGTTTGAAAGGAATGACAACTTGTTACACTGAGACATTAATAATACTTCGTTCCAGGCCCGAGTGGAAGTCTATCTGGATATGTATTATGAAAATTTCGACCCTAGGTCAGCTTAAACTAACAAACGACGATGTAAAAATGTTGTAAAACGTTAAGCTACCCAGCATACTCTTCCCTACCCCTTTTAACAGAATTCAACGCAGAATCTTAATCGAGCGCCTCCTTCGGCTCCGAGATCGTTTCAACAGGGATATGAACAACACCCGCAGAGCGGATGCTGTTATCGTAAATATCTTCGAGTGCGCCGATGTCGCTAGGGTTAAAAAAGGCGCTTGTGTTACCCATCTGGCTCCAGGTATTGACGGCACTATTGCGTCGTCAGCATCACAATATCCAAATATCACATCATGCTGTGGAACACAAGGACTTACCCAACCACCAAGTCCGTAAGGGTAACGCCTCCCCAGCTAGTTCCATCCAGTGCATCAATGCCTGGAAGGGTGCGTACGTCTGGATCGCGGCAGAACTGACCACCCTGGCTATTGGACTGGCAAGACCGGTCTAGGCTGACGACGTCGGCCAGATAGTAATGGTTGTCGTTGTGGCAGACGTATGCCTTCTTGGCCATGCTTGATGATATATATGCGGATGATGACTGCGAGTCAATAACACTGTTGAAGGTTAGCCATTAGCGCGTGCTAATTACGCAGGGATGCGTTATTGAATTACACAGCATTATGTGTCTTGGGAGACAAGGACCAGGTCATGGGAATGAGCAGGCCGAATATGGCTTTCTCGGTGAGCTTGGCGATCTCTTTGTCGCCGGGCACGTCGAAGGCGTTTTCCAGTAGTTTGCCATCGGTCATCAGAGCGTGTAAGGTATCGATGCTTTCTGACGTCCCATTGAAAAGTTTTTTCGTTCATGCCGTCGACAGTGTCATACCATAATTGGATAATAGCTGTAGATACGATTAGCCAGTGGCTCATAAGTGGCTCCAGGTCTGATGCTGCATACTGTCCAGTCTCCTTTCCAGCGTATTCTCAACCCCGAGTTCCAGGGGTGTAGAGCTGGAACAACATTAGCCATGCAAACTCGACATGAGGTTTGTGCCAAGCTTACTCCGTAGCAATAACATCCTTGATTACGGTGACACCGTTTGCTACCAATGAATTGGTGGTGTCCTTCAAGTTTCTCAACTGAAGAGAGCTATCATAGAACTGAATTCTTTCGAGCGCTACCGGATCGTTAGTGCGTTTTCAAACATCAATCCCTTGGTCTCGGAAACATACCGCGGCTGAAGAGAGGACTGGTAAATAGAGCAAATCCGAGACCTAGGAAGTCCATGACTAGATTATCCGCCAGGGTCGAAGAAGGGAAGCCCGCAAAAGTCTCTGTCAGGTCTCCAATCTGATTCGTCACGGAGGCTTGAACTCTGGTAAGTGCCGTGTGTGGATTCCAGAAGAACTGTGGATGTGTTAGGTAAGGGAGTACAGAATAAACACAGGCAAAACATACATTGTGGATAGAAGCGTATCCATTTAGAATAAATTATCCTGCCGGATGATTGACTTGGCCACATTCCTCGAAGTCATCGCATCCAACACTGTCTGACATCTTGCTACAGTCCATGTGTTCAGATCCATATACAAGGTTACTGATCTGTTTCTCGTTAGCTGGACTCCACAATCACAGTAACCAATACTGTAGGATAAATCGAAAAAAAGCGAAAGAAAACACACCTCATTTGAATAATTCAGTCCTCCTTCGTGCGGATAACTCAACCAGTATTTATTAAGATCCGTCCACGCAGATTCAGTGAAGAGCGTATTCCAGCGGGTCAATACTTCAATCGATGCATTCTCAACTGTATACCATGTGCAATCGATGTTACGCCATAGTAAGGGCCCGTTACTGTCGAACACTGTGCCCTTGCACGAGCTACCCTTACAGGGCGTTTCTTCAGCATCGGCGGTCTTGGTGCTGCTGGCGTCCTCGAGACCGATGACCTGGTAATTCGAGTTGTAGATGAGGCTGGGGCATCCGGAGTCGACACACAACCCACCGGTGGCGGATTTAACCACAGTTCCGGATGGATCGAGGACTTTGATTATTTGTGCGCCGGTGACCTTGTTGGCGCTGTGTCCGCGATTGAGTCCTGCGTGTAGTGTGTAGGTGTGGTCTTCTTCGCCCTCGATGACCAAGGTCCAACCGGTCCTGGCATCAGGGCTCAGCATAACCGACCACCAAACATCATCCACTCCTTTTTCAAACCCTTTGTAGAGCTTCTCTGCTGCTTCGTATGGACATTCCACTGAATCCACCATGATTGTCTTATACCACATGGCGCCCGTCACCTCTCCAGGGGGGGTTTCATCTCGGTAGGTTTCTTCCCGGTCTTGTAGGCATCAATGAATGATGCTAGCAGGGGTTGCCAGGCGGTATGAGGCTAGAATTCTTGGTTTGCGTAAAACCACGGCTGGGTGTCGTTGTTTTGCTCAACCCACAGATTTCCAATATAGTGGCTCTCGGGACCATCGTTCTGTGCTTGTCAGTACTATGACATACCAACGTTCAGTATTGAGGTTTTCTGGATTTCAGAGTTTATGGCTCTACGGCCGTTTTAAGGAAGATTTACACCTACATCTCGGTATGTCAATCACCCCACGAGAAAACACATTTTTCATGTCAATTACCACGCTGTGAGGTTTACTAGATAATTATGTAAGGCGTGAATAACCTGTAGGGAGTGAAGATTTTCAAGAGAAAGAACAAGTCAAGATCTAGCAGCGAGTCCCTCAACTCAGACACGGCAAAACTTGAACCATTGGACGGCACCAAATGTCGATCTTCTACCGTTGTGAACAAACTCATGCCGCCAAGGAATGCTGAGCAGACCATGCGACAAGATACCCTTTTCGAAAAGCGGATCATTCGCTAAGGCAACCAGGATGTTAACGCTTAGCCCTAACTGGGGCTTTGGTAGCTTGAGTAAAAAGACACGGTATTTCAATAACAATCTAACTGGATCTATACTTACCACTGGAACAATGTCTAAGCGTTTATGGTGATGGTTTCAGATTTTCCAGGATTTGGACAGCGAGGAGTTGGGCTGTTCCAATTAACCAACACTCACTGAAGACAAGAAGGATCTACCTGGTCTGTACGTTATTATGATGATGTTGATATCACCATTATATTTGAGTTCCAAATCAGACGAGATCACATAACTATAAGTGCAAATCAACAACAGTATTCCCCGGATTGTTCCCGAAGAAACGGTTGAATGACGTATGTAATTCCCATTTACATAGAAAATGGTGAGAAATCAAAATCGTTCTACTCCGTACTGCGTCGGCCATCTGTCTTGGGCCGGAACCACACCGACCGCAATGCCCACAGCGGCCGCCGGTGAAATTTACTTTCTTTCACCTTGGGGCTACTTTAACTTGTCAAGTCTACTTTATTTGGCTGGAACTTTAGGTGCGATGGAAGTATAATTACTGTTTGCTTTCATTCTTCTTACTGTTTCGGTCCTTGCTTATTTAATATTCTAATGCTCTTTAGTGAATTAAGATAATCTAGTACATTATCGTCCCAGACTTGACCATGACGACGAGATGAAACCAGATGAACCCCGCACGAGTACGGAGTAATGAGAAGAAATTTCCGATGGTCATCGTGGAAATGACTTCATTGTCTTGCACGGCCCAGTCCGTTTCATCCTACTGGCTCGGTGGCAACACGGGTACCTGACGATGGGGATTTTCTACCGAATAGACGAGTCTCAGAGTGACCTCTGCGGGATTCAGTCCAAGGGGAAGGATCAAATGATTACGATGGTCTGGACACATGGCTTGGAAGTCACGAGTCAGTTGCCCATGGCTCGGCGATATTCTGTAACAGGGCTTTCCATAGACCGGATCCCCACGGACCACTGGATCGTGAGAATCCTTCTCCCTTAATACACAAGGGGCACCAGTGCACCCTTGCACGAACCCATGCCAAGTGTAGAACTGAACAACGGAGAACAAGAAGTTCGATAGGTTGCGACTGCTTTAATTCACCATGTATTATTGCACTATGACTAGATTCAAAGCCCGTTGGGGTAAGAATATAAACGGAGTACGCTATCCGCTTTGCAGTACCATGGAAGCGCCACCTGGTTCCATAGTTTGAGATATCCACCTCCACGTTGTGGGTTTCGAACCACTTGTTGAGATTCATGCAACTAAGCATATGGAATTACATCACAGCTCTCAACGCCTCTTTATAACGGCTGTCAGTCCTAGAACCTTCCATGTTTATTCCATGACTGTCCTATCTCATACTATAGCATATCCCCTACATATTGCAGCTGAACAAAAGCTGTATGCCATATTGGCATCAGCCACCCTATATCGATCCCATAATCCTTGATCCTGTTTACCTGCTCTTCTCTTTTCCCCCAACATCCGACTAGTCGTACAGCAACATCCACCAACAGGATCAATGGCCTTCCGTCAGCCTTCTGCCAAAGCCTCAACAAGTCGCGATGTCGACCAACAAGCCCCAGCCATGACCAAACAGGACACAAGCACTGTCTACCCCAGACCACCAGGACCAAGCATTGTGTCAGCCCGGTATGACTACCAGGACAGCTCCAGCTACCACGATCGCCACCGCGATGTTGCCCAAGACGATAAGATGAAGTACTTGGGTCACAAACGAGGCCCTTCTGTCCCCGTGGTGACCTCCGCCCAGCACCAGCTGCCCATGCTACATCTACAGGATACCATGCGCAACCACCTCACCGTGATGCTTGGCGAATTCGTCGGAACATTTCTGTTTCTTTTCTTCGCCTTTGCAGGAACCCAGGTCTCCAATACCCCCAAGCCGGTCGAGGGCGCCCTACCTAATACTGCCAATCTTCTCTACGGTTCATTATCCTTCAGCTTCTCACTCATGGTGAATGTATGGGCCTTTTATCGCGTCACAGGAGGAATGTTCAACCCTGCAGTATGTTTTCATCGCGAATCAGCGAGATCCAGCTAACGAAGTAGGTCACCCTGGCCCTATGCGTTGTTGGGGGCATGTCGCCTCTCCGTGGTGTACTTGTCTCTGTTGCTCAGCTTCTCGCGGGCATTGTCTCGGCGGGTGTCGTGAGCGCCCTATTCCCTGGGGAGTTGAATGTAACGACGCGACTAGGTGGCGGGACATCTATCTCGCAGGGGCTATTTATTGAAATGTTCCTCACAGCTCAGCTGGTCTTTATTGTTATCATGCTGGCGGTGGTTAAGCATAAGTCAACATACCTGGCGCCGGTCGGGATCGGACTGGCCTTTCTTATAACCCAGATGACCGGTATGTCCTCATGATTGTTGGATGTCTAGGTGTGGTAACTTACTTGCTAGGCGACTATTACACCGGTGGCTCGCTGAATCCCGCTCGCTCACTCGGTCCGGATGTAGTCAACCGGGAATTCGCCAGCTACCACTATATTTATTGGCTTGGACCGCTGATGGGGTCGCTACTGGCGTGCGGATTCTTCACCTTACTGAGGAAGTTTGAGTATGAGACAGCTAACCCGGGACAAGACTTTAATGAGTGGGAAGCTAAGATGGGGTCAGGGTCGTGGGATGAGGCGATGGGACGGCCTTCATCGGCGGGTTCGACGACTCTGCGGCCGTTTTCGCCGCGTGAAAATGGCAAGAGTAGCGTGCAGCATGGAGACCAGGCAGTTTAAATGGAGTGTCAAGACTATCTGCGTGATGTTTGCTGACTGGCATCGGGTGTTCGTGGTTGGGCCTTTGGTAGATATGCTGTAATTTGATCGTGGAATTCGGGGATCGCGACGAGGTTGAAGAGGGGCAGAAAGCATTCGGCGTCTTCGGTCTTTGACAAACCGGAGTTGCCACTTTTCTCCGTCTCCACCGATTTAGTCCTTCTATGGCGCCATTGCCAACCTGGAGCTATTTAAAACCTCGCCGTTGGCACATCTAACCCGCCAAATCACTCGAATTTCTTACCCTGATTCATCATATCATCATATTCACTTTTGGCTACCGGTATCAGCATGACTCGAGGAGCGTTCACCCCTGTCTCGGCCAGCGCCGAATATTATAACCTGGGCTCATTTAGGCATCCTATTACGACAGCCAGCCCCGACGCCCAGGTTTGGTTCAATCGTGGCCTTATCTGGGTCTACTCTTTCAATCATGTGGAGGGTGCATATTGTTTTGAACAAGCGATCGCCCACGATCCCGAATGTGCGATGGCCTATTGGGGTCTGGCATATGCCGTTGGTCCGAATTACAACAAGCCATGGGAAAGATTCGACCAAGGTGACCTTCACACGTGTGTCCAGCGTGGCTATGACGCCTCACAGCAAGCAAAAAAATACGCCGTCAACGCAACTCCCCTGGAACAAGCCCTGGTCCAAGGGATCCAACATCGATTCCCGACCAACCATCCTGCGAAGGATTATGCAGCCCTGAACAAGGGCTATGCCGACGCCATGAAGCCAGTATACGAAAGGTTTGGCCACGACCTTGATGTAGCGACTATTTATGCAGACGCATTGATGAACGTGACCCCCTGGGCCTTATGGGATTTGTTCACCAGCCAGCCAAACCCTCAAGCTCCCACCATGGAGGTCAAAGCGGTGCTGGAGAAAGCACTTACGCAGGTGGAAGATGGCGCATATCTTAATCCCGGATTGCTCCACCTGTACATCCACTTTATCGAAATGTCACCTACTCCGGAGCTGGGAATCAACGTTGCCGATAGTCTACGTGATCTCGTTCCCGACGCCGGCCATATCAACCACATGCCAACGCATTTGGACATCCTGATCGGTGACTGGCGGCGCTCTGTTGCCTCAAACCATAAGGCAACTCTTGCGGATGATAAGTATTTTCACAAGCAAGGGGCTGTGAATTTCTATACTTTCTACAGAATGCATGACTACCACTCCTTGGTCTACGCGGCTATGTTCGCGGGTCAATCCAGGGTTGCCCTTGACGCGGTCACCCGCATGGAATCCACTGTGCCCGAGGAAGTGCTTCGCATTGAGTCCCCACCTATGGTGGACTGGCTGGAGCAGTTCATGCCCATTCGTCTACACGTTATGGTACGTTTTGGTATGTGGGAAGAGCTCAAGCAAAAGGAGCTACCCCATGATCAATCACTGTACGCCGGTACTACTGCCACCACTCATTATGCTAGAGGCATTGCATTTGCCGCCACTGGGGACGTGCCGTCAGCCCGAAAAGAGCAAGAGCTCTTCAAGCAAGCATGGGCCCGGGTTCCCGAGACCCGTCGCGCATATAACGGCAAGGTTGTCGACGTGCTTAAGGTCGCCGAAGCTATGCTAGAAGGAGAAATCGAATATCGCTGCGCCAACTACACACAGGCCTTTGATGCCCTGCGTCGCGCCATTGACCTCGAGGACAAATTGCCATACAGTGAGCCGTGGTCGTGGATGCAGCCTGTTCGCCACGCCTACGCTGCTTTACTGATGGAGCAAGGCCGCTTGGAAGAAGCTGCAAAGACATATCGTGCTGACTTGGGCTTAAATAAGTCTGTTATCAGACCTCGCCGACATCCGAACAACGTCTGGTCTCTCCAGGGATATCACGAGTGTTTGATTCGTCTAGGAAAAACAGACGAGGCTGCAATGATTGAGCAACCGGTTAAACTTGCCCTTGCCGTAGCAGATATCCCGATCAAGGCATCCTGCTTTTGTCGTTTGGATACCTCCCAGGCACCTGAGATCATCGGCGGATGCTCTTCGAATGCCAAATGCTGTTGATACGATTGGCCTTCTTCTGTCTGTGCTTGGCGTTCAGAAATGGTTCAACACTTTTCTAGATGGCTCATAACATAGATTTATCTCCGCATCACTTCACGTTTTACGCTCATGACGTATGTTATATATGACAGCACAAAATTGGCGTCCTGTTCTTTCATAGTGCAATATATAGAAACTGATATCTTATTTCCTATATCATTGATTCTTTTTCTCCCTTCTATTTAGTTTCTATTTAGTGACTTTCTCTAACTAATCTATGAGGAACCCATATTCTTCCTTCCTTTTTTTTTTTGACTAATGACTCCCCGACGGGGAGATTATATTGAACACTTAACCTAAGCTTTACTCCAGATTCAGCGATGCTACACAGAGCGAAAATCGGGTTGTCACGCTGGTACTCTGGTGGGCATGGACCGTGACTGACCAACGCTGGATTGAATGCTACCAGACAGATGCGATAAAGAGATCAAGTTCAGTAAAACGGCCCGGGAATTTTTGCTGCTTATCGACGAAAGTCTCCGGCCAGCCAATCGGGAATGCAGATCAAACACCGAGAGCTCCACATGGCTGTTTCAGTTCCCATCCTCGGTATCCATGGATCCACGGATATAGATCGGTGTATGGTAAATAAGTAATCCTGGGCTTTCATTTCCTTTGCGGGGAACGCTAAGAGTCTACATCGGTCAATCGGATCTTTGCTCGCGATTGGGAATACTTTGCTTTGCCATTTATTGTCGGAAACCTGTGCTAGACTCCAAACACGTTATATATAAAGGAATAGTGTTACACCCCGAAATCAAAATGCGATACAGGGTTTCTAAACACTGTTTGTTTCTCTTGAAGTCATTGTTTAAATTATCTGAGATAGCTACGTGATTTCTATTCATTTCCTGTCATATATCACTGCACAATGGGCTCTATCGTTGACCCCGTCTCTTGCCCCTGTGAGTATACTCGCAGCGCGGCCAAGCCGCCTTTGAGCTGGGCTCGAAGCGCATTACCTGGGACATTATCAGCAATATATGGCAGCCGAAGACCAATCCGTCTGGATTTCTCTCCATCGGAATGGCAGAGAATACGCTTCTTCACGACACGCTTCTCAAATACATACGTGATAACTTCCGCCCTTCCGCCGAGCTTCTCACCTACAACAACGGCAGCATGGGATCCAATAGTCTCCGAAAGTCGGTCGCCCATTTTCTGAACAGACACATGAATCTCTTCGACCGGAAGAACCGCACCATGTTTTGATGGCAAACGGGTGCTTCTCCGCAATCGAGCAGCTGAGCTGGACATTCCTCAAGCCAGGCGAGGCGGTACTTCTTGGCCAGCCGTACTACAGTACACGTATCGCATATTTGACGCTGCGGCCCGAGGCAGTGGTGGTGCCGGTCGAAATGGGAATTATCGATACCTTAAGCCCAGAAGCCGTTGGCGAATATGAGAAAGCAGCTATGAGATTCGAGGAACGCACAGGGAAGAGAGTGCGAGCTGTTATGCTTTCCAACCCGCACAATCCCCTGGGCCGATGCTTACCCCACGCGACAATTGACGGGTTGATGAGTCTCTGCCAGGCACGGAAGATGCATTTGATCAGCGATGAGATTTATGTGTTATCCGTGTGGCACAATCGAGTTGATCGCGGCCCCTCTTCTGTTCCCTTCGAGTCTGTTCTATCAATAGACACGATAGATCTTATTGACCCCAGTGTTGTGCATGTGCTGTGGGGAATGAGTAAGGATTTTGGTGCCAATGGCCTTCGAGTCGGTGCTATTATCTCGCAGTCAAGTCCTGCGCTGCATACCGCACAGAAGTGCCTTTCTTTGTACTCTTTCGTTTCTGGATTGTCGGATCAGATCACTGCGTCTATTTTCCAGAACGATGCCGTCACGGATAGGTATATTAAGTCGAACCAGACGAAGCTCTCTGAATGCCACGAGTTCATCACTCAGTTGCTGGACAAGCATGGTATTGAGTACTCGCACGGCTGCAATGCCGGATTTTTCGTGTGGGTGAATCTTGGCCAGAAGTACCGCGAAGCTCACCCGGGAGAGGACGACGAGAGCCTGACGTTCACTGACATTATTCTTCAAAGGTTACTCGACAACAGGGTATACTCAGCTCATGGAACGGCTTATGGATCAGAGCATCCGGGGTAGTTTCGGTTGGTGCTTGCGCATCCAACCCCGTGGTTGGAAAAAGCAATGTCTCGCATTGTCCAGGCTCTACGATGAAGGTTGCAACTTGGCTTTCTCCGTACTTATACCTGCTTCCTTTTGCTATACCTGTGTGCTTGTTGTAGACTTACATGCTGTTGGAAGTTCTGCATGGTGCTTGTCAGAAACGAGATCCATAATGAGTGTGATATTTTACTTTTCTTAACCATCGAGGCCTCGAGAGAGCTAACAGTGCTTAAGACGAAATCAATTTCACCTTTCAGTAATCATGACTTCTCGAAGATATTGTGTGTTACATGACTGTGGGAATTCATGGGGAAAGAAACAAAGCGTGGCTCGGAGATCGCCGATGCAGAGAGCCGGGATGGCTGGGCGTTGACTCTGAAATCAAGAGTTACTATGGGCTGGGAGCTTTTGTATGTAATAGAGTCATTCTTAGTCTAAACCGCCAGTTTCCAAAGCAGTTTCGGCCACTATCGAACTGCGTTGCGCTCTCTAGTTCCTCTTCACGCAACGCTGGTTAGAACTAGTACCCGTGGGCAAATAACTTGATCTTCTCTTTTCTTCCCAGGAGCAGGTATAGATATCAATTGCATTAGAAAACTCTTGTTTTCGCGGGATATTCACACGATATCGTCACTAGACTCATATCCAAAGACATGACGTGCAAGGAGGAATTCATTGACGCGTTCTCGATAACTAACTGTATGCCATTGATATGCACATGGCCTAGAATATAACACACACATCTCGGAAGCTTCTCTCATTGGTTCCAATCCGATGAAAAAAAGTAACAGGTCTGCTTGTAAAACCGACATTTGACATTATCTTTGGGCATATGTCTACCTCCAGCTAGACCCACGGGACTACCAGCGGACGGGTCCTTTCATGATCAATGGCCGAGTCCTATCAGGGCAAATGCCGAAGCGCAAGAGAAAATCATCATATCTCGGGTGAGCTTTTAGGAGCGGGGTGTCATGAAGGATGGGCCGTATTTCAAACGTCGTTTTCCTATCGATGTAAGCCAAGGCGAAACAATGATATCCGATTGGACTCTCCACATTTGCGGGGAGGAATGATCAACCTCCTGGGATATCTGGGCCCGAGTGATCTTGCCTTGGTCATATCCGTATCGCGGTTTGTCTTCCTTTTCGTATTGTATTGCTAGCAGATATTGGCTTAGGGCTTCTTATAGAGGCTTCCGCCACCAGATAAATCTATGCTTGAGCGTAAGGCGTTTCGCCTTTTGTAGGAAAAGATGATATAAAGGCCTTGATGCTCTCAGCTAATTCTTTCTGTCAATAAGAACAATCTTGTCTCCTTTCCATTTCTACCCAAATCCATTCCCATCTGCTTAACAGAATGGAGCCATAGCAAGCAAGTGTCAAAGGAAATGAGGATCCGGTTGGGCACATTCCAAAAGACAGCAACTTTGCTGACCTCGAGAACGTGTTATCAAAGTCAGTGGGCGAAGAGGTAGACCATGGAGCTGACACGGGGCTTCATCGCTCCCTCGGGACACGCCATCTTACCATGATTGCGCTCGGGTCTGCGATTGGAATGGGCATGTGGCTGGGAAGTGGCACATCTCTCGTAAAGGGAGGACCAGCTAGCCTATTCCTTGGGTTCTTGGTTGCCAGTTCCATGATTTGGGCTGTTAGCCAGTCCATTGGTGAGATGGCCGTCGTCTACCCGCTTCCATCCGCGTTCGTGCAATGGTCTACTATCTTCATCAGTCCGGCGGCCGGGTTTGCCTTGGGGTGTAGGTATTGGTTTTCTTATTGGATAACAATTGCGAATGAGCTTTAGGTATGCCCCAAATACACCCCCCAAAAAAAGGATATGCTGTACTGACTCATTCTTAACTTGCAGGGTGTTGTGACTATCCTAAATTATTGAACTAATGAAGTGCCCAAAGCAGCATGGATCTCAACTTTCTGGGTGGTCATTATATTGATAAATGTTTGGGTTGTGAGATTCTTCGCAGAGGTAGATGTATCCTCATCCACTGTGAAATTTGGCTGGATGCTCATTGCTATCTTCGCATTGCTAGGTGAGTGTCCTAACCCACGCAGCCGTTATAATGCTAAGAATAAACAGTCATCACGGCCGGAGGTGCACCACAGGGAGAGGCAATTGGGTTTCGATATTGGAACACGGAACCATGTATCAATCACTTCAAAGGGTTCATTACTGTCATCCCAACCTGCGTGTTTGCAATGGCTAGCTCCGAAAACGCTACATTGGTAGCTACAGAAGTTGCGAACCCTCGACGATCTGTTCCAAAGGCCATTGGGTCTATCTGGCTCCGCCTGGGCGTTTTCTATATCTTGGGTAGTCTCATGGTCACTTTGACCGTGGACCCTAGCAATCCAGATCTGTTTGGTGGGTCTGGAAGCAATGCCTCCCCTTTTGTGATTGCTTTCAAGAACGCTGGTCTGCCGGTAATGGCTCACATTACTAATGCCGTGATATTTGTCTCCGTTATTTCCACCGGCAGCATATCTGGATATGGAGGCTCTCGCATGATGATGGGATTGGCCCATGTCCGAATGAACCACCGGGTACGTCGACCCACGCATGATGGTTGACTACAAGATCCACTTCTAACAGGCCCTTTGTAGGTATTTGCAAGAGCAGATAAAATGGGCCGACCTTGGGCGGGATACATTGCTACTATCGGGATTGGCGGCGCGCTCGCGTATCTCAACGTGTCAAATACCGGAGCCGAGGTCTTTACCTGGCTGTCAAATCTGGTCTCACTTCTCACGCTTTTCGGGCGGGGAATGATCTGTCTTTCCCATTTACGCTTCCGCTATACCTGGAAGCTCCAGGGTCGCGATGAAGCCAACCTGCCGTGGAAGACGTGGGCATATCCGTACGCCACGTGGTGGGGACTCATATGGCGCATTGCACTAATTGGCGTGGAGTTTTATCTTAGTGTTTGGCCTCTGAATGAGACGCCATCTGCAAAGAATTTCTTTGCAAATTATATCAGCGTCGTTGCTGTTGTGGTTATCTGGATCGGTGCCCACCTATGGTACCGTTGCCCGTTGTGGGTTGATGCAAGCACGATCAATAGCGATGAATTCCGGCGATTTTACTCGGATCATTGCCATGAACACACTACGCCGAGAAGATCTTTCGTGCAGAAACTGAAGATTGCTTTTGAGTAGAGTAGTACTTTCCGTTGATGTTATTTTGCTATGGCCATTCACATATAATAGTCTAGGTGCGCTCTGTCGTCGTCTTATAATCCAAATGGTCTGTGAGGTAGAGAGTACAAGATCTGAATGAGCTAGGTGACACTTTTAGCAATATCTAAAGAGATCCTCTTGCATAAAACTCGTAACAACATTTGACTACGAGCATATAAACCTTCTCCCATATTGTCAATTTTTTGAGCGTAAGGTTCATGATCAAAGCGTATTTTTCTTGCCTTTTAAAATTTGAAGCTCGGAAGCTTAGCTCAAATAGGAAATAAAAATATACTTCTCATAGCTGAGCTGAAGAGAGATCCCGTCATACGGCAGTCTTCTCATCAATCGGCTTCCGCGAACAGGTGGTGGACAAAGAGTGTACGATTCTCGGCGCTTCAATATTAAACAGGGGTGTTTTGATTTCTGCTCCAGAGCCGGGATCGTAGTTTTTGATTTAAGTAAGTCAACTAGTTTGAAGATTTACCCTAGAGTATGATCAAGTGGACCCGCATTTTTTGGCGGCGACAACATTCGATTTCTGTCTCACTATCACTAACACTCTTAGTCTTTTACTCCGGAGATCTTTACAATTGTAGAAGGGCATCTAGTTAACAAGGTATCGGGATTAATCACAAAATAGAGGCAAATCTGTATTCAGGTACTGAGGGATGGTATCAGATACCTCATTATACTCTAATACCAGACTACCTTAGATATCAGAAAGAAAAGGAAAGATGATATAGAAGGCAGTTTCAAGAGACTTTAGGGACCCAAAGACCCGAATAAGGAAGGTTACAGAACTGATCTAATGTTAGAACTGCTCTCGCGGTGCCAGAAGATTATTCTTTCGTATCTAAATGCTAGGGTGATTGTCGGCCGATAGACCCACTAAATCCCAACTCCCCGCCAACTGCGCCCTGTAATTGACTAATTGACACATCCATAAAAACTGCAGAGTGCCAGCATCTGCCCTGCAATTGACACATCCATCAAAAATTGCAGAGTGCGAGCATTTGTCCCAGCTATCAAGATGAACGGAGATGAATCAACCCCGCGCTTCAACCCTCAAGGGATTCCGGCTGCACCCATTGACCCTCTATACAGCCTGGTGAGCGCATACGAAGCGGACACGTCAGCCAACAAGGTAGATCTAGGAGTTGGCGCCTACCGAGACGAAAATGCGAAGCCCTGGATCCTCCCGGTTGTGAGAAAAGTAGTTACACCGTTGTATGCTGCCATGGCATTGAGATCGCGAGTTTGCTGACGAACTGCAGGCAACGGAGATTTATAATAAAGACACCACCCAGGATCATGAATACATTCCTATCGCCGGGCTTCCAGAATTTAACTGTGCGGCCCAGAGTCTGATCCTTGGGGCAGACTCCATCGCGATCAAGGAGAAGCGAGTATGCTGTCCCTTGCTTCACGGAGTCCAGTGTTTGAATCTTGGCTCACGAATATCAATCTCAGGTTTGCTCTTTTCAAGCGATCTCTGGCACCGGGGCTTTACATCTCGGAGGGCTCCTTATATCAAAATTCACGCCCCGACCTAGCCCTCTCGTTTATATTTCCTCTCCTTCATGGCCAATTCATGACCAGCTTTTCGCCACGGTCGGCCTCCCTGTGAAGCACTATCCTTATTTCCGCAAAGACACCAAAACCTTTGACTCCAAGGGTATGAGAGACGCCTTGAACAGTGCTCCGAACGGAAGCATTGTCGTCCTGCATGCCTGCGCTCATAACCCGACGGGCGTGGACCCAACGGAGGACGAGTGGAAGGAGATAGCACAGGTTATGAAAGCCAGGGATCTCTTCCCTTTCTTCGACTGTGCCTATCAAGGCTTTGCGACCGGGTATCTTTCGCAGGATAACTTTGCCATTCGACACTTCGTCGACCAAGGGTTCCAGCTAGCCATTGCTCAGTCCTTCGCCAAGAACCTTGGTCTCTATGGCCAGCGAGTCGGCGCTTTCCACTTCGTCACTGCGCCTGGTGTTGATGCCCAATCGACGACACAGCATGTTGCCTCTCAACTCTCTGTTCTGCAACGCTCGGAAATCTCAAGTCCTCCGATCTTTGGTGCTCAGATTGCATCTGTTATTTTGAATGACCCGCAGCTGTTTGCCGAATGGGAAGAGGATTTGCTCACCATGTCTGGCCGGATCAAGAAAATGAGAAAGTGCCTCAAGGAAGAGTTAGATTGCTTGGAGACTCCTGGAACATGGGACCATATTGTCAACCAGATTGGCATGTTCAGCTTTACGGGGTTAACGCATGATCAGGTGCTGGAGCTGCGAGAGAAATGGCATGTCTATATGGCCGAAACCGGTCGAATCAGTGTAGCTGGCCTGAACGATAAGAATGTTGCGTATTTCGCGCGCGCGGTTGATGATGTGGTTAGGCGTATGGGATGAGCAGGAAGAGAGCCGGTGAAAATATGGTTTACTTTTTGCCTTTCACTTTGTTGTGCCCATCGCCAATTGAATAAACATGCATTGAGCGTATGAAGTGTTACTTTTGGATAAATACCACCACTAGGAGTACTGCAGCAGACGAAAGGGATGTATATGCAATCCACTTCCATATATTCAGAGACATGCTTTTTTGAGCCTTATTCTCGTACTTTTCTACCAGACCAATTTGTGCATTATCCAATATCTACGGAGAATATGCGCATACCGAGCACGTGGCCGGACATCGCAGGAGCTGCGAAGTCTCCGGCGGGAAATTACTATATGATCCAGTGGCAAAGGTATGTTAAGTTTCTCAATCTTTCATCATCAACCTGAAAGACGCACGCCAACATGGACAAGCAAAGCAAAATCGTCATTATCGGAGCTGGGATCTTCGGTCTTTCCACGGCCTACCAGCTTGCATCTGAGGGCTACCGGAATTTGGTTGTCCTCGACCGACACATGCCTCCTGTTAGAAAACTATCCGCGCTCTTTACTACGTGATGCCCATATTCTCAGGTCCCCGACGGATCAAGCTCAACGACGGGGAGAAAAAGGGTAAATGAACAAAGTGAAATAGCAGAGAGAGATGTTTATCGCACTTATGATTAAAAAAAGAAAAGCAAAAACATACAACAGCCGGGATTCGCTGGTGGTCACCCACCCAACTACTAACCGGCCGGCGTGAGGCTTAAGTACGGCTGAGCGGACGGGAAGCCCTGTTCTCCTCACCCTGTGGTCGTATGTACTCGACATATAAAAGGAATGGGATATATAGGACTGTAAATAGAGAAAATAACCCATGAATCGAATGATTCAGACCCGACGTAGGCCAATCAGGAAGTGGCATTTGCGGCGACGAGCTCAGACTAATGCCTCAGGCTGACAGTCATGCTGCCTGAGGCTTCCACTTCGTACTTTGTCATGTGGTCTGGATCCTTTCTCCCTCTCGCTGGGGAGAAGTTGACTCTTCCCCTCTCCTCCGTTTCAGAATGACGAGCCCCCGAGTCATGGCCTGCAGCTTCCACTGCGGAGAAGCTCGATTGCTGCAGGTTATATTAGAGTTACATGCAAAGGGAACTTGATCCCTGTTGGCTGACGCACAGAAGAGGGGATACACCTCAGTCCCCATCACTCTGCCTCTCGTTGCTTTTTCTGGACTGATTGATCGACACTAGATTGAGGGTCTGGAATCTCAGCTGGATCATCTTCCTGGTCTCAGCCAGCCACCAGCAAGATCATCCACGCCATCCCCGCTGTCATCCTAGCAATGGATCAGACATGTTGTCGTCATTATATGCAGGTATAGATTGTTTCCCTCACTCGCCATCAATATGGCTCCGTGGACCATGAGGAGCCATAGACTTGGAGGTGAACCGAGAGGTATAAAGCGAGCAACAACTTCTTCTTCCATTCTCAATCATTTTCATCCTTCAAACAAACAAGAGATCTTAGTCCAAGAATATCCCTTAAACAAGCTACTCTAGCCGCCTTGAACCACTTGCAGCGATACAATGTCCGACGACATGGAGCAGGTTTTCGCCGAGGCCGTGAAAGCAACTAAAGCCCTCACGAAGCTACCTTATGTCGACTATGCCCACCGACTGCACAGCAAGGTCCGGGGGGACTTCCAGACCCATGACCAAGCCCTGCAAGCGTATGTGGTTACATTAGGGTTTTGCCCACCCCCGCAAGGCTGGGCACTTTGTCTACGTACTACGAATATGACCTCAAGGTGGCGGGTCCCAAAGCCACATCCACCAAGCTCCAGGAACTTGTTGTCAAGGCGGGCGGGTATGTCGAGTCAATCTGGACAGCCAAGGTCAACAATAAGGGTGACTCGGATGACAGCTCCGTCAGTTGGATTGAGATTGTCGAGAATGGGCTAAACGATCGATGCCAGGTGCAGTTTGCGTTGCACCGGGTTTAGTCTTTTCTTTTTCTCTTTTTTTCACTATTTCCACCTATCTTCTTTTCTACCTTCATAAATCTATGGTTATACGTACTGAACATTCGAAAGTAGTGGGTTATATGGGTAACAAGTTCAATGGATAGGAACTGCAAACATGCCTGCAGATAGCTTCCGTGCTATATTATAATTCTAAAGCTTCGTATTAACTAACTTCATAGGATATAATAAGAAAGGCTAGAAAGATTAATGAAGGAAATGATTCTTATGTCTGTTTCTCATGTGGGAGAGTAGAATGCTACCCCTTACTACAAGGACCGCTTAACTATGTTATCAGCTACCATACTTTCAAAGCATGCCACTATCCCAGTCAATGAGTGGGTCGCGGCAGGGCTAAATGAAGCAGTAAACAACATACAGGTGTTGGAAAAAGAAAAAAAAAAAGAATGCATCATCCGTGAATCGAACACGGGCCTCGTCGATGGCAACGACGAATTCTACCACTAGACCAATGATGCTGGAGATAAAATAAACCTATCCTAAAGTGATACATCATGATCACGTTCAGAATTCAGGATAAAAGCAAGCCTCAGGATACGGTGGGAGACGGGTCCATAGCCACAGGACTACTGACAGGAGTAAACATAAGGCAGGGTGTGTCATCAACATTCCTAGTCACAGGACCCATCTAATTGAAACTATTCAAGATACTCCGAATGATAATATGGTCGTCTGATCGGTTACGGTCCGAACCCTTTTCCTCCGCATGATATCCCGGGTCAATCAGAGCGATTTGGGACCAACCCCTGACCCTTATCACTAGTATTGCAGTAATATTTACGGTGAGAATTGATGAGGTATTGCGTTAATGGCTTTAATCTATAGAAGATACAGTCGCCTTCCAGTTTATATGCAGTCTTTCTATAAACAGCTCGTACAACTTCCCTAATCTCGACTAAACAGGAGGAAACATCCCTCCATGCCAACCATAAGTCCGACTCAACCGTCGTCCAATCCGCCTCGCATATTGGAAAGGGATCTTAGCGACAGGATGCGGTTCGTGGAACTGAATGCTGCGCTCGACGTCCAAATTCCTCGGAGTAAACTGCCACACCGAACCGTACAGCTTTTGTACAGAAAATGCGGTACCACCCATAGCGTAAAGGAAGTCATTCCGGGCAACCTCTCCTGGCTGAGCGGTTTGCGACGGCTGGAAGAACAGCGTCGGGAAAACTTTCAAAGATCGTTTGTCGACGTGGAAGGTGGGCTGGGTATCGACCTGCGGTGGGAGTCCTGGTTCTGGTTCGACGGGGGTTTCAGAAACAGCGGCCTTTCCGCGAGCTTTCTGTTTCTTTTTGGGCCCTGTGGGTGCGGATGAGTCAGTGGTTTTCTCGCTGCGGTACTCCAGTTCAAATTGACGATCTGCAACGTTTTGATCGAATGGTTTCTTCTGCGATGGTTTCTTGGCCGGCTCGACCCAATCCGCCGTTCTCTGAAGCTTTCCGGAAATCCGGGAAAGCGCGAGATAGGTCGCGTTGCGTCGTGTTATTCCGCGCTTCACGGGTATATGTCTGTCGACAACGGCCCAGAAGGCGTCCAAATTCCGCTCCGCAAATTGCATGAGTTCGACATTCTGTTTATTCCGTCGTTTTTCAACAGGGTAATAGAAAAGATCCTTTTCTGGCGCACCGATATCTCCGAGACGGGTACCTTCAAAAGGAATGAGGAATTTCTCCCAGCCTCTGACCATGGCGGCGTATGCTTTTCTTATCTCCTCTGATCGGCCGGCGAAGCCACTTTCGAATGTTGCCGCCGAAGGATGATAAAGTTCGATCTGGTACAGACATTCAGAGAGGACAGACAGGTCGGAAACAATAATAGCAACTCGTGAAGAAATCAGGTCGCGATTCTTCGGGTCACTTTGAACCAGACGATCGAGTATATCCATGAGAGTCTTTCGACCAGCAAGTTGTAAGATCCGACTATCGCCCCAAAGAGTTTCGAGTATCCACAGCAGCTCGCTTTGAGCATCGGTCATGGTTCGGTGCGGCCGCGACGACACTCGCATTTTCGAGGTTCCGGGAATTTGGGGTTCTCGTTCAAATAGCGATCGCAACGGTGGGGAGGCAGGGACGGCAGCTTTCAGTTGACCAACCGGGCCGGAGGTAAGTTGCTCGAGGAAGTAACGAACTTTGACGAGTTCATCGTAGAACTCCTTCGGGAGATCCTTTTCTGGAGAAATGCGGTCCGCATATTTGGATTGAAGTTGACGCAGGTTGGTGAGAAGCGCGCGAAGACTGTCCCATGTTTCGAGGCCTAGATAAGCTTCCGCGACCACATTCTGCAGAACACGATTCCAGAACAGAGTATGAGGGTACGGATTCAGGGTTGGATGAAGTTTTCCGTTGGTATCTCGAAGAATCTCCTGGCGGTGCTCCCGATAGTGATTCACAACATCGGCAAAGTATCCAGGGTCTTCGCGTAGTGCTAAGAGATGGTCCTCTGCCGCAGAGTATTTCGCATCGACCAGATCCTCAAGCGATTGCAGGTCCAGGCTGGCCGGAAGACGATAAGGTGCGTCCCCCGCAATGGCGGTTAGTGAAGTCCAATCACCCTCGTCTTTGACCGTGAGCTCCGGGAGCACCGGGAAATCGGCAATCAGAGATTCCCGAGGAATGTCATGAAGCAGTTGGTAGCAGCACTCCAGAAGAAACTCATACAGTCGCTGTTGGATTTCCAGGGCCAGCAAACCAAACCCAGGGTGGAATCCTTGCCCATTAGACGCCCATCTCATCGCCTCGTTGTCCATGCTCTCGCCCCAGGGTATCAGCCTTCCGTATGTTTCCGGGGTGGTTCCTCCGGTAAACATCATCGTATGCAGGTTGAGAAAGGCGCTTCTCACCACGCCGGAGCCATGGCCAAGATCCTGGGCATTGAAATCGGCGTGCACGAAACTGCGCGGGTGCTGGCGGCCACGGGCATTGAGGAACAAAAGCAAGGGTCTTGGCTTTTCCAAGTCCTCCAGGTTGATATAAGGCCAGAGATAGGAGTCTCGCGCCTCCTCCCGCAGACCTCTCTTGAAGGCATGGAAATCAGGACGATGCATCTTGGGCACATCCGGCCAAATGGCGAGAAGGACCTGGCGGCGCTTAGGCTGCGATTTCTGGCGCCATCGCTTCTGGATGCGGTCTTCATGACGTTCAACAATCTTGCTCAGAGATTCCCAGGCCGACAAGACCTTAGTGGATCTCTCGTAGCTCTCTTTGCGGACCTCATCTGCACTCGGATAAGACAGCGGTCGGGGCAGGTTCAGGTTCTCGAAAAAGGAGGAAGGGTCTTCCCAATTGATCTGGTTGATCAGGTCGTCATTCTTATCGCTGTCATACTTGGCCGCCTCTTCGCTAAAAGGATCAAATCTGTACACGGCGTCCGACAAGTCCATGATTGGGCTAGTAGCCTAGGACACTGGTGTATGCGCAGTGGGAAGGCCGAAGTGGGCGGCCAAAAACACGCCAAGCATTTGACTGTGCGCTGGCTCATCCCGGTGATATTGTATACCAAGAAGGGGGCTGATATCAGACGATGACAGCTGATGAGAAGCCGAGTCCGAATATATTATGAAGCGTATAATTCCAGGTGGGTTTGGCAAGTTTGTCGGGGTTCTTGCTGACATTTCAAACTGTTGCTTTGTTCTATCATAGATGCTCAAGAGTCAAGACTAAAAAAGATTAGGATATTGTTATTCGTCCAACAGTATCACCCCGGCCAGCGACCTTGGCTTACCTCTTGAACCCAGCGACGAACTCGGCAACAGATCGGATCGGGATGAGAAATCCCACCGGGCACTAAAAGTCCAGAAGTGACAGCTCATCTGGCATGGCCTGTTTCTACCGGGAGTCCCACGCGGGGGGCCCGTGGGGGTAACACGAAATGCGGGGGATGCATATTGGTGGATGATCGCCAACCCTTGAAGATTCTCGTGATTTTGTGGTATTGGATGGCGTGCCATTCAATAGGCTGTGTCAGCAACGCCCCCAAAATTCGTGGGGGTGCCAGATGCCAGCTTTGCAAAGGGTTGGCCGTTCAATATGCTGGAGGAAAGACGGCAAAGGAAAGGGCTGGGAGCCTTGATCGCGGGAATCCCATGTGACCGAAGTGGTTTCAGGCTCTTCCATAGCACTTAGCAGCTGCGTGACCAGCTGATGCCGCTGCAGGTCAAGGAGCTCATCTGCAGGACCCATGGTGGTTGAGGGATCCTGGTCGGAGGTAGAAGAGGCAGGTTGTTGGGTAGGAGTAAGGATCGACATCGCGGCCATTGAACTGGCGCCAGCTTCTGCTGTTTGCCATGAAGGTGAGAGGTAGGCATCGTGATAAGAACTTGGCACCAGCATCTGCTGTTTGCCGCAAGAGTGTTTTGATAAACCAAAAGCGCTCACAATAGGCGAAGGAAGAGGTTGAAGTTGAGGCGAGGGGAGGGGAGGAAGTGGAGTTGAGATCAGTGGTGGCGGTTGGGAAAAAAGGGGATTTAGGCAGCAGACCTTTGAGTCATTCTATATGAATATTGTTTTTTAATAGGGGGTTTTATTAAACCTCCTTTACGCCTGGTATACTCGGTTTATAGGATAAGGCTACCTGCTATACAGCCTCTGGCCTGCATATTGACCATGCAACTGAAATCAACCTGACAAACCCCCTTGTGGTCCAACTTGGGAACACGACCTGAACTATTCCGGGGGCTTCCCACTTCCTCCACCTTAAGCATACCAAAGGCGACACGAAAAAAGATGCTTCAGGATCTTTGTATCATCCCCGGGAGGCTGAGCTTGGGATTATACTTGCTAAACGCCTTCAGGAAAAGGGGCGCTAAAGATATCCTCATCATGTCCCCATACCGGGCTCAAGTGGCCCTGGTTAAAAAGATAAGGGACCAAAAATATCCCGAGAGCCTGATCCGCCCCAGGGTCCAGACTGTCGACGCATCTCAAGGCTCCGAGGCCGACGCAGTCATTGTGCTAACCACACGTAATATCGGCGGCGTCGGGTTCCTCCAATCTACCAAGCGGACTAACGTGATGTTATCGAGGGCGAAAATGGCCCAGTATATCGTCGGCAACTAGGACTGGGTTAGGAGCAAGATCTTCATGAAGGACGCGGGGAAATTCTATGCCTACCTTCATGAGGCCGAGCGTGTCCTGCGCGTGGAGATGAAGATGGAATATGCCGTCGGCCCATGAGTGGGGGTGCACGAAATGCGGGGGATGATCGCCAACCCTTGAAGATCCTTGTCATTCTGTGGCGTCGGATGGCATGCTATTCGCTCGATAACTTGTGTTAGTAACGTCCCCAAAATCCGTGGGGGTGCCAGATAGACATATGCTGTTTTATCTAATATATGAGGCGTGTCCGGAGTGCCCGTGTCTGTCTGTCACCTTCTATCATCGTCATCGTATTCATCGTCCACCATGGCGCAAAACAAGCCAGATGCCACCCACAATGAAGACCCCATGAAGCCAGCCGATATCAACCAGATCCACGACATTCGGGTCCCCCTCACAGAAGATGACAACAGGCGGATTCGGAGAAAGACCGACTCCATCATCCTGGTCATCCTGTGCTGGACATATCTGATGCAGATTCTTGACAAATCCGTCCTCGGGTATGGAGCCAACTTCGGCCTCAAAGAAGACGCCAACCTCACGGGAAACCAGTACTCTCTGGTCGGGTCGATCGCCCCCATCGCCCAGCTGGCCTGGCAGCCCTTCTCGTCCTATCTCATTGTCAAAGTCCCTCATCGTATCCTCATGCCCGTGTTGGCCGCTGGATGGGGCATCGCGCAAGCCGCTATGGCGGCCTGTAAGAGCTTCGAAGGTCTCATGGCCACGCGCTTCTTGCTCGGACTCTTCGAGGCCGGCTGTCTTCCCCTGTTCAGTATCATCACGAGTCAGTGGTATCGGCGTGCCGAGCAGCCGTTGCGCGTCGCCGCTTGGTACAGCACCAACGGGATTGCCACCGTTCTGGCTGCCATCCTCTCATACGGCCTGGGCCATGTGCAGTCCGGTCCGCTGAAGGAATGGCAACTGTATGTCCCCTGTGCCCACTCTGAAGCCCGCCCCATACTAACCTATCATAGCCTCTTCCTCGTCTGCGGCCTCATCACCGTCATCTCCACCCCCATCCTCTACTGGAAACTCGACAACGACATCCCCTCCGCGCGCTTCCTCAACGACCAAGAAAAGTTGCAAGCCATGGAACGTCTCCGCGCCAACCAAACCGGCAGCGGCACGCGCGAGTTCAAAATGCACCAAGTTGTCGAGGCCGGGCTGGAACCCAAAACCTACCTCTGGATCGCCGCCGCGTTCCTCCTCAACGTCGGCGCCTCCGTCACCAACGTCTTCGGCCCCCTGATCATCTCCGGGCTGGGCTTCGACAAGTTCAAAACCACCCTGCTGAACATGCCCTTCGGGGCGCTGCAGTTCCTCATCATCCTGTTCTCCAGCTGGCTGGCGCAAAAGGCCGCGCTGAAATCAGTCGTGCTGGCTAGTTTCATGATCCCGGTTGTCGCGGGGCTGGCCATTTTGTATGCGGTTCCTAGAGAGGACAGCGAGCAGGGCGCCCTCATGGCCGGGTATTATCTCCTTTCGTTCCTGTTCGGTGGGAACCCGCTTATTGTGACTTGGATCGTGGGGAATACGGCCGGCACGACCAAGAAGTCCATCATCATGTCCTTTTTCAATGCGGCTGCGGCGGCGGGGAATATTGTGGGGCCGCTGCTTTTCAGCGAGGATGATGCCCCGGCGTATCTGCCTGGGTTGCGGGCTTGTTTGGGCATCTTTGCGGCGATGGTCGCGGTGGTGGGTGCGCAGTGGGGGAATCTGTGGGTGTTGAATAGGATGCAGGAGAAGAGGCGGGTGAGGAATGGGAAGCCGGCCCGGATTGTGGATCGGTCGATGCAGTCGGGGTATGAGGTTAGTGAGGAGGTGGTGGAAGATGGGGAGGGAGGGACGGAGTTGGGGAGGAATGCGTTCGTCGATATGACGGATCGGGAGAATGATGAGTTTGTTTATATTTATTAGTTGGATGGAGATTGCAATGAGGTCCTGGATGCGATAGACCGAGGTTATGTTGGAATTTAACGAAGCAGTGTTACTGGTAATAGCCAAGGCAGGATGATATTAACAATTGAAATAATATATGCTAGAATCGACTAAGCCATGCAATGGACAACGGCAAATCAAACACCAAACTCCATAATGCATCAACTTCGCATCGTTACACATACCCCGTACATCGACCTCATACAACACCTTAAACATTAATTCTATCTAAATTCTCTCCCGGATGCGCTCCTGCCACGTCTTGGGAGTCGACGTCTCCCACGAGAAGTTCTGCAGCCGCCCGGTGTCCAGATCCGCCTGCAAGGGGTCCACGAACGAAGTGCGGTAGACGAGCTTGTGGCCGAGGTAGAGAATGACGAACAGAATGGGGCAGATATAAGCGACCCAGAAATCGGAGACGTTGAAGGTGGGAATCCACGCGGTGAATCCCTGCGTCAGGATAATCAGGGTGTTGAAGAAGAGTCCGTAGTAGGCCAACCACGGCTGCCAGATGGCCTTGTAGGGTAGCGTGTCGCGGGACAGGTCCCGCGCCTTGAGCGCACGCATGAATGCGATGTGACTGAGGTTGATGGAGCACCAGCAGATGAACCCAGCGACTCCGGAGATGTTGACGAGCCAGTTGAAGACGGTACCACCGGAGTTGGAGACGTTCATGAACGCCAGAAGACCGAACAGGGCGGTGAATGTGACACTGATCCAAGGGACACCCTTCTTGGTGACCCAGCCGAAGATCTTGGGGGCGAAGCCCTCCTGCGCGAGACCCAGGAGCACACGACTGCCACTGTAGACGTTCGAGTTGGCGGCAGACAGGACGACGGTAAGAAGCACGGCGTTGATGATGTGGGGCAGGACTTTGACGCCGGCCAGATTGGCCGCAATCACCATGGGGGAAGCCGATGCGTCGTTGGTGTCCGAGATGAGGTTTGGGTTATCGTAGGGAACGAGAAGACCGATGAAGAAGATGGTGAGCACGAAGAAGACGAGAATCCGGATGAACGTCTTGCGGATGGCGGACGGGACGGTGACCTGGGGGTTCTCGGTCTCACCGGCGGCAACACCCACAAGTTCGGTTCCCTGGTAGGAGAAACCGGCCTGGATCAACACGGCCCAGAAACCCACGAACTTGGCCGTCGCATCGTTGTTCTCGATCAGATAAGGAGCAAAGGCGCCGGGGGTGTGGTAGTATTTAAACCCGAGGTATCCTTGCTGTCCGACACCAGCATCGATGCAGATGGCAAAGATCATGAAACCCAGGACCGTAATGACCTTGATCAACGAGAACCAAAATTCGAGCTCTCCGTAGAATCCCACCGGGAGGAAATTGAGCAAGGTGATCAGCACCCAGAAGATGGCAATAAAGATGGCAATCGACAGGTCCTTGTCCCAAAACTGAATGATCAGACCCGTCGCCGTTAATTCAACCGCAAACGTCGAAGCCCAGTTAAACCAGTAAATCCATCCCATGGCGAAACCCAAGCTGGGGTCGACCAGGCGCGCAGCGTAGGTGGTGAACGATCCGGGGATAGGGATGTACGTCGCGACTTCACCCAGCGAGGTCATGACCGAATAGACGATAGATCCGACGAAGATGTAGGCAATCAGCGCTCCGGCCGGTCCGGAGTTCGCGATGGCCGTTCCACTGCTGATAAAGAGACCAGTTCCAATCGTTCCACCTATCTGGTCAGTACAGGTCTGCCGGTCGCACAGGAATGTCTGGCCTACCGATGGCAATCATCTGCAAGTGTCTGCTCTTCAGCTTCCGCTGCAGCTCCGGCTCGGGCGTGTCACCCCCCATGCCGTCCTTTTCGACGTCCTGCTCCTGGGCGTTCGCGGACTTGTCCTTCTTGCCAAAGGCCTTGATGCCGAATTTTCCTTTGCCCGAGGTCGGAGGATCGGCGGCGGTGATTTCAACCTGAGGTGCCTCGGTGACCTCGTCGGGGGCCATTGTGGGCCGGTGGCAGTCTGTATAGGAGGGGGGAGAGGGCTGGTGAGGAGTGTCAAAATGAAGATGTCAACACGAGCGATTGACTCAGGGAAAAGAAGGCCGACAAGGTTTGGATCTTTTTTTTTTTTTTTTTTTTTTTTTGCCCCTCTGACATGGAACGCGTCCGAGGGCGCCGACCAGCCGATATGGACTGCGGCGGCAAAAACCCACCCGAGGCCAAACTATTAGGTAAAGAGATCCGCCGTCGAGCAGCACTCGGTCATTTCGTCCTGTGAGAAGATGCAGACAGTTGGAATGCTCTGGGATGGAGGGCAGTCTTGCATTAGCCCGATGGCAGGCCGAATGGACTTCTGATGGCTTGAATTGAATGCATTTCCGGTGGTGACTGAAGCTTTGGCAAGAGGAAAAACTCGAGCAACGAGTGGGTCTGGCGCCACCAAGCCTTGCCAAGACGCGGTCGCCGGATTTTTCAGGCCGCTGCAAACGGCCGCCGGAAGAGGAGATTAGGGCTTAGGGCTGGGAGTGATGCCCCTCCGACCTTCGGACTGACGTTATACGGAGTATGCAGTATCCCTCGGACGATAAGAGGGTCGAGAATTTTCCTGCACCATCGATCGAGCTGGGTTATACTTGAGGGGATCCGCCACTCCACACAACTTGGTCGTCAATGGACGAGCTGCAATTACGGAGTACTCCGTAGGGCATGTGAAAGCACTGTGGATCGGGGCTAGCACGGTATGACCTTTGAAGAGAAGGGAACTGATAAACTTGCGTTGGAACAACACAGCAAAAGTCATTTGCTCACTCTGAGGGAAGAATGAAAATCATTGGCCGGTGGAATGCAAGGTGTGTCTTGGCACTGCACTAACCTATATCGGGCAATATTAATATAGTGTTACCGGGTCTTCCTTTCTTTTCATTCTCTCTTCTTCCAATCAATATTCAATAATACTATGCAATAATCAGGGGTTTAGTAGTGCGTTGTGGGATATATATCGCTACTCAACCTAGACCTGCTTTACACAAATGCATATTCGTTGGTAGTCGTGTTTATATGGTGTATGAGGTGCAGGTGGGGTAGATATATATGTTGGCTTTGATCGGATTTCACCGGAATCTGGTGGTGTATTGACTCTTTTAACCAGCAAGGCAAGGGGCCTTTCAGCAAATGCCACTACTCAGAGAGTCTCCTCAACTCTCAATCATCGTAAATAAAAAGTCTTTTAGAAAAACCGAGAAAACAGAACCCCGCAGGTTGATCAGTAGCAGAACACCCCCATAATAAGATGCGAACTTGGTCTCAACCGTGCCGAATACCTGCTCATTCCAAAGCTAACCATAGTAAATCCAAAATTGACATCTTTGGAGCCGTGTCCCCAGGATCATACCCCACGGGGGAACCAGCGGATGAATCTGCGATGGCGGAAATTCGGAATCCGTTCCGCTCACAAGACCGGCCAGATACGTCAGTGGCTCACAACTCAGCTTATTTTCTTTTCTTTTCCTCGAGAATCGGGATCTGAGGAGTCCAGACTGAGCGATCGCTACTGAGTAAGTGCCCTCGCAAATCTCAGGAACAAGAATGTAAATTTGGACCATCAATCTAGTGCCGTGATCTCCGCGCGGAATATCGCGGAAGTGATGCAGCCGAATACCTCATGTATAGTATAGGCAGATCGATAGCAATCGGCATACGAAGGGGGTAATAGTGAATAGAGCTCTCGCTATATAGTACCCCAGCCCACATTCCCCGGCCCGTCCATCGTCGACCAACCAGCCGTGCCTCATTAATGAGTCTGCCCGTGGATCGACACACGGAAGGCGGAGGCGGAGGCTGTGCGGAGAGACGCATCCCATCCACCCATTCAGAACGAGACATGAACCTTCCTTTCCCCAGACAAAAGCGACATTGAGTTCAGTAGGACCAACAGAGTTTATATCGCCGCTGCAGAAGGACGCTGACGGAACGTCTTCCGCTGGTTGCATTCCGCTGGTCCTCACTCCCTGTCACAGTAAGCCTGGATACGAGGCATGATGCGCGTACCAGCGCGAATGAGAATCCAGCATGCGTTATCTGTGCAGCCACTCCTGCGTCCTCCCCTCATTTCTGGCTCCGCCATCGCGGCATAGCGGATCCTCTTCCCCGCGATGATCTGCCTGATCGGTCGGCCGAGGCGAGAGGTATATAAGATGGCCTGGGGTGCTCAGTTCTGGGTTGGTGGATACGTGCCTGTTTGAGCTGTGGTTATGCATCTTATGGATTCCAACGACGTTTATGATTATGTTATTTGCGGGTGAGTTGAGGTTTATGCAATGGGTTGTATGATGAGTGGTATGGCTGATGTTCACAGGGGAGGCACCACCGGCTGTGTGGTCGCAGGTCGATTAGCGGAGAACTCCAATGTTCGCATCCTGGTCATCGAGGCAGGACAGCATAATAAGGATTTGGAGAATGTGCACATGGCCGGCGGGTATGTCATCCATCGACGGGGGTGATCCCAGCTAACCCGGCAGATGGTCGAATAACTTCGACTCGGAGACGGACTGGAACATCGTCACGCCTTCGATGAAGGGAGTCGATAATCGACAGGTCAAGCTGAGTCGCGGACGTTTCCTGGGTGGCTCTTCGGGCTGCAATGGCACGCTGTGCGTGCGAGGAAGTCCGCAGGACTTTGACGATTGGGGTCTGGAGGGATGGAGTGGATCGGAAGTGTTTGCGGCTATGAAGAAGGTATCTATATATCTATATCCCCAGCAGGTCTTCGGTATATCTAACAGATCTCAGGCAGAGACTTTCCATCCGAAAGACTGGCATCAGGCAGATATAAAAAGCCATGGATTCTCGGGCCCGCTACATACTGAACCGCACGACCTGGCTCCCATCGGCAACTTGATTCTGGACTCCTTCGTCTCGCAGGGCCTCCCACTTGATCATGATATGTTCAGTACAGGGGAGACTCCCCACGGATGCGGCCATGTGATGCGGACAGTGCATAAAGGAATTCGATCGACGTCCGCCGACTTCATAACGAAGGAGTACCATCGGGCCAATGTCACCATCCTGACCGACACTACGGTCGACCGCGTAATCCTGGAGCAAGGTGCGAATGGCCCACGGGCAACAGGGGCAGTAGGGGTTTTTCCCGATGGCTCGTCACGGACTTTCAAAGCCCGGAAGGAAGTCATCATTTCGGGAGGAGCCTATTGCAGTCCGGCTGTGCTCATGCGATCTGGTATCGGGGCCCGTCAGGAGCTGGAGGATATCGGAATCCCATGCAGCGTCGACTTACCAGGTGTGGGCAAGAACCTGATGGATCATCTGGTTAGTATCCCCTGATCCTATAGCTCATCCATGCTAACAAGACCTGACCAGATCGTATTCATGTTCTACGAGACCGAAAAACCAGGCCTAACCAACGACCACCACGTCTACCACGAGAACAACTTCGAAAAGACCTACGCCCAATGGAAGGAGCACAAGTCCGGGTTCCTCTCGACATTCCCCTTCGGCTGCTTTGCATTCGCGCGTCTCGACGACCGCCTTAAAAACGAGCCGCTGTGGAAGAACGCCCCGCGAGAACCAGGACGAGACCCGATGGGCCTAACGCCTAAACAACCAAACATCGAGTTCTTTACCACCGAATGCTACGGCGGTCCGAAGCAATTCGACCAGTTCCCGATCAACAACAAACACGCGTTCTCGATGATCGCCGAGCTGTTCGCCCCCAAGTCTCGCGGAACCGTCACGCTGAAGTCGAAAGACCCGACGGAGAACCCGGTCGTGGACTGCAACTATCTGGCCGACCCGATGGATCTGCTGGTGCTGTCGGAGGCGTGCCGCTTTGGCAACGAGATTGTGATGCAGGGCGCCGGAACGAAGGATATTGTGAAGGGGTCATGGCCGCCGAATCTCTCGCATCATACGTATAAGACCCGCGAGGAATGGGTGCCGTATGTCAAGGAGAATGCCACGACGTGTAAGTTCCATGTCAAATGATGATTGTACCGTGTTGATGAAAACAGGCTACCACGCATCCGGGACATGTGCCATGGGCAGCGACGACAATCCAATGGCGGTGCTGGATAACAAACTCCGCGTGAAAGGGGTTGCCGGCCTCCGAGTAGCAGACACGAGCGCGATGCCGGTGCTTTGTGGCGGACACACGCAGATGACAGCGTACGGGATTGGTGAGCGATGTGCGGACTTCATCAAGGAAACGTGGAATGAAGGAAGGACAGGTGAGAGAAGGAGACAGGGGGAGAGACAGGGGATGGCGATTACCCGGGCACATCTCTAGGGGCTATGTTGAGAGTTACGAAGTCTATGCTTTCTGTCTAAGGTTCATAGTCGATGGAGATGTCTTGCTATGAAGGTTGAGAAGGTCCACTGTCTTTATCGCGTAATGATCTGGCGAGGTCTTTCTTGACCAGGAAGTTGTCTGAAGGTTGTTGAATGGACAGGTCTCAACGCAAGGTCCTCGGGATTCTCAACCTGATGTTGATTCCCGTGGTATTCCGTCTTTTGTGGACCATGTAGCAATAGACACCGCAGGAACATGCGTGAATGTGAATAATGAATATGCTATTCCACAATCCAGCCTTCGTTGCTCCTATCACACCATGCCAGCAATTCCATGTAGCTAAGACGCCTGGGTCCCGTCTCCAACCAGTCAAGTTGGAGTCGCCACATAATCCAAGACATTGGCGTTTACCCCGTATGATGTGTAGGCAACAGGTACCCAGGGCTTTTGCATTCGACTGGTCAAATATTCAATATGACGCTGTGATGACTGAATGTCTCTGGGCAACTCCAGACAGTCGAATTAAAACACGAGTACGAAAGCTGATTCGCTCAGGACAGCATTACTGCGAGCAAAAATAGATGAAACGGAGCTAATCGGTCCGACAGTCCTCTGCTAAATCGCTCGCAAGCCTCGCCACTGCGCCAACCAGCCACATCCTGCAGGTTGAGATCGTGGAGAGTGAGTGAGACATCCGGCTGGGTGGATCCAGCCATCCGCTGGCTATTCCCCCTTTCCGAGGCTTGTCAGATCAAGTTGACAGGCCGAAGTTGCCCAGTCTCACGGAGAATGGAGTATGACTTCAACATTGCAGATGCTTCAGTGCTGCCTGGAGACCTCAGGCAACGGGAGTGCAAACGATGCAATCGAGACATTCGCGTCAAACCGGCAACTTCGCCCGAACGTTCAATAGTTCAACTTCCAACGAACCTCGACGATGGCTCGAAAATTCGGCCTCAACAACTGGGAAGTCGGTGAGACCTCATCCGACACTTGCTTCCGACGGTCGTGGTGACATGGGATCCCTGCACGCTCCAAGAAAGAACATGCATGTCTCAAAGGCGCAGCACAGCGAACCTTGGGCCGATTCTTCCGACTCATGCTCTGCACGACGTGGACTAGGCTAAGCCGGCTCTCCAGGAAATCCCATGAGACATTTGGTGGGGATGTGAGACTAGTGTCGCTGGCAGCGGAGAAGCTAGTGACGACATTGCGTCGATCATTGCTGTCTTTTGTCGTGGCCGGTCTATTTCCAGTTTCCTGACGGAGCTTTCCTCTTGCCAGCATTTCACGGAATCGTCCCCTATTGCCGCCCGAACTTTCCAGGAGAACTCATGGGCGTCCGAAAATAGACTATTGGTTTTTGCTGGAACGGCCGCTGATCATGCTATTCTTGGCGGCTGGTTGATTCCAGAAAATGGGAATCGGATAAATGGAGCAAATATCCGATCCCAGCAGGAACGACTGAGACATGGCTCCACTTCAGCTTCGCTGCGGGATTGTGTGATGACTGATGAGGGATGAGGGATGAGGTTGTTCCTGGGGAACCTGGTATAAATACCCCCGACTGGAAGCCTGCCTCTCTCTCAATCCATTCCGATTCATCTCAAATCAATCCAATCCTCAATCACAATGAAGCTCTCCATCGCCGCCGTCTCTTCCTTCGTCGCCGCCACTCTGGCCGCCTCTCTCCCCGAGGCTTTCACCCTCGTTGCTGAGGGTGGAAAGACCGCCCTTACCGACGGATGTACGTGATGCCCTGACATCTGCATGGAGCGACCGCAACTGACCCGTCACAGCCCACGTCCTCATCGGCGCCGACGCCAACGAGAACGCCATCCTGGTCCTCAAGTCCGGCAACGGCGGCCAGGTCACCTACACTCGCGAGGGCTCCCCCCCTACCGGCTGGCAGAACCTTTACGTCATTGAGGACGCCATCAAGCCCGTCTCTCTGACCGTCCCTCACTCCGGCGCCACCCCCGACAAGGCCAACCTCACCGGCTTCGGCCAGTCCGAGGACGGCTACTTCACCTTCGGCGGTAAGCAGCTGTTCGGTGTCAGCCCCCAGAACCCCGAGCAGGTCTCCTACATCGGTCTCGGCCACAGCAACTACGAAGTCACTCCCCTGTGGGTTAAGGAGTGCAAGGGCTGCTAAATTATTTCGCCCGAGGACTGTGATAGCGTGGATATGGTCTGACCGTCCACTGCATTTTGTCAATAAATAATATCAATTGCACATAATACTACATACCGAATCATCTGAATCATGGGTTGTAAACCCTTCTGTCAAATATTGACTAGCTCCTTAGGGAGCGTTCTAGATTGCCCGTAACTCCACATTACTAAATAAACCGACGCTACTTAACAAGCCTTATGATCACTACAACGGTACAAAAAATAAACTGTGGTTTGATGACAACAAATGACAGCACGGAACCGCCTTAACCACTTGACCTATTCCGAACATCAATCCTCTATTAGTCTAAAAGAGCTACTTTTTTACAAGAAGATAGGGCCCGATTGTTGCTTGTAACTTACAGTTGGTGCAGCTATTCTACAGCTGTATCCAAGGGGTAGATCGTGATATCTTGGCCCTTCATTCTTCCACTAAACGCAAGATCTTCTTTATCCTGAATCTTCTATAAACTCCCAGTCTACTCGTCATCATTACCCCAGAATACATTGGCCATGGCTCCCTCCATTTCCAATTATCACCTTGCCACATGCCATTGAAGGGTTTCTGCTATAAATGTACGCTGCTGAGCGTCATAAGACAGGACACTTTGTTCTTTTGAGGAGTGACAGGTGAATGCAATGCTTGAGCAATTTAATAACCTCAATCCAAGTATATGAGGTAGATACAAACATTAAAATCTCTCTCTAATAGCCAATAGCCCTGGGATACTTCACAAACGACATCTGCCCCGACGGCGCCAACGCCATGCCCATCTTGCCCGACACGCCAGGCTCCTCGCCCAGCATATTCTGCGGGAATCCGACATCCAACGGCCTCACGCTCTCGAGATACGCGATCTGCTCGTCCGTCAAGCGAATGCTCAACGCCTGAATATTATCCCTCAGATGCTCGATCTTGCGCCCTCCCACCAGCGGAAACACATTCGTCGTCTTGCTCATCACATACGCCAGCGCAATCGCCGTCACCGACTCAATGCCATGCTCGCTCGCCACCTTCGCCAGTGCCTCACTCATCCTGACCTCGTCCTCTCCCTGCTCCGACCCCATCAGCTTCCTCAGTCCCTCCCCGCTCGCCTTCCTCTCCTCCAGCGCCTTCTGCGTCTGGAACTTCCCGCCCCCAACCGCATCCCACGGCGCAATCGCCATCCCAAACGTCCTCGCCATCGGAATAATCTCCCTCTCGAAATCCCTCTGCAGCACATTCCACCGTCCCTGATACACACTGAACTGCGTCTTCCCCGCCATCTTCGCATACGTATTCGCCGCACTAACCAGCCACGCCGGCGTGTTGCAAATCCCCAAATACAGCACCTTGCCCTGCTTGACCAGGACGTCCAACGAGTCCATCACCTCCTCGATCGACGTCGTATAATCCCACCAATGCACATACAGCAGGTCGATATACTCCGAGCGCAGCTTGGTCAACGAATCCCGCACACTCATATGCAAGCTCTTCTTATGGTTGCCCGCGTGGTTGATCGTCTTCCCCTTCCCCAGCTCGTAGCCCTTGTATTCGCCCGTGTACTTCGTCGCGAGCACAAGCTGGTCCCGGATCCCGCGGGCTTCGGCCCACTCGCCGATCCAGGACTCCGATTCTTCGTTTTGGTAGTTGTTCGCGGTGTCGATGAAGTTGCCCCCCGCGGCGACGAAGGCGTCGAGGAGCGCGAAGGACGACTCTTTGTCCATGCTACCCATGGCGGAGGACCAGGCGGAGCCGATGGACATGGCGCCGAGTTGGAGCGGGGAGACGCGGATCCCGGCGGTCGAGGAGAGGATGCGGTATCGGCCCAGCTCGGTGGGAGGGGAGGGGGCGGGCATGAAGGCTTCCATGTTGGGTGGTTGGTAGAGAGTAGTGGGTTGGTGTGGTAGAGTAGGGGTTGGTTGGGTATGAGGAGTGGGAGATTGGGGAGAGGAAGAGTGGGATGGGGATGGGGAGGCGGGCTTTATAGCTGGGGACCCGGCTGTTAGGGCAAGATGGCTAAGCTGAAGGAATAGGAGAAGTGGGACGTGAACCATGGGACGGCGATCGGTTCGATGGATGAATCCATTGATTGGGGCAGATTTAGCCGTAGCTGAGTTTGCGTTTGGTGATTGCGTGGTCTACGGCTTGCTGGAGGTGAGGTTCTCGGTCTATACGGAGTATCCATATCTTGCGATGAAGTCCAAGGCAAGCCAGATGAAGAACCCATACGATTAATGATTATTTACAGATTTTAGCTATTTGTACACAGAAATATTAATCACCATAATAATAAAGATCCACCCAAAACGCATTAATCAGTCAGTCATTATCAGGTCCATCCAGTCCATCCTATAGGACCTAGAAGGAACCCAACCTCGTCTTCACATTCTCCCACACATTACCAGACCGCTGGAACACCTTTTCAGCCACATACTTCATCTTCTTACCCGTCGGGCTGGCGATGAAGCCCGCCTCAACGAGGAACTGCACGTTGCGCCGGATCGTCGCCTTGACGTGCTGCTTCTGCGAGGGCGACACGGCACTAGCGTCGGTCATCATGTCACCGCCCAGTCGGCCCTGAATGGCGTCGAAGACCTGCGCAACCGGCCACAGCGGGTGGTTGTTGCCGTCCTTCTGGATGGACTGGTGCATGATGTCCATCCAGGTGGCGTGGTCGACCACCTTCAGCGGGTACTTGAGTTCCCGCGAGAAGATCTCCCAGAACTCGCGCTCCGTGATGCCGTCCGTCATGTAGGTCACCGTCTTGATGGCCTCGGCGGGGCAGAACGCTTGGAAGACCGTCTCTTCCGCCACTCGCGTGCTGCTGGTCACGAACATCCACCCGTCGCCGTAGTCGAGGCTGTGCGCGCGCGCGTCCACCACGCCGGATGCCAGTCGCCAGATGAAGTCGTCGGTGTTTGCCACACCCTCTTCCGGCGTGCCGAGGATCAGACCCGGCTTGATGATCGCGAACTGGTCCGGGTGCATCGCCGCGAACTGCTTGACGAGCAGCTCGGAGAGGTACTTGGTCTGCGCGTAGCCGTTGGCGTGCGCCACCTCGCGCGCGATGTCCGCGTCGTTCTCGCCGACGTGCCAGCGGTGTCCGCCGGAGACGTACACCAGGCGCGGCTTGGCCGGGGAGACCATGGAGGCCTTGATGAGCTCCGCGGTGGAGTTGACGTTGGCAGCGCGCAGCACGGCAGTGCCGGCGTTCCAGTTCACCGCGGCTCCCGCGTGGATAATCGAGTGCACCAGGCCGTCGTTGGGCGATTCACCCGTCAGCGACGCCCACTGCTTCGCCTTGAGACCCAGACGCGGCTTCGCCAGGTTACCTGCCCACACGTCCAGCTTGCCCAGGTAGTAGTCGGACCACCACTGGGCGCGGACGGCGGATTCCTTGACGCGGATGAACGCCTCGGAGGGGGTGCTGGCGCGGACGTGCGCGATGACGCGACCCACGTCGGGGCGGTCGCAGAGCTGGCGCAGGATCTGGGTGCCCAGGAAGCCCGTCACACCGGTGACGAAGACGGTCTTCCGGACGGATGTGTCCTTGACGATGTTCTTGAGGAGCGCTGAGGCTTCCTGCATCGCGTCGAACGTGGGAGCTTCCTGCTTGACGGTGCCAGCGAGCTCGGCCTCGATAAGCTGCACAAGGGAGCGAACGGTCATCTCGCCGTCCAGGATGCGCGACACGTCCACCTTGACGCCGTAGGCCTGCTTGATGTAACTTGCCAAGCTGATGACCTGGACCGAGTCGATGCCCATGGATGAGATGTTGAAGTCGCGGCCCTGCAGCGGGGTGTCGTCGCGGTTGACCAGGTTAGAGATCTTGCCGCTGATAGCGAGCGCCTTGTCCTCGTCGGGGCGGAGCGTGTCGGTGGCGACGGCGGCGGGCTCGCGCTTGATGCCCATGGCGGGCTCGAAGTCCGAGGGCAGCGCGTGGAGCCAGTTGTCCACGGTCTTACGGTCGATCTTGGTGGACGAGGAGCTGGGGATCTTCTCGACGACGATCCAGATCACGGGGACCATGTGTACGGGCAGCGTCTCGGACATGTATTTGGAGAGGGCGTTCATGTCGAACCCGGTGCGCTGGAGACGGCTGCTAGACACCTGCTTCATGTCGGCGCCGAGCGTGGCGGAGAGCTCCAGGATGGCGATAAGCTTGTTGGCATACAGCCCCTTCTTGGGGTAGGCGACGACGGACTGCGTCACCTCCGAGGGCAGACAGAGATGGTACTCGATCTCGCCGAGCTCGACACGCTGGCCGCGGATCTTGACCTGCGTGTCCTTTCGGCCGATGAAGAGGAGGGATCCGTCGGAGCCATACTTGACCAGGTCACCGGTCTTGTAGAGACGGTCGCAGCGGGACCACGGGAGCCACGAGGGCCGCGGGATGAACGCCGCATCGGTCTTCTCCGTGTTGTTCAGGTAGTGGCGGGCCAGAGTGTATCCCTCGACGAGGAGCTCGCCGACACAGCCAATGGGAGACAGCTTGTTGTGGTTGTCACGATCAGCCACCCAGCAGGCGCCTCCGACGGAGGTACCGATGTTGTTGGGCAGAGTGCCGGGGAGGACCTGGCGGTTGGAGGAACTGCAGACGCAGCACTCACTGGGTCCGTAACCGTTGACCAGCCGGACGTGAGGCGTCCAGGCGGCGACGTGCGCGGCCGTCATGGCCTCTCCGGCCAGACAGAGCGTCTCGAGAGTCGGCACGGTGGTAGGGTCGATCGTGTTGACGAACGAGGGCGTCAAGACCGCCCAGTCGACGTTCATGCGGGTGATCGCCTCGGCGATGTTACCGCGGCGCTCGTTCTCGGAGGGCACACAAATGCAGCTACCCTGGACCAGAGTAGACAAGATCTCCAAGACACTAGCGTCGAAGGTGTATGAAGCAAACTGCAGGACACGACGACCCATCTGGAGACCCTCCTTGTGCGATATGGCACCGGTACAGAATGCACGGTGCTCGACGACCGATCCCTTGGGTGTTCCGGTACTGCCGGACGTGAAGATCACGTAGGCCGAGTTGTGCGGCGCCACAGGGGTGGTGATGGTCTTGGGAGTAGCGGCCTGAGCCATGCCAGGTCCCACAGCGATAGCCTTCTCCACGACACCCGGGCAGCGGGCGAGCTGCTCCTCGGAGCAGAGCATGACCTTAGCGTTGACCTCTTTGACGACCAGCTGCATACGGCTGGTGGGCTGGGAGGCGTCCATGGGCACGAATGCACCACCGGCCTTCATAGTTCCCAGCATGGCAACAATAGTCCACAGGGACTTCTCGAAGCAGATCGGCACAAAGACCTCGGGACCCACGCCGGCGTTGATCAGATGAGCTGCGAGCTTAGATGAGATGCTCTCCAGCTCGGCGTAGGTCATCTCGCCGTCCCAGGCGCAGATGGCGGGCGCGTCAGGGTGCTTGATGGTGTTCTGGGCGATGAGGTTGTGCACGCAGTCATCGGTCATGCTAGGGATTTCCCGGTTCCAGCGCAGCAAGTCCTCCTTGTCCTGAGGACTGATCATCTCCAGATCGCCGATGCTACCAACGGGCTCGGAGGCCAGCTGGTGCAGAACGTGCTCGAACTGGCGCACGATGCGGTCCACCTGGGTCTCGGAGAGCACGCCGTTGTCGAAGTGGACATGGACAAGCACGGTGCCGTCGGCGGCCAAGCTGCACTCAAGAGTCAGGGCGACGGTGCTGAAGCGAGCGCGAGGAGCAGAGAACGGCTGGATGATGCTGTCCTCGGGGATAGAGCTGGCGGGCTGGATGACCAGCAGCGTCTGGAAACCGCAGGAAGCCGCGGCGCCCTCACCCAGGCGGGCGATGTTCTGCAGACCGAAGTTCTGCGCGGGAGTCATCCTCACGGAGTGCGTATGCGCATGCTGCAGGAACTCGGCGACGGGAGTCTGGGCGTCGAAGCGAGCGCGGATGGGGACCGTGGCAATGACAGGACCAACCATGTCCTCCACACCCAGCACGGGGGCGTTGCGACCACTGACGGTGCATCCGAAGACGGTGTCAGGCGCATCGCAGTAGCGAGCCTGGAGCAACGACCAAGCGGCACGGATCAGAGTGGCAGTGGTGTAGTCCGACGGGCCGCTGCGGTTGACCTTGAGGGTGTGGACCAGGGTCTCATTGGCAACGGGCTGGTACGTAGCGGACGGCAACAGGGGGAAGGTCGTCACGTCTCCCTCGGCCAGCTCCGAGCGCCAGTAATCCTCGGTCTCCTTGCTCACGTTCTTCTCGGCAACGTGCTGGATGAAGTCCCGGAACTGGGGACGCGCGGGAGGCACGGTACCTTGCAGGGCCTGCACGAGGTCGTTGAAGATCATCTCCAGCGACAGACCATCGTAGATGGCGTGGTGGATAGTCAGCACGAAGAAGGACTTGCTCTCAGTAGAGATGACCGCATGACGCGTGAGGGCGTCGCCCATCTGCATGGGGATCTTCTCGTCCGTCTGGATGTAGTTCTCCAGGTCGGAATCGTGCTTCCACTGGATGCGGGCGCGGTTGACGACCTGAATGGTGCCGTACTGGTCGGTCTCGACCATGGTAGTGCGCAGGACATCGTTGTTGCCGACGATCAGCTCCCACAGCTCCTTGAATCGGTTGACGCTCAAGCTGGGAGGCAGCTCCAGGGTGTGTCTGGCGATGTACGAGCCAGAGATCTTAGTGGACAAGGCCATAAGACCGGTCTGCAGCGGACTGCAGGGATAGGCGTCCTGGATGACTTCGGCGTCCTCGAATCCGGTAGAGGCAAGGATGTTCGAGCGAACCACGCCAGCATCACCACCGAGCAACTCGAACGGTTGCGCAGAGACGAGCTCCGGCGAGCGAGCAGGAACCATGACCTTGGCCATGTCGCTAAGCACGAGGTTTCCGAGGATGTCGCCCACCTGCAGCTGGAAGCCCTCGGCACGGCAGCGCCGGGTGAGGTTCATGGCCTCGATGGAGTCACCACCCAGGTGGAAGAAGTTGTCCTCGGCACCGATCTCCTCGGGCGGGCAGTGCAGGATATCAGCCCACATTGACTGGAGACGCATCTCGGCCGTGGTGGTAGGCATGCGACGCGAGGCGCCGTCACTCGCGCCAGCAACAGCAGCCAGCTCGGCCAGAGACAGACCGGAGGCGAAGGTGGAAATGACACGACGGTCCGTCTTACCGGACGCCGTCAGCGGCATGTATGCGAGAGGAAGGAACGCCGACGGAATCATGTAAGGGGGCAGGCGCTGGACGAGCTCCTGGTTCATCTGAGCGGCCAAAGACAGGATGGGCGGCTTGTCGGCAGGAGCAGCGTGGAACGGATGGGCGAACTCAGGACCGAATCCACTCTGGCTGGAGATGAAAGCCACCAGCATAGCCTTGCCACCCGGGTGCACCATAGCGACGGCGGTCTTGACCTGGTTGTTGATGGCACGCATGTGGGCTTCGATCTCGGTCAGCTCGACACGCTGGCCACGGATCTTAACCTGAAGGTCCTTCCGGCCGATGAGATGCACGCGGCCGTCGTCGCCGTACCGGGCCAGATCACCGGTCTTGTAGAATCGGCGGGTGACGCCCTCCTGGGAGGCCCACTGAGGGTTCTCGATGTACACGGACTGCGTGCGCTCGGGGTCCGCCAGGTAGCCACGAGCCAGGGTCGGACCTTCGATGATCAGCTCACCGACGGAGCCGATGGGCACCAGACGGTCGTGGTCGTTAGGGTCGACGAGCCACGACAAAGCACCGGTGGCCCGGCCGATGCAGCTGCGCGGCGTGTCCGTCACCATGGGACCGATCATGCAGACGGAACACTCGCTGGAGCCGTAGATGTTGATGAGTTTGGCGACAGCAGCCCAGCGATCGATGATATCCTGCGCGACGGCCTCACCGGCGACAATGAGTGTTTTGAGAGTCGGAACGTCTTCGTGGTTCAACGACCGAGCAAAGCTGGGGGTGAAGATGGCCCAGTTGACATTAAACGACCGGATGACGGGTCGGATATCCGTGTGACGGTCATGGTCGGACGGGATGCACAGGCATCCGCCAAAGATTAAAGTAGTAAAGATTTCAAAGGTACTGATAATGAATGTATAAGCGCCGAACTGCAGGGCGCGGGTGGTATTAGACACGTTCATGGCGGAGGCATGCTGTAGGGCACTGGAGGCCACGGAGGCGTGCTCGTGGACAACGCCCTTGGGCTTGCCAGTGCTGCCGGAAGTAAACATAACAAAGGAAACATCGGTAGGCTCTGATCGCGACTCAAATGCACCGTCGCTGGCCGACTCGATCTGGTTTAAGAGAGGGGTATCAAGTACAATGAGTTGAGGGACAATGCCGTCGAGAAGCTCGTGGTTGGAGACCGAGGCAATGACTGTTCGGGCCTCGACGGACGAAACAATCGTTTCAATGCGCTGACGAGGGTGTCGGGGATCGAGGGGAACCCAAGCAGCTCCTAGCTTCCACAGACCGATCATCGTGACGATAGTCCATAGGGACTTGTCGAAGCAGATGGGCACCTGCTGTCCGCGCTGAACGCCGACGGACTCGAGATACCGAGCCATCTTGCCGGCAGCAGCGTTGAACTCGGCGTATGTCATCGACCCATCCCACGACTGCAGGGCGGGCGATTCGGGGGTAACGCGTGCTCGCTCTTCGATCAATCGATCGACGCAGACCTGGGTCCCCTTGGGTGTTATCCGGTTCCAGGCCTCAATCTGCAGAGTGTCCAGATCACTGGGAGCACAGAGTTTGGACATGTTCTGGTAGGGATCGACGCACACCCTTTGGAGGACGTCGGAGAATGTACTAGCAATGTATTCGGCCTGGGCACGCGAGACCGCCGACTTGCGGTATATTAAGCCCAGCGTCGATAGCGAAGGGTCGACTCGTAGAACATAATCAAACTAGGCAGGTTAGTACATGGCAATCATTCGTGGTTACTAGACGTGTGACTTACTGTCTGTTCACTGCAAATTTCTGTCTCAGGGACTTCACTCTTCAACAAAGGCTCCTTGATCCAGATGGCTGAATTGCAAGGCTTGGGATCCAGCACGGAGAAGACTTGCAAAGCCTCCGACACGGAGAGCATAGCTTCGCAATCAAGAAGGCCCTCCTGCCGCGTGTGCTCCTTGGAAGAGAGTACAGAGCTACCTGCGTCGAGGCGCGCTCTAGAGATGGACGCGTTGGTCCATTGTTGCTTCGGACTCGGGCGTTCCAGCCCAACCGTAGCAAACATGACATCGTCGGAGCCCGAGTATGAACGAAGGACAGCAGCCCAGGCAGCCTGGACGAGGCCTAAGGGGGAAAGATCGTACTGCTGGCAGCACGCTTGGATCAAGGAGAGCTGAAGGCTCACGTCCAGTTGCCCAAGCGGCGAGCGGGACTCTCGCTTGGAAGAAAGGCCAGAGGGGAGGTACGACGGCGTGACATCAGTAACCAGCTGCGTCCAACGCTGGCGAAGCCGCCCGGCATCGTCAAGGATTGTAGACGGCATGCTTCATGAAATTCAAATGACAAGTTCCAGAGCCAGCAAGCAAGAGACCAGTCTGGCAGTCTGGGGAAGAAAGGAGAGAAAAGAGATTGGCATAAGGCGGATGGGATCGAAGGAGAGAAAGAAATAGTAAAAGATCAACCGACTAAAAAGACATTCTAAAAGGAAATTTCCTATTATGTGATCTCATCACATGCGGTACTACATTTCCACTTGTCTCTCTTACGGAGTCTTCCGGGCCAACCCAGTGAATTTCTTTTTTCTTCCGCTACTGTCCACTGTCCAGCGTTCACAGCTCATGTTGAGTGGGTCCAAGTTGAAGCAAAAGGAAGAAGAGTATGCCGCATTAGGACCTGACGTGGGTCAGCAAGCAATACCGAGGGATCAGGGGAGAAAAATTAATTAAACCGAAAAATCTACCAAAACAAAAGCAGAAAAAACTCAAATCATTCTCCATGACATGGAGATGGAAACAATAGCCTAGCTCGAAGTCGGACCCACCGCAGGGGTACCTGTCGAGAGGGAACCAAGGATGATCATTTTTGTGGTTGTTTCCATGCCACTGGAGGAGAGACAAGTGTCCACCGTGCACTACAGGCCAGCGAGATCGTGCGAACTCCAGTTCGCCTCCGCAGTCAGGCCAACCACCGAGATAGAACCACCCGCTAGTTCCGACAATCATCACTAGCAGGGCGAAGGAATCCTTTTGCCGTGAGATTAGGGGCGTCCAGCTGGCTGCCGGCAGTCTCTCTCGGGAACTTCGCCTGCCCGAACGGGAGAAATGGAAGCTAGCATTGCTTCAGTCTGACGTGGCTCATCACGACGACAGACGAAGCCTGAAGCGTCGCCTAATCGAGGAAGGAGATACTGACAAATTCATCCCGGTTGCTACTACGCCGTATGCCGCAAGGTTCAATCCCTGCACGCACGGGTCCAAAGGATTCGAAAGAAATTTTCTTCGCGTCCCAGAGGTTTACTTTTCCAAGCGACGATATCAGCATCAAGGTGAAACTGATGAAGTAAAACCACCGGAGCACCTACTGTAGCAGTATGAAACCGCCCACGAGCCATGGTTCAGCCGGCAGGACCTGTTTGGCTGGGAGGCGATGGATATCGGGATGAAACCCAAGTCGTGGAAGAGAGAAAGACAGAGAAAGGAAAATGCCGTGACGAAAGACGTCCCGTGCAAGTGGGCCCGTGACCCGCGCTGGCGCTTTCCCGCTCGCTTATCGAGATTCCATAGTGCAGATCGCCTCCATCGGGAAAGGCGCGTGGTTTTGGCCTGGAAGAGTTCCGGTACGACTGTATTCCGGTATGTATGTATGTACGTATGTATGTATGGTATGTATGAAATGTACTGCTGGTAACATCGTACTCGTGCTCTGTCCGCCACAGGCAAATGGTCCATGCCCACGACTCCAGCGACACCAACAGGCGTCTCTTGCGAGGGATCTCGGTTCCACTCAGACTCTCCCGATCCACCTAAACCTTCTCCCGTCCCAGATGTGCGGCGAGGCTCATAAATCGTGATTGTCACGAACTATCCCTCCTGAGCTCGTAGTTCCGATCATCTCCGGCGAAGATCCCAGAATATACGCCCTCTGATTGATGCCCTGACATCCTTGCCAGAAACTCTCCTGCCAGCCCGTGTCCACTGTTCCGTCTCTCTGGTTTCTCGCGAGGGCTGGCTGAATCCATTTTCCCACCGCAGACGTATCAGATCGGACGGGAGATGGCCGTGCGGTGAACAATCCGGTGCGTAGCGCATGGAGACGCCCCAAATTTCGACGCCGTAAGGTTGATAAAATTTCTCAGATGTGTGGAAGATGTGGTCAGAGCTACGGAGTTTCCGTTTCGAGATTAAGGGGGAGGAGAGCGAGCACAGACGAGCTGTAGAACTGAGAACTATTTGATAGAAACAAGGTTTGGTACCTGTCGGCGAACCATATTTATATCGAGGCCGGTCTCGGACATCAGCTTCAGATTCTGTGATACTTCTCTCCAAGCCTTTTCCATATTTAATATCCTATACCTTCTCTTGTCTCTCAAAAGTTTTCAGCATCTTCTCTATTTTCTAATATTTCCTAATATTCTCATACACATCAAAATGCCTAGCGTTTCTACCTCCTCTGTCCCTCTGGACCCTACCAACGTCGACCTTCTCCGGAAGAAGTTGGCTGAGGACGTTCGCAGTATGTATTCATGCATTCTAGGACAGGACTCCCACCCTACAGATCATATACTGACTGCATCCTATCCTAGTCGAGAAATACTCCCCTCTTGCCCCTCCCGAGTTGATCCAGTACGAGATCGGTCTGTCTGCCAACTCCCTCCTCACCGTGCTCAACAGCCGCGTTGAGGCCCGTCACATCATCCGCCGTCAATCGGACCGTCTCCTGGTCCTGGTCGGCCCCTGCAGTATCCACGACCCCGAGACGGCGCTCGAGTACGCTCAGCGTCTGCGCGTCCTCGCCGAGGAACTCAAGGATGACCTCTGCATCATCATGCGGGCCTACCTCGAGAAGCCCCGGACCACGGTCGGCTGGAAGGGACTGATCAACGACCCGGACGTCGACGACTCCTACAACATCAACAAGGGCGTCAAGATCGCCCGTCAGCTGCTCGCCGACATCACGGACCTCGGTGTCCCCGTCGCCTGCGAGATGCTCGACACCATCTCCCCCCAGTACACGGCCGACCTGATCAGTGTCGGCGCCGTGGGCGCCCGCACCACCGAGTCCCAGCTCCACCGCGAGCTGGCCTCCGGTCTGTCGTTCCCCGTCGGCTTCAAGAACGCCACCGACGGCTCTGTCGGCACCGCCGTCGACTCGCTCAAGTCCATGCGTGGCCGCCACCACTTCATGGGCACCACCAAGCAGGGCCTCATTGCCATCACCACCACCAAGGGCAACGAGGACGGCTATGTCATCCACCGTGGTGGCAGCCGCGGCACCAACTTCGACGCCGACAGCGTCAAGGCCACCAAGGAGCTGCTTCGCTCGAAGGGCGAGCGCGACGTTCTCATGATCGATTGCTCTCACGGTACGTTCCCTTTACCTTTTTGTTTCTTTTTTTTTTTTTTCTTTTTCCTTCCCGCCGATGGCGCGCGGAAACATTTCCCGTTAGCGTCAGCGGCAGTTATTAGCGCGGGCGCCACCACGCGGCCCCAACAAAAACAAACCATCAGGACCCTGCAGCTAACAGACCCAACCAGGCAACTCGTCCAAGAACCACCGCAACCAGCCCAAGGTGCTCAAGACGATCGAGGACCAGCTGCGTCAGGGTGAGGACGGCATCATCGGCGTGATGGTGGAGTCGAACATCCGCGAGGGCAACCAGAAGGCCACGGCTCGTCTGGAGGGCTGCGAGAAGGGCGTCAGTATCACCGATGCCTGCATTGACTGGGAGACCACCGAGACGTCGCTGCGTTCTCTGGCCGACTCGGTCCGTGAGCGTCGTGCTCGTGCCTCGATTGGCAAGCAATAGGGGATTTTTCTTTTGTTTTGGGGAATTGGCGCAGGTGTATTTCGGTCTTTGAGTATCTTAATAATTAGTTAATATCCATAATCCAAAAGTTAGTGAATCAACAGTTGTGCAGATAATATTTTGGGCTTGTTGTGTGTGATTGTACCAGTAAAGTACCTGAAGCAAGGGCTAGGCGTAGTGCGTCCCTCTGAATATATATTTCGAACGACCGGGTAGTTCCAATTCCGCCGGATACCCCCCGTCTGCATAAGTTATGAAGGGGTAACCGCTTTTCCGGACCTGAAAGTCAAATTTCCATTATTAATGTTTCCATGTTCTCTGGTTCCTTTGCCTTGGCAGGAAAACAAGGAATTGTACGTCAGAGTGGACAGTTGGTTGTGCTGTCGAAATTACCTGCAAAATAGATTAACTGCAGCAAAGGATCGATAAGGTTCTTGGGCAGACCCTGCATAAAATGCACAGTTAGGTTACATAAGCAGCACAACGCTTCATAGTAAATACCGATTCTAAACTACCGAGTATCGACTGTGAAGTATATTCAAAATATTGTCAAGGTGAAAGACTACTGCCCTACAGTATTTCTACAAAAATACAAAAGTCACAGAATAGAAAAGCTTGAAGCACTAAAAGTGGATAAAGCCAAGAAAATCGACCATCACACAAATCCAATTTCTCACGGTCTGTATAACCCCCGCATGGTCCTCGGGGACAACCCTCTCCGAACAACGCCAATGCAGGCATAACTTAAGCTCAGACTGGAGCCTGGCTGGCATCAAACCTGCTTGCTCCTCATCCACCTGTCACTTCGCCGCAACTCTATCGGAAACGATCAGCCGGGTCTTTTTAGTTTGCTCCTCCCCACTAGGAGGAGGGGTTCGTCTGGGACTCTGGAACGTACCGCGATCGATGGCGTTTCGATCTAGCAGAACCGCAGCAGCGAGATGTTGTTGTTCACCTCGCCGTCATTGACGGGATCGACGTTGCCGTCCTCGGTGATGGGGTCGGCGCGCTATCCGCTTAGTTTCGTTCTGTGGAGGGGTATTGAGAGTGGACTTACCTTTTTGTTTTTCTGTGTGGAACTGCCTTAGCAGGGTGAGGTTGTTGGCGATGGAGGTGACTTACACACTGGGTTTGTTAGCACTCATCAGACATAGGTTATGTTGGAGGGGAACGTACAAACTAGGTATATTCAAAGAGCCTTCGTTCAGTTATTCACCTTCAACTTCGGGAGAAGTCACTTACGCTCTGTATCAATTAGCATATGCAGTGCAAGGTCAAGGTCAATACATACCAACTGTGTTTCCAGAACAGATCAACTGTCAGATCCTACCAAGCTTCAAAACCCTGGACCCATAGGCAATAAACTTACAAGCTGTGATCTGTTAGTGCCATTGACCAGTCAAAAGGATAAGATAGACTTACGGCCTAGTTCAAGCATTAATCACAAACTCAGTTAATGTAATCGGGGTAAACGAATAGGCGAAGTACTCACGACCTGACAAGGCGGGTTAGACAGTGGGCTCAGAGTAGTGGGGATGACTTACATTCTGAGGCTGGAGTTAGTATTTCATGCTGCATTACTGCATTAACGGACCGAGAGAAATCCGAAGGGGCTTACATTCTGGATAGGGTTAGTGTTATCAGACCAAGGAAGGGGTGAGGATTGTTTGGAACTCACGTTCTGATTTGGAAAGACAAGTGCTCGTCAGTGGAGCTCAGGGATCATTTTGTCAATGTTATTAAATCAGGGTCTCACGTACCACCTGTCAGATGTTAGATATGATTCCATGACCAGGATTGAGGTGAACTTACAGTCTATCAGGAGATAGAACATGCTATGATTAGTACTGTATAGACAAACCATGACCGATTGAAACACTCACGCCCTGTCCCGGTTAGCACGGCAGAGCCAGACTCGGACAAGACATCATACATTCTGTCAGACGACGAGTTAGCATCAAACACCCAACCAGACATGCCAAGACTTACATTCTGATAACCCAAACCAAACCATGTCAGCAAGCATAACCTTCATGTCAACAGCACTATCCACAGGAATAATTCATACAACCTGACACCGATTAGCATCCGATCATCGATAGTCAATGGGTCGAGCCACGACCCGGAACCTTACAGGCTATGGTAATCGCCACGTTTCCAGACATTAGCACTATTGAACCCAGTACATCAAACCAAGTCACAGGTGGGTGTTCCACATACAGACTAGAAACGCACCGAGTCAGCATCCAGACTACCTACTCCGAAGTAAACAACAATCAACAGGAACAGCCGTGCTATCCGGCCAGAGGGAGGATCGACTCACCACATCACCGCTCTGTTCAGGCAAGGATGAGCAACGTCAGCGAAATGGCACATTGCCGAGCACCGCGACCCATCGTCCCAGAGTCCATAGTTACCTGAGTAAGTTGTTCCTTCGAGATGAGTGGGGAAGTCGGAAGGGAGAACAGAGGCGCTCCAAGACATCCGACGACCAGCGCCGCCGACAACGAGAGGAACCGCATATCGAGATTATGCAATAGGAAAGAAGGACAGGAGGAAACGAAGGTGAAAAGTGGGAATTGAGAGAATTGATCTGCTCGGAGGCAAATAATAAAAAAAACAGGAAAAAAAAAAAGAGGGGCTTGGGTGGGAGTGTGGTGAAGGAGAGAAGAAACAGAAGATGTCGAGCAGGGAGGAAGAGGAAGGCGAAAAGGACAGATTCAGGGGAGAAAGTCAAAAAATCTATTTTTTCCCACGGGTGGGATCCATTCTGATGACGATCACGAACCTTGGGATTAGAGCCTGGCTTGGCGTGGGCCGTGGGAACGTGGACGGAAGGATCTGATCATGCAGTGGAGCGATGAGGATGAGCCGATGAGGTGATCCGGTCGCGGTACACAGACGGTACGCCCGTATGGCCCGTACATTACGTGCGATACCGCCATTACGCGGTGGACATCCGAAGGTTCGGAATGCCCTCATCATTGCCCGTTCGGGGTTAATGCTTGGGCCAAGCGGTGGGTTCCGCCCAAACTCACGGCGCCAGGGCCCGGAAATATTTTGACATCATCATGATCCAGTGAGAGCTTTTCCCAGGAACCTTCCCACGGAGGAATAATTTGAGTTCAATATTAGGGGACATGCCATGGTCCGGATAACGTTGCTATGATATCGAGCATAGAGCGTTGAGTCTAAATCCGCCAGGAAACGGGAAAAAGAAAACAAGATGCAGCCATCAGAATTTGTCACTTTCCCTGCCTTGTCTCACCAATCCCCCGTGCGAGGGAGCAGACCCGCCGATGTACTTACTAAAGATGTAGATCTTAGAGCCTACGGGAAGGTGGATACGCGCTCTAGTTGCGGAATTGTCGAAGAACCCTGGCAAAGTTGGCGCAAGCTGGAGCATCAGCTAAACCCAGCTTGACCTGACTCGTACCTCAACAGAGGCCAGCTGTTCTGTGGATCCACGCAGAACCATGGTCTGTCCCGTTCCCGCCGGCTTCAAACTCGGGTGGAGTCGGCTTTTCAAATGTCCCAAACAAGTAAAATCCACTAGGTTGATTTGTCTGGTACGATTCCCTTGTTTGAAGTTCTCTGAAGATCTATATTTAAAGAAACCACAACTTAGTTGGTCTCGGGCTGATTGAAGGTTCACCACATTGGCCCAACACAGAGAAATAGATCACCAGAACTATTGGTCGATTAACAACTCACATTATCAAGTAAAAAGTAAAGAAAAGTTCTATCCGTCTATATACACAGAAATCTAAGTCTAAATCTATTTACGCAAGAATGACCTCACCTCCCACCCCTTTTAGTAAAACATCCACCCAACCTTGTAGAATGGCAAAAGTCCAACCCAAATCACTAATTCAAAAACGCCTCCCGGCCATACTTCGCCGCCAGCACGGCAATCCCAACCCCCAGGCCGTAGACCGCAACCCGGCCCAAAAACCTGGCGAACGACGACTGGACGACGGAGCGCACCTTCTTCTGAAAGATGGTGCCCTCGTTGGCCCGCGGGAACGGCGTGTCAGGGATAGGCTTGCCCAGGAACTCGCACAGCGGCGCCCATCCCTCCTTGGGGTTCCATTCGAGGAGGTTGTCAGCGGGCACGACGCGACGCACATGGTCGTAGTGGTCGAGGAAGGCCTGCTTGCCGTTCTTTTCGAAGTCGCCGCCGAAGAACCCGTCGAAGCCCATGCGCACCATGCGGTTGCCGATACCGAACACGTTCGGGTCGATCCAGCCCAGCAGCGTCGCCAGCGGGCTGTAGGTGCGGCGCATAATGGTGTTCTGCATCGAGACGTACCAGTCATCGACGTCGCGCAGTGTCAGCACCACCTTGGCGTCCGGGTAGGCGGTGGTTAGCTCCTCGACGAAGACGGCGCCGGGGAAGTCGGTCGTCGCTTCGACGTGGCCCAGCAGCTGGTCCCATTCCTTCCGGGTGAAGGGCGTCCCGTTGTGGTATTTCCCGCGGAATGCGTCAGCCCACATGTTGGCGTCTTGGGGGTTCTGCATGATCGATGTCATGTGGTACGTGTCGTAGCCTAATTGCTGGAGGGCGAGCCATGTTGCTGTGTGCGTGCAAGGGGCGGGTTAGTGGATTGGTTGGGTGGTTGGGCTGGTGTTTGAGAGAGGAGAAGGATTGAGGGGGAGGAGGGGGCCAACTGACAGAGAGTCCCCGTGCGACAAAGACCCAAAACAAGGACTTGCATCGGCTTGACGCGGTGGCATGTCCGCCGGTCGATGTTCTGCGTTTGCGTGACCACCTCGACAGCTTGCATGATGTTGGTTGTAGCTTGCAGATCGGGTTTGGAGAGGATTGTGCTGCAGCTGAGGCATCCAAGCGCGCTGTCCTACTACTTATGATCTTGTTTACAGTGATCATCTCTATATCCATTCCGATAATAATACTATAATCCCCACGCAGTCAACAGAATAAAATTGTGCATGGCTTGGCAGCCCTTCCTCGCGAAGCCTCCGCCATGGCACTGGTCGACTAGATGTCCGCGGATACCCGGTCGGGGGTATCGGCACCATGAATGGAGCAAGCAGAAGTCAATTCGCCATCTGAAAAACTCTGCATTGGCGGTGCATGTGTAAAAGAAATTATAATAGACAGGGGTAAAGCGCAGTCTGGCGTCCGGTGTGCCTGGTAGACCACTGTGCAATGCCGAAATCAAGTACCTTTTTCCCCTGGCTGGTTGGGGCTTACTTATTCTTGCTATTGCTTGTGTCTGTATGGCCGGTCCATCCGGAAAGCTCTGGGCCTCGACCCGCTCGCCGTGGTTCAATGAGAAGAAAGCGGGTCCTGTGGATGAGGTTCCGATCTAGATCCGAATTTTATCCTTCCTGTTCCTGAGTCCACAATTGGAACATTTTTGGGACGGGGGATTTTCAATTGAGGTATTTGGGATATAATGCAAAAGCATGTTAAAAGTGAGGCAGGAGTGTGCGATAAATGAGACAGATAGGACGGAATGTGAGTTCTCTGGCGGTTGCTGTGCAAAACAGCAGGACTGCGTCAGTAGCAGCTGTGCGGTCAATGCCGATAGTTCGGCAATTAGCGTGCGTCTGCAGCAGGTTTTAAAAAAAGACGCGGAGCTCCAGGAAAGTTCCTGAGAGCCAACCAATTGAGCCGCTGCGCGCTAAAAGTGCCGATCAGCCCCATCGACAGAGCTAATCTGATCGGGTATCGAATCCTCTGTAATACGCCGTCATGACGAGCAACCTAAAACCGTTACCGTCTTGTTACCCAGACATCGAGTTTGATATCGTAAATAACCAAAGATGGATATCCAGCACATCGTGAGTTCCACCCTGGTCTAACACGCTAAATGGCCCGCTGGGGCATCTGGATGAGAACTAGTTTATGGGGATACGCCCAGTGGTGTGAAAGCTAGACGTCGTGGATCATACTCCAGCGATGGAACAAAATTCCTTCAGGTCGATCCCAGGTCCTTAGAGGGTCGGGTCGGATGGATGGCTGAATCGGGGAATCGGGTCTCAAGGAGAAACAAACGCGATCTGGTACCGAATTTCCAGGCGATCGGAAAAGCTAGCCTTAGGAGTTTCTGATCTGAATGTCAGTCTTTTTCCACTTTTTTCATATGAATCAGAAACAAAAAGTCAAAAAGTTTTTGGCCTTTGACATTTCTCGGCCTGACTGCCGTTTGCCTTCTCTCATTCTCTTTGCCTTCGCGTCGCTCATTCTTTCGTTCTGTGTAAACCCCCATATGTAATACTATTGAAGCCTTTATACTTAATATTCTTTTTCTTTGAGCCGCCGTTTTTGAGAGAGCAACCATGTTGCAGGTCGTGTCTGATATTGATGCCGCTCCGTGTCATTTCCCTACGGAGAGTCTGGGGAATGATGATGTGCGAGGCTTCAAGTCGATCCCGGTCGCTCTAGGCTCCCTTTCGACGCCTGTCTCCAGCGATGCCTTGCTGAGGGCTTGGGCTGTGGTCCTCCGTTACTATGCTGGAAGTGATATCATCTGCTTCGGTCGGGTCGACGACACCACCGACCCTTCGTCGCGCTTTGCTCTGTGCCATGGCGACATTCCCATCGACACTCCCCTTGAAGCGATTCAGGCTTCGACATCCGAGCTCGTGGGTGAGTCGTCGACATCCGCGTCGCTTGGACAATGGATGGAATCGAAAGCTTCCATCAACACTCTCGTGTGGAACTGCTTGGATCAGGTATCCGAGTCGCAATTGCAAGATCTGCAATCCACTCAGGTATGATGACATCCTTCCCCAGGTTCTGATGTCAAGTCATAATAACTCACTTGCTTCTCTGTTCAGGGCTCCCTTGCCGTCATCCTCTCCTCCAACCCCGAACAACAGGCCACTCTGGCCTACGCATCACATACTATAGGTGACACCATCGCTTCGTCAGTAGCAGAGGCATTGGCCCGTGTGGTGAATGCTATCGTCGACGAACCTCAAACCCCTATCGGGGAGCTGGACCTCTTCGGTCCATCCTCGTGGAACCAGATCCATGAATGGAACAACACCGTTCCGGACATGTTCGAGGCCTGCCTTCACGAGCTGATCGACGAGAGGGCTACCACACGCCCCGACTCCACGGCTCTGGAATGCTGGGATGGCTCGGTCTCGTACTCGCAGCTGGTAGACTATACCTCTCGGCTGGGTAACTTCCTTATCTCCCAGAACATCGGGCCGGAAGTCTTCGTCCCCGTCTGTTTCGACAAGTCCCTGTGGGCCGTAGTATCGATGCTGGGTGTTCTCAAGGCCGGCGGAGCTTTCGTGTGTATTGACCCGGCACAGCCCATAGACCGTTTGAGCACCATCATAGAAGAACTAGATGCGAAGATCGCCTTGGCTGCGCCAGAGCACTGCGCCAAGCTGGCCGATGCCCTCCCCCAAGCCATCGCCGTCGATGCAACCTTCATCCGTCAACTTCCCCCTTGTGCCGAACTCCCTCGTCGCGCCTCGCCCCGTGATGCCGCTTATGCCATCTTCACCTCTGGCAGTACTGGCAAGCCAAAGGGTATCGTGCAGGAACACCGGGCCGTTTGCTCCAGTGCAAAAGAACATGCCAGCCGGCTGAACATCACCCCCGAAACCCGAACGTTCCAGTTCGCCGCATACACCTTCATCGTCAACACATTCGAGCTCTTCACGCCCCTCGTGGAGGGTGGCTGCGTCTGCGTGCCCTCCAAGGAGGACCGACTCGGCCGCACCACCGGAGCCATGCGCGATCTGCGCGCGAACTGGGCCTGTCTGACCCCCTCCTTCCTCCGATCCCTCAAGCCCGGCGATCTGCCCGATCTGAAGACTCTCCTGTTGGCTGGAGAGCCGGTTCAACAAGATAACCTCGATACCTGGCGCAGCCGCGTGCAGATGCTGAACATGTACGGTGCCAGTGAGGCGTCCGTCTGCGTGACGGGTGATCTCTCGGGCCCCGTTGGGCGATCGACCATCGGTCGGGGTGTTGGTGTTTGCACCTGGGTTGCCGACGTTACAGACCATGACCGTCTGGCCCCTATCGGTGCGATCGGAGAGTTGGTCGTGGAAGGGCCTGTCCTCGCCCGGGAATATATCCACCAGCCGGACAAGACGGCTGCTGCTTTCATTGCGGACACTCCGTGGTTGAAGAACATCCGTGGTGAACCCCCGTATCGGGCATACAAGACCGGTGACCTTGTCCGATATGGATCCGATGGCCGAATCAACCTTGTCGGGCGTAAAGACATGCAGGTCAAACTGCGTGGCCAGCGTATCGAGCTGGAAGAGGTCGAGTTCCATCTGCGTCAGACTCTTCCCCGGGGCCTTGAGATCTCGGTCGGTTTGGTCAGGCCCAGCGATCAGCCTGACCGGCCGTTCCTTGCTGCGTTCGTTGCCTTGAGCAAGGGATTTGCCGATGGCTTCCACCTGGTCGATCCGGAGTCTGCCGAGAAGATCGAGTCGCTGACGGTTGACTGGAAGAGCCTTGCCGCCCAGGCCCTTCCTGGATACATGATCCCGTCTACGCTCGTCAAATTGAAGCACATGCCGCTCACGGCGTCCGGCAAGACGAACCGGAAGGCCTTGACAGACTTTGCCTCGCAGCTCACACTGGCGTCTCTGTCAGGTGTCACCAAGGGCGAACGCAAGGAGCCCGCCACCGCCACTGGACAAGTGCTGCGCAAGATGTGGGCCGAGGTGCTGGAGATCTCGGAAGAGACGATCTCCGCCGATGACAGCTTCCTGCAGATTGGCGGTAACTCCATCGACGCGATGAAGCTTGTGAACGTGGCCAGAGACGGAGGCATCGGCCTCAGCGTGGCGGGAATCTTCACGCACCCGAGACTGGACGAGATGGCCGAGGCCTCTTCTACGATGGAGGAGCTGGAGTTCGAAGACGTTCCGTTCTCACTACTTCCAGAGGGAGCCAGTGGAGAAGAGCTGGTTGGAATGGCCGCGGACCAATGCGGCGTCGAGAAATCGGCCATCGAGGACCTTTACCCCTGTACGGCCTTGCAGGCTGGATTGCTTGCGCTGTCAGACAGCCGGGGCGGTGCCTACGTTGCGCAGCACAGTTTGAAGCTGCCAGCCGCTAGCGTCGACATCGGAAAGTTCAAGCAAGCTTGCCAGCAGGTGGTGACGGCGCACCCGATCCTTAGAACTCGCATTATCTACCCTCCCGAGTTCACCGCACTGCAGGCGGTCCTCCTGGGCGACATCGACTGGCGGTCGGCTGACACTCTCGAAGAATATCTTGAAACCGACAAACAGCAGCCTATGAAGGCAGGCGATGCTCTCACGCGATATGGCCTCGTTCCCGACGGTGATGGCTGGACCTTCGTGTGGACAGTGCATCATGCCGTCTACGATGCGTGGACACTGGAGTTGGTCTTTGACCGCATCGACAAGACATACAAGGGTCAGGCCCCTGAAAAAGACACCACCTTCAAACAGTTCATGAGCTACGTCGTCAACACCGACAATGAGGCTGCCGACGAGTACTGGAAGCAGTACCTGAAGGGTGCCGTCCGCACCGAATTTCCCTGCGTTGTCTCGATCGCGAAGCAGCCTGTTGCCGATGCCTCTGTGCACCGTGAGATGAAGCTCAACCGACCGGAGCAAGTGTCCGGCATCACCATGCCGTCTATGATCCGCGCCGCCTGGGGCATGATCGTTGGATCCCACTCGGAATCTGACGACGTTGTCTTCGGAACCATCGTCTCTGGACGCAATGCGCCTGTCCCTGACGTGGACCGTCTCGTTGGACCGGGTATCGCTGCCGTGCCCGTGCGCGTCAAGGTCCCCGAGTCTGACTCTGTGACCGTCTTCGACTTTGTTCGCGGCGTGCAGTCGGAGGCCACGACGATGATCGAGTTCGAGCAGACCGGTCTTCAGAACATTGGCCGTCTCAGCTCGGACGCCAACTCCGCCTGCGATTTCCAGACCTTGCTGGTCGTGCAGCCGGCCAAGGAGAAGGCCGCCGTCCTCGAGGAGCCGGATCTGCGCAACGTGTCCGACGCCGACGCCAACTTCGGTACTTACGCTCTTACCTTGGAGTGCAGTCTCAAGGCCGACGGGGTATCCTGCGCCGCTCACTACGACTCGGACCTGATTTCCGAAGACTACGTCGAGCGTGTCCTTGGTCAACTTGAGCACCTTCTCGACCAGATGTGCTCCTCGTCCGACGACAAGAAGATGGGCGACGTAGTCTTGCTCGGTCCTCAGGACCTAGCCAACATCCGCGAGTGGAACCAGGATATTCCGGGTCGCATGGACCGGACCATCCACGAGATCATCGGTGACCGTATCGCCGAGCGCCCCGACCACGAAGCCGTTTGCTCGTGGGACGGATCCTTCACGTACGCCGAGCTAGACCAGCATGCAGCCCGTCTGGCCCGCCGTCTCGCGCAGTCCAACGTTGGTCCCGAGGTGTTCGTTCCTTGCTGTTTCGAGAAGAGCCGGTGGGCCCCGGTGGCCATGCTGGCCGTGTTGCGAGCTGGCGGTGCCTTCTTGAACATCGATCCCTCGCAGCCGCAGAACCGCATTCAGCTCATGATCCAGAAATTGAAGGCTAGGACCATCGTCTGCTCGCCTCAGCAATACGAGCTGTGCGCCTCGTTGGGCGATGACTACGACGTCGTGGTCCTCGACGAGCAAACCCCAGAGCAAGAAATTCCCGAGACCGCTCCTGTGAACCCCGTTGGTCCCGAGAACGCAGCCTACGTTATCTTCACCTCTGGAAGTACTGGAGAGCCCAAGGGCACGATCATCCAGCACGGATCGTACTGTTCCGGATCGACCTCCCACGCACCGGCGATGCTGATGGATCGCAACACACGAGCCCTTCAATTTGCGTCCTTCACTTTCGATGCAAGCCTGGTCGAGATTCTCACCGTGCTCGTCATCGGCGGTACGGTGTGCTTCGCGTCGGAGGAGCAACGCAAGCGAGATGTGACCGAGGCCGTCCGGACGCTCAATGCGAACTGGGCCGCCCTCACGCCGTCCTTTATCAACCTGATCAACCCCGACGATGTTCCCACGCTCAAGGTTCTGGTCCTGGCGGGTGAGGCCATGTCGCAATCCCACCTGGATACCTGGGCTCATCGCGTGCGACTTGTCAACGGGTACGGTCCCAGCGAGTGCTGCGTGGCCAGTACGTCCAACTGGGACCTGACGGTTAATTCGAGCCCGCGCAACATCGGCCGCGCCTGCTCTGGTGCGTCGTGGGTTGTGATGCCCAACAACCACCACCGTCTGGTGCCCGTGGGAAGCGTTGGAGAACTGGTGATGGAAGGATGGAACGTCGGCCGGGGTTATCTGAACGAGCCTGAGAAGACCCAGGCCGCTTTCGTCGAGAACCCTAGGTGGCTCGACCCAACCGATGACACCCGCCCGCCGGTGGTCTACAAGACTGGTGACCTCGTCCGTTACAACCCAGACGGCACTCTGCGATTCGAGCGTCGTAAGGATACGCAGGTCAAGCTGCGTGGTCAGCGTGTGGAGCTAGGCGAGATCGAATACCGGATCAAGCAGAGCCTGCCTAACAAGCCCGATGCCGTCGTCGACATCGTTTCCGCCAAGGACGCCGTCGATCAGCCTCGCCTGGTGGCCTTCCTCCCCATTTCGCGTGAGGACGCCATGGAAACCCCGGTGGATGTGGATGCGATCATTCCGCCACCGGATGAGCAACACGTTGCCGCGCTGTCCGGTCTCGAGGACCGTATGGCCGATTTCCTCCCCATGCACATGATCCCCAACACCTACCTGCCCGTGTACTACATCCCCAAGCTGCCCTCCGGCAAGGCGGACCGCAAGACCTTGAAACGCGTCGGTGGCCAACTGACTCACCGAGAGATGGCCCAATACTCCGGTACCACAGAGGAGGCGCGTCCGCCCACCACCGAGATGCAGCATACTCTGCAGCAGCTGTGGGGCGAGTGTCTGAAGATGCCTGCGGCCCAGATCAGTCTCAACGACAACTTCATCAGATTGGGCGGAGACTCCATCACTGCTATGCGTCTCGCCTCCGCCGCTCGGTCCCGCGACATCCCTCTCTCTACGGCCTCCGTCTTCCAGCACCCTACCCTGGAGGCGATGAGTGCCGTCGCCGAGACCCTGACGCAGCAGAAGCTGCCCCAGACCTTCCAGCCGTTCTCGAGCGTCAAGTCCATTCCCAAAGACAAGCTTCTGGATGACATCGTGCTGCCCCAGGTCGGGGTGCCGGCGTTCCAGGTCGAGGACGTCGTGGAGGCGACGGACTTCCAGTCGCTCGCGATCAACGGCGGTCTGAACCAGACCCGCGGCTGGAGCAACTACCTCGTGTTCGACTTCAACGGTCCCATTGACCTTCGCCGACTGCAGAATGCCTGCGACAAGTTGGTTGCACAGCACGCGGTCCTCCGCACTGTGTTCGTCACCACCGGATCCCAGCTGCTGCAGGTCATCCTGCGATCGTGCACGCCCGAGGTCACCTTCCACGTTCAAGACGATGAGGATCCCTCGGAGGCGCTTGTGCGAGACGATCTTGCTCGTACCCCCCGCCTCGGCGAGCCCATCGTACGTTTCATGGTGGTCAAGAACGGCGCTGTCAAGCACCGCGTCATCATGCGCGTGTCCCACGCCCAGTACGACGGCTCGTCGATGCCGCTGCTCATGCAGGACCTCGGCACGGCGTACAAGGGCGAGGACCTCATCCCGCGACCGCAATTCTCCGACTTTGTGCGCATGCAGCTGCACACCAGCGACGGGGCCGAGGCCTTCTACAAGGACATGCTGGCCGGATCGAATATGACGCAGCTGGTCTCGCACTCCAAGATGTCGACCACCAACGTTCTGAACACCATGATCGTCGAGATGGTCCCGCTGATCGCCTTCAAGGACCACGGCATCACCCCGGCCACCGTGGTCAAGGCCGCCTGGGCAATGACCCTTGCGGAGATGGCCTGCACCTCGGACGTGGTGTACGGCCACATGGTTTCAGGTCGCAACCTGCCGCTCAACGGCGTCGAGTCCGTCATGGGTCCTTGTCTCAACATCGTCCCCGTGCGAGCCAACATGGCGACCATGGCGACCGTGCAGGAGCTGCTGCAGCTGATCCAGCAGCAGCAGACCGACACCATTCCACACGAGAGTCTCGGCTTCCGACAGATCATCGACCAGTGCACTAACTGGTCCAAGGAGACGCGTTTCAGCACCGTGTTCCAGTACCAGGAGTTCGGCGGCGAAGACGTCACCCAGCCCATCACCATGGAAGGCAAGACCACCGTGGTGCCTGGATTCATCTGCCCCTCGCCGGACGCCTGCGACATGTCCATCCTGGCGACTCCGGTTGGTGAGCAGGTGCGAATTGAGATGATTTTCTCGACTCACGCCATGACGCGATCGTTCGCGGACGCCACGCTGCAGAAGCTCGCGGCGAGGATCAAGGAGATCGCGCGCACGGGCGTCGCGGGAAGAATGCCATCATTTGTGGGCGAGCCTCAGATTCCTTTGCCGGAGCCTGGCCGTCGCATGACGAATGGAGTCAACGGGATTGTTGGACGGATTGTCAACGGCATCAACGCGCAGAACGGAGTGAACGGGGTCAATGGAAATGAAGTGAACGGAGTCCACGACGCGGAAATGCCGCCGGAGGAGTCGTATCACGTGAACCTGCTGGCCTCGGTGCCTCTCTAAAAGTGTATTCTAATCTGTTGGGTTGTGTATTGAGGAGTTATTGGTCTTGCATATAATCAATAATACCATTTCTGATTCTATTCAATAATTCTTCGTGGGTGTGAACTATTTGACTCGATTTTAACCTGAAGTCAGCTGCCTCAGGCAAGATCCCATGCAAGGACGAGGACTGTTATAATCCATAAATATTATCCTTCAATTTCAACTTTCAAGTACTTCCACGCAGTCGGTACAGTTGAGACTAGTTAGAAAGCCGTATCGAATCAAGTTCAAAGAATGTTTTGCTTGAATTGCTGTATTACGGGGTTTACTGCCTTCTACGGGTTACATCGTAAGCTGAAATATGCTGTACAACAGAAGTAGCCAGCCTGAAAGATAAGTGAGAAATAAGTAAGGCTGGAGGCTCTTATATATCTTCTCATAGCTACGAAAAGAGGAGATCGATGGATTAGTTCTGAACTTAAAATGCAACAAAGATTTGTGATTTTAAACTGGTATCCATATCCAAATCGGGTGTGGCTCTCAGTGGCCTGCCTGACGGTCGAATGTTTGCTTAAATCATTCGATTCGACCAGTAGGATCGCTCATCACCTGAAGCCTCCTGCCCAGAGGCTTCATCATCAGATGCTAGGCGTGTAGGCTTGTCCGGGATTGCTTTAAAATGCCCCAGTACTAGCGGTCGCAGCAGTATTCATTCTTTCGGAGTGTCTCTTCCTGTCATCCTAGTCCTTTATATAACAAACACTAAGGAATGGAGCAAGATAGAGCGAATAGAGTTAGGTATGATCCAAGAGAAGCCACATAAGCCATTATCAGTAGAAGCTGGCATAATTAGACATTTGGTCATCCCAAGCCACGTCGAAATCAGTAAATGACGGGTGGGTCGGACATGTCGGGACGTTGATATTGAGGAAGTTCCCCAGGAGATCATCAATATCGTCAAAAGCAGCGTTTCCCGACGGATAACCAAATGTATCGTGTCCAATGTCTGCAAAATCGACTGGCAGTTGGCTTCTGGGACCTGTCCCGTTCAACGGGCTATCGACGTTCTCCGAAGCCGTCAAGTCAGACGACAGCGCCGGAGTGCTGATGTATTCGGCGATCGTGGGATCAGAAGGCCGCCTCCTGCGGGGCTGCTCTGGCAATATTTGGTCATTTGTTCTGTCAGTGGTGCGTTGAATCTCATGCAATACGCGCCGGCCGAGTCGAGTCATGACCTGAGCTGACCACCATGTCGGGGATAAGGCTTCAAGACTCTTGTACAAAGCGCGCACGTGGTGTTTCGCTGTATCCTGCGTGCTGAGGAGTTGACAGCGCTGGATTTGTTTGTACGCGACCGAGAAACTCAATGATATGGCGTAGGGAATGATTGGTAGCGGTAAGAGCTGTGATACTTCGTGGATTTGAATCAAGGACACTATGCGATAGACGGACAGATCCTGCCTGAGATACAAGGTGTCCGATTTGGGTTGATCCTTAAGCACCCATGGCCGTGAGGCTAGAAGGGCAATTGCATGATATACAAGTTCAAGTGATACTTAGAGAGTTAGAGAGCTTTCACTTCTACCTCAGAGGATCACTTACATATCGTATCTAGTGGAACGTCCCACGCCTCGCATTTATCCACTACATCCTCGAATCGCGGGATTTCTGGCTTGTTAGAATCAATTGGACCTTCCAAAGCTGGCCGGTAGACTACGAAAACGTCAGCTAGCGCGGAGGCTAAACTGAGGAGGACACGGAATGGAGCTTCAAAAAGCGGAAGTATGTCCGCCAGCTGCTGGCCCAAGTCCCTGTCATGAATGACGAGTGGTCTACCCTGTATCGCAGCGTTATATCGGTCAAGGGCCCACAAACACCAGAATAGCGCGATCGCAGGTTTTTTATCCTGCACCGGACCGGGACTTGTGAGGTGGAGTCCCATGGTGTGCGCGTGATGGATGGCTTGCGTCAAGTACAAGGAAGCGTCCTCGAAACTTCTGGGCCCCGGGACATGGAGTGAGAGAAGGGCAAGAATTTGGATTAGCGTGACCCTCCTCCTCTCAAGTTTCAGTGAGTTTGCCTGGTTTAGCTCGTCATAAAGCAAATTGCTGAATTCCGAAAGGGCCAGTTTCCCGGAGTTTGCTAGACGCAGGAAGGGCTCTGCCTCGTGGTCTTTCGACGCGGCCAGGCATATCGCCTGGACGAGATAAGGAGAAGCCGAGCCTTCTTTGAATTGGCGTTGAAACTCCTGCTCGTCGATTAATGGCAGTGTGGGGTGAATCCGACGCAGGTAGATATCGACCAATGCCTCCTGGCTCTGCCGTGGGGGGAGTAAAACGGCTCGTCGTTGGCTGCCTTGCTGTCCAGAATGATGTGTAGTTTCTGCATGAGAATCTGCGCCCGATACGAGAAGTTCGTCCTCTTTATCCAGCCAGATTCCTACGTCTCTTTGGTGAGTCCGCCCGCGCATCAGTCGAGTATTCGTGCTGTCAACAAAGAAAATCACAGGGTTCAAGTCACCCATAAAACGGTCCGTCCCCGAGTCCCTGGTTCCCGTGAGCGAAGATCTCCTTGGTTTCGAGACACCCATAATCTCTGCCGGTTGGGGCCGCCTTGATGGGCCCTGTATATTCGCCTGCCTTGGGTCTACAGGTAATTGAGGTGCTTGTTCTGGCCGACCTTGGGATCGATCACCGTCAGGGGCCCTGATCAATGGCCGTGGGCCGGAACCACGATCAGAGGAGCCATGGCCAGTGTTTTTCTCCTTCTGACTTGCTAATGAAGGTGAAGAGGGCTGTTGGCGCTTTGATTTATCGTGATAGCACTTTTTCTAAGCAGTGTTAGCAAGACCCATCCATATTGGGGAACTCCGACATACCTTCCTCTGGCGGCACAGATCACAAGCCTCCTTGGCGTACTTTCGCTTCGGGACTCGACCATCTTGGCTGATATGGAATTTCACCTCCATGTGGACGTTGGAGCAGGTGCTGGTCAGAATCCTGACTTTGCAGACCCTAGAGTGAGAGATCCGATTGGGCGGTCAATCGTGAGGGACAATATGTAGTGACGTGGGTGCTGCAAAGGTTACATGGTAGGTGAAGGCTGTCAGCTTCAAATGCACGAGGTGGCCACGTTGAAGTGAATGAAGCCGATGTCTCATGATTTATGACGCTGGAACTTCGCCCCACTGCTGGGGATTCTGCTTTCTTTGGCAAGAGGCGCCGCAGCTGAGCGGAAGATTCTTTTCAAGTAAAGCCCCACCGACCTTCGAGACCAATCAGATCAAATATCAGCTGAGAATTCGGGATGACTGAATTACTTTCCGTCGGGATTTCACATACTTTTTCCTTTTTCAGCTAGAATGTCGGGATTCTATAACGGGAGTCGGAATTTCACAACGCGTCCGACTATAAAGATAACATACCTGAATCCAATGACGCCCTGCATAGTTGTACAGACACTTTCTTGCCCATTGCTGTACAGTCTTTCACTTTCCACCATGGTATTCAGCGCCAACGGCATCTGCTGCAGTCTCCGGTAAGTATTGTGAACATCCATCCGATACTACTGCCTACTCCCGATCTCAGGCTAATCGGCTGAAGACTGGACCAATCACGCGTTTTCCTCCCGTCAACACAACAGACCGAGACGAAACCTTCAATATCCGGCACTCTCTGCCTATCACTTTCGGGTGACACTCCAATTCGGGGCATTTCCGTCCAGGTAAAAGGACAAACAAAACTGTGAGTCAAACTTACGCTTTATAAAGTCTGGCGCTAATAAGAACAGACCGTTCCAGGAAGGCATAATCTCGTCAACAAGCCATGAAGAGGTTACATTCGTCAGATCCCAGACCCTGGCGTCGTCAAAGAAAATGGCATCGTTCATCCTGCCTGCCGGTAAATACGAATTCCCGTTCGATGTTCCGCTAGACCCCAACATGCACGAGACGATCGCCGGCCCGAACCACGAGTACCACTCCTATAAAGTATACGGAATCATTGAGCGACGGTTCTATCGCAACCACGTGGTTTCGGAACCAATCCGGATATATAGACCTGCCGTGGAGGATTCAAGTGTGATTTTGCTTTCGGATCCAAGGGTTAGTCGCCTTCGCGGGAATAGCAGAAATGTACTCACGCCGGCACAGGTGGCCGAAGACCTCTCCGAAGCGACCATCCCATACAGCATTTCGATTCCCCACAAGAAGATCCCCTTCGGATCCACGTTCCCCGTCAATTTCTGGATGGCGCCTTTAAACAAAGGTCTGAAGATGAAATCAATCAATCTCGCGGTAGTTGAAAAACATTCCATCAAGATCGAAGCGCCCGCAGCATACGCCACACGATACGGAGTGAGACATCTTACCTCGGCAAAAGATCACATCCTCTTCACTGAACACCATGAAGAACACGAAGACGACTATCTAGCTCCCGCATCGGAATGGTATGATATCGAGTGGAGCACAACCAAGGCCGTGTCGTTACCGAAGAGTCTGAATGAATGCACACAGCGCGTCAAATCAAACCATATCCAAATCCACCATGAACTGGTCTTCACGGTCGAGCTTCTGCATGCGGAGGGCCGTCGAACCTTGGTAAGTGTTTCCCATGACCCGTCGGTTTACCTCGAGCTAACGCGTGTAACAGATCAGAGGATCCCTCCCTTTCAGCATCGTTATGCTACCAGAGTTAAATACACCAGACGGAGCGGTTTGCGGTTTCACTCTCGAACAATTTCTGCATGACTACGACTCCCCTCCGCCATTGTACGGCGCTCATACGAGTGATCCCATGTTGACCGGCAATCTCGCGGGCGTGGAATCAAGTAGCGAAGGCCAGAATGAATCACTCACGGCCCCCGCAGATTTACCTTGGGCTCCCTGCTACGATCTGATTTTTGGCTGCTCGCCTGACTACGAAACCCTCAGTCTGCCGCAGGGTCTAGTGTGAAAGCTGCCATCCAACCTCAGGATGATCAATTATGAACCCACGCTACGGAATTATCTGCTTAAAGCAGAGAAACAGGCTACAAATAGCCTGAACTCGACAGGAATCCCATCAGAACCAGCCAGACAGGTCAGCTCTGGCAACTCACCACCAGCTCGGGTGCTACGACCTAGTGGTTTCCATGTCTGCGCTTGCAGGGCCTGCACTAAACGACGGGATTGTCCATGAAGCTTCAGCTATTACCCAGAACATGGCTCTCCAATCTCCCCGAGTTCGGATTGCGGTCCGAGAAATGTAAATCGAATCTAAAGATGTACCGCGGAAGAAATATGGTCCTACTACCATCATTACTAGCCTTTGCTATCTCAACCATTCAGTGCCAAATGATTCATCATTTGTCTGGAAAAACCTATCTAATTACCTTCTAAACACATACCCATTTTCCTTTTTTCTAAGCCCAAACACCAATTCCTCAATCCAAATCTAAATCGTGACGATCATAACATTCAGTTTCCAATCAGTAGTCCTCCTCCGAGCCATCACTGAACGCCGTCTCATCAAGCAGATCATCCTCGCCATCCTCATCATCCACCCACTCCTCGTCCTCGAAATCGTCGCTCGAGTCGTCCTCCAGCATCGCATCGTACATCTCACTCATCAGCGCCTTGACAGCCTCCTCCTGTCCCTCCGTCATCTGCAGCAGATCCTCCAACCGCTGCTTCGGCTTCCACTGCGCCGAATCAAAGTCGTCCGTATCAAACAGCGCCTCGGGCAGATGCGTGCCGAAAAACGCCAGCACCATCGCCGGCACCCCCATCACATACTCCGCCGACAGCGAAATGCTCGCCTCGTCGTGATCCAACCGCTTCGCCAGCGCCGTCGTGTCGCGCGCGCGAATCAACTCCACGATATCCGCCCCGGGCATCTCCACCGTCTCGCCCTCCTCGCTGCCCGCGCACGCCTTGATCAGCGCCAGCGTCTCGTCCCAGTCCAGCGTGTGCCGCTCCGTCAGCAGCGCCAGCAACAAGTACGTCGGACACTCGTTATGCGCATTCTCTCCCTTCAGCACGCGCGCAAAGGCCTCGCTCTCCGCCTCCAGACGCCCCTGGAACGGCTTCCAGAACGCCCGATGCCACGGGTCCCCGGCCTGCGACGCTTCCCTCTTGGTTTCGTCGTCGCCCTTCATCGCCTGCGCGGGCAGATACTTCTCATACCGCACGAAACTCCACATGTTCCAGAGGTTGTCGACCTCCTCGCCCATCTTGGTCTTGGTGGCGAGGTCGAAAGAGAGGTTCACGTCGGTGGCGCCGTCGGTCTGAGGCACCAGCTTCGCTTCCAGCGCTGTGGCCCCCTGTTGAAGCGTCTGCTGGTTGTCTTCGGAGCTCTCGCCCTCGGCCAGGATCTCGCATGCTTCGCGGTACATGACGAACTCTTCGTGCTGGGATTCGGAGACATCGAGGCGGGGGTGCGCCAGGAGGGAGTCCACGAAGGCGATGCGCGCTTTGATTTCTTTGCTGGAGGCTTCCGTGATGGCCTTGAAGGGCTGGGGGGCGGCCAGGTAGCGGAGAGGATCCATGTTGATTGTGTGATAAATAGGTAGATGTATGTAGTTGTTTGTTTTGGTCTTTGATCCTGTAAATATTTCAGGGGCGCGATAAGAAAAATCTGATCGGTCCCGCGCGGTGGTGGGTCCGCCACTGCCGGAGTCTTGCCGGGGGATCGTCATTTGTGCAAGGGAGCATTTTTGTTTTCTTTTTAATCAATTAGGGCGAGTTCTCTCGAAACAAATCACATGCAAGCTGCAAGGACGAGCTGCATGGTGGTTTGCCGATGCTGCTTGTTTGCCTTGGTTTGATGTGCCTATAGTCCTGCAATCTGAGCTATCGCCAACTTGTCCTCCAACGAGTGTATTTCAGCTCTGCATTCTTTAAAAGTAGTTTCACTTTCCATTGATCATTTCTACTCATCCCCACGTTCTATTATACCCCAGACAATACGAACCGACGATCAGTCTATTTCCGTAGCCTCAAAATCCAGCATTCCCAATGTGAAACGCCCAGCTCAGACATCTCCTATGATGTATGATCGAAAGCAAACCAGAGCTTGAAACCAGCCAAGCGACTCCTTGCTTCCATTCCGTCAGGGGATGGAATTCCCCAAAGTGACGGTGAACCGACAGACGTATAAAGACTGCCACCTGCGAGCCTGCGATTTCCATTCTCGAGCATCTTTGACTTTCACGCTTTCTTCTTTCGCACATATACAAATCATAAATCATAATCATGCTTCGCATTCCTGCCATCCTGTTCGCCGTGCTCTCCTTGGCGGTCGCCGCCCGGAGCCAAGATGTCTGTATCGATGTTTGTCAACCCGTCGAGCCGGTTTGTCCTTCTGGGCAGGTGAGTCTCTTCCCTTTGTCTCAATTATGGGCAATTTTTCTTGTGGAATGGTGCTGATTGTGTATAGCGCGCGTCGGGTATGCCGGTAAGTTCGGAATGCACTCGTTGGCCTCGGGCCGTTATTGACTGTTCTGGTGCAGGGCTGCTGGGGATGCTGTCACACGATCCCGCTGGACTAATTGGGGGTTGAGGGTTATGTCCAGCTGGGTTTTTAAGCTATCATTTCGTTCATCTATTGGCAGATCGTTTTCGGGTTCAAAATTCGTGTATCTCCATGCCTTCAAGGTCAATTCTACACGAGTTCAGCTTCAATAATATACGTTTCAAATGAAGAATAAAAGAGGAAAGAAAATGTTAAATAAAATTGAATTAGGGCTCTCAAAGGAAGGGACAGGGGTCAGATCGCGGGACATCGCTTTAGTCACGGCCAGGATAGCGATCAAAGTTAACATCCCAATGTCTCGCCTCGAGTATAACCCACCTCAGTCATTAATAAACGCTCAAGACATTTTTAACTCTACTTGGGCAAGTAGAACCGATCTTGCAGGCATAAAGGCCAATCGGGGCTTCGTCCGTCTCCACTCGCGCTAGAGACAAATGTGCTCATTTGCGCTCAATATTCTTGGTGTCGCCCGGTAGCATCTGACTCTTCCCTCCTAAGCAACTTGCTATGGCATTTCCTCATTCATCAACTGACGATCTGTCTGCCAATAATAATGCTCTCCAGATGACCGGGTAGTAGTGTGGTGATGCTGGCTAATATCCACAATCGCTGCCAAGAGATGGCTTCGGCGGTTTTCTTGACAAATCGTGCTCATGTTGTTAGAGAATTTAAAGCGATTAGAAGAATATAATACCCCGAAGGCCCTGTGGCTCTCTCAGTGACCATTCCTTCCGACTCAACAGGCCAGATCAGTCTGAGCAGACAAGATGCAGCTGACGATATTGTTCCTCATATCCAGTGCTCTACTTGCTTGCCCAGTCCACTCTACGACTGGAAAACAGGGCCATGGGCTGATCGGATATGGGATTTCCATGTACCAGCCCCCATGCGCATATGCCTGCCGTGCGGCTATTACCAACCCTCTGAACTGTTCCATGACCTCACATCACGGCACGGATATGTGGATGGTCGAGGATTCTCCCAGTCCAGAGTGCTATGCGACCAACGATGCCTTCTTGCAGACTCTGGCATACTGTCTGTACTCACGCTGTCAGGAATCAAACTCCACTATTCAAAAATACTGGGAGACGAATGTCGCCGGAAATGCGCCAGACCAGCCACTGCCCAAAGAGTCTTATGAACAGGCCCTCCGGAGCATCACGGCCAGGCCCAAGGTTGTAGTCAACTCTTCCGAGGTGCTACAATCAGTATCCCTTATACCTAAAGAGATTTACGATGTCAATTGGCAGACCCTGTCGGTCTTTGAGAAAATAGAAATAAGCCACGAAACATGCGCGTAAGTCGAACCTCAATCAACTATGTCAATTCTAACACGTCTCCAGCATCATCCTGCTAGTCGCCTGTGCCCTCATCCCAATCCTGCTCTCTTTCATTCGATTCATCCCCCTCCCCACCTCCCTAACAACACTCATCGACGCACACATACTCACTCCCCCCCTCATCGGCAACCGCCACAACGTCCCACTCTTCAACACCTTCACCATGCCCACCAGAGGCCAATCCCTCTTCATCGGCTACCTCATTGCCATCAACATAATCCTCTGCTCTGTGGGCTTCTCATCCGCCAACCCCAGCCTCTGGTTCAAGTCCAACTCCGAGGAGATCGCCATCTACGTAAGCAACCGCACGGGTGTCCTCAGCTTCGCCAAAATCCCGCTCCTGGTCCTCTTCTCCAGCCGCAACAACCTCCTCCTCTGGCTGACTGACTGGTCCCATTCCACATTCATGCTTCTGCACCGCTGGGTCGCTGGCATCTGTGTTCTTGAAGCAGGTATCCACGCGCTTATCTTTCTGCACATCTACCATGTCTCCGGGGAGCATGCCGCGGAGAGTAAGCTGCCGTACTGGTACTGGGGTATTCTCGCCATGCTAGCCTTGGCCATTATGATCCCTGCGTCAGCGCTTCCGATCCGTCGGAAATGCTACGAGGTCTTCCTGGCATGGCACGTCGTTCTCTTCCTGTTAGTCATGATCGGATCTTTCCTGCACATCTACTACCGGTATGCCTTCCAGTGGGGCTACGAGAACTGGATCTACACTGGTCTCGCGGTGTGGGGATTCGAGCGGGGGTTTCGCGTGCTGCGTATCGCGCGGAACGGAATTCGCACCGCCTATGTCTCCGTCGTGGATGATGAGTACATCAAGGTGGAGGTTCCTGGAGTGTCGGCGCAGGGCCATGTTTATTTGTATTTTCCGACCTTGACCTGGCGGGTGTGGGAGAATCATCCGTTCTCTGTTATGACGGATTGTTTTTTGTCGGCGGGGTCGCCCCTGGTACCTGCTAAGGATGATACGCAAGTTGCGATGGCTATTGATGATAAGCACATAGCCCAGGAAAGCCCATTCCGTATGGACTCAGAAGACACACGCTATCAACAAGGCCTGCTGATCTACATCCGGACCGAATCCGGGATTACAAAATACCTGCGCAATGTGTCACGAATCCCAGTACTTGTCGAATCCGCATACCATCCAACATCTATTATCGGCGCAGAAACACGCCGCGCGACAAACATCATTGCCATCGCGGGCGGCGTGGGTGTCACGGCCTTGACGCCAATCCTGCTCGGTCATGAGGGGTGGCATAAGTTGTTTTGGGCGGTGCGTAGCAAGCCGTTGGTGGATTCTATGGCTGAATCGCTGGGTGCGGACCGGTTTGATCGGCTTAATGCGGTTGTGTATCACCAGAGTCGGATGGATATCCCAAGGCTTCTTGAGCGGGAGGTTTCGGGTTGTAAAGGGGCGGAGGTTGTGGTGGTGGTTAGTGGGCCTTCGAGAATGGCGGACGAGGTAAGGATGGTTGTGGCGAGGTTGATGAGGGATCCGATGGTCAGGGTGAGGTTGGTTGAGGAGTCGTTTAGCTGGTAGTATGGATTTATTCGAGATAAGGTCGGTTTTTTTGGCTTGAGAGGGATTAAATTTAAATCCCTTTTTCTTTTTGTCCCCCCGCGGCTGTAGTTCATAGATCATGCAGGTTACACTATATATTTCCGAGATGTTTGGGCATGGCGGCAACAACCAACAACAACAACACAAAAAGAAATTAAAAAAAGGCAAAAGAATATCACAAAGCACCTGATTAAAATTAAAGAATAGCCTTACCCTTACAAAAGTACAACAGAAGCGCCCTTCCGAGGCTGTGCCTGCAACTGCGGCAACCGACCAATGCCTCGGCGAGCGCTTACAACCCTCGACAGCCAGTGAATGCAGTGCCACGATGCAACCCTGGATTATCGGTTGGTTCTGACAGGCGCGATATATGGCGCATCTGGGAAATGCCTCAAGCGGCGCAGTTAATGCCTTTCCAGACTTCTCTGCCTATCTCTCACCTGTGATATAAATCCAGCTCATTTCCCTCTCATCTCTCATCCTTCCCCTCAGCATCCAGCATTCCATCTCAAGTCCACATCATATCTACTCTACCTGAATCTCTACAAGTTCAAGATACGATATCCACCTGCCACCAAGATGTCAATCATCTCCACTCTCTTCCCCTGCCTCAGCGCCCGTCGCAAGTCCACCACCACCACCACCAGCTATAACACCCCTGAGTCAAACGACCCCTCCCTTGCCACCCACGCAACGACCATCCTTCTGACCACCGAAGACCCATCCCTCATCCCCAAACACCTCTCGAACCTCGTCTCCACAACCGGCTGGACCTCCTCCCTCGCCCAAACCCTCCTCCAGAGCCTGGAAACCGCCATCCAGAGCGGCGCCAAAACAGCCAAGCCGGCGACCGACGCGCTATCCCGTGCAAAGGCCGAGGCCTACGACTTCGCGACCGATCATCCAGTCTACACGACGGTCTTGGCGCTCGGGGTGCTGGTGATCCTGGCGCCGTGGGTGCTGGAGGTCCTGGGGTTTGGGGAGTTGGGGCCCCTGGAGGGGAGCTTTGCGGCTTGGTGGCAGAGATTGTATGCGGGGTATGTGCCGAGGGGGTCGCTGTTTTCGTTTTTTCAGAGGTTGGGGATGGTGTGGAGGTTTTAGTCCAGATGGTTGGTTGTTGGATGGATTGTGAGTGGATTGGTGTGGATGGGGGTTTGGTGGTGAGGGAGGGAGGGTCGAGGAGCGGGGATATAATGACAATAGTGGACTTCATTTCCATCAATGGCTGGTTGGTGTAGTTGGTTATCACGTATCGTTAACACCGATAAGGTCCTGGGATCGAGCCCCAGACTGGTCATTCTTTTTGTTTTTGTTTCTAGTGGCGTCGGTGGGTCTGCCGATTTTGGAGGGATGGAATGTAGAAGACAACTGGAATGTATTCTGAGTATCCCAATGAACTGCCCAGATCATACACATCGCACCCTCCGCCCATGTCCTCGGTGACTAGTGGAATGGGCTCATAGCTTCAAACATCCTACTCAACTCTTCAACATCAGCCACATCCTCCTGATCGAAGCCCGGGTAGGTAGAAGTTGGGCCCTCGTTGCCTTCCGGCACCGGACCCGCGGTTAACACAAGCACATCCGGCACGTAATTCTCGCTGATGCTTTCGTTGATTTCGAGAGAGGATTCTGCATAAGATGGCTCGCATGCCTCTGCACCCTCTGCACCCGCCGTTAGCACAACGACATCAGGCACGTAATTCTCATTGATGCGTTCGTCAACTTCGACAGAGGAAGCTGTATGAGGAGGCTCGCATGCCTCAGCACCCGCCGTTAATACGACCACATCCGGCACGTTCGACACCGGATGTTCATGGTCAGGGATCGGACATGGAGTCAGCTTGAGGTCGAGCACGCAGGATGGCGTTAGTGGAGAGGGTTCCGGTTGCGGTTCCGGTTCCGAATCCAGGTCCATTGGGTCCCCCGACTCCGAGGGAGTAGTGTCTGCAGGACTGTCCGGTCGCTCGGTATCCGGCTCTTCGTCAGTTCTCACGATGCCGCCGTCTTCGGGTGACGGAGGGCGTGGTGGTAGCGATGGATGGGGTGGGGGTAGGGATGCCATGGAAGTGTTATGGATGCGCGGAGAGCTGAGTATAGTGTTGAAGTGATAGATGAACTCTGGCTGTCTTCGCAGAGTCGGCTGTAGTCAGATATAAAGATGGTTAAGGACTAGACATATGGTCAGTACATGAAATTGGAGGTAAAGGCATCGTGGTAGATTGATATGCTTCCCTGTTTGTAGTAGATGCTTCGCTTCCTGAAAATAATGGTGATGGAATGAAATCCACCAACCGGATGCCATTGTTGTAGCCATGGCGATGATTCCCGGTAGTCCTTGCCTGTGTCCAGAAGAGCAATTGGATTGAGGAGGAAAGTACAGTGGAAGCACCGCATAACTCTATATGATGCACAAGAGCTGAGTCATCCGCATTATGGACGTTCTCGCGCTCTGAAGGATCGCAGAGTCCATCTTTTGAATTCAATCCGTTAGGATACTGGAGTCGAGTGGCTGATCAGGACTCATGCACTCCGTGGATCTATGGATAAGAGTACATCCGTGCAGATCAGGCCAGAGATCGAACCACCCATGACTGTCTATACTGGCATCAACCAACATCCATCCAAGATATACCACCATCAGCATCATACCAGCTCATACCTACTGCATACGGCAAAAAACCCAACTGCTCTACCTCGGCCGTCGGCTTGCCGAACTCGTAGCCGAACGGAAAACCGGGAGCACCAGAAGATCCACCGTGAATCCACTGCGAATCCACTGCGAATCCACTGCGGATCCTCCAGCGAATCCCAGCCAATGCGCAGCCTCGAGTCGCATCCTCCGATCGCCTCTGTCATCATTACACAACGGTCTGAGTTGCTTCGCGGTGGCTCGACAGATTTTTCGGTCGCAGGGGCCAGATGAACCCAATCTAATAAAACCTTGTGCCTGTCGCATGCGCATTCCAGCCAGCATGCTCTCCGTGCCTGCACGTCTCGACCATTAGGTACAGGTACACCTGGGAATGGCTTCCAAAGATGCTGCCGCTGAAGCCCCGCGACCCCAACGCATCCCACACTGGCGTCTGCTGCTCGACCAGGGCGCCGTGACCTCCGAAGTCATCGAGTACCCCTACGTGGGCGCCGGCACCGACGATGACCCGTTCATCGTCGAATGGATCCCCGACGACCCGCGCAATCCCATGCTCTTCAACAAGAACCTGAAATGGGCCTACACCATCACCGTCGCCTTCGCCACCTTCGGCGTGTCGATGGCCTCGTCTGCCTACGCCGGCAGCATTGAGGAGGTGCTGAAAGACTTTGGCATCGGCCAGGAGCTGGCCACCCTGGGCGTGTCGCTGTTCGTGCTGGGATTCGCCGTGGGACCGCTGGTGTGGGCGCCGCTGAGTGAACTCGTCGGTCGCCAGATCGTCATGTTCGTGTCGTACTTCGCCCTGGCCGCTTTCTGCGCCGGGGCCGCTGGCGCACAGAACAGCTGGTCGCTGATCATCCTGCGCTTCTTCGCGGGCTCCTTTGGCTCCTCGCCGCTCACCAACGCCGGCGGCGTCATCGCCGACATCTTCCCGGCCGACCAGCGCGGTCTCGCAACCAGCCTGTTCGCCGGAGCTCCATTCCTCGGTATGCCCTTCTACGCACAATAACCTCGTCGCAGCACTAACGAATCTCAGGCCCTACCCTCGGCCCCGTCATCGGCGGCTTCCTCGGCCAAAGCGCCGGCTGGCGCTGGGTGCAAGGCTTCCTCGCCACCTTCACCGGCCTCATCTGGATCGTGACCGTCCTGCTCGTCCCCGAGACCTACGCGCCAGTCCTCCTGCGCCAACGCGCCACCAAACTGACCTCCCTCTCCCCCCACGGCCACATCTACCGCTCAAAACTCGACCTCGAGCGCGGCCGCGTCTCCATCGCCACCGCATTCGGCTCCTCCCTCCTGCGCCCGTGGATCCTCCTCTTCGCCGAACCCATCGTCCTCCTCCTCTCCATCTACATGGCCATCGTCTACGGCACCCTCTACATGCTCTTCGACGCCTTCCCCATCGTCTTCCAGACCATCCGCGGCTGGTCGGAGGGCATCGGCTCTCTCCCTTTCCTCGGCGTCATGATCGGCATGATGCTCGCCGTCGCCGCAAACATGTACGACAATAAACGCTACGTCCGCGAACACACTCGCCACCGCGGCTTCGCGCCCCCGGAGGCCCGCCTCCCCCCGACCATGGTCGGCGCCGTCGCCATCCCCATCGGTCTGTTCTGGTTCGCATGGACCAACGGCCCCAACGTCCACTGGATCGTCAGCATCATTGCCTCGGCGCCCTTCGGCTTCGGCATGGTCCTCGTCTTCCTGGGCATCATGGTGTACCTGATCGATGCGTACACGATCTACGCGGCGAGTGTGTTGGCTGCGAACTCGATTATTCGATCCTGTTTCGGCGCGGGATTCCCCCTGTTCACGACATACATGTATAATAATCTCGGTATTCATTGGGCATCCTGCATCCCTGCCTTTTTGAGTCTGGCGTGTCTGCCCTTCCCGTTTATTTTCTATAAGTACGGGGCTGCCGTGCGCAAGAAGTGCAAGTACGCCGCGGAGTCAGATGCGTTCGTGCGCAAGTTAGCAGAGAAGACGCTCGCGCCGGGCGAGACCAAGGAGGAGAAGGAGAAGAAGAGCGAGGCACCGGATGGGGTCGTGGATACACAGACCGGAGAGAGAGAATACGATCTGGAACGAGCGGATACGGTGTCGACAAGCAGCGACGAAGACGGTCGCCAGTCGAGAGGCACCTACGAAGCGAGCCCCTACGACATCGACCGCGTGAATACGCGCAACTCGGCGATTACGCAGCGGTCGCGGTCGCGGTCGACGAAGGGGAGGAAGAGGTTTGGGATTTTTTGATCTCATCTTCTCTTCATATTCATGTTAATGTTCATTTCGTTTGATTGAATGGTAGCAAGCGGCATTGGATTCATTTATTGGTTGTTATTTATACTATACTATGCTATAGAGCATGCTGCATAATAGATATTTATCATCATTCGTCTCCCATTTCCATGGAATGTACTTCCATCGCTGAATCTGCAATAATCTAAAAAGTAGCCGGAGAAGGCAAAGTCTGGGGCGTATCATCACGGAAGCTGTTCGTGATCAGACTCTTGAAGTTCGGCGACCACTCGACCCTCGGGCCCAGGACGGGCAAATTCCACAACTCCGCCAGATACTTCAGGATCGACGTATGCGTGAACTCCCCAGACTGGTCGGACGGACTGTTCTGGACAAGGCCCTTGCCGACCCACGGGGAGATCAGCACGGTGGGCACACGCACACCCAGTCGATCGAAGTGGAAGGTGGTGGAGCGGCCGTCCTTGGCCTTTTCGGAGTAGGTGAGGTTGTCGCCGGACGGGACGTTCTCGGGCGGGGCGACGTGGTCGGCGAAACCGCCGTGCTCGTCGAAGGTCAGGATGAAGAGAGTTTCATTCCATTGCGGGGACGAGCGCACGGCCTCGTAGATGCTCTTGACGAAGCCTTCGCCCATGTTGATGGGCGACGGCGGGTGGAAGGACATGTAGCTGCAGCATTCCGGGTTGATCCAGGTGAACTGGGGCAGGGAGCCGGACTTGGCGTCGGCGAAGAAGCGGTCCAGGGGTTGCACGTTGGTCTTGTCCTTGCCGGACTGGGCGGTCCATTTGTAGAACTGGGCGTCCGGGAGGAAGCCGGAGCCGGTGGTGTTCTGGTAGTTGACCCAGGAGATGTTGGCGTTGGAGAGCTGCTCGAAGATGGAGACCTGGGGCAGGGAGGAGGTGAGGAAGTCGTCGTCGTTGGTGCCGTGGCCGTGCGAGGTGCCGGAGGTGAGATAGGCGCGGTTGGGGTTGGTGGGCCCCGGGACGGAGGCGAACCAGCGGTCGAAGAGCACGAAGTTCTCGGCGATGGCGCTGAAGACGGGCACATTGTCCGGGGTGTAGTAGTTGATGACCTCGGCGGCGCGGGACAGGTCGGTGTGCAGGCCGTAGGAGGCGATCTGCTCGGTCACGAAGCCCTGCATGTCGGGCACGTCGTTCTTGTAGTTGGGGTGGTACGTGCCGTAGACCTGCTGGTTGCCGCCGCTAATGCTGTGGTCCGGATCGTCGGGGGCGACGTTCTTGGCGACGGGCTGCGCGCACACCTTCTCGGACGTGGGATCCGTCACGTTGGCGGGATTGCAGTACTTGGTCTTGACCAGGCCGTCGATGGCGTCGCTGTAGGTCAGACCCCCGGCGAAGACGTCGAAGGACAGGTTCTCCTGCACCAGCACGACGACATTCTTGATGGGGCTCTGGGCGGAGGGGGCGGGGCCGTGGGGCAGGCCGGAGATGCCCACGCCCAGCGAGAAGAAGGTAACGAGGGAGAGGATGCTCATGGCAAGCAGCAGGAGAGTGATGCAGACGGATTTGCGCCAGGAGATGGTCGAGGCCGGAGTTCGAGGCTCCCAGAAGGGCGTCTTTATACCGAGCAGCGCGTGGGGAGTGACCGGATCATCTGGCGCCAGATGCTTGAGCATCGGCAGCTTCTCCGGGTCCTCGGTCCCACGTGTGCCTGCAGACTGATCCCATTGCATGGTGGATTCGGAAGGTGCGTTCAGTTGAGAAAGAAGTGGATTGCGCAAGGACGAGGGGTTGGAGCAGAAGTAAGGAAGCTGTTGCCATCCCATTTTTGGTCGTGAAGGCGGAGAGCGAAGGCGGTGGGCCCGTGACCTGCCCGCATGCCTTCTGCCTTTGTTCTGATTGGCTGGTGCGCTCGGCTTCCCGGCAGCCGTTGCAATCACTCCAGCTAGTCTCAAACCGGACTAGCTCGCTCTCCCAAAGCAGCCCTATTGGGTGTCCGCCCGAAGATCTGCAGTCCCGCCCCCTCCATTGGTCCGTGACGGCCGCATGAGGCCTCCCTCGACCCCCTGATTCGCAGCCTTAAGACTCTGGCTCCGATCCACTGCGTGCCTGGCGTTCTGCAGAGACGCCGACGGGAGCCTATCGCCCGGCACGTGGTGACAATATGCCATCCGTCGTTCTTGTTATTGGCCGACTCCTTATCGCTCGAGGGTGACAGAGGGTGTGACATTCGACCTGCAAGACCCCTCCATTTCTCCGGGTGTATTCGGTTGGGATCTCGAGTCGGTGTGGCACCCTGCATAGACGGTGTAACTTTCTCATTCCAAAGTCCAAAGAGGCTGGACATTCTACGGAGTACATGGCAGGTATTGACCAGCCACCAATATGCATGTATGTGCTGCATATATGGAAGTCAAATGAACCGCTGGCCTCGAGATCGGCTTCCTTTCGATCGAGTCGCGGTGAGCATCTCGGTTGCACAGTATCACCTAGTTTATCGCTACTCCGTCCCGCCTCCTAGCTTTGATGCTGTCACCCGATCGGCAAGGGGCCTGTCAAGTGCATATGACACGTAGGGTTAGAATTGGGGGATGGAGATTTGCGGTCTGAAGATCGTATGATTAGGATTCCTCCGTACTTTTGTTTCTTTTTCTACACTCACTTAGAATTTCGGGTGAAAGAAAACAAATGGATCACGTCTGATGTCACCGGGAACTTTGCAGTGTTTGGCGTGCACCTGTTCTGGTGCCCGAGGCAATACGATGGAGTTGCTCGAAATTGTAGATCTATAGAGATGCACCATAAGCCTCAACTTCTAAGCAAAGGCGAAAAGATAAGTGAGAAAAGACAAAAGGAAGAACAAAAGAAGGAAAGGCAGAAAAACCTTTCGTGTTCGGGGAACAAGAGCTGGTGGGATATTACTACATCATAGGATGGTACTTGATCATTCATTACTAGACCAGAAGCCTCAACACAGTTTCTGCAAAATCCTCATCTTCTCGGCGCTATGTATCAAAAAGGCCCGTACTTAACAATTTCCATCAATTCAACGTGATGGCGAGTACCATTCTTGATGTACCTTTCCCAAGTAGCATCGAACTTGGCAAATGTGATATAAACTTCCATATTGTTCTAAGAGACGAGGACCCGCGTAATAGCTATTAGTCCTAGCATTTCGAAATAAGTCGAGGTTCATTCCTGGGATTTGGCTGACGCAGGTGACAATTTCAGACGCTTCCTGCATCTCGACTTGCGGCGTATCACGATTCCGGCCTTTGCGTTTACACTTTATGATTTCACCAATCAAATTGTGCTCCTTGTGTTCTAGCTGGCCATCCGTGGTCTCCGAAATTGGCTACTAGTGTGGCTCTTGAGGTCCGTCAAGAATATGCAGTGGTAGAGTTGCTCGCTGGTCTTGTGACAGCCTGAAGAAAGCTTAGCTGGTGTTGATGGCTTGCTCGTCGAGTGCTCGTTGATCGTCTTGGTTCCTGACAACGTCCCTCTGCTGCTCGTAGGGTATGTCAAACCGCCCGGCAACTTCGTCGGGAGTGGTGTGTAGCGCGTTGAGGTACTGCTGGAAATCAACCGAAGTTGCAAGATTATCCTTGCCTGCTGCAGCTCAGTTGACGTTGAAAATTCGTGCCTCTCTAGATCAAAGTCGATTGGCTTTATGATATCCGGAAATGGTGCGATACAACAAAAATTGGGTTTGCTCTACTTTGGAGCCAGAGGTAAAATCGCTGTGATTGTGTAAAGACTGGGTAAACAGTCCTGCCGACGTTGCGGCCTGTGTCAAAGCCTCGACGGTTTTGGGAATCAAAAAGCCCCTTCCGCATCTTTTAATGGGCCGATGATAACGGGAAATTCTGGTGTATGCATCGGGGCATGCACAGACTGCCTCAACACTGGGCAAAGATTCCAGCCGAGAGATTGACATTAAAGATGTCTCTGCCATTAATGACGAGCTGGTTCCGACTGTAAGTTCAATTGCCCCCTGTGCGAGGAGATGCCGAGATAGACCAAGTCTGCACGAGTCAACTGGGAGGACATACCGATGAGGACGGCAGTTCTGAGCGTAGTGAAACCGGTGGACGCGTTCTAATAAGAAGGTCGCGCTGGGTAGGATGGAAGAAGGATTGAAGGGGAGAACAATATCCAAGAGCTGTCTATTTCAAAGATCGTACCATTTGCAATTCACCAACTCAATTAACTCCTCTGTGCATATTCACCATGGGAAATCGTGAAAGAACCCTTGAAGACAAGGTCTTCTCCATCCAAGATCTGCTGCCGCGACTTGAATCTCGTTCGACAGGGCGACAGGCTCTGGACAAGATCCAATGCGCTCGCCACTGGCAGGATCTGGAGAGAGAATTAGGGGCATCATCTGGGATACGACTTCAAATTCTGATTAGCAAAGAGTGAAGGGTCATATAGTTTAGGAACAGAGTCGGCTATTTTGTCGAGATCTGGCTAGCGCAATGGATTTTCACTGGAGAGGCATCATGGCAGTGATAGCTATTCGATGCACTAACCCTCTTTTTGAGGGAGGTGAAGTCGACGCTTTTCATTCAGTTCAGTAATCCATGTAGAATCGCAAGGAAAGACCAAGCGAGAGTGACACTGGAGACGATCGTCGTCGAATCGCCGCCCGTGTTAGGAGTGATTATGGAGCTTTTATAGATCGACAGTTAGTTCATTAATCGTTAGGAATATTCAACCTATTTACTTATCTCTATACCTTCCTTCCTGATCTTCTATGAGACTTTTGCTCCCACTTTGCCTTTTTCGGTAGCATTGAGGCTAAATTACAGATCGCTAAATTATAAATCACAAATATCCCAATGCTTACCTCTAATTCACTGGTAACTTCTAATGAGCACGAACAATCCGAGAAATTATTACAAAGTATATGTTGTTCTGGCAGGTTGTTATTTCAAAGAGGTTGGTTAAGATAGTATAGTAAAAAGAGTCGACGGTGAAGTATTCCACCAGCGATCCGAAATAGACCAAGGATTAAAGCAAGTACAAAAAACAAAGCATTAGAGTGTTGCATCGTTGATAAATACGATATCGTCTATATTCCAACATAGCAAGTGTTCCCGACAGAAAGGGGCAAGGCATCCCGAGACAACGGCAACCGAGACCGAAGTGGAGATCCATCTTACATCCTACGAGATCACCGATAAATAAGTATCCCCGCCCACTCTAGGACCCCGCCATTCCTGCTACATTCATCTCATCCAACATGACAAAAGCGCGGGTTTTAATAGTCGGCACTGGCGGCATTGGCACCGTCTCGGCCTATTCGTTGGAGCAAGGAGGCCAGGCCGAGGTCACCGCCGTCATGCGCTCCAACTATGAAGCGGCGCTGCAGAACGGCATAGACCTCGATTCCGTCCAGTACGGCCAGGTGAAGGCCTGGAAGCCCACTGCCAGTAAGTAGGCGACTGTGTCTGTTCTCGACCATCCAGTTCACGCCGCGAGACTAGTTGTCAACGCCGTCCCCGACGTCTCCAAGGGCAATATCGCCCCCTTCGACTTCATCCTCGTCACCACCAAAAATATCCCCGACGTCCCACCCACCGTCGCCGACATCATCGCCCCTGCCGTCACTCCCGGGAAGACCGCCATCGTCCTGTCGCAGAATGGCATCAACATCGAGAAGCCCCTCGTCGCGCGCTTCCCCGGCACCCCCATCATCAGCAGCGTCGCTTACACAGGCGCCACCGAGACCGCCCCAGCCAAGATCTACCACGACGACGAAGACTGCCAGAAGATCGGCGCCTTCGCCAGCCCCTCCGTCCCCGCCGACGTAGCGGCCGAGGCAGCCCAGCGCTACGTGCAGATCTACAACCCCCACGGCAAGCTCGACGTCATCTACGAGCCAGAGGTCGATCGCATCCGATGGCGCAAGATCGCGTATAACGGATCGATGAACCCCATCTCTTCTATGCTGCGCATGGACGTTGTTCAGATGCGCATGAGCCGACACGTCATCGACGACTTGATCGTGCCTATAGTCCTGGAAGTGCGTGCCACCGCCGAGGCGAACGGCATCGTGCTGCAGCCCGATTTGATCCACGCCGTTATCCACCAGGATCCTGTCGATACTGGATTCAAACCCAGTATGTGCCAGGACTACGAGAAGGGGAATCTCATGGAGATTGAAAACCTGGTTGGTGAGCCGTTGCGCGAGGCTGAGAAGGCTAATGTGCCGGCGCCTACGCTGCGGATTGTCTACGGCATCATGAAGGGTTTGCAGGCGAGGGTGAAGGCGGAGAAAGGCATTTGGAAGCCTGTCTTTGAGCCGGGGAACCCGTATGAGTAGAAATATTGGATACTTTCTATGTGATTGAGCGACAGTGCTTAATAGTGTTAGGTAAGCAGGGAGGATGTAAAGGCCAGGCAGTATATGGTGGTAAGATAGGAAACTACCTCATGTCGTCGGTAGATGACCTCGTGACTGAATTGTAGGAGCCGTATCCAGTTCTTGATTAGTTCCATCGCATTTCTATTTCTCCTGTTTTGAGACTCCCTGGTGGATAGAAGCTGGATTTAAGCTAGTATATACATACACTGGTTTGCGGTAGAACATTGACTGGGCGATTTCGGATAGAAGTTCCATGTAAAGGGTGAATCAGATACTACGGCCAATATTCAGCTTCTTACCCTTCACTGGGGCTGGAGAGAAGTTCAGTCGAAAGCCAAAGCTGTGAAGTCCCCTAATATTCACCATATTTATTCTCCACCCTAATTCACCTAGGTCTATCCGCTGTGAATCTGTACGATTGAATCGAGTCATCCCTGCGAATTCTGCTGGTCTTCTCCATTACTCCCATCGAATCTTCTTTCCTCCAGTCATTGAACTTCTCCACAATCATACACCTTACAAGACTCCATTGCCCAACTACCTTTTCTACAGACACCAACCTCAAACGAGATACCACAGGTAGGGATCAACTTCCAAATCCATCATAATCTAAACGGTATCTCAGTGAACTACGCATGACCCCAATAAGTATTGGAGAGATTCGCATCCCAGATCAACAACGTTGGGAGATAGGCAGATATACCCTGTCTGGCTAGTCCAGCGGATATGCTTCGTCCGAGAAAGACTTGTATCGCGCAGATGGCTCGTGGTGTCACTTTTGTCTTTATTCCCTGGGAAATCCTTGCCGGTTTCGTTTCCGGGTTGTTGGTGGCCCCTTCAATCAAACCATGGGCAAGCACAGATGCTTTATCTGTGGGGATCGAGGTAAGCCATATTCCATTAAACGGATGTTGCATACTCATGCCTTCAGGGCACAAGCAATGGTCATGCCCTGACAAAAGATTTGCGCGAGACATGTTAAGAGGTCTTCGGATGGCGGGCGATACCATGGTAAGTCTTCTACTTGTTTCTGTTATTATTGCATTCCAACCTCGGGAATCTAATTGTGCATATCAGACTCTTCGCACTCGCGCTCCGATGAGTCGCCGTCGTCCGCCCAGGCGCAGCCAATGTCCCTGCTGATGCCACTGTGCCTGCCGACGCCAATGCGCCTGACGAAGAAAACGGCAGCCAGACTGATATGCCTGCCGAGGAAAATGGTAGCCAAGCTGATGTGCCCGTCGAACAAAATGTGGCGAGAACATACGCTGTGTCTGCCAGTGGGATTAAAACATAGGCAGCTTTTTGGTTTTTGCAATGTAGAAAAAGAAATGGGTGGTTGTGTCGGATAAGATCGTGCTAGAATTGACTTGTTATGCGGAGGGTGATTGGGGACTTCTCGGTTGAGAAGTTAAAAGAGCGGTGTTGGATGAAAGTTGGATCCATGGGTTTTTATCCTGGTATTCTTTTGCTTTGGACAACCTGTTGAAAATTGGAACTCGATGGATACCTTCGTCATTGTTTACTATGGATGCAAAAATAAGCTAACACACCCTCTCCTCCGTCGCCTATACTCCTCCTAGCAAGATCCCTTTTTTTTTCTTTCGATCCGGCCGCTTGAAAATTAAACCAAAAAGCAGGCAGATAGGTATAGTGAACCTTCGACAGGCCACCTCCCGGTTACCGATGAGCCCCAAGATGAGCAGCCTACATCAAATAAGAGGGGCTAGGAAGATAATCAAATCTCGGAACTTCGTGTCTATTTATTTTCTTTGCCTTCGTTTCTCCTTCTATTCAGGCTTTTCATTGCTTAATAACAACAATATTCAATTTGGCCCCTAGATGTATGGGCCTAGACCGGGATAAGCCCTAAGGAAGCCGCTAAATTGGCTCTCTCGTTCATAATAACTATGCTGTTCTAGAGATAGTATGGGGTATTAGTGGCGGAGTTCAGAAAGCCACCGGCCTCTTAGATTGGTTCAATCTACAAGGCTGAGTTAGGCTGTTCGTCGCAGTGTGAAGGCCGATTGCTAAATGCTGACTGTCTACCTACTAGGCCGATAGTACACTGGAACTGGGCGAGACGCACTGAATCGGATCGTTGCGGATCGATCCTTTCGTTCGATTTATGAGGCCATGAGCCTATAATTAATGTAAATGGATAAAAGCAGGGTGGCATTTTGAAGGCGTCGCATAGCTGTAGCTGAGGCTTATACTTGGCCCCCAACCGTTCAGCTGGAGTTGATAAATTCCACCTATAAAATGGACTTCCCATCAACTCAATTCATTCCATCTTGCTTTCTACTCACTGCATTGTATATCTTCCATTCTCGCTTTCTTCCTGCTAATAAATTATCATGGCTAGTGTTCTCTCCGAGCTCACCTCCACTGTGACATCTGCCTTGGGGAACCTCCCCTCGCCAGAAAACATCCAAGATGCCGAGCGCATGCAGCTGCTCGGTGCCATTGATCAGCTTCGCGCCGCGCTGGAGCCGCCCATCAAGACGGTCATGAAAATTTGCTTGGGGGTAAGTTCGCTGGTTGGCTATTTAATGCTCGGTAGACTAATTGAACTGCTCCAGCACTACGGCCTCACCTCGATCCGAGTCGCCCAAGGAATGGGGATCTTCGATGCATTTGCTGCAGCCGGCGGTGCCGAGTTGACGATCGATGACCTGGACGCGAAGACTAAGGGTGACAGGCAGCTTCTCGGTAACTTGAGTATCCAACTGAAATTTTCTGGGAGACGTCTGACCCTTTGTAGCACGAATCCTCCGTCTTCTGGCCGCCAACGGCATCCTCAAACAGACCGAGAAGGAAAAGTACCAGCCATTGCCGCTAGCATTGATGTTTGCCAATGGCGTACCTCCAGGAGAGGGGATTAAACACTTGTACATGCTCATTCCGTTCCGATGATTGACCTCATCAACTACAGACCAGTACTAATCACCCGTTCCAGCTACCTCAACATGCGCTCCTCCGCCAACCTCTATGACTACTTCGAAAGCAAAGACTACAAGAACCCGACCGACGCATACGACGCACCTTTCCAGTTCGCCCTCAACACATCCGACCACTACTTCGACTGGCTCGTCAAACACCCCGCCGACCAGGCCGCCTTCAACTCCGTCATGACGCTGGGCCGTCAAGTCCGCAGCGAGGAATGGTTCAACTACTACCCCGTCGCGGATAAACTGGCTTTTTGCTCTCCTGAGCGTGTGCTTCTCATCGATATTGGCGGCGGCATCGGCCACGACATTACCGAATTTAAAAACAAATTCCCCTCTCTGCCAGGACGCCTCATCCTGCAGGACCTACCACAAGTGATTAACGACATGAAGGCCCCCCTTCCCTCCGGCGTGGAAGCAATGCCATACAGCATGTTCGAAGCGCAGCCCGAGAAGGGCGCCCGGGTGTATTACATGCGGACGGTACTGCACGACTGGCCGGACAAGCAGGCACTAGAGGCCCTGGCGCGGATCAAGGAGGCGATGGCGCAGGACTCGATCCTGATTCTGAACGAGAACACGCTGCCCGAGGAAAACGTGACAGCGTTTTCGGCGGCGCTGGATATGACCATGATGGAGGCTTTCGGGGCGTTGGAACGCACGGAGAGGCAGTGGGTGGAGCTGTTGGAGACGGCGGGCTTTAAGGTGAAGGTTTTTAGGTCTCAGGGGCAGGCCGTTGGCGATGCGGTGTTTGAAGCGACTTTGTAGATGGATCGGATTAGAAGTATGAGTTTATTGTTTTAGGGGGTTATGGCGATTAGTATGGGTACATGTACAGTCCAGGCTCCTAATGCTACAACGTTCACCCCAAATCGTCCTATATACTTGTAGGAACAGACGGGGGATCACAAATATTGACCGGGCCTCGATCAGGCTGAACAAACTCTTTTACCAAGTTTCTTCTTATTTGGTTAAATCTTCCGTGTTTTTGCACAGACGCAGTGGGAGGAGAGGATCAACGTCGTTTCAAAACTGAAGAAAAATACCAAAATAAATAAATAAGATAAAATAAAAAGTCAAGACGAAGAAGTCCTTCAATTCACCTAGAAAGCAGAGAAGCTATCGGTGTTGTCTTGAACTTGCTTGCCAGAAAGTTGGCATGGAGCCCCCTGCTGTGAGGTTTGCCTGATTTCCACGCATTACTATGCTCTGTCACAATTTGGGCACCGTCTTCTGCATGCCTACCATCTACCCCGGATCTGTACTTTGCGATGCCCAATTACAGGGGTCATCCCTGAACGAGACTACCCAACGGCGGGGTATCTGCAGGTCGAAGACGAACTGCTGCCGGTCGGGGCCACCCGTTCTTTGTTGTTGGTCGGCGATTCGCTCGGCCTGTCGAACCTGCGATTCCAAATTCCTCCTTGACGAACCTGTCACCTGCAGCAAAAATAATCCACGAGACTCGGTGCCTTTCCCTTTCGCCAACAGTTGTACTAGTGCACTTGACTACAATAGGTCTCAACCCTGTATCGGAGGCTATCTTCATAGCCAGAAGCTGGAATGATCAAAAAGTCCAGGACAATTATCACCGGCCGATAACCTGTCCAGCTTCGGAATCCATTTCCATACAACACCTGTGGCTAGCTGAATGTTTCACATGATCAGGGCCATGGCCTCCAGTCGTATTCTTCAGCTGCCGAGATTTCATTATTCATGCCACTATTTAACCTGGAAGGTCGGGCCCGAAATCAGACGACGCTGAACTTTACCAATCGTCTTCGGTATGATGAACCTGAACATCAGTACTAGCAAGAATTCAGGTAGTGCTGACGCCGAGAAAGAACGCTGAAGCTGTCGAGCTCAGCTTGCATCTTGTCATATGTTGCCTAACGTGCATAGAATGAGCAAACATACCTTATCGGGGGCCTCTTTGGTAAAACGATTGGTCTAGCTGAAAGGTCTAGACCCGTCGACCTTGTAGGACACTTGAAGGACCCCGAGTATTTCGCAGAGAGAAGTATACTCGTGATGTTGACTTCCAACTCAATCCGAGCACCAGCCAGCCATGAACCGCTGTCCGAGTTCGGTGGCGTGGCTCGAGTTCCAATTACAATTTATTTCCACCTCCTCTCTGGATAGGACGCGTGAACCATCGAACCGGCATTGCAGCATAGGTAAGCCACGCTGCAGCCTACGAACAATGTCACGTCCATCTTCATAGGGTGGCCCGTTGAGGATACAGCCAGCCACGTTGAGCACATGCGCCCAGCGTCTTGATTTGCTCAGAAAGTACAAACCAAGCCCGCGTCCTATTGCAATAGAGGGTGCCTGAAATATGCGACCGAGCTCCGGGCATAAATTCGAGCTGATATCCGCTCGACTTTCGGTGGAGCATCATCCACTTCGGAGACTTGCATTCGAAAGCCAAAGTTCAATCCACCCCACCTCGATACCTGCTCAGAATGCTGTTCAAGTTCGCTGCCGTCGCCTTTATCCTAGCGGGACAATGCTTTGCTTCCGCTATTCGTACGTGTATCAGAGGCACCCACTCTGATATGATTGCTAATGATCGATAGACAACGTTGAACAGCCGCAGTCACTCCTGGCCAATGGCGACATCGGCATCCTCGGATGCACTGACGCTGGTCGTGACAATCCAAACTGTATGTTCTCGTGCTTGCCATAGTAGAGCAAATCTGATTCGATTCAAACTAGGTGTCTGGTGTGGAACCGCCCCTTGGTGTAGCAGTGGCTGTCCCGGAGGAACAGTTCAACGCGGGTGGGATGCCTGCGGTGTCGGCAAATGCTGTGTCGTTGGGATGAAGCGGCTCTGCTGTCCTTGTATGTCTGTTCCCACCAATTTGATATATTCTTGAGACTGACTATATAGCCTACATGGCCAACGAGGAAGCCACTCCTCCCAAGGAGCCTGAGGCCGAAACCGTCGTGGAACACTATGAGATAACTATTGAGAAGACTGTGGAGTCTCCAACGGAGTCCTCTATCCAAGCAGATAGCGAAAATAAATGTGTGTTTCTTCCTTCCGTCCAGGCAGTGACATGCTGACCATAGAAAACCATCTGCAGGTGTCGTGGCCGGATTCGCTCCCTTCTGCCGGGGCGAGTGTCCGGATGGTTACAAGAAAAAAGCTCAGGACAAGTGCCTGGGACCGGGACCCTGCTGTATCACCGGGTCCAAAGCTCTGTGTTGCACTGAGTAGATCGTCGACAGTTTGTTGAGGCCGAATTTTTCATGAAATTGCGCACTGGTGATATGAGGTCAGAATCATTGCCTGAGATAGGCTTACTCTCTTTATTTTTGTTGCCGGGGAAATATCCCATCAGGACGAGGTTTTCAATATACTTCAGCTACTCATTAATGCTGCGTTATATCTAGTCTAGGCTATTCTCGAGATGATCGGCATAATTTGGAGCAGCTGGTGTCTTGTAAGATGGCGATTCAAAACTAAGCGCTGTAGAGAGTTAAAAAAAGAACTTGGTCTACAGGAAATAATACCTAAATGAGACCTGTCTTTCTGCGCCTTTCAACTGTGAATCTGTCAGGCCAACAATGAGGCAGCGAATACCTGCCAATCTCCGAGCCAATTCCCTCTCTCTCTTCCTTCCACATCACTGCCATCATCAAATTCATCGCCTGCCCACCATCTTCAATCATCTGGTTTTCCATGACCTATCATCTCCCAAAACGCCACGAATGTCGCATCGGACATATTACCTCTAGTCGCAGATTATTGGTGGTGCCTCAGATGACGGGGTGTTTAGGCGCCGGGTTCGCCCCGTCAAGATTACCTATGCAGGGGTTCGAAACAACCCCGACTCCAGTGCAGCGTTAAGCCATGACCAATTGTTGCTTTGGGCGCATCGCGTGCCAATGAGATATGTATTCTATCCCACATAATCAGCTATTTTTAACCTTGTCGTGACGCCGTATTCGGCCAGAACAGCGTCTCAGAAACATAAATAGCCTCGGAGATCCAATTTCTTCTGACCTGATTGTGGTAACCACTGTTTCCTGCAACTTCACAATGTCTTACAATCCAAAAACTCTGGCACTGTCGAATCTCTTGGGCGAAAGAATCCAAGGCTCCTCTGGAGGTTCCATCGCAGCAATCGCTGCCAACGATTCTCGTCAATTTGTCGGCAAAGCCGAGAATGTCCACTTTCATGGCAAGTCATCCGACCGATCCATCACTAGCCAGGGCTAATTAAAGAACAGGGGATGCAACCCAGTTCCTTGACGATATACACTTACCATGTGTGAAGAGTGCGCGGTTCAACTCACTCGCTGATAGCGACGAACCTTCCTACTGCCTCGAAAACACGCGCGTCCAGATCCTCCGTGACATTGACGAGTGGGCTAATGCCCGAGAAAGTCCCTGCATATTTTGGATGAGTGGCTTGGCTGGGACAGGAAAGTCAACAATAGCCCGGACCGTGGCTCGCAGATACGATGACAAAGGTCGACTCGGAGCGAGTTTCTTTTTTTCCGCTCTCCATTCTGACACCAAGTGCGCGACGAGCTTTGTGACTACAATCGCACGACAGTTGGCGAACGCTGATGCTTCTCTGTGTGATGAGATCAACCAAGTGGTTCGTCAAAGAAGGGACATATCCAGCTATGCTCTTGACGATCAGTGGCGTCATCTTATTTTAGATCCTTTGGCTCGCGCTAAACTAGAGCCAGGTCGGTCTCCTTACATCTTGGTCGTTGATGCCTTGGAAAATTGCGAGACAACGACAGGAATTGCAACAATAGTCCGCCTTCTTGCCCAAGTGCAAACACTTGGGTCAGGGGTGTTGCGCGTATTCCTCACAAGCAGACCTGATGCATGGATTGGGGCCAGATTTGACGACATACCAGAAAGCAAAAAGCGGTGCTTTAAGCTTCACAGTATAGACTACAGGATTGTCGGTCGCGATGTAAATACGTTCCTCGCCCATAACTTTCGGAGAATCGCGAAGGACAGTTACCAGAATACGGACTGGCCTGGAGCCGACACAATTGATCTTTTGACGCAGAAGGCCGGTGGTTTGTTCATCTGGGCTGCGTCTGCATGCAAATTTGTCGGATCGGACAGTCGGTTCTCGCGCCAGCGCCTGACTCGATTGCTCAACGGGAGTATTTCTGTTGACGATCCAAGATCAGAGTTGGACAATATTTACATCACTGCCCTTCGGGGTACTGTCTCTGAAAGACAGGCGACCGAAGAAAAGGTTTTTATCTACAATACCGTCCGCCTTATCTTGGGGACCATGGCCGTTCTTGTCTCTCCGTTGCCAGTTATTGATCTAGGGGCTTTATTCCAATCGGTGCCCCGATCATTTCGCACAGGATTTCCGGAGTGTAAGGGTATAAGCGCCCGTGAAATACAGCTAAATCTCAGGCGCTTAGACGCGATCGTCGATCTTCCTGAACATGACCGTCAATCCCCTCGCCTCCACCACCCCAATTTGGGTGAGTTCCTCTTTGATCAAGCGAGATGTACGGAACAAGCATTTCTGGCGGATAAGAGGCAGATACACCTCACCCTGGCTGGATGTTGTGTGGGTATTATGTCCCAAACGTGGGATGTCTGTCCTCGTGACCGAGGAATATTCGGCCTGGGCGGCCGTAGGGTCGCTGTCACCGATGTCAGCCAAGGACAGATAGAGCAGTGGCTTCCAGCTAGCTTGCGGTATGCATGTCTCTACTGGGTGCACCATCTACAGCAGAGCGGTGCCAAAATCGACCAAAACGACGCTTTTGATTGTTTTCTCCAGAGACATCTCTTACATTGGCTTGAGGGCCTTAGTTGGATGAAGAAAATCCCCGATGGGGTCCGCGCAATTGCATCCTTGGAGTCCATGACTTTGGTGAGTTGTGATCCGTTTAATCGCGCGCAAATGAGCTAACCAATCCAAGAGTAAAAGTGTCGGCGCAAATATCCGTGATGCAAAGCGGCTTACGCTGTCTAGCCAACCTGCAATAGAAACATATCCGCTGCAAATATATGCAAGTGCACTGTCAGACTCTCCTTTGGAAACGAAGCATTGCATCAGAAGTCATTGATGCAAAATGCGAGGGGACGTGATATCGGATCACACACTATTGTATGGCCTTCGATTTCTCTAAATATATCGTCCATGTGTGTGCCCTCCACTGCAGTTTCCTGAACCACCTACTCTCTCGATTTGATTCATTTGTTAATTCTTTTATCAAACTAGCCCTATATATAACATTCTTATCTTCATGATGAGCACATACGACCACAGGGTGAGGAGAACAGGGCTTCCCGTCCGCTCAGCCGTACTTAAGCCTCACGCCGGCCGGTTAGTAGTTGGGTGGGTGACCACCAGCGAATCCCGGCTGTTGTATGTTTTTGTTTTTTATTTATTATCTCTTTGTTTACTTTTGTTCAGCAGGTGGACTCTGAATGCTGTTTTCGCAGTTTCATGCCCAATTGGGGAGGGAGAAGGCAATGGAATTCGGGTTGCTCAATTAAGGCGGCGTGGTACCTCGGGGCACCGTACGGAGGCCAAAAAAATCAATTGTCGAGTATCGTAGGAAAGTCTGGCGGGCCTTTAACTCACTCCAATTAACATCGATATTTTAGAAAAGGCTTTATTCCATCTTTTCCAAGGGAGCACGATTGATAGTAGCGTCTGATTTCGAGAGTGTGATCGCTATAAAATTCAGTAATGCCATTATTGGACTGAGAAATAGTTGCAAGAATCGAGCATCCACGCTAAAAATAGCACATCCAGAGCAATTGTTCTTTGAGGAATGGGATAGTTTTTGTCATGTTCGCAGGTGTTTATTGTCGTTCTAATTAGCATGTATATTTTTTTTTCGGCAAATCAATGATTATCACAGAAGAGAAGATGGACTCATACATGTTATCCATCTTGACCTCTCCGTTTTGACTTGACTGTTTCTCTTGCACCAGTTCTTGTTGGTTTGATGCTCTTGAGTTCCATGATCACGGAGTCGACAAGATACTTCTCCTCAGGGCATCATATATGTGTAATTCCTTCCTATGTAGGTTTAATACTGGGGGATTGAACAATGTACTTTAGTAAAGATCCCAACTTGATAACAAGCCTTCCAAGCTTCTCCCCCCACTGTCAAAACGCTAAAGTATTAAAATCGAATAATTCTATTCTAATGAAAGTAGAAAATGCGAAACGAGATCTAGATAGATAATCATGCGGTATACTCCGTAAGAGAACTGAATCTTCATTTATAAGGTCCTCAATGAGCGAGCAAAATACCTAAAACCCCTGACCGATGGGTTTCTCGACTCATTTGAGGCCTTATGGGATCAAAGATATTTTGACGGCACTAACAGCGGTCGGTGATAGACCCTACCTACTTCATGCATATAATTTCCTCGCGGCCAGTTTCAGTAAACAGGCCATGTAGGATCGATCATATAATCAAAATCTAGCATCCTTCAGTCGCCGAAGGCCGGGATTGAAGCGGGCTAAATCGAACACGGGATGAGTCCGAATTTTAATATTGATGCTATACCACCTTTGACATGACTTGTGGATAAATCTGTTAGCGCAGCGCCTGGTCTTTCATGATTGGAGAACCCATGTCTCCCTGTTGTTATTTCTTTTCCACCTTCTGAGCCGTGTAGCGGGGACGTATTTAACAATACAGCAAGGGTCTGATCGGTACGTCTCGGCGGAATGTTGTAATGACAAAACCGTTGAGTATTTTGCAGAACGGTGTTATGAAGCGTCGGAGATGGTTGCTCGTAATGTCCTAGGGCGGGTTGCGCCGGTTGACAGCTGCCCTGCCATCCTAGATACGCTTGCAATTGGTCGGATTGGAGGATGGTTAATATCAACGACCCGCCTTTAGCTTATACTACGTAGTATCCTCGTATCCCCACCCAGAATGCAACTGGGCCTCGAGCAATGTGCTTTCCTGTTAGCCCTGCTCGCTTCATTGAGGGGTGTTTAGACAACCAGCTCTGCTCGGACCAATTAAATGAAATTGGCCAGGCAATTCATTCACACACGGGACGAAAACCAGTCGTCTAATGCTCCAATGCTGAAGAATTGTGCACAGCAGGCCGCTAGCCGACTAGTGATGTCTTGGTTTGGAAAAGGTTTTGCAGAAACGGTGGGTTCCTCGGCCGGGAAAGAATCCCTTTCATCTTATCTGATCATCTGATTATCTCTGGGTTCCCCCGATTCCCCCGTTGTTTCCTTGAAGTCTCTGGATTTCACAACAGGCCTCAATTTCATATCCAATTCACCCCATATTCAATCGCTATACCCTCCGACTCCATGGCCAGCGAAGGTCTTCCCAAAAATCAGGACCTCTCGGATCCCGAAACACAATACATCTTGGACGGCAATGCCAGGTTTCGCCGGCTAGGATGGAAACGCCTTACCGTCATTTCCATAGTGGAGGCCATCGCTCTGGGAAGCTTGGGCCTGCCTTCTGCCTTCGCCACGCTGGGCATGGTTGCCGGTGTCATCCTCACAGTCGGCATCGGTCTGGTGGCGATGTATGCGGGCTATAACATCGGACAAGTGAAGTTACGGTACCCTCAAGTTGGGCACTATGCGGACGTCGGCCAGCTTCTGCTGGGGAGTGTGGGATCCAAGATCTTCGTGGGAAGCTTCGTGGCTTTGTTGATCTTCGTTATCGGTTCCCACTGCTTGACCGGCGCAATTGCCTTCCAGACCATCACTGAAAGCGGCGTCTTTTCGGTCGTCTTCAGTGTTGTCTCCGCTGCCATTCTGATGATGCTCGCTATTCCTCCGTCTTTTGCTGAGATTGCAATCCTTGGGTATATCGATTTCGCTTCGATCATCTTGGCGATCGGAATCACCGTGATTGCAACCGGCATTCAAACCTCCAATGGCTCTGGTACCTTCTCTACCGATCATTCACCGTGGTCAGCATGGCCGATAGCCGGGATCACCTTCTCGCAAGCCATCGTGGCCACCAACAATATTGTCTTCGCGTACTCTTTCGCCGGCTGCTTGCCCTCATTCATGGAAGATATGCACACTCCCGAAGATTATATCAAAACCCTCTGGTGGCTAGGAGGCATCCAAATCGTCATCTATACTCTGACAGGATCGCTGATCTACGCGTTCGTAGGCCAGGAGGTGCAATCGCCTGCATTGCTATCGGCCGGACCAGTCATTTCCCGCGTGGTATTCGGCATAGCCCTTCCGGTCATCTTCATCTCCGGCTCCATCAATACCACCGTCGTCTGCCGATACATCCACGGCAAAGTCTACCATGACTCGGCCGCCCGATTTATCAACACCCGCAAGGGCTGGATGACTTGGTTAGGTCTCATTTCACTGGTCACTGTCCTGGCTTGGGTGATTGCCGAAGCTATTCCTATTTTCTCGGAGCTGCTTTCGATCATCTCGGCGCTTTTCGTCTCCGGTCTGTCGTTTTATATTCCGCCGGTGATGTGGTTTGTGCTGTTGAGGGAGGGCGCGTGGTACGAGAAGCATAATTTGCAGCCCGCGGTTTGTAATTTGGTGGTTTTTATCGTTGGTATGGTTGTTTTTGGTTGTGGCACTTACTCGAGCATTGCAGAATTAGTAGGTCTTTCTCTTTGGGCATTGCGTCAGATGCTAACGATAATTATAGGTTTCGAAGTTTCAGTCAGGGGCCATAAGCAAGCCTTTCACGTGTTAAGAAAGCCTTACGGTATGATCATGTGTTGAATGTGCTGATGAACCTGTACTATGTTGTTTATGATGGTAGGGAATGGGATGAAGACGAATGTATTTAGAACTTATATATTCCGATTAAGGCAAAAAAGATCTAGAGATGTTCAGTCTAAGACGCTATTCCCAAATCTGTTCATCTCTAATATTTCCATTGTAAAAAGCCTGGTGAAAATTGGCACTGTGGTTGCCACTTGCGCTTCTATTCCTAGCTAAGCAAGAGCGAACAAAACAACTCTACGTATGACCATGTAAATCTAGAGCCTATGTCTCATCCCACGCAATATTCGGGCTCTAAGAGTTTGTATCCATGCGTTCGAGATTCCTATGATCGTGCCGCAGCAGCTTTGGCCCACTCTTCAAACAACGGATGGAGACGGCTGGCTTCACGGTCGGCGACGTCGGAGAAATCGCTAGCAGCACCGAATGGGTGGTAAGGGAAAGGTCTGAAGAAGACAAATTTGCGTCAGTCTATTTCAAGCCCATCCCGGTGACGTCAGGGTATGGAATAGTCAATCACTAACCCGTATTCAGGAACAAATGTGATGGGTTCCGATTTGAATGTGCCAGTCGCAAATGACTCGATGATCTGTTTCCACGAATCTTCGAAGAACCGTCTTTCCTCCGCGAAGATTGGGTTCGTCGGCTCTGGGCATTGCGACGACTGCGTTGTGCCCATTCTAGCATGGATATGGTTGACCTTGAGAATGTTAGTCTTGTACGGACACGCTTCGTCGGGGCTTATGACTTACATGGGGTATGATTGTGCGAAGCAGTTCCTTGTCCTCCTCGCCTTGATCCAGCAGGCGTTCGCAGACGACCACGAAGTGAGAAAAGTCGGCCGTCACACGCAGACTTCATCAATCGTTAGCGGATCCCACAAGCCAATGCATCGCTATCATACCTAGGCACCCTCTTCAACACTCTTGCGGTAGAGTATGGACTGAAAAAGGCTCGGTTGCGGTGCGTCTCGTGGCAGACCTTCCCCTGCAGCCCGACCTCGGCATCGACGAGCAGAGAGCCCTCGAAGAACTCGACCGCCTCGTCAACCGACCATTGATCATCTCCAGAATGCGCATTGATCTTGTATGGCTTGAGCGTCTTGGCGCGCTCCAACTGTGTGCGATAACCCGCAAGGTGATCCCTTGGTGTGAGACCCGGGGGCTTCGGACCGGCATACATGGGCCAGAGGGTATGGATCCTAGAGAGCATTAAAAAGTGATCGCGACATTATTTCAGCCTCACTCACAGTACACTGATCTCAAGGCCAACCTCGTCGCAAAGTCGACGAATCGCGGCCAAATCCTCGAAAGGTGCAATGTCGATTTCCACTCCGGCTAATTGACTTGTGTTAGCTTCTTGGTTCGCACAAGCAAGACAGACTCATTCACTGTAACTCTGGGACTTTAGAGTGGGAAACCATCTGGCCCAATTTGCATAGTTCACTCCAGCATCAACACCCCAGATCGAGCGAAAGCGCAGCACAGAAGTCATCGTGATCTTCGAACGTGTACAGGAAGCTTGGAACTTTGCAGACTCAGAAATCCTGACCCCAGCCTGCACCAGCCTTCGACAAGGCTTCCATTTTGTACCCCGTCCTGATCTCCACATACCCTCTCAGACCATCACGATTGACAAGAACAAGGTGAGGCCATCTCCATCGCATTTGAATAGGCAACGTTCCCCGCGTGCCGACGCCAAGAACAACCCCGCCGACGTGGAAGGGGAAATCTTGCCCGATCGCAAGGGTAATTTTGCCCTGATCGGCGAGAATTGAGCTCATGGAGCCTCTCCATGGCGGGGATTGATTTGAACGGAATCCTGAACCCGATTTGGAATGGGATGTTTGCCCGCAGGCGCCTTGCGCAGCTCATATATCTCCCAGATCCCCAATCCCCAATCCCCGACCTCCGACCGGACAATTTTCATTCAATGCGATCGCACTTCTTTCATTCATCACCATGGCCTCCACGATGAAAGCACTCAACTATCTCGGCCCTTACAAGGTGCGCGTGGAAGACGTCGACAGGCCGAAGCTGGAACACCCCGATGACGTCATTGTCAAAGTCACCACGGTATGCTGTCTTTCAAGCGACTAATATCTTCGTGCTAATGAGATTGATAGGCTGCAATCTGCGGATCAGACCTGCAGTGAGTATTCAAGGGGGTGTAGTCGACGATGTGTGGTCGCATTGACTCACGAAACGCAGCATGTACGAAGGGCGCACGGCGGCAGAACCCGGGATTACATTTGGTCGGTGGTCAACATTGGTCGATAAGGAATCCTCGCTGACACGGATTAAGGCCACGAAAACATGGGTATTGTGGAGGAACTGGGAGAAGGAGTGACATTGTTGAAGAAGGGAGACCGCGTGGTGATGCCATTCAATGTGGCCGATGGCAGATGCCGCAACTGCGAGCAGGGCTATACTGCCTTTTGCACAGGGGTCAACCCCGGTTTTGCTGGTGGCGCTTATGGTATGGGTTGAGTGTTGTTCTCACGGGTCGCTGGCTGACGCTCTGCAGGATATGTTGCCATGGGCCCGTATCGAGGAGGTATGCTGACAGTGCCCTCTGATGGCAAGAATAATTCAAGCTAACCGAGTGAAATCCAGGCCAGGCCCAGTATATCCGTGTTCCATATGCCGACTTCAATGCGCTTCTACTACCCCCGGGAACGGAGCATGAGGCCGACTTTGTTCTTCTTGCTGGTGAGTTCTCAACGATAATCTCAATTGCAACCTTTCTAACGGAACACCATAGATATCTTTCCAACAGGTACACTCCGAGCCCCTCTCCTTAATAACCGTGGATCCTGACTCGTGGTCTAGGCTGGCATGGCGTGGAAATCTCTGGCTTCAAATCCGGAGAAAGCATCGCGGTTTTCGGTGCTGGTCCCGTAGGTCTCATGGCCGCGTACTCTGCCACCTTGCGCGGAGCGTCTCGCGTGTTCGTTGTCGACCGAGTCCCTGAGCGACTCGCTGCGGCTCAGAAGATCGGCTGCATTCCCATTGACTTCACCACCGTGAATACCGTGGAGGAGATTATCCGTCTGAACGGCGGAATGGTCGATCGGTCTGTCGATGCGGTGGGTTACCAAGCTGTTGACAAGAGTGGTTCATCAGAGAAGCCCAACATTGTGCTGGAGAACATGATTAGTGTCACGCGGGCCTGTGGCGGCATGGGGATCCCGGGACTATATGTGCCTAGGTATGTGCTCTTTCCTGACGATGCCTCCAGTATACTGACCTGGAGCAGTGACCCAGGGGCTTCCGACGAGGCCTCCGCCAAGGGCGCCATCAGTCTCAGCTTCGGAAAGCTCTTTGAAAAGGTATGACCCATCACTGTATGTGCCCGACTCATCCCACTTATATATTTCACTTTTTTAGGGATTGTCGTTAGCCACGGGTCAATGCAATGTCAAGGCCTATAACCGATACCTGCGGGATATGATTGTGGCCGGCAAGGCCAAGCCGAGCTTTGTGATTTCCCATGAGATCGCGCTGGATGATGCCGAGATTGCCTATCACAAGTTCGACAAGAGGGAAGACGGGTACACCAAGGTCATCATCCATCCCAATGGCGGTTTTCCTGTCTCTAGTGCTCCCGCGCAATCCCATTTGTAGATAGGTAGGTAGACTGGTAGATTATATGTATGAACTTTTACTCGAATGGATATTTGCGGTAGGCATGGCTGCTGGACATGTTAAATCTACTACGCGGTAATAAGCCGCATAATAAATGAAATTGACTTCTTCCATTTTTAATCGGCCCGTATTAATCTGAGGATCAGCACCGATTCAACGCGTAGTTTTCAATTAGGTTCCACCGAGGGCGCTCGGTTTGAGGGTTCTTAGGCAGTGGTGAGTTTCAATTTCTGGCACTGCAGTCTCTTCTGCTGAGTGGGACTGAAACTCGTGGATCGATCAATGTGTACGAATATCAATCGTCAAGATAACTGCGTGATTCACCAAGGGATTTGATTGTAGTAGTTCTTGCTGTATGAGCCAGGCTGATACAACTTCTAGATCGAACCACACTAATGAAATAGGAAAAAATTAGAAAAAGAGTCTACTTCTCCGTTCATGCTCTTTTCAGGCCACCTTTCTCGGTCAACATAGATAAGATCAGTGCCATTAGCCCAGAAAGTTTAGACCTAGCAGTATGACCGGAACACGACTGCACTTGGCTATGGACGAGAACTTTTGACATTAGATAGACCATTGCACGGTGAGTGATAGTGGAAAACAACAGGAATTGTCATTTGAGTGAACAGGTGAGGCCGCCATTCAGTAGAACTTCGTATTTGGAGGGAGACCTTCCTTTTGATCTTCTCTCTGGAATCATGTTAGAACCGCCTCTGCTCCCCTGACTCATGTATATACGTGCCAAAAGATCTCCAAAGCTTGCAGCGAGCTTCACCTCGTAGTCAAAGTATCCCTCCGCCTGAGAGTTTACGGATTGTTTATCTGGGAAGGTTACTGCAACATCGAAATCTATCCAAACGACTCTCTCCGGTGGTCCACGGACGATGAGAATATTCTTCGGATATATGTCGCGGTGATGAACTAGAGCACCGTGGATCTCCTTCAGCCCGCGAATGACCACTCGAAAGCGGTCATCTGAATAGTTCACACAGTTAAGCTCTTCTGTATCCTCCAAATACTCGAGTAATATAGCACTCGGGTTGTTTACGTCGTCCACAAAGTGATTGAGATGCGGTTGGAAACGGGCTGGATCAAGTCGATCAAAATAACCATGATAGTACGGAACTGATCCACGATCGCATACACCAAAAAGTCGTAGGTTTCGGTACGCTCTCAATTCGCAGCGAAAACGGTTCAAGTCACAGCCCTTCTCTGTGAATCCCGGGTCACCGTTGTCATGAAACTGGGGAGTTAGTGTTGGTTAGTGAAATAGACCACCACTCACTTACTACTTCCATTGCATAGCGAGTTCCTTGTATCTCTACCTCAAAGATAGAGGATGCTTCCGATCTTCCGAGTTCCTTGCCGATCTGTAAAAGACCCGGAGAAGTATTCAGAGCATCTGAGGAATGTTGAGACATTTGGTTGGTAAAGACTTATTGTAAGAACAAAGTGCTGTTGTGGGAAAGCGACCGAGCTGGAGGGATACAACGACGATCGAAGGAGGTCATCCCGCATACGCCGGTAGATGGTCCCGTGACCCTCCGCCCGCCTCGCATCCCTTCGGAGTAGTATAGTCACCACATGCTGTATCCGGTTTGAATTGGTCGGGGTAATGGTAGAGAGTTCAGCCAGACGCTCTAGAGCAGGTTGTTCAAAACGAGCACGGATTACACGCCTCATCCGAGGTATAATTAAATCGTGGAAGCGTGGCCTTCGTCTCAAATTGATAGATCCTGAACCAATTGGCTGACCTTCTCTCAAAGGATATTTATACTGCCCCGGGGCCGCTCATAGCTAAGATTTGTGGGGTGGCATGGTCAAAGTCTTTCCTGTATACTCGTAAGTATTCGCCTGGAATGGTTTCCGCACTTGGAACTCGGACGTGTTTTGGGGATAATACATATATTTCGGCCAGATCGGTTCTTATGCGGATCTTCAAGAGGAAATAATGTAATTCAATGGACATCCCAACTTGACTCGAGGCCTTCCAAGCTGCTTTCGTGCCGCGCCACCCGTGCATTTGTCCATGCAAACACTGAGGCGTTGATGATGGATGACATCAATCCAATCGAGGCGGAAAATACTTCATGAGGTTCGCTCACGGTCCTGCGGCGTAGGAAAGGAATATTAGTACATGGGGTCCGTGATTGGTAGCGAACATGCCCAGAAAGCTAACCTGTGCTATCCTTTCTCAATGGCTGATGAGAGACACGCTCAATACCAGAATGTTCGTGGCACAGCTGCATCCCTGCCGGCTGGTGGACTTCGCTCTCTTGCCGAGCCTGACCCACTTAAACCCGAAGCCAATGAATATGATGGACATTCTGGAAGGTGGAGTTGGCGCAGTCACAGAAATGCAGATGGATGACGCTGGCCCACTACTCCTGAATTGTGCGCCGATGGGGAAGGGATTGGCGTGAGGAAGGGGCAACGTAAAAGGTGCGACTGACTGACAGTGGGTGTGCCGTGTTCGTCGGAGGATTCGCAAGACGATTTTCACAGAGAGGAGTTCAGGAGTGTTTAGGAGGAAGTGTTTATTCCTGACGAAATGGTGATCCGATGGGCCTCAGGCACTGAAGAGTCGGCCGATCGGGAAAGTCGCCGTCACTTTCTCTCGCTCTTCTTCTTTCTCTCTCTCATCTCCTTCCACCATCCACTCACTAGTCATTTGAATCCATCCCATTTCCCTGCTCAACCATGCCAAGTCAATTCAATAGACCATATCAACTAGTTATCTCACGTCCAAGTCAACCTCCATCGTGATTGGATTGGCATCCCCTGGCAAGCACTGGGCAGTCCCACGGTGGGGTTTGCGCAGGTTTATTATTGCCTTTCTGGCGGTTTGATTCCGGGCGCAGCAAGTCGTCGTCACCTTTCCTGCTCAACGCCGTTTATCGCTCGGATCCACGGTGCTGGCTTGGCGGGTCCGGAGAACAGGTCCTGGGTCGAATCACAGCGTCGAGATGCCTCCTGCCGCGCTCCATGCGTCTCCGCCTGGATGGATTATCGACATGAAACCGCGTGGATTGCTGATCTTGGCATCTCTTGGGGCCCCCAGCCGGAGGGGATAGAGGGGATACGAAAACGATTCATTTGGTGGTCTTATCTCCGAGCTGGTAGTGAAATAAATCTCCCCGACTTCCTGTCCTTGATGGTTCCAGTTTCATCACCGTTCGGTCTCGCCATGTCCCAATGTCCTGTTGGACTTGGACCTCTCAATACCTTCGTCGCCGGTCAAGGCCGTCCTGTCTTCAGGTCATCGCGGTCGGGGCTGTCACCAGTCTGATCTATCTGTTCTACGTCTTTGTCGTTCCTCACCTCTATCGCCTGCGACTCCGCACCGATCTGTCAACATATGATCTGGGCCTGTACGGTTTCGGTCCTTCTAAGAGCTATGCCTCGTTTGACTATGAATCTCCGGTCGTCGAAATTTCCGAATGGGGTTCTGGATGCGACCCGCGGTATACATTCCTGGCTCCTCGCGGGGATTCGGTCGCCAATCCGGGCCCGATGATCCTTGACGCCGATGGGGAATTGGTTTGGGCAAAATGGAATTGGGGTACAACGCAGGATTTCAAGGTCCAACACTATCGCGGCGAGGATTTCCTCACATACTGGGAAGGAGGTCAGGTTGCTGGTCGAGGGTATGGAACATGGTATATGGTAGGTGGCTACTCAATCCTGAGCGAGCTCGACTGACCTTTTAGCTCGACAACACCTACACCCAGCGATATACGCTGAATCCCGTCGGTAACTACGGCGGCGACCTTCATGAGTTTACCATCAGTCGGGATGGAACCGCGCTGGTGTCAGTATACGATCCCACGCCCGTGGACTTGACCTCCGTTGGAGGTCCTGAACTGGGCTGGATCTTCGATGCCGTTTTTCAAGAACTCGACATTGAAACCGGCGAACTTCTCTTCGAATGGCGCGCGTCCAAACACGTTCCTATCAATAGCACGTACGAACCTTTGGGTGCCGAAGGACGGGATCGCCCGTCTGCGTTCGACTATTATCATATCAACAGCGTCGACAAAACAGACGACGGGAATTTTATTATCTCTGGACGGCACACCCACACGGTCACCTGCATCGACCGAAACACCGGGGCTATCCTGTGGACTCTTGGCGGAAAGGCCAACGATTTCACCGATCTATCCGACGGCGACGCGACCGGGTTCGCCTGGCAACATGACGCGCGCTGGCACGCGAACAGCACCGTGACTCTCTTCGATAATTCGGCACACTCGGGAACCGATCCCGTCAGCGAAAGTCGCGGCCTGGTCATTCAGCTGGACGTCCCCAACCGCAAAGCCACCCTGCTCGGGGCGTACTACCACCCCCAGCAGCTGCTCTCCACCTCGCAAGGCAACGTGCAGCTTCTAGATGACACTGGCCGAATCCTCGTCGGCTGGGGACATAGCGCCTCTTTCACGGAATATACTGCCGACGGAGACATGCTCTGCAACGTGCATTTCGCCGCGTCGGCGTTTTTCAATTTTGGACGCGTGGTGTCCTACCGCGACTTCAAGGGGTCCTGGGTAGGCCACCCGCAGACCACACCGGACGCCGAGGTCATTGGCGACCATGTCTACGTCAGCTGGAACGGGGCCACCGAGGTCGTCGCTTGGAGGATGGAAGTCTGGGACTCAGATGACTACGACGAAGCCAGCTTCGCAGTGGTTGCGCAGTTCGAAAAGACCGGTTTTGAGACGGAGATTGAGATTCCCGATCTCACTCGACCACTGTTTCGCCTCGCAGCCATCGATCGCGACGGGAAAATGCTCGGTGTTACCGATGTTGTTCAGATCGAACAGGCCGCGGAGACAGATGGCCTTCTCAACCTGCACAGTTGGATTTTGGGGATCGCCTTCTCCACCGCCGCGATGGGTTTGCTTGCCGGGCTCTATCGATGCTGGGGGTGTTGTCGGCGCAAATCTCGGTCGAGTCAGTATCATTTAGTTCCTTTGAACGAGATGGCCGATCGATCTCCTGTTTAGCTCCTGCTTGGCAGAGCATTTTTAATACGCATTCACACTTGTATATAATTTCTAGCATCTGTATATATTGTCAATTTCAAACATTGATCCTGAGCAGTGCGTTTCCCTGTCAAGTTCCTTCATTTAGATTCATTTTGGAGTCACATTCAATTCACTTTCCACGGAGTACGTTCACCTTTCCGAATGACTGTCAAAATGCGATAGAAAACATTGGCACTGAAGCTCAGAATGACTCCCGCTAGCATGCATCCACATCGGCACCGACAGCCGATATCAACCCGACAGCCTACCGACCATGAATGGTGTCAATCAGTGGCTATATGGTATCATCAATTCATCTTTTTCGAGCACTTTATTTACTGTCATTGAGGCCATCATGTCGGCAACAGACCACTCGGTAGTGCACTGCCATTTCACTGCTTGGCACTATGAAGCTCCCTAGGTTCCTGAGTTACTTCAACAAGAGACTGGCTCTGGCCTGCTCATTGATCGCCATCTCTTCCTTCAACTATGGCTTCGACAACCAAGGATTCGCGACCACCCAGGCAATGGATGCTTTTGATCGTCGATTCGGGAAATTCGATCCCGACACGCAAGCATATTCCCTAGACCCTTCGTGGTTATCCATCTTCAACAGCGTCAACTATGCGGGATTTGCGGTAGGTGTGTTCATCGGAAGCACCGTCTCCTCTCGATTCGGTCGACGATGGTGCATGTTCTCCATGAGCGCATACGCCTTGATCACGGCAACAATCACAGTGACGTCCAAGAACCGGGAGCAGATCATGGCTGCGCGCATTCTGAACTACGTGTACGTTGGCATGGAGCTGGCTGTTGTTCCTGCGTTTCAGTCCGAGATCGGTATGTGTTTTTTACTTTTTAATATACTCGGCTAACATAGGCAGTCCCGGCCCCCGTTCGAGGTCTCATCGTCGGAACATATCAGCTGAGCATTATCCTCGGTGGATTGATCATAAACTGCATCTGCAGAGGAACGAGTGAAATCCAAGACGACCGCGCGTGGAGGATCCCGCTGGGCCTATTCTACATCGTCCCGTCGATCATCCTGTCTTTGATCTGGTTCATCCCCGAGAGTCCTCGATGGCTACTCCAGCATGATCGGGCCGATGAGGCGAAAGCGAGTCTTCAACGACTGCGCGAGGGATGCTTCACGCCGCAGGAAATCGACTCGGAGTTCCAGGAGCTGCAGACTGTTCTAGACCGCGAGGTCGAGCAGGGCAGATGGACGGAGATGTTCAAAGGCGTCAATCTCAAGCGCACGATGCTCGTCATCATGGTCAACTTCTTTCAGCAAGCGACCGGACAAGCGTTCAGTTCGCAGTACGGAACCGTCTACATCAAGCAGCTGGGGACTATCAACCCTTTTGACATGACGGTCGTGACGGCGTGCGTTAATCTCATATCCATGATCGCAGCCTTAAGCCTCAGTGATCGAATCGGCCGACGGTACGTCCCCTGCCCTCTTTGCGATCTAAGCTAATAGCCCAGACCGATGCTTCTGACCAGCTCCGCCGTGATGGCCGCCGGCATGCTCACCATGGGAGGACTCGGCATCCCCGACCCCGTCACCGACCAATACAAGAAAGCCATCATCGGGATGTACGTGGTCCTGGCCCTGGGATTCTCGCTGGGCTGGGGACCTCAAGCCTACGTGGTGTCCACCGAGCTGCCCGCGCTGCGACTCCGAGATATGACCCTGCAGCTGGGATTCATCACCAACGTGGCGATGAACTTCGTGGTCAATTTCATCATCCCGTACCTTGTGGACGAGGAATACGCCGGGTTGAACTCGAAGGTTGGGTTTATTTTCGGGTCGCTCTGCCTGTGTGCGTTCGTTTGTGTGTTCTTCTTCGTTCCCGAGTGTCGTGGTAAAACGCTGGAGCAGATCGATGTGATGTTTGATGTGGGCGTGCAGTTGAGGAAATTTGGTTCTTACGCTTACGATGCTGGGCATGTGCGGCGCGATGAGAAGGATGCTGTTCATGTTGGGGAGGCGGAAAAAGGGGAGGGTCGATCGGATGTCTGAGTTCAAAAGGCAGTGTCTGGCTGTCCACCATGATTTTTCCAATTGTTTTGCCCACCTTCACTTGTCTCCCCCACTCCTTCTTAATCTCACTCTCACTCTTTCTCTCTCTGTCTCTCTCATTCACTCTCTTCCCCCGGCATAATGGGTCAATCGAATGTGGGTATACCTTTGATTATGTTGGCACCAGCCCAAGCTAACAAGGGACAGGTCGAGAAACTGTTTACATTTGGCATAGTGGCTGTTGAGCAGCCTCCAGAAGATAGCCTTGGCTAATATAATTTAGCCGGTACACTCCTATCACCCTCAGTGACCGAAACTCACCAGGTGAGCTAAAGTTCAACTTCATTGACGGAATAAACAAGCTTGTTGGTCGTACCGACAAACTCTTACTGCATGGGCTCTATCTGACCCCGCCCTGTCACCATTCGCCGTCGTCGCCGACCTGTCGCGCATGAACAATGCCAGCCCTTCGGTGACGACCAGCCTGTGGGTGACAGTCAGACTGTGGGTGAAAATCAGCCTGTCGGTGAAAACGAGGGAGACTGGATGATGACCGGAGTTTGCAGAGATTGGGAGGATTGAGGTGTTTTCGTTTTTTTTTTTTTTTTTACGTACTCTGGCAAATCGAATGACGCGGCACTCTCCAAGCAACATGAAGAATAGATAAATTTCAGTCACTGCTCCATAGAGAAATGATTCATGACACTCGGTCTTTCACGAAGTAAGAACCCAGATGGCAGTGGTTGAGGTCAAACTAGCATGCTAAGCAGTAAGGGTCAAAAAAAGTATGCGATGCAACTCCAAAAGCAAAACGGCAAGTGTTTATAAGAAGATTTTCGAGTCGTTCGATATCCGTCGCTTGTATTTCTGCTGCGTTTGTGTACGTCTATCTACAATAGAGAGATCTCTCAGAACATGTAATATCATGTTACTAAGTTAGATTCCTGTGCTGGGCTTGAAGGTGTGATGATGCAGGGAATCACTCAGAATTGCTAGTACAACGTCATGCGCAACTGAAATGCTCCCTTGATAGCGAAACCAGTATTCGACCCTTATGGATTCACATCAATTGCCTCCGGTGATAGAATGGACATCCTGACTAAATTAGAGACTGGCATTGGCAGTATTCAAGGAAGGAACTGTCGTGCTTAAGACTTATAGAAGAAATACCATTTACACTGCAGTTAGGGCTACCCGGAAATCAGGTCTTGATACTATCTTCTCGACAACCCCTAGGCACCCATTACCAGGCAGTTCGATTTTTATCTACTATTCGAGCCTTCCATAAACTAAAAATCTTTGATAAATGAAAACTTTGGACATCCTCTAGTGAATAATGGGAACGGATGGTGAATGCTTTGTTTTGGGAAATCGTAAGAACAAACCTGGGTATAGAGGCTATCTAGTGGTGAATATCGCCGTTTCTCCCAGTTTAAAAGCCCAGCCTCTCACTTGTTCTTCTCTTTTTCCTTCAATATTCTCTCTCTGCCTCAATGAAGCGGAATGGTTGACTTACAGTGCCTCAGGCACTCCTGCGTTGCGCGGCGTGAGGAAGGCGCCTCCTTTTCTGCTTTCTTTCCTCGGAGAAGGACAATGGAAGACCCTGATTTGTTGGATCAACAAAAACATCGTATTTGAACTTCACTTCAGGCATCACGAACAAGGTAAGATACCACTTTCAACCAGGGCAGTCGAGAATCTCAAGTGCTCGTTTCGAATTTCAGCTATATAGGATGTGTCTTTGCTTCCTTGTTCAGCGCAAAACACCATGTCCAAAGGATCGTCGCCTTGGTCACAGTATCATGGAACGTGCCTTGACTAAGGTATAGTGAGCTTATCTCTATCCCATCATATTATACTCCTGGCTCTTTTCGCCTCCAGGTTTCTTGTACTAACATCTGAGCAGGGACATATCTGCAGGCTGCCTCTGCCTCCATGGTGTGTGGAAGCAACCCACCTCAACTACGACCCAGCCTTCTGTCGAAGAGACATGCAGCGTTCAGGTCAACAACACAACCATTATCATGGTCGTCAGCCCATCGAGGAACAGGAAAACAAGGTCGTCCTCAAGGCAAAAGGGCACAGGGTGCAAAGTCCTGATGCGGTTGTTTTAATTGCGACAATGAGATTCAACCGGGTCTTACCAGTCTAGTGGATATTCCTCCATGATGGACAATGCCGAGGTCCAAATCATCTACGACCAGATGCGTGAGTATAGTCAGCAAGAGACAGTGATTGGTCTGAATAGGACGATTCCCTTCAAACAGGGCCTCAGACCACAGAAGTCCCGCCGGCTCTGCGGTCAATGTTCGAAACATCAGGCCACTAGGATGACGAATATGGCAGGTGAGATACCATACACTGCATGGTTGTGTCGTACGTGTTTTGAATACCAGGCGAGGACCGGAGACGCACCCCCGGAGAGCGTTTACAATGACCCCTTGCGCAGGAATATTGTCTTCGTATGCAATAACCCAGATTGCAGAACAAAGTCGTCAAAAGTCGTCAGTGGGAAATTGGTCCCGCGACCCATTCGACCGTGCCCCTCTCCTGTGCAGCACATGTTCCTGCTAAATGTGTTGCAACAAGGTATACCGTCCGAAGAAGCTTGTTGAGAATCCCCGGTTTAACCGGAACAAGGTGGAGTTGGTATGTAGCCTCTGTGAAAACACCGTATCGCGGGGCTGGCACAAACATCCGAGCGATACTACCAAGACAATTTGCGACACCTGCTATAAGGAGGCTCATAAGCAGAGTACGGTCATTATGAGACACTTGAACATTGCCACAAGAAAGGCGGCCTGCAAAGAGATCGATGGTCTCGCATTAACGGAGACGTTGTATGTGGATGCTGCTACCAGCGGTACCGAAGAGTTCATCCTGCCGAGAAAAGGACACCAAAGGGGTTGGTTCCCAAGGATCCCAAGAAGAGGATCTGTGGAAGCTGTGGCCGTGTCAACCACACCAATGGCTTTTTGACTCACCCAGAACATGGCCTTATATGCAACACATGTCTTATCAGGGAGCGTAACGACAAGGTCCGTGGGACAAAAACTGTGCAACGATCCCAGAAGTCACTGGAAAAGCAAAAAGACAGTACCGAGTGCTTTCACTGCAAGAAGCAGTTTTCGAAGACCGTTCGGAAGTCCTGGTGGAAAGGACTAGAAGAGTTCTTATGCAAAAGCTGTCATGACTCGGTTCGATTGCGCCGACGGCTGCCAGTATTGCCAGAACAGATTCGAGACTTGATCGTCGAGTGCGATGGGTGCAAAACCAAATATAGTCGAAGCTGGCACATCAGGGATGTCGATAACAAAGGCAGTCTATATTGTGCTCCGTGCTATATCTGTGTCCGCGTCAACAAAACGCCAAGTGCACAGCGTCGATGCGAGTCCAACGAAGGCCCGGAATCAAAAACGTATTATGAGGCCGTCTGCAGCGGCGATAATCACCCTGTGGGTGACAATCAGACGGTCGGTGCCAATCAGACTGTCGGTGAAAGCGAGGGAGACTGAATGATGGCCGGAGTTTGCAGATATTGGGAGGATTGAGGTGTTTTCGTTTTTTTTTTACCTGTAGCCAAAAAAAGTGTAGCCATGGCGGGTTTTTTCTTTTAAGAACAAAAAGGGGGGCTTCAGTTTTTAAGAAAATGAAAATGTTTTTCGCACTTTAATCTTCTCTTCCTCTTCCTTTTCCCACTTGCTTTTCTTTCTGATGGCTCGCTTTCGTCGTCATATCTGGTCACCTGAATGACACGCTACCTCTTCCAGGCACTGAATGGATCGCCGCTAGAATTTTCATTTCCGGTCCTTATCTCGCAGATCGGGTCGATCCCACAGCAATCGCTCCGGGAATCAGAGGTCAAGGACCTGTCGCGGGCTCAGGAGAAACATTTTCTGGTGCTGCTTTGGCAATCTTCTACTTGTATCCACCCGGTCATTTCGGAAGCGGATTTTCGCGCATACTATGAGTCGCTGTGGGCATCGTCCACGCCCAGCGATCAAGATGGCCGGATCCCATCTGTTTTGGTCAATACAACCCTCTTCGTCAACACTTTCGGCCACTCCGGGACTGACGGGGTCGGTGCTGACCGAGGACGACTGGCAGGCCTTGGTGGCCAATGTCCCTCTAGACTTCCCTCGGTCAATTGGTCTGGACTACGAACTACCAGGCCAGGGTATCATCACGCAGCCTACCGATGTGACCTCCCCTACTGCATCTCTTTCGGATGATGCTTTACTAGGGACATACTGGACAGCCAGTGGCCCGATGGCTTGAACACGTTCATGTTTCATACTAGTTCCCTAACCGTCCGACAAAGGCTCTTGGCTAATGATTTGACGTTTATACTGTTTCTCCTTTCTTCGTTTTACGATGATACGATTTGGTGATTCTTGTGCATTGTTGATGCCCGTTTATAAACCCTGGTCGCAGGTTTGTTTCTCGATTACTTTTCCCTGTATACTCCGTACATAGCACATTTCGTTGTCCACGCGCTTGAAACATTGTAAACTTCCGTGCACCACAAATCTCAAGATTCTCATTTTCTCCTTTGTCGTTTCTCGAAGGGGAGGCTCTGGCCAAGCACCTGGTAGGCCTAAAGGTGCATAAACGCGGCATCCGCGGTACGCAAGGGGGAAGCAGCGCATGGTCTCGCCCGACAAAGCGATGGCCCAATACCTGAATTGCACACTGATCCCCACGATATTTCTCCCGTCTCCATAAAATACCTGGCACAATGGCTGATGGTGGGAATAATCAAACCTGGCTAGCGAAACTTACGGTTTTCGCGAAGAAATGCCGTCCCGAAGACATCGACATCGACCGAGTGCCCGAGACCCAGAGAACGGACACTTCGTACTGGAATCTAGGGACAATGGTATCTCTCCCTCCCTATCGCTCTTGGTATGTAACTAAACGACAGGTTTTCTAGTGGGTGGCGGCCAACATGGTTGCGCCTTCACTCACGCTGGGCGGGCTGGGTCAGACAGTGTTTGGCCTTGGCTTTGTCGACGCCGTCCTCGTTATCTTCTTCTTCAATCTGCTCGCCGTGTTGACCGTGTGCTTCTTTTCCATCTTCGGGGTGGCGTTCGGCCTGCGCCAGATGGTGCTTTCACGGTTCTGGTTCGGCTGGTGGGGGGTTAAGGGCAGTACGTCAACGCTCTTGTGCATTAATCTCACAGCTAATCGGGCCCGGTTTAGTCGCTATTCTGAACGTTATGTCCTGCCTGGGCTGGTCCATGGTCAACGTCATTGTCGGGGCGCAATTGCTGTATGCTGTCAACCACAACATACCCGGGTATGCGGGCATCCTCATCCTTGCGTTTCTTACGCTCCTCATCACCTTTTTCGGATACCGTGTCATCCATATGTACGAGAAAGTGAGCCTGTATCCGCCACTGGGTGTTTTTATAACAATAATGGGGGTATTGATCAAGTCAAACGACTTTGTCAACGTGCCCATGGGCCGGGGATGGGCCGAGCTAGGCTCCGTCTTGTCCTTCGGATCGACCGTCTTCGGGTTTGGCACTGGCTATACCAGCGTCGCCGCCGACTACACCGTCTACCAGCCGAGCGACCGCTCTCGATGGCGCATCTTTCTGGCGACTTGGCTTGGGATCCTCCCGACCCTGCTCTTTACCGAAATGCTGGGTGCTGCGTTGGTAACGACCACCTACCCGAATGACGGGAATAATATCTACAAGCAGGGCTATGACGAAGCCAATACCGGAGGCTTGGTGGCTGCTCTCCTCTTTCCGTACGCTAAGGGCTGGGGCAAAGTTTGCGTCGTGCTGCTGGCGCTGTCCATCGTTGCCACCAACTGTCCCAACATCTACTCAGTCTCCTTGACCATGAAAGTCATAGGCGCATGGACAGATCGCGTCCCACGATTCGCCTGGACCATCATCGCCACCGTCATTTACGTGGGCGTTTCCATCCCCGCATACTTCTTCTTTGAAAGCTTCCTGCGCAATTTCATGACCGGCATCGGCTACTGGCTGGCCATCTACGAGGGCATCGCCTTGACGGACCATTTCGTCTTCCAGCGTGGCATGATCGGATATCAGCCCCAGAACTACAACCTGCGCGAGCAATTGCCCGTGGGAATTGCAGCGGTCCTAGCCTTTTTCTGTGGCGCTGCCGGAGTGGCGCTGGGCATGAGCCAAACATGGTGGGTTGGTCCTATTGCTCGACATGCAGGTGTTCCTCCCCGCGGAGGCGACGTCGGATTTGAACTTGGTTTTTTGTTTGCGTCCCTGGGCTATATTGTCCTTCGGTATTTGGAATTATACATATCACTGATGGTGAGACTGGTGAGACTTTTCTCGGGCTAGGGGTCTGGTAGGAGGCATTCACACGCTGGATCCCTCTTCAGGAGATCGGGTTTACATCAACACATATTCCATTCTCGTGTTATTCTCGATATTACCAATTAGCCGATGTCAAGTCTCAACTCACTTCATATAATTACGGAGCAGTGCCGTCCTCACTGCACCACAATCGAAGTGCGATTGCCTCCAGGCTGAGGAAACACATCCAACACCTTATCCTCCCCGGTGATCTTAAACGAAAGCGTATCTTTCTCCCCGATATCAACATGCAGCTCATACTCCCCAGCATACAGCACCTGGTCCCCATTCGTAGCTGTCCGCGCAACCGCCCCAACCGTCACCTCCACATCGACGCTCTGGCTCTGCCCGGGTTTGATCGCCTTTGCTCTTTTATATCCCACCAACGTCTTGATCGGGTACGGTTTCGGTCCAACCTCACCCGTCAGAAAGACAAGAGCCACGTAGTCCGACGTCACCTTGCCTGTGTTCTTAACTGTGAGGGAGAATGTGTCCAGAATCGCTGTGTCCGTGGCATTCGTCCCTGACTTCACAGACACGGTGTCGTAGGAACTCGAGGAGGATGTCCACGATACGTCGAAGGTTGTATAATGCAACCCGAATCCGAACGGGAGTACAGCCTTATCGTACCATCTGTACGTCCGCCCGGGGTTTCCCGATCCAGGACGCAGCGTCATGTCGGTCAGGGGAACCTCGTCGACATAGCTAGCTGGGTACTGCGTCACCGGGAGACGGCCAGCGGGTGCCGCCTTGCCCGTTAAAACGTCGAATATGGCAGCGCCGGCGGCTTGTCCGGGATATCCGGCCCAGAGGAGCGCCCCGACGCCGTCGTTCTCCAGCAACGAAGAGTCGTCGACTTGACCGCCGCCGAACTGCACGACGATGAGCGGCTTGCCAACTTCGGAGAGCTGATCAATTAGTGAGAGCTGGTTCCCGGGCCAGACGATGGTCGTGCGGTCTTTGGACTCGGCTTCGATGTCGTTGTCGATGCCGCCGGCGTAGATGATTATATCGGACTTCTTGGCGGCGGAGAGGGCGGAGTCGAAGCCTGAGGTGCTGTTCGAGTCGGTTTCTGTGCCGGGGACATAGTTGACTTTGAATCCTGCTTGGGATGCGCCCCAGAGGAGGGTGCGAAGGTGCTTGGGGAAACCGTAGTAGTTACCCTGCAGCTGGGTGGTGGCGTTAGCGTAGGGGCCGATCAGCGCGACCGTGCCGTTCTTTTTCAGCGGGAGGGTGTTTTCGTTTTTCAGAAGAACGAGTCCCTCCACGGTCGCTTGGTACGCTAGCTGTTCTGCCTGTGATGTGGATACGTCCTCCCAGCCGAGGGACCGGTAGGGCTGGTCGTCGGCGGGATCGAAGTACCCCAGTTTGACGAGCGACGAGTACAGTCGCGTCAACGCTCGGTCGAGGGTCCGGTTAGTGAAGAGCCCTTGTTGCGCCGCCTCGCCGAGGAATCGAGGGAACACGTCGCCGCAGTCGAGGTCGGTGCCTGCGTTCAAGGCGGCGGCTGCAGCATGCGCTCCGTCCGCGACGTAGTGATGGTCCGCGTAGATGTTCTGGATGGCGCCGCAGTCGCCGGTGACCCAGTGTCCCGGAGCCTCCCATTTCCAGTGCTCGCGCAGCAGGGTTTGCAGGAGCCACGGGTCCGCGCAGGTCGGGATGCCGTTCAACGAGTTGTAGCTGCACATGACGGCGTCGACTTTGGCGTCGCGCGTGCAGGTCTTGAACGGCGGGAGGTAGTACTCGGCGAGGTCTTGCGACGAGACGACGGCGTCGAAGGCGTAGCGCTCGATGCCGTTCCAGTCTTCCAGGTCGTAGGCGGCGAAGTGCTTGCACGTCGCTACGATCTTGGGATGGGCCGGACCGATGCCGCCCTGTAGGCCGTCGATGAGATGGTAGACGTACCGCGAGGTGTGCAGCGCGTCCTCGCCGGGGGTTTCCTGACCGCGACCCCATCGGGGATCTTTGAAGGGGTTGATGTTGGGCGTCCAGTAGTCCAGGCCGCCGTGGCCGGTGTTACCGAAGGCTCTGGCCTCGGTGCTGATCACGGTGGCGACTTGCTTGACGAGTTCGTCGTCGAATGCAGAGCCCAGGCCGATTGGGGATGGGAATGAGGTCGCGTAACTGAATTCTCCGCTGTCAGCGAAATGCACGCCGCGGGAGTCTGCGACGCCATGCAAGGCCTCGCTCCACCAGTTATAAGCTGGCAGGCCTAGTCGAGGAAGACCAGGGGAGTCGAAGCGAGTGTTATTGATCTTCTCTTCCAGTGTCATGGCCGCCACGAGGGATCTGGCTCGAGCAATGGGATCCCGAGAGGTGTCGCAGATCGCGAGCTTGCTGAGAGGCCCGCTGGTGCAGTCAGGAAAGACATCTTCTGCAAGAGTAGAAGAAAGGAAAGAGAGGGCTAGTAACCAGCCCGAGGTGTCAAGTCGGACCATCTTGACGATTTGGTAATTTGATCTCTGTGACTTGGAATCTGCGTTCAATTTAAAGTGCGCCGTGCCTGGATTTATCCAGATGTTTGCTGTGATGATGATCTGCATCTATTCAGCCAATATCCACGCCGGAGCTCGCCACCTGGGGCAAGTTTCCTGCGGAGATGCATGCTCTGACTACGTCTCGTACGACGGGGGAGTTTTTCCAGGGTCAAGCATCCATGACGATCGTCCCCTGCCGCCAATCACGCCGTGGCGTCAAAATGAACTGCAGGGGTTCGATTAGGCTGAATGGAAACATCCTGCGGGGAAGAGACGCAGATCAGCGAGATTTCAATTGTCATACGAGTGTGAAGTTCTAGTGAATTTAGGCCTGCGGATGTCGTGTATTTCGGCTATTTCCTGGGTATGGTAGTTTTATGTCTGGCTATGTACAATTAAATTGCATATCGGAATTCCCGGTTCTGTCGATCCGTCAGATCCAAGAATTCGTGGTTCTCTGGCACCACGTAGGCGTCTCCCAGGGCGGCCTTCTCCTGGTCTCGCTTGCGGTTCTCGCGGATGAACATCCATCGGATGAGGCAGAGGTCCACAGTAACGAGGAAGTACAAGATCACGATGGAAATCTTAGCTGGCAGATATTGAGGCGCATCACTCGGGGCAAAGGTTTGAGGCGAAATGATGTTGCCCACTGTGTATGCCACGGTCTGGATGCAAGAGACAGTGATCTTCTTTGTCGAGCCGGCCACGTTCGTGCTGGTCAATCCGAGAATCGTCGTCCACCCGATGGGGATCCCTCCGGAAAGATAGTATCCGACCAGGGCCGGGGCCTTGTCGGTAGTAGCCATCAGAATGGCACCCACTATCGATGGAATGTGACCGATAATACACCAGAGAAGGCGCTGTTCCATCCTCATGGCAAGATACGTCAGTCCAATGAGAGCCACGACCTCGTATGCGCCCAATGGCGTCACCAGCAGCAAACTCTGGGTCGACGAGTATCCCATGCCGGTGACGAGAATGTTTCCGAAGCTGGTGGCGATGGAGTTGGGGATGTTGGCCGCGAACACCCAGAACGAGTACATCCACGTCTGCGGGTCTCGAAACGCCTCGTAGACCTGCTCCTTCTTGAAGACGGTGCTGCCGATGCCTTGTTCATTGCCACGCAAACGCTCGGCGTGCATAGCCTTTTCTTCGGGCGACAGGAACCAGGCCGTGACGGGCGAGTCTGGCAGGATGAAGAAGAAGATAATGCCGATGATCGCGGTGAACAAGCCCAGAATGAGAAAGATGACCTGCCAGCCGCGCAGCGCAGCCGACGGATCGCCGCCGATGTGGACGGCCACTCCATATGCGATATAACCTCCAAACATCTGTGCGAAACCACACATCGAGAACCACAGACCGACCCGGAATGCCTGTTCCTCCTTGCGATACCACTGCGAGGTAAAGACCACCCAAGCCGGCACAACTGCGGCCTCGGCAGCGCCCAACAGCGCCCGACAGACCATCAACGAAGCGAACGATTTGCACGCGGCCATGCAAGCCAGGATCGCGCCCCATACCGTCACGTTGAAGGCCACGTATCGAGCCAAGGGGAACGCTTGGATGAGTCTCATGGTGGGGAATTGCAGGGCCAGCTGACCGAAGAAGAAAATACTCGAGACCCAGTTGAATTGGTTCCCATGCAGGTTTGTTGATTCGCGAACGCCTGTCACGCTGGCATAGGACACGGCGATCTTGTCGAGGTATTGTAAGAAGTACACGATGCAGATCAGCGGCATCACGTACAGATCGATCTTGCGAACCAGACGCGCCGACGCTTCAGGGTCCAGAGGCCCACCGAGGGCCCCATTTCCCAGCAGCTCGAGTGCAGCATCTCCAGTAGATGGGCTAGTTTGGTTTGTTTTGCTGGCGGGTTGTTTTTCGCTTGCCCCGGTGGGCGACTGATCAGCAGCGTCTGGGGCCATTGTTTTGTAGAGAATGGAATTTGAAACGGATGTCATTCAAAGGAAATCGGTAAATTCGGCGGTTTAAAAAAAATCTGAGTTCTTGGCTGGCGATAAGACGCTATCGTGAGATGAGCCATGATGGAGTCAAATCACGCCATCCCCGTCGCTCCCCGCCTGTCTTTCTCAGTTTCTGCCGTTTGGGTCGAAAAGGCATCCGAAGTTGCTAGTCTTGGAGGAGGTTTCATTATCTCCAATGGCAAGCAAAAAGTGATCGGGGTAAGTGATGTAAAATGTTCATCGACGTGGGAAATCCTCGGAACTAGAGGTGAAGGGATGCAAGTGGGATCAAAACAAACGGGAGAAAGTGAGGAAGACGAAGAAGTTGGGAAAGTTCACCTGACACGCCGGCAGCCTCAGGCATCCGCCTTGGAAATGGTAACTATGGGAGAATCATTTCAATTGATTTTTTTTATGAAGCCTATAAAGGTGCCGCCTCATCTGATGTTGCACCAGGCGATTGGAACCATGTCGGTCGGCTCTTGCCCTCGTTTTCATCTACCAGCACCACGCCTTTCGCCCATACCTTGCACATATCGTAATTCTGCGCCTCCTCGTCCCCATACGCCACCACCGCCGGCTGTACCACTAGCAAAACCCTTTTACCATCCAGTCTCTCGTCATCCTCGCTGAGGTGTTGCAGCGGATGCGCCGTCATGGCGGGATTGCCCGTGCGGAAGCGCTTGAGGCCATGGAGGTTGTGGAATTTCATGAACGCCCGCTGCGTCCACAGCGAAAGAGCCAGCTCTCCCGCACTATGATATAGGCTGTACACTTCCTGATTCCGCTTGACCAGCTCGGCTTCTGTCCGTGGTGTCCGCAGGAGTGCCTGCACCGGTCCGTTGAGAAAGTCCACCGCCAGTTCGCTCGTCACTTCGCGGACTCGCTGAGCCAGCAGGCTCTCCTCGTTGGGGGTGGATGGGGGAGCTGACAGCACTCGTAGTGTCTGTGAGCGCCACACGTGGGCTTCAGATGGATTGACTGCTTCATGTTAGCTTTGATTCGATTGACCCGGACAAACGATCTTACCCTCTAACATGGTCGAGTACATTGCCTTCAGCATCCGTGACGTGGGCAGTCCACCGGTAGAATCCTCGGCGAATGCGAAGAAAGGATTCATGAATGCCGTTGCGTAAACATCCTTGGATAGCAATGCCTGTGTCAGCAGCGCTGGCATGCGGTGCAGCACGATCGGCGTTGCGCGAATCAACGTGTTCCAGTCAGTTTCGGCGCAAAACCCTTCCAATTCCTCGAGGATGATACTCTTCTCCTCGCCGTCTAGGTGGTCCAGGTCGCTGATGTCGGTGACGCTGTTTTTGATGGCCCACGATCGCATGCGCTGCTCCAACATGGATAGATCCTCGCGCACCTGGGGCGTCGACTTGGTCGTCCACAACTTTTTCCCCGATGTCGACGAGCGATCGGACTTCGGGTGACCGGGGCTGCTGCGGGCCTGCGACTGCAGTCGTTTGCGGTCCTTATCCATCTCCGTGATCCCCGTGGCCAGATTCACCAGATGGCTCTCCAGGAGCTTAATCCGGGCATCTTTGGTCTGGATCTCCCTCTTGTACGAGGCGCGCATGGTCTCGGCCGCATTATCCTGGCCAAAATTGAACGGTCGCTTGTCGGGGTTGAATGGCAATGAGATGCTTTGCGACGCCTTGGTCTTGCCAGTCGGGGTGATCGCCATCGAAACTGCTCTCGGTTTCAGGTACCGGGGGTCCTCATGATTTAATTCAAAGTCTGGTACGATGTGCAGCGGCTGTTGCGGCGGCTGCTTCGGCGGCTGCTTCGGTGGTTCATCTTTTTCGCCGACCGTTTTTCGCTAGTCCGACCGATGCGTTAGAGAAGCTTTTTGAAGAAGTGGCGACAGACGTTTTAACATACCCTGCGCAGAGAGCCGAGGAACGACGGTTTGGAGGATTTGCGCGTCGGACGTCTCGCGAGCGACGGATTCGAATCGGTGGTTGTTTCACAGCTCGTCGGAAGGGCAAAGGGGGTGACGGGAATCTGCAAGCGAACGTTGATTGTTAATATTTATTAATAAATCACCGTCTCCACCGGGGGTTATTCCGTGTTTCGAAAGGCAATCAATCATGCCACTCGCTCGGACTTGCCTACCTTCTCGTCATTCCCGTCGTACACGGGGAACGCAGCCACCTGGGCCATGTCTTTGGAGATGCTGTCCTGTCGCGACCGGTACATGCTGGAGCTGTAGGTCAACACGGCGGAGGAAGGAGGGTTTTGAACCGGAGGCTGTGCCATTGCGACCATCTAGACCGTCTGGCGATTAATTAGGATATTAGCAAAGTCCGTAGATGTCCGTAGGCGTGACCCGCACGCGCCAAAAGGGGGAAATTAAACAGAATCCCACGAGTGAACGCCTTGGAGGGAGCCAGGCGAACTATATAATCGTCACTAATCTCCGCCAAACAGTTTGATGGATCCTGCGACGCGACGGCGTCGGGCGTCACGGTTGGGGCCGATCCAGTCCGGCCCCATTGTTCCTGGCGGCCTGCGTTAGGCTTCATTTCACGACGGTGGATCCAGACAGGGGTCGACAGGAGAAGGGAAACGTTTGGCCCCTCGGGTTTACGAGGGCTCGGCTGGGTCACTTTGGATCGCGGTTTGATCGTGGTTTGACCGCGGGTTGGACTGTTTCACCGGGGAGGTTCATCCGCAGGGAGTGTCGGTGCGGTGGAGCTGGTCGACAGGAGAGGAATCATTCATCATTAATCATGAATAAGGACAAAGTGTCAGTCCCCTGGTGGCAGGGCTGTCCCACCAGCCCGGAATCTGGCATATGCAGTGATCGTTTTGCATTCATCCTGGTGCATCAGAACTTTGCTCTGACGAGGATCGGCCTGGCCCCCAAAGGCGACGTGGCATGGATCAATGCCATCCAGATCCAATCCCGGGGAACAATGCGTTGGTGTCGGTCTTTTTCAGCCGCAGCGACCGGTTGGGCTGACGGTGGGACAAGGGGTCTTGTCATCATTTTGTTCGCTAGAGTTGTCTGGGGTGTAGGAGGAAGATGGGGTCCCTTCGGGTCGGGGATTGATTGGATGGCTCCGTCGGTGGCCTAAATGCGAATCTCGCTTCTGCATACACTCGGTGGAAGTCTTTGGCATTGAATCTGAAGTAATTCTGTGGTAGAAAGGAACTTGCATGATGGCGATTGGTTTCTGGAGCATTTCATACGGTCGCACGGTCGCATAGGCTTGTCATCTACAAACTGGAAAACCCTCGTCTACCGCTGCACTTTACTAATTAACAAATCAAATGAAATGACCCTCAATGGATCAGTGCATTCTCTTCCACGCTACACAAAGCACAGGTCCATAATCGGTCGCAGCTTAGATAAAAAAAAAACACAGAAAAATCATAAAGGTCGTTGAGAAAGAGGACTAAACCCCAAAGCCATGTCAGGCAAGAATTCAACAAACAAGAGATCATTCAACCCATCAGTGAGGACCAAGACAAACGCGCATGTTCCAGCAAAGGTCCTTAGGACAGCAATCAGTGTGGTACCTGCAACGACGACGGCACTTGTTGCCACTCTTGTTTGCCGCGGTCTTGACCAGACCCAACAAGGTGTCCTGCTCGAAGGGAGTCACGTCCATGTTGTCGGCAGTCTCAGCATCGGTCTCATCGACCTCAGTCTCGCCGGAACCGTCAACGGGAGCAGGAGTGGGAATGGGGCCATTACTGGTATCAGCAAGCTCATCACCCGAGCCGCGGCGACGCAAATCATCAGGAGGATAGCAGAACGTATTGATGCAGTGCTGACGACGGTTGCAATCACGGTTTTCCCAACATCTGCCAGTCTAGAGTAGGAAACGTCAGTTCTCACTTGAGGTGGAGGGGAGGGATGGGTTCTTACCTTGAGGGTACAGTGGCCATGAGAACAGACCTCATTCGAGGAACAATCAGTGTTGTTGACACATGGAGCCTTGAGCTGGATGTCGGGGACAACCTCAGCCTCATCAGAGCCAGTGGAATCATCGGAGTCACGACGATCATTCCGGGAATGAGGGAAGCAGTGAGTGTCAGAGCACACCATGTACTTGGGACAGTCTTTGTCCTTCAGGCATCTACCTTCCTAGGGTGGGGTTCAGTACAGGTCTCTGGTGTGAGGTATGGGGCACTTACATTGAGGGTGCAACGCCCTTTCTTAGAGCAATGCTCACTGGAGGGACACTCCCAGTTGTACTTGCAAGGCTGGCCAGGGTACAAAACATTGGCAACTTCGGAAGTGGAGTCAATAGAACCAGAGGCCTCTGTGATGATAGAAGGGAGGGAGGTTACTGATTAGTGAGGGTCTATAGGAGGATGGGATGGGATGGGCATACCTTTGTCAGGGTCAGGAATGGCGACCGCAGTCACCAAGGCGACCAGCAGGCCCAAGAACAGAAGGTACAGCTTCATTGTGAGAGGCTACGCACAGATAGGAAATAGTTAGATGTGTGGGTAAGGAAGTAGATGAGAGAAAGGACAGATGATGGAGAGTGAGAGAGGGTGAAGAGGAAAGAGGGAGAGGGGAACAAAGAGAGGGATTTTTATAGGGAGGCACTCGATTCGGTCTCGTGATGCTGGGGGTTCCAATGTTTCCAGGTTTGTTGGAGGCGAGATCAATGGGACAGGGCATTCATCGTACAAAATTCACGCGCTGCTCCTCTTCATTGGACCGGAACAAGTCTAGACCAGACAGGTCTCACATTCATCGTAGGTAAACCGGGACATTCCTGGACAATGTATGTCCAGTATCTTCATGACCATCCCTTTGCTATGGAACAAACTCACTGCGAAGGAATTAGGATGGCTACTGTTCAGCAAGCCTTGACCATAGCCATAATCTTCACAGAGGCTGACCCCCGAAGCACCTCCATGGTTCCGATATGCTGTGTGAAGCTACTCACTGGAACGAAGTCCATAGTATCATGAACCATCCATCAGCTTAATTACCTAGTAGAGGCCTTCAGCCCAGTACCCTAAGACAGTTTACTATACATTATACAGCTCTCATACCTACTGATATTTTGTATAATACTCTGTGAAGGAAGTCTCCATGATTTGAGCTGGATCGCTTGCATGAGGGTCACGAGACTAGACATGACACTGGGCCGCAATCAAACACCTGCAGACGCGTTCATTGTTCAGCAGTGCAGCTTACCATCGTGAGATCCTTCCCTCTATGACAGTCCATCATTGGATTTGAAATCTTGTTCCCTGAAGATCAATCAATCGTGAAGCAGCGGTTTTACAGTTAGATCTGGCTTTCCTGAAGGATACTCGTCTCTTCAGCGAGAAATTGGCAGGTTGATCGATTCTCTCCTGACAGTTCTGTCTGGCTGTCACGATATCTAATTTTCTTCATTTGACTGACTGGTTGTATTTCAAACAGCTACTGAACAACCTACAATCAGCTTCTCTTAAATCAATTCCACAAGCGAGTTCCCTCTGAGGGTGGCAATCCTCGGAAGTCTTGACGTCGGCAGTCTTACTCTTCACACAATGGCCACGAGGGCAGGGAAATAAAGGAACATCTGGAAATACATTGCAAGACAGCTTCGAGAAGAGAGCCTTAGTAGTTTGTCTGTTTGACCTGTCAAGCTGATCCGTCAACTCGTTTCGCCGTTTCCAATGTCAAAATTAGCCCTAATTCCCCTGACTTCTGAGGCCACGCGATGCTGATCGAGCTTGCAATCGATAAACTACCTTCTCGATGCGTTTAATACTTTCCAAAGCTCCACTTTCCCTCGAACCATCAAAGATTGGTCGTGGCCACAGAGTCGTTCGCAATTCCCGAGCAAGACTCCATGCCTTCCGGGAGACCCTATAGTCTGATTGGCTTTCGGGAGAGGGTTTCTCGGGTCACGTTTATCTGTGTAGCGCTCGTGGCCAGTCTTCTGGCCTCAAGTGCACCTTTGAGCTTCCGTAGAGGTACTCTCTTCTATCTCGATATCAAATCCCTTCATGGGTAAGTTAACTGACTGTTTTCAGAATTATTTGATCCCGGTCTCCATCGCAGTATTTCGCGAGCTCTATAACCTCCCTACAAATGCCGACTCCTTGCCGGAAATAAGTACACAATACTCGCCATATTCATGAAAAGTCCTCTATAGTACAGATTCAATGTTATGCATTACTCCAGCATAATCTCGAGAGAAAAGGAACCATGCGGACACATGATCGGGTACTCGGCCCATGGAGAGCAGGGAAGAAACTATCCACCTGGAAGACGCCATTGGCCATGTTACCTGGAGAGATAACAGCGGCTTAAGAGACTAAGCAGAGTCAATGGTCTGACTCTCCGTATACACTGGCATCAACCAATGACACCGTCTCTGATTCAGCAAGTCATGACGTGCTCCCGTCGCCATCTGAACTCATCCCCTTGGCAATGAGGAGACAACATAAGCGAGATGATCTACATCGGCATCTTTCAGCCTTCTAGGCTTTCTTATCAATCGCATGGCGTCACTCGTGTGGCATATTATCCCATCATCATCCTGCCGCCCGCCCGCATGAGGGGAATGCAAATGGTGAAATATGACATGCTCCGAGGTCTAGATGGCGAACATCGCAAATCATGTCTGGACTATCGGCCTGGATCGAATGCTAACAACATGATTCGCTAAAGAAGAGCTGGCTATACGCGGGGTTATTGTCTTTCTACTCCGTTGCGGGGATATAAAAGTCCTCCTCCTCCATCTCATTCTAATCGATCAATCCAAGCCCTAATTCCAACCAGCCCGAAACCTCAACCATGGCTCCCTCTCTCACCGACACCGCGCCTGTCGTTCCCATTGTGGAAGAAAAGCTCAGCAGCAAGACCTTGCAGCGAGAGCCCATCAAGTTCAAGAGTGCCCTGGACGCCTTCAAATCATTCGACGTGACGCCCATCATTGGAAGGGAATTCCCGACTGCCAACCTCAAAGAAATCCTCCGAGCCCCCAACTCCGATGACCTCCTGCGCGACCTCGCCATCACCGGTACGTATCCAGCCAGCATCATCCATCTTCAACTAGCACTAACATATCATTCAGTCTCCCGGCGCGGCGTCGTCTTCTTCCGCAAACAAGACGAGCTCGACAACGACCTCCAAAAAGAACTCGTGCAGCGACTCGGCGAACTCTCCGGGAAACCCAGCACCTCAGGCCTGCACGTCCACCCGGTCATCAACTCCGGCCGCGAACACGGCGTCAAAGACGACGAGATCAGCGTCATCAGCTCCGCCGAGCGCCAGAAACTCTACCGCGATCGCAACGAGACCAAGCGCCAGAGTGCCCGCCGCGAATGGCACAGCGATATCACCTTCGAGCCGATCCCTAGCGACTATACCATCTTGCGCTTGACTCAGCTCCCTGAAACGGGAGGCGGTATTTCTTCTCCCTCTTTCCCTTCCCTGTCTTCCGTGCAGAAAAGCAACGCAACTAACCCTAATTCCCCGACAGACACGCTCTGGGCCTCCGGCTACGAGATCTACGACCGCATTTCCCCTCCGTACCAGAAGTTCCTCGAGTCTCTGACAGCGACCTACGCGCAGCCCGGATTCAACCGCATCGCCAAAGAGAACGACTTCGAGATCTTCACGGGGCCGCGCGGGGCGCCCGAAAACGTCGGCCACGTGCTCCAGGCCATTCACCCGGTGATCCGGACGAACCCGGTGACGGGGTGGAAGTCGGTGTTCGCGGTGGGCACGCACGTCGAGAAGATCAACGACCTGGCGGAGGAAGAGTCGCGCCATCTGCTGGACTGGTTCGTCACGCTGATTGTGGAGAACCACGACTTGCAGGCAAGGCTGAAGTGGCAGAATCCGAACGATCTGGCGATCTGGGATAATCGTAGCGTTTATCATGCGGCGACTTTCGATTATGTCAATCTTGGGCCGCGGACGGGGCATCGCGTCGTTGGGTTGGGGGAGAGGCCGTACTTTGATCCGTTGAGTACGGGGCGGCGTGAGGGTTTGGAGAGGGAGGCAGCCAAGTGATGGGCTGGTCGGTGAAGAGGGCAATCTGTATCAGTGCGAAGTAGTAACTCCAATGAGAAAGACAGTATATAGTCTATTAAACGTATAAACAGAAGCTCATGTACAAAACGCCATGCATCTAGCCAATATAATCACCCATATGTCCAGAATGTAATAGTCGCAAATCAATTCAACAATAACCATCCGACCATGCCCAGCCAGACACCGGCGAAAAGGATGGTCAGGATGGCGGCACCCGCGCGGTCACCCGAGGTGATCGGCTTCAACTGGGTCTTATCGTTGTCGTTGTCGCCGTCACCGGCATCGGGGTTGCTGGAACTGTTACCGCCGGTCTTGGAGGTCACGGGTCCGGACTTGTCGTTCTTCACCAAGGCCGAAACGATGGCGTTCGTGGCGATGATCTGCTCCTCCATACCGGTCCATCCGTCCCATTTGTTCTCGTGCCATCGGACACCGCAGGTGTTGTTGCCGCTGCCGCTGCACGATTTGGCCGCCGCTTCCGCGGAGGCCTGGATCTTGGGGAAGATCTGGTCGTAGGTCGAGGGCACGATGAGACTGATAAAGGCCAGCCAGTGGATGACCAGCCCCTTGAACAGGATTTCGTTGTCGTTGCAGACTTCGTTGGGTTCGCACAGCGTTTCCGACATGATGTTGTCGAACTTCTTGGGGAAGAAGGTCTTCATGGTGACTCCGAGCAGGCCGTCAAGGGCGTCCTTCCATTTGGCATCTTCGGTCTGCGCGGGTCAGTGTTGATCGGATTATTCGGTTAGAAGGGCAACGTACGTGATTGTACATATAGGCAGCGCCCGTCATGTAGGCGCCGTAGTTGTAGGACCATTGGTTGTTGCCCTGGGTCTTGCACCCATTGTCGATATCCGTCGAGTCGGCCACGTTCCACGTCTTGTTGTTCACCAGCGGAGAGCTGACACTCCAGTCCCAGATCTTCTCCGCCCAGTCCGAGTATGTCGAATTATCCGTGTACCGCGCCAGACGGGCCGCCAGCTGGAACAGACCGCCGTTGGAGATGGAGTTCTTCATCGCGTATCCGGCCTGGTACGGGAAGATCTGCCACCGAAGTCCACCACCACAGTTGCTCGTATCCCATCGGTCGATCTGCGTGTTGAAGACTCCCTGTGCGAGGGACAGCCACGAGTATCCGTCGTCGACGTCGGCGAACTTGATTTCGGCGGCGGTGATGGCGGCAACACCCCAGAACATTTGATCATCGTTACCCTGGACCGGTTAGTCGACGTCCTGCAAGGGTCGCAAGTTCTGCCTACCAAATAGGAACTGTAGTTGGACGGCATGTAGTCTCCCTCTCCTGCCTGGTGCTCCATTCCCTGGGAAATCAGGTCGTTGTATTGCGAATCTCCGGTGTAGTGCCAGTAGAGCAGCAGGCTCAGAAATAGGGCGCTACCTTCCCACCACTTTGTCGGGAACGCGCCGGGATTTCCACCGGGTTTGTCTCCGTCATACCAATTCAGCGATCCTTTGGCTGTCTTGCTAGCCGCATCTTTCACCGAATCTGTTATACAGAGGGTTGTTAGCCACCACGATCGTACGAGCAACGAAGAACCCCTGAATGACGTACCATCATCATTAACATCGATATCCAACGTTCGCACCACTTGCGCGATATTGATGGCTACCAGGAGGAGCCCCCAATGAAACCAGAATCTGGCCATCCTGGCAAGTTGGGTTGGATGTGTGCGTCAAAGAGATCAAGATTTGGCGGATGCGACCAGGAGAAGGGAGGAAACAACAACCGTGGAGGAAAAGGGTGGAGAGAGAGAGAGGATTGAAAGACAAAAAGGCCGCCGGATTCAAAGCAAAGGACCCAGCAACACGACAGAGCCACCAGCGCCCGCACTAGCGTATGAGCTTTGGGCGTCCCGAATTGCGATTTTATTATTAGTGACGAGTCAACCAACGGGATGACGGGTCGCGCACTTTGGGGGGCCTCGTGGTCATATTTGCTAGCCCGCCAGTAGCAGAGAAAAAAAAAAGAAAAAGAAAAAAGGGAAAAGAAACCTGGCAAGTGGTTGCGTGTCGGACCAAAGCGCATCAGACATGGTGGAGACTGTCTTTGGCCAATATTGGCCATCCAGGCGGCGTAATTTCTCAGGAACCCTCCGTCTTTACGTATGCTGTGGATCCCATCGTGGGGCTATGGGCCTCTTGGCTTCTGGAACTAAGCTTTGCCCAGGAGAAGCCGCTGGAAATAAGACTTTTTGGTGCGTACGAGGGAGCAGACATGCGTCCGTGGGCGTTAAGCGACGTCATGTTGTGCGGATTGCTCTGGTGCATGCGTCGTATTCGTTGAACGGCCCATGCTGCCTACCGTTGCAGAATAGGAGTCGCAGCGTCCGAGACTTCGGCTTCGAGGGCTGTGCAGCGAGTGGATCGACTCAAAAAGATTGACAGGATGAACCGTGGATGGCGATTTTCCTTTTTCTCGCGGACAAAAGACGGCTCGGGCCATATGGCGGCTGACTCATCGCCTTCGACTCTTTGAAGAGGCAATACAGAGCGTACGGAGTACGGAGTAGCAGTCGATGAGCAGAGCATGGAGTGCAGGATGATGGCATTCCTGTCTGTCATGAACATGGTTGGTCCACTTCTGGATCCGACATCAGCGACACTCAAATCAACCCAATCCATTCAACTCCCCCGTTGCAACGACGGAGGCATGCGGATCGGCGATGACGGTAGGACTCCTTCGTATTGGAGCCAATCCGAAGCACTGTTGTTGATTGTTCCATGTCTTCCATTATTATTATTATGGAGTATTCTGCGGCAACAGCTGATGGCAACATGGCCGGACGAGTGGATCCTGGATGCTGGAAGACCCCAAATTCCCCGGGACGGTCTCCAGCAAGCGCATGATCCCTTGCCATGCCGGATCGCACGTCGCTGAAAAGGGTCGGTCGATCTGCGACCCACAATGTCCTTCTCGGGGTCGGTTCACCATTCGCTGTGCAGCGGATTCTGTAGGAATCACGGAGTAGGGTGAAGATTACGGGCAGGATCCCGTGCGGGACTGCGGAATAGCGTGCTGACAGAAGGGATTGGCTGGATTTGGTGGGTTTGGGGTGTAAATGATGATCTGCATGCAACATACTCCGGAGTACAGTGTAGATAGAGGATTATTCCAGGTGATGCAGACTTCCGAGGGTCCTACCGAGTAAAAGGATGATGCTTCCATACTGGAGGGACAGACTGCCAAGATCTTGCGGCATGCCGACAGCCACCAATTTTACTCGTAAGTGACCGCAAATTGGCCACTGGACTTGACAATCTACGCAGTACGGATAAAAGGGCAAAGGGAGGACTAAAGAAAATTAAAATTTAACAGGTCTAAATAGATGATAGATAAAAGTTCTTATTGAAAATAACATGTTTATGAAAAAGAAAAGCAAAAGAAGAATGGGATGAACCGGGATTGAACCGGTGACCTCACGATTGCCAGAATCCTGGCTTTGAAATGACCGAGTAACTTCAGTCGTGCGCTCTCCCAACTGAGCTATCACCCCATTTGTTAATAATTGGAGTAATTTTAACGTTACTCAATCCTAGGCTAACTCGCTATTCGGTCTCTGCCTGTCTCGCCGCCGGTTCAACTTCCGAATCAACATCATCAGAGTCATCATCCCCCATGACGGCACGCCAATCTTGACGCGTGGATTCCCATTCGGGTCCCGTTTGAATCCATGATACTGCATGGAGGCACCCATTCCTCACGAGATCTTTAAAGTCCGCTCGACTGAGAGAGATGAACTCCTTCAGGAAAAGAGCCACGTCGGCGCGTCCATGAATGATGGCGACCATCAGGGCGGAGTGCTGCCGGTTGTCAACCTGGCTGACCAAGCTGTCTCGAAAGTCAATGATCGCATGCATTGCAGGAATATTACCCCGACGTGCCGCATGATGAAGCACAGTCCTTCCCTTGTCGTCTCTCCACTCGACGTCCTTCGATAGCTGCAGGAAGCGCGTCATTGCATCCCGATTGTCAGTGTTTCGAGTCAGGTTCATCAGGGGAGTCCAGCCCTGATCGTCACCCATGTCTACCGATGCCCCCGCCTCGATCAGGACGTTGACACACTCCGGCTTGGATGTTCGCGCGGCGTACCACAGAGCCGTACGGCCGATCGCATCGCGCCGGTCGACGTCCCGCCACTTCCTCAGCAGGAATACCAGGACCTCGAAATGCCCGTCAGTTGCGGCCAGGTGAAGGGCCGTCCGCATCCAACGATCCTCGTGGTCTTCGATATTGAATCTCTTGCGGTTTGTATACATCTGAATGATATCCATGCAGCCCACGCGACAGGCATTCATCATCACCTCGAGCCGTTCGAATTCATACGCGTGATGCACGGCCCCCGCCAGCATCAACCGGTCGGCAATCTCGCGATTCCGCGCCAGCAGTGCATTGCTCAACGGCGTGTTACCTTCTGCGTCCACGGGCGAGCAGAACGCCCCCGCATCCAGGAGGACTGCCACCATTCTGGGTTCCTTAATCGGGCCGAAACAAGTATCGGTGGCGACATGTAGGGCTGTCATCTTGCCTGTGTCCTCCGCGTTGAGGTTCGCCCCGTGGCTAACCAGCGTCTCCACCAAGTCAATGGCGTTTGATTTAACTGACGTGTGCAGCGCCGTGGTACCCGTGGCGCTACTCACGGCTACGTCCGCTCCCAGGGAGGTCACCATGTGTCTTGCACAGTGGAATTGGCCCGCGGTGATGGCGTGCATCAGCGGTGTTCTTCCGTGCAGATCCTGGTGGTTGAGATACTCGGGCACCGTCGCCGCCAGAAGATCCACGTGCGCGATACTCCCGCGGGCGGCCAGGTCGTGCAGCAGCGTATGATTGCTGACGCCCCTCAAATGTACGTCGAACCCGTGCCGGATTAGCAGCTTGGCCACCCGCGTGTTGCCCGTCGTGCCCCCAGTGCCTTCGAGCATCAGCGCGGCCTTTCGAAGCGGAGGCATGTTAAACGGCACCCCGCTCTCGAGGAGAAATTCGAGAGCCTCGTAGCTCCCGCAGTGCGCAGCAATGTTAACGGGGCTGTTGGGTATTACTATCCCTCTCTTGTTCGTGGGAACGGCCGTTAATTGCGGATTCAGCGGGTAGATCAGACTCGCGCGATGACGGCACAGGAATTCCAATGTGTCGACCTTATTCCCTCCCACCGCGGCGATAATTCCATCCGAGACTATTCGACCCCAGTCCGCATCCGCTGGAGTCTGCTCAAAAACCTTTTGGATGGTGGACAGCTGACCCTGCGCGGCAGCCCATTCAACCACGGTGTCGTATCCGTGATGCATGAAATCCACCGCCTTGATGTACAGCTGCTTGGTGAGCAGGTTCTTCATGAATCGAGAGGTCTGGACCATTGCCGCCAAGCTAACTTCATCCAAGCACACGCCGATCGACAGCAGGATCTCGTTGGGGAGTACCAAAATCGATGGCTTTGGTTTCTCGCCCTGGCGGCCATGCTCATCAATGTCCATGGGGTCGCGATATTCCGCAAAGTTACATTCGATCGTCTCTTGTTGGATTGGCGTTTCTATTTCTGCTGTCTCCGCTACCACGCTCGCTTTGGTGGAAGCCTGCTCAGGGGAATACATATCACAACAGGGATCGCGGGCTCTTCCAAGGGAAGCTGGAGCCCTTCGCTTTCGAGTGAATGATGTTAGAAGAGCTTTTTATGTGGGTTGGGTGAGAAGAGCGGGAGAAGGGTGACAAGAGAAGAGAACAATGGCCATTGATAAGTTGAGGTTTTTATGGTGCTGTATAGGACGGTTTTTACCGGGACTTCTCAGTAGATGGCACCTGTTAGCGGAACTTGCCATTCAATATACTCCAGTCTCGATAACCTCATTACTGCTTACTATAGGGATCTGGTTTGATTCAATGCATCGATGAATAAATAACCCAGAGTCACTCCATAGAAGCATGATATGGTCTCGCACTAGGGTATTGGGTTATTGATACTGACCCCACCGTGCTTTTCCCACCATATATGCCTCAGGCAGATAATGAGTATGCCAACTCAGGCTTGTCGAATAATTCCGGATACTCCAGCCCAATGAAGTATTTGGATTAAACAATATGGTTTTCTCGAACCGTAGCAGATCCTCCATACAATCTCTCTTCGCCCATTCACTCATCGCTGTCTTCTGGGACCTATATTTCGAAAGAAAAATCATAGAACAATCACTGGTAGAACTTCACCGAGGGAACACCTCTTGCAAGCCAGCTCCCCAAAGGAGATGGCCCCGACTCGTGAGTGATGGGGTTATACCAACATCAGCTAGTCTAGCAGGTGTGGAATTACGACTAGGCGGAATCTCCAAGAACATCGACGGATTTTACGGAAGAAATGGCCCTTGGCCAGAGTCCTTTACGCACGGGAAGCTCAAATAATCGAATGGTATTTCTAGGTCTGGTCATAGCTCATAATTCATCTACATCATTTCCCCGCCTCGAAGATGATCTTCTGGGATTTCATCTGGTTGAAATCGTCATACCTAGCAGCAAGTAAGCGCAAGTCTTTTCGGACCGACAGGAAATCTTACCCTTGCACGGCTTGCGAAAGTGGACGAATGTCGAGTGACGCCCAGTCGAGAGCATCTTGCTTTCGAACAAGCAGTTCCAATGCTTCCTCGAAAATACCTGGCCAATGTCAGCTTCTCCGGCCCTCTCCACGGGCGTCAACTTACTCCTAACAGGGCACCGGCCCATCTGCAGCTTCAGGTTCTTGCCATATCCCTCATTGCCCGTCCAAGGAATTACATCATTGTGAACTCCCACGCTGGAGATGGTTCCCCACGGCCGAAGCAAATCAAACCCGGTGCGCAGCGCAGGGCTAAGCCCAACCACTTCAATCGCAGCATCCGCTCCCCGTCCATCCGTCAGATCCATGACACGCTGGCGAAGCCCATCCCCATCTGTCTGGAAGTTCCAAGCCTCTGCTCCCAGACTCTTTGCCAGCTCCAGGCGAGATGACACACCGTCGACGGCAAGCAGATGCTTCGGTTTCCATTCCAGAGCGCTGATCAGGGCACAGATGCCCACGGGCCCACAACCGAACAGCAACACGGTACTGTCCCGGATATCCGCCTCGCTCATGGACTGGAAGGCGTTCTTTGCCGCGAAAAACCCCGTGGGAAAGATATCCGCCATCATGATCAGTTTCTTCTCGTCAATGGAGTCCGGGGCCGCGACCAGCGTCGCGTCAGCGAGGGGCACTCGCACGAAGTCGGCCTGCGCGCCATCTAACACGGCGCTGCCGAAGAGTTTGCACTTGGCGCATCGCGACGAGAACCCGCGCTTGCAGTAGAAACACTCGCCGCAGCTGACGGTGAACGGGGAGACGACGCGGTCGCCTTTCTTGAATTTCTGCACATCGGCTCCGACGGCCACGATCTCGCCGGTGAATTCGTGGCCCATGATGAATCCGGTGGGGGATTTCTGGTGGCCCCGGAAGACGTGCAGTTCGCTGAGGATGGTCAGTAGCCGTTTTAGCTGCCTAGGAAGAATTCCGGGGTAGAACTACCTGCCGCATAGAGCCGTATAGCGAACGGCAACAAGAGCATCGGTGGACTCGATCTGGGGGATCGGACGCGATTCCAAGGCGACCTCCAGGGGGCCCTTGAAAACGACGGCTTGCATAGTTTCTGTCATGGTAAGGGATAGAGATGAGGGGAGGAAGAAGGAGTAGAGCGATGACGATAGACGTGGGACGATGGTTCTTGTTCTTGTAGTTAATGACCCCACCTCCGGGCCTCGGCTCAATGGACATCGGTACTTCCATCCCCATCTGCGGTCGCATCCTTGGTTGGACGATCCATGTTGGCGGTCGGTTATTTGGAGTAAAATGGCATTATAGGGGGGCTTGGAGTCAAATAATGGAGATGAAAATAAAAAATAAAATGAAAGCAAAAAGTCATCTGCGTTTCGAACGCATGACCTTGTAAGGCGAGGAAAAATATTGCCACTCGACCATCGAGCTACAACATTGAAATTTCTACTCCGGTGTTTGAACTATAAGGACTTGTTTGTTTATGAAAGATCGCATCCAAGTCATGATATTTTCCCTTGCTTTAAACGGCATTGCAGCATGGATAGGATGTTTGGGGTCTTTCCTATGGCTATATATCGACTAGTTCCTCTGTGCTCCATGATCTGGAGCCGAAGTGACCGGCCCAAGACCAACGGGAGACAAAATCGTGCGACCAACTGACCGACCAGGAAGGGTGGTGTTGTCCGGTATATATTTCTGTACCACATTCAGCCTCAAGTCAACAACCACTTTTTTTTTTTATTTTTTTTATTTTTCTTCTTCCTCCCCCTTCTTTTCTTTCTTCTCCTTCTCCGCGTCCCCTTGATTTCTCATCCTGTGTATTTATAATCATCTACAAATCCAAAAAGCTATACTTCCACGGTTACCGTCAAACCATCGCGCAAGTAGCAAGCTTTGTACTGGCGAGTAGATCCCAAGCCGGTAAATTGGCGCTCTTGCATCCTTGAAATCATACCTGCAAAATCAGAATAGAACCCAGCAAAGGACGCAAATCCCTGATCACAAATACTCATGTGAAGGCCGATGCACGCGTCGATCCTCCGAGCCTCGGAACGGGTAACGGCAAGGAATCCGGGGTGCGGGGCCCCGTCGATACTAATAAACACATCGGACTGCTCGATTCCATCTCAACAACAACAACACCATCCCACCACCATGGCTACAGTATCCCCCAATCCGGTTCCATTCTCGGAGCCCCCCTACCTGCGTGGACTTCCCTCGCCCTACTACTCCCAAGGTCACCGCCAATTCCAATCAAGATGTCGCGCGTTCATATTCGAAAACCTCCTCTCGCGCGCCATGGAATTCGAGCAACAAGCCGAGGTTCCGGCAGAGATCTTCCACAAATTCAACGAGCATAACATGCTCCTCCCCAATCTCCCCGCTCCCTTGCCCATCGACTGGCTGAAGCGACTGGGAGTTCACGATATCCTGGGTATTACCCCCCTCCTCTACCCCGAAGCAAGGGGCTGACTCGGATAGGCGTCAAGGTCGAAGAATGGGATTATCTTCACGCCGGGATCTACGCGGACGAGGTGAGTGCTTAGCTGTCCACAATAAGATCGAAACTGACCATTGTAAGCTCGCTCGTTCAGGTCTGAGCACCGGCAGCGGGATCAACGCCGGCTTCGCTTTCGGGATCCCTCCGATCATCAAATTCGCCAGTCGAGAGCTCCAAGAGCGCGTTCTTCCGGACCTTCTGCTGGGCAAAAAGAGAGCCTGCATCGCCATCACTGAACCCGATGCCGGCAGCGACGTCGCGAACATCACAACGACGGCCGTGAAAACCGAGGATGGAAAACACTACATAATCAACGGATCAAAGAAATGGTACGTCTCTCGCCTCACCGGGAGGACTGTTTGACTGGGATAGGATTACAAACGGGATCTGGTCGGATGTGGCAACGATGGCTGTTCGCACCGGTGGCCCCGGCCCCGGCGGCCTTTCCGTGGTCCTCGTCCCCTTGAAAGGCCACCCCGGCGTCACCATGCGTCGCCTCACCGTCTCTGGCCAGAAAACCGGCGGAACCACCTACATCGAGCTGGACGACGTCAAGGTTCCGGTGGACAATCTCGTCGGTCGCGAGGGCGAAGGCATGCGCATCATCATGACCAATTTCAATCATGAACGGCTTTTGATCGCGGTGGGAGTCAACCGGCAAGCTCGCGTCGCACTCTCCGCCGCATTTTCCTACGTTCTGAAAAGACAGGCCTTCGGCAAACCGCTTATGGATCAGCCCGTCGTGCGCCACCGACTCGCCAAGGCCGGCGCCGAGCTCGAGACCCTGTCGGCCTTTCTCGAACAGCTGCTCTACCAGCTCTGCCATCTTAGCAAAGCCGAGGCGGATCTCCAGCTGGGCGGAATCACCGCCATGGCCAAGGCCAAGGCAGGAATGGTCCTGAATGAGTGCGCCCAATGTGCCGTCCTGCTCTTCGGCGGATCCGGTCTGACGGCCTCTGGACAAGGAGAACTGGTCGAGGCTATACTACGGGAAGTACCGGGTGCTAGAATCCCCGGTGGCTCTGAGGATGTCCTGCTGGACTTGGGCATTCGGCAACTCGTGAAGATATACCGGGCACAGGAGAAGAAGCTGGGACAGTCAAAGATCTAGGCTGTCTCTCCTATGTGGAATGAACACTCGGTTTGTATTAGCTTTTATGCGAATAAATAAGAAATAAGGCAGAAATGCGTAATGATCATAGCAAGGCTTCCTCTTCTTCCCCCTTTTTCTATTGAAAAAGGAATTATATGGATTCGACAACACAATTCAGCGTTTTTTTGCATCTAAAACTAACTATCAACAGGCCTATGCTGCTGTTGCGACGACTAAGTATCGCCCAAACAAGAAATTTCCAAAGAACTCTGGCCGGTCCAGGTTCTATTCAACCGCACAGGTGACCTTTACAGGGAAATATTCTTGTGTCGAAATCGACAAATTTAGCATGTTTTAATTCTTCACACACTGGCTTCGATAGACTCGTATTACTACTAGAGCGCTCAGAAGCTGGAGAGCACGCGTGTCAAAAAACGCAACTACATGCAGCCAAAATAGCCCTACATAAAATCCGAGTACCTGTTCACTGCACGAAGATATCTTTCTATCCCTCCACTGCATTCATTTTAGTAGCCTCTACACGGATTTGGAGAAGAACTTCTAATCCTTCGATCCCCATGACTCAGAGCTAGTGAATATCGTAGTGAAATTTTGATTCCGATATCGATAGTTAATATACCAGGACCACATTGGTGAATGTCCCCTAATCTCCTTACTAGATAGACCAGGTCTCCCACTCTTCTCCTCTTCTCCTCTTCTCCTCTTCTCCCTCTTTCCATTAATCTTGCTCTTCTTCATCGTCATCGGACAAGGTTCAACAAACTCAAAACCAGTATTGACTGGTGGAAACCCAAACCTAACTGGGCTTGCGTAGGCCTGGCTGATTTTATATACGCTTGAATGTATGGAGGTCCAACATGATAAACACTCGTCTGAAGGCTTGTAGCAAGATGAGCTTTAATTTGAAATCAGCAGCTGAGCTTGACAAGCGTTGGCCATGCTCAGACGACCGTTTACTGACCCTACAATTTCGGACAGAAAAAAAGAAAAAAAAAAAAAAACCAATAAAGCAACTTGGCCTTTCTATGGCGGACCTGGCAATCCTGCGCGTGTGTACAAGAGATGCCATCCAGAGGTTTTGAGCCAACTAACCCAGGGAAAAGGACACGTGCTGGTCATGTGGCCTGTGATGAAACGGCGATCCTCTTGTTTATCCTGGTATGTCAGCCTAGAGCTCTCTTGCAGAACCTTGTGGACTAACCGGGCATTACTTAGTATTACTCATTTAACATGGGTAAAAATGCGACACCCATACGTGGTTCATTTGTGGAGATCGCGGTAAGTCATATACCATCCTGAAGATATTGCATACTAACAGTTTCAGGACACCTTCAGTACAGGTGCCCGACAAAGAAATTAAAATGTCACTCATACCAATGCAGGGGACGCTTAGACCGGCAAGCCATCTCGGCCATCTAGAGAGAAATGGACCCATCAACAAGAAAAAAGCTAAGGGTGCTGAAGGCGCCAGAAACGCACCGGGAAGACATGCCCAAAACGCCGACGGTCCTCAGTTTAAACAGGCGGACCTTGCAAAAGCTGCGCGGAAGCAGTGTTTTCAGAAGAACGGCTAGAACCGCGATCCCAGATACCGATGACGAAGATAGTGTCGATGAAGATACGGAGAATGAAGCCGTCCTGTCTCAGCAGGCCTTAGCGAAGGCATAGAAAGAGGGCATCGGAAAATCAGACTCAGATTTGCGGCATAGGCGAGAACTATGGCCGTATCTATTTAGTCTTCAACGCGAATTGATGTGTTGACTGACATCTTGTATAAGGTCGATGGCGACAACCAAGCCCTGAGGTTGAGTTCCTCCAGATGCCAGAGGCGTTCCTGAGCATGAGCGATGCCAACTCGGTGCAGCTGAAGCGTCCTACGAGGACAAAAAGTTGGACAAGGACACGATGGCAGACTCGATAAGTTTGTGGTGCTTGTCGATGCTTTTCCTGAAAATGATGTGGCTCTCTGAACAATCTTCTCGCTCACTGGAAAAGGGATTTCGGTTTTGTTCAATTTTTTCCCCGTGACTTGACGAGCAGTTGAAGACAAATGGCGGGTTATTCAGAATAGGCAAGGTTGTTTGCCCATAGTTTCGAACCTAGGACCATGTTGCAAGCAACGAGAACAGACAGAATGAGATGAACTTGGCTGGAAGGTTTGAACACATTGTGATGAGTGATTGAATCGGTCAGTAGTCGTCTTCTTCGAATCGAAAGCGAGCACAGAAACAGACGGGAGGACTATTTTGAAAAAGCTGGAGGAAGATTTGGTCTGCCAGTGCTGAATGATTGCGTTGTAGTCCCGTGATCCGAGACGTCAGAGAAGACCCTTAATGTGTTGCAGATGAAGCTGATCTACAACCACGATGATAAACGAGAAAAATAGCCATATTGTAGATAACATTAGTGCTGCCAACGAGGCCGAGATCAAATTAGACAATTTGAAGCTGCTGATACTACGGGGTAGATCGGTGGAAGACCCACGTTGCCGCCGGGCCTTGTATTCCCGAGCACCCATTGCCAGATTATCACCACCTCAGGCTTATGGGAACCCAAATAGTCGAAGCTGAGAGTGATACTGCGTCCTCGAATGTGTTATTAAGCCATCATGTAAAGAGTCTGACCGACGTAGCCGGGGGTTTCTGACGGGCTGAGCTAAAGTCGATCGTAAGCACCCCCTGTGGCCAGCGAAGAAAAATTGTGGTATCAAAGTTCAAAGGGGATATAATTCATTAGCCAGATATTACCTGATGGTGTTGGCTCCGATGTGGCCCACCATGCAGGCGTAACATGAAATAGAAGAAACCAACGCTATCCGTGCCATCCAAAGGAGATATATCAACGAGGAACCATACATCCTTCTTTCAACCACGTCGAGTCCCACCCAAACCATAACTCAAATGTCCAGTATATCATAGTAATGTCCGATAAAGGGTCGGCTCTCGCTTGTCGTTTCTGTATACGTCCGCCGGGCCGTGCGTGATACTTAGTCGTCGCAACAGCAGCATAGGCCTGTTGATAGTTAGTTTTAGATGCAAAAAAACGCGATTTTCTGGACTCAAATTCGAGGCAACCCGTGCAGGCCTCTTCGCAGAGGAAACAGCAGCAGGCCATCATTAAACAGCTCATAAGACATCCCCTTTCCTTCTGAGGGGGCTCCTGGGGAGGAGGCATTTGTTGCATGGGATATGGTTGAGGGGGAGGCGCGTATTGGCCACCGGGGGGCGGATAGCTTCAGACGATTAGCTAATAACATCAGAAATGATTGTAGCCCATCAGATTGACTTACTAGCCCTGAGGCGGTTGTTGGTAGGACATGGCGAAAAGAGGGTGGATGGGCGGGAAGGCAGCACTTGCGGAGCAGGAAAAACCGGATAGAGGGAATCAGCGGTTATAAAGGAGAAAGGAGCAATCCAGGCAGAAGAAATAATCCTCGAGGGAAAGCTCATTTCTCAGCCCTGCTGGTGGACACATCGACCGCGCCGACTGCGTCTTGGCCTTCCTGCACCGGACTCCACCTCCGCCATAGCGATTGGATCTGGAGATGGAGTAAGATTAATGGGTTGGACAACCCCCTTTCGCACCGACTTGTGCGACGGACGCTTGGCTACATAATGCTGGACAGTGTTTGCGTTTGTGTTCTGATTCTTGCAATGCAGCTGTGGCTGTCGCTCCGCAGGGGTGATATCCGGCCGTGATGCCACCCGCCCATTGGCTCTACACGGCGAGAATTGTGGCGCCTAACCGGCGCGAGACGGAATGCCAAGATCGAAGAACAACTCACAAGTCTCAGAGACCGAGGGTATCTCGCGGAGGATGTGGCTGAGCGGATTCCAGAATGGCATTCCACCTGGCGACAACCCTGCGCCAAGCCATCCCTACGGAGTCGCACTGACTATTGCTTGTAGGGCCGCGTTAGGGCCGCCCCTTAAGGCTGCTCTCCACTTCGCCAGGCCAGTCACAATGTCGCGCCCATATTGATCTCCCCACCATTGGCCACACTATTGGCTGTCATTTGCTGTTGCCTAATGGAGTTTCATAATAACCGCCAGCAAGGGGGGGCCGACTTCAGTGTCAGGCGGTCGTGATTGTCGTGTCTCGTCCGTCGCCCCTTACACTGCAATCTGTGAGGACTGCCCCCTTCAGAAGCCCCGAAAATGCCTTGAAGGAGTCCCGGATCAATTGCATAGCCACTGCCCCATAGGGAGTCGCCTCATGTAATGCCATATAAGCTCCCTTCGTGGCTCTTTGACGTTGGGTGACTGGCTGGAGTCGGTCCAACGAAGGGCCACGATTAGACGCCCTGTCCTCCGTAGTCAATTAGTACCCCCCGTCACTGATGACAAGCCGCTAGATGAGGAGGTGTGATATAAATAGCCCCCGGAATCTGGGCTAACTAGGGCACCGCCTTTCCGTTTGTTGCCAGGATACGCATCAATTGCCGTTTGAAGCTCGATAGACAACCGCCGCCGGGGGAGTCGATAACGCCATGTATTGGAGAAAACTGGGTCGCTGAGAATTTGTGGCTGGGACGATCCTCCGCTTTCCTCGTGCAAGGAACAGGGTCGTCAAATAATCCAGCATAGTTTGGCATAAGCCGTATCTTCATTGCGCCGAACAGACACAGCAGGGATCACGTGATGATCGAGGCCGATTCTGGTCGTCCACTTCGTTTATCGTCTTTATTACTCCTTATTATACTTACAGAAAACGCGTACCCCGTGGAGGTCGATCCCTAATTGCTAGTCAGGGGTAATGGCCCACAAGGGTCATGCTGACGGACTGAAAAATCCACCGGGATTTATGGGTCAGTAAGGGGTCAAACCAACAGCAATGTACGAATACGGGGTAGATTTAGGAGGACAGAATAACAGTTCCGTTCGAGGAACTACGGGGTAAAAGTGATTGTCTACTTAAAGGAAGGGTTGATACTCAAGTGTCTTGATTGTAGGTGATTGGACTTTTTTGCGTTATAGAGCCATGGGCCAAAAACTTGGCAATATAAAGCAGATTGTCTTTCCGCGCCTCGGGATTCGCCTCACATAATAAGAAATAGTGAAGCTGACCCTCATTGTTTTTAGTCCCACTTGCTAGCTTGGGAAATCACACCTCTCGCCTAGAAGAGGCAACCGATGTTCATGAGCCTCATATTCAATGGGAACGAGAGTGATGGAGCAGTCGTAGATTCGACCCAGTCCATTGATTGCGAGTGATTAGTTTATGGCGAGGTAGTAATCTTGCGTATGAATCCGTTGGTCGTCTCTATATTGCCTCTTTGGGTCAAGATTCGTGAGGGTTCGGTATAACCAAGGCCAAAATTATTATTCTGCTTTGAAGGGGTAGGAATAGCACAGACCACAGCAACATCGAGCAGGCGACGCGCCAAACCTCCATTCACATGCTCCACGCGGGGATCCGGCGTCCTCGGAAGCTGAGGAGGAAGGAGTGAGGCCTATGACAGTGATGTGTTGGTGTATGTTTACTGCGTATGTCCGAGGGTGGATGAAAGGGATATCGAGAGCTTTCGTGGGTCCAAACGAGGGGAAAACAAACCTAAATGAAGCAATGTTAGTATTATGGACTCAGGGCCAATAGGAGTCGGTTCGAAAGGGAAGAGAAAGGGAATGGGAATTATCGCGATGAGGATTTGCATTCGGATGGTCACGGATGAGGTGCCGCTTGGCCAATGTAATTCCAGACCCATGCTATCTTCATTACCGAATATGCAATCCCCTGTTCCTATTCTTCGCCAGGAGACCAATCTTCTTGGATGTTTTGCCTTGCATATTTGGAGTCTCTTTCTCGTTCTTATCCTTGTCCTCATGCGTGATTGGGTAGATGATCATCGTCGACTTTCGCGGGTGAAACAACCGCTCGCAGAACTCAATCCCGAAGCTATCTACTAGGTAGATAATGCAGTTTCGAGTCCAACGCTGGTACAACATTTGACCTTTATTGTGGAGGGCGTCGGCAGACTGACGGTAGGATAGTTTTTAAAATTGAAAGCCATTTCGAGTTTCCCAAAAAGTGAATCCATGTCTCTGGCCTCATGTCGGACATTGCCTGCCCGACGTTGTCTTAAACTGTCTCTGTACCTCGATTTCATACCCGCAATGAGCATAATCCAGATTCAGATGTCGGAGAATGTAGAATGAGGACGGTCGCTTTAGGAAAGCTTAGGCCTTTGAGCATAGGGTGAAGTACCAGGCTGGCGGCGGCGGGGCCATTTTCCTACCGATACTAAAAAGAAGGGTTAACCACAATTCTTTTGGAGACCTCTACGCTGAATTACACGGCTCAAAACGTCTGGGATAGCATCTCTTACCTTTTTCATCAAGAATAACTCGATAACTACTAGCCGGGAGGCAGCTATATACTCCGGATGCCGAAGAGGCCACGAAGGCTACCACAGCTGTAGCAATATGGGATACCTTTCGATGAGCTAGAAGCTCAAATACCGAACGAAAGCATCTCAAGTATGCAAAGGCTAGAGGAGCCCAATAAAAATTGATCTGTAGTAGTTAATACAAGGAGAAGAGATTCCGAGAAGAAGAAAAAGGACTGAAAGAAGAGGAAGATAGAATAATGCTAAGAAGGACTAAAGAGGACACGGAGAAAATAGAGACGAACAGAAAACACAAAAAAGGGAAGAGAGAAGGCGCTGAGAAGGAAGAGAGAGGAGGGAAGAAAAGGAACTGGCAGCCACACGCCCTGCTCGACACTTTTTTCACTATGACTCCCATACCAGAAGCAGCCGGATGCCAGATTCTCATACCGCTTCTGTCCATCTTCACGCAAGTATACATCTCTCTTCTTTGTGACCCATCAATTTATTGACTGTTCGTTCTAGTGCAAATGGCGCAGCCCATTTGCGGATTGTGTACCTTTCGAGGTGACTTGCGGTGTCACTTCCTGAATATGGCCATGCCTAAGTTTCCTTTACAACTTTCTCATTTGCAGCACCAGAAGTTTCACGACCCAGTTTACACTGCTGATATACCCATCCTATAGCCAAAATATGGCAAAGCAAAATACATATTCTATTCTTGTATGTGCGAGGGCCCTTTAACTCGACACTCTGTTCAAATACTGGTGCAATTGCGGAGCTGATGATTCGTGTTAATCAAACTTTTGACCCATTTTTCCGAAGTAAGAAGCAACTTACAATATCCATGAATAGTTTCATGATGGACTGATTTCCAGAGTTCGATTGGTTGGGTGCCTGCGGATGCCTGAGGGGGTAAGGCCCACTCCAGTCACCTGACGCGGTCTGATTGGCCAGCCGGTGCCCTTCCCAAACAGGCAGGACCAGCCACTTTTGTTGGCCTCAGGCAGCCCAGGAGGAAACAAAGAAAAGCAAAGAAAAGATGCTTCACTTTTGTCCCGAACGTGCAGATCGGTAGTCGCGGACGATAGCTCCATACGAACTGGGCTCGTATACCCCGGTCAGTTCGTGCCAACGACTCCCTCCCAGGCGATAAGGGTTCAGCCCCAAATCTCGCAGCAGCGTGTCATTGTACTGATTCGAATTAGTGGAATTCTTCCAGCTTGGTGGGTCACCCACGTTGATTGCGTCCACGTCGAGTCCACTCCCGGTCAAACTGCCCCAGACCACATCTTCAGAGACCGATTCATAGAGACGTTCGACGGCGGTCGAATTGAGACGCAAGGGTGATTGGATAGGGCCATGGCCCGCGCCATCGCCGTCCAGACCCCCGGTGAGAAAGGCAGCAGCCCATAATGCCTGCACTTCGGCCACCACGGCTATTGTCCCGCTTAGCACGACGCCGAGGGCGACAAAAGAGCGGTCGCCTTCAGCCACCAACGCCGGTGACACCATGCGCCGGAAGAGCCGATAGGATGTCGAGTCGCGCGATGACTCGGCGCGCGAGAACATGCTCGAGCAGAAGACGCGTCGGAAATGCGATGACACATGGCCGTCAAAGGCCGTCCATTGGTCGCGATGGTACTGTTGCTTGAGGGCTTCTGTATCGCCATCAACATTGTCACAACATAATCCAAGAGTCTCGCCTAAATCGGGTGGATCGAACTTGATCGGCACGATGGGCCGATAGCCAGTGGCTTGCACGATGAGGTCGACCGATGGAATTCGAGTGCCGTTGATCAAGTGAACATCAGACGATGCTGATCCGGAGACATATTCAATCTCCGACCGGTGAACATGAACGTTCGAGGCGCGGATGGTTTCCCAGAGATCGGAATGGTTCGCAATGCCGCCCGAAGATGCGCAATCAATTATGCTGACCACATTAGCGAGGTAACCCTGCCAAGTGATAAACTTACCCCCTTGTCGGACGCAACAGTTCCATCTTCGAATCCGATGTGTAATCGGCGGACTTATTGACCTGACAGTCCACCGACTTCCATAGCTGCCGTACGAGAAATCGCCCTACTGGGTTGCCGTGAAGGAATCTCCGGGTCCAGGACCCCTCCGTCTGGAATCTCCACCTCAATGCGGACGGAGATCGAACCAGTGTGATGCGTTTGGGAAGGGAGTATACGCATGGTGTTAAGATCCCACATAATCTGGTACTGGCCTGCTTGTCGCTGGCAACATATTGTCCATTAGGAAGCTCTGACATGGGTGGTGCCATCCAGGCCGCCCCTGAGCCTTGCTCGCGGATGACCCAGTGGACCTCAATCGGCTCTTGGTTTTCCACTTTGAGCTGCAGTTCCGGATTGCTTTTGTGAAGTGAGGCGAACAGGTGGACGAAGTCAAAAGACGATCTGGCGCCTCCCTGGATTGCTACCCTGCGAAGGACCTGAGCTTTTATTGAACGATCGTCTGAATCCTCAGATGATTCCTTTTCGGTACTTGGGATTGGATGGTATCCGAGATTGTCTCGGCAGTAGTTTCCAACGTCCTTAGCATGAATTCGTGGAACCATCTCCGAGCGTTCATCCGCATGAGGTATGTCCGGTGAGAATGGCTGCGATGTCAAGCCAGTGGCTAGTATCAGCTTGTCACACAGAAGCACAATTGATTGGGGTGATCTGCTCGTGAGGATTTCTATCCTCCATTCCTTGGTCGGCAGTCGACTGATCTTGGAAACCTGTGGTTTTTAACAGGCTGATCGATATTTTTGAAAGACAGCACAAACCTTCCAATTAAACCGCATATGCTTGAGGAGATCCCACTTCTCGCTCCACACGTGGAGATACCGATTGATCTTCCAGCCTGCGATGAACTGATTGTCCTGATCTTTTGGGTCCGGAGGAACTACCGAGGCCAAGGGAAGGTCGCTAAACTCGTACAATCCATAGGAGTTCTGGCTGAGGAGGTTCGGATATAGTCGATCGGAGGCCCAAGTCCCTCCCAGTCCTGAAGCAGCGTCCACAATTAGCAAGGCAGGCACCGGTTTCCCGGACTCAGATGATTGGGTGAAGCACGAGGGAATCTCGCTTGCATATATGCCGAGCGTCTCCTGTGCTTCATCATATGCGCCACATATTTGGAGGACCGTTTTGGCGGCGATGAGCCCGTAAAGGCCTTGGAATAGTCAGCAGATGGCCCAAATCGTTATAGCCGTGAAAGGCATTACCTGAACCGACGACCACTACTCTGGACATGGCTGCTCTATATCAACTTGAACCAGCAATAAGTCGATTGACAGAGAAATGGTAGGCTTGGAATATCCAGATGGACAAAAGTAGAGAAATTCAAGAATAGACGCGCCGTGGAAAGAATGCTTCTCTGATAAGATTCGTCCTTCGTTAATATTGTTCCTGCATAAGATGATCTAGACGGATTGATTATTCCACATAACCTTATCTCGAGCTTTAACCGTGTCTGTTTTGCGTAGGACAAAGAACTATGCCCTTGGCACGTCCCTTGGCTGAAGTTATTTTCTTTGTCCGATGATACGAGGGCCTGCTTGAATTTCTAGCGGCATCTTCTTCCCTTGGAAAAAAGGCTAAGACCAATCCATTTGTTTGGAGGCTATATACCATTGTGGCCACAGATTGTAGACAGGCTGCATGTTGTAATCTCATCCATTAGTCGGGGTCGGGTAAGGTGACGTAAGGTGGTCTATGCCGTGTATCCGAAGCTGACCTGGGACTTCTATACCTATTTTCACTGTCTAGAATTCCGCCGGGGAAGGGAGCGATGGAATGGGGAACCTGAGGCACGGCCTGCCTGATTCTTCAGGATCGTCCGGGAAGCGCCTCGGCTTACCAGATCGGGAAACATTTGTCGCCGGTGCAATGGTTATAAAGATCGCTCGACTCCCCGCAGATGAGAAGACAACCCCCCGCAACAAAACAAATCATGGCTGTCGGTCCTGTGAACGGTTCTAGCGGCAAGTCCGCCCTGCCGCTGCTGCGTCAGCTGTCCAAAGACCATGATCTGGTCCTGAAGACCTTTCGCATGCTCATTGCCGATCTGTGCCAGCAGTTCGGCGGCGGTCATCCCGGGTACGCGTCGCTAGAGAACATAAGCGGAGAGAAGACTAACAATGATCCAGAGGTGCCATTGGAATGGCCGCAATCGGTGTCGCGCTGTGGCGATACGTCATGCGCTACGCTCCTCACACCCCCGACTACTTCAATCGCGATCGATTTGTCCTGTCCAACGGCCACACTTGTCTCTTCCAGTACACCTTCCTGCATCTGACCGGATACAAAGACATGACCTTTGAGCAGCTCAAATCCTACCACTCGGATCGTACCGATGCGCTCTGCCCCGGTCACCCGGAAATCGAGCACGAGGGCATCGAAGTCACCACCGGCCCTCTGGGCCAAGGAGTGGCGAATGCGGTCGGACTGGCCATGGCTACGAAGAATCTGGCGGCGAAGTTCAACCAGCCGGGATACGACCTCATTAATAACCACACCTGGTGCATGATTGGAGATGCCTGTCTGCAGGAGGGTGTTGGCCTGGAGGCTATCTCGTTCGCTGGTCATCTCAAGCTCAACAACCTAACCGTCATCTATGACAACAACCAGATCACCTGCGACGGATCGGTTGACCTGACTAACACGGAAGATATCAACGCGAAGATGCGCGCGTCGGGCTGGGATGTTATCGATATCGAGGACGGATGCTTCGACGTCGAGGGTCTTGTGCAAGCGTTAGAGCGTGCTCGGTCCGCAACGGAGAAACCAACGTTTATCAACGTACGGACGGTCATCGGACTGGGCAGCAACGTTGCGGGCCAAGCTGCCGCCCACGGTGCTGCTTTTGGCGCCTCGAATGTCGCGCAGATGAAGAAGGACGTTGGGTTCAGCCCGGACGATCTGTTCGTCATTGGAGAGACGGCGCGGAACTTTTTCCGAGATCTGCCTGAGCGTGGAGAGGCCCTGGTGCAGGAGTGGAACGACCTGGTCAATAAGTATATCGCGGACTTCCCCGAGCTGGGAGCTGAGTTCCAGCGTCGCGTGAAGGGTGAACTGCCCTCCAACTGGAAGGACTTGATTCCGGCCAGCTTCCCAGATAAGCCGACGGCCTCTCGCGCAGCATCCGGCCTGGTTTTCAATCCTATCGCCAAGGAGTGCGAGTCGTTCATGGTCGGAACTGCTGATCTTTCTCCGTCCGTTAACATGATCTGGCCTGGCAAGGTGGACTTCCAGCATGTACGTTTCTCTCCCCAATCCTTGACCCGTACTCTCTGACAAGAACAGCGCGATCTGCGGACGACTTGCGGAATCAATGGAGACTACTCCGGCCGCTACATCCACTACGGCGTGCGAGAACATGCCATGGGCGCCATCTCCAACGGTCTCGCTGCCTACGCCCCCAACACCATCGTCCCCGTCACCTCGTCATTCTTCATGTTCTACCTGTACGCCGCTCCGGCCGTGCGAATGGGTGCCCTACAACATCTCCAAATTATTCACGTTGCCACCCACGACTCCATCGGAATGGGCGAGGACGGCCCGACGCATCAACCCATCGAGTTGGCCGCTCTATACCGCGCTATGCCTAACCTGCTGTACATTCGACCTGGCGACAGCGAGGAAACCGCTGGCGCCTGGATCGCTGCCATTGAGGCCAAGAAAACACCCACAATCATCTCGACCTCCCGCCACACTCTCCCCCAACTCAAGCAAACCCGCCGCGACGGCGTGCTGCGCGGCGCCTACGTCCTCGAGGAGGCCGAAAACGCAACTGTGACGCTCATCGGCGTGGGTGCGGAACTATCCTTTGCTCTAGACGTCGCCAAGCAACTCAAAGAGAAGGGAATTGTCGCGAGAGTGATCAGTTTCCCTTGCCAGCGCCTCTTCGAACGCCAACCACTGGAATACAGGCGTTCTGTTCTACAACGCGGCACACCAGCCGTGGTCATTGAGCCCTACGCGCCGAACGGATGGGAACGATACGCCACGGCGGGCGTTTCCATCCAGCGCTTCGGCCATAGCTTGCCCGGCAAGGCGGCGTACAAGTTCTTTGGATATGAGATTGATGTTTTGACGGGCAAGGTGACCGACTATCTAGATCGCCTAGCGAAGGACGAGTTTCTGCAGGGGGAATATGTAGACCTGTAATTATGATTATGAACATAGATTTTTTCGGTTTTATTTTTCCAGTGAATTGCACTATGTTTTGTATGCAAACAGAACACTTCTTCAGTCTTCCGACACAATCTTTTCATCTACTCGACCGTCTTAATGGCAATTGAACCCCGCCATCTTCAGCGACAATTCATACCCAATCCGGTAAGCCGACGCGATCCCCACAGCGGATCTCCAGATTCCTCACTCGGCAGTCTTTCGCTCTTTCTTCTCCAACCGTCTCTTCAACTGTTCCCGCGGACTCTCCAGATCGACATCCGGAAATCTCGGGTCTTTCTCCCACGGCAAGAAATCCGACGTCTGCACCAGCCATCGCAACACTTCGGCCTCGAACATTCGTACCAGCGGCACATAGTCCGGGTGTGCTGCCAGATTATTCAATTCCCCTGGGTCATCCGCTCGACTGTACAGCTCTGCCGCCTCATACAGTCGATAAACGTACGTCCACTCTGGCGATCTCAAGCTCACGGCCTTTCCGACCAAGGAGGTGTCGGTATGCTGCAAAGCTGATTTGATATCATATGGATAAGGGGCTTGTTCGAGCAGGGGCTCCTCCGTGAGAAGGAATCCGCCTTCCGAGAACGCGAACTGTTTGTGTTTCTTTTTCGGGTCCTGCAGAGCCGGCAAGAGAGACAAGCCGTTATGCGGAAAGGTCTCTCGGACCGAACAAAGCTCTAGGATTGTTGGGAGGACGTCAACCATCTCAACCATTCCACTGTACACTTGATTCTTCGGAAGCCCTCCACCGGCAATGATGAGAGGCTCGTGAACGAGGGAATCTGACAGCCCCGAAGGCCATTTCTCGATCAGACCGTGATCGCCGAGATACTCGCCGTGGTCCGTGAAAAACATCGTTACGGTCGTGTCCCACAGTCCCAGGGAATCCACTTTATCAATGATCTGACCGAACTGGTGATCCAGCCTGGATATCATTCCGTAATAAACGGCTTTTAACTCCTTCCACATCTCCCCCGTCGCCCGATGCGTCCCGTACTGCTCCCGAATCGCCTGCATGTATCGGGGCTCGTGGCCCGTCTTATCCTTGTGAGACGAGGGTGGGGACATCTGGGAGCGATCGTACATGGAGAAAAATGGCTCCTCAACCTGGAAAGGACAATGCGGGAAGATTAGCGGGAGGAACAGCACCCATGGCTGATCATCCGGTGGACAGTCCAGCCAGCTCAGTGCCGATCGAACGACCGCATCGTCATAATCTTTGGCTTCGGAGGCGTTCCGGAGCCCTTTATAGAAGAGTCGGCCCCAGATATCTCCCTTCTCTTTGGCACTCTGAGACCGATTTCCAGCGAATTTCGGGACAAAGTCCGGCGTCTCTAAAAACCCATACTCCGTCACACTCAGCTCCGTGACCCCCGGAGAGAAGGTGTCCCCTCGGGGCGCTAAACAGGCAACGTGATATCCATCTTCCTTGAGCGAGCGAAATAGATTCGGCTCCCACGGCTTGATCAGGTTATCAAGACTCCGGTGCCCTGTGACATGGGGATACCGGCCGGTGAACATGCTGCATCGCGATTGACTACAGACCGATGCTTGCACGAAGGCATTGGTGAAAAGGGTGCCACGCTGGGAGAAGGCGTTGATGTTAGGTGTGTAGACAGGGTCTGGATTTGAGGGAGAAGAGGTGCAGCCGAGACTATCATAACGCAGTTGATCGGGCATAAATATCAGGAGATTTGGTTTTTTGGGTCTCTCATCTGAGGACGGCTGTGGAGGATGAGGGAGCTTAGTTTCGGTCATTCTGATAGACTTGGCTGTTGATGCTTTTGGATTTTATTAGTAGATCCCACAGTATTCCACAATTCCATAATATATGGCTATATAGATGGCTCTGTCGGCTGTCGGTGCCGAAGTCGGTTGTCGGAGTGATTTGCCATTTGGCACTAGAATGAGCAATAATAACCAATCAATGTCTATAGTCTTGCTCTGAATATTATTTATGGCATTGTTATCTTCCTAGCTCTAACTGTTAAGTATCAAGTCGGCCTAATATGTAATGGAGTGTCTGTAACTATGGAAGGATAAAGGTCCTCCTTCATCGCTCAAGCCACAATACTTAAATATCTTTTCTTTTGGGGGGAAAAAGGCAAATATAAGAAAGGTGAAAGACAACGGATTCCGAACCATGTTAAACAACAGTGAAGTATTTTCTTTTCTTTTTATGAGGTAAATAATAAATTAACCTAGGATTGAAGGCTTCGTCTCGAACACTTTTCTCACGACTCCCACAATTGCATGACATCGACGCTAAGAACGCTACCTCCACTAGCAAAGCACGCCATTCCCTGCTCCACCCCCGCCATCAGTTAGTGGGTTGGAGTGCATTGGTGCTGAGTCTATCCACTGTCATTCATCCTCCCCACTCACCCTTCGATTTCACAGAACAATGCCTTCCTCTCTGCGCGCCAGCTACCGATCGAAAACATGCCATCAATGCCGTTCCAGAAAGGTGAGAGTCTCATCCACCATCACAGCTCATGCGACATCTAACGGTTTCCTAGGTCCGCTGCGATGGCCGCCCCGAGACCTGCAGCAATTGCGACCGACTGCAGTTTAGCTGCTCGTTTCAAACCCACAGTGTCGATACCGGGTCGTCCGGGAGACCGGAACGTCTTCGCGCAAAAACGGCTTGTACAAGGTGTCATTCATTGAAGGTGAGATGCAGCGGACATGTCCCGTCGTGTGTGAGGTGTCAGAAACGGGGGAAGAACTGCGTTTATCCTTCGACTTCTTCGGTAACTGGATCCTCTGAATCCTCTGGGCTCGACAAAGGGAAAGGAGATGAACGAATCGAAGTTTCAGCTGAACCAGAAACGAGGTAAGCTCTACTCGAACTTACGGACCGACAAAAGCTGATTATATAGCCTTGCCCAAACGAAAAGCTTCATCGAACCAGACATTCAGCGATTTCAAGCAGCACTGGATACTTTCTTCGCGCGCGTATATCCTCTCCCAGGTTATTCCTTTCTGCACCGCATATCGCTTTATGACCGATTCCATCGAGGTGAGGTTGACAACGCTCTTCTACTCTCAATTGTCGCTACCACCACTACTCTCATCGAATTGGACCCAGAGGCTCGAGAATACGGTTTCCAATGTCTTCAAGCAGCAGAAAGAATCATTCTCAACTCCCTGGGCCAGCCATCTATCATGAAGACCCAGGCTTTACTGCTGATAATCCGTTGCAAGATGTGCATCGGCGAACATTCGTCTGCGTTTCCATTGGTCGCCATTCTAGCTCGGATGGCGTTCTCTCTGCGTTTGAATTATGAGAGACCAGGGAGGTCATTCATAGCCCATGAGGCACGCAGGCGATTAATGTGGGCGGTCTATATGTTGGACACGATCTGGGCTGGAGGTCTTCTGGAATTTACTACTTGTCCGGTGGATGCGATTCACCAGGGGCTGCCCTGTCAGGAAGAGAATTTCGAGTTGGACAGCCCGCCTGAGCAGGAGATTTTTCTTTATTCAAAGTCTCAAATACCTGGACTACTAGCATCTAGTGCTTGCATTGCCCATTTGAGGGATCAAGTTTTGCGGTAAGTATGACTCGACCGGCTCATTCTCCATGTTCTGACTTTTTCAGTTGCGTGAAGAAATTTGCTGCTGGAATGTGCACATCCGGCGACATCATCCACGGCATCCAGCAACGAGAAGCCGATCTGCAAGCCTTCCATGACCGGCTTCCTCAGTCCGTAAAATATTCCGACCGAAATCTTCGATTGCGCGCCCACTCACCCTGGCTCTGTCGATTCATCTTCGTGAATCTGCTGTGGCACCAATGTCATTGTGATCTTTATCGGTGCATTACTACCGGTCTTATCGAGTCAATTCCGGCCTCCACATTTCACCAGCTGGATAGTTCATTTGTCTCGCGGTGCCAGGAGAGGTGTGCGTTGCATGCAGAGACTATAGCAGAGATATTCATGTCTCTGATGACTCTTTCAACCGATACCATTATACCCTTGGAAATGGCTGCGTGTGCATACCAGTGCACTAGACTTCTGATTCATACCGGAAGATGTAATTCTGACAGAATCAGAGAATACGGAAGCTCTTGCCTAGAAATAGTCAAGCGAGTGTCTTTTACTTCGCCTTCCGTGCAGAGAATTGTAAGTTCTCCCCTTCGAGAATTCCACTATAGTTGCAGCCAAACTAAGAGGTCTAGGAAACCGACCTGAAGGCTCTCCTCGACGAAGTATTATCGCCACATCAGTCCTCCAGTCCAGAAAGCCATCCTCCCACGCCAGACACAACCCCGCGTCAGGTTCTTTCTATCCATAGCCTGATCATCAGGTCGGAATTCGGAGACGATAGCGACGAAGTTGGCCTTGCAGATGAGCCCCCAAATTCGGAGCCTAGATCCCAGATTAAGGAGCCATTCCCAAACGCTCAAGAAGTTTTACCCTCGCTGTTATCTACTTTTAGTCCTGGCTCGCTAGAGAATGATATGTGGTTGGAAGGTACTGGGATCGAGGCCTGGGACAAACAGGAGACGGGATTTGATCTGATGCGGCAGATGCAGTGGGATGGAACGGGGTATCTTGCTTGACATTTGTGACATGTGGAGGCTTATCAGGGACTGAGAGACAGGCGCCAACATCAGGTTCATGAGCCATGTACGTAAAGCGAGGCGGAAGTTATGAGACCAGGGTTTTATCCCAGAAAAACCTGTCCAAAGACGTAACGCAATTTCCTCCATGCAACACCGAGATAGCTCTGATGTCGAAATCCCAGTGGAGTAACACTGTTATCTTTACTTGACATGTATTATCTTTTGGCAACAAGATTTGAAAAACAACATTACTCTGCTTTTCTTTCTGCCAGTCTGTCGCCTGCCGCCTGCCACTGATCGCCGACATTGTTTCTGTAGTGGAGGTGGAAGATATCTCGTTCATCATGGCCCTGAATCATACCAGTCAGCCAGCGTCGTGGGTGCTCAAAGAACTTTCCTACTTGGGGCACCTTGGCGAGTGACGAGGGAAAGCAAAAGACACGGGGGGAGGCAGTGGAGGAGAAGTAAAGGCTGACGGATATTCAAATTGAGCAATAGATTGAGTGACGCGATGTGGTGACAAATGTGAAGGTTTATAAAATATACACTCAAGAAATAAACGGTGCCTGTGTGTGGGACAGTTTGTCGATCTACTGGTATGAGGTCTACATTTCTTTTACTTTCTATACATTCTCGACAATTTCCTTTGCATTACTTGAATACTAAACCGAATAAACACCATTAATACATCCTTTTTACAAAAAGCGAAAACATCTCTATGACACAATATTTGTCTCCAGCATTTTCAACGTGTCAGATGTAGCATGAGGTCCATTTGACTTTTGCCTTTTCAGTGGAAGACGGTTTTCCGACGGCCGGGGGCAGGCTGGCAGCAGCAGACCGGGCTTTTTTGGTCTCAGTCTTGGTGGCCTGGGAAAGAGTGCGAGGTCGAGGGCGTCGGCGCAGGAGGCGCTGGTACTTCTCTGGTCAGCCTTCAAAGTTCCAGATGCATATTTACGTTTGATCTTACGGGCTTATTGCTGCGCAATACCGGACAGTCTCTTTTGACATGGCTCCTAAAGCCGCAGACGAAACAAGTATGTTTGTCCTGAATTGGATCAAATCAACCGGGCTGCGCGCTGCAAGCTCGAGGGACTCTTCTTACCTTAGGCATGGCGACGAATCGTAAAGTGAGCCTGAGTGATAGAGAGAGAAAGAAAGAGAGAGATCGAGAGACACCGTTGGAGAGAGATGGCGTTGTGGGTTCCAGCGACTTGGAGAGAGGGAGATGGAGAGGAGGATGACTGAGGGAAGTGAGAGAAGACTGGGGGAGACTACTAGTAGTGTTGGTATGTAGCCTCAGGCAGCAAGCTGGCTGCGTTCACTGCTCTCTTCTGGTTTACGTTGTCTACTTTCTTTCTTCAATCCATCATCAAAACCAGTCACAGTGGCCGCGCCGCCTAATCTTGCCATCATTGTGTCTACGTTTAAGCAATGAACTCCCCAAAGCCAAAAGCATTCGAATTCCGGTATACATATGCAAGCAAGCAGCACATTTCACTGTAAGAAATACTAATCTTGACAGAACCCAAGTGCATCGTCGACGTCTCTCTCGAAACCTATTCTTTTCAACTTCTCCTGCACCGCTGCATATTGATCCATGGTCTTTTTTGCCTCATTCAAAATTTAGGTCAAAATTCTCTTATACCTCGATCGATCAGCTAGAGTCATTGTATCTATGTGAGCTTCCTAGTCAATCCAAGAACTGGAGACGTGAGCTAAGTAGCGAAGGTTAACCAGCCGACTGGATTGGCTGCAGTGATATTTCTCCATAGGCAATGTGGTGCCCACACAATAGAGATTGTGTACGTTCATGACCTTTGACATGGGAGGGTTTTACACTGTACTAACTTTTGTCCATAGATGGCTTGTGTGCTGGGTTGCGACAGACGGCGCGAGAATACGTACAGTGTATCTGGTTTAGTCGATATGTAACACTTCGTCGAAGAGTGCAAAACTTTGTCGCAAGCTTTCGCCCCCGATCCAATCGACCGATGAGAGAGATCAGATATGTTGACTGTTCGATATCTTGGCTTAGCGAAACCAAGTATAATGTCGGTATTGTATTCGCCTGATGAATCGTCTGACGGAGCTGCGATGAGGACAAAGAATGACCTTGCAATGTAAGATGGCTTAGACATGTTGGTGGAAATAGGTTGATGGACTTGGTCAGAAGCAAGGGCATTCGCTGTCTTTTGGGAGACCGAAGGCTCCGGTCATGCAAACCACCATGCTGAGAAACAGCAGTTACATCCTATTGTCTACATCCGATGAAAGCACGTCCGCCAACCCAGGGAGCTAAAAAGGAAATATAACAGTTATTGCGGTGACACAGGCCTATTAAAGCAGACTGAGTGACAAGCTAATCCAGGGTACAGTCATGGTGGTTGAAATTCCTGGGTGACGTCTTGTGAGAATCAATCAATCAATCAAATGTCTATTAAAATGTGATTTATGAACCAATGTGCGTTTAACTTGGCTCCGATCGTTGGCGAAGTGCCTTGAGGCATTATGGATGTTATTACATTACGATGGTGGTTTAGTTATAAACCAAGATGTATTTGAGAAACGAAAGAGTTCATTTTTCAGGAAAAGAATATTGAACACCGGAAACCAAAGTTTATTGAACATACCTGAGCCTTCGAGGTGATAGTCTCAGAGAGATACGTGACGAGGCGTTGAAAGATCACCTGCCATGTTGGCGAAGAACACCCAATCCGTTCTAGTCAATGTAGAAGGCCTCCCTGCCTACAACGTAAGATTAGTCTCTGGGCCAACTCATGGTGGTATGGTCATGCTTATGGAAGTAGTCAGAGTCTTCGTATACACACAGGGCCGGCAGCCTATTGGGGGCTTGATTATGGGTGATGCGACACCCTAGGATAACAGCCATGAGCCTGTCGTGCGCTTTACAGACAAGGTCCCTATGGTCTCGGAAGCCGCATCTCTGATGACGTGGGAAGACCTCCCTGGCAACTCTATTCAGACTGTGGACCCAGCGGTAGAGATTCGTGACCGTGGCTGAATCGCGTTGGTTCCCCGACTCCACTAAGCCCTTCAACATCCGCGCAAAGTATTTAATCAGAAAGACGGATACTCGACACTCCAGGTCATGAGCGGTGCTATCGCGCGTGCAAACATGCTTGAATAAGGCATCAAGCCGCCCGCGAATGGCCTTGCTGTCGTGTTGATACTGCACGGCCCAACCGAGGTCTCTTCCATTGAGAAAATGATATTGTTCAGGATATTCTTGACTCTCAACGACAAGGTAACGGACCCTGAATATGTTCTCATTGGCGGTGTGATCCACAATAATGAATTTGGCACCAAAGATCTGATCGAAAAAATCCAAAATGGTTTGGTCCGTACCCTTTTTGATATAGACGTTGCTGCACCCTCTGACCGTGTGCAGCCGAGGTCGACTGGGAAGCGGCCCCGTGTTCAAACTGGGGGGAATGGAGTGCATGGCTGACGGACTCATCAGTGAAACGTGACAATGAAAAGAATCTTGGTAGGCGATTTTGGAGGTGGAGTATGGGTAGTGCGATGTTCAAATCGAGTGAGATGTGCCGAGAACTGGGTTGTATGGGAAGCGACTGGACGAGAAGTGTCTCAGGCGGAATTTATATAGTATTTCTGCATGCTTTATAGGTAACTTCTTTCAGGGGGCAGATAACCTGCACGTCCCGATGTCAAGATGGCAATATCCCCATGAGGCCGGATCAGTCCACATGGGGAATAAAGAAGTATCATATAACTGGTATTGTCAAGATTCAACATGTGAAGTTGACTCCAATAGGGCCACTGTCTGTCTGTTCGAAGAGCCACCTGCACATCTTGAAGAACATCAACGAGGCGGTCATAAAGTCCACATGGCAGGGCAATGACCAGAGATAGGATTTCATGTGGTAGTTTTTATTTCATCCCGTCACTATACTGGCATTGTGTTCAAATTATTTGCCTCAGGCCTGGACCGCAGGGGGTTCCATAATATCAATTTTCCGTCTGAATAGCAGCAATGGAGGCAATCTCCAAGCTAAAGTCACCCTCCTGGGTCCCAAAGAAACTAACCAACATATCAGCAATGAACATACTCCATGTTTCACAAACGCCTTACCTCCGCATCATGATGCTGATTCGCTTGATAGAGCTCCGGTCCAAGGGAGGAGCGTCTTCTTTGTCCTTACCCCGGTAAGTGGCGCGAAAGTCTTTCCATCGAATGACAAAGGGCCCTTTGTCCGTCGCATGGAAATCATATTCCCAATTGATGGTGCTTTGCTCTCTCCCATCGGGTCGTTTAGGCAGCACAGTGTCTTTCAGCGTGAGGGTGTACTTTTTCCCGTCGGACTGCCTGATGTCCAATTCCAACCCGTCGTTGCCGGTCAAATCCCACATTCTGTCGCCTGTGGTGCGCTGCGAAGCAAATCCAGCTCCACCTAAGGCGTGAATATCGAGATGACCATGAAAGCGAGCTGCATTGGAGGGAGGGTCACATTCAAGATAGGAGTGGGATGCGCCTCCGCGGACGCGATCGTCAGACGCGGTCCAGTCGTGCGGGGACCACGGCCTGAGGATGAGTTAGCTCTGTCATTGAGACTTTAAGGCCAGTTGGCTTACTGGTCACCTCCGAAAATGTATGTCTTCGAATTGGATGCCATCACGAATGTTGCTTCGGAGATTTCCAATTGTTGGAGGAATTCCATCGCTTGACCCTCTGTCCGCGTGATGATGTCATTTCAGTCTACTTTGGGATTAGCGTCAAGACGCGCTGCGTCCCAATCCGGCAGTTCCGCCCGCCGAGCAAACAGAGCAAACCACCAGCTACGACTACAGCAACGGCATTTCTACACAGTTCTTGCCTCGCATCAATTGTATTTGCTTCACGAAATCGTTCACCCAAAAGCCACCAGTCCGGATTCGCAATCCATCGCCACTTTCTCGGGTCCATCACCTGAGACTCAACCCGTCAGACTGATTACAATTTGCCCTGTCCTGCATTCGATGGCACGCTGCTCTGAGCGGAGCTATACGCCGCCGCCGAGGCGATATTCTTCCCCTGGAAATTGGACAAGAAACCCGTGTCGGCCTTGCTAAAGCTTCCAGAGCTTCCGAACCCATTCGTCTGGCAAACATGACCCAAGTACGATGAACAGACCTGGTTGGTGTTGCTGTCCGGTGAGGTAAACAGCTGGCCGCTGTTGGATTGTAGAACCGTCGGGATATTCTGGAAGACGTTACCCTCGGCCAGGACCTTGCCTCCGGATCCAATCTCGAAGGCATGTCCGGAGAAGTCGTGCCAATAGTTGTTCACCTGCAGTGTGGTCAGACAAGCCTGAGCTCTCGGGAACTAGGATTATGCTTACCGCATGCAGAAGGGTGTTGGATTCGACCTTGGGACTGCGGCCACTCATGTGGTAGATGTAGTTGCCCTTCAGGGTAACCATGTCGTTCGAACCAGTCAGATAAATGCCCCAATAATGATACCCATCACAGGTGGCCGAGTAGTCGGACTGTCCGTTGAAGTATGAGTTCGAGACCGTCACCCGGTTCGATGCACTGGTTCCGAGAACAAGATGTTGACGACCAATGCGCGCAGTCTAATACGATGCCCCCGAATATGATCAGCGCCATGACCATATCATTGCCAGATGAGACCAAGGACCTACCGTCACATGATCAATCCACACCATGTCGCAATTGTTGAGTGTGATAGCATCACCACCCCAGACATATTTGGGGTTCAAGTCGGTAATAGCAATGTTCCTACAACGAATCAAGCTGGTTAGACCTTGCTGTGCAGGACAGTTGTGACATGTCTTACTGGATGATGATGTTGCTTGCACCGCTGACAATGCGTAGACCTTTACCCCTGATTATACCGCTCGACCCGGAGCCAATTAAACTCTTGTTGGATTTCACCTTTGGAAAGCCGTGGTGTCAGTCTGAGGCAAAAATGATCAAGATAGAATTGCGGGAAATGTCTCACCGTGATCCCAAGCACTCCGGCATTATCGCTGCAAACGATTAGTTTGTTTCGGATTTGGATCCGGCTCAGGCAACCCCCCGAGCTTTTCAGAACTTACTATGACACTGCAGCTGTCGGAGCGTTTGGTTGGTAGTTGGTGCACCAATTGTCCTTGTTGATAGCCAGCTGACAGGCCGAGCCAGTTCCCCATGGCGCGCATCCTCCGGTGCTCGAGGTGGTCGTGCCTTCAGTCCCGCGGAAGTCGAAGCTATACGGTTGTCAGAATTGAACTAATAGTCACTGATCAATTGGGATTCGCACGTCTTGGTCAGAACAATGACTCGGGCTGAGCTATCCCCAAGATAAGACACGAGCTCGGCGTTGGTGGTGGGATACACGGCTGTGGCGCTGCCTCCGCCAGTGACCCCTTTGGCGAAGCCCTCGGCAGCGCCAGATACGCTCTGGGCACTAACGCCAGAGGCCAATGCCGCCAATGCGGCAAAGAGAAGGTTGAGCTTGATCATGGCAGCCGAATGACTATTGCGCGTCGAGAAAAAAGAAGGAAACGGACTGTTTTGCCTCAGCCATTCTGGGGGATAACTTCCCCCGCTTTATACTATTGTCTCCGGCTCCGGACAGGGGCTGCCCTGACGGGTAAATTTCCACCGTTCGAAATGATAATATGAGAAAAGATGAGAGCTTTCTCCGGTAGTTGATGGACTACTGACATCATTGGTGGACTGGCGTCATACTGGGAACGCCATCGCAATCTGGGGTGCGTTAACTGAAGAATTTCAGCCCTGCCAGTACCGAGGACTGGAGAATGGAAAACCCCGTGGATCCGTGCGCAAGAGCTACTGCCGGAGAAACTTTGCGAGGAAAGCAGACCACGAGGAGAGAACTCTTCAGCTGGCTCGGACCGGCATGTGGATGCCGTGGCTGATATGCCGGCTTTGAAGGTGTGATCACGCCCTAAATATTTAGGGCAGATCAAAGCGTCAAATAATAGCGAATCCTTCTGCCTACGGAACGGCTTATTCAGTCCGTGACTTAAATGAAGGGGCTTGTCGTGGTGGCATACCCGGTTACGAAGAACTTCCACCAACCCTGAATCTTCCGTCAGACATCATTATAGCTGCTGGCCTTTAGCACCTTCCATGAGAGGGCTTGGTCTTCCCATGTGCGTTAAATCGCGTGCTCGACTACCCGCACTCGTTGGGCTTTCGCAACACCACATCAGCCACATACATATTTATCGGAAGAGCTTGGAAGCGAAGGCAAAACAAATGGTGATCATAAATCGTTTGGAAATATCAATCTCAAAGGAATCAGTGCAGCCATAAACACCGACTATTGACCCACGCTGCATTATTAGACAGAATGCTTCGTGTCCTCTCGAATCTCCACATGAGCAGTGCTTTCCTTTCTTTCAAATTCATCATCCTTCTGCTGATAACCAGCGGCGGCGACCTCGTTGGCTTTCTCCTTGCCCTCGAACACTGGTCTTGTTAGTCGATGTCCTACCAAATGTTATAACTTGACGGAATGACTTACTGAATGACAGCTCCTCCAACGTACGTCCCGAGGTCTCTGGAAAGAAGAAATATATAAAAACAAGCTCAAAGCCCAACCAACAGCAGTACACAATGAGCCATTTCCAGGCAATCCGAGACAGACCGACGGGATTGACGTAGGTCGCGAAGAATCCCGCACCACGTCCGTAGAACTGGAACCAGGAGAGACCTTGCGAGCGACCAGTGTAGGGGAAGATCTCAATCAGATACGCTGGACCGACTGATTAGCTCTGGATGGCCAATTGGAAAAGGAATCGAAGGGGACTCACTGTAAGTCAGAGCATTATAGCCCAGGTTGTACGCAGGCGAGTATGCGAAGATAAAGAAAATGGTCAAGATCGCTGCGGATTTGGCCTGTGTGCTCATGAATCTTTCCATGGAGATCGTCCACGCGATGTATACACAGAGCAAGGACGAAGCACAGGTGAGGTACATTGTTCGTCGCTTGAACCGTGGGACCGTCAGTGCCAGCGTCGTGCCGCAAACAAGCCCCCAGCAGGCAATCCCGATGTTGATCTTAGACTTGACAACACTGTCGGTAATATCCACCATGTTCAGCAGGTCACTCAGATAGTACCTACCATGGCTGTCAGCGAGACTATTCGCAATCAGAGAAAGGGGAAACTTACGAGATCAGGGTGTTTCCCGACCACTGCGTGAACAGTCCGAGGAATGCAGAGATGAGCAGACGACGCCGCATACCAGACGTTTTGAACATGTCCCACCAGTTCTGCTTGGCATCCTCCAGTTCCATCTTAATTGTGCGCTCGATCTGGGCAATCTCTGTTCTCACGATCACCGAGTTGCGATCCCCTTCAGCGTGGTATTTAACAAGAATATCGAACGCCTCCTCTCGTCGGTCTTTACTAATCAAGTATCGGGGGCTCTCGGGGAGGAATCTGTTCTCGGGTCAGCACTGTTTCCTTCTATATCTTCTTCCGAAACAGAATGGAGCATACAGAACGGTGCAGACCTGGACCATGGCCGGTGCAATCTGCAGGAGCGATGGGATCCGCCACGCCCAGTCAGAAGGAATGGTGACTGTGCCCAAACCCACGGCAGCAGCGGTGATCTGACCGATGAAGTAGGATGAGTTGAACAGCGAGGTCAGGATGGGTCGCTCCTTGGGATAACCCAGCTCTCCGATCAGCGAGGACCCGGCGACAATGCAGAAGGGGATGCCGAACCCCAGCAGGATTCGTGCTACAATGTACATTCCAACTACTGTCGTCAGCGCCCTCAACGTGTAAAGACACAGGAAGGAGAACTCACTTCCGTTAGAGAAACCCTGGATCAGAGCGCCCACCAGACTGATGCACGAGCCAAACATGATGGTCCACCGTCGTCCCAGAAATTTGTTCACAAACGGGATAAACGGCAGCGAGATGATAGCACCCAGAGAATATGCCGCTGCCAGGAACCCCTTGATGTTCGGCTCAATCTCATACACTTCTCGTCCATCCTCAAATTCGCCGGTAGGGTGACCAAAGTCTGCCTGGCGTCAGTCATGCCACAACGAAAAGTTTGCTGCGAGAAAAAGCCCTACACTTATTCCACGTGTAGACAATCTGCACCGTGTTGATGATCTGAGAGTCAAAGCCTGACGTGATCTCAATCCCCATACAGGCAGGGAACAAAACGAAGTAAAGGTTTCGCAAATTATGTTTCTTATACCACGGGGTCCGATCGGATGCCAGCAAATTGGCCAGGACTGGCTCGCCGAAATCCTCCTCGCGTTGCTTGCCCACGACAACCATGATGATTAGCGACCGGAGGCAGGGATCAGTACGCTGTCCAGTATATGCGGTAGATCAAAGAAGTTCCCACGAGAACGAAGATGGGAAATCCTTTGAGGTTATATATTTTCAACACCACCACGCGGTTGACCTTCCTGGAAGTTACACACCCGACCTAAGATAGGCCCATGCCAGTCATGGCGTGCCAAGCCACTTTGGATCCATTTAAAAACCACGGGGGCAAAACTGCGCTCCGGGTAAGATCCCCGCTGGTGGACTGGTGGAAAGCAAGCCTGGCATGATGGACGTCCGCGGCCATCGCCATCCCCGACACGCCACCAATGAGGCACATCATTTCCACTTTGAGACCGGAGCCAGACCGTCCAAGACATCTGGGGAAGACGCAAGGAGACCCCGGACGAGCCCAAGAAATCCCCCGCATTGCCCTGCAGTGCCTCGGGTTTCGCGGAGTCTCCCCGGCCAGCCAAGCCGCCAGTCCGTTAGAGGTAAAAGTCTGGGGTTGGAGAAAATACGAATAATAGCGTCGGGTCCATGGCAATCCACCGAGCCTCGATCCTTTTAGAAGAATACGGACTGAGCGTGTCCACGCACTTGGATTTTTGAAATGGCTGAGATTCCAGAGATATACCACAGCAGATATCGCGGGCGTTACCCGACTACGACTCCGTGCATCAGCCATTCCAACAAAATGCACAACTCCTTGATCCCCGCGCCCTCCTCGCTCCAAATCCTCAACCGCTCCACTACCGCCCGAACGCAGTCAGCCCATACCGGTGGAATGCTGACATAGTCCATCGACGGGATGCAATTCATCTTGGCTCGAAATGCAGCGATGAGACACAGCGCGTGGTTGAACCTCACCCGGCATGCACCCCATGACCCGGGATGTCGAAAGAATGGGACCTCAGTTTGGGTCCTATACACAGATAACAGCAATGCCTCGCTGGCCTTGGGACCGTAGCTCTGCGCGAGCTCCGGACCAAGTGGCACGTGAATGCAGAGATAGAGATAGGCCCGACATAGCAACTCTCGCACCTCTACATATCGTTCTCTCGCCAATTTGACCAGTTCCGGCTCATTCAATGCAGGCATCGCTTCCAGAGGCGGGTTGAAGTAAAGAGTATGCGGAAGACACTCGACCCATTGTTGAAGCTGACTTGCCAGCTTGGACAATGTTTCAGCCAACCGTGTCACGGTCGACATGTCCATGTCAGGTGCCAGAACGCGTACCGCATTCCGCGCACGGTTGAGAAGTCTCCTTAGCGAAATCTCCGCCAGGTAGTAGTATGAGGAAATTGATTCCGAGTTCGTGGTCGAGGGACTGTTGGCCGGAATCTTGCCGGGACTCCCGTAGGCGTGATCCACCGGGAATGTGGGCAAGGCGAAGGGGAAATCGGAGAGAGATAGGTCGCAGGGTGGTAGGTCTGTCAATTCATATCGAACTTCACTGAGATTGGACGTCAGAACGCAACACAGGATCTGCAGCAGGGTCAAGAATTACCATTCTGACTTCAGACAAGTCCAATACAGACGCTGCTCCAGACCTAAACTCGTCAGCATTGCCTTCTTATTTACTCGGCGGGACTGACTCTGCTCCTGTGGAGATCTCTCTGTCTCGCCTGTTCGATGTCGCAGGTTATATGTTTGCCACAACATCGATGCTGTGCGAAACATTTTCCACCCCGGGATCGGCTCGATATTGTACTGATACCAGATACTGCCACGCGTCAGTTGGTGCACAGACGCTAGAGAGCACACGAAGCCCACCCGAACAAGCACAAACACTGAACACCAACCAAGGATTCATCAAGGTAGGCCGCTGATAACCGTTTGCGCGCCATGGAGACGAACGCCAACGACTCCTTCATTCGACACTCCGGGACCGACAAACTGACATATGCACCCCTTTGTGCGAAAGACGATTCATGGCAGGAGATTGTCCGAGTTTCTGCCTCGGGGTAGTTCCCCCATACAGCGGCCAGGGCAAACACAAGTAGAAGGAGACACGACGAGGCAGACCAGTCGATGCCATTTTCGAGAACGTTAGCTATATACAGGTCGAGTTGGTCCGCATCGACAATGGGGTTTTTGGTCCAGATTTTCGCCAGAAAGATTTCCCGCAGTTCGAACATGCGACCGGCGTCAAACCCCGGGATTCCTAGTTCTACGATCAGCAGACAATCCAGCATGAAGTCACAAATCGCACCCACCGGGCTGGAATCTATCCGGCTTCTCGGAAAATGCCGAGGCAGGAAACGTAGTGGCGGGCTTTTTTTCCGGGAAGATCGGCCAGGCCAGGATCATATCCGACCCGGTAATGGGCGTCTTCAGAGCATCATTGCGCGAGATGCTTTCCGGATCTTCCTCCTCCAAGGGAGATAATGTGGAATCCTGTCGCGGTTGATGGAGAGTCGGAACATTGTCCCGATGAACGGCCAAGGTCTGTGTGAGTAGCGTCTCCTGTCTCTCCACGGCCTCGAGGATGCGTGATCCCCATGTTTCCAGGCTAGTAGCACGGCGTTAGCTCCAGACCATCGACGTGGGGGACACAACGGACATGGATAGCGGATCCTTGTCTGGATATTCGCACGACACGCCCCGCTTGATACATTTGGCGCAGATTGGCCGCGCGGAATCGCATCGAGTCTTGCTCAGGCGACAGGCATCGCAGGCCGTGAGCACGCGTGTGTGCTTGCGAGTGTCCGGTTGGACCTGTCGCTTGCTACGTCGGACGGCGAAGCTGGGCTCCATTATCTATGGATTTGGGGGATCGCGGAGGGACAAGCAGCTAAGCCGGAATCGCGAGCCGCAGGACAGACAATCAATCATGTCCGGGGCAACAATGGGCAGGAGACAAGCGATGGCGATGATCGGCCTCGCCTCGGCCCAGATTGGGGCTACTTCTTCTCCCCGCTGCCAAGGGGGGATAAATTGGCTATTTTACCCAGCCCGACCAGTGGTGCCAACTGCAATTAGCCTATAATGCCTGCCGTCTGGTGGCGCAACGCCGGTGCTTCGTGTGCATTGGGTATTTTCCCCCCAATCAGCGAGGGATCTATCCAAAATTTCTATCGCCTCTAAATGCCCGTCCAATATCTAGTCTGTTCGACTGTGAACTGTCCCCGAGCCACGATCTCGTTACTCGATGTGCCCACCAGCACTTCGTAGATGCCTGCCTCGCTTTCCCACATTCCCTCTATCTCGTCCCAAAAGCTCGTCGCGTACGGATCAATCTTGATCTGCACCTGTTTCTCCTCCCCAGGTTGTAGGAATACCTTTTCAAATCCGTGTAGCTCCTTGGACGGTCGAGGGGTCGTCGAGCCCGAGGCAGCGACGTACAGTTGTAGCACCTGAGCCCCCGCCACTGCGCCCGTATTCTGAATCTGCACCGTAATAGTGGGAGGGTTTTCCGGAGAAAAGGTTGTAGGCTGAACGGTAGCTTTCGGGGAAACGGCGAAGGTCGTATACGAGAGGCCGTGTCTGAAACATTCCCAGTCAGCAAATAAGTCGAGAAAAAAGTAAAATAAAAATAGGAAAAATGACTTACCCAAATGGAAAGAGAACGCTTCGTTCCGTTTTCTCGTAGAATCGATATCCCACGTAGACATCCTCTCCATATAGAACCCGACCGCCTACGCTGGCATAGTTCAGATACGCTGGGTTGTGTTTCACATCAACAGGCCAAGAGACGGGCAGCTTCGCACAAGGATTTACATCGCCGAAGATCACGTCTGCAATGCCATGGCCCGTCTCGTTTCCGCCATACCATCCCTGGACGATCCCTTTTGCTTGGCCCGCCCAGGGCATGGTGACGGGCATTCCCGATTGATTGACGATCACCGTGCGATCGGCGGCCACGTCCAGAACCTGGGAGATCAACCGGTCGATGCCGGGCGGGAGATCCATGTGCGCGCGATCGAAGCCTTCGGATTCCCAATCCTGATTTAACCCGGTGCAGAGGATGGTGTAATCTGCGCCCCGGGCCGCTTCGACGGCATTGGCGACCATCTGCTCGGCGTCCATACGGAGACAGGCACCGAGGTTGGCTGCACCACCGCCAAAGTTCACCATTCCGACGGTCTTCATGGTCGTAGTGTTGGCGGAGCCGTACTCGATGCGGATCCGATAGGTCTGACCGGCGACCAGCGTCATGGATCCGACTTCCTCGACGGTGCCCTTGCCAAAGAACGCCGTGCCGCGCGTCTGGTGCGTCGTGTTGTCGATGATCAACTGGTCGTTGATATAGAGATTGGCCGTGCCAAAGACGCTCAGCCCAAAGTCCCACGTTCCCGACGCGTCGGGCGTGAAGTCGCCCACCAGCGTCGCCCAGAAGAGGCCCCGGTTCAGCCCCGGCGTCTTGTAGTCCATCAGCTGGAAGGCGGTTTTGCCCACGGGCTCGGTCGAGAGGAGAGTGCGTGGCGTGCCGACGGGTTCGTTGTAGAAGTGTAGGACAGCGTTGCTGAGAAGGCGGTCGATGACCGGCAGCATCTTGTGCGCGTAGGCACCGGTTTCGTAGACAATCGTGGCCTCTGGTAGAGCCTCCTTGACGGCATCATAGAGAGAAACCGTGTAATAGGGCTCTAAGGACGCGCTGCCGCCCCCGGAGATGGCTGGCGTCTTCATGTGTGACCCGATCAGGGCGATCTTTTTGATCTTTTTGGGCAGGGGGAGGATGCCGTCGTTCTTGAGCAGCACGATGCTGTTAGCGCAGACGGCGCGGTTCAACGCGCGGTCCTCCGGATAGTCTCGACCTTTTTCCACGTCTGAGACCCGGGTCTGGCTGGCTCGACGGACGAACTCCAACACCCGGCGCGCCCGCGCGTCGATGGTGGACTGCTTGATCAGGCGGGCCTGCACGGCCGACTCGATGTACTTGCCGCGGTATCGCGACACGCCGGGCATCTCGAGATCCAGACCGGCCTCCATGGAGTCAATCGTCGTGTAGGTCCCGTACCAATCACTCATGATGAGCGGGTCCCATTTCCACTCGTGGCGGACGAGGTCCAGCATCTTTTTGTCCTCCACGACGTGCTTTCCGTTGATCTTGTTGTAGGAGGTCATCAGTGCCCCGGGCGCCGCGTCGCGAGCCACGATCTGAAACGGGCGCAAATAGATTTCCCGCAGCGCGCGTGGAGTGACTAGCACGTCCACCGCGCGCCTTTCATGCTCCTGGTCATTACCCACGAAGTGCTTCACGGCCGAGATGACCCCGGTGCCTTCGCAGCCGAGGATCATGGCTGCGGCCAGCTTTCCCGACAGATGGGGATCCTCTGCGAAGGATTCGAAGCCTCGTCCACCCAGCGGGGCGCGCTGCATGTTGATCGTCGGACCTAGCCAGCAGTGGGCGCCCTTCGCGATGGACTCCTCGCCAACCAGCTTTCCCGCCCGGTGTAGTAATTCCCGATCCCACGTCGCCCCGAGGGCGGATCCGCATGGAAGACAGGCTGCCGGCACGCCGGCAAAGAACTTGGTGCCGCGGATGCCATTGGGGCCGTCGGTGGTGCGAACAGACGGGACGTCGAATTCGGGGATGGGGTGTGTATGCCAGAAATCAATACCTAGAGGCTGTCAGATGGCGAAGCTATTCCTTCCATTGCATCATGCATGTAAACAATGAAGACGTACCGGACAGAAGGGCGATCTTATCTTGTTCGCCGATATTTTTTAGGATATGGTCCACGTCGAATTGCGACGGCATAGTGCGAGCAGAGTTTGAATTAGAGACACACAGAAACTCGAACAGGAGAAAACAAAAAGCGAAGACATGGTCGAGCAAAATGGCCAACCCGGACAGGCGACTGATAAGTAGTCGACATGGCCGCGATCCACTTGACGTTCAGTTGACGCGACGAGGCCGAGAGATCCACCGAAATTCGCGGAGACTCCCCGGGGTCCCCGCACTGCCGTGCACTGAGCATCCGCCCATCGACGGGAATTTCGATGGAGTCGAGGGGGGCAAAAGGATGAGGATGACGAGAAGAGTCCGACGAAGAAGAGGAAGGAGGACGAGGAAACGCGTCGACGGTCACATGAGTCCGGCACTTGCCTGAGGCTTTACACCCGCAACCCTTTCACCAAAGAAATTCACCACAGAAACCCCCGGCATAGAAATCATAATAAGCTCCATTGTTCTTGACTCGAGCTACATACAGAAGATCCAGCTTGCCTATTTCATCTAACATTCCACATTGTCCAGTGGTTTCAACCCCCCAAAAATCATTTGCGACTCAATCGCAAGCCTCGTTGCTGGCCTTCCTGGAGACACTGCTAAAGATCCTTCCCACCCGAACAGAATACCCGATCGATGTCCAGACATGGTATCGCTACTGCTTTGCTGCTGACTTTTGCAAATACCATCCGGGAAGTCTCTGATCTATCATGCCTGAATCGTGACTCAAGTCTCATTAGCGTGGATTCTCACGAACAGCTGGATCTCTAATGACGTACCTCTAGTTTCCCTGAGCGCACTGCTTGGCGAACTTGTCGACGTACGCGGGGAGAGTCTTCTGCCAGACGGTCTGGTCAGAGTCCAGCTCCTTGATCTTGCTGCACTTCTCCTCGGAGAGCTTGGCGCTGCCGGAGAACTCCTTGACGTGCTTCATCATGATGGGCTGGGAGGCCTTGAAGGCGCAAAGTCCGTAGTCAAGGAGTCCCTGCAGGTCGTTACAGAGAGGCTTGCTGCCCTCCTGGGCGCAGCTCTTCTGCACGGCGGCGACGACCTGGGTGCTGGTCTGGTTGAACAGCTGCTGCTCCTGGGCGGGGATCTCCAGGCGCTGGTTGACGTCCTTGATGATCTGGGGCATCACATAGTTGTGCACGTAGTTGTTGTGCTGGTTGATGGTGGCCTTGCAGTTCTGCTGGCACACCTCCTTGTGGAAGTACTGAAGCAGCTGCTGGGGCTTGTTGCCGACGACCTGGGGGATCTCCAGGCAGCTCTGGGGAATGGACGGCAGGCCGGAGCTACCAGAGCTACCAGAGCTACCAGAGCCACCGGCGTTGCCAACGACGCTTCCAGAGCTGCTGGCGCTGCCAGCGCTGCCGACGCCGGCGGCGTTGGTGGCGGAGAGGATGGTGGTACCAGCCATCATGAGCGAAGCGAGGGAGAATTTCATTGTGAAGACTGAGAGTGGGTTGTTGTGTTTGGAAAGAGAGAAAGAAGGATTGCTGTTTTCTGTGAATTGACTGCGATTGCTTTGCTGCTGGAGAAGTAATGAACAGGCGGGTTGAATGGGCTTTATATACCTTGAGGTGCAGGTATATCCATCTGTCGATGGACGATCAAATTGCCGCGTTGTCCCGACTCATCTTTGGGATTCAATCAAGCCCTGACTTGCGGGGATCCATGGTGTTTCGGATCAGGGCAAGTTGGTGCCTGTAGATCGGAGATGAACGACACCGGAGATCCGCAACCCAAAAATGAGGCACGGCATTCGAAGCACTCTAAAGCGCTCTACGTCATGCCATTGTTTCAGTTCTGGCCGAGAACAGGAAAACCCGGAGACCCCAGGGCTTCCAAAAATTTCTAGAATTTCGGACATTACATCACGGTGTTTCGTTGAGGGATCAACCGATGAATTGCCGTGCTGTTCGGTTGCTCCGGCATTTAATCCAGCCGAACACGGAACTGAAACCATTAGAAAGGGGGGAAAAAAAAAAAAAAAAAAAAAAAAAAAAAAAAAAAAAAAAGGGAGGGGGGGGGGGGGGGGAAAGACAGGGCGCGACGGCATTAGCTAGGTGGACAACGGAAAAAGCGATTGAGTGCCAGGCTCGTTGGATGCCACTGCGGAGAGTGGTGTTTTGCTTCGCTTCATCCTCGGCAAACAAGATCAACGACAATGTTCAGATCATTGTCGGTTCCTGGTCTGATCTATTCCATGGTCAAGTATAGGATCCATCAAATGTGACAAATCAGATGGCTGGTTTCAAGCGGGGCCGAAACATGAAGTCGATGCCTCGGTCATGCAGCAGCAATAAACCTCTTGCGTTGTGCATGCAGCCCATAAGGAATATGGGTTCCTCATGCGTTTGTCCTAAATCAAGGATCATGGCCTCTCATGAAAGGGCCCGTGCATCTAGAATCGCAGGTTTACAAACTAGATGCCTTTCCAGGTCTATCTCCATCGCCAAAGAACATAACTTAATGTGCACGGAGCAGTCCAAATCCACTAAAGCTTTGACCGTACTCCTCGGAAACCATCGCCCAGAAGGTGCGCATTGCGGAGATGGAACGGGATATGCTGAAGTAGTGGAGCAATGCTCGTTGCAGAGTGAGACCGCAAAGCTGCAGGGGGGAAAGATGCATCAGCCCGGCAATGAATCTCGGAAGATACCTCGGTCGGATCGATTGGAGGTGTATACAGCGATGATACAAGCGGAGCATCAACAAGCGGTGGCAAGTACGACGGGCTCAATCGGTGATGTAACAAGGAAGACCATTTGGGCGGGCGTTCGGGAATCCCGACGGAACAAAAGGCGAAACGAAACGGTCGATCTTCCACGGACGCTTAATCTTCGGGATCCAGCGACGTCCGAAACATCTACAACCTCAAATGTCCATGCTTGAGGAAACAGGGTGACTTGTGCAACTATAGCCGGGATTTCTTGGTGGCCTTGACGCGTCTGAAGTTCTCACCGAGTGTCAGCAGCTCATCGCCAACACACGATTCATCTCCGAGTAAGCAGGAAAACTTGCCGAAGTCATTCGACTTTGCCGTACTGCTGAGCCGGTGCTAGCTCTCTTAGAAGCTGAGGCAAAGTTGCCACAAAGCCTCGGGACCTATGGTTGTAACTGCGGACAAGGAGGTCCAAATCACTGTGTACAATGCTTGGTGAGGCCAGTACAATCAACTCCTAGCCTGTGCTCTAGATCTTGCCGTATCTTGACTCATCGAAGGGCGAGTTTCGGCATGATGAACAAGTGGGAGAACATCCATCGTCGGTACAATGGATTATTGGCAGAGCCTTTCGGTGTGAGAAAGGATTGTCTTGGCAGGGACACTCTGGCGGCTTCTCCAGAAAGCATCAACGCAGGGTTGTCGCAGTAGCGGCAGGAGGAGGTTCTTGATCCGAAGATATCTCTGGACAGGAAAGGCGAGGGCCGAGTGACGTCTCCCAGAATCCACGGCGGGTGCTTCCTTGGTGGGCCTGGCAGCCTGAGGTGTCCATCCGTGAAACCAGGCAGCAAGGCGACAAGGCCATAAGATGCCTCCAACTGCGATCCCTCGTTTGTTACACAAGAAGATGAACGATCCGGACAGATCCAGGTCCATGCGATCTGCGATGACGGGCGGGTGGGGCCGACCGTTGACAAGAGTTGATCGACGGGATTTTATTGTGCTTACGTGCTTATTACGATCCTATTATCATCTTACTATCATCTTTTGCTGGCTTGCAGTTACTAGTATCTTCCTGCGTTGTTAATCTTCCCTTGAGCAGGGGATTGAGACCCTCCGGACGCGACCGTTGCCTGAGGCAGCAGTGCGACCGGGGACGTTCGTGGAGATTTCCAGATCGTCCGGGGAGATCAGATCCATCCATTCTGTATACGATGGTTACCATTCATCCCCCTACTCGGTACTCCAAGGAATCCTTTCAGCCCAACGCACGATGGCCTGACTGTTCCGGCCGCCCTTCCAAGCCACCCAACGAGGCGCGCCAATGGCCGGCCGGCGTGGCCCCAACGATGCCGGACCGGATCCTTTTGCGATAAACAAATATTCCTATTAAACTCAGCCTCCTCCCGTCGCCTCTTCCATTTCTTTCTTCTTCTCGCAATCTCGTCCGTCGTCCCGGCATTTCCCATTGAACCCCTCTCAATCCCCACCAGGTTATCTATCCTTCACGTGCGATCGGTCAAGATGCGTGAGATCGTAAGTCTCTGCTTGTCCTTGCTCCTCCGTTTAGATGACCTGCCCAGGTTCGTGTCCAGCGACCGGTGCAAATACTGACATGAATGCAGATCCACCTCCAAACCGGCCAGTGTGTAAGTACCCCGACCGCGCCGATCGGCTGGAATGAGAAGTTTAACGCGTCAATCTCTCTCAGGGCAACCAAGTTGGTTCGGCCTTCTGGTAAGTCGGTTGCTGCCCGGCTGTCGCTCCCCCACTAACGGTCGCCTAGGCAGAGCATCTCCGGAGAGCACGGTCTCGACGGTTCCGGCGTGTCGGTCCTCCCATTCCTGGTCCATTGTCCGTACCTGCTGACGGAGTTCTAGATACCATGGCGATTCGGACTTGCAGCTGGAGCGGATGAATGTCTACTACAACGAGGTGCGTTCGACCCCCATACCCAACTCGTCTCCCGATGAATCGAATGCTAACGACGCCGTAGGCCGGCAACATGAAGTTCGTCCCGCGCGCGGTCCTCGTCGATTTGGAACCCGGAACCATGGATGCCATTCGCTCCAGCTCGTTCGGCGCCCTCTTTCGCCCGGATAACTTCGTCTTCGGCCAGTCGGGCGCCGGCAACAACTGGGCCAAAGGCCATTATACCGAGGGTGCGGAGCTGGTGGACCAGGTGGTCGACGTCGTCCGGCGCGAAGCCGAGGGCTGCGATTGCTTGCAGGGCTTCCAAATCACCCACTCGCTCGGCGGTGGCACGGGCGCCGGTATGGGAACGCTGCTGATCTCCAAGATCCGCGAGGAGTTCCCGGACCGCATGATGGCCACCTTCTCCGTGATGCCGTCGCCCAAGGTGTCGGATACGGTGGTGGAGCCCTACAACGCGACCCTCTCCGTGCACCAGCTGGTGGAGCATGCCGACGAGACGTTTTGTATCGATAACGAGGTGGGCCTCCGTCCGGTGGAATCGATCGTAGCACGGACCTCAAGGCTAACCGATCTTTTAGGCGCTCTACGACATCTGCATGCGCACCTTGAAACTGTCGTCGCCCGCGTATGGCGACCTGAACCATCTCATCTCGACGGTCATGTCGGGCATCACGGTTAGCCTGCGATTCCCCGGTCAGTTGAATTCCGACCTGCGGAAACTGGCCGTGAACATGATCCCCTTCCCGCGCCTGCACTTCTTCATGGTCGGCTTTGCCCCGTTGACGAGCCGAGGAGCCTCCTCCTTCCGCGCGGTGACGGTGCCCCAATTGACCCAGCAGATGTTCGACACTAAAAATATGATGACCGCCTGTGATTTCCACAACGGGCGCTTCTTGACGTGCTCCGCTCTCTTGTCAGTGTCTTCCCAGCCCTTTCCCCCCTTGCCCCACTGTGACCCGGAGACTAACGCCCCCTTAGCCGCGGAAAGGTGTCGATGAAAGAAGTGGAGGACCAGATGCGCAACGTGCAGAGCCGCAATTCGGCCTACTTCGTCGAGTGGATCCCCAACAACGTGCAAACGGCGCTCTGCTCGGTGCCCCCGCGCGGACTGAAGATGTCGTCGACCTTCGTGGGCAACTCCACCTCCATTCAGGAGCTGTTCCAGCGGGTGGGCACGCAATTCACGGCCATGTTCCGTCGCAAGGCGTTCTTGCACTGGTACACGGGCGAGGGCATGGACGAGATGGAGTTCACCGAGGCGGAAAGCAACATGAATGATCTGATGTCGGAATACCAACAGTACCAGGATGCCAGCATTTCGGAGGGAGAGGACAACTACGTGGAGGAGCAGGCGTTCGAGGGCGAGGAGTAGAGGGACATTGGACGGCATCGAGGGAGACCAGGATATTCCAGTCAGTGTCGAGCTAGTTGGATCCTATTTGATTGATCATTTTCTCTCATGCCGTGCCCGTAGACCCCCGTTTCCCGCATTCCACCGTGTCCTTGCGTTATCTCGGGCCGATCTCGCGTCTTCCGAGCACTTCTAGGGATGCCGATCGTCGAGCGTCCGAATAGCGACGCTGCGTGTCTGCCAAGCGAGCATCGACAGCGACTGTTGGCGCTAATCTGGCCGAAGGAACGAGCTAAGCTCACTAGACCCAGGCACCGTCGTTCATGAGCGATCGCACAATTCTGCCGATCGTGGACAAATCATCGGCTTTGCAATCCCACGCTGTGACTGCGTGCCTGTTGCATCGTCTCCCGACCGGCTTGCCGACATTGCAGGGTTCATCGCAGCGATCCATCACGACACGACATTCCACCACACAACTGTCCCGGCCAGAATGGACTTTGACTTGACCCCCACGACATTTCACCGCTTCGCGCAACTCCCGCCGGAGATCCGCCTGCACGTCTGGTCGCTGGCGCTCTCGGGCCCCCGCACGCTGACCGTCGCCTGCCAGCGAGGCGTCCATCCCACGCAGCGCCGCTACGCCAAATCGTTCCGCGCCGGCCTTCCTGCGCCGGCGCCGCTGTAGGTCAATCGCGAAGCTCGCGCCGAGGCCCTGCGCGTCTACGGCGCCCGGTTTCGCACCGAGCACGCGCCAACGTGCATCTACGTCGCCTTCGACCGCGACGTGCTGCGTCTGACCGAAGACGTGCTGCCCTACGTGGGACCGGAGGAGCGGGCCCGGGTCGAGTCGATGATCGTCGAGGTGGCGGATACGGGGTATTTCGGGCATTTTTATCTGGAGACGCTGCAGCGCATGCCGCGCCTGCGCGACTTGGTCCTGATCCTGACCGACATGCCCATGGACCCACGTCGAGGGTCCGGGCAGCGTTATCTCGACACGCTGCGGGCGGAGTTCCGGGAGGCGATCGAGTCGAGGCCCCAGTGGACGTGTCCCCATGTGAAGCTGCTGGCGCGCGATGGCAAAGAGGAGATGGGGGTGATTACGGGGCAAAGCGAGAATGATAAGTAATGTCAATGCAGACGATGGCAGAGGATCTGCTTCATGTGACGGTCCATGGCCCCAGGGGGCGTCGCAGCGACCTTGGTCGAGAACCGGATGCGTTGGCTTTTGCTGCTGGAAACCAGAGGGACCACAGCCCTAGTCGGTGGGACTTGACACCCAACGGTGGGTCACGGCATTATGGTTTGGATCGTTATCCACTTGAACTATCGCAAAAATCGTAGGCAGGGGCGAAGACCGCGGTATACTTCCTACGCGTGTTGACCTGCATGGGTGCGTTAGACAAAATTGAGAACTTGGACAGTTTATATTTATCCTGTCGGCCAATTTGAGTTTCGAGATAACAGCATTCATGGCGAGGGAATTTTCTCCTGACAGGCCTCGTCAGCGAGACCCAGGGGGACTCAAAATTGTGGATGGGAGGGAGTCACAGATAAGGATAAGGCACGATAAACCTACAACATGAGTGAATCACCAGGGGAGGAGACCACCCCGACCAGTGAGATACGCCAGCAAACCACATGCCGGCCGATCCCGACACGGCCAACCCAGTCTGTGGTGGTCGTGAAGGAGCATCGCGTAGAAAATTTGGAAATCCACACCCCCCCCCCCCCGGATGCCTCCCGAACGGGCAATACCCACTTTTTACATCGGGGCGCCTCGACAAACTTCAGATTTTTTTCACCAGATTTTTCCTCTCCACTGCGATCAATAAATACGGCGGAGGTCGGCCGGGGTGCTCTGAGGATGGACCATCGTCTCTCTTGTCACGCTGAACTATGGCTATCTTCAAGTGGTTCGACCGTCGCGGCGACCAGAATGCCCCCGGCGCTGAAGGGGCCGGTAGCCCTAAGAAACCTCTCGAGCCCACGATCATCTCGCTGGGCTCGTCGCCACCAGATACTCCTGCGACCGGCGTGCTTTCGCCGGCCGGAGGGGAAGAGGTGCTGGCTCTAGATAAGCGTCCGGAGTTTGGTCGGTTGGCCTCGTGGAGAGGCGCCCTGATCTTGCTGGTGACGTCCGGCTCTCAGTTCCTGGACAACGTGTTCATGACCAGCGCCAACATGGCTCTGTCGTCTATCCAGGACGAATTCGGTGTCTCGAGTAACAACCTGCAATGGATGATCTCCGCCTATACCTTGACATTTGGTGGTTTCCTGCTCCTTGCTGGAGTGCTGTCTGATCGGTATGAATCCTTATTAGTGCGTATCACTTTGCAGATTATACTGACTCGAATACAGCTATGGCCGAAAGAACATTCTCTGCCTCGGCTTGATCTGGCTCTCAATCTGGACTCTGGCCATTGGATTCGGACAGTCATTCATTCAGCTCACCATCTTCCGTGGACTCGAGGGAATCGGCGCTGCCATGACAGTTCCGTCCGCCATTGGCATTATCAGTTCCTACTTCACTGGTACTGACCGAACTCGGGCCCTATCCATTTACGCGTCTGCTGGAACGATAGGCTTCTGTGCGGGTCTCATTTTCGGTGGCTTTCTGACTTCCTCTCTGGGATGGAGGTACATTTTCTATTTTATCGTCATCATCACCGGCTCGCTGGCTGTTCTGGGTGCGCTTGTGCTGCCCAAGGATATCTACATGGAGCGCACGAAGGTCAAGATGGACTACCTCGGAGCCTTGCTGTCGACAGCTGGTCTGATTCTGCTGCAATTTGTTCTGTCTGGTGGCGGGGTGTATGGCTGGAGCCAGCCCTTCATCATCGTGCTCTTGATCCTCGCCGTGGCCATGCTGGTGGGATTCGTGCTGCTGGAGAAATACATCAGCTACCCCATCATGCCTCTCTCCTTGTGGAAAATCCGCAACTTTGCAGGACTGTGGATCGCTGGTTTTAGTAAGTGTCTTTCAAGTCGATGTAATGTAAACATTGCTAACGGCTTTAGCCTGCTACGGAAGCTACCAGAACGTGATCTACTATATCGTCCTGATGGCGCAGCAGGTGGATGGCCTCTCGTCGGGCGACACGGCCCTCCGGTTCCTGCCCATGGGCGTCATCGGCTTCATCGTGTCCATGGGCACAGGCAAGCTGCTGGAATACTTCAACGGAAAATACTTGCTCCTGGCTGGGCTGGTCCTCACAACGGTGGCTCCGATTCCAAGCGCGATTACTTCTAGTCCCGAGACAAGCTTGTAAGTCAAACCTATTCACAATGATTTGTCTGCCGGATGCTAATGCAACACAGCTGGCTTAATGTCTTGCCTACATCGCTGATCAGCATTTCGGCCGTGTCATTCATCTTCGTCACGACGAGCACGGTCATGCTGACCAGTGTTCCCGTTGAAATCAAGAGTCTTTGCGGTGGCATGGTAAGCCTCTCCTTTCTTCTTCTCTGAGAACTCCCGCTGACAATATCTTCAGCTCAATACCGCGTTCCAAATCGGATCAGGTGTCGCATTGGCTATCTCGGCTGCCGTCACCGAAGCTGCGGACATCGAGAAGGGCCACGGCCTGGCGCAGCAATACTCCACCGGTCTCTGGTGCTCCGTCGGACTGGGCGGACTGGGACTCGTCATCGGATTCTTCGCCGTGCGCCGTAAGGGCATCGGACCCGAGGACCGCATGGGCGACCCGGTTGCTATCTAATATCTCTCGCATTGCACTTATACGCACGCTCATGACGGATTCTTTGTGGGATACTTTGGTGGGATATTGGGATTACGCACATTGGCTATGATTTTGTGATTGTTTACTGTTTACTGTTTTGGAGGACTTAATTCTTAACGACCATAGATTAGACCATACCTTAGACACAGGGGTAAAGTGGCGATGACTTGATGACCCATAAAAAAATCGAAATCTGCTTTTTATCCGGTTGATTTTATTTTGATTTTGCTTTTTTGAACGAAATGCTTCACTCTGCTGTACTATTTTCGACCCGATCCATAAATTAAACCTTTCACGATCCATTCTCCGAGGTGGACCTGTCGATCTACCGGCCATTCAGCGCCGGCGTGCCCATCACATGGACCGGTGGCAAGCGTTGCATCGTGCATCAGGGAGGAGTGGACCCTGTCGACACTTGAGCGTTTCTAATCCTCTCGTCGCTGGCTGCTTATCAATTCGCGCACCGTTCTAGAACCGTAGTCGGAGTCGGACCCTGGATGATCCACGGCGGGCTGGTTTTTTCCCGGCTCCACCGCGGGAGAAAAGATTTTTGGTTCCACCGTGAAGATTGAAGTTTATTTGCCGAGCTCATAATCCTGCTGCGTGCCTTTTGAACGAGTGCGAATCGCGCTTACCGAGTCTGATATTTCTTCTCATGCTTATGCATGCTTCATTGGGGCTTGATCACGTAGGGTTGGGTTCGTCACTAAACACTATTCTTAATTGTCCGGTGGGTTCAAATCTAATAAACATAGGTCTTTGTAGTGCTGGTAATAGTAAATTCCCAGAATAGAAATTAAAACTTCACATAGTTCGCTCTTGATTTCTTCTGGTCAATTCCTTGCCTATCTTATCAACCCGGGGTCTCGAGAACTATCGCATGAACAGTTATGAAAACAGCCTTATTGTTCTCAAACACAGTAACAGGTACTACTCTCCTTATCGTCAAGGTAGTCCGGTCCATTCGGGATCCAGTTTCTTGCATCGCGTAGCATAGCCAAGAGGCAACAGAATCAATAGGATCCTACAAGAAAGTCTGCCAATCTTTGAGAACAACCAGGACTGGTTTCTCAGCGGATTACACACAGTACAACGGAGTGGGCCTATTGACATCAAATTTGGTTCGTGGTAGGATTTTAGTCTGGCGTGCTTCATTGATTCTCTGATTCAATCAAAAAAAAATAGTTGTTTACCCAAATCTAAACTTGGCACTTACTGTCATGCAACAGCTAGAGAGCACATCAATGTAAGAGTTAATATTGCGACAGGACCCCTAGACTTTCTTTTCATCACTACTTGCACACATGGCAAACATAAGAACGCTCGTCGTTTTCATATATGCCGAATATACTTAGAAGGTATTCCAGGTAGTTTTCCCCTTATCATCTCATCTTTTCGCCCTTCTTATTTTCCCTGTTCAATTTTACACATTAAATGGCCCCAAGGCTCTACAAGTTTATCTCACTCATCACCATGCCCCATGGTGAATTTCGATATGGAGACCTTTAGACGTCATATCACCACGAAGAGTGTCATCACCCAGAAATGGTTTAGTCGCGGCCTTGCGTGAATATACTCTTTTAAGCACGACTAGGCTTGTCGATTATTCGAGTAAATTACGATCTGGCATTTCGGCTGCCATTATTCGGCCTGGAAGACCTGGAAGCCAGTATCAAGATATGCTGGATGCAACGAACTGAAGAGAAGAAGAAAAAAGACCGAAAAGAAAGTCTAACTATAAAGACCAAAGCAACGCCTGTCAAATGCAGTCTGATCAAGGCAAACTAACCCCACTCTTCACAGCATCCGATCTCTGGCTTTGCTATTTTGCAGGCGCCCTGAAGTTCTGAAATACACTGACCCCCTAAATGTACAGATTGACAATTAAAACCGCTCGATTGACTCCAACACGGCTGTCGTAACTTTCGAGGGGCAGTTGGATAAGAAAGTGACCAAAACCTTCTGAGTTTTGAATCGACTGCATAACTTCCGCTCATCTATCAATGCCATAGGTAGAATATCTAGGCACCTACCTTAATAACACTGAGCAGCCCGAACCCGTCGAAAGATTCTTCCTCCCGAGGCCCCAGACTGCAGCGTCCGGACCAATCACAGGGCGTCATAATGAGTCATTCTGACTACAAATGAGTCTTGGCACAGATCGTCCGACCAATAGAAATGGGAGGCGGACAGGTCTGAAGAAAGGCTGCAGATATAAATCCCATAATAGCAGGAATCCTGAAGGAATCAGCCCATCAACATCGGAGATTCCATCTCTCTCCATTTTTCTTGGCATTACGCCCAATTCCCTACAAGCACCAACTTTAACGAATGCCACTGTTAGACAATCACCACCAACCCAACATCATGAACGCTCCTTTATACACTCGCCCGGCAGGCGTGCATGAGATCCCAGCGGATCAGCTTGATCTACGCCCCGATTCCGAGGTGGACCACGACCTCCTTCATCCCGGACCGGTCACCAGTGAGAAGAATATCTGGTTTTTCTGGCACGCTGGGTACCAAACGATGCACCCCTACACAAAACGCAACATTCGCGGCTGGCACCGACGTTTCTCTCGTCAAGGTTGGACAGTCCGTGTCGTTGACCGTCAATCCGACTCTCCTTTGAATATCGCCAATTTCTTGGACACGAACGACCGGTCCAACTTCCCTCAGGCTTTCATAGATGGTTCTCTCTCCGGCGAGTACGCCCTGCAACACACATCAGACCTTGTGCGATTCCCGCTACTTCTGAAGTACGGCGGTGTCTACGCCGACGTGGGGTTTATCCAGATCGGAGACTTGGATCGCATGTGGACAACAATGGTGGCAAACCCGGCGTCATCAGTCGAGGTTCTGTCGTATAACTCTGCTGGTGTCCAGCCGTTGAGCCTGACGAATTACTTCCTCGTGTCTCGCCCCAAGAATCCACTTTTTTACCGATGTCATGTATTGTTGTTGAAGCTCTGGGAAGGCCGGAATAGCACCGAAGGCATGTCGAAGAGCCCTTTGCTCAAAGGCGTTCCACTCATGAACCCCTCCGCGAGCTTCGAGGAGGATGGAAAGACTTTTAGTCCCGAGGAAGTCAGCGCAATGCTAACGGACTACATTATTCAAGGCCAAGTGATGTCGCTGGTTATGGGGCTCGTGGACGAGGAAGGTGGATGGAACGGCCCGGAATATGTGACCAAGCACATCTTCGGCATTGACTACATGGTCGGATCGCAGCTTATCAACGACCTGACGGCCTGGAACGGGGTCAGGGCGTTTGAACTAATGTCACTTCATCTGCCAAAGGAGGGGGAGACAGAAACCGAGGACCAAATGCTCGCAAGGGAGATTGTGGAAGCGTGCCTGTCGAAGAGCTTTGGGTTCAAACTCGCCCATGGGTTCATTCTAAAAGTGTTTGGGCATACACTTGGTTCTCTTTGGAGAAAGCACGAGGAGTCGGACAACGTGCCCAACACATATTCCCATTGGCTGCGATACGGTGTGATATATTGGACCCAAGATGAGCTTCCATCATCAAAGGAGTTTGTCGTTCTAGAGCCATATAAGAGAGGTCCTCTGCTAAGGGTTGAATGATGGCGAGACTACAGCTTATTGCTTCAATAGATAGGCTTCATCAGGTTAATAGAATTTTGATTGATTGACTGATCGATCGATGATAAGGAGGTTTGAGAGATCAAATACGATCCGTGAATTGACGAATGTAATGTGACAATGGCTAGATTTCTATTATGTTTAAAGATACTTAAAGGTCACTGTATCATCTGACAGCTAGCTAGGCGGTTATTTGCCTCAACCCACGGCATTTTGAAGTTCTTCACGCCTGCTCTGCTGTTTCCAAGTATCCCATCACCTTTTCGACCAGAAACCTCCGAGGTTCAGCTTGATCGTCATTACTCAAGGCGTGAGACGCATTGGGCACAACCGCCGTGTGGTCATCATCCCAAATCTGACCTTCGCCATCGGGATCCGTGGCGTTCTTCCATCGCTGTAGCAAAGCCTCCTTGTCAACCCAACCTGGGACGGACTGATCAGCCCCCGAGAACAATACCATCAGCTTATGCCGCAATAGCCCCCGGGGCTTTATCATTCCAAAAGTCTTTCGTAATTGCTCCTCGCCGAGGTCCGAGCTGAACAGATCGTCCTCTCCCGGGGAGTGAGGGCTTTCAGGGCTGACGAGGCTTAGGAATCGTCGACAGCTGATGGGAGTATTGCCTGGATAGCAGATACCCGACGTCACGGAGAGCGGGAGCAATGTGTCACAGGATTCGTTCTGGCGAACAGCCTCCTTCGCCATGGTCACTGCCTTCTCGTAAATTGGTCGGATCTCGCTAGGTGTTTTGTCTCCAAACCCATGGGCCAGGACCAACTGGATGGCCTGGCGGTCGGACACGGGTGCTTGCATGATCGCTCCGTCGAGAGGCAGACGCTTTATGTGTTGGAGGTCAGGGTCGAAGGGGGCAGTAGTGGTGTGCGGGTTTGGTCGGTACAGATAGTGTAGGACACATTGACTTCCGGTGGAGTGGCCCATGAGCACGACCTTGCCATTGCCGAATTTGGATGTCTTGTAGTCTTTGATATATTGGAGGCATTGGGCAATCTCGTTCGTGTCGCGGTCTAGATGTCCCAGACCCCATGACTGATAGGAAGATGTGACATTCAGGGTGAACAGAGACCAGTCCGTAGGTTGCAAGGCGTGGACCAGATCTGCCATGTAGGATGTCGTTGCCAGTCCATCTCCAAGACCGCCCACAAAGATCAAGCTATGAGGCTTTCGAACAGCACCGGTGGTATATTCAAATGTGACAAGGCTTTCGGTCTATCGTGCACACCCATTGGGCAAATTTATTAGAAATCTCAGGTAGAATGGGGAGAGGGGCAACAGAGCGTACGTAATGGTGCAGAATGCCGGGGAGGCCTCCTTTAGGCCAGAACTTGGAGTACATTTTGCAATGCAGGGAACATTGAAGAAGGTGCACAGTTAATGAGAAAGGGGAAGAAAAGCTCTCCGTTACCAGCTAGACAACGTGGCAGGTGGTGCGGCCTTCAGAGAGGGGTGTTTGGGGTTCATCTGATAAGTTTCCGAGATCGGCACTACGTTCCCTGCATGATGGGGTCGATGTGTGGGCTTCCATTTTTGGGCCCTAGAATTTGGAGGAGGGAGGAAATCATCAGAACGAGGAAGGAAAAAAAAAAAAAAAAAAAAAAAAAAAAAAAAAGCCCGTGGAGAGGGGCAGCCGAGTAAAATCCGTCATCCCTTAGCGCTGGTTTATGAATCCACTTTAAACACGAGCTTTTACCGTTACGTACTGCGTAGTAGTACTCCGTAGTACTAAAAGATCACCCTCTGTTCTATTACCTGTACGTAATGGCTTTGATAATTTAATTACAATTCTTCGAGAGAAGACGGGGTGTAAAATATCCATAAGGAACAATTCCAACAGTCCGCTGTTTCGTAATACCGGGTTTGTTTACATACCTCTACTCCGTACTCCGTAGCAGCCTGGAAAATACACAAATATGCAATCCGTCGGGGGACAAGTGGGCCAGAAACGTTTCATTTTTGACATGAACTTCTGGAAATTCCGGGCAACCACATGCCCGTCTTCACCCTTCGGACTTCGTACTCCATCCAGGCTCGTCTGGAGAGGCTAGATCTGATTAGATTTTGTGGCTGAACGCCGGAGGATCTGATTAGATTGTCTCTCGGTTACGTGACCTGATTCGGGTTAGACTGCAATGGGATTTGTCAACACTCAATATGAATCAATCGAGATGCCGCCGAAGTGGTAGGTGGCGAGACGTCTTCTGGGTGGGAGCAGGATTTTCTTGCCTCGGTTCATGATAGCCGGTGAGTCATTGCGAAGGGGTCCCATTGCGTGTGTTGGGGCACCAGAGGGACATGCTCTACCAGAGACGGCCAAACGTAACTAGACGCATATCACAATATGCTGCTCGGTCTCCCTCGGATCTGCAGTCTCACCGTATGTAATAGGTCACGGGCTGAGTATGTGATCTCTCATTGACCTACGGAGTAGACAGATTCACATGGCCTGATGTTATCTTGGCTATGATCAACCAATGGGACGATATTGCAACCTCTAAGCGAACCAAGCGAAGGAGCATACGCCGCGTTTTGGGCAGCATGCACGCCAAGGCCTCAAGTCGAGCGACCGTGAATGCACCGACCGGCCAAGACTAATTAACTGTCTTGTCGGGATGAGCTTCGCCAACTCAAGCTTAGGGCTGATAATACCAAGCGGACTCGGAGTGGACGGTCTGGTTGTAATTTACGCGCGCCGGGCTGATCCTGAAAAATACAGGGGCTGAAACACCCCGACGATGGCGGTTTAGGCGTTACCAGGACCGTAGAATCCAGGAGACCGTAGGAAAATTCCATCGTAATACTCCATACTGAAAGGTAAGGCCTTGTTCCCTTGTTTTCCCGCGTTTCTCGCTCCCACTTCAACGGGTAATCAAGGCCGAGTGAGGAGTGGTAGACCCACGCCCGCCTTACCCGACTATTCATGGCACTCCGTATTAACTCTCGGATCAGATAACTTTCCTTTTCCCTCCACCCCCTGGTTCCAAGGAACTAACGAGAAAAGCCGCTTGTCACTTTCAGTTTCCACATCAGACACTTGGCAAGCACTGGTTCTATGTGGATCTCATGTATGGACGTTCGCAAGATGGAGCTTCCCCAATCAGGGAAGGAGGTGAATAGCACTCGTTCATGCACGCCACTTCCCGCCGGCGGAGATTTACGGGGCTGCGGTTCAGGCTTCAAGACGGTAAGGTCGAGAGCATGACGATTAATCTGTCGTGTCCGGAGCCGAATTGACTATGGTACGTAAGACAATGTCTCACCTTGCGGGTTGTCGATCCGAGGAAACCACTTGCTGTCATGATCTGATTATCTGATTAGATTGATGGAGCGTTCTGGCTCGCGGAAAAATCAAGCTCTTGACAGCGCTGGTCCACTTGGCCCGTACTAGGGCGATACGCGGTGATTCTCGGAGCTTCGAAGGAGTTGCCTGCCGCAATCGGTATGGATATTCGCGCGGGTCTCGGATGTTTCCATCGCGCTTCATCAACGACATGGTGAGAGCTGCGCGTTGCTTCTCAAACGGTCAGCCTTAGGTAGCTACTCTCGCGGCCCGCGGGTTTCGTGGTGACGGGATCTTCTCACGAGATCACATAATGAAAATGGGTTCCATGGAACGAGAAAATCCACATTCGTTCATTTCATCTCTAGCTAAACATCTAGATGCTACTCAGTGCGACTCTAAAGCCTCGCGTCCCACGCCGTGCGATCCGAGCTCTCCAGAGGCCGGTCTCGTCCGTCCCAGAAGAGCGGACACAGTTGAAACCATTTCTCCCGACTGCAGTAAACATGAACCGACCGCTTGTGGCCCAGGTCGACGTATTTTTGGATCGTGAGCCCGTGGGCATTCTCGTAGGACAGAACAGTGGAGTTCGTGGCCTTGGGCTCTCCCACGACACACATCGTGCGCGGCTCGTCAAGGAAAATGTAATGGATCACGCTGGCCCACCAGGCGTTCACCCGGTATGCGCCCCGAACGTTGTGCTCTCCCACAAGGGAATGTCGGCCTCGATCGTAGTCGCCGGCGTCGTAATGTGCTCCGTAGTGATCCTCCTAGATTGGCACCCGGCTGTTAGATAAAGCCCAAGTCATTTGGATCGGGTAAAGACATCGTGGGGACTTACCTTGGCCCAATACACCTCGAAGTATGAGAACGGCGAATCGTCGAACCGGCCAAATAGACACAGGACATGTTTATCCTGGTGAAGTCGCCGCAGGTACTCGCGGTGCTCATCCAGGGTGCCTGTCTCGTTCCAGCCCTTGGCCACTCGCGGGTCGTTTTGCCATTTGTTGAAAAGCCGCAAGTGCTCCTCATTCCGCCAATCCACCACCATCAGCGAGAAGTGCTGGTCGATGTGTGGGATGTAGCGACTGTAGACGAGAGAGCCCGGGCTGGGCTTCTGCGGGCGGACGGGATGTCTAGAGTAGATGCGCTCGCTGGGAAACTTCATGGAAAACTCGTAGTTCTGAGCCAGCGCCGGATACTGGCTGGCCGAACGGCGCAGCAGGCCGTGAATTCCCTGGTCCACGGCCCATATCGGCCGCGGGCCCAGCGGAGACCCGGCTCCCTGCCAGAATGCCGACCGCAAGAGGATGATCGTGTCTAAGCCAGAGTCGCTGTTTTCTGTGCCGAAGGGGATGCGCGCGGCGGGGAACGGAACGGCCAGCCCGGTGCGAAGGCATTCCTCGCGCACCACCTCGTTCCCGGGTCCGATTAGATCCAGGCGCACGGTCTCGTGCTTCGGATGGGTAAGGAAGATGGCGTGAATGACGTTCCAGATCTGTCCCAGCGTAGGAGGTTCCAGATTTGCCCAGCGAAAAGAGGTCCCCGGCGCCCTCTGGCTTCGAGCCCAGGGACTGTTATCTCCCGCGGGGATGTCTTGGGCGGATTCGTTGAAGGAAAGCTCGGTGTAGGTCAATGCGGTACTATGTAGAGGCTCCGGAAGAGCTTGGCCCGCCGGGGAGCCATGCAATTGGAGTTGAAGCTCGTGCGGTGTGGAATCGGAAACAATGTGAATCTTGTAGGTAGTGAGGTAGGGATGGGGGAGTTTCACCCAAGGATATGACTGATTTCCGTTCATCGTGGGCTCTGTCACTGCCATGGCGAGGCTTAACTTTGGAAGAGGTTGAGAGTAACCTTGCGTTTCCATTGAAAAAGAAAAGACAATTGAGAGCGAAGAGAATAAAGCCACTGGCTAAATGGGCCAGGCGATGGACCTAGGGTATAAGTATCAGCCAGGACCGAGGCATAAGCCGAGGATCCGAGTGGAGCAGGGCTGGATTCGCCCATGAGACTCGGGACCTCGTGGAACTCCGAGCTCTGGCCTGATACAACAATAGGTACATGCGAGGCTGGACTGGCAATCCTTTACTTAAGACGTTGAGGGCTGCCCTCTGCCGGACACCCGCTGATTCCGGTCTTCTCGTCTAATACTATCCATCCAATCCCACCACTGCAGCATGGCACCTTCAAAGATAGACCACCCCTCGGTCCAAGGATGTCTAATTTCCTTCCCAGCCCCTCACGTTCTTCTCCTCACACTCAACCGACCTAAGCAGCGAAACTGCATATCGCTCGCTACGAGCGCCGAGATACAACGGCTCTGGGAATGGTTCGATACGAACCCCCATTTACGAGTAGCCATCATTACGGGAGCCGGCGAGTCCTTTTGCTCGGGAGCGGACTTAAAAGGTATGGCTCTTATGTCTCAATCGCAGGTCATGTATCATTTTGTCTTAGATAACGTGCTAGAATGGAACGAACTAAACGAGCGCGGCATCACGAATGAGATGACGGCACCGGGACTGGCCGGCCTACCTCGCCGGAGAGGAGGCAAGCCAATCATTGCCGCCGTCAACGGATATTGTCTCGGAGGCGGATTTGAGATGGTGGTTAATTGCGATCTCGTCGTGGCCAGTGAACAGGCGAGCTTCGGCTTGCCCGAAGTGCAGCGCGGAATTGCCGCCGTTGCAGGCTCCTTGCCTCGCTTGGTCCGAGTAATAGGCAAGCAGCACGCCACGGAGATGGCCCTGAGTGGTCTTACCTTCTCCGCCTCTCAACTGGAACGCTGGGGATTGGTGAGCCGCGTAGTGGCAAGCGCTCAGCTGCTGGAGACGGCAGTGGAGATGGCAACTTCCATCGCAAGCAATAGCCCGGACAGCATCCGAGTCACGATGGAAGGCCTTCATTACGGTTGGGAGATTCCCAGCGTCGAGGAAGCCAGTACCAAGCTGGTCGATCGGTGGTATCCGAAGCTCATTGCTGGAGAAAATTTTCATGAGGGCGTCAAAGCATTTGTGGAGAAAAGGAAGCCACAGTGGAGGCCCTGTAACTTGTAACTAGACGCAAAGAAACGATGGCGATATTAATATTTGAATACCACTAGGAATTCAAACTTTGACAATATTCCACTAACATCTTACCGAGACGCCACTACTATGCTTGACTAGTCATACCGGACTTTCCCGGCTTTTTCACAAGCAGGACATGTGTTGCAGATAGCCCCTGAGTTATCTGTGGGGTGGTGCATGCTGATAACCAATTGGCCTTGCCTCAGAAGGCCCTTCGGAGCTTCATCCAGAGTTGGAAGGTGCTATATTCCAAGAGTCCGAGCTGATGAGACCCAATATCATCAAAGCCGTCGCCATGCATCCCCGGAAAATGAATTCCTCAAACCAGGACACGAAATGCGGTAGGTCTGTGCTGGCTTTTGCATTGTCTCTGCCGGTCACAGTCCGAGAACCCGTGCTGAATTTCACGCCTTCAAGCTCGGTGTTTTTCTCAGATAGAATCGGCTTCCAAGTAATAAATCCGTTCGGGAAGACCCAGTTGCAGTTGCTTCGCGATGGGTCTCCCAGGCAGAAGATGAAATTCAATATTCCTCGCAACAATCTGGTCACAGGAAGCGACATTCAATTCGGGAATAGCGTCAGTGGTTGTCCACGAAGCTTTCGTGGAACTCGAGCTGCCAAGACGTTTAGATTAAGAGCCCCCCCCATATGAGCTGTATTGATCATTTCTCGTGTCTAGTCCAAAGCATACGCGTATTTTTCTGAGGGTGAGTTCGGCGGTCTTTTTCAAAACCGTCCCACCGGACAGAAATTTGCACTTGGCGTGTGACAACCAGGGGGTCACTGGGACATCATTTCCCCCCTCCTGTACGGGTTGTATTCAACCAAATGTGCTTAATTATAGTGCGTGTTGGAAATGTGAAATCCCCTTCTCACCCTCATAATGGTAAGTACTTGAACTATTACCTCCTGGGCTGGCTCTGTCAGTCAGGCGGCGATAGGGGAAGAGACATACGAAGACACAACGAGGAATCGTATCTCCTTCCCGTGCCGTCGTTTAAATGGACACTTCGGGTTAGCGTGTTCCAGTCCTCTTGACAATACCGTTAACTCCGAGGACAGTACGGTATGTATGTAAGAATGGTAAGAAACGGGTCTTTCTGGTACTGATGGATCTACACATCCACCATGCCCTCGCATGTCACATTGTGAAACTCACGCATACGTGCTTGGGGGTGCTTGGGTCCGGCATGGTGTGGGCATTGGTAGAATCCACACTCGCCGGGAACAGGCGATGTCGGTGTTCAAAGTATCCAGGGTGCCCTTCCGGCATGATCTGAGGTGTCGGTCGGCGGACGAGGATGCTACTCAATTTGCTTCCGATTCCATCCTATAATTCACACCGCAGGCTGTGGGTTAGCATCCGTCCGTGTTGATATTCCACAGCCATTCAATCCGACAATCAAGGATCAACATCCCCCTTCACTACCGCCAAAGTCCCAGAGTGGTCAAGCTGGGCTACCGGCAGCATGGGCTCCATTCTCGATGATTCCCCCGAGTGCAGCGAGCGCAAGAATGGATTTGTGGACATGCCCCAGACGGAGCAGGTTGATGAATCCTTCAGGTCATTTAAGCTTGTTGGCCTTGAGTCGGACCATACAATCAGCCTTACGGGCAAGAGAGAGGAAGTCCTGCTCCTGTCGTGGCTCATCGTGCTCCTGCGGACCCGAGAAGACAGCCAGTTCTCGTTTGACTGGAGCCACCGGAATCAGCAAGATGACGTCGCCAATGATTTTGAAACGCGCTCGCTGTCGATGAGTGAGGTTGTGTCGGATTTGCGCAACCTAGTGGGACAAACCGCTACAGACCTTGTTCCTCGCGTCACAGCAGCCACGTCCAGTCCGTACACGGCTGCGACCAACCCTACCTCCCTTCTCTTGAGCACAGGCTCCCTATCCCAAACCTCCACGGAATCCAGAGATGAGGTGAGCAAACCATCCCACAGAACTAGGTGACACAGTAACTAACCATGGCATGCAAAGGGAATCCTCCACCTAGAAACCCGCTTCCACGATGATCGACTCGAGATCCGCCCGGCATGGTGGACTGGAAGTATGCTGCCATACACGATAACGCGATACATCGATAATCTCGTTGAGACGGTCAAACTATGTCTCGCGCATCCCAATACATCCGTTGTGGAGCTCACTCGGCCAACTGAAAGCGACATTGGCGAGATCTGGCGGTGGAATCATCAGCTCCCCACATTTTACGACTTTTGCATGCACGATATGGTTTCCGAACGGGCCCGTAGCTTCCCAGATAAGGTGGCGATATCATCGTGGGATGGCGACCTGACGTACGGCCAGATCGATCAATACTCGACATTCGTGGCTGTATCTCTGCGGGAAATGGGAGTCAAGCTGCATGATGTCCTGCCCGTATGCTTTGAGAAGTCCAAATGGACAATCGTCGCTGTGCTGGCGGTCATGAAATCGGGCGCAACCTTCGTGCTCATGGACCCAACGCTGCCTCTTGCGCGTCTGCAGAACGTGGCGACACAAGTGGGCGCTGAGGCGATGCTGACATCTCGCATGCAGCAGGGTCTGTTAGCATCCATCATACCAAGTGAAAGACAGATTGTCGTGGAGGCAGAGCTGTTCACCGACTTACCCGATGTGCAGGCCATGTCCCCGTTACCGGTCGTTCCGTCATCGGCCTTGATGTATATGATCTTCACCTCGGGCAGCACCGGCACTCCGAAAGGGGTCAAGATCTCCCACGAAACCTATACCAGCAGTGCCATTCCTCGAGCAAAGGCCGTTGGTTACACGGAGGACTCGAGAGTCCTTGACTTTGCTTCCTACGCATTTGATGTTAGCATCGACAGTATGCTGTTGACTTTGGGGAACGGCGGTTGTCTGTGCATCCCTTCGGATGAGGACCGACTGAACGATATCAACCAGGTCATACGCAATATGCGGGTCAACTATGCAGGACTGACCCCGTCGGTGGCTCGCATCTTGGATCCAGACGTGATCTCTTCTCTCAGTGGCCTTGGTCTGGGAGGCGAGGCGGCATCGGCGAGGGATGTGACGGTATGGGGTCAGGACACTCGCATCATCATCGGCTACGGTCCGTGCGAATGCACCATAGGATGCACTGTTAACAGCAGCGCCGCCACGGGCAGGGACTATATCTCCATAGGCCCAGGCAATGGTGCAGCCATCTGGGTGGTCGATCCCAACAACCATGAGCTACTCATGCCGGTCGGCGCCGTAGGTGAGCTACTTGTCGAAGGTCCGATCGTGGGCCAAGGATACCTGAACGACCCCGAGAAAACGGCGACCGCTTTCATTCAAGATCCCCCGTGGCTGATAGCGGGCCACAGGGACTACGAAGGTCGTCGCGGAAGACTGTACAAGACCGGGGATCTGGGAAAATACGACCCAGATGGCACTGGGGGGATCGTCTTTGCCGGGAGGAAAGACACGCAGGTCAAACTGCGTGGACAGCGAGTCGAGCTGGGCGAGATTGAAAGTCAGCTCAGGGCCATCCTGCCCGCGGAAGCCAGCGTCATCGCCGAAGTGATTGTACCCCAAGGATCCGGCGGGCAGCCGACATTGGTGGCGTTTGTCACGATACAGTCTCCAAAGGGACAGGAGAATACCGAAATCCAGTCGGCGCAACTCCCCGACGAGCTGCGCAGTGAGTTATCGAACGCCAATTGCGAGCTGGCGAAGGTGCTGCCGCGATATATGGTACCCACCGCATACATCCCCGTCACCTATATCCCGGTCTTGATTTCCGGCAAGATCGATCGCAAGCGACTTCGACAGTTCGGCACGTCAGTCGACTTGCGACAATTAGAAGATGAAGCCCCAACCGCCGCCTCGAATCGACAACTGAATGAGCTCGAGCAGCGCCTGCGAGATGCATGGTGCCAGGTTTTGAAGCTTGATTCGGACACAATCCGGCTGGACGATAATTTCTTCGCGCTCGGCGGTGACTCCTTGGCCGCTATGAGGCTAGTGTCGGCCTGTAGAGTGACCGGTCTTGATCTGTCCGTCGTCGGCACTTTCAACCATCCAACACTCTCGGAAATGGCCGGTATTGTCCACATCCACGACGCAGAAGCATCGGCGGAGGTCCTGCCATTTTCCATGATCACCCAGGACGTAGACAGCGCGTGTCTCGAGGCATCCCAGGTTTGCGGGTCAAGCCCGGAGAGCATCAAAGATATCTACCCTTGCACACCCACGCAGGAGTCTCTCTTCACCTTTTCCCTCAAATCAAACAAGGCGTACGTTGCTCAGAGAGTCGCCTGTATTCCGTCGCATATCAGTCTCGAAGTCTGGAAAGGCGCATGGCAGGCGGTTGCCGCTGCAAGCCCTATTCTACGCACACGTCTAGCCCAACTCCAAGACCCTGGCCTTCAGCAAGTGGTGTTGGAGGAAAGGGTCGCGTGGAGACATTCGACGGATCTCCAGCAGTACCTCGAGAACGACCGAGATGAGAAGATGAATCTGGGTGAACGACTGGCTCGATATGCGATCATTGACCAGTCAGACGAAGGCAAGCGATACATGGTCTGGACTGTGCACCATGTCCTCTACGACGGATGGTCAGAGCCACAAATTCTCAATCACGTCAACAAGGCGCTGCAGGGCTATCCCGTCGAGCTACAGAGCCAGATGAGAGACTTTGTCAAGTATGTACGTGAGACAGATGAGGTCGCCATGCAAGAGTTCTGGCGACGAGAGTTAAATGGAGCCGTCGGACCTCAATTCCCACGGCTACCTTCCAGAGACTTTCTCCCGACGCCGGACGGCATGCTTGAGCATCAGATACCCCTTGAGACAGGTGCCGGATGGCCATTCACAATGGCTACTTTAATACGCGGGGCGTGGGCGCTCTTAGCGTCCAAGTATACGGGAAGCGACGACGTGGTCTTTGGCGAGACGCTGACGGGTCGCGATATTTCCTTGCCCGGAGTTGAAAACATCATCGGTCCCTTGATTGCGACGGTACCCGTCCGCATCCACGTCCATCGCGCGATCTCCGTGGAAGCATACCTTCAGACTGTTCAGCAAGGCATGCTGGCTCGCACGCCGTATCAGCATATGGGGATGCAATACATTCGCAAGGTCAGCCGAGATGCTCAGTATGCGTGCGAGGCGCCCACCGGTTTAGTCATTCAACCCGAGCCGGAAATGGCTGCTGATGAGCTGGGGTTCCATCAAGGGGATGTCGTGCGTGAAGCGCTTCATTTCAACCCATACCCCCTGATGATTGCCTGCGGAATTCAGAAAGGCGGCTTCCGAATTTGTGCCAGCTTTGATAGCAGCCTGATTGGGGTTGCACAAATGAGGCGCACTCTCCACCAGTTCGAGTTGGTCTGCTCGCAGTTGATCAAAGGCCTTTCCAGGCCAGTCGATGAAATATCATGCCTGCCCGAGGCCGAATTGGATCTGATTTGGGGACGCAACGAGCTTGCCCCACTGTCTTTCGACGCAACCTCAGGGCTGCTGCAAGCTGAAACGCGAGTAAAACAAGGATCAGAGTATCCACCCGTTGCAGTTCCTTGGATCTGTGATCCGCAAAACCCATCGCTTCTGTCCCCCATCGGCTGCATTGGCGAGCTCTGGTTGGAGGGCAACTTTCTCCCCGGCGAGGCCGCCGAATCACCAGCTTGGCTCGTTGCTGGAAGCTCAGCCTGCGGGGGGCGGACAGGAAAAGTGCAGGCAACGGGCGACATAGTTCAGTTACAGGAGGATGGCAAGCTAGTGTTTCTTGGTCGCAAAGAAGATGTCCTGCCGGCGCAAGGACATGCGGTGAACATCGCAGAACTCGAGGCTCACGTCGCCAGACACCTCCCGCCCGCTGTTCAAGCCGTCGCTACCGTTCTTCAATCTGCTGGTGGCTCACAGCATAGTCCGGAGCCTGAGATAGTCGTTCTCGTCGCATACAAGGGCTCCGTAGAAGAGAACGTGGAGCTCTTACCAACAGAGCATGATATCATGACTGATGCCTCGGGCTTCAAGACGACGATTCGTGCCGCGGTCCCCGTCAGCGTTGCTATCGCGCTCAAACGGCTCGACAAATTTATCCGGGACTCCCTTCCATCCTACATGATCCCTTCCACGTTCATTGTGATCGACGAACTCCCAACTGCGACGGGCCAAGTGGACCGCGATTCGCTGAATCAGCTGGCCTCGAGCATTCCTCGGCAGATACTCGTCGAGCTCAGTGGGGGGTTTAAGAGGGCATGGGCACATAATGCAACCCAAACGTCTTTGTCACCGGCGGAGCAGATCCTGCGCTCGTCATGGGCAAAGATTCTTGGCCTCAGTCCGGAGAATATTGACGTCGACGACAACTTTTTCCGACTCGGTGGTGATTCCGTCCTCGCAATGAAGCTGATATCCCATCTTCGCACGCAAGGGCATGGCTTGACCATCGCTGATATCTTCCAGCACATGCGTCTTGGAGACGCGGCCAAGGTCCTGAAGATAGGCCAAGCGTCCACACCCAAGGCCCGGTCATATCAGCCGTTTTCGACGCTGGGCCAGATCCAGGTGGACCAATTCTTGTCCGAGATAGTTCGCCCAAAGCTGGCCAATCGATCATGGTCAATTCAAGATGTATCCCCGGTGACCGATTCTCAAGCACTCGACGTGCGAGCAACCATCCAACCCCCACGAACCTCAATCCAATACACTATGTTGTACCTGGAGCAAGGCGTTGACCGAGATCGACTTTTCCGTGCTTGTGAAGGGCTTGTGGATACTCACGATATTCTGCGCACGGTCTTCGTTGAGCACGACTCGACTCTTTTCCAGGTGGTGGTGAAGACGCTCGACGTCCCGGTGATTACGCATCACGTCGACGGGGACCTTGAGAAATCCGTCACCGACTTGTGCAAAGAACACATTGAGCTGGATTTCAACCTGGGATCCTCCTTCCTCAGAATATTCCATGTCGAAACTAATGATGGCCGTGGGTGCCTCGTCATCGGTCTCTCACATGCGCAGTACGATGGCGTTTCTCTCCCGCGGCTCCTCCGCGATCTGGAAATCCTGTATTTGGGCCAGAAGGTTGACGACTTCGAGCCATTCTCCTCTTATCTGGCCGGTGTCCGGGACGTCCGCGCTCATGCCGATGCGCTGAAATACTGGCGCGGTCTTCTCACTGGCTCCGCAGTGTCCGTGCTAGGCGGGATCTCGGGACAGCCTACAGACAAAGCCATCTTCCACGCCAAGCCCGTTGAGGTCTCCGGAGGCCCCGGAGAGATTACGACGGCAAACCTGCTGACAGCCGCGTGGGCGTTGACGTTAGCTCGTCGACTCCGCACGCGGGATGTGACTTTTGGCGGAGTAACATCCGGGCGCAACGTCGACATCGCCAACGTGGAGAATGTGATGGGTCCATGCTACCAGCTCACTCCCATCCGAGTCCCCTTCCAGTCCCACTGGACGGCGATGGATCTCTTGCAGTTCGTCCAGAAGCAAAGCGGGCAGTCAGCGGCGCATGACTACCTCGGGTTCCGGGCGATCTCCCAGCAGTGCACCCAGTGGCCGTCGGAGGTTACATCCTTTGATTCTCTTGTTCATCATCAAGACTTCGAGGACTTTGACACCATGCCCTTTGCTGGGGGGACCTGCCGAGTTGACATTCTGAATCCCCACGGGGATGCCGCGTATCCCTTGAAGGTTGTCTCGTTTGTTCGAGGCGGGCGGATGCATGTGGGGATGGTAGGAACTGAGAAGGACACGGCGCTGGTGGATGCAGTCTTAGACGAATTGGCTTCAGTCGTTCAAGAACTGGCGACATGTTCGTCGGAACCTCTGAATGTTTGGAGTTGAACTTCGCCGAAGAGGGGACGCGTGACTTCCCGATGTGGTCTAGTCGCAGCCATCCGGGCGGGCTTGGTGCCTTGATGCCTTGCCGTGGTGCAGAAACGTCGGAGTATTGGCACCAGGGAGGATAGTCAATCATTCTGTCTTAAGCATATGTTATCTTTTTAATGTTAATGAGTAACTGAGCTGTCCTTACGTGTCTGCTATGTAGAAGTCAGTGGTCAGTTTGTAGGAATGCAGTGCTACCATGCACCCACACCAGGATTTCGATCCCAAGAAATATATCTGTACCGGATGATGTCCCAGCACGTAGAACTGATGAATACTACTAGTACCATTACCACTATTTTAACTGCCTTGAATGAAAAGCTCACACTGAGCTCAGGATGATAAGGACCACATTTCAAACAAAATCAAAATGCCATTAAAATTCCTAGGTTTATCGAAGTCGAAAATGAAAATGGTGCAAAAGACACCTTACAAAAGAGGCAGGCAGCTGACCGGCGGACAAAAGTGTGAGCGGACTCCTTGCCTTTCTGCCTCCATCCTCCATCCTCCATCCTCTTCTCCTCTTCTCCTCTGCCCTCTCACTCTTCTGCCAACTTGGTTTCTTTTATGTTGCCACCGTTTGATGCATCACATTGGCCCGGTAACTGTCTGACCTCTGCAGCAATTCCTCATGCGACCCGTGATCCACGCATCGTCCATCCTCGATCAAAAAGATGACGTCCGCCTTTCGGATCGTGTGAAGCCGATGGGCGATCGCGATGACCGTAATGCCACGCGCGGCCTTCTCCAGCCCATCCTGGAGGAGTTTTTCCGACTCTGCGTCTAGAGCACTGGTGGATTCGTCGAGAATCAATAGCTTCGGCTTCCGCACTAGCGCCCGAGCGATCGACAATCGTTGTTTCTGACCGCCCGAAAACTGGCTGCCGTTGGGTCCGCAGAGCGTCTGGTACCCGTCGGGCAACGCGTGAATCACCTCGTGGATATTGGCCAGCTTGCACGCGTCTTCGATTTCCTCCGCCGTCGCTTCGTGGCCCGGTCGAGCGCCCAGACCGACGTTGAACGCGATACTGCCCTCGAAGAGAACGCTTTCCTGAGGCACCAGGGCGATCGTGTCGCGGAAAGCCACGCCACGGTGCTTAGTGACGTCAACGCCATCCACCACGATCGCGCCGGATTGCGGCGTGTACAGTCGCTCAACCAGCGAGATAATGGTTGACTTTCCGGCTCCGCTGGGTCCTACCAGGGCGCAGAATTTTCCGGGCCGAATGTCGACACTTAAGCCGTTGAGCACCTTAATGTCCGGTCGCGCTGGGTAGGAGAAATGGACGTCGCGGAGTTGCACGCTGGAGGCCGGGTGGTCCGACATGCCCGGCAGCTTCGTCTCGATAATTGCCTCCGGGTCAGTCTCGTCGGAGGACCCGGGGAGGGAAGAATTCGGAACGCGTCCTTGCATCTTATCCGACCCGATCTCGATGAGGCCCAAGATTCGCGCCATTGCCGCACGAGCGCTAGACAGCTCCGGGGCGAGAGCGAACATCTGACTCCAAAGCAGGGCGCTCACCAACAGGGAAAAAACGACGATGAGGAACTGTGTCTGGGAATAGTTGCCGGCGATGATTTGTTTGGCTCCCCACCAGTAGGCCAACGCATTCACCAGGTTTCCCAAGAAGTAGGTCATCGCTTGCCAGAGGCTGGCCTGTAGGGTCACATTCAGCGTCTCCTTGCGGGGTCCCTTCAGCGACTGGCGATAGGTCTTGAGCGTTGCTTCCTCAAGGGACAAGGAGGCAATCGTTTTAATCGAGGTAATCGCTTCGACGCCGATGTCCACGGACTTGGTATAGGCGTTTTCGTGTCGCTCTTCGAATCGACCCAGTACGTGGAGTTCCATCAGACCCGCTCCCAGGAGAAGGGGAACCAGTGCCAGACAAACCAGGGCGATCCTCCACGCAATGATATGAGTGAGAATGATGGCGGCGACGAGGTTGACGGAAATCGAGAACAAGGTGCCGATGACGGACCCGCTCAGTCCAGCCAATGCGTTGCCATCGCGGGTGATGTAGGAGAGAAGCAACGCCGGGCTGCGGCCCTCGGACTGATGCCACTGAAGATCCTGCTCGAATAGGGAGCGGAAGGATAAAACGCGCACCGTGTACACAATCTTTTCCGAGACCCAGCCAAACCCGGCCCAACTGACCAGGTTCGCGAAGAACTCAATAATGGCCAGGACGAAGAACATCAGCCCGAAGAAGTTGCCGCGCGATCGGATACTGTCGGCAGTGTGACAGGGATTCAGACTCCCGACGGTGTTGCCGAAAATCACGGCCTCGCCTGAGAAGGCACCGCCAACCACGCTGGCGCCAAGAAGGGCCAGGAAGATGGTCAAAAGGTGTGGTCGCAAGGCAGGCGCGTATCCACGCACCAACGCCCACAACGATTTGGATGGCGTCGGGAGCTCGTCCGGCTCTTCTGCTGACTGGACGCCGGTAGCTTCGCTGGCTGGCAAGGCGGTCTGCTCGGCGCACACCGGCATCTTCTCGTTTTCGGTGTCTGTCATGGAGTGCTGGTCCGATTTACTAACGCTCTCGATGCTGACCGTGGTCTCGTTCTTTGCCGGCGCTGATCCCAGGGTTTGCAGGTTAACCAGATCGGCATATGATCCACTCAGAGCCATCAGCGTCGCGTGATCTCCCTGTTCCACGATGTGTCCTTTGTGCATAACGATGATATTGTCGGCATTGGTGATAGTCGACAGCCGGTGGGCGATCGTGATCATCGTGCGGCCGCTGGCAATGTTGGAAATGGCTCGCTGGATCCGCTGCTCGCTGCGAGAATCTAGAGAAGCAGTGGCTTCGTCCAAAATGAGGACTTGAGGATCCTTGACCAGGGCCCGGGCCAGTGCGACACGTTGTTTTTGGCCACCGCTGATTAGCCGTCCACTCGATCCCACCATGGTGCCGTATCCATACTGCAAGGCGCTGATGAAGGTGTCAGCGTCGGCAAGAACCGCCGCCTGCCGGACTAGAGTCACGATCTCGACCAAATCCGCGCCGCGTGCCTCTGCCGCAGCCAACATATCCTTGCCCTCGCGGACTTCCTGTGCCAGGTCGGACAGGTCAGAGCCGATGAGAGTTGTCCTCAGATGAGCATGGTTCGGGTTGCTAGAATTCATCAATCCATGCGCAATATTCTCCAATAGGGATCTATCAAGGAGGGATGGCTCCTGCTGCACTAAACTGAGGAAGCTCCGAAGGTCCCTGGTGTTGAGCTCCCGCAAGTCGTGGCCATCAAAGAAGATATGTCCATCGGTGGGATCGTATAGCCGAGTAACCAGGCCCGCAATGGTTGATTTCCCGCTGCCCGATAGACCGACGATGGCCGTGTGTTGATTGGCTGGTACGCTGAGACTGACTTGATCGAGCACTGTGATTTCGGGTCGGGAGGGATAGGTAAACGAAACGTTCTGGAACTCGAATCCACCTTCGGCTCGTGGCAGACGACGGCCAGAATCCGTCGTGCCATCAATCTGGGGACTGCGATCGATGTCTTCGCGCAATTTTCGGAAAGAGGCAACCGCTGCGGTGAAGAGATGAAGAAAGGGGGCCACCTGACTGAGCAGGAGAGTTGCTGTAATGGTGTTAATGGCGTATCCACAGGACGGAACTGTTGGGGCCCAACTAACCTTCCACCAGGATAAAAATCACGGTGAATATGGCTCCCACGGTCGCGCCTTGGGAGCTGTGCCCCACTGCGTCAGCCACGCGCCGGCTCCCTTGCCAGAAAGCAAGACCGTTGGCCCCGTATGCGATGAAGTATAAGAACCCGGACTGAATGCCCACCGCCGTGGACTTTTTCAGACCCTCCGTTTCGGCTGCCTTGAGTGCGGTGGCAAACTTGTCCTCCAGTCGACTGTTGGCCCCGAATGCCTGCACCACGACGGTGTTGGATAAAGCCTCGGACGCGATGGACGCGGCTGATGCGGCATGATCCGACATGCGGCCGGAATATTTCTCGATATAATGGCTTCCGACAAAAGACATGAGGAAATACGCGGGGATCAAGGAGATGAGCATGGCGGCCAGTCGGTAGTCTTTGATGAAAGCGACGATGTATGCGGTGACGAAGAAGGACAAGCTGGAGAGGCAGATGCCAACCTTCTCCGAGGTGCCCGAGCGGATGGCCTGGATGTCGCCATTCAACCGAGAGGCGATTTCTCCAGGAGGCAAGTCGTCAAAGTAGGATGGTTCCTGCCGCAGTAGGTTCTGCAGGTAGGTCTCCCGTAGTCGTTGTGCCAACCGAGCGCCGTTCAAACTCCAGCAGGTGAGGTGGCAGTAGATCGTCACGACCTGAGCAATTGCCAAATATACAATTATCAGGATCTTGCTGTTGATATCTGACTGGTACTGAGCATCGGAGTCCGAACTATCCGACTCACCACACGTCACACCGTTGAAGTCGTCGAGGAGCTGACCAAATAGAATTCCGATCAGAGGAAACGGGACGCCCGAGGCGATGGCTGACAATATTCCCAGCAACAACCGGCCCAGATCAAGCCTGGAAGGACTACCTGCCAACAGCAAGCTGGGATAGCCCGACAGTTTCTGGGCAAGCTTCATAGTGCTGTCAGTGCGGTTATTCTCTTCCCTCTGGAGAACGTGAAGCTTGTTGACGAAGTTGTGCTCGGGGAGAAACGTCCATGCCAGCGCAGACTAATAGACTGAAGGGAAGTCTTGTCCGCCCCGCCGTGTCGCCTAATTCTAGGTTGGTAGGGAGGCAACAGACCTACTCCGTAATGGCCGAAATGGAGTGATGCCACAGCGGCCTCCCGGCGAGACGGTATCGTTACGTAAAAGTTATCAGATGGGTAACGTTGCCGCTCGGAGAGATCCGCAGTTGATAAAAATTATCAGACTCCACTCGCGTCCTGTGGAAAGTCCGAGGCCGACCGTTCACTCCTGGATCCACTTTAATCAAGCCAAGTGCCTAAGACCGAGCGTACTGGGCTTGTATGGCACACAGGGACGCTGAGCCGACGGTATTGATTTGGTATTTCGTGGGCCCGATACGTGCTAGTAATTACTATACCCAAATGTTGTTTCGACACCTCCCAAACTCGTCCGTTACGCAGTACCGGTACTCGAGATACGCGCACGGTCACCATCTGTATGACGATAGGAAAGTGGTTGAAAATTGCAAAAGCGTCTGTATCACATTGTCCAGCGTGAGTATGGCCTAGTAATCACCGGCTACTCTGGTGGCTGATGCCCCCTGCACAGGTACGGCCAATCTCTGCCACGCATCCCCTTCGCTACCTGCAATAGCTGGCTCATGGCGGGTGGACTGTGTGGTCCGATTCTCGTCCGATGTGGTCTGGTTGCTTGGCTGGGCTTGGAGAGCATGGCCGACTGAAAAGAAAAACCTGTTTGGGAGGTGTAGGAGATTGACTTCTCTCGATTCCCGTGTTGACCCAAAACATATTTCTACCCGCAAGAGGGCCCTATGAACGAAAAGATCGGCGCCTTTTCATATCACCTACTATGTTGTCCTCGTGGCAGAAGAAGTTCTTCGATCCTCCCGAGGCCCCTCCCACAGAGGGCTATTCCAGCCCTACTCGAGACATGGAGGATCGAACCGCGGTCAATGTCAATCATCCCGACCCAAAAGGACCGGCCGAAGAAGTGCATTCGGTGGCCACAGACACCCTGCCCAATGAGGCGGCGCAAGATGGTGTCACCCAGGCCGAAGCCATCACATTAACATGGACCAAGACCTCTCTGGGAGCGGTGTATACGCTGTAAGTACCTCCTTGAATGCTTGTGAAGCCATCGGCGCTGATGATGGGTGCGACAGAATGTGGCTCTTGTACTTCGTGAACGCGTTCCAGTCCTCAATCACCGGAAACCTGTCAGCCTACATAACCAGCGGGTTCGAGGCACATTCTCTGATCCCAGTCATCTACATCGTATCCAGCGTCATGTCTGCAGCAACCTATATGCCGCTGGCGAAAATCCTGAACTTGTGGGATCGTTCGATTGGCTTCTTGCTCATGGCAGCATTTGCGACCCTGGGCCTGATATTGTCGGCAACCTGCAGCGATATTTATACCTACTGCGCCTCTCAGGTAAATTCCAAGAAACTCTCGACGATACAACGAAATGCTCACCGTTTGAAGGTCTTTTATAGTGTCGGTTTTGCGGGCATGATCTTCAGCATCGATGTCATCACGGCCGATACATCCTCCCTGCGTGATCGAGGCCTTGCCTATGCCTTCACATCGTCTCCCTATATCATTACCGCGTACGCTGGTTCGGCAGCCTCGGAGCACTTCTATCAGTCGAACTGGCGTTGGGCGTACGGATGCTTTGCCATTGTGCTACCAGTCGTGGCCTTACCTATGTTTGCCCTCCTGCGGTTCCATCGCCATAAGGCCAAGAAGTGCAGCCTCCTGAAGCCGAAACCTCCCAGCGGTCGGACTTGGATACAGAGCATAATCCATTACATTGTTGAGTTTGATCGTGAGTTTCTTTCATTATTTACGACAAGACCTCTCGCTGACCAAATATGAAAAGTACTGGGTACGTTTTTGCTGGCTGCCGGTCTCGTCCTCTTTTTGCTTCCCTTCACGATCGCGGGCTCTGCGGCCGATGGCTGGAAGTCGGCACACATCATCGTCATGCTCGTTCTCGGACTTGCTTGCCTGGTCGCCTTTGGCTTAACCGAGCGTTTCTTCGCCCCGGTTCCCTTTCTTCCTTGGAAGCTGCTGATCTCCCGGACCGTTTTGGGAGCCTGCATGGTAGACGTCTGCTACCAGGTGGCGTACTACTGCTGGTTCGATTATTTTACTTCATACTTGCAAGTGGTATACGGCGTGGGGATCGCCACCGCTGGGTACATAACCAGTATCTTCGACGTGGTTTCTGGTGTGTGGTTGTTTTGTGTTGGTCTGGCCATCAAGAAAAGCGCACGCTTCCGCTGGCTGCTCCTGGGAGCCGTCCCTCTTTATCTCCTTGGCGAAGGCTTGATGATCTACTTCCGGCAGCCTCATTGGTCAGTAGGCTATACTATCATGTGTCAGGTCTTCATTGCCTTTGCTGGTGGAACTATGATCATTTGCCAACAGGTGGCTGTGCAGTCAGTCAGCGATCACAACAACCTCGCGTCTTCCCTGGCATTCCTCAACGTCTTCGGCTCCATGGGAGGGGCTGTGGGTAGCAGTATCTCGGGTGCCATCTGGACCCATACCTTACCTGGCGCTTTGCGACGGCTGCTCCCCGAGTCTGCTAAGGCGGACTGGGAGACGATCTACGATTCACTTGACGTTCAACTGGGCTACGAGCGCGGAACGCCGATTCGACATGCTATTGCTCTGGCATACGGCGTCGCGCAGCGCAACATGTTAATTGCCGGAACGGCGATCATGGCTTTATCTTTGATTTGGATGTTCGTCATCAGAGATATTAAACTGAACAATGCTCAGACCAAGGGTGTTTTGTTTTGAAAAATCTTTAATCGCGTGGACGAGCTTTGATGGCAATATTCATCCTGTGGTGAGGTGGTGGAAACCGTCGTAGATGGACTTCCAGTTCCTGGAAGATATTGGAAAGATACATGGTAGCCCCAAGGGGGTGGGGGTAGAGGATAGTAGCTATAAGGTGTGGGATCTCATAGCCGGAGGGGACTGACAGTAATGGATTCCCTGTTATATAATTTAATTTTCCAATGAGGTATCTAGAGTGCGGAAGGAACAGCCAAAAAAAAAGTAAGACACCCGGAACTAGCTGTTTTGAACTTGCCACAGTCGAGATGTGAAGAAACCTGTAGAGCTGATGATGTAGGCATTTTTCTCATTATTATTAGCTCGACAAAAGAAGAATGAACATGCGGCCTTCATCGCGAGAAATGAGCCTTTACCCTTTCTTATTTCTCTTTAGTTCCTCATGCTCATATTAGTTAATGTGATAGTGCTGCAAACCTACACCTGGAAGTCTTGACAACCTGTCAGCTCTTCTCAGGCTTAAAAGCGCCAATCTCCGCTCATTCCAAGTGAAGGAAACATTGTACCTTTCTGTAGTCATCTAATATTCTAGGTAGTTACTCGCCGGCCTTTCAACGACAGGAATTTCATGCTTAGAGATTGACGTAACACCCGATTGGTGCGGATATTTCGGATGAATATCCGGATCCAATCGGACCAGTAGACAGGATGTTGGCCTCAGGCAACCGGGGACAGACCATTAACTGACCATGTATCGGACTCACAAATCGCGTATTGACACAAGCCTGGGAAAACAATAAAAACTATTCCGTTGCTTCCTGCTATATAGGGCGGTCAGGAAGTTCAAAAGGCGAAGGCCTAGGTGGTGGAAGACCAGTTTAATGCTGGGCATACTTAATGAAAAGCGATTAAAAGGACCTTCCTCGATTTACGATTATATGAGGCAGGAACAATAGTCGACTTGTTCAGTGATTAATGAATTGGTCCTGAGCTACCGGAGTCAGCATATCAGTGATCCTCGAGTGCGGAAAAAGGAGAAACGAATCGAAGGCTGCCACGATGACGTTAACCTCGAGCATGGAGTATCTGTCCTGCTGCAGGTCAATATGGCCATCTGCTTGCTGCAGTGGTCGGTGCATTGGCACAGGGCCTCGGCCCGCCAAGGTGGAGAGAGCCAATTGCACAAGGGCGTCGATCGCATCGGTTTCATAGGGTAGACATGTTATTATCTGCGGGGTAGGTTACGTTGCAGATTGAAACCCTGGAACAATTTTCCAATAGTCCCCAGGATCCAGGGTCGACGTGGAATTGAAGACAGCATTAATGGCTACAATCCCTGCCCCGCGAATGACGAGCTTCTGAGTAGTGGATGCGGGCGGCGCCACTAATGAGCTGAGAATGAAGATCAGTTACACCCTCAGCCTTTGCTACAGCTCAAATGGCTGGCTTGGTTGCCACTTTGAGGGGAAGATCTTCTACATGCATGACTCGGAGCTAGGGAACAAGAGTTTATAAAAAGAGCGAAGGTCCCGTGCGATAGAAAGGCCTAAATTTGTAAACCCAGCTGCGACAGCTATTGTCACTATGCTACAAAGTATCTTCCATCGTGCGGGATGGGTGACAGAAGGTCACCTCGCCTTGGACGTTCCTTGGGCCCCAAATCCTCTTACTATTGCTCTTAGTTTGCTCTTACTTCATGTACTTGGGGTAGTAGTGTATCGAGGTGAGGACATCTCATGATAAATACGGTTGCGTTAAGCTTACTGTGGCTAGTTTATTTTAGCCCTCTCGCCAAATTTCCGGGACCTACCATGGCGAGTGAGTGTTGATCTTAATAGCCGAGTAAGGTCTTTACTCTTCATTTTGTCTAACGATGTTAGGTCTAACAACATGTTACATGGCCTACTATGACCTCTTCTACGACGGCTATTTTTTCAAAAAGGTTCAGGATCTTCATCACCAATATGGTATGCAAACACCTGTTTGACTGAGAGCCTAACTGACTTTATTATTTCAGGGCCCATAGTTCGCATCAATCCAAACGAAGTACACATCAGCGACCCCGAGTTTATTAAAGTCCTTTTCACTGGCAATGTCCAGAAGAGAGACAAGGGCAAGTGGATTGGACGAATGCTTGGCCGTATGTTCATTTTGCCGCCCCTATTTCTTATTGCTTGCAGAAAATAATCATCCAAGTTCCCCAATCCGTTGCATCTGCAACTGGCCACGAACTCCATCGCCGGCGGCGTGCCGCGATGCAACGATTCTTCTCCAAGTCTAGTCTTCGACACCTGGAACCGGTAATTCAGCGTTCTCTGAAAGGTTTGATTCATTACCTACAGGAGAGTGGGCAAAAAGGCGCTATCCTAAACATGAACGTCCTCTGTAAGGCAGCTACCTGTGACATCATAACCGAGTATGCCTTCGGGACGTCGACCAACTTTCTACATCGAGACGATTTAAACGTGGCGTTTTACAAGTCCCTCGATGCCAACTTTCACAATGCGTGGTACATGGCCTACTTTCCATGGGTGAGCCCCATGCTACAAAGTGTGCCGCCATCTATTATGGGGATTGTATACCCCGGACTGAAGTCGTTGTGGTTAATGCATCGGGTGAGAACTTTGATCCGACTTCCTGGCCTGGTGCTAATAAAGTATAGCAATGGGCGAAGCGTATTGAAGAAATTCGAAAGGAAGTTAACACACACAGTGATCCAGATGCCAGCGTTTTCCACGGCATACTCACCAGCAATCTCCCACCACAAGAGAAGTCTACGTGGAGGCTGCAACAGGAAGCACAAGTAATTGTTCAAGCGGGACAAGACACGACTGGTGAGCAACTATTCTCTAAGCTGAGGGATGAACGACGCCTGTTATGGGTTCTAATCATCAATAGCCAACTCTGTTGCATTCATAACATATATCTTGCTTGACAATCCGGATATCTGTCACAAGCTTAAGGCAGAGCTGGAGGGCGCACTTCCGGACCCTGATCAGGACCCTCCTGCCGCGGTGGTCGAGAATCTGCCGTATCTCAAGGCCATTATTCAAGAAACACTCCGACTATATCCCTCTGCCGTTGTGCGGCAGACCCGTGTGGCACCGGATACGGATATTGTATATGCCAATCCTAATACGGGCGAAAAATGGGTCATCCCAGCTGGAGTTCCCATGACAATGGCCCCATTGCCAGTTCATATGAATCAGCAGTACTTCCCGGAACCAAAAAAGTTTAATCCCAACCGTTGGCTAGAGAATCCCTTCCTGGATCAATATTTATTGACGTTCTCAAAAGGGACGAGGGCATGTATCGGGTATGATATGCTTCTTCCCTGTGCGTGTTGAGCTATTCTAAGAGCTATTACAGGATCGATCTTGCATACAAGGAGTTGTTTATGCTCGTGGCCGGAATATTCCGTAAGTACGACAGGTACGATGGATCCGGGAGACAGAAAGTCCCGACTCTTGAGCTATATGATACGATATCTGAGCGCGATGTTGAACCGAGTCGAGACTTTATCATCTCTTTTCCTCAAAAGAAGAGCAAGGGAGTTAGGGTCAAGGTTAGACAGTGATGCTAATCGGGGTCTTGCGAATTGGCTATTTTATCGGTCCATCAGATGCGAAAATGACAGCATATGTGAAAATGCCGGTATATATTTGATTGTATTAGTCTCTAACCTGCTAGCCTATGAGGTGGCCCAGCAAGCGCTGGCAGTTGAGAACTAAATCTTGAACTTTCGACTCAGGTGTTAGTGTCTGCACATTAATCCAATAAAACATAATCTCTGTGTTCCAGATATGGTATTCCTAAAGGCAAAGGCTTAAATCTCCAATAATAGGATATTCCCATTGGTGTCTGCTGCCTCGCTTTTTTGTACATGAACAGAGTGCACAACTCACCAGCGGCGATTTTGCCAGTGTTCAGGCAACCACTCCGAGGAGAGCTTTTCAAAGATAAGAAGTAAAGTATATCAGGCTTTGATCTGGATATGATGACTCTTGCCACAGAGCCACCTTGAAGGAGTGACATGGGCAACGAGCTCCTGATAATCGGATGTTATCGACATATCTTGCAGCAGGATTCAACTTCAAGATGCTCCAAACCTTCATTTAACCAGAAAAGGACAGTATCATAAAGAAGGCCATAGTCTTACGCCACTTGGAAGCAGATCAACGGCGGCCTTGGCCATACCCCTGAAGTTTCTGTCAGCACAACTGTAACTAAAATGGGAGAGGTAAAAAGCGTACCATGAGGCCTGATATCCTGCTCCACCAGCACCGTAATTGTGGATTACTATCGTTCCATATATTCTCTCTATCCCACAGGCCCTGGGGAAAGATATGTGATTTGCATTTAGGGTGCCGAGCAAGGCAGCCTGTGATTAGTTACTTAATCGGTAATATAATATAGTTTTCTTTTAATTTATTATATAATTTTTATTTAGTTTTTATACTCTGATTTCTTCCAAAATTAAATATGATATTAATCAAGTACTTATTTATAATTATTTAAAAAATAAGGCTGATCTATTATGAATTATATTTATAAAAGCTAGTTTTTAATAAGAGATTATTTTATTAAGATACTAATTAGGATAATAATTTACTTATAAATCTAAATATATATATTTATTTTTCTAAACACCCTGTTATAAGAACTAACTTATTTTTAATTTTTATTTTATATTAAGCTTATTATTCTTTATTTACACTAGTTGACCCAGCTATTATAAAATATTAAATTTTTATATAAATAAAAATAATACTAATAATTATTTATAAAATATACTAGTATAAGATATAATCTAAGGAAATTTAGTATTATTTAAAAAATAAAGTTTATTTATTAATAATATACCAGGATATTATCTAAATTAATAAAATAATTATATAATAGTCTAACCTTATTTATAAGCCTATTATAATTAATTAGCTATAATAGCTAGAGCAGCCTATTATTAGATTATTAATCTATATTAATAGACTGTTATGCTAATAGGGCCCCTAGTACTAGTATATAATCTAAAATATTAAAATTATATATAAATATTAATATAAGATATATTAATAATTCTAATATCTTAAATATAGCTAGATTTCTTAAACTAAGCAGGAATAAACTAATTTCTAGCTCATATAAATATATATTTTAATTTTATATTAATGTATATTTTCTACCTAATATAGCTCTTAGAATATTTTTATTATTTATAATAAAGATCTCTCTTTTAATAATCTTAATATAATTAAGTGTTATAAAAAGTTAAAATTATATAAACTTAGATTTAGGCTACCTATAAGGTATAAAAGACTATTTAAGTATATAAGATTATTAATATAAATTTATAGTTTTAGATAACCAGGTAAATTATATATTTAAAGAATATTATTTTTACCCCACCGGGCCAAATAGGACGCACCCCTGTCCCATCGGTGCGGGTCCGCAGCGGGCGCGCTGATTGGCCGGCCTAAACCCTACCCGGGGGTGCATCCTATATACTTTCGCGGGTATATCCTATTTAGATCCCCTGGCCCGGTCAGGCTTAAACTTAGTAAATAAATAAATAAGTTATAGATTTTCTATCTAACTAAATCTTAGCTATTACGGTTACAGGAGGATTAAGCTATCACATAATAAAATTAATTAATTTATTTTATTTAGATTTTAATAGGGTACAAGATTCTGACCAGATTAGGTCAGCCTTTTTAGTTAATTCGCACGAGCAAGAGAGAGGGATCAAGATATATATATTCTTATTAATTTTTTTTATACCCCCACTAATCTGTTTATATTCTATTTACTTATTTATTTATCTTATTTAAATTCTTTTCTTTATATTTTTACCTATTAACCAACCCCTCTTCTTTCCTTTAATTATTAATTAATATTATATTAAAACCATACTCCCCTCCTTAATATCCTAACTTATATAACTCTCTTAATCTCAGCTATATCTATACTAGGGCTGCTATTATAGTACAGTAATATATACCTATTATTAATTAATCTTTAACTATCCTACAAAAAAAATAATAAATAAAAGATACTGTTTATTAAATCCAGTTCTAGTAAATAAGTTATAATAAACTATGTAAAATCCTAAACTAACCCGCGCAAAATTATAGCTATTATAATAAAAAAAAAAAAATAAAAAATAAAAAAAAAATAAATAAAAATAACTAGCCTATCTTTAATTTAAGTAATTATTTAATACCCATTATAAATATATTAATCCTGCTTAATATAATTTAGATATAAAATATTATATAAGCCCTAGCGGGACTGGGAGGAGGCAGAAAAATCTAATTTTAATAATTTATAAGCTAATCTAGTCCGGAATCTTATTATTTAGTAAAAGATAATTAGCTAGATTTCTGACTATAGTTAAAGTTAGGAAAATAAGGTCTATAAATTATTTTATTTTTTTTTTTAAAAATTTCTTTATTATCTTTATTGCTCTTAGAAACAGGAGTTAGCTTAAATAATATAGATATTTTTTTTTTATTATTATTATTACTATTCCGGCAGCTGCTAATATTATTATCGCTCTTACTAGTATTATTTAAGCCAGGAAAGCAGGAAAATATTACTAGGGGCAGAATAAATATTATTAAGGATAGAATAAATATTATTAAAGATAAAAATAAATTATCTTATTTATTTATGTTTTTTTTTTTATTTTTATTAAAATTATTAAACTTATTTTATATATTCTGTTTCTGTGTCTGCTAGTTATCCGGCTTGCCGTGCTCAGGCCTACCCCACCGGGCCAAATGGGACGCACCCCCGTCCCATCGGTGCGGGTCCGCAGGCGGGCGCGCTGATTGGCCGGCCCAAACCCTACCCGGGGGTGCATCCTATATACCTTCGCGGGTGTATTCTATTTAGATCCCCTGGCCCGGTCAGGCTTAAACTTAATAAGTAAATAAATAAATTATAGATTTCCTATCTGACCAAATCTTAGCTATTACGGTTATAAAAAGATTAGACTATTATATAATAAAGTTAGTTAGTTTATTTTATTTAGATTTTGATAAAATATAAGATTTTAACTGGGAAAAATCAGATTAGTTTTTTTAGTTAGTTTATATAAGCGAGAGAGAGATTAAGATATATATATATATTTTTATTAATTTTTTTTTTACCCTATCTATTTATTTATATTCTATCCACTTATTTATTTATCTTACCTAAATTTTTTTTTTTATATTTTTACTTATTAACTAACCCTTTTTTTCTCTTTAATTATTAATTAATATCATATTAAAACTATAAATCTCTCTCTTAATCCTAGCTGCATCCACACCAGGGCTACTACTACAGTATAGTCACACACATATTTATTATTAACTAACCCCTAACTATCCTGTAAAAAAAAAAAAAAAAAAAAAAAAAAAAAAAAAAAAAACAACTAATCTATCTCTAATCTAAGTAACTACCTAATACCTATTATATATATATTAATCCTGCTTAATATAATTTAAATATAAGATTATATATAAGCCCTAGCAGGACTAGAAGGGGCAAAAAAATTTAATTCTAATAATTTATAAACTAATCTAGTCCGGAATCTTATTATCTGACAGAGGATAATTAGCCAGATTTCTGATTATAATTAAAATTAAAAAAATAGGGTTTATAAATTATTTTATTTTTTTTTTTTAAAACCTTTTTATTATTTTTATTACTCTTAAAAACAGGACTTAGCTCAGATAATATAAATATTTTTTTCTTATTATTATTATTATTATTCTTATTAATATTATTTAAACCGGAGGGGCGGGAAGGTGTTACCGGGGATAAAATAAATATCACTAGAGGCGGAATAAATATTACTAAAGGCGGAAATAGATTATTTTATTTATTTATATTTTTTTTTTATTTTTATTAAAATTACTAAACTTATTTTATATAACTTATTTTTATATCTGCTAGTTATCCAGCTTACTATGCTTAAGCCCAGGCAGTAAAAATAATAAAGTTACTTATTTTTTATTTAAATAATTAACTAGATTACTAGTATAAGGCAGAGGCGGAAATACCAGAAAAAATATAATTATATAAAAACTAGTTTTTTTTAGAAGACAGGCTTCTAGATTTTTATTAATATTTTATTTTTATATAAAACTATTTATTAGCAGGCCTTCCTAAAAAAAAACTATTCTGGTTTTTTAACTATAATTAAAACTTTAGGGGTCGGGAGGAGGAGAGAGTTTTTAAAGACCTACCTTTTTTTTTATAGTTTAAATAATATAATAAGGTTAATATTAGTAGGCTTTATAATTTATTTATTACTTATTATACCTATGTTAGCTATCTCATTCATCCAAAACCTAAAAAAAATAAAAAGTGGGACTTTCTCTTTTTCTGACTGTAATTAGAAATCTAATTATAAAAAAAAAATTATATACCTTAAGAATAGTTAGGTAGTATAATATTTTTAGTACGCCTCTTTTATAACACCGCTTAGCCACAAACTAATTTTTTTTATTAGTATATAAAAAAATTAGTTTGTCCTATTTTAAACAGGTCTATTACTGTTTAAATAAGTAATTAAGTTTATTATTAGTT